GCTAGATATCTATATTAAGATATAAAGGTACTTACTAGCTACTAAAGTAAGACCTAATAACTTTAATTAATAATCTTTTAGTCGTTTTTATTAACTTTATAAGGGTTATTAACTAATAGTATCGCGTGAATAAGCTTACTATATAAAATAGTAGGATTTATATACTAATAAGCGTCTACCCCCTTTATAGACTACTTATAATCTATATCTTAAAGAAAGCTATAGAAAATATAATAAAAAAGCTTAAGAAATACCTCCTAGAGGCTGTTAATAAACCTATAATTTCTACTATATATAAATATAATTCTAAGGATATAGTAGGCATACTATATATCTATATTATTAAGTAGCACCTAGATAAGAGTTAAGGCCTTAAGCTTAACCTCTTCTATTAGTAATAGCACCTCTATAAGCTTAGTAAAGCTCTACTAATTACGCCTAAGCTATATATCCTTAATCTATTACTAGTTTAAGGTAAAGGTCGCCCTTATAGGGCTAAGAACTATATATATCTCTCTAAGAGCTTAGAGGTCCTAGCCTCGTAGAGGACTACCTTATATATATACTTATAGCTTATACTATCCTCGCTCAAGCTATCCTCGTAAGCCCCCTTAATATAAGTACTATCCTTATAGCCCACGCCGTCGCTTATACTATATACGCTAGAAGACCCGCTTATACTATTTAATCGCATAACACAACGTAAGCCTTTAGGGTTTAAGTACATCGCTTAGGGCCTAAGGGGCGGGCTTAGGGGTCGGGGGGGGCGTACCCATACCCATAGTAAGGTAGGTCACCTAGTAGGTAGTAGGCGGGGACATAGACGTGGACGTGGGTAGTAGATAGTTATAATACTCGAATTCAGAGCTCCAGAATAGCGTCAAAATCATACAATTTCTATATAATTTACTATATAGACGTGATTACTAAGTGGATTTTACGGAGTTTTTTTTCCTAGCAAAAGCGGTAAGATATATAGGGCAGAAAAAGGTAAACAAAGGCAGAAAACTTCCATTTTACGAAGGCGGGGTAGAAATCATAGCAGAACCTCTAGAAAATCATAGCAGAACGGATTTTTGGTCATATAGGGGCGTGGCTCTAATATTGGGGGCGTGGTACTATTAAACTCCTAATTATATATATAATAAAGACTATATATCTATATTTATTTAGCTTATCTATAGCTACTATAACTATATTATGGCCTTTTAACTTTATAAAAATAGATCATAATATTCTTTTCCTCTATAGGCTTATTATAATATCTCTAGATAATTTCTTTTTTACATTAATCTAGATATATAGATAAGTCCAGGCATTATCTTATAATCTACTAATTATAATAAAAGTCTAATAATCGTAGATTGAATTTGACTTATTATTATTATATATTAATATATTAATATAGCTAATATAGCTAATATAGCTTTCTTAATCCCTTTATTATAATCTAGTCAGTAGCTACATATATCTATTTAGCTATTGGTTTAATATTATAATATTTAATGTTAATTTTATATAATTATAATATTTGAGACTACCAGATTATCTTTTAGTAACTTCTAAGATAGAAAAAATAAGATTTCATTGAATATTTTACTCTTTTAAGATATAATATCTAAACTTTAAATACTAATATTATAGTTAAGCTCTATTAATATTATCTTTTATAATTTGAAAATGGTCATTTTAGATCTACTAACGCTATTAATCTCTATATCTTAGGTAATAAGTCTAGATTAAATTTATAGAAGATTAATTACATTCTAGATAACCTCATAGCTTATTTAATTTATTTAAATAAGGTAGATTGATTTATTAATTAATCTAGCCCTATTATAACTTTTATAAATCTAAGACTACCTTTTAATGATAGTGATAAAAGCCTATAAATTATTATATATTAGATCAAGTCCTACTTATTAGAGAATATTCTTAATATTTTCTTCTTCTATTTTAAATTTGTTATTACTGATTGTATATTCTAATAACCCTATTTCCTATATATAGAATTTATAGCTATTTTATTAGAATAAATTAGTTATTCAGACTATCAATCTTTAACCAAGTACTATAGCTTTAGAATACTGATGAAATATTTGAAAATAAATAAAGTAAGAAGGTTATATTCTTTTTACTATATAAGCTATTAAAGATTAGGAAAAATTCATAATCTATAAGATAGCGCTTATACATAATATTCTATATTCTTTACTCTAAGATTAGCTTTATAGAGTTAGGACTTTATTAAATTATATATAAATTTAAGAAGATTAACTAAAATTAAGAAGATAGAATTAAAAATTAGATTATATCTCTAGATATATATAGAGCTACTCTAAGACCTAAGAATATCTAGGAAGTACTAAAATTTTCCCCTTACTACATAAGGAATAACCCCACTATTGACTGTTTACAGAAAATATATTTATAACTAAATAAAGTAGTATTCAAAGCTTTCTATCTAATTCTTAGAAAATTATAATTATATATATATAAAGTATAAGGATCTTAGAATAGTATAAGGCTAGTTAAATCTAGTCTAGAAGATAATCTTTTGGAAAAAAGGATTAACCTAGATCATATATATGACTTTAATAAGATAGGTTTTATAATCGTATTAACTATAATTATAAAAGTTATAATAAGAGTATAATATTACATTCAGATCTTATTTTTATAATTTAGAAATTATAAGTAGATCACTATAATTGAATCTACTAGTATATCTAGTTTTGGTCTTTCTTTGATGTTTATCTTTAAGAGTAGATAAATATTATTAGATAGGGATAAGGGATTCTAAAAGACTGGTATTTTAAGATTAATAAAATTAGAAAAACTATATATAAGATTAGAGTTTATAAGCTTTAAAAGGTCTTTTTTTCCTTAATTATCTTAAGAATAAAGAGGAGATAATAAATATTAGTTCCTAGTTAGTATAGAAGTTATTTAATTCTATAATTTAATAATATTTATAATTATATTAATAAATTAAATCTCCTTAATATATATTTATCTATATACCTTTAAGCTTTTAAGTTAAATATAGGTAAAAATAGCTCTACTATAATTAGTTTAAATCTATATAATCTTAAGTAAGTAGTTTTAAAGCTTAATATCTATCTCTAGAGTACAATACTACTAGTAGATTATAGAAGTAACTTAAATTAGAATTTTATTCTAAAAACCCCTAAAGCGCTAAAGTAGCTCTATTAATAAGCTTTTTTTACAAAAAAAGCTTTTCAAATATAATTTAATAGGCCCCTCAAGCCCTCAAGCCTATAAATTTTATAAGATACTTAGCTCGCCTTTTAGTCTATTATCTCCACTTTATTATTAATCTATTATCTTATAAATAGATATTACTTTAGTTTTATAGATTATATTTAGTCTTTATTTTTCCTATTTAATCCTATGATAGGGGTTAGTCTATCTTTCTTAAATTAATAGCGCCTAGATCAACTATATATATTATAGATCTATAAAACTTCTATATACTCCCAAGTTAATTAGTACTTTTGACTATATAAAGTAAGATATTTACTTTAATCTTTTTAAGTATACTATCTACTATATTATTATAAAATATTATTATTTATATATATATATCTTTATTCTTTATGAGATTCTTGGAGTATTTTCAACTTATAATCTCTAATGTCTTAGATTCTATCTCCTATAATCTTATTGATATTATAATTATAAATACAGATCTTACATAGTTATATTCTATTCTTAGGGCTAATTAGCTCTTAAATCCTTATTTATAGATCCTTAAGAGTTATATCTTTGATCTTAGGACTTTTTACTTTTATTTCAGTTCTTAGGATAGATACTAGAATAATATTAGATATTAGAATTTAATAATCTAAGTCTATTCTTAACTCTTAACTTTAATATCTTACCTATACTAATAGATATAGTCAATTTTTAAAGTATAATAAGTCTCTTCTCTATACTAATAATCATATTAATTTCTCTAAATATCTTATTTAAGTAGGCTATAAAGTTACTATAGCCAATAAAGATACAATATATAGCTATACTTAAATTACTTTATTAATTCCTATAATACTTATAGATATAGATTCTAGACTAATCTCATACTTATCTATAAGAATATATTAAATTATACTAAGTTTATCTATAATAAAATTATTAGTTATTCATTAGAAACTATCTTAATTACTACTTTATAATATTGTCTTATAAAGTTAGGGGTTTTAATATATTATATGATATTAATTAATTATAGTAATTATATTCATATATTAAGGCTTATCCTTAAGTCTTAGTTATAATTATATTATTATGAATTAGTCTTATATAGACTTAGATCTATAGAGTAAATTCTTATTAGGTAATATTAGATAGTATATAAAGCTGAAATTATTAATTCAAAGTACTTCTATATAATTAAATATAGAGAACCAAATGAATTTATATTAAATATATTAATAAAAAGAAAGACTAGACTAGAAAAAGCTAAGATAGTAAGGGAGTAGAAATCTTTTATATAAAGTAAACTATATATTAGATTTCTTATATTCCTATTATATTAAATTATTCTATCTCTAAGCTACTTAGGCTTAATTATTAAGTACGAATACTTATATAATCTCTTATGAATATCTTTCTTATTATAGTATAGTATTTCTTATTATACTTAGGTAGCTAGTACTAGTTTATTCTATATATAAACTAGCCTATTAGCCTTTATTACCCTACTTAATCAAATTTAGTCAATATATTCAATAGCCATAAAGCTAAGAGATATGATTATTTTTAGCACTAGGTAAGAAAAGGCACTAATTTAGTAGAACCACTTAATCACCTTTAAATTCTAGGGTAATCTAGATTAAATAAGTAGGCACACAATAATCAAAATATAAGAGTAAATCATAGATAAATAGAGCCACTTAAAATACCATTAATAAGAAGAGCAAGAAAAACCCCTACTTTAATGATACCAACCAAAGCTATATAATTGATCATTATCCTTAGGATAAATCCCCCATGATATCCTCGTCCATCTCCAAACCAGCATCTCCACCTAGAGATGGGTTCATAACTGTAGCACTAGGCCATGCTTGTTGGCCTTTCACAACATTATCAATAAACTCCTCACTCAAATTTAGCCCATTGCTGTTTTCTTCCACACCACCAAAAAGGGCTTCAAGTAACTGCCTCTCTCCCTCAAACTGTACTTGCGCCTTGGTCTCACGAGAGACCTCCGGGAGAGAGGACATATCTGCGAACCGTAACATTGTATCCTTAGAATATAGTTGAGGCTGTGCTAATGTCGCATCTATAGCATTAGACACAACAAGTGATGCTAAATTGGCTTTAACAACTCCATTAACATCCATAGGTGATGGTGATGTGTGGGACTGAAGTTCTGCCACAGTTAGGGCTGCAAAGACCTTCTTGGCCTTGATTAATGAATGTGTTGAGTATGCATTCACTACCTGCCAAACAAGGCCCGTGTTATTGTCCTAAAAAGAGGCGATTAGTCCTAGGAGCACACTAGATAGTAACCGTGGCGTGAAAACACATCATCACCCACCAGATGCCAAATATCCCTAGCAGCATCTACTTCCGCCTCTAGCCTCTTCATATCCCCACGCTCAAAGGCTTGAGCGAAGCTGATGTAAGGTTTGGCCAGGGATTGGAGTGTTTTGATCACATGAGGTGCAGTTATACTCGGAGGAGAGCATAGCTAATGGAAGCAAGCATTAGTAAGGTCAAGGTTTCATCATCCCACAGAAGATGCAATAAAGGTCACTCACCTTGCCCTTATCGAGTAACCCTACCAGTAACCATTTTTTATAAGCCTCAACCATTATCATGCTCACAGAACCCATCGTTGGCATAGAGATTACAATGCCCAAGAAATGCGATGCCTTGCGCCACTCTTTCAGCGCAGAATAAATCATCCCACCATAGAGAAAGTACCGCAAGTAGTCTCTGTACGATAACTTTGATGCAAGACCGGTAGTCTCATTGATAAACGACTGACTCGATTCATGCTCTGCACAACGTATCGAAAGTGAGTTGGACGAAGCACGGCTCGGCAGCGCAGGAATATGGCATATATGCTTGTTCAACACCGGCAAAGCACAGGTATACGCCCTAGCCGCAAGACAGAGCTGGGCTAGAAGTAGGTGGGTTGATGTTAAGACAGCACATGATGGATCAAGCCGCAATAGTGCATCCTTAATCAGTCGAGCGGCCAACAATGGCTATTTGGTGTCAGTCAACCGTTTAACGGTCAGATGAGCCAGAAAAGCCTTTACTTTACCTTTGAAGTAGCTTTCGCAGCTAGTACCACGAATTCAATCAACTGGACCCATTCGTGACCGATATATCTGACTTGAACACGATCGAATACCTCCAAGTAATGTGCTGACTTTGACCATAGTCTTCCGAACGGGAATAATTCTGTTGGTAGGATCCCACCAGATGCTTCCTGCAGAGTGTGGATCTGAAGACGCAGAAGAAGCAGGTAAGTGATTGAGTCGTCTGAAGGATCAAAATGCTACATCAATAAGTCAGTTGATCGGCCTTGAAGTGCCATGAGAATCGTGTATACTCGCATTCAAGAGTTCCTGATCACGGGCAATAGATCCCAGATCTCTCTTCGATATCAATTGCCGAATATACGCAGTATGGTCGCGCAACTGGCGGTCATAGTCCTCATTTGAGAGGCTAACTGGGTCACGGAGGGCTGCTGACGCCGCGACCAGGTCGGTGACGATAGACATGCTGAGCCCGATACTACGTACTGTCAGTGTCAAAGAAAGTGAACGTAGACAGAAACCTACTATCAGGGTTTAACTGACGAGAACGAAGACGGGGATCACTTCGTGTGCTCAAGGGTCCTATATGGGTTGAGCTTGAGCGAGGAGCAGCTTGGGTGAAGCTAAGTGGAGATGGGAAACCATGTTCCCCACACCGCTCCAATTGTGCCCCTCGTCTTGACTCATGGTTTAGTACCGTCTTTTCTTTGCCCGTCCGCCCCGAGTTCTTTTACCCCTCAGTCTTCTCCGTGAATCATCAAACGTCGATCACCCCAGAAAGCAGTACAATGTCACTGACCGAGTCTGCTGCGGTAGATGTGGCTCGAAGCGCGTCCCTCGCGTCTCGCAAACTCGCAATCCTCCCCAATGCGGCTCGGAATGAAGCCCTGACAGCACTTCACAACGCCTTGAAAGAGAACCGAGCCACGATTCTTGCAGCCAATGCGAGGGATGTGGAGGCTGCCACTCGTGCCGCCAACAGCGGTGATCTCAACCACAGTGTTTTGAAACGTTTGGATCTGTCTCGGCCCGGCAAGTATGACGATATGTTAGAGGGGATTTTGAGTGTCCGCGACTTAGAAGATCCTGGTAAGTCTACATCCCACTATTCTTCCACAACTACGCTTCCTTTCCAGAAGGGAATGCGATCTTGAAACATCTGAATGCAACTAACCGTGCCAGCGATACACAGTTGGCAAAATTACAATGCGGAGCCTGCTAGACGAGGGCCTGACTCTGGAAAGAGTCAGTTGTCCGATTGGTGTCCTGCTGATCATCTTTGAGGCTCGTCCAGAGGTTATTGCAAACATCGCTGCCCTGGCCATTAAGTCAGGCAATGCTGCAATCTTGAAAGGTAACCAAAGTCCTCCATTTGTGCGAGATATGCAACCATTATTGATACACTCTAAATAGGTGGGAAAGAATCCCTAGAATCTTTTGTGGCCATTGCAAATGTTGTGTCTGATGCCATTGCTGGCTCCCCGGTGCCAGTTTCATCAATTCAACTTGTCAAATCGCGGGATGCAGTTTCGTCTCTCCTGGCCCAGGATTCGCTCATTGATCTTGTGATTCCCAGAGGATCCAACGAACTAGTTCGATTTGTAAAGGACAACACTAAGATCCCTGTCCTTGGACACGCCGACGGTCTCTGCTCCGCCTACCTACATTCGGATGCCAATATCCACACAGCAGTGAAAGTTATTGTGGATTCAAAAACGGACTACCCGGCCGCTTGCAATGCGTTGGAAACTTTACTTGTGCATGAAGATATCTTGGACTCCATTTTCCCCGCCGTTGCAACCGCTCTTATTGACAAAGGGGTCTCTCTCCGGTGCGACGAGGCATCCAAGGCGGCTTTGTTGAAGACTTTGCCGACAGAGAAAAGCACTGGGGTGCAATTAGCTACGGAGGCAGATTATGACACCGAATTCTTGGACTTGGTGTTGGCTGTCAAGACCGTCCCTGCTACAACTTCGCCAACCTCAGCTGTTGAGGCCGCCATCGAACACATCAATCTACATTCGTCCAAGCACACCGAAATCATCTTGACCGAGTCCCGAGAGCTGGCGAACTTGTTCATGAGTGGCATCGACAGCGCTGGAGTTTACTGGAACGCATCCTCCCGGTTTGCCGATGGAATGCGCTACGGGTTTGGGACAGAAGTGGGCATCAGTACCAACAAGATTCATTCTCGGGGCCCCGTCGGGCTCGAGGGCTTGACCATTTACAAATACTTGATTCGAGGCAATGGTCATGCAGCGGGGGACTACCACGATGGCCCGGGTGGACGGAATTATATCCATTCCACCCTACCCTTTTAGTATAAAGTTGTAATCCTACATAGAGTCTACCAAAAGCCATGAATACAACGAATTTTTTTTTCTTTTTGAAACATTTCGCAGTCGTAGAAAAGATGAGGACAAAGCCGGATGCATTTTTCTTTTGCGCCTCCTTCCATTCGTAAAGTTCTGTCTCGCCACCCATCAAAGACTTGTTGCCTCTTTAGGTACATCGACTTGGCTCTCCAGTCAGACCTAGCGAGATATCCAGACACCCCATAATTCCATGCGATTGGAGATTCGCCGTAAGACAAACGCACAGCAAAACTAGTGCCTGTACCACTATCCACCCAAGGTTCTTTAGACCTTGAAACCCTTGGAGCGTCTGCGACCACGGGCACGCTCGAACTTCCGGCCCTTGCTGGCAACGTAGGGCTTCTATAGCAATGGCAGATAGGTTAGCATATAAATTTCAAATTGAGCCACATCATTGAATCTAAAAATACTTGACGCACCTTGTGGGAGTGGGGACCGAAACCGAAGTGCTTAACAGCCTCGCGGGCGTTCTTAGGGCCACGCAGGAGAAGGGTGTTAGCACCGGTAGGGGCGCGCAGGGCGAGCTGGTCCAGAGTCAGGACCTCACCACCGGCCTTCTCGATGCGGGCACGGGCGGTAGCGGTGAAGCGCAGAGCAGCGATGGACAGCTTGGGGACGGACAGAAGGCGGTTGTCATCGGTGACGGTACCAATGACAACAACGGTCTTGCCCTTCTGAGTCTCGTTGATGTTCGAGGCGACACGCGAGATCGACACGGGGGGACGGTTAATGCGAGACATGAAGAGACGACGGAGAACCGCCTTGTTGAAGTTGGACTCGGTGCGGCCTGTCAGAGACCCCAGATCAGTATTGGTTCGAACGCACAAATGGCCTCCACTCATGCGGCGTTGCAAATGAGAAAAGTTGAGAGATTTCGATGGGGATTCATACGAGCAAGGAAGCGGTAGAGCTTCACGAGCACCTGCAAGTAAACGTTCTCGCTCTTAGGAGCCTTGCGGTGGCTGCTGCGCACATGGTGCCGGTCCAAGTCGATACCTAAAAATTTCCAACATCCGTCAGCTCTGGAGATATTTCAGAAGTAACACCGAGAATAGTTGATGTAACGATGTTTGCATTCACAGCGACGAATCTAAGGGTTCTGGAATGGTAGCACATACCCATGGCTGCTGGTATGAATTGAACACCTGGAGTTAGCTTGCTGTCGCACCCGTATGGAAACTGCAGGAGGTTTTTGGTCTTGGACTTTCGGCTGCGCGGGTGTGTGTGGGTTGAGCCCTACACTAGCCCTAATCTGGAAGGGAACGAGTCACGTGTGTGAATGCATTACAAAGTGGCCGAAATCCGCTGTCACCTGATTGCACCCGATTGATCCAAGTGGCGACTTCTCCGCTTAGCGGTGTCCACCCAAATATTCTAGTCTACGTTGTTTAGTGGAGTACGAGTACGTACATATATGCATACATACATACATACATAATAATAATGTTAATAATAATAATAACAATTGTAATTTACAGTTTTGGTTAGTCAGGATACAGTAAGAGCTCCAAGCCTGAGTTTATCAAGTTTGGCTTGCTGATATTGATAAATCTGAAAGAAAAAAAAGTGCACTCTACTTAATCTAGATGTACTCTGCCGCCGTTGGGTTCCTGACATAGCTGAAATAGGCAGAAAAGGAAAAACTTTATATACAGCCCCCCTTCTTCCCGCCACAGTTGTGAGGTGAATGGGAAGAGAGAGAAAAAGAGGGAATGGGAATAGGAAATATATGCCAAGTAAACCCGAAAAGAAAGGAAAACAACTCTCATCTAGGTATGTTGCACTAATCCTTATCACCGAGAGTGACAAGGAAATCCCGCGTCAATTCGAAGCTGAGCCAACTGCTAGCCATGCTGGGTGCGACTTTCAAAAGATTGGGCCCAATTCCTTTGAAGAGTCCTCGCAAGCCCTCCTGTGCCACAATCACTCGTATGGCATCCCAGATCGATTTATACTGATACCCCATTCCGGACATGGTGTTGATCTGAAAGCGTCGCCGCAGAACGTCACTAGTTTATATTAGCCTTCACGGTACATAAAATACAGAACAAGAGACAAAAGCATAAGGAAACATACAAGGGATATGTGCATGTTTGAGCCACTGCCCCAGAGATTGCACCCGCAAGCAGCTTTCGCCACGAGCTCGGATTCTTCTCTCCATCTGGTGTCAAGTATGTTCGGACCGATTCGTAGGTCATAAAGTTCAGCCCCACCTGTAACCATTAGCAAAGACGTCCAAGGAACTCCGGCGGGATATAGAGAAAAAACTCACGTAAGGCGCCACTCCCACAACAGTAGGGGCAATGCCACGGTAGAGCGCAACTGTACCACCCTCGTTCTTGTATATTGAAACCATGGTGGTAAACATGCCTGGCAGTTTCTGAGTGGGGTCTCGATTCCCGAGATCTGCAAACGAAGCAGACTGGATAGAAAGTCGTGTACGAACAATGTCTAAAGGGTAGGTAAACGTCACGGACGTAATGCCAGCAGCAGCACCGCATAGGAGGCGGCGAGCCGGTGACATATCGCCATCAGGAGACTCGGCGAACTGCGGCAAGGTCAATCAGCAATCCACACTTCTAACGCAGGAGTAGTACTTACCTTCTTGTAAAAATTATAGCTTCCAAATTGAACTGCAGAGTAGGGAATGATACGAATACAATTTGTCCCATTGCCGCGCATGAATCCTCGCCAGCCTTCCTCGCGGCCCATTTTCCCCAGAGCCTTCCAAATGGAAAGTTTGTACTCTTCACGCCCTACACTTTGAATCTGCAGGAGGATTTTCAAGCGTTCCAGCGGTGATACAATGGTCCGGGAGACTGCGCCGGCCACTCCACCTGCCATGAATGCGGCGACAACTGGCTCAGCAAGCCTCTTTCTTGCTTGACCCATCATTGATGGCGGTCGAGGGATAGATTCCTAGTTGAAGACGAATAATCAGCCTACAGGGTGTTGACAATGGGGCCTGAACTCCTACCAACCTTTGCCGGAGTTGGGGGTAACTGTAAGCTCTGCAACGCAGGCTTTGTTGCATCATCCACCCCACTGGTCTGTGTCCCATTTTGTCGATTGAGGCTCATTTTGGCAGCATACAGTACGCTTTGACGACAGCAGGTTCGCAACTTTGAAAATACAAGATACGCCACCAGCGATATATTGAGCTCCTCTCACTCTCATGCACCCAAGTTTCCTCAAAACTAAACCCAATCCTTGTATCCGAGGAAAAGCGCGAATGTAATCTCGAATGCCTGGCCGTCAAGATTTTGAATCAATAACCCACCACAAGAAAGTAAGAGTCTGTTTTGGATTCAATGTGCTGGGTGCCAGCCATGAAGCTTGTCTGTAATCGTCACTGGCAAGTGCTTTATAGGTCCATCCTTCCGTAGACCTAACAATGATGTTTTTTCTTGAGGAATCCACTGGCTCGACCGAAGTGCTGGTAAATGTAGGTAGTCTCAGAAGGTGCCAAAAAACCACGGTGAGGTTTGCCTCCTCGAAGACCAAGGGGTTGTGAGAACTGCAATTCTGTCCCAAACTGTTCTTAATCGTACCGTCGATTTGCGAAAAATGATTTTGTTCTCTGACTGAAGAGAAAGATTGGAAGCCTTGAAGAATGTTTCAGGGACAGAGAAGTTTCCCGGAGAGGGTGTGCGAACTAAGCTTTAAAGTGGAGGGTTGGAGAAGGGTGAAATACACATCATGCCGACTGCCGACATCTACGGTACCTCCCGATGGTGCCACACCTGAAATAAGGATATCATAGATTATGAGTTTAGGTTTAATTCTATAATTTTCTTAATGACTCTTGACGACTGATAGATCCATATAATCTAGATAACAATATTATTTACTACGGTATCCATATAGTATCATGGATAATGTACATCATATCGTCATCATTCGATGAGAAACGACTTGTTTCGCTTTCATCATCACATTCCTGCATACATGGTCTCTATAGCCCGCCTGTCCACCGCCCAACCTCAAGGATCTCATTCTCTTCACCTTCACCTTTTCCCTCTAAACTCTCATCCTCGTGTTGCTCTTTGCGCCATGTCTCGATCAGGAACCACCCTTTATGTCACCGGCTTCGGCCACGGTACCCGAGCCCGCGACCTTGCCTACGAATTCGAACGGTACGTGACGCCCACATCCGCCGCCATGAACCCACGATCTACGATATCCCTTTCTTCCCCTATACCCCCTTCAACACCATCCCCGACGCTACGATGAGCTCCCTGTAAATCCCGGAATGAAGCTGCTGTGATATCGGTAATCGGATGTGTTTTTACTACCTGGAAGTTGCTTCTTAGGAAAGCTACGGAAGGAAAAAGAAGACGCCCTTGGCCCTCGGTCATGTGTCATGGCTGCACTCTCATCTTGGTCTTGCAACTTACGTGCTGATATTTGCATTAGATATGGTCGCCTGGTTCGCTGCGATATCCCAGCTCCTCGTACTCCCTCGAGCCGATTGTAAGCTCCACCCCCTGCCAGTGTTAGCTGTGTTTTGGTTCCTAACTTGAGTCCTAGGTTCGCCTTTGTTGAATACGAGAGCCGTCGGGATGCCGATGATGCCTATCACGAAATGCACAACAAGCGCATTGGCCGTGATGATCTGCTGAAGATCGAAGTAAGCTTAAGCACTTTCTCTGCTACGGTCGTAGCTTACATTTTCTCCAGTGGGCGCGTACTCCGCCTTCCGCCTCATGGCGGTTCGATTCTGGCCGCGACCCTGCTCGCGACCCTGCTCGTGATTCTGGTCGTGATTCTGGTCGCGAGCGTCGCCGTGACCGTACTCCTCCTCGCCGTGGCCGCTCTCCATCGCCTCGCCGCAGCCGAGGTGGCGACTACTCCCCGCGACGTGATGATCGGTATGAGGGGCGTGACTACGATCGTCATGACCGGGATACCGATCGCCGCGACCGTGACGTCGACCGTCGAGACCGGGATAGCGACCGCCGTGATCGCGATCGCGAACGCTCTCGCGACCGTTCCCGTAGCCCGGATGACCGGGACCGCGATGCCAAGGATGACCGGGAACGACGCGATGATGATCGCGAGCGCCGTGACGATGAGCGTGAGAACGTTCCTAATGGTGAAGACAGGAAAGGTATGTCGAGCTCCCCTCCTCAACATGAAGGCTGCGACTCATAATTTAAAGTACCCCTGGACCCCGTGCCTGCTGCTCATGATGAGCTTGATACTGCTGAGTAGATCAACTCAGTACCATGTTTTGTCGAGTTGCACCCCCTCTTCCTATGCCAGGAATTCGTGCCGATCGTCTCGTATTTCTACATGAGTGTCATTGGCCTTTGATCAAACGATGAGGGGTTTCACCAGAAAAGTTGGCTCTGGCACCCCTTGTCGCATATGTCGAGTCATTTTCTTCCCTGATCCCCCGATTCCGCCCAAGTTTGATCCTGCAGTTCTTTCTGGCTAGGGGATCCGTGACGGCCCTTAACCCCGTGTTTGATTTCTTTTTGTGGTTGTTGGTATTTATCCTGGTCAGCAGCTCGGATTCCATCGAAACGAACGACGAGCGATCGTGCTTTAAGTCCTCGCCCGTCTCTCTCTATCTCCCCCCCCCCTCTACTATCGTCCTAGCGTTCCTTCGATGAATACCGTCCGCCCCCCCCGTCTTATTCGCAGATTTTAATTCCACAACGGTTCTCCATATTACACGCCCCGCCCTGTTCGACCGGTCGGAGTCTGTCCAGGAAATGTGTTCCTTCTCTCGGATCGCCCTTTGTAGAGTCATTGTATGCATTCAATTCGTAAGAAATTAATGGAAGATTTATTAGTCTCCAGCTTTGCTCATGATATTTCACTTGCATATATACTTGCCCCTGCATTATCATTCAGAGAGGAAGATATTTTTCCTATTGTAGCAGGATTGTGTCATACATTCTACCACTATCTCGACATTATAATATCAACTAGAGGATGAAGAGTAGGTTATTCTCATAATGACGTAGGAGAGCTAAAATGCGGGGAATACCTTATCTTTGGGTCTTGAGACTGGTCAGCTTATCACCGCCCTCATTACTATGGAAGCAGAGAAGAAAGGTATTAGCATTGCTATCGATGTAAGTGTCTTATTGTCCCGTTTCTATCTTCTTTCGCTTCCAACTGGTCCTTCTGACTTTCAGCTGACACAACATCTAGAGAGGTGGCACCTTCACTGATTGTGTAGGAAACCCGGGAACGGGCCGTTTGGAAGATGATGTTGTGATCAAATTACTCTCTGAAGATCCCAACAACTATCAAGATGCTCCTCTCGAGGGCATCCGGCGGATCCTATCCAGGCTCACCGGCCATGAAATCCCGCGAGGTAAATCGATTGATACCTCTCTAATCCAGAGCATACGAATGGGCACCACGGTTGCGACCAATGCATTACTAGAGCGCAAAGGAGAAAGAATCGCACTAGTAGTGAGTAAGGGGTTTCGAGACTGTCTGCAGATTGGTAACCAGTCACGCCCTCGGATCTTCGACCTCAATATCAAGCGTCCGGAGGTGCTCTATGAAGAAGTTGTGGAAGTAGACGAGCGTGTGACCCTGGAGGATTATGCAGAGGACCCTCAACGCCATATTACAGCCACCAATCCACGAGGGAGCACTTCATCTGATACTGACATCGTGCAAGGCCTCTCTTCTGAGGCAGTGCGGGTCCTGAAGCGCCCGTCTGAAAATATGGTAAAACTGCAATTACAAGAAGTATATGATCGAGGAATTCGCTGCATCGCAGTGTGCCTAATGCATGGATACACGTTTCCTGATCATGAGGCACTGGTGGGGCGTCTCGCTGGAGAGATCGGCTTTCACCACGTTAGCCTCAGCCATGAGCTTATGCCCATGATTAAGCTCATCCCGCGGGCCACTTCGGCATGTGCGGATGCATACTTGACCCCAACAATCAAGAAATATATCTCGGGATTTCAAGCTGGATTTCAAGGAGGCCTTGGCAAGGAAAGTGTCAAGAAGCAGGAAGGTGCCTGGGGAGCCCGTTGCGAATTTATGCAGTCAGATGGCGGCTTAGTCGATGTTGATCAATTCTCCGGCCTACGAGCCATTTTATCGGGTCCAGCAGGTGGAGTGGTGGGCTATGCATTGACGTCGTATGATCACGAGGCGAAGATCCCCATCATCGGGTTTGATATGGGTGGAACCAGTACTGATGTCAGCCGATATGGAGCGGGTCGCTACGAACATGTGTTTGAGACAACTACGGCGGGAGTGACCATCCAGTCACCTCAATTAGATATCAATACCGTCGCGGCAGGTGGTGGCTCTAGGCTATTCTACCGCAATGGACTTTTTGTTGTTGGCCCAGAATCTGCAGGAGCACACCCAGGCCCTGCGTGCTACCGCAAGAATGGTCCATTGACAGTGACCGATGCTAATCTCTTCCTTGGTAGGCTGGTTCCAGACTTTTTCCCCAGTATCTTTGGCAAGGGCGAAAATCAAGGGTTGGACGAACAAAGAAGCCGAGAATTGTTCGAACAACTGGCCCAGGATATCAACGCAGAAATGGCCCAGGGAGGACAAGGGAAAGGAATGACCCCGGATGAAGTTGCCTTCGGCTTTATCAAGGTTGCCAACGAGACAATGACCCGACCAATCCGATCCTTAACAGAAGCCAAAGGCCACGATACTTCTAAACATAGACTGGCCACCTTCGGCGGTGCAGGAGGGCAGCATGCCGTGGCGATTGCGGAAGGCCTTGGAATCCGGCAGATACTAATTCATCGTTATTCTTCAGTTCTTTCTGCGTATGGGATGGCCCTGGCCGATGTGGTTGACGAAAACCAGGAGCCAGAATCCAAGACTTGGAGCGATGATCAAGGTGTCCGACAGGATCTCATGGAGAAGATGGATCAATTGAAGACGAAGTCATCCCACACGCTACGAGAGCAAGGCTTTGAGGATGAATCGATTGTATATGAAGAGTATCTCAATATGCGGTACCGAGGCACGGAATCCGCTCTGATGATCTTGAAACCCAGCAGAGAAGAGGCCAATCTTCTATTTGGCGGGGAAGACTGGGCTTTTGGCAAGGCCTTTGTCTATCAACATGGGGAAGAATTCGGATTTACTCTACCGGACCGAGATATCATTGTTGACGATGTGCGGGTCAGAGGTATTGGGAAGAGGTTTCAGATGTCCGAGAAAACGGTGGATGCACAACTTCGAGAATCCCAGCCACGAGATTTAGTGGAGGGCCGAGAATACCGAAAATCCTTGGTGTATTTTGAGGGCGGTCGACATGAAACACCCATCTATAAACTGGGTGAATTGCAGATCAATGATCAAGTCAAAGGACCGGCGATCCTTGCCGATGATACTCAGACCATCGTGGTGCCACCCGGGGCCTCTGCCCTTCTCATCAAGACTCATGTTGTTGTTCATATTGGTGAATCTGGCGCCAGCCTGCCTCAGATCAGTACCGAGACAGTAGATCCGATTCTCCTCAGTGTCTTTTCCCATCGATTCATGGCCATTGCGGAGCAGATGGGACGCGCTTTACAGAAAACTAGTGTCAGTACTAATGTCAAAGAAAGACTCGATTACTCATGTGCTTTATTCGACGCCGAAGGTGGATTAGTTGCGAATGCACCTCATCTCCCCGTTCATCTCGGAAGTATGTCCACCTGTGTTCGTATGCAAGCTCAACTCTGGCATGGCAAATTGAAACCAGGCGACGTCATCGTGTCCAATCACCCCGAGTTTGGTGGCACTCACCTGCCTGATATCACGGTTCTTCAACCTGCTTTTAGTGACGGAAATATCATTTTCTACGTCGCTTCGAGGGCACATCATGGTATTGTTCACTGTTTTCCACGCATTTTGATAAAAACTAACCTTGTATCATCTCAGCTGACATAGGTGGCATCTTGCCTGGATCTATGCCCCCTCACTCCAAAGAGCTCTATCAAGAGGGAGCTACGATCAAGAGCGAGAAACTGGTTTCCGAGGGCGTATTCAATGAAAAACGTATCACGGAGCTATTGTACAACGAGCCGGCCCGATATTCCGATTGTAGTGGAACCCGGTGTCTGGCCGACAACCTCAATGATCTTAAGGCTCAAATTGCTGCCAACAAAAAGGGAATCAATCTGATTAGCGCCCTGATTGAAGAATACGGGGAAAAGGTTGTTCTGTTCTACATGCGTCAGATACAAGATAATGCAGAGCTCAGTGTACGGAATCTCCTCAAAGAGATCAGCCTCAAATTCGCCGGGCGCGATCTGAGGGCAATTGACTATATGGACGATGGTACACCTATTCAGCTACAAGTATCAATCAATGCGGAAAAGGGCGAAGCGGTCTTTGATTTTGACGGAACAGGTCCGGAGGTGTACGGTGAGTTGAGAGAAAGATCTTTATATACTGCTTTCTGCTTTCCCAGGCTAATCTTACGCTCGTAGCCAACATCAATGCCCCAGAAGCCGTCACATATTCTGCAATTATTTATTGCCTGCGATGCCTCATATCCGACGACATCCCGCTAAACCAGGGTTGTTTAAAACCAATCGATGTCCGCATTCCCCAGAAGAGCCTCTTGTCTCCATCAGAGTCTGCTGCAGTTGTTGGAGGGAATGTTTTAACGGTAAGAGAGATAAGAGTCATGCAAAATGCGCTCTTCGTGTGTTGATGTTTTCTACAGAGTCAACGAGTGACCGATGTCATTCTGAGATGCTTCCAAGCCTGCGCCGCCTCACAGGGAGATACCAACAACCTGACGTTCGGATTTGGCGGTAACAAGGTAGGTGAAGTGGAAAAACAAGGATTTGGATACTACGAAACCGTCGCTGGTGGGAGTGGCGCGGGACCTCACTGGGAGGGCACATCAGGAGTGCATACTCATATGACTAATACGCGTATCACCGACGCCGAAGTTTTCGAGCGACGATATCCCGTTGTCCTGCGGGAGTTTAGTCTACGAGCCAACTCCGGTGGAGAGGGACAACATCGCGGGGGGGACGGGGTCACCCGAGAGATCGAGTTTCGTATCCCTGTCCAGGTTTCTATCCTCTCCGAACGTAGGGTCTTTCATCCGTACGGACTGGAAGGGGGTGAAGACGCCAAGTGCGGCCAGAATCTTTGGGTGCGTCTTGTTCAACGACCTGATGGCGAGTGGGAAGAACGAGTTATCAATTTGGGTGGGAAGAATTCTGTCCAGATGCAACCGGGAGAGCGTATTATCATCCAAACTCCTGGAGGTGGGGGATGGGGCCGAGTCGGCGACCAACACAAGCTTCTTCATCCAAAGGATGCCCGTCTCGGCTGGCGGGGAGGTTCAATTGCCAACCGAGAAGCCACTCAGGGTGCAAGTATGTGAGTTCTGGTTAAAGAAGTGGAAGAAGCAGCATCAATCCATGTTTATCAAATCAAGATCAAATTAAAGCTGTATATGGGCATATATGAGTATAGACCACCCAGTGTTAGTAAAACGCCGTATTAAGGCGTAGTATTAAAAATTTAGAGTAATGTTATCAAGTATATACCCAGATACCTACCTACTCAAGGCACTTAGTGTGAAGGCGATCAAGAACATCTACTGGGCCGGGTTTTCTTGCCCCACCCCGTTTAGCTACGATGCCTCGTCATTAACCAGGTTCATGGGCCAAGATCATCCTAGCAAGCTCGATCATCTATCAGAGATCTATTCATAAAGTTCTATCTCTACATGATAGTTGTTGGATCACATAGATCATACATATTCAGTCCTTGTTATTGGTGATTCCTACAAACCATGCAGATTTCACGATCTGTCACAGGCGAATTATGCCTCACTGTCCTCCTCACTAGTAGCCTCAATATTCTGCTTGGAAGGACTGGCGCCTTTGCTTCTCTTGTCTTGATCTTCATCAGATTGGGCTCCATCCTCCGAGTACATCGGTCTGGGCAACGACTCGCCATGTCCCTTGAGAGCTTCCTCGATATCAGGGAGGATCTTGACCAGGGCAGCGAATTGGGCAATGGGCATGGAGATCCCCTGCGGAAGTCCGTATCAGTCTCCGAACATGCTGGAGCATTCACCGCGGGCCTAGGAATCACTAACCTTCTTGCCCGGAAGCTCCTGGCCATCCTTTTCGTAGTACTCACGCACACTGACCATGGGCTTGCCGCGAAATGAGGAGACGATCACTCGTCGCATTTTGGAGATTTCCCAGTATTTATCACCATTCGTATCCACCTTCGAGGTGCCTGTCTCCTCCGAGCCAACTTTGGCCTTCTTAGACTGGAGACCGGTCCCACTCCCAAGAGTTTGCTCATCCGATGAGCGCTTGCGAGAAGCCATGAGGAAGAGTGGATGATAAGGTAGAGAGATGCAGAGAGCAAAGGCGCGTCAATACGCGTCGGGTCACATGGTGATAATATGTCTTCCCAATCTGGTAAGCTGATATGATAAGGCGTATAAACAGTGCAAAGAGTGCAAATAAGACATAAGAGTGTACATGGTATATACCAATTATAGACTATGTACCTCTCTTCAATACTTGAAGTTGCAAACTTTGTAGACCATGGGCCATATCTAGCATGCCAACATTATATATATATATAAAAAAAAAAAAAAAAAAAAAAAAAAAAAAAAAAAAAAAAAATTTACTTCATGAACATCCACTTTTACATCTACATTGATATGGTCATCATCATAATGCCAAGACCCGTAAGCCTTGTAAAAGAACTGAGAAGACAAATCCCTGTGCCACACTTTCGACCTGGAGACTATCGAAAATTTTCTCCAGAGCTTCCCGGCTAGCAGCAGCCCCCATGACACTGGTAAGCGCCTGTGGGATTCCTCGCTGAACAAATAGCCGACGTGCCTTATCCCGTACCTGCTCTTTCTCTTCCTCAGTGGGTGGTGGGGGCCAAGCCTTGAATTCTTCTTCTGTCGGGAGAGCGTTCTCACGAAGTTTCTTTAGGTACTCGCCAATCGCATCGTCAGATGTGTGGCTTTCAATCATGGAATCCTGCAGCAGGGTACGAATCGTTTCAAGGGTTGGGCTACCTGGCCGTAGGATATAGGACCTGGCCGCATTTAACAGGGTGCGTCGGATATTCCACGCCGAGGACAGTGTATACAGCTCATTGATAACCGCAAATATCAACTCGACTGCAATCTGAGTCTCATCCTCAGTGATAGGCTTTGGCTGTCGACGCGTGTTTTGCGAAATGATTTTCAAATCACTGCTCGTCCTCGTGTGATTCGGAAGCGGGGCAGGTATCGTGCCAGGGACTTCTTTACTTTGCACCCCCTCGACGTGACTATTCGACTCCATGGTCCACACGTCCTGTTCATCAGCAGTGAGCCTAACGTCATGGTGGATATCACTGGAAGACAACCGAAGGCTCTCCTCTCCAGACATTTCCGACGAGGGATTTGGCGACGACATAGATAAGGAAGATTCCTCTCCCTCGCTATTTCTCAAGGCAGAATGATCATTGGTAGCATCTGCGGGAACGGTAGGAGCATGGTCAGCCCCTGGGGCACTTCTATGGGGCACAGGCTGTCGGTTGGAAGTGGTGCTTGGCTTTCTGCCATGGCCAGTCACCCCAAAGACCCCTGTCACGCCATCAAGGACTGCTTTGCCACCCCCAGCCACCCCTTTGGGAGCGTTGGTCAGCGCTCCCAATACACCCTTGCTCATATTCTCGAACGTAGTTTGGCTTGGGAAAGAATATCCAGTTTTGGTCACTCCTGTTTCGTTGATGCCACTTTCCTTTTCCAAAAATCGGCGCATTCGATCGGTTTCGGTAAGAGACTCATGCTTCGTAGCTTCCTGCAAATATCGCTCCAAATCCCGAGACAGGTGGTGCCTAGTCTTACCTTTCCAAGCAGGTAGAGTGGAAAATTGCTCGGAGAAGCCCTGTATTCCGTTCAGTCGAGCTACAGTCTCTAGCATTTCATGCAAAGACTGAAAGTCACTGTATTTCCGGAACACCATCCATCCGGTGGAACGAGTGGAGGTTGGTTCAACCTGAACCAAATAGTCCCATGTTGGTTTCGATTTGATAATCCCCTTCTCTCTCCCGGCCGCATCATCGTCTACCATTACCTGAGCTCCATGGAGGCTCACAGGTGGGGGCGGGGCTTCGTCTCGGGGTAAATTGGCTGTGTCTACTTGACCACTGCTCACTTGGGTATCAGTTGCAGATTGTGGCAACGAGCTGACAGCATCATTGACACGGGAAAGTGGTATGTCTTCATCATGGTTGCTTTGGACCCGGGGTTTCGAAGCTGTGCCCTGCATATCCTGCGAAGCAATCATAGCGCTCAGACGTTTTGCCTCTCGCATGGCCTCCTCTGTTGCCATATCTCTCTGATCTGGTGGGCTTTCAAGAGCCTGTGATAGAGCTTTGTCGTTAGGCGGCTCGGAGAGTACCCTCTTTGCATCTTCTGAGATCCTGGAGGAATTGACGCCCTGGTTCCGTGCACCTTCGACGCCAGCATCGATTGCATGCATGATCTCAGATTCGCCACCCTGGAGTAGGTAGATGATCCAATCGTTTATGAACTCGGGGCGAGAAAGACTGATCACCGTTGACTCCAGTACAACTCGAGCGAATATCTCCCGAAGAAAATCCCTGACGGGAGAGCACCGGTATGCTTTAGGGTCGAGGTAATTCGACAGGATATCATCTGCTATCATGTTCAGCTTTTTCCGCTGTTGCTCCTTGGACAACACATTGGCCAGGCTGCTATCCGGTGCATTTTCAAGGTATTGCTCTACAATCTTTTGGGCTTCCACTGGCGAGGACCCAGCCGCAGAGAATGCAGCGGAAAGTTCGTTCAGGAAAACAATAATTATTGAGGATGAGTTCGTGAGAAATTGTAGGAATGTCTCTTCGGTCCGTTTACGAGACAGGTGAGACGAAATGGTCGTTACGAAATGGGTCAAGGTTCGTCGACAGGATCCGGGAAACACTGTTTCTCCTGGGAGAATCGGCTCATACCAGTATCTTCATCTTTAGTCAGCCAAGGGGATCAGTTACCAAGGGGGATCTTGGCCGTACTTCACATAGTCCTTCACGACCGCATCAGTCAGCACTCTCAATGCAGCGGCAGTTGCTGGTCGAAAAGTTCCGTATTCGAGATCTGAGGTTGAGAGATCTTCCGGTGGTGCGACAATATTACCATCAGTTCCCTCATCACGGGTAGCAGAAATCGTGCGGAGGGGCCAGTCTAGCAATCTTTTGGAAACCTCCAGGGCGAGTTCGCGCCGCTTCTTCGGCGCTGATAGTATGTCGTTGTTGTTTGAATGAGCCGGTCCTTCCCAAGATGCATGTAGAATGGCTCCTAGCGCTGCACCGATCAACAAAAGCCCAAGTCGTCCCAAGATTATATAGGTTCCGATGACAAGTAACCCCAATACGCCGAGGAGCCTTTCATTGCTAGAAGTCGATAAGAATTCAAGAGCTGAATCGAGACATCCCTTCAGCAGGCCTGCTGTATGATTGGGGCGTTCCAGTGAGGAGGTGTGTTGTATGTGTTCAGGAGAAGCTGTCAGCTCCGGTGTGGTGGGTTTGGTCGCGGGCAAATCATCGCTGGAGGGTTCCATGGTGATTCTAAGAGGTGAGTTAAATTTGGGCAGTTAAAGCAAGTATCAAAGTGGTTCACACCTCCATTCCCCTCCCTTTGGACATTCATGGAAAGAAAGGGGAGCCAATGCTGCGGATGATTCTAGGAGATCGCCGCATGGAGGAACGGTGGTCAGTGCGGAGGTTTGCTTGGCTGCAATTGGGCGTTTTCCCTTCCATAACAAGCATTACAGTAGGGATATTTATAGAGTCAAATGTACGTGTAGATAAACGTATATAATATTTAATAACGATAATGTATCCATTCATAATTGCCTCACAGTCATTAAGACAAGTCAGGCATCTAAAGCTAAACAGAATGGAACTTGCTCTCCGCTATCCGAGTGAATCTGGGCATTCAAAGTGCATGAGAATCATGCCAGACGTAAAGAGATTGCGGGATGGGTTCTATCTAATGTTCTCTAGTATGTTCTATTCAGAAGGAAATCATGGTAACAACATCATGTCCCGATCTCTCTCTATCGAGCTCGCACATACTTGGTGTGCGAACCCTGAGCAACGATCACAAGACCATCCTCGGTCCTTTTTGAGATCGTCACGGTTGTAAAGGCAAGGGATTTGCCAACCTTGTTGGCCCGACTTTCAATTTCAAGCCAATCACCGTCAGTGGCCGTGGAGAGATAATTGACATGAATATCTGTGCTGACCCCCGTAGAGTCCAATCCGTGGGAGGCAATGGCCATTCCACCGGCCCAGTCAGTCACACAGGCTGAGAAAGCACCGTGGAGGGTGCGCTTGGAATTGAGCTGGCGAGGGCCGACTTGGAGTCGAGCTCGCACCACACCCTTTTCAGCCTCATAAAGTTCAATCTCATTTAGAAGGAATTCATATATAGGGCTGTTGGGGCGAGTACGATCCCACACTTTCTGGACCTGTTGGAGTTCAGTGCTCATGGTTGGAGAAGATGAAAAAGAAAAGATAAAGATGGAAGAGAAAGGAGGAGAGAAACAAAGAGAGAGGGAGAAAAGGGATTTTCGGGATCGGGTCCGGAGAAAGTCGTTGACCGAGTGGAGTCTAAATGCGCTTTCTCCGATGCCGAGATTGTCTAGACAACATCTGGGATAAAATGAAGTGATTGACGTCTTCATCTCCCCAATAAGTGAGGTGGCTAGCAATGCTTGCAATCAAGGAGATGTCGAATGCCCCTCTACAAATTTAGTAAAAAAAGAACCTACGTCAGATTATTCATCAAGAGCAGAAAAGGGGGAGAGTCACTAACTCTTGCACACTATAATCAATGCGACCATTAGAATTTAGTGATCGCACTTTCGCATCTTCAAATTTCATCTTTCGCTCCTGTTCATCATGGTTGATATCGTCTTCTCCTGATGTAAGCGTCGAGTCTTTCTTCTGCGTACTGCGCCTCTTTTGAAACCCGTCGTAGAGTGTCTCGAGGTCGGGGTCAATCAAGGTCTGGAATTGCTCTTCAGAATCCAAAGACGAATCCTGTGGGGTTCCGGACTGGGTGCGCTTGTGCCCTGGTTGACTGCCAGTCGATCTACCAGCGGGGACTTCATCGGCATTCAACCCCAGATGGCGGTTCAACAAGCTGCTCGCGACACCGGATGTGAAATTGCTCCAAAGAGATCCCACACTTTGACCCATGCGATCTTTGAGAATCGAAAGGCTTTGGCCTGATGCAGTCCACAGACTTTTCTTCACTGAGGGCAAGGGTTGAGGCTTTAGACTTGCCATCGCTGGGGAGACTAGCGGCTCGATACGATAACTCACAGGATCCGATGGATGAAAGATGTTGTAAAGGTCGCGACATTTAGGTGCAGAATCGATCGCAGAGTTGTCAGTCCGGTCAACACCACGTGAGTCGCGTTTAGAGCCCTTGAATGACCCAAATGCGGTGGAATCAAGTTCCACGTCCAAAGCACTTTTTCGATTTCCTGTGTCTAAGGAGGAATATCCAGCAATGGTTTTCCCTTTTAGCATTTGGAAGAGAGCGATGGGAGAGCCCAGGCAGAAAAACTCTTCACATTCAAAATCCAAGGCACGGGACCCTCCACCTCGTCCATCCGGGGCATCCTCGCTCTCCTCTGCCCTGGCATTGCTCTCCTGGGTGCGGTCAACACCCCTTGGTTGGCGGCATAAAATATCGAATAGGATTGCACTCCCTAGAGAATGGCCGCAAAGGCTGACCGATCCCTTGAAAGAGGGATTGCGCTTCTTATAGAGTTGAAGAATGCGATTGCACTCTTGTTTCACAATGTTGGAAATGTGCTCACAGTATCCACTTTGATAAAGCAGTACATCCATTGCCAGGTCTGAGATAAGATTTCGCACGGCAGGCACACTTTCCAATGTGATATCTGCCAAGCTGGGGTATGCATCATCCTCGAGTGTGTCGGCATCCGTAAGATCAAGTTCCTTCCGGTTCTGTCGGACTCCACGATAAGGAAAATCCAGGAGATGGCGCCAGCATCTAGACAGCAATTAGTATGGAGGATTGGAGGTGACCCATGGAGAGATAGCAGCGTCCTCACTTACACAGGAAGCACTTGTACACGACAATTGCCATCGCTATCTCCAAACGCCGAGTTGAGTGCTTGGAGGTCAGGCGAAGCTTTATAGACCCCCTTGAGCGTCTTTCGAAGGACATTTACGTCATGGATAAAGTTGATACTTTCCAGCCGCAATCCAAGTCGCTGGCCGATACCATGGGTTACCAAGACCAGATGATCGACCTCCCGCTCTCTATCTTCACTATCGACCTTTCTCAGATCTTCCATTTCCTGTTCTTCTTGTCGACGGGCTTGTTCCTCGAGTTCCGCTGGATTTTGCGGTTCCCCTGCGAGAGATGACATCTGTCGTTCCAGCGTGGACTTGGGCCGCATTTCAAGAGGATCAGCTTCGATCACATTCCTCGCAGTTTGCTTGTCTGCCGAATCTTGCCCTATATCCTGAGGAAGCTTCAGGACCGAGGGTCCAGAACCGGCACCACTGGCTGTCTTGTCGATGGGCTTTCGTTCTTGGCCCCGAGGGTCTACTGCATCTTTTGCCCGCCTGGGTTCCACCAAGCCACGCACGACCTTTGTGCCGGGAACACCGCCTAACTTTTGGTACACGGTCGTGCTGACGCGGGACATAAAGTCGTCGGTGTTGATCCAGGCTGTAGAAGCATCTTGGTAGACAACAGTCCTATTCATGTAGGCCCCAAAGAGACGGTGCTGCTGGGAATCAGACGTAGGTCCTAAGGAGGGTTCGTTTCCTGGAATTTGGGTAATTGGCTCGGTTGAATCGTGACTACTTGGTAGGCCGATATCAGATTGGGAATTATGGTGGTCCATTTCCCCCTCTGATCGAGTCTGTCCATCTTTGGTGGCCAGCTCGGCTGATTTCACCTCCTGTTCTGTCCGCCACGGGCGTAATTTCAGATAGCCTTCTTCTAGTTGGGTTGCAAGATTCTCTTCGCAGGGTTTCAGGTTGGAGCCATCTTGAAAGAACCATGTTCCACGACGAACTTCGTAGATAGGGCCGATCCAATAAGCCGGGCCAAGCTCTCGATCTTCCACATCTACATCAAAAAGGTAATCCTCATTCACGGGGACCTTCTTTGACACTGGGTCTGAGGACTTGGGCTGGGCTTGGGAGCTTCCCTTGGAGTCTTCAATGTCTGATAAGCGGAGGTACGTTGTTTCGATCGACAGCGAGTCTTTCAATGAGAAGGGAATGAACTTCTTGGGTGGGGGTGGAGGTTTCTGGTCGGCTTTCTTGGGATCGAGAAGGGCAGGCTTGCGTTTTGGTGAATCCACTGCATAGAACCATCTCACTTTTAGTGGCGGGCAATCCGAGGGATAATGACGCAGGCTCAACCTGTGTCGATGAGTGACCGTGTGGTCTTCCCCCTGCGAGCGCTGTAGAGCATCTGATCCCGGTCGATCAGATTGGGGGGTGGAGCTTTTCGGGGTACTCCATGGAGAAAAAGACCCCAGAAATGATTTCTGGTCGACACCCGCCATGGCCGTCGGCCGCGCCCGGTACAAGAGCTTGAACCGGATCAACGTGAATGAGTCAAGGCGTACAATGTATGAATATCGAGAATTCCTGCGAATTGCATTTACCGGGGTTTCAGGGGAGAAGCAATGTGGGTAGGATCACAAAGGTGGAGTTGTTTTGGAGGTTCAATTCCCGCATGATGTAATCCATTTTGCGGGTGATCATCTACAGTTGACAGCAACAACTCCATAATTAGTTGATAAGCAGAAGTTTCTTACTTTTTGAGGGTTCCAATAATATCCCGGGAGAAAACACCGTTGAGCCTTGGATGCATGAATTTGATAACATATGTGCATTTGGGTAAAGCTTTCTTTTACAGGATCATCATATGTATTCCACATCAATGTATGTATTTACTGGTACAGTATATATATATAATCATAAACAATGAGGTTCAAGATACAGTAGCTCCAAGTACCTAGGTACAGTAGTCCACAATTTCAGTTCAAACATGGTATCCACCAGAAGTATCCTCTCAGGTAAGAAGATCAGCGCGGTGAATTGATCCCTGGCGACAGAGCCTCACATGGTGGTCCCCATGACCCTCGACGAGCGCTAGAGTAAGACGGGAATGATCGCAATGAGCTTGGGTGTTAATGGATGGGATGAAGACATATCACCAGGCCTCCTGGCCACTGAGCCTGTTGAAATGAAACCCATTGATCCAAGAATAGCCGAAGTTATAGAAGTAGAGGGAAGATGAAGAGATCCAAAAATACCTTGTTACCTAGCAACTTCGACGTCATCAGGCAGACTAATTGAAATGATAACAAGGAGGCTGAAGTAAGCACCTGTAAAATACCTGGAACCACATGTGATAATATAGGTAAGGGGCGTATACTCTGTGTACCGGACCGTAACAATACCATACCAATACTGGTGCAACATACGCCATGCGAAGGTGGCTCATCGGACCCCACTCTCTCCGTGTCTCTTCCGTCTTCCTTCCCCCCTCCTTCTCCTCTCCTTGTCAATTTCCACGAGTATTACTTGATTACTCGGAGGCCCAATTCCCCTGTGGTGACCGAAATCTGGTCCTTTTCCACCTTTCCTGATCGGTTGGGTTTCTCTCTCGTGGTCCGCCCTGAACCACCCCACGTTGGTCTTTTAAGATGAACGCCCTAAAGCTCCAGAAGTCTGTACCACTCTTGATCCTTTTTAACCGAGATTTGTTCTCTGACACCCATCTTCGTTTTCAGGCGATTCCCGCAGCTGGACCAGGGTGAGATTTTCTCCCTCCAGGACGCATTCCATAAGCTGGATATCGACGACCGCGGTTATCTGGACGAAGCCTCGGTGATCAAGGCGACCCAGCAGTCTGAACGACAGCCGTATGATGTGGTGCGCCAGGCCTTGAAAGGTGTGGAGCTCGACAGCTCCCGGCGCGTAGAGCTAGAGGACTATATCGATGTATGTGGCCATTCCGTCTCTTCCTGCATCGCACCTACTTCCAGTGAACGAACGGTGGGAGCTAACGCCGGTTTCAGTTAGTAGCGAGACTCCGTTCGGGGCCTGCTCCCGGCGCTCAAGGTGGATCTAGCCCCGCGGCTGTGATTCAAGGAGCTGGGGCTGGAGCCGGCGCGGGCGCTGGCGGATCCCGTCATGTTTCCAAGGGAAGTGTTGGTGGTAGAATTCACGTCCAAGGCTCATCAGCCAATGTCACACATACCATCAACGAGGATGAGCGAACTGAGTTCACCCGGCACATTAATGCCATTCTGGCTGGCGATCCGGATGTTGGCCACCTTCTGCCCTTCCCTACCGACACCTTCGAGATGTTCGATAAGTGCAAGGATGGTTTGGTGCTGGCTAAGTTGATCAACGACAGTGTGCCAGACACTATTGATGAGCGTGTCCTGAACAAGGCAGGGAAGAGAATCAAGGAATTGAACGCCTTCCACATGACTGAGAACAACAATATTGTGATCAACTCTGCCAAGGGTATCGGCTGCTCGGTTGTGAACATTGGAAGTGGGGACATTATTGAGGTTCGTGAGCACTTGATTTTGGGTCTGATCTGGCAGATCATTCGTCGTGGCCTGCTGGGCAAGATTGACATCAAACTCCACCCCGAACTCTACCGACTCCTGGACGAGGATGAGACTCTGGAACAGTTCCTACGCCTGCCCCCGGAGCAGATCCTACTCCGTTGGTTCAACTACCATCTGAAGAACGCGAAATGGGACCGAAGGTAAGCTGCCAGCAATTTTTTAAAGATGATTCGAGTAATCATTAATGAGTTTGCAATGTAGAGTCTCAAATTTCTCGACAGATGTCAAGGATGGTGAGAATTACACGGTTTTGTTGAACCAACTGGCCCCAGATGTCTGCTCTCGCAGCCCTCTTCAGACCGGAGACTTGCTTCAACGAGCTGAGGAGGTCCTTACCAATGCCGAGAAGCTGGACTGCCGAAAGTTCCTGACACCGACCTCACTTGTGGCTGGAAACCCGAAGCTGAACCTTGCCTTCGTCGCTAATTTGTTCAACACGCATCCGGGCTTGGATCCTATTACGGAAGAGGAGAAGCTCGAAGTGGAGGACTTTGACGCCGAAGGAGAGCGTGAGGCAAGAGTGTTCACGCTCTGGCTGAACTCACTAGATGTTCAGCCATCGGTAAACTCGCTCTTTGACGACCTACGCGATGGTAGCATTCTCTTGCAGGCCTACGACAAGGTCATCCCCGGGAGTGTCAATTGGCGACACGTCAACAAACCCCCGGCATCCGGTGGCGAATTGATGCGTTTCAAGGCTGTAGAGAACACGAACTATTCTATTGAGCTTGGGAAATCAAACGGCTTCTCTCTGGTGGGCGTCCAGGGTGCTGATATTACTGATGGTCAGCGAACTCTCACTCTCGGGTTGGTATGGCAGCTGATGCGTCGGGATATCACCAACACCCTCTCTGCTCTGGCTCAACGGCTAGGCAAGCGTGAGATTACTGACTCGGAGATGATTCGATGGGCCAACGACATGTCTAAGAGCGGTGGCCAGTCTTCCTCGATCCGCAGCTTCAAGGATAAGTCTATTGGAACTGGTCTGTTCCTTCTGGATGTGCTGAACGGCATGAAGAGCAGCTATGTCGACTATGACCTGGTCACCCCTGGTCGAACTGATGAAGAGGCGTACGCCAACGCTAAATTGAGCATCAGTATTGCTAGAAAGATGGGGGCTACCATTTGGCTGGTACCGGAGGACATCTGCCAAGTACGCTCTCGGCTGGTCACCACCTTCATCGGTATGTTCAAAACCCCCTTGTGTGACAAAAGTATCCGGTTTCTGACCCTTTTTTTTAGGTTCCCTCATGGCTACGCACGAGAAGATGTAAGGACATGCTCCACTATGATAGTATTGCATATCTATCCCCCAAGGGAATTACCGAGCTTGCAGCAGTATTGAAACTACGCTCCTGGCGAATCTTATGTTATTTTCTCTCATTGATTCCTTATCATCCAAATACTTGTACATCTGCTTTCAATGTCGATCCCAGCGAGTGGAGTAATTCGCAATTAAAATGAGCGAATTTCTAAACAGCAATCAAGACCGAGTGAACTGGAACCGTAAAGATGCTCATATATAATGTGAGAGTAAGATTGTCGTTTCTATGGACTTCTTTCAAGCCTTGAGCCTGGCCCTTTGCTTTGTCACATATACTGGCTCTGGAGGGCCTGACAGGTATATGACTAGTCGTGTTCACGTGGTGGCAGGTTCCTTGCCAACTTTGATGACAGGATTGGAGAGATCTCCCCCGCAAATCCATATAATCCATGAAAAACAGATCTGGCATGACACAGCAGTGGCTAGTTGGTCCGCAATCAATGAGCATTATGAAGCGATGGTGGATCAAACAGGAGATTCGCCCTTGACAAATTGCCATTCGGGCTAAGGTGACCTGGGAAGATAGGTCAGAAGAGAAAATTGTTCGAGTGGTGTAAATGTATCTTAGTCGAGACAAAGCCTTGACACTAGATTATCAGATACAAACTGCACAACAGACTGGGCCCAGTAAAGATCCCCAACCAGAAGAAGATATTGCCCACAAGCCTTCGACCTCGCATCAGGCGGGTTCGGCTCAATGAGACAAGTGGAAGCTGTGACATTTGCAGAATTAACAAATAGCCTCGGAGACGTCGGAAGATACACAGCATGATTAATTCATGTACACATGCTGATAGGAGAAATGTCATCAAGCTGGCTGACACACGAGAGAGGTGAAATGTGCTGATCGAGCTGTGATAGACATGGCGCAGTAGGAAGTTATGCACTGGACGATTCCAGTCACGGGCAAACTGATCCCATGAGACCGAGTTCCACCAGTCGGCATAGAATCCACGATCAGCAAATCGGGTGATCTCTGCTAATGCATTGAGCTGAGTGGTCGTCAGCTGGCATCTCCGAGAATCCGTTGTCAGAGTACACTTACCACACATTCCCAGATCACATAGAATGCCAGGAGATACTCCATCATAAAAGGAAATAATAATTCGCTTAAAACCCACGGAAACTCCTGTAATCTCTGCTGCATCGTGAATCCTTTCTCCTTCATCTGCAAGGTCGACATGACGACCGGATATATCCAATTTTGCGAGATGGCAATCATGACCACAATGATACCAAAGGTGGCCGCGGTCTTTTCGGCCACATAGACCCAGTTCACGCGCTCTGTTCGCGGATACTCTAGCTCATAGACCAATGTGGGCAGCGTGATGAAGTCGCAGAAATTACTAATGGTCAAGTTCCGAGGATAATGATTCGTCGACGAAGAATGGCCTCGAAGGCCGTCGGACAAAAGCTCAATCTCGCGTTCAAGTAACGCTCTCAAAGATTCCATCTGGTCTTTCCCCAATGGGGTCCCGCTCTCAATTCTCCCCGAGAGTGCCAGGAGATGGTCTGTAGCACTGGATCTCCGAAAGCTTCGGTGATCCACAGAGCTTTGATGGTCGATAGGTTGCCGATGTTTAATTTGATTAGGGCAAGCGATGTCCAGATCACCCCCCGTGCCTCTCGCAGAGGTATGTAAAAGAGACCGATTTTTTTCATCGCTGTGCTTGTCTAACCGCCGCAACCGGATCGTTAATAACTCCCGCTTTCTGTACAGCTCAGATACTTGTAATGTTGGTCAGCATATCTGTGGTTCAAGCATAGAAATGGCCAGGGATAACTTACAGTACCCATTGAAGGAAGAATAACTATGCTGCTTCATCAGCATCGTTAAACAATGTAAGACCATGAAAACAGTATGTGTCCATGGCCAGTCACGATGATAAGTCCACCAAACAGCAATAGCCAGGTATGCCGTCTGCCAGATCTGCAGCTTTCGCATTAGCCACCTTTTTCATTCCCTATTGTTATTCAATATTCTCACGTATTACATTTTGAATGAGCCACCCCAGAACGCTCCACCGTAGATATCCCCGGAGAACGGCCCGCTGGAGACCGAGACAAAGGATTGTCGACCAACATAAAACAAAGTCCGATATGCCTAAAACTAGGACATCTTTGCGGAACATCAGGTGGATAATCTCATTTTTGCCCCAGAGAGTGCCGTAGACCCTCCAGTTGTTGGCAGCGATCTTGACCAGCAGCAAAGCCACCCCAAGCCAAAAAAGGGTGAAAAACCCATGAAATTGGGAGGAATAAAAGTTTGGATTTTGACGGTCAAAGGTGCTTAGCTGCCGAGTAAACTCCAAATCTTGAAAGCGAAAGCGACGTGTTTCTGAATCTAGGCCACCAGTGCTCTCGAGATGTAATTTGTGATGGAGAACTTCCTGGAGCAGCTTGGCGTCCTCCGCCGTTAACAAGTATTGACCTGCTTGATCTGTCTCCTGGAGCTTCACCGACACACTTTGTCCGTTTGGAGCTTCATCAAGCTCTAAGTCGCTAGACGTGGAGGTGGACACGAATTGTTCTTGTAGAAGGTCACCCTGGTCCGAGGATATCATGGTGAGGTTCACATGAATATAAGGTAAGTATCTTCAACTGCACCCTTTTTTGTGTATTCTCTCTTTGTTCTTTCTCTTTTCTGTCCAACTTCACAGATGTGCAAGCTTCTTGGTCCGGCTGTTGCGGGTATTGTGGCAAATTGGAGTAAAAGATATGACGTTGATGCTTGAGATTTAGACGACCGTATAATTTTCAAGTCAAATCGATATGATAACAACAATAATAACTAAAGATCAGCGATGAATTTGGTTGTCTTGTTCTGGTGACAAAGGTGAGAGGTGATACTCATGTTCTCCGCCCGTGACCTTGTCACTGACCTTGACAACCGTTTCCTTAACTCCGAGCTCTTAACAACCATGGATCTACCGCAGGTCCAAGTTCCTGGCTCGGAGCAGATCAATACTCCGGGTCATTCACAATTAAATTCCAATCCCTTGAATACCAGCAATTCGACCGATGTGGACATGAATGGTACCCAGCAGACAAGCGAGATTGACGTAGCTCCTGAAGTGATCCCTTTGCCGGATTCGCAGCCAGATCCTCTCAAGAGAAAGAATACTGACAAGTTTTTGGAGTAAGAGAATCTCCCATGCTCCCACTCACTACAGTCTCTTGCCTCAAGCTCTTGAGCTTCATGACACTATGGCACAGGTTGTTGGGGAATCCTACTCACCTCAAATGACCCAGCTCACCTTGTCTAGCTTTCTTACCTCTCCATTTGTTGAGATCACCGTCGGTCAAGGGGAGGATGAAACAGTTCTCAGGGCTCACCAGACCCTTCTCCTCGAGTCGCCCTTCCTGAATGAATTCGTGGGCAAATTCGACACAGCCGGTCCAGTAAGTCATGATCTAAGGACAACCAGCAATTGCCATGTCGCTAATACTACGTGCTTTCTTAGCGGAGTATTCTCCTCCCCACCGAGAATGTCGAGGCATTCCGATGCTTGCTTCAATTCCAATACACTCGCGACTACACCGTGACGCAAAGCGAGGAACCCTCAAACGAGACAGATGACAGTGGAGAGCAATTGCTCAGCCACGCGCGTATCTACACGCTTGCCGAAAAGTTGGGCTTGCTTCATCTGAAGAGTCTGGCCCATAAAAAAATCCACAAAGTCAATGGCACGCCAGGCGGCGAGTTGGCCTACGCCCGCTATGTCTACACGCACACCCAACCTGATGATACCACCATCAGAAGACCTGTCGCCTCGTATTGGGCCTCCCGTGGCCATATTCTGCGACATGATCTGGAGGGCCAATTTAAAAAGCTTTGTATCGATGTGCCGGAGTTCGCCTTCGATGTGCTGACAATTGTGATGGACCGCAATGAGAAAAACACAGAGGTCGATTCGAGTATTCGTGGTAGTGCTAGGAAGCGTCTTCGTGGTGAGAAGTAATACACACTTAAAGAGCCAGTGCTTCTGGGCCTGATACCCCCTTTGCGTATTGCGTATTGATTCAATAGTTAGATTTGGGTTTTGATGTGGGTACTCTACATCTAGACAAGCCTTTTCCTTCTGTATGATCTTGCCATGAAGGCATCCTGAACTTTGGAGATTTCTAAGTTCTGAGGACTACCCAGGAGATGAATCATATATCATAGATCCTTTGTCAGAAGAGAAAATTAATACATGTAATCTATTTTCATGAATCTCATTGTCGTGACTCAAAGCTTATTGGGCCAGGCTCTCCACCTCGACAAGAGCCTTTGGTGCAGAGGTCAGGTTATCGGAGCCGTCTTTCGTGATGTGAACGTTGTCCTCGATGCGCACACCTCCCACGGCCCAGTACCGTTCCAAAACATCCGCATCAATGTACTTGCCCAACTCCGGGGATTTCAGGACAGGATCGATGATAAATCGACAGAAGTAAATCTGAGAAGCTACGTTAGCAATGATCAAATTTCCTCTCACAAATACAATGATCAGCTTACCCCAGGCTCAACGGTGATGACAGAGCCCGTTGGCAGGTTGCCGCGCACACGCAGATACCGGAACATCTTGTCCTCATCCGCATAGTTGGGATAGCCACCGGTGTCATGGGTGTCCATTCCCAGGTAATGTCCAAGGCCGTGCGGGAAGAAAGCCACGCTGATCCGCTTCTCAAATAGCTCTTCCTCCGTACCGCGCAGAATTCCGAGCTTCAACAATCCCTTAATTGCGATGCGATGCGCCAATGCATGGACATCATCCCATTTGACTCCATCCTTTAACACGGCAATGCACTGCGACTGCATCTCAAGGACAATCTCATAGATCTGCCGGGTCTCCAGTGTGAACTTACCGTCCAAGGGGATCACGCGGGTGATATCGGCACAGTAAGTCTGATATTCACCACCCGCATCGATGAGCAGGTTCTTTTTCCGCTGTTGGGTGACTGAATCAACGAGGGGCTTGTCGTTGCTGACATAGTGTAGCGTCGCACCACTTTCGCCACTGGCAAAGATGGGGTGGTAAGACTGTTCCCGACAACCATTGGCAATACAAGCGCTGATAAAGACGCCCTCCAACTCGCGCTCGTTGGTTGCAGCTTGAGCCGCCTTGATGACGGCGATATGAGCCTTGGCGGAAATCTCGTTGGCCCTTCGCAGCAGCGCCACCTCGTACGCATCCTTCACCACACGAGCGTCACCAATGACATCCTTCAGAACAGAGAGATTTGTTGTCGAGAATCCCTGGAGCTTGACATCCTCCGACACTTGTTCCGAGATGGCGAAAATGGGTGCTTTGCCGCCCTGATTGGCCGCAATGGCAGCCAGAGTAGCATTGACATCTGTGGTATAGAGGACACGATCAACATCATAGAGATTTGCAGCCTCCTCGGGGGACATAGGCAGGCCGGACCAGATGACAGAGTCCGCATCAATGGGAGGAATGAACAAGGTCAACTGGTCTGCTTTGACATCGTAGGCCACAGACGCATCAGGCAGTAGACATCCCGTCAAGTAGAAGAACGGGCGACGTTGCCTGTACAGTCAGTGAAGGGCCTACAGAGCGATCCCAGGAACAATGAACTTACCTGAATGGCATGGTCTCGTCGTTGTCCTCAATGAACCGTGTTTTTTGCGCCTCCAAGTAGAGAACGCCAGCCTCGCCATGACGAGCCTGGAGAGACTCGGCCACACGACGAGCGTGGGCCTTGGCTGGGTATTTAGTAGCAAGAATTGTGTCAACCGATGCCATGGTGAGTTGAGTTGAGGAAGAATGTCCTAAAAACGAGGGGAAAAAAGTTTTGCGGGGCAGATGTTTGTATTTACCGGGTCGCATGGATTGCGGGGCCCTTTATCTATGGGCATCCGGTTGATGGAATTTCAAAGAATCTGATTGGTTTCATGACACATTGATACAATCCCTACCCACACCTTATCGACCTGGACTATGTGTCTCGGACGCAGATATTTCCTCAAACTCCATTTGCCATTTATCCACCTCTGCAAACTTCATGGCGGCAGCACGCAACTCGGCACTCATGTAGCGTCGACCAGACACTGTCTCGGCCTCGGAATCACTTGCGTCCGAGTCTGGTGGGGAGGATAACGGTGATGATGATGGTGAGGAGAGGAGTAGTTCATTTTCCTTATCCATATCTCCCCTGGCTGGCTTCTGTGACTCAGACGGCTTGGGAGCCGGGGCTGATTTGGCCTTGGACTTCTTTGGTCTTTGATTGGATTGAGCTCGATCGCTGCGGAGGGGTCTAGGTTTATTCGACGAGGCACGTTGCGTTCTTTTTGACGGCAAACAGCTCAGTTCATCCTCGTCGCTGGAGGCCGCCGCATGCATTCCATCATCGCTTTCGTCAGTGAGGGGGTCACCGTCGCCCGCCGTTCGGCGTTTACGGCGAGGTTGGCGTCGACGGGGAAGCAGCCTTTCCCGAAGTGCTGCTGTGGCCAGCTGGGCCGTGTCTTTAGACCTCTTCTTCTCAGAGATCTGGCGAATAGCGGCTGGCGAGCGCGGCGCTGCAATAGAGCCTTGAGTACTCTCCGGTGGAGGTGGACTGCTACTAGCGGGCAGTGCCATGGTTTGACTAAACAGTTCAGGGAATGGTATAGGTTGTGGTGTCTCTTCCGATCCATGGGATGAGCGCCTGCGAGGGACTGGTGTAACGCTGGGTGAATCCTGGACAAACCCTGGGGCCTCCTCCACGGATGATTGGGGTACTTGTATTTCCTCGCGCTTGCGCTTGCGGGATTCGCCAGATGATGGTAGCGACCCGGACTCAGATGATGATGAAGATTGTTCTTCCGGGTTCAACAGTAGTGATTTTCCTCGTGGCAGATTCAAAGGTGTAGACTCATCCTGGGGGCTTAACCCTCCCAGGAAGTCTTCGTCATCAAGTTCTGATGAGCCATCTTCCGCTTGCATCATCTGCAAAATGCTCTGTTGGCGGGGACGTCGACGAAAATTGCTCAAGACTGAGCTTTCGAACCCGGGGGTACCTGGAACACGCGAGTTCGCATCACCTTTTCGACCCGCAAAGGATAACGTCGAAGAGTAGCCACGAGATCTTGTCGGAGGCCGGCTGCCCGTGCCAGGACGGCTGCCTGTACCAGGCCGGTCGCCAGTTGGCGATGATTCAATGGCTTGTTCATAGCTGGTAGCTAAGGGTGTTTGACTGCGGAGAGTTTGTCGAGGGTCTAATGTAGACTTTCGTTCTGGCGATTTGGGGTGGGAAACCTCATCGCGTATTTCTGCTGCAGGCTTGGGAGCCTTGGTGGATCGATTCCGCTTAGGAGCAGGGCGCGGCATATTTGAGATGCTTGGTGATTTGAGTATTGAGTAAGATCACAGGCACAATTTTCACGATCAAACAGAAAAGGAGCGCGTTTGTTTTGGAACGCGTCCACGTGCGGATAAGATAAGGGTTATCAGTTTCGCGGGGGAATGGACTTCTCTCCCTCGCTCTCTCTTTCCCTCTATCTCTTCCGAAGCACTTTCTTGGTGAGATTGTGGTGTTGTTCTGATTCACTGACTTCCCAATCAGCCACGGACCGTATCCCCGTATGCAACTCAACAAGATTCATGCCTCGGAGAGCACTAGGCCCAGACGGGCAATTTCTCCCCGCAAATCGGAATTATTGCATGCTCTATGCTGTTCAAGGAGATTTCCTACTGATATCTTATATATCCACGTTTTCCCTGAAAGCTAATTTTGAAAATGTCTACTTGAAGAAGCCGATGCCCACGCTTAAACTCGATATTTCTCCATATATCTCTTTCCAAACCTCCCGCGTGCAAGGATTCCTTCCCAACAATCGACAATCAGATGACATGTACATTTACTTTTTTCCCCCTGAATCCATCATCAATAAAGAACTCTTCAGTTCCTTACAACAGGTTGTTGAAAGTCGGCGCTGGAGGCTTGCAAGCAACGAATCATGGCGTCAGCAGAAAGAGATATTGACTCCGTCGCAGGAAGTAACGTCCATTATGAGTCCAACAAGAAACGATCGAACTCTGAGGCGGCCGATTACCCGCGGAGACGGGCCACAATCGCTGTAGGCATCATTTGCTATCGCTGAAGTGTTTTACAAGATTGCCGTTAGCTAAGTACAAGAAAAAAAAACCAATAGTGCCAGATATGCCGATTGCGCAAGACACGCTGCAACGGTGCCCGTCCCAAATGTCAGCTTTGCACAGATTTAGATGCTGAATGCACGTACCGAGAGCCAGGTATCAAGCTCGATATGGGCGATAAGTTGATTCTGGAGCATCTTATTCGGATCGAAGGTCTGCTGCATGCAAGCTCGTCTACATCCGGACCTCAACCAGCCTTGTCATCGAGCTCTCCAACAACAAGTCATGATACCAATATTAGCAGTGATGATCTAGTGGCGAAGATAGCCAACGGAGCTCCAACTTGGAAAACGTCGGTGGGGTTTGCATCTTGGGCCAACCCACCTTCGAGTATCAGCATCTCTACAATGCCCAGGGTGCATATCACCCCAGGCCTGCACCTTCTGCAATGGCCTCTGATGCGCGATTTGGTCTCGAAGCCCTACAATCCGCAAAATCTGCTTCAGCTAGAGATGGCTCGCGAACCATTACGAATGACACCGAATTCTGGATTAGATTTAGGGAATGTACCTACCTATGTGCAGGCTTTCTTCGGTCATGCCAACGTCTGGTATGCCTGTGTAAACCCATACTCGTGGAATCGTGACTATAAAACCGCTCTGGCCCAAAGATTCCAAGAGGGTCCGGTCTCTTGTGTCGTACTGCTCGTCCTAGCTCTAGGATGTGCCAGCCGAGAGGGCAGCATGACATCGGTGCCCCTAAACTGTGAACCGCCAGGGCTTCCATATTTTGCCACTGCTTGGAATCTCTTACCATCTGTCATGATGCGCAATTCTGTCATGGCTGTCCAATGCATGGTTCTTGCCTCGGCATATTTGTTCTACTTGGTGCGTCCGCTGGAAGCTTGGAACTTGCTATCAAATGGAAGCATGAAATTACAATTGCTATTGGGCGATTCGAATCGCGTGCCTGCACAATGGAAAGAGACCAGTAAACGGCTCTTTTGGAACTTACTTTTGTACGAGAGTGATCTGCTGGCGGAACTCGATCTCCCGCACTCAGGTCTTGTCCACTTTGAGGAATTTGTCGACCTTCCAGGGGGCTTTGAGGAAGAGGAGAACGATGATGACGGGGTTCTGAATGATGATCATGATTCCGACGGATATCACACTGGCAAGCCTACCGAAGAACCGCCAGGTCGAGATGAGCTTTGGTACTTCTTGGCCGAGATTGCACTGCGGAGACTTCTTAACAGAGTCAGTCACCTCATCTATCAGAAAGACCATTCACACACACTTGCAGCACTGGGGCCTATAGTATCGGAGTTGGACTTCCAGCTATCACAGTGGCATGACAGTCTGCCTTGTCCGGTAAAATTTCCTCTCACGCAAATACCACTCACCAATCCTATGCAGACCGTTCTCCGGCTTCGCTATAATGCATGTCGCACAATTATCTACCGCCCGTATATTCTAGCCGTATTTAAGAATGAGCAAGCTGGTATGGACTCACATGTGCGAGAGTGCAGTCGAAGATGTCTGGAGGCCACATTGCGCCAACTCGAGCACATCACCAGCCATCGTGAGGGCCACCTTCCGTATCTGTGGCAAGGCGCCTTGTCGATGGTATCACAAACCCTGTTGATTATGGGTGCTACCATGTCGCCCACTCTATCGATTTTACTCCCAGCCTCGCCTCATGTCGATGCCATCATCTCTAGTGTGATCGCCGAGGTCAATGGATACGCACACTTGGCACCAAGTCTGAAATTGTCTGCAGAGATCATTCGTGATGCTGAGAGGCGGCGACAAATCTGGCTTCGATCACCCGGAATTGGTATATGAAAAGCAAGTAATTGTCGAATTGTGTTTCTATTGACTTTTTCATAGATCAGTACTTGTCTTCTTTCTTTCCTTTCTCCCATTCATACGATGCTGAGGTCCAAGCTGGCTTTATTTTCTTCGTAATGTAATATTTCTATTCAATGCAATCGTCGCAGAAAATAATCATGTGATATGGTAGCTCTCACCGACAGCCCGCAACTCGTCACATAGATTGAAGAATGGTTGGGGGCTACGAGACAGTAGCGATCGGGATAAGAGAACTTGCTTTACAAGATGCGAGAGGAAAAAGGAAGCAAAGGAAAAAGGGCAAAAAGAAAAAATAGGTACAAGTCCCATCTCATGGCAATTATGTTCTTCAAATCATATCTTAACGAGGCGAATCATGGTATCTTAAAAGACATGGCGGAAGGTCAATATAAACGTCAAAAGAATATTGGCAAATAAATTTCAAGATGGCCACGACAGGCCATTTGAGGGTATTAGATGGCATGGAAGGGTGTGGGATCTGTGGTATGAATAGACTCCTAGCCCAAGACCCATTCACTGCCCCGCTTGATAAACTTATCAAGCATGATGCCCAAATCAGCCAGTGCAAAGCGGCACACATAGAAGCCAAAGAACTCGGCTGCATGACGTGTGCTGAGCTCCAGACCGACGTGGGTTGACGATGAGTGTTTGAGTCCGGGATCCTCAACTTGTTGGGCAATTTGATCTAGATCGGTTAGCATGGAAATGGTGAGAAGAATGGGAAAAAAAGGTTGGAAAAGTGCACGTACCTATCACTTGAGCAGCATCAAAAAGACGCGCTAAAGCTCCCATATAGTTGGCCTGCGGACCCGAGAACTCTAGTTGAGTGACATTGCGCTTTATGTGAGTGGTGGGTGCCGACGTCATGGGAAGAGAGTTGAGGGTCAGATTATCCTTGTTGCTCTCCCGTACGCTCGGAGGAGCGGAGGCGGTTGTACTGATCCCAGAGGTCTTAGCCCGTAGCCGTTTCCAAGTCGGAAGGTAAGACTTGTTCGAAGTACCTGAGGTCCTGGAATGGGGAGGGTCCGGATGAGCGGGATCTTCTGCTGTCGCATTCGGTTTGAAAAGGGGCATTGACGTCTGAATGCCGACATCGTGACCCAGCTTTTTAGACAATGTAGTTTGAACCTGATCAAGAATACCCTCAAGCGCTTGCATTTCTTCTAGCACGGCATCGGCATCATAGGTGTCTACCTGGGCCAATTTTAACAGCGCCGCGGTCAGGAGGTCGCAATTGGACACCTTATCCTCCATGGCCTTGATCTTAACATTCTTCACACGCCAGGCATCCCGAGGAACAAAGAGTTTGGCGGACAAATAGCCACCGTGGGGGTGGGCGAGTGTCTGATACAGACACCGCATAAGCCAGAAGGGACGAAGGAGAAATGACTCTGGACACGGTTCGAGGGGAAGGGGTGCATTGGCCACAAGAGGATTTGGACAGCCCAAGGCTGTGGGAGAATGTATATTGCAGTCAAAGAGGTTGAGGCCACTGGTAGGCAATCCGTTTTGTGTAAAGTACGTAGCAGTTGGCGTTGGCATGACAGGAACACTGCCACTCATGATGGCTTTCTGAGTATCTAGAGTGGGGAATGAACCGCTCCAAGGGGTAGTGGGAGAGCCGGGTGCCGTCTCGGGATTGGGAACGGATACATTGCGGGATCGAAATGCTTTTGAACCAGACTTGTCCAGGCCATCTGGAGCAGACGGTATCTTGCCCATGGTCCGCCCTGCAGGTACAGGGGTAAGCCCAGCCTCGTCATCTTCATGAGTGCGGGCCTTGGCGAGGTTTGTATGGTCCGTGATGGACCCAATCGAAGGGTTACGCTTTGAGGGGTACAGATTGGCTCGAAAAGTTGACGCGGGAGTTTTGAAGAGGTCTGAGGGTGGTTCGTCTTTGGGAAGTGGCGGCGGTGGGGGGCGACTTGTTAGGGAGGTTGTGAAGGATTCGAGATCAGAGATGCTGGAGTCGGTACGAGATCGTGCATCGGTTTCGATCTTCAGTTCACCTGAATCCTGCCCCGACAGGCGCCGCGCTCGGACACCTGGGACCGGAGGTGGCCCCATTGCGGGAGGAGGGGGAGGCTGAGAGAGAGAAGCTCGTTGCGGTAAGCTAGGGAAATCGGAGGGAATTGGAGGCAAAGCGACTGATGGAGGAGAAGATGGGAGAGGAGTTTGCTCTGGTCTCCGATCAGGGGGCAGGATGTCTTCGTCCTCCGTCAGTGTAGACAGAATAGCCCCAGTACCCGTGATGTTGGAAGCGGCTGAGCTTTCCCAGGTTCTGCCAGACATGTTGCTAGAGTCAGATTCTCGAGGGAGCGCCGACTTAGACTGAATGCCAAACTCAAAATCATCCATGACATAGCCCTTGGTCATCTCTTCTAACAGTCGTTCTTCCTCCTCTGCTTCCTCATCGAGGTAGTCTGAATTTCGTGCCACCGGATTCGCAGATATGTTCTGTTCCTGAAAGCGACGTATCTCTCGGCCACGGTTCATGGCAACCTCTGCCTCGAGCTCCGCTTCACGAACTCGCTGCTTAGCCAGCTCAATATTTCTGCGCGCATTTGCCACGATATCATCACTCTCTTCCTCTCGGTACTCCATGACCGGCTCCAACCCCTCATCGTATGCAGCCTCTACGGCTGCATCGAGGGCGGCATCGAACTCGGCCTCAGTGTCAGTGCTTATGCGACGACTTGTGCGCTGTCGTAGATAGACTGAGGACGCCTTAGAGTTCGCAGATGACGGCGAGGATGCGCCGGACTCATCAATTGTATCCAGCCATGAGGTTGATTCATTGGTTTCCTGCAAAGAGGGCTCCAGATATTGTTGATGGTAAGCAGCACTACCACCTGAGCTGACGGGAGTAGATCGACCAGACTGTGGATTCCTAGGCATAGCCATAGACCGTAGTTGGTCATCAAACACGCCTGGCCTTAAAGATTGGCGGCGAGAAGGGGTTGACTCGGAAGGGAATGGTTTGGCATCTTCTATTGGCGCATCGAACCCAAGGCTTGAGTTATTCGAACTATGTTGGCTCTGGATACGAGAATCTTCCATCACTGAAGTTTGGAACAATTCGCCGTATGATTCCTGGCTCAAAGGGCGATCTGGAAGAGCCTTGCTATCGCTATCCGGTTGAGGCAAGTCCATGCGCTGAAGTTCTGTGATTCGTATTATATAGGTGTCGCGCTGCAAAAGTTAGCGTTGAGCTCCAGTATGTCCGACAATGTGAGGGCGCAAACATACAATCTCCTGGAGTTTAAGTTTTTCCTCATCTCCGCCATTGCTACGGAGCATCACTAGTTGCAGCAGCTGACATGCATCTGTATAAGCTTCCATTGCGCCTTCAAAGTTGGCTGCATTGTCCAAAAGCACAGCCGTGTTAGCCTTCTGCAGTGCTTTGGACAGCATTGCTTTCTGGGTCTGACCATGCTGTCGGCCATCTGCTTCTGCTTCCCCGTCTGCTAACGAGATGGCACCTTCACTAGGCCGAGACACGTGGCCTTGAGAATAAAACGGCCCAGTTCTGGAATTATATTGTTCATTTGGCGAAGAGCTATTAAACAAATGACTCGAGGCCGTGAACGAAAGATCGAGGTGGGAGTTCGAGTCGGGGGAAAACATCTCCGAGGCTCTCAGGTCCGGCAGGCTCAGCTCGGGGAGCTCTCCCAACGCTGGTCCTCGTTGTGGACTGTGTCCCGAAGTTGACATCTTGGAGCTCCCTCGGCGATGGCCCATATAATCTGGTAGACCCTTGCTCGATGCGGTGGACTGCGACCAGCGGTTTACACTCCCCAGTCCTTCTTTGATTGGGCTACTGCCCCACGAACCATCTGTAACGAGACCTGGCGCGTTTTCCGTAACCATACCTAGTCCTGTCGGAGTAATAGCTCCTGAGGTCTTTCCCATTCGGTTGCGAGATGCTGGGCGGGAGGAGCGAGACGCTGGGCGATTAGGAGGCGCGGCCGACGGGGGCTCCATGAGTGATCCCGAGGGACGTCTAGGGTGGAACGATCTCGGTTCATCTTCCAGGGCGGAGCGGTGTAGCATTTTTCCAAGGGCGGAGGAGTACGATTCGATGAGGCACTATATGATTCAGAGGTCGAGACCGGGCATTGAGAAATAGGGACGATTGTAGCGCGATTATCGAGGCGAAATTGGTCAACCACGTTCGTTCTATGAAACCGGACAAATCCACCGTTTAAAAGGATTTGACTGCAGGACGCATGCTTCGACCACGTTCAAGCGAAGTAGCAGAAAAAAAGGAAGTGACGGAGGGGGGTTGGTGTGTTTCTGTCCTCTGCATGCGCCGGATCAACGCATTGTTTCGAGACCGGGGATAATCTATCGCGAGAGAGATTGATGACTGCTAGATTGAGTACATTATCTTCAATCTCCCTGCAAAGTCCCACTAGAAGAAGAGTCAGGGGCGGGACCAGCGGGATTATTCTTCAGGGGTGGTCCGTGTGGGTTGACGCGGGCGGTGGGAAAAGGGGATGAGATGTGGGGGAATACTGTCAGTATACTTGATGGTACAGTGTATGGGTAAAGTATGTAGAAATATGAAGGAGAAATAGAGAAGAAAAAGGGATTGGACTTGTAAAGCGTTCCTATTGGTCCTATTCCTCTCCTATGCCTCTATTCAAATTCGAAGTCAATATACCGTGGTACTACTTCACAGTTAAGACGGTATTGTATACATCATTAAAGGGAGAAACTCTATATGATACATTAGATCTATATCATACTCTTATTTGATTCGGAGTCCGAAATCCGAAATCAAAACTCCAAAACCAAAAGCCAAATCAAATTCAAATCTGATTGATCCGATTGATCTGATTGACCTCTATACTCCGGAGTCCGAACAGCTGTTTTGGTTTGTCCGCTTTCACGCTTAGAGCCGGAACCACCAAAACTCTTCATGGAATCAACCAGATGAATCCCTCCATCCCGCTCGGACGTTTCTTCTCGCGCGCTTTCTCTCCTTCCTTCTCAAGCTTTTCTTCTGTGCGCAGAATGACCATGGCGACCAATCCGCGGGATCCGAACACCCTGAGCAACTACAACAACTGGCGCTCCACTCACATTACCGCCAACTTCGATATCTTGTTTGACCAGAAGAAGCTGGTGGGCAATGTTGTCCACAAATTCACTTCTATCACTGATGCTGTGTCGCGAGAAATCATCCTAGACACCAGTCACCTGGACATTGGCTCCGTCAAGGTTGATGGCCACGCTACCAAGTGGGAGTTTCTTCCCACGCTGGATCCCTTCGGCACCCCACTTAAAATTAGTCTCGAGCAAGGTGTCAAGCTGAATGAAACCATTGAGGTGGATGTAGGTCGCTTCTTCCATGTTCCACCTTCACCAATCCCACCAAAGCCTTTATGACAGTCTCTCAATGCCAATTTCAACGTACTGACCGTCTGGTAGATTGCCGTGGAAACCACCGAGAAGTGCACCGCACTACAATGGTTGACTCCCGCCCAAACCTCCAACAAGAAACATCCATATATGTGTGAGTATTTAACCAGATAGAAACATTCGGAATATTCGGGGCTCCCTTTTGACTCGACTCCAGTCTCGCAATGTCAGGCCATCCACGCCCGGTCGATTTTCCCTTGTCAGGACACACCTGATGTCAAGAGTACCTTGGACTTCAACATCACCTCCCCCCTGCCGGTTATGACGAGCGGTCTCCTCACCCAGTCGGATGAGACCCAGCAATCGTGTCGCAAGCTCTACCGATTCCACCAGTCGGTCCCAATCCCCAGCTACCTGTTCGCGATCGCCAGCGGGTAAGAATATCCCCGTGATACTACTGGGTGAATTATCGCTAAATATTTCCACCAAGAGATGTTTCTCAGGCTTCAATCGGTCCTCGAAGTGTGGTAGCTACCAGCCCGGACAAGCTGGAGGAGTGCAAGTGGGAATTGGAGGCCGACACGGAGACCTTCATTAAAACCATCGAGGTATTTCGAACCACATTCATTGCATAGGCTCAATATGTTGACCTGAAGATGTAGAAAATCGTGTCTCCTTACGTTTGGGGCCAGTATAACGTTTTGATTCTGCCTCCCAGCTTCCCGTATGGTGGCATGGAGAATCCGATTTTTACCTTTGCGACCCCCAGTATCATCTCGAAGGATCGTGAAAATATCGATGTCATTGCGCACGAACTGGCTCACAGTTGGAGTGGTAACCTGGTGACCAACGCCTCGTGGGAACATTTCTGGCTGAACGAGGGCTGGACTGTGTATTTGGAACGACGGGTATGTGTACTTCCCTGTGATAGAGCTCAGCCACGCAGATTTCTGACCAAACCTGCAAATAGATTCTGGCAGCGATGTATGTGTACCAGCGACTGGCGTTCTAGACATGTACTAACCACTTCACTCCGATAGCCATGGCGAGGCGTACCGTCATTTCTCGGCCATTATCGGTTGGAAGTCGCTTACAGATTCCGTGGAGCACTTTGGTCATGACCACGAGTTCACGAAGCTTATCACCGATCTCAAGGGCAAGGACCCTGATGATGCATTCTCCAGCATTCCTTATGAGAAGGGGTTCAACTTCTTGTTCTACCTAGAGAATCTTGTGGGCAAGCCGAAGTTTGACAAGTTCATTCCTCACGTATGTCTCCCCTTCCCTTGCCCAAGTGATTCGATACTATTCTGTTCTGACATTTGTTCTCTAGTACTTCACCACTTTCCAGCGCAAGTCTCTTGACTCTTATGAGTTCAAGGCAAGCATTCTGAGCTTCTTCGAGTCAGACACCGAAGCATCCAAGCTATTGAACGAACTGGACTGGGATAAGTGGTTCTATTCCCCTGGAATGCCCCCCAAGCCGGACTTTGATACATCTCTGGTGGATGTTGTATATGCGCTGGCTAAGAAATGGGAGACTCTTCCTAGCTCGTCGTTCAAACCGCAGGTGAGCGATCTCGAGGGCCTGACAGCCAATCAGATTGTTGTATTCCTTGAACAGATTCTTCGCTGGGAGCAACCTCTCCGCCCAGAACTTTCCAAACTGATGGGCGAGGTCTACGGGCTGTCCAAAAGCGAGAACATCGAGGTGTCCAACCTGTATTTCCAGGTTGGTATGAAGGCCGGCGATGAGAGCGTCATTGAGCCAACCACTGAGCTACTGGGTCGGATTGGAAGAATGAAGTTTGTGCGACCTCTGTGAGTTGCCCAGCCACTATAGTTTGTCAGTGAAACTAATCGAAATCCCCAGGTACCGCAACCTCCAGAAGATCAACCGCCCAGTTGCCCTTGCAACCTTTGAGAAGTACAAGGACTTCTACCACCCCATCTGCCGCGGTATGGTTGAGAAAGACTTGTTCGGCAAGAAGGAGAACTAGATCATCAAGAAAAGTAACCCCTCAAAGGTAAACCAAAACAGCAAGACAGAAAAGTTCGGTCTCAAATAACTTCACTTGAATAGAGCTAATTCTAATGGAATACTGTACATGATTGGATTAACCTCGTAGAAGGCGGGATTTCAACGTAGTAAAACAAGACCCTGAAGGCAGAAGGTACATGCTCAAAGGCACTTTTATGTCCAGACTCGAAGGCTTACTTACCCCCAGCCATTCTTTTATCAGCAGGTGAATATCCAAAGATACCCGACTCCTGGATATTTCCTTTGCTGAGCGCGAAAACCATATCCGCTTCTTGCATCTTGGAAAGCTCCGACAGAACTCGTCGCATATAAGTCACCACCCAGGCAACCTTGGTCCAATCAATGTCATTTCCATCAGCGCCTACTGAGTTGGCCTTCCACAGGTTCCTCCAAACAGCAGCGCCCAGCACCGCGTCCCCCTTGGCCAGCCCTTCGTCATATGCGGCAATAATTCCACGCCATTGGATAAAGAGATCCTTCAGGTACTTGTTGCGGATCGAACGACTCCCAATATCGTGCAGGACGTCCATGCGGTGTTCGGCGTTGTGTGAGAAGTGGTCAATCAGGTGGCGGGAGTAAGTCTGGACACTTTCACGAGTGGGGAGTGCGCGTAGTCGAACGGTCAGAAGATACATGTGCAGGAAGGTAATTTGTGACCAGGTGGAAAATGTCGGTACAAGGCCAAGCTCTATTTAGACAAAGAAGTAAGTATTTGGGTATATTGCCAAACTAAATCCAACTAGCCAGTTGAATCCTGCCTCCGAGCATTACTCACCTCGATACCACCAGCTATCACTAACGCCAAGATGCTCGCCCGACTCTGTCATAGGAACCTCGACTCCCTTTTGAGTTGCCTGGGGGACTTGGTAGTCTGCCTGGCTCGAGCAGGCTTCAAAAAGCTTCTGGGTCATTCCATACGCGACGTAGGTCTCAGCCGCGGCTCCGGGCCCAGTCGATACATTGCGGATGAGGCCGTTGGATCGGGGAGGAAGAGTTAAGCGTGATTTGTATACCGCATTCAATGACTTGAGAGATGTGCTTGAAGCAACATTGTGGCTTGCACGCCCTGATGTCGAGAGAGATGCGCGCTGAGACAAAGGTCGCTAGGCTTGATTAGTATTGGAGTCGCGGCATAGGGAGACATTAACTTATATACCGAGAGGCAAAGGGCCGACCTGCGGAGGCCGCAGGTGGACAAGGTCAATCGAGTGGTTGACATTATTTCGTTGATGGATGCGTGTGTTGGAAGTCGTCGGCGATCTTTTTTGGATTATCGCGATGTTTGCACAGTTTGCGTCGGGTGGGCCAATCATCGCTTTCGCTTACCCGTGAACAGTCTGATAGCTAGGAAGTTTATAAACCATGCGAATATTAGGGGGAAAAAAAGAGAATAGACTAGACTAGACTGGTTCACTCTTTACTCTGAAGTATGGCTTGATATCTGTTATATCTTTGCGACTTAAGAGCTATGTACAAGGTGCTCATACATAGGTTTGAGAGTATATGGTAACTGATCATTTCGTTTATTAGGGTTGTATATTCCTTTCTCATGAACTGCATTTTAGCGTGATCTTGACTCTTGGGTCTCTTGATGAAAGTCCCCAGTATCTGCGTTTGGGTTCGGATATGTGTCCTACTTTTGTTTGATTTTTAGGCTCGTTTTGGTCCAGGTACGGTAAGACCGGCTAGCGAGGTTTCACCCATCCAGAACGACTCGTTCTGAGCGCTTTTCCACCAGGGGCAGAATCTCAGACAAGCGATTGGCATCTCGCATCAATGCAGGAATATCACCCCGAGTGTTTGCAAGCGTCTGTCATATTGGTCAGTCAGGCATTGATATGCGCATATTTCCATGGGGTAACCCATACCTGTCTCACTTTCTCGTATTCACACTCCTTCGATTGGTATTCTCGAATTACCTCGCGAGTTGCAAAATCCACATAGACACGGGTATCACGAAGACGGATCAGTACATTGTCTAGTCTCATAAAAAACCGTGTCAAAAGAAGCAGCCTTTCGGGCATCACACGGATCTTGCACGATAGCATGGCGATTCCGTTATCGGCCAATTCGTCCTCGTACAGAACGACCTCGTCGAAGAACAGGATAGGATCTGGGCGTGTAAGAAGCTCGATAGGTATCGGATCAGAGGTCTCTTCGAATGATGGGGCTTTGGGGCTCAAGGTGCCCATGTAGTCGGTGCTGTAGGACCAGTCGAAGGGCTTCACTACTTCTTTAATGCCTTCATGTGTTTTCTCCCTGTTGATTGCGAGACATTAGAATATATGGCAAATAGGCACCCAGCATAAGTGTGCTATATTGCAGTGCGATATTACGGTACCTGCTCTTCTGCCATTCCTTCGAATAAGCCACTTGTAGCATCGACTGCCCAGTCTTGTCGACTCGATCAAGGGCATCGAAAGAGTTGAAGTTGATGCCCCAGCCACTCTTCTCATGCTCAATCATCACATAGTTGTCACCGAATATCATTTCAGGAGGCGCAATGCCGAGCTTTCTTGTCATCTCCTCGATCGGATCTGCTTTTAAGATGGGTAGCTTTTGAGTGGAGATACGGAAGCCTTGAACTGAGATCTCTTGTGGGCGTTTAGTGGGATAAACTGCCGCATGCATTGTGGGCGGCACAGAAGGCGCGGATCTGGAATGCATGGTCCTTTCTCCAACCATGTCGTCATGGATGAAAGCGTTATCAACTATTAATCGCGATATGAAGTTTAGCCCCGCGGGCGGAGAAAGAGGCGGGCCGATGCCGTTGCTGGGGGGATGACATTGATTACGGGAATCCAAACACCCGTTCCTCTTCTCTCTCTCCACTTCAATCTCCAATTCGACCTTCACACATTCGACAACCACCCATGTTTCGTTACTCCTCATAGAGGTTCTGTGTCCACTTTCTTGGTTCACTCCTTGGTCTTTCTTGCTGTTTTGTTTACCACATTCTCATTACAATGGCAACGAAAACATTGGAAGCTCGCTTTGAGCACCTGTCTGTGAAGGACGACAAGGATCGCACCTATGCGAAAAACAAAGTATGCCAATCTCATAATACTTGAAGGTAGTTTAGCATGCTGATAATTCAGGCGCCCAAGGGTTCCATCTCGTCGGCTGCGTCGTTGTCCGGTCTTGGTTCGTCCCAGAACAATTCAAACCGGGCTCAGTTGCTGAAGTTGGCGCTGCAAAACACAAATGAAAACAAGGCCAATGCAATGAATGTGCCGCCATCCCCTGGCAAAGGCCAGGGGACAGTGGTGACCCGAAATACCGACGAGAACGGCGATCAACGCACGTCAACTTCGATGCACGACCAAACTTCGGTGCCAAGGCAGCTGCACCTCGGAATGTTTGAGATCGGAAAGCCTCTGGGTAAGGGTAAGTTTGGCCGTGTTTATCTCGCCAAGGAACGATCTTCTGGCTTTGTGTGTGCCCTGAAGGTGCTGCACAAGTCGGAACTCCAACAAGGGGGCGTTCAGAAGCAAGTTCGACGCGAGATTGAAATCCAGAGTAATCTCCGTCACCCCAATGTCCTCAGACTTTACGGACATTTCCATGATAGCAAGCGGATCTTCCTAATTCTGGAATTCGCCGGCCGTGGTGAACTATACAAACACCTTCGAAAGGAGCACCGATTCCCGGAGTGGAAGGCGGCGCAGTACATTGCACAGATGGCGGCAGCACTGAAGTACTTGCACAAGAAGCATGTCATGCACCGTGATATCAAGCCAGAGAACATCCTGGTCGGTATCCATGGAGAAATCAAGATCAGTGACTTTGGTTGGAGTGTCCACGCCCCCAATAACCGACGGCAGACAATGTGTGGAACGCTTGACTATCTGCCCCCGGAGATGCTAAAGCCGGGCTCCCAAGACAACTACTACAGCGAAAAGGTAGATCTTTGGAGCTTGGGCGTCTTGACCTACGAGTTCCTGGTGGGTGAAGCACCTTTCGAGGACACGCCTGTCATGACTCAGCGACGAATTGCCAGGGCTGATATGTCTGTCCCATCCTTCGTCAGCCCCGAAGCGAAGGACCTCATCAAGAGGGTAAGTTTTTCAAGCCCTAGCCGTTGCAAGACAGCCTAGCTGACGATCTATAGCTACTGGTTCTTGACCCAGAGAAGCGGATTCCCCTTGATGAAATCCAGAGCCACCCCTGGATTGTCAAGCACTGCGTGAAAGATGCAAAGCGGAGCTCTGGCTCCAAAGAAGGCAAAGCATGAACGCATATGCATGGAAATTGGCTTTAAGCTGTCTTTTTACTTTTTTCTTCTCATGATTTTTTTCGTCAACCAGACGACGGAGTTTTCAGGCGTCGGGTTTTGGTGTGCATCATTCGGAGTTTGGTTATTTTTGCTGGAGTATAGCCACGTCCAGCATTTGCGATATGGGGACATTTGTTCTTTTAATCTTGCTTCCTCGGTGCCAATGGAATATGATACATTCAAAAAGAAATCTATTGTACAGGTAGAGGGTGGTATAAAAGCTGGCGTTGTAGACTGCAAGATAAGGAAGGGAGAGGTGAAAGGGGTTCGATATCATCGATAAATCTCATCAAAGGGTCTCGTGTCTCGGAAACAACTACCCCAGACCTCATCGACCACTTGCTTTGCGTGGGCCTCGTCCCGGCAGGTCGGTCGTGCCCTCACGGAAAGAATTGCTCTTCGCCGGACACACTCTTGATGTTGCTCAGTGAACTTCCATTGGCCTCTTCGGAAGAACTCTCGCGACCATCTGCATTCGCCGCTCAGAGAACTTGCTCGAATCTAGCAAACCGTTAGCTGACAAAATTCTCTAGCTAGCATTCGCTATTCAGCATAGTATACATACCTCTGTACAGGCAGCATGTCGTAAATTATCTGTCCAATTCACTTTGAACCGCAGGTGGTCATAAGCGTGGACCATCTCATGGGCCAGTGTATCCTCCAAATGTCCTTGATCCTTCATTTCATTGGCACAGAGCAAGATGCCATACTCGGGATCAAAGCCACCTGCTTTCCTATTTGTACACCGACGACAGTAGATATTATGACTGTGAAGATCGCCTCCTAGTTGCTTGATATTATCGCTGAGGTAGCGAATGACGGGACCTTTGCGGAGAAGTGCTTTTAGTTATTTCATTTCATGCAGGAGCTTCAAAGGGAAAGCGCCTTACTGTACTGCAGGAGGAAGTCGCGCTGCTCATCGCAGCGTTTGCAATCATCAGCCTCATTTCGAAGATCTCGCGCAACGCGGAACTGTTCAATTCCCTCGGAGGACATCTTGCCGGTCAGAATACGATAGATGTTGCGGAACTGGGTCCATGTATCATCACCGGCAACGTAGCCCGTATCGGGCTTGCCATTAGATGACGCAATCGGATCTGGTGACTGGGAATCGGACATGTTGATTGCAGACACTCTCCATGAGCTTCCGCGGAGCGAAACGAAGATTCACGACAGGGCGGAGAGCTACGGCAGAAACCGGCGATTGCTTCTGATGCGAAACGGTTCTTCAAAATCTAGATTCTTTAATTCTCACCCCAATTTATGAGACACGACAATTCACTCCAATTCATTCTGTTGAGACCAGCCGGTAGTCAATACACTCTGAGAGACTTCAGCCGTGATGGCCTCTACGGGTCTTAGAATCGTGATCAAACTAGGTGCGGGGATATATATCTTGAAATGACTCGAGGTCGGAATGGGACTGACATAAATGCTCTCAAAATTAGGAACCAGTTCCATTGTCGACGAGAAAACACATGAGCCCATCCTCTCTATTCTCACAACAATTGTGGAAACGGTAGCAAAGCTGCGCAAGGATGGTCACCGAGTCGTTTTAGTCTCATCGGGTGCAGTGGGGGTTGGCCTGCGAAGGATGGATGTCGACGACAGACCAACCTATCTGCCTCGAATACAGGCACTTGCTGCCGTTGGTCAGTGCCGACTCATGAGTCTTTGGGACAATCTTTTCTCCCATCTTCGAGTCCCCGTAGCTCAGATCCTTCTGACGAGAAATGACATTGCCGATGTGAGCCTTCAAACCCCGTTGACTGCTGATATCTCATACTAATATCAAGCCCAGAATACCCAATATGTCAACGCCCAGAATACGTTTGAGCAGCTTTTTGATATGGGTGTGATTCCTATTGTCAACGAAAACGATACCCTGGCCGTTTCTGTAGGCAGCCTCCAATTACTCGATACAACTGAAGAGATCTATAATCTAACACAATGATGGATAGGAAATCAAATTTGGCGACAACGATACCCTTTCAGCGATTACAGCGGCCACAGTCAAGGCTGATTACCTGTTCTTGATGACAGATGTAGACTGTCTATATACGGCTAATCCACGCAGCGACCCCAACGCTCAGCCCATTGAGGTTGTCTCCGATATCTCAACGCTTGAGGCTGATGTTTCATCTGCCGGCTCAGCCTTGGGCACTGGAGGTATGAGCACCAAGATCGTAGCTGCAAAGCTGGGAACTAGCGCTGGCGTGACGACTATCATCACCAAGAGCTCAAAGCCCGGGAACGTTCATGAGATTGTGAAGTATCTACAAGCACTTCAAAATATCGGCAATCCCGACGATGCGGCGGCTATTGCCAGTTTACCAAAACCTCCTCTCCACACCCGATTCCTTCCCTCTGATGCCCCGATCCAGTCTCGAACATTCTGGTTACTTCATGGACTTACACCCCATGGCTCTTTGTACATTGACCACGGTGCCTACGAAGCACTACTCAACAAGGCAAGTCTCCTCCCGGCTGGAGTGCTTGGAGTCGAAGGTCATTTCGGACAGCAAGAAGCAGTGCGTCTAATTGTTGTTGATCGGCCTTCTCCCGATGCTCTGAATGGGGATTTCCTCCATCATTCCCAAGAACCCAAGGAAGTGGGTCGTGCTATTGTGAATTATGGAAGCATTGAGATCGCACATATCAAGGGCCACCGAAGTACCCAGATTGAGGCCTTGCTTGGTTATGCGGATAGTGATTATGTAGCACTGCGGGATAATATCTCGTTTCACCCTGAAGATCGGCACAATCACACAGTGACTCCAGCATTAACTCCAGCTCTGGAGGAGTGGAAGTCTCCACAGGCATCGCCATGATCACGAATAGAAAACAAGACTATTCCAGATAGTCAGAGGTGCACCTTGCTATAGATGTGCAGATGAGTTTCGTACACATGTGCATTGAACTTGTGCAGCATAGAACTTTGATGTGGGAATACAAATTAGAGAAACGACATATCATGGTGCACATATGATACCAGTCAAGGAACGGAATTGTTAATTGAACACCAAGCAGTGCTGGTTGAACACCAGAGTAGTAACATTATCGTTATATACAGATTACCAACTTGCTCACACTAGGCTACCCTGGAAGGTGAAAATGATTGAGGGGTGATAATTTTCTTGACAAGTATTGACTTGAATCAAGCGAGGTGATGTGTATGTTCTTAGAGATGGCATTTTGTCTGAACTACGACCACTGTGCTACTTTAAATGTGGCTAATGAGGCTATTCAACTACTATTGTATCGTTCAATCATAGGGCCCCTCAAAAAATATTGGCTTTAACTAAACAAGATGGCCGAAACAACAGTCAAATTCAGAATTTAGGAGTTGCTACTGTATGAGGATCCTCCATACAGAACATGATTAATATTTTCAACGCTCCAGCCAGTCCTGCATTCTCTTGTCCAACGTTGGCATCGCAGCTGGGGCAGCCTGAGAAGAGTCAGTATCATCTTATCTCGGATTATATCAATCATGGTAGACAAACCGTATTTTCGATACTGTGGGCTGTCCAAGTGGCGTATGCCGTATCCGTATAATCTACTGTAGGCGCAGGAAGATACGTGGTGGCAATAGAGAAAGGAAATGGTGGGTATTGAGGCGTCGCTGGCTTGTCTGCGATGGTGGTGCCCGCTCTTTTGGGCATAGGAGCATACTTGGTCCGGCCTGTCTGCTCTCCGTAGGGAATTGTATGGGGATCCACAGCCAAGCGCCTTCGCAATTCGTGTTCATCCGGCTCATTTGTCGTGGGTAATGGGAACTGCAAAGCAGACTGTGATGCATTCGAGCTCGGGGTGGCCTCAACAGGATCCAGGAGACTGGAGTCGTCTACTAGATATAATGGCATGGGAATAGGTTGCATAAGCTTGACCGCATCTGACACCTTAGCCGAGAAGGTGCCTTTCATATTGGTAAGGGTGAAATGGGATGTTAGCCCAGACAATGCACTGTTGGTAGTCGAAGGAACAATTTTTAGGAAGCTAGATAGATCAGCATTTGTTATATTGATTCCTGATATCTAGGCAAAGGATGTGGAGCATACTAGGCATTGGGATCATTTCCTCCCACACTTTGGTCAACCCGGAATGACATCCAGTCACCAGCTGTATAGGAGGCATCTTCAATCACTCGCTCCAATGTTTCCTACATCAACATTGTCAGTCTTCATATTAGATCTGCAAATCAGAGATGAAATAGCTAGAAGCCACGTACGTATTCGCCCGTAGATTCGTCTCCAGCACAAAGCCAGAGATCATAATGCACCGATGGCGCGCTTTCAAAGCCCCAAACAAGACTCACAACATCTTGACTGTCAAAAGTTAGGCCACTAATGGTCTGAGCTGCGGTAGCAGCAAAGAGGGATAGAGCAGGCCACAGTCGCTGAAGCCTCATGCTGAATTAGAAGGGTATGACAAGAGATTCAAAGTGACCAGGGCGAAGATGAGAAGGTGTCCTTCACTCCCTCTCCTCTCCCCCCTTTGGTCCATTGGTATGTGAACTCATTCCAACCCTTTCTCCACATGTTGATGTGCACTAAGATAAGACCGATAAGGTCGATAAGAGACGATGGTCCGTGCTATCGAGGCTTGCTTACCTCCTGGAAAGTGGAAATCTCCCCGATCTTCCGTTCATCAGCCCACCATGTCAAGCCAGGCCAGTTGGAACTCCGTGACGGGGATCGCAACCCTTCTGTTCGATGGCAATTTAGTCGCCATTGCCATCGCAGTCCTGTTTACGTTTGGTGTTCCCATTCTTCTACATGTTCTCTTTTTCCAAGCTGTAGCCTCGCCGCCCCCGCGCAACTTCCTGTTGTTAGGCCCCAGCGGATCAGGAAAAACTGCGTTCACGACTCTGGTAAGCTTATAAACTCATATTCCTGAATCATCTGTGTTCATCTGTTCATTGTCTAACTTACAAATGCTGACCGCTTCCGTAGCTTGAGGCGAAGTCCTCCCCGGCCTCAAAGAAGTCCCATTCCACTCACACCTCTCAGACCTCGACCTTTGTGTCGGTCACTCTTCCACCCACTGTCCCGACTGCGTCTAATCGTTACCGATCGGTAAATGATCCCTCGTTGAAGGAGGCAGCGAGAAACCCAATTCGCTACCAGGTGAAAGACACCCCAGGCCATGGCAAGCTCCGTGCTTCGCAAGGCATCACTGCGCTCCAATCCATGGCTGGCTCCAAGGACTTGAAAACCAAGATTCGTGGAGTGCTCTTCATGGTGGATACCGCCGCCCTAGTGGATGAAGCCACCTTGCGAGACACCGCGACCTACTTGCACGACGTGCTTCTGATTCTTCAGAAGCTGGAGCTGAAGAAATCGTCCACCAAGCGATCTATGGAGATCCCCGTCTTGGTGGCCGCCAACAAGCAGGATCTGTTCACGGCCCTCCCCCCCGGCTCCGTTCGGGAGAAGCTGGAGGCCGAGATCGATCGGATTCGCAAATCCAAGACTAAAGGTCTGATGGATGCGAGCGCAGACACTGGCTTGGACACGGAAGAAGAAGTTTTGGGTAATGATGATGCCCAGGGGGTCTTTACTTTCAAGTTGCTTGAGGATGAAACAGGAGTCAAGGTGGAGGTGGTGGGTGGTGCTGTCAAAGGCGATTCGGAGGAAGAATTAGGATCTGGTGTTCGTCGTTGGGAGGAATGGATCGGCATGTGTCTGTAAACGATGTCTGATATGGATGTTCTCAGAAAAAAAAGGTCAAGGCGTGTATGTTAGATCATTGCTCGGTTGTACATATATCAGTACGTACACAGGTACAGGAAGCAGTTCATTCTCATCCTCGAAGGTCTTTGAGCCCTTGAAGTGTGCGAATAATAAGATATAATTAATTTTCGATACGTCTCTGCTTTTTTCTACTCTGCTGTTGACGATGTAATCAAATGCCGAAGTGACTCCCCACTGTTCAGGCATCTACTTACTTTGGAAAACCTTTTAACTTGATCTTTCACTTTTCAAGTTATCAATCCTCTTCTATTCTACCTCCAAGAGTCTCCTCCCCAGTTGACCAACTTGGAAAGATGAAAGCTTCCTTGGAATATCTGTCCTGCCAGGGTTCTATACTGCCTGATTCTTCAATGTCAATTCGACTTTCTCCCTGAGCTCTAGAGCTACTCCGTGCAAAGCAATCGACAACGAACCTTAATAAATTATATGCACGGAAGAGGCGGATACGCTAATGGACCATTCCACCCGAGCTGACCTTCCAGCTGATTTGCGGGTTTTGCAGCCAAGACCGTGGCGGTGCAATTCCTCTAGCATTCCCCACTACCGACGCGGTCTCATTCTAGAGTTTTGTGACTTGGCATGACCCCGGCCAGATACGAATGGTCATCTCTTTCAACCCCAGACTGGGGAAGTGAAGGTTGGATTCTAAGCTCAGTCACCGTTTACCAAGCTAAGAAAAAAAAAAAAATAGAACATTACAGGTCACCGCGCGCAAGAAAAAGCAAGCGATGGGATGATCTACTCTCGATCGTGGATGCCAAGATCTCCGGGGCCTCGTTGTCCTCCATCTTGGATGATGCGCCCCGGCTGATTGGCTCTATCAATCTGCCAGCGGTGGAGGTCGTGTTATTGTTTCCCGCCTCTATAGACCCGCCTGCTTGCTTTTTTATCCTTTCCCCAGCAGATTGTGACGTCTGTTATTCCCCAGTGTTCGACTTTTTTTTTTCTTTGTGTGTTTTATGATCTCCCTCCTTGTTTCCCCATTAACCTTTTTCAGTCCCTGCTTATCTCAATCTATTTTTCATTGGGGTCTTCTGTGGTTTTATTTTCCTGCACCTTGGGCCTTCAACAAGATGGGCTCCATCAGACCCGAAATCGAAGAGTCGCACATGCATGAAGGCGGAGACGGAGTATTCGCGACTCAGGAAAAGGGTCATCAAAGCTCAATTCTGCCGACCTTGGAGAAACACCACCCAACGCGATATGTGCTGGGATTATTTCGAGTGGATAGTGCCGGAGAGAGTGGCCGCTCGGGGATTCATCCTATCCATTTCTTTCGTGTGGTCTTCAGGAGTGTTTGCACCGCTTCGATGATGGTAAATATCCTTTGGCCCTTCGTTCCAGCCGCGATTGTCATGCACTTCGCTCGACCCGACCTTCATGTCTGGGTCTTCGCCCTCAATTATATCGCCATGGTCCCGTCCGCGAACGTCCTTGGATTCGCAGGAGGAGAATTGGCCAAAAAGCTACCCAAAACCTTGGGAGTCCTACTGGAGACGGGAATTAGTTGCTCAGTGGAACTCGTGCTGTTCATGGTGTTGCTTCACAATGACAAGAAGGGTGAGGGTAACCTCATTCCGGTCATCCAAGCTGCAATTCTCGGGTCTATTCTCGCAAACCTACTGCTTTGCCTGGGCACCTGCTTTTTTGTTGGAGGCCTCCGGCGAAATGAGCAAGAGTTCCACGGGGCCATCAGTGAGGTGGGCACAGGATTGTTGCTGGTCGCTGGGTTTGGCTTGCTGATTCCCAGCGCTTTCTACTCCGCGCTAAAGTCTGCTACCAATACGGAGTTTACGCTGGCCATGCTAGAGGATTATACCATGCAGATTAGTCGTGCCACAGCCGTGGTACTTCTCATCGCATTTATTGTGTGAGTTTTCAGAGAATTATAGGACATGACTAGATCAATACGCTGACGATTGACGATAGATTCCTCATTTTCAATCTGCACAGCCACAACACAATGTTTGACGACATCTTGGAGACTGATGAGGCCCAAGATGAGGACAGACATAAAGAATTGAACAGGGCAAAGCTCACCTTCGCAGAATGCTTGGTGGCGATTGTGATCGCCCTGACCTGTGTTAGCTTATCGGCAGTGTTCCTGGTGCAAGAGATTGAGCATATCGTGGCCCTTGGAGTCTCCGACAATTTTCTGGGATTAATTTTGGTTCCACTGGTTGAGAAGGCTGCTGAGCATCTGACGGCAGTGGACGAAGCCTGGGATAACCAAATCAACTACGCCCTCTTCCATTGCATGGCTCCCTCCATTCAGACCGCTCTGCTCAATGCGCCATTGGCAGTCATTGTGGGCTGGGGCCTAGACAAGGATATGAGCCTCAACTTCGAGATCTTCATGGTCGTTCTTCTGGTGTTGTCGATTCTGGTCGTAGGCAATTTCTTGCGAGATGGCAAGTCAAACTACTTGGAAGGAGCTCTATGTGTGTTGATCTATGTTATTATTGCGGTCACTACTTGGTATTATCCCAAGGTCGACGTGGCGTCGACTAATCAAGCCTAAAAAATAGTTTAGGCTGGAGCATCTGGCCTGCATATCTTGTTCATCTCCAGCGGTCATGTTGAGCGTTCATATTAACAGTCATATAACATATATTTGAATTCAGGAATATCAACTCATTTTTATACCTATTAGTCTATATATTGCTCCAGGTAATTAGTTGTATATGAATGCATAAGGTGCTATGTATCCATGGATGGATCTACCCGATATGGAAGACTGTATACATCCACGTGACCTCGAGTACACCGCAACCTGGGAGACTCCGCGGAGCACGATCTCCTGGAGGGTTCAGTCAATCTACATGACAACAAGATTCCAGCACTGTGAACCCCATAAGTCATATTCTGCGATTGGATTCCACCCCCTAAAACCCTGCAGCTTCCCCATTATTGGATACAGTCCGCCGACTCTTGCATTCCGCCTCGCCGCAGTCCGAACCCCAGCCCCACAAATTACGGTCATCACGATTCATGGAGGTTACCAGCGTTGAAGGAATTCTCTCGATACTTAAGGAGCGGGACATCCTCGTCAAACGGGATGTGATTGAGTCTGCTCTGGAGGACCCTGCGACAGGTCCCGGGAATGGGGAGTGGGTATTCAAACACTTGCGACCGGAAACTCTTCTATCCAAGGAAGAGCTGAGCCTGTACGTCCGATGAGAGCAAGTCTCGCCAGTGCGACATCCAGCTGACCAGGAGGGATAGCTATACGAAGCTTGAACATTCCGGTGCTCTCCAACCCATCCTTCGTGACCCCAGTCTCGGTGCGACACGGCCCTTTCTCGAGGTCGACATACGAAGCACAATTCAGTCTCTTGAGGTATCCACAGCGGCAATACAAAAAAAGTCACAGGTGCTTTATGCACAATGCGAAACGCTCAAAAAGCAAATGCGCCGGCAAGAAGAATTGGAACAAGATAGAAATTGGGATATCACACGACTGCGGAAGAAGCATGAAGGCGTTAAACAAAACACTACAGCTCTGGTAATAAGGCTCCGGTTGATGTTGATAGTAACTTGCTGATAGTATACAGGCAAACGATCTATCCGATGAGCTCGATGCGGGTTTCAGGAGCGAGACAGACAAAGCGGGGGTGGAGAGCAAACGAATCCTATCACTGTTGTCCACCCGGTTGAAACATGATGATAGAATTCTTGCTACTCTGGAAAATCTGATGCCTGAGGTCAAGTCGAATGGAAATGACGCATCGACGGTCAAGCGAGCAGCACATCTTAGTGAAACTCTTGCGGACTACAGCGCAGAGGAAATTCATTATCGCCTGGACCGACTATATCTCGAATCTCTTGGAGCTGGAGAAGCCAAAGAGCTGAAGTATACGCAATCGGAGGCCGAGACCATCTCGGCATTGAAGGAGGAGCTGGAGTCTTTGTATCCCGAGATCGAGATTTTGGCCGAGATGTCCATTAAACAGCAGTTCCATGAGCCCATTCTACGCGAGATCCACAATGAACACAGCCAGCTTCGGGTGACCTCACAGCACAAGTTGGAACAGGTGCGACGCGAGATTTCCTGTTTGCCAAGTCTGACATGACCCCACTAATCCGCGTCAATAGATTCTCGATGTTTTGATTGATATGACTCTGTCCAAACAGGCATTGACGACACAGCTAGCGGACCGGGAGTCTTCATGTGAACTGCTGGAGCAAATTGCCACCCTTTATCAAGCCGAAACCGTCCGTCAGCTCGTGACCCAGCCATCCTCTCGTCGAGAATCCATTAGGCGGCGATCCTTGCAACCGGGAATGGTCCTCGGGGCTGCACGCAACCCTGTTCCAATGCCCGAGCAGCCTTCTCTGGAAAACCTCCTTCGTCGCCTTGGGTTGTCACCTGAGTCTGTGCTCCACCCGCGGGCAGAGGATGGCGGTGCTCATGGACTTTATGAGAAGCGAATCCACATGTCGGAGACTATCCGAAATCTCGAAATGGCGGATGAATTGCCCCTGGTGGTTCATCTGGGACATTCAGACAGCTCATCTCAGCTGCTGGCTTCCTCATTGCATGGAAACTCCCGGTTCGGTACATCGTTGCGAGATCCTGGACAAGAAGGCGCCCTGTTGAGTCTGGAAACCGAACTCGCCTCACTTCAAAAGGGGGTGGAGAGGCTTAACTTGAATTTGCTTCATCAGCGGGACAAGACCCAAGCCAAGTTTCTTGAGCGTTGGAGCTAAAGGATCGGGACAGTAACGCTGCCTAGTAACTTACGATATCATTGGGAGAATATGATCATACCGAAAAAGCCTTGCGGCTTTTCGTAGCTTCTGGACAGGTCATCGCCATTGATGCGGAGGAACCCAAACCAACAATAGAACCCCAACGACCAACTGCATCTCTGATTCGACAATTCGTAAGAGCCGGTGGCTCGTATGGGCCGGCCTGCGCCACTGCTGTTCCGATATTATTCCATCAATATCCGATCGATCTTGATGTTGGGAAAGGGGGAGAAAAGATGTCATGGCTACTGCAGGCCTTGATATTATTTGTTTCGGAGGCTCTTGTGTGGCAACCTCTCACGTGCCGCGAGGATAACGAACATAGAAATAACGACAAGGCAGATTCCAAGAATCCATCCTAGTCAAATATGTGACAACAGTTTTCCTTAACATGACGAAGTTAGGGGATAAGGCGGGTAAGGTATGGTACACTGACCGTCACCTGTGGTTTCCTTGTGCTTTCCCTGCTGACTTCACTCCTGTGACCGTGTATCAGCCACAGTCCATGTCGAAAAATAAAATCAGAACAAAAAAACAAAAGCACATAGCACATAGCATCCTCTTAATGTGCTTCGTCATATTCGATCCGCTTTCATACATAATGCACCGATTCTGCAAACGTTCTCCTTTGTTCGTGACGAAACGACTATTTTAGCTTGGGCGTGCCCCAAGGTCGACAACATAAATAAATCACCTGCTTTGAACCCTATGACTATCACCACATGCCCGCCATCACCTTCGTTGATACTAGCTCTTTGACCTGAGACGAAACATTCTAAATATTCTTACCACCTTTGATCATGCCTTTGATCCTCAATCAAATTCTGTATGCAAGCATCCCTTTGTCAGTCGAGGCTTTATCCGCTTCGAATATCCAGATCTATAAAGCAGCATTTCGAGCCCGTTTTCGCGGGTCAGGCACATTGGAAGATCAAGAAGAAAGGCATGCGTATCTTCGAGATCCGTTTAAGAAGCTTTCCTCGAAGGCCTCGAACATCTCGTCCACCGCCATCACCCAGTAACAGCTCGACGTTCTTTCCATCAGATATCGATATCCATTATCGGCAACCCCAGCGCTCTTCGAGTGACTCCACATCAAGCACTTCATCGTATTTGATCGGACGCTCAAGGTTTCGGCCACGAACATATTGGGAAACTGGAACACGGGGCATGAATCCACCCCAACACAAGAACTGGTTCACCTCGTGGTTCCACAGAAGGGCCTTGCCCAGGAGGGAGACTAATCTCCCACGAAGGGACGAGACACATCGGGATTTTGTTGTTGGACCCCCCAAACATACAAGAGTCCGTCTTCGACGTCAATTACCATTACCGGCTGTCTTCAGAGCACCACCCGGCACTCGAGCACAGCCTGCTTCATCGAGAATGGATTATACCTTCACCGAATCGCTAGGGCGCCCACGATCTGGTTCCAGGACCCGAGATGTTCACGAGATCCGTGAAGTTTGTGAAGTCCACACGGAATTCCACAGAACGGAGAGTCGTCGATCGTCACCCACTTGTCGAGTACGGCACGTGTCGCCTAGAAGAGATGGCTCGCGAGGGCGCTCTAGATCTCGCTTCGGGGCACCCCGAGAGATTCACGAAGTTCATGAAGCTCGCCCGGCAGAACCAAAGACTCGAGACATGTATTGTCGTCCTCCGCGTGAACGAACCCCAGTAGTCGAACGAGAGCCTCGTCGATCAGGGCGCTGGATTTCTCCAATTCGACAAGGCAGGATTAGACGTACAAGCCCTCCATCAGACCGCCGCTCCGACCCAGAGCCTCGACTCCCTCGACCCATCGTACGAGGACCAGGGGCCAGAGGAATGGCAACGAGAGAAGGAAGGCGGATAGTGACATCTCGTATACCCTCGCCGATAACGAACAACGAACGCTCAAGAGCGGAGTCGAAGCCACGCAGGACCGTCCAGCGTAGTCCACAACGACAGCCTAGCCCTGAGGTGATAGTAGAAAGGTGCCCTCGTGCCGAGCGACCTGCGATTATTCACGATGGGCGTCGCAGACTGTCGGAACGCGTGATACATAGGAATCATGTTGGAGATGCGCCGAGGGTACGATTTCAGGAGCCTTCCCGCTTTGTGGTACCGCCCGTCACCCGAGTTTTTAGACGTCGTCGCAACAGACAAGAACGGTTTATTGATGAACGAGGTCCTCTTGATCGTTGGCGCTGAACAACTGTTGGGCGTATTATGGGTATTGTGCATTAAGCATGGGATGTCTTGTTTTGGAGCGTTATGAGTTTGTGATCCGGAGTCCAGGCAAAAAGGGAAGATTATATAGGAGTTTAGGATATATATAATTGGTTTTGCAAAGGAATAGAATGATCGAACCGGATCGTCATATTGTAGAAGAAATGCGTAATGTGTGGAGCATTACATACTTCACCCTAAAGCAGTAAGACTCCCGTTGACCTTATCTTTCCCTTCTTTCGTCCGGAACTTCCTTTGTTCTTTCACCTTTCCTTCTTATTTCCATCTTTACTCTGAAAACATTCTCGGAAGTATCAACTTCGTCTATGAATGATCAGTCCTAGGGTAAGTCTGTGCCATTCACTCGGCTCTTTGGGCATGGCATGTTGACAGTCAGGCAGCCAGGTCTCATAGGTTCCACAGATTCTCCATCGATCGCACCCCTCCCCAGTGACTAGTCGATTGCGCTCAGTTCAATTCACTCATCGCGCGTGCCTTGATTGCTCGCTTTCCTTTGCCGTGACTGGAGTTCGCCACGCGCTGAAGTCACCGCCGCATTACCCTGGGTCATAAAATGAGATATTTATTCGAAGATCCACCGTGTGCCTATAGGTCTGGGTGCGCTATTCAATCAGCGATCACCCCGTGGGAGTGTTTTGGGCAATAGGAAAGAACAACGATGGCCGCGGTCATGACACAGATCGAATGCGCTCAAGCCATAAGATCGCCGGAATCTTTGCTGAAATTGGGCTCCCCGGGCGATGGAATCGGGCCGGCAGAGCCCCAGATACAACCGGATGGCGTCGCAGCAGTCTTTGAGATGTCCCCGGATACTGCAATGCAGCTGCTTTGCAACAACATTGAAAATCTACAAACCCACTTCGCGGCAATGCCCACCGAACCCAATTCATTCAGCTCCACTCCGGCGGAAAATGAGACTCCAGCCGAGGGAAATTCCCTCCTGCAGTCGGTGGGCCTGCATTGTGGAGATCCCGAACACGCGGCTACCAGGACCAGTGAAGAGGCCTTCCAGTTGGCCATGCTGTCTAGGAAGTTTCTCTCGAAAAAGGTGCCTCCGATCCCCATCCGTGATTACCTGGGTCGTCTTCACCAATACTGTCCCATGTCTACAGCGGTGTTTCTTGCTACGAGCGTGTATATAACGAAGATGGCTCTGGTGGAGAAGGTTCTCCGGGTGACGCCGAAGAACATGCATCGTCTCGTTCTTGCGGGCCTTCTGGTGGCGACCAAGGCGCTTGAAGATCTCAGCTTCCCTCATAGTCGAGTTGCCAAAGTTGGCGGGGTTAGTGAACAAGAGCTGTCCAAGCTAGAGGTCAGCTTTTGCTTTTTGGCCAATTTTGAGTTGCGTGTAGATGCGCAGATGTTGATGGCTGAAATCCAGCTGCCGTGCAACCGGAACTCGTCCATTGACGACACTGGTACTTCATGTCTTTAAATATTTCTGTTTCCAACAAATACACTGTGTAAATATATTGCCTCGTCGCGTAAATCCTGCAGCATCACTCAACATCTCCCCCCAAGATATCTAAACCCGCCAAAATCCGGCTGCCTTGACTGAGGCTGAGTAAGCTATAACAGTGTTCGCGGCAAAAAAAAAAAAAAAAAAAAAAAAAAAAAAAAACAAATGCGCAGGTCTTTTTTTTCAAGATTGTAATCGTTTCTGTTTTCTTTTTCCTTTTACATTGACGAAATCCCCAAGTTGAAGCAGCAGAACAAAAGAAAAAAAAAAACAGAAAAGACGTGAATACAGATAGGTGTATAGATTGCGGCGCACTGCTTTCACCGCAAAGAGAACAACAGTTGACGATCTTAGCGTCGCTTCAAGGTTTCCCCGACTCCAAAAAAAGACCAAATCCACCCTTTCCAGTCTACAAACCTCCACGCGGTGTTTCCCTTGATTGTTTCTTTACTTCCAGACCTTTTCGAGTGCTTTGTGTCAGGATACACAATGTCCCCTTAGAGAAGATACCGATAACGAAACAGCGCCATCGACTCCTTTTACCTCGACGGCTCCCCCGACCATCCTTCCCCCGAACTCAGGCCTACCATGTCTTCCAAGACGTCTCCATCAGAGACTCTGGGCAGTAGTCCTTCGGGCCAGACCTCCGGCTCCACCCCCACTGGGAACGGCTCAACCCCTCTGAACACCGACGTCGAGCTCACGAGCATGCCGCCCAATGCGCCCAGGCCTTCAATCCCCCTAGGGGAGGATATCATGCAGTTGGCTAGGATTGGAGAGATCGGCGCAATGCAAAATCTGTTTGCGACCAAGAAATTGACTGCAAACCATAAGGATGCAGAGGGCATTACACCGCTACACGTTTGTTTCCTCTCCCGCGAATGCCACGATGACTAGTTCATTGGGTAATGGTTGCCATTTTTCTGACTGTCATATCTCCAATAGTGGGCTGCTATCAACAACCAGTATGCGATGTGCAAGTTTCTCATGGACTCCGGCGCCGACGTGAATGCCAAGGGTGGAGAGTCAGTGGCCACACCAGCCATGTGGGCAGCGCAGCGATGTCATTACTACATTGTCAACCTTCTCCTTTCATATGGTGCGGATCCACTTTTGACCGACGTGCAAGGCTATAACATCCTCCATCTCGCGACCATTGACGGCAATGCTTTTCTTCTCGTACTTCTTCTCCACCAAGAGATCCCCGTGGATGTGGTTGACCAGCAAGGCCACACCGGGTTGATGTGGGCAGCATACAAGGGATATCCGGCTTGTGTGGATCTATTCCTGCGATGGGGTGCAAATGCCAACGCGGTGGACGAAGGTGGGCTGACCCCGCTTCACTGGGCGCTGGTGAAGGGTTCCCTGCCATCCGTGTTGAAGCTGTTGGAATACGGTGCGGATCGATTTGCGAAGACCAGAGATGGCAAGTCGCCCATGACGGTGGCGCAAGAAATGAACACCCTGCGGATTTGGAATCGCGCCCTGGCCGAGCGTGGCTATGAACCCGATGGCACCCAGAAGCTGGTCCCCATGGGCCTAGCCACTTTTGTCCGGAATAAGAGCCTTATGGCCAAGTTCTTCTTCCTCTGGCCGTTTTTGACTCTTCTCATTGGGATCTGGATGTTGAGCAATCTGCCAATCCTCCTTGGTCTGCCACTCACCCTAGTCACCTTGTTTGGTATGCAATGGACTGCACAACAACTTGCCAACCGTGGGCCTTCTGAGTATCGTATCTTGCAGAAGACGGTATGTTTTGGTGATATGCAGATCGATTATCGTGATGAACGCTGACATAGCTTATTAGCCGTACCTGGCGGGTGTTTTTGCCGCAACTTTGTTCTGGGTGGGCTTCCGTTATGTGTTCCAAATCCTACCTGGTGAGGATCAGTTTCATCATTGTTCGTTGCATAAAGTTGCACAGCTGACAGAACATAGCGACCTATTCTTCGCATCCGATCTTGAACATCCTGTTTGCCGTCTTCTACTCTTTAACCGCCTTATTCTATACTATGGCCATGATTGGAGATCCAGGATACGTTCCGAAGATCAGCAGCCGCAACCAGCAGAGAGAAATGGTCAAGCAGCTATTTGAGTTGTGGAAATTCGACGAGGAGAACTTCTGTGTTCCCTGTATGTCGAGGAAGCCACTCCGAAGCAAGCATTGCCGACGCTGTGGCCGTTGCGTTGCCAAGCACGACCAGTATGTGACATATTCATTACCCCATTCATATCGCGACTAACTTGTCTTAGTCACTGCCCATGGATTGACAACTGCGTTGGAGCGAATAACCTCCGCCATTTTGTTCTATATATTGTCTGTCTCGAAGTTGGCATCATCCTATTCGTGCAGCTTACCATTGGCTGTGAGTGCCTTTTCCTATACATGATGCGCTTAAGCGAACTCAGCGAGTTGAGGCTAACACCAAATAGATATTACTGGTTTGCAGTCTCCCACAGGTGCCAAGTGCAGCATCATTAACGACACACTGTGCGATTATGTCTCTCGAGACACTTTTACCCTGGTTCTCGGCATCTGGACTATTCTTCAGCTGGTGTGGGTTACAATGCTGTGCGCTGTACAGCTTGTTCAAGTCTCGCGCAACCAGACGACTTATGAAAACATGAGAGGCCACTCGATTGATCGTTCCCTTCCCAGTTCCCAGGCCTTTGCCTCAGCCATGACTGCCGGAACAACGTCCATGGATGCGGCCGGCCTCTCCGCGGCTGGTCAGGGCCCCAACCCGGCTTTGGCACACTCCCACGCGTCCCGGCGAAAGACAGGCTGTATTTCCCAATGGTCGGCTCTTTTGGGAATCGATGCCTTCTTTGCCACAGCCAAGGACGGTCTCCGGGATGGACCACACGCAGGACGGTCTCGCAATCCTTTCTCTCGTGGCGTGACCACCAACTGCCGTGACTTCTGGTGTGATCCCGCTCCGATATTTGGCAAGCGGGAGAGTGGTGCTGCGATGTTGGGAGGTGAAGTAATCAACTATAATGACATGTACGAAACTCCGCTCCGCATGCATGCTGGTCGGTCTGGTGAAGGCTACCGCAGTGTAGCGGACGAAGACCCCGAGCGCATGGTCTAAGGGCCTTTGCTCCCCGCCCACGATTTTTATTTCCATTTCTGGACCCGATGGTTGGAGAGTTGTATTGGTGACAAGACTTCCATTCCGATTCACGGGTCTCATGTATGATTGCAGCGACGGTGTTGCATTTGCGTGGCATATCTTTCCTGGTTTCCTTCTTTTTCTGCCCCTCCACCCTTCTGTGTTGTTGATCACTATTTTCATTTGCATTTAGAACCTTTGTACAGTGGACCTTAGATAATGAAACCCCTTCTTCGTGACCATCCCTGCTCTGATCCTCCGCTAGCGCCCAGATATGCCCTCCCCACGGGGTCTGTGACGACGTGATAAGATAGAGGGCCCCTGCAGCTAAAGGTCTAGCCAAGATGCAGGCCTCGACGATCCATGCATCTGCAGGGCTTCTGGAACGTTGCCTTTTCCTGCACTCAACCCCGAGCCGAACCCACCAGAGTCCACCAGAGTCCACCAGAGTCCACCTCGGTAGCGCAGGCGATGGGCCACATAGACGTCGGCAACGTTTCATGACAGAAACATTCCACCGGATGGCAGATTCCGAAAAGACTCCATAACGGGGAAACAGGAATGATACCCGTGTCAGTCCTGGAGAAACCAACTGATTCTGGAACCTCTCAACCTCAGAATGATTATGATTTCAATATATTATATATTATCAACAGAGTACCTAGATGACAGGAAAAAAAGTTACTTTCCGCCCAATGCAAAATCCGCAGTATATGATACTTTTGAACACCCGGTATCGCCACAAAGACCGACAATTCTGCTGGCCTCCGCTCATCTTCACTAGTACACCGCTGATACGAATCTGAATCATGGTATCCTAAGCGACGATCGCGTCTCGGTTGCAACCGGACACCGTCTAGGCTCAACAGCACGTTCCAAGGCATTGGCGTACGTGGTGGGGAAGGTCAAATTCCCATTTTCGGTTCATCAGCCCCAATCAATCAAATCAATCAAATCAATCAAATCAATCTTGGGCTGCAGCGGGTCTCTCGGGTACCCGGAAGAAAGTCGGAAAGATGCGCCTTGCTGCCAGGGACATGGAAGTCAAATCAGCTCCAGCTGTCAAATCACAAAAAGCGAATGGGAAACAGGGCCAGAAGTGGACATCTCATCTCTCGGTAGAAACGCTAGAAACGGTTTGGGTAAGTGATTGACGGTGGATGATATCCACTCAAGACACCCAGGTGGGCAATGGTTCCAGGACAAGTGGAAGTCAAGCTAAAAGCAAAAGTCATTAGGTACACGAATTATGAACACGAGGATGAACACGCCATGCCGGAAGGGATTGTGTAAGTTTCCCTTTCGACCCCGGGATCGGAACCTGATCAGATAAAAAGCGTGAAATTTTAAATTTTTTATCTGATGGCGCCACAGCAGACCCACCGTATTTTGATGTCCAATCAGCTTCCTTAATACCACGTACATTTCCTCGCTAACGGATGATTTCTTTGTTCTTTTCCAAATTCCCAGGTATGTTCGGGTTTGTCCGAGTCTACCCCGTAGCCCGTAACGATCAGTTCAATCAACGTAGGAAAGATCAGATCAGATTAGAAATATGTGGAAGCCAAGCCACTTGGCTTCATCCCGTGTTTCGCGCGGTTTCCGAGGCCGTGTCCGTCTTGGCTTCGGCAATGGGTTTTCTTCTGTTTTGACCCTGAAATCCTGCAAACGCTTAATTCGTATTACCAAAGTACGAGCTCTGTGTTATTTTTTTTTGTCTCTCTTCTCTTTTAATTCCATACTTGATGCGCACAGACCTGGAAGGAAAGTGGAAGCTCTGGTCAATTGGAGTATGTCATTATAACGGAGAATCAACAATCTAAACATCTAATGTAGCCAAACACATGACAATCCGTGAAGGAAATTAAACAGTAAAAAAAAAACAAACTAGTAACAATGTGGCGTGTTTTGTATGATTTTGGTTTTGGGACTGCCCCGCCAATTTACAGCATCGCGCGCAAACGGGTGTCCTGCACCGACGCGCCCGAGAGCTGTTCCCCAAACACCGAGTTGACAATCTCACCGCCACGCACCGCCAGGATGGATAGTAAACTGTCACTGAGACCGTGGGTCTTCTCATTACAACCCTGCAGCCAAATACCTGCATGACGGCTAACCTTGCTATCATCCAGCTGGACCCGGTAGTCGCGGCCGGGGGTCCACACGGCCTGACCGGCAGGTCGTAATCCACGCACCTGCTCCAGCAGCTGCTCGTGCGCATCACGAAGGTATCCAGTAGCCACCATCAGGGCGTCAACTTCCAGTACCTCTTTGCCCTCGTTGTTGCCATCCTTGATCGATTTCACATGCACGCGCATGCGGGAGGCGGGGTTGTGGTGCTCGATGCGGCCAATGGCACGCTCCGAGAGGATACGGTGCTGCCACTGCTTCTCGTCGGGGTTCTGCATCCGCTGCAGGTACATGGTGTTGTAGATCTCCTCAATCAGCTCCAGGCGCACCACCGAGTAGTTAGTGGCCTTCTCAATCGCAATGCGCTTGGCGCGCTCCTCCGCGGGCAGTTGGAAGAACTTGTCCACACGCTCAGGGTTGAAGATCTCGTTGACGCTGGAGAGAGAAATGAGTTAGTTGCTGTAAACCAAGGTAGAGAAAAAAGAAGAAAAAAGAATGGAAGAAAGAGGGCACTGTTGAGTACATACAAGGGAGAGTCGTCACTGGGACGCAGAGCAGTATCACGGAGGATCAGGGTAGTGTTGGAGTTGGGGTACCGCCGTTGTAAATCATGGAAGATCTCAGCGGCACTTTGGCCGCTACCCACGACGGCAATTTTGTAGTTGGCACTGTCGTTCTTGAGTACCGCGGGTAGAGTGGTGCAGTACTTGGACGAGTGCATGATGCGCGGGTCCTGGGGGAAGCCCGGGGGCATCTTGGCCTTACCACCGAGGGCCACAACGACTTTACGAGCTCTCCGGGATGAGATCTCACCAGTCTCGGTGTTGCGGGAGCGAACCACAAAGTATTCCACCACGCCATCAGTGGTATTTCCGGGCACCACCTCCACCACCTCCTCGCCGTAGTTCACAACGTTATCAAATCGCTGCGCACACCAGCGCATGTAGTCCTCAAACTCCATACGAGCGGGCAGGAAGGTTCCCAGGTTGGTAAAGTGGATGAGGCGGTTCTTGTGGTGCAGGTAGTTCAAGAAGGTAAAGCTGCTGCGGGGATCACGGAGGGTAGCCAGGTCCTTGATGAAGGAAATCTGCATGCGCGATCCGGGGACCAGCATACCAGAGTGCCACGCGAATTGCTTCTGGCGCTCCAGGAAGCACACCTTCGGCTTGAAGGAATTGGGAGTGTTGCGGTTCAAAGTCGGGTCCATAGCATCGTGCAAGGCAATACCAACGGCGAGGGAGGCCGGGCCAAAGCCCACACAGAGCAAGTCGTGCAGCTCATCTGCACCACTGGGACGCAGCAACGAGCGCGCCGGAGACGATTGAGTGCGTGACTCCGTCTTGTTGACGAGAGGCAACTCAGCTTTCCGTGTGATAGGCTCCATTATTTGGGTTTGTAATTTTTTTTTTTCTCTGAAGAAAATAAAACAGGAATTGTTGCCCAGATGATTCCCAAAGATTGAACCCGGAGCTACAGAATGGAGCTAAGGAGCTGTGAAGAAAGTAAAAATAAAGTGCAGAATGGAAGAACTGGCAGGTTATGTACAAAGCCAGGTAGCGGGATCTTGGAAGCTCCACTCGGAGATTTCTCTTTCCAGGTAGCAAGAGTCGGATCGAGGCGAACGGAGAGTTGACGTGCCGTACGATACGTTTCGTAGGGTTCCACCACAAGAGAGAAAAAACCATCTACCTCGGAAGCGGATCAGATAAAAAAAAAAATCACAAAGTGGAGTAAACGAGCCACGAGCGGTCTGAGACTTCGGATTAATTGGGGCGTATTATTCCCAAGGTTCCATTTATCAATCAGTATCCACTGAGAAATACACAATTTCGCTTGATGATTTCCTAGCTTTATATATTCACAGATTTGTCTTTTTTTTTTCTAATTTTGTAATTTTTTTTTGGTGTTTTAATTAACTGGTTTTTTTTTTTTTTTTTTTTTTTCTAATTCGGTTCTATACCTTTTAGATCGACTCCACTTGCGCCAGGTTCCTTGCACATGGGGCATGCAATGCATGAAAATAATAATAATCAAAAATCAAAAATAAAACAAATAGCATAAGCCCAGAAACTTTATCCAGATATTCAAAAGAATTAGGGAAATCTCTGCCCGATGTCGGGAAATGGGTCACAGGTACAAGTAGCGGACGTTACCCGCGTAGTGCGCCTGATGGTACCAGAGACCTGATGGCTTGGCAAACGCACTGATCCCGGGTGGAGAAGGTGGTGTGGTTGCAGGAAAATATCTCTGGGGCCTGTAAGGGCTAAGGCTAGAATCTACAAGATTATTGCTTCTTTCTCGTCTATTTTTCCTGAAACGTGGGGTTTCCTAATCAGGAAACCTAGCAAAAATCAAGAACAAAAGCAAAGAAAAAGCATGACGCTTGGACATCACCTGCACAAGAAAACCTAGAGAATGATATGAAGCAAATCAGATATATCTTGAATACCATAGGTCACCGGCGACATGGAATTTGGAAGTATTAGAAAGGTCCATACGAGTAACGTACGTCATCGTACCCACGAACCGGTCATTCAGTATGCAGGCCCACTTAAAGTCCGAGCCCGTTGAGAATAGACGAGGGGGTTTCTACTTAGCAGATAAATAATGGCTTGGATGTACTTCGAGTATGAGACATAAGTCCCATATAGACTATAGCTATCTAGGTCAATAGATCTCTTCATATCCTATGTATCTACCAACCCAAGAGGTATAAGCATAACCACCAAATTCCCCGAACCGCTATGTTTAGCGTTGGAAATTTGATCCTTTTTGGCGCTTGTCTCGGTCATTTGGCATCACCCCATCTGCTACCCGACTTCACAACACCAAACCCCTCTAAGAAAAGGTAATCTCTGCCCATTGGGGAATCCACTTGACTCTCTCCAAACCTCCACCTCACGCCATTTTCCCTTTTCTTTCTCTAATATTCTTAAATTTTGCGGGTTTGTTTTTTTTTTTTTACCATTGCCCCTCCATTCCCCCCCTCACTCTTTCCGCCATCACGGACCTCTCTCGCGATCAACGCTCTGTTCCACTTTAGGCGGCTCCCTCCTGCATAAGACCCTCGGGCCCGAGCAGCCACTCACAGTCCTGCTAATAAGCAATCTATAAGCAACTTTCCATCATGCTCCATTGACCCGTTCCCCCAAAATGATGGATGCACTGGCGCATTTTCCTGTCGTGGATCACGGCGCTGTGCGCGCCATCGTCGCTTGGCCAGTGGAGACGCTTGGTCATTCATTAGAGTTGGCCGCCTGGTCTTGGGCACGGTTGTTGAGCTCCATCACAACCGACCAATCTCCAGTCTTTCTATTGAATGGATCTCTAATCAAAGTAGATTTATTCGCCGAAGCCATTCGGCCAGCGAACTTAGACGCATTATCCAAACTATCTGGACTTTCTACAAAGCTCACCGCGGTGGTCGTGGGCAACGATCCATCAAACCTTCATTTTTCTGTTCCGCTTTCTCCTTCGCTGACGTGGTTCGTGGACCCGACTACTGAAACGAGCACGTTGCATTCTACAAACATGGATGTTGCGGCCGTACATCACTTGGGCACTCGACTCTCCCAGATGGTGCAAGAGCAGGCCAAGTCAGGCACACAGCTAGAACTGTCTGTTTCGGAACTGTCTACCATGTCTATCGCCAATCCATGTCCCTGCACACTACCAGGCCCACAACTACTTCATAACCTAGCCCTGAGTGGTTCAGATGAGTCAGGTCCCAATAATGCTATCGAGTTTCTGGCCGCGGATGGAAACATCCGCTGCCTGTCATACCCTTCTCTGGATCGGCTGTCTTCAAAGCTGGCGGTCGAAATTGCCCATGCTGCGGCTACCCGGTCTGATGGGACGCGCAGGATGGTAGTTCCTGTGCTCCTACCGCAATCCTTGGAGCTGTACATCACCTGGCTGGCCATCCTGAAGGCAGGCGGTGCCTTTTGCCCATTGAACACGGATGCGCCACCAGAACGGATAGAATTTATTCTGCAGGATGTAGCAGCATCGGTGGTGGTCACAAATGGTGCGCTGGTCGCCCGAGTGCCCTCAAACGTGCCGGTGGCGGTGATCAATGCGGATGGGATTGAAGCCGACGAGGCGGATGTCGCACCGCCAGTCGTTCAGGTAGCACCGTCGGATCTGGCGTACGTGATGTATACATCTGGCTCAACTGGTCGCCCCAAAGGCGTTGGGATTTCACATCTGGCTGCCACTCAATCTTTGCTGGCCCATAATGACTTGATACCTCCATTCAATCGATTCTTACAATTTGCATCCCCCACATTTGATGTCTCTGTGTTTGAAGTGTTTTTCCCCTTCATGCGAGGCGCCACCCTCATCGGCTCTGAGAGGGAGAACATGCTCCTCGATATCTCCCATGTGATGACGGTGATGAAAGTCGATGCCGCCGAGCTGACTCCCACCGTAGCGGGAGAGCTGCTGCGTACCCGCTCCGCCGCACCCTCCTTAAGAGTTTTGCTCACGATCGGTGAAATGCTCACTAAACACGTGGTGGAGGAGTTTGGACAGTCGGAATCCTCGGACGGGATTTTGCATGGGATGTACGGTCCAACCGAAGCTGCAATCCACTGTACCGCAGCCATAGGATTCCAGTCCAATGCGCGAGTAAATTTGATTGGGCAACCTTTCAAAACCGTATCTGCCTTTATCATGTCCCTGGAATCCGAAGACAAGTCTACCTCCGAGGAGCTTCAAATACTACCAATGGGCGAGATTGGTGAGCTTGTTGTGGGCGGCCCGCAGCTGGCAGACGGATACATCAATCGACCAGAAGAGAATGCCAAGGCTTTTATTGACAGCCCATGGTATGGTAGACTCTATCGTACCGGTGATAAAGCTCGAATGCTGCCATCGGGTGAGATTGAGTGCTTTGGTCGCATCTCTAGCGGCCAAGTCAAGCTGCGTGGTCAGCGAATCGAACTAGGCGAGATTGAGCATGTCATTCTCAGGGCTTCTGAGGTGCGAAGTGCTGTGGTCATCGTGGGTGGTGGTAGCTTGGCCGCGTTTGTCCTGGTCAATGATAAAAGCCTCACTGACCGCCAACTCCGCGACATCTGTCGCCAACAATTACCTCGCTTTATGGTGCCGGGCGAGTTTATACTACTTGATCAATTTCCCCAGCTCCCATCGGGCAAGATTGACCGTAAGGCACTAGAGGCCGATTTTGCTCGTCGCCGCGCTGATCTCCAGTCTATTGATCAACGGACCTTCCGAGATGAGCTCGAAGAGACTATTGCATCCTGTGTTACCGACGTTCTTGGCAGACAACTTCCGTCAACTGAAAGTCTGGTAGCAGGTGGCCTGGACTCTTTAGCAGCGATCCGATTGGCTTCACATCTCCTGGATGCGGGTATTCGCCTCGATGTAGCTCATTTGCTGGATGCCGACTGTATCGATGGGATTTGGCAGCTTGCGAAAGAAATGGAGACCACAAAGCCAACCGAAGATACGCAGGCCGGTCTTTCCAAGGTTCATGAATTAGTTGCGATTGCCGGTGCAGCCAGGCTAGAATCTCTAGGGTTAAGCTCGCAGGTTATCGAGATCCAACCAAGCACCCATATCCAGCAGGCAATGATACTGGAAACATCTCGACATGCGAAAGCGTACTGCAACTGGATTGAATTGGAGTTCCAATCCTCATCCACATCAATCTCAGTCCAGAGTGCATTCGTCAAATTGCTGGAGCAGAATCCGTTCTTGAGATCTGGGTTTGTGGAAATTGGTCTAAAGGACCACTCATTTGCCCGCTTCACGTGGAAAGCTTTTGATGAAGAGCTTATTCAAAAACGCGATGTCTTTGAATATGACGTATCCCTGCTTACAGAACATGATCTTCTTCATCCTCTTCGAATCCAGTTCAAAGAGACCCAGGACAGTCTACGGGTCCTGGTCCATATTCATCATTCATTGTACGATGGATGGTCCTGGCAATTGATGTTGAAAGATCTTCATCGCATTTTGCTTGGAGAGGAACTTCCTTCTCGGCCTACGTACAATCTGGTGTCAGATTTTTTCATTGAGCACAAATTCAGTGAAAAGACGAACGAATCCTCTCTTTTCTGGCGTGACCAATTACAAGGGTTCTCTCCTACCCCTTTCCCCGATTTCCAAGGGAAGACAGATGTCACACCGAGTACAAGGGAAACCACTCGGGTGCTCAACATTGCCGTGCCAAAGCTTAACGAAGTGTCACAACGTCTGCTGGTGGGCCGGCAGACCATCTTTCAGGCTGCATTTGCGTACATTCTTTCGTTGTATATTGGGTCCCATGATGTTGTGTTTGGTACTGTTTTTTCAGGTCGTACCTTGCCAGTCAAGGGCATTGAGGCAATTATTGGTCCATGTATTCGTACATTGCCAACACGCATGAATCTCGACAAAATGCAAAATGTATCCGACCTTCTTCTCGCAATTCAGAATATGAACCGCAGATCTCTTGAACATGGCAGCCTTCCTCTACAAGAAATCAAAAAAGTTTCCGGGACTGACTTTCATCGGAACCTCTTTGATACTGCCCTGGTGTGGCAAGAAAGTGTCTGGACTAGTGACACTCAAGGTGCGCTGTTCCATGAAGTTGACACGGCAGAGTTCCTGGAGTTTGTTGTCTTGTTGGAATTTGAGCCTAGAGGCGACAAAATCCATGCCAAGGCAACTTACCAAAATTCTGTCTTCCCTCCTGAACAAGCACAAATACTTCTGGAACAGATCGACTTGGTGGCATCAATTCTCATCAATACTCCTACGCTTCCTATCAATGAAGTTGATTACCATCTTCCCCAGTCAAGCTTGTCAATCTTCAACCCCGATCCTGAGACTCAGAGAAATCGGTCAAGCCTTGTCACTGGGGTCGAGACGATTGCCTTTATCGAACCTACTCGAACGGCAATTGAGGTTTTGCTTTCGACAGATGAAAATTGCACCTCGCCAGAAATTCAAAGCATTACATATGGCCAATTGAACTCTCGGGCCAATAAACTTGCCCATTACTTAGTCCAGCAGGGGCTGACAAAGGAAAATTTGGCTGCAATCTACCTCGACAAATCAATCAACTCCTATGTTTCCATGCTAGCAGTCGCTAAAATTGGAGCTGGGTTGTTGCCTCTCACCGAGCGGACATCTTCACAGACGATAGGATCAATTCGAGCAGCTTCGAACGTGCAGCCATGGATTATTCGAACATCTACATCCCCCAATGATGTAGCAGTCTCTTTACATTCAGTTTCTCAGATCTTCCTCCCTGACTCTTTGAGCGATTATCCCGATGACAATCTTCTCACGACTCACGATTCCTTCTATATTGTCTGTGCTGGTGAAAGGCCCACAGGTAACGACTTGATGAGTCTGGCATATCTTTCTCACAATAACCTGCAAAGCCATATCAACATGCTGGCAGATTGCTATCCTACCACAGCGGGATCGAAACTTCTTCAAGCTTCTTCACAGCTCAATGGTATATCTTCTCACTCACTCACTCACACACACTCTCTCTCTCGCTCTCTCGCTCTCTCTCTCTAGTATAGTACAACTTACTTACATGATACAGCCTCGGTAATTGAGTCATTCTTCTCATGGCACATGGGGATTACCCTGTGTGTAGCACAAAATGAAGATTTGGCAGGAATGGCCTGCTCCATAATTAGGAAGATGAACATCACCCATCTCCATTTGACTCCCACGTTGGCCTCTCGCTTGACCCCCGAGGATGTTCCAAGTGTTCGATTCCTGCTTACATCGGGCGAAACATTGACGGCCAAGGTGCGTCGAGACTGGTCAGGCAATGGACTTCATCATGGTAAGCACATATTCCACAAAACCAGACTGCATTAATTTGGGACTAATGATAGTCAAAGGCTACGGCTCTATCGGTTTGGCCGGTGTTTGCACCTTAATTCCCAACTTCCAAAGCTCAAATTCTCTTGCAAATATCGGCGCCCCACTTAGTAACACGTCTGTGATGATTGTATCGGGCGAACCTTCATTAAAGATTGTTCCACGTGGTGCAGTTGGAGAAGTATGCTTCGGAGGAGACCAAGTTGTGAGTTCTGTTTGTCAATATTCAATAGTTCTTCAAATACTAAGTTTCGGAAATAGGGGCGCGTATTTCCTGATTACCATCCTGCGCTCGGTGGGTCTTTCGTAAGTCACCCGCAATTTGGCCGATTCTACAGAAGTGGAGATCATGGTAGGTTTCTTCCAGATGGATCTATTTTGGTGGCTCCCTGGCATGACCAGACCGGATTGAAGGACCAGTTTGCTGCCTTTGAAGAGACTGACAATGCCATTATCTCTTCGGACTTTGTCGAAGATGCCGTGAGCATGATTTTGAGCAACCCTCTCACTAATCAGCAGCAATTGATAACTGCCTGGGTGCCTTCGAAACATTTCAAAGACCCATCCGACTCTGAGAATCTTGCCCTTGCAATCAAATATCTTTTCGAGGAACTCAGCAAAAAGCTTCCAACATCTGCAGTTCCTTCTCTTCTTGTTCCAATGGACAGATTGCCTATGACAGAGTTTTACATGACGGACTATACAAGGATTCGGGAATATATTGGAAGGATGAGTCTAGACAGACTCTCGACCTTCTCCTGCAATGGCGCCCACGAATCTGATGCCGATTTTACTGACATTGAGAAGACCATTGCAATAGCTCTGTCAGCAGTGACTGGACTCGACCAACAGAGTATCGGCAGAAGCACATCCTTTTATAGGCTGGGATTGGATTCTCTAAGTGCCATTTCTTTGTCGCGAAAATTACAAGATTTAGGCTGTGGAAGACTTGCTGTGTCTACAATCCTGCGCCATAGCTCTGTTGCACAGTTGGCCACTGTTGTTCCTGGGATGACCAATGGTCACAAACCTACGCAGCCGACCCCAAAAACCCACTCCACTTTCGCCTTTGATGAAAATTTCACTGCTGGAATAAAAGATGGTTTCCAGAATGAGGGCACTTCTGTCCAAGGCATTTACCCATGCACGCCGCTACAGGAGGCAATGCTAGCAGCCGAATCTGATACAAACTCGGCGTACTTCAACCATATTTTGCTTCGCGTGAACACGAATATTAGGGACTTGGAAAACGCATGGGATCAGATGTTGCATCGGCATGATATTCTCAGAACTTGCTTCAGGTCGACCAATGACAAGCAATTCGCATTTGCACAGGTCGTCCTAGACAAGGCAAACCTACCTTGGTCTTGTGTGGAAACATCCTCCCACGAGCTCAGTGAGGACGTTTTGAAAAGAAAATTGGAGTTTGAGCGTCAGTCACCAGTCAATGGCAAGCTTCCCTACTCATTGACTATCCTCACAGAGGACTCGGCACAAAGGGCCCATCTCCTGCTGTCAATTCACCACGCCTTGTATGATGGAGAAGGCATAGCGAATTTATTGCAGGATCTCGAACTTGCCCTTGCGGGCCAAACACTGCCGAAGACCACGCCCTTCCACAGGTTTATCGAATATATGGCCTCCGCTAGTTCTGATGAATCTGACAAATTTTGGGATCGCTATCTAGCCGGTGTGACACCAATACTCTTACCCACCCTCAAGGGATCTCAAGGCTCAACAGATTCATCCGCCTCAGAGCAGGTCCATCTGATTGTCAGTAACTCTCTCGCCTCTTTCAAACAGCAGTGCAAAGGACTCTCTGTGACCCCTTTGAATATTTTCCATGCTGCTTGGGCAAGATTACTAGCTTTGTGTTCCAACTCGTCAGATGTCTGCTTTGGCAATGTGTTCGGATGTCGAACCATTCCCCTGGATGGTGTGGATAGGATAGTTGGGCCCTGCTTTAACACACTTCCCATGCGAGTCAGGCTTTCCCAAACTTCAACAAATGCGGATATCATGAAGCTATCCCAGAAACACAACAGTGATATTTTGCCTCACCAGCTTACCTCTTTGCGTCGCATCCAAAGGCGCTCCTTGTATGGGGGCTCTCAGCTCTTTGACACTCTGATCATTCTTCAGCAGAGTAAAACGGACTTGGATCCGCGTTATTGGGAGCTTCTTCAAGATGAAGGAAACATGGGATTTCCTCTAATCTGTGAAATTGTTCCTGATGAGAAAGAAAACAACATTTCGATGTGTCTCCATTTCCATACATCTTTCCTGACGCAAGATGTGGCAGAAAACCTTGCAAGAGGCTTCTTGGCTCTCGTTGAGCACACCGTGCGATATCCATTCGCACAGGCTTCCGACAAGGGGTCAGCAAGCATCACTCAACTATTCGAAACAAGAAAAAGCCGGAACGACGTTTCTACTCAACACTCTTCGGATAAGCTACAGACAGCTCGCCCATGGTCTGATCAGGAAGAGACACTCCGACATATTGTGTCCGATTTTACAGGTACCAATACGGAAGCTGTTTCATTGCATACCACCATCTTTCAACTTGGGCTCGACAGTATCCATGCTGTTCAAATTTCGGGGAGACTTCGCAAACTGGGATATAAGATATCAGCAGGTGATATTCTCGAGGTGATTCTTTTTCCTTCAAACCAAATAGGGCTGTTTATAACCAATTTACCAAAAATAGGCTGCTTCAATTGACAAGATTGCATCGCTCCTCATAATTGGAGAGAACGAGACCCAGAATGAAAAGTTTGACTTTGCATCGTTTGAAAATCAACATCTTCAATCCGTCTGCGAGCAATTTGGCATTGCTTCCCACACAGTGCAGGCTTTGCGACCTTGCACGCCTGTTCAGAATGGAATGTTGGCCCTTTTCACCAATTCTCATGGCAAAACATACTTTAATCGCATGTCATTGAATTCCTCGGTGCCGTTGAGCAATGCGACATTGAAGAAGGCTTGGACCAAAGTTGTTGCTCAACATGAGATGCTACGGACTGGTTTCGTTCAACTGCGTGATCCGCAATATCCGTTTGCCATGGTTACCTACAAAGAAGATATTGAAATCCCATGGAAGGAGGTAACAAAATCTACTACAGATAAGCACGATGATCAAGAACAACGAGTCCTTGACAGCCTTTACCGACCCCCGTGGCAGATTACCATTGAGACTTCTGAGGAAGTAGCCACTGTGACTTTCTCTGCACTTCATGCTCTTTATGATGCACAATCTCTTGAGACAATCTTCTCCGATGTGATGACAGCATATGAAGGGAAACGACTGGCCGAAGCTCCTTCAATTGAGACCACTCTTGGTCCCATTTTAATCGAAAGCAGCCAAACCCAAGCCGCAAAAGAGTTCTGGAAAGGACTGGTTACAGAAGTGCACCCATTCAAGTTTCCAGACTTGCATCCTATTCGCATAGAAAGTAAAAAGCTTTTGAGCAACTCTATTCGCTCCTCGCAGACGACTGAGGCCCTTGAAGCTCAATGTCGTGACGTTGGTGTTACATTGCAAGCAGCTGGGCAAGCAGCATGGGCCCGGCTTCTCGCTGCGTATACAGGTGAACAAAATGTCACTTTTGGTACTGTTCTTTCTGGTCGCAATCTATCGGAAGCATCACAGAATGCAGTATTTCCATGTCTGGTGACCGTTCCGTCTCCTCAGCGCGTCGAAGGAAGCAATCAGGAACTATTGAACCGCATCTTGAAGAGAAACGCGTCCTTGACCAAACATCAGTTCACACCACTTGCACAAGTCCAACGCTGGCTTGGAAGCGACGAGCCTCTATTTGACACACTTTTTGTCTACCAAAAGTTCAGTTCGCCTTCAAGTGGCTCCAAACCCTGGAACGTCATTGACGAGGAGACAAGAATCGATGTATGTTTACCGATTGGTCGACAATATGGCTTCATGATTATTATGCTTACTTGACCAGTACCCCGTATCCATTGAACTGGTCCCATTATCAACCGGTCTCGAGATCCGAATCAGCTACAGAAACGACATTTTCCCCCAGGATCAAGCCATGCTTCTTTTGAATCAGTACGACAAGCTATTGGAGCAGACACTTTTCTCTCCAGAATCTAGCTCGGATGAGTATCTGTTCCTTGAGAGCCAGTTTCTCTCCATAACTCCTGCCAAGGAGAAGACCTTGCCTACATCAGTGTCTTTGTTGCATCAATTTGTTGAGGACAACGCCACCAAGATCTCAGAGAAGACTGCATTTGAGTTTGCATTCGGTGTTGACGTAGACAACCTCCAAATGAAGACTTGGTCTTACCGGCAATTGAATGAAGATGGTAACCGAATTGCCAATTTCTTGCAGAGCAAGGGCGTTAATCCAGGTGGAATGATTGCAATTTGTTTCGATAAATGTCCCGAGGCGTCCATCGCTATACTAGGCATTCTCAAAGCTGGCTGTGCATACTTGGCCATCGATCCATCTGCTCCTATCTCTCGCAAGCAGTTCATCGTGGAAGATTCAAATTCCAAAGTTCTGCTTTGCAGTCTGTCGAAAAAGCTGGAGCTCCATGACCTGTCTGGTGTGGAAATTCATGCCCTAGATGAGCCTGGTGTATACCAGAATTTCCCCAGTGGTCCTCCTGTGCTTTCACGCAAAATAAAGCCAAATGACACATGCTATTGCCTGTACACATCAGGAACGACCGGCACGCCAAAGGGCTGTGAAATTACTCATGACAATGCCGTGCAGGCTATGCTAGCGTTTCAAAGACTGTTTTCGCCACACTGGGATGAAGACTCTCGCTGGCTACAATTTGCGTCCTTTCATTTTGACGTCAGTGTCCTTGAGCAGTACTGGAGCTGGAGTGTTGGAATCTGTGTGACTTCTTGTCCGCGCGATCTGCTGTTCGAAAATTTGCCAGGAACGATTCAAAAGCTTCAAATCACACACATTGATTTGACACCCAGCTTGGCAAGATTGGTGCACCCAGATGAGGTTCCTTCCCTCTGTCGCGGAGTATTTATCACTGGCGGAGAAGCCCTGAAGCAGGAGATTCTTGACGCCTGGGGCCACCATGGCGTTATCTACAATGGATACGGTCCAACCGAAGTCACCATCGGATGTACCATGCTTCCCCGGATGCAGGCCAATGATAAGCCCTCAAATATTGGACCCCAGTTTGACAATGTTGGCTCCTATGTTTTCCGTCCTGGAACATCAACGCCTGTTTTGCGCGGTGGTCTTGGCGAGCTTTGCGTCTCTGGTCCACTTGTTGGAAAGGGGTACTTAAACAGAGCAGAGCTGACGAAGGAGCGATTCCAGGACTTGTCTGAGTTTGAAGATCGCATCTACCGAACAGGCGATTTGGTCAGGATTTTATCTGATGGCAGTTTCCAATTCCTCGGTCGAATTGATGATCAAGTCAAGTTACGCGGGCAACGACTTGAGATTGGAGAGATCAATGAAGTCATCAAACAAGCAACGCCCGAATTGAATGAAATTGCTACGCTGGTTGTCAAGCATCCCAAGCAGTCCAAAGACCAGCTCGTTTCTTTTGTCACCAAGGTAGGTGCCGATAAGAAATCTCGTTCAGTGGAAATTGACACCTCCAATCACATTGGATTTTTCCTGTCAACCATCAAGGCGGCTTGTCATGCACGACTCCCAGGATATATGGTGCCAACACATATTATCCCACTGACTCGGTTTCCTCTGTCTGCCAATAACAAGGCCGATATGAAGGTCTTGAAGAGTCTTTACCAAGAACTTTCTCTGGATGAGATCCAAGCATTGACTGCGATGGTTGTCGACCAAACAGTGAAAAGTACATACGAAGAGAATATCATTGCTGTGCTATCGGACTTCATTGGATCCACAGACTTGGTCATCTCGTCGTGGTCAAGTATTTACGAATTGGGCCTTGATTCCATCTCTGTGATTTCCTTTTCTAGGAATCTCAGAGAGGCCGGCTTCCCCAATGCTCAGCCATCCTTGATAATGAAGTGTAAGCTCTCCACCTTTCCATTATCTAATCCCTATCTGACCCCTCTGGAGATCCCACGATTGCCGCCATGGCCTCGGCTATACAGGAAATTACAGGCAGCGCCTCGTCAATGAACAATCTTCACCAAAATTCAAAGCAGGTCATTCAAGCCTTTGCTCACAAGCATTCACATTCCATAATCGCAAGCATCGGCGTGATTGAAAGCGACGTCGAACAGATTGCGCCTTGTACGCCGCTCCAGGAAGGAATAATCTATCATTTCCTGTCGAGCGCTACACCCATGTATTGCTCTTCTTTCAGCTTCGAATTAAACTCAAACATTGATTTGGATAAACTAAAGGCAAGTTGGGAGCAGGCGCAAAGCCAAGTTCAAATGTTGCGCGCTCGATTCTCACCCTCGTCGGATGGTTATGCTCAAGTCATTCTCAAAAGAGATATGATTCCTTGGTTCCACACGAAAATTGCCTTTGAGGGGACAATCGAGGATTCCCGGAAACAGCAAATTGATCGATGGACCTCCGATCTTGGCGGTCATTTTTCAAGACTTTGGGAGGTGGGAGTAATTACCTCTCCCGAGAAGTCGACAATGTGCCTCAATATGTTTCACGCTCTATATGATGGCAACAGCTTGGGTCTTCTTCTTAACCTGGTTGCTGATATTTACCACTGTCAATCGATAGCTCTTCAAAGACCTCTACAGTTCTTTGATATATTACATCTTGGGCCTCTGTGCAAAGATCCTGCAGCAGAGTCTTTCTGGAAAGAGCATCTTGCAACTTGCCAGATCCGCCCTCTGTCAAATTCAGAAGAAGAGCCAAAAACCTCTTTCGTGAAGACCCTCGATATTGCTACCACAACCCACCTGGATCATCTGAGAAAGTCCCTCAACACCACTGATCAAGCCATTCTTCATGCCTGCTGGTTGTTGACGCTTCACCGGCAGTTTGCCTTTGTCCCGCCACTTGGTATTGTTGCTTCTGGTCGCACGATTGATATTCCTGGAATTGAAAATGTCATTGGTCCTTTGTTCAATACAATTCCAAGCAATGTACAGCTTCGCGGGCTCAGGACATGGGCAGAGGCCGCTCAGCGGTGTCACGAATACCACGTTTCTACGATGAGATTCCAATCCACTGCCCTTCGTGACATTGTGAAATGGCTCGGAAGGATACCCGATGAGCCCCTCTTTGATTCGCTCTTTGTTTTCCAAAGGCACAATGCTGATGAAGACTCGTCAGCGCGTAGTCTGTGGAGTCCGATCGACTCGGAGGCCGAGCATGAGTATCCGTTGGCGTTTGAAATTGTGCGCCATGGCAACAAATATCTCAACTTAACTCTTGCTGCAAAGAGCCATGCTGTGTCTTCGGAGACAGCCCAAGAACTACTCTCGAACTTTGAGCAGGTCTTGTTTGAATTTGCACAAAATCCCAATCATGAAATGCCTTATCTCAACGGAGTTGCAGAACACCCTCAAGCTCAGAACAACGGAGAATCCAAGTATCAAGAAAGTCACAATCATCTTGGGAGTGAATCTGCATTCCAGTGGACTCCACAAGCTTGCAAAATTCGCGATGTCGTTTCAAGTCTTTCCGGGGTGGATGCAGCTTCAATCCGAGGAGAGACATCTATATTTGAGGTTGGCTTGGACAGTATTGATGCTATAAAGTTGTCGTCTAGGCTGAGCAAAGTGGGAATCAAGCTTCCTGTTAGCATCATCATGCGTGGCCGCACAGTCAAAGCTTTGATCAGTGAACTGGCTGTCCCAACCCATGAGGAGCAGAATGGCACATATCCATTATTGGGTCAAATCGAACGATCTCTGACAAAGTTCCTTGAGAAGGAAAACCTTTTACCTCGAGGTGCCTGTCGAGTTCTCCCAGCTACTCCAATTCAAGAAGCTATGGTGGCAGAGATGGCTGCTTCTGGATATAAATTTTACTACAACCATGAGGTTCTCAAATTAGAGCCGCAGGTCGATCGCACAAAGCTACAGGAGGCGTGGACCTCTGTTGTTAAAACTCACTCCATCCTACGTACATCGTTTGTTGAGGTTTGGGATCCCGAGATACCCACTTCATTTGCTCAGATCGTTCATAGTGAGGATACTTTCGATTTCCAAACTGTGCATCTGGATGGATCACCAGTGGATTCTATTATTGAATTACAGCGCAAGAGAGCCTTTACCGAACTCGCGAACTTGCCGCTTCTGACAGTCACTATCGCCATCGATGGGGATGATCATTATCTCATTTTGTCTATTGCACATGCTCTGTACGATGGCTGGTCAATCAACCTGCTACATGAGGATGTGATTAGATCCTACTCCGGAGAAGATTGCACTCGTCCATCTGCTGATTCGATTTTGGAGCAAGTCCTCGTATCTTCGGGAGAACAGGCTTCCAACTTCTGGAGAGCAGCACTGTCTAACTGTATGCCAGTCCCCTTCCCACCAGGCAGTCATTCAGATGCAGCTTCGAGTGTGGTCCACCGTGCAGAGAGGCCTCTATCTGTATCGTCCGAGAGGGCCAATGCCTTTTGCAGGCGTAATGGCATCACCATGCAAGCACTTTTGGTAAGCTGCTGGTCCCTTGTTCTGGCTACACATGTCAGAAGGCTGGATGTTGTCTTTGGCCTAGTTTTATCTGGTCGCAACGTCGCAGATTCAGAGGATGTGATGTTCCCAACCATGAATACTGTGGCCATGCGTGCCATTCTACATGGTACCCGTCTGGAAATGGTCAAGTATGTCCAAGAGACATTGTTGGAGATCTCCGAGTACCAACATTTCCCGCTGCGACGTGCTAGACCTGACACCACATCGCATCAACTTTTTGATACGCTTTTCATCTACCAGAAAAGACCGTCCGGAGGTGAACACGCCGGGCAAGCTCTCTACAAATCTACTGGAGCTGGTGCATCAGAGGTCGAATACCCGGTCTGTGCGGAGGTAGAAAGTGTTGGAGAGAGCCTCGTGGGTCGAGTGGCTTGTCGCGGCAGTGTGCTTGGAGAACAAGATAGCCTGGACTTGCTAGAACATATGGCACATGTCTTGTTAGCAATTGTGGATGAGCCAGCCCAACAGACCGTTAATTTCAGTGGAGAGGCCATGAATATTTGTGGCTACCTGGTCTCCCAAAAATACTCTGTTCAAGAAGTGGAAGCCGGAGCACCGCATCAGGAGTCTGGTCCACGGCAATGGTCACTTATCGAGTCAAAAATCCGCAACGTCCTTGCCGTTGTCTCCGGGGTGCCTGAGAACACAATTGATCCGAAGGCCAATATCTTTCAGCTCGGCTTGGACAGTATCAGTGCCATCAAGGTCGCTGCACTTTTAAAGAAGCAATCAGTGAGGTTGACTGTCAGTGACATGCTCAAAGCAGGCACGATTGAGAAGATGGCGGCAGCAGTGGACACCAATTATGCGGACCTCACACCAATGGAGATTGCCAATGCCCTTGAGGAGTCGCTCGTTGACATTGAAACTACACCACTGCTTCAGTCCTGTGGTTTTGAATTGGATCAAGTTCAACAAATAATTCCTGCTACAGCTGGACAGACCTACTTCCTGGCAATGCATTCCTTGAATCCCAAAGTGTTCTATCCCAAGTTCCTTTACTTGTCTTCAAGGCAATTGAGCCCGGAGATTCTTGACAATGCATGGTCTCGTCTTAAAGAGCAGACTCAGATTCTTCGAACGGCGTTCGTTCCTACCAATGATGCGCGGTTGCCTTACGTCCAGGTTATCTTCCAATCGGATCAAATTCCTGTGCTTTGGCATGAAGCACTCGACGATCAGCTTGCCGCCGCAAGTGCTGATCGGGAGTTTGGTTCGGTGCCAGTCGCTCTGCATGCCTGTCAGACTAGTGAGGGCACGGTGGTTACCTTGAAGATTCACCACGCTCTCTACGATGCAATCAGTCTGCCATACATGATGGATGAACTTGCCCAGCTCTGCGACAACATGCAGACCCAATCAAAATCCGAGTCTCGCGACATTTCCCATCTCGTGGCCGTTCAGCACGTTCATTCGCCCGTTAGAGTTCGGCGCCTATTCTGGGAAAAATACCTGGACCAAATTGCAATCCGGGGGAGTGAAAGTCCACAATTGAGTGAGTTCGGCGCTATTCAGCAACACTACCGACCGGGGCTCGTCCCGAACATGTCTCAGATTGAGAAGGCCGCGAAGCTTCAGGGCCTCAGTGTCCAATCAATTTTCCTGGCAGTGTATGCTCGATTGCATGCCCAGACTTTCAAGAGTTCTGATGGTCTTGTGGTTGGACTGTATCTCGCCAATCGTTCGTTCGTCACAGAGGGGCTATCCGAACTTGTTGCTCCTACTGTCAATATTGTTCCACTGCGCCTGGACAACAAATTCCACAGGACTGACAACTCGCTCTTTTCTGCGGCCAAGAAGATTCAGGACGACATCAATCTGATCAGTATGGTTGAGCATTCTTGTGTATCTCTAGTGGAGATTGCTGAATGGACCGGGGTCCGCATCAATACTTGTATCAACTTCCTGCGTCTGCCTAATGTGGAAGACTCCACCAGCACCATCACCGACCGGGTGACCTTCAAGTCTATTCCATATGAAGACTTTGAAAAATCCAATGGGACCAAGCTTTGCAAAGCCGCTTCGTCCTTGGCCAATGGTGACACTACAGTGCCCGCTTCCACGCAATCAATGCGGGTCGCTGCTTCAACGGCGTCTATGAAAGACGTATTCTTGGTAAGTGACCTATCCTGCTCCAGAATTGGTTACAAGCGGACACTAATGCAATTGCGTACAGCCTACGATCGACGTGGAGGCAGCCATCCGAGAGGACCGATTGGACTTTGGACTCTTTGCCTCAGATTCTCGACTGGGTCATGACACTGCGATCCAGATGATTGAGAGAATGCAGCAGGACATGAAAGCCCTAGCTGAAGAAGCTCAATGATATCCTGGAAATAGCGACCAGTATCCCGAGCGAGGGGCTTCGTCGCCCTGACAATCTTTTATTTTCATTTCCCATTTCTTGTTCTTCTTTCTCCGTTTTCCTTTGTTTCCAAACTGTCTCCTTTCCTGTGCATATATTGCTTTTGTGGAGTTTTGGATGTGTTCGCTTTCAATAAATCATAAATCGTCCGTTGCATAGAAACCCGAGGGGCCGTATACAACGGGACCCACGGGACGGGACGAGCGGATCCCGACATATGGCCCCCGCTAAGCATAGAGCATTGTTGATACCATATAGATACTCCGTACCAATTTCATGACTTCAGATGACCAAATAGGATCTTGGGCTCTCAACATACCACTTTTAGATACGTATGTGTTGCAAGTCCAGAATAGATGTGACCACTGCGGAATGGCCGAGATCTTGCCGATTCCTATAGATCATATGAATGGGACTGATGGATCAGATGAGCCATGGCGAGACATCGCCAGAAATGGACTAGGTGACTTTTGGGGGACTCATGGGTGCCACCTTACGCAAGGGAGACTTCGCGTGGTTCAACAAGTGGAAGATGAACTTGGTAAGTGGGGTCATTTGCCCTTGGGCACATAGAGTTTTGCTGCCTTCTACTATTGATTGGTTTTAGTCAAGGACATTTAATTTGGGGGGTTTTAGAGGTGGTATGGGGGACTTTGGGGAACATTTGGGGGCTTTGTTTATCTTCTCATCTAACTTCATGTCTTTTGTTTATTTGTATTATTATTTTTGGGGATTATCTCTCCAGGAACTAGCGAATCGGGGAATCGCATGGACCACAATGGGTGACTGAGGTGGCGTTGTACAGTTGGGCGCAGGGGCGGAACTCGGTTAACATGCATGATCAAAAACTCACGGACTCGCACAAGATCTCGAGCAATTACTATTCAAACACAGAAATTTATTAATTTTTATCCATGATACCCTGTCTTGTTTGTACTACAAGTCTTGAGCCCCAGTATACACTTACATAATCCCTTGTTTATGTCACGACGCGTCGCTCCCCGCCGCTAAACCACTTTAGGTATCGGGGATCAACAACGCGGCGCGTTGGACTCTTACTTCATCCCATTTATCCTCTTCCAACCTCCCCAGTCGACACATTCCTCGATCTCCCACTCCTTTGGTATCGCCCTACATCATTTCGACTAATTAATCTCGAAGCTTCTCCTCGATCTTTCACAGCCACATTCTTCGCGCCCCCTCAGCAACCCCACGCGTGGGCTGATCGGATCACCACGAATTCCTAAACGAGGGGGATCTACCCCTTACGCTTCCGTTCTTCCTTGAAACACTGGGTGAAGAATCCTGCCTTCGACATTCGCCCTACCAGTATCCCCTCGAGGCTATCGACATCATTTGCGCGGCCCAAGAACCGGATGTCCGTGTGTTCGATCTGAAACATTCCTGCGCGTCTTTTCTGTTAGATCCAAAGTGTACGTCTAGGGACCACACCTGCGGCGCGTGTTTGTTGCGACTCCCCCGCGCGTGATCACAGTTACAAGCCCACGGAATTCCTTGAACCTAGCAATGCGTGGGTGAATGGCCAGCTGCCTTTCCCACTCTTCGGTTCCAAACTTTGCCACTTTTCTTCGCGGCTGCGCCTTTCTAGCATTCCAATAATCAGAAGAAGGGTGCGTGCCTTATTCTACTGGGCACCCTTTTTCCTGACTCAATCCCCCCCTCGAAAGGACTCGCGGTATTTTCCCTCCCGTCGCGTCACGAGCGCCGTGGAGGGTTGGGGTTCTCTCAATCATCAAATAATTCCTTCAGATATCGAACGCGCTGGACGGTAACAGGTATAGTCACTCATTTGGAGTGCAGGTGAAGAAGGCAAGAACAGAGATCGCCATATCTGAGTTGGATCGACTTTCATTCTGGGATTGTTGTGCGGCACGTTCAGCACAACATTCCCCAATTATGGTTGCGACCTTTTCGCCGCACCGGGACTCGGGCGGCACCCTTCACCTTTCATCGCACTCGGGGATTCATCACGTCGATGCTAGCTCTGCAATTCGCCAGCTTCGGCGCTCATTGTCGCGCTCACCTTCGAAGAGTTCCAACTTCTTTCTCAGCACCCGCTCTCACTCACCCTCAAAAACCACCTCACCATACGTGTCTTCTCCGCTGTCGCCCTCGAGGCGATCACAGCACAATTTCTTTCTTTTACCATCTAATCAGCAATCTCCTCTCGCCGTGCCATATCCCCCCAGCGCGAAGGTTACGCGGCCGGCCATGCGACGGCGAACTTCACCCCGTAGCCCCGCTAAACGCGCTTTGACGGTGTCAACAGACGGTGGGAACGCGACTCCATCCCAGCCGATCGCCATGCACTCAGGAGAAGAAAATGATTTAACACTTGATGATCTAGCTGGGCCGATGGAAAGTACCACGCCCGAAAGTCCGTGTCATCTGAACATGCCTCCTGCAGTGCAGAGCGAAACGACTTTTGCGCCTCGCTCAACCCTCTCTCGCATTGAAAAGCGGCGAAGTGGGACATTTGGTTCGTTCGCTACTGTGAGTCCGCTCAAACGAAGTGACGGTATCATGAACCTGGACCAAGCATCGCGAGGGAGCCCCTCTGCGAAGCGACGCAGTGTTCACACGCCAAACTTTTCGACAGACTTCAGCATCTTCGACAATGACCATGGCAGTGCGCCTGCAAGCCCATCTACCATCGAGGCCTCGCCTCACCCGAATCCCATTCAGCCCTTCAGTCCGTTTGCGACTATCCCAAAACGCTCGTCATCGCTCAGACGATCCACATTACAGCAACGACAAAGCGATAGACCCCTCTTCGGGCGTCCCAGGGGAGCAGGTGAAGGCGAAACATTACCTGGTACCCCTTTGGCAGTGCGTCCACGGATGTCATTTGATAGCGGCCTGTTTGAGGCTGGTCAAGAAAACCTCTTCTCCCCTCGCCCTCCAGCTAGCCCACTCTTCTCCGCAAACCCTACAACCACTACAACTACCACTACCACTACCACTACCCAACCTCCTCGCCCTACTGCTCATCCACTCTCCCGGACCATTACTCAGTCATCCTCTGGCTCAAGTCTTGATGACTCGCCAACCCATGAGGCCGTCCACAAGCCTGAGCGGCCACGACAGCTCTTCAATTTCTCCAAGTCCCTTCCTGCTGGTGCTACTCGGCCTGCTCCTGTGCGCCGTATAACGCGAGAAGATTCAAGTGGATCCGGAGAATCATTTGCGACACCCGAAAACTATAAACTGGTTAAGCCTTTGCCAGCGGCCTTCATGTCAACGGGACTGATCTCGAAGAAAAACCGCAACGCAGAGGAGCCGTCGAGCTTCAACAAGAACATGCCCGATACTCCGTGCAAACGACCTGTTAACCTTTTTGCTTCTGGGATGAACGGGTCTTTTAACAAGGCTCCGCCTTTTCAAGAATCAGAGGCTGTGTCTCAATCCCCCTTCAACCCTCCAGCCTCAACCGTGCGGCCTAAACCGGGTCCTTTTGCCCGGGGTATGGGTATCTTTGGTAATACTTTCAATCGACCAGAAGCCTCGCGCCGAGGAAGCTTCGTGAGCGTCGATGGGGATGATGTTCAGGCTCAGTCCCCATCTTCGCGTCATGACAGCCAGCCATTGACTGATTCCGATTTCCCTCCAACTCCCACAAAACAAACATTCCTCCCCTCCCGTACCTATCCTCCTGCTACTTCCCAGATTGGGCCTTTGGAGCGTCTTTCAGAAACAAGGACTTCTACCAACTCGACACCTTTGCGTGAAAGATTTCTCCAGGCTTCACCTCACACTCCTCGCGACCAATTCTTCCCCCCGGACCCAAGTGGATTATCAATCTCAGTGCCGAATGATGCGCAACCACTTCCATTTGACTTTGGTAGTAGTCTGAATCTACCTGCCACGCCAACTGGTCCTCGAGACTCCTTGCTTGCTAGCAAGCGCCCCAGCCTCCAGCTCAGTGGTTTCCATACGCCAGATGTGGACCCTAGTCTGACCATGCGGTTCGACAAAGTCGAGCTTGTCGGCACAGGTGAATTTTCTCAGGTCTACAGAGTCGCTCAGCCTCACGATGCGTCATTCCCTTCGATGTTCTCTCTTCCGTCAAGTGGCCCTAAGTCCCCAAGCGCTCTCCCTCAACACCAAGTTTGGGCTGTCAAGAAGAGCAAGCAACCCTACCTGGGGCTGAAAGATCGCGAGCGCCGTATTCGGGAGGTTGATGTGCTGAAGACATTGATCAACTGTGACCACATTGTTTCCTTCATGGACAGCTGGGAAGACAATGGTCATCTCTATATCCAAACCGAGTTCTGCGAAGAGGGAAGCTTGGATGTTTTCCTGGCTCAGGCTGGCCTCAAGGCCCGATTGGATGATTTCCGTATCTGGAAAATTCTCCTTGAAATGACCCTTGGATTGAAGCAAATCCACGATGAAGGTTTTATCCACCTCGACTTGAAGCCTGCCAACATCCTCGTGACATTTGAAGGTGTTTTGAAGATTGGAGACTTCGGCATGGCCACACGCTGGCCTGCAGAGGATGGCATTGAAGGCGAGGGCGATCGGGAGTATATTGGTCCTGAAATCCTGATGGGCCGCTTTGATAAGCCAGCGGATATTTTCTCGCTGGGTCTGGTCATCTTTGAGATTGCTGGTAATGTAGAGCTTCCAGACAACGGAGCATCTTGGCAGAAGCTCCGAAATGGGGACATGAGCGACGTCCCCAGTCTGACCTGGAGCTCAGAGACAACCATTTTCCGCGACGCATCCGGGAACCCTGTCTCCGATGGAGCTTCTTTCGAAGAGCTCTGCGCATCTGACTTGGGTGACGATGACTTCGGTGACAGCTTCCTCACCAGCCGGAAGCTGACCACGCCTAAGCCAACCCATCTCGCCAGGAGTGGGGAGCTTGTGGACCCGCCTAGCTTCATGGTGGATGCCAACCATCCCCAGGCCTTGGATAAGCTTGTCCGTTGGATGATTTCCCCCGAGCCACTTGATCGGCCTACAGCCGATGATGTTTTAGCCGCTTATGGGCTCCAGTTTGTGAACCAGCGTCGTCGTGCCGGAGCCACGGTCTTCGAAGGCAACTGGGGTCCCGCCGATGAGATCTTGGCCGAAGATGCCGAAATGATCGATGTGTAATCTATTCCTTCTTTTCTTCCGATGTGCATATGGGGGGGTGTTCTGTGTTTTCACGACCTATTTCCTTTGTTACTCTTATTCCCGGGTCCTGATTTCGACTCTTTCGCCATTCATTTTTCATGCCACACGCCTTCCGATCACGACTATTCTTTGCTTTTTTGTGCCCCTCAGCCCTCATGACCCCGTGGAGTTAGCAAAGGGTCCAATACCCTGGTGTTTCAGCGCGGTGTTCTCCCTCGTTTCTGCGGCGTTTTCCTGTTTATTGGTTTTCCTTTGTATTCATTCATTGCCTAGCATTATCAGGTGCCACAAATGTATCACCATCCCAACGCATTGGGTGTTCTCGAGAGATGGCCTTGAGCCGTATCATCAAGGGTGCTCTTCTGGCGTATTTGTGTTTTCAATGGATCTGATCTCTTGCATTGAGGTTTGGGGTGTTCGCCTGTTGGCAACATGGTCCATTTGGCCTTAGGACGTTCAGCTCCTAGTGGGCTTGATCTTGAGCGTTTTGCTCTATTTTTTTTCTTTTGACATCTTGTTTCATGATGAATGATTGCCCACCATGGCTGTTGGATTAGCGAGAATCTTCTGTACTTTTGATTCCATGTGTGAATAATCAGAAAACGAGATGATGATATCTTGAAACTTTCCATATTTATAAGCTGGTATTTTCAGATGCGGGCTTGTATAGTGTGTATATGATATGAAAACAAGTCCCAGCCTCTTCCTAGTCCATCGAATATTGTAAAAAGATTTTGATACCTTCAGAGCTGTGTACCCATGGATGTACATATTCTGTGCTGTGACTGCAGGCCCCCGGGGTGTGACTGCCAGGTGGAAGGTTGTATATATATATCTATGGTGCACACTAATTGCCACCGCCTTGGAACTCAACCTCCGAAGCTCCGCAACCTTCATCTCCAACTGCGTCTTCCGTTTGAAACGATCTACTATTCCCCCTTTTCTCCTAAATCTGCCACTCAGAATTCCTGCGCACGATGTGCCGTGACACTTAAAATCCATCGACTACTGTCTCCATCGACCGGACCATCATCTGTCGAACTCCCATCCTGCGTGTCCACCATGGATAACAAAACCTTCGTTTCGGATTCTCTGATCCGCCTGACGGGCGCATCAGACCCGATCTCTGTGGACTTTGTGCTTGCCGAAGCTGGCTCAGCCAAATCTGCATCTTCTCTTCAAGACAAACTGCTCTCCTTCCTCGATGGCAGTCCCGATGAGATTGGCGCATTCTGCAGCCAGCTCTTTTCGCGCGCGGGGAAAGCACCACCTACTAACACCTCGACCGCCCAAAGCATAGCAAGCAAGGTATCTACAAAGAAAAAATACAGCATGGTCGATATGGGCGAAGACTTTGATTCCGAGCCGGGCCTGGGTCCTGTCAATGTCGAAGCTGAGCGCGACCGACGACGACGACGAGAAAAAGTGAGAGAGAGCGATATAGATCGGGGCAAGAGCAAGAGGGAATCCGAATCCCAAAGTCGATGGGAGACAGATGACAGCCGGAAACGAGACCGCAGCCGCGATACCGAGAGTCGCGACCGTCCACGATCGAAGAAGGTGCGGAAGAAGGATTCGGACTTTGATGACCGGTGGGGTGATGAAGCGATCCCAGAGGATGAATTATACTCCGATGCAGGACCAGATGAGTTTGCAGAATCGCCTTCAAAACGCACAAGGCTCGCAGATGGCTCTGCTTCCCCACGCTCTGCATCACCAGCTGGTGATATTGATCCGCAGACCAAACAAGAGATTGATCGTCAGCGTGATCTCCGCGAAAGAGACGAATTCGCCAAGCGATTAGCCCAGAAAGATAGTAGCAAGTCTAAGAAGATTGTGGAGGACCGGACTCGGGATGGTGAAGCTGCACGGCGCCGTGCATTAGCTGATGACGCGGATGCCCGGGCGGCCGTGATGCCTGACTTGCGTCTTCGTTCCCGCCAGGAATACCTGAAGAAGCGTGAAACGGAGCGACTAGCCTTGCTGCGACGTCAGGTTGCCGAAGAGGCTGTCGAACTGCGCGAGAACCCCAATCTGACTCGTCGCGAAAAGGAGGAGTTTGCGCGCAACAGGGAGGTCCTACGCATTGCCGAGGAACGGCTACGGATTGACGACCACCGCGATGGCTATATGATGCCGGATGACTATATCACAGAGAAGGGAAAGATTGATCGCAAGAAGAAAGAAGATGCACTGTATAAGCGATACGTTGAGCGCGATGAGACAGGTCAGGAGAAATTTGTTACGGAGCATGAAGAATGGGAGCTCGAGCAATCGGCCAAGGCTAAGGCGCAAATAAAAAAAGCCGAATTCGTCGACGAAGGAGACTATGAGTATGTCTTTGATGATTCACAGCAAATCAACTTTGTCATGGATGCCAAGCTAGATGGGACAGAAAAGCCATTGACCCAGGAACAACGTCGGTTCAAGGAGGAAATCGATGCGGCGGAGAAGAAGGCTTTGACCATGGAGGAGACACGGAAGAGTTTACCCATCTACCAGTTCCGTGACCAGATCATCCAAGCCGTGCATGACCACCAAGTTCTGATCATCGTCGGTGAGACTGGCTCTGGAAAGACAACACAAATCCCACAGTACCTCCACGAGGCCGGCTACACTAAGGGCGGCTTGAAGATTGGTTGCACCCAACCTCGTCGTGTGGCTGCCATGAGTGTTGCTGCCCGTGTAGCAGAGGAAATGGGATCGAAGATTGGAAATGAGGTTGGCTATGCCATTCGTTTTGAGGATAACACCAGCGACAAGACTATTCTCAAGTATATGACCGATGGAATGCTTTTGCGAGAACTGTTGACGGAGCCGGACCTGAGCCAGTATTCTGCATTGATGATCGATGAGGCTCATGAGCGGACGGTGCCAACGGATATTGCCTGTGGTCTTCTCAAGGATATTGCTAAGGCTCGACCCGACCTGAAACTTCTCATCTCTTCCGCGACCATGGATGCACAGAAATTCCAAAAGTACTTTGATGATGCCCCTATTTTCAACATTCCTGGCCGCCGATACCCCGTTGATGTGCATTACACCTCGCAGCCAGAAGCCAACTATTTGGCGGCCGCCATTACCACGGTTTTTCAGATCCACGTTACACAAGGTGCCGGTGATATCTTGGTATTCTTGACTGGTCAGGAAGAGATTGACGCCGCTGAACAGAGTCTAACGGAGACAGCTCGAAAATTGGGCAGCAAAATCCCGGAAATGATTATATGTCCTATCTACGCCAATCTGCCGTCCGAGCTGCAGAGTAAAATTTTCGAGCCCACGCCGCCTAAGGCGCGCAAGGTGGTTTTGGCGACAAATATTGCTGAGACGAGTTTGACCATCGATGGTATTGTCTACGTGATTGACCCCGGCTTTGTCAAGGAAAATGTGTTCAATCCGCGTACTGGCATGGAAAGTTTGGTCGTGACACCGTGCTCTCGAGCCTCAGCGAACCAGCGAGCTGGCCGTGCTGGCCGAGTTGGTCCTGGTAAATGCTTCCGACTTTACACCAAATGGGCATACTACAATGAATTGGAAGAGAATACCACGCCAGAGATCCAGCGCACAAACCTCAATGGTGTGATTTTGATGCTGAAGTCATTGGGTATTGATCAACTTCTTGACTTTGACTTTATGGACCCACCACCTGCGGAGACCATTATTCGAGCCTTGGAGCAATTATACGCGCTCGGAGCTCTTAACGATCGTGGAGATCTGACCAAGGTTGGCCGACAAATGGCCGAATTCCCGACGGACCCTATGCTGGCCAAAGCGATCCTCGCGGCAGGCCAGTATGGTTGCGTGGAGGAAGTGCTCTCGATCGTGTCGATGCTGAGCGAGGCTAGCGCCCTGTTCTTTCGTCCGAAGGACAAGAAGATCCATGCCGACAGTGCGCGCAACAGATTCACTATCAAGGACGGTGGTGACCATTTGACGCTGCTCAATATCTGGAACCAATGGGTGGACTCAGACTTTAGTCAGGTATGGGCTAAGGAGAATTTCCTCCAGCAGCGCAGTCTCACCAGGGCCCGCGACGTTCGTGATCAACTCGCCAAGCTATGTGATCGAGTGGAAGTGACGGTCAGCACCTGTGGCGCGACCAACATTATGCCAATCCAAAAGGCCATCACGTCCGGTTTCTTCCCCAATGCAGCACGTTTACAGCGCGGAGGTGACAGCTACCGCACGATCAAGAACGGGCAGTCCGTGTACCTACATCCATCCAGTACACTGTTCGAGGTCAACCCGCGGTGGGTGATCTACTTTGAGCTGGTACTAACCAGCAAGGAGTACATGCGCAGCAACATGCCCCTGCAGGCGGAGTGGTTGGTGGAAGTTGCACCACATTACTACAAGAAGAAGGATCTGGAGTCACTTGGATTAGATCGCAAAGTACCCAAGGGGACAGGAGCCACTGGCGAGAAGAGTAAGACATGATGTTAGGTCTATCTAGCTGTTTAGAATTTATCTTTTGATTCTCGAAGACGGAATATCCAATCGGACATATAGCCATCAACATGGTTTCCATCCAATCACATCGATGATAATTGTGATTTCCGACCGCGGCAAATCCAGTTTAACCTCGGCCCCGCTTTACTCCAGACTTTCTCTTAAATAACGTCACCCTCTTTCCCCCTTGAACTCCACCCACAACACACATACACATACACATATCATGTCGCAATCATTCACTCCGGCCGATGTTGCCGCTTACAATAACGCCGACAAGGGCCTGTACATCATCGTCGACAGCAACGTGTACGATGTTACCAAGTTCGTGGACGAGCACCCGGGAGGCGCAAAGATCCTAAAGCGCGTCGCTGGCAAGGATGCATCCAAGCAGTTCTGGAAGGTATATATGGCATCTAGCTAATTTCGATAATTTCTAAGCATTTGCCTTGGCTTACATCAGGGACGAGGCTAATACTCTCCTCTTTACAGTACCATAACGAGTCCGTGTTGAAGAAGTACTCGCCGAAACTGAAGGTTGGAGAAGTCAAGGAGGCCGCCAAGTTGTAAATTGATACCAACTTTCAACCAAGAAGAGATCTTACAGCTTTGGGAAAGCGGAAGAGGGAGGATACGCTGGTTTCTCCATGATCGGAGCAATTCCGGGGATCAGCCCATGAAGTGGTGAACGCCGATCCTCTCGATCACGGGCTAAAGAATCTCCATTCATACCCGCGCCCTTTGACATTTTATAATAGATTCAATACTTTACAAAGATGAAGACGAAACTACGAATACTGGTTATCAAAAATATCTGGATGTAGTAAAGAAAGTTGATTCTAACGCCCCGTTTTTTCCACCGCTTCAAGACTCGGCACCCTTCCGTACAATGGTCAATGGTATCAACATGGTCCAGCAAGCACAATATTTTCAAATAGACAAATAAAAAAAGGATATATAATGAAAAGAGGATGCAAAGGATGTAGGTCAGATCAGAAGATCATATAGAACTGTACATGTCAAAAGAAAGAGGATATATCGAGAACAATGGAGAATGGTAGTCCAGACCGACGCTCAAAGAATACAGAGAGTAAAAAAAATAAAAATTTAAGGAGGGATTAGAAACCGCGGAAGGGGTCATCGGGTCGGAAAGAGAGTTCGCTATCGTCAACAGAGGGAGCATCACAGTCATAGCGGCCTTGACTCCACTGACTGGAGGCCTTACGCACATGTCGTGAGCGAGGTGCACCACGAGGCCGGTTGATCTGTTCCGCATGGTTGTCGATGAATGCCTCCATACGCACAGTGCCCATGTCAAATATGTTGCTCGCCGTTGTGTGGGTAGTGCGACCACTAGCCTCAGATGTACGGCGACTGATGCTGCCGGGGCCGCTTCCAATACCGGGAGGGAGACTTGGCGGCGGGACAGGCGAGAAATACGGCTCAGAGGATCCAATAGTAGTGCCGCTGTGGGACGAGGGCATAGTGCCCTGACTAGAAATGCTGCGGATGGCGTGAAGCGCAGGAGGGCGGGGGGGCCGTGTTGCTGCGCTTGCGACTGTGGTGATTATGATTAGAGAAGCGTGGGACATGAGGTGCATCAGCGGCCATCGAATTCAGACTTTCTAGGTCCGCGGCAGGTAATTCTGGCACCGGCTCTGCGGTACCTGGGAAGGAGCGCTTTCCCTTGGGCATGGGTCGTGGGCGACCCTTGGCCACGCGAATAGAGTCGCGGATTGGGTTTCGTCGCAAGCTGGCTTGCGAAGGTATAGAAGGTCCGGCCTCCTCTTGCGGTGCCGGTGGGAGTGCAGCTAGATCATGTAGGCCCATGGACGAGTGGCTGAGGAACGATAATGCAGTCAGCCAGACGTAGTGGCGTTCAACGGTAAGCGCGGTAAATTTGAGAGCACGTTGTGGTGTGAGGACTAGAATTGAGCGGTTGAATGGAGTGGAGTTTCCAGGGCTTTTGGGCATCGGGTTGTCATCCTTGACATCCAATACGGATTGGATAGTGACTAGAACCTAGTTAGTGACCGATCAAAACATGGATTTTAAGAGCAAAGAAAGCTTACACTTCCGGCCAGTCTTGCCCAGCAAGGCAGGTCCACTTGTCGGTTGTTTGCTGCTCCACATAATGGAGCCTTCGTAGGGTGCAAGCCAGACCCATCGTTTATGGCGTACTCCACTATTGGTGATATTGGCTGATACCTCATCGGGGTTCCGGCCTTCCCAGGCATCCTTGGATTCACCCATGCCGAAAGACTTGCGGCGGCGGACGTATTTGAACATCCACTCGCCCACCATGGTTTGAGCAATTGCATCAACAACACTCGTCGGCTGCACACCACCGGTCGAGTCCCGTCGGTCCTGGTCCCAGTTCATAGAGGGCACCGCTGGGCGATGAGATGGCCGTTTCACAGATGCACGGCGTTCACGGGGAATTGTGATATCATCAACCGGGAGAGGCGGCGGACGGTAGGAAGGACTTTCGAGTGTGAAGGGAGATTCAGAGCGGGTTGGGGAGGAAAGTGTTTCCGGGCGCTCCGCAAGGCTACTCTGCGACGTCGCGGCCGCCGAGCGAACTCGGCGCAACGTGGGACGTCGCACAACTGTTGTACGGGCACCACGATCAGAAAATTGACGACCAGATGAGCGAGTCGGACTTGGGGGCCCGTCACTTCCTGTTAATGGAACGTTGCGCGAGCTGAGACGGATTGGAACGGGGAACGGAGGTGCAATGCTTGAGCCGGCACTGCCGCTGTCGAGGCTTGGCTCGCTGGGGCTGCGGGCACGAACTTTCTGATGTGCCGCTGCACCGCTAGAGATCATGGCCATTTTTCGCATGCCAGGCTGTCGGCCACTGGACGCTGTCGTACTGGACCGTTGAGTAGCACGAGACGAGGCACGCCCCACGTCAGAAGGCCTAGACTCTGTATCGGATAGATGCTCGTCAATTTCGGGGAGGAACATTTCGTCCAAGCTTGGCCTTGATTTCGCATTGACCAGTTTGCCGCGACGGATCGTGTATGAAGCAAATGGCCGGTTGAGAAGCTCGTCGTCTGTGAATATGTCACGTTCCTCTGCGTAGGGGCCTTCTTCATCGCTCAGCTGTTCAAAGCCTGCGAAGAGGCTGCTAGACCGGAAGGGCCGTCTCAATCCAGATGCAGCTTCGCCTGATAGCGGTCCATTGTCATTGTTGCCAGGGTAGGCCTGATAGGCCTGCACTGGCTCCGAGCCTGGGGCGCGTGGGGGTTTCACCGGGCGCTCATGTGGCAAAGGACGCTGGGCCCGCTTGGCGGACCGGGGAGGAGGCAAAGGCGCGCGATAGGACTCAGCTTTGGACTCTTGAATTTCAGAACTGATTGGTAGATCAGGAATGGCAGAGGGTAGTAGACTGGCAGGAAGTTTGACCGGTCGTTGATCGATACGGATTTCTTCAGTCTGAATGGCAATAGACCGGCCCTCAATGATTGGCTTGAAGTTGGCTTGAACAGACACATTCTTAGTTTGTGGTGGAAGAACGACACTGTTCCGAGGTGATGACGGTTCCGATCCAGGTGGGTGGATGGCGATCATGGGGACATCGATCTGCGCTGGGATATCACTGGGAGACAAGGTAGCCTTCTCGCTCTCCACGAGCTCCGGGGATGGAGGCAAATCGGTTTGGGTCGATGCTGATGCCATCTGGACGGGTACCGAGGCTTCTTCAGCTGGATGGATGGTTGACTCCGAGATCTTGGGTGTCCACGGAGGACTGGGAAGCTCACCGACCGTTTGGCAAGAAGAGGAGACCATGTCAACTGCAATTGCAAGTGTCGCAGAATCCTTCATCCCGAATGGGTTCTCGTCCTTATCAATCTCGCGACCTGCATCAGTCTCTTCTCTTACAACGGGGCCATTATACTCTACGGTCGGGGTAGGAGTCTCGGGTGACGGCGGAGGTGAATATTGAGTGCCAATATCACAATAGTCCACAGATTGCTGGGGATCTGGCAACTTTGTAGGACTATTCAGATCCAGAGAACGGTACTCAGCGGCCGTGACCGAGCCAGCGCTTTGCATAGAAAGACCCAGGATTCTCCGGGCTTTTGATGCGATAGAATGAGACGCCTGTGAAGTGACCGACATCGGCCGTTCCTCCGGAAGGGCTTCAGGTGACTCTGGAGTTTCATCTTCAGATGCAGCAAACTCATCTGCCTCGTCAAAGGCCAATTCCTGGGCCAGGTTGAGGCCCGAATCGCCCTTCCCAGGAGCCATACTTAGGACCGAGTATCGGGCATTGTGATAGTTGCTTTCATTTTCGCCCTCCTCCGAGGTCACGCTAGTCATGCTCGTGCGCCGAAGACCCTGGCTGCTGGAAGCCAGACTGGCCGAGTCACTTTCCTTGACCTTAGACTTGGTCGAAAGATCATTTTCACTGTGTTGAGAATGGAGGGTCCCCGCTTCTTGAGCCGCTGCAACCTCATTTAGCACCGTCTTCAAGCGGCCTTCCACGACATGAATCTTGCGTTCCATATTTCGTCGCTCATTCTCCCATGCCTCTCGATCCCGATCCCAAAGCATCTGTGTCCGTTCGACCTCCTCTTCACGATGGCGGGCCTTTTTTTGCGCATGCTCCAGCTTTCTACGAACATCGTTGATATTCTCAACTGCATCATCCCGCTCGCGAGCCAGTTCGGTCATCGCAGATGACGTACCACCCTCTAACAACTGAATTTGATGTTGCAGGGACCGTGTCTCGCGGGACGAATTGGCCACATTCTCGCTGAGCGTCTCGCATTCCGTTCTTGCTTCATCCAAACTTTGTTCCAAGGTATCAATTGCCTTCGTTTTATGTTCGACATCCCGTCGTAGGGAAAGGATTTCGGATACGAGGGATGCATGGAGGGTGGGTGTTATTCTGCGGGGATCGAACGGCGATAGGGTAGACTCCTCGATGATATCGTCGATATCGCTTTGGCCACTTTGGCCGTCCGGTGAAAATGCCGGTGTTGGCAGGCCTGGTGGCGAAGAGGATGGCGGGGGAGATGAATCTCGCCGACGCCGTGCCGGTCGAGATCTTGATCTCGACTTTGACTGAGCCCGGGATGAACCCGATGGAGCGGGAGATGGTTGGGCCATCGAGGCCGGCAGTTGTAGGTCCGTGGCCATCTCGTTGCTCATATAATGGGAACCCCCTTTAAAGCATTACCTGGGGTTGTTCGTTTCCCTGTGCTAGCCAGAGCACGACACGCCCGGGTCCCATCAATCGTCTACCGTAATTGGGTCATTCGCGTGACACAGTGGGCTTTGGTGAAATTGTATATAAAAGGTCGTCAATATTTGCGCGTTGATCGGCGCTTGGAAGAGAATAAATGTGCGTAAATAGTTCGGTGAACACTGTGCAACGACCAGTCAGCCATTGGGTACAACGCGGAGGCGGGACACACGCCTGAGCGCGAGGGGAGCCAATGTGGCCGGGTTTAATATGCACGGAGGCCTCCAGGTTCTACTTACCAATGATGCAGGTGTCAGGTATCAGAGTTGAAACTAGGGAAGAGAGAGGAGACAGATCAGATGTCATCCCCTAGAACCAAACTTTGCAAAGAGGGTCGATCGCGATCGCTCGAGACCGTACTTTGTGACAAAGGTGGGCACGAGTTGGGACTAGGGACTGGAACACGATCTGCCCACCGGGTTTTTACAATCGAGGCAACGATCTGAGACGGCCGAGTCAAGGCCTTTACGCTGGAGATTACCTTAAGGCTTTTAGATCAGCCTTGCCATCGGAACTGTGCCGGATGCCAGGAGCGTATCGGGGTTATAGAAAAAAAAAAACATAGGCCCAGGGGTGTTCGTTAGGGGGGCATGGGGAAGCTAGAAACCCACCCGATTAGCCAAAAAGCAAGTTGCTCCACCTGGGAAGCTGCCACCCCAAGACACTAAAGAAGTATGGCTGAACACGGTTAGATCATGCCCGAGACATGAATATCTGACTTCGTATCCTTGTACGGAGTACGTATAGCAATATCTCTCGGTGGAGAGCACAGGTGTTGTTGCCAGAGCTGAGCCAATCTATGGCAAGTTTTGGAGAGGGAAAAAAACACACAATAAAAAAAAAAGAATAAAAGAAGTTTGAGATGCCACGGGCAATTGATGATTCTAGAAAAGGATTAGGACAGAAAGAAAAGAAAATGTAAAGTTAAAGTAATTAAGCCTAGAGGCAATGATGCATCCTCGGGGCCAAAAAAGTCAGAATGCAGGATTCGGAAAGCATTCTAGCACAGTGATCGCCCGAGTCCACACCAGCTTGGAGGTGTTCGTCGGGATGGAAGCCGGATCAAGGGTTCCACTGCGCGTAAGGATGGGTCCAAACAACGCGTTCAGCTGCATGGCTGTGCGCAAACAAAGAAACGACCAAGCTCCTGATCTTTGTCGTGCTTGAGGCACCCACACTGATAAAAAAAAAAATCAAAGTGGCTTTGGCCCATTGTGCTAGTAAACAATTATCACGAAGGCCAATCATGATAATGCCGGAGCACTAACGCAGGCGACTCGAATTAATCGGGCTGGAAACTGGAGAAGGAATAGGAGGGCTGGTTAGCGTGTTTTGGAATGAATGTTCCCCTTTCCTGGCGCAAGCCCCACTCTAGCGTGAGGCCGGGCTCACGATGATCGTCGAAGGTAATTTCGTGAGCTTAGTAGGTGTTTCAGGTTGTGCAAACTGCATCTGATCTGGTGGTAGGGGGGCAATTGAACTTCGTATTCGACGTGGCAATGCGCACATGGATTTGTACGCTGGATTGGTTGTTTGCCTAGAAGATACGCAAATGGTGCATGCAAAGAAAAAAGGGGCAAATGGACTCCGGTTCCGCAAGATCCATCCGAGGTCTCCACTGAACTTCAAGGACCTTTTGTTTTGAATTTTCGATTTTGTGGGCCACAGATTATCTGGTACGCGATGGCGATGCGGAGGTCGTTGAAACACAGCAAAATTCTTCCATACCCTGGTCAGAGACTAAACGCACTGTATCTTTGTTGCAATCTCACCTTGGTTCTATTCCCGAACGTTGAGCGCGGCTAGATGGAAAAGAAAAAACATTTGACGTTGGCCAATCAAATATAAACGGCTCGTATGGGACCAAAATTAATTGGCAATAATGTCTTGAGGCGTCCGGTCCAGACTACTTTGCTGCACGACACGAGGTGATATCACGCTTAGTCCCATTGATAAGTGGGCTGCGGCCAACGCGAAAGCTTCTTAAATGAGCAACAATCTCCGGGAGCCATCGATATTGACTCCACCCGGAGGGGTATCAGAGACACGGAGCCGTTGACAGGTCTATTTGTGTCACGACTTGTCATTCGATGCAGAGTCAATGGGTTTCTTTGACAGTAACGCTAATGCAGAGTTGTGCGTAGAAAGGTGGAGATGAGGGGAAGTAAGATAGAGAAAGTGAGAAGTGTGAACAAGGGAAGAATGTGCAATCATTCCAACAACATCCATTCTCTGAGTCATTACTTTATCTCCATACTCCTTTGCTCCACACAGTAGTATTATAAATCACTTTGGGTTCATGAAATACGCATTGCATTGTCACTGCGACCATGCTTCTCGGGAAGAACAATCAGGCGAATCCATTCGCCATGGAACCTAACCTCGGTCCATGACTCAGCCAATGATCAGCTTGAATCTTGAAAAGCAACTTTGATGTATCAAGCTGCATGGAAGAAGAAAGTGAGATCTCAAAAGTATCTTTGGTTTCACCGCATAAATCCAGATCGCGACCAGAGCGGAGACCCCGAAACTGCAGATCTTCACAATGCTGGACCACCCTCCCCGCGTCTTATTCTTCGACACGTTTGGTACCGTCGTCGAGTGGCGGTCATCTGTCACAAAGGAATTGAGCGATGCGGCTCAGCAGGTGCTTGATGATCCGAACAGGGATCTTCCAGTTAGTGTACGCCAGCGCACAGCTGCACTGAGCCGGGCAGATTGGCTTGCTTTCGCTGAGGAATGGCGTTTATCCTACATCGTCTTTACCCGCAACTTTGATCCTTCTAAGGAGTTTGTGTCGGTAGATCAACACCATCACCGTGCATTACAGGACCTTCTCCAGCAAAGAGGCATCCTCAAGCTTTTTGACGAGAGTCAACTATTAGAGCTCACTATGTGCTGGCACCGGCTCACCCCGTGGCCCGATAGTGTTGCCGGATTGGACTTGCTGAATACAAAGTTTATCACTTCGACGTTGTCAAATGGGAACGAGTCATTGCTTCAGGATCTAAAGAAGCATGGCTCACTGCCTTTTACTCAGCTCGTCAGCGCAGAGAAATTTGGAGCATACAAACCGTCGCCCGTTGTATATCATGGTGCAGCGAATCTCGTTGGGCGAGATTCCACCCAGTGTACCATGGTGGCGGCACACTTGAGTGACTTGAAAGCAGCTAAAGGCTGTGGCTTCCAGACCGTTTATGTGGAGCGCGAATCAGAGGAGGCTTGGTCCACCGATCGCGTTGCGCAAGCTAAAGAAGAAGGCTTTGTCGACATTTGGGTTGGGTTAAATGAGAGCGGATTTTTGGAAGTTGCTCGGAGGTTGGGGATCAACGAGAATAATGAAGTCTAGTCTATCTCAGTACAACAAATTACCCTGGATTTGTTCACATATTCATATATTGAGATCTTAGTGAGGCTTGATGATGACGCAATGACGGATTTAAAGCCGATGGATTTATAAGCCTTGCCCGAGTACTGAGAACACATGATATAAGTTTAGAAGCATTTCAGTTTCCATTGCTTATGAGAAAAAAAATTCACGAGTGATCTAGTAAGGAAGGCTCCATTGTCTCCACATAGACACTGACACACTCACGGTACCGAGCTATTGCATTGAAGAATCCGTGTCGTCATGACTGACAAAGTGAGTTTCGGATGAATAGATAACACAGTATCGTAACTCACCTAAACAGAACCCCAAGATCTACCAGCATGCCGACTCAGATGGTCATTTCCGGCGAAAAGATTCGGCTTTTCGATCCTGGGTGTCTCGGAATGCATCGGCTGAATTCCCTGCCGAACAAGGCCGCTACGTCCTTTACATCAACTACGGTTGTCCTTGGGCACATCGTGCCAATCTAGTCTGGACGCTGAAGGGGTTACAGAATATCATCCAGAGGGTTGTCCTGGACCCTGAGCTGAGTCCGGAAGGCTGGTTTTTTTCGGGTCGTTGGGGATCTGCCGAAAAGGACCCCTTATATGGGTTTAAGTTTCTGAAGGAACTGTATTTCAAAGCAGACCCACAATATGAAGGACGATACACAGTCCCGACTCTGTGGGACAAGAAGAAGGAGACAATTGTCAACAATGAAAGCAGCGAGATTATCCGCATGTTATATACCGAGTTTGACGACTTTCTACCCGAGAACTTGCGAGAAGTTAATCATCCAGGCGGCGGATTTTACCCTGAAAAGCTGAGGAGCGAGATCGATGTGATGAATGCATGGGTATATCCACAGATCAATAACGGAGTTTATAAAACAGGGTTTGCTGCGAGTCAAGAGTCGTATCTCGAGAATATCTACCCACTTTTCGAGGCTTTGGATCGCATTGAGGCACATCTGGGCCAAACGGGACATCAGCCATTCCTTTTTGGTGATCATATCACCGAGGCTGACATTCGTCTTTACACGACTATTGCCCGATTCGACGTGGCCTACTATCAGATCTTTCGATGCAATTTGAAAATGATCCGACACGATTTTCCGTTGATTGATCGCTGGTACCGAAAGCTTTACTATGACGAGTCTGAGTTGACCAGGGGAGCGTTCAAGCAAACGACCTACTTTGATGCTGTAAGTATATTGTGAGGCACATGAAGTATGCACCACTTCATGCTAACAGCTCCTAGTACAAATATGGGTACTGTATTGCTATTGGTCAGAAGACTGGCAATGCTCAGTTGGTGATTCCTGCTGGACCTGTCCCTAATATCCTTCCCCCAGACCAGAGTACCTAGGCAGTGAAAGTTATTGTCATATTCATTCTAGATTTTGAATTCTATTGGTATACACAGAAACATTATCAGAGGATGCTTTCAGGTAGCTCTCACAACTCCCATGCGAGTACAATCATCGAATAGCCCTCAATGAACAATCAGAAAATAGTTCCCTTGGTCTGCTTGATATTCTTGATATTGATGTCCTTGATGATCATCATGAAGAACAGAGCCAAAGTCATGACAGCAGTACCAGCAATCAGCATGCGCTTCTGTGTAGCAGCATAGGCATACATGATGGCAGTTCGAGTCTCAGAGCCCATTGGGTAGCTCAGCTGCAGAGGAAGACTTTCATAGATTTCCTGCCACTGATCAGCGCTGCTCTCAGGCAGCATAGTCTGGAGCATGCCAGGCAGTGTATTGGTCCAGATAGCTCCAGAGATACTGCCTCCGACCGAGCCTCCAATGTATCCGAACAGACCTAACAAAGCTAGAAGAGCGGCAACATCATTGTGATCAGAAGCCGCCAGCAGAGCAATTTGCTGACCAATAATCATGACACCGCCACCGAGGGCAATAAAGATCTGGCACATGATGATATATCCCAAGCTGTGGCCGGGGCTGCGGAAATAGATCATCAACCCGACACCGAGCATATACAGCGGAACGCCCCACATCAAAACCCATTTGAACCGACCAGTATAGCTGATAAGGGCCCCCACGATAAATAGCTCAACACCAGAGGTGATGTCAAAGATACTGGAGATATATCCAGCAGAGGCCACGGAAGTGTTATAGACCACCTGGAGATACGAGGTGAAGTAGTAGTTCCAACAGTAGTAGGCAACCTGGTAGGTAAAATCCAGCAGGCAAGCACCGACAACGGTTCGGTTCTTCAGTAGATGCCAAGGAACAAAGGGCTGGCGGGCACCGAATCTCTCCCAGAAGCCAAAAACGATCAAGAGGGCAAAGCCAACGACAAGCATTGCAATGATATAGTCGGTCGCCCAAGCTTGGCTGGAGGAGGAAGCGATAGTGAACGGCAGTAGAAAGAGAACAAAGCCTGCGCATAGAAGTACCACGCCAACAACTGACAGCACATGTTAGTTTAGAACATTCTCAAAAGATGCAGGATCGTTCTTACTGTCAAATTCCACCAAATAATGCCAAGTACTCTGGCTCCAGGTACGGCCGCTTGGTTTTCTCAACACCAGCCCATTTCTCTTTGCCTTCCGCTTGCCCAGTTGCATCATGACCACCATGGGGATAGCAACGAACGGAAGAACAATAGCCCATGCCCCATATCCCCAGCGCCAGTTTTTATCATGAATCGTGTCAGCAGCAGCAGGGCCGCCAAATGCCGTGATCATATAGGGAGAAGACGTAAAAGCGAAAGCGAGTCCACGATTGCGCAGCGAGGAAGTATCAGACGTAACCACATCTATACAGAAGATTATGCCGGTGAATCCCACGGAATAAAAGATCTGAGTTCGGATTCTTATTAGCCGTGGTGTTCAATCTGGGAAAGGATTTATTGGGAGCCAGGCCTACATTTGCTGCAGCGTAGAGCTCGAAACTGTTACAAGCTGCCATGAGGACCATTCCCAACGTCGCAATCATAAGCATAAACAGGAAACCAACGGTGCGATCCCATAAGTTGAGGATCTTTGCAACAGGAAGGTAAGTGGCACCTGCCATGACGCTGGATACGACACTGATGACGGGCAACAAGGAGTGATCTTGAAAAGCACTGGATACGTAGGGGTCCAGATTTGCTGAAAGTGAAGACTCAAAGGCCCTGCTAAAGTACAAAAGCCACATACTATATACGCTGTCTATTAGTATATGGTTTCAACATTGAGAGGTTATTGTGATATTTCTTCGGGGGTACTAGAGCAACTTGCCTAATGTAAACCACAATCAATGAAGATCTTGACCAGGATAAAGTCATAGCCTCGGCAATTCTGACACCATCTTGCGCATTCTGGTCGGGGACATCATCGGGGGTTTTAAAGTTGGGCGTCTGCTTCTCATCCTGTCCCTCAACCGTAATATTGGTCTCACATTTGGAACCGTCAGCCTCTCCTATAGTAGGAGAGTGAGCCATGACAACCAAATTTTGAGCCAGAAAGAGCTGGTTATCATATATAAGAGCGAGAAGAGATTGGAAAAGGACCAAAAGGCAGCCCACGCAAAGAGATACTGAAAGGCTGAAAGGATGTTTTGAATACGGACTCCAGAAGACAGAAATCTCTTCATATAGGGCATTTCTCTTCCATATTAATCTTAAGCGATGCATTGCCAAGTGTTGGCAAAAAACCTAACAAAAGTATCTAGAATCTCTGAAGTTCCCACTGAGGACACAAAGCTGTGCATCTAGTGGTCAAAAGAAACACGAGCGGAGAGGATAAAACTTTGACAGCCATCATCTAATCTGATCCGAGACTTTCGCGTCTTAGCAAAAACATTAGTGAGCATTGGCAGCCTCTGGGCATGATCCATGTCTTGGAAGAATGTCGCCAAATGTCAAGAAGAAAGGAATGCCAAGGGGACCGAAGCGCGAGGGCAGGGATTAGAATGCAACCATAGAGTCCAGGGGCAGTGCTGATTTGACCCAAAATCTAGGCGCCTAGACAGTATTCTCCATCAGAAGCATGGCGCCAAGCGGATGTCCCTGAACTTTCCGACCGATGACTGATGATCAGATAAGTTAATGAACATGTGGCCCACTCGGCTGTATCGACCTCGAGTCGAGGCCGAGAGCCATGGAGAGGTTTCGGCGGAGAAGCCTAGTTGAGCGTAGATTTCCCACCCAATAATGCCAAGAAATCCCTTAGGAAAATTTAATGCGTGATTTGTGGATGAGTGCGGTTCCTTCTGCAGATCGTCTGCTTTAAACAGGGCGGAGTTGGTGTAAGCTTGTACGCTAGCGTGTTTTGGTTATGCATAATACCCTGAGTTTTGGTACAGTATATCTTACCCGATTTCGAAGTACTCCTCAATCCTCCAATTTGATCATATCAAAAATAAAAAAAGTAAAGGAGCTGCTCGAAACTTCGAGTACTCATCGCTTGAATCAACGTGAACTTTATTTTGACTAAAACCCAGACCGGTGGCATTCGTCATGTCGCCGGCCGTGATCACGGCATTTGGGCGGGTAAGATTGGCAATCGCGGCATTTGCGCCTTCTTGACGGTTTACCAAGTCTACCTTTTTGGCAGCTGAAACGCAAAAAATATGTACACACGGCCTTTGGCGCTGATCATTGGGCTTGATTCACCGGTGTCGGCATTAACACAGTTGACGATCATTACAAAACGGATATTTTACGATTCTACGCCATCAAAACATCCGAATCATCCGGCAAAGACAGGAAAGAACCGGAAAGAAAGAAGATGGCCATAGAATACAAGAAACTGTAAGAAGGTCCATATTTTCAGTTGCTGGTAATGATTTCAGGTTATAGCATACTTATAATTTACTGTCTACCCACTGCGGTGCTCTTTTCTCAGCAAAGGCTCTAACTCCTTCATGGAGATTCTTGCCCTCATTCAACGACGGTTCCCAATTTTCACTCAACAAGCGACTAGCGTTCTCTGCGCTCCCATCTTCCCAGCCAGCGACAATTCCCGCGCGGCTAATAATCACACTATCCGGACTATTGTTGACAATGCTAGCCGCATATTCCAATGCCGCCTTCACAACTGGCCGGTCCAGCACCTCGGAATCGGGTGGCCCATCCTCCGTCACAGCATTTATCAATCCCCATTCTTTCGCTTCAATAGCAGTAATAGTCTTGCCCGTCAGCGCTAGTTCCATCGCTCTTGGGCGACCAATGGTTCGAGCCAGCCTTGGTAGAGAGCCAGCCATGGCGACAACACCTCTTTTCGCTTCAGGAAGTGCGAAGCGTGCCGCTTTGGCTGCGACCACAAGGTCCAAATTGGCAATCATTTCCATGCCTCCACCATAAGCTAACCCATTCACCGCAGCAATAACTGGTTTCTTTCCGTGGCGCCGGGATAAGGCTCCAAATCCGGAACGTGGCATCGGGGGCTGACCAGTGTGGTCACCGTTAGCGCGACGAGCATTTGTTTGATTCCACTCTTTCAAGTCCATTCCAGCACAAAATGCTCGTCCGGCACCTGTGACAATAGCACAGCGAAGTGACGGCTCACTATCGTACCAGGAGAATAGTGTTTCGAGATCATATTGGGCTGCACTGGTCATAGCATTGAGCGCCTGGGGTCGGTTAAATACCACCAACATCACATGTGGAGCTGGAAAAGTGACGATTCCATGGCTCTGTGGTGGTGGTTGCCTTTTGAGGCTGGGATGAGAGCTCATAATGGGTAGACAGAATGAAGTGTCTGCTGTTGGGGTTTCTCGTGGCGATGGCTACTCAAACAACTAAAAACTTAGAATACGTAGATAAAGCTCCTGGTCTCGGGTATTAATATCCTTGTAGTTTGCCTGCCTGGTCAATGCCCCGGCAATATGACACTTGGGTAAGGTCTTTTCTGGTAAAATGGGTCATACTGGCTCCCTTTTCCTGATACAGGGAAACGGTACGATACATGATAATCTCTACGGGTTAATCTCGGGGATAATGGAAATGCAAAAAGCCTAGATGATCTGATAAAATTTAATCTAAGAGACTTCGCTATCTCTCCCACGACTCGGCCTCCTCTTCCAGTCCACCACATTTTCTTATGAAGTCCAACGGAGTCGAGACCTACGCATGGGAGGCTTTTTTTTTTTTTTTGTTTGCGTTTTGAAAGGAAATCTCACTGCAATAGATTATCCTCTATTCCGCCATGCGAAGCTGCAGTACGAAATGGCAGTACGAACCATTTTGCTGCCAAAGCCTCTGATTGACTTTGGATCGTCGGGTATACTGTGGGGCACACTACGTAGCCGGGTGGAGCCTCGTAACCAAGCTTTCAGCCCACGTATGAGTACCGGTATTTGGCCCAAAAATAAGTCATGCAGATTTACCTGTAACAGCTAAGTTTCCCTCGGGAATGAAAAGACAAATAATGCATGTGCAGCCTTCATGGTCCATTGCCAAGCTGACATGTGGCTAAAGACTTGGCCATGCTTCTTCCCACTACCAGCATAGGATGCGTCATTTAAGTACAAGAATTGCTGCCAAGCCACTATTCTTTTAACGTATCATTATCTACGTACATGTCTCCAGACGCTTGGTAATATATGAACTCCGTTTGGTGTCAGTTTTGTTTTGACTGATTGATTTTTAAGAGCTGGATATGATAGTTTTTGACACTTGGGACCCAACAAAAAGCATCATGTTCGTACAAAATCAAGTTTTACATTTCAGTTTTCATAGCCGAGGCTTGAAAGCCAGGCCGGTGCCCGCAATATGAGGACTCCCCTGGTTGAATGGACAAATCTGGAAGAATCGCTCACGGGTGCACTTCACCAGACTAGCCCGCTTATGAGGCAAATCGATGATCTGGTCCTGGTGCAGACCAAATGTGTAGTCATAGGTCAGCACCTTGTCATTATTCGAAAGCGGCTCTCCAATCACGTTCTCTGTACGGTGGTCATCAAGGAAACAGTAATGGATCATGCTGGGCCACCATGCCATCACACGGTGGGGGCCGCGGAATGCATCATTTCCAACAAGAGTATGGCGGCCGCGATCAAAGTCTTGCGATGTGTAGTGTGCACCGATGTTATCTTCCTTTGCCCAGAAAATCTCGTAATAAGAGAATGGGGTATCGTTAAAGCGACCCAGGACGGTGAGGGTGTGAGGATCTTCGTGTTGGCGGCGCAAGTAGTCACGGTGTTGATCCAAGGTACCAGTCTCCTTCCAGCCCTTAGCGACACGAGGGTCATTTTGCCAGGTGTGGAAAAGGTTCAAGTGCTCAGGGTCCTGGTAGTCTAATGCGACGAGCGAGAAATGTTCGTCAAGAAAAGGTATGTAGCGACTGTAAACAACAGAGCCGGGGGTGGGCTTGGGGTGACGGCGAGGGTGACGGCGATGCGAGGTTTCAGTAGAGGTCATGGTGAAGTCAAGGTGAGGGACCGCTTTAGCTGGGTTCCAATTCGGGAGCCAGATGGGCTGAGAGCCCAAAGGGGACGCACATCCTTGCCAGAAGGCATTGCGCAAAACCAGCAGCTCATTTGGAATGGACTTCCACTGGAGAGTATTGCTTACGGGCATTGGGTGATCAACAGCCACCATTGAGAGTCGGATAGCTTGCGCCAAAGCTTGGGCATTCTGGCCTTGAAGCTGGAGACGGAACGTCTCTATCTCTTCATGCACCGTAAACGTCGCGTAGAGAAATAGCCAGACTTGGCCCACCGTTGGTACAGAGCTACCTTCCCATCTCAAAAGGCATGACGGGCTGCGCTGTGCTCGCGCCCAAGCAGTGTTGTCGGCGGATGAGATCGCTTCGTCTGGGTTGGCCGGATGTGGTGCCTCAAAGTATAGCTTGTCGTTGTCTAAAGCCTGGTGAAATGACTGTGACCCCTCTTGCTTAGCCTGCTGCAGTTGAAAGAGCTGCGTTCCATTGTGAAGCTTGTCAGATGGCTTCAGGTAGTAGGTAGTCAGGTAGGGATGAGGTAGCCGGATCTTGATAGGCACCATTTTTTGCGAATTTTGGTCCATAGTCAAGCAAATCAGAGCGGTAGATCAAGGCTTAGTCAATGGCAACAAAAAGAAAAGACGAATGTGCAGATACTTAGAGGGGAAGATCAAAAAGCACAGTCCCAGTTCGCCATTGCCACGACCTCCCATGAAATTGCGTGGGGCAGCGCGATCCGATTTCGCACGGCTCGTACACTTCAGGTTTCTCCTGGTTGTACTCTCTACATTGTATTCAATAACGCCTAGGTGGAACTCCTTTTTTTTTTTTCCTTTTTTCTTTTTTGTTTTCTTTTCACATATTTACTTATTCAGCGGCTGTTCGAAGAATACAAGAGAAGTGGAAACGTTGGTATACTTTCTCCTTCGGCCACAGTGCCTACTTGGGCAGGCCGTGGAACCTTTTGTATGGAGACGGCTTGTATCAGATTAGTATAATATGGTTTCTTAGGGAAAGCTGAAAAATGGCCCCATGCAGAGATTGAGTTTACCATACGCCAAGACTTATCCTTTCGTACTAGTGGCCGACGATCACATCCATGCAAAGCTTATTGCCCTAAAAACGCATAAATACTTTACACCATACGAGTTTCGAGGGTGCAACGAACCGTGCTTCCAATTTTTTTTTTTTGCTAGAGGTTTTTCCCTCGGTACCTAAATTATCTCTCTGTACTGTAAAAGATGCACAAGGTAGGGGTGGAGCCTAATGCGTGATCTAAGGGTGGGGAGGAGCCACGGCATATGAAATTAAGAATTGGTACCCGTCCCGGGTATTAGATTGTGTTATTTTACCTTACGCGCGTGTGCCGTGTTTTATTACGTGCATCCATGGATGCAGGTTGATTTTTCTCAAAAAATTTAAGACACGGAGATCTCTTAATCCGCTATGGCGTCTTATCTGATTCTATCATAGGTTATCTGATCCGTCGCGTCATGTTAATATCTGAATCTATGCCACCATTTCGAATTACTGCAAATTCAACTCTCGCCTACTTTCTCTAGACTTCAAACATTTCCAAACATGCCCATGCCCTTCAAGCAGTGCCCTTACCAATTAGTTGCGGGTGCAGTAAGAAGTGCTCTTCATCTTTCAACCCTTCGACATCCTCAACTCTGTCATGTGTGGTAATATGGCAAACAATGAATCTTTCCGGGAAATCCGAAACGTACCGGAAAGCATGACACATGAGGTAAAGCAGAGCGGACCAGCAAGAGCCTGTTTTGAAATGCCGGCGCCGGTCGTAGCTAAGGAAAAAGATCGACTAGATCAGCGTGCTTATATCCACTACGTAATATGATATCGTTATTCTACTCGATAATAACATACCAGCTCCACTATACGAGATTAACGAGCTATGACCGGGGAGAATGGTCAGAAATACGTTGTACAGATACCCTACAATACCCTACAGGGTGTGCAGGTTTCAGCATCATGATCAGCATCGGGACCATTGCTTGACCGATCATCACTCCGGTTCCTGCTCTGATCCCGGCTGGAAAGTTCCGCACACATGGCACATAAAGCCAAGTTTTCGCCAACCCTCAGCTCCGGAGGCATTACCAATTTTAGTCTCCTCTAGTGGTGATCAACTTGGGCTCGAAAATGTGGTCTGCAAACACCAAGATTCGTCTTCCTTACCCATTTTTGACAACATTCCACCTTGTTCCATTACATGACGCTCAAAAGAATGAGGTGTTTCAGCTGGGCGAGGAAGAAGGCTTTGCTGGCGACGCTCCTCTGCCTGTAGAACTCCACCATGACAGTATTTCATTCACGAGACCAAGAGTTTCAACCTCCACTGGTCTTCCCGCAATCACTGCTTTACGTCAACAAGGGCCTCGACAGGGTCCCGTTGGCATATGTGCATGGAGCAGTACTGGAGTCGTCACACTCAGTCATATTTGGCTAGTCCTCTACACGATATTTACCATCGAACCCGACCTAGAGACATTTCGACTACAATTAAAGGGGCCTGGTAGTGATACCATAAGCAAGGACTTGCGTCTGTCCATGGTGGCCCTCGATTCCGATGGATGCTCTGTGATTTTCCGCAACAGTTTCTGGCAGGGGTGCGCCTCGCCGCTAGGCTCTCATTCGATTTGGACAGCGTCCGCAAAAAGCGCCGTGCCACATGTACACTACGTGACCACGTCTACAACAAAATTACGGCGCAGCCACCCACTCCGTCCTCCCAAATCTGCATCAGGCTCGATCGCTTACAGTCGTTACATTCCAAGTTTGGATAAAGTCTTTTCTCTGGTTGTTATTGATCATCAGGACCCGACCCATGTCGAATTCTTCCACCAGTCACGAAGAACATCTTCTCCAACCAGAGACTTAGGAATGCAAGGGGACTCCCTCGAGGAGGACTATGAATACCTTCGCAGACAAAACGATGACGCACATACAATCGGTCTACTGGGTCAATTTGATGGGACATTATTTGGATATTTTGAGGTGTTCTGGGCCAAGGAGGATCCTTTAGGCGTGGCCAGCGACGCTGGTGATTTTGATCGCGGATTGAACTCCTCGATCGGATACTCTTCCTTCAAATCTCGGCGCTGGCTGCAAGCCTGTTGGTCAAGCTTACTCCACTACATCTTTCTTGATGAGCATCGGACGGAAAATATCATCGGTGATGGGGTGTGGGGTCACGAGCTACTGGGCGACGCTTCGTTTGAATTACTGGAGGACGAGATGGTGCAATTGCCACATCAGCGGGTGAATCTTACAAGATATTCACGTGAATTGTTCTTCTCACTCTGTCCATTCGATGGGGTACTGGAGGACGTTAATTTACAGCTGCCCTCTCGTTTATAGAATGGGGTAGAAGTGGGTAGCAAATCCAGCTTTCAAGATTTTCTATCTGTGAAAATACAATAGCACTTTCATCGTCTTTCTAGATTCTTACTTAGCCTTATGTCTATCTAAGTCATGAGTTCATTTAATTTCGTCATTGCATCATTGGTAAACCAGGCTCGCCATTGATCATAGAAGATATTCTATCTTAATCTGGGGGTGTTTCATTCATCTGAAAGCGTATTCTACACTAGGCATATTTAGGATTAAAAAACGTTATAAGCAAGAGATTAATAAGAGTTGTTATCTCAATTCTACTCCTAATGCACAAAGGAACATATCGTAAAGGTATAGGATATAGTAGCTAATGCGCTAGGTAGGTAGACTTCACTACGAAATGCTATGTTATTATTTTACTTATATTGTGAATCCTACACATCCTCACTTTCTCTTAAGTCACTAGTACTTATATGTTTCTTATTGATCATAATTCTCTTTCTATGTAGTTATCTCCCTCTACCTTATCATTTCGTTTTCTAAGTATTGAATTTGTGACGCCTGATGTAGGGGAGTAAGTTGTGACTCATTCCATCAAAAAAGAAGCCATAGATAATCTTAGTCTCTCCCCAGGTGAATAGAAAATGTCAGCGCATGGATGTTAACCAAACTCCCGATCCTCTATTATTTCAAAATCATATAGGCAGTTCTAGGAAGCTGAATAATACCCACTAGATTACCAGATTCAACAATCCGGGCACCCCAGTTAGATCGACCCGAAAGTTAGGCTTCTTCATGCCAGTAGGCTCCGTCAGTCTCAAAGGGAACATGGTACTCTATTATCTTATGAGATATAGTGAAGAAATCATCGCACCTTCTTCATCGAGCCTCTATGCATCGCTGAATTGGGCAAACGTCTGAAGAAAAGGCTCTTCATCTTCGAATACTCTCATTACTATCACTGGAGTCTTACTAGTCTCTAGTGGTATAAACCGCCTTTAGAACCCAGCTCCCTATGAATTTATCAAAAAACCACTCCAGTAGAATCTGACACTCGGCTTGTCAAGGACCCGCGCTCTAAACTATAAGAAAATCCTTGAAGATATACCCGCTCAAAATTTATGAGCGGAATCCAGTTCTCCTAGTTCGTGAATATTCCCATCATCCTGGGTACAAAAACTTCAACTCTGAGTCCCCATAAAAAAATTACATGCTCCTCACACACACAACCCATACCGAACCTCGAATTCGTTATGGGTTTTAGCCTGAGCTTGATCAGGGATGGTTTAGTCAAAAAGGCTAGATAACGAGATAACCTGATAATTACCTCGTATATTGGAATATTCTTTTTGGATGGCCCTAGTCGTCTGGCTGTTCTGATCTTTATGATTTGCACTGTCGCATTCTTGTCACGATACCAGTGTTCCTGCTCTTGTTTCTGCCGTTCTTGGTCCCTGAGCCGATTTTTTCATATTTTTCCATGTTTCTTGTATGCCTTCCATTGAAAGCATCGACTGGTTTTTTTCTAGTGTCTCTCTACTAGAATTCAAAGCGTTGGATATATCAAGCATCAAGGGACATCGCATCATATCGCTCAGTTCACGTCAATATACAAGATAAAGCTTCATTGAAGCCATGATATATGTAAGAAAAGGTGGCTTAAGGGGCACCACTCTTGGTCACCTTAACATTCTAGAGTATTCTATAGAGTAGCGTGAGCAAGTAGGTACCTGGGCATGTACGCAATAACATTACTCCTTCAATCTTGTATATTGCGCTAATTTGAATGCGGTTAGCGAGGGTGTTCAACTAATTTTGTGGTGTTCAATTAAGTAGCTCCTAGAAGAAATGCAATATTTCTGCATGCCACTTTCCGGTCTTACTACCGTCGAGACCTAATGTAGCTGTCTTGTACTCCGTAAAATGTATTAGTGGACTAAAAATAAATGTCCTATAATGTGCTTAAGGGGTACGTTGTGACTAATTTAGGGATTCGTCACGAGCCATCAGCATAGCACCGTTTTGAAATTAGGTGGCTGTGTCTCGATATGCCCTAACTTTATCCAGTCGACATGTTACAGCGTTTAAATCGACAGACCTCATGGACAGACCTCATGGACAGACCTCATGCAGCCATGATTATCGACATCCAATATCAGTTGCATGCTAGTCTAGTTCTCAGACACCAGATGTTATTTGATCCGCCTTAAGCAGTGCCTAGGGTGAGCGTCTAACATCAATTGTAGTACGCCTATTTAACAATTGACAGAATGACTAGCGTTTCCCGTCACCATGGTGACAATAATAAAAGCAATGGCAATAAGGACTAGGGGCTAACATTCCTGCGTTTAGTTTAATAACTAACGGCTCCGTTTTGCGCCTAGCTCCCGACGCAATCTAATTTTGATATTTGCTATTCCTTGAATGATGTACCTGCTCATATGCATGTTGACGCCACAGTGGCTACATGAGCAGACATGATTAGAATGACAGCTGCGGTCCTATGCAGTATCATCTCATGCGACCTTATTCTAAGCTAGCTGCTTGCTGCTGTGGCTAGACCCTGTCAGAGGTTTTCCCCAAGGAAGAATAAGAATACTGAAAAATAAAAGTGCCAACGTATGACTATACGTAGAAAAAGGAACCAACCAGGACAGGAAGTGATGAGTTAGACTAGGCAAGCAAAGAACAGGGGAGGATATTACCAGGGCGAGACCATAGCGGACCGTTGAATGCCATATGGCGACTCCATCTAACGGCGGAGAAGTACGGGAGGATCCGTTACTCCCCCCTGGCTCCTTCGGAAACAGGACTAGGAGAATGGAATTGTTCTACCTTTGGCCCCCTTTTGCTCCCGCATCAGACCTATCTTAGCCTTGGCCATCGCGGGAGAACCACGGCGTTGGAGCATACAACGGTAACATGAAGAAAGAAAGGGGCCGAAAGTGATCATGGGAGAGAAAGGTGTGTCAATCGCTACGATATTGGGGTCCAGGACTAGTTGAGATGATCCAGATATATGGAGTACATTGAAGGATTCATATCAGCCAAGCAATGACTATTAAATCCAACGAGGCTGAGTTTAATCCTAATACCATATACGGAGTAGGGGCGAACCCACAGAAATTTCCTTAACCAAAAAAAAATAATAGACAACAGAACAGGAAAAAGGAGATCCATAATTTAGTGCACGATGGGTCACATCGTCATCAAGCGGGTCCCAACTGGCGGACTAAGGCCGAAAGTCCAGAGCTTGACGAAAGGATTGTCCGATTACCCAAGCAGTTCCCCATCGTGGGCGCGATAGCGCATCCCAGGCCTGTAGCCGCGGGACACGGGAGCAGCGTGCCGGACGCTAAGGAGGGCGGACACATTGGCCCCATTGGTAGACCAAGCGGCTCGGAAGGGAAATTAAACTGGGTGGCTTTCTCCAACCACAGACGGACTCCACCGCGCACCATGCAAGGCAAACCTGAGAGACGATCTATTAAGCGGGAATCCACGCGCCGTTCCGCGGGTGGATGCATTTCCTGTCATCACCGGAGTGGTGCTTTGCTCCACGGCTTCGTGAAGGAATACATAAGAAAGAGAAGGGGAAGAAAGGTCAGGATACGGAGTATAGTATTCAAAAAGGGGTGGGGGCACAAGAGATTGAAATGGCCCCAAGAGTCCTCAGGGACAAGAGAACTGTGGATCTAAACCAGTTCGAGCTTGGCTTGAACCTTTCGGTGTGATAGCCATCACCCCCGCCCAGACTAGATTCTAGTCTCTTGCATCGAATTTTCCGTAAGCTGCGCAAGGGCCCTGGAAGAGACTTCGAAATTTGAAACGGTAGGTTGTGGATCCCTAGAGACATTCTATGGAGTATGCTTAGGGCCGGCAATTATAATTCCACGTGCTATAAGCCATTCTAATCCAGAAGCTCCCGGGCCGGATGGTGCCCTAACAGGAAGAGAAAGGCACGGACTCGCTTAGCTGGAAGCTCCCGAGGCTCCACCGGGGAACAAGCAGCTTCCTGTCATGGTTTGGTGAGGGTTTGACCCAATCTCCTCTTTCTGGGCCGTTAGCTTCTGGGCCCGGAATCTTTTTACCCACTTGACTTGCCCTGTGCGAGGTTTTTCTTTGGGTTCTTCCCCCCTTTTTTTGCTGTTATTACCCCCGGTGGGGTGGAGGAGAACGAGAGCGCAAGAGGGCAACGTATCTTCTGATGATACTTGCTTTTTTTTTTTTTTTTTCTTTCTTGTAATTTGCTTTGACGAATCCTGAAGATCTGGCACTCCTACCCTGGGAATGCATATGCGTTCTTACAGATTCGGAGAATGGTGTGTGCCAGTGGGGGAATCTCGGGAAGATTATAAGTTCGAAGAGAATCTCATGTTAATATACCATCGCTCGGACTTTTAAGAGGAAAAATCCCAAGTCCTATAAAATAATGGCGCATACACCAATCATCAGATTCTTTTTGATTTTTGTTTTTGATTTTATCTGATTTTAGTCAGGGATCCCTTTCCCGTATTGCCATTCTTTTCGCCCCCTTGAAAGAACCCAATCGAATGTAATGATCTCATGCAACTGTCAGAACTCGCCATACTCTGTACATGTATGAAACGTTTTGTTCATGATCTATCAGATACTTTCTTACCAAAGGACGGTCCGGGTCTGAGGTTATGACATACCAAAAGCACTAGGAGACCCGGCCGACTGGGTATACATAATCTATTTTATTTTAAAGGAGGATCGATTTGATGTTCATGGGATTTATTTTTATATTCAATTTTGATTTTGATTTTGATGAGTTTAATATTTTTTTGTATTTTATATGACCTCGATTTGATTATTTGATTTTTGGGGGGATTTTATTGATTAATTTTCTACATGCTTAAACATTAGGTTCCCAAAGGTTGACCCCTCCCACACTTCTCTCTTCCTTCCTCTTCCCTCCACTTTAGTTCCAGCCACTTTCTGCCCGGACCAGACTTCGCACAACTTGGGCCCCCTCTTTTTCCTTTTTCCCCTCCCCTTCACTCTTCTCTCTCTTTGCGTCATTTGGGAACAATTGGGGTTCTTGCTGCTTTGACACCGCCTACACCCCTCCTGCGGTTCTCAATACCCCTCTTAGCCACTTCCCGAACCCCTGCTTGACCACTCCCGGAAACTACTCGCCCGTCATGTCGGGGAAAATGACATTGTATAAGTTGGTGGTGCTGGGCGATGGAGGTGTGGGAAAAACTGCTCTCACCATTCAGGTTTGTCTTAACAGCTCCCGACCGTGATCGAGGGGAGGAATCCAAGGGAATACCGAGAAACTGACATGGAGGTCCACCTACAGCTATGTCTCAACCACTTCGTCGAAACCTACGATCCCACCATCGAAGACTCCTATCGCAAACAAGTCGTCATTGATCAACAGTCGTGTATGCTCGAGGTGCTGGACACGGCGGGCCAGGAGGAGTACACCGCACTGCGGGATCAGTGGATTCGGGATGGAGAGGGCTTCGTACTGGTCTACAGCATCACATCGCGCGCCTCCTTTTCGCGTATCACCAAGTTTTACAACCAGATCAAGATGGTCAAGGAGTCATCCAGTTCCGGCTCGCCCTCCGGCCCCAGTTACTTGAGCTCCCCCATGCAAGCACCCGGAGGTCCGTCGCGGCCCGTGCCCGTAATGCTAGTCGGCAACAAGAGCGATAAGGCTGTGGAGCGTGCGGTTTCCGCACAAGAGGGACAAGCACTCGCTAAAGAGCTGGGATGTGAATTTGTCGAGGCCTCCGCAAAGAACTGCATCAACGTCGAGAAGGCCTTCTACGATGTCGTTCGCATGCTGCGCCAACAACGGCTACAGCAGCCGGGTCGGAATCAGGACCGTCGCCAGCCTGGAGGTCGCGACCGCGACGCTGGCCCTGAATATCCCAAGTCTTTTCGTCCGGATCGGTCGAGACATCGCAGCCGACTCCAGTGCAACATCCTGTGATCGGCCGGGTCCGTCCGGGGGAAAGGAGAGCATTGAATATCTTGTGATAGCCATGTTGATGCTCTCGTTTGCTTCTTTTTATTTCCTATCTCTTTCTTTCCTATTGGTCTTGGGTGCATCTGGAAGGGTGGTTCTGTCTTTTGGTTACGACCTTGTTCGGCGTCAGGCCTCTTCTCTCGCTTCCTCTCCTCACATATACACAAACACACACTCACAACACCATTTTTCATCTCTTTCGCTTTGCTCGCCATTCCAGAGCCCCTATGGGTGGAGACTAGTGTCTCTTTCAGCTCCCACACACCTCTTGCCGATCCCTCTTGATTTGGGCCATTGAGGGGGGGCACCCCGCCACTTGAGCTGCGGGATCCACCGCACGACGCTGGTTTGCACACCTTTCACCAGCTCTCCACCCCCCACCAATTTGTGGGAGGCAATCACCTAGTGTTTACAGCGAAGGATGATTGGGGGTTGTCTTGCATTCCATTGGAGCACCCGACGCCACAAACAACCAAAAAAAAAAAATTCTTTGGCAACGAAGCCAGAAGATCGCAGTCGCGCATTAGCAGGCATTTCGATATGATACCCTACGACTGAGCTTGTTTATCTTTCTTTTGATTTTTTGTCGGCCATTTAAGCAAGTATATAGACAATACAGATCTTTCTATCTAATGGTCAGTCTCTATGGCAAGCTATTGGGAATCTCCAATGATGTTCAATAGGGGACGTCGAGGCGATAGCTTCTCGCACTAGCTAAAATCTAAAAGTGATGTTTCAGCCGCTCAATTGCCTCAGCTATCAGGTCCCCACTTCACGTCTCGTGAGTTGATTTTTGGATGGGACCTATACAAAGCGGGTACTTAGTCCCACCGCGTAGCTTCCTCGGCCATACATGTACCACCTGGGTACCACAGTGCGGGGAAAGCACAGGGCCCTCGGGCCAAATCTCCCCCGCATTTTCGGCGTTCGCTTTAAAAGTCTTGTCAAGGGAGGCAAAAGAGATGGAATGCATCTCCGTCTCCCCGGATCATATCGCACCGACGCTTGTTCCCTGTTCCTTGGAGACGCACATACCGGGGGACGTACGGTATAACACAAGCTCTTATCCCTCGTTTCCTTTATCTAAATTTAATGGGCCCAATCAATCACTACTTAATTCATCTTAAACATGACGCCACATCCACAACAGATAGCGCTGGAACAGTCGCTTCTTTATCCGGAGGAATTTTGGTCTGGTCCCGCAGAGCGGCTCCACTGGCACCGCAAGCCATCCAGAGCTCTGACACTCCAATCCAAGACTCTCCCTAGCGGGGTCAGGCATGAACACTGGTCCTGGTTTGCCGATGGTGAGATCTCCACAACCTATAACTGTGTAGATCGGCATGTGCACAATGGACTTGGAGACCAGGTCGCTATCATTTGGGAGTCACCGGTTACGCAGACAGCGGAAAATTTTACTTACAAGCAATTACTGGATGAAGTCGAGGTTCTTGCAGGGGTTTTACGGGAGGAGGGGGTCCGCAAAGGCGACGTGGTGATCATCTACAGTACGTAGTACAAGCTCAGTTAAACACCTTGTCTTATCTGCTAACCCATTCAGTGCCCATGATACCCGCGGCGCTCATCGCTGCGCTTGCAATTGCCCGGTTGGGCGCCATCCATGCAGCTGTGTTTGGCGGATTCGCCGCGCAGTCGCTAGCGCAACGCATTGAGGCTGCACGTCCCCGCGCCATCATGACCGCCTCATGCGGAGTTGAGGGCTCCAAGGGCCCCATTCCATATCGGCCGCTGGTGGAAGGGGCGGTTGCGGCGAGCAAGTTCAAACCCAGCAAGGTGATTGTGTGGCAGCGAGATCAACTACGCTGGAACTACCCCGATAAGCTCGGTGGCCAGCGAAACTGGCAGCGACTTGTTAAGAGTGCTCGCATGCGTGGTATCCGGGCCGGTCCGGTACCTATCAAGAGCACCGATGGACTCTATATCATTTATACGAGCGGCACCACCGGGTTGCCCAAGGGGGTGCTTCGAGAGGCTGGCGGTCATGCCGTTGGGCTTGAACTATCGATTCGATCTTTGTTTGGAATCAAAGGGCCGGGTGATGTGATGTTCTGCGCCTCCGACATTGGGTGGGTGGTTGGACACTCGTACATTCTGTATGCACCGCTGCTGGTCGGCGCAACCACGGTTCTCTTCGAGGGCAAGCCTATCGGCACGCCTGATGCTGGAACATTCTGGCGCATTATAGAGAAGCATGGGGTTAATACGCTATTTACGGCACCAACAGCCATGCGAGCTATCCGCAAAGATGATCCGGATGACAAGCTCTTCAAGGAAGTTGGACAGCGCGGCGGGCTGAAGTCTCTTCGAGCGTTATTCCTTGCGGGTGAGCGAAGTGAACCTGGCATTGTGAACGCGTATCAGAATCTTCTGACACAGTTTGCGGCACCTGGTGCTCTCGTCGTTGATAACTGGTGGTCTTCCGAGTCCGGATCACCTATCACTGGATTGGCACTGAACAGCAGCGCCGCCGTTCCCAGTACAGTCGCCACAGGAGCCGACCATCCTCTTGCCATCCGGCCAGGGTCAGCAGGTCTGCCGATGCCCGGATTCGACGTACGCATCGTCGACGACGATGGTAATGAGGTCCCTCGTGGAACAATGGGGAACATCGTCATGGCCCTACCACTAGCACCCACAGCATTCACAAGCTTATTCCAGGATGAAGAGAGATTCTACCACGGATATCTAAAGCGCTTCAATGGACGGTGGGTAGATACCGGGGATGCGGGAATCATCGACGAAGATGGATACGTGCACATCATGTCCCGATCGGATGATATCATCAATGTAGCCGCGCACCGTTTGAGCACAGGTAAAGAATCCTCGGAGTTCCTCATACCCAGTTGAAAGGCAAAATTGATCCTAACACTCTGAAAGGCGCCATCGAACAAGCAATCCTGTCTCATCCATCCATCAGCGAAGCCAGCATCGTCGGAATCCCAGACCCCCTCAAGGGTCAACTCCCCTTCGCATTCATCCAGCCTCGACCAGGTACTGATGACCCTAATCCGTTGTCCGTAACACCAAGCAAGCGGCTTTTTAATGAGGTTAACGCGCTGGTCCGCGAACAAATCGGTGCCATCGCTTCGCTGGGCGGCGTGATCCAGGGTCGGGGGATGATTCCTAAGACTCGGAGCGGAAAGACGCTACGGCGAGTGCTACGGCAGTTAGTTGAGCATGGTGTTGAGGGGCGATATGATGCGGCAGTCAGTGTACCGCCGACAGTTGAGGATGCGGAGGTTGTTGAGGTTGCGAGGGAAAGGGTGAAAGAGTATTTCGAGAAGAAGATAAAGGCAAAACTTTAGTTACTTTCTAATAAAAGACGATAAGGTCCACATGCTATGAAAGATAAAGCAGTATAAGGATGCATCTGATCTTATTGGAAAGTAAATCACAAACCTACAAATGGACGAGACAAACGTCATATTGACTACCAGTAAATAAGTAAGTCGTTCAGAGGTTCAAAAACATTATATCCAGGAGAAGTTGCTAAGAGATAAACCGCAGCATCGGCAAACATAAAGAAAACCCGAAGGTCCATTATGTATTATCTTAATGAGACAAGACATATACACCCAAGAAATTAAAAAATTCCCATACCCAAGGCCATCGAACGCCTGGCATCCAGCGCGATCACGACCTCTCAACCCATCCTCCCAAGAACCTCGACACACAGCAGATGCGTTGATCACCGAGCGAGCGAGATGAAGAGTACCGCGAACACACAGAATATCGAGTACCGGATCACATTCTCAAACTACAAGCTTACGCTTACAGGAGGAGGGCGACGACACCGAAGACGGCGGCCAGACCGGCACCAGCGCCGGCAACGTTAGCGGCACCAGCGTTGTAGGCGGGCTGGGAGGTGGTAGCGGGGGAAACACCGCTGCCGGAGGAGCCAGCGGCGGTACCGGGGACACCGGTAGCGGCGGCACCGCTGGGGACGTAGGGGGTCGAAGCCAGGGTGGCGGAAGCGCTGGGGGAGACAGAGACGACAGGGGTGGAGGGCAGAGGGGTAGAAGAAGAGCTGAGAGAGTAGGTTAGATGACAGTACTTCTAAAGGATTCCAATCATCCTTGGCGTCGATCGGTGTTCGATCGATGTTCCAGGTTGATTGGGTGGAGGTTGCGCTTACCACTTCTTGCACTCAACCACGGTGGAGGTGAGAAGAGGGCGAGTGACAGTGTAGTGACCACCGGTCATGGTGAGGTGTCCGGGCTAGGAGGAAAAATGTTAGAATTGTTGGTCTTTTTAATCAAGTTGCGATATAGACGGATGCGATCCACATAGAGTCTATGGTGTCGGGCGCGATCGCTGCGCAACAATGATCCGGGTGCAACTTACGGTGGAGATGCTGTAGGTGGTACCGCTGTGGACAATGGAGGTAGCCTCAGGGCAGTAGGTGGTGTACATGGTGACAGTCTCGGTGACAGCCTCAATAGCGGTGGCACCAGCGGCCAGGGCCAGAAGAGAAGTGATGGAGAAACGCATGTTGGAATGTGGAGTAAATTCGAGGAATGTTCGAAGAAGTATTTAGAGTCTTGATAAAGAGTGACTGAAGTAAAGAATGTAATCGGCCAAGAAGGTCCGGGAGTGAATCAAGAGAGTGTGAATACTTGCAAAAGGGGAGAGTAGACGGGGCGCGGGATCATTTAATATAAGACCATGGTCGACTCAGGTACCCGTGCACTAGCGCCAAATCCACGAAAATTCGGACCCAAAATTCTGTTCCTGGACAGTATGAAAAAGGGGGGGAAACCCAAGGTCGTGGCAATTATGGGGAAATTAGGTCGACCAGGCAATCTTGCGTCAGAACCGGATTGAAGTTCAGTATCGAATGGGCCCTGCAGGGGATAAGGACGAATCAGGAATCAGGACGTGCTCCGAACACAACCCACAACAACAACCGGCATTCAAACTGGATAGACACTAGTGCACTGGAGGATCATTGCTCTTTTAGTGGCTTGTGAAGGCTTGGAAGATGAACGGGTCCGCTCGAAAAGAAGTCTAGGCCAATGATTGACGGTTTATTGAGAACCAGAATAGAACAGCACCTACCAGGAGTACAGAATTGATAGCGATAGAGCCCCTTAAAGGACTAAGTCTGTACTTATTCACTAAACATAGATCTGGCACACGCCTTCGCGTCATTTTGGGCCAATTTTTGGGGGGTCCGTCTGTGCCGCTTTACAGGAAATCATCTTACGCAAGTCCATGAAGTGGGGCTTGGATCGTTGTCCCCAACTGAAAGGCATTTTAATTGGTTCCGGACTTGAGTCAACATGAACCAGCTAAACACATCGGGATCAAGGACGGTGTTCACGGGATATGCGGGGGGGTCCATGAAACATGTAAGGGCCGACATCCGATAACATCATAGCCTCATAGCTTTTGTACTTATAGCCCTCTAGATATGTACGACTTCGCTAACTATTTGAATTGGGATCATCAAAACAGAACTTTTGTTTATTCCAAGGTTCCCTCCCGTCTTTCAAGATCCACTATAGACCAAGCTGACGAGGCAATCGGCCTTTTTCAGGGAGAACTGCCGGCAGCACGTGCTTTTTGGTTGATAAGGCAAAAGGGACATAAAGCTAGAGTTTGTTCAATTATGTTGCTTTCAGTGGATTAGGTCCATACACCTAATCTATATTCTGGTAATTAATGAGTCTGTTGAGAGTGCCATGGGATTGTGCACGTATGGGTCTTTCCTGTCTTTCATCTCACCGCTATACGGCCGAGGTCTGAAAAGACCAAGATAGAATTCAAATTATCCAATCCAATAATGAAACTTTATACTCTGGGCTTTGGAAGGTCATCGCATGACTTCAAGCACGTGAGCTCTTGATTCGAAAGTCCGTTGGTGTAGCATGTGCTTTGGGGAATATATATAATCAGACACCGCACCCATCCCCAGCCCTGGAGGTTGCAATAATGACATAATAGGCGTTATGTATCCATGGATGTAAGGTACATTAAACAATGTTGTTTGCATTTGCCGTTGATATACATTGATAGAAACAGTGCATTAGATCCCGAGGTCTTCTGTTGATTATGCATGTGTGATAACCTTTAGGGTTGCCCAGGTGTTCACAGTTCATCTCAAAGTGCTTACAGCTATGGATTCCAACCTCTGCCGACCGTAGACATAGCTTTACTGGAGCACGTTGAAATAGAAACGGGACTATGGAACTATCCGGGGAAGTATAATACACAAGACGTACAAGGGATCGATCAAAGTTTATGTATATCTATTCATTGCTAGGCTAAAAAGGGTACGAGCGATTCAGCAACAGCTTACACAACAAAGCCAATCGGACAGAATGATCCCTATTGGATGGTGATGGGGCGCGGGATCTCTCAGCAGCGCCCGTCCAGCACCGGCCCAGAAGGCCAACACCGACGAGTGCTGACACAGATAGAACGCCGTCTCTTCATTTTGGTTTTAGTTGTGTGAAGAAGAAAGGAAGGGAGGAGTCGATTCGGCAAAATAAAAAGGACCGGTCGTGCACGGACCAGGCGGTGAACTGGAACAGGTCTAGTGTGGTTTTCCGCTTTCCGCGGGCAACGGGGAAGGTGCGACCGGCACTCCGCAGTATTAAAAGCTGTGGCTTCCCTATCGACTGTAGCAATTGCCCATTTTTCTCATATTCACCATGTCTCTTGCTCGCTGTGGGCGTCTTGCTCGCCTCTCCCTCGGGAGTGTTCGCACCACCGCCATCTCCCCTCGCGCCTTCGTTTCTAGATCCGCCCCTCTCGTGCGGGGAGTATCATCATTCAATCGAGATGCCCAGCAAAAGGTATAATCTGAGCCCAATGGATATTTCTGCTGTTGGAATGGCAAGTCTAACGCCCCATACAGCTGCTCTCATCCTCCCTGCAGGATTCGGACCCGGCCATTTACAACATTCTGGAGAAGGTACGTCATTGCCTTGAGCTTTATACGAAGCATTCACTAACACCAAATTTCAGGAAAAAAACCGCCAGAAGCACTTTATCAACTTGATTCCCTCTGAAAACTTTACATCACAAGCTGTTCTCGATGCCCTAGGCAGTGTGATGCAGAGTATGTAGATCCCATGCCTGGCCTCCAGAAGACAAGCTCTAATCGCATATCAGACAAGTACTCCGAGGGATACCCCGGCGCCCGATACTATGGTGGAAATGAGCACATTGATGCTTCCGAGCGCCTGTGCCAACAGCGCGCGCTGGAGACCTTCCGTCTCAACCCGGAGGAGTGGGGTGTGAACGTGCAGCGTATGGTGCCACCCCGTCAAGGATACATGGATTGAGGAGCGCTAACACTATCACAGCCTTGTCCGGCTCGCCCGCTAACCTCTACGCTTACTCGGCTTTGCTGAACACCCACGACCGCCTCATGGGTCTGGACCTGCCCCACGGTGGTCACCTGTCCCACGGTTACCAGACTCCGACTAAGAAGATTTCTGCCATCTCCAAATACTTCGAGACCCTGCCCTACCGCCTGGATGAGTCTACCGGCCTGATTGATTATGATGCCCTGGAGAAGCAAGCTCAGTTATACCGTCCCAAGCTGATTGTGGCCGGTGCTTCTGCATACAGCCGTCTCGTCGACTACCCCCGCATGCGCGCGATCGCTGACTCCGTGGGCGCATACCTGTTGACTGATATGGCCCACATCTCCGGTCTTGTTGCGGCTGACGTGATGCCATCTCCATTCCCCTACTCCGATGTGGTGACTACCACCACTCACAAGTCTCTGCGCGGTCCCCGTGGTGCTATGATCTTCTACCGTAAGGGTCTGCGTCGCACTGACAAGAAGGGAAACAAGGAGATGTACGATCTAGAGAACCCTATCAATGCCTCCGTTTTCCCCGGCCACCAAGGTGGTCCCCACAACCACACCATCACCGCGCTGGCCGTGGCCCTTAAGCAGGCTCAGTCTGCTGACTTCAAGGAGTACCAGACGGCCGTTCTCGCCAACGCACAGGCGCTGGCTGAGCGACTTGGTGAGTCTACCAGCAATGGTGGCCTTGGATACAACATCGTCTCCGGTGGTACCGATAACCACCTGATTCTGGTCGACCTGAAGAACCGTGGTGTGGATGGTGCCCGTGTCGAGCGGGTGCTGGAGCTGTGTGGTGTTGCTAGCAACAAAAACACTGTGCCGGGCGATAAGTCGGCCCTTAAGCCCGGTGGTCTGCGTATCGGTACCCCGGCCATGACCTCCCGCGGCTTCCAGCCTGAGGACTTCCGCCGGGTCGCTGACATTGTTGACCGCGTTGTCACCTTGACCCAGAAGCTGGACAAGGCTGCCCGTGAGCAAGCCCAGTCTCGTGGAGCTAAGAACCCCAATACCCTCAAGGCATTCTTTGAGTTCCTGGGTGAGGGCGAGGAGGTCTCAGAGATTGTTCTGCTGCGGCAGGAGGTGGAGGATTGGGTGGGCACATTCAGCCTGCCTTGGGCCAAGGACCAGTAGATTTTTCTTTCTGTTTATCATCTTTCCTTTTCATCTATGTATATTCCCCTATGATTCAACACGAATATGATTGATAAGACCATTTAACTTTCAACTTCTGAAATTGTAAATATTGAAGGCCAGAACACTACAGATTCGATTGCTGACGTAGTTGGGAAGATAACCGATAAGCGCGGACCTTCTCCGCTGCGGAGAGATAACGGGCATCTCGGCCTTGCCCTCGAGTGTTTCCTTCATTCAAATTAATTTGGCCAACACTACATTCGTGACCATGAAGATCAGTCAGGTATGCGCGGATGATCATGCTTGCAATGGTTTGAGTAGGCTCCTAGCTAACCCTCCAGCTCTATCTCTATCCGATTAAATCCCTCCGACCAGCCTCTTTGGATACGGCCGTCCTTACTTCCGTAGGTCTGGAATTTGACCGTCGATATATGCTTCTGAAGGTCGAAGCAGACAAAGATGGCATCAAGACCATACTGAAGAACATGCACATTCCCCATTATCCAGAAATGGGACTTTTCCAGACTGCGGTAGAATTCCCTAAAACCAAACATGACAGCGGGAAAGTTACTATCACATACAATCCCCCAACGCCTCAAGATGTTTCAGACGCAAAGCCACGTGAGGCCAAGTACCTAGAGATTCCGCTGCGCCCGCATTCGGTCAAGGAGAAAAGGAAATTCCAGGTCATGATGCACAAGAGCCCAACAACTGGATATGATATGGGTGCCGAATATAACGATTGGTTCAGCGAATGCTTTGGGTTTCCGGTGATCCTAGCGTATCTGGGGACCAATTCCAGAAAAGTCCTGGGTACAATGGCTCCGGAAAACCGAAATAAAACGCCCTGGTGGACGATCTGGTACGAAACCCTGACGCACACTTGGAACAAAACCATCCCAGTGTTACTTGTCTGGCTCTACATCCTCATCCGGGCTGTAGATTATCCCATCGGCATGATGGCGGATGATCGTCTGACCCCTCAAATGGCTTTGTCAGCTGCCGCTCTCATTCTCACCAGCTGGGTATGGGGCACGCATTGTCTGCTCGTCAGACTACGGCAAACACGCATCAGCTTTGCGGACTGTGCTCCGTTTCTAGTTATCTCCCAGGCCTCCATCGATAATGTCTCTGCCCGACTTCCGGAGGGAGAGGAAATGGATCATACTAAGTTCCGGCCTAATATTGTCGTGTCAGGCGCTGATTCAGCATTTGAAGAAGATTTTTGGACTGAACTTGTTGTGGGACCTACGAAGGCTCGTCTATTGTTGACGGGGAACTGTGTTAGATGTCAGAGTTTGAATGTGGATTATCAGACTGGGAGTATGGCCGAGGGTGAGACCGGCATGGTGCTGAAGAAGTTGATGAAAGATCGGCGGGTGGATCGAGGGGCAAGGTTCAGCCCTGTTTTTGGCCGGTATTCGTTCCTGCATTGGACAGGTCACGGGGATACAATTCGGATAGGCGATGAGGTTGGGGTGGTGGCGCGTAGTAAAGAACGGACTGTTACAGGTATGGAAATTGACTTTGCAGTTTGGGTTTAGTTTGCTGACTTTCTTTAGATTGGCCCGGTCTCACCAATTAGTACTTTACAAGACCATGGAAGTATTGGGTCATTACCAATGGTCAACCTTCATAGGGTCATTTAGATAATCGAACTTGATTCTAGGGTTGTAGTATAATCATACTCAGGGCCACAATGGCCATGATTACTTTCACTATGTATATCACTTACACAATCAAGTTGATCTATGACAGTGAACTCTTCACGGCAAGTTCTCCACAGCCACCAATAGTCAAGCGCTTATCGGTGCTTCCGGATAAACATAGCCATCATTACGTCAGTTCAACATTTCGTGTATGCACCGCCACATCATCACCTGACTTGTAACTGGCGGCCTTGATCCATGGGTTAATGAGTTGCAAGTGGATTCAATTTCCAATAATAACTTATTGTTCATTTCCGACTTGAATTTATCCTGTCGTGTATTTGCTGTCCGTCTTACAACTCTGTCAAAAAGACCAACTTTGTCTGATCCCGCAAACTGTGGCTTGACTAGACTAAGCCCCCCCAAATCGAACACCGCTGCCTGCTCGGAACCTGCTGGATCTATCTTTCCTCATCCTGTCACACCTCAACTGAAAGCTGCACTTGAATACTCGTGGTGTAACCAGTGTCACACTTTCCCTTCCACGCTTGCACCCGACCGGTCAGGCGTCAGCTGTCCCGCAACTTCGGTGCATAAGGCGCCACTAAACCCCGCCGGGGGTAAGTTGCCGCTGCAGGGCGAGATAAAAAAAAAAAAAAAGCGATCCCTATCGCTTCACACAACAACACTTGCAGTCGCCATGGACTCGGCCAATTTGCGTCGCAAAGACACCACTAAGGGTCCGCCATTGCGGATCCTCTCTCTCGGTAAGTTTGACGATATTACCCCACGTACGCAACCTCGAAGGCTGACCGAACAACAGATGGAGGTGGTGTTCGCGGCTACTCCATGCTCATCATACTACAGGAACTCATGTACCGTACCTACGTCGAATGTGAAGGCAAACCTCCCCGCCGCGACCAAATTCCCAAGCCTTGCGAGCATTTCGACTTAATCGTGGGAACCGGCACCGGTGGTTTGATTGCGCTCATGCTCGGACGTCTCCGCCTCGACCTCGAGACCTGCAAAGAAGTCTACGTTCGCATGACCCGCAAAGTGTTCGAAACAGACAAGACTATTGCCGGTATACCTTACCGATCAACATTATTTAAGGCGTCCAAATTGGAGGAAGCTATCCGAGAATGTGTACGGGAACACACCGTCTTTGAAACCGAAGGCAATGACTTGCCCAACAATTCCAATCCTCGCGCATCCATCGCAAGTCTCCCATACAGCCCGAACTCCGCACCCCAGCGCTCTCTGAGCCGGGGAAGCTTCAGCACATCTGGAGCCTCATATTCCCAAGCACCAACTTCAAGAGGGTCAACCTTCCTCAACGGAATGCGCTGGGGCAACCCGGAAGCCACACTCTACGATAACCGGGAAAACCGGACTAAGACGTATGAATCTCTGTCATAGTATTCGAAACCCAATGCTAACATACTTTTTAGTGCCGTTACTGCGCTGTTCAAAGGCACCCAACGCAACGGACCAGTAGTGTTTTTACGCTCCTACGACTCTCGCCGAGAACCCCCACCGGAGTTTGACTGCACAATCTGGCAAGCTGGCCGTGCTACTGCAGCCACCGGGCTTGCCTTTAAGCCTATCCAGATCGGTCAACACGTTTTCATTGATGAAGGACCCGGCACCTACAACCCGGCACCACAGGTACTCGATGAAGCGATTGTGAATGAGTGGCCTGGCCGAGAGGTTGGGGTTTTTGTTAGCGTGGGGACAGGGCGTCGACCTTCAGGCACCAACAACCGGCAGCATGAATGGTGGGAAGGTTTCTTTGGCGACTCATTGGGCACATTCGCTGAGGCGCGACGCCGACTGATGACGAAGATTGAAGGCTGTGAAGACATCCATCAAGAAATGCTACGGGACACCCTTGCCAAGCGTCATGTCAGCAAGGACAACTACTACCGTCTCAACGTCGAGGTTGGTGTGGGCGAGTTTGGCATGAACGAGTGGAACCGCCTTGCAGACATCAGCACCAATACACGACGATACTTGGCCAAGCCAGAAGTCAAAAAAATGATTCTGGACGCCGGCGTCAAGTTTGCCAAGATTGACCGCATGAACAAGCGCTTGGCAAACCATGCGGCGGCCGGTGGTGACCGCGATGATCTGTCATTTGATCTAGAACGAGAGGAAATTTCTGTCTCGCAGCATGCACCCACCTTCTCGGTGCCGCCACCTTCAAATGCCTTTGCTGTGGAGCTACCCGCTGAGCCGGTCGAGATGTATCAGCCGCATGGATCACCACCTCTCCCTGCCACCGTGACGGTGACAGCACCTCCGGAAGACGACTCACTTCCAGCCCATCCAGCTCCTCATGATAATTATCCCATTTCTCCGATACGCCACTCAAGCGCCGACCTCCCCTATCCGAGCCATAACAATGAGTACAGTCGACCATCGTCACAACCTTCTCCCCATCATAGCGGCGAACAAATATTCCATGCCGGCATGTCACCACCACCCGTTCCACCAAAGACACCCATTCCGTACCCATCTCAGGATGATTCGGGAGGAGTGGCGATGCCAGCTCCGCTATTCACACACAATCAAGCTCCGATGTCCGGCATGGTGCGCCCGCCCTACCCAATTGACGAAGCACCACCCGTTGTGAACCGGCAACGCAAGCCCAGTTATCATGTGCGGTGATTCTTTTGTAGTCTTTTCAGGCTCACTTTTCGTCGTATGGTCATTTTTCTTTTCTTTTCTTTCCTTTGGTTCTTTTCCCTTATGTGTTTCTCTACTGGATACCCTTCATTTGAGACGGAGAATGGCATGGGCCCGTGGGCCGGAAACATGGTGTCTCGGCGCAATAATCGGGAGAGAATTTTTTATTAGGTCCATCCCCGTTGTGTAGACGGGGCATGAATGATGACATTAATGATCAGGTGCTCTTTCTACTGAAGGTGTATATTAGGTACCGAGGTAGTAATGAAGCAAATCACGCCCATACAAGGAGTATAGATGCGAGTTTAAAACAAGGTTATTCACCTGGACAAAGTAGTAATGATCGTCCACTATCAACTATGCTTTTGCTTGACGCACAGGACTCATTACTACGTCTGGATTGAATCATCATCGTAATGTGGCACAGTCCGTCCAATGGCAGTTTAATTAAATATAGCAACCTTTAATCACCGCTACCATGTGTCAGGTCGGTACCTGGCAGGTACCGCTGATCGTGCGGCAGGTGCGCCCCACTTGATGTACTGTGCAGGTCACTGTCTTTTAGGCTTACCGTTTCCCCACAGGCCCAGCCATCTTTGTTTTTGCTCTTCCCCTATTCTCTCTATCTTTTAGTCCTTTTGTCCCTCGATTCTTATGTTTTTCTCTTCTACAACTCCTGTATCTCTTCACTTATCTCATTTCACAAGTTCACTTGCACACTTTATTCCGGCGTCAACATTCTTAACGCCGATCGTCCCCGCCTTGATTTAGGCTTCCAGAAACATTCCACGATCGCCTTTCCGAACCCAGATCTCACCGAATTTCCGAACGGATTCGTCTCAATTGTTTATTGACTTCGACTCTGTTTCCAGGGTTGCTGAATCTGATTGGATCAAAGTCAACAAAAATTCAGGCGAGACGCTGACTGCGCAAAGTGGCCTGAGCAAGTGTCTCAGTAATCGCCGAGTTACGTCTTCGGACGACTCCGTCCTTGCGACAACTCTCCCACTGCTGGCCAGTGGTCTCTATTCCTCCAACTCTCGCCCCATTAACCCCCCTCACCATGGAAGCCCATACATTATCGCACGCATCCACCCTCCTCGCCCGGGCCGACTCCAGCAGTCGTCCATCCTACTACAAGGCGATCGGCATTTCTCTTGCGGTCGCATCGGGCGTCTTTATCGGTATATCGTTCGTTTTGAAGAAGGTTGGTCTGCTCAGGGCAAATGTTAAGTACAATGAAGAAGCTGGAGAGGGATATGGCTATCTGAAGAATTTTCTTTGGTGGACTGGCATGACCCTGATGATTATTGGCGAAATCTGCAACTTTGTTGCTTACGCTTTTGTCGACGCCATCCTAGTTACACCCTTGGGCGCCTTATCCGTGGTAATCACTACGGTCTTATCTGCAATCTTTCTCAAGGAAAGACTGAGCTTTGTCGGCAAAGTTGGTTGCTTCTCATGCATTGTTGGGTCAGTGGTGATTGCGTTGAATGCGCCCGAGCAGTCTTCGGTCAGCAACATTCAAGAAATGCAACACTATGTTATCGCGCCTGGATTCTTGACATATGCAGGTGTCATCATTGTCGGTTCTATATTCACTGCTTGGTGGGCAGGGCCCCGATATGGCAAGAAGAGCATGTTCGTCTACATCAGCATTTGCAGCATGGTTGGTGGCTTAAGTGTGGTTGCAACCCAAGGTCTGGGATCAGCGATTATAGCCTGGATCGGGGGTGAGCCACAGTATAAACAGTGGTTTCTCTGGGTTTTACTTGTCTTTGTTGTTTGCACGTTGCTGACAGAGATCATCTTTCTGAACGTAAGTTGTCGAGTTTGATTCAATTCCAGAAAGCTCTCTAACGGATATACAGAAAGCGCTGAATCTTTTCAATGCGGCCCTTGTCACGCCGACCTACTATGTCATGTTCACCAGTGCCACGATTGTGACCTCCGCCATCTTGTTCCAAGGATTCAAGGGTACTGCCACGGAAATTACGACTGTGATTATGGGATTCCTGCAGATCTGCACCGGTGTAGTCCTTCTTCAGATATCGAAGTCTGCTAAAGATGTTCCCGATGCTGCTGTTTTCAAAGGTGATTTGGACCAAATTCGTGAGGTGGTCACGCAGGAGGAGCCAGAATCGGAGCCCAGGGCAGACTCGATCCGCGGTGCAGCCTCTATCATTCGCCGCATCTCAACTGCCCGTCGCACCATGGAGTCTGATGAGGCCCGGCGCTTTTTCCACGATAAACATGAAGATTCCCTCAAGCCTCCGGGTGAGAACGAAATTATTGAATGGGATGGCCTCCGCCGGCGGAAGACTGTCCTCGGACAAGGGCCAACGATGTCTCGTGCATCTACCCCTCGATCACCCTCAATCAAGCAACAGTTTCCACCGCTCGGGATGTCGCACTTTCCTGATCCAGAGGATGAGGAAGATCGACCAACCACCAAGCAAAGTGGACATTCTTTCCTGTCTGACACTCGGTCTCGGATGTCAAGTCTGCGTCACCCTCAGCAGTGGATTCCACTGAAAGAGCAGGATGAAAAGAACACCGGGTCACAGGATGCCCCGGTGTCTCAGGATGGTGATGCGGTTGACACAGAATACCACGGTGCTGCGGCCCGCCCTTTTGGACGTGAGCGAAGCGACACCCCTCGATCCATCGCCTGGGCCGATGAGAAAGCCGATGACCCGAGTCTTGAGCCTCCGGTGAACACCGCACGTCGTCAGTTCTCCTTCAACAGCGTGCTGAGCCGCATGAAACCAACCCGTGATCCATCCCCCAAGCGCCTCGCCAGTCCGCCCCGTGGTATTCTTCGTCGGACCACAAACTCAGGAACGGAAGAAGAACGACTTGGTCTTGTGAAGGGAGATTCTCGAACCGTACAGCCAGAGGAGAGTCTTGGTGAGAAATTGGAGCGCTGGTCGAGCAGCGAGTCGGATCTCAGCGAAGTCCAACCCCAACCATTGCGCACCAGCCGCCCTCACGGAGATTCTGTGTCATCCATGTCGACCGCAGCCTTCCCACCGTATGAGGACCACCACCATGCGCTCTACTCTGCACCAGGTGCTTCTGGGTCGAACCCTTACTATCTTCCGCCGACGCGACAAGCAGTGTCACCAGAACATGTCGAGGAGTATGATGGCTGGCAGTTACCCCCGTCCAGTGCTCGCGGTCACAATCGCACGCGAACAAACTCATCGACTCATGGCCGCGCCCCACCGCCCTCTCAGTCCTCCTTCTCTACGCACCGTCACCCTAACCCGCTTCCGTCTTTGCCCGATGAGACTGCTATGGGTGTGAGATCCGTCTCCTCTGGCTCGTCCGATATGGGCGTTGCTTCCATAACCTCATCTACCGAAGCTCAAGACACTGAGAATACTCGCCCTTATCGCGTGTCTCGCCAAAACAGTGGCTGGCGTCGGCATATGTCCGAGCTGAGCAGTCATGACGGCGAACCACCTGAGGCCAGAGGGAACGGTCGGGGTGGTGCATTTGTCTGATACTTGATTTAGGGCTGGATGCCATCTAAATCTATTCTTTGTACTGCATTTCCAAGGCGTTGACTGGGTTTATAAGCATATGGTATCAATTGATACTAGGACTAGTTCCCCACATATCATGTATGAGTATGGATGTCATGATAGATGACGGTAATGCATTATGATTAAGTGAAAGTCTTTCTAAAATACTTCAACGTCTGTTTCAATGCGTAGTCTAATCACAGATCTTGTTCTCTTCGGAGAACAAGCTTTGTAGTAACAGTATGAATGAAAGGGTATCATGCTTATCCAACGCCATCGGTACACTGCAGAAAGCCACCCAACGCTATGCCATGCAATGCCATATGCAACGCCGTGCCGAATGCAATGCAGTAAAAATTACAAACAAATGAGGATGTGTCACAGCAACTCTTACAGGTTACTTGCGGCCGAACATCCCAGCAACACTCTGCTGTCCTTTCGGTGCAACGTTCAAAACGGTAAACCGAGACTCAGCAAGTCGTTGCCCAGCTTTGATGCTCTCAAGAACCCTAAGTATCGGTCACGTCAGTGATTATCCCAAGGCCGGCTGATCCATCAATCGCATAGAATATAGTATCATACCATTCCACACCAACAATCCGAACACCCTTCCACCCGCCCCGGGCAATCTCCTGTTGAAGTTTCCTAGCCGAAAGGCCTCCTCCAGCCCCAAGTGTCGCCTCATTAAAAATCGCATTCGGCTGCCCGATAATCACATGCGAAACGGTCTTGCGCGCCATGTGAATAGAGATCTGAGCGCCGTGATCGACAAGAAGGCGTTTAAGTTTGTGGTCCGAGATTGAAGGGAGAGTTGAGCCGTTAATAAACATTGTCGTGCCGACGAATAGATTTGGTTTCGCAGATACCGGTTCTGCATTGGACGGACGTAATGTGGGTGAGATCTTCATGATCGGCTTTGATTCCGCACGGTTCTCCGTGTCTTTCAATGGCGCATGACTCGTGACTTTTTGTTTCTTATCGATCGGTCGCAGTGTGTCGTCGCCAGATTTCCGTTTACCAACTCCCATGAAACTGCGGATATCTCTGACGCCTAACTGCGAGCGCTTCGCTTCTGCATCGTTGACCCATCTCCATTCCCCGTGGCCATTGAAAGAGCTGTTCTTCTTCCTGTCCGCTTCGTGCTCGTTTTCTTGGTCATTGTTTTGATCATCCGTTGGTGATCCACAAGTCCCATCGAATGCACGCGACCGCGATGAGGGGACAGAATCTTCCTCACGTAGACAGTCTCCACTCCGGAATTGCCGCTCCAACTTCAGTGACCGGGTATCGCGCCATGTAGCTGTGCCTGCGTAGCCAGCTTTGTGTCTCTGGTGGCCGGTGGAGGAGGAGTTCCACGCATCGAATCTTTTGCAGTTCTGCGGGGAAGGGGGTCGTTTGCGGGGGAGCTTGGTTGGATCGGGCATGACGTGGTGAAGATCGCGAAGGCCTTGGTGTACTTTGATGCTTTTGGGGTTTCTGCGGGGTGAGATGTGAGGGGCAAAAAAGATGTTGATTTCATGGAAGATTGCTGTTGGAGACGTTGGCCGTTGGCCGCTGGCCCGGGCGGAGGTGATCCATGGTTCATCCTGTGTTTAGATTTTGCTACTTTTGGATAGGGTATGCGGTGTCACGTGGGACGTGGATGTCGTGCACTTGGTCAATGCTTCTTGGTTAGTCTATTTGATTTCTATAATGTGATTATATATTCAGGTCTGCATAAGCTATAGGCTAGGCAGGTACTTGGGGTGAATTCAAATTCAAAATTGTTGGCGGGATGGTTGCTGGTAGGTAAATTTGAACTGGCGATATATATTGTCATCAAAGCTGGAATGCATATAACTACATACGCTTACATAGCTAAGACCGGAGAATAGAGAGAGAACTTCAAAAATTGAGCTGAACTTCGTTGATGTAGTTTCATAATCATGAATAAATGAAGAAGCCGAGGCATTGTTGAAACAGCCCAAGGTTTGAAACACTCGCTGAAATAGCTCTAAACCTTGGAATGCTTGATTGAGAGGTTCTACGGTGATATCCGTAACGCCAATCAACTTGGAACAGCGTGACCAAACCTATCACCTGCAACTGTGGTCAATGCAAACAGGCAACGTTTCAAATACAGTGACTTCTCGATGGCAGGTGTCAAATGCTAATCTAACCTACCAAACTGACCTCGGGACATTGATATACACGTGCATGCATTCTGTGCCACTCATCTCAGGTCACATGCCCCTGAGATACAGCATAAGGTTAGGGTGCATTCCTTGGATGGTTTGTATATCCAGCACTTAGAAGTTAAGCAAAGACCACATGCCACATGGCTGGAATAGGCAGATAGGACTTGGACGTGTTCTACGAGATGCATTCCATGCCTGTCAGATCTAGGCTAACTGCAGCCTTAGATATGGCGCCCAACACTTAAACCTTGCTAGGACACGAGGACGGACTCATCATCTTCCAGAAGCCTGCTGCAATCCGTAACTCCCACTGCATTCTGCCCGTACCTGACTGGTCCCGTGCGGCACTGGCACCTACCCGCTGTGCGTAGATAAGTGCATTATCTCAAGAAAAAGAAATTCATAAGAACAAACGTGGGGAGGACCGAACTACCCATCATGATCGAGCACAGAGCACGCCCCAGCAGATCCCAGCAGATTTCAGCAGATCCCAGCAGATCCCAGCATGTGTTCTTTCTACGGGGGCCTAGAAATGATCGGTCCAGGCATCTGGGCACACCTACATGAAAGTCAATGCAACTTACGTGCTCTCAAACCAACTCTATCAAGGGATGGATGGCGGGGAAGCGAAACCAGCACGACCGCCAGTTCATCCAAGCCACGACAGTATCCCTAGATAGTGCGATAGCGAGACATTCACCAGTTGAAAGTCAGATCGAAGCAGCGGTGAGCCATCATCCCCAGCATCCCCCCCCAGACAGAGACCTGCATGAGCAGGATGGCATGCTTCGAGAATGTGGCGATCGCGCCAAAGAGTAAGCTGGTGCAGACAAGACCAGAGACATGCACATTCTTGCAAGAGACGGTGTGAAGAGACGAAGTGACTTCCCTGCTCATGTACCCTCCGGACTTAATTTATTTTTACCAGTACTTGCAGGAAATCGTAATGTCGTACATGCATCTTATCGTGCTGACGTCGTGCCGATCATTTCTGCACTGGACTTTCTCCAGAGAACCGTCTCCGTATTCCGTACTCCGTACTCCGTCCTCCCAAAACCCCCATTTCCCATCTTTCTTTGGCCAAAAACCCCCAAGGCTATTTCCACGATATTTTATTTCCACATTTGGCGGAAAAAAAAGGGAAATTGGCATTTGATCCAGAATCAACGGCGAGCTCCACCCTCCAAATAAAAAAAAACCAGGACCTGTGCCACGTCTGCACGCAAGGGGGGGAAAAGAGCAACTGGCGGTGAAATCCACCATGATCTAGCCCGCTACGTGGTGATGTCGAGCACCAGTCATTGTCCGGTCGGATCGTCGATCGGCGGGCGGTTGCAGCAATAGAGGGGCTCACAGCCAATCAACCCATCGACGCGCCCCCACCTTTCTTAGTGTCGTTACACCTTTTGGCCCGGGCCATCCTGGTGAGAAGAAAGAAATGGGCTCGGAGGAATGGCCCAACATGGGTTGGTCCACGATTATGAACGTGCAGTCGATCTCACGGGACGCAATGCGAGGTTAAATCAGGTCGCACGGGCTCCAGGACGTGGTGCGTTATTATTCGTGTGAATTGTGGCGATTTGACTGAAGAAATCTAGACTTGACCGGCGACTCGATACGGGGGTGCCAAATGACTTGACGTAGCGTGTGGAGTCCACGAATCATTCGTCTGTACAACACATTTGAACGTGAAATCCGTCAGGGAACATCCCTGTTCATTCTTCTGTCCCACCTAGACTAGAAGTGAGGCCGATCCCGGACCTCTTCACCATGCCACCTCTTATCAATGATACTGTTACTAAGTAGCAGTACTCACTTGCAGTCACGGACAACTACGGTATAGCTATCAACCTATTCCCCCTGTGAAACCTGTCATAGCAGTCTGCACGGACTTGGCTGCAGGGTAACTCGTCGCTGCAAGGTACGGGACGAACCCGTCGATCGATAATCCTAAGGAATGAGGGCAACAATAAAACTAAGTGGAGGTGCGCCCCGAGCCGGTAAGTGATGCGAGATGCTCCCGGTGCTATCATTACCCGGTTCCACGAAGGATCGTCACGTCTCTCCTTACGTGATTTTATTTCTTTTTATTATAGGTTCGGGGAGAGGAAGATGATACATCACAAGGCCTTCATTTCCTTGGTGGAGAGGAAATGGTCAGAGCTTTGATTACTTCCGAAAGCCCCGATCCGCTCGGCGGAAGGAAAAAGAAACAAAAGTTCGAAACAAAAGAGGGGGTTGGGATGATCTCCCCCTATTAAAATCCGGGATTACTATTCATCCAAATTATGGATTAACTCTGGGGTCTACTGTACACTGCACAGCGGGTATCGGGCCGTCGATAGCAGGGATCTGGGCCCTTTTTATGGAGTTCAGAGAACAAGTGGTACCTGCTTTTTCCGAATTCCTCCACTTGCCTATGCACTCCGTAGAGCTAGTTGGAAAGCTAGTACCGTATAGTGCCCCGTTTCTTCCCGAACTTCCCCCGACCCCAACGCCACTACGGTCTTGTAACTCAGTGGGGGCGAATGATACAGTCAGCTAATTTATTTGCAAAGGAAAAGGGGAAGAGATACGCTGGGAATTAGCAATTATGGAAACATGGAACCAGAACGGGGAAATCCCACATCCGAGGTTGACAGATGTCAACCCCTAGGTGGATGTTCTCTAGATCTATGCAAGGGATGGAAGTCGACTGGCGGTGAATAACTGTAACTGTTCAGAGTTCCCCTAGAGACTCCTTGCTGGGATCTAGAATCGACGTCGTCACGGGGCATTACAATCCGGACGAGAGAACAGACCCTTGATCGACTCAAGCCACCCGTGTTTCGTGGTGCGCTCTGAACCACTGATTCCCCCTCTTTTATGTTTTCTTTTTTATTATTATTGTGATTTATGATTTATGATTTATTAATCCTATATTATTTTTTCTTTTTTTTTTCTCAGTGTGACGCGCCCAACTCCACCGTTACTCACGGGCCGCCTTATCTATTATTTCCTTCGATCGACGGGCCGCGCTCTCGACCCACGTCCGTGTAGTTGACCTTGCAGAGAGAAAAGGAAGACTATAGTTATAAGGATAATATTGATTTGTATATATGTGATATACATATATATATATATATATATATATATACATATTAATGTATTGAATATATAAAGAAAAAAGTAGAAAAGTATTCACGTTTCATCTACGTAGAGCGTAGAGCTAGGTCATTAAGCGCTGTTCTGAAACTCGGGTAATCGACCGTGCTTCTGCAGCCGCAAATGTCTTGCACGGGGAAAAGAGGGGAAAGTCTCCATCCTCATTGTTCGCCATTCCATGGGTCTAGTCGCAGTGGGCCGCGGGAGTCAACCATGGATCAATTGTGGTCACCGTTGTCTCCATTCTGCTATTTTGCTATTGTAGGAACTATTCCAATTATTTCCAAGGTAATGTGATGTATAGCATAGTGCGTGGCAGTACTAGCGGGGACGATCAGCGTTGTGCTTGTCACACAGACCAGGATCCTCAGCTCAGTGGATCCTGTTCTGTGTTTTGGTGTTATGTTTTGGTTTTTATTATTTATTTTACTTTCCTATTTTCTTTTTTTTTGCTACTTTCAAGGTTATCTCCTGTCCCTGCATTTCCCTTTGATTACTGAGCCATTACTGAGAGCTGGGGAGTATTGTAATTTATCTCTCACTAGTTACCGTCCTTGCTTGGTGGCGGTTGACTCGATCGCACCTCCACTTTCTGGTCCCACACGGTGATTCGATGCTATTTCTGTTGAGAAAAAAAGAGACAAAAGGTGGAAAAGGTGGCCGGGTTTTCAGCGCATTCTTGTTCTTCTCTTTCCCTTAATTCCCAGCCTTCTTAGTCATACTGCGGCTCAGCGTTGTTTCTGCCCCTTCTCCAAACGGTGTGCGTTTGCATACCCTTTCTTATCCCCACTTTGCACTACTTCTTGCATGCACCCTGCACTGCTGCTCTTCATGTTTTTTCACGATTAATGACTTTTGATGACTGGACTTTACCCTCCATAATCCTTTGCATTTTCTACTCGACTCCATTGTTGCGATCATTGCCAAAGCTTGGACATTGCCCTCCCCAATTTCAACGCAAGTGACATTTCGCTCCGGACGTGCAGCGAACAAAAAGCTCGGCTCTCTCATAAGGAAAAGGAAAGAGGAAAAAAAACCATCTCTCTTTTTTGCTTCCCTTCCATAGCTCATCGGACTAGAGATTACATTCCTCAGCCCGACGTCTAACATCTTCCCCTCCCTGCCTACTCTTCTCCAGTGTTCCCCCGTGAAACCGAAAAGCTGGAGCTGCCGTCGATTTCGCAGGTCCACACCCGCGGTCCTGCTGATATTCCCTGGTACAACCACCACGCGGCCGAACGACCGCTGTTGTCGGGCGATAAGCTCCCCGCTCTCAGCTTGCCGACGGCTCCCCAAGGCCCATCCCGTGGTTATCAAGACGCCAGCGTGAGCGGCAGCGCTCGTACCAGTCTGTCCGAGGCTTCGGCCGTCCACGATCCCCGAAGTCCACCCGCCGATCTTGCTACACAGGGTCGCCTTTCGCTGGATTCGGAGTATTCCATCGTGCCCAACGAGGCCTACTACCCCAGCCCGACCTCGCTCGGCAGCATGAACCAGGCCCCACCCTACATGGACGTTCATGCCCATATGTCTTCCGCTCAATCATATCAGTCACAGGCCGCCACCGCGGGCGGCATGTCGCATTATCCTTATCACCAACAACCACCGGTCCTGCAACCCGTCTCCAGTTATGGTCCGTCGTACCCGCAGTACGGTTATGCCAATGGGGTTACTTCACCGCCCACCGGCCATCCCCCACCAGCAAGCTCGATGGGCGGACAAATGGCGCCACAGATTTTGCCTTTACCAGGTGGTGAGTGAGCTGACGATTTTCGTAAATTGTGGGAAAAAGAAAGAAAAAATTAACAATGCTTCAGTGAACAACCACCAGGTACCCGGAGGATACGGCAATAGCACCGGTGCACCATTGCAGGGCTATGTGTATGATTCCACTGGCCAAGTCGCTCCCCCGGGAGCGAAGCCACGCGTCACCGCGACCCTTTGGGAAGATGAGGGTAGTCTTTGTTACCAGGTGGAGGCGAAAGGTGTCTGTGTTGCGCGGCGAGAGGGTGAGTGCAATCAACGCAATTCGCTTCCACGGTCATCCTAACCAGATAAACAGACAATCACATGATCAACGGCACCAAACTATTGAACGTAGCGGGTATGACTCGTGGTCGTCGCGATGGAATCCTCAAAAGTGAGAAGTTGCGCCACGTGGTGAAGATTGGTCCCATGCATTTGAAGGGTGTCTGGTATGTGCAGCTCCCGAACCCCCTAGCGGCCCCACTGACAGCTTAATCAGGATTCCATTTGAGCGAGCGTTGGAATTCGCCAACAAGGAGAAGATCACTGATCTTTTGTACCCATTGTTTGTCCACAACATCGGTGGCCTGCTGTATCACCCAGCAAACCAGAATCGGACGAACATGGTCGTGCAAGAATCCCAGCGACAAAGAATGGAGGGTCCTCCTGCTCCTCAGCGGACCCCAACAGCGCCGCAATCCTCGACCTTGCATCACCATGCGATGCAGACCCCCATGTCTGCCCAAATGTCACAACCGTCCTCGATGGGCCGTCCCGGGATGGATCGATCCTTCCCCACCCCCCCAGCCAGCGCATCCAGCTTGATGGGTGTGACCAACCAGGGAAGTTCATACGAATGGGGTGGGCAGCCAATGAATTCGGGAGTGCCGCACACTCAACCACTTTCAATTGACACTACACTGAGCCACCAGCAGCGCTCGTTGCCCACCACCCCGGCTACCACTCCCCCGGGCAACAACATGCACGCTATGCCACCCTACCAGGGACAGTCTGGCTATGACAGTTCCAAGCCCTACTACTCCGCTCCGCCTCAGTCTCACCCCCAGTACGCTCCGCACACACCGATGACCCAGTCTGGTATGCCCCAGTACTCGCAATCACTCCCGGCCGTCAATTATTTGAAGAGTGAAATGGCCCCCCCAACTGGTCGCGCTCCAGGCGCCCCGGAGACGGAAAACCCGGAGCTGAAGACTGAGCGCTATTCGCAGAGCAATGGTCCCGAGGAATCAGTTCCGTCCCACGAGCCGGAATACCTGCAGGACCAGGGGTCCGCCTACAATACCAACCGCGGATCGTACACGTACTCTACCAACCCGTCGGTTGGATCTCTTACCGGAGAGCACTCGCAACTGACTCCTGAGATGACCGGGTCGCCACAGCAGAACGGTTCGGGCCGCATGACCCCACGCACTAGCGTGAGCGGACCTCCGCCGCACTGGACTTCCGGGTATAACACTCCCCCCACGTCCATCAGCCGCTACCACTCTCTACAATGCCGTTAGTGACACCCGTGGTACCCCTGCAAATGGTGTCTCTGATCCTTACTCAATGAGCTCCATGAACGGACCTCTTGGAGGATCAGGCGGCAAGCGGATGCGTGAGGACGATGAGGTGGCCCGCCCCGAGAGTGGTGATGGGTATGAAACCAAGCGTCGCAAGACTATTACCGATACTACTCTAGGTGGTCCCGTCGGTGGTGCCCCGATCTTGCAGCCCATGAAGACTGCTGTGATGGCCGGACGTCGCCGCTAAAAAGAAAAAAAAAACATCAACAATACTTTACCACGCTATTGCTTGTTGTCTCTTTGTCATGTGTTTTAACAACACGCTTCCTCTCCTCTGGCTGGTGTTTTTTTGGGATTTGTTGATAGACTGTGGTGCTTCATGGATAACCGCAGACTTAGCATGTTCACGATTTGATTTTCTCCTAGCACACCCACTCGTGAAGTTCTCCGTTGTCCTCACGACCGAGAGAATAGGGAAACTGTTCTCTCCATGAATCCTCTGGGGCATGCATTTTTTATGGTTTTTGGTTTATTTCTACTTGAAATCCCCTGGTTATATCTCGGGTTTGACGAATTTTCCTCAACCTTTCTGAGGTTGGAAGTCCTTTTTATTCTGCAAACTGATGACGGGAAACGGAGAATGATGCTTTGCATGGGCCTTCTACAAACCCACCTTGATGACTATGATGACACGAATCTCTTGTAACGAATTCTTTATGTGCGCGATCTTTCCTACATCGCCTGGTTTATTTGATTTATTTTCTCGTTTAAGTGCGTCATTCTTGCTTTGGCCTTTCATCTTTCTCTTTGGGGCAGAAAATGGTCTTCTTTCCTGGCATCCGTGGGTTCATCTTACCCTCCATGGTTATGTTTTAGAGAGACGATATGATGGTAATGAATGATCATGAACTGAACTGATTTTATCCGAGTTGCCTCTGAGGCGATACATTGTTTTTGGTTAGCTTATCTAATCGAGCCTAATGAATGATTATACGGCTTGAATGGTGCTTGGTCTTGACTTAACCTCTCCTACCCAGGGACTAGTAGTTATGCACTCCCTAGTCTTCGAATGGTACACCACACTTAATGTCAAAACTTTTGTTCATGCTCACTAGAACGCATGCTATCCCCTCCCTCTATTCTAGATCTATAGAAGCATTCAAAAATCCAGCCGTCATATTTACCATTATACTTCCGGCCGGTCATTACACATCAACAATGCCCAAAAAAATGCCATGAACCGGATGTTATAATTTCATACCCAACCCTCCAAACCTCCAATACCCAAGAACCCAAGGACATGCCAACCATTGAATATGTACCTGATGATCATTGTAAAGAAGCAAACCGGCCAACCAGCAAGAAGGAAAGAAAGAAAGTAAAGAAGAAAAAAGAGAAAAGAAAAGCGATCTAGCGTTTCCCAGCCTGTGCAAAAATCTGTTGCCAGATCTCTAACCACTGCTGCTGTTTATAAGAAAGCGGACGATGCGGGTTCTTAAAAGTAGTAGCAAGAAGGTCCCTCAGACGCGCATTAAGGTATTTAAGCGCGAGCATAGATTTCCAGTCGCGAACAGCAAATCGAACTCTGTTTGCATCGATGGAGATAACACCAGAGTATAACTAAAAAGCGTGTAATGTTAGACCAAATGATTCAATTAGTTGACAAAGGGCGGAATGTGTACCTTGAACTCGGCCTCACCACATAGCAGGGCAATCGCGAAATCTTCCACAGCACTAGTCTCGTGGGCATTCAAATTTCGATTGCGAGCCTGCATAATGTGGTAATATGAAAGCCACTTGATAGCAGGATCGGCGCGCTTATTCACAGAGGTAGGATGCAAGGTCACGGTTTGGTTGTTCAAAACGTTGCGCCATCCTTTACCTTCACGAGTGATGAGCTTGGGGTAGAAACTCCAGGCGACGACGGAGTTGATAACGACGTCGTTTGTACTGTTGATGTCATTTTCTTCAGGAATAGTGAAGAATTGACGGTTTCGATTACTTGATCGAGCTCTGGAGGTTGTTAGATGGACTGTAAGTGGTGGATTTGATATTCAAATAGAAAGGTTCGACTGACCTGTTCAGCGCTGACTTCTGCGAAGAGTCCAGCGTCAGTAAACCGGCATCAGCAATTGAGACAACAAGCTGCATCTTGATATCCTCGATACCGAGGAGTGTCTGTGGGTTGAGGAAGTTCTTCCGGCAGTATGAAAACTCATTTGAGCCAGGTGTGCCTCGTGCACGCTTCCAGCCACAATAGGCGTTGTATACGGTCAACAAATCCGAGTCGCCTAGGAGAAAGTTAGAAATGGCGTATATGGTGTATGGAGTATAGATTTACCTCTTTGGAACGAGTTTCGTGCTGCATCACGCTGCGAGTTTGACCCCATAGTGTTAACAAATGGGGACTTGGAGGAGAGAATGGCAGCAATGCTGACAGCAGCATCCAGACACTTGAAGAATGCTCCATGAATAATCAGTTTTCCAAGGAATACATCCAACGGCAATTTCGCCAGCTGGCTTCCCAAAGGTGTAAGGGCCTCGTTGCTGGTGAGGGCTTTCACTTCCTTGAGAGAGTCAATAGCACGTCGGATATTCTTGGACGAGGGTGGGTCTAGAGCCTCCAGTAGGGTCTGCTCTACCTCGCCCAATTTACAGATTTTGACTCGTAGAACCAAGTCTTGCAGAGAAAGTCGGAGCATCTCCGGAGTCTGTTGTCCAGCCAGCTGTTTGTCGTGCCGGTGTTTGGTAAAGAGGTGGAAGCAAATACCCTCCTGAACACGACCAGCTCGACCACGTCTCTGCTTGGCATTGGCACGGGAAATAAACGACTCGACAAGCCGAGAAAGCTGTCTCCTTTCGTCAAATCTGTAAAAGCATATTAGCATGAATCTAGGTCCAAGATTCTTGTGAGACAAACCGCATCATCTTCTCCTTTCCTGTATCAACAACTGCAGTGATATCTGGAATTGTGATACCAGTCTCTGCGATGTTGGTGGCAATGACAATCTTCCTCACGCCTGGAGGAGGCACATTAAAGGCCTTTTCTTGATCTTCACTGGCAATTGAGGAGTGGAGTGCATGAACAATCCATCCCTTTTGGAAAGTGGACTCGGCGAGAAGCTCGTCATTTAGACGACGAATCTCTGCCAGACCAGGCATGAAGACTAGAATTGCTTTACTATAGCGGTCCATCTCCGGGGCAGTGGCGATTTTGAGAAGCAGTCTTTTAATCAACTGATAATCCATCCGGTACTCATCAAACTTGAGCACGGTTTCCCGTGTTTGTTTTGAGTATCCATCAAGACTGGATTGTAGACCTCCAGTATCACTGTTGGAATCCTCGGCTTCCTCGATGTCATCGTCTGGGACCATGTTCGCCTCATCTTCAGATAACCGATAGTTGGTCAACTCAACTGCATCCTCCAGATACTTCATTTCCACGGGGAAAGTTCGTCCAGGGATGTTGAGAACCGGTACACCTCCAAGGTAAGTAGAGAAACGTTGTGCTTCGAGAGTAGCGGACATCAGAATAAGTTTGAGATCAAGGCGCTTCTGCATCAACCTGCGAAGGACAACCAGCAAGAAGTCACTATCAATTGTACGTTCGTGGACCTCGTCCAGAACAACATGGGTAATGTCCTGAAAGTCATCCGGTCGCTCCAGCATGCGCACAACAACACCGGTGGTTCTATTTAAGTTAGCTCAGGATCATTGATACCCAAATTAAGAAAGGCCAAAGAACGTACGCATAGACAAGTCGAGTGGACGAGCTGATTTTGCTCTCCAGCCTAACGGCAAAACCGACAAGAGATCGGGTCGTCCCCACATCATTCTTGCTCTCTCCAAGTTCTTCACTGACTCGACGAGCAAGCGAGATGGCTGAAATCCGGCGGGGTTCCGTCACATAGACTTTACAGGGCCGGCCTTGAAGCATTTCATGCTCAAGGATATAAGATGGAATTTGCGTACTCTTTCCACTTCCAGTTTCACTGCAGATAATGACAACTCGATGTGTGTCCAGGGTGGTCAAAATATCGTCTTTGAAGTTCCAGATTGGAAGGTTCATTCGGCCCGGCATCATCTTGTGGAAGGATGGAGCGGATGCCTTCGCGTGCCATGCCTCTCTGAGTCGTTCGTCTTCACCAAGATAGTTGTTCTCCCTAGCATTGCCTCTCATGGGGCTAGCCGACTTGACACCGTTTCCATTTCTTTTCCGGAAATTGTCCAAGAGTACAACGTCATCTTCAAATGTGCCTTGATTTTCCTGCACAAGGAGCTTCAGATTCTTGACAGTGGATTTGTCTACTTCATCTTCCTGTGTCTTCTTCAGATTTGAAAACTCAGTCCACAGATCCCTCCAGACTGCAGGTATCCGCAGATAGGCCTTGCCTTCTTTGGAACTTTGTGGGAAAAGGATGAATAGTGCAAGGGTCGATACGTATCCCTCTGCTTGCTGGGAATCAGGCGTTGCAAGAGAGTCCATCGAAACAAAAGTTGCATTTGCATTCGACTTGTGCGTGACCGACTCCACCGCCAATGGGAATGGAGGTTCTTGTGGTTTTGACCAACGCACCTCAACGGCCTTTCTGTTGTGATGACTAGAAGAGGAAAAGTCTTGGTAGACTACCTTGCACGACGAATCTCTAGCCTTGCAGGTTTCTTCCAAGACTCGTCGTGGACTCAAGCCACTTGATTTTCCAAAGTCTCGAAGTGTAATTTTGGTGTCAACTTCAGGCACTGGTAGACCTAATATCGAGCCCGAACTTTCCGCCTCATTCTGGAACATACCACCCAGTAGACCATCCGCCTCGTCCATCTCTTCAAGTGACGGAACAGTCAGATTGGGATCTTCAGGCTCCGGTTCGGGTTCTGAACTCTCAGTATTGATCTCTTTCTTTTTCTCAGTTGGTCGTCGCAGAAAGGCTGCGTCCTTCCTAAGATCGTCCAACTTGTCTTGCCAAATGTATTCAGCTTCTCGGCGCTCAAAGAGAACATCACGTTCGATTTTAGCAATCTTGCGCTGTAACTTGGCCACCTCAGGATCGTCTGACTGGTTGGGCGCGGCTCCACGGCCTTTTTTGCCCTTCGCTGGACGATCAAACAATTCTGGCCGAAGACCGTAGAGCTTCGTTTGGAAATCCAACCACTCTTCAACCATGGAATCAGGATCGATCGAGCTATCCGAGTCATATGAAATAAGAGGTGCAATCTTTGCAGCCTTCCATTCTGCTTTTGGCTTTTCCTGTTTGTGTCCATTGGAAGGCTTGTTTGGAGTAGAAGACCTCGATGGCTCCGATTCTGATTTAGGTCAGCAGGTTTTCTTTGTAATCAAACCAGGGTCTTGTATTTACCAATCATCCATGATGTTACCTCCGCGTCTTTCTGGGGGCGAGAATTCGTCTGTGTATATGAAGGAAGATCTTTCTTGGCACTGTGTTTCGCCAACCATTCGAGTGCCTCATCCAAGTTCCATACGACATCTCGACTGGCACTCGTGGGTGCTTCTTTAAAGTATAGAAGAATATGCTTGAGTGCTCCTTCCACCCCATCCTCGGTGAAACCAAGCTTCAAAAGCGTCTCCTGCAATGTCCAGAGCTTTATGAGAAGTTCCTCCTCTGAGCCCTCCTGTTTTCCATTGACATTTCGTCCATTGGATGCCAGATAATCATGATCCTCTGAGCCAGCTAGCTCCAGAATCCTATCTTGCACCTCGGCCGGAAGCCATTCGAGAAGGCCCAAGGTTACTGATTGTTGTCTAAAGACGCGGCGTTCAGTATCCATCTTGGTGGCTTGGCGCGCCGCGTCGCTCCTGCACTTAGCCGCATTCTTCTCGACAAGAATCTGCAGCTCTGCTTCCTCTAGGTGCTTCTCGAGCTCCTCCGGTGTATAGTTTTGTAATGAGGGGTCGGTTTGTGGTGCGCCCGCATCGACTGGGCGGTCTTGCTGGCTTGCTGGCTGTGATTCGTTTTGTGGGGTAGGTTTAGACTCTGTAGCGGTGGCCGAAGGTGTATCTACAACCTCTGGCTTTGGTTTCGAGGGCACCGAGACTGTTGCAAAGCCCCGCGCCGGATTAGAGGCCGGCTTTTTCTTTTTCTTATTGTTCGGCGGCATTGTAGAATGAGTCTGAATAAGCGGGAACAAGTATAAATGAGATTAGCACCTGGAATAATTGCAAATAACCATGTAATCACCAAGACTACTTACAAATTAATAGGGAGGTTGCGGAGTTGTAGAATCAGGAATCGGATAGTTGAGTAGGAGCGGCGGAGAGGCTCTCGGTGATTCTCCCCACACAAAACTCTTATGACAGCATCCGACCAGCCCACTTCAACATTCCACCACCTCACCTCACCCTACTTCCACCCCCTCTCCACTCCCCTGTTTGACCTACCCCAATCATGGATGGAGTTCCATGGGACCAGGTCAAGGCTGGGGATCTGGATGTCTTGCGGGTCGCTCTCTTCTCGAGTTCGACCTCGCGAAGGCTCCGGGCCCTGCAAGAACTTCGCGACAAGAGCGGTAATCTTGAACCCGCATTACCCTTTCAAAAAGCCATTGAAGCGCTAATTCTGTTTCTATAGGATCTGAAATTCCCTCGGAGTCTCATCTTGATATCCTAGCGCTTCTTTTCCAGACCTACCCTCTTTACGTCGATCGTCCCTCACGTCAGGCCGTTCAACAATGTCTCCGCGCCCTCCTCCGAACCCCGAATGCCGTGGATCACCTCGAATATTTGTCTGAGAACTTAAAGATTGAAGCAGCCAAGTCTGGTCTGGCCCCGGGATCCGCATTCGTCTTGTTGGAGTGGTGCTGCAATATTTTGCAGCAGGTTAGCGAGAACGAGGCCACGCCCTTGGCTGTTGTGCTGGACCTGATCGCTGTGGATGCGAAGGCCCTGGAGAACTGTTTTGCCCACACGCCGAAGCTGTCGGTAAGGCAATCAGCTCTCAAGGTGACTAGACGTGCATTGCGCGCAACGTTCTCGAACAAGACTTGGGGCGAGGACGCCGTGCGCCAGTCAGTCAGCCGACTGACTGCGGACTCGACCGCAGGTTACAAGAACGCATTGCTTCTGGGTGTCATCTCGGGCGTATGTGCTCGACTACCGGCTAGGAAGCCAGTGCTTGAGGAGTCTAAGAAACCCATCCTGGCTTATTACGTCAAGGAAATCGTAGGCTCGAAGTCTGTTGTGCCTACTCACATCGCTGAAGGACTGTCCGACTTCCTAACTTCGTTTGTTACATATGAGGATGTGATCGTTGAATTGGTCCCTCCGATGGAGAAATCCATGCTGAGATCTCCCGAAGTGATTCTGAGTGGCGTAATCCCGCCGTTTAGTGCCGCTCTGCCAAAAGAAATTGATCTTTCGGAAGTGGTTCAGACTCGTCTGTCTAAGCATTTGTTATCTAGCATGAAGTCAAACAACCCGGTAATCCGACAAGGAGCTGCCGACTCGTTCAAGGCTTTACTCTCTCAATGCCAGACCGAGTCTGTTGTCATGAAGATCACCAGTGAAATCGTTGGCCCCTTGAAGACACAAAAGATCACTGCCCCAGAACACCGAGTCGCCTACGCACAAGCTATTTCTGCAATTACATCTTCGGTAGAAGCCTCGAAAGAGATCGTCCAGGGTTTTGGACCTGTATTCTCGCGGGAGTCTAATGAACCTGCTCTCGAAGAGGAGCTCAAAGCGTTCGTCAAGCATCTTGCGTTCCTTGTTCAATCTTCTGTCAAGATTGTGGATGACGTTATTAATACAATTGTCAAGGGTATTTCCGACAAGCGAATTCCGTTCCGAAAGATCTGGCAGCTTAATGTGGGAGAAATGCTTTGGAAATCCGACGTCGCGGCTCTCAAGAGCGCCGAGATTGAGCCTCTTGTCACAAAATTCCTTGGAAAGATGAAAGACATGTTTGGCGAGGTTGCCTCCAACCCGCTACCCTCAGCTCAAAGCGGCGCATTGTCATCTGCGTACATATTCTTAGCCCTCTGTGAGCGTCTTTCAGACATCGATGGCTCAGAGAAGTCTACCTGGGAGGAGAAGGTCTCGCAATCACTGGTCATGGGCGCAAAGCCCTCGTTCCTCCTCAACCCCAAGACCTACTCGAAAATTGGGACCAAGGAAGAGATGCAATGGCTGGTCAGGGCTTTGGCCGCTGTCACTTCTGGATCCAAATTTACTGGTGCTGACGAGGCGTCCAAAAACGGTTGGGCCCAATCTTTTATCTACGCTATCACCGGCCCTGTTATGACCACCAGCTTCCGAGCGAATGCTGTGGAAGCACTATCTGGTGTTTACATGAAAGACATGGCCTCCATTGGAAACATTGTTATCGACGCTATCTGGACCTGGATATATGCTTTCCGTACCGCAGAGAAGGAGTCTGCCGCTGTCTCCGCTGGTTCCGGAAGCGAGCGTCTATTGCATCAGGTCTTGAAGGCCATTTGCCCCCCAGCTGCTGATAAGGAGGGAGTCGAAGGTGCTTCTGCCATCATTGAATCGCAACTCATTAAAATCCTGATTCTCAGCCGGCCCGAGTTGATCCCAGGCGCCTCTTGGATTGATTTGTGCTTGAGAACTGGCACAGATCCTGGGAACCTAGTTCGTGCCCATCCTGCGGATTGCATTGAGCAATTGACAGGTGTTAATGCCGACCCCGTTCAATCGAGTGTACCACAAGTCAACTCCGCTGTTTGGAGCGCCGCCGGTGATCTGGCGTTCGTGGCTCCTGAAGTCATGATCCCACGCCTCGTCGATCAAATACAAGCAGATCTGGATGGCTCTCGTCTTTCTCAATTCACTGCTACAGATGCTGCAATTGCCCGCACTCCTGAAGGCACTGCCTTCATTGACATCCTCAGCAGCAAATCGAAGCAACCTGCTTTCGATAAGAACACCAAGGACTATGACACTTTGAAATGGGAAGCGGAGCTCCGAGCACAGCTTGCCGAGAAGAAGGGCGCGAAGCCGAAGAAGCTCACGCCCGAGGAGCAATCTAAAGTCAAGGCTCAGCTTGCAAAGGAAGCAAAGATCCGCGAGGAGGTGCTTGAGGAAGTCAAGCGGATCGAGCGTGGTGCTGGCCTCATTCGTGGCCTTGCCACTGGGCCCGCCAATGATGTCGAGGGATGGATCAATACAGCAGTCGGCTGCCTGCTTTCTCTTGCACGCGCTGGCGCTGGACTCTTTGTTGGTGACGTGGTGTCTCAGGCATTCGTTGCCTGCTCTAACGAACTGTCTTCGCGCCTGGGCACTCTCCGGCCGTTCGTGGGAATTGCCACCCTTCGGGCCATTGGCAACACAAATCTTCCTGCAGAAAGGCAATTGGAGCACCTTGGAGAACTTGTAACAAGAATCCTTTACCGCCTGCGATTCGCATCCGAACAGCGCCCTCTTGATACTGCATCTCTTGCCTACGTTCTCCCGTTGCTCTTCCTGATTTTAAACCAGAATGGCATTGAAGAAGTCAAAGGCGACCAAGAAGGCGAGCAAGTTCTGCTTGCGATCGAAATTCTGTCCTTCCACTCTGGCTCTTGTAAGTACCTGGATAATTTAGCTGGTGAACGCGTTGCTAAGTCCTTTTTACAGTCTCCGATGTGCGTCTGCCTCGCAATGAAGTCCTTGAACATCTTCTTAGCGCCATGCAAAGATACACTCAGCACTATAAACTAATCAAGGATACATTGTTCAACTTCTGTCGTTGCATCTCCCCCAACATCAGCAAACAGGAACTGCAGACTCTGCTGGAGGGTAGCATTGTTCCCGACGCCTCCGTCAGGACATCTGTTCTTCAGGTGATTGACGCTGAGATTGATCTGACTGATCTTGACTTCTCTGAGCACATTTGGTTAGAATGCCATGATAGTGTGGAAGAAAATGTTGAGCTCGCGCAGACGATTTGGGAAGACAACGCGCTCGAAGTGGATGATGAGGCTTTTCCAAAGATCATCAGGTACTTGGACTCCAAGGATGGCCAGCTGCGCGGCGCTGCCGCACGTGCACTTTCCAAGGCGATCGAATCTGACATGAGCAAATTCGCTGGCATCTTTTCTGAGCTCCAGGCCAAGTATGCCGAAGATGTCAAGCCCAAGGCCCCTGAAAAGGACGCTTACGGAATGCCCAAGAAGATGGATAACCCAGACAACTGGGAGAGCCGTAGTGGTGTGGCATTGGCATTCATTGCCATGACCGATCTGTTTGATGGAGAACACGTCATTGCTCTCCTGCAGTTCCTTATTGAACGTGGTCCTCTGGTCGATAAGAACTCTGCCGTTAGAAGTCAAATGCAGGAGAGTGGAAAATCTGTCATCGCCCAGCGCGGCCAGCAAAAGGTTGAGGAGTTGATGAAGCTGCTTGAAACTGTATTGGAAACCTCGGACAAAGCCTCCCAGACGTCTGATCTGCTGAACGAGGCAGTTGTCGTTCTATATGGTTCCCTGGCAAGACATTTGAAGGCCGATGACCCTCGTTTACAAACCGTTCTGAAGAAGCTTCTTGCGACTCTTCCAACTCCTTCTGAAACTGTCCAGTCTGCTGTTTCGGAATGTCTGCCACCTCTGATCAGACTTTGTGGCCCCAAGGCCTCTGACTATGTCCAAGAGATGCTTGATCAACTGCTGAATGTCAAGAACTACGCTACTCAGCGTGGTGCTGCGTACGGTCTTGGAGGCATTGTCAGTGGTAGGGGTATTTCAACCCTGCGAGAGTTCCGGATTATGAGCTTGCTCAAAGAAGCTACCGAAAACAAGAGAGAGCCTCACCAGCGACAAGGAGCCTTCCTGGCTTATGAGCTTTTTGCGACCATTCTTGCCCGTACCTTTGAGCCTTACGTCATTCGGCTTGTTCCCCAGCTACTTGGAGGCTTCGGTGACCCCAGCATTGATGTCCGTGATGCTTGTCTGGATGCCTCCAAGGCTTGCTTCCAAAACCTCAGCTCTTACGGTGTGAAGAAGATTCTCCCTACTCTCCTTGACGGTTTGGATGATACTCAGTGGCGCAGTCAAAAGGGAGCCTGCGAACTCCTCGGAGCCATGGCCTACCTTGACCCACAACAACTCGCCGCCAGCTTGCCTGTTATCATTCCGCCTCTTACCGTGGTTCTGAACGACACACACAAGGAGGTTCGCAACGCTGCAAACCGCAGTCTTCAGCGTTTCGGAGAGGTCATTAGCAACCCTGAAGTCAAGAGCTTGGTTGGTGTGCTTCTCAAGGCTCTGAGTGACCCGACCAAGTACACGGACGAGGCATTGGACTCTTTGATCAAAGTTTCCTTCGTGCACTACCTGGATGCGCCTTCGCTGGCTCTGGTTGTCCGCATCCTTGAGCGTGGTCTTGGTGACCGCTCTAACACCAAGCGGAAGGCCGCCCAGATCATTGGTAGCTTGGCCCATCTTACCGAGCGCAAAGATCTTATTTCGCACCTGCCAATCATTGTGGCTGGCCTCAACCTGGCCATTGTCGATCCTGTCCCTACTACTCGTGCCACCGCTTCGAAGGCTCTGGGTTCTCTTATCGAGAAGCTTGGAGAGGATGCCCTGCCCGATCTCATCCCCAACCTCATGAATACCCTCAAGTCAGATACCGGCGCTGGAGACAGACTGGGATCTGCACAGGCCCTTGCAGAGGTTCTCGCGGGTCTGGGTACCACAAGACTCGAGGAGACACTGCCCACCATTCTCCAGAACGTTTCCAGCTCCAAGGCTGCTGTGCGTGAGGGCTTCATGACTCTCTTCATCTTCTTGCCAGCTTGCTTCGGTAACAGCTTCGCAAACTACCTCAGCAAGATCATTCCTCCCATTCTTGCTGGTTTGGCCGACGACATTGAGTCAATTCGTGAGACTTCCCTTCGGGCTGGTCGTCTGCTGGTGAAGAACTTCTCTACCAAGGCCATTGATCTTCTTCTTCCCGAGTTGGAGCGTGGTCTTGCGGACGATAGCTACCGTATCCGTCTCAGCTCCGTTGAGTTGGTTGGAGACCTTCTCTTCAGTCTCACTGGTATCAGCGGCAAGGCAGAGGCCGATGAAGAGGAGGAAGAGGCCACTCAAGCTGGTCAGTCCCTTCTCGAGGTCCTTGGAGAGGAGCGGAGAGACAAGGTTCTCTCTGCCCTGTTCATCTGTCGCTGCGATACTTCAGGCTTGGTCAAGAGTGCTGCTATGGCTGTGTGGAAGGCTTTGGTTGCCTCTCCCAAGATCCTCAAGGAGATGGTGCCTACTCTTGCTCAGCTCATCATTCGCCGCCTTGGATCCTCGAACATGGAGCAGAAGGTCATTGCCAGCAACGCGCTTGGCGACCTTATCAAGAAGGCTGGAGAATCAGTCCTGTCCACCTTGCTGCCTCTGCTTGAGGAAGGTCTTCAGGCTTCGCCCGACGTCGATGTCAAGCAGGGTATCTGTATTGCCCTGCGCGAGCTTATCACTTCCGCCACCCCTGAGGGTCTGGAAGACTTTGAGAAGGTTCTCATTTCAACTGTCCGCGTTGCTCTTGTGGATAACGACGAAGATGTGCGTGAGGCAGCTGCCGAGGCCTTTGATGCTTTGCAACAGATTATGGGCAAGAAGGCCGTGGACCAGGTTCTACCATACCTTCTTCACTTGTTGAGAAGCGATGAGGAGGCTGAGCAGGCCTTGTCTGCGCTGTTGACGCTGCTCACCGAGCAAACTCGTGCGAACATCATTCTTCCCAATCTCATTCCCACCCTTCTTACACCCCCAATTACGGCCTTCAACGCCAGGGCCCTTGCATCTTTGGCCGAGGTTGCGGGTGGAGCCATGACTAGAAGATTGCCCAACATTATCAACGGCCTTATGGATGGTATTATCCAGACAAAGGACGAAGATCTTCGCTCGGAACTGCGCACAGCCCTCGACACAGTGTTGATATCTGTCGATGAGTATGATGGCCTGAATGTGGCCATGAACGTCATCCTGGCTCTTGTCAAGCATGATGATCAGAATCGCCGGGCTGAGGCTGCTCTCCACCTCACCAACTTCTTCGCGGAGGCTGATGTTGACTTCTCGAGATACTACCAAGATATTATTCGCGTCCTGTTGATCTCATTCGACGATTCGGATAAGGATGTTGTCAAGGCAGCATGGACTGCTCTCAGTGGCCTCATGTCTCACATGCGCAAGGAAGAGATGGAAGTTTTGGCCATTCCTGCTCGCCAAATCTTGCGACAGGTCGGTGTGCCCGGTGCGGATCTTCCCGGATTCAGCCTGCCAAAGGGAATCATGGCTATTCTGCCGATCTTCTTGCAAGGTCTTCTCAACGGCAGCACCGACCAGCGTACTCAATCAGCGCTGGCCATTTCAGACATTATTGACCGTACCAACGCCAACTCCCTGAAGCCTTTCGTCACTCAGATCACTGGTCCTCTGATTCGTGTTGTATCAGAACGGTCGGTAGACATTAAATGTGAGGTTTTTAATTGCCTACCCTACGCAATTGATCGATTACTAATTTGAAACTCTTAGGTGCCATTTTCTTCACCCTTAACAGGTTACTCGAGAAAATCCCGCTTGCTGTCAAGCCTTTCCTGCCTCAGTTGCAGCGTACCTTTGCCCGTGGTCTGGCAGATACTTCTAGTGAGACCCTGCGTAACCGTGCAGCCAAGGGTCTTGGTATTTTGATTACTTTGACCCCCAGGGTTGACCCACTCATTGCTGGTATGTGCTTCGCAAATTTCTATTCGCCCAGTCTATAAACATCGCTAACACACTCTACAGAGCTTATCGCTGGATCTAAGACTACTGATGAGGGTGTGAAGAATGCTATGATGAAGGCCCTACAGGAGGTTGTCGGCAAGGCCGGTGCCAACATGAGTGATGCCTCTCGGGCATCTATCCTTGCTCTGATCGACGATGAATCTAGTGACCAGACTGATAAGGTCGCTATCACCAACGCAAAGTTGCTGGGCGTCCTTGTCAAGGTTCTCCCGGAGGCCAGTGCGATCACTATGATCAAGAACCGTATTCTCAACGGTCAATTTTCGCACTCGTCTGTCCTTGGCCTGAACGCTCTTCTGGTAGAGGCTCCTGCCATTCTGTTGGAGCACTTCTCCACTGAAACCCCTTCAGCCATCTGCCAGGGTATCGTGAACAGAGATACCTTTATCTCCGATAACAGTGTCCTGGCCGCTGGTAAATTCCTCTTGGCCGATGACGGTAACCACAGCTTCGAGACGCACAAGACAATGTTTGATGCTCTTGCTCCAGTCATCTCGCCAGGTGCCCCGTCCGATACCCGCCGCTTGGCGCTGGTGGTGATCCGAACCATCAGCCGTCTCCACCCAGAGATGACCCGCGCTCATCTGGCTCTGCTGGCCCCGCCAATCTTTGCCAGCGTGCGTGACATGGTCATCCCTGTGAAGCTGGCCGCAGAAGCTGCTTTCCTGTCCATCTTCTCCGTTGTGGACTCTGACGATGAGGTCTTTGATAAGTACATCACTGGCCCCGGTGCCTCTCTCCCGCCCGGACCTAAGCGCAGCATGTCCGACTACTTCAAGCGTGTTGCCATGCGTCTTGCTCTCCAGGCCCGTGAGCGTCGCCTGGCTGAGGGAGGTGAAGGTGGACTGGGTCTGTCCAATGACGAGGTGGATGACGAGAAGGAACTGTGGAGTATTGGTAAGGTGGATCTGGGGGAGTCTGCATTTGCTGATGACTAAGTGATGTTATGATGACCCGACTGCCCTGATGGGGTAGGAATTGGATTGAGCATCCCAAGGTTATATTCTCAATGTCTATAGATACACCATTGGGCTTTTTTATTGTTTATTTTGTTTGTTGAGTTATACGTACAAAAGTTGTTTTGACGATTGAATGGATGTCATGGTACTTGTAGACTTGCTTTATATTAAAATATGTGGATGTATCACTGATGCATTCGTGTTCTCGAAAGAATTGTATTTGCTGCTGTTCTATTAGAATCAGAAACCACCACAAGCATATTCCAGGTAGCCAATGTTCACATGTAGCTCATAGTTCATCTTGAGATGTCATGTTTGCATAGTGGAGCCTTCTAGATTGAGGACAATACATATCATGTGACCTGCAAAGCACCTCTGGTCACGTGCTCTCGAGATCTTAAAGCCAACAATGAACGGTCAACTTGTAGTGACAGCATAGCGACAACATAGGAAAAAAGAACAATACTGCGACTTTCCATAAAATCTAGATATTTTTCTTTTATCCTCTAGTAAACTTCAACACTTCCCCCGTATTCGTCTGGTAAGTCTTGTTTTCTCCCCACATTATTTATTTTTTTCTTTTTCAAGATCCGGATTACCCGATTGGGACCAGGGCTAAGGGTTGTAGCCCTAGTACCCTAGTGTGGCCGAAGCACTCGCTTACCAGGAATTAGCTAATCGGCCCGCCCAACTTCTCACTGCCTGGATTTCCCAGTCGAGTGCCCTACGAACATCATCCGCCAAACGACCGTCGATACGCCGACATCAAGATGTGAGTGCCATCGAATCTACTGCCTACACGAAAACCCATGCCCTTTGATTTGATCGCTTCGGACTCGCTGTGTCGCCCACTCGAGCAAGGAAAAATGGATCGATCTTGATGAATGTGATTGTGTGGCAGAGGCTGACCTCAACTTTTTTTTCTCAGGGTCAACCTTCGCACCCAGAAGCGCCTCGCCGCCTCCGTGGTCGGCTGCGGCAAGCGCAAGATTTGGCTCGACCCCAATGAGATGAACGAGATCTCCAACGCCAACTCCCGCCAGACCATCCGCAAGCTCGTCAGCGATGGCCTCATCATCCGCAAGCCCGTCACCATGCACTCGCGCACCCGCGCTCGTGAGCTCAACCTTGCTCGCCGTGAGGGTCGCCACCGCGGTCTGGGTAAGCGTAAGGGTACCAAGGACGCCCGTATGCCCAGGTATGAAGGAAACCCACTTCCATGGAATTTCGACCCTTCCGAGGGGGTTTGATTTGTCCATTAGGCAACATTCATACTGATCGTGTTGTTTTTCTCTCTTTACAGCCAGGTCCTCTGGATGCGCCGCATGCGTGTTCTCCGTCGTCTGCTCGTCCGCTACCGTGCCGCCGGCAAGATCGACAAGCACCTTTACCACGAGCTGTACCACCTGAGCAAGGGTAACACCTTCAAGCACAAGCGCGCTCTGGTTGAGCACGTAAGTACCACCGGATGAACTTCACTTCCCCCCATCTGGCAATCGATCTACGAAATATCATATCAGATACCCCGCCACTTCGCAATCTATCAGGAAACACATCCGGCTGACCTATTCTTTTCCTCCCTATAGATCCAGAAGGCCAAGGCTGAGCGCCAACGCGAGCGTATCCTCAAGGAGGAGATGGACGCCAAGCGTGCCAAGAACAAGGCTCTCCGCGAGCGTCGGGCAGAGCGCACCGAGGCCAAGCGCACCGCCCTTGAGGCCCAGGAGTAAATCCTCTTAAAATCCCATTCCGTTGTGTGACGTTTTTCTCTCTTTCGGCGATGGTGCGGAGGTTGAAAGCGGTTCCCTTGTGGGTTTGTTCCGGGATTCGGCCCCTGCAAAGTTATTTGTCCCCCCTCGAATTCTAGGTCGGCCTTACTTTTCGACTCTTCCTATGGTCGGACTCTTTTTTCAGTTGACACGCGGGGCTTTCTGGAAAGGGAATGTGGGGGCAATAGGAAGATGCGATGATGATGTGATACTCAAGCTTCTTGTTAATAACGAACGAGAAAGCAAAAGGAAACTACTTTTTCAAAACAAAAAAACTAAAATCTTCCCCCGGCGCTTGTTACGAAATGTGATCCTTTCCTTTTCCTCGTCGGTCTGGCGTTGTAGATTGTATTCAAATGGATGTTCATATCTGCTATACTCTGATCTCAACTATTATATGTGTGCACATGCAAGGGCACCCGTTCCAGTCTAGATCCTATATGCTTGGTTGATAAGTAGGTACTCAGTGCATACTACACGACGAAGGGGCAAGGGCTTGCATGCAGGTGTATTGCATCAGGCGATGACTTCCAATCTATCCAAGCCCTGGCATTTTAAGGCTGATCTAACCTTGTTACAGAGTTTCCAAACACTCAAGTGTTAAAATTTGCAATCAATATATTCAATAGTGGCATATATATATATATATGTATCTCTGGGAGCAAGGCAGACAAATTGGCTGAGATATATCCATGGATATGTGGTATGTACGAGGATATCTGCAGATATATATACATATCAAGCCAAGTGCTTGGTCATCTCTACGAAACACATGTCCTCCGGCAATGCTAATTGAGGAAACTTCTCCGTGGGAAAAGGCGATTCCTCCCCCGTCTTCTGATACCCACGACGCAAATACCAAGCGATAAGCTCCTGTCGCGTCGAAAGCGCATTCAACTCCGATGTAGTGGCGCCCCACTCCTGTTGCGAGTATTCTTCCGCGTAAGCAAGGACCCGCCGCCCAATACCCGCCTGCTGGTAATCCTGATGCACAGCAACCATCGAAAGGCGTGCATGGTCATTGGCGCGCTTGGTCATGTCGATTGAAGCCACGAGGACATCGAGATCATGATCTTTGGTGAAGGCTAGAAGAATGGCGCATTCTGGTTTGGAGATAGTTGTCTTCACATCTTCGACTGAGATAGTAAAACTTCTGCCCAGTGCCATGTCTGCAGTCCAGTCTTTTCGGCTGTCTTCCGCGCGGAACGCGGACTGTACCAGTTGCTGGATGGATGGGGCATCGGCTGGTGTTGCGATGCGGAAGTGGAGATCGGCCATCGTGGGGTGAGGAAGGGATGAATGGGGGGTTGTATGTGGGCTGGGGACAATATCAAGTGACAAAAGCTGGGTTTTATAGTCTATTCAGTCGCATTGCTCACTGAGATGTAAGCCAAGTCCGATGTAGTGGGAAGGGCGTGTCGGACTTAGCGGGATTTCATGTCTAGACCACGCGCACCAGATAAAATGGCGCAAATTGGCATTCTGTGCTGAATGGAGTAATACTTAGGTGCTATTTATAGGGAAAATTTTAGGAAGAACCAAGAGGTTCATGGATCAGGATTTGTTAACGATTCCCCCCTTAAAGATGTCTCTTAAAATGTCTGATCAAGAGATACACGATAACAATCCCCACTTTTTCCCGATATCATTTCCCGCTATTTGCTGCTTTGCTCTTGCTCCTCCACTCAACCGTTTCCTGGCATTGATAAGCAAAGAGTAATCGAACGCATAATGTCACCCCCAAAATCACCATCATCCTCGACTTGTCAAACCGTTCCAGTGCCAGTAAAGTCTTCTGCATCCTGAGATGACACTGATGCAAAAAGTCAGGACCCTCGAACGAAATATTCTCAAGCTAGGGTTCAGCAAGTGAAAGATACTGACCAGAATCAATGCTGCAGTACCCTTTGGGGCGGACAACGCAGTAGATGGAGATTTCCCCTCTGTATGGACGTCCACCAGGCTGTGGACGATAGCCACAAAAAGTATCGATAGCCTCCACCATGGTCAGAGCAAAGTTGTCCTCGTCGATAAGGACCTCATCATGGTGACTTTGATTAACAAGATATCCATTTTCGGGACCGGGCTTGATAGGACTCCAACAGAGTTCATGAATGTTGTCATCCCACGGTATGGTGTCGGCATACGTGTCCAGGAGATTCATCAAGGTCCAATAATCGATAGAGTCGGCCCGGAGCCACAGATCATCGCGGTACCTACAATCCTGCAGAGAGTCAATTGGCCAGGAAACCTTTATCACAGAGGTGCCTGGATAATAGATCTCCACCGTGGCTTCTTGAATCCAAAGCCAACTCTCATTGTCTCTGAACTGAGGTGGGATCGGGTCTGCCATGACGAGTGACGAGTTGGAAGATTTTGATGTTTCTTCTTGGATGATGCCCAAGACGACGCGTCGTGGTGTATCAAGCTTGCTGTGGCAAAGTGGAAGGGCGAGAATATACAGTGGATGCGACGGGAAGGCGAAATGTCAAGATCACAGAAACTATGAAAGTACAGATTTACATTCATTGATTTCCTATTTGGGGTCTTCATGGCTGGTGTAGTGAATGAAGATTGGCAGTTCCATAGGCTACTGTGCCTAGATCAAGATAAGACTAAGACATGATGCATTGCATTAAAGTCAGCCTCGCACTTGTGGTGGCCCGCATTTCCACATTGGTTTGTATATGCTTCATATAAAATCTATGAGGCGTGTCTATCAGTGAAGGATTAGGATAATTGCGAACTTCGATTATCCACCCCTCATTCTCGAATTGCAAACCCTTTCTGCCAATCATTCTTAATTCCCCTTATCTTCTTTCATAATTCACAAGCCGCATTCTATGAGGTCCATCAGATCGTTGATTCAAGACAAGAACTGAGACATACAAGCTCAATGGAATTTGTAGTGTCCCAGAATACTGGAACGAACACTTCATTTGAATTTCACTTTTTCTGTTTTTCCACATCAGCATACTGGCAACTGGACATTCCATGCATGCAGTTGAATTGCACATAGCCTCTGCCAAGAAAAGGCTGTGACGGGGATTTGCAGCTGAATCATGTCCAATCATAATGGTCAGAGTCACAGCCCCTCGTAGAACGGGGCGGCAGGATCGACGACACACTCACTTGTTTTTCTTCAATATTCCAGAACCGGGCCTCTTTACCCAAGAAGCACGATGTCAACCTCTCTCAACGATGACTGGGTTCAGTGTCGGTTAACCTTTGTAGTTAGGATGCTACCCGAACTGACAAGACTACAGGTCAATCAGCTAATGCTCTAGCAAATGACGTTCGAACATGGTCTACCTCCATCTCAAGGTCCCGAGTATCCACCATCGATGGTCTCGGATTCAGTGAAAATGTCGATGCCGAGGCGCTGACCAGCCTCGAAAGCCTACTTCGCACAGTACAGCAACTGAAGCTCAAAAGGATCCGTGCCGAGGCACTCGAGGAATTTCAATTCATTGCAGCTGGGGAGACTTTTGCAGTCTCAAAATGCCACTACGAAGGGTCTGTGGTCGCCATCAAGCGCATCCAACTCAAGGCAGAATTCGAACGTCAGCATTTCCAGCGCCGCTTGCATTCTGTGCTACGAGAGGTCCTGATCATGTGCCATCCACCACTTACGCATCACCCGAATATTATCAGTCTGCTAGGATATGGATGGTCCGTGGAGAAGCAGCAGCTGTCCCCCTTTCTCTCCGTGGAATTTGCTACCGGTGGCACATTAAGGGAATACTTAAAAGAGTCTCCACAACCGATTCGGAGCAAATTGATACTCATGGGGGATGTTGCAGCAGGTTTAATGGCCTTACATAGATGTGGAATCGTGCACGGCGACCTGAAAGCTGACAACGTGGTTATTTTCTCTTCGCTGGACCGCCCGTCTATGTCAGTTGCCAAAGTCTCAGATTTCGGACATTCGATCCTCGTGAGCTCAACGCCCGAAAAAAGAACACAGTATTTTGGTACCAAATTGTGAGTCTGCCGTTCCGTCTCGAGATTAATGTGCTAACATCGCAGATACAATGCACCCGAGGTGGCTACCCAGAAAGATCAGCCCATTCCGATTGAGCAACTTCCTAAATGCGACATCTGGGCATTTGGTTTGTGCGTGTGGGAGATACTGGCAGATGGAAATCTGTACTTCCAACGTGATTGGAAAACCGATCTGACGTTTCAGCGCCCTCCCGCATACACAGTGTCACCATCGCCTGCGAATTCAAAGCCCCACGAAGTCTCAGCTGACGAAGGCAATCAGAATGCTTTTGGTCATTTCGACCTTTTTCATCTCAAGGCAATATCAATTCAATTTCTGGAAAGCATGAATATTCCAGGAATTGGGTTTGAAAAAGGGTTCCTGAGACCTCTTTTAGCTGGTGCACTGGAGGTCGATCCCATCAAGCGGATATCGGATCTAAGTCGACTGCCAATTATTGGATTCTGGAACAAAGCACCGGGAGGGCTCTCACTCCAGTCAAAGCTTGCCACTTATACTTTATCTGGAGACATCCGGTATTCTATTTTCAACAGAGATGGAGGTCCCTACATCATTTGGGAACAGCAGCAGCAACTCTTGCAGAGTTTCGAAACCTTGGCCCAGCAGACGGATCCCCAGAAGGATAATGGGTCTGCTGCATTCCAGACGATGCTTTGCTATGCGAACGCTTTTGGAACATCCATGAACTTGACAAAGGCCAGTCAGTATCTACATAAGACTGAGATTTCAGGCCATTTGGTGGCCGATATTTTGGGTTCTCGGCTCCTTGATGGGTTCTCTGGAAAGCCATCTGATTCGCCGAAGAGATATCATGAATGTCTCGCCCAAGGCCTTTGTAATATATGGAGCAAAAAGTCTTCTACCATCTTTGTGCACAATGGCGAAAATATCACCGACTTCGCCGATTACCCTAGCTTGCGCGATGCCTTTATCGACGAGGGGAATTTGATTGGCATTGACCATGACGACATTTCGACCATTTTTCTCACGCGAAAGCGCTCTCCTGAGCGCCATAATATTTTGGAAATTGCTATTCAAGAGGGCGATATAGATTTCGTAAATTTATTGTTACCCAAGCTTGGCAGAAAGCTCACTGAGATGACAACAAGAGAGTGTCTTTTAGTACAAGCATGCCGTAACGGTCACGGTAACATTGTGAAACGGTTACTGCACGAAGGAATCACCATTTATCGTGATGACTCAAGCTCTTGCCTTCTACATTGGCTCTTCTGTCTGGATGACACAAGTTTGTTTGAATTACAGCGGCAGCTTCAAAATGAGAATCGTACAGACGATCTCAAGCGGGCCCTCAACCATGCTATCGCCCAGAAGATTACGATTCATCCGCAGTGGCCATTTCAAATACATGGTACCCCACTTGCTACTGCGGTCGCCGCGGGGAGCGTTGCTGCTGTGGAATTGTTATTGCTATTGAACGCCAACCCCAGGGCTGAGGCCTTTGCTGCGGTCGACAGCGAAGCAACTCCAACATTGACACCTATTCATATTGCTATATCCTACCAGCTCCCAAAAATTGTCAAGCTCCTATGGCATGCAGCATTCGGGGAGCGATTGAGTCCTGCAAGTCAAATGTACCGCAATAATGCCTTGGGTCGATTCCCAATTGCTTGTGCTTTGAGCTTCAGGAGCAATGCCGAACGGTTTGCTATGCATGGTAATGGCCATAGAAAGTGCCTCAGAGAAGTCATTCAGCTCTTGCCAGTTGAAGCATTGGCCCAGTCCTCGCCCGAGGGTAGGAATGCCCTCACGCAGGCAATTGACCTAGAAGATGTTGAAGCTGCGAATCAGATCTTGGAATATTACCCCGGCCTTGTCACTAGAAGGATTATCCAACCAGGAACAAACAACATGTTTACATACCCCCTCAATTTTGCGGTCCAAATGGGTTCACTTCGCGAGACCGACGAGTCGATCCAGATATTGAAAACAATTCTCAAGCTTGATCCAGCCGCAATCAACAGACCAGACAGTTCCTCAGCGAAGTCAATACACACCGCAGCCATGGGTACATCAACTCATATCCTAGAGTTCCTTCTCGAGAATGGCTGCACATGCCGTGAACTAGATAGTAGCGGACAGACCCCTTTGTTCTTCTGTCGAATTGCGAGTATGGTCAGCATCTTACTGCAAAAGGGCGCCGATATTAATCATCAGGACCGACGGGGGTATACTCCTACCCATACAGCCGCAATCCAGGGCACGGAAGAAGTTTTCTACGCACTTGTTGATGCCGGTGCCAATTTGAACCTCATGAAAAACGAAATTGGGACTCCCTTGCATTGCGCCGTTCAAAAAAAGTCTCTGTCGATGGTAGAAAGGCTTATAAAGGCGGATGTCAACGTCAACGTGAAAAACACCTACGGTCGCACTCCGCTCCTCGTCGCAATGGACACAGGTAGATCTGATTTGGTTTCCTTACTATTTGAAAACGGTGCGAACCCGTTTATTGAAGACAAGAGGGGTTCGTCACCTTTCCATATGGCTCTTGCTTGGCCCAACGCCAGCGTGCTGAACAACTTCCAAATCCACACCCCGCTCAGTGAACTATCATGGAAGAAAAGGGTAAAAGCATTACACTTTGCCGCCGACAATGGGGAGCCCGCTGCGCTGAAGCTTTACTTGTACAAGGCCTTTGGATCAGGGCAGAGTGTCGACAATCCTTATTTTCTGGACCATAAAGATGTCCAAGTAGCTCTTCACAAGGCGACAGCGGCTTGCCGGGCGGATTTAGTTGATGTTATGCTGGCCTACGGGTTCAAAGTGGATGCCTTGGACGCCAAGAGCAATACGCCTCTCCTGATAGGGTGTCAAATAGGCCGCGAGCATCCTCTGATCAACCAATATACCCGCACGAACATTTGCGAAAAACTTCTTGCCAATGGCGCCAGCATCTGCAGAAAAAACAACAGAGGGATGTCGCCTTTATCTATCGCCCAAGCTCACAAAGATTATCCGCTAATGACACTATTGCTTGAGCATGCCCTTGAATTGGGTGATCTTGACCAACTTAAACTAAGATCCCGCATGCTAATGTCAATCAAAGACCCTGTAAAAGACAGTGAACATTGCAAAGAATCCCGAGCTCTCATTCGCGACGAGATGATCCATCTTGAACTCATCCAGCAGGCGATCAAAGACCAAGAATGGGACTTCGTCATGACATGCATCAAAGGACAATTTATCAACAAACAGGAACTCCGCCAGATATTTCAACGAAGAAGATGGTCCTATGGAGTTGATAGCTTAGACATGCTACGCTTCCATTCCGTCCGACGGGACCGGGAAATTGTTCGCTATCTATATCAGGTATCCACCACCGGCAAATACACCGCACAAAACGCCACCCAGATCGGGCTCCGGAATCTACAGCTTGAGTGTTCAGATTGGAGGATCAGTTTGAATCAAACTTTGTGGCCAAAGGAAATTGAAAAGCTATTTAGGACATGGAAAGAAGGTGAGCCGGAGCACAGAAGGCGGAGTGAAAGATTCATGCGGACATCGAGGGAATATCAAACAAGCAAACCAGACGATGAGGAAAGGAAATGGGGTTGGAGCTCCGATGAACTCTCTGAGGATGGTATATCATCTGCTGAAGAGTCAGAATCCGAACAAATGAAGGAAACTTGAATAATCCAGAGCTGGCTGTTATGGGAAGGACTGGCTAGCATATGGTTGACCAGGTGATCAGGGGATCCTGACGCATTGATGAGTATAGCATATCAAGTATCACGATCGTCAGTGAGCGACCAAATGCAACGCTCGTGATGCAGTACCTTTCTGAGATAGCGTTCCTTTTCTGCGAGCTTTTAAGATTCAGATTTAGCACATAAAGTGGTCGAGGCACTGGAAAAATAAATGTTTGCCGTCTTCGAGTTCTTGGTGAGCTCATCGCACAAAAGTTGGATTCGTTTTACGAACGGCTTGGACTTGACCGATTCAGATGTAGATGAGGGTTAGGTCAGGAATAGTGGCACGGTGAAGGCTTGTAGGTAGACTGGAGAGTAGAATGTATTGGAAGAGACATTGGACGATAGATATCATCTATGAAAACTATAACACAATACGGCCTCGGGGTCACTTTGGGACCATAGGGATGAGCCGTAGCTTATAGTGAAATTTTCAGTCTACAGCTAGTCTATGGACCTTGGTAATGATGATATCAAGACGTATAGAATATTTTTAACCTCGATTTTCAATAAGTACTTTCGTAGCGGAAATGGAATTCCGGCTCTATCGCTTGGTTTGAAGAGCCTCCGCTTGCCTAAGAATCTCTCCCAGATCCCGAATCTGAGTTTCTAGGTTCGCACGCCTTTCCTTTCGCCTCTCGTCCTCTCCAACAAGATAATCGAGTTGGTCTTTGGAGAGGTTTCGAACCCATTCCGTGTTGAAACAGAAGACCAGTCCAGAAGCTCCCAAAAGGTGACGCTCGACAACCTGGATGATCAAATTATCGATAAATCGCCATTGTGCCATCTGTTGGAACTCGGAGAGATTCAGAAATGTCGCAAAGACGTGTCGCAGCTTGTTGTCTCCAAAATCTTTCAGTATCACATTTAATCCCTGTTGCACAGTTTCCAATTGTTCCTTGTAGCCTTGGTGGCAGCTCTTCATAATACCCACTTCACTCACGATCATGCCAAGCTCCTGCTTTCCACGGACAGTAGCTTTTATCTTCAGGCCTTCCAAATATTGACAGATCTTTCCACGAATTAAGCTGTCGGGACATACATCCTCCAGCAATGTATCCGAAAACGCTTGAATCAGCTCCAAGGCTTTGTGGAAGTACTCGTTTGCAAACTTCCCCCAGGATTGGATCTGGGTTTTCCAAAGAAGCTCGTCCAAATAGGGCGGGGGTTTGTGCGATAGACCATCGCCGCGATTTTCATTCCATACTCGCAGAATCCAGGAGAACATATCATCTTTTGCCATGATATCGGCTTCCCAGTCTGGGGAATCGGGTTTCAATCCTGCTATCCGATTTGCAGCTCCCTCATGTGACGGGTATTCGATTTCCATCCCATGCTGCTCAATATTTCTCCGGAATTCCTCGTGCAAATTTCCCAAATGGTTCCTCAATCTTGAGGGATCTTCAAGTGGGCAATTCTCCTTGTATATTCCGGCGAGCAGTCTTTGAGCCAAGTCCTTGTACTGCCTTTGAATGTCATCGAGATAAAGCGACTGCATTTTCTCGCTATCCCTCGAAGGACCAAGCATATCCAAATCTTCTTTGGCTTCTCTTAGCTTTCTGATGATGTCTTTCTGAACACGAGGAAAGCTCTTTTTGACATGCTTGTATAGTGTATCGGCCAGGCGTTCGTTCAGATTATCGATGCCCACGAAACCGTTTAGGCTCGACCATGGTCTCTGGCTAAAGAGTCGATGCTCCTTGTCATCGCGCTCTCTGTATGTCAAGCCATTTTCAACTTCTTCAGTTGTTCGATTGCGGACAGCGAACCATCCGAGGTCGAGTTTGTAGTCGGGCTTTTGATTTTTGAGGAGCTCAATAGTCTGAAGTTCCAGTTAGAAAGTATGTAAGATGCTCGGCCAAGATCGAAAGTTTACCTTTGGCTCATCGTTCTTTTGCAACATGTCACATTTAGTAACAACTCCGATAGTCCTGCTCATTGCTCCTTCCTCCATTGCGAGACGAAGAACGGCTTGGTTAAGGATATTGTCGACGGCAGGCATCACCGCCCTGGAGAAGTCAGTAGATTGTCAGTAGATTGTGATAACTCATCAATAAGACAAACTTACAGGACAATCGCATGAGGGTTTTTCATATACTGACGTGCAAGACTCTCAGATAACTCCTGATCCGCCCTAGAGCCACCTGTAGGTGCGAGAGTCAAAAATTAGGGTCACCAACCAGGGGTGCTGTCAGCTTACCACTGATAAGTCCAGGAATATCAACCACACTAAAGTGGGCCTGGTCATGCTTGTAAACATTGACCCTCATGACCTGCTCATGGAGTCGACCACGCCCTGCATTTCCATCAAGCCCTCCTGGTGTTTCATATTGCGCATGCTGCTTTGCAAATACATCCTCCAAATCTTTTTTGAGATGATGAGAAACATTTTGCCAGGATTCATTGGAGTATTTGCGGGGCAAGAAGGGAGCTCCGACCCCCTTTGAATGAATAGTGATGGTGTAATGCGGGTCCTTGGAAGGATCACATCGATGAATCGTGGTTTCAGTGGCAAAGAGTGTGCAGATGCCATTATCCACCGGGAATGGAAGCTTAGTGAGAGCCTGCAAAAGAGAAGATTTGCCGCAGCTAGTGCCACCAACAGCAACCAGCTTATTTCTTTTAGTGTCGTATACACCATTGGCTGGGTGAAATTGGTGTTGGGACTTACCTGGGGCAGTGATAGGCTGCTTGTGTCGATTTGATAGGCATTTCGGACTTCGTCAAAGAATGCGAGCAGCTCTTCGCCTTTAACGCTGCCGATACTTCTCAGCACTTCCTCATCAGACTCATCGTCAGGCTCGGGTGTAGGGCTCTCTGCGCTTTCTTCTTCATCTCCATCATGGGTAGATACGGATGCATCCAACTGAGTTTCAGCCTCAGTATCACGAGAAGAGGCTTGTTTGTCTTTTGGAACTGTCGAATTCGACATTTTGAGCTTCAATTGTTGACTTTGTACTGATTGGATTATGGATAGGAATGGCAAAGTGAGATTAGACGTGGGAAACAGAAATTATTTTGGTGAACCGAAGGGGCTTTTAAGCAGAAAACAAGTCTAGTACGTTTATGCTGGGACATAACGAGCTGAACGGTTGCAACTAGCACACGATCTGATTAGCGCACCTGCGCATTAAGCGCTAACGTTTTGGATCTCGGGAGGCCATGGAACGGCCCCCAACTCCTCCACTTCTTGGCCTCGGTACAGCCTCGGCGAATATGATATCAGATGATTGGGGGCAATTGCGCCTTGTAATGCCCTAAGGCAGCGCTAATGTACAAACCATCACCTCCATTGCGACCCTATTCCCTATCAAGGACCGCTTGAACTAGACCCGCCCAGTAGCGGGAACAGAACCAATGTAAAAGGCATAGCACGCTCAGCCCAGGAGACGCGTCAGCTCTACAGGGGTATAGGTGAATGATAAAGGATTGTCTCCGGCCTTTTAAATCCAATTGAATCACTCAGTCTGTGCATATCCAGTCCCTGGCTACAACGTCTACGTGGATTCGCAATAGTTCGGTTGCATTACAAGTACATGGTATTTGAATTGAAATTTGGGCTTTATTCACTTGTCACTGGTTTCTTGCACGTAAACAGTAGCAGCCCTAATACACAAGCTACGGCAAGTGAACGTGATGCTCATGAATGTCACGAGCATTGGAAATGTAGAGTGATTACTCACCACAAAGATAGTCCAACATCTCACCTTCACTAAGCAGAATCAGCATAGCGCGGTAATCATAATTCAGACAAAATACTGATATACATACCGGTCTCCAGGGTAGCACAGTGTGAATCAGAAGGTACCTTGTCATGTACTCGATAACATCACTGCTCCAAATTTAGAAAACTGCACCTTGCCTAATAACCCTAATGATGTGTTCAACTGATAGCCTCTTTTGGGAATTGATCGGCTTATATGAATTTCGTGGCCGACTATCATTGGCGAATAATGGTGATTTGCTCTAAGTTTGAGTTATAGCATCATGTTCAAATATTTTGGTTCGAACTTATTAGAAGTCGCAATTTGATCGAAGGAACACAGTGAGTGGTATCGTCGTAGAATTCTGCACATGAAAGCCCTTATGCAGCATTGTGGGTCCCGCTCGACAGAAAGAGAGGATATTTGCGACTTTCCAATCCTTAGCGACTCTTTATCTGGACATGGGTCATGTTCGTCGATGAGGTCGTACATATCGTCAGAGGCCCTGATAATTGTTAGACAAGAACATACATGAAATTAGAATACTCACACTTGTCTTACTATTTTGCCCTCCTGCAAATGGCCGACAGAGTAGATCGTGTTGTAGTAAAGACTGTAAAGCCGATTTTCGGTGCTCCCAATCTCCTTTGGCTCACTGGCCCCAAATTGTTGAAAGTAAGTTGCAGGGTATATATCCTTGCTAGTTCAAGATCTCAACTCTTACCTCTGCCTACAAGGGAAGGGCACTCGAAAATCTACCAAAACGCAAATTGGCCTTCTTGACAAACTGCGGTCGTACTTGTGCTTCATTGGATTGGAGTGGCGATGTATCAGAGATTGCGAAGAAGGGGTATACCGCATCATGCCTAGTTAAATTGTTCAACCATCCTATCGTGGGCAAAGGGAGGCCGCAATACAATTGATTATATGCCCGGTCTCGTTACTAAGATAAGAGTACAAATGATATTCGTAATTCGTTCTCAGCTTCATATCATGTATGACGAAAAGTTCCCATCAATTGAATTATCATATATAAGCAGTTCAGTCAAATCAAACATTAGTCAGCTCCGGCATATCGTAGACCACATCAGGCAGTTCTACCCCCTTAGGAGCCGTCAAGATTCCAAACTCAGATGTGAACCCAGAGTCCGAGAAACTTTGTCCATAGAACCCTACAATAACCTCATCGTCATTTGGTTCAAGTGCGATGACGCTCGATCCATCATCTCCCTCTCCCTCATCTTCTTCGTCACTGTCATAGCTATCACCGCCTTGATCATCGTGCAAGCAACCCCATTGAGCCCCATTACTCAGAGTCATGCGAATTCCCGACAAACTACCACCCCAATTCCTGCTCTGCGTGCGAAGCCGCACTTTGGTGATGGTTTGCCCTTCAGGGAGGTCATGTTTCTCAGACGCATGTCCTCCAAAGTGGTGTGGCCCACCATGCCGGTTACGGGCAGGGCCGCAATTCTCGTGCCGCCCATCAGCATAATGCACGACCGCTCCGTCCATGGTACATCCAACTCGGAGATCGATCGCTGTGGCTCGGTGCAACTGACCATCTGTGCCGCGGTGCTTAAGAAGCATAGCCCATTGAACAAACTCATCGTCACTGGTCTCACTCCCGAAAGGCTCGGTTCGGACAGATTGTTTCCGAAGGACCATGTTGCTGCCGGGGATCAGGATGTATGGGTTTTCTTTCAACAGCTTCCATGCATCGGCGACAGTTCGTTCTTTACCGTTCATTCCAAGAGCAAAGATCTTCAACGGCTCGTTCCGGTCGAATTCTTCAACGCTGGTGTTGATGAGAATTGCAGTGCATTGGCCAGTCCAGTCGGAATCAGCGAATCGGACTTGCTCCTCCTTGCCATTCTGAATCTTCACTTGTGCAAGACCTGCCGAGCAAGAGATCTTGATGATCTCATCGCGAGGTTCCTCGCCGTCAGTCATTTCCTCCACCTTGTCAAGATCAATGTCAAGCTGAATGTTCACGACAGCGTTCCTGAAGCCCTTTGAAACAGGCATGTCACCAGGGAGTGCAAAGTGCGGAAGGAGCTTGAACTGGAGAACATCGCGAAGATCCCACTTCGAGTCATTGACCATCTTATCGTTTGTCTTGTGCTCAATAATATTCATCGCCCAGGATTTGCTGTAACCTCTCGCCATGATACCAGTCGTGTGATCAGCGCCAAATGCGTGGCCGACCTCGTGAAGGAAGGCGCCCTGGCCGACAAAACAGGCACCGCGCATAGTGTCGCATTCGTTATTATCGTTACCGACAGTATCTCCGGTAAGCGTCATGTCGGTCAGACAGGCGGGGACTTCTTCCAAGAAGCGAGGCCAAGAGTAAGTAAGGTGGCTACCAAAGACTCCCAGGGAGATTCCATCAGACTTATGGCAGCCCAGCGCCGCATGGCCCATGATCATAGATCTTTCCGTGGAGTAGTGAGAATCCAGAATCAGTCCCGCGACAACAGGGCGGCATCTTGACTCGAAGGGACCGCCTGCTTCAACCAGAGCTGCTTCAAAGTATGCATGAAGGGCATCTCGATTCCGACCACGAGAATTCTGCTGCGCAACCTCGGCATCTCTGATCTCCGCGACAGTCTTGTCAGATCGGATAATATGGACCTTTGCAACAGCAGCCATGCGGCTCTGATCTCCAGGTGTTGTTTGATGAGCCATTTGCAAGGTCGTATTAGACATCCATTCCTCTTCCAGGCGGAATGAGCGTCTACCCAGCCCCTTTTGACGGAAGTCTTCGGCCGTAACAGCTTGCCACATGTACGCCGACATGCGCAGCTTGGCAATGGCCGCGTCGAGACTGCTATGCGCGGTCGAGATCCCACCGTATTTGGCGGGTGGACAGTCAATAAGGAGAGGCGAGTCCTTAGCAACGAGAATGGCCAGGTGAAGGGGTGGAAGTTGCAGCAAAGGAATGTAGTTCACGGTGATCTCCAGAGAGTCCGAGACTCCTCCGGCATGATGCAATTCGAAAAGAATCTTGTTGCTTCCTGGAGCCAGCATCACCAGTGCCTTCCACTGTCCTCTGTTCAAGGGCCAGTGGTTCACAGGATGTGATTGATTAAGCATATCAGCTGACGAAACAGACACGAAATTGGTTTCCTCGGCGTAGTCGAATTCATGGCAGGTACCGTCAATCACCACACATGTTTGGTGTAGCACATCGCCATCTTTCAGATTGACAATCTCGAAGGGCCTTTTCTCCGTGGGTACAGGCTGGACCCGACGTTTCGGTGGACTCGAGACAGAGTCAGACTCCATTGATCGTTTCGCCATGGTGAGTGCTTGTTTGAATATTGGATTGTGGATAGTATAAGGAGGGAGATCACATCGCTTATATACTACTCATTTAGAAGAACCAAACTTTAATGGTTCAAAAGTAAGACCTAGGCAGCGACAAGCATTTCCAGGCATCTTTCTGGTGGCGCCCATCGGCTACTGTAAACGGTTAGCTTATGCCGCTGCTGCCTATGGAGCTCGAATCATCACCGCTGCCTGCCCCACTTGGATAACGCCCCTAAATTGAGTCTCGGACAGAAGACCCTGGTTTGATCGCCAATAGGAGAATCGCGATTGGAACACGGGGCGGAATATTCATAGACCCGGATCTGGTCTCTAGCCATGGATAATTTCCCTTGTGGCGCGTCGGTTGCACAATAGAATATTGCTTTGGGGGTACTATTGATTTCGAACCTCGGATCGTGAGTTACCTGGACTTGATACTATAGACGGCAAGATTGACTAACAATAGACAACTCAATGGAGGAGCAAAAGCCTCATCGCTATGTAATCGCAGCTCAATCGTTGAAGCAATTCATGTGTTTTTATTCCCGACGAAAGAATCTAAGATTTGATCCTTGAAAACCGATGTAGAGGTAGAACTGGAATGAAATTTTGCTGTACTGGCACTTAAGAATTGGCACCCCATCCCGCCGTCAATCTCCAACTTTGTCCGACTTCTCCAACTCCCCGGACAAGTCCCACCATATGGTCAACGAACCCAGCATCGCCTCTGTTGACTCGCTCCCGTCTCTCACGCTCTGCCTCGGAATCGCCGCGCTGGATACCAAGAAGCTGATCGGTATCCAATCCCTGGACCCTTTCCGCGTCCATCCTGGTTAGAGTATTTCCTTGTCCACATCTTTGACTCCACGCCATTCGTTTGACAGCAGGTCCCCAAAATTCTCCCAAAGTGGCTTCGTCCCGACCGCGAGCGTAATCCTTAACCAATCCAGAGTGAGGATCAAGGGAGATCGAAGAATGCCAACGTGTATGAACCAGCTCGTAACGCTTCTCAAGGAACCAGATGATTGGCCATGTGATAATCCACAGCTGGAGAATAACGAAAACCCACCAGATGTAGCGGTTCGCACGTAGGCGGTTGATCCAATGGGGAGAGTAGATAGTGACCGATTGCTGAGCTATAGTGAAAGAGAAATCGACCGAGCCGAGGTAATTGAGGGAGCGAATATGTGAAGCAAGGACATTGCGCATCGCTTTCCAATCGAAGCCTGAAATTTGGCGATGGAGAGTAAATCTAACAAGATGTGGTTAGTCAACAGGTTCCTAGGATACCGAAAGGGAAACATACGATTTAACAGGGGACGGATCATTGCAAAACCGTTCACACCATAATTTCAAATTAGCCTCATTTGATGTGGCGGGTTGCTCATCAGAGCCATCGGCACCAATGCCTGCATCTGAGGCGAGAAGGGCATCGCTGTCCTCGCCACGAGGACGCGGACAACACGGCGCCTTATAAGTGCGTGACTTGATTCTTCCACCGCGGAAAGCAGGCTTATAATCCTCGTCATTGAGCACTTCTTCCTCCGTCCATTTCCAGGGTCCTCGTGTGTCCGCCTCCCACCCACTCAGCATGGTCTCGGCAAGATCAAGCTTGAATTCAAAGTCGGTAACGCTGTTGCTTCCCTTCTGCTTCTTATCGTTATTTGATTCGGTGTGTGAGCCCTTGATCCAAAGTAGTGGTCGCGGGGGCAGTTTCATCTGCCGGCGAATAGCGTAGAAGAGCTCATCGCTGTTGCGCGAGAAGCTCGGCGCAATGGAGATGGCGCGCTTGTCATCGGCCTTGATGTTGGAGTCAGGAAGAATGTATGCGGAGTCCACCAGTCGAAGGTGAAGTGGAAGAGGAGCAACGCCCGGAGCGGGGTTAGAGGTTGAAATGGGAGGAATGAAGTCAGGTTCGTCAGTGTAAGGGGGTGGGAGGTCATCTTCGATGGAATGTAGCGAATGTGAAGATGCCGCGTCGGGGCGATCGCCCTTGTGGATGCGACCCATGGTTCCGCCGATAAGAACGAAGAAAGAATAACAATTAGAATTCAGTACCAGAATCGGTCAGAAGAACAATCTATTTGGAGATCACTTTTTGACTGGGCTATTATTGAGACAAAACGAGGAGAGAAAAAAAGGATTGGGGATATTAAGGGTCCGGAAGTTTTTAGGCTGCAAATCTACGGAGAAGAGCCGCTTCCCCTCGCATCCACGCTAGTCTGGATAAGGTTAGGCTGCGGGTATTTATAAACATCGCGAAATGTGTCCCAATCGGGAGTCCCTTTACCATGCACCGACAGAAGGAGTCGTGTAACTTCCCGTCGCCGAGCTTCCTTGACACTGCGAAGGTACTTGGTTCGCACTAGAAGCGCCCCAGGAACTCGGCACATTACCAGCACGGCGGTCCTCGGCAGTGAGGAACGCGGCGTAGGACCAAGTGAGATCTCCGGCAGAGGTAGGGACACCGTTATCTCTGGTGAACTGCTCTGCTAATGATCCATTGCTGGGCGTGTACTGCTGCACGATAGACATAAATCCGTCTGCGTAGGTTCTGACCGCGCTAGTGAGCGAGGAGTAAGTGGATGAAGAGCTGGAGTAATCCCCAGTGGCAGCGGAAGAGACGAGGGCCTGGAAGAATGGGAGGTTGGTCTGAGTGACAGCCAGCGAGCCTTGCTTATTCCACTGATATAACGCGTCATACAATTGCTCAGCGGCAGCCAGAGTGGCCAGATACCAAGGGTTCCCGCCCTGGTAAGTATCCTCCGCATAGCGTCCAATAGCGACCGCACTACCGGCAGATTTACCGCTGTTGACGGAATAAATCGATCTGAAAGAGTCAACAACCAACTTGTGATTGGACAAAGCGCGTGCAGAACACGGCTGGAAGGTCGTGTCATCACATGCAGCTTCAGGGTCGAACGTCTGGATGGAGCTGATTAGGGAATTCGCATCCAGGCCCGAGCGTCCGTCGTTCGCCAGGTTCGAGATGACAGAAGTGCCATTCCAGAAGTCCTGGAGAAAGCATAGAATTTGGGGAGCTTGCGAATCACACCCGGTGCATGATTGACCCAGCGACTGGGCAAACGCACTTCCTTCCACTAAGGCCCGATGCTGCGCGGCGATGGTGAAGAAGGAGGAACCTTGAATCTCCTCCCAGAGATCAAATCCAGTTTGGTTCCAGTACTGCGCAACGTAATTGAGGTCGTTCTGCACAATTGGCCAGATGTTTGACGTGACGACGGACTCCTGTCCAGCCGAGATCAGATGATTACCATATGCAATCAAAGCGGTCGCTCGCAGCGCTGGCCCATCGCGCTGAGGACGCCCCCAGTCGCCGGTAAATGCTGTGATGTCCACGTTGAATTTGGGCTCGCCAAGTCCTGAGCCATCAGACAAATCGCCCGAAGGGTTGGAGACGATTTGCAATTTGGCCTGAGCAGAGATATACTGCTGAATGATAGATTCCAACGAGCTATCCCCCGCAACGAATCTGTCAACGAGGACCTTCAAGGTCAGAGCTGCATCGCGGGTCCAAGTGTAAAAGTCTAGCAATCGTTAGCTCCCAATAATTTATGTTTCCTTTTTCCGGGAACTCACAATCAGGGTTCACTTTGGATGGGGATGCAACCACAATACCAGATGAGGCGCCCGTAACTTTCGACCCATTGGCACCAATATTGTCGAGCACACCTTGGAGAGCGATAGACGATTCTGATTGGATATAGTTACTCAGGCTGGACTGGCGACGCGTAGGGTGTAGGGCTGACGAGAGAGCTCCTGGTGCCAGTAGGGCAAGTGTCAGAAGATTTGCAGTTAGCATGGTGAAGTCTGTGATGCGAGGAAATGTGAGATGATCCAATTCGCAGGATCTGCTACCTCCTTATATGCCTAGCCTCCTATGATCATGTCCTCCAAGCCCACATCTTGCCCCACGGGGCGAGATGGGGATTCGCGGCTGTGATTGGTCCGTGGCCTGACGATCACTGTGGTTTGTGATGCACCAGGAAATTACTTCATTACTTCAGATCACCAGCCAGCGGACTCCGAAGGGAATTGAGGGGCGAGTGCTTAGCACATGTAAAACTCCGAGGATAATTGGCGAATGAATGGCCTGCTGTTCTCCAGGAAATGTCTCAAGGAGTCCACTGTTACATTCGGAAACTCTCAAGATCGGCATCGTCGATCCCGGACCGAGTAAGGTCTAGTCCGATAAATGGCCGATGCTCCGCTTGTTCTTCAGGCCTCAGAAGGAAATGTGTGGATTTTGTCGTCATCAACACTGGATCATACAATTATCGGGTGTTCTGTGGAATGCTGTCAAAACTAAAGCCCGCGGTTCAACAATGTCACAATATTATGAGACTTGAACACGCCAAATCATTTTCAGCAAGCCTTATAGAATAAGCTTAGATGAGTTAGGGGTGGACCATGGGTCAGCATATCAATAGCGTCTGCTACTAAGGTAGCCTATACTTGTTTACTTCGGGGATACTGAAAGGCTCAGTCACCGTGGTGTGTAGAATAACGAGTTCTAGGTGCACTAAGGGAGCGATCATTGGCGCCTTACTATCTGTCAGAGTCTAGTTGTTCAACAAGCTTCATTTCCACCTGAAGATCACACGAGATCACCTAGTAAGATTTCATTTCTGTTAGCATTAATTTACACGTGCGATCACGTTTATTGAAACCGGTACAAACAATACAAACAACGCAATCCCCGTCCCCTCGACTTCCAATCTCTCCCTCTTTTCTTCTATCAAATCATCTATGTATTTCTGCAGATCTCAGATCAGCATCTGTTACCTTGGTTGACCAGATACCTCAGTGATCAGATGTCTTAATTATGCAATCCCGATCAGATTTCGGAAGATCCACTACTTTTGCTTTGGAAAGGGCTTTGGTGGGGCTCTCTGGTAGCATAAAAGCGGTGAGAAAAGATAAGACATTACTCACCTTGCCTGCACTGACACCTTGCTTCATTCAGCATCAAAATTACTGCTGGTATATCGTGAGTTTTCGTCGTGTGGAGCTGCAAAGCCAGCTGATCCACTGTCATGGTGAATCATTGGATACCGGATACAACTGCCATATCAGAGTTCACTTGATTGTCTAGAATCTACATCATCACAATATGAGTCCATCTGACCGGAGTCACCTTATGTTTGTCTCGTATCTACATTTCCATGGGTTTGCAATTTGGCTCGACCTTCGCATATCGTATGACATCATTCTGTAGCCTTAAATCGGCATGGACCCCATCGATGGGGTCGATCGAGACACGAGCACTCTAGTCAGAATACATCTCGCAACACACGAAGATAGTCCCTACAAGGTATGATTCTCACTACCATGCCAAAGTAACATTTATTGTTTATATCCTGTCGCGGAAACATTTGCTATGACAGAGTATCTAACTGCCGGTTCTAGTACTCCAAAATGCCATTCGGCTCACTCTCAGTATCCAACACAGCCATTCCACAGTATGCTCCTGCATATCCTATGAATGGCAGCGACTACACAAGTGAAACTGTTCTCACTGTTACCTACCAAACGTCTGTGCAATGTGTGCGCCATCTTGTGCCCGACATGCTAGAGCTCGAAAACGAGCCAGAGGTATCAGTAATGCTTTTGCAGCACACAATGTCCTCATTTGGTCCATACAATGAGTATGTTCACTCTGTCAAAGTCAAATATAATGGCGACGCATTTGATTTCTTCCTTTCCCTCATCCTAGACAATGACTCACCAATATTGTGCGGCCGCGAGCAATTCGGCTTCCCCAAGAAGTTAGGAAACGTGGCGTTGACATTAAAAACCGGATCGCCGGTTGTTCATGCCTATATGGAGAGACCAGTTGGCCAAAAGATTGTTCAAGTTGGTTTCCAGCCTGAGCAGAAAGTATAAGGTACAGTCGAGACAACGATGAAAGGGTTGAATTTACGAGTTATCCCCTCTGTGATCTCGGGTCATAGTCCGTCCGTTAAGGAACTGGTGCCAGTTGACATCAGCATGGAGGCAGGCGAGGCTTGGCAAGGCTTTGGTTCTGTTTGCTTTCCAGAGCCATCAAGGTTCGACCCGATGCATGAGATCAAAGTCCTTCGATACGGAACGGCGACTCTGTTGCGGAATGCATCCCTTGCAATTCGCCTGCCAACGCAAGTTTTCCAGCTATGATCTGTTCTTTGAGAGGTCCAAAGTCGCCGAGAGCATTTTGTTAATATCATAGTACTCTGCAAATTTTCCTTAGGGAAGAATCGATTTTCGGTGCTTATTATTCCTATGCTCAAAACTAGTAATTCAATGCCACTTTCTATATTAGCCCTTATCACTACTATATCTTCCTCATTCCCTTCCTCCTTATGATTTACTTTCACGTTTCCCTTACATTTCTCTCACTTCCTCACTTTCTATACCATAATGGGACACACTTGATGAAGAACTTGAAGAGAGGCTCATACATTATTGGCAAAACGTCGTATTTCAAGCCAAGATCCCTGGCCATGAGTCGAATTAAAACTCCTCTCAACCCACTTGCTAATGGTGGCTCTATATTTCGTCTATAAGGAACGTTAGCGGACGAGCGATCGCTCTGTGAGCGTGTACGGTATCATCAAGACTAGTGATGAGTGCTATAATCTCCTCATAAATGATCAGGGCGAGTGGGCGACCGCAATATGCCCGTAATAAGAGGAGGACAACTACGGGAAAAAACCCATCTCCATACGTGGGATGAACATCTCTTTCTTCCATGTTATCTGAGCCTCCTATCCGGTGTGTGTCGTAGACTTCAACAACCGTTCAAGATTTGTGTTCCTCAGATTCTGCGCATTAGACTTTTCAAGTCAATTCAAGGGAAGCACATATATTGCTGCGTCGCATATGACTGGTTGCTTGATTGCATGTATATGTAAGCAAGCTTATCATACTGTCCAATGGGAAATTCAAGTCTCACACCATCACCATACGTGTCTCAAAAATCAGCCGCTAGGATTCTGACTGCATATCGTACGTGTCTAAATAGGTGCCCAATCATGTTATACCATCCAATGAGATCTTGGGTTCTCATGTTATTATGCGAGTTGCCTTACAAGTAATTCCTACGCCCCGGACTATGAAAAATCAGTGGTCTTGTCGACTCTTTTTCCTTACTCCACACATCTGATTTCCTACTCAATCCACCCCGTCTATGATATTTATGCAGTTTCGTTTATCCTCACCATTTTCAATAACTTGCTTCTTGATATTGTCTTGCTGCGTGCTCTTAAACCCAATATCAATACTTTCGTACGTACTTTCGCCAGTACTTCACAGTGATCTTAACTGATTAGTGTTTAGGCGGCATTCCTACAAAATGGAAACCGAAGGAGTTTTCGCCGGCGCTTGTGTCAGCTGTGGAACCAGCGTATATACGCAAGGAACATCGCTGAGTCTCGGCGCTACTAGGGGCATATGTTGCGCTGGATGCATCGCTTCGGGGATGTACTTGGGCAAGAAATATGCAATGGAAGTAAAAGGCGCCGCTAGTAGCTCACATTCGATCGAGAAACGACAACCTCAACAAGATCACACATCGAATCCAGAGGGCCGTGCAAAGAACCGGCGATAGTGGTAGCAAAACATCAGATAAAATGTACCCATATTTTTACAGATACAAAACTCTACTTATTGACAGTCATTTTTGAGTCCTTGACGATTTATCTTTAATTCTGAGGGATGGGGTCAGAAGCTCGTATGCTTGGTAATATCGGATTTGGCCTGATTTTGAGCTTGCAATAAGACAAAGTGAGCCAATTGACTGTCTTAGTCTAAGAATTCAGACGGTTCTCCCACCAATCCTCTCGAAAAAAACCGTGAGTCAAACGAGTCGTATTGGCCCAGAGAAATTCAGCCAGAATCAGGCCAAAAAAATCAGGCGATAGCTCGGGCAACCCCGAATTTCCGAGAAAGGACCACAAATTGACTAATAGCAAAAGCAGCTCGGAAAGATATCATATCCTTTTCTTCAAACGCTCTTCGGATATGCTCTCGTGCTCCTTCCCAGTCCACGAACCCCAAAGCGTCTATATTCTCCCGAGAAGTCAGCCGGAGGAACAATTGGTGCAGTGGCCCATTCTCTGGGAACTTTGTTGGTCCGAGATACGGCTTTTTCGTCCGTGTATAGATCTCATCAGTGATGAAGGGGCGCACTGCCTCTCGTAAGATGTATTTCTCCGTTGTAGATCCATCCTTCGATGAGCATTTGATCTTCAGACTAGGTGGTAGACCATTTGCGTACTCGGTGAAGTGGTGATCTAGAAATGGAGGTCTTGTCTCAACGTGGTGGACCATGTCGATATTATCACCAAGATACCGAAGTAACAAGTTGGAGAAAAAGCCTTTCGTAAAGACATATTCTGCAGTATGAAGGGGGTGCCAACGGTTCATAATAGCTTCCCGAACCTGTCCATTCAGACTTTCTACCTGCGCAGTCTCGGGAAAAGTGGTGGCAAATTTGTTCGTCCATTCAGCAAAAGGTAGGCGACCGAGTGACGATAGCACTGTTAGAATTGAAGTATGGTTGAGCATTCTCTGCGTTGACACGGGTGTTCTCTTTATGTTCAGAAAGTCGGCTGCTGTTGGAAGTGTCATTTTCTGCTTTTGTGCTAGTTCTGCAAGTGCTGTCTCCGATAGCGAGTCGGGCCATGAGGGGTCGGTTTCAAGCATGAAATCGTGCCTCAGTTCTGCATACCCTCCAAAATGCTCATCGGAACCCTCTCCTGTTTTCATAAACTATTAGGATGACAATGGTATGTATGGAATCGAAGATATGAACCTGTTAGAATGACTTTCATTCCATGGGACTTGGCAACCTCGGCCATGGCAAGCCTCCCAATGCCATTTGTGTCCGGCAGGGGGGTTTCACTGTGCCAGATTGTATCCTCAAATTTTGAAACAATAACATCCTCGGTAATGTGTACTGGATGGAAGTCGACACCCAGCCATTCAGCCGTGCGCTGTGCAATATCTGCTGACTGTTAGTCACGCAATCCGAGAAGCCAGGGATGGGAACGCCGATACCGGACTCATCTGCTCCGCTGTCTTTATCAAACCGCACCGTGAAGCATTTGATCCGTGACAAAAGATGGCTATTGTCGTTTCCCAATCTAGCACCCTCTTCCTTGACTAGGTGAGCGACCATGCCAGCCACCGCAGAGGAGTCGATTCCGCCACTGAGATAAATTCCCAATGGTACATCAGCGCGAAGACGAATCTTAATGGCTTCCATAAGGCGATCCCGTACATTATCTACCATCTCCGCTTCGGATCTAGTGTCGGGGTTCCTCTGAAATGACTGCTCAGAGGCTGTGGGTATACACGAGGGGAGATGAAGCTCTTAACTCACCTTATCTGGATACTCAGCATCCCAGTAGACAACATCTTGAATGGGTTTAAAGCCCCTGCTTATTAAATAATGCCCAGGAGAGATCTGCTCAACGCATTAGAACAGCCGAAAAATTCAATGGACGAAACAGACCGAATGGACCCCCTTGAACATCGTTCCAGCACCAAACATCCAGCCACACTCTCTGAGACTTTGAACATCCCACTCGGGTTTCCACCCAAATGGAAGGAAGCATTTCATCTCAGTTGCAACGAGAAGCTGGCCGTTGACAATGGTGTAATAGAGCGACTTGACTCCAAACCGGTCTCGCGCAGCAATGAATACCTTTCGACGGGCATCCCATAAGATGAGCGCAAATTCACCCCGAAGATGCGACAGGAAAGATAGACCATAGTGGCGATAAAGAGCCAGCACGACCTCGCAGTCGCTTAGACTTTGAAAATCGTATTCGTCACCAAGTAGTTTTCGATAGTGTTCATCATCGTATAATTCACCATTCACGACTGCGTGTACATCGTCTATATTGTCGTGAAATGGCTGATTACCCCGTGGGCTCAGGTCAACGATGGAGAGCCGGACGTGTCCGAGATCTGAGGAGGTTCAACATCTTAATCGTTCTGTGAATGAATAAAGCACTTACAAACTTTACCATCTTCACTAACCCATTGACCCCGCGCATCGGGTCCACGATGTTGAATCGTGTCTAAACTCTCACTGAGCTGATCATCAAGAGATGCGAGGTGTTTCTCCGTCGAAGATACGGGGCGGCCTTCAAGTGAAAGCAAGGCACTGATTCCGCACATGGTTGTTGTTTTCCAGCAGTGCAAAACGTCAATATTCGAAAGTCACAAAAAGAAATTGGTTACTTTCTGCTAGCGTTAGTCTCTGGCTTTAAGTGAGGAGCACGGGTTAGGCGACCAACTGTTTTCTTTAGTGGCTTAGTGTGGATGCCAAGTAAGCGGGGATTAGCACTACTCGTGCATGTTGAACCAATAAGATCATCACTCCATTCCGCCCCAGGGGTCCGAGCGATGACTATAATAGAACCACCCCCAGTCGACGCATTTCCCTCCAAGATCCCCACATCCCAGCGTTCAAAAAGCAACACTAGAGGGCTTCTACTCTAATTTGTTTAAGGTATCAAAAGGAGGGAATGTCCCATCAAGAAAAAGGAACTTCAGTCTTGAGCTTTTCGTCTCTCTATGGGGTGCAATTTCCATACCTTCTATTACCATGTCAAATGGTGAAAGGAACAACCCGAGATACAATAATGTGGGCAATTACGAGAGCTATAAGAGAACAGAACTTTGGAAGATGATCTACGCAAAGATGGCCTAAATTGTCCGCAAAGACCTTAGGCTCGGTTAGGATATGATGAAAAGGGATGACACAATTCATGCATTGGAAATGATACTTTCATTGGATTATTCTCCGGCCTTTGCTCGACCTCTTGCTGATTAACAGACGAGATTTGACTAAAATTGATTCGTATCCGGGGGATATGATTTGCACAATGATAGAACAAAAAATCAATATATTTTATGCAAAGATTTAGACATTATAGAGAGCTATACATATCATAAGAAACACAATCATGGAAATTATGACTATAAGAATCAGGAACAGGAAATCAGTCAAGAACCCTTGATTGAGAAATCTCAATCAGGAGCACTTGGCCGTCTTTGTCGCAGTCACAGTATGAGTCGACGTCGTGCTGACAACCTTGGTGGTTGTAGAAGTAGCACGCTCTGTGATAGTGACTGAGGGACTGTTCGTCACTGTGGATGTCTTGATCACGGTGCTTGTAGTGGCGGGAAGAGTGGTGGTGCTCTTGATGGTTGTCGTCTTAGTGGTGGTCTTGGTAGAGGCAGGGAGCGAAAGCGTGCTCTTCACTGTTGTCGTCTTGACACTCGTAGTTGTCGCAGTTTCACCAGGCGCGGTCACTGTCGAGGTTTTTTCCACTGCACTTGTAACGGTGCTGGTGACGGTGGATGCCTTCAGAGTGGTGGTCTTACCCACCGAAGTCGTCTCGACCGTGGTAATGATCGAGGTCACGGCTGGGATTGTGGTACTTGAAATTTTAGTAGCCAGGGATGTGACAGTTGCCGTAACAGTAGAGGCATCGACCGATGTGGTCTTTGTGGTGACTGAAGTAATGTAGTCAGTGATGACTGGCAATGTTGTGGTTGCAGTCTTTGTGACGACATCGACATCCGTGACATAGACAGTCACTACATCAGTGACATCCCGCGGGAGAAGATCACGCTTCATCTTCTTTGTGGCAGCATCACAGCTCACTGTTGTTGTCACAGTCTTGGTGGTTGTCTTGGTGGAAGTGGAAGTAACAGTTGAGGTTGTTGCCTTCGTACTGATGGTCGTTGTGCCTCCAGTGCCGACGGTCACATATATGGTAGAAGTTGTTTTCCCAGCCTCGGCGCTTGTGGTCTTCACACTAGTGATCGTCGCGGTATCTGTGACGGTCTTAGTGGAAGCCTCAGCAGTAATTGTCGAGGTTGTGGTCAGCGTGCTCTTCACAGTTGTCGTAGTGGCCTTTCCAGTGACAGTCACAGTATCCGTGGTTGTGGATTTATCAGTCGTGGTAACTGTCTTTGCATCGGGTGTAACTGTTGAGCCCACGTCAACTGTCACAACCGAGGTCTTTGTGGATGTTGTCGTCGGCTTGGTCACAGTCTCCGTGGTAGTGATAGTTGACTTTGCTGTTGTGGTCTTGGAAACAACATCAGGTGTAATCGTCAGGGTGACGGTGGACTTGACGGTCGAAGTCTTGTCAGTTGGTGTGACTGTGGACAGAATGTTTGAAGTGGTGGTCGCCACAATATCGATTGTACTAGTAACAGTCTCCGTGGTAGTGATAGTTGACTTTGCTGTTGTGGTCTTGGAAACAACATCAGGTGTAATCGTCAGGGTGACGGTGGACTTGACGGTCGAAGTCTTGTCAGTTGGTGTGACTGTGGACAGAATGTTTGAAGTGGTGGTCGCCACAATATCGATTGTACTAGTAACAGTCTCCGTGGAAACAGAGCTTGACACAGAGGAACTGGCTGTGGAGGTGGCAGTAGCAGTAGCCGACGTGGCAGTCGATGCGGTACCTGCAACGAAAGGTTCACCATCAACGTGCGTCAGATCAATCCAAGATGTTGTGGCGAAAAAGCTATCCAGTTCAAACTGAACGACACCGGTATCATTAAGCTGTGTGGCAAACGAAGCACGGCCCGAAGTGCTCGAACCCGGACCAATGTTACCATATTCTGCAAAGGTGACACCATCGGTTTGTGGGCTGGAAGAAGACCATTCCTCCCAGCCGGCAGACTCAACACAGGAGTCAAGGTAAGAGTCGATATAAGCAACTCGAGCGTATGAATTCCAAGGCCGTCCAAGAGAGATCTTGGACATAGTTCCTGCACCAGTCGAGGGTATGATGGTGCATTGATCGAAGACAAAGCCTCCAGCGGTTGTATCCGTAGCGCGCTTGTCAGCGGTGAGGTTGATATCGTCCTCATTTGGCGAGATTGTTGTGTTCAAGAAATAACCAGCTCCACTTCCCCAAATCATATCGATATTTCCCTCCACATATCCATTCGACATCCACAAGTAGCCATTGATCAACAGGGCATCCTGGTTACCTGTAACTTGGCAGCCTATTACTAATGTCAGGATTGCCTCAGGATGAATAGAAACATGTATCATGTGACTTACCATAGAGACTGGCATACTTGCTTGACTTCACAGCAAAGCCCAGAGATGCGACATCCTTTTCCGTGCCATTATTGTTGACGAAGTTGATGTTGATGGCCTATAAATCATGTCAACATTACTAGTGTCATAAGAAGGAAATCAATCTAGCGGAACACACCTCAAAGTAGTTTCCAGTAGCGTAAACCGTTGCACTGTCCGAGTTGGACTCATCTGCTTGAGTGTCGACACCCTTATTGTACTGAATGGTGACCTGATTGCTTGAGTAATCGTAAGTGGATTCCGAATAGCCAACCAAAACCACAGTTCCAGACTTGCTGATGACAAGCTGTTCCTCATAAGTTCCAGGGTAAATGAAAATGGTGGGGGTGATCTTGGATGAAGTCGGAATGGCATTAAGGGCGCTCTGAATGGTATCGTATGTAGTTGTATTGTTTCCAAGGCTGGTCTTTGAGACAATGTAGGCTCCACTGGGTGGTGTTGTCCCATCGTATGCCGCAGTCGCAGTCGCAGTAGCAGAGGATGTGGCAGTGGCAGTAGTTGTCGATGCCCCCGAGACGGAGGTGGGGGTATCGATAGAGTCCCAGTATGTCATATCAATCCAGTCTGTGGAATCCATCACACTTTCCAGAGAGTAACTGTCCTCTGTGAGAAGAGTGGCATAACCGAAAGCCTCACGGGCAGCCTCGTTGTTTTCCCAATTTCCAGGGCCCGAGTTGTTGAACTCAGCGAATGTAACATAATCGGTACGAGGGTCTGTAGTCGACCAAACCTTCCATCCAGAGGGATTGATAACATCAGTCATATAGGAGTTCTTGATCACGACAAGAGCATACTTGGAGTAAGGGCGACCAAGATACACAGTCTCCGTCAGATCAACAGTAGCATCGGCTGCGGCAGTGAACAAAGTCTGGTCAAAGATGTATCCTCCGATCGCACTGGATGAGGCTCTGCTCTGTGCTGTGATTGCCGACTTGGCCCGTTTGGCTCCGATTGTGCAGCCCTTGAAGTAGGCCTTGGAATAACCCCAAATGAAGTCAATTGCACCCTCAATGTACGAAGATTCGTAATACTGGTAGCCAGTGGTGCTTCCAGTGAGGAGAGTATCTTGCCAACCCTGGAAGTAGACGGCTTTTGGATAATGAATTATTAGCAAAGCCCAACAGAAGATAATCACTCAGACACTTACCGTAGAATGCGATGTGGTTTCCATAAATTGAGGCAGCCAGAGTCACGTAAGATGATTCCGAACCATCAAGATTGTCCGAATTGATGATGTTCACATTGTAGAATGCGATTTTGGTCGAAGCAGTAGCGACAGTTGCGGTTTCGGCATCAGAGTGACCAGTTGGCAAAGGAGAGACGGAAAGACCACGAGAGAAGGTGATGGTAACCTCGTTATCAGCATAGCTCTGACCAGGATTTCCAGTGGTATATCCGATTATCATAACAGGGCCGTCTCTGTCAATGGAAGGGACTTGCTCGTCGTAAGTTCCAGCATACATGAAGATCACTTGAGTCGTGGTATCGTCGGGAAGCGACGCTAGAGCATCAGTCAAGTTGCTATAGGAGCCATCAATGGTTCCACCAACACTGACTAGGATAGCACCAGTGGGAGGAGTGGTACCGCTCGTGGGGTGAGTCCAGGTAGCGACTGCTGTAGAGGTGGAAGTTGAGGTCGACGTAGTACTAGATGCAGTGGACGTAGCCGTAGCACTGGCCCCTCCAGTCAGATCATAGGATGGGACGTAGCTATAAGCATCCATATCGAGCCAAGAGGTATCACCAATCCAGTTGGACAATGTGTAAGCCTCAGCCTCGGTCTCAGTCAAGTTTGTGGCAAAAGATGCACGGCTACTAGACCAGCTGCTCGGACCAGTGTTGTTGTATTCTCCGAAAGTCACATAGTCGGTTTGAGGTGAGCTTGTTGACCAAATGTGCCAGCCAGCAGGGTTGATATGCTTGTCCAGGTAAGAGTTCATGTAAACAACGATACTGTATTCGGAATAAGGTCTTCCGAGCCAGGTGTCCTGATAGGTAGTTCCGTAGGTAGACGTATAGGTAACAACACAGTTATCGAACACGTAACCGCCAGTAGCAGTAGCTGAAGAACGACTCATAGCAGCGATACTTGCGCCCGCGGTATTAGCGGCGATGACGGACTGATAAAAGAATGCGGTCGAGAATCCCCAAATATAGTCGATGGAGCCTTCAACGTAACAGTTCGAGAACACTTGAGTGCCTTTATTGGCAAGAAGAGTATCCTGGTATCCAATAAAAGAGCAGCCGTATGCCTGAACTGTGCCGTAGAAATCAGCAGCGAGAGCAGCCGTGTTGGAGGTTTGAGGATACGTGTTCCTGAAATTGATATTGTAGATAGCCAATCCCTTGCCATCACTGTTCTTGGCGTTGATGACTGGAGTGGTCTCATCTTCACCAGCGCTGGTCAGTACTCCATTTGAATACTCAATAGTGACGGTGTTTTGGGTATAGTCGTTCACAAATGTAGTTTCACCACGGAGAATGGTCTTTCCAGTGCGAGTGATAGAAATCTGCTCTGTGTATGTGCCGCTCTTGACGTAAATTGTGTACTCTTTTCCGTCACTCGGAAGGGCCGCAATAGCAGCGGTGATGTTCTTATAAGGGCCCGAGGTTGCATCCACCACATATGTGGATGTGGCGTCAGCGGCGGACGTGGTGGTAGCGGAAGATGTTCCGGTGGTTGCAGAAGCCGAAGCTGTGGCGGAGGTGGCAGCTGAAGCAATTGAAGTTGTCGTGACCACATCTGCGCTCTCGATGGCGGCCAAGACGGAAGAGTCAACCCAGGTGGTATCCGAGGAAGCATAGGTCGGGTAGGCGGCAGCAAAGACAGCAGCGACGCTGTATTTCGACAACTCAGATGCATCCAAGAGAGAGACATATTTTGATCGAGTGGCAACATTGCTTGAATAGGCTCCTGCCCCAGTGTCGGAGTACTCTGCGAAAAGGTTTTCACCATCTTGGGTAGTGGTGTCAACATGAACACCAGAGGCAGCAAACAAACTACCCAACACGGAGTTTCGGTAAACAACAACGGTTCCAGCGCCATTTGCAGAGGCTAAAAAGACGTTGCTGTTGGATGCCCCCGACTTCTGGGCCACTGTGACATGGTCGAAGACAACCGTCGAGTTATAGAGTATCGATGAAGTGGAGGTAGTGCCCTTCATGTAGGCCACAATTGCAGAACTGTCAACAGGAACGATCTCGGTGTTGTAGACATAAATACTCGCGGCTCCGTAGATGATCTTGTCAAGGGCCTCGATGTAAGAGTCGGCAATAACACCGAGGCCAACACTTGCAGTAATTCCCAGCGTTCCTGTCGAAACAATTTGGCAATCATAGAAAGCATATTTGTTTCCTTTCAGAACCATCGCACCATAGGATGCGCCAGTATTCGAAAAATTGATGTTCTTGAAGACCACTTGCTGGACATTGTTATTCACAGTCAAGACAGTACCGGCGTTGGTTATGGTAACCTCGTTCTGGGAGTAGTCGTCTTCATTGCTGCTTTGACCGATGACAGTAATTGTCGGGGTTGCTGAGATGGTAACTGCCTGGGTATAGGTGCCTGCAGAGACGGTTACTGTTGGAATTCCATGGCTCTGGGCGTACACAATTGCGTCGCCAATAGCCGTGAATTGGGCACTGCCATCGATTGCAACAGCAACAACGGTTGTGGAAGCTGCCTCCGAATTAGTTGATAAAACTCCAATACTTCTGTCAAGATTGATTGAAACCCACTGGGAGAAGTTGAGGTAGAGGTAGAACTTGACGTGGAAGTGGACGTAGCCGTGGTTGTCGGAACGCCGGTGCTGGTTGCAGCAGCTAGACCGGCAAGTCCCAAGAGAGACAGAAGACGCATCTTGACAAGCCTATAAAGGCAAGCAGAACGGATAGGTGTTACACCTGGATGAACAATCACACGACTCTAGTGCCAGCTGCAAAGGCTCAGAGGCGGTCTATGAAGGAATCAAAGTTCCATTAAATCGCACTAGGGGACGTGGATTATATATGACTACTCGGTCTACTAGACATGGAAAGAGAAAAACAAGTTCTAACAATGTACTTGTGTGGCGTTACGAGCAATCTTGCTACTTCCACCACTGGCAATCTACATGTCTCAGGCATGAATAACCGAGGTGTTCATAGAAATTTTGGCAATAATAAGCTTAGTCTGGTTTGTACCACAGATCCATAGCTCCTGGGCAGTTCCAGGCCCAGCAGTATCAGTATACATAAACCAGCCTTGGTGTACAGAAGACTGCCAGTGGGAATTGTGGCAACGGTCTTGTCCGGCCCGATCAAAAGTCGGACTCGAGCCGGATTCCGTATGAAAAGCCCCACTGGACCAGTTCCTCAATGGTTCAGCTCGACGGTGTCTAGTCACAGTACTGTGCGCCACGTGGTGTTCCTCCAATCCAAATTGACATGTGGCTTGGTCACTAAGAAGAAACCCGCGCCAATCAATGACCCCTTCGTCCAGACGTATAACGGGGAAATCAAGTCCAAAGCTTAAATAACGCTAAACTTTAGCCTCGAAAGCGTCGTTTCACTGACAGGGGCATCGGAAAATTTGCTGACACGTCATAATTTGCAGTGCAATTGTATCTCGTATATAGTCCCAGGATCTTGGAATTCCAATCCTGACGCCAGGGAGCCCAACCCGCGACTAAAAAGCCGATCAACAACCTCGGACTCGACACGAGTGTGTCCGGTGGGGAATGTGTCCACAGGCGCGTTTAGACCCGACCACAAATGGTCAATTTGTGGCGCAGCCGACATAATCTAGTGTAGAACCTGGGAGATAAGATGCAAAGCGCTAGGAAAAAATTTGTCCCGTCTTGCCATTGTCTGGCACTTTTAGCGCTTTGCCAAGCCCATCCTGTGGATTGGATTTTCCACCAAGGGATTTCCATGGAACCTACCGGCAAGCGATACAGATCGATCGAACGTGTATAAGGAGGAAACGAGAGCTTCAGAATGGACAAAATACCCGATCGGCCGTAGCTAAGGCACGTCTACTGTGGCCATGAAGCATCACGTGTGGAATGCGGTATGTGATACCCACCACTTTGTAATTTACATGTTCTTGGCCAATCGCAGACTGAGAATGCATGCAGCACATTAAAACCAAATTACCGTGCATTCGTTGCGCGATTGCAATTGAAAAGTGGCCAGGGACTGTATTTGGTACCTAGGATTATGACTGAGGGAAACAACATGGAAAAACAGCGCGCAGTAACTTGGGTCGGCAGTATTTCCCATGCCCTAATGAAACAAGTTCGGCAGAGGGAAACAAGACAGCATTCGAATATCTTGATATTATTCTTCAGGAGTTCAGGGTCCAATCAGACCTTCCAGGGGGAAATGGGTCCACATGGTGGACTGATAGAAATTCTTCTCTGGAAAAATCTGGAACCTGATGTAGTCTGTCGACCGTGGATCCACAAATCAGATTACTCCGAAGTAATCGCGAGGCAAAACCGTTCCCATCTTCTCCATCGCGCTTTTTCGGGAACTGCCCGAGAGGGTAAGATCTTCTCGTATAAAATCATAATTTGCAGTAGCTTGCTGTTATCAAAGCGATGAACCACAAATCCTAGACCACGAGGCTTGCCATCTCTGTACCTCCCAAGGGGTATGGCGGCCTTCGGAGCTCCCCTATATGATTCCAAATTGTTGTCACGGGAACATACTTAGGAGTCTATGCGGCATGCATGCTCATGTCCGTCCATGCGAGAAGAGCCAAGGCATGTAGATTATAAGGATCCAGTGTCCCAATAATGCATAGCGATACCCCGCTAAGGCCATTGTTTGGTTCAAGGGCGTTTCAAGTTTTTTTATTTTTTTTTGGTGGCTCTGATGAGTTTAGTCAGTTCTTTATTGAGTCAGGAGAGAGGTGTGCGCTTTGAATCTTGGTGTCCGCAATAATGGTGGTTCCCAGTGTTTCTATTTCCAAATGGCGTCAAGACCAGCTGAAAACATATAGAACCCATCAGCCGGCCCACTTTGGATTGGAGACTGCAGCCCAATTTACTTTCGATTTATGATTTATATTTTCGTAAACTCCCATGAACTCCAGTAAGATAGATCAAAACCACACTTTGTCGGCAACTCCGATGGGGAAGTAGACCCAACTAGCCTCTAGAAAATTTGTGCAATTAACTAGTAAGCCCTCTAACTCAAATGTGACGGGACCTTGGGAGTCAACTCCTTTGATATCGGCCAAAAGAGCCGCAAAGTCCCATGCGGACTTGACGAGAATTCCAGGTGAGTCAAATGTGGTCGATGTCGGCAAAATGCCGTTTCGGGACAAAGCGCCGGTAAACACCTTTGGACCCTAAAGCAGAATGGTCGATGCAGACCAGCTGATTGATCCCCGTGTCTCTACACCCAGTGATAGTGGGGCAAAGCCCGCGGCTACATCTGTTGCAGATCCGGCCGACTGAGCTATCAGCTGAGTTTAGTCTAAAGTATTCGGACACCGACTTTTAGATTGTATGTTGAAAGGGGTTACGAAAAGTAGCATTTTAGAATGCAAATGCCCCCATCAAGAGCCATATTGCCCGTTCAGAGCATGCTCACAATATTCTTCTTTTGGGAGACTGTGTAACTCACATTCACAATCAGTGGCGCACCTTGCAATATGAATGCGGACAAATTCATTCTGTCGCTCCAGATTGCGCTCATTTGCGACGCTGGCAATCTTTTGTGGGGGTGCCTACTCCCGCTCGTATGAAGGCCAAGGCGAGATCGATCATCGAGCTCGATACACCTAAGATATTCTTTGGTGATTTAGGAAAAAGGTGATGGTGCTATATCGGGGACGATCGGCGATACCTTGCACACTTAGTGTTAAGAGATATAAGGAGACTGGAATGTACAAAGAAAAATGGTAATCACGGCTCAGCCCCGTAATCAACAAAGCGAAAACCAAGGCCCCTAAGGGTCAAGGATCATAATGTCCTCAATGCCATTCAATTGCAGCCGCTGCGGTTAAGCAAGGGAAAGGCATGTGGCCAGGTTGATGTTGAACATTTTGTGGGCGCGAAACAAAAAAGTCAATCACCTCTGAGATGTTCGGGTGAAACGAACAAAGCACCCAAAGCTTTCCACAGACTTTCTCGACATTGCTGATTTGGACGTCTACGCCTGGCATGTATTTCAATAATCTAGGACGCATTACTTCCAAGGTTATCCACAAATAGACCACCCAGATAGAATAATAACTAAAAAATAACGTGGGACCTTGAGAAATTCGTACTCGATGGAAATATCTTATCAATCAAATGTGGATGAATTGCCCTCTAAAGACATATATTGTCCATCCTCCTTATGCATCTAATATCGGTATCTGAAACCTGGAGTCTTCCAGTCCGTGATATCCTCATAATCATCAGATACTAGCCGGACCTGAGTCACCATGTCGCCCACATTTTGGGGATTATTGTCCCCGTCCAGCAACTTCCCGCCCCCAACGGCGCCCGCATTTCCAGCGCTTCCTTGGAATCCTTCCAAGCGCACACGTTTGTCATTCATCCATTTTAGGTAGAATCGCAGACATAATGCTAGCACGATGGTGAGGGCGTAGCAAATCATGATAGTGCGAAACGCGGTCCCATATGTGGGTGCCTCGCTAGTGAGGAAGAACTGAGGGCCCGAAATATTTCCAGCGCAGTATGCCATAAAAAGCAGGGCCGTCACTGTCATCTTCTTGGTAACACCGCGGTAATTGGCCTGCACGAGCGATAGGGCGAGAGGCATTGCTGCGGACCCAGTGGAAAGCAAGAAGTAACCGAAGAGTTGGACGCCCAGAACAACATGAGCGCGGGAGTAGATGATTGCACTGCCGATCACGCAGGGGATAACGACGGCAATGATTAGTAGGCAGTTGAGTTGGCGAAACCGACCTGCAAGCCAGCCCGTACCCATAATGGTCGCAACTGTAATGAGCGAGTATGGGATGTTAATCAGTGTAGACTGAAGGCTCGTAAAGCCGAAAGACACAATGACAAGGTTGGAAAAGTTCTGGGTGCCTCCATTTGGTATCTGAGTCAATAGCTCCAGGCCAAAGATAAGCCACGTTTTCGGATCCACGAGACATTCGACAACCTGATCCCACTTCCAGACAGTCTCTTCTGTGGTGCCTGTTCCTGCAACAAGTACTCTGTTGGTCGCAAGCTTACGCTCTTCTTCGGAAAGGAATTTGGCTTTTGAAATTGAGTCTGGGAGCAGGAACCACACCATGAAGCCCCATAGGAATGTTAACAGGCCCAGAACAATGAACATCCATCTCCATGGACCCACGCTATCGTTGATATGCCCCAGTCCGTAAGCGAGAAGACTCGCAACTATACCACCCATGCTCTGAACGGTTCAAGTCAGTATATCTAGGTTAACAATAGGTGTGATGAGTACATACATTTCCAGCAAACCATATGCCTGTTCTGGTAGGGATTTCATCACGAGTGTACCATGTGGATGTAATAAACATGAAGGCAGGTGTGGTTGTCGCTTCGGCAATGCCCAGCAAAAAGCGGACTGTGATGAGGCCCCCGAAGTTGCTGCATGCCGCAGTGAGAGCCACCACTGCTCCCCAAAGAAGCGTATTGGCTGTCAAATATTTACCAATTGGCAGGCGGGCAATCAAGAAAGTCGTGGGATATGACCACCCTAAATAACCAAAGTAGAAAACGGAGGAAACCCAGCTATATTGCTGGCCAACTAATCCCTACAAAGGTCAGTATGAATGTTCATGTTTGATCTCTAAGCGACCTACCGTATCATCCTTGAGTCCAAATACGGACGCGCTGGATAGGATCGTCTTATCCATAAAGTTCAACATATAGGTAATGAACATGAGGGGAACCAATCGTTTGTCGATCTTCCGCAAAACGTGTTTTGCGGTGTTGTCCATCGCCTGTTCCACAGCGGGACTTGTGCTTGATTCCGCCATGGCTGCCTTTAGAAATTGGCTATCTAATAGCCAGGCTTGTATGTATTTCGCTTGAATGAAATCAAAACAGAGGCATCCCTTGCTTCTTATTCACGTGTGGACCTTCCTATTCTTATCTTGTCTTGCACTCCCATTGGCTCCAGCCCCGCACCACTCAAGTGTTATCGGCGAATATGGAAATTTCCCATGCTGATCCTTGAACAAAGTCCGCTGCGCTGAGGGTCTAGTCTTAGATAGCTTCTAAAAACATATACAATATGTTCATATAAGCTAACCTCAGGTTAGGAATTGTTTCCGGTGTCGGAAATTTCCGACGCTTGTACCCCAAGACGGATCCCTCCAAGCAACTAGAAGTTGTTTACTGTCCGGAGCCGAGATTTGAAGTTGACTTACTTATTTATCGTTCCATTCCATCATCCACGTTCACCCAGTCTCATTCAAATCGATAAATCACGCTAGTCCAGCATGAATGGTCTTTCTATCAGTCCCTTTATCGCGAATCTCCCCAAGGTTGAGCTTCACATTCATATCGAAGGCACTCTTACCCCCTCACTACGCTGGGAGTTAGCACACCGTAACGGAATTGCTCTTCAATATGCCACGCTGGAAGACCTCAAGGCATCATACGCTATTACATTGAATCATCGCCCCGAACTCAATGGGCGAAAACCTGGGATACCAACATTTCTGGAAGCCTACTTTGCCGGATGCGAAGTTCTGCGCACCGAAAACGACTTTTACGACCTCGCCATGGCATATCTTTCTCGTTGCGCGAGTATGAACGTGCTATATACGGAGCCATTCTTCGATATCCAGGCGCATACTCGTCGCGGAGTTCCAGCCGCCGCGGTCCTCGATGGATATTTGAGGGCACAACAGGATGCCGCGACGAACCTTGGTGTTCATTCACAATGGATCATGTGCTTCTTGCGCGACGAGCCTGTGGAGGAGGGGTTGAAAGCCTATGCTGAAGCGAGGCCCTGGGCAGCGGGGAATGTCAAGCGTGGCAAGAGGCTATTCCACGCCGTTGGATTAGCCAGCAATGCTTATGAGAGGCCACCAATGCTTTTTGAAGGGGGCTTCGCTCTCGCTCGTGCAGATGGCCTGCATGTCACCATGCACTGTGATTTTGGACAAAAGGACACACATGCCCATATAGCCGAGGCAATATTTCAGGTATGCGATGGCAATGGAGCAGAGAGGATCGATCATGGGCTTGATGCCGAAGATGATGAGCAACTGTGGAGAGGCCTTCTGGATAGAAACATTGGCTTAACTCTGTGTCCACATGCATACCACCGCAGAACCGCAACCGAGGTATTATTCCCCAAAATTCGAAGGTTGTGGGAGAGAGGAGTAAAGTTTTGCATAAATAGCGATGATCCTACACTCATGCATGACGTTTGGGTCGATGGAAACATGCAGAAAGTGTATACTTATGGCGGATTCAGTCAGAGTGAGATGATCCAATTGGCGAGGAACGCAGTGGATATGTGTTGGGCGGAGGACAATATCAAGCAGGCCATATATGAAAAGCTAGATAGCCTATCTTTATAGCTCCAACTCGAGGGGATCTAGAGCCGTGCGTCGACATGTAGCAATAAATTCCATGGGGCCACATCATTACTTGCTGCGGAAAACATGCCCTTTGAGAAGAACGCAAGACGAGCAATCCGTAAGATCGATCATTTAACTGATTACCAGGAAGAGAATGAGAATGCCATAAAAAGTCAAAATCTACGACTCCGTCGCCAGCACAAGGCCCCAGTTCTCTTGGAACCCAACACCCCATATCCACTTCCTCTCAATCGGACGGTCGATAGTACTGTCATACGCTAACTGAGCAATTTTCAACCAGGTCTCTCCTTGAATGGGAAAGCTACCCTCTTCGTCACCGTTATAAGGCCTCGAAATATCCTCGCCATGCTTCAATCCCCGCACAAACTTAGCCAAATGTCCGTCATCATGTACAGCTGTCACAGCGGTATAAAGTGCCGCCCAGTTCATCCCAGCACTAGGACCGGGTTGATATTCCATCGCATCTTGAAGACGCAGTTCAACTGCACCACTAGCGGCGTACCAGACCAAATCCGTGCGAACCTTCCATTCCACTAAACGAGCCTTCACAGCAAGAGGAATCCAGGATTGCTCCCGCACCATAACAGACACGGCCAACGCCGCAGTGATCATGTGCAAATGGAAAAAGTCGACCTTGGGAGGTTTTCCCGGTTGCTGTGCAGCACCCGCTACATACGCCGCAACATTGAAAGACTCCGCAAGCCGCCGCTGAACAGTTTCAGAATCAAGCTGGTCAACCCTGAATTGCGCTGCCAATGCGGCCAGCTCCTCGCCCGTTCGTCCTAAGACACCCTCACGCACTCTCGCAGGTCCGTCATCGAATCCCAGTGATGCATCGCGAAGTGCCTTTGTTGTCCATATATCCTGGAATAGCTCTATCAGTGGTCGTGGACCTATACCTGTCCCAATGGTCCTTCGCACATGCTCCTCAACCCGCTTGAAGTATGTTTCAAACCCCATTGAATCATGCGATGCTGCCTGGGCAAGCGCCTCAGCCACAATACCCGGTTGCTCAAACTCGATGCCCAGCGCAAGATGAATCAGAGGGTGATATAGGCCTTCGAAAAGCTGTGCGAACATCGTCTCTCCGATTTCATGGTCACTAAAACAGTATTCCTGAATAATGAATCGGTACCCGTGCGCTTCGATCTGCTTGCTGAAGAAGGCGAGGAAATCCACATAGTGATCTAGCTGCCCTATATGGGCACGAAATACCTCTGCATTGCTGAGTTGTTCAATGATTTCGGGATTGGCGGCAGGGAGTGGTTGCTGGATCTCGACTCCGTCATCGAAGGCGCGCTGAAGTTCCGTTGGCCCACCGCCTAGGGCGAGAGTCGTCAGTACAGAATGTGCGACATGGTTGTGCCCTGCTACCGCACGCCAGAAGATGTGGTTTTCGTCGTGATTTCTTTGGAGCAGCTGGTTGGCTGTTTCAGCTGAACCCGGGGGATTTTTATTCACTTGTGCGATCGTGCCCGGGTGATTGGCTGAGATAAAGATTCGTGAGGAAGTTGCCATATTCTTGGGTCTCTTTTCTTGAGCTCAAATACGTATGGTTCTCGTGAATTGGTGATGTATTAAGGAGGTCAAGGGCTCGGGGCTCTATTTAGTCTTATAGCACGGCAAGTTGACCCACGTCGGAGTTTTGCCTGGATAGGTCGAGCAGTCGTCGGGGTATTAGGATTGAAGCCCATTCGGCCAATGATTAGAGTAATGCGGATTATAGCGGACCCAATGCCAGTACATGTGTGCTCTAGCCGACAGCCATGATAATCCAAATTTCCACTATAATAGATCGATTTCGTGATGAGATCGGAAAGTTTCTAAAGTGAATCTAAAATACCGTAAACACATGTACAATTCAAACATAGAAAGTAAATTAGATGCCCGAGTCCTCCTGAATTGAATGATCGGGAATGTTCTTCGACTGATACCAATCAGACCACGACTCGCATCGATCCGAGAGTTCTCCCAAGACATCTGCTTTCTCCGCCAAACCCCCGATCTTCGAACGTTGCTCAATAAACTGCAATCCCATGCCCTCCGAGGAATGAAATTGCAGATGGCAATGCATCAACCACGCACCAGGGTTATCGATCTGGAAAGCAATCCAAGCCCACCCATTAATATCGACATTAATAACGTCCCGACGCGGTGGGTTGACGACATTGGGCTTCACATCATCAGTGAACTCGCCATGCCCTTGGGCCAAGATAGCAAAGTCATGCCCATGTAAGTGGATTGGGTGTACCGAGGGCGTTAGATTGCGTGGTGTGACGACATCTTCGACGGAGTAGTTGGCCGTGATAACGAAATACACCCATTCACCGGTGTCAAAGTCCAGCTCGATGGGAACGGTCTGTGCTGGAAATAATGTGTTGACTGTGCTGTCTTCGCCCGCGGTCAATTTTATAATGCTGGGAACTTCCCAATCAATATATAGCGGGGTTGTTTTGATCGTCCATAGGTGTACGCGTGGGTCAGGAATCCAGGGCGATGGTAGCTTATTGACTTCTCCGACAGTAAGGTAGTCCTTGATTTCCATGGTATTTGCCTTAGGACCGACGCTCTTGGCTACGACTGGGACGAGGTTGCTGGGAAGAATATCGGCGCACTCGTAGTCATTTGTAGGTGCTGGTGTAAAGGGATCTGCGGTATTGTTTGCGTCATAGCGGATAATGCCGACTTTTGTATTGTCAATGACACCAGCTTCAGCACAATACTCTGCGTGGATCCAAAAATTGGATCCATTGGTAAATTCGGCGTTCGCTTCGATGACTATGTCATAGCGTTGGCCCATGCCAATATTTAACTTGCTGGTTGTATAGGGCTCGATCGGAACGAAGTCAGAGGCGATGACTGTGAAATTGTGTCCGTCGATCCAGAACGTATAGGTTAGCAGCGTGGCTGTGTTGATAAGTCCGAACTTATAGATTGTGCCGGTCTTGAAGGTCTGCTCGAAGTAATCTTGTTTCCCCGTACAACGACTGTCTCCACCAGAATCACACTCGTATACTCCCTTGCCATTTAGCAGCGTTGACTTGGGAAAAGGTGCCAATTGACCAGCCAGCGAGATCCAGTTCAGAGTGAAGGCATCATCGTGATACCAGTCTGTCAAGGTCCATGGACCCAAGTCGACATCCCAGTTTGCACTTGTTGGACCACGGATATGAATCGGTCCTGTGATACTGTTACTTTATGAACATGAGGGTTTCATAGATATTAAATACTACCATGCAAGCCATTTGAATCTATCGGAATCTGTCAGTAGAGTGCAAGGTAAGGACTTTCTGATTGACCTACACTGCAAACTAAAGTGGGAGTGATACCACGATGTTCCATATTGGGTCGGCTTGAATTCATAGACCTGAGCTTCACCAGGCTAGGGAATTATCAACACAGGCGGTTCGCTAGGAATTAAAGAGCCTTACTCGAATCGGGCATTGTGTGACACCAGGAACGCCATCGAGCCAGTTGGTCTCAAATAACCGGAGACCATGCCAATGTACGGCAGTTCCATTGTCATTATTGGTCAGATTATTCCGGACGGTGATCCCTAAATGAGACCGGGTCATTAGTGTGGGATTTGAAAGGAGAAACGACCGTGCCTTACGAAGTGTGTCGCCCCAATCTGCGTCAATCGTGGGACCCGGGTATTGACCTAGATATTGATCAATTTGGTTGTTATGAGTTTCTTACGTGTGGTTCACGCACCATTGAATACCGTTCCGAGTCTCTCATACCCATCGGGTGTGATGATCTGCTGTGTCACAACGAGGTCGTACTATATGAAACCATTATGATCCTAGTGACTAGTGTTTCAATAGGGTCCAAACATACCTCCACTAGCTTTCCCGTTGGAACATTTGTTGGGTCGGTATAGTCCGTATCGATGTCAAACCCATCTCGCCAACAGTTTCGACTCTCTGGTGCATTTACACAGTCCTCTGCCGCCACGAGACACGAGAACGCAATGACCAGCCAGTTTTTAAGCAACATCTTTCAATGAAAATTGAAATCTGCATTTTGAAGAGTGGAAGATCTATTCTTATTTAATGACGATCTCGGAAATCAAGCTTCGGGCCATCTACGCCGACAGGGGCACGCCACACACTTCGCCCCCACACTATGACCCCGAGGGCTGTAGTCTTAGTTCTTACATCGGGGATTATAAAAACCCTACACGCGGGGCCTTGTCTTCTTTACGGTGTTGTCCAATCGAGCTATAAGTTGTTTGGTCATCAGATTATAACACAAGGCAAGCTGTCATCATTCGGGCTATCCACGGCTACGCCGTCCCGAATAATGTCTTCAATCCACCCAATAGTCATCCTACCGTCCAAAATATTAGCAGTATAACATGTAGTCATTGCATAGAGGAACTCACGAGCTCCTCTTGGTATCAGCAAAGTTCTCATGATCTCCAAATAATTTCTCCTTATACCATGGATCTTGTTTCATGCGTTTGTAGTCTTCAATGCTCTCAAACACAACTTGACTAAAGCAGTCGTAGTCGGCCAAATTGACCATCTGCGAATCAAAAAGCTGACCCATAAGCTCGCGCGTGGGTGTCTGATTGTGAATCATGGTCCACCGCTTGATCCCGTACTTGACCATCAGGTCTTTGGTCATGGGGGCCGAAATTTTGGTCATATGGTGCCGGTAGGCCTCTTCGCTCATACCAGGCTTGCGGTAGCCGCAAATAGTGAGGCAGAGGTATTTGCTAGGTGGGTTTGATAGACTGGCCATTTTATCTGAAAGGTTTCGAATCGAGATTTCAAAGTATATCCATATATGTCGATCGAATTGAGACGTAGAAATGCCGGGCACTGCAGGGTCATAAATATCCTTCGGTATCGGTCAATCATACGTAACACTTGATTACGGCGTGCCATGGCGATCAGGTATTCTAATATACTGATTGGTCAACTTGAACCGATCTGCCCCACTCCTCTGGGTAATCCCGATCGCTTTGTTCACTGTCTGTACGCCCTCCGGGAAAGATTGTAAATTTGCAGGTTAATTTGAAGTCAGACTGTTTTATTTAAATGAATCAAGCCTTAAGAACTTGTCTGTTCAAGATAATCAAGGGCTTACTACCAATACAAGGCGTGGGACTTGGTGGCTTTCGACTGACTGCTACTGCTGGTATTGATATTCAGGTATTCTAACCTTATTGCCAGATCAAAACCGGACTAATTATCCATGTAAGGTCGAAGCTTATTATCGATGGGACGCCTTATGGAGGGGTGGGGTTCCCCGACATCATCATCCATAATATGTGAGGCAAATAGTCGATACCTCTGTGTATCTCTCGCAGCTCCAACCGAATCATTGAATCTGGTTTATACGTTCCTCTCACCCGTGAAATACAAATCATGTCACAAATCCCTGGTCAAGTCGGCATCCAGGCCGCTGCCGTCATCGCTGGCTCATTTTTATCAGGTGAGTATAACAATTTAGGACCATAGTCTACATAAAAGAAGCAACCTTCGAGCTAACTTATGAAACAGGCGCAATGATGTCTATATCCATGATCACGGTCCCAGTCCTGCTAGACACCAGCACCCAATCTGACCAATTGCTGGACCAATTCATGTCTCTCTACAACTTAGGCCATAAGATCATGCCAACCCTCTCGGTCTGCACCTGTGCTCTGTACATGTTTGTGGCCGGCAAAAAACGAACCGCAGGGTTGCCATGGTCAATTTACGCTCTCGCAGCGGCAACGACCATTAGTATGGTGCCATTTACGACGATTGTCATGGTCCCAACCAATGACGCATTGTTTGCGTTGCATGCTTCGTCAGAAGCTGCTCTCGAGGAAGTACGAGGGCTAATTGTCCGATGGCAGTGGTTGCACGTAGCGCGCTCGCTTTTTCCATTGGCGGGGGCTGTAGTAGGATTGAATGGCCTGTGGGCCAATCTTCGTTGAGAGAAACTGTAGCGAGTTGTCTGGTGTCGGCCGATTGCGGTTTAACCATGTACTTTCGTCGGGCTTTCTTGCCCGAATTTGCAGGTTGTTTTCACTGAAGGATTCGTGTTCGGCACCTCGGGGTAGATCAGGTCATCCCAGGTCATTTGGTGAGCCGAGGATATCTGTTGATTACTTGGTCTCTGCTCCTTCAATGTTTGTTATGAATACAATCATCCAAATTGGATTATTTTTGCAGGCCCCTATTATTCTACAGTTCTGATTGATACAGAATGACACTAGACACCAACGATGAAGTCTTTGCGCAAGACGCTGCGTTCTGGCACAATTACAGTAAAGGTCGTCCACAACCCCCACCTAGTCTTTTCCAACGCATCTACGACTACCATAGGCAGAAAGGCGGGCACTTTGGAGTGGTTCATGACGTGGGTGCTGGAAATGGAGTCTATTCGCGCCTGTTGCGATCTCAGTTTCAACATGTCATCGTGTCGGATGTGGTCCCCGAGAACGTACAACAGGCCGAAGCGAGACTTGGCACGGACGGGTACACCTACCGCGAGGGAAAGATGGAGGAGATCAGAGATATCGCAGACGGGTCTGTGGATCTGGTCCTAGCCCTGAACGCCATCCACTGGACCGACCAGAAGGCAGCTGTGGAAACCATCGCGGACCAGCTGAAGCCCGGTGGTACGTTCGCCGCTGCAACGTTTGGGGCTGCGCGGTTCCGCGACGCTCGGGTCCAGGATGTATGGGAGCGTATCATGATAGAGGGTGGTCGACTTCTGCTGAAGACAGCCGAGAAACCTAGAGATATGATCAATGTCATGGCCCGCAGCCAGGATCGCTACAATGTGGCACCCCTAGATGAGCAGTATTTCCAGCCCGGAGTACAGCGCATCTTCCTGAACATGGAGGCCGGGGGGTTGACCGGCATTCTGCCACCCGAAAATCGGGTAGATGTGACGGATCCAGACTTCACCGGGCCAAATGATGTTTTGGCGGATGAACGAGACGAGGGGTGGTGGTTTGAGTTGAATCTGGATACCTTTCAGGAGCATTTTCGGTCATTTCCTCATGCTGCTCGGGATCCCGAGGTTTTTGCACCTCTTTGGAAGGAGGTGGAGGATTTGGTGCGGCAAGGAAGTCGGCTTGATGGATACTGGCCTGTTGCGGTGATTTTGGCGACGCGAAACAATGATTAGCCTATCTGCATGTCGGGGTATAGGATCGGCATAATGTAGTAGATCGCACTAAGAATGAATTCCCCCGACCCGACAATCGGGCTATTTAGAATCAGGGTTTCAGTTAATATCACCTGTTGTATCTTTTCTAGGGTAAATTCCTGACAATGATATTGGTCAATGAGAGGCAAATGAAATAGAATGGCCTACGCAGTTCTTGGAGCGACAGGAAACTGCGGTACGGCATTGATCCATCAGCTCCTTCAGTCGTCCGTCCCGATTCATGCCTATTGCCGAAATAGACCCAAACTATTAGACCTGATTCCCGAGCTCGCAGATAGCAAGCAGGTGCAGATCTTTGAGGGTAGCATTCACGATGTCACCCTTCTGACCGACTGCCTCCGTGGCACCCGGGCAGTCTTCCTCGTGGTTTCCACCAACGACAATGTCCCCGGCTGCCGCATGGGACAGGATACAGCCCTCGGGGTAATTAAAGCGCTGGAAGCCCTGCGTGCCGAGTCAAATGATGTCATCATCCCGAAGCTCGTGCTTCTTTCCTCCAACACGATCGACGATCAACTATCCCAACACACGCCGCCCTGGGTGCGGTGGATCTTGCTACGCTCGGCGTCGCATGTTTACCACGACCTTCGGGTGACTGAGGATCTCCTCCGTGCGCAACACGAATGGTTCTCGACCATCTTCATCAAACCTGGAGGGTTGTCAGTGGATGTTGCGCACGGGCATGCCCTGAGTTTGACGGAGGAGCGTAGCCCCCTGTCCTACGCCGACCTAGCTGCAGGGATGATCGAGGCCGTGGATGATCCCGACGGCAAGTGGGATATGCGGAATGTAGGGGTGCTGTCAGTCAATGGACCCGCCAAGTTTCCCCGAGGAGGGCCTATGTGCATTGCCATGGGTTTTATCAGGCACTATTTGCCTTTTCTGCATCCTTATTTGCCATCGACGGGACCAGCCTAGTTTTGGGCGATCACTGGTATGTTCCCATATGTTTTTCGCCATCTTGGCATGCTATTGGTCAATAAATAACCAATCCCTGCCATCGGTGACTCCAAAACCCGACTCTCCGTTACTACATTAGTAATGCTTTGTTATACTTTAATGCTCATGTTGCATCATATGTTGATTTCTACGGTGACCTTTTAAAGTAGGATGTATCTTCTTTTGAATTAATTCCAAGTTCACATATCCAATCCATTTCTTGACCAACCTTGGAATACTGAATATTAATCTTCTCACTACGTCTACAATGGCATCCAATATCCTTCCAATCAAACTCTGGGGAAAAGGTGGTCCCAACCCTCCCAGGGTAGCCATAATTCTTGAAGAGCTGGGCCTTCCTCATGAGTTTCAACCCATCACCCTCGCAGATGTCAAAACTCCGGAGTACCTTGCAGTCAACCCAAACGGTCGACTCCCCGCCATCTACGACCCAAACACTGACCTCACACTCTGGGAATCGGGGGCTATCGTCGAATATCTAGTGGAGCGCTACGATACTTCTCGCAAGATCAGCTTCGAGCCCGGCTCCAAGGAAGCCCAGCTCGCGAGACAGTGGCTTTTCTTTCAGGCTTCCGGTCAAGGTCCTTACTATGGCCAGGCGTGCTGGTTCAAGAAATTCCATCCTGAGCGGGTGCCCAGTGCGCTGGAGCGCTATGTGAAGGAGATCAATCGGGTTTCAGGCGTGGTGAATGATTTCTTGAGTAAGCAGGGGGCGGGCGAGGGCGGTCCGTGGTTGGTGGGGGGACGGGTTTCGTTTGCAGATTTGGCTTGGGCCAGTTGGCAGATCACGGTGACTAAATTCATTCAGGAGGAAGATGGTTATGATGTGAATAACTTTCCTTTCGTGAAGGATTGGTTGGACCGCATGATGAAACGGGAGACGGTGAGAAAGGTGATTGAAGAAGGTCGGAAGCTGTAACCCTTGGAAGCCTTGGGTTTGGCGTTGACCTATTTGTTATCTCTCCGTTTTGATGTTGATAATTTGCTTGTTATGATAGTATCATTACAGAGGGATTTATTCTAACGAAACTCTTTCATATTGACAATGTTATTATTGTCGTAACTTAAGCTTATACAATGTATCGCTGAAACACTGTAACATCTAGACACATTCTAAACAAACTCTCTAAACACACTTCCTTTCACTATTGTTCCGTTCGCAAAGTCTGAATTAAACTCATGGATAATATCCCTAGCCGCCTCTGTAATTCTGGCTCCAACTGGCCCATGACAACGTCGGAAAGTGCCGATGCGGTGCTCCTGCACGCCTGTAACCTGGGCGAAAGCCGGGCCATGCATTGCTGTACACGGTGCAACTCCCCGAGAACGCGCTGGGCAGCTGCCATGTGAGAATCTAAATCATCATCCCCCATCAAATCGCCATCGACCCCAATCGAGGAGAGTGTCAATCGCTGGGACTGAGCTTGGGGTTTGTTAGCAGAGGCGGCTGCTGCGTACCGATCGAAGGATTTGAATAAAACCAAGGACACGATCGCAAGGAGGTAGCTGTCCTGCGAGCAAGCGCATTGAAGAATTGTCTCAAGGGTTTCCATGGTCTGTTGACAGGTCGCGATGGTTGTGTCGAGAAATTGGGCCACCCCTTTGGAATGAGATTGGTCTGTCTGCACTCCCGCAACAGGGTCTGTTGTGGCCATCTGCTTCAGCAGGTCCAAAGCATGTGGGAGGCAGGAACAAGGGGAGTTGAACGATGGCGATTGCTGTCGATCCTGGTTCCTTGTGTCTGTGGGGAATAGAACCTTTGGATTAGGCATGGAGACTGGCCGCCCAAAGAGGGAGATGGTATCTTCCGGGGGTATGGCACTGTTGGATCCACTGACACTGCTCCTGCTGCTATTCATTTGTTGACCCACGGTGGGACCGAGTGGTCCCGGGTCCAGAGCATCAAGGGCGACCGATTCGCAAATCGAAAAGGGTGCTAGATAGTCATCAAATTCGGTGCTCCAGGTCGTAATGGCCGAAGACAGGGAGGTATCGGTCTGGTGGAAGAGATTGGAAAAGGTATCGGAATCGCTGGGAGAGGTATCATCCTGCACGGACGGGGGTTGCTGATCTGGCAGCGTGTGCGTCGCAGGGCAGTCTAACTCTGGCAGCAAGTGTGGAGTGGTATTCGTGGGCACAGGCGCAGAAGCTTTATCCTGTTGTTTCCGACCAGGCCGCTTGGTGATGAAATACTCACAGATGGTGCTCCGCCGCCGACATCGTGCACATGTTGGTTTCTCTTTCGAACATCGCACCTTCGATACTGCACAAGCCTGGCAACTCCCTCGGAGCTTGGGACTATCATCTGCCGGGGGTGAAGGCATTGTGTTGTTAGAAGATCGTCGGGTCACCCTTTTCTTGTTTCTAAGAGACAGCCATATGGGCCAACCTCAAATCTTGCACTTGAGCAATCACAGAGTTTGGACAAGGATTCGAGGTTGCAGGATCCAATAACTTGGCACAGAAGGCCACGAATCATATGCTGACATCATGAAGACACCAGGGTTCGTTATTGAGTATCTTTGAGAAAGAGGGGTTGCATCTACTGATGTGCAGGATGCAAGAAATTCTTTTCTGTATGCTTGAGACTGCCATGGGTCTCGGAGGACGCCCTAAGCAGGGTATTAGAGATATGAATCTTCTAGGTACCAACGGCATTGTGGCTGAGGTCGTCTTGAAATGCGGAGGATCGCTCCTTTTTGGGTTGCCTGAAAGCGCTCGCAGGTTGTTGGGCCGAGGAAGACGCGTTCCCAGAAATCAGTGGAGACCCTGACTTGGCACGGCACTGCGATGGTAAGCCTCTGGCGACTGATGTAATGGCCGAAAAAGAACAAAGGATTCTACGCCATTTGTAACTACTACATTATCAAAACTTTCATCTCGTAGAACCATTGATACATTACTGGTCGGTCACCGGTTTTCACCAATAGATAATCTTGCATGAGGTCCTTCCTTCCAATGGCCTGACTGCATGTTCAATTTTGAGTTTTCTAGGATAGGGTCTACATAAATAACTGCGATCAATATGATATCAATTATACTAACCCTAGATAATCGTGTTTCAGGGACGGTGTATTCCAGAGAAATGGTCGTCGTTGTTCCAAAAATATTTACGTAAAGAGTCCCTAGGAGATCCACTGTTTAAGGCTTTCAGGGGACCTTTGTCTCTGTATTGTATTTTTGTAGAAGAATCTTTTCCAAAGTACTATTACGGGTATGAACCCCTGTCAGTAATTAAACAGATTGGCCTTCCACCGGGCAACATTACGACATATGGGGACGATGCAACAAAAACGACTATCCAATGGAACCTGCATGTTACAGGCTTTTCCGAAAGCCACTGTCGAGCTTGATATGTCAAACAAAGAGAAGTCCCAAGCTGCAGACCCACCATGGCTAAATCGGGCTGAACGGCAGACTTCCAATCGCTTTCATTCCGCTTGGCGCAACTTTTTTGCCACCAAAATCTCGATCTAGCCCCCTCAGCTGCTCTGACGAATTACCCTGACTTACGGCGAAAGCGCTACGATAAGCCAGACTCCAGCAGGGCTGCATCTAGGTCAAGCCAGCCCTGGTACTTTATAGCAAGCGCCACAGTGAGATGATTGCGTGCTTGCAATTGTTCCACAACCACCAGTCGGCCTTGGGAATCACCAACCGAGCCCACCAAATCCACTACTTCGGCGACTTCGGGATCGCGGTCGGCCCCCAACTGAAACAGGGTCAGATCGCGCATGCGCGCCAGGGTCTCGATCTCCCGATCCACCGTGCCCGGTGGGGGCAGCATGCGGGCCGTGACGATCAGCAAGGCGCGGCGGTTGGTGGAGAGGATGGCACAGTAAGCCTGTAGATCCATCAGAACGATTGGCCTTGAAGACACACAGGCGGAAAAAGGGAGATGCAGGATGTAGGCTGCTGCGTCAACGACTGTTTGAGGTGTGCCAAGAGCTCGTGTCTGCACATTTATTCGGGGATTGTAGGCTTCCAATGACGATATCTCCCCATGTGGCGCTAGGGGCCTGCCTAACTCCGAATTGCTTGCGTCAGTTTGTACTAGGATCTGCAGGGCGGGGTATAGCTCTGATAGGGCACGGGCGGTTTCAGTGGATTGGGCTCCGGTCTGTATGTTGAGTAGCCAAGAAGTAAGCCTCCCGATGCAAGTAAGCGGCAGATGATCACAACACATTCCTTCAAAATGCGACATCGGGGGAAAATTGGGAAAGGAAAATGATGGTAATGCAAGCATAGTTACCTCGACGATGCAGGAGTCGCCTAAATTGGCCCAGTCCAGGCGAGTCAGAACCTCAGTAAATCGGTTGTCGAAATGCCCCGTGTACTGTAGGAAGGCAGACCACTGACGTTGCAGCTTGGGGGCCATGCTGCAGGCTTTGATGAAAGGGACAGAGGTGGAAAAGGCCAGGCTGTATCCACTCTCGAATGGAACGTCCCCCGTTGTGGGGTGCTGTACCGCGGGCTTCATGTGCAAGGCACTAGGCGTGCAGCACTCGGCGAGGAACATAGTAGCATCCCTAAACCGGCGATGGGAGACAAACCGACTCGACAGGGGGGTATGCATAATTTGTCCCGGTTGTGGCTCCTGCAGGAAACCTCGCGATGCTGTCATACGCACCACACGGGCGAGCGCTGTCTCTTGGACGCCAGCTAATTGAGCTAGATTCTTGATGGCGAGGTTGACCCCGAGAGGCAGACAAATTAGAACCTGGAGGCTGCTCAGCCATTGGACGCTGGCCAGCATCTGGATCTCCTTGGCCATTTTCTGCACAAAGTCCTCTGAATCTTCAAGTAGCACTTGTATCTTGGCCACGTTGGCTAAAATTTTGCGCCGGTCCTGGTGAAACTGTTCCGGGGCGTCTTCGGAGATGCTCAATTGTGGTCCGGAAGACGCGATGTCTGCATTCTGGCAATACGTGACAATACTCTGGGCTGCACAAGCAAGCTCATTGGCATAGATCTCCAGCTGGGTGATACTGTTCATGGTGTCTGTGACTGTGACTGTGTTCAAATTGATGGAGGAGATTGATCATTCTAAATATCATAGGCATGGATGGAATTAATATCTCGTGACAGATCATTCGCCATACTAACATGGATATGCATTCAGGCCTTGGCAAATAAAAGGCCTCAATATACCGATGCCGCTGTATGAAACAGAGCTCATGTGATAAGTCAAAAACTGGCTAGTCAGTCAAAAGGGAAACGCTCGATGGCAGGAGGCTTTGACGACGCGCGGGTCAATCCAGCGGGACAAATCCACCCACAACCATCTACAATAGCACACAGAAGCTTATGGAAACATTCGTCGAGATGAATTGAATGATGTGCAGGAATGTGTATTCTTGAATTGTCATTATCTCGTAGTGCTATGCTTTCCGCCCGTAAGGAGCCGAAAGTGACAGGACCAGTCAAGTAAGCCACGAAGTTCACTTTCAATTTACCTTTAGCTGTAGTACTCCAGCAACCAGCTCTTCAAATCTCCCACTGTCGGGTACTCTAGAAAGAGACTTCCCGTAACTGTGACTCCAAGCTCCTCCCGAAATTTCTCAGCAATGACCAAACTCATTAAACTATCCACACCAAGATTGGCAAAGTTAGATTCTTCGGTGAGGTCTTCCCGCTCCATACCGGCTTCGCGTGCCACCAGCAAAAGAGCTTTAGCCGCAGTGCTGGAATCGTCTAGAGCAGCCTCATTATTTGGCGTCTGATTTTGAGGAGCGGTTGGTGCAGCAGCGGGTACTGCTAAAGCAGCAGATACAGGTGCAGCAACTGGGGCTGGAGGAAATGCCGTGAGCGGAGAAGTATGCGTAATCACTGGCGCTGAAGCAGTTGCACTATGGCCCTGCGTAGACTGACTGACATCAGCAGCTGAGAAGAACCGGTTCAGAAGTAGACGAGGATAGCGGCGGAACTTTATTCCACCGACCATCCCAACAATAACATCATCCTGCAGCACGTAGACATCACCAAGGAAAATGCTAGGGTCTTCAACGGTGGGAATCATCTTGACGTAAGAACGGTATTCGGCCCCAGCCACAAGGGGCTGCGCAAAGCGCATCGATTGCCAACCGGGTGTCACGCAAAAGTTAGCATGAGTGTCAACAGCATCAGAGACGTTCATGACGAAACCAGCCAAGTGCGCCACGCTGTCAATGAAATATGGGGGCACTGTCCAAGTACCTCCTTTTCCGATTGTCAGCTTGACATTTGCAAAGGCTTCTAGCTCGTGAAGCACGACAGATTGCATTCCTCGGTATTTTTCAGCGTAATTAACCAGATTGCTTGCGAAGAGATTGTAAGCCATGCGGTGAGAGAATCGGTTCGCGATGCCCTCTTCTGCTAGACGCTCCAGGGCTTGGATGCGGCCTTGAATGAAATGAAGAGCAGGTCGCCATGAGGTTAGCCATTCTGTCGGCTCGCTAAAATGAATTCTCGCACTCGCAAACGGGTCGTCCACGGTGCCATCGGAGAAGGAACTGCGCCACTCAAGGACGAGGATTCCGGAGTTGATATCATCGGTAGTAGCAGATACTTGGAGGAGCTGAGGCTGGCTCGTATCTTTGTGCGCGACTAGCCCTTTCAGCACTTCGAGGTTCGTGATGTTTATCCCAGGTATTATGGCCTTTGGTTTTAATTTCTTAAATACGTATTCACCAAGGGTGAATCCGATATCTGCATGGATGGACTGATGAAGAAAGTTAGAACTGACATTATTGATCTGTTCAGATACAACATACCGAGGTAACCACACCACATCCATTCATTTTGTGCCCATGGGCCGCTGCAAGGAAATCTGCTTGCATCAAATCTGACTGCATGACGACTCTTCCAGCTGAGCCCTCGAAGTTCTCCTCGATAATCTGCTGGACAGTCGATGTTCGCGGGCCTGGCGCCACAGCCCCGGATACGACCGTGCTCTTTCTGGTCTCGAATTCCGGATTTCCCTTCGTCAGGGCCCAGTCACCTTTGTATTGAATCCAGTAATTCTTATTATTCCAGCTGTATGTAGGCAGGTCTAAGAGGCGTAGAGCATGCTCGAATGGGCGATGAAACTCATTCCAGTCAATATCAACACCCGTTCCATGAAGGATTCCTAGACTTCGCGTCAATGTCACCCAATCGTTTTCGCCTCGACGTAGCGAAGGAACCAAAGCACCCGAGGCCGAAAGAGTGGACTTCACGAAATTAATGGACACCGGATGTGGCCCAACTTCAACCCAAACAGTCGTATCATCAATTGTGAAAATTTTCTGCGCGCTCTCAAGGGCGGCGCTGAAGTTAACCGCTTCACGAGTTGCTCGACGCAGATAATTTGCATTCACTGTCTTGTCATCAAATATCACCTTTCCGAGAAGAGGTGAAATGATGGGCAAGTTGGGGGCGTTGAAAACCACTCCCCTCCGTGCGATTTCCTCGTATTCATCCAAAATGGGGTCCGTCTGTGCAGAATGGAATGCAAACGCAACATCTAGGCTTGTACACCTGTGCCCATCCATTTCCAAAGCTTGAGTGAGCGCATCGATCTCGCCACAGGTTCCGCTCAAGACGGTCTCCTTTGGCCCGTTGATACAGGCGATCTCGTATGGTTGATTGCCAGCGCTCTGTGCAATTTCCTCGACGGATGCCCGTACTGCTAGCATCCTATGGCTACCGAGTTTACAGCTCTGCTCCAGCAGCCTGGCGCGCTCGCCTGCGAGGAACAGTGCATCGCTGGCGGATAACACACCGGCAATATGTAATGCCGCAAACTCTCCAAGGCTGTGACCAACCACCACCTCGGGCTTTACACCAAGCGACGCCCAGTACCTGGCAAGTGCAATCTCCGTGGCAACCAGAGCGAGCTGCGTCACGACTGGTGAATGGGCGTGATCCTTCGGGTAACTCCCATCAAGAGCAGGGACAAAGGAAGGAAACCCCTGGATCTGTGCGAACGAATTCAGGTCCAGGATCTGGGAGCGGAAGTACGGTATATCGCGGAAAATGTCAAGATTCATGGACTTATATGATGCCCCCTGGCCAGTAAAGGCAAACGCTACTGGGGGAGGTCCTGTCGGTGGGATAGGCTTGTGGGAATCGACAGAGCTTAACCACGATGTAGTTTGCTTTTTTAACTGTTCAACATCTGACACAGCCACAGCCAGTCTATGGTTGTGGTGATGGCGCCGGGCCATAGTCGAGTAGGAGAGATCGGATAGTGGGACATCTGGATTGGCATTCAAGTATGAAATGAACCGCTCGAGGTTTCCCTTCAACGAGAGCTTGCTTTTGGCAGATATAGACACCAAGTGTGATTGGCGTGGGTCAATACCGGCGGTTTCTCGGAGCGGGGCTTCCTCAATTGCAAGGGACGTATTGCCACCAGCAGCACTGAAGTTGTTGACTACAGCGATACGTCTTCTGCCTTCTGAGCGAGGCCATGTCTGCTGCTCAAATGGAATATATAGACCGCGCTTTTCCAAGTCCTTGGGGAGCAGAGGGTTGATGTGTTTTTTAATGCCGACATGTGGAGGGATCGCACTCTTTTGGAGCATGAGAAGAACTTTCAATAAAGCCGTCGCTCCAGCGACTGCCTCCCCGTGGCCCACATTTGCTTTGACCGCGCCAACGTACAGAGGGTTCTTGGAGCTTCGTTTTCTCGCAGCTGGAACGAACACGTCCGACACTGATCTCATCTCCTCAAAGTCGCCAGCCTGGGTGCCTGTGCCGTGCAACTCCACATAGTTGACATCAAATGGATCGACGCCCGAATCGCGCAGTACCTTTCGAAGTAGGTAGCTCTGTGCGCCAGCGTGGGGGTGAGTGATAGATATGGCGTCTGCCGAGTGGTTGGTTGCTGCACCAAGGATAACACCCAAAATGTTATCATTGTCAGCTTCGGCATCTTCCAGTCGCTTCATCACGAAGGACACCACTCCATCTGCGCGACAATACCCATCAGCCTCGCTGTCCCATGTTTTGCAAGCATTCGGAGTCTTGGACAAAAAGTGACCATGGCTGAGGCCAGCGAAAGCATCGGAGTTTGTCAAGACGTTCACACCACCAACTACTGCAGTATCAGTAGCGCCATTCCAGAGTGATGTACAGGCAGTCTAATACTGTAAGCAACGGTCTTGAACCTTATTTCAAACAATAATCAAATCATTCGACTCACCTCAATAGTTGCCAGGCTGGATGAGCAGGCCGTATCGATGCTGTAGCTGGGTCCCCAAAATTTGAAAAAATAATTGATCCGCCCGGGGCCAAATGCACGACAACCACCGGTGATAAAATACGTGCTGACATCCTGCGCTGTATTTACCTCACGGTAATCATCACTGGCCTGGCCGTAGAATGTACCAATGCGGTGTTTGTTTGTCGCCGGTGTGCGATCGGGAACGTATCCAGCTCGTTCCAGTGCTTCATACGCGGTCACCAACGCCAGCCTCTGCATTGGATCGGTTTGCTGTGCCTCACGAGGAGACATGTTGAAAAATGGGGCATCGAAAAGACCCGGTTCCTCGATGAAGCAGCCAAACGGGGTGTGGCTTGTATTTGGGCGTTTTCCCGTTGGGTCGCAGTGGGAATCGACATCAAAACGATCTGGCGGGATTTTTCGATGAACATCAAGGCCCCTTTCTAGGAGTTCCCAGAACTTCTCGGTATCTGTGGACTCTCCAGGCAACCGACATGACATTCCAACAATCGCAATCTTAGATTGGGCCGTTCCGCGGGGGGTCTCTTCCTCGTTGGTCTGGAAGATCCACGACAACAGATCATCTGTTGTTGTTTTAGTATCGTTGAGTTCGGATTCTACTGCGGCAATGAGATCGTGGATTGGCAGTGAGTTTCGAATGGCCATTATTTGGCACTCGGATATGGTAAGCATGCTTGCTTGCTGAATAAACACGCTAACCACATTATCCCACTGGATGGCCTTTGTGAGAATTTCGTAAATGATCTGTTCAAATAGTTCCGCTGCAGTGTTCGCGGGAAATGCATTGCCGCTGCTGGTCGAGATGACTGGTATTCTGGGTACTAGTCTGGCGTTCAAACCATCGATAGATTTTGTCCGCACCACACACTCCACGTGTGTTTGATTGTAGATATGGCTTGCATGGCACAAGCCACCAAAAACTGGCAATGCAATGAACTTGCGGTCTCGGAAAAAGTCTGCAGTCCGAAAAAGTGCCTTCAACCTTGCGGGTGGTCCGCTCACGGTAACAGAGGTCTGACTGTAGGCACTGACAAACACTTTTCCGGCCTCGGGAATTTTCTGTGCATCAGAAACAATAAGTAAAGCGACTCGGGAGAAATGGAAAGCGGCTGTTAACTAACCGCTTTAGCATGGATCTCGTCCAGCTCCTGCTGAACCTCGCTTGAGGCCACATTTGGCAAGACGTAAGCCCAGCTGTCAGGCGGACCACTACCTGATAACTCACGAGCTTGCAGGTTGTGTGACACATCATCGACGAGAACACCAAGACGAAAAGCAAGACGGACCACTTCCGCGCCGGCAACAGGAATATCAGCCAAGGTTGAAGAAAGAGATACCGCTGCGGTGGCTAGAAGACCAATACCCAGACCCGCCAGATGTGCATGAGATGAATCAAAGTCATAATTTTCCGGGGAAGTCTCGTAATAGCTATTATTGGCGTTAGTTGGAATCTTTTTCACTCGGAGAAGAAAGAGGGGGAGGACGAGAAGACATACCCGATGAATGCTGCCAGTTCCACGGCACATAGGAGCACTCCGTCGATCGACGCACCCAAAGGACCAGCACGAAGATCATGGTATTCAACGAAAGCCAAAACAGAGTCAAAAGAGGGGACTAAGCTCCGCAAGGCTTGTGGTAAATCGCGAACTTCGTCACGGATCGCAAGAGTGGCATCTTCTAGAAAACGAGCAAGAATGTGATAGCGTCGATCTTTACTGTGAAGATGTAGTTGGCGGGCGAGGTTTGGCAGAGCATCAGGAGGGAACTCATTGCTGAAGTAAACGAGCTTCAGTCTGCTGAATTCCGCCTTGGAGCTGCTAGAAGGAGTCAAATTCATGGTTGAGATTTTTCAAGTCCCATGGGGCTGAATTGTTGAAACCACCAGATGAGCCTCCAATTATCAAGGTAATGCTCTAGATAAAGTGAGGTTCGAGAATACCAGTGAGATCTGTTTACACCGACAATAAGGCACCAGAGCCATGGAATCATCTTTGAAGTCATCGTGCCGCTCGGGCCAAGTCACTTCGGCATATATGGAACCAGAAATACTCCGAGCGGCATAAGCCTCAGACAATGATCGTTGCGATTTGGTAAGACATACTGGCCGAGAAATACCCCCGTCCTGTAGCCCTCTTTGCATTGTCCCCATTTGCCAATCCCTCTAGCAGCTATCCCGGTAAGGTCTTGACAATCATGAAACGCGGAGGCTATCGTCAGATCAACAAAGCACTCAACATTTGTGCATTTGATCAATATCTTGATACTCAGCAAGACAATCTTCCTATATTGAAAGATGTTGAGCAAATCAGCCCTCGGGTGCTCCGCGTGCTGGGCCAAAACGCTGGCAAGGTACAGTGACCCAACCCTCTTGGTATAGGTGAAAAGGGCTCTGGCCCTAACATGCTCTCGTAGTTTACTTTACAAGGAACAAACACATATATCGTCGGCACGGGTCAATCAAGACTGATCATCGATACTGGTCAAGGCATTCCTGAATGGGCCAATCTCATCGCCGCCACGCTCAAAGATCTCCCGATCACTCTTTCCCACGTGCTCCTCACACATTGGCATGGCGATCACACTGGCGGTGTTCCGGATTTGATCCGTCTCTATCCTCATCTAACGACGTCGATTTATAAGCACAGCCCAGGTCGACATCAGCAGCCCATATTGGATGGACAGGTGTTTGAAGTTGAAGGAGCCACCATTCGCGCAGTCCACACCCCGGGCCATTCACATGACCACATGTGTTTTATTTTGCAGGAGGAAGATGCCATGTTCACTGGGGATAACGTGCTCGGGCATGGAACCAGTGCGGTAGAGCTTCTTGGTACCTGGATGACCTCACTCCGGGTAATGGGGTCGCATAAGCGAAAAACCGGGTATCCTGCTCATGGTGAAGTTATCCGAAATCTTCCAGCTAAGATTAGTGGCGAACTTGATCAGAAAACAAAGCGCGAGGCGCGTGTCGTGCAAACGTTGACCCGGATCAAGAGGCAAGAGCAAGGAAGTCAGGGGCGGGGCAAGGGCAGCGTGACGGTTCCTCAATTGGTGGCCGAGATGTATGGAAAGGATTTAGATGAGCATGTGCGGACAATGGCCCTTGAGCCCTTCACCAGTGAGGTCTTGACCAAATTGGCTGAAGATGGACGAGTTGCTTTTGAGGTTCGAAGAGGTGAGAAGAGGTGGTTTGCTGTGGAAGGCATTCCTTAGTGTCCAATCATTTCTCATCATTAAACCACCTTCTGGCCAATATAATCCGCTGCGAACTCATTTAAAGCGAGAGCTGTGGGTTTAATTGAGCATTCTACACTCTGCATCATGAACTTAGTCAAGAACTTACGCTGTTTATAACCTCAACGCGTCTTAAGTCACCCGGAAGGTGGACTCACGGAGGCATACCATATTGTCTACGTAGACCGCCTTCCCAATAAGATCATTATGCCTGAGTCCGCAGGTGTTCATCTATGATAAGTGTTCAATTACATGATGCATAAGATACGCGAGATATTCAAAGGACATTGAAGCCAGCAAATTCTGGTCTGCTTGCAATAATTATGAACGATTAAACTTCCTGCAAAATCAGCATTGTATGGAAATTTCCCAAGATGCCGATTATATATTTTACATGCCCAGGTGGGTGATTGAATGGCCATTGAGATTATGTGTACATGTTACACAGACCTACCTAACCATTTGCCGCAAGTTAGTGAGATCTAGTTCGGTCAAATAAGATTTCGGTCTACCTATCGTCTGCTAGTCGGCACAAAGAGCCCAGTGCGGGCATCGGTCCTTTCGGCTTTTGTGAGAGGAAACCTCGGTCTCGCCTTCATGCAACCCCGAATCGGTACACCTGAGTTAGATAAATCGGAACTACGCGATATGTTTCTCTTTGTATTAAGGCATATTAAGGCAGACAATAGAAGTGCGTCTATCCATCTGTAGCCGTTCCAAGGGTTGGAAATTCAAAGACTTCGACTACCTCAAACATGGAACGTAAGCTGAAATCCCTCACCGATGCTGTGCAGCTCATTCAAACTGCCGAAATCATTTCCAAAACTACTCAGACTGTCGTATCTGAGTGGGCCAAAGAGGCAGAGGCCTCTGGTGGCTCGACAACCTCAGGAACCCTTCCCAGTCATGAGCTCTTTAATGCTCAACGAACCATTGCGGCTGCCTTGGGAAAATTAGCCGAGCTTGTGACGGAGCCTAGTGTGCGGATCCTTGAGGTCGCGACACAGTTTCAAGAATCCCGTGCGCTGTATATCGCTGCGGAGCGGCGGATTCCCGATATCCTGGCCCCTCACGATCAACAGGGTGGACTGTCCGTCACAGAGATCAGCGAAAATGCCAAGATTGAGCATCGCAAGCTTTGTGAGTGCCTTTAATACACTTGACCCATTTGTGATAGACCAGAAACTCATGAGGACTTAGCTCGTATCTTAAGATACCTATGTTCAATCGGAATTTTCCGTCAAACGGGTGTGGAAAAGTTCGCGAACAATACCATCTCTGCGGCATTGGTCTCTAACGAACCATTGAGAGCATATGTCCAGCTCGTTAACAGTGAAGGCTTCACGGCATCGGATCGCCTGCCTAAAACTCTATTGGACCCGGAAACAGGTCCCTCCTATGATGTGGCCAAGACCGCATGGCAGGATGCCGTCGGTACTACCAAGACACGATGGGAGTGGGTGGAGGAAAGAGTACCAGAAGACAAACTCATCGAGACCGGTGGCCACTACCCCGGGATTCCAAGTCTTGTATTGGAGCCCCAGACGCCAGGGGAGGATGGCTTGGTTTCAAGGCCTGAGCTGGAGATCATGGGTCTCTCCATGGTTGGTGGCGGGCGAGTGTTCGGCGCTGCCCATGTGTACGGTACGTTCCCTCTTTCTGTTGGATAATCACAGCATCTCATCACGACTCCATGCAGACTTCCCATGGGGTTCACTTGGAAAGGCTCTGCTTGTCGACGTCGGCGGTGGTGTTGGCGGATTCCCGCTCCAGCTAAGCAAAGTCTACCCCGACCTTCGTTTCGTCGTCCAGGATCGGGGCCCAGTGGTCAAGCAGGGCCTGGAACGCTTCTGGCCAAAGGAGAATCCATCGGCTTTAGAAGCTGGCCGGGTCCAGTTCTTGGAGCACAGCTTCTTCGACAAGAATCCCGTCGAGGGAGCGGATGTTTACTATCTCCGATATGTCCTGTATGTACTAAGAAGAAAGGATGTGTGGGGAAAAAGCCCAAACCCTGGAAGCTGATTGAATTTTCCTATAGCCACGATTGGTCTGACGAGTACTGTGTCCAAATTCTGTCCCGCATCCGCGAGAGCATGGCCGCCCATTCCCGCTTGTTGATTTGTGAACAAGTGATGAACACTACCACGGGCGACCCGGACTTGACCTCAGCACCAGCTCCTCTCCCGGCAAACTACGGCTACCATGCTCGTTTCAGCCATAGCCGAGACTTGACCATGATGTCCTGTATTAACGGTATTGAGAGAACCCCGGCAGAATTCAAAGTGCTTCTCAGGGGTGCTGGACTGACACTGAAGCGTATCTGGGAGTGCAGAAGTCAAGTCTCCTTGCTGGAGGCTGTCTTGTCAGAAGATGCGAGCCAAAATGTCTAGGTCAAACGGCTGTGTTCGAAGGGGACTTCTAACTAGATACTGGGCTTTTTCTAGGTCTTTTTGAATATCCTTAGGCAGTTAGCCGCATTATCAGCTGCGTGAATCAAGAGTCCTTAAAGACTGTCTCCTCAAAACAATTATTGGAGAATATCTGTAGTTGCCGTAATAACCTCAACTACTTTGGACCGGATACTATAGTCAGGAGCCGCCTCTTTGTTTGGGGCCTTCCTGAGTATGCTTAAAAGATTATTGAGTCTGAACCATCCTTCCTAGAGACTATCCTCCGCGGGAAATGGGAATATTTTGGCTGTTTTATTAGTAGAAATAGCTATGTTACTGGGCAAAGATGTAATCATTGATGGCGGAGAGCAACCCGATAATTCGTTGAGGACCACCTACAAAATTAGTTACCTCGACAAGTAACCACTACAACTACAACCAAAGGTTTCTATCTCTACATAAAGTACCTGCGGATTTCTCAATTACCAAACGCCGCCCTGTGACGGAAGAAATCATGCTAATGCTACAATATTTTCATAACGACCCGTCGCACCTATACGCCGCCATATGCTGTGAATCAATCCAGGATGAATAGATAGAGGAGTGTGAATTGTTGAACGAGTCCTCTTTAGATTGAGGTGATCTCCGTTGGGTCTGAACCAGCGAACAGAAGAAGATCCTCATACTCATTGGGCACGGCGCAATCCTTCAGCATCTGACAATTGAGCATGGAAGGTGGAAAACGTTCGTCAAAGACCAAATCGGAATATTCGGGGGTGTTCATTAGCATCTGACAATTGAACAATGAAGGTGGCAAACGTTCGTCAAAAATCAAATCGGAATAGTCGGGGTTAGCCATCATGTCCACCTCGTCAAGAAAATTGGAAGCATTGCTATTGCTAGATTCCCACCCCATGGGTTCAAGCTGAGGGGTGTCTGTGTTCACATCGCGCTGTATTGTTGAAATAGGTTGCTGTGTTGCGACCGGCATATGGCTTTGCTTTAACAGACTAGGAGACCCCTTTTGCTGGGGTAAGGTGTCGGAGGTGAACTGCGAATGAACGATAGGCAACTGCGTGCCCTCAAAGGAGTTATCGCAAACTTCATGGCACTGCTTCTCTTTGCGCCATAGCCTCTTTTGCATTAATTCAGTATTCTCCTCAAAACGCTGACCAATAGGGTGGTCAAGGGCGCCAAGGCGCTTAAGAAGGTCGTGTATGGCTGGGTGACCGCTGGGCTTAGCGTTCAAAAGATCGCCAGGCCATCCTTCGCCTTCGGTTGTGCAACGGTAGAGTTCTTGGAGAGCGTGGACCAGCCATACTTGTTGTTGTTCGAGCTTTTCCGCATACCTGAGAGCGATTGGAGTGATTAGTCTACTATCTTAGTGACGATAAACTTTTCAGGTGCTGGCTCACCCTTGAGGGTACACTTTCGCATGTGCTCTCTTTCGCTCTCCAAAGACGCAAATTGCATTATCCGATCGGCAGCGTGAGCATGGTTTAGCTTCATCACACTTGTTATGTTAGTGTCATGAATAGCAATGACCTGTGATGTCTCGCGCGACATACCTTGGACTTCTTTAGCCGGCAGCGATCGCAGGCTTTGCACACACGCTTGCGGACATATTCCAAGTGTGAGTCATCAGATGATGACCTTGATGTACGCGCTGCCATACCCTGTATGTGTGGCTGTGTGTGGCTGTGCGTAGATGTAGTAGTATAGTAAAGGGGAAAATACTGTTAGCTTATTTGAAAAAGAACGACACGGAAGGAAAATATAGAAAATATACGCCTGAGGTAGCTTTCTTACTCTCAAGTTATACCTCCCTGTCTGGGCATAACTAATTGGTGGTAACCATACAACGCTCTAACCATAAGACGAAGGATCGACTTTGCGCGGCAAAATTCAAGGGGGCTCCAGGTTCCACGGCTCGAAAGAAGAACCAATAATTTGGTGGAGAGGCGTAGTGGAGGTCACTTTTAGTTTTTCTTTATCTTTTTTCTATCTGAACATAGTATTGAATTGCATATCGAATGCCTCTGTGCATAGAGCATGATGCATAGGGCATAATGCATAAGGCCGAGATCGATTCAGAAAATGTTTCAATATAGGCTCCACTCCTGGCTATTCGGGACTGGATTTTGCGGGTTTCGCTTGTGACTAGCGCTGTGCATTATGTATGAACATAATGCATAATGATTGCCCTCTTCATAATGAATTACGTGCGGAATTAAGCGCTAGGGTCCATTGCCTCCACTACAGTAGCCCAAGGAGCAGAGCTTTCATTGGTGCTCTTAAAGAAAGATTGGTACTCACGGACAATTTGACCAATCAAGTGTGCTTATGAGGATCCTGACAATCTACACCAATCAAACACTCGGCTTTGTTCTTACTTGGATTTGATTCCGCTGGATTTTGCCTTCACACTCGCAGACTTTCAGCGGAGGAGAACATGAAAACATTTCTTCATTCCTTCATATTTGCCGATATCTCAAATGTAGGTAGTGTCAATGAAGGAGTCCACCGATACATGGTAGTTCTTCGGGGAGTGGCAAAACGGAAAAATGGGCTCAACCCTGTTGTACCCGAGGGAAGATCCCGTGGCAAGGAACCCGTGCGAATCAATGGAGGAAAGTAGCGCATACATAATACTCGGGACATTTTATACGTCGGGTAGATCCGGATCGCCAAGCATCTGCCACAAGGCTTTATGTTCACTTCCCGAGTCATAAATATCGGGTATGCTATTATGCACTGGACCCACACCTCCCCATTTTCTATTGGCTCACCGGCCGTATATCCGGGCTGCTCAAGTTATGAAACGATTATTTCGAGATTATGCAAAATACGCCAGATACTGACTCCACTAGGTCTTGACACACTGTTAAAATCCATGGGTCCCTTATCGTAATGTATTCTATTCATATAGGAGCACGCACCCTGCCCTGAAAATCTAATTCTTAGCTCGATCGAGAACACTCTTTTAACTTTTTCTTTTTTGTATATCTTTGATCCTCTCCTCTCATTCCTCATCACAATATCTTTCCCGTTAATCTTCTTCATAAATCTTCCATTAGCTTAGCTTCGAACCGGCCTGGTTCAAACAAGCATGGAGGAGGAAACGGTGACCGACTCGGTTGAGAAAGCAACCTACATTCGAGAAGCCGAAAGCCATGAAACCCTATCCGATGTTCTTGGTGGCACCGAATTCCCTCCAAAACAGGCGGCCACCTGGGGCCTTGCTGGGGAAGTCATGTCCATGCAGGAGCGAGATCTGGCCGCAGGATACGCCAAACGTGAACTCGGCATCACCTGGCAAAACTTGACCGTCGACGTCCTTTCAGCAGAAGCCTCCGTCAATGAGAATTTCTTCTCCCAATTCAACCTCTACCAGCTGGCCCGCGACCTTCGACAGAAACCCTCGATTCGATCCATTCTGCAGGATAGTCATGGCTGTGTGAAGCCAGGAGAAATGCTGCTCGTGCTGGGACGACCAGGCTCTGGTTGTACAACCTTGTTGAATGTCCTCTCGAACCGGAGGGCAGGCTATCGTTCAGTCACAGGCGACGTCAAATTCGGTACAATGACACCCGAAGAAGCTATCCCGTACAAAGGTCAAATCGTTATGAATAGCGAGGAGGAAATCTTCTTCCCTACACTCACCGTCGGACAAACTATGGATTTCGCCACCCGCTTGAAGACCCCCTTCCATCGTCCTGAAGGCGCTACTCCAACAGACTGGGCAAATGAATTCAAGCATTTCCTGATGGAGTCGATGAAAATCTCGCACACGGAAGACACCAAGGTCGGCAACGAATTTGTTCGCGGTGTTTCCGGCGGAGAGCGAAAGCGTGTTTCAATTATCGAGTGTATGGCGACAAGGGGATCGACATTCTGCTGGGATAACAGTACCCGTGGTCTGGACGCATCTACCGCACTCGAGTGGGCGAAGGCTTTGCGTGCGATGACCGACATTCTAGGCCTTACCACCATCGTCACGCTTTACCAAGCAGGAAATGGTATCTACGATCTGTTCGACAAAGTCCTCGTCTTGGATGAAGGAAAACAGATCTACTACGGTCCAGCTTCCGAGGCAAAGCTCTTTATGGAAAACCTAGGATTCGGATTCACTGATGGTGCCAATGTGGCTGACTATCTGACTGGTGTTACCGTACCGACTGAGCGGAAGATTCTTCCTGGCTACGAGAGCTCATTCCCTACAAACGCAGATGAGCTCCTCGGTATCTACCAGAAGTCCGATGTCTACCAAAAGTCCATCGTCGAGTATGACTATCCATCCACGTCTCTGGCCCAGGAACGGACGAATGCATTCCAAGAATCAGTAGCATTCGAGAAGAGCACCTCCTTGCCCAAAGGCAGCCCATTGACCACCGCCTTCCACCACCAGCTCAAGACTTGCATTACCCGCCAATATCAAATTATCTGGGGAGAGAAGTCTACGTTCCTCATTCGACAGTTCGTGTCCCTCGCTATGGCTTTGATTGTCGGTTCCTGCTTCTACGACTCACCTGATACATCGGCCGGTATTTTCACCAAAGGCGGTGCGGTCTTCTTCTCGCATGTTTACCAGGTCACCATGGCCATGGCTGAAGTCACCGGCTCTTTCAAAGGACGCCCAGTTCTGACCAAACACAAATCTTTCGGCTACTATCACCCGGCAGCATACGCTATAGCAATCCTGACTGCAGAGTTACCAGTGGTCCTCTTTCAATGTACCATCTTTTCGGTTGTTCTTTACTGGATGGTCGGCCTGAAAGCAACTGCAGCTGCATTCTTCACCTTTTGGATTATCCTTATTGCTATCACTCTGGTAAGTTTATCCAAGGTTTTCAAGGCCGCATTAGACTGCCAAAGAAAGCAGATTCCATATATTTGAGTCACTACTAACTGAATAACTCAGTGTGTGAATGCATTGTTCCGATCGATTGGTGCTGCCTGCAGCAACTTGGAGGTGGCTTCCAAAGTCTCTGGCGTTATCATGAAGGGCTTGGTCATGTACACTGGTTACATGATTCCCAAGCCTGACATGAAACACTGGTTTGTCGAACTGTATTATACTAATCCATTGGCCTATGCTTTCCAAGCAGGACTCTCCAACGAGTTCCATGATACCACCATGCCATGTGTTGGGGATAGTCTGATTCCTCACGGTGCTGGCTACGGTGACTCCGAATACCAGTCCTGTGCCGGTGTATCGGGAGCAGTAAAGGGCGCCACTTATGTGACTGGAGACAATTACCTTGCAGCCCTTCACTACAAGCACTCTCAGCTCTGGCGTAACTTTGGAGTTGTGTGGGGCTGGTGGGCTTTCTTTGTCACCATTACGGTTGTCGCGACATGCATGTGGAAAGCTGGAGGAGCCGGCAGTAGCTCGCTGTTGATTCCACGAGAGAAAATGAAGCATTTCCAGCACACCAAGGACGAGGAAGCCATCTCGTCTGAAAAGGGCCGCCAAGTCACCAATGCCATTCCCGCTGATGATGCTCAGAATCAACCCAGTCTTATGCGGAATACTTCGGTGTTCACATGGAAGAACTTGGTCTATACCGTCAAGACACCTTCAGGGGATCGTGTCCTTTTGGACAAGATCTATGGATGGGTCAAGCCCGGAATGCTTGGCGCTTTGATGGGATCGTCGGGAGCTGGCAAGACAACCTTGCTGGATGTCCTAGCGCAGAGAAAAACAGAAGGCACAATTCAAGGAACTGTCTTGGTGGACGGCCGCGAGCTTCCTATGTCCTTCCAGAGAATGGCAGGATACTGTGAACAACTCGACGTTCACGAAGGTTACGCGACCGTGAGAGAAGCGCTTGAATTCTCAGCTCTTCTTCGTCAACCCGAACATGTTCCGAAGGAGGAAAAACTAGCCTATGTCGACACTATCATCGATCTATTGGAGCTCCACGATCTTGCCGACACATTGATTGGCACTGTTGGTGAGGGGCTTAGCGTTGAACAACGTAAGCGCGTTACTATTGGCGTTGAGCTTGTGTCCAAGCCAAGTATCCTGATCTTCTTGGATGAGCCTACATCAGGCCTTGACGGCCAGTCGGCTTATAACACGGTCAGATTCTTGCGCCGGTTGGCTGATGCTGGTCAGGCAATCTTGGTCACTATTCACCAACCTTCCGCCCAGTTATTTGCTCAGTTTGACACATTGCTTCTCCTTGCCAAAGGAGGTAAGATGGTGTACTTTGGCGACATTGGCGATAACGCCTGCACAGTCAAGGATTACTTTGGCAAATATGGAGCACCCTGCCCCGTGCGCAGTAACCCTGCGGAGCATATGATTGATGTTGTCACTGGTGGTATTGAAGAAGTGAAGGATAAGGATTGGCACCAAGTCTGGCTCGATTCACCTGAGAATGCCGCCGCTATGGCAGAGCTTGATCATATTGTCGCTGACGCAGCCGCAAAGCCGCCAGGAACCGTGGATGACGGCAATGAGTTTGCTACTTCGCTTTGGACCCAGACCAAACTTGTTACAGCCCGTATGAGTGTGTCCCTGCTCAGAAACACCAAATATGTGAACAACAAGTTGGAGTTGCATATCATCTCTGCCTTGCTCAACGGCTTTTCATTCTGGCAACTTGGAGACTCGGTCGGTGCTCTTCAATTGAAGATGTTTACCATCTTTAACTTCACTTTTGTTGCACCAGGTGTGATCAACCAGCTCCAGCCACTTTTCATCCAACGCCGAGACATTTACGATGCTCGTGAAAAGAAGTCCAGAATGTATTCTTGGAAAGCCTTCGTTACGGGTCTTATTGTGTCCGAATTCCCCTATCTCTGTCTGTGTGCTGTCTCATACTTCGTTTGTTGGTACTACCAGACCGGCTTGCCAACTGCATCCAAGAACGTTGGAGCGACATTCTTCATCATGTTGATCTATGAGTTCATCTATACCGGTATTGGACAATTCGTTGCGGCATACGCACCCAACGCTACCTTTGCAGCTTTGGTGAACCCCCTCATTGTGAACAGCTTGGTTTTGTTCTGTGGCGCCTTCGTTCCTCAGCCAGAGCTGAACGTCTTTTGGAAGTATTGGTTCTACTATCTGAACCCCTTCAACTATGTTGTGGGTGGCATGTTCACCTTTGGTATTTGGGACGCGAAGGTGACGTGCAAGGACACTGAACTTGCTTACTTCGACCCGCCCAACGGGACCTGCCAGAGTTACCTGGCCGATTACATTGCCGGAGCGGGATCCGCCATCAACTTACTTAACCCTGACGCAACTTCCCAGTGCCAGGTCTGTGAATATACTCGTGGAAGCGACTATCTGAAGACTCTTAACGTCAATCATTACTACTACGGTTGGAGAGATGCCGGAATTTGTTGCATCTTCGCCCTCAGCGGATACGCCTTGGTCTTTGTCTTGATGAAGCTCCGAACCAAGGCCTCCAAGAAAGCGGAATAAGCACAAGGCAATTGATTGCTTTTCCGGAGTCACTTTTCTCTCTTTGTCATATAGTAAAGCCATCATTGAGTGGTGCTTTGCTCATTGGATCTGCAGCGGCATTTTGTTTTTTGAAAATTATTCATTCTATAGACTACTGGCGAATTTTGGCGAACTAGAACTGTTTATAGAAGATCGAAGATGGATAGAGCATATGGTATAGATTTGATCTTTATTTTCAACCCTTTTTCAATTTTGTCAATTGCAGACAGTATGCGGATCGGTATCGCCTGTGATTGGATTGAATGCTTCAACATCACCACAGCCCCGGCACTATATAATGTCTTTCTCCGTGTCTTTTTCTGACTTTCTAATCATATCAAGTCAAAGAATTCCAAAATGACGCATCAACTAGCGCCCTGTCTTGATACCAAGTGTGAAAAAGGCCTGTCGGATCCTTTGCCAAGCGATATTCTTGGATAGCTCTTACTGCTCAAATGGCGTAATTTAGGAATTCATTGAGATTATCTTTGAAATCCTTCTATAGTTTAGTTAGCGTGTTGGTCCTGGCTTAGTTGGTTTGTGGCGAAATATCCTTAAAGAGCTCCTTACATAGTAGGCTAATAAGGCAGGCGTAGTATCTAAGTATAAAGAATGATGGTTGAAATATAGTTCTTTACTTTTAGCGCCAATCATAACTACCCTAGTATAGCGTGATACTAAGGCCCCGGTTTTACGTGCCTCTTCTAGGCTAGGAATATTCTAGATTTTAGTTTTATTCTACTCTTCCCACATAATTAATGCCCTTCAAACTTATAGCACTTCACGAAAAGAGCTTTATATTCAACTAATTGAATACATCGGAGGTCGACGCATCGTAAACACTTCCCTAAAGCTACAAGCACCGTCAGACCTGATCCAGATGTATCCTTTTCACATGCTGGCTCATATTATCTTTGCGGTTGAATCTTTTAGTGCAATAGTCACACTTGAAAGCACTGGGAGCTATATGTGCTCTCGAGTGCCTCACGAGCACCGACCTGCACGAAAATGGGCCTGGATTTTTGCATCCCTCCCAAGTACATAGTAAACCGTTTTCTCTGTAGGATCAAACATATGAAAAACGTGTTAGTAAGCTGGATAAGTAATGTGTGACGGTTTGGTATGGCACGAGGTTGACATACACATTTTGCCCTTGTTTGCAAGATGTAATTTCTAAGCCTTCGCCAATATGCCTCGTTTTGGGCGGGAGTCCCACTGGCTCGCCAGCCGGCTTTGGTAAATGGCTCAAAGCTAATCCAGAATCAGCATCGCGGGGGATGATAGGTTGATGTTCCGGGCCAAAGAGGCTCAATGATGCATGCGCCGTTCCAGCGCCCGCCATGCATTCTGTACCGTCATACTCCACAAGAGCAGAGTCAAGTTTTGGCCAGAAATCAAGAGGTCCATCTATATTGCCATATTGGAGCTCAGTGCTCGGGTAGAATGGAAGTACCTCCCGGGACGGCCGCGCACTGCCAGGATCGTTAAGCTGAGCGGTCTCCCAGCCATGTATTCCCGGTGTATCTGAAGGGCAAATGAAGGAACTGGACCACGACCAATCCATGATGAATGAATTACCACTCCGGGAAATCAAAGAAGAAAGAGTCGCCAGTGGGTGGAAAAATAGAATTTCGAATAGAAACTGCATACACCGCTGGACTTGAAATACATCTTATTTATATACTCATATTCAGATATATAAGAGAAAATTGGGCTACAAAACGTAGCAATTTACGTTAGGTGATAAACAACATCACGCTTGGAGGATGAAGCCATCACAAAGAATTTTGGTATTTATCCAATCAGAAGGAGGAACCCGAGAAAATCGCGACATTTAGCGCGACTTTTACCCAACCTTGCTCTGAGGTTTTGCCTCAACCTCGACACCGCACCTAAAACAAGGCCTAGTCGAAGAAGTTACAACGACTGGGGGAACCGTGCCCTCTGATTTGGGAGGGGCCGAATCAGACATGCAGGTCTTTACAGGGGTAAGATGAGAGACGGGGAATTCTCACCCGCCAGCTAATTTGGGAGGGACCGAATCAGACACGTAAGATCTTACAAAGGTCAGGCTTAAGCTCGAACCTAGCGGTGTGCAAGGTTGTTGACGCAGAAATCTAGGTGGAAAGAGGACTTTGCCCAGTAGTATTCGGAACAGATTCTTTTGTTAGCGTGCAAGGAAAATCAACTGGCAAAAAATATCATCGGCGGAGAGTATGAATATGATTCGCTGTCCGCTTGTCGACTCGCTCGTAGTGCTGACCAGATTTACCGATCGGCGCCAAGCTTGCTTTGCCGTTGGAGTCTTATCAGCAAAGTGGTAAAGATCATTCCATTTTCCAGATGCTAAATTCTTGCTGGAGATCATTCAAGTACTTAGTACTACATTTTTATCGTCTGTTCTTGCGATTAAAAAAGGGTGAAGATTCCCATCAAAAGGAAGGCGTTACATTGACCATTGCTCTTAGTATGGCCTTTGCGGCGGGTTGATTTTAGTCGAGTCTCCGTCCAACGGGAGATCATGAAATTTCCTTAACAGTGATTTTTTTTGGGGGGGGCAAAGTTGGAAATCCTCGCAAAGTCAAAACAAGCGGCACCTAGTATGCTTTGACGAGGTTCAGAGGTGAACCCCACTAGTGTAAGCAGTTTCATACGGTCCATTTCCGAACCTCTGCAGCCGCAGCCTTGACCGTATCTGGCATTAACACGCTCAGTGTGGTTTGTGTCTTTCTGGTCATCCTTATCTAGCATGAGAGAAACTGTGCATCCATCTTCAAGATAAGGTTCAATGATTTAAAAGAGTACACCAGAGCATGTCTAAGAACTTGACACAGCCACAAACAATAGGCGAATCAGAATATCAGTAGAGGGATGCGACTAGAGATTTAAACACTCACTTCGGATGTGGTAAAGCCAAAGGTGAAGTGAGATAAATACGGCCTTATTCGTTATATCTTATTGTCTCTCTCTTCGCCGCTTCCTCTCCATACGAGATGTATCTAAGGAGAATAATCATTCACTGAAACAGTAATCTTCCTGCTCTGGTATCTATTTCCGAAGAAATTTCCTAATTCTTTTTTGGCTAGAAGTTTAGTCGCCGGGCAAGCTCGGCTCTTCCAACAAGTATACGCTCGAAGAGATGGAAATCTCTTTGGGCCGTATAAAGATTTGGTATCAAAGCACCAGCCACTGGCCGTTCATTTCGACACAGCAATGGTCATCATGACAAGAGGTCCTAAAATAAAGCATTTAAGATATGATACTTTGTACTACTTAGCTCACAGACCTTGCCTTGCCAGAAAGTCTTCTATAAAAGAATCGAATGGTGTTCTAGGTGAATGAAGAGGTTTGATTAACAACTCAGATTCTAAACTTTGCCTCGCATCCAGGCCCTTGAACAGCATTCAATTGATAATCACCAACCTCAGTCCACTGTTTACGCCAGATGGCGCTCTTGAATGTCTACACATCATTGAAAGCAGCTCGTTACTTCCGCCACAAATTCATCTTGACATATATCGGGATCGAGCAAAACTCTGTCAGTTGCATGTAATGCGTCGAAATCAGTCCAGCCCATCATAGACTTCAAAAGATTTGCTGTCGCATAGTTCGCATTGTTTTCTGCTAGCCGGACGGCACGCCAGTATTGCCTGCGCCCAGGGTCCTGAGCCAAAGCTCCTTCTTCAAGAAGAAGTTTCACGGTATCCAAATGCCCATGCTCTGCTGCACCTTCTAAAGCGGTTCTACCTTTTTTACGAGCTCCGGGAGCATTAATGTCAGCCCCAATATTGATGAGTCGGCGAACAATGCCAATGTAGCCTTTGATAGCAGCTAATTGTAACGCAGTTGCCCCAGAATGGAAAGCCGGCTCTTGATTGACATCGGCACCTTCCTGCAGAAGCAGCTCCATAAGCTGGATGTTTCCATTCTCCACTGCGAGTTGTAAAGCCGTTCTTCCATGTAGAGGGTATGGTGGGCTATTGGTATTGGCTCCAGCTTTCAGGAGAAGGCTGACAAGATCAGGTCGATCCTCTTCAACAGAAATATTCAAAGCGTTTGTTGAGCCGCATGGAGTGTTCACTAATGCGCCACCCGTTAAAAGAGCTTTCACAATAGTCACATCGCCAATCTTGATCGCCTCTCCCAGAACGGTGTTTGATTCTGTTCCGCCTTCTACATAGAGGTTGGGATCACAACCTGCAGCAAGGAGAAACTGCGTCATCGACAAGTCTCTCTGCCGCACAGCAAAAGTTAAAGGAAAATAGAGCTCTTCATCGATCCGATCACATGCAGGTTGATTAACGTCAGCATTAGACGCTAGAAGAATTTGCGCAAGATCAGACCTGTTCTCTCTTAGACTGATCGTCAAAGCGCAACCCTTAGCTTCTCTTGTCCACGGGTATTCAAGTAGAGCTTTCAAAGTTGATTGATCCCCAAGTGTCGTTGTCGCTAGGTCAAGAACGGAGTTATACCGGGCGAAATGTGGGCTTTTCATATTCCACCAACCAGCTATCATGCCATGCTCCGGACCGTTCAGCGCAAAAACGTCTCCATCAATTTTCTCCATGAATTCCTCTAATCCTTCATCATCATAAGAGAGCGGCTCTCCTCTGGGATCCACCCCAGCAACCAACAGTTGATGAACAAGGGCGTTCTCGCCGTGCTTCAAGGCCATTCCAATTGCAGTAGGTGCTGATGGCCGCCAATAACGCAAGATGTCCCAGAACATGTGAAGATCGCGGGCTTCATTGGTTTCGAGTATCTTCCACACGAAAGCAGAGACTTCGGATTGGGAAATTGCTGCCCCTCGATTGATCAACATTTCGGTCACTGTCCAATTTCCTTGGCATATTGCGGCTTCTAGCGGCGACTCAAAAAAGTCCCATTTTTGACAGGATTCTCCTTGAATCTCTCTTTGATCAACGTCGTGGCTCAACAGCGTATCGACTAGCTCTTGCTGATCCGAGAGAATTGCGGGAATAAGGAGTTGTCTGCCGCTAAAATAAAGCAATTGTGGCAACAAGCCAATTTGCGACAAGTGAGTTACTGTGGCAGTGTTGGGAAGGGAGCACACACTAACATTTAGCAATCTAGCTCCAGTTTTGACGAGCAATGTGATAATCTCACAATTCCCCTTGACTATCGCTAACACAAGAGGATCATCATGATGATGCGAATCGGTTTCCAAGTCGACTCGGGCTCCCATTTGAATCAATCGAGAAACGCGTTCAACATTGTTTTGTCTGATGCTGTCAATCAGGAATATAGAGATTAGATCTGACATGCCATAGAGTTCTGTTCTGGACCCTGCCCTCAGAAGAGTCTGGCAGAGTTTTGGGTCTTTCATTTTCAGTGCGCGTGTAACAAGGGCTCTGTCCACACGTTCGCCTACAGCTCGGAAACAGTCGGCTGCCGAAACATCAGCACCTTGAGACAACAAGAACTCCACGGCATCAAGGTGCCCATTCTTAACGGCCAATACCAGAGGAGGAATCAAAGGCCAGGCCTCCAAGTTGACCTGAGCACCGGCCGCTAGCAGGGCTCGTAGCAGCTTCATATTGCCTGCTGAGGCTGCCAGGCCTAAGGGCGTTGTTATTTCGTCATGGCTTTCCTCATGAGATGCCCATTTGACCCTGTACGCCTGGTGTGCCTCTATATTTGCACCCCAAGATAGTAACAACTTTAGAAGCTCCAAGTCTTCCCTTTTAACGGACATACCGAGCAAGGTTGAGTCGTTATCAGGGCCGCTCCATGACCGATGCTCGATGTTTGCCCCACCTCTAAGAAGGATTTGTACCATTCTAGAGTCAAAGGTTCGTGTAAAAGTCAAATGGGAAATAGACATGACCTGAGATGGAAAACCATTACTTTGGGCAAGCAGGAATTCAATCAGTCCGTATTTCCGACCATTTATAGCCAAAGCAAGCGGGATATCTGTGGTGTTTTTCGGGTACAGGTCTGCACCGTAAGCCATAAGAATGCTGGCTATCCGCACTGAGACTTTGTCATCCCCAGTTCCAGCTGCTACAATGGCTAACGGTGTACAGCTGCTCCACTTGTTGATCGGGATCCGCAGATTTGGGTTGACACCAGCTTCTAAAATCACCCGAATGGCGGTTGTGTCATAAGATTTCACCGCGCATCCAAAAATCTTTTCAACGATGGCTTCAGCTGTTGAGTTCGATCGTGCAAGTAGGGATTTTATTGCGCCAACAATATTCAATCCGGAGACGCGAAAAAGTTGCATGACAAAATTGTCTCGTTTCTGAAGATCAGGGTCAGATCCAATATTCGATCCTTCAAGGAGGAAATTATTGGATAAAATGAAGAAGAGAATCTGCAGAAGCTCTTCTACTGGGAAAGCATGAGGCTTGCAAAGCTTCCTAGCCAACTCAAGATGTTGACCTTCCCTTGCTTCAGGCATGATAACACTCAATACAGCAGCAACCCTAGAGGTACTCTGAATTGAGCTCAACCTCCCCGTAGTTCTCCAAGAGAGTATTGAGCCTAGGAGGGAAAGCATATCTTTCTGGCCTTGAGGGAACAGCTTGCCCACTTCTCGCGATTTTGATGAAACTGGAGGCTGATAGATTGAGAAGCTCGATTCTCCTAAAGCTTATTAATGACATCTATTCCTCAAGCGGTCTCGACACGAAAATTACCTTTCGAGCCCGGTAGCTGGATTATGTTCAAGAAGCTAAACCAAGGAAGGGTGACAGGCCACTGGAGAGCCAGCGGCGAGGGCCCCGGTGAACAGATCACAACGCCCTCTGGCGTTCTTGGGGAGGGAGCTAGTACCCGCAGGTCAGTAAAGGGATTTTCAGCAATCGGTCTCAGCTACAGGAGTCAGCTACCAGAAGCAAAGGTTTCTATGACTGGGGTATAGACTTGACGACTTGCTTCACGTCTCAGTCTTTTGGGGCAATGTTGAATGCGATCGACATAGACCTCAAAGTTTCCAACGTCTCTGACATCCATTCTGCGTTTCATCGCCGCGAGTCTTCTCGGTCCCATTCGATACTTTTTGAACCCCCAGCGGCCGAGCTGGCTATTATACTGGCTTGCCCTGCATATGACTATTAGCAATGTACAGTAGGATAACGGGATTTCCAAAGGCCTTTCATACGTTCTAGAGAATTCATAAGTCTCCAGCATGATCCGCATAACCTCCTTTAATGTTCGGTCTTCTTCGAGATACAGTCGTGCAATTTCGAGCTTATGGTCTTGCCAGTCTGACTCGTCCATGATTGTGGGGATTTGATGTCCAGATAATCAAAAAGAGCGATCCTGAGGAGGAGAGTGAAGAGAGGGATTGTGAGATTGATGAAAAGTAAAGACCTCATGGTTGTCATATAGACGTATGCATAATCTCCCTGGGGCTGAATTCTCCCGTGCCTCCGTGTACGCCAGCTGCCCTGCACCTGGGCAACCCTGGGCACACCGCTACGACTTGGCATTCTGCAACTTTTTGTGCTCCTGATTCGATAAATTCCAAATTTGAATGCAGAAAGTATCCACTCTTACTCGCCTTGTTTTGCTGCTCAGAAAGACTGCACCTTGATGGCTAGCTGAGCTGGCCTTTTTATTAAAGTGTTGCGGTCCCATTTGACCCCTGGGAGCTTACTTTGACATAAGACGCGCACGTGGAAAATATGATTTTGCCTTATCTGATAACAATTTGTAAGCTAAGTAATTTGTTTCGATGGATGTAATGGAACTGGTGCAATATTTTCTCAGTGTCTTCGTGATCGCTTCTTCTGCAAGCAACTGCGCCCAAGCCATAATAATTTGCACCCGGGTCAAGATTGTCCTATTGAGGGCTCAAACCTCCGGGCATATTAAACCAGATTGCCTCGACAGGAAAATCAAATGAAGCCAGTCCATCCAGTACTTCTGTCCTAGGCATTCGGGCTCCATACCGTAGTGAGTCGATGTGAATTTTCCCCATGAATTGGTGATTATTGCAGTATCTGCCTAGACGGTCTAGATAAACCTGAAAGGCAAAGTTTGAAGATTAAGATATTAGCTTCACATCAGTTGACGCCAGGTTATGCATGTTGGCAGTGTATCAAAAATGACTTCACCAAGTTTGACCGTGGGAATTTACGAGAGTTTGGAACGAGTGAGAATGACTGTGGTCAAAATTGGTGATATCACATAAGAATAGGGGGTGCGTGGAAAAAGAGTACAGGGAGTCCCAGCAAAGGCACAGAAACCCCACGCTCTCAGCCTTGGGCCACGGAGATTCTCACCCGAGTCACCCCTAATCGCACGACGCTAAAGCGGCTCACTTATTGCAATCACTGTTCCACTCATTTTCTTATGTTATCATTCTTCTCAGTATATACGACCATAGGATGTGAAGAACAGGGCTTCCCGTCCGCTCAGCCGTACTTAAGCCACATTATATTCGCATGACCAATACCTTCTAAAGCTCTTTTACACTAGAGCAGCAATCAATTTACGGTAGGTGAGTGTGGCTGATGTGACAAATGGGTGAGAACTTTGCGGACTGGGTGAACATTCTCACCCCAGGGGTAATCGCCTTCCACCCGGTATACTAATCTTGCACAGGCTTCTGAAGAACCCAGACTAGGTCCCTATTGGGGCCATAGATATACTGCTTTTCTCTTTCCGCTACCAGCGCTACCAGCATCTCATGCGGTAATACACATCACGGACTGCCTTGCTACTCAAACAATGCTGACACAAAAACAAAGTTATCGTGATGGATAACATTAGTCGATACTTCCGAGATGCATCTAGTTCGTATGATATAGTGTGCTGCGCTCATCGCCTATGTTACTAGATTATCGGCCAGCTAAGATACTGGAACCACTGTTGGTCCTTACGGCGGTGTGAAAGGATCCTGGTTCCTTTCCTCTTATATCCCATGGCTCCTAGATATGTGTTACTTAAATTTTCCCATACCCCATTTTGGGTCGAGCCTTGCACTCTCTGGTCACATAATTCACTGAATTTTCACAGCCCTGAGTTATGCTTATCTCAAGTTCAACAGCACAACAAGGAGCCAAGTATACCGTATGTAGATGATAATCCAGTCCAGGTTCTGACAGAACAACAAGTATAACACCGTGCCCTTTCACACACTGCAATCTCAAAGCGTCCCCACGATCAATACCCTCAACTCGCTTAATTTCCAGGTCAAAGGATCGGACTCTTGACTTTCCCTGCATTTGGAAGGTCGTACAAACCGATCCTTGTAATTTACCAGACCTCCTGGAAGTTCTTGGCGTTCGAAAGCTTCAGTTGTCGGTCACGACACTAGTAGTCTACTTACCCTCCATGCCTATAGAGCTCTCAGGTAGCAACGGCTGGGACTCATTATCATCAGTATATAAAGTCTGCAGACTATCAGCCGAGACAGAAGGTCTTCCCTGTCCCGCCGCCGTCACATCCTGACTCTGGGTCATATGAGCGTCGACAGACCGATCACAGGCTGGACAAAGGGTGTAGTTAAGACGGCGGGCCTTGAACACAGGCTTGATACATTTGTGGAAGAGCCCCTGAGCAAAGGAGCGCAAGTATAACAGACTAGGACAGTCAGTTCACCCAGAAGACCAGTTTGTATTTCATTCCTGGACCGATTTACCTGAGGAGGATGCATGAGAGGTTGGAGTAAACCTGTGGGATACCACGGGCAAGCTTGTAATTGTAGATATCTGCCCATTCGCCAATCTCCCGGGAAGCAAGGATGAAGATTCCGGAAATGTATACTCCGAGCAGCAACAAGGCCATCGAGCCATCAATAGCGATTTCAAGTGGCGAATAAGACTGGCTTCCGGACTTGCGATATCTGGAGAGCATGAATACAGGCGTTATGCTGGAGGTGGTGATCTACCCATTGTTAGAGCGTTCTTGATCATTTCAGGGGAGACAGACATGCCGCTATAAGCTGAACCCATGCCTGAGGACTGCCACGAGTCGTAAAAACGGCAGCGAGAGCGCATGGCCACGAAATAACTGAGAGAAGGGCCTGGGCCTTGCGAGCTCTAGAGAGTGGGTGCTTGCTGGAGAACACTTTTTGGCACATTTTTACTTTGATGGTTCTTTCCTTGGATGTACAGCATAAGAACTAAATATGAGGTTTGCGGTGATCCGGATGTCAGGATGTTGGTTCATTAAGCAGGTGATCCTACGACCCTAGAGCCTTGCCAAGCAAAAAATGTGGGGTAGTAATAACACTGCTGCCTTGTATAATCAGTCTGCCTAGGAATTTTTAGTCTGACTTGCATACGAGGGGGCTTTGCGAAGCATGAGATTAGGGGAAACAATAATGCTGCCTTGTATGATCAATCTGCCTGGAGGTATCCATTCTGACTTAAATATGAGTAAAAATAGATACGGACTCTAATAGGCTTGTTTCAATAAACAAAATTGCTTTATTGGTTACCCTGGGGTATCTAGGGGAGAATTGTATCAACATACAGGATGATACACCCCGTTACATATTCAAGTTACCCCACGTAAAAAGAATACTACAGGGCCCACTGACAGGGGTAATCCGGAATAATTCCCAATCCAGACTAGCGTCCATTCATTGCAGGTATGGATTTGGTATCTGTGTGGTATATGACGACGGAATGGGATGTCGATATGTGCCAAGAGAAACATGAGTCAAAAGTCGTACAGTATCAATTTTCCCAGTTCTGACTGCACGGCCCAGCAACCTTAGGTAGTCCGTGATGAGGCACGTTCTTTCGAGAGGAATTGCGACGTCATTCCATTCACTCTAGCAGCTCTGGCTAGAAAGAGTTCGGTCACCCGCATATTTCCCATCTCCACGGCTGGAACAAGTATTTCCGGGTCATCGCGCTCCGTATTCAGATCTTGCTCGAGGTAGAGATCTATCATATCCTCAACCGGGCTATCCTCAATCAGACTGAATTCAAGCTTTTCTGCAGACTTCACAGCGGCAGCTAAACGAGCACATCTCCATGTCACTGTCGCACCTTGAAGCAAAAGTGCACGTACGGCCGGATTGTTTCGTTCGTTGATGGCAAAATATAGAGCAGTCTCACCATTTCCATTGATGGAGAAATTCACATCAGCACCGTATTTGATCAGAAGATTGATAAGACGAACACTTCCTTCCTCATGAGCAGCAAATTGCAAAGGGGGTAGGAAGGCTTCCCCATCTTTATTTACCACCTCAACCAGTCTGTTAGGGCTCATGCCACATCGAAGCATTTTTTCGAGAATTTCGAAATCGTGTGACCTGAGTGCACAACTTCTCTATGATAGACTCGGCAGTGGGCTCACGAGTTGATAGAAGAACCTTGAGATGCCTCAGATCATCCCAGCCAGTATCTTTGAGCAGTTTCAGGATGAGTTCGTCATCACGTTCCAGCTTCTCTACAAGCAAATCGTCCGGATCGCGTGAGGTCAAATTATTTGAAATAAGGTAGAGTACCACACTCAAATGATCTCTGAGCCCTGATTTCAAAATACTCAAATTTGTTGACAAGACATCATGTTGGCCTTGCTCCATTTCTGGCATGAGAATACTCAGAGTTGCCGATGTACGGGAGCCGCCATGAAAGTTTGGAGAGTGGTGAAGTTTTTTCCATGGTACAATTGAGCTCAAGCGTTGCATCAGCTCGAAATTCGCGCCTTTGGTGATTGCATTGCCATGGCGAGATAAGTCCACAAAGAGAGAAAGAGGAGGCGAATCAATATCTGGGAGAGATTTAATGAGAATTCAACCTCATATAAAATCAGACACACCTTTCCTTGCTCTTGCGGGGATTGGAGAAAGTTTATGAATCGCAGCCAAGGAAAAGAGCTGTTCCATGAGACGCACATCCCAGGTGATTGCGGAGTAGTCACGAAATACCCCTCTGGGGTTTTTGGCGAAGGGGCTAAAAATTATTCACTCTCTTGTTGAGGTGGACCTGGGGACTGAACTTACCATGTTGCAATATCATCGGCACATAGCCCTTTCGGTATTTCGACTTGATGATCTTCGCAGGAGGAATTTGAACTCCATCAACGAAGACCTCGCTCTCCTTTCCGGTTCGCTTCCTTTTGGCCATTCGTTTCAAATCCATGCATGGTCTATCTGTTGAGAGTGTTTTCGCAATCCCCAGCCATGGAGCTTTCTAGTATATTGTGCCTTGCTGCTTTTCTGTGAGTCGACCACCTTGATTCATCAAGCTCAGCCACCGGGACTACAGTTTTCCTCTGTTCTTATCAGACATGGGCTCGACGTACTACCCGTGAGGGTAGACATAGATGGCGAACCGGTGAATACAACCCGTTTTAGCACTACCACCCCGCGGCCTATGGCTGACCCAAAGGCTCTGGATCCCGAGGCGGCTGAAGAGGAGTTTGATGAGGATATCCTCACGGACGAGGATGAAATAAGCCTCCCTACCCATGGACTCTCCTGTCCAAACAATGCGTCGGACGATATGCGAGAACAGCTGGCCAACCTACAGGATTCAGAAGAAGACTCGTCAACACCTAAAGCCCCTAGCCGGCGACGGTTCTTCACAACTCTTCTACGAGCCCGGTTTCAGCGGGTTATTTGTGATGAGGGCCATCGGGTCAAGACCATCTCGTCTAGACAGCATCAGTCCGTGTCAAAGCTCTCGAGGAAAGCCACGTGGTTCTTGACGGCTACCCCTATGTGGAATAAACCGCTTGACTTCTGTGGGTATCTATCACTCTTATGAACAGAAATGATAGAGATGGAGTCTATTGATACTAGCCAGAACCAGTGCTTGACTGACGTGAACGACTACCGCATGTGGTCTGAGAAGCTTGAACTTCCAACAGCTGACCTCCCATACAACCTGCTATCCCCAGCTGGCCTCCTTTCACTTAGCCAGAATGGGCATTTAACTAGTCAGATTGGGTTTGACTGCCTACCAATTATCTTACGTCTAACCTGCTTATGTCGCGAGCCTGGGCATACTATGGTGGGTGATAATGGGGCCACTATTGAGATCGGCGGGGATATCCCTCCCTTAGCGGTTACAACAGTCGAATTACGCTATACATGCACTACCCAAGTGAGCCATGACCAGACCTTCCATCGGATGGTTGGCGAGCTCTACGAGGGAGCTGCAGAGGATATCCGACATGGTGAGACCATAGTAGCCATCAACTGGGCTACGTTTAGGCAGCTCTGCCATCTCGCCGTGAATCCTAAACTGGATGTGTTCCTGCGCCGGTCATCGAGCCGAGTCCTGTCTGCGGACATTAACGCATTCGGTGATAGTGGCGATGATCGCGGCTTTGGCCTGCTTTCTCTCGGACTGTGGAGGACCGTGCAACAGACATTCCAACAAATCGGGCGGCTGTCGCCCGTTATCTTGCCCACGACTGTCCACGCCTCCGGTTCCTTTTGCACCTTCTTTGGACTGAGGGCACGCTGGCTGAGTCTGGTGTACGCCCCCGGTTCCTGGTCTACTGCAATTGGCCCTTTACTCGCTGGCTACTCGAGATGTTCCTAGCTGCGTTATGTGTGGATTTTCAGGTCATCCGCACTGGTATGTCTATCGAAGCGCGAACCACCGCCATCCAGCGGTTCACTAATGCGGAGAGTACTACCACAGTCCTTCTAACAACATTTAGTTGTGGAGCGCTTGGCCTGAATATGCATGCAAACTGCAGCCGACTTGTGCTTTTTGAGGCTAGTCAGGACTACAATGGTGTATTCCAAACCATTGGTCGAATCCACCGTCTTGGGCAGAAAGAACCCCAAAAAGCATTGATCCTATTCCAGGACTATACTATCCAACGGTATATAGAATATAATATATGTTCTAAAGAGAGGAAAAAGTAGGATATAAGTAAATGTAAGAGTTAGGAATGTAAGAGTTAGGAATGTAAGAGATAAGTATGTGAAGAGGTAGAAAATTAGGAGAGAAGTGAATAAATAAGAAAGGTACAAGTAAGAGGGACGTAAATAATAAAGAGAGATATAAGTAAGAGATAGGCATCTATAAGAGGGGCCAGAGTGAGAGATAAGTAAATAAAAGAGAAAGGTATAAGTAAGAGGTAAGTAAATATAAGAGTGAGGATTAAGTAAGAGGCCTGTCTTAGTACATAAAGAGAAACATATGAGAAATGTCCATAATTAAAGGATTGATATGACACTGCAGGCAATTCTCACCTGACAAGGGGTTACTGAAAGGATCAAAATCAGTTTCAATACTTACAAACAGAGATTCTTTCTCGAATCCTCTCTCAAACCCCACTATATATGTTACAGTTCCTCTATCCCTGGCACCTTTTTTTTGGCAGTATTTTAGTACAAGTGATAGTCACAGCACAAGACGAATATCCGTTCTGCGTTTGTATTATTCAAAGAAAGCTGATCCTGCAAGACAATGCATAACGAGTGTAAAAGATTTGGGCAAAGGCTGGGGCGTGCTGGGTATTATGAAATGCACGTTAGTTCGCGGCCGTGAAGTTTTCAGGAGTTCCTAAGGTTGGCGGCTCATCTCAAAATTGCGGACCTCAGATCTCTGCGATTGTGAAAAAGCAGCAATGTGGGTTAGTTCGATCATAGAAATTGTTGGGGTTTGCCTCATCTACAATATTCATTCAAAATAGCAGTCAAGGGATTTGGCACTGGTTTCGCCGAATTCGGTTTAATCTAAACCGATGGGGGTTGCCCTTGATCAGGCCGTGCTAGTTCGGTTTGTTGCATCCTTCTATATCAAAAAGATCGGGAACGAGGAGAGAGAGCAAAGTCCGATTCATCACACAGACTGAGAAAGCAGGTAATGGACTAAAGCGATGCTTCTATGTGCGAAATGGATGGAACACAAATAGGTGGGAAGTACGGAGCATCTATAAGCACTAAATCAGTAGTGCGTAAGTCTCTCTTGGTCTGCCGCAGGTCTAGATGATAGGTCCTATCCAGATATCTATATTGTCACCCGAGACTCAGTGGATATAGGAACAGTAGGGGTCTATTCTTACGCGGACGACCAGGCGAGCCGCGACCGAGAGATCTCGGGTTTAGGACATAAGCCCTGTAACTCCATCGTTTTTGTTCTCGGTTTCCAGTACCACCTATCTGCCCTCTCAAAATTCGAAACTCTCCAAATCTGTATCATTCCCTGTTGCTTCACCAGCCTTAAAATCCAAATCATAGGCAAAATGGGAGGTATGGTAGGATTCCTCTATCGGCAGCTCACATTCGCTCCCAAACCGCTGCCGGCCGATATCACTCTTCCGGGGAAAACAGTTCTTATCACGGGCGGAAATGCCGGTCTTGGACTCGAAGCGGCCAAGGAGATTGTAGCTCACAATATATCACGAATCATTCTTGGTGTCCGTAATCTATCGAAGGGAGAGGCAGCTAAAGCGGAGATTCTCACTCAATCGCCGAACTGCGATGTGCTGGTTTGGGAGCTCGATCAGGAGTCATTTACCAGTATGCAGGCATTTGCAGAGCGGGCAGCTGGAGAAGTAGACCGCTTAGATATTGTCATCCTCTGCGCTGGAGTGAAGCTCTTGGAGTTCATCAAGTCGAAGCCGACAGGCCACGAAATGAATGTCCAGGTCTGTTGTGTCGTTGAAATCTGACAAGAAGGGTGAACAGCTAATGATCAAAAAATAACAGGTCAATCATATCGGAACAGCCTTGCTATCTCTCCTTCTCCTTGATCCTCTACAGAGGACTTTCAAAGCAAATCCTGGCCAGCCAACCCGACTAACCGTCGTCACGTCCGAGGTTCATTTCTGGACCGAATTCGAGCAAAAGGATGCACCCAACACCCTCGCCCGTCTGGACGAGCCATCTTCGTTTGGGCAAGGAATGGACCGGTACAACACAAGCAAGCTCCTGAACGTTCTGTGGTTGCGGGAGCTAAGCTCGAGGGTTGGACCGGATTTGATCGTCAACGGAGTGAATCCTGGTCTGTGTGCGAGCACGCTACATCGCTCTGATACCACGCCGGGGGTCAAAAGCTTCAACAAGATTTTTGCCTGGACCTCGGCACAGGGAGGCCATAATCTGGTGGATGCAGCTGTTCAGCATTCAAAGGCTCAGGGGGCTTTTTAAGCGAGCAAGCTATCAAAAAGTGAGCGGCCCCATTTTCTATCCTATGTATTGATTTACTAACCTATTACATCAGCCCATCTCCATTTGTCTTATCAGCGCAGGGCAAGCAAGCCCAGACTAAGCTGTGGAACGAGACAGTCGCACTACTTCAGGAGCAACTGCCCGGAGTCGACCTGCTGAAGAATCTTGTGTAGTTTTATGTCTCTTGTTCTGCATATTAGCCCCCGCCATGCTGCTCATTAATATTTTAAGCCTGGCAGTATCTTGGTATAGATAAATATGCAGTCTCATATAGACCTCAAGATAAATAAGAAATCAATGTGCCCCAGTCCGCTCGCTGTACTTAAGCCAGATTATATCCGCATGGTTAAACCTAGTTGCGATAACGAACGAGGTGTCGGCCCTCGAATAGCCTTGTTCGCATTTGCGAGCCGCTGGCTTCTTAGGGGGACTAATGCTAAAACTCGTTCTGACGATGATTGATACCGAAAAGGTTTAGATTCCAGGGAACATACCTAGGAATGTTCCCTGGAATCTGAACCTCTTTCGGAAGGATGCCTCCTCTCTCTTCCTGATGACGTGTCCGCAGTCCCACCTTTGGATTTTCAACCTGGGGAATCGAAACGCAGTCACCGGCAGCCTTCAGAGAGCAGCTTGCTTGTGCTCTTCTGCTTACATCACCTACATACAACATTTTCACTTCTCAAAACTTTTAAATATGCTTATCTATAAGACAGAGACTTGACACTTACAGATTACTAAACTCCTCCCGATGATCTAGGCTTAGGTAGCGCTATATCCCTGCTCGTACTAATTTGAACGCTAGTTGAAATGGATATTATTCGCAAGACAAGCTGACAAATGTAACAGTAACTCATCCCGATCTGTGCTTGTATGGAAGGTTACGGTTGATTCGCGGTGAGGAATTAATCTTAGAGCCTCATTCGTTGCAAATCAGCCTTGAAAGTCTCCGATCTTATGTCATCAAACACAGATGTATTTACTTGAAGGAGATTTCTTCTCCGATGACACTGAGGAAGAGCGCGAGCAGCTCAATCCGACGCAGATTCCCGCACCAGTTCGATCTATATCCCCGAGAAAGAGACGCCATCTCTGTGCAGATTTGGCGGTCGTACTGAGCATGTTGGATTTGCATAGACTCGATTGTCTTGATATGAACTTGTTGAATCAGGGCCGTTCGGTTTTCCTTGATGATTTAACGACCGGACTTCGTGTTGGGAAATTCCACCTCAATCATATCAAGAGTAGAGCCATCGGAAAGTACTACTGGCCCACGCGATATGTGGATATTGAGCATTACTGCCGCAGTTGTGTGCCGTGCCAGCTTGTGGGACCGAAACTCCCGAAGGAACCAGCACATTCGATTGCAGTTTTGGATCCGATGGCGATGTTCGGAATTGATTACATTGGCCCGTTCAACCCGCCGTCCTCCCGGGGACACCGGTATATTTTGATCGGTGTGGACTACATGTCTCGATTCGCCTGGGGAATCCCAACAACGGAAGCAAAGGCCACGAATGGAAAAAGCTGGAGTGATCACAGATGCGTTTCACCCTGGTCTGCCAGGACGAAATTTGTTCGAAAAGCGGACAAGAAAAGACTCCGAATGGTACATCAGTACATGCCTATCCACCACATCTTCATCTTTCCGAGTGTCCAGACTCGTCCTCGTGCCTACTGCCCGGTTTCGCATCTGAAATAACACACAGTTGAGGGGTGATCTCGCTTAGAAGCATGCGCTTCGACAGCACGATCACCGTAGACATTTTTCATAACATCGCATGGGTTGTCGGACTGGCGGAACGACTCGTGCAACAACTGATTCACATCTTGAGAACATTGGCAGCATCCCAGACAAACATCATCGTGGAATGGGATCAATACATGCCGATGGCCATGCAGGCCATCAACTCACGAAAGTTACAATCGCATGGATTCAGTCCCGCTCAGGTTCTTTTCGGGTTTCAACCTACGTACTTTGGCACTCCTGAGCTACAGAAGGATATTATTGCCAATGATATTATCACCCATCAATTTGAATCTGGACCAGTGAACTTGGAGACTCAAGTTGATGTGGCTCAGGAACGGTTAGCCTTCACGAGAGAGATGGTTCAACAACAATTCTTGATAACCATTTTCCCGGTTAGAGAATCAAGCAAGTTGTTTATCTGATTTGGTACTGTGGATCATTCGTCGCCAGTTGTATTTGGACATGGCAGGCTGGGGCTTATCGCTTTCCTCTACGATGCGCACAGGTCGCTCCACGGGAGGATGTGATAAGATATCCGAAAGAACGTGGAGTGGATTAGTAGACCCACCGATCTTTCGAATCTCAATATCAACCATAAAGTATTTTGTAGAATTGTGAACACGAGGCTCGGCCGTGACATGAACCATGCTGTGCTCTAATGTAACCCATGCCCCGGCAGCAAGGGGCTGATACTGTGGGTAACATAGGTTGTCCATTACTGAATCCCCTTCAACCACGTTGAATCCGACGCCGAAATTCGCGTCAGACCCCAAGAGCACATACACCATGATGTCTTCGAAACATTTAAAAACAACTCCAGCACACAGTGAATTGGCAGTCTTGTCGAGGAGAAAGGTCTTTGGAAATCTAGAGACCGCGATCGTGTGATTGTCGCGAGTGGAGAGAATGGGGGCTGGTGCCAGCTCTTTCTTGCCTTGCATGGCGGCAATATTTGTGAGCTCATATGGACCACCGATGGGTGGAAGACTTCTGAGCTGGATACAGTGTCTAGGATATAGGCCAGCGATATCAGACTTGATCGTCTGGCGAACGTAGATGGTGCTCGTAGGGCCTGGATCTTGCACTTGGGCTAGAGTTCCAATCTTGACACGAGCATACTGCTCGTCCACCTCCGAGAGTCGCTTCAAGAATATGCCTAGAAACCCCGTGTAATGCGGCGGACTTGGGCAGTCCAATAGTGCGACATAGAGACCGCCCTTGGTCGGAGTGAGAGGCAGCGCGATTTGAAGACCTCGGTTTGTCATGGAGTAAGGCTCTCGCGGTACCCAGTCATGATACGGTATAATGTCTGAGCATCCTGCAAAATTCGCAGGTGAGGTAGCCATCAAGCCATGAAGAGATGAAGGCGACGCATCAGTTTTGACCCAGGCAAAGATCGACTGATCGTCTGAGTGCTTCATAATCTCCTCTTGGAGGCGCAAAAAGGCTTTCGTGCTACCTTCCCCGTAGAGCATGGGCATATTGACGGAGAAAATACCCATCAGACAGTATGCGATGTCCTCGGGACGCGTGGTTCGTCGATGAGCCGCCCAGGACATCCGCCTGGCAACACTGACACATTCCAGTGACTTTTGATTCATAAGAATGTCGTCATCGATACGAGTGATTCGGAAAAGGGCCTTCCGCAAAGAGTGTTTCGTACCTATCTCATGCCAATCCTGGGAGAGAAATATGATTTCCGACGGGGCGATCAGCTCTTGCAAGGTAAAGCCCCGAGTAAACCATCGGCTTTGGTCCAGGGTTGAGCCCGGTTCCTCTAGAGCATGTCCAAATGGGACGTCGGATAGGTAGGCCAAACAAACAGCTGCTTCTTCGTAGTGCATGAACATGGAGTTGATAGTTTCAGAAATTTCGGCACTGCTGCTCTTATCTATGCAGCAATTGTCGATCCAGACGTACTCCAATCCGCGCTCGAGGCTGAGCCTGCATGTTTCCTTCACTTTGGTCCATGTTGCCTTTTTATCAGCAGCGTTGCTGCGAATATCTTCAAATAAAACTTCGTCTGCGCCCCAGGTGTGAGAGAGGATGGCGTAAGGTGGAATCCTGTCCGGGGGAAACTCCTCTAATTGGAGGGTGGTAGTTTTTAAAAGGCGCATCGTAGAGAGTGGATTCTAGTTTGCCCAGGGATGAACTCTTTGATCTCGAATCATATCCATACAGTTTGTTGACTTGCTGCCAAGTTGACTTTTCGGTCACTCATTGAATGGGAAGGTGAATGCGATCCAAACAGTCTTTAGTGAATGCCGAGGATCGAGTGCATCAGTATTGCAAAGCTTTAGTATCCCTCACAGGGCTCTTTTGGTCCCCTTAAATATCCAAATCCATCGAAATAATTGCGCCAGGCGACTCAACCGGCGTGATTAACACGTGCAGATATGGTGGGGGCCAAATGCGTAGAACCCTGGGAATGGGGAAGACCGCGATCAGCAACACAAACTTCGCGTATAAATAGACTGCAACAAACTTTAAAGAATCCCAGTGGCGCAAATTAAATTAAAGTTGAAACATCTGGCTCGAGGGAGTCGACAAGCGTCATGGGAGACAGTGGGACTCAATAATACTAAGGCACTAGCCGTCATGATGAGTCACAATGATCTGGTGGAAGAAACCAGAATTGACAGTCTGAGCTTCACTTCCCCTGTTGACCCGTATACACGGCTCATTCGAGGGGTAAAATGCCAAGTCTTAGCCCATTTAGCCTCATTCTACTAAACTAACAGAGTAAAGTAGGTGGAGGGAGAGCGGCAGCCCTCTTACCGAACTTCTCCTAGTCTGTCCCTCAGGCCCTGCATGCAAGATCCTTCAAATGGAATGTTGATCAGTTACTAAGCATGTCACGAGTCAGGAGGGACTTGAAGTGCGCTATGTTCGCATGTTCAAGTTCTGCCTCACTGTTGATGTAACGTGCGATCCAACAAAGCCCCACTGGGGGCCAAAAAACCATTGAAACTAACTTTAGAACTTGAGAAGGCAGTGTATGTTGCCAACCACTTAGTCCCGTATTCAGGTGCAGTCCGTGAGTAAAACACCAATGAGAGGTCATGTATCTCAGGCACCAGGGACTTGGTCTCCATTTTGTTGCTTCGATTACCTAACACATTGACCTTGTCAGCATCTTGATTGGTACAGTCTGCCTCGTTCGACCACAGTTATGTACCAGGTGGAGGGCAATGCACCTCATGTCTAATTTCGGGGGTATCTCGTTTCATGACTCAACATTTGAGCCCTTTCAGCCTCGTAGATCATTAATCTAGTTATAAGAGCCCCTGGCTATCCCCTGCCCGGAAGTTCTCTTCCTTATTCTAATCACGAATTCGCAGCCATGGAGCCTCAAAATACCCAGCCCGCATCTACCCAGCCTACGCCAACCGAAACAGGTGTCACTACTACCAGTGGGGTCCCCATTGAGTCGGTTATAGAGAGCCATATTGCCAGCCCTGATGTCTCGCGCTCAGCAGAGAAGCCCAACCTTACTCAGTAATATTCTGCCTTTACGACCACTACTTCTGAATATCCACTAATATCTCCTAGTACACCAGACAATGTGATTCCGGAAACTGCACCGGCCTACAGCTCTGCCTCAGTGGAAAAGCCAGTGCGGATCGAACCCGTGCCTCAAGTTGCTAAAGTAACACCACTACACCTCCTCAGGGAACAGCCCGTATGGATCGACTGCCCCTTCTGTGAGCGAAGAGCAATGACCCGAGTGGGTCACGAAGGATCTAGTGCTACCATGTATGACCCGAATCCGAGAATACTTTGTCACTACATGATAGAAGTTTTGCTGATGGTATCCGCAGGCTAGCCTCCCTCGTCTGCTGTCTGATTTGCATCTGTCTCGTCTGTGTTCCAAGTTTAACGGGCATGTATCAAGACACAAGTCACTACTGCACCAACTGTGGCAAAAAAGTCGCTCATAAGCCGCATGACGGTCAAACACAGCCGATCGGGCCTATGCCTATCGGGGATGTTCCTTCAAGACGCCCTCTTGCCTAAATTAGTATGATCCGGAACCAAACGGCACTGTCTCAGGGAGTGCAAACTCCGCAGCCAGTTCGCGAAGCGCAAATGCCAGAAAAGGCAGCTTCGAAACATATCAGGCCATGCAGGGCGAATTAACTTATTTCCCTCCTTCGATGCAATTATTTGTCTTGTCTAGTTTGTCCGTTTATTACTTGATGTATACCTAATACCCATTCAACAATTTGTCATGTTAGAATTTCATGTCGAAACTTCCTTTTCTCTAGATTTAGCTCTCGTGGTCATATTTTACTTCTTATAATGAAAGCCCAGAATTAGTCCAGTCTTGATACGCATCTCAAGATTAAGCAAAGGCTGTGCCCCATGAATTGTAGCAATACCCGGAGCTAGGAAATCCCTACTCTAATCCGGGCACCGCCCTTCAACCTCCGAGCGCCACACATAAGCCCACCACAGCACATAACCGTCGCGCCATTACGGATCAATATAGATCCAGATAATTATGAAAGTCATCCAGAACCCACTTCATAATGCACCTCAGGTCACCCGCATCCTACAATGGATCAGCCGGAAAATTCCGAGTCCGCGATCCCAACGACCCTTCCACATACCCCTGCACAAGCTTCATCTCAATATTGTCCCATTCAATACTCCGAAACAATGAAGGGAATACGGCACCGAGCTCAGCCAACTGAGCATCAAGGCGACGCACGGCCAATATTAGCGGACCCGTGTCGCAGGGGAAATCTGGTGGGTATAGTGACCTGGGTATGGGAGCCAGCACCGGCCTCCTAGTGACTGTGTCGATCTTTACTTATATAATCTATATTTTATATAAATTTAAATAATAGGAATAATATATGATTTCCATTCAAGTACAATACATTTGCGTCTTGTGTTGAGACGGCCATTTCCCGCGCCGTCCTCTAACATTGGCTCTCCTTGCTTCCTGGGACGTTCTTCCGCGGCGGGTCTGTAAAAGAGCTATATCAACATATCTGAAAGTACCGCAATAGACAAACAATATGTGTGGGGGGGGGGGGGGTGGGGCGGAAATCAGGATACGAGAGCAATCGCAATTTCAGCTCCAACTCGTATTGAACTCAGCCTCGCCTCGCCCCGCCGATCACCTAGTCTATCTTGGGTTGCATTTCGTCGCACGACCCCAAGGCAGCGTTCACCCTATACTCACCTGGGCGACGCTCGGGCGACGGGGTATGAATTCTCACACAGGGCGTGATCAGCCCCGCGCCTGGTAGACTGAACTTGCCATACAAACCTGGAATAGCTTACGGCCCTTTGATCGGTCTGCTATGTATTTTTTTACCGCTTAGAATATGCCACTAAAGAAAAAGTTTTTGGGACCAGCTCGAGGAGTGTATTATACGTGTCGAGTTACGTGGATTTATCCGCGAGTATAAGGAATAGAAAGCGTCCGAAACTAAAGTAATCTTCTATCAACAATTCGCTCCCGCTATTAGTGATATATATATAGAGTCGTATGAAAAAGGTTGGACTTTATTACGGTAAATGCCCAGGTGTATCTTGTTCTTCGCGTCGAATCATATATTGCTACTTAAAACCTAGTCATTCCACTTCACTACTCGTTTCGAAAAAGAGATGAATTTCACAAGGAGGGGTATTTGTTCTTGACACTTCACTTAGATCCGAAGTATAGCTTGAGTTAGCGCACTACCTGGCGGCGCCCAACAAGAGGCTATATAGACCCGAGTGATTACAGTCCATAGAGTCATCTGGCAACGGTGCGATCGCGATTGAGACTTGAGCACGAGCATCGGCGTACTTATACAGATCCCACGAGCGATACTTACTATGACCAGACAGCACCGCGTAACAGATTTATTCCTAAATTGCTCTTATGCTCTTCTCGCTTGAATTAGGATCATTATTGATCACTATTATCAAATCAAAGCATGGTTTTAGGTGATCATATTCGATTCGCCTGTGTCGGTGTTCACCCGATCTTTTTTGTTCGTCCGGGAAAATCCTCTTACACTACACTGCACCAGCCCTTTCACTGGAATGCCCTGAGCCCAGAATATGAAGGTTGTTGACCAATCACAAGAACTGAGTAACTAATTGCTGATGGGGCTGATGGGGCGGGGAAGAGTGGGGATGAACCCCTGAGACCTTGAGGGGCTCTTGGCCCCCACGGTACGTTGATATTCTAAATTCACATTGAAAATCAGGGCCACGTCCTCCCGAATAGCCCTCGTGCACTTCGACTGCATTAAGAACTTCTGAAATTGAATAAATGAGCGAAAGGTCCAACCCAATGACTTCCTCAAATCGGCCAAAAGTACCAGTAAAGCCCAAGAATCTTAGGGCATCTCCAATCTACGAACCTCAGAATACGCAGGCAGACACATACCTACGAACTAGATCTGTTGATCAAGAGTCTGAGACTATATTGCCTGGTTCGTCTACAGAGGAGCGGCCACCTTTGCCAGCAAGGCCTCTTGTTTCAGCGATAGAAACGATTCCGGGAGATTCGCCTCGGGAGGGAGATGCTGGAGGAGTATTCGGTAGGCTAGATGTTACCAGAATCAGAGTTGATCGATTCCAGAACCTTTTCCAGCCCCCCAGAAATGTTTTCACTTCCTTCGAAATGCCTTGGATGCCCCCGGCATTGCGCCAGGCCAACGAGAGTGTAAGGAATACCTTTAGAAATATGATCAGCAAAATCGAACCTCCCACAGCCTTCATTGAAACCAAGGATGACTGCGATGATTTGTTTCGTAAATCACTCGGGCGGGAAGACCTGTGCTCTAAATGCCGGTCACTTCCTGTGGAGACGTGTGATGGGAATTCTCTGGAAGAGACGGATGGAAATGAGGTGCACTGGGCAACGCCACTGTCTCGAATCATTTTTCATGCAGATTGGTGTCGAATGTGTCGACTATTACTCTCTATGCTTGTTCGCCCTGAATTCGACCCTTTAAAACACCCCGAAGTTGCACCATATCTCCAGGATAAAATCCAGGGAATGTCAATGAGACAGTGGGTGCAACAGGGCTGGAAGTTTACGGATAAGAACTGGCCATTTGGAAGGAGCGAGTATCGTCACGATGGTGCCACAAATATGCTTGGTCCCGCGCGGGACGTCCTTTGGGATATGGTGCGCAGACCAGAGATGTTACAGTTATTGTCCCAGGCTGTCAAAATCGCTGCCGCTGGATCCATGCAACCCATCAAAAACACCAAGAGACGAGATCTACATAGAAGCACTTATGGAGATGGACTGAAAGAGGGCAGAGAGGCGGCGACAAAGTACCCCCTAAGCTGCGTTCTTCAAATTTCTATATTAACGAGAAAGCACCCTGAGTTTCCAGGTTTGGTATTTGCCAGCCTTGTCGGCTTTGGCAACCGCCCAGGGGGAGATCCACAGCTACTTAGTCGGTTCAATCTTCGCGTCACTGATCTAGCAAACGATCAGAGCTTCAATACTGTGATAGGTCTATCATATGGGAAAATCCTTGACAAAAATTGGATTGACACTTCCACTTTGAGACAATGGCTGGGTCACTGTGAAACGTATCATGGAGACCGGTGTAAAAAGCACGACTGGGGAATCATTATGCAGCGGCCTCGATTTTTGCGACTCATTGATGTCCACAATCTTTGCCTTGTTGAGGTTCATAATCCGGGGAACCATCGGTTTCTGGCTCTATCATATGTATGGGGCCAAGTCAACGCCGTCAGACTGAAGTATGACAACAAAGAGGAGATGATGCAGTTTCAGGGTCTCGGAAAATTCTTGGATTCTCTCCCACGAACTATTGTGGACGCAATGGAACTTGTAAGGTCTATTGGTGAAAGTTATTTGTGGGTTGACACTCTGGTAAGTGTTTTTAAGCCCGAGTATGATATCTTTGATTCTAGGTTCTAAATGCCTCATAGTGTATATTGCAAGAGAATACATCAGAGGCACGGGAGCAGATTGCAACCATGGATCGAGTCTACGGAAGTGCCGTGCTCACTATTGTTGCAGCTCAAGGTGTAGATGCCAATGGTGGGCTCCGAGGAGTCCCGAGGAAATGGTATCCTTCCGAGAATTCTAGTATGCCACGTGAAATTACACAAGAATCGGCTGAAATAAAAGATGGGACGCATATCATTGCACCCTTTCCTTGTACTCAAGATCTGACGAAGACAATTTGGAATTCAAGGGCATGGACCTTCCAAGAAAAGCTTATGTCCAAAAGACTTCTCGTTTTTTCCGGAGATGAGGTTGTTTGGCACTGTCGGCAAATGATTTGCAGAGAGGATATGCACACCGGAGATTGTGGATACAACACCGACCCTCTGGACTGGTTGTCATTAAAGCCTCAGTACTTTGGGGTTGATATTGATAGACACTGGGTTGATGGAAGCTTGAAGATCGATAGGCACGGCAGAACACGCGTTGTTCGTTCCGGAACCTTTGCCGAGTACGCGAAAGCCGTTGAAAGCTACACATCACGCCAGACCACATACAAGTCAGATGCTATCAGAGCTATGGAAGGTCTGCTCCACATATTCCAATTGAGTTTCAAATCCGAATTCATCTCTGGTCTGCCTAAATCACTACTAGACGTTGCTCTGCTGTGGAGAGCAACAAGGCAACTAAAGAGGCGCGATGGGTTCCCTTCGTGGTCCTGGGCAGGCTGGGAAGGCCAAGTCACCTACAACAAGCCAATGGCGGTAAACAGGGATGATGCGGGGAATGTAAAGTTTGCCGAAAAAAATGAATTCGGCGAAGAGGGCATTCAGCCATTACTGCGATGGCAAGTGTACGACGAGTTTCATGGAGAATTAAAGCGCGTGAGTGATCATGGGTGGGGGATACCGCTTAAAGGTGGTGTCCCTCTAGAGTGGGAGGCAACACCCTATTACGCGGGTCATCAAAGCGATCATCAAATATTTGATCGACCAATTCTGGTATCTGATCTGGAGCCCCGGCAGCTTTCTTCTCTATCAAGCAGCAAAATCCCTCATCTCGTGTTTCTCACAAGTTGTGTTGACACATTTCAACTTGGCGACTACGTCCTTCAAAACAGTGATTTAGAGAGACTCAATCCGACTTCGCCTCCAGATTGCTCCGAGCAGCGACCGCTGCGACTCTCTATCACAGACTCAGAGTTGCAATGGATTGGTAGCGTTCTTCTTGATAGCAATGGACCAGAATGGATTTATAGAGGGCAACACGAATTCATTCTGCTCTCCGAAGCTCAATACTATGGCCTTGACCAAGAAAAATACGACGTTGGCGAATTCCCTTTTTACTCAATCATGCTTGTGAAGCGTGATAATCTAACAGGAATCTCAACCAGACTAGGATTGGGAAGGGTCAATAAGATAGCTTGGATGATGGCTAACCCTGTTCTGAAAACTGTTGTTCTTGGTTGATGTATAATAATCTTAAAAGTTTACTAATATATTCTACGATCATATTTCAGGGTATTTTATATATAGCTACTGTCAGAGATTGGATATCTCTGTCCACTGGTACGTGCTTATGCACCAAATCGGGATTTTTCATCTTTCTTTCGCGTTTTTGTCTTTGTATCTCTGATGCTATTCCAAGAATGCTTCTTGCACGTATGTGAGACTTTTCGCCATCAGGCTATATATCAAACGTCTATGTACTCAATGTTAACCAATCCTTTTGCGCTATGGAACCATGACAGACAACCTACAGCAAGGCATCTGAAGTGCTTCATGCATACCCCACTGCAGTCCTCCCCTCTGAGCAGGAAGATGGCAAGCGATTTGGCTGCATCTTACAGGCTTCTATCCACAAGACCTTTCAATGCTAGCTTGGCATTGACTCACTGGGCATTACACCGCGGAAGAGAAATGGACTACCAGAACTCTCTTGGAATTGACGAGCTGGCCCTCGATCCCCACTATTTCCACCTCAAGTGGATCCGCGCACTTATTTACCCAATCGAAACCTTGAAATTTTAGTTACGATTCTGAATTTCTTGCAAGGTGGATGCTTCATGCGTATTCTATATTAATGATTGCTTGGAATCATGACTGGAGCCATGCACCTAGCCCTTCACCAGCAAGGAATCTTCCGGTAGATGCAATCTACACCGAATCGGCATCGGTGATTTGGCCCAATGAGCATAAGTACCAACGCCACCCCATTCTGTGTATGTCTGTTCCGCATGGCATGCCTACTTCAGACTAGCATCACCGGAAGGTAGTATCTCCACTCCGGCTGGAACGAACCGCGTGACCATGGCCAATATATGATCAGTCTTCTTTCAACAAGACACGTCATGCAGTTGAAAGTCCCAGTGTAATATTAAATCCATTATTAGATAGTATCTCTTATCATCTATCTCTATGTCTTGTTTCGTCTCGTAACAGAAGCATACAGAGAAATTACTGAACGCTACCAAACATATACGTAACTTTTTCACCATGCACACGGTTCCAACCCGTGGCGATAGCCAATTGTACTTCAATCAATGTATTTTGGGAGCGTGTTCATGATGCCGTCTTGGGCAATCAGGTCCATCGCAGTTGAAACCTCCTCGAGGAATCTCTTGTCGGTGCGCAAGTCATCTCCAAAAAGGTTATCGATCTTGAGAACATCGATTGGATTGCTGCTTCCTGCACGGGCTTGCAGTTCCTCACGCATCGGATCAACAACTTCAAACTTTTCGCCACTATCATCCACACCGTTGATGTAGCGGAACCAAGCGGCAACGACAAAGCAAAGGTGACGGAAAGGTCCAGCGACCCATATAGCTTCAGCAATGGAAGGCATAATGAACTGTGGGATCTTGCCAGAGGCGTTTAAACAAAGGCGGGGAAGCTGGTCCATGATTGCAGGATTAGAGAATCGCTCAATAAGGGTAGAGCAGTATGCATCAATGTCGACACCAGGGATCGTAGGCAAGAGGGGTTTGACTTCCTGCATTGTCTGCCACACAAAGCGACGGTATACCGGGTCCTCCATGACTTCGTGGACGTATTTAAAACCGGCCAGCTGACCTGCATAACCAATTGCCGAATGGCCACCATTAAGCAGACGGAGCTTGTGCTTTTCGAATTGCTCAACCTCATGGATGCCCTTGACAATCTGGATTCCGACCTTCACCTGCTCGAAGGGTGGGCGACCATCAGAGAAGTGGTCCTCAATAACCCATTGAGTGAACGGTTCAGTGATAACTGGCCATGCATCTTCAACTCCGAATCTTTCGGCGAGATCTGACTTATCGGAATCGTTGGTCTGTGGGGTAATACGGTCGACCATAGCGTTGGGGAATGCGCCTTGCTCCGCAATCCATTTAGCGACCACGGGGTCCCCGCGAAGACGCGCAAATGACTCAACCATATGGCGTGTGATAGATCCATTCTTTTGCATATTATCGCATGACATAACGGTGAATGGCTTAAGCCCTTGCTTGTGGCGCCGCGCCAGGGCGGCGTAGAGGTAACCGAAAGTAGTACGTGGAGGATTGGCCGGGTCGAGATCGTAGACAATATCCGGGTGATCACTTTGTAGCTCATGGGTATTTTCGTTATAATAATAGCCGCTCTCGGTAATTGTGAGCGACACAATATGAGTATCAGGGTGGGCCATCTTGGCAATAACAGCCTCAGAATTATCGGGCGCAAAGAGGTAAGAGTTAATACTTCCCACGACATGAGCAGCGTTTCCTTTTGCCGAGCGTTCGATAACTGTGTAGAGATAATCCTGCGATTCTAGCACGTCGCGCATGGCGGCATCGAAGGGTTGTAGGCCAACTCCGCAAATTGCGTAGTCATTCAGGCCATTCTGCATCAATTGATCGACATAGACGGCAAGGTGAGCACGGTGGAAGCCCCCGACACCGACATGAACAATTCCTTCCTTGACGGCACTGCCGCGTGGGTAGCTTGGAACTTTCACATCACCTGCGGCCGCAATCTGAGACAAGTTTTTGTTGTTGAGCTTGAGGGGTGCCATTGAATAGTGATTGAATTGAATTGAGTTGAATTGAAGATAATCGAATGAAAGCCAGGGCGAGCTGCTCGCAGTTTATGAATGAATTCTCAAGAGTCACCGCCCCTTTTTTAGATTGGCAGCTGATGAACAGAAATTTTTCCACAGCATTGCATCACAAGGTCTTAAAATACTAGTCCCTTTGGTGGAGTTCTGAACGGGCCTCGCCTCCTTTGCCCAGTAGCGATCTAGATGCGGGTCAGTTACCAACAGCATATTTTTGAATGTACAGGTATGTAGCGGTACGGAGTAGGAGAAAAAAGAAATAAGGGATCACGAGTTCATACATCCTGGAGGTCATATTAGCGTGCGCGGGCTCCACTTGCCTCTCCTTTAGTGACCCTTGCGGTACGTTTGTGTATTGTGGAGGAAATGTGGGGACCGAATCCGGTGCAAAATGAGAGGAAAGTGTTGGCCGGAGATCTGGGGGAGACTGTAGTAAGCGGTAATCCCGCAGTATCCCCAAAGTGACAATACGCGGGACCCACCTTCCCACCCTCCCAACACTATAGGGGCTGGATAGGTATGAATCTGGTGGGAAATGCGAAAGAATGAATTCGAAAGGAGGTAGTAGAACGAGGTGGTAGATCACAATTGAGCTTCTGTATCTTGGCCGGTTCAAGGAGAGCTTCATTCTGGAGCACCTGATTTCGAACACATTTCGAATGCTCCCGGCTCGAGGGATACGATATTGCCAAGCCGCTTGCGTCGACCTTGAATCTAGCATGGAAGATATTCGATGAACGATCTAGAGCTAGGCTCTTAATAAGCGCCTCTAGCGTCCCGAAAGACAGGAAAAAGAAAAACGAGGTCACGAGGAAATAAAGATAAGCCGCTGTTGACGTGGGCAAATTCTATTCTACGGGGTCTGGATCTCATTAAACAATACATTAATTAAAAGATTTATCTGTCTTTATCTACTTTTCCGATAATTTTTTTTTGTCAAAAAGGCAATGATATCAGGACAGATGGAAAAAGAAAATGAAAAGGAATTGAATAGCCAAATCCTTCGTAGACCAGATGGAAAACATAATGAGAAAAAGAGTGTTTTTAAAGTGCATAACTCAGGTAGTGGGTCTGCTTAGGTAATGACATAATTGTGTACATAACATCAAACGTATTGACATCGTGTGGCGGAGTGTATGCAATCCATGGATATCTTTTGTCATTGTCCTCTACCTTGTTTCATTTGCCGGTGCTAAGCCATGGGGTCGCTTTCCTGCCCGAGATTTAGAACAATCCTTGAACTAGATGGCGGCTAATTTTTCCCGTCCACTTGTCAAAAGAACAGCAATAATCGCCATTGTCAACATGTGTGGCAAGACCTCTTACGCCTTAGGCACTTGTTTGTAGTCAAGCAGTGCGATTTACTAGTATACTATGGGCGGTACCACCATTTTTCGCGGTGGGAGGCCCTTATGTGTTATTGGCTTTCGTGATGAAATACGTCCTTATCCATGAGCATGGTGTTTGATACCAGCAGTAACTACAGGCAAATTCCATCAAATCAGGAGGGAAACTATATGGTTACCAGAAGACTCATATAATTGTATCCAATTAGTGCCGAAGACTATTTCCTAAGTTGCTTCGGCCCGTGAAGCGTCAGATCGACGTATTGAATCTGGCGAAGATGACCCGGCTTATGCCGTCGTCAAGTTTGGAGGAATCTATTGAAGATAAACCTACTCTGATCCTCATTTGCATTTAATACTTATATCACTCATTCTTGGTCCAAACAACTCTATTTCTCCACTTCATTAGTCAATTCTGGCCCATTCATAAGCGGTTCGCGATTGTCGGTCTTCTCTCCGGACAAGCTTGGAGAATCTCCGACACGGATAAAGCGTGGAAATCCGACCGCGTTGGAAGATTTATTATAAAACTCGGTATTCTGCCATTTCTAAAAACAACAGTTCCAAAATGACTACCAAGCCTGCCGTTCTTCACATTGGTGACCCCATAACATACAATCATGATTTCTTTAACAACGAATTTGCGTCGCGCTTCAATGTTATCCAAGCCACAGAAACCGACCGTGATACTTTCATTCAAGCATTGAAATCTAAAAAGTGACCTGACATACATCCGTGGCTTTACTTCACTGCGTGCTAATGTTTACCAGATATGGCGACTTCTCGGCCATATTCCGCCCTCACTTCCAAAGCGGAGGTTTCATGGGACAATGGGACGCCGAGCTTATACCCTTGCTGCCACCTAGTATGCGCATATTTGCCTCTGCAGGGGCAGGCTTCAACTGGGCGGATGTCGATTTGCTGGGCCAGCATAAGATCTGGTACGCTAACGGCGCCGGCGCATCAGATGAAGCTGTCTCCGATACAGCGCTGTATATGATTTTGAGTGTATTTCGCAATTTCACTCGCTCGCAGATAGCCGCACGAACAGCCGATCCGGAGAGGTTCACGGAGACACATAAGCTGATTGCGACCATTTCGCATAACCCCCGTGGCCATGTACTGGGGGTTGTGGGTTTCGGGAACATTAGCAAGAAACTTGCTTTCAAGGCCCGCATGGCGTTGGGGATGGAGATTCACTATTTTGATATTATACGTGCTGACCTAGAGGAGGAGAAAGAGCTGAAGGCGACGTATCATGAATCTTTGGACGAGCTTCTGAGGGTGGCAGATTGCGTGACGCTGCACACGCCGCTGAATAGGCATACACAAGACCTGATGGATGCGAGAACTTTGGCTTTGATGAAGCCTGGGAGTCGGCTTGTCAATACTGCGAGAGGGCAGATTGTTAATGAGGATGCTTTGATTCAGGCGCTGGAAAGTGGACACCTTTCTGCTGCTGCATTGGATGTGCATTACCACGAGCCACAGGTGTCCCCACAACTAGCGGGTATGCAAAATGTCACACTGACTACGCATATTGGTGGTGGTGCATTGGATACCAGAATCAACTTTGAGTTGAACGCTATGAAAAACATTGTTCAAGTGGTCGGGCCAGACGGAGAGTTTGTGGGGGAACCTTTTACGCCTGTGAATCGGACAGCTTTCGAAGCGGCGGCATACATCCAGTCTTAAGTTTAAGATTTTCCAAGTGTAAGGCCAAGATAGCCCGATCCACCGATAATTAGCACGTTCGGCATGATAGCTGGATATAATTGGGAGGAAGTTGATGAAGTGGACAGTTTGAGTGCACAGCAGGAAGTCAAGCTTCATTTATTTATTCAAGGGTCCTGAGGTACGATCTATGGGTCTTGTATTTCATTTCCAAGGTTGTTGATCAACCCAGTTGGATGCGTATTTGTCAGTCGGCACAATATTCGCACCAAAGTCTCACCGTCTTGTTACCTAAACATGAACCACAATATGTTTGGGAGCTGATATTTGTTTGGGAGCTGATATTTACTGTCTCGGCCAGCCTTGCAAGTGGTGGACGACCGGAGATCGACGCAAAGCCCGGGCTTGGAAGTAACTCTTAAGGCCGAAAGTCCGGACGGACAAGGCACATCACAAATAATTCCCTCGGACTAGATAGGAATTAATCCTGTTCTTCGGTCATTTCTGTCCATTGACAGCAGAATGTTTTCGATAAATGTCAGAAGCTTGAAAGTTGAATGTTGATCGCGATCTATAAATGGCACTAGTCCCCTTTCGGATAGCAGATTTCTCAGGCAGAAACAGCTCTTTCATGTGACTTTTGAGGCTCCTTCACTGCTCCCGCGATTTCTTTCGTCGCATTCACCACGCTAGGCGCTGCCCTGCGCGATATTCATTCTTTCACCCGCCACATAGACTTCTTTCCCTGTCAAGTTGACTCTTTGAGCGATGACCCACTTTGTCCGTCCTTAATCCCGCGACCAGAAGCTTCGTCTTCCGACTCGACTCTCCACTCCCCTTCAATCGCCAGAAAACAGCTCTCTAAGAGTGCGCTCGCACCAAAAAGCAGCCGCGAACATGGACCTTGCGAACACGCTCATCCGGAGCGTCGTCCGCGCCTTCTATGAGACCCGACACATTTTGGTAGTTGATGCGCTTTTTCTCCACTCGGTGTATGATACTCTTTTCCTGGGGAATTGAATATGTGGATAGAATGGTTTGACTGATCTTTTACAGTCTGCATGCGGAAGATCTTGCATTCGTGATGGGGATGCAACAGAAAGATCTCCGCAAGCTATGCGCTCGGTTGCGCGAGGATCGCCTAATCGGAGTGTAAGCTGACTCCACTGAACTGAGGTTTTACTCCCAACATGAGCTGACCATGCGTCATTTCTATGGCATTACAGAAGCACGCGCGCCGAGATTCGCGATGGGTCAACCCGTCCCGTGAACCGTGAATACTACTATATCCCGCTCCACCCAGTCATCGACGCAATCAAGTACAAAGTCTCGAAATTGACCTCTACAATCAAAGCGCAATATACACCAAGCGAAGAGCGGAAGGAATATATCTGTCTTCGCTGTGGTCAAGAGTGGACTGAGCTGGACGTGTTGAGTTTAGTCTCGGAGGAAGGCTTCGAGTGCCAGAACTGCGGGGCCATCCTCGAGCGAACAGAAGATGTTAAGGGTGTAGAGGGTATCGACCGCACAGGCCACGAGAAGAACAGCAAGCTGATGGCTCAGCTGGATAATATGCTCAAATTGCTGAAGCAGATCGATTCCGTCGAGATCCCACCCAACGACTTCGATACGGCCTGGGACCATAAAGTCGAGATTGCCCGAAACCAGAACACACACCCTGTTCGTCCCGCAATCGCTGTGGCCCCCAGACAACAGGATGTCACACGTGCCAACGTCAAAACAGACGCTGCTGCCCTGGAGATCTCACTCACGTCCACCGAAGAGAAGAGCGCCGCCGAGCAGGCGGAGGAAGCTGCCCGCAAAGCAGCCGTCGAGAAACAGAACCAACTTCCTGTTTGGCATACAGAGTCTACTGTTAACCGTGAAACAATCGGTGATGCCAATGTCAAGAATGAAGCCGGTGTACCTGTGAAAGCGGAAATGGGAGACGAAGACCAGAAGCCCAGCCTTGATGCACTGGACGACAAGGTGGCCGCTTACTACGCTGAGATGGCACGGGAGAAGGCCCTGCAAGCCGAGGAGGATGCCAGTAGCGGCGAAGAAGACTCTGATGATTTCGATGAATTCGAAGATGTCGGTCTTTCCGGCCAGAGTGGTCCAGCCACCCCCGCAACAGCGGCTGGTCCAACCAGTGTTCCTACGCCCTCTTCTGCCGTTGCTGGTATTAAACGTGATCTTGATACCGCATCAAGTGCTGCCCCGTCTTCTGCTGGAACACCGACTACTCCAGCTGATGATGAGCCAAGTGCTAAGAAAATCAAGACTGAACCTGGTGTCACTGCCGAGCCTGCTATCAAACAAGATCATGTTGTGAAGGCTGAGCCAGGTGTTAAAGAAGAGGAGTCGGATGAAGATGAAGATGAGTTTGAGGACGTTTGAGACAATGCATAAGCATTTTTGATCCCCTTCTCAAAGAAAAAGCAGATATTAAGAGCCACTCTACTTTGACATTGGCGCTGGCGTCTATGTTCACTGTATTAAGAAGAAGCAAGTTGAATGAACTTGGTATAGAATACTGTCTTCTCCCATCTACCATATGGTGAGGCTTTACTATGTTACTTCGGAACAGGATATGAATTCCGATGACGTTTTCATATCATTGGAGCGTTACAGCCCGTGGCCTAGTACAAGTGAAGGGAAAAGCAACGCCAGGCCCCGTAAAACAGAAAAAAGTGCAAATTTCCCAGGTCATAAAATCGTAGTTGAATCTTATCATCACAACTCCATGTCACGCTCGCTGAAGCCATGTAATATCTCCTTAAGCAAGAAAGAAAAACAGAAAAGAACAATAAAATCGAGCCGAGAGTGTCTAGGCTCAATCCATCTAAGGGGAGCCCGCGAGTCCCATTTCAGAGTCACTGGCCAGCACGGATGTGGCTTCCCATTCTTCTGGAGAGGGCATTTCGGATTCTGGGTGCCCTGTTAGATGCAGTTGTGGAAGCGGAGAGTTAATGGTGGCGTACCTGAGATAAAATCGTCGGGAACATCAACTGTAATTTGATCGAGCAAGGTGAGGGTGTCTAAAAGAGAAACTAGTATTAGTTGAAGATTTCGTATTGATAAAAGGGTCAATGATATTACCGTTTGCCCGACGGACGAAGAGAGAGTCCTGTTCATTTTCGAGGTCGAAATAGTTCTCCAGACAATGAGTAAGGGTCGATGTGATGCTGTACACCAGTCTGGACTCAACACTTGCTATTTGCCCAGTGAGGAATGGATCATTGATCCGTTGTACGCAGGCTCTGGCTAGCTGCCTGCCAATTTCAACATGCGGAGAGCGAGGTTCGGCCATGTTGTCCTCTCTATCCAGAGCAAAAAGGAGTCTGTTGGCTATTTCGAGTGTCTGTTGGCGGACCACTTTTTCCGTATCGACAAGCAAGGTTGGAACGAAGTCCGGGATCTTTTGCTGAACAATACTCTTGAACCACTCAGATGGCAACGACAGTCGCTCATTGACAGTGCTTTGATTGCAAAGCTGAGCGAAAAAGTCAATGTGGTCAATGCCACCACTGTTGTTAATGGAGCTCACACCTTTGGCCACAAAGTCAATCATGCCAGTCACCTCTGCTACCTCAGGTGCGTGTTTGCAGTAAACAATGGCCATGCAAAGATATGGAGTACAAAGATCTGCCGGCGATAGCCGCAGACCAAGCTCCAAAGATTTGACAATACGATCGAGGAAGTTCGCTTCGGGCTCTGCTGCCACAAGGCTGACAAACATGTCCAGAATAGCATCTTGAAGACCAAAATGCTCGTGTTGGAGTAATTGCTTTAAGAACCCGGCGTTGCCATCATCGTCGACGTCCCAGATATACTTGCTTTCAGTATAGGTGAGCGCGTACTTGCTGTTTGGTGACATCCGGCGAACTTCATTGTCTGAAAGTACAGGCAGTGAAAAGTCAATACTCCTGAAGAAGACAGAGCAGAGAACCAGCATGTTTTTATAAATGAACCGGCGCCCCTTCTCCAGCAGTCTGCTGTAATTCTGGTAGGACAGTCTCAGTTTCATCTTGTCATCCTGGTCGAGCCAAATAATCTCGAGACAGCGGGTGAAGATGCTTTTCTGAAGCAAGATGCCAATGACCTCGGGTCCGCACTCGGCAAGTCGGAGAAAACAGTCGAAGTAATCTTCCCAGCCACGCGGGATACCCTGTAGCGCAGGCCATAGACGCTGCAGCATCTCCACAATATGCTCAACAAGCGGCTGGGCTTGACTCTCCAGACGAACACGGTCGTTCTCATCCATGTCTGGATCTTTCAAGCGCATCCGTAGTCGCTTGAGAGATCCTATCAGAAGCATAATTCCCTTTTGTCTAATGTCCTGACTGGCAGTTCGCAAAATGATATTGTGGAGCGAAGTGTCCCTGTCACAAGCCCATTTCAACGTCTGCAGAGCTGCGCGTGGATTCCGACTAAGCAATTTGTATAGCTCAGCGTAGATACAGTCTGCTCCCAGATATTCTTTGGTTCGCGCAATCAGCTGCTCGAAAGTGTCCAGACCAACGTCTATGGCAAGCACTTCCAGCTCCGATTTGTGGGCATACTCAACGTTCGTCTCGCGTAGCCTCTCGAGTAGACGGTGAACGAAGAATGCGTAGGAAGGATCCAGAAGACAGTATGTTCGAATGAACAACTCGTTGTCCATGGCGATGTGATTCGCATAATCGATGGGCACGGGAACTCGTACCGGGCAATTCTGCTTCAGCGGCTGGTAGCATTCTTTCGACTTTTCCATCGTCGATACACGCTGATAGAACAGCATGTAAGCGTTCCAGACTTTGTTAATCTGTACCCCGCCCATCGAATGCATCGAATCGCCCTGGCCGCCAAAGCATTGGTCCGCAATTGTGGAAGGGTCAAATTGGCTCACATCCGAGTCATTGAACTCAACCCAGGATGATGCAGATCCTGCGGAGGGTCTCTCACGAGTGTATGAGTAGTAGTGCCCAGACTCGGCCGTACCAGTGTGGACCAGAACCCCAACCAACTCAAAAACATCAGGCTCAGCAAGCATCTCTGGATCAGATAGATACTCAACCTTGTATGGCGTCATATCAATACGCTCGGGGAACTGGAATTCATCGTTGATTTTGCTTCGCATCATTGAGACCATGTCGAAGTCGAATCGTTTCAAGTGAAAGATAAGATTATCAGGTACGTCTTTCAGGCAGGCACGCTTGACAGCATCAACATGACGACCACAAGCAGTGCAAGAGTACTTATTGTCTCCTTGCATGATCTCACCCTCGACATACGCCTGCAAGCTTTCTTCTAGGCTTGCTTTGCCCTTGATGTCACACTGGATAGCAGAAAATGGCTCCAGCCTCTCCGAAATGTGTGAGCACTCCTTGGACTTGATCTGCTGAACCAATTGACCACCGTAGAAAGATCGGAACTTCTTCTTGTCCTTTGAGTCGACAACCTGGGCTTCCCAGCGGTCGAAGAGAAGATTGTAGAACTCATCAACATCCATTTGAATGGTGACATCAATGGCTTCGTTGTCATAAGTCCGGATGCTCTCAACAAATGATTGTGGATCAATGCTCTTTGTCCAAGTATTCTGCATCCATGCAAAGAGCCTTTGAGTTTCATCTAGCAGTCGCTGAGAAGAGTCGCCATCCACGACCTGCAATCTTAGCATGAAATCCCGAAATTCCACGTTCATAAAAAGTTGCGTCATCAGCGAGTTGAGGTAGCAAGTATTCGACAGGTTCTTTAGACCCGCGTATCCCTCTGGGGCTCGAATCATCTTTGAACGATCGAAACTCGAGTTCGGACCATAAGAAATATCTCGAGGCACAATGTCTTCCAGCTGCTGCATGGTTTTATGCAAATTGTCGTGCGTTCGCTTGCACAATAGATTGATGATATTGTACAGCTTCTGACGTGTCAGGTTGTGCATCACAGGGATACACGGGCTGACTGGACCTTCGGAAACATCCGACAAGTCTGGGAAAAGATAAGTGTTCAAGATTTTGTCTGCGAGATCAAATGTATCCAACTCAATATTGGCACGGTCAGCCAACTCAAGGCAGTTCTCTAGTAAGAGAGCAATTCCCAGCACGAATTCGTCTACTATCTCACGTCCAACAAACTCTTCGGTCTGATGGCGAAACATGATCTCGGTCCATTCCCGAAGATAATGGCTGATAATGACATCTCGAGGGGACTTCTCGGCAACAGAGCGGAAAACCCACAGAGCGACTCTGAAAAACTCAGCAGACTGTGTAGCATAATCAGGTGTTTGTGGGATTGTTTGGACCAAGGCGTTCCAAATGGTCGCAAGCATGTCGATTCGGGTAGGACTCTCTGCAGAATCTTGAGCTTGCAAATCATCACCAAACATCTTCACTGATGGCTTCAAAAATTTCGAAGGGTTGCAGATCATTTTGATCCTCTCGGCAACATCATTTCGAATGGCTTGTCGGGATTCTTTGAGAAGCAACTCGCGCATCAGGTGATCAAATTGGGCATGTTGTTTGACTATTTCCCAAAGTTTATAGTCGCGCACTGAGCCTTCAATAAGGAATGCAAACGAGCTGCATATCAACTTGTGGAGGCCAGGGGCGATCACGGGAGAGACAGTCAGAGAGCGAGCGATTTCAATAAGATTTAGTAGCCTCTGAGCAAAAGGAGCCGGATCTGTAATCAAAGCCACGCTGTCATTCTCCGGGTGGTAAACGGCAAGGGCAGATAAAAGCGATTCGATTGACTTCGTGGCAAGGGCGAGTCGAAGCTTGTTGCGCTTCAAAGATTCCAAAAGTTCATCGGACATCAGAAACGCCACCAACATCGCAATGCTGTGCGAGACGAAGCTCTGCTTAGGTGTCACCTGGGCACCCTCCTCTTGAAGACAAGCCAATAGTGCTGTGAATGAATAGAGCGCCAGGAATGGTTTTTGAAGCGGAAAAAGCGTTTTCTCGTCGCTATCTTCTGACTTGACGAGCCTCAAGACTCGTTCTTGTGGCGGGAAGACAATGAGGAAATCAAAAATTTCTCTCGCCAAGTCATCTTTGAGGGACAGGAGCTCATAAATCTCATCGAAATGCATGAGCACTTCAGAGTCAACTGCTGTGAGATATTGCTGCTTGCTGTCATGTGAGACCTCTTGGGCATCCGGTGCCCTGCGAAGAATTAGTAGACCAGGGTGAAGTGTCATGTTCTTCACGAGTGCTTCCGGGTCTTTGAGAAGGTCAATTCGCTGGCCACCCCAGATGGCCGACAATTTGGAGAACCCAGTGAGCTGGGTGAATCTTTCCATCAGCTCTGCCGCCGTGGAAAGGTCTCCGATTTGTAATGTACTGATAGGTGAACTGGCGCTGCCGTTAAACGATTGCCAAGAGATATCGATTGGGTTGCCTTTCAATGGTCGTTCTGGGAGACGAGGAGGGGGTCCTTTTGGAGGACTGTAGAGTGGACGAGTTCTCAAGCCATACAAGAACTGCCGAAGGAAGAGCAGAGAGCGCCTGAACTTAATTTCATCAGGCCCTAGTTCTCCAGTCGGGACCACGCTGTCCATCGACGTATCATCATTGAGGACGGCGTGTTCGGGGGTCTTGAGAGTTGCCGCGGTCGACTTCAATTGATCAATGCAACGATTGACAATCGCGATATGGGTGGCTTCGATGGCGGATCGAGGAGAACTGCGAATGATCTGGTGATCTAGGTAAACCTCAATGGCAAATGCTGTAGCCTCGGCTTCGATGGTGCCAGGTAGAGCTGTCAAAATGAAGTTCCAGATTCTCTCCATCCCGGGAACAGTGATAACTTCATCCGGTCCTGCTGGGGTTGGTGGGTTGAAGCGAACATCGTAACTGATAGACTGTTTCGCAAAAGAGAGAACTTCACTGGTGTAATCGCTTGGCGACAAACCAGGTAAATACTCACGAATGCAGCGCTCCAGAAACGGGTTAGATTTGGAGCTTCTGCTCAAAGCACTGACCATCATGTTCCAAGCTGCCTTTTGTCCATCATGGCCCAATTTATTCGACAAGAGAATTTCGTTCCAGAAGGCGCTCCCGAGTTCGGGGGTGATTGTATCCGGTGCCATATCTATGAGGCGGAATAAGATTGCAACACGGGAGATAAGGCCATAGTGTGAGAATCCATTGGAAAGACCGATTTGATCGTCATTCACGGTGTGAAGAAGATCCTTTATCACGAGACGAGTCAAGTCAAACTCCTCGGCCAGCTTTCTCATCTCTTGCGAGTCGTGCATCGGAACAAGAGCACTGAGCACCTGGATACTTCCCGCAGTGAATTGATTCATCTCGGCGATATCCTGAATACACCGCTCGTACATCTCCATTCTATCGTTTGAACTGATACCAGATTTAATAAACCGCTCAAGGTGCTTGGTACCCAAGCTTTGCAGCAATTTCTTGTGTTCAATAGACATGTCCTCTGCTGCAGTACTTTCTCGAATCAAGCGTACGCATAATCGCAAGGGAATTGTGTCGACGTAGTCACCGCCGACCTGGTCAACCGGTCTTTCGGAAATCCGGCCAAGTAGGCTATCACAAATATCGATGATGCGCGTGTCAAATCGATCCAAGGGTAGCTCCAAGACTTTGGCGCAGATGTAGATCAATGCTGGGGCTGTGCTTGGGTGCATCCAGAAAGTCTTGATAAGCATGGATAAAACCTCGGTGACAATACGGCTGTCTTGGCTGTCCGTCACAGTTTTCCAGATAATGTCTGTCTCGGAATTGGTGTATGTTGATGTCACAATCAAAAAGCCAACGATGTTGCTGCTGCGGCTGATCAACTGGGGATGGGAATCCACACCCACAAGATAATTCACGATCTTATTGTCCCGAATGAATCGGACCAGATATTGAACAAATGGTAATGCAATTCCAGCAGGATCTGGGGAGACGTACTGCTTCCAAATGGAGATCAAATCCGACTGCATGGATTCCACGCCATGGGCTCGAAGTTCCATTCGACCTTCCATTATGTACTTCTTCAGAACTCGGAATTTCCATCCCCAGGTAATGACATGAAGTTGGTCTTTGGAATCAGCATCATCTGGGATCTCGATCGAGAGGTCCTTGGCCAATTGTTTGATAAAATCACTGTCACGAATACCGAGCATGTTAAAACTGCGTTGGATTTGACGCAATAATTGCTCGGCCAATTCACTTGTCAGCCACGAGGATTTCTTGGTGATCCATTCTTGAAATTTATCATCGATCAGGCGTATGGTACCATAGAGCAATGCAAGATAAGGAGTGTCTAATGGTGAATCAAGAGGTGGTCCTTCGGGTACGCTCTGCCTGCGTTCCACGGTGCTGTCAATGGTGCTATTTGCGGCATGGAGAAATGGAATCAAGGCGCTGACCCATTGCGGGCGCTTCGCGACATTCTGGATAATCAGGGATGCGTAGTCTGTCAGCTCCTGTACAACGTTGAGGGCGATTGTTTTTGCCCGGACTCGAGCCAAAACATCAACAACTTCCACACCATAGACATTTTCCATGGCACGGAAAAACGGAATGGAGTTGTATTGCAACAGCCAGGCAAGAGGGTCCAAAAAAGCATGAGCAAAACTATCCTGCCTTTCTGGGTCGTCGATCGCATGGCGCAATGTCGTGCAGTCCATGCGAATCAAGTGAAGCGCAAGGTGAACATAGTCCACGAGAAATTCCTCGAGGGTGAGTAAAACTCCCTTTCCATCATCCATAGGCAGTTCTTGACTGTGAATTCAGAGTTAGCTCGCGGGCAACAGGCAAACATCAAGGGTTGAGTCGTACTTTCGGCGAAGCAAAGCTTCCATCAATTTCGGAACAAGTTCCCAGAAGTCAAGATCATCGAAGACAGATACGGGTAGTAAGCAATCTAAGTTGTTTGCACATTCATCCATCCAGGCTTTCACGACTGTAAGTATTCTAGCGTCTCGACCATCATCTGTACTCGTGATCAGTTATGAAACCCCAAAGAACCAGTCAACCCATCACTCTGGAGCAGAAAAGGAGAGCTTACTCTTTTCCACCATGATGATAATTCTTTGCAAAGTTCTGCGAGCTTCCTCGTCGTCGTACAATTTTGGGAAGATATCAATGAGTGCCAGAGGATCCTCGGTTTCATCCTCGACCTCGACCACGTCCGAGACGGCACGGCCACGCAATGCCTCCTCCAGGGGTCTCCAGTTGGATGTATTTGGGTCCTGATCCATGTCCTCCAGCTCCGCGACCTCGATTTCGGGACTTTGGGCGGGTGAGGAAGCTATCGAGATCACGTTGGATGGGGTCATATCGGTGTTGTCGGTGGTTGAGGGCTGCGGAGAGGCGGCAGGTGGAGGTGGTTGAGATTGTGTTGATGAGGGGTCGGATTCGGAAGTCATGTCAATGGTTGGAGACTTCACGTTAATTGTCACTTTGCTGGGGCGAGCTGAATCGGGCGTGACATCCATATCCGAGGCAGGTGCGGCCGGAGGTGTCGCGCAGGCGTCGATGGACAACGACTCTCCCACGCGAGTTCCACTATCAAGACGCGGTCGTTTCCGTGTCGCTTGGGGATCTGGATCTTCCATGGAGTCTCCGTAGGATCGAGAAGAATCGATCAAGGGCGTACCAGGTGGGGGGTGAGAGCTCTCTGGCGGGGGTTCTGCCATGACATTTTCCGCCAAACAATGGGGAAATGCAGGCGATGACAAATGAGGGCGCTTGGGAAACGAGCGATCCTTGAACAAGGATGACCTCTATATATGCAGAGGCGACCAAGTAAAAGGAAAGTGACGGAGGGTTGGGAGAATTTGAGGCGGTTGGTACCTGCCGGCAGCTTTTTTTTTGCGGGCGGGAAACGCGACCAGGAATCGGTGACGTTGTACTGTGGAGGCACTTAAGAACCCGATCGACGTTGACGTACCTTCACCTCCAACCTTCATAAGTCTATATAGGTCTTCCAGATACGTGGATCATGTTTATTTGCTAATCCTCAGGTGAAACCTTGGTTTTTACTATGGTTTACAGAAATTGGACGGCTTGTTGCTTACAAGTTCATGCACAAACACTATATATATCCATAATCTTGCCGCGTGCTGACGCTCCGGGAGCCAACGCTACGTAACTATTAAACAAAAAGGTAAATACTAAAAGGCGGATAGCTTACCCAGAGTGGAGTTTGACCTCTCCACATCACTCTCTGGCCCAGTCGTGCAGGTCGATGTAACCTAGAGACTGACTTCCATTGTTCTATGTCCATGGTTACTTGCCTATCACTCTGTAGTACCAAACACCTGAGATCTAGACATTCACCACCAGGTCCCGCTTGGTACCTAGTGTTTCACCATTACTTCTTTACTTCGAAAGAGGTGAGGTTACGTAGGTATCATGGATCATCAATCGGGCAGTGAAGTATATTTTAGACAATATTTCTGGTATAAAGTGTGGTATATGACATGATCGCTCATTTAATGCACAATTCTCGGGTCTGAGATCATCGAGGTCATAGCTTACTCTCCGGTGCCACGCCGCCAACAGCACCACTCATAAATGGTCCAATTTCCTCGGCCTTGGATTCAGAACCAGGGGGACGCTCGGCACCAAACAGAACCAGTTCACGACCACCTTGAGTGCTCCACCAATTGACACAGCAGTGAGCTCGGTCAACATCCATCTCACCGACGCTTAATGCTTCCCAGAAGCGATCGACACAGGCATGGCGCATAGTCCGGTCTGCAATGGTATTGATCAGCTCTGCAGTGAGGGGCAGCCAATCCTCCAGGTCCTCTATTCGGAGGAAAGATAACGAGTCGATCAGTGCCAGGGTGAGCACGGCCTGTGCAGAAAGAGGGAGACTAGTGTCCATATCAGAGGATGAGCTATTCCCCGCCGTTGGGGTGATAGGAGTTGTGGGGGCATTCAGTGCGCGATCTCGCACCACTTCAAGTAGAATCGAGGGGAGCATTGGTTGGCTGTTCGCCAAAGGTGAAGGGGGTGCTGTGACTTGAATGACCGTCTTGAATGCAAGACGGAACTGCCGAGCGGACAAATTTTCCGGGAACACCTGTTGGGGATAATCAGAATCTAAATCTCGAATAGTTAAGATACTGAACTTACCGCAAATAAGTTGTCAATATAGAAGGGAAGGTGTTTGGCAGCCAGCTCCGAATTGTGGGCGATAGCGAATACCACGAGCACCACACTGTGAGCTGCTTCAAAAATTTCCAGGAGAAGACTGTTGGCACCAGCTGCGAGGTATGGGAATGCAGCAGATAAGAGCAGATCCTCGTTAGCCTGGGGTGACAAGACCATAGGAAAGTGCTCGGCAGTATTCAAGAAGAAAAGATCCAAGCATCGCTCCACTGGGTGATCAGGAATTTGGCCAAGATCAGCTGGTTTGATACTGCGTAGAAAATTCTCGGCCAAGTCAGGGTATTGAGAAAGGATATCTATGGCGGCCAAAAAGACGAAACTTTGCTGTGACGATCCATTTTGACCGGTGCGAGAGGAGATGAAGTAGAGATTGCGAAGAATATGAAGGGATTGCATAGAAAGGTACGGGGCGCCTTAGTAAGTGCTTCGTTAGTATCGATTGTATGAACAACTTGCGAGTCAACTTACTGCTGTGGGCTGCGAGAGCGGGGTCATTGATTGTTCTCCCTAGAACGGCGCGGAGAACAATGACCACCGAGTACAAGCAATTTCGAAGAACCTTCCAGAGCGCCGGAATAGTAGTTTGTAATGACTCGGCATCCAAGAAGTCTTTCTCCTCCGCGACGTCAATTTCAGATAATTTATTTTGACGCCACTGCACCATCAAGGTCCGAACAAAATCGGCCATGTAATCGACCGTCTGCGCAACCAGTTGCGGGTTCTGAGCATTCTCAACAGCATGCGAAATCAGCCGGGATAAGGGTCCCAATGCTGACACTAACGGGCGAGATGAAATGGTCGAAAAATAACCAAATGTCCTGGAATCGGCTTTCCACCGGAATTTCTTGCCAGGAGCTTCAACCACGTCCTCATCAATTGCTCCCAAAAAGAATCCACCTTCGAGCCCCTCTGGAGATAAGAAAGCGGACCTCACCATCACAGGTAAAAAGCGATCGTAATCGATTTTAGTTCGTTGCAGATCCGATAAGAGCTCAAACGTGTAGTTCAGGACCATGGTGATGCAATGGCCATCCATTCCCGCTGCAGGATCCAACTCCTCCAGCGCCAATTGGGCTGCTGTTGCTAGTGCTGACTCAAGTTTTGTTCGAATATGCCACGGGAGACCCTGTCGATTCTGTCCCTCGAATCCCAGGAGTATACCGCCAAGCAAGATCATGTGTCGCCAGCGGGGAGACTTGTCGTCCGCTCCTTGCACCACCGCCTTGACCCACGCTTCACGTTCGATGCTCCGATTCCGCCCATGAGGCATGCGGGGCTCTTCGGTGGCATCGTTCTGCAGGACCGCGATGGCCGCGGTATTAAAGACGCTCAGGAGTTTGCGACACGCGTGTAAATCGACTGGGTGGCTCCAGAGAGCAGGCGCGGAGAGGAGTTGCGATGCAAGAAGCGTCAAGTTTAACGGATTTCCAAGAATAGATAAGAAGCTCGTTGCGGTTGGAAGGAGACTATAGGGATGAAAACATTAGTTATCGGCGATTGCCGAGCACGTATGAATCGGGCACCACTTACCCAGCCGCATCTTCAAAGCTGGAAGTCGCCTGCAGTGACCGCAGGAGACGGGCAAGTGAGCGTTCAGTTGCCATTGAGAATAGACCACAATTAGGACAGTAATGCCCGCAAGGTCTTCTACATGGCCTTAGGGAGGAAGAAGATGGGGGGAGCCAAACCGCGGAGAACCCCAGTCCCAGCCGAGGTCCCGGAGTGGAGCCGCAAACAGTGCAAACAAGCTAGCGTCATGCCCGTGGGCCCAAACATCTTTAAAGATTAAGCAATCACGGCTTCTCCTGTAACACCAAGTCATACCTTTGTCCTGCAACATGACCAACGGAAGATGATCTGATATTTCTTTGCCTTTCGCACAGCTGGAAAGCCGCAGCACCCCGTCTTCATGGCCAGCAACCGGGTCCCAATTAACTACGCTACGCCTTCGTTTCCCTCGCTGTACGACCCGCTTCCTTCCCATCACAAAGAAGCTTATTATCTTTACTATACGACGGATATTTGGCGCTTTACCTTATTCTGGACCTTGCTTTTTTATGGAGTGACTCACCTTGTAGTCGCCGGGTGCGCTATACTGACGCATTTTCGTAATTGGGGCGTGATATGGCTCGTACCATTGCTGTATGCTTTGATTGCCAGCTTAGAAGCATTGCTGTCTGGAAGCATTGTTGGCGTAGTGTGAGTGATTACCAAATACGAGATGCAATCCGGGCAATTTGCTAAATTCCTAACAACAAGCAGGCTTGGTTCACTCTATGAATCAGGTAATTTTAGGATGTCAACTTGGGTGCCGATGATTTGGGGTGGAGTCAACGTGATGGTGCTCATTTTGACCAGTTTCCCTATGCAAGGTGGACTCTAAACCAACGACAAGGAAAGCTTCTTCCATCTGTTCTTGGGGATTTGAACACATCCATTTTCATTTCTATAATACACGCCCAAGTTGATATGTCGCGCCGTCCACCCGATCCACGGTTTCCACCACAATGCATGATATACGTCCTGTACGCCAAATGAATTACACCACAGAGTATCCTCCATGGAATTATCGACGTCCACCATCCGGCATCCCACCTTGGAGACCGGGCAAGCCACCCATTGCAGCAGCCATATTTTGGAGGTTGAGGTTCGGAGGCATCTGCATTCCTTGAGCCATCATTTGTTTTTGGAACTGTGCAATATCCATGTTCATAGGTGGAGCCCCACCCATTCCGGGAAGCATAGGGAACCCAGGCATCCCGCCATTTGGAGGGCCCGATTGAGGCGGTGGAGGCGGAGGATGCGAAGACATCAGTGCAGCTAGGCGACCGGGATCCATTCCACCCATGGCACCTGAAGGCGGAGGCTGGGCCGCACCAATACCAGGGAGCAGCCCTGGGCCATCGAGCTGAGGTGCACCAGGGCCACCCTGGATTCCTGGAAGAGAAGGCCCACCAGGTCGTCGTTGGTCGACCAGACTGTCGGCTTCATCTTGCATTTCTTGTTCCTCTTCCTCACGCATTTGTTTGCGGCCGAAGCCCCGATTCCATGTTCCTTGGGCCTCTGCAGCCTCCTCACCGATGTGGAATCGATCTTTCATGTAGCTAGTCTCGCCAGGCCGAGCCCGCGACCAGAATCGAGTAAAGTTGTCCTTGGATCCAGAAGCAAGGATGTGGCCCAGTGGGTGCCAGTCTAGTGACCAGATAGTAGCGCCGTGGGCGTATTGAACGCGGTGAGCCGGGTAGATCACTTGCGGAGGGGTGTTGGCAGGATCCGGGCTATCGTATGGTGCCACAGTAGGAACAACGCCAGCGGGCAAGTTGGGCTCGTCGAGTAGATAGTGATGCATAGAACCATCTTCCGCACCAGTCGAAATCAGATTGCTGTGGATCGGATGCCATGTCAGAGAAGAGACCGGCTTCTCATGGCCGCGGAGAATGCAGATATCCCGCATCATCCGCAAATCAAAAACTCTCGCCGTCTGATCCCGCGACGACGTAGCAAGGAGGTTGTTGTTGACTCGCGAGAATCGAGTCGCCGTGACTGTGTTTTTGTGACTGTGAAGAGTTGTCAAGCATCGGGCGGTCCTGGGATCCCAGAACTTGACCTGATGATCTTTGGAGCCGGACACCAGCAAGCCCTTCGAAGGGTGCCAGTCGCAGGATTTTACATCCCAGTTGTGTCCCGTAAGAACAGTATCGCAGGTTCGGGTGGTGAAATCAAAGATCTTAAGGGTCGTGTCGTCAGACGCGGAAAGGAATTTTGTATCGCTCGGGGCCCATGCTAGGTCTCGCACGGCGTCATGGTGAGCATCGTCAATTGTTTCAACGTTGTTGAAGTTCGGTCGCCAGTATTTCACGTCTCCTCGTTGTCCGCCGGAGATCAGCCAGTCTTGGCTATGCGCCCATGCTAGCGACGTCACACCTGCTTGTATTTGATCATAGTGTGCCTAATGAAGAATTAGCATCCACACATGTCATTTGCCATTCGAAAAAAAACACGTACATCCATCACCGTTTCAAAGTTAAATGCCGTGCCGTTCCAGAGCATAAACTCGCCGGTGTGGCCGCCGGTCAACAGCCGCCTGCCCTCTGGAGTCCATCGCACCACCACGATAGGTTTCTTCGATTTTCCGATCGATTGATGAAGGTGTCGCACGGGAATTGTGTCAGCGGGCGAATGGGATCGACCGACGGGTGGAATCATCTTTGTGGATCAGGTCAGCTCGGTTTTCTCTTTCTTCTTTGCTCTGCGACACGCGATACTGAAGCAACTTTTGTATAAACTCACATCCACTGCAAAGCTAGGACTGGGTCTTTCCACCTCCATGCGATTTTCACCTTGGTATCGGGGTCGACGCGAGCGCATCCATTGTACCATTGAAGAGCCATAATCAGTGACCAGTCCTGTGCGAGATTTGTTAGTCTGCTAACTCACATCAAACAAACTGCTCATTGGGATGAAATGACATAGTACATACTTGGCCGACGGGGACCGACGGGGCCTTCAAAGTTCTTGTTATATCTCCCAAATTGGGAGTCACCCCCATGCTCGTCGTAGAAGGCCATTATGACCAAACCCGGATCGTTTAAATTTGCAGCCGGTCGGGATCACAGAATCATGACCAGGAAAATGGGTGATTTGACAATTTAGAAAAAGTCGAGGGCAGGGATTGTCCCTGTGTTATAGAGTCGCGTAGTGAATGCGTGGAGAGGAAAGTCGCGGAGCTTTGCAGGGTCGGGACTCCTTGGAAGCTCGACCGCCCCGCTGATTGGTTACATGGATTATCTCGCGCTGCTTGCGCTATGATGCCTTGTTCTCCCCCGCCAAGTTCAACGGTTTCTAATTTTGTATTCTTATTTCCCCTCATCTTAATATGCCAGGAAGCCATAGATTCTCTATTGCTTGAGGATCCGTTGTCTTTCTGGTTTGTAACTCTCCCGGGCTATCCTTCGCTGGTCTGTTCTCTTCGTCATCTTCCGCATTGACCTTGTTTCGGTCCAATTGCGCAATTAACCACAGGACAAAAGAACTGAAGGTCAAAGTTCCTATTTCCTTTCGAAGATGGTATCCCAGACCCAAGCCGTTACCACGGCTCATGAGCAGCCAAGCTCTTCCATTTCGACCAATGGAGCTACTTCCAACAAAGCCGAGGTCCAAATGCAGTCGAGTGGGCCAAGACGCAGCAAGTATCGTCATATCGCTGCGTATCACTCGCAGCTGCGGCATTCCAGCCTTAGCAGAGATTCAGATGTGACACCTAGCTTTTTGGGGTTTCGAAACTTGATGGTTCTGGTCCTTGGTACGAATTGATGGTTCGAAGTAATGAATGCATGTGAATGTGGAAGCTGACAGTGGATAGTGGCTATGAATCTACGGTTGATTATTGAGAACTTCATGAAGGCATGGACTCGCTAAAAAGCATTCATTCACCGGAAAATGACTAACCATTTTTTCTCTAGTATGGAGTCTTGATTTGTATCAAGTGTCACGACTATCGCAAACAGGACATAGTCCTCGGGTCAATCCTCTTTGCTTTGGTTCCATGTCATCTGTTTTTGGCCTATGTCATCGAGCTATCTGCAGCTTCTTCTGCGAAGCAAGCTGTGGGCCAACAGAAGAAGACAGCTGAAGAGAAGGAGCGCGATCAGCAGGCTTTCCGATCTACTTGGCCATACACGGCCTTCCTCCACACCGTGAATGCCACATTGTGTCTTGCAGTGACCAGTTTTGTGGTTTATTTCTATATCCACCATCCAGGCATTGGTACCCTCTGTCAGCTCCACGCGATCATCGTGTGGCTGAAGAATTGCTCTTATGCCTTCACCAACCGAGATCTACGTCTCGCATATCTCAACCCGTCGGCTGACCCTGGCCCCCCGGAAATCTACGCTACATGCCCTTACCCCCGAAATGTCACCATTAATAACCTCACATACTTCTGGCTTGCTCCCACATTGGTCTACCAGCCTGTCTACCCTCGTTCTGCCTCAATTCGTTGGTCATTTGTGGCGAAGCGGCTGGCTGAATTCGTTGGGTTGTCAGTGTTCATCTGGCTTCTCTCCGCGCAATACGCCGCACCTGTCCTGCGGAACTCAATCGATAAAATCGCCGTCATGGACATTGCGTCTATCTTGGAACGTGTGATGAAGCTGTCCACCATCTCCTTAATCATTTGGCTTGCTGGTTTCTTTGCCCTTTTCCAAGCCTTACTCAATGCGTTGGCGGAAGTCATGCGCTTCGGTGACCGTGAATTTTACACCGATTGGTGGAATAGCTCCAGTCTTGGAGGCTATTGGCGGTCATGGAACCGACCGGTGTATTCGTTTATGAAGAGGCATGTTTTTTCGCCCCTGGTGGGTCGTGGATGGAGCCCTCTAGCCGCGAGTGGTATGGTCTTTGCGCTATCCGCCATTCTTCACGAGATGCTAGTGGGGATTCCCACCCACAACTTTATTGGTATGGTCCCTGAATTTCCTTCCCGAGAAAACCTAAACTGATCCTCTGCAGGTGTTGCATTTTTTGGTATGATGTTCCAGCTACCCTTAATCGCGCTCACGGCGCCCCTGGAGAAGATGCGAGACCCGCTGGGGAAAACCCTCGGCAATTGTATCTTCTGGGTCAGCTTTTGTCTGGTCGGGCAGCCACTTGGAGCTCTCCTGTACTTCTTTGCCTGGCAGGCGAAGTATGGCAGTGTTAGTCGAATGCGTGCCTGATTCGTTTCTTGAATGTCCCGCGAGTAAAAAGGTCAGATACACGATACGGACTCGGCTTTGACATTTTGCAGTTATGGTCAATCTGCTGTTTTATCTTGCATATAGTTGTTCATCTACGCCCATCCAAGTATGATTTCGATTTTCTTAAAAAGCCCCAGTGAGCGGTACTAGATATCACCTCATGTTTTAAAATAGCTTCTTGCAGATAGCACCCTTTCGGCGAGGTAGAGAACCCCTGTCCCGAATCCCGCTCTCGGATCTCGGAGCTTGCAAGGTACGAAAAGGACAGGTCACCACATCCATACCTAGAATGCACATTGAGTTCTTAATCAATTATTAAGCAAAGTGGTTTGACCTGCAAAAGCTCCTTGTGGAGCGTCAAATGCAGGATCGAATCAAATGGCAAAGCATCGAATCCGTGCGCGGAACGGATGGATTGATTGTGCCGGCGGGAGCCAACAAACCAGACTCCGTAGACGCGTCCCCGCAAAGCTATAAAGGAGCCCCCATCTAAGTTCTCCAATTCGGACCGTTTACTTCCACATCTAACAATATTCAAAATGGTTGCTATCACTCTCCCTGATAACTACGGGTAAGTCGCCTCAACGAAAATCTACACCGATTGGTCGCTTATACTTCTACCAGCGCCGTCATTGGCGTCGCCCTTGGCGCGATCCCTGTCCTAGGCTTCATTCACGGCAACATTACTGGCTCTCTCCGTAAGCAGGCCAAGGTGCCTTACCCGCACTCTTACGCCTCTATCGAGCAATGCAAGGAAAATGTACGTATCCGAGTGTCCCGACCCCTATCCAGCCACTAATTATCTCCTCACAGGCCAAGGCTGAGCAGTTCAACTGCGCCCAGCGCGCCCACGCCAACTTCTTGGAGAACTCCTCGCAGACTATGCTTTTCACCCTCATTGCTGGTCTGAAGTACCCCGAGCTCGCCGCCGGTATTGGTGGTCTGTGGGTTCTCTTCCGTACTCTGTTCATGTACGGATACGTGTACTCTGGCAAGCCCCAAGGCAAGGGCCGCATGATTGGCGCTTTCTTCTGGCTGGCACAGGGTGCTCTTTGGGGCCTGAGTGTGTTCGGTGTTGGCCGTGACTTGCTCTCAATCTAAGTAGATTGGGATACTTTACTGTATAATTAATAATCTTCCAAATCAAGAGAATGTCACTCAATTTCGATTGTGATCAGCGAAGCGTTGACTTATGTTACAAGAAAAATTTCCTCTTATAGTCTAAAGTTGTACGTATCCGCTAGCATAAGTTCAGGGCTGCCATCATATGCTATACCAGAGCCCGGTACTGCTGAAACACGTTGAAGTCTGTTGACGAGTCCTCGCGATATTCTTTCGGAAATCACTCTTCATCACTCGAAGACTAGAGGGTATTGCTTCGATACGATCGTGAGGAAAGACATCTTCAGCTTCTATAGAGAGAAAGATTGGATGCTCGTATCATTTCATACTCGAGAGGGATACGAAGCATAACACTGCGTCAAGTTGTGACCCCGACGGGAAACCCTTTGTTCAAGGGCTCCGAATTTGATAAAAAGAGCAATCAAATCACGTAGAGGTAGACAATCTTTATTACGAAAGCGAAACCTTTTCTCCTTCGTATTTCACCATCCATCAACAATTTCCTCCCTCTATGTAATTCAATTACTTTGTCAAGTCCCCGAAGGAAGAAAGGAGGTTGGTTTGCTGGTGTGGAGAAAATATTCCCCGTTGTCATGGCCTAGCCACAGTTGTGGCTGAATGCTCCACTGTGGCGCACAAAAAAGTTCCCGCAATGGCAATGCAACGCCGACAGCATGATAAACTCTTTGAACCTGAGCATATCGGGTCGATTGAGGCAGTTTACTCTTTTCACGATTAAAACGAATTAAACAAAAGGTGACTTTGATTGCACCTTTTCTCCATCTCCTCTATCTATACCCACCACTTTATATACCCCGCCAACCCCTCCATCATGTCGTCCAAGTCGCAATTGCCCTTTGGCACCCGTGCCTCCAGCCACCCCAATCCGTTGGCTCGGAAGCTGTTCGAAGTCGCCGAAGCCAAAAAGAGCAACGTGACAGTTTCCGCCGATGTCACCACCACCAAGGAGCTCCTGGACTTAGCCGACCGTTAGTGAAACGAAAAAAACTCCTACTGGCATCCCACTAATTTGGACCATCGAATCTTCAGGTCTCGGACCCTACATTGCCGTGATCAAAACACACATCGATATCCTGTCCGACTTCGGGCCCGAGACCATCAATGGCCTGAACGCGCTGGCCGAGAAGCACAACTTTCTTATCTTCGAGGACCGCAAGTTCATCGACATCGGTAACACCGTCCAGAAGCAGTACCACGGCGGTGCCCTCAAGATCTCCGAGTGGGCCCACATTATCAACTGCGCCGTTCTGCCAGGCGAGGGAATCGTCCAGGCTCTGGCCGAAACTGCACAGGCCGAGGACTTTCCCCATGGCTCTGAGCGCGGTCTTCTGATTCTCGCTGAGATGACCTCCAAGGGCTCCTTGGCCACCGGAGAGTACACCTCTGCCTCGGTTGACTACGCGCGGAAATATCCCAGCTTCGTGCTCGGCTTCGTCTCGACCCGTGCGCTGACCGAGGTCTCCTCAACCGTCACCGCTGCCGACAACGAGGACTTCGTCGTCTTCACCACCGGTGTCAACCTTTCTTCTAAGGGCGACAAGCTCGGACAGCAGTACCAGACCCCGCAGTCAGCTATTGGCCGCGGTGCCGACTTCATCATCGCGGGACGTGGAATCTATGCTGCTCCAGACCCCGTCGAGGCAGCCAAGCAATACCAGCAGCAGGGATGGGAAGCCTATCTGGCTCGTGTTGGCGGTACCAGCCAATAAATGATCATTAAAAATAAAGAATATACTCCCCAATTTGACAGATGCATGCAATAGCGCTTCTACATTCCGTTGCTACCGCTGTCTCGGAGAGGTTCCGCACAGCGATTTATCAAAGTTTAATCGATGGTCAGCTCATAGACTCCACTGTATTGCATGTGTCAGCGATAAGATAGAATAATAAGTTTCAGATAAGACAAGGCGCCGCGGATTGGAGATGAGACGCGACGAGATCAGATAGAGCCCCTGCTACATGCAACCGTCGGCAAAGTCCTGGAGCCAGATCTGTACACCGAGATCATTCATCAAACATGTCGAAACTCTCTCATCTTTCAAGGTTGGCTCTATTGACGCCCGGTCCCTTTTTTGCCTCCAAGCTCGGCAATTCACCCACTCAAATTCTATCATTCACCCCGTAAATCAAAAAGCCTAAACATCAACGAATTTATTACGAATTGTCCGGCGTTCTTTGCCTTTGTGGCACAGGTTGCCGATCTCTCCTCACGCCCCCTCTCGACAGAACCAATGAGGAGCTTCGTGGCTGGTCAACCCCAGATAATCGGGTGCTTATCGCGGGGCGACCCACTAGGAGCCACATCTTGATAGGGGGAAGCAGGAAAGAGCAGGCTGGCAAATTGGCAATTGCATAGATAACACCAAGTTGGAATGTACCAATGTACCTATGACATGATGTTCGACTGGGAGATGCGGAGGTGCTGTTCCTATTTACATTCCTCTTGCCCTGATCTGTGAGGGGAAACGTGGAATCTTTCCAGCTTTTCTTTCCCCCTCCAAGCATCATTCACCCTCTTATCATATACGTATCCTTTCGAAGGCAATCCCTTCACAGATTGAACCATGGCCGAGGAAGAAAAGGCCATTGGCACCTCCTCAGCTGTGGATGTGGAGACAGCCATGGACATGAAGGAGAAGCATGTTGACCCGACACTGGAGAAGCACGCACACGATGCCGACGAGGCGATGAAGGCTCTTGAGGAGCTTCACGGCGAATCACTTGAGCTAGACGAGTCAACAAACCGTCGGCTTTTGAAAATCATTGATTGGCACATGATGCCAATTATGTGCTGTATCTACGGAATGAACTTCCTTGACAGTATGTGCTACATTTACAATCCAAATCTACGTAACCCTGCAGCTGCTAACACGAGAAAGAAACTACCCTGTCTTATGCGAGTATCATGGGAATCAAGACAGATCTGAATCTAGTTAAAGATGACTATCAGTGGTTATCCAGTCTTTTCTACTTTGGTAAATCCTTTCCCCCTTTTGGGCAAATAGACGGGTCAACTAACCGCGCTAAGGCTATCTTGCATGGGAGTATCCCACCAACCGGCTGCTGCAGCGATTACCCCTCGGGAAGTATTCCGCAGCCTGTATCTTGACGTGGGGACTTGTTCTGTGCTGCTTCGCTGCTGTGAATAACTATTCGGGCGCGATTGCCATTCGGTTTTTCCTCGGTGTTTTTGAAGCTGCCGTGACACCTGGCTTTGCCTTGCTTACATCTCAGGTTAGTTGACTCATCCTTCTTTGGAATACGGGCGATATTAACATGGCCCAATCAGTGGTACACCAAGCAAGAACAAGGTAGCCGTGTGAACATTTGGTTCAGCTTCAACGGTGTCGGTCAGATCCTAGGAGGATTCATCGCATACGGCGTCGCGGTCGGAACCGCAAAGCATGGATCCGCGATTGAGCCATGGAAGATCATTTTCCTGGTCACCGGTCTATTGACCATCGCTCTGGGACTTGTCTTCCTCTGGATTGTCCCCGATAACCAGTTGAATGCCCGATGGCTGAAGAAGGAGGATCGCATCTTGGCTGTCGCTCGTGTGCAGTCAAACCAGCAAGGAATCGGAAACAAACATTTTAAGATGTACCAAGTCAAGGAAGCCCTTATGGACCCAATGACATGGGCATTCTTCTTCTATGCGCTTATTGCCGATATTCCGAACGGCGGTATAACCAATTTTTTCAGTCAAATGGTATGTGGTTTCAATTCTTCTATGGAAGCTGAGAGTGCTAATGCGATTGCATAGATCACGAGCTTTGGATACTCCAGCCAGGAGAGTTTAATTCTCGGTGTCCCCGGCGGCGCGGTCGAAGTCATCGCCCTCTTATGCAATGGATACATGGGCTACAAGACTGGTAATCGCATCCTGTGCAGTCTGGGTGGTCTCCTCTGTGCGCTCATCGGCATGATCCTCATCGTGGCTCTCCCTGAGTCCATGAATGTCGGCCGGTTGATCGGATACTACATGACCCAAGCTAGTCCTACAGCGTTCGTTGCTCTGCTGGCGATGATCTCGTCCAACGTGGCTGGTTACACGAAGAAGACCACCGTCGCTGCCTTGTACCTTATTGGGTACTGTACCGGCAACATTATCGGTAAGTGAACATTGTAACCCACGAGAATGAAAACCGACCTGGTAACTAATTCTGAGTGACTGTTCCAGGCCCACAAACTTTCCGTCCTAAGGATGCGCCTCGTTATATCCCTGCTGAAATCACTATTATCGTCTGCATTGGCGTGAGCATGTGCATCATGCTATTTGTCTACTGGTGGTATGTTAAGGAGAATCGTCGCAAGGAGGAGATTCGATCGCGACCGGACTATGTGAGATTGCAGAACCAGGGCTTCCTGGATCTGACCGATCGGGAGAACATGGATTTCGTGTATGCCATTTGAGCTCCGTGAAAACCATGCACTGGCTGGCCAGACGTGCAGACTTATAATCTTGGATAATCCTGGAGATATCGAATAGCGACAATTATCTTGATTTAACATCTGACATCTGCGCATCAATAACCTTAGTTTGGTTAGAGTTCAGAAGTCACGTCTGATACCTGCACCCCTGGAGGTCCTGTAGCACATTACCTTCTCTGCTGGAAACAAAAGTACGTGTTGGGCGAGGTGTAGAAGTGGGTCTTGGGGACTAGACCACGGTTCGCACTTGGACCTTCCATGTGGAAATGTTGAGAAAGTGGGCGCTGTTGGACCCCGCACCTCAGACCTATCATCTACCAGTTGGAAACCACGACTCGACCGAATAGATTAATAATAAACTCAGGATTATAGTAAAGTCCCTGTGTCCCCTACTCGAGGAGCTAATGCACGAACTGCGGACTAGCGAAAAAAAGTCAAAGAACGGTGCACATTCTCGCCACGAGGCACGGGGAGTGTGACCTTAAGCCCGTGATCATATTCATGATCGCCATGTCCATAACTGGATTTCTGTAAACTCTGAGAGAAAGACTAAACCCGCAGTCCAATCCCCTCTACACACAATGGTAATTCTCTCCCCCTCCTTCTAGTGGGGCACAATCCAGGGCGGGGCTAAAATAAGTAAGTCTAAGCCCTTCTAGCTCCAGGGCGCTTTGAATTAAGGGGGGCTTTGAGCATTCGTAAAGGTCTTACTGCAGCGCCTGCTGTGACAACCAGTCTCACGGCAAGAACCGGTACCGGAATACCCAATAAGCGCCCAGGTTCATGAACATACCCGAGAACCTTGCAGATTGGCCACTGCAGGGGCGTTTGGACATGACGATCCAGACCAGAATTGCTTGAAAGTGGAGGCCCAAGAAAAAAAAAACCCATGCCCCCCACTTTGTTTACTCCAACGCTAAAAGCAAGAAATAATATAAGGAGCGGTGAAGGCATCTAAATAAGTCGAGTTGCGCCATTTTGCATTCTCTGTTCTTTGTATGCGTTTCATCACTTTCTTTGCTTTTGATTTTATTTTTTTTATTTTTTATTTCCTATGCTTATCTTTTCCCCGCCTTGCTGATCTATCCAACCTCAGTGAAATGTCACCATGAGATCGGCCCTGGCATCTGAGCCCTAATCTTATCGTTGGATCGTCACGCAGTTGTGAATATGGCGTCCGTCACATGTGGCATTCACATGGGAGGCGCGGCAGAAATGGCAGTCGCGCATCTGAATTTAGATCTCATCTCCAAACTCCCATCCGAACTTGCCATCACCGAGATCACTGAGAGATGCTCCACTGCGTCCTTATCGGACCCTTCGTCCCCGGAGATGGATACCCCGAGGGTGAAACGGATCGACCCGCCCCGCTATAGGGCATCCAAGATTCCAGATTCACCAACAAATCCAAGCCGATCTCGTGCTGCATCTGGGTCTCAGTCGACATCTGCATCGAACTCCATCCATCACTCTCGTTCAGCGTCTCGCAGCACAGGTCGATCCCGACCTCCAAGTCGCCATAGTTCTTTCCACTCCCCACGACGACCGGTGACCAACGCAGGCATCGTTTCGGTCCCAGCTCGCACTCCACAACAGGAGAAGCGGGAGTCCCTATTAGCTTTACATCGAGAGTCATGTCGTCTCTTCCAAGACCCACAGTCTTCAGTCTGGGGCCCAGATGAACTACGGACAGCGTCCATAGCCTCCCCATCTCGGCGCGAACGCCGCGAGTCCTCAGAGATAGGTACTTCAGAACCACCATCCCCAATCGCATCATCCTCATCAAGTCGCCGATTTGAGTATGATCACCGCGGGTCTATAAGCTCGACCACCTCACCACCCTTTCTCCAACCCCGAGATCGGGCCAATACCCTCCCTATTATATCTAGTCATTCCCATAGTCCATCCGAATCCTCCATGCACGTCCCGGCGACAGTAATGGAGTGGACATCAGACTCAACCCGACGAGCGGAATACGAACAAATCGACCGCGCAAGTCGTGGCGTCCGCGGTTTCTGGCGCCGCGTTGCACCCCGCTGGTGCCAGACCCGGGACTCACGCACGCCCTTCTTCGAAGAAGGCAAAACCAGCCGGGAAGGCAGCGTCCGCCGATTCCGCATGGACCTCACCGAGGAAGAACCCGATACAATTATACGAGACAAGCCCCAAGTGCAGATCCTAGATTTTCTCAACAAAAATCCTTCTCGAGACGGCAATACTCGACGCCTCTGGACAGGTCGTCGATCTAAGACAAACCTCACCTAAGCTCTTTGTCTGTAGAGCCCCTTAATACTGTTTATTCTCGACACGGTTCGACCTACAGTACGCCCGCACCGGTGGCGGCGCTTCTTCAACCCGCAACTTCCCTTGCCTATGATACTATGATTATCGAATACCCTGATGACCGGATCTCCATTGCATTTTGCATTGCGTCGCGTGGCCCTGAATACCCTTCGGATTCCTATGCATGATTCCCCTTCTTCCTGGCTTTGTTAATTTTCCAGTCCTGAAGTCTCACACCTTTCCTAGCCTTTATTGCATAATGCGTGCATTGTTTATTGTTATTTCAGTGTTACATCACTTACCCGAGAATGAGATACCCATCTGTTAGTTGTGCTGTACATATGCACTATGTACTGGTGTTACCAGTCGAGATTCAAGGAAATATACGACCTATTTGAGTGAGAATATATCTACTACGTAATTAACTACTGCGTGTTTATGGTTTCATGGACTTGGAGATGCCTGCCTATAGCGCGTATAAAGATTCTAATTTTAGAAGTAACAAAGCGTCAGGTGAACCTTCGTGTAGTTGCCAAGTCTTTCAGGCAGCACTTTCCTGTCACTTCCAAGTTGTCTCATTTCTTATCCGACCATTCATATCCGGCATAAGTACTGACATAGTCCTTCGCAAAAGCTTACCAAACGTTCAAATCTCAACCGCGGACTTTCGTTGCTACTTCTCCTACAAGCCCACAATCCAGAATCGGCTATGGGTCTATTAGATAATCTCTGTTTCCCTTTTGCGTGCTTCCAATGCTGCAAATATCCTTTATGGAGAGAGGGGTAATTTTTAGGCAATAGTGAAGAGATCTCAGGAGGAAGCCATCTGTGTACTTCTAATTAAGATGGGGAAGTAAAGGCTTGCAAGGCTAGACTAAAGTGCAAACAAGGTTGATAGAACACTAGGTGGGCTATGCTATTCGCCATCTACATATAGATTTCCCATTGTTTCTCCTGTTTTTGTTTAGCTAGTAAAAATGCATGGCATAAATCGATAGGAGACAGGATCTTCTGTGAAATAGAACCGACCAGAACACTCCCTCATCGGGTGCTATCCTGTTCTCGTCACGGAGCAATGCAGAAAAAAGGCCCTGCATGAGATACATCTCTTGTGCTATAAAGGCCGGCATATGAAAAGCCCTCAACTGCAATGTGAGTGGAACTCCCTCTGACTTCCACCAATCAGCACATGGAGCACTCAACCATTCCTAGGTATTACGAGCATGATTCTGGGCAGGCTGACTCGCATCTGCATGAACATTGGAGCCAGGCTCCCCGTTCCTGTCGCTTCTAATTCCAAAAACAGAATAGTATATCTGTAGAATCCCCAAATCACTGAAGAATGATGTGATTGTAACAGGGGTCACCCTTTAGTGGCTTGATGAGCATCCTGTCCACAGCGCCTCGGCAAATTGTGCCATGTGCCTGCATAATAGACAGGTCCACGGGTGTTTTCCCCACATGACCCTGGCTTTCACATGGCTCTCAAAAATAGAAAATGAAACCCGTTCAAGAGCAAGACTTCACAAACAAAGACCGAAGATATTAATTGTTACCAAGGGTGGTGACTGATTTTGTCAGTTTGCTAGACATCTTGAAACAAAAGCAGGTTCCAGGGGGAAAGGGTCCACCGGGTGGATCGCGAACGGCGCATCGCGGGACTTGATCGTGGTTCTTGATCGTGGTTCGCGAGATTAGATCGGCTAATAGATGTGGATTAGATGACGAGTTTGTGCCGAGATGAAATCTCCATGCATTAGCACCCTCCAAGTCATCACATTGCATCACATCAAACCCTCCTTGGTTGACACTGAACCACATTTTCATGTTCATGCTGAAGTAGAGGTAGACCTAACTTTAGGTCTTCGGAGCAATAACCCAAAATCTTGACGCAAATCAAAGCAACCGTTGTTTGAAACGAGTTTCTAAGGCAGAAACAGTGGGTACAAAAGCCGATTATTTAGTTCTGTCGATCAACGGATTAACCCCCAAGGCGCTCTGGCATTCCAATGCCACTTCCGGAGTACCGGCGTGTCGGACGTGCTGAAAATCAAGTTTAATAAATAAAAAACAAAAATGAGAAACGCAGGAACCTATTTATTCCACCTAATGGATGTGTCGATTCAGATCCTCGGACTGGTAACGAAATCGGGGGTCACAGGCTGTGACATATAATAAGCCTCTTTTCCTCCGATAGTACCTTCGATTTTCTCGTTTCACAGCGACTCCAAAATGTTGTTTGGTTCTTCACTTTTATTCCTGGCTATTCACGCCGGGTACGCGCGAGCAGAGCCTATTGCGCGAAGAGGTGCCCCCTTGCTTGATGCCTCATTTGACTATGTTGTTGTCGGTGCTGGCACTGGTGGTAGCGTCATTGCGACGCGCCTAGCGCAACAGTCATTCAAGGTCGCGTTGGTGGAAGCGGGTGGTTATTATGAGGTTGAATCTGTCGCAGAGGTTCCAGCTGCCGATGTGCTTCCGGTGGGATCTGATCCCAGTACCTCGTCTGCCGTGGATTGGGGCTTCGTAACCAGTGGACAACCTGGAGCAAATGGACGGGCGATACATTATGCGCGAGGAAAGTGCTTGGGAGGATCGTGAGTAATGCAAGATCATTGGGGCCGAGAATATCATGCTGACCTGAACAGATCTGCTTTGAACTTCATGATCTATCAACGGTAGGACCGAGCCATTATTCCTTTTTGTTGTGATACTAATTCGTTTGATTCGATAGCCCGACCATTGAATCCATGGAGCAATGGGCAAGCGATGTCAATGACAGCAGCTACAAATTCGACGCAGTTCTACCATACTATAAGAAGAGTGCCGCATTTACAGCACCGAACATGAACGAGCGCGCAAAGAACGCAACCCCCGAATATAGTACCGAAGGATTCGACAGCAACGGGGGACCTCTCCAGGTATCCTATGCAAACTACGCGCAGCCCTTCTCCTCCTGGATGGATCTCGGCATGAACGCCATCGGCATCAACGACACACAAGATTTTAACCTGGGATCATTGATGGGAGCGCAGTACTGCTCATCCACCATCGATCCCAGCACCGAGTTCCGCAGCAGCTCGCAATCATCTTTCCTTGCAACCATTAGTCCTTCAACACTGACAACTTATACCGAAACTCTCGCCAAGAAGATTGTCTTCGACAACAAAACGGCAACTGGAGTCCAAGTGAAAGGGGCACTTGGGAATACTGTTACCCTTTCAGCGAAGAAAGAGGTGATCGTCTCCGCAGGTGTTTTTCAATCACCACAACTACTCATGGTCTCGGGCGTCGGGCCATCAGATATCCTAGAGGAACACGGAATTACAGTTGTAGCGAATCGGCCCGGCGTGGGACAGAACATGTGGGATCACCCGTTCATGGCGCCTACATACCGCGTGCAGGTCGACACACTTACCAAAATCGCGACGAACTTGGTCTACGCCGCGGGAGAATTCCTCGATGGAGTACTATCCAAAAATGGGCAATTGACAAACCCCATTGCGGACTTTTTGGCCTGGGAGAAGATTCCCGCGAGCCTACGCTCTGGATGGTCTCAGACCACAAAAACGGCGTTGGACAAGTTCCCTAGTGATTGGCCAGAGGCTGAAGTAAGCAAAGTCCAAGAAGCACACACTTGTGAATGATTACTAACCTATAATTCTAGTACATTTCCGGTGCAGGATATATTGGAAACGTCTCTAATCTCCTCACAGACCAGCCCAAAGATGGGTACCAGTATGCTTCGATGTTGGGCGTCTTGATTACACCAACATCTAGAGGAAATGTCACGCTTAAGTCTGCTGATACGTCGGACTTGCCAGTCATCAACCCCAATTGGCTGGGTGATACCGCCGACCAAGACGTTGCCATTGCCATGTTCAAGAGAATGCGACAAGCATTCCAAAGCGAGGCGATGGCACCAGTGATCATTGGTGACGAGTACTACCCTGGTACCGGGGTGCAATCAGATTCTGAAATCCTAGAGTTTATCAAGAACAATGTCATGACCTTGTGGCATGCGGCTTGTACCTGCAAGATGGGCACATCTGATGATGACATGGCGGTTGTTGACTCCCAAGCCCGTGTGTTTGGAGTGGAAGGGCTCCGCGTGGTTGATGCGAGCGCTTTTCCATTCCTTCCCCCGGGTCATCCCCAGTCTACTGTTTGTGAGTATTTTCGATTCGATTCGATGGATTTTGCTAATTTCCTTCAGATATGCTTGCAGAGAAAATTTCGGAGGCTATTATTCAGGGGCAGTAAGTCAATATGTGACGTAATATATACTTCCGCTTTTCGTGCGGTAATGCTTAGATTCTTCAGTAATGTAAATAAAATCAGAACAGCGTTTGAATATACTTCAAGAAGAAACACCTGAAGTATTCATCTGAGCCTTTCGCCCGTATTGCGCAACACCCTGAGAAACCGCCCCCGCATCTCATCAACGTCTGGTTGGAACCGGTAAGAAAGCCGGCCAAGATGACCCACTGTACGCCCTGTCATCGACAACCCCACCGGTCTAGCTTAATGAGTCCTTAAATATGGGGACTGGCGCTCAAATAAGACAGCACAAACTTCACAATGCGTCGGACCACTAGGGAAACAGCCACAAGTGAGACAGACACAACAGAACTAGACCATGAGCTCAACGACCTCAACACATCTGAAAACCACGATGCGAGCGTTAGTCTCGCATTCCCTGAGGGAGGACGTGAAGCATGGACTTCTCTCCTAGGATCAAGCCTACTCATGTTCCCATCATTCGGATTCCAAATAGCCAGTACGAACTCCAATCCCAACAAAGAATCAACATCTAACAAATTCCAGTCGGAACAATTCAAGACTACATCAGCACCCACCAACTATCAAACTACAGCGTCGGAGAGATAGGCTGGATAACAGCAATCCTGTGCTTCTTAACACTATTTTTAGGAGTGCAAGTCGGCCCATTATTCGACCGCCATGGTCCACGCTTGCTCCTAATAAGTGGTTCTCTCGCCAGCGTGACATCTTATCTCCTCCTCGCTCAATGCACAAAGTACTGGCATTTCATATTATGTCTCAGCATCCTGGGCGGGATCTCCTCCGCTGTCGTGACGACAGTTGGGATCTCAGTGATAAGCCACTGGTTCTACCGACGTCGGGCACTTGCATCAGGCCTCTGTATGTCCGGATCATCAGCCGGAGGTGCAATCCTGCCTCTCGCATTGCGCAGCTTATTCGCGAAATACGGATGGACGTGGTCAATTCGTATAATTGCCTTTATTGCACTCGGATGCTACTTGTTGGGGATTGCCTTGGTAAAAGGTAGATTGCCCGGAGGGAATACAAGTAAAGCAACGATCGACTTTCGGGCGTTTAGGTCTCCGAAGCTGTGTTTCTTGGCTGTTGCTGTCTTTGCCTTTGAATTCATTATCTTTGGTTGTGCGGCGCTTTTACCGACTTATGTCCGGTATACGGGATTGGATGTGGATGTGCAGTTTTATTCGCTTACCGTGCTAAACTCTATGACTCTCCTGGGCAGGATATTACCTGGAGTCGCTGCAGATCAGGTCGGCCGGTTCAATATTCTGTTATTTACTGCCGTTGTCACGCTGGTGGTTATGGCCGCTGTCTGGATTCCGTTTGGGTCTCAAGACGAGGCGACGCTTTATGGTGTTGTGGCGGTGTTTGGGTTTGGATCTGGAGGTTGGGTTTCACTTGCCCCAGTCTGTGCGGGTCAGTTGTGTCGCACGGAGGATTATGGTCGGTTCTATGGAACCATTTACTGTGTTGCGGCGTTCGGAGTCCTGTTGACCGTGCCAGTCGGTGGTCAACTTCTGCAATCAACAACTCCTCAAGCACTAGTCGGCTTTTACACCGCTGTTCTCTTGATTGGGCTGGTGAGCGTTGCTATGTCGCGGTGGGCATTGTTAGAATGGAAGTGGAAGTGGAAGGTTAAGGTGTAAAATCTTCCTGTGAATACTGTATATACCAGACTGAACCAGTCTAAAAAAAAATTGCAATTGCAATATTAATCCTGCAAGTGCTTCAATTCGTCCAAATTCTCAACATTCAAAAATCATAATTCCTCGGGACGCCAGGCCGATAAGAAACAATGCAAAAAGCGCCGGGTATATCAAAACAAGACCCCAAAATGTTTTTCCAGGCAAGCCTTTCTCCCTCCTCAGTCTATCACAGAAGATCGAAGTCGTCCAGCTTCTCACGGTACCGCATGATGTTACGCTTGATCTTGCTGGAGTCAACCCAGGTAATATAGTCCTCCACGTTGCGGGTAACAAGGTAAGCAGGGTCATTGACGACCTCAGTACCAACACGAACCTGGCCTTGTTCGATGAAGGTGGTAGCCTGTAAATCCAGTCAGCGTCGATCCATGTTATATCAGTATTCACATCCAAGTCACACTTACAGCCTTAATAGTCTCGACCATTCCAGACCGGACCATCAAAACCGCCAACCGCCGCCGACAGAATGCCGAAACAGTGACCTCCCGCTCAACTCGGGACAAACTCGCACCCTGCTCGCGCGACTGTTTCAAGATACCCATACGCCACAGCTTATCCAACATTTCAGACTCCAGCTTCTTGCGCACGGGATCACTTTCCGGGTCCAGCTGGGAAAGTTTGTGGGCGAGCGATCGCATGGATCCGCAAAGAGAGTTGTATTTTTTGTAGTCCAAGGGATCTTGGAGGAGATAGCGTTGAATAATTTGGTGTTCACGGTGATTGCCATCGGACTTGTAGGTGTGGAAGTCGACCTTCCGGAGAAGCCTGTTGAACTTGGTTAGAGTGCTGTCGTGAGGGCAAAGGCGTAGGCATCATTTCTGTGTGACGGCTAGACTCACTTTTTCTCGTGGTGCTTGAGTTGACGAACCATCTTGGCGGTCTAGGCGGTCCTGTATTGTAGGAGATTGAGACAGCACAAGAGCTTGAAGCCGTCAAAGAAAATGCGCGATAACAAAAAATTGTTATCTAGGCGGTGGGATTTTGCCGTTGCTGCTCAGACTTGGTCACGTGTATGGGCCCACTTTGGAGATAATCTACGGCGGAAAAGATAGAGACGATTAAGGCGCTGAATTCAGATGGAAGCCACGATAAATACAAGAATTAGGACTCGTAAATCATGGCAAAAGTCGAAGTCATAAATTCAAAAGCAAACGACAAGAATCTCAAGAAAGCAGACAAGTAACGCAAAATTGTACGGAAAATTCCCAGCTTTATCACTTTGCATAGCTCGTAAGTCGTGTTGTGTTTTCAATCTTTTCACTTAGAGCACGGATACTGCGCGCTCCCATGATATCCAGCAAGGAAACTTCTGCCTTGAGGTTTTTGACAATCCAAGAGACAAACTCCATGGACGCAAGTGAGTCAATACTAGAGAAGCTGAACCGCTGGGCATCGATTTCAGATGATGGAATTGCAAGCAAAGAGGAAAGCCTCTCAACAATCCCATTTGAAATCAAATCTACAGCTTCAGTTGGATTGGAGGCGGCAGAAAGACGAGTGGCAATGTTCACTGTCTCCTGGTCGCTGATTTCTATGCTCTTCGCCAGGTTGGCCGCGCGCATATGAGTGAAAAGAGGAAAGTCAATGTATGATGGCGTTGGGATGTTGTTCTTGCGACACATTTCCGCAGTCGGAAGCCCAAGCACCAACTGAGATGAACAGTGAAGATCGAGTGTATTTTCCTTCTTGTGTCGATGGTCAATGAGGAATTCGACTGCTCTGTGCACCTCTTCCTCGTGCAGGAATTCAAATAGTGTGTCCGTGTTCATTCGCATTGAGCCTCGATTCTCTGCGACCCATCCAACGCTGGATACGCTGCCAAGATCGATGCTGGATGCATTCATACCACGTGCAGTGCGATAGGCGGCCAGCGCATCTTGGAAGGTGTTTCCAGCTGCATAGTTTGACTGGCCGCGATTACCAAAGATGCCGGCGACCGATGAAAGCATGACAAAAAAGTCCAGGTCTATTGGCAGAGTCTCATGTAAGTTCCAGGAGCCTTGTACCTTCGGGCGGATCGCTGTCTGCCAATCCTCAAATGACATGTTTGCAAAGGCACCATCCTGAAATGATATGTATTAGTATATGAGTATAAAGAAAAGTTCAATAATTTAGTACTTACTCGCAGTACCATAGATCCCTGGATACATCCCTTAATTGGTGGCAACGAGGCAGAACATTCTTCAATGACATGTCTCAGGCGCTCGGTATCGGAGACATCACATGTAAAGATATGAGGCTGACATCCAAGCCCTTGCAGACTGGCAATCATTTCCTTCACAGGATCTGTGATGCGTCCAGATCTTGATAGAAATACAAGATGCTTCGCGCCGCGCGAAGCCATCCACAGGGCCAGACTTCTTCCTAAACCTCCCAGGCCACCTGCGAGAAGGTAAGATGCCTGACCGTCGAATTGGTACGGCTCGATGAGATCAGGAAGCAACGGAATCTTATCCGAAAGCTTAGGAGCGAACACAATCTTTCCATTAACTCCAATTTTTTGGAAATGTTTGACTCCATCTGTGATCTGTGCAAAGTTCATGACAGTGAAAGGTTGGGCCTGGCTGATCTTGCCTTCTGCATACAACTTCAATGCGTCACCAATGAGCTGACCAATGAGTTCCGGACGATCTGCCATAAACAACTCAATGTCGACACTCGTCACCGTCACACATTTCTGTATCGCGGCGAGGTCAATAATTGTTTCAACACCAGCATTCTTGTTCGAAACATGAATGAAATGACCAAAAGGAGCAACGCAAGCCAAAGACTCTTGCAAAGCCTCGCCATTCAAAGTATTGAACACGACATCAACACCAACAGCGTTTGTAGTCCGCATCACAGCCTTTGAGAATCCGAGGTCTCTATTGGAAAATATACATCCTGCTGGCATGCCATACTCCGATATGAGGAGTTCTCGCTCTTCGACTGTCGACACTGTAGTGAAAATGAAGGCTCCAAGCAAACGTGCATACTGGAGTACAGCCTGTCCAAGAGCCGCGGCGCCATTGTGAATGAGGATACTGCCATTCTCACGTAGACGAGCTACCTCCGAGAGACCATATATTGCGGTCGCATAGATTGAGGGCAGCCCAGCAGCAATCTTAAGCGGGACATTTCCGGGTATCTTGACCACATATGACTGGTCAATCCGTGCCAAAGTCTTGAAAAAGTGACAGCTACCCCCTGAAGTTGTGAGAACGACATGGTCACCGGGAATGACGCCTTTCACGGCTAGACCGATAGTTCTCACGACACCAGAGGCCTCGTTTGACGTCAAAGCAGAGCCAAGTTCAGAAGTAAGACCTATGGCCCGGATTTCCACTTCGACCTCGGATGGTCCAAGGCTCTGGTCGTGCTGGTGATCTTGAGCCCAGCACAATTGACGTGGTTCTGATCCATACTCTGCAAATTTCAACTCAATCGGCCGACTTACATCACCTAGTTGAACTAGCTCATGATTGGGGCCAGATGAAGGAAGAGAGAGGAAGTTATCAGCTTCATTCCACTGGCGAAGGCGACCAATATGAATGATCTTATTCTGCAAAAAGTATTCAGCATGTCTTTCACGGGCATTCTTCTTCACGAATTGATGAATAGCAATCCGATGAATGCATTCAGCCAAATCGTCCAGAGAACCTTCCGAAACTGCCAACGTCACAATATTAGAACCATCTGAGTTTCTTTCCCAACGCACTGTCCGCAGTAGACCTAAGCTTGTATTGGATAGCGGTTTGTCACGGGGGCTAGGGGTAACCCAGAAGATATTTCCACATTCTGTGAGCAACCTTCTTACCGCGATATATTCTTTCTCATTAACCTGCGACAGGAATGATGTCTGCAGGTCGACCAAAGAAATGCAAAGAGTATTCGGACCAGACTCGGGATCTAATTCAGATGGCCGTATGGTAGACACATTCGGGAAAGTGCCTATCAAAATGTCCTGCAAATGAGAAACTACAGGATCTTCTCCAGCGGTTCCCATAGTGAGGATAAAAACGCTTGGCCGGGTTTGTGTTTCGACCAAGTGAGCTGTAGATATCAGAATACTTTGCCAAGTCAAATCGTCCTCGGTGGAGCTTTGATACTCAATGTCCACACCGGAGAAGCCGGAGTCGTTGAGTAGCGTATTCCATTCGGATGTCGGGATGTATGGACACCGTTTCCGAATAGGCTCGTCGCCGAGCCACCATCCAGGAAGCTGGCCGAAGACGAGAGGGTACCACAGGAAGTCTTGTCGGATTCCTTCTTGCATGATCAGCTGACCACCAGGTCGGAGCAAGGATCGGAGGTTTCGCAATGCTATGTTTAGATTCTTTGTTGCATGGATGACATTTCCAGCAAAGATCAAATCGTAAGTGCCTTCTTCAAATCCTTGATCAAATGGACTTTTCTCGATGTTGAGGGGCTGGAAGGACATGATGTCGGCCCAAACCTGGAATCTGCGTTTTGCTTTTTCAAAGAAGCCGGGCGAGATGTCGGTGAACGTATATGTTGATATATTCGCTCTTGTGGCATCTTTCTCTGGTGCAAGCACGCTAAAGACTTCTGCCGTGAAGCTGCCAGTGCCGCCACCAATCTCCAGAATTTTCAACCCTGAATGCTGGTGGCGAAGAAGAGATAGATGGCTCTTGAGATGTTTTGGGAGGTTATAAAGATGAAGGCCCTCTTTATATACATCCTCCATCACATTGTCTTGGCCGAACATTAAATTCAAAGGGTCGACCTCTTTCCGTATAACGGCGGCAATGTTGCGACCCATGCGGGCTGTGATCGCACCTTCAGCACTGTGGCTCTCAATCTCTTTATATATCCTCTGCTTCAACAAAGAATCCAGAGACACTCTTTGAAACTCAGAATATGGGAGGTGAATGATTTGATCGTTCACAAGCATGTTCTGCCAGTGAATCATCCAGTCGTGGAATTTTTTCATGTGAGAATCAAGCTTGGTGATATCCATGCCATTGAGATCAACTAAGGCATCGGTGACATAAAGCATAGTCGCCATTTGAAGTCGCTCAACCCAGTACCGATTTGCCTCAGTATTGATTTCTGAAATCGAGCTAAGCTCATTTGCTGTCGTGGACTCGAGGAAATAAACGTCCGGCTTCCAGTCAACAGCGCTGCACAATTCTCGCTCATCATTTTCAATTGACGTGGACTCAAGCCGTGTGAGCTCAATGCCATCCATCCGAATACGAGGCTGGCCTCCAGCGCCCATGATTCGAATATGGCCTTGTAATTTGTCAGATGCACCATTAACAACTGATGCATACCCGAAGAAGTCATTAAGTGGTGCAGCACTCAAATCAGATGATACCCACATATCACGGATATAAGTGGGCAGCCTGATATGATCAAGGACAGGCTTGCCACTAAGGTCAATGCCGGCAGCAATCATCATATGTATCATGCTGTCCATAGTGGCCGGATGGATCAAATGAGAGTGCATGTACTGCTTTGGCATTGACTGCGCGATTTCGGGAACTGTCACTACACCGGTCATCAATCCAAGTCGACATCCACTATCCTGCACATTGTTAAGATTTCTGAACAAAGGACCAAAGTGAAGTCCAATTTCACGAAGATTGTCGTAAGTCCTTCCGAAGGTGATGGGCTTGGTGCATAGATTTTGTGCTGTTTCGAATTCCTGCTTCCAAGCTTCGACTTCTGCGCTTGCTTGACGGCCATTGTCAATCAGGTCAGATGATGATTCGAATTGCACCGCAACGTAACCATTGCAATGCTCTGTCCATTCATCGCTTGATTCATTGAAAGAGCTAATTTGGAAGCGACGCCAGGTTCTCATATCGGATGGCCTGTCTGTAGGGGTCATTGATAGGCTAATCTCAATTCCTTCCTTTGTATCTGGGACTACCAAGGCTCTGTTGATAGATATATTCCGCAATTGGAAGCCAGTGATCTCCTTTTCTCCAGCCAATTGCCGTGAAGCCTCAATAGCCATAACAAGAAATCCCACTCCAGGGTAAACAACGTTCTCCGTGACCTAGAGCTAGTCAGCTTGGATAGTTAAAATCGGGATGAAATACATACCATATGGTCTCTTAGCCAAGGATTCTCATTCAATCGGATGAAGTGCCTCCATCTGGGAGCGTTCGAATCCCAATCAGAAACAGGTGCACCAAAAAGGTCATGGCGTGGGAACTTTCTCGTGCGAAGATTTCTGCTGAGTCGACTCTCATACAGGTTCCTCTCGGTATGTTTGAAGCTGTAAGGTGGCAGATCAATAAGTAGCCTCGCCGGTCGGTCAAAATATATGCAAGATGCAAGGTTGACTTTGTGCAAGTCCAGTTGGTACCCATTAGCAGCCAAAAATCCGACTGTGCTCAGTAAAGGATTCAGACTTGGGTCACTTCGTTTAAGAACTGAGAAGTATTTGTGGTCAGAGTCGGTGCTCTGAGACGCTAGTGTTTCTTTGATGGCGCTCTGCAGAGTAGAGTGAGGCCCAATCTCCACAAGGAAAGGGGGAGCTCTAGGGAGATCTGAATCTGAAGATATCTCTATCGCTCGAGAGTGCATTGAAAGCAATCCACTTGTAAACCGCACTGGAGATACCATATTGTCCACCCAGTACTGAGCCGTAAGATTTGCTGACACAATTTCCTTACCAGTTACGGTAGAAAACATGTGAACTGGGTGTGGTACAGCTAATCTTTCCCCGAAAGACAAATCTCCCATCAGTTGGAGATATTCTTCAGCGATGGATCTCATGTGCGCGGAGTGGTAGGCATTCTTCACGTTAAGCTTTCGCGCAAAAACGCCGTCATTGTCCAGCCGTAACTTGAGGCAATCGACCAACGCCTCATCTCCAGAGACCGTATTGTTATTTGGACTGTTGTAGCAGGCAATCAACAGCTCGCCAGGAAGCTCTTTGTGGACCCACTCAAGATAAGGTTCCAGCTCTGAAGCACTCAAGCCTACAGCCATCATGGCGCCGTTGGCTGCGAGCTGCTTTGATGAGACATAGCCGCGACAGTAAGCGGCTGTCCAGGCTCCTTGTCGGGATAATATACCTGCGCTGTAAGCTGCAGCGATCTCTCCTGATGAGTGGCCTGTCACGCTGGTTGGGAATATGTCCCAGCTAGCCAAAAGGTCCACAAGTGCCACCTGCAGTGCAGTACACAGTGGGTGCGCAATCTCTGGGAGGCCCACACTGGCGAGGTTCCCTTCTTCGAGAAGCTGATCTATAGAAAACGTCAGTATACAAAAAGGTACGATAGAACATGCGATAATAGTACCGATAAGTGACCAGGGGCTTCCTAGTCGGCGAATGTATTCAGATGCCTCTCGGAGGGACTTCTGGAACACCGGATAAACCAAGAGCGCCTTCCCCATTCCTTCATACTGTGCACCTTGCCCGGTGAAAACGAAATGTATTTCTGGTGCATTGAGTGATCGAACTGGCTTTGAGAAGTTGCCCTCGGTTAAATTCCATGAGAGCTCTTTGAGTGTAGATGCAGAAATAAAGCTCTTCCATGGGAATACTGAGCGCCGCTTGGTGAGTGTAAATGAAAGGTCTTCCAGTAGGTGCTCAGTGTCTCTGGGTTGGTCAATTTTCCGGCTCAGATAGCGGGAATATGTATCCGCAGCTCGCTTAACGCCGCCTTCATCGAATGCCGACAGCAAGAATATCCTGGGTGCATCTTGAAGAGTAGGGTATGGATTGATTTGACCCAGTCCTGTAGATAAACAGGGACCATCGGCTACAGAGGTTCCGGGTGTTCCAATCGAAATGACGCCACCATTGTTCTCATCCGTAGAATCAGGTATACTGTCAAGCTCGGCATCAGCCCGAGATAAGAACAGACTGAAAGTTTTCGGAACGGTGGCATTAGTTTGGTGCGTAGCATCAAGGAGGCGACTTTGAAGATAGTGGCAGGCGTCGTCAAGGACGCAATGGGCATTGGTCCCTCCGATCCCGAAGGAATTGACAGAAATTCTGCGGAGCCCTTCCGAAGGCCATGGAGTAATTTCCTTGGGAAATGCGATATTCCATTCGACCGCAGGAATTTTGGCATTAATCTCCTGGATATCGAGATTAGGTGGAATGACTCCCGACTCGAGGATAAGGATGGATTTGATAAGGCTAGCCACGCCGGAACCTCCTTCCAGATGCCCAATGGTAGATTTGATGGTTCCAACGTACAGGGGCGTCTCCCGTCGACACTTGAACGCTCTTGCGAGCGCCCCCGCCTCAATCGGATCACCTATGCTGGTTCCAGTCCCGTGGGCCTCCACAAATCTAGTTTGCTTCAAATCCAGGCCAGCTCTCCAGTACACCTCTCGGATGAGTTTCTCTTGGGCCTCCGCACTTGGAACAGTAAGTCCCGATGTACGACCATCCTGGTTGACACCAGTTTCACGGATCACGGCACGGATTGTATCACCGTCTCGAATAGCAGTGCTCAATGGTTTCAGAACCACTGTACCCACTCCTTCCCCACGGGCATAGCCCTCCGCACGGGAGTCAAAGCTAAAGCACCGGCCTTGAGTTCCGAGAAGACCGTGGTGGCTCATGCCGACTGTCTCCACAGGATTCTCCAGGATACTCACCCCACTGACCAGAGCCTTGGACCAAAGCGCAAATTAGCTATCCGTCCCCAGGTACGTCATAAGCGAAAGCTTACCATATTTGACTCTCGGGCCCGGAGGCTCTGTACAGCCAGGTGCAGTGCAACCAAGCTGCTGGAACAAGCCGTATCGATGGTCATACTGGGACCCTTGAAATCAAAGAACCAGCTGACTCTGTTTGACAGGATTGCATTCACGACTCCCGTGGGCTTGTACTTGAGGGCGGTCTCTGGATCGGAATTAAGGATTCCCAGGTAATCATGGTTGAATCCGCTGACAAAAACCGAGGTATTGGAGCCAGCAGCGGCAGCTATTGGAATACCGGAGTTTTCCAATGCATGGTAGACGTTTTCCAGGACCAGACGCTGCTGAGGATCAAGGGTCATAAGTTCGTTTTTCGTAATGTTGAAGAAGGATCCGTCAAAGTAAGCAGGATCTTCGGATAGGAAGTGGCCCCCTTGCACATGAAACTAATTTCCGAAGTGTGATGATTAGCATGGTACTGATAGATAGGATGGGATATCCGGGATTGAACCCACTGTTCCTCCATGTTCGGGATCTGGATGAAAGAACGCGTCGGCATTGAATCTTTCTTTTGGAATAGTCGACCAGGTTGACCGGGCTTGTAGCAGAAGCTCCCACAAGGTTTCGGTAGTAGTGGCCTCCTGAGGGAATCGAGTAGCGAGACCAATCACGGCAATGGGCTCTACCATATCTGGAGATGAACTGCCATTGCCAGTAGCCATGTTCAAAGTCCGCATGTTTTTAATATCAATGGAACAAAAAATAAGAAGTGTAAGATATGGCGGGTTCTCACTTTGAGCGAGAATGGCTCATATGGAAAGACTGATGAGAAGGAAGGAGGAGAAGGAAGGACGAGAATGAAATCAGGGAAGGAATGAATCAATATATGTAAAAAAAGGTTGGAGCTCACTTGGAGCCATGAACTTAGGCTTAGCCAGAGAACCAACAGTCCAATGTCAATTGTGATAAGCTATTTCCACTCAATTACCAAAGTCCCGGTGCCGCATTTGCATGAGCACGGTTCTCTGGTTTCTTATTCGGGGCTTTGAGCAAACCGTTTTAGAGCGATCTGGATCGAACTACTCGGATTGGTAGATTCATCGTTGACTCCGAATCACGACATTAGCCAACCAAAACCCATCAGGTTACAATATCCGGTACCTATGTCTGAAGCTTTGCCGACCCTATATGCGCCACTAACAACAGCGTAAGCTTTTTCCAGACCTGCATTAGCTTGAGATTGTAGATCCTGGTCTGATTACGATCCAGAAATCTTATCTACAGCGCTGATTGGTCAATTAGACGCATCGCTGTCTGGCACTGCTCCACTATGGGAATGTCATTATATGTCTTGCTTCAAGGGTCACGGTCATTCTAAATGTTATTATCTGGTCTTTTGGAGACCTAAATTGAGCCATTGTAATGCGACGAGCCGAATATTGTAGGGGAAAAATATCAACAGGGGGTTGTTCGCATTGTGGAAACAAAGAAATCGACACCGCCACTTGGTGCACAACTGACTCAATCCTTGTCGGACTAGTTAGACTAGCCGCAATGCATGGAATACCCAAACATTTCAGAATCTGTAGCCACCCCATCTTTTACCGCGTGATATACCACTTTGTTTACACAGATCAAGTCTCTGGTAGGTTTCCAACTTGATTTTGTTCCAGCCTTTCCCTTAGGAAACAACTTCTCGCGATGTAGATCGTCAATTGCCCTGATTCATGGGATCCCTGGTGCTAGTGGCAACAAAGTTGAGCCGTCTTCATCAGCTAGTCATGTACCGTCCCCAATGTGGTCGTTCACTATCGAGTTTCTTTGTCTCGAGATGGAGTATGCTATACGATCTCAAGCATCATACGAACATCAACATGTAGAATATGGGATCGATCTTCCAAATTAAACTTTGGCGGCAGCTGTCCCGGAGCCGCCACATAACGTGGGTGTCTTAGATTGGCTCTTCGTTTAGCCAGGGAGCCGGCCGTTGATCAACGCATCAAAGAAACGAACAGGTCCGCTCTGTTGGGTGGGGCCGGGGGAGTTCGGATATGCATGTCCTTCTTCATATAGTTAGTCCTTATCGGCTCCCCTTTGATGTTTAACGCTATTGATCCTCCGGTTGGTTACTATAGTCTCGAAATGTTTGCCCCGATTGCCTCAAAAATTCGGACATCTGGTGGCGTTGGCGAATTGCATTATAGCGTATCAGGCAAGCAACTAGTAGCCAGTGGCGATAAAGTTTGCCCCAACATGGATAACAGTTTGCATCTTAAATCGATGAGAGCGATTGGTTCTACCCACTCATGCAGCCGGGTCATGATCATGGATTTATCATTGACTGAGTGGACATGATAGTGGCAGTCTATTGACCAGGGAGATGTATCCAGTGACCGCGGAGACCTTGAGACTCACAATAGAAATTGGAATCTATGGTAATCGATGATACCAGAAACAAAGTGCTAGCTAGTAGCGGGACTTTGTCAGGGGGAGATCCTTGGGTCAACTCATGGAAGAAAACCACTGGGTTCCAGCCCTTATACCCAGCATAGACTTAGACTTTTTATTCATATCGTCAACATACTGAGAACCTCAAAACACGACCAGGTAGGATTTTAAATGTATGGAGATGTACCTCTGATCGATCATATGTGTCAACACATTGACATTGTTAGTTTTGTCAAGTAGTTAGGAGATGGTCCTTGCTCAGGTCTAGCAATAGACAATAGCTTCCAAGAACATTTCTGTTCTCGTGCGTGAATCTGGCCTGGGTACCTGCGCAGTGCATGAGAATCAAATACTATCCCCAGTCCCTATTCCCTATGCTTTCATAAAGAGGATACGCTTGTATTGTGATGGGAGTGAACATCGAAATCTATGTCAAATAGAGGAACAAGCTGTCCCATCAATTATATCCTGTAATATCGATTAGTCTGAATGAACTTTGCCACCTGTACTAGCACTCAAAGTGTAGTCAAGTTGATGTAGTACGTAACTCCGAGGAGTCATGTGAAAGTGGGAATCTGACAATACTTGTCTGAACCTTCCGTTCGAGGTGCCCTCAACGCCTGTGAGAGCAGTCCACCCCCCCCAGTGAATCTTTTTCTTCACCTGAATCTCATTTCATTGAGCTTGGATCTTACTTTTGCTGCCATTCCCCTGCTCTGTTGTGTACAACTCATATAGTTTCATTTGACTACCAGAATTTGGTCTGGCACAGAAGGAAAGGAAAAGATAGAGAAGAGAGATAGTCATTGCACAAAGTTATCCATTCCGCCACAAGCTCTGAACCCGTTTCCCAATGGTATATATTAGGTACATATATGGACAGGCAAGCACTAAGTGCACGGGAAATGCTTCTGTATGACAAGATCATGCATTCGACGGCGCGATCGATCTCATCGACACAGAAATAAACTCGCCATCGTCCTCGTCCGTGACATTCCACTGCAGGGAATAAACGTCTTCATTACTTGTCTTCTTGACATAGAACAGTGACGTGTACTCGCCACTCTCCTCTTCAACCAGCAGGAAATGGCCATACCAAACAAATTTGTTCGTTACTTCATCGTCGGTAGCAGTTGAGTTGCTGGTAAAGCCAACTTGGGTACTAGTCGAGTCTGAACTTGGAACAAAGAGCTCCTGATCCGAGAAAGAACTCTTGGTGCTGGTGCTATTGGCTGGGTTTCCGACCATCGAACCTCCAGACGAGGAAGGGGAGACTGCGTGCAAAATTCATATCAATATTTGCTGAAGAAGTGTGGGCTAAAGGAGTAAACTCTTACATGTCACTTCGGTGGCATTTGCAGGAGCATTCTTGCCGACGACTGCGTTACCTGCTCAATCCGATTCAAATAAGTACGCAACTTGCCTCCATGATCCATGTCTATGCGACTTACCTTCGCTGTAGTACAGTGGGAGTCCCCCGACGCCGTCGCCATACGCATAAAGACTGTACGACTCAGAGGATGAAGAGCGAGACTCAACCCCAGCCGCGGCGGCGAAGGAGCTCAAGGCGAGCAAGGAAAAGATCGACACGGCACGCATAGTGTGAACTACGGTCAGTGTGAGGAAGATGAAGAATAGAATGGAGATTGAGAGACAAATCCGGCCGGGCACGAGACGTATTAATCACCAAGGGCTCATTGCGTATGCAATGTTTAGACTAATCGGTTCTAATCGCTCGGGACTCTCTTTCCTACGGAAGAGTACCGACATTTCCACGAATCGACGCTACACGGGAAGCAAGCTCCACAGTCCGCTGGTCTCAAGATCTTCCTATGAATGAGCATTGTGTAGGCTTGCTGGAAAAAAAATTGTCCAAGATAAGAGATACCCGCGCTGTGGTTTTGCCGATCTTGCTTCTTGGGGATATTGGTTGGGGGTGGCTTGCGTGGAGGTGACGCCGAGTGGATCTCGTTAGATATACTTAGACCAAGTTCCGACACTGTTCGGCACTTGCGTCTAACCTTGATTTGAACCTAATGATATACTTCGCGCTCTCGACACGTTCAGATAATTTCATATTTTTTCTCCTAAAATAAACATACTTGCGTATGCCTCCGATGATCCTCCGAACTTAATGTTGCCAATAATCCCGCCATACTAGGACAATATTGCTCTCTTCTCGAGTCCGAGCAACCTTAGGGCTATGCGCAAGCAATCAGAAACTGGTGCCTAGATCCACGTTCGGCAATTGATGGGGACTACTGGCCCCATATTTCTGGCTCCCCGGGCCTCTGGTCTCGTTCAAAATCGCGATTATCCTATCCTGCTAAGGAAATAATCCTCATCGGTGGAGTTGCCTGGCCGCGTAACTCGATGTTAGCCAACTTTTCACGATCTCCTGAACACCGATGGTCTACGTTTACGAACAATATTTCGGCGCTAGAAGATCTGCCTTCTATTTTTATGGAAATACGTGTCGTAAGAGGATCAGCTACTCTAGATTAATCCCATTGTTTTATGATTTATCATATCCTCTTTCTGATGACATTCATTATCCATTTTTGACACTCTTTTTTTCATACTGTTTGTCGATATAGTCGACGTGCCATTCTTTTGAAAAAAATTCACAATATGAGACTCATATCTGCTGTTTCATTACTTTGCGCAATTGCTGCTACCGCAGTATCTGCAGCAAGTCTTCCAGAAACTCGTGCATCAACTTCGACATCCACACATGCTCTTGCCTCGGCCTCCACAACCGCCACAGCCAAGGCTTGCAGTGGAAACACAGCCAGCACTCGCAGTGAATGGTGCCAGTATGATATAAACACTGACTACACCACCGTCATTCCAGAAACCAATGTCACTCGTGAATACTACTTCAATTTGGAGAAGGTCACAGCGTCTCCTGATGGACGTTCACGTATGGCATTGGCGATCAATGGCTCTATCCCTGGTCCGACTATTGAGGCGAACTGGGGTGACTGGGTTGTGGTACACTTGACCAACAGCCTGCCCGCTGATGTGAAGAACGGTACAAGCATCCACTTCCACGGTATCCGGCAATTGCACACCAACCAAAATGACGGAGTTGTCTCAATCACGCAATGCCCTACTGCGCCCAACAATACTATTACCTACAAGTGGCGTGCTATGCAGTACGGTACAACCTGGTACCACTCCCACATTGGTCTGCAAGCCTGGGAGGGGCTCTTCGGAGGCATTGTGATCCACGGCCCTGCCAGTGCAAACTATGACGAGGATAAGGGAATGATCTTCATGAATGACTGGGACATCAACACGGTCGATGAGCTGTATGACACAGCCCAATTAGATGGTCCTCCTACACTGGACAATGGTCTGATCAATGGCACAAATGTCTTCGGAGCAGATGGATATGTCAACCAGACTGGAACTCGGTTCAACACTTCTTTTACAGAGGGAACATCCTACCGACTTCGTCTAGTGAATGCAGCTTGTGATACACACTTCAAATTCATGATTGACAATCACACTATGACGGTGATTGCTAATGACCTCGTGCCAATCACTCCTTACAAGACCAACGTGCTCAACATCGCAATGGGTAAGCCTACCCATATCCACAAAACTCGCATCTGTAACTAACACATCCCAGGACAACGATATGACGTGATCGTAACAGCCGACCAAGCATCCGTTGCCAAAAACTTCTGGCTCCGCGCAATCCCCCAAAGTGCATGCTCCGAGAACCTGTCATCTCAAAACATCAAAGGTATCGTGTACTACGGAGACTCACCCTCGACCCCAACAACATCAGAGTATAGTTACACAGATAGCTGTGATGATGAGGACATGTCCGATCTAACTCCCATCGTCACGGAATCTGTCTCAACCCCCTACTACAACAAATCCGAGCCTGTCACACTAGGCAAGAACGGCGAAAGTCTCTACCGCTGGAAACTGAACTCTACATCCATGCATGTTGACTGGACGGACCCGACCCTGCTTGAAGTCTACCGCGGTCATCACTCCTGGGCGAATAGTAGTGGAGTTATCGAGCTCCCGCATAAGAACGAGTGGGTGTATGTTGTCATCGAGACTACGCTTTCTGTCCCGCATCCTATCCACCTTCACGGGCATGATTTTTACGTCATGGCTCAGGGTAGTGGAACTTACGATGGTGAAGTCACTTCGTTGGCTAGCCCGCCAAAGCGCGACACCGCTATGCTGCCATCAGATGGACATCTGGTCATTGCCTTCAAGACCGATAATCCCGGTGCTTGGTTGATGCACTGTCATATCGGATGGCATACTGAGGAGGGTTTTGCTATCCAGTTTGTGGAGCGGTATAGTGAGATCAATGCGTTGATCAATTACGACGACTTGAAGGATAACTGTGCTAGCTGGGACACGTATGAGGCCTCATCCAGTGTTGTGGAAGAGGATTCGGGAGTTTGAGGTCGTGTTTGTCGCTCCCAGGGGATTTTCCAGATTCCTTTCTATTATGGTTGCCAAATTAGAAGCGCCCGGCGTGGTGAAATAGCTGCACTTATAATATTTTTTACGTCGACATAGTGAAACTTAATTTCACGTCCGCTCATTTCAATCGTTGCCTACCAAGAATTTGAACTTGCTTCAATAGCCAATCTTGCTGCATATTAAGCCATAAAGACAGGTACGTAGCCGAGGACCTACCATAATATCTTGTCGAAGATATTACCATTAATTCAACCGTTTTATCCAATTGAGTGTTTTGCAGTATGTATCCAATTCCGATAACATCATCATCTTAGATACAAAAATGATACCAGATCAATAGCCAATAGAAACGCATAGATGGTACGTTGCAGGTTTCGAGGGAGTTGAACGGCAACATCCACACAGCGAAGTGCAAGCTAAAGGCCAATGCGACTTCAAGTCAAATCCACCACTCAAGACTGGGCCTTGCAGGCAGCGTTATCAGCAGCGCACTGAGCCATGTTGGCGTCGGCGCCAACGCGGCAGCTGTCGTAGACATCGGCGCAACAGCTTTGGTGCTCAGAGACACAGTAGGACATGTTGGCATCGGTGCCGGTGCGGCAGGAGTTGTACTGAGTCTGGCAGTCGCTGTTGGTCTTGGCCAGGGCACCGGTGGCCAGAGCGAGGGCAGCGAGGAAGAAGTTGACGCGGACCATTTTGATGGATTTTGGTGAGGAAGTGGGAGGTTTTGGAGGAATTGAGGGTTGAAATTGAGGTTGAGGCTTGAATAGTGTCTTTATCACAGGATGTTACACCCTTTTATATGCCAAAGACTTGGGAACGTGCCCAAAAATCAGAAACACCTTTTAGGCTCCCAGCAATCGGGCTATTTCGTCGGGCAATAGGCATGCAATTGGTTGGGGCAGATCGTCTGAAACATAGTCTCTTTCTAGAAAACACTGGGTCTAAAATTGGGGAAAGTCTTAGTGGTGACCTCGAGGTGATCTCAATAGGGTGCTTAGCCCTGCGGATCTCGAGTGGATATGAGACATGTCTAGAAAGGAGAGCTCCACATGGAATATTCAGCTCCATGATTTTAGCGGGGAAAATTGAGTTCAGACTGAATGAGTTAGAAATGACGGTGTGGGGAAAGCAATGTGGTCTCTTCCAACGCGCGCTGCTAAGAGACTCGGGCCAGATACCACTACGTGATAAAATTGAAGAATTGGATAGATAAAAGGCATAATCTGGCGACTAAAGTGGACATGGACAAGTTTTGTCTTTATTCGTCTTCAAAGCTACATTTTCTCACTATCGATGATCAGCAACTCAAAAAGGGGCTATGCATTCAACGCTCTATAGGGATCTGCGTATAGGGATCTGCGCCGATACGCCGTCTTTATTGAATCCACTTCTGGAAGATGACCGAGGCTAAATCCAACGTGCTATTCCAGAATTTCATGACTAATAAATTATACATGTCTCGGGATACTTCCTTATCTGAATATGACATTCATAGGTATTAAAACTTGATTATAAGATTCGATCGGCGAACAAGAGCATGGAAAATGTCATCAAAAAACGAAAGCCAAGGGGAACGTAGTATATTCACTAACTAAAGAATTCAGTCATCACAAACCAATTGGATATCATGTTTGCTCGCCATGCCCAAAACTCCAAAAAGTTATCAAATCGCCATTGCCCTAGAGATCAACCCCAGCGGCACAAATAGAAAAAAAAAACCAAAGAAACTGGACAATTAAACAAATGCTAATTCACCACTGCTAGCAACAGGCAGGCCCCGATTACTCAGGTCACGAATCGGAGGCGGCGGATCCATGGGCGCACTCAAGAATGGATTATTAGAAGTCTTGTGCGGGCTCGCTTTCCGAGACAAGTGTTCTTCTAAATCGGAGGCAATAGACGAGCTGAGTGGCATATTCGACTGTTCCCCAGATTGAGCCGCAGCCTTGGAGTGATTACCAGAATCCAGACGGCGATTACTGCTCAAACTAGTTTCACTCCAGAACCGAGGGAGCGGTGAGATGACACCCCGATAATCCTGCGCCAAGCTAAGTTGACTCTGACTCTTGCCGCCCCCTTCAGCCAATGGGAACAGGGTTTGTGGAGGCTGAAGAGTATGGTACTGTGACAGACGGTTCTCATCACCGTATTCGGAGACTGAGAGTGCAGTCGAGTGTGGGCGTTCTTGAATCGATTGACGGAACTCATCCGTGAATGTGGATACGGAAACGGTGTCTGCGCGGCTTCGGATGCTCCGGGCCCGTTCTAAGGCACGCAGGCCGGATGATGTGCGACGGCTGACCTGAGCGGAGAACAGTGGGTTGGCGGAGTTGCGGTGCTTCGCCCGGCTGTGGACGAATGCCTCTAGGGAATCGGCTTCCGAGATTGGTGAATCATCCGGCTCCACTGCACGCAAGGTAACTCGTTTGTAGTTTTCTGGGATGCTGGATGCCATGCTGTTTCTCGCTCGAGCAGCTGCAGGGGGTCTGGGGAACATTGGTGCCATGTTCATCATGCTGCTGTCATCGCTCATCAACGGATCCTTGGTGTTCTGCCAGGACATGTGCACAACGCCGTGTCCTGGTGGACCAAATCCTCCGGCACCATGCCCAGCGCCGCTAAATCGCACTGGCAATCCGGAGGCAATGGTGGAAATCCCGCTTGACCTCTTAGAGTAACGCTTGGAACGAGATGACTGCATAGACTCGCGTTTCATGGCTCGTGGCTGAATTGCCTTCAGAGGCTCACGTCGCGAACGGTTGGTAGACCGGCGACGACGCACAGGAGGACTACTAGTGAATGACATGCGCTGATTTTGTTTCTTGGTGGGAGACTGAGAAAATGGCTTGTCTTCGTCGATGATCGAATCTCGCAGTGGAACAAATGCCCGCTTGGGAGAGCGAGGAGGCGGGTTTGGTGAAGGAATTGCTTTCATTGATTCGTCTGGTTTGTCGAACGATGCCACGTTCCATGCCGGGCCAAGCTCCAACTTGGGGAGATCAGCGGCAGGGGACAACGGACTCATCCAATCAACCGAGTTAGAATCTCGCGAAGACCTTTCAACAGCTCCAGGCTCGCAGTTGGGCATATCAGGTCTGGCCGGGCGTGGGGGAGGTAGCTTGGTGGTTGGGAATTTTTCCTCTTCCTCCACCTTGGGTAACTTGCTTCGGCGACGCCAACAACAAAAGAGAATAATCAGGCTCATGACCACCACGACGGGAATGACCACTGAGATGGCAATCACTCCAGCTTTCTTGTGAGAAGAGGGGGACTGGCTGGAAAACGGATCTCCGGAGCTCGAATCAGTATCTGCTGGTTCAAGGACATCGATGTCAAAGTCTTGGGTATCTTCAGTATCTCCCTGATGCGCCGTTAAAGCCATGCTGAACTTTTGTGGCTTGGCATCCGATGGGATGTGGCCATACAATGTTTTGTTACTCGGGAAATAAGTAAGCCATGATGATAGCTCTTCGGGAAGATCAACATCGAGTTGTACGGAACTGTCGGTGACGGTGGACTGGTTGAACACAAATGTAAAGTCTTCACCAATGATCGCTTCACAGCCTTCAACGGTATCAAGGAAAAGCTTCAGAAAGTCCAAACGCACCATAAGCGCCGCCTGGTCTGAATAGGTGTCCGTGACTGTGATAGTAATGTTTTGGTTGACAGCATCCTTGGGAGGTGTGCCGCTCAGAGAAATTGAATCATTGTCCATTGACAGCCAGTCAGGTAGGGTAGCGTCGATCTTGGTCAAATCCTTACTGGTGATTGGCGAGCCATCCACTGAAATTAGGCTTTGGAAGCTGGGGCTGGTAAATTTGTCGCCTCTGGTGAGATTGAATGTCTGAGCGGTTTCATTGAATGCGAGTATATGTGGGCCGATCGAGAGCTGGAAGGTCATGTTCGCGGCGCTAAAGCCAGCGACATCGGAAGCAATGAGCTGGAAAGTAAAGGTTTCGGGCTCGGCTCCTGGGAAGGCCGGGGTGTTGCCGACAAATTTGAGGGCTGCAGCGTCGAAGCTGATCCATGATGGCAATGGGGCGTTATTAGGCGAAGTTCCATAGTATATTGTGGAAGGGTGAGTATTCTGGAACGTGGACGGATCAAATTCGATTTCGAACGGACGACCAGGGTGTATGAAAAGCGTCGCTGGGTATGAAACAGGGCCCAGAGTCTCAAGTTGTGGGAGGAGAGGCGTTCCTTTGGTTGGACCTTGATCTGTGGTAACGATAAATGTAACGTCCATGCTGTCGGACTCTGCTCCATTCGATGCAACTAGCTTAAATTTCTTAGAGCCCGTATCGCCTGGTCCTGGAGTCCCAGATAGCACACGGCTACCATTTTCCACGGAAAGCCATGATGGAGCGTCCGAAAGTGAGTATTTGGTGTCTGAGTCCGAGTTGGCGAAAGTACTGGCGGCAAACACCCACCGAAATGGCTGTGACACTCGCGCGACTGGAGGTAGTTGTGCATTAATGGGATAATTGGCAGCAAGTGCGGCGGCGTTTACTGCAGCCACAAAGGCCAGGACAATTATGAGGAAGGGTGCCATGTCCGGTCGAGGTGCCCGAAGCAAGCGGGGGAACTGTGAATAGACTTGAGGGGACACAGCGAGCACGACCGAGGACAGAAATCACCATCTACACACGAAAAGAAGCCCTCGGGTGACGGATAGAGAGTACAGGGTAGATGGAAAGAGATAGAAGCCAAAGATGAGAGAAAACGCCTCCATGGTCTCTTGGAAGGATATCAGATCCCTCCCGTGCCAAAGGGACTGATAGGGAGACATTCAAGGCGTGCCCTTTCGTGAAAGCCATGCCTGGATATGCTAGACGTCACTGAAGTATGCAGCTGAGTGCAGAGTGACAGCCGAGAATGGGGGGAAGCGCGTCGGGAGTTCGGGCTCACGTTTCAAGCAGCAAGGGATGGCTCCTTCACCAACCAAGGAGCGCAGGGCCCAACCACTCCCATGACTTCTGACCCCTCATCACATTTCCAAAGGGACGACAAGGTAAGGAATCACGAATCAACCGTGCATTTGAGAAAAAGCCCCGGAGTGTGCTTCGGATAGCTGCAGGTGGCTTTCATCCATCACGTTCCAAGTCCAGGGTCATTCGAATACCTGTCCGTCCAGGGGCATAATAGTCAGGGATCTCCTCTTGCTCCTTGAATCCACCTCTCCTATACAATGCTCGGGCAGGTTCCCTGGCCTTGTCTACCCACAACTGGATGTACTGGCAGCCCTCCTTCCGTAGGCGCTCCTGAATGTAGGACATGAGCTGCTGCCCTACACCCTGTCGGCGACAGGCTTCTATTACACAGACCTTGTGTAGGAGGGCAATACCCTTTTGGCGCACGTAAACTGCATAAGCAATGAGCTCCGATCCAGTGCCCTCCCTGGTTTGAGTCGCGTATAGGACTCGCGTGTTGGGCTTTTTTCTCCACAACTCTTCCCCGAAGCCGAAAGCCTCATTGGTCGGGAATGTCTTTTTTTCTATCCGAGTTAATTGGGCAAGGATCTCCAGCGCCTCGTTCCTCTTCAAGGAATGAATGTCCGAGACGTTTATTGTGGGCGGCATTCTTGATCGCGCCGTTAAGATCTCAGCTCATTCCAACGTGTTACGGCTTTGATTGGAACGGTCTCAGACGCGCCGCGGTAGGATATTCAATGCGAGTGTGATTTATTTAGAGAATAGATTCCCGGGCTTGGTAGAGGCGCAGTGATGCTACTTTGGAGGTTGATCAAGGTGATTTATGCAGGATCTGTTTGGCCCACATATGTTGCCTCAGGCACACATAGGTAGTTTTCCGCCAAAAATCGATTACTTTAAAAGAAAAATAGAAGAAAAATTTGGCTTTCGGACCGATTATCTGCTCAAGAATTATTCTTTTACCGGCAGAGATATAGGACTGAGGTTAGCGCCGGTGTCCTACTCATGTAATAAGTTTCTTGATCTAAAGTCTAAGATCAACACCCTGAGCGAGTAGCTTGTTGACGGTCAGCCCATATAGCGCTAGGTACCTTCCTAACCGTTCGTCTCATAATTCTTAAAGTCTATGTATCTATGTATCTATAGGTTTTAAATCATTACTCTAATCGGATCTCGACGTTCTTCATCCCGCAGTCCTCCAACCATACACGCATTCACGAACAACCCCGTCGCCTCAACATCCGGACGCAAAGACGCTTTGACGAACTCTAGAAACACGCATAGGAGATTCAAAACTCCTCCTCCAGACAGAATAGTGTTTTCAAATTCCCTTTGCAACCCATCAAAATTCACCCACTCGGTTCCCATTCCTTCATGAATATGCCCAAATACATGAACCCGAGGGCGCACACGCCACACCTCCCGCAGAAGATGAACACAGCCCAGCTGAAGTCCATCAAGATGTCCGCGTGGTGGACAATGTGTCACAAGTACATCGATATCCTTTGGAATAGTATTCGTCCAGATATCCTTAGAGCGTGGGAACTGGAACCCTGGCGTTCCGTGCCGCGGTGAGTGCGGACTACCGTAGATACGCAGCCGGCGACCATTAGCACAGACAACAGTTGTTTCTGAGTTTTCGAGATAGATAATATCACCCCAGTCGAGCATTTGTCGCTCTGCTTCGGCCGTTTCCGCTTTTCGAGACACTGGGTCTTGACACGAATCAAGAAGAAGGTCATGGTTGCCCGCGACAACAATCTTCGTCGCGTGTGGCTGTGCTTGAATCCAATCCAAGGCATTCTGCGTCTCTTCAAAAGAGCCGGACTGGGTCAAGTCTCCGGCATGGATAAGGATGTCCCCATCTGGGCATATTGGTTGGGTGTTATGCGTGTCGGAGATGCAAATAATCGACACCGGGTCGCTGAGCGGTTGGGCGGGAATCTTCTCGCACCATGTGTATAGTATTCGTGCGAAGAAAATGCACGGTTTGTTCAGGAATTGTTGCCAAAATCCTGTCCGAAACTGTTTAATGACGGCATCTAGACCGCTATTCTGCTGGCCGAATATGCTCATCAAGAGATTGATGTATGCAGTGGGGATTGAATGTCTCAAATAAAGCACAATATAGTATGAAAGTTTACGTCATATCTGGATTGGACAAGGAGAGTACTTGATTCATTGGATCAGACTCTGTTCTGGCATTCCCTAAGCTAGGCAATGCCCATTCGCTTAGTCATGTATCAAATCACCGAGAATAACAGTTCTTACAGTGGTGTGCCATGAGTTTGAAACCAGCCTTTCAGACCGCTTACTATATACAGCTTACCGCCTACTAATACGCAGCACGCTGACTCGACAAGTAAACACCGATTAACACACAACTTGGAAGTCTTGTATTAGATACATATGCGGTACACCATTGATAATGATCTCAATCATGTTCAGTTTGTCAACTCTACATACTGAGTTATTCAGTCAAGAATGGGAGGTTTTGGCTCGCAGGAAACATGGCAGAATGTAATGTAAGGTGTGTAGAGGGTTTCCAACTCATGCAACGCCACTGTAAGTCCAATATATTCACCGATCGACTAAATTTGCTTTAGACCCAGTCTCTGTGGATGATGATGGAATTCACTATTAATCTGCATGGCTTGAGCTTTTGAAAGTGTCGACGTAAACAGTCATCATTCTGTAAACTTTTTGTCGGGTCAAAAATCGAGCCAAAGCCTACTAGTAATGACCAGGTTCGGTGGCACTTTGCCTGGTTAGGAGAAATTTATCTACTTCTGGTGTGGCGATGGAATTAGAGCCATGATTTAGTCTAGCCCAGGACAATTCGTCATTTTTTGATATTCAACCTCTCCTTGACTAAGCCTAAACTCGGGTTCGATTCATGTTCCTTTGTCTACTTTACTAGCTAAACACTCTCCGCGTGGTTTGACATGTTTAGCGAGTTGTATCTGTCGCTCTTGGACCGTCGTGACGCCAGAATTATGAGGTCGGGCGACTTCAAGTCTATTCAGGAGTTCAGACTGAAGGTCGAGAAATATTATCGCTGGCATCATGACGGGCTCCTGAATCGAGGAAGTCTAGAGAAACGCCTTTTCGAAATCTGGAAGCTTGATTTCGCGCTACGAGGTGCAATTCAGGTAAAGGAATGCAGCAAAAAGTTGTGTTGGGCCAAAAGAAACACGTTAAAACAAGAGATATTGAATGCCTTGCCAAAATACAATGCATAACTACTCAAGGATACGTATTATGATGCCAGGCACTTTACAGGGCGGAAGAAATCCTAACGGATGGGCCTGTCAACAGAGCCTAATTCTTGCTGCGAGAGGATCCGCTGTAGTACCTCCATTCAGCCCTTGATAATGAATTTGCAAGAAAAGGCGGCTGCTGCGGTCGACCATGTAAATGCTGCCAGAAACGACGACCTCAAGAAGGGCAGAGACTGGGTGTGGGTCATTGTACCATGTTTTGTGGATGCTGCCTGAAGACTATTGGGGTTTCTTGTGATTCAAATTTTGAAATGGGACCTGCGATACTTGATTCCTGGTTTCAGCCCTTTTGAGCAAGGGAAGTTATCCGACAATGTCCTTTGGCAGAAAACTCGACAAGTCTTCTTTTTTGGTTCAAGATGAAGGGTTAGTTAATGTGACTTTCTGTTTTTGATTAATGAATTCATTTTTTTTTTATTCTTGCCTTTTCGTTTCGTGTTGCTCACTTAGTATATGAAAAATAAAAGATAATGTCGGAAGTTCAGCTTATGAAGAGTTTCCGCCCAAAATCCCCACCAAAGAACCTTGGAGACCTACCAACCACGTCTTCCCGGTATCAACAACAGCCCCTTCGCGTCTCCAGCGACAGGCAAGCGCGATTAGAACAAGATGCCTACGGATGCTGATAACAAGCGCCAGGCTGCGCGTGATGTCATCGATATTCTCGAGGATATTTCCAAAATCCTGGTGTGTAGCTTAGTCCATCAATTCACCGCACGGGAGTGACTCGGCAAGCCTCCGAGACAACTAAATGCTAACTCATGATCAGAACACCAACCTAAGCCGCACAGAGCTATCTCTATGTGTCTCCCTAATTGAGAATGGTGTCAATCCTGATGCTCTTGCGGTAAGAGGCCCTAGCCCGAGAATGACTTGACATCTTATCGGCAAATCAAATGTTAAATGGTTTGAACTAACCATTCTTGCTTAGGCCGTGGTAAAAGACCTGCGCAAGGAGTCGGCGACCGCCAATCGGGGCCAGTAGAGGACTGGTCTAGGCGTGTACGACTGTTACTTTATCATCTTCTGAAGGACAAGAATATTTTGATGAAGTAGTTGTTTGACGATGGTTTACGGCGTTGGATGGTCTACGTGACCTGATCTGAAAGATACCCTTTTGTTTAATGCTGTCCAGGTAATGGAGATCGAATCTTGGAATTGATTAAAGGCCCTCTGGGCTACTTTCTCGTTATCGTAAAACTGGAATCTGTAATAATCTCCGGAGGCAAATGTAGTACTCCGAGTCTGTTGGGTGTGATGCGCGTTAAGTGGAAATGAAAGTCAAGGATGGCTCAGGAATTCGCAAGTCATGAAGATAAAATCAGGGCCAACATAGGCAATATTCAAAGGAATAACACACGGTTCTCGGCATTTACTTCGAAGGATCCTCAGTCTTGGTATCCTTCTCCTTGGAAGCCATGTCACCGGACATAGCTTCGGCTGTAGCCTGCTTGAGCTGCTCACTCTCCGGCACAGTGGCCTGCTCCTTGGTCTTGGTCTCCTTCTCATCATCGCTATCTCCAAGGCTGAATGGATCATTCTCAGCCACGGGGGAAGGCTCGACGGTCGCCAAAGGCTGCCACTTGCTGGACTTGCCACCACTTGATACGTTGCGCCCAGTATCAATCTCGGTAGGTGGCCCATCCTGGAAAGACACCTTCCGCCTGTCAGGGGACGGCGACGATGTTTTCTTGAAGTTCGTGTTGGCCAGAGGGCGGGGTGGACGGGGCGGGGGAGCTGGCACGATTTCGTCAGTCGAACAGAATCATGTTCAAGGTAAATAGGGCACGAACCTTCACCATCCCTTAGCTCAAGTGCCGAGAAGTCATCACCTAGCACCTGAGGGTCTGCATCATAGCGCTCGCGATCTCCACTGCGACGGGCCATGTCACCACTTCGTCGCGGACGCCCATACGGCGCAGGCTGCTCCTGGCGCTCGCTAGGCTCTTCATCCAAATCATCTCCGTCAAGTCTCTTTTTGAAGTTTGTAACCCATGAATTGACCTTAGACTGCGTTTCCAAGAAGCCCTTGCGCAGGTTGTCACGAATCACCGGCAAGTCATCTGCGAATCGTCCCACGGTCAGTCCTCGTATATTTGCCGGAACTCGAGCAGGGGTGGTTACCATCGAAAAAGCTGTATTCCTTCTCCTCCGAGTCCTCGCTTCCTCGTGGTTGGTGATACCGAGGGTCGTTCCGCCATCCTGGGGCTTGTTCACGACGTCCGGACGAGTTGTAATGTTCAGCCAGTTGGCGCGCATATTGTTCGTCGGATTCTAATTGGCTCCGAGCAGTAGAGGTGGCTGTTTGAGTAGGGCGAGGGGGCTTTGGAGGAGGGGTCATATCCTCCTGGGCAGTCGGGTCCGTCATGCCTGTCTAGTTCAGTTTCTTGTCATATCTGTCCCAAGAGATATCCTACGAACCGAGGAGCGCATTGAATGCTCGTTCGACATTCCAATTGCTGGCGGTCAAGACCGCCTTGACTACCCCAGCGTCGATAGTCGGAAAAGCTTCTTTGAGCGTATTTTCTGCATGCTGTTTCGGGCTCAGAGGCCGGGGCGGCTTCGGCGGGGCAGCGGGGGGAGTTTCAGTGGCGGTCTGTTCGGAAGGGGGGTTGTTGACCGTGGTCACACCAGACTCCTGAGGCTCGTCATCAAAGTCGAGTGGTCGCGCAGTGGTAGGCGACTCAGCACGAGGGCTGTTGAGCGCGGGCACAGCTGCAGGTTTGCTGGGAGTGGACTGCAGATCAAAGTAAGCCTCCATTTCAGAGCTGCAGGTCAGAAGGGTTACATACGGTCTTCTCCTCTTCAGACATTTTGGGTAGTATCTGTGTATCGAAAACAAAAACAAAATTGGGCGATGACAGACGAAAGCAAAAAAAAGTGTTGCCTGTAAGGACAAGAGAGAGAGAGAGAGGCGCAGGCAGGACATAATTGGGGAAGCTCTAAACAAGTGACGTGGTGCACGTGATGGTCGCGGGAGCTTTATAGTCGCATGTAATCTTCTCTGTACACCACCGCTATTTCCACCATGAACTCTCAATTGTCACGTCCATAGAGTTAATAGAATGCTGTGCTCTTATTCGTGCATGGATTTCATATGATCTGGAGACTGGAGCAAGAATCACGTGTACCTTTGATCTGCGTCTGCAGAGAGAAGAAAGAAAATGGCTGCAGATCAGGATTTCTCAACCTCCTTCATTCCGGCGTTGTATAAGCCAGCAGCACTTCTGCCGATTGCACGTCACAAAGCAAGTCTCCTGTACCTGATTGAGACATACCCTGTCACTATAGTGGTTGGTCAGACCGGAAGCGGGAAAACAACTCAACTCCCCCAATACCTCGATCAAGCAGGCTGGTGCGAGGATGGAAAAGTCATTGCCGTCACTCAGGTAAGTTAGAAGCCAAATCCACCATATAACATGCCGCTAATTTTCCATATCAGCCACGACGAGTGGCTGCCACCACGGTTGCCACGCGAGTTGCAGAGGAGATGCGCTGCAAGGTCGGAGAAGAAGTAGGCTACTCAATTCGATTTGAAGATCTGACCTCTGCTGCTACCAGGGTGAAGTTTCTTACAGATGGAATGCTTCTTCGAGAAGCTTTGGTTGACCCTCTTTTATCCCGGTACTCGGTGATTATGGTCGATGAGGCTCATGAGAGATCCCTGAGCACCGACGTCCTCCTTGGAGTTCTAAAAAAGATATTGAAGAAACGTCCTGAGCTTCGTGTTATTATCAGCAGTGCAACATTGCAAGCAGAGGACTTTCTTAAGTTTTTTGCTGGGGAGGAATATCAACCCGACGCAGAACCTGCTGACCTTGGCGGGAAAGTTGGGAGAATCATCAGCATAGAAGGCAGAATGTATCCCGTGGACACATTATTCCTCGAAGCGCCAGCTGAGGACTATGTTGAGAGGGCCGTCAAAACAGTGTTCGATATTCACACGCAAGAAGCAGAAGGCGATGTGCTTGTTTTCTTGACGGGCAGGGAAGAGATCGACCGGGCGATTCAGTTAATATCTGAGCGAGCTGCATCTCTTCATCCAAAATCACCTTCTTTGCTCTCATTGCCATTGTATGCTGGTCTTACTACGGAGCAGCAAATGTACGTTTTTGAGCCAGCCCCAGAAAACACGCGGAAGGTCATTGTCTCAACCAATATCGCGGAGGCCTCAGTCACGATTGATGGCATTGTGTATGTTATTGACTGTGGTTTCGCCAAGCTTCGGGCTTATAATCCTAGTAGTGGGATCGAAACCCTGACAGCGGTGCCAATTTCCAAGGCCTCTGCTACTCAACGGGCCGGTCGAGCGGGGAGAACAAGGCCCGGTAAATGTTTTCGCCTCTACACGCAACAGACCTATGAGCAACTGCCAGAGGCGACTGTTCCTGAAATTCAGCGAGCAAATCTTGCTCCTATCGTCATGCAACTGAAAGCATTGGGAATCGATAATATTGTTCGATTTGACTTTTTAACATCACCACCTGCAGAACTGGTGATCCGGGCCTTTGAACTATTGTTTTCCCTTGGTGCAGTTGATGACTATGCCAAACTCACCAAACCGCTGGGTATACGAATGGCAGAGCTTGCAGTGGACCCAATGATGGCCAAGGTTTTACTTGCAGCTCCTGCTTTCAGATGCTTGAGTGAGATACTTTCTATTGCGGCCATGGTCAGCCTTCAGGGAACTGTCTGGGTGCAACATAGTGACAACAAGAAGGCTGCGGAGAGTCATCGACGTAAATTCGCCGTTGAAGAAGGCGATCACCTCACCTACTTGAATGTATATCAAGCATTCGTGACCAAGGGCAAGAAGGATTCGAAGTGGTGTCGTGACAACTTATTGAACTACCGAGCTCTACTACGGGCAGTCAGTGTCCGTGGTCAGTTAAAACGGTATCTCGAACGCTTCGGTATCCAGGTTGATGAGACTCTATCATCTCACCAGCAAACTGTTGATCCAAGCAGACAACCAGAGCAGATTCAGCGGTGTCTCACCACTGGTTACTTTGCTCATGCTGCCAAGATGCAGCCAGATGGCACATTCAAGACCGTTAGCGGAGGCCTGACTCTCCATGCTCACCCTAGCTCTTTGATGTTTGTGAGTATTGTATCCGTCGATGCGATGTATATCCGTTTACTGACCTGCCATGTAGAACCGAAAAGCAGATTGGGTGATTTTCCATGAAATCATGCAAACAGGCGACAAAACTTACATTCGTGACATCACAAAGATTGAAAAAGGCTATCTCTTAGAATACGCACCGGAATATTACAGAGTGACCTAGATTATTCTGTTTGTGGGAAGCAAAGAAGTCGAAAGATACCCAGGCGTTGGAATTTAGGAATAGTAGAATTTCGGGGAGTCGCAATCTACACACCAAGGTTCTGTTCCAAATTAATGTGCCGTAGCTATATATTTGATCATTAAAGTTCATTCTCTACTTTTATTTTTTTTTCTTATTGGTCCTCATTAAGCTCATTGTTGATCGACGTCACGGGATGCGGAGAAGCTCCGCTCTTCAGCATCAACCTTGAGATTTGGACTTCCAACGTTCTCTCTGCTCTCATCTCTCTTCACAACACATCCACCAATCACTCACTATGTCTGGTCATGACCACCACGACCATGGCCATGGCGGGCACTGTCATGGAGAGCACGATCACTCAAATGATATCACCCCGGCCATTCAGTCTCTTCTCTACTCCCAAATTGACTTTGATTCAATCAGCACTCTGAATGGTAAATACTCGTATAGAATGCCATATTTTATTTTCTGCAACAAAATTAGTACTAATCGTTATCAGAGGCCGCATCCGAGGCTGGAGCTGCAATCGTCCGGAAGACCTGGGCGGAACGACTGAATGACGAGCCCGAGCTCGAGAGCGATGCTGATGAGCAGCTCCTCATGTACATTCCGTAAGTCTCCTTTGTCTTTATCTCATATGACACTGTGCCCTCTTATTCTGCGCTCCTATTGATTAAGGTTATCTGCAATATGAGACCCCCACTATGCCCCTCATGATCGCCGAGGCATGATCGAAAAAAAAAAGCAAAGCTAACTTTAGTCACCACCAGGTTCACCGGTCAAGTCAAAGTACACTCTCTCCTCCTGTACACGGCTCCCACTTCCTCGGCCCCCAAGACCGTCAAGCTATTCAAAAATCGCGATGACCTTGACTTTTCCATGGCTTCGGAGCTTTCTCCAACCCAAACAATTGAAGTCCCGCAGCCACAAGCCGGTGCCGATGTCTTTGAGCTTCCTTTGAATCGCGCCCACTGGAATACCACCACATCTATCACCCTTTTCTTTGAAGATAACTGGAGTGACGGAGAAGAGGATGTCACCAAGGTAGGATATGTGGGGTTCAAGGGTCAGTTCATGGCGCTGAACCGGGAACCTGTAAGCTTCCTGTACGAAGCGGCGGCTAATCCAAATGACCATGTTGCTATCCCTGGTGTCAATGGTGTCGGAAATCATGTCATGCCTGGCCAGTGAGCTTCAGGCTTGGGTACATGGAGACGAAAGTAGACTTGATGGATAAATCGGGTCTATATTTCTTGGGAAGCCAAGTGGGTGTATTAACGATATCTACATGCCAACAATAATGAATGATGAACAGAATCAAGACGCATTCAAGCAAACCACCAACGCCATGCAAGTATTTGATCGAGGTGATGCAAAAGAGAGAAAAAGCTATCATGCAGCCAGCGCGGCTGTCCGGGTCTTCGTTTTGGACTTGCTTGGCTCGGCTGGACCCTCTGCCTCTGCCTCTTCTGGAGTAGGCAAGGTGTTGTTCGGGGCATTAGGCAACTTCTGTACAACGTTTGGCTGGGTCTCGCGCTGCAAAGCCGCCAATTCTTCCTCGACGTCGTCTTCGTCCTGGTTTGTAAGATTGCCCTCGAGCATTTGGCTTATCTCCTAGAGTTGAACCTCCGTTAGCCAGTAATATGCAAACATGGAACAACATCCTTCTTACCTCCTGATAAGCGCGTGCTTCCTCTGTCTCTCCCATAAGTCGCTCTACACCCTCAATCCCACCCATCTCCTTGTTGATCGCCTGTAGGACCTCGGTACCCTGCTGCAAGCCAAACAGCACGTCCTTCTGTACGAGCGAGAACTCCACCTGACTGGCTAATTGCTCCAACTGCGCGAGCTGACCATCAGTCTTATCCAATAGTGACTCTTGGTATTTCTTGCGCCTCAACGCGAGTAGCGCTCGTCGCCGATCATTCTGCGCCAGGCATTCTTTGGCGATTTCGGTCTCACGGTCGGTGAGGACAGTGATACGTTTCCGGTATTGCTTTAGCTTATCGCGCTGGTTTTTGAGGTCAAGGATCGCCCTGGATTTTCCATGAATCAGTCACCATTCGACTCAGAACTGCAGTGGAGCATGTATAGGAGGGGTCTCGTGAGGGGTCCCTCTACTCTCTCTCCCTTCATCAGGCTTGGCCCATCCCGAGTGGAGTCTTCGAACGGGGGGATAAAAGACATTAAGACTCACCGATCCTGCGACGATATCTTCGGTGAACTGCTAGTATTTCCCATCTCGCATTATGTTGTAGAGTTGAATGCATTCGAGTGCCGCAGATGACGTTGGTGTCCACCGCTAATCGGCCGCCGCTAAACCCCGAATCGTTCGATTTAATCTTTCCCGCTTTTTTCCCCAAATCTTTTTTTTCTGGTTGTCGCACTCAGAACTACATAACCATGCCTCGACCTCGTGCGGGCAGACCGACCCTGAGTCAGGGCTTGGACCGTGATGTATGACCATGCTCAATATTTTAGGATTGTGTCCCTTTTTCACCTTACTCACGCCCGGTGTAGGTCTACCAAGTCGTGCGCAAAATTATTGACGATCAGCCCGAGACCAGTCGCATTCGTCTTTCTGCCCCGGCAATTTACGAACAGATCAAAAAGTCGAATTCAAGTTTAAACCGCAGGCCAAAAAGGCAATTGGAAGACAGTCTGGAGCGCGTATTGGAAGTTGTTAAGGCCGATCTAGGTGGGGACGACGAGGAGGACTCCGTGGAGGGTGATTTTGAGGGCTTGGAGGAACCGCCTGTGGTGGTAAGCGATGCTTCCACGATGAGCTGAGCGGTTACCAGAAGACTGACAGATGCCATTTCAGGAAGCCAATGGCGTCAACCAAAGCATTATCGGCAGTTGGAATACCCCGAAGGCAACTACAACCAAAAAATCCGAGTCGTCAGGCACATCCTCGAAGAGAAAAAAGGAAGGTGGAGAATCAGTGTCCAAGAGACGCAAAGCAGATGCGGCTGTCGACCGATCCCCTCCTACACATGTCAGTCTGGCGGACTTGGGTGGCTTGGACGAAGTGGTGGAGCAATTGGGTGATATGATTATCCTGCCCATGACTCGGCCACAGGTTTACATCTCGTCAAACGTACAACCGCCGCGTGGAGTGTTGTTACACGGTCCTCCAGGTTGTGGTAAGACTATGATCGCAAACGCATTTGCGGCGGAGCTGGGTGTGCCTTTCATCTCGATCTCTGCTCCATCTGTTGTGTCTGGTATGTCGGGTGAATCCGAGAAAGCTCTCCGCGAGTACTTCGATGAGGCTAAGCGGCTCGCTCCTTGTTTGATCTTCATTGACGAGATCGACGCTATTACACCAAAGCGAGAGAGTGCTCAGAGGGAAATGGAGAAGAGAATTGTCGCCCAGCTTCTTACTTGTATGGATGAAATTTCTCTTGAGAAGACGGATGGAAAGCCCGTTATTGTTCTTGCGGCTACAAACCGCCCGGACAGTTTGGATGCTGCATTACGTCGTGGTGGTCGTTTCGACAAGGAAATTAATATGACCGTTCCCTCGGAACCCGTTAGAGAGCAGATCCTTCGGGCCTTGACCCGAAAGATGCAGTTGGCGGACGACCTTGACTTGAAGACTTTGGCCAAGAGAACCCCTGGTTTTGTCGGTGCTGATCTCAACGACCTTGTCTCCACTGCAGGCGCTGCGGCCATCAAGCGCTATCTGGATATCTTGAAGTCCAACAGTGGGGAGGAGATGGAAATTGAAGGAGAGGACGAGCTCAGCCCCAGAGTCCGCGAACTTCGCCGTCTCATCACACACGCCAGAGAAAACCCCATTGGCGACGAGACAGAAACCGTCCTCGTCTCCAACGCCGACTTTTTCACCGCACTTCCTAAGATCCAACCCTCCTCCAAGCGTGAAGGCTTCGCCACTATTCCCGATACCACTTGGGCCGATATTGGTGCCCTGGGCGGTGTCCGTGATGAGCTTTCCACTGCTATCGTTGAGCCGATCAGAACTCCCGATATCTACGAAAAGGTCGGTATCACTGCGCCCACTGGTGTTCTCCTCTGGGGTCCCCCTGGTTGTGGTAAGACACTGCTGGCCAAGGCCGTTGCCAATGAGTCGCGCGCCAACTTCATCAGCGTCAAGGGTCCTGAGTTGCTGAACAAGTTCGTCGGTGAATCTGAACGTGCCGTGCGCCAAGTGTTTGTCCGTGCCCGCTCTTCTGTTCCTTGCGTTATCTTCTTCGATGAGTTGGATGCCCTCGTGCCTCGCCGTGACGATACTCTTTCTGAGGCCTCGGCCCGTGTCGTCAACACCCTCCTCACTGAGCTGGACGGCTTGGGTACCCGCCAGGGCATCTATGTCATTGCGGCCACCAACCGTCCCGACATTATTGATCCGGCCATGCTCCGTCCCGGTCGTCTTGAGACTCTGCTCTTCGTTAACCTTCCCTCGCCACTCGAACGCGTCGAGATTCTCCAGACTCTTATTCGGAAATTGCCTATCGAATTCAATGACGAGCTACGGAGACTCGCTGAGGAGTGTGAAGGCTTCAGTGGTGCAGATCTTGGATCTCTATTGCGTCGTGCTGGTTACATGGCTATCAAGCGCCGTGATAGTATTCGGTTCGAGGACTTTGTGGCTGCGAAGACCTTTGTTCGGCCCAGTGTTACGGATATGAAGAAGTATGAGAAATTAAGGAGAGACTGGAGCGGTCACGGTGGTGTGGCTTGAGACCTTAACGTCCTGAGTCTTCTGAATGTTAGCTCGTGCAAGTTATATCGAGCTGGTTTTGGTTATCTTCTGGGTAAACTTTTTTAGACATAGATACCCTGTGAATTTGCAATACATTCACCTTGAGTAAATAAAGCAAACCTTCTCGACCACCTACTATTTTTCGTGTACTTTATACCCAAAAACCTACAGCAAAAGAACTAGTTGGTTCAAAACTTAATAGATAATTTATATCTCTAGCCTCTGATTTTTGAAATATTTCAAAAGTACTTTTAGGACAGTATGGGCTATACAAAAGAACTATGCACACATACAACAGACAACGCCATGGATAACATAAATAAGAAAAGAGAAAAAGATATCATGTAGATGAGCCCCCAAGCAAAATTACATCCACAAACGACATGTACCATCGGCACCAGCACTAACACACCACGCTTCACGTGGGTGCCAGTCGATGTCCAAGACACCCAACTCTCCAGTAACCTTGTGGCCCTTGAGAACCTTAAGCGGAACAATGGTGGCATTGCTAAGCATGTCACCGGTAACACTGCCGTGGAAGATCTGAATAGATCCGTCGTCACTGGCATCCGCGAACAAGGGGTAGCGACCACCAGGGTGGAACTTGACGGCACGGATAGCCTTGCGGTGGTAGCGGAGGGTCTTGTAAGGGCGGGGCGAGAGGTCGAGATCGTGCCAGAGCAGACGACGATCGTACGAACCGATAATGATGTTGTCGCCACCGGAAGCAGTCGAGGAGGTAGGGTGGATATCGAAGGAAGAGATCCAGCGGGCACCAGGCTGCAGAATCTTGACCAGCAGTTGTCGTGAAAGGTCGTATGCGCGAATGGAGCGCTGGTTGGCCACGAAGAGAATCGGCTTCGAGGGGTGGAAGTGGGCTGTCTGGGGAGGACCACCACCCTTGAGACGGCGTCGGAAGGGGAATTGAGTAAGGTGTTTGGAGATGGTGTGAATGGAGATAGCCACCGAAGCGGGGGTCGAAGCGCCGGAGCAGACAGTGACGAAGTAGTCACCGCGGCGGTGCCAGGAGATAGACTTGGGCACGTAACGAAGAGGGATGACGACGGAAACACCTGCATCAGCCAGGGCAGATGAGGGTCGAATCCATTGAACGGGCTTGTTAGCCTTCTTGGCCTCAACGGTGTTGAGAGCAGGGGCGTTTGCTGCGTAACCCCAGCCGGCGTCGACGAGCTCGAGACTGGCCTTCTCGATCTCGGGATCGGCAATCGGAGGCACGGAGAGGTAGAGGTCGTCTCCACAGGCGGCAGCAAGGACGATATGATCCTTACCGGGACGCCAGCTGACCACATTGACAGCATCCTCATCGCTCAACTTGATGCTCCAGAGTTGGCGACCAGTCAGGAGTTCCCAAACACGAACGGTACCATCGTCACCACCAGTTGCAAGCCAGATTCCAGTAGGGTCCACGGCCAGCGAGCGAACACGGCCCTTGTGTCCACGGAAGACTGTCGCACAGGTCGTGGGGAAAGGCTTGAGCTCTTCAGGGCTGGGAAGCTTGGGAAGAAGACTCTCGGGATCGATGTTCAGCTTGCTGCGACGCACTCTAGGTGCCAGGTACAGATCCAGGCAACGCTCGAACTTCTCCTTAATAAAGTTCTCAAAGCCAGGAACCCGACGAAGAGAACCGTAGTCATTGGGCAAGAATTCCTTCTCACGATCCTCGGGGTCGGTCTGCTCCCACTCCTTGCGCTCCTTCTTATCGGGCAGATACTCTGGAGGCGGGTGATAACTCTCCTCGTAACCGGGCGGCGGGAGTTTGGGTGCCGGGATATGCATGATGTGATCCTTGCGCTCGACCTCGTCGGCCCAGAGATCGAAGTTGACCACGGTATCATCCTTCTCCTCACGCTCCTCCGGTGGCCTGTAAGGAAGGATGCGGCCCTCACGGATAGCCTTCACAATCTTCATCACACGCTTAGCCTCATGCTTGGACGGCACGAATCGGCGCTTGGGTTCCGGAGCAGCGCTAAGGGGCATAATCTCCTGCTTGCCAGAGAAGTATTCCACCAGAGGCTCATATTGATCATAGCCCTCGCTGGTGATCTCGTTCATTTGCACCTTCTTCAACAGTTCCAACTCACTCTGACTCAAGTTCAATGGCTTGCCAGTGGATGGATCGGTAAGACCAGTCCAGCCCTTGGGGATCTCAATGCTGTCCAGCAATGCATCCAGCGCTTCGCCCTTGGCGGGGCGCATAATCTTCTTTCCATTGATGTCGTAACCGATGTGAGGGTACTGGTCGTAGAATGTCAGAGGAATATCACCAATGGTGTTGGCGTTTTCCTCTGCCTCCGAATAGTCCGAGTTGTCGTCAGGAATAATTTCGTCGTATAGGTAGCGGTCGTTTCCATTGGCGTCCTTCACGATACGAACATTGGGCTCGTCGGCATTGGAGCGTTTGACGGTCTTTTTCTGCTCCTGTTCGTCTTCGTCATCGGATGGGATCTCGTCGCTGTCCAATTCCTCTTCCTCATCATCATCCTCATCACTGAAGTCGTCAATCAGCTCGATTTCGGAATCGCTCCCGTCTTCGCTCTCCGAAAGGTCGTTGTCATTGTCTGAGAGGGTGCCATCGAGGTTCTCTGCGCTCAATTCATCACCAGAGAAAACTCCAGCTTCTTCCTCCACATCGCGAGTAACCGCCTTGCGCTTCTTTGAGGCGTTTCGGGCGACCATGATTGCCGTTTGAGCTTGGATACTTTGATCCGCGATTTTTTTTTTCTTTTCTTTTCTGTCGACTCCGCTCACCGCCCACATGACTGCCCCCCAATCTTATCGCGTATCGATGATCGCTGTTTCAAAGCTCATTTAATTTCTTGATTGTCTTGGTGCTGGTGCTGGCACGTCAAGTCGAACCGCAGTCATGGCAGACGTAAGAGCATCTGCTCCTAATGGCGATTCAGCGATAAGTGCCGAACCAAAACGACATACGGCATGTGATGAGTGCAGTAAGTTCAGGAAACTACTTGCTATCAGATTAGCGCTGATCAGAGACTATGCAAATAGGAACACGAAAGTTGAAGTGCTCCGGTGATCTGACTGGCTGCACCCGCTGCTTGAAACAGACTATTCGGTGTCATTACTCTATACAGAAGCCTATGGGACGCCCACCAAAGAGGAAAGCTCGCGCAGACGACGAAGCACCCGATTTCTCCACCCAATCCAATAATAGCTTGTGGCCCAGTCCAGTCAATACACCATCAAACTCCTTTTTAATAGCTCCGGATCCCATTGCTGCAACCGATGCGATGCATCTGTGCCCCCAACTCTTCTGGCAACCACATAGCCTCTCGCCTTTATCACAGCCCGCGCCGCCCGATCTACTGGCAGGAAATGAAAATCACATTCATAGTCTTCAGGCAGACCGGATGAAGAATCCCAATTTTCCCATTCCCACATCTACAAGTCCTTGGCCAGACTTTTCTACAGTGTCTCAGTCATCAGCCATGCCCTTTACAGTCCCAACAAGCTTCTCCGATATACCTTCTCTCCCACTCACCCCGGAATCGCTATGTTCCGACTCCACCTCGCGTCAATGTACATGTCTATCCTATCTCTACCTCTGTCTCAGCCATATATCCTCCATTGCGTCTTTCCCAGTCAGCAATCATACCCTCTGCTCTCTCTATATCGCAGCCCGAACGGTGCGGGACGTCATTCGCTGCGAAGCCTGTCCCAAAAGTTTCTCGACAGGCGTCCAGAACGTCATGTTTACTGGTACGCTCTTGACGGTCGTCGCAGATGCCTGGCTGCGAGTGTACAATAGCGACCCTGTCGAACTAGGCATGCAGTCCGCCCCACCAGAATATGTCTCCCACGTGCTGCAAAGCGAAGATCCAGCACAGCTGTGGAGTAGCTGGCTACGGCAGATAGTGCGTCGGGCTGTCATTGGTGGCCCCTATGACCCGAATGTTGAGAGCCGGTGCTCTGGCCAACCGCCGCTACTCGGTCTTATCAATGAGGTTGAGAACCGGCAACGCCGCTGGCATGAGCCTGGTAAACATCCACTCTCTCAACAACATAACCTTTTTCAGTCTGTAAATGGTGCTATGTGTGATGAACAGCCAACTGATGAAAAAGAGCTACTTTGCATGCGGGTTGTTGGTAGTGCGCGTGCGGTCATTTCGAAATTCAACTTCGAACCACATGAATTTCCTCAAGGCTTGGTCCCAGAGGGATTTAAGCAAGACGGTGGATAGTCGTTCTTGAATAAGCATCTGAATATGGTGTCGGTTTTTCATTGGAGGCATGCATATTATGATTTCCTTTCATTGTTTTGAGTGAATTTACATATATCCCATTGGTAGGTCAATCCACCTAGTACAAAGATCGAAACAACTTTGAAAATATCCGCTACATTATGAGACTCCATAGACAGCCTGAAATCAGTGAAATCATCGATCATTTCATTACATGTATAATTTTTTGGTATCGAAAATCACAAATACGTTAAACTAGCTAAGCCCGGATGGACTCAATATGCCCACACCTTTAAATTGACGCCAAGGCCGTGAAAACCAGATGAAAAGAGGAAAGATAAAATGAGAAGCGCACAAGATGACTGGGATCACTCTTCATCCTCGTCGTCCACAACGTATCGGTTCTTCTTTCGAGCTGGAGGTGTTCCAGAACGAGGTGCCTCCGTCTTGCGGGCAGCTTTGGCCGGGGCGACCTCGTCATCTACCTCGCCCTCCGCGTCCATATCCTCGTCCTCCAACTCCTCTTCCTCCTCATCGTCAACTTCTTCGATTTCTTCATCACTGCCAACCAGGAACCCGTCGTCCTCATCATACTCGTCTTCACGGGAACGGGCACCACGACCGTAGTCTTCTTCATCATCGGAATAGATCTCACCGCGGCGATTAGGACGGCGGGGCTTGGCACGAGCTCGTGTAGCCAAGCCATCATCTTCAAGACCACCAACGCTGAGGCCGCCTGGACCGGAGCGGGAAGTAGGGACACGGCGGCCACGGTCTGCTTCACGATCCGCAATCTGTTGGCGACGACGCTCAGCTCGCATAGCCTCTCTTTCCATATGTTCGGCCTTTCGCTGGGCCAGCTCGGGATCCTCAATCGTATCAATGACAGGTGCCGAGCCATCAGCAGTCTTCTTGTTACCACGAGTGGCCGCGGCCAACGATGCCTGAAGTTTGAGGACCGCGTCGTCTGTCTCCACTGTTGTGGGTAGAACTGTGAGACCGTGTGTGACGTGTGAAGTCAATCGGAAGAGCGAAGCAGTTTCCACTGCTGCGCCAAGGTAGACATGTGAGTCCAGCTTGGTATCATACTCGCCGGATTTGTTGAGGGGAGCGAGGGGTTTGGATGCAATGCGGTATTGCTCGAGAGGGGCGTGGGCAAGTTGAAGGGTCAAGGAACCATCTTCCCATCGGATAATGCGGGCGTTTGACTGTAGCATAGATCCATCCTTGGGGTCTTTGCGCCAGCAGAGTGATGTAGCAGCGGTGGCATAAGGAGGCGCAACGTAGGTTTCCGGGTTGAACTCTTCGGCCTCGGTCGAGAGGAAATCCGGAACTCGCATGGTGTAGACCTGTCAACAGAGTTAGATAAAATAGATCTCAGATACCAATCCCTTATTTTAATGTACCTCTCCATCATTGGTCGCTGGCACTGGCGCCCGCGCAAGGCCCACGTCCATGATGTTGACTGTCTCGGCGTAATCATCCTCATCGGGAGCCTCATCCATGCGGTCCTCGCGACGATCATAGCGGTTCTCGTCGTCGCCGGAATCTAGTTGTTCGTCTTCCAAGGTGCGGCGAGGCCGACTAAAATTGGCAATTAGTTTTAATTGCGCATTCTGTGGGACTGAATGTTCCATACTCATTCTCTGCTCCATTGTCGTCTCCATCCGAGCCGAAGAGATCCGCGTCGTCGTCCTCATCCAGATTATCATTCCCTGCTCCGTAGGGACTCTTGTTCTCATCACCGGAGTCATGAGCGTCACTGTGAGCAGGACTTTGCACGCCGTTGCTGCGGCCGGGGCGGCGGACAGCTTCCTCGTCAGAAGAGGACATGTTTGGGAAGAAAATCGGTACCAATTAAGAGAAGCAAAGATCAGGAGCTATTGAGAGGGGTAATATACAAAAGGAATGAGAAATGAGGAAGGAAAAAAGGTGATCGGGAGCTCAATCACTTTTGACGACTCCCAGATCATTCACTGTATCTCGGACTCTGGACGGATCAACACGATGATCCGCGGCCGGGCCCAAAGGAGTCAAGTGGGACCCGTGGGATTCACTCGGGCATCTTTCACCGTTCTTGACCTTCAATCGTATCTCAGTGTGCAATTGATTGGATTCGAATTTATAAAGACACGACCAAAGTCTACGAAAATGGCGACTTTCTTCCAAAGCGTGTAAGTCTATGGTTGATGAGGTTTAAGTCCAGGAAATATGGGTTCCCCTTGAAATGATTCCCACTCTTGTTCCCCCTCATATACACTCTACTGAAGTCACGGCGCCACATCACAAAGCAGGCACATTCCAGATCGCCTCTTCCAAAGTTTATTGATGATATTGGCCCGTTTTTGGATGCTTTCTCTTCCCTCTAATCCCCCTTTTTTATTTTCCTTATCGACCCCTCCATTACCCCCTGGCAACCAGCCGACCCAGCCCCGGGCCTATTGCTAATGTACGCTCCTTTTCGCAGTCGCCAAGGGTTCGGCAGGGGAGGAAACAACAAAAACCAACCCCCCAAGAATCCCGCGCAAGCACCGCAAGACCCTCGTTCCGGCACTATGTCCAACTCGCCTTCGTTGTCCAACAGCTTAACTATTGATAACCTCGCCGCGAATGATCCCGATGCCCCTAAGTACTTCTTCCAGGAGAAGTACGCTCCGCTCAACGTCAGGGGTAACTTCTTGACACTATGTGCTTGCCCTAAGAATGTCGAGCTGGGCGAATGGCTAGCTCACCAGAGTAAGCACTTCCACGGCCAAGAAATCTCGCGAATGGGTGCTGATGCGATGGCCTACTAGTTGTTGAACAATATCGCCTACTCCACGGTATGCTCCAGGTTATTCAGGAGGTGAACAGTGTGAACGGAATGCCCATTTGCAATGAGGGTACCTGCCCGACAATGTCTGCTGGACGGTATGTTGGACACTGCGGGGTAGTGAAGAAATCCGGGGTGACAGAACTGATACGCGTCTTATAGACTGACCTACACCTGGCTCGTGGATGGCCGTGCCGCTAAGATCTCGGCCCCGAAGTTCATCAACCGCGTTGAGAAGTGGATTGTCAGCAAGATCCACGACCCGGTCATGTTCCCCACCGAGAAAGTGAACGGTACCCCCGAAACCTCCTCCATCAGGGATGCAGCGACCGCCTCAGCCACCCCCACCGCAGAAGGTGCCAACCCCGGGACAAATGGCAACGGCCCTGAAGAATGGATTGGCAAGTCAAGCGGTTTCCCCCAGACCTTTTACAAGGACTGCCAGGGCATCATGAAGCAGATGTTCCGCTGCTACGCGCATCTGTACCATGCGCACTGGTTGAACCCGTTCTGGCACATCAACAAGCATGACATCTTGAACATGTGCTTTGTGCACTTTGTGACCGTGGCCAAGTACTACCAGCTGGTGTCGGACAAGGAGATGGAGCCTATGCAGCCCTTGATCGACCTTTTCATTAAGCAGCAGCGGGTGCCTCCGGAGGCACTCAATGGCGGCCACTGGGCTCAGGCCTCGACCTAGATGAATCGAGAGCGCGCATTTTGCATTGTTTTTCTACACTTGACGACCATAACATGTTCTTCAACCAGGCGTTGGACTGCACTGTTTATTTTAGTGTTCTTTTTGTTTGCGACAGGATGGCAAATTGGAAAGAATCTTCCGATGATACAACCCAGATCTGGGACTTTGAGCATTTAGCATGCGTGAAAATTTTATGATGATCTTGCATATCTTCAGTTCCTGCATCAGCTAGCCCAGGTGGATTGTTTTGTCATGAAGCCTGCAGATGCAGGTCATCTAGACTGCTATTCTGGGTTACACAGCATACTCGGCGGTGAACAACTTGACATAGGAGATTCAGTAGAACATATGAGTTTCCTGCATCTCAACTTCAATCCAGTGTAGAGCGTACAGCTGTTTCGTAAGTCGTGTCGTCTCGCTCTGATCCGATCAAGAGGCGCATGGGATGCGCATGTCTTAAAATTCCGGATAACACCTTCGCCATGGCTGTATTGTGGGCAAACTGCATTATCACCGGGGCGTCATAATCGTTATTGTTGGAACAATCTCATCAAAGATAAACTCCCTCCTCCTGCCCCGCATTCGCATTCGAGCCCTGGTCACCAAGCCCAGCTCCAGCACTCCCATTCGGTACCGGCGCAATCGTCTCTTCAGATACCTGCACCTCCCCATTCAAATCTTTTTCCTCCCCCTTCTCCTCAATCCAAGTCTGCCCTCGCCTTTCCACCTCAACCTTGAGCAAAGAAATACGCTCATTCATCGACGTAATCACCCCCTCATTCTCCAAAACATATCCCTCTAGCTCCTTCTTTTCTTCTTCTGAGTCTTTTGATTCTGCAAGGAAAAGCCTGAGCTCCTCGTTGGAGCGGTGCAGGTGTGCGATTGAGTTGCGGAGCTCGGAGACTTTGCTGTAGACTGCGCTGAGGGGAAGATCGGCGATAGCTTCGGCGAAGTCTTCGGGATTTATGGCTTGTGTTTGAACGGACATTTTGGTAGTTTTTAGATTGGCTGAACCGTTTGGGTCGGGTAGGTGTTGAAGTTGGAAGTGAAGGTTGAGTAGCTTCTGAGTATGTAAGAAGCGCGGGTTCCTTTCGGGTGGGGCTGCTTGATTTAGCTACCGCCGCTTTTACATAGCTCGGCTTCTAACAGTGTATATCACTAACTTAAGTCGTTCATCATATAGATGCCTGTTCAAAGCACAAGATGCGGATCCTGGTTGGATGATCATTATCTGTGCATGAATCTCAATTGAAGAAACAGTCAAATTATCAAGGAGTAAAAACTACTATGGATCAAACCTACCTCCCCTTCAAGATCGGAGGGATCTATAACCAAGAATGACACTGTTGACCAAGGTGCAGGGCTCTATTCAGCACTATGCCCAGTCTGGAAGCCCAAAGCGTGAAGAAGTGCTAAATCAGGACTCGGAGACTTCAAGGCCAAAAATAAATTCCTGTCTTTGTGCCATTTATACAGTCTAAACCTATCCTTCTTTATGACCTCTTGTCCTATTTCAGCACAGAGACGAGCACAAAGACTCGAACCTAAGACTTCTCAAAGAGGTCTTTGTTCTTGTGTTCTTGAACAATACCTTCTATTCTTTCTATGCACCGACCTTCCTTGTTTCCTCGACCTCGACAATGCAAAGCCACCAGGATATCTTTGTTTTGGTATGGTACCTCTTATTCTATACAAAGCCGGCATTCATCGCAATTTGGGACGAGTCATTGTTCGAATCTATCTTGTCGGACAACCTCCTTAACATATAAGCTGGATATTCCCGGCAAAGTTGGACGTGCTATTATTTATTATTCAATCCATTAAGCAAAATCCCTTGACTCCTGTGAACATTTCTATTTTCTCTAACACTTACCTCCACTAATATGTCGCGTGCCATGCAACCTTGCATCAATTGGGACAACAAGGTTCAGCCGCTGGTTCGCTGTGCCTTTCCTGAGCCCCCAGCTCCCGTGCTAAACAAGAGTCTTGCAGCTAAAGTGCAAGAGGCATCTCGTCATCCTTGGGGACTGATCGATCATCATTTATATCTAGCAGCCATTGAGCGAGGCAGGGATTGCCGCACTCGACTTGACGGTTGCATGCTTCAGGAGGGCGAGAGATTCCGTAACGTTGGTCTCGATGAACTCCTTGACATTAATGCATCCGCCCGCCCTTTCTCGACATATCCCCACCTTATTACTTTTATGAATATGCCCATGATGCCTTTGTCTACTTTGGCCCCGTTAACTGAACATAAACTCGTCCTGGGATTTGACCTGCAGCGGCAGCATCTCCTGGGATATTTCTTCGAGTCTGCCCCCGATGATCTGACTGACCTATGCTATGTATGGCACCAAGGCCAACTAATTATTGACATTCACATTGACCGTTTTCTGGAGATGTACCAATACACCGTGAAGAATCACTTGGAGATCGGTGGAGTGGGTATGCTCCGGTATTTTCGCGAAAGCAAGCGCGAGCTCCCCACCGGCATGGACCTGGTGGTGACTATCCAGTTCGCGCAATTCCTCCAAGACTACGCCGACTTAGTGTGGGAGGACAACAGCGCTGAATTTCGAAGCCAGCATGCAGACTCCGAGGAGTGCCTTCGGACTCTCCTGTCCAAGGCCTCGTGGGAATCCTGGTTCGCTGTGCGGGACGGACTAACACTCCAGCAGTACCGACAAAAGAAAATGGATAAAATGAGCCAGTTGGCTTCGTGTGATTTGTTATTCGACCGGCCCTCCACTGTGCCAAGCATCCCGTCTGCTCCGCCACTTCCGGTGATATCAAGCTTGTTTGCGAGGCCAAGAACTGCAACTGTTCTGCGGAATATGGCTCCGGTATTGGAACAGTTGCAGACTGTTCAGACACAGATGCTTCACGCATTCTTTGCGTTGATGTATGTCTTTGCGCTGATCCCTTAGGATCGGTTTCAATCTGGGCTGATTCGAAACTGGAGTGGATCCCTGCCAAGCCAATAGAGCGGGTGGGGCCTGTAATGTGCTATTATTATTTTCATTATCTGTGATCTGTATAGAAGAAAACTGTGGAATGAGATAATCCGTACTATGAACGCAATGAAACTTACTAGTTCCGACCACGTAGCCATGCAGGACTTATCATCAGCCTACGTAGTCCCTTAAGAGATCGACTTAAAGTCCGATCGTACTCGCACATATGTACCAAGCAAGGCTCCATGCAATCCATGGATCGGAGCTCCAAAAAATTGCAGCTCACAGGCCACCATCTCGCACCGCCACTATTAGTTGCCAATCAGAATCTCCGCGAAACCGGTTTCTGTGGCGCGACGTGGCTCATGAGGGTTCGATTGGTCCGCAATGTCCACCATGCGCGGGGAGCTGCGCGCTGAGTCTTGGCAGCGTCATGAGTGCAGTTGCTAATATCCAACAGTGATTGGAGATAGCTGTTCCGAGTGGAGGTGATCATAGGTAGTGGGTACTTGACAATTTAGTGACAAACCCCTGCTAATCTCTACAAGTCCCGGGTACTGGGTACCGATCTGCATCCCCAATCTCGCTTCCTTTGCTTTTTTTTTTATTGTTATTTCCTGTATGTCCGTTTGCGCTTCTTACGTTTACAAACTTTCAGCCCTGCAGCCCTACAGTTGGCCAAGCCCGAAAAGTCTCTCTGCCTAATCTGACATTCCTCGGTTCTCCTTTCCTTCAATTGCGACACTTGAAAAGCCTCCCCTCCCCCGTGCGACTCCTCGGCTCCATTCTTCTCTTCACCCCCTTAGCTCTGTTAAATTTCGGTGTTTTCCGCGAATCGCATTCATAGTCAATGGCAGACTCATATACGCTCCCCGTTAATGGTAGGTTCGGATCAAAACAAGTACCCGCGAACGCGCGCCCAGCGCATCGGAAGCTGCGCGCAAAGTGAACGGTACTGACTGAATCTCACAGGGGCTACCAATGGCGAGACAGCGCCGGTTATGCGCAGCGACAATGGCCGTTTCGAACTGATCTCCGGCCCGCTGATCAACCTGAAGAACATGCACTATAAGTCCACCCCGACGTGGCATGGAAGTGTCTTAATTGTCACGAAGCCGGGACAGGACCAGCCTCAGCTCCACTTGCGCCAGCTGGCTCCTCACTCGTCCGAGGGTCAGCACCAGTCCCCGACAAATCAGACTATTGAGGGTCTCAAGCTCTACCAAGATCTCCACAAGGCATTCTGGCGGTTCTCATTGGATGTGCCGGTCGAGTCCTACGAGGCGAGCTGGGAATATGAGATCCCTGGATTGTTCAATGAGTCTGGAGAGCAGGTCAACAGCCCCTGGACCTTCGTGGTGCCTGCGGAGGACCAGTCTATGCGCATCATGTTCCACTCATGCAATGGCTTCTCTGTTGGTACCGACATGGAGGCCTGGAAGGGACCCAACCTGTGGCATGACGCCCTGCGTGTCCATGGGGAGAAGCCCTTCCATGTCATGGTGGGCGGTGGTGACCAGATCTACAACGACGGTATTCGTGTGGATGGTCCCCTAAAGGCGTGGACTTCCATTCACAACCCACACAAGCGCCATAATCATGATTTCAATGAGAAGATGCGCGCGGAATGCGATGAGTACTACTACGCCAACTATGTCCGCTGGTACAACACTGAGCCCTTCCGCGCTGCCAATGGTCGCATTCCCCAAGTCAACATCTGGGACGACCATGACATCATTGATGGTTTCGGTTCGTACACTGATCATTTCATGAAGTGCGCTGTGTTCCGTGGTATTGGTGGTGTTGCCTTCAAATACTACTGCTTGTTCCAGCATCACATTGCTCCCCCCAAGTCCACTTTCACCACCGATGCACCCCAGACTATGCACGCGGTGAACGGCACTTCCGGTGTCGATCCGCGCCAGCTGGAGAATACCTTTGTGCTCGAGGGCCAGCCTGAGGATGACAGCTGGATTATAGGTAAGCGACCCGGTCCTTATGTGGAGGAGCGCAGTCGCAGTTTGTACATGCGTTTCGGAAAGCGCATTGCTTTCGTTGGCCTGGATGCACGGACCGAGCGCACCCGTCATCAGGTGAACTACGAGGACACCTACGACCTCATCTTTCGGCGGTTGCAGCAGGAGATTGCTGCTGCAGATGGCGATATCAAACATCTGATTGTTCTATTGGGTGTCCCTATCGCATACCCCCGTCTGGCATGGCTTGAGAACATCCTCACTTCCCCCATCATTGCTCCGATTCGCCTCCTGAATAAGCGTTTCGGTCTGGCTGGTGGTCTGTTCAATGAATTCGATGGACAAGTTGACTTGCTGGATGACCTGGATGACCACTACACTGCTCGCCAACACAAGCGTGAGCGAAAGATGCTCATTGAGCGTCTGCAGGAGCTTGCCCGTGCCAATTCGGTGCGAGTAACCGTCCTCGGTGGTGACGTCCACTTGGCTGCGATCGGTCGCTTCTACTCTAACCCCAAGTTGAACTTGGCCGGCGAGAATGATCACCGCTACATTGTCAATGTCATCAGTAGCGCCATTACCAACAAGCCACCCCCCAAGGCCGTGGCTAACCTGTTAGCCCGCCGCAACAAAATACATCATTTGGGCCGTACCTGTGACGAGACTCTGATGCCTATGTTTGACAAGCAGCCCGGTGGCCTGGAAAAGAGTGCTACCTGGAACAAGGTGACTATGCCATCGCGTAACTATGCCTGTCTGACTGAGGTGGTCGCTCCCACTGCCAACGGCACTGGCGTGGAAGTTGAGAGCGCCAAGCTTGAACGCCTCCCCAAGGACGGCCATGCGCCCCTTCACAAGGGTGAGGTTGGTGCTGGAACGACTCACTCGGCCGCCGATGGATTTACCTGTAACAGTCCCATGTACGGAGGCTTGGATGTCGCTATCCGCGTGGAAATCGATCCCCAGGACGTGAAGGGAGCCACCGAAGGCTATGGATTTAGCAGTAAGTTTCCTTTCCGCCCCTCGCTTTGTTTCACAATGAACATCTTCTAACCTTGAGTCTTAGTCCCCCCTCTGGCGGCCACTGCGGAGCCTCCTTCTTCCCGCCACAGTCTTCGCTCTCGTATCTCCCGTCATGATGTGCGCCATGATGCTGTCCAAGACGAGGTAGCCGGACAGGCAGCCGGACGTCCTTCGACTGCCCGCTAATTCTAATGCGCATCTAATTACTTAATTATCTCTTACCCTGTTGCTTTTTGTGATACCTCTTCATGTCATGGTTATGCTTCTGATGCATTGATTTCTCTACATTTTACCTTTAAACTCTCTCTTAGGCAAATACACATGCTATTGTATAGAGATACCTTAAATGTAAGGCTATTGCCCTTTTAAATGTTGTCTTGAGCTCTTAATTTCATAAAAAAGAACTAGGACTAATCGGGGTGCTTTCCTACTACACACCTCAGGGTACCAAGACTGCTAGGTTTCAAAGTACGTAATGCTATTCCTGTTTACGGATTCTACTACGCCCCTGGATTTGACTCTTTTCCAAAGTATCATCACAATGATCTTCGAATCGTGAGATTTATGTCAATATTTCTTTGAGCATCCCCCTCGATATTCATAGACGACAGACATGAAAATGTTGTCTTGACTCCTGCCTTCAATGAACTCTATTGGAAAAATTCCCTGGTCCGATTCTAATCCATGATCCAATGCTTTCTGAGGAACTCTGCAGTAGATGCAGGTTGTATATCAGAACAAAGCTCATTAAGCGTAGGCTCAAAGTTCATCCGACCAAGAGCGACTGCCAAAAGTGACTGATAGTAGAATCTTTCGCCAACCTCCAGGCTCCCTGATAGAATGACTTCAAGCTCTTCGACCGACATCTGAGTAGTACGAATTTCCTTTCCGCAAATATCTCTTGCCAAATGAACAAATTCGCCAAGACTCAGCCTATCACCAGAAATTCTGCTCTCACCCTCCCATGTAGGTAAGTCCAGAGCGGCAGCCACGAATCGACCAACATCCTGAGTCCTCGTGACAACAATTTTTTGCGACATATCGCCAGGGATAATTGCTGTACCTGCTTTCAAATCGATAGCAAAAGCGGGACGATCTTTATAAGCTCCGAGTGCTTCATCTTCATCCCTGATACAACCGGGTCCCCACACATTCATCCAGAGGCCGTTGACAAATCGAGTATACTGAAGCCCGGAGGATTGGACAGCCTTCCAAACGAGTTCTTTTCCGGCGTATAGGTCCACAATATCATTGCAAGCACTGTTCCATTCGGAGGGCACAGAACGAGTCGCGCCCACGACCTTTGCTGCCTCTAAAAGGGATAACTCGGCGGCTGTCGAGTCGTCCCCATAGGCGGCAATACAACTTATCACTGTGTGTACCCCCTCAAGGGCATTTTGCAGTTGCTCAACGGATTTGTAATCGACGATTTTGACTTCGACGCCTCGGGTGGTGAGAGAAGGTTGTTCCGATCTTGATAGAACTATCAAATCGTGTTTCTTTGTGTCTAGGATCGCGCGGACGATCTCGAGCCCAATGCCACCTCCCCCTCCGGCAATTACGACAGTGGCCATCCTTCAGTTGAATTGACTTTGATTGTGGAACAAATATCTGCAGTACTGTCAGCGACCAGAAACAGAATATTTGTGTGAACACACACGTCTTTATGTTATTCCACCTATGAATGCGAATGTGGAAGCTCCAATGGGGCATATCAAATCAATCTAGTGTGTAGAGATATATTCTCACGTAGCTTTTTACTTAAACCAATCGTTTGACTTTACTAGTACGAGAAAAGGTGGAAGTCACGTATTCGGTGGATCCAAGATATGCTCTCGTCAGCCTTGATTGTCTGCTTACTCTGGCTTATCATTCATCCTTCTATCCCCTTTGCGAGTACAGAAACCATTGATTTGTCTAGAAGTCTTTCAAAATGTTCATTAGATGTAAACAGTCCATAGCTCTACACGGATTCACATGAATGTTTTTGAGTCACTGAAGTATTTGCTGCCCATCCTCGCCCCTGGGCATATACAGAAGATATTGTGTACATCAAAATTTCGCAAATATTATTCTGGCTGTCCACAAGGGCAACATGATCACTAAGTCTATTTGACTTCAATTTAAGAAGGTGCAGGCAGTTCAAAAAATATTTTAATGCATTATGTCCAATTGATGATCCTCAACTAAAAGTCTGCATCCTTAATATCACTATATCACAGCTCAGGTGTATCAGCAAACGAGTCATCCCAACTACCGATGCAAGAACGTCAGCACGCGAATAAGAACATCCGAGGTCATAACCACTTACGCTGCGTGATATCTACCCCCTGAGACACCGGCAGATTCAACAAGTTCTCTAATTCTTGTGTTCTCCTCAGGGGTCAGAGTAATCGACAAGGCCTGTATCTTTGTATCCAGGTTCTTAGCCTTCGTCGTTCCAGGGATTGGAATAATATCATCTCCTTGAGCCAGAAGCCAGGCGAGAGCCAATGAGCTGACATTAGTTGCCTTAGCTTCGGCGATATCCTCCAAGGCCTGTACAATCTTGAGGTTGCGAGGGAAGTTTTCCGGGGAGAATCTCGGCAGGAAACGGCGGATATCTCCTTCGGGGAAGTCATCGGGTGACTTGAGCTGTCCGGTCAAGAAGCCCCGTCCAAGAGGTGCATAGCAGACAACTGCCACACCAAGCTCACGACACGCACTCAATAGACCGTTTTGCTCGATATCAAGGCTGAAGGGGTTGTACTCGATCTGGACGGCCGCAATGTGGTGAACCTTACAGCTAAATTCACGCAATGGTCAGAAGAGAGATTCTTGTGCGGTGAATCTTCGTAGCGGTCACTTACGCGCGACGTAAAGTGCTTGCAGAGCATTCCGACAGCCCCAAGTACTTGATTTTGCCCTCGTTCTTGAGCTCCACCATGGCAGCAACAGTTTGCTCAATGGAAGTGACTTTATCCAGGCGATGGATATAGTATAGATCAACAGAGTCAAGACCAAGCTTCTTGAGACTTCTGTCGCAAGCCCCTTTGATATACTCAGGATCGCTCCGGATGAGGGCTTCGCCTTTGTCATTCAAACCACCACCGCCCTTTGTCGCGAGGAAGATCTCGTTCCGCTTCCCGGTTCTGCTGAACCATTTCCCGAGGAGCTCTTCACTATCTCCGTACACATCTGAGGTGTCCCAACTGAGGATGCCGCTGTTGTAAACATAGTCCAGGAATTGTAGGCGTTCCTCGTCGGGTGCGGCGGGTGCATAATAAGCTGAGAGACCCATGGCGCCGTATCCCAGTGCTGTGACCAGGGGGCCATCTTTTCCAAGTTGACGAGTAGGTAGCTTAGGCATCATGTTATTTTGGCAGTGAACACAGAAGATATAACCAATGAATTCGGGATAGTCTAGTTGGAGGCGGACATTCACAATAGGCTCTAGGACCTTGACTTATACCGCCTAGTCTCATTCGTATGACCTTTTATTGCGTCAGCATATTTGATCACTCTGAGCCATTAACGCTAGTCAGGATAGTTGGCTACCATGGATTGATAGATCTAGTATGTTTACGTAGTCTTGGCGAACCTAATCTGGGAATGTGGATAGTGGCTTACGCGAGCACGCACCAATACCTAAAATGGGTTCCTAGGCATAATGTAGGTACTAATAATCCAGCTGATAAAGTCAAACTGAAAAATTGCCTTGCCATCCTAATATAGGGATGTGGATAGTGGCTTACGCGAGCGCACACCAATAATTACCCATGGCCATCTAATAAGCCAGTCTAGTGTGATGGTTGAAGCTTTGCCACCAGCATAGGTAGCAAAAATATGAATATCATTCCCCATCATTCCGGCATATCCGGCTTGTCTATCTTGTAATGAAATTGGAAATACTACAGTGATATTTTCACCACGGGTATGAGGAGCTTTCACCTCTCAACTCGCACCACCATCGACTATGCTGGTACATTTCGCCATCGGGTCCATCGAACAATATCCACCACTTCTTCAAAAACCAATCTCGTCTCTCCCAACTTCGGATGTCCCAAGGAACTCCCGAGCCTACTGAGTCTCTCTTATCCCTCTTAGTTGAGCCCCAGCAAATCATTCCATCATTTTTTAGATCATTGCAGAGTTGAGCGGGATCAAATGGTGGAGGTTGCATTTGAAGAAGCCGGATGACTCGATTCCGAAATGCAGGAAAAGGTAAAACGTCGAGGTATGGATGGTGAGGAATATTCAGCTGAGTGGTATATGGTTGAAGCAGTGGTTTTATATGGGAAAATTTTCCAGTGTTGGTCGTTTGGTAAAAGGGTGACTGTGTTGCGAAGTCGCACAATGCTTCAGACGACAGTCCGAGCATTCCCGCGTTGACGAAACATGCCGTGACAAATGACATTGTAGTAAGTTGAATTGTGTTCATATGTAGATCTGGAAGATGTTGCTCCGACCGGGTTTCTGGGAAGAGACGGTGGGTTTGCTCAGAACCCTCTTCCCGGTTCATTCGATATGTAGTATTTGATGGTGCCTCTATATTGGGTTGCCTAATTTCCTCGGAAAGTGCGCGGATTCCGGCAGCCAGGATATCTTCAAGGCTGAAATTTTGCCTAATGTAGTCTTCAGACCTCAGCAAAGTGGTTGACTTGCTTGGGTTGGAGGAGGCTTGGTCGATCTCATTAATTTCGAGGTCGCTCGAAAATCTAGCCTCGAATGCGCTCATATCTGGAAGTGTGTTTTGCGGTTGCACTGAAGCAGTGTAAGGTTCGTATCCGAGAGCAGGAAAAGCCGGCAAGACGTCAAAATTATCATTCCAATGAACAGCATCATTCTGCAATTCGCTGAGCGGTAAATTTGCTGTAGAGTCAAGCGGTGTCAGTCCCGTAATATAGTTAGAGAAGTCCACCTCATTTTCAGCTTCATTCTGAGATTGGTGGCGCTGGTATGAAGGTGATTCAGCAAAACAGCCTTTTTTAGTCGTATCGTGGTCAACAAGACTTTGTTCAGCCCCGGCGCTCTGATCACATGTTTGTCCAGTATGTTGGGATTCGTCACAGTGCGAGAACGGTGGAGTGGGAGCAGTTATCGCTGACTTGGCGAAACTCTCAAGCTGCTTCAGGTAGCTTCTCTTTTTATCCCCTTTTTCATTAGTTAGACTAAGAACTGCAAACATCAGCGTATTGAAGGCGCTCACGGTAGTTCTTTTGCGCTATTCGGTTTTGTTCACGTCTCCGCTCAGATACTGGGCGTGGACGATGTGACCTTCCCGATCTCTGGTCCGAGACGAAGGAGATAGTATTGAATGACATTGTAGTCAGGTTGCATGGACCGTTGCCATGCACGTGGCGAGACTAAATTATGCATTGCGTGGAGAAGCCACTGGAAGATGATGTAATCCACCAGTGGCGGGAATTCATGGATTGTTTACAATCTTTTACTAAGGACCGGGAGTTGATGTTTGGCAGATATGGAGCACTAAATCTAAACAATTGGATAGTAAAACCAAGAATTTGCCAAGCATCAAACGATAAGTAAACCCAGAGATATCTCTGTCAATTGAAGTTCCAGCGTGCTCCTAGCCATCGTGAAGGGTCCACAAGATAAGCCCTAAACATGGCGACGGGAGCTAAGAATAGGGCTCTAATTAGCAGGTCCACATCTGTGAGGATGTTAGAACTCCAGTTCCTCTAGACCAAGTCATGGTTTTATACGGAGTAGAATTGGGTATATCCACTTCTCCCGCTAAGGCGACATATCGGTAGATTTGAAGAAATGAAGGTAGCCTTAGCGAAGTTTTCGAGAACAATGACATAATATTAGCTGCGCCTTCCTTGGTCGGTCTTACTGATTGTTCCTCAACAGCTTGAATAATACAGAATAGTTTGAGTTGAAAGCCGTCTTTTGAGGTATATTGCTCACTATGATGATAATTGCGCTCGTATCATTGGTAGGAGTAGAATATATGGGAAGAACCCTAGAATCCGTGTGACATCCGAGCAATACTTGCCAAAATAAATATATATTCTATTGGCTTGACTTGGAGAAATTCCCGCGTAGTATATGCAAGAAGCTTACTGATCCGAGCTCGGGCGCGTACAACTGCCTGATCTGGTCTAGCAACCTGCTTCCCCATGAAGATTCCTTAATGCGTCGTATATCGTTACTCTTTGCGGTCTGGAACACCGTTCTTATCTCGCATGGATAATCCACAACAGCTCCACTAATTTTTAGGTCAGACTTGATTGCTTAAGAGGCGGGTCCCATTGAGCATGTGTGACTGGCCCAGCCACATCGGATTGTAAACAAAGAAGGGTGATAAGAAGTGCCGGGCCTTTCCCTGATGAAATAAACCTCGCGCCAGTCACTTGACCCCCCTCTCGCCAAGGCTCCCAATTTGTATACGGGATCCTAGTGCGGAGAGATTTTGAGAAGCTCAGCTTATCAGCCGATGGAGGTAAAGTTCAGCTTGTTTGCATTCCAGTGGGTGGCGCACTCGGTGCGACCACTGCTTTCTCCGCAATTTGTATAAAATGCAATATAATGCACGGGGCTATCTCACTGCAGGGTAGGATGCAAATCCTTTATTTTGCTTTTCCTTCAATCTTATAATCCTAGGACCTCCTTGTTTGTGGAGTACGTCACGACTGTCGCTGCGATAAGTTACATCGAACCCCATTCTATTGATCTGCGCCCCTGAGCTGCGCAACCCTCACGATGGCCGATCCAATTACTGAGAAGGTTGGCCTCCCATCCGATGGTCATGGTGACCATGAAGCTGGCGAGATCGCCAGTGTGCATGAACGGGTGGAACTTGAAGGCTTGGGATACAAGCAGGAGATGCGTCGGAATCGATCGGTCGTCACACTTCTCTTCCAGACGCTGGCTATTGCAGCGATTCCCTATGGCGAGGGCAGCCCCTTTATCAGTGCCATCTACGGTGGTGGGCCACTGTCCATCTTCGTTGGGTGGATTGTGGTTTGTGTCCTTGACCAGTGCATTGCCATGTCACTGGCGGAACTGGCCTCACGGTATCCTACCTCTGCAGGTCCATACTACTGGTCCTTTCAGATTGCGAAGTCCTCCAAAACCACGATCTCATTTATCAATGCCTGGATTTGGGTCATTGGTAATTGGACAATCACCTTGTCGGTCAACTTCGGTTTCGCTTCTTTGCTCTCCGCGACAGTCTCCATGTACCATCCTGACTGGAGTGCAAATGACTGGCAGCTACTATTGATATTCTATGCCATCTGCCTAGGCTCATTGATTATCTGCACATTCGCTAATCGCTACCTACCTCAAGTCGATATCGCATGCGCCACCTGGACCGCTCTCACTATTCTAGTCATCCTCATCGCAGTCTCCGTCAAGGCCGACGTAGGCCGACACAGCGCTTCATGGGCACTATCACACTACGACAAGAGCTTCGCAGGCTGGGGCAATTTTACCTTCTTCATCGGTCTCCTACCTCCAGCCTACACCTTCTCCGCCATCGGCATGATCTCCTCCATGGCCGAAGAATGCGCCCACCCAGCCGTCAAAGTACCTCGCGCCATCGCTCTTAGCGTCCCCGTCGGCGGCATCGCCGGCCTCTTCTTCATCATTCCCCTCTGTGTGACTTTACCCCCACTAGAAGACATCATAAACTCCCCAGGCGCCCAAGCCCTCCCATACATCTTACACCAGGTTATGGGCTCACCAGGCGGTGGTCTAGGCCTCGTCTTCCTAGTACTAGTAATCACCCTCTTCTGTTCAATCAGTATCACCGTCGCCGCCTCCCGCTGCACCTGGGCTGTCGCACGCGATAATGCCCTTCCACTCTCCCGCCTATGGGCGCACGTCGACCCGAAACTCGGCGTCCCCGTTTGGTCTCTTATCCTCCTAACCGTAATCCAAATGCTTCTCGGCCTCATCAATCTCGGCAGTACTAGCGCATTCACTGCATTCGTTTCTGTGGGTGTCATCGCCTTAGCGGCTGCATATGCTATTCCTATTTTCCTGAGCTTGTTAAACCGCCGTGAAGAAGTCAGTCACGCGCCATGGAACTGTGGAATGATCGCCGGGACACTTTTCAATGTCCTTGCGTTGGCTTGGATTGCTTTTGAGTTGGTTTTGTTCAGTATGCCAACAGCTTTACCTGTTACGGCTATCTCGATGAATTATGCGTCGGTTGTCTTTGTGGGATTCATGGCTATATCTGCTGTTTGGTATGTGGTATATGCTAGGAAACGTGAGTTCATATTCATATCTTGTGTGGTTGTATTCAAAACATACTGATGGCTTGATAGATTACAAGGGGCCTCCTGCGTCGGATGCTTTGGATGATTGAGGCGATGTTAGATGCATTGCTTCCTTGCTTTTGTTTCTTATCACAATCTCGTGTAATCATATTTCAAGTCCTATTGCTAGATGTAGGCCATTCTACTGTCCAATCCTGGTGGTGCTTGTATTTTATCACCCTGCATACCACATCGTACTAGCAATGGCAAGATATACTCCATCCTGGCTGATTTTATAGTCCATCAACAAGTTGGCCGTTATCGCACTCGGTTTCACCCTCTACGCGTCTTCGACGAGGTACACCCTCATTAGGAGATGGGCGTATCGGTGGAGGTAGAGCTTGATCACTAGGTCGCCGCCGACGAACGATCTGGTAGCCCTTATCCAGCTCGATCTCGATAGCTTCACGGACCTTCAATGCACTAACAGCGGGCCAGACGCCTCGCTCGCCTTTGAGAGTCCATTCTGCGACTTGTGCTCGGGTAGGTTGTTGGAAGAGTCGGCCCACATCTGTAAAGGACAGATCTGGCACAAGAGTCAGGTTTGGGCCTGGGATGGTTTCGTCGATAAGGAGACGACTGACTGAGCCTGGGAGAAGGCCAAGGTAATCTAGTTGTCGAAGGCGGTGGCGCAGCTCGACTAGAATCAGTCGCATAAGTGATCGGGAAAGGTTGTTCCAACCAGTTTGGCGGCGGTCGAGGAGGTTGAGCTCGGATCGTAGGAATGGGATTAAGTATGGACGAGCTTGGGAGACGATGAAGTGGTTCACGTTGAAGAGCTCGGCAATTCGGGCAAGGGGTGATTCGCCTTCATTGTAGTGAACGTGTCGCCATGGTTGAAAGACAGCATCTTGTGCATGCGGCCATGGCATGATGGATCCGGTCTCATCTTTGCAGTAAATTGTCACGGGTGAAGAACGTCTAGAAAATGATGAAGCATTGGAGGCAGCAGCAGCAGACCAGATCAACTATTCGCCTGTCAGATGAGAGACTTGGGTTTCAAGAAAGTTTATAAGACCTACCACATTCGGCGCGGTCAGGTAATTAAGCAGATTCGGTGTGCCCGTCTTACCTGCCGTAGCCACGGTGATGTTCAAAATGCGCTTCGACCGAGCATACGCCTCTTCAAAGGTCAAATCTCCAACATTGGCTCGCACACATTCTTCAAGCAGCTCCATATCAAATAAGTGCCCCGTTTGAAGGAATCGCTTCAGCCGCCGGAAGAACGTCCAGAGCCAACCTTCGGCTTTGTTAGCGGATGAACCATTGGTATGACCTTTCCACCGCCGATCGAAAGCAGACATATCAATCGTTTCTCCCTCCAGTAACTCAAGCAGCTCGCTCTCCGGGTGAATGCCCACCAAAGCTGCAATCATAGCGCCCGTGGCGGTACCTGTAATTATTCGAGGCAAAAGCCCTTGCAAATGCAGCGCCTTCACAACTCCTAAATGGCAAAGTCCAAACGCCGATCCACCTTGTAACAGCAGAGTCGTACGTCCAAAGGCTTGTCGCGTATCATGCAGCAGCTCTAGCTTCGCCTGCGACGTGAACCCATTGGCATGCCCAGGCACCGGCTGGAGCGAGGTAACATACTGTATAGACAGCGCAACTTGCGTGATATAGTCATCGATCAAAAGTTTCGTGCCTGCGTACGCATGCGTGAATAATCTCGTAGACGTGATGTTGCCCAGGTTGCGCACGAGTCCGGATCGGAGGAGGTTAACTAGCGTCTGAATATTCTCACTTTCTCGCGCGAGCATCAACGCTTCCAGTCGGCCCAAAATTAATCGGTGGTCATAATGTCTACTGATATTGTTTTGGCGCCTGTGGTCGGGAGATTAGCGGGGAATGTAGCTGGGCTGTAGATGTGCCCTCCATACCAAAGGTCCTTATTCAGAAGCTCGTCCAGGTCAAACGCCGCGCTTTCCCACTGCTCGTAACTCGTTGCTGTTTCAAGTGTATAGAAAAGTTGGGACCGAGTGGACTTGGAGTTCCACCATGACAGGAACTTCTGTGAACTTTTTGTCAGTCCGAGGCCTACTCCGGCTGGAGCTCGGGAAGCAGCTGATCTTCCCAGCGCTAACATAGACAGACGACTCACATGTTTCCAGAATTGTGCAACATCCAGCATCACGCCGAATATCGCTGTTATGAAACTCCACATGCTGAGCCACCAGGACCCCATGTCGTGTGGTGGGGAGGTCCACGTTGATGGGGGGATGGTCAGCGGAACTGGGGCTTTCACATGCTATGGCGTCACGCGCATCTAAAGACAACTGGGGAAGAAAAAGCACTTAAATAATTCGATAATTTTTGAGACAGCCACAATTGGGCGTAAAAGGGCTAGACTGACAAGATTGAATGCTTGCGGGGAGAAAGAGGCTCCAAGACTTGATCGGACCGAAGTCCTAGGAATAATCGTGGGTACAAAGTCCAGACCCATGTTACATCCATCCAATCCGAAGTAAAGGTACACCAGCCCGGTAGGAATTTACTATAATTCGATAACATGGAAAATTATGAATTTGCAAGTCGTTTGATTTTTGTCATTCCGCTTTTTGCTTCCTATATGCAAGAGGGCGAAATTGAAAAAAGAAGCTCTCCCGGACACCCGAACCCATCAAGCGTCATTCTTTACTCCTCAATGATGTTGCCCCGCTCAGACACGTACAGACCGTCCAAGAACTATAATCCGATTAGTATATGCAGTTTGGATGAAAGGTTGAGAGTAAGTGCCACGTACCTTACGGATATCCTTGTTACGGACACGGCAGATCTGCTGGATGTCGGCAGCACTCTGGGAAACAGCCTCGAGGGAGTTTCCGGACAGCTGGAGCTCATCCTTGACGTTGGCGGAGGGGACAATGTCGACACCGGGCTGGGCAACCACGCGGCGAACGTACTTCTCACCGAGGAAGTTACTGAAAAAAAAAAAAAAGGTCAGTTCCCATATCCTTCTCTGATTTTTCTTGATCGGGCCTCTCGTAACAAGAGGTATCAAGGTGGAACATACCGGATCTCAATGTCGTTGCAGCCAGTCTCGGGGTTCTTCTCGATGTTCACGTTGATGGGGAAATGGGCGTAGACGTAACGCATCTTGTAGAGGAAACCGCGGGTGACACCGATGATCAGGTTGTTGATCAGGGTGCGGACGGTACGGAGGGTAGCAACACCCTTGCGAACACCGTGGTGCAACTCGATGGAGATCACGTTGGCCTCGGGGCGACCGAAGGTGACGGCGATGTGGGAGAGGTCCTTGACGAGCTTGCCACGGGGACCCTCAACGGTCACAATGCGCGAACGAATGTGAACCTTCACTATAGGAGAAAACTTGTATCAGCCAAAGGTCCAATTTTTCCCGATGTGCGCAATTCCATATGTGATTTCGTTCGGTGCGTGTTGAAGCCCCGAAACAATATCGATAAATTTTCCTCCAGTGTCGTAGTTGTTGCAGGGCATCTGCCTTAGATGGTAGATCATGATCGAGCAATTCTCCTACTCATTGGACATGAATAGGTATCGCGCCCGCCTCCCACATTTTCCTCCACATCACAATCCTCCCTGAACCTCGAAAAAGAAAAAAGTCGCATGCTCACCATTGTCCGGAATGGGCAGCCGTTCCTCGGAGTGAATGTACCGCATCTTGACTGCGTGGGTGGTGTTGGCCGAGGGGGTGAATTGTCGATGTCGGGAGGATCAAAATTCGGGTTGGAGTTGTTGGTGGAGCGAAATTGTATGTCACGGGGTTGTGCGTCGCTTAAACACAGATCGGGTTTAGCGTAGGGTTGCTTATCTACTTAGTCATCATCAATGCTCTTATCTTCACATGACCTGTAGCTATCGGCTTATCTAATATTTTCACCAGTTCACATGAGGATTCGGTCTTGAATTTCCCATCAATTGTGTTGCTTGACAATCAATACGCTGCCCTGCACGTTTTCACTTTAACTTCGTGAAGCCGAAATACTTCTCTTTTGATTTTCCACAGAACCCTGCCCTCGATCGTCTCCCGACAATTAGATTACTTTTAATGTCTAAATGTCTGTGCATGGGTGGTTATACTGCAACCTGTGGAGCCGCTGGGCCATGAACATTCAGACCGAAGTCTAGATTACCTGATCCCGGGCCGTTTCGTATCAATGACTAGGCACCTAACTCATTAGACATTCAATCAAAACATATCGGGTAAATCCCTTGCGTAGTAGGTATCACTATACTAGAGTTATCTCAATTCCACCCGAGTATCCAGACCCGGTCACCAATGCAACATCAACTATATACAAGTACAATATTTCAAAGCAACGCCAACCCATGATCTAATACGCCCCGGAAATTAACCATTCTCTTACATGTGCTGCTTCGGCGGACCCCGCGAAACATCGGCAACCCACTTGCCGCCATACTCTCGCAACCTCGTCGCCAGATCATCGCTTTGATCCATAGCAGCAATATCATCGCCTCCGCCGATACTCTTTCCATTGACAAGGATATTTGGCACAGTGCCACGGCCCGTGGTCTCTTTCAGGAGAGCCTGGAGTTCCTTTCCAATTGGGTGCTTGTCGAGCTCCACGACGAACGGCGCCGGCGAGATGGTGTAGCCGTCTAATAGGATGTGCTTGGCTTTCATACTGTAGGGGCAGTAGGATTTCGAAAAGATGATAACTGGTAAACGAGATGAGTTAGCGCGTGGATCTTAGTGATAACGTGTAGCAGACCGGGTTTTGGTTTAAACATACTAGGTGCCCTCTTCAGAATGTCATTAAGCTCAGTCTTCGGGTCCAATTTTGGCTCTTCTTCCTCTGGCTTCTTGATATCAGACTCAGAGTCCGACGCTGATCCCGATGCCAATCCCGATCCCCGCTCAGTCGACAAAGCGTCCTGAGAGACCTTCTTAGGGACAGTCATCTTCGTCCGACCAGCGATAGAAATCTCCTCCATATCGTCACCGACGTTCGCGACAGGGACAGCCGGCTTCTCTGCGCTTTCCGCCTGCGCAACAACAGGTTTAGCGACCGCTTCCTTGGCCTTCTCATGTTTCGCATCCTCCTTCGCCCTCAACGCTTCGAGAGTTGATTTATAGAACTTCTGGTTTTGAATACTGCTTCCTTCGCCCTGTGTTCCAAATGACCAGTTAGCAATGATGCCGCACGGACATAAGATTAGAACGATCCGGGTGTTAACATACCGAGTAATAGAACGTCAGGATGATGATCGCGATCACCGCGATCACCAGCAATCTTGTGCGCCGTGGAGAAGGCATCTTCGATCGATACTTTGTGTGTGGGTATCGATATCGAAGAAAAGGTAGCTTGTATTGAAGGAAAGTTGGAAAAAAGTTCCAGGTGCGATGGATCCGAACACGAACGACGTGACGGGTGCGGGTTCGCGCGCCAAGAAGTAGGTAATCCGCCGATCTGGGTTCCGCTCCAGTGGTAATCTCGCCCCTCTATTGAATTAGGAACAAATTCAAGAAGAGATCAGACCAAACATCAATGAAAGGCCTGAAATGCTGCCCGAAATAGTATGAGGTCGTGTGAAATGTGTCAAAAATGGGCCTCAGCGAGGAGTGGGGTTGTTTCTCATAAAGGGGTGACAGTAGTCATCCCTGAATGCGGGACTCGGTCTGAGCGCGATGCTTGGCAGGAGCTACGAGATCAGGGGTTGGATGATGATTTAAGGGTATTAAATTAACAAAGCTGACGTGGGTATTATGCTAAATCACAGGTCTTTTGGGTCTGGAGAACATCTCCACATGTGAAGTCAATAGACGGGGCGTACATCAGCCACTATTAGGTTTAGGGGTGGGGTATGTTGTATGTGTATGTGTAGAGGCGATGAGGATAAAAATGAGTAAGAGGCATGTCAAGGGACAAATCCTCAGAGCCAGCTGGGGGTATAAAATGAAGGGGATTAGGGATTGGTCGGATGGTCCACCGGGTCCAATCGATGCGTAGAGCGTAACGCAAAGCGGTAAAAAGTGTTGGCATGTAAGACCAGCGAAGCACAAAAAAATTCAACTCCAACCTGTTCATTGATCATCAGGTGTGGATGGAAAGACCAGGTCGGCTGGTATGAGCAGTTGCCCGACGCTTGCCCTGAACGATAGTCGTCCAGTCTTCCCACTCTTTGGCAATCTCCGTGAGGACACTGCCCATCACGCCGGCTGAGGCCATGAGACCGTGGCCCTCGCCTTCAAGAATCCGCACCTCGCAGCGCCGCATGGTCTTGCCCAGCCAATTGACATTCTCCACGGGCACGCGGGTATCCTTGCTGCCGTGGTGGATCACCACAGATCGGGTAATGTCAACATAGCGGAAGCCGATGGTTTGACGGCGTTCCAGACAAATCAAAAGATCAACCGCCGGGTTGGCGTTGGCGGTGGCAAGTTCCCAGATCCTGTGTGTGAGCCGTGTATCATAGTCTTGCTGTCGTTCACGCTCCTCCTCGGGAGACTTTGCACGAGACCCAATGGTTGCGTCACTCTTTCTATACGAGGCATGGGCAATATTGGATGGCTTCACGCCACCCAGTGGCGCGGGGTTCTCTTTCTGGGATTGAGCCTCGGCTATATCTTGCGCAACAGAGTCTGTATCGGCGATCGGTGTTTCTTTAACAGCCTTGCGTTTGACTCGTTTGGGAGATTTGGGAAGACTTGTCGTGATGCTTGCACTAGTGGCGCTCATAAAACTGGTGTTGGCCACCTTGAGGAGAGATGTTGGGAGAGCACGAAGGATGCGTTGCGAGTAAGGTACTGCGTTAGTTGGGGCCGGTTCCTTTTGAGAGCCAAGGCTAGAGAGTTGAGAAGGAGGAATCCAAGGGGCGAGAAGATGGATACGTCCGCGAATATGCTGTGGGATTCGAAGAGCTGTAGCCAGGGCATAGATTGCTCCGGCAGAGTGGGCCAGAATGGAGAATTTAGTGACTCGTAAATAGTTACAAACAATAGCAACGTCATCTGTATGTTTCGTTAATACAAAGAACCTGTGGTTGCAGTTTTGAAACAACTTACCAGGCCAGCTGAGGGGGTTGCTCGGTTCGTCAAGTTGATGTGCCCCACTCTCACCAACACCAGGGCGGTCCAGAGTTACCAGTCTCAGGTTGAGAGTCCGAGCCAATTCATCATAGAATGCCGGAAGATAGCGGGTGAGACCCATGCCGAGACAACACAGAACGACATGACCTTTAGGGTCGCCTACCTCAGAGAATGCGATAATACGACCTGAGGCAGGATGTACTACCTTCTGAGTCAGCTTCGGAGAGAAGGTGTAGTCTTCGACGGCCAGATCAATTGAATCAGCACTGGATGGTCGATCGTGAGTGGTCGAGGTGCGACCAGTAATGCTTGGGCCTGAAGGTGTTCGACGATGGCCTGGGGTAGGTGAAACGGGCTCCAGAGATGTCCTGTATCGTGACTTTTCGTGATCGAGCTTATCGGACGGTGACTTCGGCATCTGAGGGGCAAAGTTGGTAGGCTTCGATGCCAATGGGCCTCCAGTTTTTGCAGTTCGACTTTTACCGGTCATGACGGAAGGTGATGGTGCGCTATCATTCAAGACAGAACGTTCAACTCTAGCTAACCCGTTCGGAGTTCCGTTCGGGGTCCCCCGGTTTTTATCAATTTGACTAGTGCTGCGGGGAGGTTTTGACTGCTTCACCGAGGTCCTTGTGGACTTCCCAGGGCTGTCGTCGACTTCCAACTCTGTCTTGATTTTCTGTTGTTGGTCTTTCAACTCCTGAATCCTCCGGGTCACCTGCTCGGCGTCATTACTCGTGCCTGGCAATCCATTGTCCGCGGTCGACTCTTTGCTGGCAGTAGAGGGGTATCGACTATGACGAGCAGATCTTCGTCTCCCTGAGGATTGACTGTGTCGGTGTCGAAGGGAAGAATCGCGAGTGGGAATAATCCTACCGCTTCCTATTCCCCCGGGATTGTTGTGATTGTCCGGTGTGTTTTGAACCGAGGGATGCTCTTTGGAGGGAGGTGTGCTCGTCCCATGACGATCACTCGAGTCTTTGGGTCCCTCCTCGGCCACATCCGCCATTGAATGCAAAGAACGCAGACTAGCGCGACTGCGAGGCATGTGTCGCAAACCGTCGTTGAGGCTGGTCGTCTTCCGCAGGCGTTCGAGCGGAGTGTCCTTGTCCCCAGATAAATCCCGGGATGATGATTTCCTGAGCAATCCAAATGTGCCTTTCAGACTTCTGGTCCGACCTCCCGAGCTATTAGAGGCGACGCTAACCGCGGTTGAGAGGCGGGGACCGGGTTCCGTACTGATTGTGCCGAACACAGGGCCTTCTTCTGGAACCCTTACCGACGAATACGAGTCCCTCGATGCAGGTCGGGCCGATGAGTCGTTTTGTTTACTAAAAGGCTTGAATCTAGGCGATTTGGGAGATTTCGGAGACGGGGGCGCTCTGGCCATGCGAATGACGGGTGACAGTGCAGCATCATCTGGATGCAAGAATGGACTGTCCGCGGGTTCTGGTTCCTCGAGATGAGTGCCGAAGCTCATTCCAAATCCCAAGCCATTCTGGGACGGAGGGATAGTGAAACACGGTGCCGTGTGTGGCACCTCGGGCAATCCTGGATCGGAGGAGTCCTTCGAGTCGATCCGGGGCACGTTGTCGAAATGCGAGTTCAGGGGCACGGAGATGGTGGAGAGGGACGAGATCAACGATGAGATGACCTCAGGCGACGTTGGATCGGCTGATGTTCCTCCCTGGCCGCGTGAAGGGAGTGACTTGCGACGGCGGCGGCGGCTTAACAGGGCCGACTCGGCGGGTTTGACCGTCGCGCTATCGTTAAGCTGCATGGTGTTTTTCAATAGTTCAAGGGGCGGGGGATTATTGAGGATTCCCCCGATATTAACGAGATATGCAGGGTATCGATAGGTCACCGCGCATGATCTACTGCACTAGAATATAGAGGTTTCGCGCACGCCGCGGGCCCTTGCAAAATAAAAATAAAAATCCCCCCTTACTGCGTCGGACTAGACGTGGGGCGGGATAGCTGATAAGACCAAATCTTGGAGGTAAGGATTGAGATCAGGGGGGATAGAGTAGAACAAAACAAGGAAAAAGGAGCGTGGTTGGAAAAAGAAAAGAAAAAAAAGAGTGATAGGAGAATAGAAGAATCCAAATGAAAATGATATACGGGATATTCGGATTGGATATGGAGAAGTTTTTTAGCGTTCGCGCAAGTCCAGCTCCACAGTATTAAGATGGATCCCAATTTCCCACTCGTTCTACAAGTCCCTTTTAGGTATGGATGATCGTGATCGGTCCATATCCCGAATCCCGCAACCTTGAAAATTTACATGGACGTGCGAGGATCTAAAAAATATACTACATTTTCTAGATGCATCGAATCAGGTATGTGTCAAAGGGCCTCCACGGCGAGAATTCCACGTGGCATACGACTACATTAGTGCTATATTCTAGAAGAACGCGCAAGACCCCTTTAGCATGCCAAGCAATTTGCGCGATCTCGGAGATTGACAAGCCCTTGGAGTCCAACCAAATGTAGGGTCAATCTGATTTCTTCAGGCTGTAGGAAATAAGCTTATAGTGAGGCTGAGTTGATTATTTTGTTCTTGTTCTTAAACAGGACTGTGAGGGCAACAGATTTTGAGACAGATATAAATTCACGGCTCCAGTACATATGAAACAATTTTGTTGAATGCCGGTCCGGGGCGTCAAATATATATCCATCCAGATATCCACATGTCAGAACCTATTATCCTCAACATTGAACCTAGGGTGTTCGAAAGATTTTTGGGCGGTAGTAGTACCAAGAGTATTTCTAAGCATAAGCCATAATAATGAAAGTGTTGTGAACTATGTAGTACTTATTTCTTATATGTATAAAATTTGGAGGAAATCAAGCTTCGCAGCAAAACAACGGAACCTTGGATGTATACATGGCTGACCGCCTACGTGAGGTACGGCAATAACCGTGGGAGCCCGAGCTTGGTGTTGTCGCATTTGTTGTCTCCTTACGAAGTACTCAAACTGAAACCCTCCAATCCGATCGACAAATTATTCTGTCAATCATCAACTGGCATTGCAAAAACCCCTGATCGAATTATCGCTGGTCTAGAAATGCGGTGACCGAGCCCATACATCCAGCCCATTGTCCGCAATGGACGCATACCCCCAAGACTACGTCAACCACAACCTCCCTCTAATCCTGCTGTCAGGACTTGAGGCAGGCGTGGTAGATGACAATGGAACCTCTGTGGATTATCCCCTTCTTGCTGAGACAGGACCTAGGATCTTCTCTGATTTTCCCCCGCTGAGCGGGGCCGTTGCGGAGGAGCTGCGGAGCGCACTGTTGGAAGAGGATGGCTCCCAGAAGCCCTGGAGATCGACTGTCAGCCCGAATGGAAATGCCCCTCAGATAAGATACAAAATCAAGAGTATCGGTCGTGTAAGTCCCCTCCAGTGCTCGAGAGGAGCTCCTGCTCATGTATTATTAGTCTTATCAACTGCCTCCGCGAAAAGCAACCCCTCCCCAAAGTTCACCACCTACAAGTCCTACTAGCGACCCAGATAGCAACTCTCCAGCTGCCAGCACATCATACGTACTTCACTCCCCAATCTCACCCTTGTCCCCGGGCTCTCCCACCTTCCCAGATGGACTCCTCACTCCGCTATGGGTGACAAAACACCAAGATCTCGTCCCGGCCGCGGTGATCAACTTTTTCCCTTTCTCCCTCGATCCGAACATGAATTCGCTACGAGATAATCAATTGAAAATCGAGATCAATAGCTTGAGGAAAGAGTGGGCATCCTCGGGGGTCAAAACAAGGTTTGTGGTGGTCTTGATCTCGGAGGAGGGCGACGGAGGTCTGACGGGGGAAATCGATGACCGTGTGGCGGCAATCCGACGATCTACAGATCTAGACCAGAAAACCATCTTTATCATTCCACCGGACGCCACATCTTCGGAACTGAAGGAGTTTGCGACATCATTGTTCTCGCTATTGCAGCCTTCGGTGGTGGAATACTATAGGGACTTGTCGAAGCATGCCCGGCGCAAGCGAAACAGGGGCAACATTCCTCCTCCAACAGCACCACCCACGAGTGGCACATCCCAGACACTATCGTTTCAGGGCTGGAACGTGCGGTACGAATTCAAGCTTGGCATATTTGCTGAGTTTCGCCAAGAAATGGATGCTGCGTGTCGAAATTATGAAAGTGCATATGATACATTGTTTGGACAAGAGGTTTTTGAGAACATTGCAGGTTGGGATCCTCGGTTCAACGATGCACGTCTATTGGGTGACACCCTTGCCATCCGTATCATTCGATGTCTACTATGGACAAACCAGACTACCGCAGCAACGCGTTTCTGGGTCGATCACAGACTTCGTACCCAAGACATTGTCAATCGGAGGGGCAAAGGCAGTAAGAATTATGGATGGGAGGCCTGGGAAGCACGGTGGTCCATGGTCATGGCCCAGCTCATACGCCGCGCAGAAACATCCCTATCATCACCGGAGGCTCCTACTGAGAAAGCATTGGAGATGCCTTCAATATACATGGCACCTGAGAAGGCCATTCCTGCGGGAGAACGTGTCAGTCCCTGGGAGCTTCTGCACCATGAGGGATATTGGTTATACCGCTCAGCAAAGCACACAATGCGCCGACGAGCTTTGGCGGAGCGTATCCCCGATGAAGATCGGTTAACCCCTGGTCAATCACCTGCCTCTCAGATCGCCAATAAATCATACTTATATGATACATATCTCGCCCCTGACACACATCTTGAATCCTCCAGACCAGGACAAACAGGTTTTGATCATTCCCATCTGATTTTGAGAACACTGGAAGATGCTTTAGGGGAATTTTCCAAGCGGGGCCAAGTTCGAAAGGTGGAACACCTTAGCCTGGAGCTTGCTGAAGAACATATGCGAAATGGCTCTTGGGCGGAGGCATACAGTGTTTTGCAGCCTCTATGGCCAACCCTTACCTGGCGTGAGTCAGGATGGTGGCACCTGATGGAAAGCTTTGGATGGGCATTGAGACAGTCCGCTCTTAAGTTACGGGAGTGTGAGACGGCCCTGCGTGTGGACTGGGAACTTCTTAATAGGGGTAAGCTGTTCTGACAACAACCCACCATTGTGGACCTAAGCGCTAATTGATCCCTAGTCTTCCCATCAAGATCTGCTCTGCACTATGATATTCATAAGAGCCTCGAGGATGTCTCAGTCGAGAAGCCTAAACCGTCTGTTGTTCTCCGAGCCGAGGATGTCATGACAAGCTGTGAGTTGGTTATTGCAAATTATTAAAATGCATTGAAAACTGACATTGTAAACCTACGCAGTGACCGCATCTCTAGTCTTCGAAAAGTCTGAAGGCAACGTTGGAGAGCCTCTTCAGGCTCAACTCCTGATCACATCCTGTGCCCAACAATCTTCATCGCCCATCAAGCTCTCAGAAGTAAAGCTTGTGTTTGAAGGATGCCTTCGCCCTGTCAAGCTTCAATCCAACCAGAACAAAGACTCGGACACTACCAGCCCATCCTGCATCTCATCGATCTCTCTGCGAGAACCCAGCATTCAAGATGACTCGACTCTCCAATCCCCAACCGGCGTTTTATCCACTCTGGTTGGTGCCGCTGATTTGACAATTGGTCCTTCTCAAACTAAAGTATTCAACCTGACATGCATTCCTCGCGAAGCTGGAGAGGCCCAGGTCGCTTCGATAGCGATGCTCGTGGAAGAGGAAAAGTTCGACCTCACCTATGTGATCACAGAACATAGCACCCGGGAAACTTACTGGTGGCAGCAAACCAAGAAGGGTGCATCTCGCAGAAGGATCGGAAAAGACCGCGATGTCAAGAAATGCAAGATCATGCCCAAACCGCCGAAGATTCGAATCTCTATCCCGAATCTCAAAAACACATACTACACGCATGAACGGGTAGCGCTGCGCATCAGCATTCACAACGAAGAGGATGAAGCTGCTGATGTTTCAGCCGAGATCCGGCTGTTTGGGCCCGCAGATTCCACCACGAAGCTAAAATGGCTCGATGATGATGCAGTTTCCGAACCCGAAGAATCAGGAGCGAGTTCTCCGACTGAGGGTCCATCTCATTTCCTCAAAAGGACCGTTGGACCGATGGAACGTGCTTCGGACAAAGACCTTATGGTTGTTCTGGACGACACCCAAGAGGCCGCAAAACACACCCTTGAGATCTCCGCGGTATACCATCTCGTCTCCGATGTACAAACACCCATTATGAAGACAATTACCGTGGAATTGTCATTTATCCGGCCATTTGAAGCCAATTACGATTTCTTACCCCGCGTTCATTCACAACCTTGGCCGGACTTCTTCTCGGTCGGTGATGAATTGGTTGGAGACGACGCCAGGACAACACCAGGTGGCTTGTTGCAAAGGTGGTGCCTTAATTCTAAATTGGTTTCGTTCGCTCTTGAGCCTCTCGTCATCGATCAGATATCCTTGAAGCTTCTGACCTTGAGTGGTGGTGCCGTTTGCGATGTTGAGTCTGAGACCCTAGTCAGCCCAGAAACTCCACAGATTGCCGCAGAGGAGCTGCGCGAGTCCAATTTCTTCCTTGACATACAGAAACTCACACTGGGTGACCGTCGACCTTCCACACTCAACTTTGCATTAGAAATCGTCTGGCACCGTGCGTCCACTGACGCAGAGAATGAAGGCGATACTACAACGACCATTCTTGAAGTCCCTCGCTTTGTGGTTCCGATGGGTGAACCTCGAGTGCTTGCCTCAGCAACCGCTTCTAATGCTCTGTCCGGTCTGATCCACCTAGAGTATACCCTGGAGAATCCATCCACCCATTTCCTTACCTTTAACTTGATGATGGAAGCCAGTGAACACTTCGCGTTCAGCGGTCCTAAGACAATGGTGATTCAATTGGTCCCACTTAGCCGTCATACTGTCCGGTACAATATATTGGCCGCGAAACGTGGTCTCTGGATTCAGCCCCAGCTGGTGATCGTGGATACCTACTTCAATAAGACCCTTCGTGTTCTTCCCACGGGTGAGATGCGCCCAGACAAGAAAGGGCCCTTGGTGTGGGTCGATGCAGAGGACTAGAGTAGAGCACCAGTGAATCGGTTCTTGTATGTGTTAAATGTCTCCAAATATCATGATAATTGTACTTAGGGTATCTATATCTTGTAGTCTGCATTCGTTCCATATCATAAGTCGTCCAAGCCATTCTTCAACCTCACAGAAGAGGCATAGTCACCCGATTTGTATAATCAACATTTTCCTTGACACTCTCAATCCGCTCATGACAAGTTCCAAAAATCCTGTCCCACAATCGAGTCTGCTTCCCATAATTATGACTCTTCCTCCACCCATACCGATGGTGAAGATCATGATCCTCAATAACCAACTCCGCATCAAACACCTCCAACAACCAATTCACCGTCGATGGAGCACCACCATGAATTCGAAGCCCACTGTGCCCAATAAACTCCGAAAAAGCAATATACTGAAAACAAACCCACCACTCATAAAACCCCATCGGCAGCCCCGCAAGTTTCATCGTGGTATACGCCAAAAGCGGAATCCCAGTAATATCCATGAACTCCTGCTCATGGTCTGCGTACGCCGATAGCAACGGATTCGGATGCTTAGTGAGATGGTGTCTGCGGTGATACTTCCACAACGGTCCGGACGAGTGCATCAGACGATGATACCAGTAGAACCAGAAATCAACGGTAATACTGTATAAACCGATCTCCAATGGAAGCCACTTCCACTGAAGCGAAGTCGGTGTCTGATTCGGTTGGTAGGTCAGGAATATCGACATGATCATCCGGAATGTCGAAGTGGAAATGAGTTCTCGAATAACCTTGCCCACGCCTACATCCGGGATCTCGTCTCGTGCATGCTTGTCGCCATCTAAGAAGCCGTAAACCTGACCCAGCCGACGCATAATATGCATTTCGTGGATACCATTTACTTTGAAGAAAGTGGAATATAGTGCGAAAGCGGCAAGGAGGTTCAAGTTATGACCTGTGTAGACCGTGTAAACGTGGTGCAGAGCGAGTGGGATGGCAGCGTGCAATAAAATCCACAGATGGACAGTCCACTCCCGCATAGCGGGGATCTTATCTTTCTTCGAGAATATAGGGACTTCTTTCTTGGGATCGATTAGGTGTAGGCCCAGGATTTCGATCATCCAGTGCCAGAAGCTCCACTGAGATTGATCCTGGCGCCAGGTAGACACCATGGAGTCTTGAGGGTTGGCCTTTCGGCTAGACATTTTGATATGCTATGTTATATCAGTAGAGGCTGGCTTTTGGTTGCTATATAGTGGCAGATCTGTACATTCTTATATACCTAAGCCTGACCGAAGAAATGCGGCATGTGAAGTCACGATCGCCACCCATGACACATTGTAGGAGATTATGAGAAGAACTTTAAAGGCTTAAGCGAATCAGCATAATCTTACCAGTGCGCAGGGACTTTTTAGAAGACTGTTGGGGTAACTAGGGTTCTCTAGCGCGGGGGATCATCATAACCTGTGATTGAGGCGCTGCCTCGGTTGCCGGATATTGCCTATGGAATTGGCGGGGAAGCTCCACTGGTTCTCTGGAATCCCTAGAGTTAGTCTTGAAGGGGCTAGCGCTTGGCTCATTATGTGATTAAGCCTATTCTGGTATGCGTTGCGATTCTTGGCTTGATGATTGATGTCTGCCTGACTATCTAAGCGAGGTATGATACGTCCAATGATGAGACTTATGCTGCATATCAAAGAAAATGGTTGAAGTGAAACAGTTTACAGAGGAGTTTATATTTTCTCAATTTCGTTCACGTTTTGAAAATCGTGCCCATGTCGATATCAATTGCCAATCTTCGAGAATTGTTTGGAAGAAGATGTAGGGCATAACAAAGTCTATTTGACAAACAAAACTGGAGTTTTCTAGATTGAACACTCATAATACCCATACATGAGTTTATGACTGACACATTGCTTGGTAGAGACCTTGCATGAGCGTCATGAACCCGCTGACTTGCAAGGTCAGAAAGCATATGCATCGTGCATTCCGAGGTACGCAGGCAAGAATAGGATGACATGTGCCATGAAAGTCTCATAATGACTTTGATGCCTACATTGTCGTGTACACAGTCGGAATCTAGGCCCAATGACTTACTGCAGACAGACACTTGGATTTAGGCTACTATCAACACCGACCGCAACCCATTAAACGAGCTAAAGGTCCCAACACAGTGAGTCCCAGAAAGGCCCGTCAGATTCAACTCAGCTGGATCTCAAGTAAGTGAAACAGGTAGCATATATGAGTACTTCCTAGCTCATAATACCTCAATAGAGGTTAACTTTTGGGTTACTTATATGTTTTCAATAAGGATTAGAAACCATGACTGGCCTGTCTTTCCGATGCTCTCCTCATCTGGTTAGTTGTCAACTATAGTCTGTAATACATTGATACCCAACCCTAACATCTCTTCTTTTGAATTCTTCAAGAAACTCTTTGTGTCCTAATGTGGCCAAGTACATGGCAAAGTAACTTTCCATAATTCTACTATCCCTCTAAGCAACTTCAAACACCAGCCAGAACCCTAATAGAGGAATGGAAGATAGAACACAAGCAATGTTTGGACTTAGTGATACAAAAACAATTCATGTTCAAGAAAATGAAAAGGTATTGAAACATTTTATACTATACACAGGCTATGTCACATGGGCGAAGCGAAGACAAAATGCCAGAAAAAAACTCCGAACAAGAAAACGAAGCCCAGCTGTCAGGTCCTACTGGGACCAATAAAGGACAGCAGGCGGAAACCAGTATGCAACGACTTGGCTTCAAAACATCTACCTTGAGGCAGTCTCCTCGGCTGGGGTCTCCTTCGAAGCAGACTCCTTCTTATTCGCAATCTTCAAGTTCGAGATAGCGGTCTCCAGCGCCTCAATACCTTCCTTCCTGAATCGAGTCACCTTCCGCACGTTCAGCGCGGTGAGCTGATTCAAGTTCTGGATACCACGCTCACGCTGGCGCAGCAGGGTGCGGGCAGTCATGGCGAAGCGCATATCCTTAGGTCCATCGACGAGTTCCAAAATGGCGCTGGGGGCTTGGTCGTGAGGCTTGCGCTCGGGTTCATCTCTGTTGCCCTTGGGGCGGTTGTAGTATTCGTATTTCTGCTTCGGCTCGACACGGAGCACGCGGGTGTAGCCACCAGGGCGATCGGCGTAACGTTCACGAAGAGGACCGAAAAGTTTGGGAAGGATTTCGTGGGGTTTCTATTGTGTATTAGTGCATTGTTTCTCAAGAGAAGAGATTCAAGAAAAGAAGGAGGGTCACGTACATAGAAAATCTCCAATGCCCGTCTCCGGCTGGCCTCAGAGTTCTTCTTTCCCAGAGTGATCAACTTGTCCGCCAATCGCTGGGCCTCTTTGGCCTTGGCCCATGTCGTTGTGATTGATTCGTTCTCGAAGAGCGAGGTGACCAGGTTGCGCAGCAAAGCCTGTCGATGCGAAGACTTGCGACCCAGGTGTCGGTATTTTCCTCCACCACCGGCCATGGTTGCGAGGGTTTGGGAGGGATGTAGAAGGGGAGAAGGTAAAGCGGGAACCCAATTGATTGAAGAGAATCAATTTAGAGACGTCGGGTTCAAACTGGTTGGGGGACTCTCTTGCAGTGTTTGTAGGGGAGGTTCGGGACAAAAGATTCGAGTTCGGCCGGCCAATCGGAGAGCTGCCACCGCCTTGGCCGACTTCAACTTTTCCGCGTCAACGAGATAACACAGCTTGAATCGCCTGCTGATTTGCATTTCTTACGTGACCAGCCTACCAAATTGTCAATCCTCTGGTTTTCGATTTAAGCCTGGTGGTCCCCTCTGTTCCAGAAACCGATTACAATACGGAAATCCACCTGCGTCGCAATGGGATTCTTCGCCGGCTTCGTACGTCTCATCCTCCGCATACCCATATGTATGAAATAAGATACTAATCCTTTGCCCGATTAGTGCAGCGGATTTGCCCTTACGAGCTCCGTTCTATTTATCACAATCACAGTCCACCGCACCAACCGCTTGGAACAGCGTCGGGCGATCCGCGAACAAGTCGATCAGATAAACTGGATCGCCGCCTCCGCCGGCGCATATGACCGCCGCTTTGCTCCACAAGATGTTCCCCGACGATTGGAGGACCGCTTACATAAGAACGATGAAGAGATTACTATGAAGGAAGTCTTGAAGCATCGGTGGAATCAAGAAGTGGAGAAGTTAGCTCGGAAAGCGCATGAGACTCGGTGGGAGGACGTACGAGACACAGCAGTCGGTGGATGGCAGTCTGCTACGAACCTTTTCAAGAAGGAGTGATTTGGTTCACTCTAAATTGGATGTTTAAAATTAGGACGTTTGAATCTTTGTTGATGATGTATTATTATTCGAGTTTGCATGGCTAGCACAGGCGTTTGGATACCCCTTGTCATTTCTGTTTGAATCGAATTATTTGACACAGCTGCTTGCCAATATAGTACATGGATTAGTATGACAAAATGAGCGTCCAGCGCTTGGTTCGTAAAGGCATTATGCGTCAGCTTTGGCGAAAGAGCTCGAGCTTTCTTGGTGATCACGTCTTATAAAGCCGTGTGAGTAGAGGAACCTTCATCTGTTGTCACACTTTCTGTATCGCTCCAGATATCTTTGCTTTCCCGTTCCACAGTGCGCATTGCTTGAGAGACATCCTCAAGCTTGGCAACCACGTCCAGCACTCCTTGGTTGACGCGGTCAAAATAGCGATCATTGGCCTCTCGACGCTTGCGCGCAAGGTTGATATCTTTTTCCGTTTCCTCATCAAGTGTATGGTGTAGGAAACGGTCTCCCGTAGAACGCTGCTCAGTCGATGGAGCATCAGTACCGTCCGCCGAGCCAGGGCGCCGAGCAGCGCTTTCTCCATCTGCGGTGTTGCGACTGGAATCGACGAGTTCGTCATCTGCTTCACTGCGCGCCCAGGCTTGAGCGAGTTTCAATTGTTTCATGCGTAGGTCTTCTAATGCTTCAGCGTGTTTCTCGCCGAATACGTGCTCGCTTGTTACGGCGCTCAATTCGACCTCGGATAAAGCGCTTTGCATCTCCTGCCAGATGGCATCTGATCCGTCGACATCGTTTTTTGAAGGACGTTTAGAGATGAAGGGGGAGAGTAGGCCACGGTTTTCCGCGTTGGCACGATCGCTGCGGCGCGACTGGTTCCGGTCGAGGGGCGGAGGTTGACTACCGGCTGGTGTTGCCAATATTGGGGCTGGTGGTACTGCAAGAGAAATGTTGGAGGCATTGTGGGATGGAGGCCCCTGGAATAAAGCTGGCGGGGGCAGCCGCTGAGGGCCCGATGGTGAGGGTTTCCTTAAAGAATCCATCGCTTCGAGTAGATATGACCAGCTTCCAGGGTTGTAATTATTGGAGATTGGAGAAGCCCCATAACAAGCGGATCTAAAGATAACGGGGCTTATCTTGCTTATCGTAAATGGTGACATAATCACCCGCGATCTACGGGCGGGGGTTAGTAAGATCAGGTGACTCGCTTAGGGCAAGCGCACAAAGTCACGAGGAAGTGCGTCCCAAGCAAGCGAGTCGCTGGCGTTCAAGGCAATTCCGAAACCTTCGACTTTTCGACACCCCACGATCCAAGCCCCTTTGGCGACAACACCCATTTTCAGTCGGTACGTACACCGTTGTTGATACCCCTCGCCTATTACAGGATAGTCTCTGGAAGTTATTTCTGTGTGAAAAAGACGAGATCCTCCCGACCATCTCGTCCTGCGCACACAAAAATTGTCCAGACCCTCAATCCTCAGCCTTCACCCACACCCATCGCCTCACACACACGAACCATCCCCCGAGCACGTGCGGAAACGACAGCATTTGAAGAATCGATTTACTAACGTCGATTGCCTCGCCTTAGTTGACCGTCAAGAATAATCCGACAATATGGGTAAAGGAAAGCCTAGAGGTCTCAACGCCGCCCGCAAGCTTGAGGCTCACCGCAAGGATCAGCGCTGGGCTGATCTCGGCTTCAAGAAGCGTCTTCTCGGAACCGCCTACAAGTCCTCTCCCTTCGGTGGTGCTTCCCACGCCAAGGGTATCGTTCTTGAGAAGGTCGGTGTTGAGGCCAAGCAGCCCAACTCCGCTATTCGCAAGTGTGTCAAGGTCCAGCTGATCAAGAACGGAAAGAAGGTCGCTGCTTTCGGTGGGTTATCTCTTTCCAGTGTTTGATACCTGGTGAATGGTATATGCAATTCGAGCTGTGGCTCGAGCTGCATCTACTGTCACTACAACTTCACCCAAACCAGGCGCTAACATGTCACTCTTTGATAGTCCCCAATGACGGTTGCTTGAACTTCATCGATGAGAACGACGAGGTCCTCCTTGCCGGTTTCGGTCGCAAGGGTAAGGCAAAGGGTGATATTCCCGGTGTCCGCTTCAAGGTCGTTAAGGTCTCCGGTGTCGGTCTGCTCGCTCTCTGGAAGGAGAAGAAGGAGAAGCCCCGCTCTTAAACGAGTCAAAAAGCAAAACGCAGGGGTGGAGGAGTGAATCGGTATCGGACAGAAAGCCCGTCTCATCAGCGCCTGGATTTCATGAGAATTTTTTTTTTGGGAAATACAACCCGGTCGGGCTTTCGTCGGGGATTACGTGTGCGAATTACCATGATTTGATACAATTCCAAAAAACAATGGCGCTATGATCTTCATCTGCGGTGGTCTCTAGACCCTTCTCCATCATACATTCTAGACCTGCTCGTAGGAAAGTAAGCCCTGTCCAAGTGGGTCACGGAATTCAACATCTTTTGCCTGGAGATCCCCCAGGCACTTTCACCTTGGAAAGATTTAGCCTTAAGCATAGATCAACATATGGCCTTCGGAGACAAGACGGTTCAATGGTTGTAAACCCTTGGGAAGTCGACGATCTGTGCAGGTTACTGAACAATTTGAATCCATAATCCATAAGCCGTTCTATTGGCCCTACTAGAATATGTATACCGGTGCGATTGTACGCAATATATATATTCAACATAAACCCCTCTAGGGTTCAAAAAACACCTCGGGATATACTTACCCGTGGATAACGCCTTGCCAAATGTAATTTTCTACATGGTTCCATTATGAGATTGCCTAGGAAGTGCTTGGCTCTTAACGCAGGTGTAGCTAGTAATTACTGACCTTAAAACAAGTTCATGGATGTGATTTTTACTGTTTACCACCTGGGTACAGTCAATTGGACCATCGGAACCAAGTGATTCTTTAGACATGCTCGTAGTGACCAAAGAGCGACTAAGGAATTACAAGAACCAAGGTTGGGAGCCAATATTTGAATCCATATCTAGATAGTCTGATCTTCATTTCACATTGAATTTTGGCCCTCTAAATAAGTTTATCTCACGGCTACCGTAAGGAAGACCAGAAGACCGTAGAACATCCACGTATTAATCATCGCACATAAATCCTCGGGTATCGTTTCAGTATTCGCCCTACTTTTTCATACCTGCGAACTAGTTCCAGACCCTTAGAAGCTAATATCCTCTTTCCGATAGTGATCAGACACAATACGGTAGAGGTATGATGGGGCATGGCCACCCCTGTTATAATATCAGTAAATGAACACAGAGTGCACAATGTCACTTCAAGAAAGACTTACAAGTTGGTGATGTACAGATCAACCAGCTCTGCCGGAACATAGTCGTAAATCGGGTTGTGAACATCAATCTTCTCGACAAGGTCTGCATCTTCGAAAGGCAAAACCTTGCTGGCATCGCCGTACTCAATGAGCGAGTCGAAGTCGAATGGATAAACGGGACTCAATTTATAGACACCACTGACAACAACGACAGGGGTTTGGTGGACCTTAGCAGCGCGGGCAATGACACGGGTGCCGGCAGCAGCGACAAGACCACCATTAGCAAGGACGGAATGAGTACCCAAAATGACCTTGTTGACACGAGACATGAGCGCAAAGACAGCGGAATCAGGGATAAGGATCACAGTGATGCCGAGAGCGACCAGCGGTTTTTGGAAAGATTCGAAGCTGAGGTTTTCATCATCACCGGTGCTATTGCCACTAACAGTAGCGTGGGTAGAATCATGATTGTTTGGGAATGACTCAGCATGAATGACTGTGAACTTGCGCTTGGCGGCAGCTTTGAGCAGGAACTTTTGTACTGTCGTGGAGGAAGTGTGTGTGAGGATGATCTCGTTGGAGTGAATGTGTTCCAACGCATAAGCAGAAATCTGGTCATCAACTTGACCCAGCTCATCAATGATCTCGTTGATACCCTCCAGGACTTCAGCTCGGACGTCCTTGCTGAGGCCGTGGCCAGGCACACGCCCAATCGGCGATTGAGTACCGGGAGTGCTGGGAAGGGAATTTTCGGGCTCTGGGTGGGAAAGCAGGCTAAACATGGAGGTCAAAGGAGGACGCGAAGACCTTTCGGAGCCCTCTGCCCTCAGACCGAGCATATCGCGATCCAAAGGCAATGAAGGATCTATTGAATTAATGAGTCATGATTTTTTTTTTTTTTTTCGAGGGCGAAGCATGACAAAGAGCTTGGACTAACCGTCATAGGCACGAGGGGTTTGACACTGGCTTTCCGAGCCAGCTTCACTGAGTGCGAACTCAGCATCGCGATCATCTTCAGCTTCGTCACGAATGAGGCCGAGGACTCGTCGCACAATGTTCCCCACCACCATCTCCCGCGGCTGAGCAGCCATGAGACGTCTACCCACACTTTGCACTCGCTCAATGAGCTTCACAGATTCGGATGTTCGGCATGCCGATATCACTCGCAGAAGGAGGTAGGCGGTTGCAGTCGCGCATGATCGAGAATGGCGGATTTGACGACGCTTGAGTAGCCTGGCAATTTAAAAAACCCCAATAGTTAGTATTAGTGTCGTTAGCTGGAGAGAATAAGGCTAGCGCACGAGACTAGATTTTCAATAGAGGTATCTATCGGGTTCGTCTTAAGGGATTTCAAGAAGGACGACAGGCCCGGCGTCAGGGCTGTGGCCGTTGACGGCATTTCAGGAAGTGGGATGTGTGAATGTCGGAGATCTGTATTCGAAGAGTTAGGGTTGGGTTTGGTCAAAACTAGCTCGAATGATCCACATACACTCTTGTCTTCTCTGTCTCGCTTCCTTTGAACCTTCCTTATCTTTTCTTTTTAGGAGGGGGGGGTCTCGAGAATCACAAGGGAATGCAAAGTGGGCAAAAGAACCGATTTTCTGCCGTTGTATCCTTTGTCCGCTTCCCCACACTTAGACTGTCCCTTCCTCTCTCCTTTTCATCGCGTCGTGTCTTCTTGGTTGCTTTGGCTTTGATCTAGATCATTTCACTTTGCTTCTTTGGTTTTTGTCGAACTTCGAACCCCTCACCAACTTGTCTTTTCGTTAGAATATCCGACTGGAGGCCGCGCGGAATTACATCCGAGGCAAGCGGGTGACTGGCGCATTGAGGTCCGTAGAACTTACCAGCTGCCCAGTTTACGCCTCCTTGCGATGCCCCTCTCTTCCCCTTAAAGAATATTCGACCTCAAATCCTTCATGGTCCATGGCATGTGACTTTGACAGTTTCGCTCATATTTCCCATCTTTAGATCCCACGCGCCCGTGTCTCCCGTGGGCTTCGTTAGTGGAAGATGAACTCGCTGAACATCCTATCCTCGCGAGTCATTGGCCAGTCTTCCAGCTCTACGCGCCCACGATCGCACTCTCAGAGCGAGAAACGGCGCGAAGCTCCGCCTACGGACCTCGCCAAGTTTCGATCCTATAGCGAAGATAACTTCCGGTCTAGCCTTGTCTCCGAGAAGGGTCATGACAGCAGCGCATCATTCGCGGACGGCACCGGAGAAGACACGCCACAGTCGTTTGACGAGACAACATCCTTATTACATGGCCCCCAACACGATGGCGCCTTCGTGACTAAAAGCACCTGGCGACTTTTCACAAAGCGCATCTTCGATACGATCACCGAAACCATCCGATTCATTCTATCTACGCTTGCTGCACCGGGTGTATATATTGCTCAATGCTTCCAAAACGATGACGGACGTTATTCGTTCCTTGCCCCAGTTAGGAGAATTTGGAGAACGTCTGCCGAATCCAGGATCCGGCCCGTCAAAGCGACCTCTCGGGTAGAAAATCGGCGACGGAGTGGCTCCACCCGCAAGTTGAAAGCTCAAGGATCTCGGGACTCGATACGATCCACAACATCCGAATCAGATACAGATCGAAGAGGCGTCAAGGACCTTACGAGTGCGAAAACTCGACCGCCTAAAACCGACCACTTCCAAGAGCGTGGTCCAGATGAAAGCACACCACGTCGGTCTATACGGATCAAGCTCAATAATGAGGAAACGCTCAATAGACAGCGACAACGACGAACGAAAAGTGCCGATTTAGGCACACCGATGCCAGAGGGTGTAAGCCGGGTTCAAGCGGCCGTCAACTTGGATAGCCTGAAGTCTCCCTTGTCATCATCTGTTCACCGCATAACGAAATACCCACACTCTCCAAATCCGCCGCGACCTCTTCTCCCTCAACGACTGCCTTCATATACAGCCGCTCCGCGGAATGCCAGGCTCCCACAAAAAACTTTGGTGCTGGACCTTGATGAGACACTGATTCATTCGCTTGCTAAGGGTGGTCGTATGTCCAGCGGCCACATGGTTGAAGTCAAACTTTACATGCCTATGACCACTGCCCCAGGGGCCCCGCAATCCGCGTTGGGGCCTCAACATCCCATATTATACTATGTGCATAAGCGGCCACATTGTGATGATTTCCTGCGCAAGATTTCCAAGTGGTACAAGCTCGTGATCTTCACAGCCAGTGTCCAAGAGTATGCCGACCCCGTTATCGACTGGCTCGAGTCGGAAAGGAAATACTTCCAGGCCCGTTACTACCGACAGCACTGCACATTCCGTAATGGCGCCTATATCAAAGATCTTAGCTCTGTGGAACCGGATCTGAGTAAAGTGATGATCTTGGACAATAGCCCAATGAGCTATATCTTTCACGAGGGTACGCTGGGAACCATTTATTATTTTTAAAGTCTCTGACTGACATACATATTCAGATAACGCGATCCCTATTGAAGGTTGGATCAATGACCCCACGGATAATGGTCTGCTGCACCTAATTCCCATGCTGGAGGCTTTGCAATATGTCACTGATGTTCGGGCACTGCTGGCTCTTCGCCGTGGCGAGGTCGAGGCGTAACCGCTTTTCACACTTGTAACTATGAAATGCGCATGTGGGTGTAAAGGGAGTTTTGCTGCTTGTTAGAAGCGAAGTCAACTCAACAAGAGGGAAAAACCAAAGCAAAAGGAAAAAAAAAAAGACTCTATGGAGGACATAAGGACGATGAATGAAGCTATACCATTGCAGCACAATTTATAATAGCATCGAGTATATTGTTTAATGGTGAATGGATGAACGTACATACCCCACTCTTAAAGTATCCTTGTCTTTTTCCTTTTTAAGTAAGGTAAATTTCTATTTCGATAGACGTGTTCATTATCTCGCTATGTGAATTGTATACCGGTTGATATAATGACTTGGCTGTTAAGACTCCAGGGCTGGGTTCGAGTCTCATGATAGCATGGCACCGGGCTTTTATACATAGGGAACTGTTGGAGTAGGAGACGGCCTTGAACTGACACCTCCCTGACTTTCGCTCCTCTCCAGACTTGAATCTTGAGGATGGTATATGGGGTGGTGACTGTTGTTCATAAACCCCAAGGGTACCACTCGAGATCCGAGGACATAACAGGTCACGAAAGTGCTATCCAGAGCTTCGGGAGCCCAGCCATGGTAGCTGGCGGACCCACTCCCATATCAAATGTTCAAGGAATGCCGATGTGATTGGGATATCCATCCAAAAAGTCCCAGGTTAGGAGAACGTGACAATATTTCCATTTGGCGAGGTGAGGTGTGAAAAACGTGGCCAAGAATGCACTCGCACGTTCAGACCTTCGGCCGAAGGGCATAAGACTTTACAGGAAGAAGCTTGAACTGCTTAGGGAATCCAGTCTGAATCTCAGACTTGATAACATCCATTCCAGCAGCAGCAAATAACTGCTTAAACTTCCCATCCGTCCTCGTCACACTGCTATCCAAGTCGTCGTACATATCCTGATTTTGTGCATCGGTCGACAAGTTCTCCTTCACAACCATAACACCATTTTCTGTCAAAGCATCTCGACACCTTATGATGTACTCAATCAATTGTGTATCAGTGCAATGTCCGACACACCACTGAGTCCAGATCAAATCGTATTTTTTCTGTGGATGCCAATTCTCTAGACCGACGGTGTAAATATCACCCACAATACCATCTTGTTTGAGCTTGCTCTCTGCCATGACCTTTGTAAATTTCTCTACCGGCTCGACAGCGTCCACAACTTCACAGACATGGCTTAGAAAACCTTCTGTTACACGTCCAACACCGGCTCCACAATCCGCACCTTGGCGGAATTTTCCACTCTGGGGAAGAGCGGGGATCATTCGACGAACCTTCGTCAAGAAGTTTTTGGATCCTTGTAGCTCGATGCGTGTATACCAGGGATAAGTTCCGAGCATGCCTAGCATCTCAGCTGAAGTGCTGGGAACACTGTTCCAGTAGTTGATGGAAGCGGCATGGTTGATCTTGGAGTCCGCTGATTCAGACACAGAAGCAGGTGCCCCCGTTGAGCTCTCGTTGGCCTCTTTCAAAGACATGATGGAAATACTGACAAGAGCACTTGGGTTGCTCGTGGAAAGTGGGGTGAAGCTCCAGACAATTTTTATGCTCACAAATGATACGATTATCTAATAATTTAGAGTACCTCACGTGACTATGATGTATATTTTGTTTGCATACCAGCCTCATCGTGACAACTCTCCTCTCAAGTTTAATGGAAAACCTTATAATTTCAACTCGCCGAAAATTTGAGATGGGAGGTTTGAAGAGAGTATTATCGAGGTGGCTTTGGCCGTTTAGACGGTCAAAATCCGAGTCAGAAGATCCAAATAACGTGGGTCTCTGACCTTCTGGCCAACATAGCATGAAATGTTCCCTCGTTAATACCTGAACAGCTGCAGGGAGTGATGGTGATGGAGTCACCCGAAGATGGTCTGAAGCTACTGTTTGATGGAACTTCACCAAGAACAGAGTACGAGAACAGCCCTTGTCTAACAACGAGGCTAACTTAATTATCGCCAGTATCGTTGCCGTTCATGGGCTTGGTGGACACCGAGAAAATTCATGGACAGCAGATGATGGAACAAATTGGCTGCAAAGCCTACTACCAAGGGACTTGCCAGACTGCAGAATTTTGAGTTGGGGCTACAATGCGTCAGCTGCCCCTAATCATGAAAAACAGCCTCTTCAGGAGATGTCCGAGAAATTGGTGTTGGATTTGTACAAAGTGAGAGAGCTGACCAGAGTAGGTCTAACAAAACCAGCTGTATATGATGCTATATGAGCATGAGCTTATGAATGTCATACAGACACAGAACCGTCCAATCATATTTATGGCTCATAGCCTGGGCGGAATTTTGGTCAAGAGTGTAAACGTACCCGCTTTTGAGAAATTGACAGAAAGTTCTAATAGACTCCTAGGCTTTGATATTTTCTGACCAGGAACAAGAAGTTGCTTCTAGTCGTCTTGGCATTATCAGTGCATCAACACGTGGGGTATTCTTCATGGATACAACAGAGCTAGGGATAAGCACCAATGGAATGGAAAAATTCCTGCGCAGCTTTAAAGGCTCGGAACAAGAGGACAGTGACAGTTTTAAGGAAGCCAAGTGGCTACTAGCTATATTGAAGCAATACGTGTCACTCAGCGCGAGGTATCGCAACGTATATGTTTCTCCTCGACAGAGCCAAGGGGCAATTCGGAAATCAGAGACGGTAAGGGGTCAGTTGAGTTAATCACCATTAATCTAGCTAACGGATTTGTTGAACTAGGACCCATCTTCGTCCCAACTAAACTCTTCATATATCGGGGTTGATGCAGATCATAATACAATCAACAAGTTTAAGTCTCCCGAGGATGCTGGTTACTTGAAGATAAAGGCGGAACTTCTCGATATACTTGAAATGTCAAGTTCAAGTGTGAGACACATATCTTGGGGAGAATAACGAAGATCTTGGGCTATTTTATAGTCAGCCAAGGAAAGATAATTCAAAATGCTTCATTACAATTTTAGATTATTGTGTCTAGGAATTGCCCATCTGACCCTGTCGGTCATATTCCGAGGTAAGGTCTTGAGTGCGTAATTGCTCTTATAGCCACTGACTAAAACAATCAAGGGGGGATAATTGGAATAAAAACCGGTTACCGTAAGCTTTCAAACTATTCAAGCAAGCCAGGCTCATTATCTGCACATTCTGCTGCCAGGGACTGTAGTACATGCCGTTATATTTGCTGTGTCTATCCAGGGTCCATGTGTGGGGACCAAAGCGTGCTAGCGGCTCAAACAGTTGAGCCCCACTTGTACTCGCGCTAAGAATCTCACATACCAAACCTGGTACGAACCTGCTACTATTAGGCGAGTAAAATATCGTCTGCTTCACTATGTTCGGATGATGCCGTCGTTTTGGATGCAGAAGATACTAAGGACTTCAAAATCGAGAATATATTACCCTCCCATCCGCAGATCTTGCCAAGACCACGGAATGGCCCCAGCCCACTCCATTGACCAAGGCGACACACCTCTCTTTGTGTATGTGCAGGAGTGTATCAACAAATGGACCGTGTAGGCGGGTTTGCTGTTGTGTGAGCCAGATAAGGAGTCTACCTATCCCAGCTCCTTTTTTTTTTCCAAAAGGAAGGGGCCGATTCCTTGACGAGGACAAGAACAGTGAGGGGTCTTCGCTGCTTTATTTACTGGCTGACACCAGGCTCGACAGGAGATATGGGGAAGGGAATCACCGCGAAGAAATTGGCGAACCGATTCAGATTGTCGATGCGGTTGGTCCTCGATCCGGTGGCGAAGGATGCACAGTTGCGCACGAGCTTGGATGTTGCAGCTGTTTGTGACAGTGATCATATTTTGAAGATCTCTGAATGAAAACCAATGTTTTAACCTTGTAATTGGTCCATTGCCAGGTGATGCCAAGGTTGAAACCCCAGTTCGGAAACAATGCACATCTTTTGTTCCGGTATTGCCACTTATATATTTATATCGACTGAAACAACATTGTGCACAAAATATAACACTTTTCCTACCTAATTGTCGTCCCAAGCCACATATACTGCTATTATTGATACATTCATGGAGCTATGGGACACACAGTATTGCGCGACACGAGAACTAGAGTATTTGACGGGCATAGTAGGGTAGTTGAGAAGGCATCTATAGTGTTGAAGATGACATTAGAAGTGTACTCGGGCTGCAAGACCATGATGATTCATAGAGTCAAAAATGCAAGTCCACATATCAAGAACAGCCCGGGTGGTCTAGTGGTATGATTCGCGCTTAGGGCAGCAACTCCTAAGCACTCCTGCGCGAGGTCCCGTGTTCGATCCACGGCTCGGGCCTGTTATCTTTTTGTTTTTTGTTCAAATACCGGATCTCTTCGCTGCTGGATTTTTCTTTTATGAATCTCCACCTTACATCGGCTGCCGGCAAAACCTTAATCCAACCAATCACTACGGGATCTACCCTCTGCCAGGTGGAGTCAATGACACATACATTTTGATTGGCTCTCCAGGGTCGCGCGACAAGAGGCTCTGTTTGCTATACTTTGAACAGGCAGGCCGATAAGTAACCAATCTATTACAAGAGAAGCGTTTTCCTAGGCAGACACATCGCTTAATGGGAAGCAGAATGGTATCCACTGCGCCATGTCATAAGTACAGGCCGACTAAGCAGTAAGAAGGCAGGAACGAATCGACGTGGAGTGAACCATGGCATGCTTGTTTCTACAGAAGCAGAACCAGCTCATTTTAAGCCCCAACCTCCACCACCTGGACTGTTGACCTGCATGATTTCCCCAGCTTCCAGAGAGAGCGCTGCTTTCCCACCTAACGATATCTTCTCAAGTTTCGTTCGATCATCGTTCCACTTGTATACATAATTCTTTCCAACCTGCCCAGACCGACCTCCATTCATGCCATACGGCGCGAAGACACGGCGATCACTAAGAATGCTGAATTTTAGTGGGACCCGAGCTTCAACTTCACGCACTGCGCCATTCCCGCCTCTGTATTGACCATTACCACCCGTGCCAGGATTAATGGCATGTTTACGGATAATGACAGGCGTCCGCTTCTCCACAACCTCGGCATCAGTAATCTTTGTGTTGGTTGAATGTGCTTGGATAGCATGCTCTCCATGCCAACTGGGCCCTGCACCACATCCCCCTCCGACTGTTTCACCATAGCTCCACCCAGGCTCAATAGCACCGGTGTGGGGATTCTTCCCACCCATTCCCCAACCAAAGCTATTCGCACACCCGGAAAATGCAGCACAACATTCAAATGCCTTCAAGATTGTGTCGATGACTCGTTGACTTGCTAGCGTACTACCGCAGATTGCAACAGAGGCACTGGGTCGCAGGATGGAGCCGTGAGGGATCTCGATATCTATCGGCGCGAGACATCCATCATTGAGAGGTATCTCGACATCAACTAGACAGCGTATACTGTAAATCACAGCAGAATGGCTAATTGAGACCGGGCAGTTATAGTTGCCCCACATCTGGGGGCCGGTGCCTGCAAAATCGAAGACTGCGCCACCGGACTCGTCGATTGAAATAGAGACCTTGATCACAGTCCCATCATCGAAGCTATCACTAGCAGCCAAAGGCATGGTCTTTGATCGGGCAACCCTTTTGAGATAGTCCCGGACCGCCACCTCGGAATTCATCTGAATGGCGTTCATATAACGAGATACGAAGCCGAAGCCGAATTGAGAGCACAGGTTTTGCAACAACAAGATCCCACGTTGGTTCGCTGATATTTGAGCTTTGATATCGGATATGTTATCATCCAGTCGACGAGTTGGACTGCAGCCTGGGAATTCTCCTGCTGCCAAAAACGCTTTGCGCACATCGTCCTCAAGGAATTTTCCACTGTCGACAATTTTCATTGAGCGAACATTGAAACCCTCTTCCCACAGTTCTTTCGAACCAGGCATCATTGATGTGATTCCAAGGCCGCCGATATCTGTATGATGGCCCCGAGCGGCAACATAGAACGCTACGCTGGGCTCTCCATCCAAAAAGACGGGAGTGATGACTGTCAAGTCTGGAAGGTGGGTCCCACCACACTCAGGATGATTGCTCAGAAGAACATCGCCGGGCTTGAGCTTGCCCTCCCAAAGGCGATGTTGATATTGGATTGCGTATTGCATGCTTCCCAGGTGGATAGGGATATGTGGCGCATTTGCGACCAATTTACCATCTCGCGAGAAAATGGCACAGGAAAAGTCCAGGCGCTCTTTGATACTTGTCGAAATGGATGTACGCTGTAGCGTATGGCCCATTTGCTCGGCGATTGACATAAATCGATGTGACAAAATGGACAATTGTATTGAGTCGATGTTCTCAGAGATGGAAGGAACGCTACCTTGAGAGACATCGAATGCCTTTTCCAGCACCGCATGATCTGGAAGAAGATATGCATTGAAGCCGGGCTCGACAAAGATTGTTTGGGTAGCATCGATGAGCAGCGCTGGGCCTTGCAACTGACTGGGCCTCTCGACGAAGTCCAACCTGAAGACGGATATATCTTGCCATTTACCGTCGATGAAGGTAGACTGGTTACTTGTTTCTTGGAGATATTCTAGCTGACGGCCCTTCACATCTTCCAATAAAGAGTATGGAGATTTGGTCTCCGCGGAAATACCACTTCGACCTATACCTCGCACCTTTATTGAGTCGACATGAATTTTTCGGTCGAGTTGAAAGGCAAATTCCCTCAAATGAGTGGTCTCAAAGGACTTTCCGTAGTCTTCATCTTCGGGCTTGGGAACGGCAATGTTGGTGTCGGTGCCTGCGTATCTCATACTCAAAGATTCCTCAAAGACAGTGGTGAGTGTATCTGCCCCCTGAGAAAGAAGTTCAGCTTGGACTTGAACTTTGAGTGCTTGTATTTGAGTTCTTATCTCTTCAAGCCTATTCAGATGGAAAAACCCAGTGAATGGCGCGGTCTTTTCAACTTGCAGATCTGCCTGGGATATCCCAACAGCGGATAGTAAGGAGGAATGCTTGTGGATGAGAATTCTGGATATCCCAAGCTTATTTGCAATAGCACATGCGTGCTGACCACCCGCTCCACCGAAGCTAACCAGGTTATGACTGCTTGGTGCAAACCCTCGAACCTCAGTGGCATTGCGCATCGGTCGAGTCATTGTTTCATTTGCAACATCAAGGAAGCCAGAAGCAACTTCTTCTGGCGTAAGACTTTGGCCAGTCTGTCCATTGATCTCGCGTGTTATTTCATGAAATCGTTGTCTTGTGATCTCATAATCCAGACCCTGGTTAGCCTCTGGGCCAAAGATAGCCGGGAAGGAAGACATGACCAGTCTTCCCAAGAATAAATTTGCATCTGTAACCGTGAGTGGTCCTCCCTTCCGATAACACGCAGGTCCTGGATGAGCTCCAGCACTCTCCGGCCCAACCACAAAGAGGCCATGACGAGCGAAAAGCATTGAACCTCCTCCAGCTGCAACGGTTGCGATGTTGAGCATCGGTACGGTAATCTTTCGACCTCCGACTGTGGTCTCAGTCAGATAATCATACTTGCCATCATACCGGCAGACATCTGTGCTGGTACCACCCATGTCAAAACCCAGAATAGGCGTCCCTTCAGAGGGATTATAACATGTTTGTGCGATACCCACAACTCCTCCAGCAGGTCCACTAAGCAGAGCCTCATTGCCTCGAAATTTGGCTGCTTGTCTCAGACCTCCATCTGAGCCCATGAACTCTACAGAGCGTGGTAGATGACTGAATCCAGATTGAAAGGCATTGACATAGTCTTTCACAATGGGATAAAGATATGCTTCTGAACAAGCAGAGCTACTCCGCTGAAGATACTTGATAACAGGGCTTACTTCCGATGCCTTGGTGATATGTTCAAATCCCATCTCTTTCGCAATCTCAGCTATCTGATCTTCATGATCGGTGTGAAGATAGGAATGCAGAAGTGAAATAGCCAGAGAAGTGTATCCAGCCGACCGAAGTCCGCCTAGAACCTCGCGAACGTCGTGAGGATCGAGTGCCTTCAAAATGCGAATGACTTCCCCACTGGGAGTCTTTACCAGTGCAGGATCTATGATCTCGGCCGATTTATTCAAAGGAAATGGATTGAGATCATAGTCCTCAATGGTGATACGCTCATCTATCTCAGCCGAGGTAGCATGCAGGGCAGGCGGCTTTCTGACATTCAGGTCAAATAGTTTCGGCCGTGTCTGGTCATCGATCACACAAACATCTTTAAACCCCTTGGTGGCAACGAATGCGAAGTCTCGGCCTTTCCCCTCCAGCAACGCATTTGTTGCTATAGTGGTACCAATGCGACAGGATGATATCCTGGACCCATCAAGCTTCTCTCCAATGGGGATTTGCCGCTTTTCAATAATCTCGAGTGCTCTCCGAATGGCTTCTGTTGGAGCATCACGATAATTTTGCGGATCTTCGGAAAGTAATTTGAATACTAGATCCTCGTGATCAGGTACTTGTACCAAGACATCGCAGAACGTGCCCCCACGATCTAAATGGACTGTTAACGCTGGTTTGCTCGTATAACCAAGTATAAGTCACGCACCAACGGAGATCCTGATGTCTGGAGCGGCCATGGTTGCTCTGCGATGATGACAGGTCAGGAATTCAAAGACTGTCAGAACCTAACAAATCAACAACCTGCAGATGTGGTAATGGTTTCTGCATTCACAAAAGACACTCCAATGCCTTTTTCAAAGATCTTGGCTTTCCTATACGCTATCAAAACAAGATAGTCCTTAAGCGGAAATTTGGATCGGGGATGCACCGATAGCCCCGCTCACCGGAAAAGACCCCGCGCGAATGTAAAGAGATACTCACTCAATGACTGAATCAATTACACATCAGCTGAGCTTAGATTTCATTCTCTAGAAGGTGTCATAAAACTTTCTACACCGAACATTGCCGCGTGGTGCCTTTGAGGGCGTAAATGGTGTGATAGTGTGCGGAGACAGTGAACCGGAAAGCTTCACTTTTATGGCAAGTTTCGTAATCGAGACTTTAATTCATGACAAATGTTGTCGAATCAATTTAATCACCTCTGCATTCTTTTCCAAATGTACCCCGTGATTAGCCCCTGCAATGACTTCCAGCCGTGCTGAGGAAATTTTTGAAGCCATATCTCTGGACAATTGAGGCGGACAAATCCAATCTCGCTCGCCGACCACTATGAGGGTGTTTGCGGTGATATATTGAAGCCGATCTGTATAATCAAAGTACTTCTCGGTGTTGGAATAGAGGTCATCTTCTTAAGCGTCAGCGCGGTCCCGTAAGGTTCATCGCGGAGTAAAAACTTACTGTGAGACTTGGCATAGAAAACCGTTTCGAGGTTGCTTTTAAGAGCGGTCTCTGCATCGAAATGTTCACTGTATAAAGGGGCCGCGGCATACATGATGAGTCGAAATTCGAGGTCATTTTCGAATCGCCCAAAAACCTTGTCCCTCAGGAACTTGGTAGAGAAGCCAGGGGCTCTGGAAGCTCTCTCTTCGAGAGTTCGAATGGCCTTTTCTTCATCTAGATGCAATGTCAGCGCATATTAATTGGAAGTTGTGGAGCACTCGGCAAAGTTGAGATATCTTACGGTGATATGAAGCAGCAGTCCCTCGTAGAATCAAATGGGACACACATGAAGGGTATGTGATCGCATACTGCTGAGCCAAGAACCCACCGAAACTTCCACCACATATAATGCAAGGGTCAGCCCCGGCGAATTTCCGCTGTATGGCCTCGATATCCTCAACCAATTGGTGAAATGTATATGGCTCTGTTCGCGAGCTTTGACCATGACCTCGAAAGTCAAAAGATAGCACTCGATAAGATGACGATAAAGGCGAATATGCCTTGAAATCAGATTGATGATCACCTTTTAGCTTGCAAGAAGACCAATTAGTCACTTCTCAATGATCACTGCTGAGAAGATCTCACCAAAACCCCTACCGCCATGCAAAGTGATGATTAGAGGTGCATTTTCAGGGCCAACCAATCGATAAGCTAGCTGTGCTCCATTTATGGACGCGAATTCGACCATCCTGGCAATTTTGAGCGGATGGACCAACAATCTACAGCTCTGGATAACAAAGTGTATCCGTGAGTAAGAATAAGCACGAGGACGAACTGAAAGTATACAAAAGAGATGTTATCTGTCGTCGGCCCCACGCCGTGAGCTATGTCCACATTAGGAAATGATCATACAAAACTTCCCCTCATCTAGAAGACCTTCCTTTGTCAGTCTCGTGTCAAATGTCGTGATAAGCTGAAAAGCAGAGGTTGCTTTGAATGCGTACGGCAAATCCATTGGGTCTAGACACTCCCCCATTACAGCCTACCGCTGCACCAAAACAACCTTAAACATGTCGTTCCCCCTGCAAAGTTCAATCTTTGTTTACTAACGAAGTCGCCGACATGGCAAGCCCAATGCAAAGCGCTGAGATTAACCGGCCAGCTACGCCAGATAGCCCACACCGAGATACCATAAAGCACAAGAACAACCTCATAGAATCAATTAATAGTCGACATGATTCAGGCATAGCATTCGATATCACCTCGTCACAATTTAAGAAGAGGTGGTTTCACTGGCACGAACCAGGCACATCGAAGGCCGACAAAAAACTCATCTTCAAGCTTGACTGGTTCCTACTCAGCTATAGCTGTTTGTGCTTCTTCATCAAATATCTCGATCAGACGAACATCAGCAATGCATACGTATCGGGCATGGAAGAGGAACTTGGCTTCGGACCCGGCAATGAATTGAGCTGGATGAACACATACTTCAGCATCGGAGTGATTATCGGAGGCCCAATCAGCAACATTGTTCTGACCGTCGTTCGACCACGCATCTGGCTACCCAGCTGTCTACTCGTATGGTCACTATTCGTTTTATTCTTATTCAAATGCCAAACAGCGTCACAGTTCTACGCCTTAAGATTCTGTGTCGGTCTACTAGAATCTGCGGCATGGCCGGGTCTTCAATATGTGCTTGGCTGCTGGTATAAACGGTCTGAGCTAGCATCTCGAAGCGGACTCTTCGTTATGTCTGGCGTGCTGGGCCAGATGTTCTCGGGATACCTGCAGTCAGCCCTCTTCGATGGAATGGAGGGTAAAGGTGGATTGTCAGCTTGGAGATGGCTCTCCATTTTTGACTTCATTCTTGCTGTCCCTGTGGTCCTCTACGGCTACGCATTCTACCCTGATACGCCGCAGAATACCAAAGCCTTCTATTTGACCGACTGGGAAAAGACTCGGGCCCGGGAAAGAATCGAAGAAGAGGGCCGCACGCCAGTCGGAAAGATGGATCTATCGGTGATAAAGCGCATCCTGCAGTCCTGGCAGCTTTATGCCTTCTCCATCGCATATGCCCTATGGTCTCTGACCTGCGGGTCGTATGTCATGCAATACTTTGAACTGTGGCTAAAAGCCCTGAAGACTTATTCGGTCCCGCAGATCAACAACATTCCCACGTCGATGGGAGCTGTTAACTTTGCCTTCATGGTGACTACAGGTATCGTCGCTGATAGGATTGGTCGCCGGGGACCAGTTTTCTTCGGCGTCGGATGTCTTCTGACGTTCTGCTATGCCGTGTTTACCGCATGGCCTGAGTCAGAAGGACTCAAAATGGCTGCTTTTGTTCTCACCGGCTGCTATGGGTGTTTTACGCCACTTCTGGCTGCGTCTGTGAATATATCATGTGGAAATGATCAGCAGCTGCGAGCGTTCGTTATGGCATTCATGGTTAGCCTTGGTTCTGCTGTTGTTATCCCCTTCCAGCAACTGCAATTCCCCAGTGGAGAGGCGCCAACTTTCTCAAATACTCATGGCTGGGTCAGTGGACTCGTCTTTGTCATAGCCTTGACTTTGTGGACTGGGTTTGGAATAGAATTTGTTGAAAGGATCATGACCCGCTCAAAGAAGAACTTGAATGAAAAGGATAACGGGGTTTAGCTTACGAAACTCTAGCCAGTTAGCTTATGAAACTCTAGCCAAATTATAGAGGTTTTTTTTTAGCCGATCTGCTATATCAGATAGATAATGATAGAATATCAATGCCAGTATTGCGGGTATGGAGGGGTGATGATGATCGTCCCCGTTACATCAGCGAAACTGCTAGCTGTACGGCGTGTCTCCTCCACATTCTAAAGTCATTACTGAGGCAAAAAATGACTGAATTAGCTGAAAATGGTGTGTTGGCGGTAGTAGACGGTAAATAGAAAGAGGTGTAAAGGGAGAACGGACGTGCTATGAGGCACAACCAAAGTCAAATGTCATCATTGTGCGCCTATCATCTTTGAAAATCTGGAATATACAAGACAAACCAACAGAACAGAACAGCCAGAAGAACTGACCTTGAAGACAAGACTGGAAGGCGGAGTAGGAAAGGAAGGCACAGGGTGGGGAAGCAAGCTGGAAAGCGAGGCCAAGTGGGTGTGATGATGAGAAGAAGAAGAAGTTGGGGGAATTATATATTCTGAAAAGAAGCAGTGAATCATACATATAAGTAGTCTAATTGGGAAGAACGTTTCGATGAACGTGGTTTGAAGAAACATCTAACACCATAGAGCGTGACTGGCTTCCAGACATCTCTCGGGACCTCAAAAATTAGCCATTTTTTCTCAGGTCATTACACTACCAGACCCTTTATTCCTACCGTCAATCAAAGACTTGATTTTCCATGAGCCATAATCTTTCATAACGATTACTTCCGGCTTCATACCCCCAATCCCAGTCAAACAACTCAGACCGAAGAATCTTCATTCTAGCATCGAGGTGCAGTAGTCGCTTTGCGAGATTCTCTGCCGCCGGAGAAAACTGCTCAAGAACCCGATTCTCATCTTCTAGTGTAGGTTGTCTGAAGCCAACTTGGAGTTTGCGTAAAATGCCATAAAGTTCATTGAGGCTGGCAACCTGGCGCTTGTACGCCTCGAGGATCTCAATAACGGATTCGAGCCAGCTGGTAGGCAACCCTTTGTATAGTATCAAGCCCTGCAACTGACTTTGCTCGAGGGCTACCCCAAGTAGGCCCAGATCTTGATTTATGGCTGAAGTGTTCTTGCCTTTGCACAGGAGCAGGCGGGCAGACATGCCTGCACCAGCGTAAAGTTCCAATAATCGGGTGGCATGGGTAGGTCCTGTATGGCCCCAGACTCGACAAAGACCGAGATAAGCCTCTTTCCACAAGGCGGTGATCACGCCTTGGAGGGCAAGTCGTTTTTCGGCTTCGGTTTGTTCCGAGGCGGATGTTTCGCGCGCATTGCCCGAGCTACTAGAGTCTGGACCTTGCGACAACCTGGTGGACATTTCTAGCCGGTTGGAGTCAGGTGAATAGATACAGAATCTTATGAACGGGAGATGTCGAGGTCTTGAGAAGAGATAAAAGGGAACATGGAACTCGGGCGGGGTAATATTAGGCGCTTCCTGACGCCTTGAATCCTTGTTGCTGATGACCTGTTCTTAGCTGAACCAATCACTTAGTATCGTTTGACTAGGCTTGCATGTTCGTATGCGGCCTAGCACGATAAGGTATTAGAACTTTTGTTCATTAGCGACCTGTTACTCGTTGCTCACTGATAATTGTGGGCTGGCCTGGTCAACTTCAAAGTATCGTAGTTGTGTCTGGGAGAGGGGACGTCCATGGACACAACTTAGTCTGGGATGCCCCTCATCACATGTTGGTTTCGTCTGATACCAGGCTCCAATATGATAATATGACTTGGCAGCATCTCTAGAGATTCGAAATGCTTGATAGCCTCAATTAAAATATATTGATATTAGATAATTCATCTTTTGACCTCAAGACCATGTTGACAGAACTTCACTTCTCAAGATCCTATCTAATACCAAGAATCATCCATGTAGGTGCAGTTTGTGGTCAGTGTCAAAGCTGCATTCATAGTGTAGTTACCATCACTATGGTTGAAGCCCTGATTCAACGACATAATCTGCCCTGTAGTCACTCCAAACTGCCGAGCCACATCAACGAAGGTACCGTAGTGAAAATTAAAAGTGCGCAAGATACACTCCGTGTTCTCGCACAGAGGAATTTTCACCAGCTGTCCGGACTCTAGCTCCGTGTACGGCCCTGGGTTTAAGTCGACAATGTAGGCCGTCTGCGCCCCGTAGGACAGGATCGAATCAGTTGTGATGTTATATCGCACATTAGCAATCTTCTGGGGCGTATCGCCGGGCATGGTAGTGTAGACATGTGGACCACCAACGACGCATGTGTTGGTTGTCTCGGTGTTGTTCTGGTCCAGGCAGGAGTAGTCATCTGGGTGAGCGGCCACGGCGGGGATGAGAAATTTCTCTCCTGGGTAGATGAAATCTGGATCTGCCAGGCCGTTCATGCGTGCTAAATCGCAGACGCCGAAGTGGTAGGTTTGAGCGAGGTTCCAGACCGTGTCGCCCTCTTCCACGTAGATTTCCTTCCCGATGGTGATATTGGCGTTGACTAAGGGATAGTCGGTAGCTGGATGTTGTCAATTTGAAGTTATGCAATGAATATACTACTTCCAAAGAGGACTATGGCCTTACTGGTACGATCGTGTAGCATCTCGTAGCCACTGGGAAAAGCATGAATGCTTCGGAAAAGAGCTAGAATGGCCGTGGCTGTCGCAATCGTATTAGAGCTCCACATTATGAAGGTCATCGCGTACAAATGCGTTTTCTGCCCTATGAGTACCTTCTTTCATCCGGATTAGTTAGCGTATTTATAGTCATCAAAGGCCATTATGCAGATGGCGGAGGGCCTGCAATAGGCGTTCTCGGAATTTAGGGCAAACAGGTTGATCAAACAGACTGATATAGACGGACGCAAATGTGCCCCCGATGTCCGTTCTTTTCTACATCGAATGCAGTGGGCTAGTTTGCAAACGAACAAGACATGCCTGACTTGCAGGCTGAACAGCCCGGAAAAGCCAATATGCCCCACAATTTCCCCACGCGGCCCAAGCATCCCCAGATTTGATGATGGAATTGTATGATCCGAGTGTCCGGAGCCGTCAATGCGAATCCAATAGGGCTTTGATGATTCTCCATCTCACCATCCCGGAGAGGGGTAACTGTGTGCCAAGCCAAATAATTAGAGAGATGCAGTTACAGTTGCAGGGAGGCGTCAGTTTCCTCTACAAGTACTAGTCTCGGACCTAATTTCTAGATTTATCACTAACATACTATCTGGGGAACCCGGATGTCCTGTTGCCCCACATTGAATAACCTGATGTGCTCCACAGTAGGGGTCATAAGCGCATCATTCAGTGTTTTTACATGAGTCCAAGGCAAGGAATGATGAGGGGCGCAGACGGCTAGCTAGACACCCTGACAACCGGATTAGTGATAGCATGTTAATTCTACTTTTAGTGATCAAGGCAGTCATGTACCCTAGATTTCAATCCCCACAACTCTGCCTCGCAAACTCGATGTTTATGCCAATTAGGCGTAATATAATGTAACAAAGTGAGCTCAAGTTGACATCTAAGGTATCCGCTTTTTGATAAGATAAGATATCTTGTCATCCCCAGATGTTGACTCATTATTGCTCATTATCACTACTAAAACCATGTATACAAGTGTTTGAACAAAATCTACTCAAGGTACCCAGTAAATCATTTTTAGCTTGCTATAATCCATAATGTCTACATTGTCTGACCCCACTTTCACGAACTATACCAACGACCAGGCTCAGAAGTACGCCCAGCTTCGTGGTACATACGCAGATCCTTTATTGAACACTATCATCGACCGCCATGTGAAAACTGGGGGCAAGTTCGAAGTACTGGCGGACGTGGGTTGTGGCCCTGGTAATGCGACCAAGCCTCTTGCCCGCTCATTTGACTATGTAGTCGGTCTAGATCCCGGAGTCGAGATGATCAACACTGCCCGAGGACTGGGGGGCAAAACGGCGATTGGCCAGTCAATTATCTATGCTGTCTCCGGCGCTGAATCAATTGCGAGCTCTATTCGTGAACACCTGCCATCTGTGGAAGAAAACAAAGGGGTGGATATGGTCACGGCTGCTATGGCAGTATGTCCCTCTCCACAATGATGTCAAGTTACCGTCACTTATGAACTGAGCTCAGGCCCATTGGTTCGAGATGCCCAAATTCTGGTCAGAAGCTGCTCGCATAGTGAAGCCAGGTGGCTCGGTAGCGCTTTGGACTCATTCGTCCCTTTTCTGCCGTAAGAGAAGTCATTCCCGTCAGAGAACATACCTAATGCATTCTAGATCCATCAACCCCAAATGCCGAGCAGGTTCAAAAAGCACTGTTCTATCTTGAGCGTGAAATTCTAGCGCCCTACGAGCTTCCAGAAAACCGTCTTTCCCGCGACTATTACGATAACCTTCCTCTTCCGTGGACTATAGGCGATGACATCGTGGAAAAAGCATTTCCCAAAGCAGCATTCGTACGAATGGAGTGGGATCGAGACGGAGTTCTCACTGATGGCAAGAATTTTTTCAACGGCTCTGATGAGACGACCGTTAAGGGAATCTCAGACAGTCTACAGACCGCCAGTATGGTGACTCGCTGGCGAGAGGCTCACCCAGACCTGGTAGATACAGATCTGGATTGCGTGACAGTAGCTATGGCGGAAGTGAGAAAGGCTCTCGGGATAGGGATGGATGATGATCGAACGCTGAAGGTGGGGAGTGCGATTGTATTGTTATTTTTCAAGCGGGAGTAAGGTTATATTACTATCACCTGCATGAACAGGCGCCAAGGAGACGTTGACATTAGAGTGTCACTAAGCCAATGGTGTGACGGCTACATAGAATACGCGCCAGACTAGACCAGCGGACATGGCGCTGGGCTAAGAACGTAAAATTAGACCCCGACCTAACCTTAAAACAAAGTTACTACTCCTGACTTCGCACATAAAGTCTATGGCCTATTTTGTGACGAGGGGGTGGTTAGTAGTATTATGATCTCTCCTTGTTTACCCCTTTATATTCATCTTCCTTGCCGCGGTCATGTGTTATGGAGCCCAACAAGGGACCATGTATTCCCCGGCAAAGGTAGCATGATTAAAGATCTACACTTTATTAAGATACCTTTCTATCCTACTGTTTCATTCAATAGACTTGAACACCTCATATACATTCTAGCAGGGGTAATTCTAATTAAGAACAGTAGTTTGGCTGCTGCACCTGTCCCTTGAGGAACCCAGCATCAATAAATCCCTCATAATTCCAATAATCACCCTTATCACCCTGTCCAGAAATAGTGGCATTGCTCAGGAACTTGGAAGTCCAGTACGAGCTTCCACGGGTGTACTGCGCGAAAGCCGAGATGCCCGCCTTGAGATTCCTTTCCCTGAGAGCCAGCTCGTTGCTACCACCAGTCTCCATAGCCCACTCACCCACGAATGTGGGGAACTTGCCATCACCAGCACTCACCTTCGCATCAGCACAGATGAATGTTGGTAGATTCTCTGAAGTCGAATTATCATACTGATAATAGTAGTGGTGCAGATCGAACACGATGTTCTCATCCTTGTTGAAACGCGGTGACCAAAATTTCTCAGGCTTAAAGCTACCCTGGATCACAACAGGGATCAACGGGTTAACGGCCTTGACATGCTCCACGACCTCATTGAAATATTTCAGCAACCATACGGCACCATGATCCGACAATGCAGCGGCGGTTCCAAAGTCCGAGAAGTTGTGGTTATCGGCCGGCTCGTTGATGGGCTCGATACTATATGCCTCTGGGTGACCTGATTTCTGGATGAAGTCGACAACAGCATCGACGGCCTTCATCGACCAGTCAAGCGCTGTCTGGTTCCACCACCAACCCCAGTGGCCTGTTGCCTCACCGATATCTAGGCCGTTCGTGCCACCGGGCAGAGAGTGAATGTCGACAGCAACGTGCATGTTGTGTTTCTCGATCGCGTGGGTAGCAATGCGGTGGAGGTGCTCTTGCTGCTTTCCGTGGTACATTTGAGAGCCTGGCAGGTCGATCCACGCCGCGTATGTAGTTGGGATGCGCAGGAAGTTCACACCTGCGGCGGCTAGCTTGTCGATATCACTTGTTGTGATGTAGGTCTCGTAGCGGTGTTCAAAGACGCGCGGGCAATCGGCCCCCAAGTGCTCACAGAGACCCCATTCTCCTAGATCACAGAGCTCTGTGGCGCCAGCGCATTCCTTGGCCCACCAGAAGGTGTCGATTGTAGATTCCTGCTCGAGCCACCCACCCAGGTTCACACCATTAGCTTGGAAAGTGCGCCAATCAGTGTAGCCATGCTTGTTGGCGTTAGAGGTTCGTTCAGTAGGATGAGCTGCAACTTGGGCTATGTAGACGCCCAGCAGGCTGAGGAGGGAGGCGTGAGTACGCATAGTGGATTTTTATTGCAATGTCTTCGCACCAAAAAACCATCTCCGGAACAGAGCTGGTCAAAAGCCTTTTATAAGCTATAGACAAGCCGTTTTTTTTTCTCCGGCCCCCAGACATGCCGGAGTATCTCTCCCATATTCCCCGCAATTGTGGAGACATGGTGGTTCCTGACTCGGATAACCCTGAAGAATGACCTCAACGCAGAATAGGCGAAGTGATTTTCAGTACCGAAATGGCATCTGCCCGGAGGAGATCTTTTGGTGGATAATGTATGGTGGTGGTGATTCGCTCGGACATTCCAGGACGGGATCCGATCGCCAGTGATGCCCAGTGTTTTTGCCGAGGATGAGATCGGGAAGTCCGAGGATGAACCGTTATTTAGCCATCATGTTTCCCAGTGAATTGTTTTTCAAAGATTTCTGAGTCAGATGTACCCCAGACATATCGAGATGTCCATGTGATGAACTTGCATGGCCTACTGTAAGGTTGACCCCATGCAAGACGGGCCGTTCCACCTGGACTGTGATTCGTTCTTAGTTATCTCCGTTAGGGAACCGAGGTCTGGAACATTAATGCCTAGCGTCCAAGTTTCCAGTTGATAGATAATATTATTGTTTGGGTCCGGGAGCAGGGTTTGGGTCGAGTGATTCCATGAGGTTCCATGGGATTCTGAGCATTTGCTTAGCTTTGCCGTACCCAGACCAGGCTCCCAGTTCAATAACTCCAATGAGCCAATGTATCCAAGCACCCTTTCGGCGGCGATACCGTTGTGAGCTGTGATTTGCTTCTGCCGGGGTGAGACCTGGCCGAATTGGGTCAAGCGGGTTATCCCCCAATCATCGATCGTGATCTGTGGCCCAGACCACACCTTATCCTTGGCAAGGACACTATTGCTTCCTGTCTAGGGAGCCGCAAGCATCCGATAATTGGGAAGTTGAAAAAACAGTGACGGGGATTCACCTCGATAAAAGAATAAAAAAAAGTAGAAAAGGAAGTGAATTGGAAGTATATTGAGATAAATAAACATAGAATATTCGGTTAGAGAAGCATACATGAGCACACAAATGTACAGGTTGAAACAAATACATGACGTGTCGCAAAAGGGATTCCACGTCAGTACAAATCACACCATGTTCTCCGCCCCCAAAAGGTTGGTCCCTTCCCCCTTTCTTTCCCTTTCTCTTGACCTCATCCTTTTTTCCTTTTTCTTCTATTTCCCTTCCTCCTTTCTCCACCCAAAACAACAATTAATTAGATTTTTCGCCACTCCGTAATTCGTGTTCGGGCTACCATTTGCGGGCCCAACTTGACACGGTCGCGCATCTCGTCGACGTCCATTCCTTCCCCCTTTCTACCGCCAACCTTTCACCGCTATCTACCCAAAAAAAAACAATACTTTTTTAATTACCAATAAAAAACAATATTCGATACGAATGATCTCTGTCGAGTGAATTAACTGGAATCTTATTTATGGTCGAACTTGATTACCAACCTTCGCATGGCATGTTTCGCCTGCTACCTTGGCCCTCTGCGATCGGAGGGAACAAGATGATGTCGGAAGATGTCAAGATGTTGACCCCCTGTGTCAACACCTTGGTCCCCCAGCTCAAGCGGAAGCGCTCCGATGACTCTGTGAAGGGGGCACCTGCTGCCACGAAGATCCGCACCGATGATTCAATTAAGATGCCGTCGCCCCCGGTCGCACCTTCGAATCCTGTCGCTTCCCCAAATGCGCCATCGTCCATGGCCACACCCACGCGTCCACCAGCGCAGGCCGCCGGTCGCACGGATGTGGATCGTCTCCGTGACACCATCACCGCCCAGTTAAGTCTGGAGGTGCTGTTGAAGCACAATGAACTACGTCTGATCGACCAAGAAATCGCCAAATGTCAAGTCTCACTCGAACAGTTGCGCCGCTGTGCTGAGATCCCGTACCCGGGATCCAGCGTTACCGGTATCTCGGCCGATGTGAGTTTAGGCACGGGCGCATCGGTGCTGCCTGGAAATGGCTCCGCACCTATGTCGCCTGCGCCCTGGGGTGTCACGGAAGGCCCATATTCGCGTCACTACGCGAGATGGTTGCTGCCAGACCCCCGGTTTGATGGTGAAGTCGACTCGGGTTTGTCAGCAGGTTCTGCTATTCCCGTCGAGGGCCGGTCTACTCGGGGGAACCCGGTGGATTTCAGCTCGCTGGCTGGGAAATCGCGCCCTTCACGGGGCTCGGGCGCTCCCAAGTTGCAGTCGCTGCCTAGTGGATATCCTGTCGTTAAGGAAAAGGCAGGCCCAATGATTATGCGACGCAAGTCGGATGGTCTTTTTGTCAAGCTTACCTGCCTGGATTGCCAACGCGTCGACTTCTCCAGTACGCAAGGCTTTATCAATCACTGTCGTATTGCACACAACCGGAATTTTGCTAGCCACGATGCCGCTGCTCAGGCATCGGGCGAGCCTGTCGAGGTGGATGAGTCTGGTGCTATCATCGGTGGCCGGACTGAGTCTACTACCAGCACTGCTGCCTCGGGATCCGTTCATCCATTGAATCGTTCTTCCAACCTACCCACTCCGGCCAAGGAGTCGGTGACTCCAAAGAAATTGTCTGTGATGAGCAACTCTGCGGTTGCGACTCCTCCAGCAACCATTCAACGGAAGGTTGATCCGCGTCGCCAGTCCGAGCCTGCCAAGGCCAACAATCCCTCGTTCCTTGCCTCGCCTGCGACTCCTCATCTCTCTGCTTTCATGAAATCGCGTGGCCTGGGCTTGAACATGGAGAAGTTGGTGCAAGAAGCCAAGACCCCTGTCGATCTGAGTGGTCTCTCCGACGATGACTCCGATATGGACGAGTCAGCCCCGTCTTCTGCAAGGACCCCTCAGGACTCCCAGCAAGGTCCTCATGCAGCACGTCATCCTATGCGTATGCCTACTGCCCAAGACGCGGCCGATCAACCTGGCGGCAAGGCTCTTCAGCATCCCGACATGACTCCGACTCGGCCTCAATCTCATGCGCCATATCTTTCTGAGCTTGAGGCTCTGTCTGCCTCAGCTCCTCCGTCTGCAATGGATACTCCTCGGGATCCCATGGACCATCCAGCCCATCTGAGCCCCAACACTATGGAGTCTAACCAGGCTCCTAGCTTGGTCAGCGATGATGAAGATGACTATGAAGTGGCATTTGACTCCGACAGCCCTAGCTCGTCTGAGGCCGAGGACAATGATGAAGAGTTCCGTCACATCGAAGTGCAAGATGACGAGCGCACCAGTGCCCCGTCTGCTCCCGCAGAGTCCAAGCCTGGTCCCTCGCTGGCGAACCCGATGTCGCAACCTGCGCCCCCTCTTCCCAAGCAAATGAAGCAGGGCCGTCCCGCGCTGCCTTCATTTGATCGTACCCGGGACGACCAGTTCAACCCCATGCGTGATATCACCAAGCCGGTGAACTTCACACGACCTGACTTCCGTCCTCCCAGTGAGGATCCGTCAAAGACGAAGCGGGACAATGGGCGCAACCCCTCTCCCCCTTTCAGCAGATAAATGTCGTCAACCCTGTTACCGTGGACCTGATTCTCAACTGTCACATTTTGACTTAACCTTATCCTGTATCGCTTCTACTCCTCTCTTCCTTTCTGCGCCAAGTGTATGTTTATCGAAAGATCAGCATACTCTAGGCTGTTTCTGTATCGCCTCATGGCGGTGTTACCTCTATCTCTTTCTGTTTTAATGTTGCGTCCACTGGGCGAACTTCGCGTTTCAGCCCCTAAGCCATCTTGATGATGGCTGATGGTGAAACGGGTGATGACTTTCTTCATGATGCTGTATTTGATATTTTAATGAAAACTTTTGACGGCCGTGGTGTTGTATATAAGGAAAATTGACCAAAACGCGATCTCCCATAGAGATAGAATCCGTCTCTGTATAGTAATACATCCACTTGAGCTATGAATGGGCCTATATGTAGATATCTAGATGTGGGACTACCCCAGAATCACCAGTCCAGCCCACTTCGCAATTTAATTAAGTCTAAGCCTGGAGTGTAATTCAACGTTACACCACGCGCTGGTCCTTATCGATAACGAAATCGCGGAGGACCGTCGCGACATGGTCGCTACAACCTCATATAGCCCGAGTTATCCCCTCCAGCTGCCTTAGATCAATTCCAGCAACAAATCTCATAGTACATACTCAATCGCAATCCTCACGAATCAAAGATGGCCTCCAAAACTCCGAGCCCTCCTCAACCAAAGTTGAAACAAGAGTCCACAGACACGACCAAAGGTTCAATCGCGCTGGGCGACGCAGAATCGTTCCACCCAGACAACATAACACTTCCTACCTTTCGCAACCTCCTAAGCTACTACCCTAAGACGGTCGAGCAGGTCCGCCGAAATAAGCTCATATCAAAGCTCCAATCCAAGTCGAAGGGCGCAAAAGGCAAAACGGACAAGAAGGCCAACGCAACGGCTCTACAGAACAAGGAGCTTGATCCCTCGCAACAAGCACACATTGACGCTGAAGTCGAGAAGTTCGTTAAACTTGACCAGTGGCGTTATGAGGATATGCCTGGAATCATTGAGGAGAGAAAGGCTTCGAATGAAGAGGTAGTGAATAAGGAGGATCTCATTACTGTTATGGAGTGGAAGACGTGAGTTCTCTTCGATCCTACTCTATATCTCCCTCTATCATCCATAAATATACGAGATGGGATATTATAAGGGAAGACCACTACTAACACCATCCAGAACACACGGCACACCCAGACCAATGCTAATGGGCATGATAAAATCCAACCAAAGCAACCTGGTACGTGGATGCACATTGGCTGCTATATCGACACTACCAACCGCAAACCCAATCCTCGATGCGCAGAATGCGTTTCCAAAAACCAGTATGAATGCACTACAGCCCCTCCGCGGTGTTGGAGTAGCAACCGCCTCTCTTGTCCTATCCATCGTAACGGGGCGTAGCGAATATGCGCAGCAGATTCCCTTTTACAGCGATGATATGTTCCTGTGGCTTGTTGTAAAGGATTACCCAACTCCGACGAAATCGAGTTCGAAGCGCAAAGTTAATTCAAAGTTCTTGCGTCCGAATGGGGAGTTGAATGTTCGGTATACTTTGAATGAGTATCGGGAGTTGTGGGATGCGTGTGCGGAATTGCGGATGCGGCTTAATAAGGAAGTTGAGGGAAAGGATGAAGGGATCGTCTCTCAAAATGATATTGAGAAGGTTGCGTATGTCTTGCGCAATATTGATGTCTCGGAGTTCTATGGTGAAGGCTATGATACTGTCATTGCTGATGTGCAGAAGGGGGTGGAGGATGTTGCTGAGGTCAATAAGAAGCGGAAGCGGGAGGAGACATCTGAGTCGAAAGGTGTGACAAGGATGACTAGGAGTAAGAAGAAGGCTGAGTGAGGGGATGTAAGTGGTTGGCCTGTTAAACCTTGCCCAGTGGAAGACTCGTGTATATACATACGATTGTTTGTATAGCGATTTTCATGTTCTCAGACTCAATTGAGAAGATTATCTATACAATTCACTCCAAATCTGAAATTTTATCTGCTTAACTTAGACAAATTCGCATGGCACATCATCTACCGGAAATGGGGTTCTGTCTATGCAATTCATAGGTATGGATACGATATGTCCAGAGCATATATTTAGATGACATAATGCCAACTAGAGCATACTTAGTCGGAATAGATGATTATAATTCAATGGCGGGGTGGAAATAACAGTCTATATGTTCAGGTCGTTCATTCAGTAGATTCTATCTGACACGTTTTACGTCATGTGCTTAATTTAATAACAATATGCCCTTTACAGTCCCTTGGCCTGCTTGGCCTCGGCAAGAGCCTCCTTCAGCGCAGACAAGGCCTTGTCAATGTCACCACGGTTGGCGTCAGTAACACTGACACCCATGTGACCGAAGCGAATGTAACGGGTAGCAATCTCCTTGTGCAGACCAGCTGCGAAGATGACACCACGCTTCAGCAGACCGGGAAGCACATCGGGAGGAGTCAAACCGTCGGGCAGGTACATGGCAGTCATGCCGTGAGCCTGGGCATCTGGGTTAGGAGCCAGCTGCTTCAAACCCAGCTGGGCAACAGCAGCCTTGACGCTGTCGGACACCTGGGTGTGGATAGCAAAGCGCTCAGCCATAGGGCGGGCGGTGATCTGGCTAAGGGTAGTGTGCAGGGCGTGGATGAGCTGAGTGGGAGGGGTAGCGAAGTACGAGGGCTTGTTGTTCTCGTAGTTGCGCATAATGGGCAGCCAGTTGGCAATAGAAGCGTAGTAAGAACCGGGAGGGGTCTGGCGGGTGGTGGCACGCTGAATGGCGCGGCCGGAGGTCATGACGATACTCAGACCAGGAGGGCAGCCGATAGCCTTCTGGCTAGCAGTGACGACAGCATCGAGGTCCCACTCATCGAAAGCGATCTCCTCCGATCCGACACTGCACACACCATCCACGATCACCAAGGTCTCCGGGCTGACCCGGCGGACGAGCTGAGCGATACTCTTGACATCATTCAGAACACCGGTGGAGGTGTCGACGTGGGTGAGGGTGATGAGCTTGTAGGTCTTCTCCTTCAAAGCCTGCTCGATCTGTTCCAGAGAGGGACGCTCGCCGATGGGGGCACGGAGCTGGGTGACCTGGGCACCGTATGTTGACAGGCATTGCTCGAAGGAGTCACCGAAGTAGCCAGTGTTCAGGACAAGGGCATTATCACCACGCTCAATCAGGTTGGAAGAGACGAGATCCCAGCCAAGGGTACCACTGCCGGAGATGATGAAGGGCTGCGCTGAGGGGTCGGTAGACTGGAACAGCTTGCGCGTCAGAGTCAAGGTCTCGCCGAAGACCTTGACGAAGCCGGGAGCCACATGGCTCTCACTATGAACAAAAGAATGTCAGTTCAACAGCACCCTATGAGTCAATGGAAATCGGGCAAGTGGAAGTACTCACGCGTAGTGGGCCATCGACTGCAGCACAGCATCGTCGAACTCGATGGGGCCCGGGATGAGCAAAGTGTTGTGAGGGGCTTGAGCAGACATGGTGGGCTTTGAGGGAGTAGAGGGGGAGTCTGGGATGGTGCGATCGAGGGGTTTATATTCGGTATCGTCCGGGGGTAGGGAGCTTCTTTCGGTCGAGAAAGGAGTGTTCAGGTTCGGCAACGGTAAGCGCTGGTCCAGGTGTCTGGCGATCAGGCTTAAACGTTGCTGCGTGGAGGGCGCCAGCTTTTCCGATTGCGGCGGGGCAGCCGCGGGGTACGTCCTTGGATTGGTAGTGATTGGAAGCTTGTGAATTCCCGAGGGAAATGCAAGTTCGGGATTCGCCGCCGAAGGGTGTTTTGGGCGGTTGGGATTGGCTGAGGACAGACACAGAGTTTAAATGTACCAAGCTGGTATTCGCAGCAAGGTCAACCAGAGATAGATTAAGGATTGTATTCAATTGAATGGTCCAAGGGGGAATAAGGATCTGGGGAGGGGTTATTTATGAAGGCAAGTGTTTCCTTCAAACCCCAACGAATTTGTCTGAAGGCGTTGCGGCCGGAGTTTGGCGGCCGGACCCTACCGCTTCGTCTGCGAGGAATGCCCGCGTCTACGCTGTAGACTCTGTTCTATAATCCGCGAAGAAGAAGATGTCTAGGGTGTAGCGTTCAATGGTTTTGATTTGTTATAGTATTCACTTCGGTTTTTGTTTAAATAGATATGCTAAATGGGGATACATTTATAGGTGGATTCTATATAATGCCCATACTATTTGTACTGTACTTTCGAATCAAGGGTGATATCTATACAAAGCAATAATACCCTAGATACTAGCAAGTACTAACCTACTAAGACCTTCAATTACCATGTAAATCATCGTCACATTCTCATCCTAATCATTTTCGTCCGATCATGCAGTCTCTTGTTTGCGCAGTAGTTCACTGTCCTGGCAATCCCCCGACCACATCACGGCGACCTCCGCAAAACTTTAGACGATTTCGGCGTCTTTATATTTCTCTATTGGACCAGTCAAGCCGACAATAATCGAGAGGTTCGGTCAGATGAGCCAATGTTCATTCGGAATGAAGAAGCGAACCTCGTCGGATGGCCATCCGACCTCCACTTACGATAAACTGATAGCAGGCTAACCGGATTCAGGCCATAGGGTATAGGGCCTGACGTGGCTTCCCCGCGAAGCTCCAGACCGTCTGCCTAACACGCGCATCTTGACCTTGCGCGATTGGAGACGCTTTGAGCTTTAATCTCTTGCCCCACCATTCCAGCATGACCGCCCGCCTGGTCCTGATCATCGGTGACTTGTTCATCCCCGACCGAGCCCCTGTGAGTACCCCATAAGCTCCATGACGTCTCCCCATCGACCGCATAGCTAATCCCATCTTCTATAGGATCTCCCGGCCAAGGTACATCCCGTCCATTGAAACGAACCTCCCGCTCACCACTAACACTGATTACAGTTCCGCAAACTACTCACTCCCGGGAAAATCGGCCAGATCCTATGTCTGGGGAACCTGACCGACCGCGACACCTATGAGTTCCTTCGCCAGGTAGCTCCGGACCTGCAAATGGTCAAGGGAGACTATGATGTGGACTCTCCCAACCTACCACTCTCGAAAATTGTCAATCATGGTAGCCTGCGCATAGGCTTTACCCACGGCCACACGGTTATTCCTCCAGGCGACGCTGATGCCTTGTTGATTGCGGCTAGGCAGATGGATGTGGATGTATTGCTCTGGGGTGGCACACATCGTTTCGAGGCATTCGAGATGGAGGGCCGCTTCTTCATCAACCCCGGCAGCGCGACTGGCGCAATGAGCTCAGGATACTGGCCAGAGGGTGAAGAACCCACGCCGAGCTTCTGTCTGATGGACGTAAGTGACAACCCTCTGATTGTATCGCGGTAATACAATACTAAGCTGAACGAAACAGATCCAAGGCGATGTCCTGGTGCTGTACGTCTACCAACTCAAGACGGATACTAATGGCGTCGAGAACGTGTCGGTTGAGAAGGTTTCCTATCGCAAGAACCACGCCCCAGCCCCCGTATCTGCCCCAGCCTCGTAAATGGCGTTAACATATCCCATCCCTCCATCTTCTTGACCCTTGTATATAGTCTCCATGTTTCCCGACCCTCCTGTTTGCTCTTCAGCTTGGATTCCATGCTTCCTCATCCGGCTCTTCGATACCTTGAGCTAGTGCAATTGACTCAATCCCCACATAAATGATATCCATGTGCATTTCCAAGCTCTTCTATAGATTATTGCTATTCTTTCATTCCTTCGCCACTATTATGCAGTCTTAATCCCAACGGCCTTATCAAATTAAGTGATAGCACAGGTAGAAATTCGAGCAGTGCACCTATCCATTGGAATTACCATGGAAATTCAACGTGTTCAGCTGAAAGGCGTCGATTTTTTAATGGTTGATACAAAACAAAGCCACCCAATCCTGGGCCGACCGCGCTAGTCCCAAAACAGCAAACCTCAGTGATTTCCAAATGAATAATCCCATCGCGCCTCTCCACCCCGCAAAGATCCTCAGTGAATCTGGCTTCACGCTTCCATTCTATTAAGTTTATAGGGTTTCCCACATACCCTCTATCTCTACGAATCCGGATTCTTACCCGGATATCTCCCGCGATTCTCGTCGTTCATTCACTCGGCGCCCAATAGCTCCCGCTACTCCAACATCGTTCCTCAGCTTTTCAAGCTACCACCCACACTCCCAGACACAATGGCGACCGAAGGACCTGAACCAACGGAGGTTATGGAGGAGCAAATCCCGCATGAGGAGGGCGGCGAAGAGGAGGTGCGTATTGCGATACCCCATCCTCGTGCGATGAGCTTGCTCCAACGCAATTCAGCTCCGATCCGAACATGGCTGACATGAGATTACTTTGTACAGGAGGAGATTGCGGCCATGAAGAGGCGCGTTGCCGAGATGGAATCAGATGCAGCGAAGCTGCGTGAGATGCAGACTGCACTTGATCAGCAATCTTCGGACTTGGCAGAGAACAAAGAGGATATCGATGCACGGAGTATCTTCGTTGGCAACGTGGACTACGGCGCTTCCCCTGAAGAGATCCAGGCACACTTCCAGAGCTGTGGCTCCATCAACCGGGTGACCATCTTGCTGGACAAATTCTCCGGCTCGCCCAAGGGGTACGTTTGATAGTCTATTCAACCGTCGCAAACTTTCGAGGCAATATGACTGATGAGTGATTATAGCTACGCTTACGTGGAGTTCGCCGAGCCCAGTCTCGTGGCCCAGGCTTTGGTTCTGAACGAGAGTGTGTTCCGTGGTCGTAACCTCAAGGTGAGTTTCATATCTGGCTATATTTGACCCCTGTGCACTGTACTTACTTAGGTGTCCAACAGGTTACCCCCAAGCGGACCAACTTGCCGGGCATGACCCGCGGTCGTGGCCGAGGACGTGGTGGTCGCGGTCGTGGACCCTTCCGAGGCACTCGTGGAGGCTACCGGGGCCGGGGACGTGGCTTCGCGCCATACTAAAGCGTGTGGCTGTGAGCTAATAGTTTCTTTTCACTCTCCAAGAGCCCACTTCTTTGCCATCCAGTAAAGATAGGCCGGGAGTACCCCCACTCCGAGCTTCCCGCGCGACTAGGTCCAAGTCGTCCAAGTCGAGTACAGAGATGAAATTGGCTTTCTGGCGGGATTAGGAGTGGGATTGGAGTTGGGGGTTTTTATTATTTTAAACGGATATGTACAATAACTGGACAATCCAACGAGAGGATTTAGCTGAGATACTCTCGGCGCATTGTGTAATGGATATTTCGTCAGAATTGACCAAGTAAAGTACAATGGACCTGTTATTTGGAGCTCATTCTGGGCTAAATAAAGTCGCTGCCTAGTTCGCTCTATATCGCGCGCTAAAACGCCCATGACTTCCCTGTTACATAGTGGGAAAGTACCTACAGTCATAACTAATCATCTCTCATCGCCACCCGCCCGCTTTGCGGTCGAAGATTACGTACACTACAATCTCTACCTCTGAACCATGTTAAACAGTGAAAGTAGTAAACGAAGGAAACACGAATTCATAAAAGTAAAAAAGGAAATCTAGTCTATAGGCGATCTCCCGTGCTCAGCCCCATGAAGTATCGGGAAGGTATCTGGCTCGTAGTTAATACGTAGCGGGAGTACTTACGCCATACAATCCCGCGAATGAATTACGCCCAACCCTTCCCTCTCCTCTTCCCTTCTCCTCCTCCAAAATCTCCATTCCACACACCCCTCTCCACGAACCACTTTCTATCACCTCGCCCGTGATCTTGAATCTGGTGGATTGGCCCACGCTGCGATTCCGCCCCTCCCTGGATGCGCGCGCCGTTTTCATTTTAGGCTTGATTGATCGGCCTCTTCGAACCGGTGTGCTGTGAAAAGCAACCAGGGCCACCATGACATCCAATCTGCCACCGTACGTCTTTAGATCCCCTCCCTTTCCTATCTGATGATTTGGAACATCAAAGATCCGAAGAAATTTCAAATCTTTCCATTTTACTTTTCCAATGCTAACCTACCAACGTTACAGCCAGCCAAATCTCCGAGTCACGAGTAAGATTGCCTTGGTTGCTCATCTGCGCAGGCGGGACATTGCGGGGCTTGGACCTGAACCTGAAAACTAACATTCTTTGATCACTTGCAGTCATCGCGGCGGACGGTCTTTACAAACGCGATGTTTTCCGTATGTGATCCCCCCTTTAGATGATGGCTGGTGGTTCGGCCCCAAGCGGGGTCGACTGACGTCTTGTCTAGGATTCCCCGATCCATTCGCCGTGGCTACGGTAGGGGGCGAACAGACCCATACGACTTCGGTGATCAAGAAGACTTTGAATCCTTACTGGAATGAGCCCTTCGACTTGTACGTGATGGTGCCCCACTTGGTCGGGAGATCGAGGAGACGTTATTAACGGCTCGATTGTGGATATAGGAGAGTCAACGAGGATAGCATTCTGGCGATCCAGATCTTCGATCAAAAGAAGTTCAAAAAGAAGGACCAAGGCTTCCTTGGTGTCATCAATGTTCGGATCGGAGATGTCATTGATCTTTCCATGGGTGGTGATGGTACGTGATGGTGGGACTGGAATGAAGCCGCGATCGGGACTAACGCTCACCTTCCCAACAGAGATGCTCACTCGCGACCTCAAGAAATCCAACGATAACCTTATTGTCCATGGAAAACTGATCATTAACCTATCTACCAATCTCACCGCTACACAACAGTCTCAGCAAAATGGAGGTGCTCATCGCCCACCCAACGCGCAATCCTCCACCTCGAGTGGCCTCGTTCCACAAGTCGCATCACCGTTACCCCCACCGTCGGGCGGTCCCAGTGCTGCGGACGGTCTGCCCGCTGCCATGTCCAACGCATCGCTCAGCAACCGTACGCCTTCGGCTGCTGTTTCTCCAGCCCCTACCGGCGCTCCACCTAGTGCCAGTGCGGCATCTCGTACCAACCTGAGCTCATTTGAGGACAGCCAGGGCCGCTTGCCCGCGGGCTGGGAACGAAGAGAAGATGGCTTGGGACGGACCTACTACGTGGATCACAACACGCGGACTACTACATGGTCGCGTCCTTCTGCAAACTACACTGAATCTGCCCATCGCAGCCAGCGCGAAGCCAACATGCAGCTGGAACGTCGGGCCCATCAAAGCCGAATGTTGCCCGAAGATCGCACTGGCACTAGCTCTCCGAACTTGCCAGACCATCAGCCGCAAACACCACCACCCCCGGTAGCAGCTCCATCGGCCGCTCCCCCAGGACCCCAGGCAAATGCTGTTTCAATGATGGCAACGGGAGCTACCACTGCAGGCACTGGCGAGCTTCCACCAGGATGGGAACAGCGACACACCCCCGAGGGGCGGTCATATTTTGTTGACCACAATACCCGCACCACAACCTGGGTCGATCCTCGTCGCCAGCAGTATATTCGCATGTATGGCCAGAACCAGAACCAGGGCGGAAATAATACCACCATTCAGCAACAGCCCGTTTCACAACTGGGTCCTCTGCCCAGTGGATGGGAAATGCGACTCACGAACACTGCTCGTGTGTACTTTGTGGACCATAATACCAAGACCACTACTTGGGACGATCCTCGTCTACCTTCGTCTTTGGATCAGGGCGTGCCACAGTACAAGCGTGACTTCCGCCGCAAGCTGATCTATTTCCGCTCGCAGCCCGCCCTGCGGATCATGTCAGGCCAATGCCACGTCAAGGTCCGTCGTAATAATATATTCGAGGATTCTTACGCGGAGATCATGCGACAGAGCGCGTCCGATCTAAAGAAGCGCTTGATGATCAAGTTTGATGGCGAGGACGGTCTGGATTACGGTGGTCTTTCTCGGTATGTTCAGCGTAATTCATGTGTCGGTGTTCAAAGCTAACAGTCAACAGTGAATTCTTCTTCCTCCTCTCTCACGAAATGTTCAATCCCTTCTACTGTCTGTTCGAATACTCCGCCCACGATAATTATACCCTGCAGATTAATCCCCACTCTGGCGTCAATCCCGAACATCTCAATTACTTCAAGTTCATCGGCCGCGTGGTTGGCTTGGCCATTTTCCATCGTCGTTTCCTGGACTCTTTCTTCATTGGAGCATTCTACAAGATGATGCTTCGGAAGAAGGTCACTCTTCAAGACATGGAGGGTGTTGACGAAGATTTACATCGCAACCTAGCATGGACTTTGTGAGATTGACCAAGACCTTACCCTATGTATTTGCACCTAAACTGACAATTTGCTAGGGATAATGACATTGAAGGAATTGTGGAGCTTACATTTTCTGTTGATGATGAGAAATTTGGCGAGCGTCGCACTATTGATTTGATACCCGGTGGCCGGGATATTCCCGTCACCAACGAGAACAAGCCACAGTATATTGAGTAAGTCATCTTATCCCTGGATATGTTGTGCTCGAGCTAACGTGTGCAGGTTGGTTACCGAGTGGAAGATTGTCAAGCGTGTGGAAGAACAGTTCAATGCTTTCATGTCTGGCTTCAACGAGCTTATCCCGCCAGACCTTGTGAATGTGTTTGATGAGCGCGAACTAGAGTTGCTTATTGGTGGTATCGCTGATATCGACGTGGATGATTGGAAGAAGCACACGGATTACCGTGGTTACCAGGAGCAGGATGAGGTTATTCAGAATTTCTGGAAGATTGTCCGCACCTGGGATGCGGAGCAGAAGTCGCGTCTTCTCCAGTTCACTACCGGAACTTCGCGTATTCCTGTGAACGGTTTCAAGGATCTTCAAGGATCTGATGGACCCAGACGCTTCACCATTGAGAAGTCTGGCGATCCTAATGCCCTCCCCAAGTCTCACACCTGGTATGTCTTCTAAATTATCCAACCATCTACATCTACTAACAGCTTTTCAGCTTCAACCGTCTGGATCTCCCGCCTTATAAGACCCACGACGCCCTTGAGCATAAGATGTCCATTGCAGTAGAGGAAACTCTTGGATTTGGACAGGAATAGATGCCCGTCATCCTCTGCCATAAAATGCAGGAAATTCCATGAAATCCATTGCTACCATCTCAGCTCTAGTAACTCACTCCCACCTAAACACCGCATGTCACTTTTTCCATCACGCCCACTCTCACATCTACCTCTCGTTTCATACCTCAATTGTCCATGTCTATTGTAGCGGTGGTGCTGCCCAACCAGAACTTTATCTCGTTCTATCCAATCGTTGCTTCCCGGCTCCCGGATTCGCCTCCAGGCCTTTGATCATGCAGACCAAATTCGTTTGTCATTTTGGTCCTATCACTTGCTTTGTTTGTTTCTGTGCTTCGGTGGCGCTTCTAGCTTGTATATAGGTATCTGTATCATCGTGTGATCACGTCAAGCTGAATTTATCCTCGTTTTTGACGGGACACTCTGTCTTGTTGCCAATTCCGTACCTGTTCCATAACCTCTCAATACCGATTCATCCCTACACCACCCTTCCTTGGCAGGGTGTAACCAAGCCGGCTGTGCAGACCACTAATGCAAAGATGGGGATCATCATACAGGAAACACGATATGGTTCGTCAGAACCATGGCGCCCCGCACGGAATATACGTCAATGGCGCATTTAGATTGCTAGGTCATCGTCTCGGCACACCGTTCCCGTTTTCCGATGTATTTTTAGAAGCTCTGCGATTTCGGAGTTGTGATTGAGCTGCAGAAGTGGATTGCTCGTGTCTTCATTTCGGCATTTATCTGTGAGCAAAAGTACGTGGGCGAATGAACTAAGCCCGGCTTTCTCGGGATCAGAAGTTTGGTGCCGGGTGCCGGGTGGAGCCAGCTTGGTATATCCGTGGGGATTACACCCCAACGCTACTTGACGGTAAACTGGGCGCCGAGAATGGCTACCTGGGACGCTGTTTTTGGCGCCCTTTTTACCGGGATCTAAGTCATCATTGAACCACGCGATACCGACTAACCTACTTTTCTGATCTGCCTAGGGAGCAATCAGAGGGCACCTAGGGAGCACTCAGGAACTACTCAGGGGGTACTCAATCAAAATAAAGCATCATCATATGGAATATTTGACTAGCTTCGCCAGTAATGGAGAGGCACATTCATCTGGAAATTAACATGCTCATTCCCAAGGGACCGAAAGGAGAAACGTGCCACTAGCATGTCCTTCAAGGGAATAAGAGATCTCCCAAGCAAAATAGCACATATCGTAACTTGAAGCTATGCCGTCAGTCACGGAGTCAACTTCAGCAGTCATCACTGCAAAGCGGACTCTGTCCATTCTTCTTTTTGGACGCAAAGTTGTCAGTGTGATTTGTCTATGACCATATTTTCCAGCAGCTTTGATGATGAGGGTATTCATCGCCTCTGACTAGTATCATAGTATAAATAGAGCTCAATAGACGTCTTCTGAGTAGGCCTGTGGACACGACATTCCCCCCGTCCTGCTATATTCGAATATTGCCTCTGTCTATCTATAACATTAGATCTGCTTTCACTCACGAACATTCACCAGCCGAATGGAGCCAAGTGGAAGTCAACCGCAGCTTGCCCATCATTTGAAGACTCGACGAAGGAGAGGCGTATGTCGTGGGCCATGGTAGCTGGTCCACAGCCGACAAGTGCGAGCTTCTTCTCCCCGGAGGAGCGGAGAGTTTCAATTTGGCTTCCAACGACATCGCTAATTATCGGTCTTCCGTGCACGAATGTTATTTTGAGAGTTGTGGTGTCCGTATTGGTAGAAACCTCCTCGGAGGGCGCTTTCTCGGTCGCAATGTGGGAGTTTGATGAAGACGATAGAGAGATAACGGTATCCATCTTCTTCGTATTCTCACTGAGTTCGGCACGATGTTCTGGTCTTGATGACCCATCATCCGAATTCATCTTGGAAGGCACCGTGAGGTACACATCCAGCGATACCTCGATATCTGTTGATGCAAAACTGGCTTCCCAAGTCGCCATGTAGCGCTCATAGACAAATTGATAGAAGGCGGGGCTCTTCACAGCCCACACTATCTTGACCCTCTTGACCTTCTGGTCAATATGCTTGCCACTTTTCACCAGATCAACCAGGTCTTGCATATATGATGTTGCAACCGTGATACCTGCCCCGCCAATAACGAAGAGAGCGGTTTCAGAATTCCATGGGTGAAAATCAGAGCCATACGGGCCCTCAACAAATAGGCAGGCTTTCCTTGCAGCCAATGAAGCGCCCATCTCGGATCTTTCAGGACGGACTAGTTGTCCTCGTAGTCTCGAAGTAAAGCCATTTTGCACACTGATTAGGAAGATGAGCTCGGTATAGGACTCTTCCGTCGTGTTCACCGTATTCCAACCGCTCAAAGTAAATGGGTGACTTTCCCAGAATTTGAGAGACCGCCACCCATAAACATAATAGTAGCTCCCGGGACGAGGAGAGACAATCCGTCGGACTCGTGTCTTCAACTGGACAACATTCGCGTCGTGATTGTACTCCGCAGAGGAATATAATGCAAACTTATTCCAAGTCAAGACTTTGAATATTCTTACCAATCTATCAAAAGACCAGACAGCAATACACGGCCAGATGAAATTAACATAGTCGGGTCCATCAACAGGTAGATGACTGGATACGTATGGTTAGATATGCATTTGCAATGCGATCTTGGAAAAGAACTCACTACCACAGCCCAACAAGACAAGCAACAGCAAAGCTTTGATGAACGAGCAAGAATAGATCGTAGACTGACTTCCTAATTGGTGCGCTTGCGAAAAGAGTCGTCAAAATTATCGAGCAAGCAGCCCGTCAAAGGGGTTTAGCCAGTATCTCGAAACATAATGCTGGGGGGGCTGTCTTACAACAACGCCCATATACCAGTCGACGTCCTTCCAAAGCGGAAGGAAATATTCTGTTCCAAGCTCTTCCAATCAAAAGTCAATTATATTCACCTCCACGAATGAATCTCAATTTACCTTTGTATTGGTAAATGCAAACTGCCATACCATGCAAGAATATCTCAATGGCACACGCCCTCCCTATCCAACGATGGAAGGTGTTGAACGTGGCGAAATCCCAGCCTGTTACCCATAAGAGGATGTTATTTCGAGTCGCGAACAGCCACATGACTGGCAGGTTGTTGATCACTAGTGCACCCGCTCTATCCCCAATATAGCGCCATAACTGTGTGGACTTCTTGGTGAAACTGGTGAATCGAGGCAGTCAGTGTGTATCCTTTCGGATAAGTTTTCCACAGTGGTTATTCTGGTCTTACTAAAGGTTTTCCGAGAATGCACTATAGTCCGCGCACATCAGGACTATACTGATAATGAAGTATATCGAAATGATGATGGCTTGTAGTCTCGGAGTGGAAAACATGCTGAAAATTCTGTTTCTTCTCTTGGTTTTGAAGATCGGTGGCACGGCCAAGTATTTGTCGATGAAGCCCTGAAATCCCGTTATTGTTTTCGACTGAAGGATAGATGAGTCCATCAGGTATCGAATGAAGTTATGAATGGTACTGAAGAGGACGATAATTCCCCAGAAACCGACTATCGCATAGCTGTGATTTCGTAAATGTTACAGAAAGCGTGGGAAAATAGATGAGTGGATTTCGATTATTTACCCGTAGTTGTGTCGCTTCGTTCTTTGATCCTCCCAGTCAAACTAAGTACCATTTAGTATTGATTAGATGAAAAGGCATCTGCGTGGATATCATGCCACTTACGATAGTCTGATATCCAATCTGAAAGAGATCTGGATCAACCGAGACAGAGGTATTAAACTCAGCACCCAGTTGTGTATCCTCATAGGTGAGAATGGGCCAAGATTTCACCTCAGATTCTGTGACATTGTCGATAATAGACCACGGGAGAAGTTTCGTTCCTCCGTCCAGCTCGCAAGCCTCATTGAGGCCGTTCCATCCTTCCGAAAGTCCGCTGTCCGAGCAGTACTCTCGCATGCAATTGAAGGTTGACTTAACCTGGAGGACATTCCCACACAAAGATCCGTAATAGTCCTCAAGAGCACTGATTCCCGAAAAGCCGATATTGGAAACTGTGGTTTGACATCCAGTTGCACAAACAGTGTTCAAGTTGGTTTTGACTGCCGCAGCTGTGGCCTGCCATAGGCAGAGGGCGAAGAGAATTGAACCCATTGCAGGATTTTGAATTCTGAAAGCACCGTGAAGCAGAATAGAGACAAGACCACAACTGCGTTCATAACAGGAAAAACGGCCAGTGGCACGATCATCGATGATTGATTACATAGCTCTTATTAATTTCAAATTCTCCCCACAGAACTGACAAAAGAGTAATTTAATTCCACCGCGCTGTTCTCGTCAGGAACGCCAAAGTATAAGCCAAGATCTGGAAAGCCCAAAGCTGGCTATGATCTGCAGATTTTCATGTCTCACAGCCCATTCGGGGCGTTGAAAACTGAATTCTTCCTATCAGATCGGCATGTATGAGGGCATCGGGGAATTTACTTTCGAATATGGAGCAGGGTCCAGCTGCATAGCCTCAATAAGGTGGGCCGGTGGACAAGAAGCACGGCGAATGGAGCTTAGGCAGGTTGTTTATGCTTTCGTGTTTGGTTGAAGATCCTCCCATATGCCGGAGTTGTAATGCAACTCAAGACACGACCTAGTTGGTCGAGTTATCAGATTAGATTGGATCTGACAACTTTTAGAAGATTGACGAGTTTATTGACACGCCCAGTGCGTATTTATTTATCTCGATGACAGGCCAGCAAGCAGCCCTCAGGATCCGAGAACGGAGTACTGCAGACGCCAATTCTAGCTATGGCGCTTGGCATCTTGGCTTTCTGCAGCTTCTGGGAATATTGGGGGTGAAACATCCCCATTCGGGACCATTGCGATTCCTCAGCGCTGCTATTCGTTTTTCCACTAACCGGACGAGTGAAATTCACGCATCTGAACCCTGTTCAGGGTTCTTTCCGAAGCAGAATGATAAAGTTTTGAGAAGGATTGTGTGAAACGAATAGGCTTCCTTGGCTAATCTGATCCGAAATTTGAGTTTAATTGGTTCTCCAACGTCGCCAAGTTTATTTAAGATCCACTCGTTCTTGTATCCTGGCGGGAACAAAAAATATCTCGGAGTGACATGAATGTCACCGAAATGGCATGGTAGAAAGAATTCCCAGCAGCTGTCATAAGTGAAGCAAACCACATAGAAACTTTTTTTCTATAGTTCTGTTGGCATGTTTCCTTTCTAAGAACAATTCTAAATTGTAAAAACTCAACAGACCGAAATTAATCTAAGAACTGTCTTGAATCATCCTCACGTATCATATTTTTCATGCCGGTCATTATCATATCATTTGCCGCTCTTTTCAACAAGATGTTTCTCCGCCCATTCCGCATTAATTCCCCGATAATCGCCACTGGTATAGCATTCAAACACCTCCTTTCGCATTCCCGACTTCCTCCAGTATCTCAAACCCAGATCCCTCATTAACATATCAAGATACGGAACCGAATCGAAAACAGTCTCAGGAAACCATGCAGAAAACCCCCACGGATAACGGAGTTTCCCAAACCGGCTCAGTAATGCAGTTTGCTCGTATATATTCTCCGTCTGTATCTGGATTTTTTCATGGAGATAGGCGTATACCCATAAAGCTTGGACTTCGGCGACAGTAATATTGGCTGTACTGTGAAACATCTTGATATAGGCGAGCGAGTGAGTCGATTTCGATGTGAGGTTTGGTGGAGCAATGCCACGGTATAATCTCAGTGGAGTGATATTTGGCTCGTATGGGAGTTTAGCAGTGGGAGGATGACGAAGATAGGGGAACTTGCTGAGAATTGTATTTTCAGCAATCTGGTCGAGGTAATCCCAGAGGATTTCTTGTTCGGTGGTAAGTGCGTTGGTCGGTACTGGAAGTCCGAGGGAAGCGTCTAATCCATCTGGCTTGTATTTCATTGTTGGGGCAACACTCCAGCCTGTGATCGCAACTAAAGCGTCAGTCTGGATGGTTGAGTTGTCTGTAAAATGAATGGTGCCAGAACCGGATAGGTGGTCGATGTCCTGTTTGAGGACCTGCACCTGTCCGGTGCGGATGTAGTCGTGGATATCGGAAGGATAATTCAGAATCCCAATCCGGGCATTCCAGAACAAGCTTCATTGATGATATGTTAGCACTGGCTCTTCAGAGTGTATTGTAGGCCTCGTGGCTTGTATCACCTTTCTGTTGGCTCCAGATGTTTTATTGACGCTTCCCTTCTGTACCCGTTCACTTCTATCGTGTCCATTCTCATCTTTTCCCAGAAATGATGCACCAGGAACCGACCTACTCTAGTGCCATGCAAGAGACGTCTGATCCAACTGAAACCATCGTTGTCACCCCAGATGCAAGGACTGAACCAGGAATAAAAACGGGTCGTCCCCAAGCTCTCCAGCTTCGCTCGGATCCAACCAACATTCACCCAGGGCAACATCATCCACACCGCGCCACCTCCAGACTTGCGAACCACCCACTCAACCTTCTTCCCATGGGATGCCATTAGATGCACTGCGTCGTACCCAGACTTTGATGCTCCGATCACCGTCACAGACTCAACTTTGGGATCTGATGCTAGCTCCGCCCCCTTGTCTAGCAGTCGAGTGTGGCTGATAACGGGCCTTTCAAAATCCTGCAGTCCAGGAATTGAGATAGGTCTCGGAGTGGACGCCAGACCGCTACAAATGATTAAATTCTTGCATTTGTATGTCGCAAGTCGGTGTTGCGCAGCGTGAGTGGTTTCTGCACTCAGTTTCCAGCCGCTGTCCAGCTGCTCTACCTCGAGCACATTGGTGTTGAATCTGACCCGTCGGCGGATATCAAAGTGGTCTGTGAGATCGCAGAGGTAATCGTGCATAGTAGCGCAGGGAATATGTTCACCATCGCGGACACCGTATTTTGCGTCCATGGGAAAGTCAGAGAACTCATACGAGCCATGGACATTATTGGTCTTGAGGCCCTCATAGCAGTTTTCTTTAGCCCAAACACCGCCCAATGTCGCTCGCTAATCGAGGTCAGTTATGCCCATCCAAAGCCAATCGCGGAAAACTTTGACAGTACCTTTTCGATTAGGATGAGGTTTATTTGGGGAGATAGTTCGATGTATGTCTTTGCCGCCGCGAGGCCTCCCACCCCGGCCCCGACTATTATCACGTCAACCGATTCCTGCTGAATCTCCATGTTATTTGTTGCTTTGGTCGTAGGTTCAGATATTTTCAACGTGGGGGCTGTTTGAAATCTCTTTTCCCCGCTCCGACCAAGCGTCTCTTTGCATCTGCTTACGAGTGCTATCTGCAGGCCCATTGGCCTTAAAGCACAATGGGGCGACCTGCATGATAATATGACAAGATCATTGGTTAGATTCGTATCAAATATTGATCACAATCAGGCCTCGGGGAGACTAACCGACTTATTACTAATTTGTATGCATGGGCTCACACGCTGAAAGCCGCAATAGACACGTGGAGTAACCAAATCACTCATTTTGAGTAGATTATTTTGATCTCTGAAAGCTAGTGCCAGTAATGCGTGAATAGTTCAATGATAGAACCTGTTCAAAGAGGCTTTTCGGCCAGCTATCTCTAGATTATTTAGCTCCCCCTCCATCGAAAACAGAGATTGACGTATAGCCACGGCAACTGACTTTAACAAGCTATGATCTATGGTTTAACTCTTGAAGAGTACTCCCAAAGCTGCTCTCGGCCCTAGATTGGGTCTTCAGCGCTACAGAGTTGTCCAGCGGATACCACACTAGTCACATTTTGATTGCAACTTGCTATCAAATTAACACTGGTAATGCGTATGAACTATTTTAGTACTAGCGAGGAGTGGGAGAAAGTACTATAAAGCGGGGTGAGCCCCTCGCTCGCTTTTACTCTCATGAATAATCATACAATTTCATTTGCCCAGAATCCATTGTTCATTTACTTCGAGATGTCTACGGCGCAATCGGAAGACACGACTTATATTCTCTCCCACCGTTCGAAGCAGGCGGTAGAACATGAGAGGTTAAATAGACAACACAACCTCATTCAGCAGACCTTCCTCAACAATCAGCTCATACATCCCACCATCGCCCTTTCTTCCCTACAGGGTGGAATTGCCGATGTCGCCTGTGGAACGGGTATCTGGCTCGAGGAAATGGCCCACGCGCTCTCGCGCCTTCATACCCAAGCAAATCTCAAAAATGAGGAAGGGGTAAAATCCTCCTTGATTTCCATGCCACAGTTCGTTGGCTTTGACATGAATGCAGCGGCATTCCCCGAAAACCCCGCCGCGGGTATCCAGCTTGTGCAGCATGACTGTACCGAGCCCTTCGACGCCAGCTACCTCGGACAATTTGATCTGGTAAATATCAGAGGCCTGGCGTACGCAGTTACGGAGGAGAAGTTTGCCCGTGTCCTTGAGAATGTCTCATATCTACTGAGTAAGATCTCACCTTCCCAAGATCCAATCTCTGCTCAAATCTTGATTTCAAAATTTTGACTTTATTTTTTCGCTGCACCTTCAGAGCCAGGAGGATACCTGCAATGGACAGAAAGTGAAATTAGCCTTTTCAAGTTCTTCCCAGAAACACCAGACTTGCTGGAATCCAGGAAAGTCATCGACAGCGAAAGACGAGCTCGTGGGCTAGTACCCTAGTGAGTGATCCGGCCTTAATATTTTTGTTTCGCTTGCAACTTTCCTTGATCTTCTTTTGCTATTTCCATTAACTTTCTCTTCTCCATAGTCTACCCCATTTTATGCTTCAAAGTACCCTGTCGCTAAAAGGGGAAAACGAGAAACAAGTTCTTGACATTCTTCACTTCAATCTACGCCCCGGAGGATTTTGTCAGGACCACGTCAGCACTGAAGTGAAACTCCAATTTTCTGAGATTCTCACTGAATCTGTCAACCTGTTTTTGCAATCTGCTCTTATGAGGATGGAACAACAAGATAATCAGACACAGAATGTGATAGCAGAGGAGAACGAAGCTCACCAGGGCCAATTGGATCAATTACAAAGGTTGAAGTCATCTGTAAGCGAGGTACTCGCAGATGGAGGTGTCAAAATGGGTGGGATTTTCCCTCATCTTGTTGCGCAGAAAAATGCTTGAGGGCTTGAGGAATGTTAGAAAGATACATACAAACCTAGAACGGGCGTTGATGCTCTGCAACTGTCATGAAGACTGTAGATTGAAAATGATGGCATTGTAGAACCACTTATATGCAAAGTATCAAAAAGTGCAGGGCTAAAGCTTCTGTTTATGAGATCTTGTCCCTCTTATCAAAAAGACAAAACTTGTCATGGGTGAGATATGTTGATCGGTCCTCGTTGAAAAGATAACGAAGATTTGAATTGGACTTGATTGATCTCTTGAAGGATAGATTACCGATTTCAATAAGATACTTAAGGTGGTGTCTGCTTCTCTGGCGCACCAGGGAGACGCTCAACTCCGTGTTCTGGTGTCGTATAGAGTTGATGTTCACCGACCCACTTTTTCAATGCGCGGAAATCTCGACATTGATGATGCCTGTAAATCAAACCCAAAAAATCAGTAAGCCTTCAACTACATGATACTAACAGAGCGCAGAGGAGAAGTGGAGCACATACACATTGAAGTCTGGGAAGGGGTCTTTATGACCTTCCACCCAGATATACGTCAAAATCCCGGCGTCCGCATCGCACATCAACTAAAGCATAATACATGTCATTAGCTGAGCCGATTTCTGAATTTCGTTGGGCATGCGGCTCAAAGACGCTTTCCACTCACCTTTTGCCGTAGAATATCAATGCAATGATCTGCAACCATTGAAATGTCAGTTTGGATCTCCATCTGTTGGCATGCCGCCCGAGTGTTCTATACACCACTTACCAAGATGGAATCGCAGGATCTCGGGGCTATCTTCCCACGGTCCCGGTTTGTCCCGGTAATAGTCCTCATAACTCGCTTGGCGGAGCATATTCAGACAATGCAGCTGATGCAAAGCCTCCACCGAACCCATGTACCCGCCACCGATTTCATCCGCCAATTTGACTGAATATTCGGATGCGTTGATACGGCTAAATGTCTCTTCATCAACGTTGATAACACCGCCTGGGTTAGATTCTAATTTAGCTTATGCCAATTCAGCCACCTAGCGAGCGGGGGATTGAATTTACCATCAGAAAAAGTGATATCATCCCATCCTTCGTCAATTGCAGGACTTGCTGGCCCCTTGTACCGATTTTGCTTCGCAAAGCTGCCGTCAAATTGTTCAATATGCCCTGTGCCCACCTGAGATATCAAGGCTGGTGAGTAGATGGGGATATAATCGTTGCATTGACTGATAGGGGCTTGGCTGTGACGAGTCACTGTGGCCCAAAGGTAAACGGAAGCGAATAACAAGATCAAAGTCCAGAGACCCAAAAAGAAAAATCCGTTGATTTGATAACGGCTCCATCGTGATTGCCTCTCACCAAAACCTTTGGTATCTTCGGTGAAGCTCTCCTCGTCGGAGCCCGATATGAGGCGTTCCTGGCTTTCTCTGTTCTCTGAGTATAATGTCGCCATTATCATGGCGATTGTGGAACAAACAAAAGAAGAGGTACCCGTAGACTCCGGTAGCGAACAAGGATGAGGGCTCTCCTCATATGCGTAGTTTAACTCTGGGGCTCGTTTGGCCCCTACATGACGATCAAACAATCACGCAACCAGACATTCTGGTCCAATCTAGTAACGCATGATGCATACATAGTAGCTTTTCACTATTCAGGCAGTATTTCCGAGGATGCTGTCTTGAATAAGGCCCCCAAGTACTACGTCAGATGAAATAGGCTAGCGTACGCCGGTCAGGATGATTTGACTCGACATCCTCAATCCTCCCGGCCGCCGCCGAGGATGTGGCGCTCACAGAAGGATTCAAAGTGCAGCTGCCCGCCTAAGGGGCGTATGCATTGCATTACTTGATGCATGTAACGTCAGAAACCCCAGCGCCAATGCACTTATCAACACGCAAACATTTGAGGGGTTCGCAACCTGGACCCGATCAAGCATCACATGCTCTGCAGCGGGAAAGCCGATCACGAATGGGCTAAAAGAGGGGGCTAGCTTGATACGGAGAAAGATATGGTATTTGGAAGTTGAAGCCTTTATATATAGAAAAAAACATTGTTTTGCTCTTCCAGCTGCTCTTTCCCACCCGAGTTTCTACTTATCTACCTTGCCTTTTTGCAACCCCACCAGCAGCAAATTCAATAAGATACAGACAATTTTAGTTTTGACCTCCGAGCATATTCCAAAATGCGTACTTCTCTGAGCGCACTCATGGTGCTTGCCACCTTGGCCAGCCTTACCGGCGCAGTCCCTATGGCGGTCTCCTCAAATCTGGTGGAAAGAGATGCGTCCAGCGCTGTGCTGAACACTCGTTTCCTCACCTACGAGGATGCCATCAACAAGAGATACGTCATTGAGGAGCGCGATGCCTCCGGAGCAGTGCTTAATACTCGCTTTCTTACGTACGAGGATGCTGTCTCTAAAAGAGATATCGCCGTGCTGAACACTCGGTTCCTGACCTATGAAGATGCTATCAACAAGCGATACATTGTCGAGGAGCGTGACGCCTCCGGCGCTGTACTGAACACTCGCTTCCTTACACACGAGGATGCAGTCAGCAAGAGAGACGTTGAAGAGCGCGATGCCTCCGGTGCTGTGCTCAACACCCGCTTCCTCACCTACGAGGACTCGTACGTTCAACAGTTATTTGCCCCCCAACCTGTGAACAATAATACTGACTAGAGAACAGAGCCTAAGCCGAGGCGCTCTTGATTTCAACTGCGCCGCCTGAATGCAGCTCAGCTGCAGCTTCGTGGCAATACGAGATGCAGGGTAGGGGCAGGGGTAGAGGGGGAGTGGAGCAGGATAAGGGGGCCATTCTGTTTCCAGCGTCGTATTTTATGAAGTAGATCCAATCGCATTCTTTCCAATTTCAGCTCCCCGCGTCCCAAGGTTCGCTTAGGCAAATTCTCATTCCCACAAACCCTGACGGGCCGCTCCCGCCTCCACAACCAATTGATCCTACTATACTTGATTACTGTGGGTCCTCCTAGTGCGCGATTTATTGGAATGTGCATTGTAATCTGCAGGGTCAGACACAAGGCTGCCTTTGGTTGAATTTCATTTGGTCTAGCTTTAAAGTTGTGTCACCAGATACGTAATACCCCAATCAGGTCAATGGTGTACTCCGCACGCGCCGAACTTCCAAGGTTGAAGGATTTGGACCTCTGCAAGCCACCAGCCCCGGAAACCCTGTGGCAAACACCAACCCAAAATACGTACGTCTTTCTGTCGTGATGTCCGTGGTGCGTCGCATTCTGCAGTCTACATAATATTTGGCCCCATTTTAGCCTCCTTTACGGTATTATATGGCGATTCCATGGGACCATGCTGCATGGGGGGCCATACTTCGTAATGATACTGTAGGTACACTCAGTCGGACGCCCGAGGACCCTTGCCCGTCTATTTACGTGCTTGGCCCCCACATAGCTAGACTTCTGTTATCATCGTTCTTCATAGCTAGTGCCTTGCAACAAGATGAAGAGGGTGGTTGATTCTCGTTGCCCCGAAACTCTTTCCCCCTCAGCGTCGCGTTGCTACCGTCTGAACAACCATCATGTTGTACAATAAAGATGAGGCCATTACCGGGACGGCCAAGGTGATTATCACTGTCACTACAATTTTAGGCGTCCTTGCCATTATATCGGTTGCACTCCGTATTAAAGCGCGTGTATACTCCAAGCTCTTTTTGGGCGTGGACGACTATCTCGTTATTATCTCCCTGGTATGAACTCAACTACTTCCCATAGCCTTATATCAATCTGGCTAATACTTATATTTAATTGCCAGGCTCTGTCCTGCGGGATCAGCATCCTCTTCAATTACACAGCCGCCGTGACTGGGGTGGGCGACCCCAAGTTCGAGCCCACCCTGGAGACCACGATCTTCGCGCTGAAGATGGTTTTCGCCTGTGAGAATACTCAAATAGTTATAATGGGGCTGATTAAGATATCTATCCTGTGTTTCTACCGGCGTATTTTCGGCATTTCACGCAAGTTCGTCATGGCCAGCAATGTGCTCATCGTGTTGATTTCTACTTTCACATTGGGCATTTTGCTGTCGGTCATCTTCTCGAAATGGCCTGTTTACCTTCAATGGGATCCAACCGCTCCATACAACATGAATGCATCGGCAGTGCTCATCTGCTACGTCGTTGGAAATAGCCTGTTCGATATTTTAACACTGTCTCTTCCAATCGCGGCCGTGCAGACATTGCAGATCAACCAGTCAAAGAAGCTATTCATGACGGTGATCTTTTCCCTGGGAAGCACGTAAGTATATACTTTCTTGAGCTTTGCCTGAGACAAGAGACTGACTATAAGAGGGGAAATCAGATGCATGGCAGCGTCCCTCGTCCGACTCTACTACGCCGTAGCATGGTCTAGGGTGACTCCGACTGCTAACAGTCTATTTGAATGTATATTTCACTTCCATTATTGAAATACCCATCATCTTCAGATTCATATCAGCTAACGGGTATTCACTTTCACTTTAGCACCCTTTATCTACAACATCCTCTGGGCACTTATCGAACCACCCGTCTTCATCCTAGTGGGCTCCATGCTTACAATAGGGCCCTTGCTACGGAATATGCGAGGACCCAAAGAATGGATCCGGCTCATCAGCACTAAATATGGGCGGTCAACGAAATCCTATGACACATACAATGGGTCTCAAACACATGGCTCGTCGGAAGTTCCTAAGTACAACAATCCCAAGAACAATCCGGAAAATAACGTGTCTCGCGTGTCTTCGAGTGAGATGGAGCTTTTGTCTGTTTGAAATTAGAAACTCGTTCTGCAATGGTGGGATTGACCATTAGTGGTTGGCTATAGGCTCTATAGTACCATCTGTTCACTCTATTATTTCTTAGTTTGTGCGTTCCATGACTGGATGGAGTCTCAGATCAGAATACATACATGTGTAATGATCTATTGCCTTATCTCATCAAACAAAAGGAATGCATTGGTGAATCCTAAGCTTGTTCATTTCTTGTAGGAACTTTGGCATGATATTGTATCATCCCATCCGACTTCGCTACCTAGCCTAGTGTATTGGCGAAACAAAATACATCTAATTGGTGCAATACAAAGGTCGTTCTATCTAAGGGACTGTCGCAACAGAAAAAGCGGCTACGACAGTTTCAGATCCTCAAGCGTTCATGCTCTCTCTTTTCCTCATTTCTGGCATGCTGACAGCATGTCCGCCGAGGTTTGACATTTAATACATCCTAGCGGTGCACTATAGAACTCTGTCTGTTGTATTGCTTGTTTCTGTCGACTCTCAACCCGTCTTTCTGCCAGACTTGCCTGCCTTGGTCTCTTTTCAGTTAGAAATCAGCTCCAATTCAGTATTTGGAATGCTTTCTTCTCAGCTGCATGACCACATTATCGGCCTCTGGGCTTCAGGGATCCAATAATGTCCACATGATCGACAAGCATTTTGGGGCGCACATGGAACCGCTGAAGCTCAACAAAGAGAATTCTGCAGTCAGCATTTCTACTGCCTGGCCTTGCAGTGGGACTGGCCACAAGGTGAGCGGGCCCGCGTATCGTGTCCATATTTTGTTTGGGGGCCCACGCATGGATGGTCACATTTGGGGGCCAAAGGCTACGACCCACGCCCTTAACGCGCCCCGGGACAGATCCAGTCTTCCAGACTTACCATTCCAGTATCATTTATCATTCAAAAAAGGCGCACACTAACAAATTCGTCTGTTCAGGGGTGTGAAAGGCGTCGTGACTTCGCAGGGGTTCCCCTCTTTAAACATAAATACGCACCACAAACCCCTCTTGCTTTGCAATTACTTCCTATCACTCAACTCATTCATCATTGCTATCCATTGCTTCATCCCGTGCAAACAAAATGACAGGCTCCATTGAAAAGAAAAAGCCCGTCTTCGTCCTCGTGCCCGGTGCCTCTCAGAATCCAGCACAATATGGCTACCTACTCCACCTCATTCAGTCGGCCGGCTACGGAGCTTCCACCGGCTTACTCCCTAGTATTGGCGCTCAAGGGACTGTGACTGCAACGGATGATGCTGATTATATCCGCGACAGGCTGTTGTTGCCTGTGCTGGATGTTGGTAATCACGACGTGATCTTGATCAGTCACTCATACAGCGGTATGCCCGCCAGCGCGGCTGCTCGGGGCCTTGGTCCCGCCGACCGGGCCGCTGAGGGTAAAAGTACCTCAGTCCTGGGTCAAATCTTCCTTGCAACCATCTTGCCCCGCGGTGGAGATAATTTGAGTGTCATTGATGGATTTGGTGGGAATTTGCCTCCCCACATGTACAAAGATGTATATCACCCTTCCCTCTCTCTTTCAACCCATTGAAACTAACCACGTCGTCTTTGATGTCTGAAAGGAAAAGGAAAACCTTCTCAAATGCGACGATCCCACACCCCCTCTCTTTTATGACGTGGAGCCTATCCTCGCTGAGGCGGCTACACAAGGCTCCCTCAGCCAAGGATTGACTTCATTCTCAAGCCCCTGTCCTGAGGCGAGCTGGCACACCGATCCCTTCCGTAACCGTGTCGCCTACATCTACACCCTCAAGGATCACGCTGTTCCCTACGAGGCGCAGGTCGCCATGGTGCAGGCTACGGGAGTAGAGTGGATCACCCGCGAGATCGCCAGTGGTCATAGCGCGCAGCTATCCAACCCCAAAGAGCTTACCAAAATTCTTCTAGAGTTGGCTGAGCAGTGGTAATAGGTGTTGGAAACAAAATCACAATTGAGATAGGTTTTCGAGGATGGTCTAGATCATTTTGTTAGTTAGATACGAAGACAAAATGAAGAAGCAATTTGATTTCAAATCAAGACTACCGCAACCCCTACGAACGATTGTTTGTCTCTCCAAGGGTAACAGAGCGAAGACCAATGACCGCAAAAGAAGATCGCTGCAGTGGGGGACACGGGATGAATACAAAGAAACACAGAAAGCACTAGCCTGAAATTAACTTAGCCACGGCTCACATTTGGGGGCCGATTTGTCTGTCTAGCCCAGGATGTCTTGGGCACGTATCTGAGCAGAGGCCAATGGTTGGAGGCGCGATGTGGACAGGGATAAGCACCATAATTGAACTTGAACTTAAAGCCAATACACTGGTAGGTAAGTCAGAATACGAGTAATAATTTCGACGCAGGGAGGAGGGTCTTCCAGGCAGATCTTGGCTATAAAGAAGCAATTTAAGCTAATTTTGTCCATCTATGGTGGTACAGATATTCTGGCCCACTTCAAACGAGGATAACCACGGCCTATAGAAGGTTGTTCCAACATACGATCATAGGAATCCACACTTGCGACTGTAAGGATACAAGCTATATCTGTTACCTGGCAGTCACATGATGGAATGTGGGTTCTCACACGAGGCTCACTTGTATGGGGGGCCTTACCCCCTCCTTCCTATTGACGTATCAACTTGAGTCCACGAGTTTATCAGGTCTTCAAAATCATTCTTATGAAAGCCCCTTCCAGGCTTTGTGCTACACAGAACAAGGCCACAGGTACATGGTTTTATTAGCCAAAGTGGAATGTAAACTGGCTTTACCACGTACCCAGTGAGCTACATTGTCATGTCGATGAGTGTACTCTTTATGTAGCATGTTCATCAACACGAGCCAATCGAGCTTGACGTGCGGGTGCGGGGCTCCGTTGAGAGCCTAATCCCCTCTTTTGAATATCCGTAACTCTAAAATCACCATACACCAGGAGTTAAATGAAAAGGCAGAGAGAAATGTCAACATCAACAATGACCACCAGCGCTGAAACGCCGAATGTCGGGCCTTCAGAGACCCTACAAAGTCAATATGTCGATACGCACGGCCCTCCCATCGGTATGGAAGACCTTGAAGATACCCCGCCATCACACGCAGTCGACATCGCACCAAGATGGAACGAATCCAAGACCATGATATGGCGAGTAACAGCCGCCTGCTACTGTGCGTTCGTCATGGGCGCGAATGACGCTGCATACGGTGCTATCATCCCCTATGTATGTTTCTCCCTACCCACGGAACCGATATACGAATCAATCGCTCACGTTATCAAGCTTGAACTTTACTACCACCAAAGCTACACAATCATCTCTCTTGTTTTCCTCTCACCGTTTGTCGGATACACCATCTCAGCTATTATCAACCATGCCATCCATCACCGCTTCGGTAGACGCGGAGTAGCTATTATCGGTCCTGCATGTCACCTACTAACATTCGCCGTGATATCAACTCATCCCCCATTCCCTGTCCTAGTGATCATGTACATATTCATTGGATTCGGCAGCGGGATTCAGAACGCAGCCTGGAACGTCTGGATAGGCAACATGGCGAATTCGAACGAAGTCCTTGGCTTCTTTCATGGGTTCTTCGGTGTAGGTGCTACAGTAAGCCCTCTCATCGCGACAAGTCTAATCACAAAGGCCGATTGGACGTGGTCCTCTTTCTACTATCTGATGGTATGTTCTCTCACAACAGCCGGACCATCATGGATTTAACAGACAGTATAGACTGGAGCTGCAGCGCTGGAACTAATCTACGCAACGACCGCATTCTGGCCCGAAACAGGCTCAAAGTACCGACAAGCACTCCAAAGCTCTGCAACACGAGCTCAAGGCAATGGAGCACTATCTCAAACCCGTTTGTCACTGACCTACAAAGTTACCTGGATATGCGCAATCTTCCTCTTTCTCTATGGTGGAATTGAAGTTGCAATAGGAGGCTGGGTGGTCGTTTTCATGACGAATGTCCGCCACGGTAGTGCTTTTGCATCTGGAATGACAGAAACTGGGTTCTGGCTAGGAATTACAATGGGCCGATTTATCCTTGGTTTCGTGTCGCCGCGTGTTGGCGAGAAACTATCTATCGCATTATACATCATCATCGCCTGTGCGCTGGAGCTAATCTTCTGGCTTGTTCCTCAGTTCTTCGTGTCAGCAGTTGCAGTTTCGTTGGTGGGGTTTTTCCTCGGGACAATCTTCCCAGGCGTAGTTGTTGTTGCGACCAGGCTGTTGCCCAAGGATTTGCACGTTGCTGCTATTGGCTTTGCGGCGGCGTTCTCGATGGGTGGGGGTGCGGTCTTTCCTTTCTTCATTGGGGCTGTTGCGCAGGCGAAGGGGGTGGGAATCTTGCAGCCTGTTCTTTTGGGGATGTTAGTTGTGGCCCTTGGGATTTGGGGGACTCTACTACGGACTCCTAGGGTTGGGCAGGCACATCAGGTATGAGCTGAAGGGAAGAGGACAAAGATTGATAGAGTACTAAGTTTTGGTTCGGTAATGGGTTCTCAGGCAGTAAGGCGGTCAATATTGGTATCATGCATCTTGCGTAAGTTGAACTGGGATTGAGGCATTGTGAGGCCATATGTGCTATTAATTTGTGGTATATAGTTCGTATATATGAACCGTAGAAGAATTGCCCGCGCCAAACACCAAAAAAGGGAAATAGCTCGCTAAATTCAAACTCAAAATGATGGTATCAAGCAATTCCCATAACAGTTTTAAGATTGCGAAGCGACAGTGGCTTGATTAGATAGTCGTTGATCCCTGCTGTCAGGGCCTGCTGATGCATGGCATCAGAAGCGACGCCAGTGACAGCCATGATGCAAGAAGGGTCGAGGCCTGTCTCCTTTTCGTATTGGCGGATCTTTTGGGTGGAGACAAGGCCATCCATGACGGGCATTGAGATATCTTGCCGGCGTTAGTGATTATGTTTATGTAGAAAATTTGGAAGACATACCCATCAGAACAAAATCGTAAGGCTTGCTGGATGCCATGTAATTTTCCAGTGCTATCAGTCCGTTGGAAGCTGTTTCAAAACTGCACCCGATTTTGCGCAGGAAAGTTGCCATGATCTGTTGATTCAGTGTTAGCATTCAGAATGCTCATTTCGGATTTTAGTCTCCTTCGTTCTTCGCACCTTCACGTTAATCTCATTATCATCGACAATAAGAACATGTGCTGGCTTTGGCTCATTTGAGGAAATGGTATCGACAGGTGGTAAAGATGGAGTGACAACTTCGATAGATGCCTTGGGTGTTGTGTCAATCTCTTCTACCTGGCTCTCGGTCGCAGAACACAAGACCGACACTGATTGCTCAGGCTCTGAGGTAACCGAGGGCGACGTGGATTGATCTGGCAGTCGAAGTTGGGATATATGAGATTCCAAAATGCCCTGAACTGCACGGTAGATTTTTAGTGGTCCAAAACTGCTTAGATATTAGCTTGCGAGTATGGCAAAATTGCTAGACTAATACTCACGGTTCAGATAACCAGAGACAATTGGACCCTGCAGTGTTGCGCCATGCAGAATTCTTCTTCCCGAGGATGATAAAGAACTTGATCCCAGATTCAGAGACGAAGTTCTCCAGTGACTGCGTGCCATTTGTAGCCGCTTGCAGTGTAGCTTCCTCGATAACGGCAATGTCACCCTGGACTTTGTCAAGACTTTCCACCAAGGAAACACCCCAACCAAATCGAGACATGAAAACATCGGCCAAATTACTCTGTATTGAGATTTTGCGCTTTGATTCTGCAGTGAGCAATCCAGTTGGCGCTTCTGTCAAATCAGGGTATCCGTTGAAATCGACCAAACAAGCGTGAAGATGCGGTGTGGATGGTTGCTGAATAACTGACCCAAGCCCATCAGTACTGCTAGATACTGTAACGCTTTGAACCGGAATGTACACATCCACTTGGGTCCCGATGCCTGGCTCGCTCTTTACAGTGATGTTGCCGCCAAGCGAAGTCACAAGAAGGCGAACGATGCTGAGCCCAAGCCCCACCCCCTCGTCCAGATGATCCTCTTGAGTAAATGCAGAAAACAATTTGTGCTGTAAAAATTCGGACGCAATTCCGGTACCCGTGTCGGTGACCGAAAGATGTGTTAAAAGGGACTGTGAATCTGGCTGGCTTTTGGATTGCGACAGCGAGACTTCGACAAAGCCGGTGTTGGTCCACTTGATTGAATTGCCGAGGAGGTTCATCACTATTCTCCGCCATGCACCGGCTTGGGATCGAATATTCCAGGAGGAGGATTGCTCAACGCGCACAATGACCGACATTCTGGAGGGACTACCGTTCTCGGTAGTTTGGTCGGTTAGAGGATTGCTTGCACTGGCTGGTGCAGAGGAAGAAGCTGTTTGACCAGTATATAGAATGTCGGCAACCTCCTCGATCAATTCCCCGAGGTCAAAGTCAGAGACTAGATCAGGGACTTCAGGCGGCATAAGCTGTTCTTTTCGGCGTTTGGTCCTAAGTGCTGAGTTGTTTATCTTGCAAAATGCCAACCTAATTCATTTTGTCAGTGAGAAATTATCGGAGGCGAGGGTTTCTGTAGCAAACTGACAGCTGATCAGTCGTATCTAGTAGGGTGTGACCGGACGACTCGATCATTTTAATCATTTCCCCCTGAACAGGTTCCAATAAAGTGGTAGTTAGCAACTCAGCACTTGCCAATATTCCATGTAAAGGCGAGCGGAGCTCATGGCTGATGGAAGAAATGAAATCAAACTTGGACTTCTCGGTGGTACTCCAGCTAATACGAGCAATCTCCGAGACAATAGAGTCACCGAAGACTTTGAAATAGTTCAACTCATCCGGCTCTAGAGGGCGGTGATTATCTCGAGTCCATACCAGAGTTCCCGCCATCCATCGGGACTTGTGGTAGTCCCATAGTGGGCAGAATAGGACAGATGTGGCACCTGGAAGGATCCAGGCCAGATGCTGCAAAACCATTTCATAATTTCGGGGTGGTAAGAAAGGATCCGAATTAGCTTGGGATTGATCACCTGAGAATCCCTCCGGAATCTCGAAGATTTGCCCATGGGGGAAATGTGTGACCAAAACATTGAGTAGCATCTCCGGAACAGTAATGGAACCATTCGGGAGATCTCCAGCCTGGGTCTTTACAGATGATCCGAGAACTTTACACGTCGTATTGACCTCATGCGTTGGGATGTCTAATGGATATGATGGGTCTGGCGCTGTTGGGTCTGAGCCAGCACGCTTTGGAAGTGGCTCCCAGCTGCCTTGCTCCTCAGGAGGGAGGCTAGTACCGTTAGCGTCAACTAGACAAAACTGCCATGAAGTACTCACAATGAAGCATTGCAGTGGGCCGCATCGAGAAAGGCTACACCATCCAGATTCATAGACGTCGTCAAAAGCCCACTGGCGCGGTCGAATATTGCGTCTATCCGATCGGCAATTGGGACTTTCTCGGTTACAGAAAACATCGTATCCAGAGGAGGTGCATTATGACTCGGCTTAGGATTCAAGGCTTCATCGAGTGATCTTTCGTCACCCGGACTGAGAGACTGACAGTCTGATACTTGGGACTCGATAGAGGTGTGTTCCGTATTGCCTGAAGCCGACAAGGGGGAAAAGAGCGAAGCTGGCTCCTCTGAAGGAGTTGTTAAGGATGAATGCGCAGTGGGGCCATCGTTCTCCTTGCTTCTGTCAGGTAACGAGATAGTGATCGGTCGCTGTTCGGCCAAGCCATCGGCTAGACCACAATGGGAGTTAAAATTCTGAGTAGTTGACTGGAGGCGGTGATCACTCGAAACTTGGCGAGGATCAAACTCTGCGTAGTCTTTAACAAAGCTGGTTAATCCTTTGACCAGGTCTTCGGCGCGGCGATGATAATGCACGGAACGGGTGTTTTCAAGATGAAGGCCGATCGCATCCGAAACCTCCTGTAGTAAAGCTACCTCTGCATCTCCAAACTCCTCACGCGGGCTATCATCGACAACGCAATATGACCCAAGCACATATCCTGAGGGACTGAACAAAGGAACTTCGGCGTAAAATCGCATATGCGGCCATTCTCGAACATACGGCCGGTCCTTGAAACAGTCTTCCTCTCTGAAGTCTCGAATGATGTAGCGAGACTGGTTGGCTGTTATATTGGCGGTATCGATTGCGTATGAGAGATCTTGGCTGGTGAATAGGCGAATTGTGTGAGGGCACACCCCCCATTCCAGATCTAGCCTCCGAGCTCCAAGGTATACGCCATCATCCGGGAGGTGCTGATCCGTGTGACGAAGGGAGACAGATTTGGTTGCTTCGGCAATGATAAATTGGCTATCGCGGTCGATGATCGAGACAAAGGAACGATTGCATCCTAAGCGATACACTCCGAGTTGGGCTAGGGCGTTGAGTGTAATATCTGAGGACAGGACGGACGCCGTCGGCTGTTCATCTCCGGTGGGAGCTTCATTTTGCGCGGTGTCTGAGGTTGCCTCTGCGACCGGTTGATCTACGGTGCAATAGTACCTGTGTTCAATGTTCGCGTTAGCGGTGCGGGGGAGGGGTGGGAAAGGGGGGGTGGCGCGATACCTCGACAATTCCTGGATTCTCTCACGCTCAGAATCACATGGAGGTGGATGAAACGCCAGAGAGCCTGATCGATTCATTCCGGTGAGTTAAGCATTTCCCAAGATATATGAAAGATGTGAAAAGAGACGATGATCCCCCGGAAAAACCCAAAGAATCCCGTGAAACTTGCTTAGCTCACCCCCACTTCACACTTCTCATTGGATCCAGCAAACGGCCTCGGCAAGATCTCTCGGCAAGATCTCCAGATTCTTTGGTTCCAGGTCTCCACTTCTACGAAAGATTTATCCGGTTCTTCGTGGATCAATTGGACATATTGGGGCGTGACAGCATTTCAGACGGATAGACTAGTCTAATCTGATATCTGAATGGCGTGCTTGGGCCCAATGACTCCACCGTTGAAAGGTTAACTTCCTTGAAAATCTTCCAGATTGCGGGGAAGCCTTTCGGTCCACTCCAAGCAAGGATGGACCCTGAAACAAGGATCCGGAAGCGCATTCCAAAGTCCTGTCGACGATGCCACCGTCGAAAACAAAAATGTGTGGGTTTTCCGACGTGCTCAAATTGTGAATCTGCCAACCAGCCTTGTTTGCGCAGCCAAAGTTCTCCTTCATGGCACCATGCCATGTCCAAGGGGGCACTCGCGCATCAGATCGAAATTCTTGAAGATCAACTTGCTGCTGCCCTAGAAGGCAATGCTTCTGCCGTTCGGAATGGACCTGACCAATCCAACGTGACAAGCCGCCAGCTACGCCGGCCAAATCCCCCGAACGACCCCCTCCAGGGAGTCATTCAATTTTTGACACTCGGGCATGATACAAATGGAGAACAGGCTTATCTGGGGCCGTCTTCAGGAGTCTCCATTGTGGAGAACGTTAGTCTATTGGTCGATGATGCAGCAAGAGCAAAGCTGCTACCCATTGACACTAGTACGCAGCAACCAGAGGCATCATTAGGAAGCAGCGATGAAACAACAGCGGCCCCACCGGACGATATGAATGGGTCCAAGATCCTGGACGCGTATTTCAACAACATGCATGTTCGACTTCCATTCCTAGATCGATGCAAAATCCTCGATTTACATGCCAACAGACATCGGGTGTCGGAAAATTCGCCAGAGGAGCAATTTGATCGATTCAAGCTTTTCATGGTCTATGCCATCGGTGCGGTCATCCTACAGGTTACAGAATCTTATGATTCAACCCCTCCGAAAACTTTCCTCGTGACAGCGCTGCGATTTGATCCCACGCTCAGAGAATCAATATCCATTGCCAGCATAGAGGCAATGCTGTTACTTGTGCTATACAACCTCCGGACAACTTCTAACTCTAGCGTCTGGTATATGATTGGTCTGGCAATGCGAACTTGCATCGACTTCGGATTACATAGAGAAGCGCGATATCGGAGGCTGCGACCGCACGAGGCCCAATTACGGCGCCGACTTTTTTGGAGTGTTTATATCACGGAACGTTACACCGCATGGTCTCTTGGCCGGCCTTTCAGTATCCCAGAAGAAGAGATTGACGCCGAACCTCCGTTTAATATCGAAGATTCTATAAATAGCGACGAAGTTGTTGAAAAAATTGTGAACAACCATCCAGACACGCAGGCTCAGCAACAGAATGCTACTATGGGGAAATTCATTGCAACAATAAGACTTCAGAGGATCGTCTCTCAGATTCATACACGTGTTTACCGAGTTGACAAGCATATCTCTACCATGAAACCAGAGATTACTCCCCTGATGTCAGCATTACAGGAGTTTAAAACGACTCTGTCCTCTCTCGCCCTCGCGGATGAGGATTTTGTTCATATGCACTGGAATAACGCAATTCGTATGCTGTTACAGCCATTTCTCAGCACACTGCATCCACAGGATGAACTCATTGGCACATGCCTGTATGCTTCGGGACAAATGTGTCAATTCTTCAAAAAGTTACGCCAGAGAGACTCATCGGGCCATTCATTCTTGCTTGTGAACTCGGTTTTCATGGCAGGTTTAACGATGTGGTAAGTCGATAAGCACGATCATCCGCCCCTTCATTCTGACAATGTCTTTAGCTTCTGCCTGTTCCGATGTCCTGGCCTCTGGACTCCAGCAATATCGAACGACATCCGCGCCTGCTCTTCTACACTTTGTGTCATGGCAGAACGTAATTCCAGATTGAAAAATTACCGGGATGGCCTCGAGACAGTGATCAATCGTGCGATGGAGTATGTCGAAGATGCATATCAAACGAGTCGCAACGACAGCGATATTTGTTCCCAAATGGCCATTTCCAACGACCAGTTACACCCAACCGCGACTTCGGATTCGACGGCTAGCGCCGAAGCTCACATGCAGCCCTTGCAGAGCAACGCATCACAAGGTCTTGGGACTTATTTATACGATTGGCAAAGTATAGATATCTTCTCAGATCTCCCTGGGCTTCCACCGAATCTGCAAAGTCTGTTTACTGGCAACCATGCGGATATCCTAGATTCACCAATCCATGGTGTTCTCACACAGGATCTTTGGCCCAGTGATGTCTTTGATCTACCTTATTTGGAGGAATATGGCCGCAGGACATAGATCACGCAATATAAACTAACATTCATACTATGACTGAAATCTTAGCCCTTGAAGAGCCCGCGCAAACCGAAAGCTAGAATATTTACACTACTTTGCCAACAATGGTCATTATCAGCATCTGGTTTGTCTCCATTCACAGATGACAAGGAGCTAGGTCATTCACGATTCCCAAATCTTCACGGCGAGACTTGCTGGATGGGTCAAAGTAAGGTACTTCGCCAACTCCGACAGCACGGTTACCACTCCGAGGTCCAAATCCTTCATGGTCACCAGTGGCAGTGTGGAAGACGCTTCTGTTATCCCAAATGGCTATAAATGCGATTAGTTTGAATCATGAAGGGGGTATCATGGAAGCTCACCAATGTCATTAGGGTCATTCCACTTCAAGCGGACCTGCAGATCATGACCATAGGTAATAAGATCATGAAACTGCTGCAACATATTTGCGCTCTCTTTGCGGTTCAAGCCATTAATCTCAAGCGGGAAAGATCCTATTAAGAGCAGTAAGCAGTCTACTCAACGTGAATCCAAGCTTACGGATAGCTTACCAGCAGCGAAAATAGATTTCCAGCCAGTAATAGGATTAGTCCGAACCACCTGAGCACCGTCAGCACCAGAAACAAAAAAAATTTCCCACAGATGAAGTCACATACAGGATGATCCGCGCGAAGATCCGATCCAACGTTCACTGGTGCACCCCTCTCGTTCTCATAAAGCTGAAACTTGCCAGACTCAGCCATCCGTCGGAATCCCACACCATCATGGCTAGCAGTCAATGTTTCCAGGAATTTCTGGAACGGCTTGCTAATCCGATCATACATCTCATATCCAGATGCCCAAAGCGTGTCACCGCCGGTTTTGGGCAACTGTACTAACCTCAGAGAAGAGAAATCAGCTGGTGCTTTCTCGAATCCGATATCACTGTGCCAGACAGCTGCCATGCGGGTATAGTCTGATCCTTTGTAGAGTTTCTTGCGGCCTTCCGAGTTGATAGTGCTGATAGCCGGGTCTGGGTCGCCGAATTCGCGAGCATCGTTTGTTACGGGGTGAATGTGTAGTCCGTGACCTGTGGGGCGGCCGGTTAGTTCACCCATGCGGAGAATGAGTTGTTTTTGGAGATCGTTCGTTAGGTTGTCTTGGGCTCGGAAGAAGACGACGCCACGCTCGGCGACTGACAGACAATTATGTTGGTTAGACATGTGGCTGAACTTGGTTCAATCGGAGTATGGAACGTACTCATGATCGCGAGATCGCGAATGCGCTTTTCGGCATCCGGGGCGTTTAAGATGTCATCCACGATGTTACAGGTGCCCTTGGTGAATTCATTTCCAATCACTGGGGTGACCATCACCGGCTCGAACTGATCGAGGGAGCCCGTTGAGTATTGGCGTGTAGGATTCTGCATTATATGAAATTTGGTTTTGTTTGGATATGTGGAATCGTTGGGGCTGTTGGCGTTGTTTTGTTCAATAAAGCAGAAAAGACGGATTGAATATTCTGTCCGCTCTTTCCAGTATCACGATAGGCTCAGGTATATATAGGTGGGTTCCAAGGTTCATTTGGGAATGGTTCATGGGATGTCGCGTTGAAAATGAAGCATATCGGCTTTCGGCGTTAGACAACTTCCACCTGTCGCATCTTCCAGCCCCTTCTCTGATATTAAACCAATAGGAATGTAGTCTTTTGATTATCCAATGATCCCATCAATCAAGAATATTGCGTTATGCTGTGTATTTTTCCTTCCAAGGTTTCGAAGAGAATAGCTTTCTTCTATATTCTTCGTCGTTGAGGAACACGGGCAGTTGACCTAAATATTCGACATGGTAAGATTCAAGTCCGGGGATGTAAAACCTCCTGGAAATCTAAGAATAATAAGACACGTAGCTACACTACATCTACTATCTTTTGTCTACCTACGACCATAACCGAAGTCAAACCTCCCCGCATTGATCTCCATGGTGGCTTTCAAGGAGAATATCCACGTTAGTACCGGCCAATTCTAATTACTGTAGCCAAAGCACACCATTCCCCACCAATATGGCAAGGAAATACAAATTTATTCTCTCAGCCTTCAATTAACAAATCAAAAGTCGATTGATTCGCCCTTCCAGAACAAAAGTCAGATTATCGGCGATAAGAGACGCAGCTAGTAAGTCATCCATAGAAAGTTAACGCCGATACGCCGACGCGTTCGACAATCTTGCGGGGCAAGGTTTCAAGCTCAACCAATTACAGTCCAGACAAAAAAAGCAGAGGCTTTCTAGCTATATGGCTTATGCATTACCCCACAAAATCAACGTCTAACTTCCAGACCGAGCGTTCTTGGCAACTCGAAATCTACTATTGCAACATATCAGGCGCATCTTTCATCACAATAGCCGGTTGCAATACAATGGACTTTCCTATATCTACCTCCTTCGAACATCATGTCCTCCTTTTATTATCCACCAATGCCAAGAATCAAATCTCATGCCCCCTAATTTTCTGATTATTCATTCGTAATGGCATCCATAGATGATGAAAAACTGGAGTCGGAAGCTCGTGTGGAGCCGGTTGAGTCCCAGAAACCTATGCTGGAGAATATTGATGATGACCCCGTGTTCTCATATGAGGAACAGCGGAAAATCATTCGCCGGGTGGACCTTCGGCTAGTCCTGATGCTTGGGGCTCTTCATTGCGTTTGCTTGATCGATCGTGGAAATATTGGAGCAGCTAAGTTGGCTGGAATGTCTACCGAGCTGCATTTGATTGGGAATCGATACGTGAGTGTTGCTGCAGAGGATTTCTCGATCTGTGACTAATGATCATCAGAGTGTGATTGCTGTGTCATTCTTTCCTCCCTATATTTGTTTGCAGGCATTGGGTCCTATACTGATCCGTAAAATTGGACCTGTCAACTATCTCTCAGCTGTCTGTTTGATTTGGGGCGCTGTTATGGTATGCCCTACAACATCATAAGCCATCCAAGATCCCCTGACAAGTTAACCATTCTTGTAGCTTTCTGCCGGATTTGTGAAGACGTGGACACAGATGGTTGGAATACGGGTCATTATCGGCGCGCTCGAAGCAGGATTCTTCCCGGCTTCTGTTTATTTGATCTCTACTTGGTACACAAGGTATGACCTACAGAAGAGATACGCCATATTCTACTTTTTGGGATGCGTAGCATCCGCTTGCACGGGTATCCTATCCTACGGTATCACATTTATGGTACAAGGCACTATCCCTTTTCTCTAATGTCATGAATCTCACATCATACAGAATGGACTAGGTGGCCTTACAGCCTGGCGATGGATCTTCATCATCCAAGGACTCCTCACCTGTATCATCGCAGCGATTGGCTGGTTTGTTCTTATCGACTTCCCAGATCGAATGAAGACGAGCTCGCGGAAATTCCTATCGGATAGCGAATACGACTTCATTATGCGACGTATCGGTAGGGATCGAGCCGATACTGTCCTGGAACCTTTCAACCTCAGGAAATATTTTGCAGCTGGTCTGGATATCAACATCTGGGCTTTTGGCTTTATCTATTTTTCGTCAACTACGACAGCCTACGCTATCTCATATTTCCTGCCTACCATCTATGCAGACGGAATGGGCTTTTCCGAAGGCGTCTCACTATGTCTTTTTGCACCACCCTTCGCCGCTGCAGGCATCCTCATGTATGTGACCTCGTGGGCTGGAGATCGATATCATATTCGAGCTCCTATCTTGATCTTCAATGCTCTCGTCACCATAATTGGTCTTCCTTTATTGGTAAGCCCGTGTCCTTTCTATACCCCCAGAGTCAAAACTAATCTCTCGTAGGGGTTCACCGAAGGGAATGCCTCTCGTATGGTGGGGGCTTTTCTCACCACCATGGGCTGCAACTCAAATATCCCAGCTGCGATGGCATACCAGGTAATTTCATTCAGTATTTGACTATTTTATTCTGCTGACTAGTCTTTCAAGGCGAACAATATTCGTGGCCAATGGAAGCGAGCTTTTGCCAGTGCTATTTTTGTTGGACTCGGCGCTTCCGGAGGTATGACTGGGTCCTTGGTCTTCAGATCACAGGACGCTCCGAACTATCATCTTGGGATTCTGACCTGTCTTGGATTGTCGTGTTTGATTATTGTCTTGGTCATTCTTCTTTCTGTACGCTTCTACTATGCAAACAGGAAGGTAGACCGGGGTGAGTTGGTTATTGGGAAATTGCCTGGCTTTAAATATACATACTAGCAGATTTACTAGCAAGCACTTGTAACTGTCACGATTTGCATTACAGTATTCTTTTATGGACGTAATGTTGCAGTGCGGTTCCATTTAGGAAGTTAATCACTCATGCAGTTGAGGACGATGGGAAGCACTGGAGATGGAGAAATTGTGAACATATTATGATGTAATACATGCCTCATTCTTGGTGCCTTATATTGAATTGCTGAGCACAAAGCGCTTCTCAAAAATGTGATATGAGGGAAGTATAAAAGAAATTGAAAAGGAGGTCTTGATTTTGGGAAAGAGGGTGGAGGTGGGGTTATAGTTGACTGCATTGCGCCTTCCTAAAAAAAGAAATTGAAAAATTAAAATTGAAAAATTTAGAAGAAAAATAAGGGAAAAAAAAGAGATGAACCGCGCCTGCGACATTCAGAACCCACCATGAGGTTAGTCAAACTACTTCAAGACTCACTTTCGCGTTTCGCTAACTTCAATTACCCAATGCGGGCTCTATCGCCGTCTCACTCAGCCATGATCGATAACTTAGCCTCATTGGTCCGCCCGCCCCACAATGCCACCCTCAGTCCTAGACTCCTAGGTTCTCATAATCTCACACCTTTTCCACGCCCATGATAAGATGGTGAATGTTGGAGGTCGAAGTAAAGGCTGCAAGACCTGCAGGAAACGGAGAGTGAAATGCGGTCAGATGTTTCTTCCCACACGATATACATAGCATCCACTGACAGCATACAGACGAAAGAAAGCCAACATGTGACCGGTGTCACAGAGCGGGTAAAGAGTGCGGAGGCTATATACGATACATCGAGTTTCGTGATGAAACCGCTCGAGTTGCTAGGAAGCAAGCGCTAGCGCAGAACGCGACCGGCCAAGTTTCCAGTCCGGTATCGACCGCCAGTCATTCGCGCTCGGACGAATCGGTCATAGAGCTCCCATTCACCCCTCTGCTTATGAATCCAGTGTGGGATGAGGACAGTCTATTTACGACTTATCTCATTGATAGAATCTTTACCTGGCATGATGATCCAAATTCGCCACATTCAGCGGGCTGGATTGCGACGCTTCTGCGCCCGAGAGAAGATGAGGCCGCGTTATCAAGTACTTCGATCCGTGCGCTAGCTACTTCTTATTTTGCCAAGATGCATGGCCATGTGAGTCTTCTGCAGAGCGGGGCGCGGCAGTATTCAAATGCGCTAGGAGCGTTGCAGAAACGGCTTAATGATTCAAACCTTGCATTGGAGGACGATGTGCTTCTCGCCATTATCTGCATGTCGATTTATGAGCTGGTCACTGTCGCCGATCCATCTGCTTGGGTCAATCATTGCAAAGGACTAGCTCAGCTAGTAGGCTTATTCATTTCTTTCATCTTCTGTGCACCTCTTTTTAACAATCATCTAGACTGCTATACGAGGGCCATATCGTCACCAGGCAGGGGTTGGACATGCACTTCTTCCTACATTGAGATCAACTATTGTATGACATGTGATCATTTCCTCTTGGAATAATCTACTAACATTAGCCCAGTCCATTGCACACATTGTTGACCGGAAACGCTGCTTTCTAGAAGACCCCGAGTGGAAAACAATTCCTTGGGATCTAAAGGGCTTAGATTCTAAGATCGCGATAGAAAGGCTACATGACTGCCTGGTCAATGTCCCAGGTATCGTTGAAGACATGGAACGTCTTCTAGCTTGGGGTTCAGATAGACCAGGACGGGACGAATTCAAAGAGAAGCACTGCCAACAGGCATTCGCGACACTCGAAGGTCTCTACTCGTGGCGCTGGGACTGGCAACGGGAATTCCCCAATGCTACATCGCTAGTTCGACCCATTAATATCGAGTCTGAGGACTTTTATCTCCTACCGCCGAGCCCCTTTGAAACTGTCATCTGGTTCGATGAACATTACCGTGCTACAGAGCTGATTGTCTATAATGCCATCCGGTTACTCCTAACAATGACCCTTGAAAAGGCAGGTATTGACATGGAGATATATCATTCTTTGGATGGGGTCAATGATCCTCTGCTTCCTATGCAGGGCAGTCGGCATGAAGTCGCCGTTGAGATCTGCCGGATGTCGAGCTTTCATCTACAAAGTTTTCACCAAAGTTCAGGGGCCTTTATGCTTCTTTTCCCTCTGAATGTGGCCCTCCATCATCTAGATGGTGATAAAGATGGAGTTAGACCGTGGCTTCAGAAGGTCCTAGCGATAATTGCCGACATGCATGGATTTGAAGTTGGACGCCGGGATTTCAAATCATTAATAATGAGGCGGAGACAAGCTCGGAGTAAATAAAGAGATAAATTCAGGATACTCTAGATAATAAACGCTATAGATGTATCAACAGCTCAAATCCACTCTCAGGGTTCTTCTGTTCACTCTTTTTTCAAGCTTCGTGAACCATCCGAATCAGAATCCCAATCATCGTCACCAGCATGACTCCCCACATCAGGCAAAATAACAATCCACAGCATCTTATTCACCTTCTTTGCCTCTTTCATCTGTCTTCTGCCATGCTTCTCATCCCTCCGATCCTTCTTATCAGCCTTCTCCATCAGATCCTCATACTTTTCCTCTGCATCCCGCAAATCCTTCTTCAAATCCCTCAAATCCTTCTTCAGCTCCCTGCGCATCTTCTCATTTCCTCGCTGCTCAGGACCCAGGCTCTGAATCTGAACCATAAGATCATCCATCTCCCCCTTCAGGTCATCAATCTCATCCTCAATCTCCTCCTGTTTCCTCTCAATCTTACCAATCTTCCGATCAGACTTGGAGGACCTTCTATCCATCCTAGCTTGCTTCTTCCCCAACTTTCGCAACTGCTTCTGTTCCGCCCGTTGCGCTGCAAATGAGCCCACCTTCTTCATCCAATTATCCGGTGATACGGGCGCAGCCACATTCTCGAACGAAAGACGCATGACCCGATCACCGAGCACAGTCATACGCTGCGCAATAGGATTATCGTCTGGAGTCTGTCCATCCATAATGCCTCGGTATTGACGACGGGCGAAAACCGCGCCATCATTCGGCATGCCGATCTGTGAGAGCATTTTATCGGTCTTGCTAATCTGCACATGAAGACCCTTGGGTTTGAAGATTCTCTCGTTGGCTGCCTTCAGGTAACTTTTTGTGCGTGCGATGGATACACCGGCTGTTGCGAGCCCGGCACCAACGTTGAGTCCTGCGCCGACCAACTGCGCTGTTCCCAGGGGAACAAGGCCAACGATACTTCCAACGGCATTCGTGGCTTGGAGGGCTGGGTTCCCAAGGAACGCTTCGTTCAGACCGTCGATAAAGGCCATGAGCTCGGCAGGGGACAGAGGGGATTGTTGTTCTAGTTCCGGGACGCGAATGCGGACGAAGGGACTCATGTAGGATCCACCAAACACTTTTGTTATCTCTACTTGGGTGTCAGTGCTAGATCGGGTTGTATGTCTGTTGGGGGTATTCTTACGAGGGATAACGCATGGTTTCAGTCCCTGTATGGGTGGTCGTTGCAGTGGCGGCTGTGGTTGAGAATGATATTGACCTTGCTGGGAATAAGCTGGCGGGATGTATTGTTGATATGGGAAATCCTGGTATTGCTGCTGATATTGCTGGTATTGTCCATTCTGATATCGGTCCTGGTACTGCTGGTACTGTCCGTTTTGGTATCGGTCCTGATACTTTTGGTATCGTCCGCTCTCATACTGATTCTGGTACCTGTTCTGATATCGATCTTGGTAGGTGTTGGGTGGTGTGTACGGCGTAGGCCCATTCCATTGTTGTGGTGGATATGTTGGCTGATTCGGGTATTGCACAGGCTGAGCACAATTCTGCTGCATGTACTCTGCCTGCGGAGGCACCGATCGGGACGATTCTTGCTGGGCAGGTTGGTCGACTGAGTCTGTGCCCCAAGGAGTATAAGCTGGAGGCGGCGCCGGTTCGGCCTCCACATGGTCTGAGTAAGTTTTTGACTTTTTGGAATCAAAACCCATTGCTGCGGTGAACGAAATGAGATCAAATTTAGAAACAGCTCTTGGAAAGTTGAGAAAGATCTGCACTTTCAAAGGACCTTAGTATCTGGGCGAAAGCTTTTAGATATCATTTCATGTCCATGGTAATCAGCAACAGTCGCTTGCCTATCTTGGACTATTCTGCGAGTACAGCCCCCACTCGATGTCAAGATCCACGCCGCGTCGTTATGCGATTGGTCAGATACTCGACCCACCCTCGCGAATTGCACCCAAAGAGGCTAGTGTATCAACAAGCCTCGGATTCGCAATGAATTCCCTTTTGACATTCCATTGTGTGGCTGTGCCAAGGCTATGCCACCAAATAGTATGCAGCCCTATTCTTCAGCCAAAATGCATCTTGCAGGTTGAATACAAGTGCAGTAACCGACCGTCATATGATTTGACCACTTTCGGATCGGATCAAGGCAGTTATTAATATGACGAGCAACTGTAGGTTTTGTCAAGATGCTGACGTCAGATTGCTCACTATACATAGAATTGCCCCATTCATCATCTTTTTTGTGTATATTTTTGTCAATTCCTCCATTTGGCACTCCATGTGAAATCTCCATATTCGTATCTCCCGTAATATATGGAGGCATGACCATGGAATGGGATAAAACCTGGGAATGGCACAGTGTAGTATAATCATCCAGATATTCAATTGGTACTCCAGCATAATACATTCATGCATTTCCAGGTGACAATGTCGCCCGGATGCCAGATCGCCTGCTTAATAGGAAATATTTGGCCATATGACCTTAGTTTTTGGCACATCATGAAACGATGTATGCAAAGTCGAGATAATATGTTAGGTCGATGGGTTTTGTGATGAATCTATTCTTATGATACATGGCATTAGATGGGGGCCAAAGGCGACAGTGCAAGCGGAAAGCACGCACCAAAAGATGATCGTGTGATCACATACGAATCCACACATTTTAAAGTTCCGCGCCGTAACCCATCCGTGGACTACTCAGCACTATATCGCAAGCCACCCTCTGAGCACTAGACCTACTCATCTACAATGACCTTTAAATGTTCGCATAACTACTATCTTCTCCATGCCCTCCCTCTCTACTTGACCCAGCTGATCCCTCCCTTTGTAGCCAAATTCTGACAGGTGGACGCCTGATCTCTCGGTCCCTGACGCTGTACACTCGGATCGCTACAGAGGGTAAAAAGTGTATTGCATCCGATCTTTCGAGACAAAGTGCAACAAGGCTGCAAAAGCAAAGAAGGTATCACACTCATTCTCTCTGTTTGCTTAGCCGGACACGGAGTTTCACCAGATGTGAATACTGGGATTGAGATCCCTTATTTTAGCCCGATGTGCTTTGAACGGGCCGAGCAATCCAAGTTCGGCAGTGGCTTGGCGTTGTGCTTTCCAAAGCCTTGGCATAAACACTTACGAGTGTGGGGATTGCGTGGAAGCAGGTGGTAATTTTAATATCCAGAATACCTTCATAGAACTCACAGGACAGCTAACGCACTGATCATACCCCGATTGTTGACGCACAGACTTGCCCCCCCCCCCCCCCATATAGACCCTTATTTAGCTGAGCAGATAGACTTGAATTTATTTAAGCACTCACAATTCGGAAACCCTTCTTATGTTCGAATCTGCAGTCTGCCCTCAATTGGGGAATATACACTTCCCGCCGAGTCCAGCCAAGATAAACCAAGGGCTTGGCCAGTATACTGTTTTCTTTTTTTGAACTTCAATTTTAATTTGTTTGGAGGCTACCCCCGCCGAGACATTTATTTTTAGGACCCTCACTTGAGGAGATCGATTAGATGTTCTTGTGGGGGTATTTCATGCGGCTTGGAAGCTAGGGCCCCCGGGGCTGCAGTGGGCCCCCGGGGGTTCCCGTAATGCCAGCTGCTCTGGAGATAATTCTATGGCTGACATCGGCGGGGTCGAGATGGAGATACAAGGCACACGCTAGTATACGGACTGACATTTGACAAGAGCTTCAATACTATGTAGTCGTTAAGTTGATACTAGATAGGGGTCTAAAGGTCTATGATTTCTATTTGCGCAGTCGATTTACAACTTACAAGCTGCTAAGGCGCATATCTTTGAATACTTCATTTGTTCATTTGTTTATGTTTTGGTTGTTTGATCGACTGGGTGGCCTTATTTTCCAATAACTGATCCCAGCAAAGTTGTTGTGCTCTACGTCATACAAAATCACTCAGGGGTTTCAATCCGACGTAGTGGCCGTATCATTGGCTGCAGCTTCCTCGTATCTCTTACCCTAGCTGGCCGTAGATCAGGACTAATCTGAGAATGTCTCATAGTCTGGTGTGCCGGGGCCAGCGCGACATACCTACCCTATCGGAATAAATGCATATATTAATAATTATTCGCCCCAGAATGCCAAGAGCCTTCAGAGTTCAGACTAGGCAAAGGGGCTAATTCTGGTTCTATAAAACGACAAGGTTCAAGTTTTGTAGAATATAAGGATCTTGGTTTCTGTTTTCTACTCTGTCTTTCATTCCATTCCATCGCGATTCTTCTTCACTAGATCATCCATCATGCGTCTCTCTACCACTCTCATTGCCTCTATGGCAGTCATGCTTCCAGTCCTGGCATCTTCCAAAGGAGCCACAGAACAAGCTCTCCTCAAAAGTGCAGAAAACGCAGTTCCTGGTGAATCTGCCCTATTTACCACCTACACTGGAAAGCAAACACCACTTGCATCCAAATATACCCAGGTCATCAACGCCACAGGAACCGGAGAGCCTGGTCAGGATGATCTTCTTTTCCAAAATCTACTTGCAGCGGAATGGGTCATCTACACATTCTACCAGCAAGCCGTCGAGACTTTTAACACTTCCTCCTTTACCAAAATCGGTTTCCCCAACACCACCTACGAACGTATCCGAGAAATTCGAAACAATGAAGCCGGCCACGCCCGCATCTTCCAGGACAACATCTCCAACAATTCCCTAAAGCCTGGCCCTTGCAAATACTCCTTCGGTTTCGGAGACAACGCACTGGAGTTCCTCGCTCTCCAGGTCTACATCGAAGTCGCCAGCCAGGCCTTCCTGACCGGCCTCCAGCTCCAAGCCGATCTCAACGTCTCCCGTGCCACACTGATGGCAATCGGCCAAGTCGAAGCGCGCCATAATACTTGGTCCCTGATCGAGAACTGGAAAGTCAGCCCATTCTCCGGTCCCTCAGATACTACCTACCCCTATGCCAACCAAATATTGGATATGACAAACTCCTTCGTGACTTCCTGTCCATCTGAGAACCCTGAATACCCGTCTCCCCGTCAGAATCTGCCGCAGATGGTGTTCTGGGCAAATGGAACCACTGCTACCCCTGGGTCGCAGATCCAGCCTTATTTCTACCAGTCTGCGAACCAGCCCAAGTTCCAGACTGGCAAGGAGTACTATGCTGTTTTCTACCATGGTGTCAACACTATCAGCGTTCCGTATGACTGGCAGAAGGGTATTGTGACAATTCCTAAGGAGATCGACGTCGCCTCTGGTATTATCATTGTCAACATCGCGGATAAGAAGGATGCCCCCACTGAAGACAGCGTCGTGGCTGGACCTATGGTTATTTTGGAGCAGCCTGTCGCCTTGACTTTGAAGGAGCCTGATGCTATCTCTATCTAAGCTGGCCCAGGTCGCTATAGGCCGGGCTCGGCTAAGCAAAAGTTGGCATGATTGCTAGGTCATGCCCTCACTCTCCTTGACTCTTTTTCTCAATGCGTCTAGCGACCAGTATCTTGACCCATTCTCTTCTTGCTGCTCTGCTATATCATATTTTTGTGGCAGCTCCTTTTCCTTTCTTGTTTCTTTTTTGGTTGAATACCATCATCTCCCCTTGCTTGCGAGATACTATGCCTTAGAGCCGTGGCTGGACCATGGATTTTGTCTTTGTGATATGCGATTTCAGGCGTTTGTTTCTATATCAGAATTTATCGATGGTTTCCATTTTCGATCTAACTGTAGCAAACTTCATTGGAGTAATAATCTTCGATACATATCTTCGATGGCAGGCCAATAAATATCACCGTAGGATCTGGCCATCATAAGAGTCTCCGACATATTCCAGTCTGCATGGCCTTGGTTTGGGTTGCCATGAGTATCACATATAATGGCAGTGGGGAGGGAAGAAAATTGACCGTGAAGGGAAAGAGGGCGGTAGCGTCGCAGTTCCTTATCAAAAGGCATATCATATCTTCGGATCTGCAGGTGGAACCGAGGATGATAATTCCTGGTCATTTGCAGCCCGCTCGATGTCGCGGCTTTGGGCGAAGTTGCGTTCCAATCGATCGATTCTCCAAGACATTATCCAGGTCTTCGAGGTCAGTCACATTCCAGGATAAGCTTGTGGATCGAAAACGTACTTGGCATACAATGGATAGAATGGAGAGGTTGATGAGAATCAGTTGCCAATCCAGCGTCAGATCGAACATTTTGACCTCGAGAGGTCTAGGGTTTAGAGGTTGCTTGTCTTGGTATGGATATTCGGGTTCATCAGCTTCATGCAAGAATGACAGCAATGAGGGCATACCTTGGAGCTCAAAGGAAGAACGGTGTGTTCAAGCACTTGGGATCAGTTTTGTGATTGGCACCGAGTTGGATGTGTGAGTAGATGGCAAAGAGCCAAACTTCTGATGTTGGAAGGAGCAACGTAACTAAGTTAAGGTTTGACCAACCAACTCCCATATCTAAGGAGCATAGTTTCGTAATAGAACTTTGGTTATTCTTCTTTGATGAAGAGATTCCAGATGCCCAGGTGTATTGTGATGAATATGTAAGTTACATTTGCACAGCATTGTATATATTTGGCTAGCAGGATCTCACCACCTGCTTTCAAATTTGAAAATAGATCCCTGGAATCTCTGATCCATCTCCACCAAAACTTCTTCAAGAGTCAAGAACATCTTCACAATGGCCTCATTCTCCAAGTCTTCCTTTAATTTCTCGGTTTATTGAATCCAAGGTTTCAAGGTTCCAGAGCTCAGAAGATCTACAAATCACCGACGATTATCTAAGCCCCACGCTAACCCCGGTCAACCAACCAGAACCCGCAGCGCCCACGCGGTGATGCCACTCACCCAAAACAATCAGTCTTCCCCGGCCCTCACACATTCCCAGACTTGGTCATTCAGTGTGACCCGAAATATCAGCTGTGAGTGTCTCGACGAACTGTCAAGCCAGACTTTCATTCCTCTACCTCCGTGGACTGCCCAGGTGGCAATTGCCCAACTCCCCGCAATGCACGGAGAGCGCGCCATACCAGCAATCCTCAACATTGAAGTCGCGCGCAACGAGTGCCAAGATACTTAATACTACGATATGAAGGGATCTATAACTGACAAGTCGGATCTACTTAGCGCTCAACTATCACCACCCGCACATAACCACTATAATGGCTGTTGACGGCTCCGCACCTTCGTCGGTATGTAGAATCATTGCGACAGCTTGATTCTCTCGCATTAGATTCAATGATCGCCAGATGTACTAGCTTGTGGCTAATACTCTTATCGCCAGCCCATCCCCATCCCGGAGCTGACCAAGATCACCTCCGAGGTACGTCGCATTATAATTCCGACCCCAGGAGACCCAAAACCAACCACTAACGTTTCATGTAGGCTTGCGATGCGGCGTTGAAGCACACCACCGAATACGAGCACGCCAACGTCGGCGAATGGAACTCCCAGATCATTGTAAATAACCCCGATTACAGTTGTTCGCGCACAACTCTAACCGCATGGCTACTAGAACACTGTCCTCAAGGCTCTTATCGCCGCTACTGCTCCCTCCGACTCTACCACCCCAGCTCCCTACCGCTTCACCGTGAACAGCACCATCGTTCAACAGGGCGTCATTGACAAGTCCGCTGCCGCCGAGGGCGCACAGAACAACGCTGGTAAGCGCGGTATGCACTCCGCGTCTGGAGCTTTCTGGGACGTCAACCGGGATGGTATGTGGACATTCAAGTACCCCGGTGCTGAGGAACGGGGGCTCGACGTTGTGGTCAGTGTGACTTGGTTTGCGGTTGTTTAAATGAATAAAGTTCCCGGGGCTCTCTTTGTGTCTTAAGATTGATAAATTGAGGGATCACATACCATATTCTTGATTTATCCTTTGTTCTTTTGGTTATGCAGTTATATGAGCCAATTTTGCGTGGAGGATTTGCAGTGCGTCTTCTATGCTTTTTCAGTTGAGCGATGGAGGTATTAGTGTTTCCAATATCAGGTACATTTACTCTGATTGCTACAATGAAGTGTAGAACGTAGTGTATATCCCCTGCACAGGAAAAATAAATAAAGAAAAAAGGAACCTAGAGTATACGAGTTGATTTCATGATGAAATCGATTCAAACTCCAGAAAAGAATACACCCGAAGGACTTGTCCTCGGGTAATGGTATCTCAGTAGATCGTGAATAGAAAAAAAACATCGAAAGAACAGAAAATCGACCCACGCCTTCCAGCCCAACTGACGCCATGCTATGAATTTGAAATGAAAACCTTGAAACCCCTTGATCCACGTAAAGGCTCTCATCGGGGCTCAGAGTAGTCGTTCAGCGCAACACATACTGAGCCACGGTGGTGGCCACTGTACTGGCGAATGATGCTGCCAGAGCTCAGTTCCCACAGCCGGGCATAGTGGTCACTTGATACAGTGACGAGGTATGCAGAATCAGCGGAGAAAGCACAGTCCCAAACCCAACGCTGGTGGTTGGCGAGGGTGGTCTCCAGGAAGAGAGTGCCATTTGCCGGATCCATGGGTGGGCCATCGGGCTGAGGAGTGAAAGTTTGCTGAGGGGTTTCCGTACGTGGGGCGTTGTCTGAGATTCGAAGCAATTCGCGGTCTTGCGCTGGGGTATCGAAGATACGCAGTAGATCGCGTGCTTGGTTCATCAGTTCAGCCCCTTGTTGCGCCTGGACCGCTTCCGCAGTGGGCTCGGTTTGGTCTTCCATTGTGGCCTTCTGGGCTTGCTTCTCATTCCATTCCTTGATGGCAACTTTGGCAGGCGCGTATTCCGGGTCCAGGTTCCACACCTTGGCAGTATGATCGGCAGAGCATGTTGCCAGGTGCTTGACATCTGGAGACAGAAGGACGCGAGTGAGATAATCTTTGTGGGCCTGGAATGTGCAAATAGGAATAATTCGAGTCGACTCTTCAGTCTGGACCATGCGCCAGATGTAGACGTTACCCTATAGGCGAGAAAACCGTTAGAGAATTCCATGGGACAAATCTGGGGAAATGGCGATACCTTTTTGTTTCCTGCACAGAGTAACGACCCATCACTGGCAACGCTTACACTAAGAACAGCAGTGTCATCCTCTGGAATCAACTGATGTGTGCATACACTCTCGCCTAGATCCCAAACGCGGACCATACCAGCACGATCACCACTGATCAGCTCCCCCTGGTTGGGGTGAATGACGACGTCATTGACGGCAGCTCGGTGGACGTAGTTGCGTTGCAGGCTACCGGTACGAGTATCCCAGACCTTTACAGTCCCGTCCTCAGAGCTGGTGACCATCCACTTCCCTTCGCAGTGGAATGCGACTCCCGTGATGTTGCCTGTGTGACCTTCGAAGGTCATCACAGGGTTGGGGTTAGTGGACTTGATGTCGAAGAGCTTGACATTATTGTGACCCGCAGCGGCAAGGAATCTCTTATCAGGGGTGATGCACAGGCGATTGACCTGCGAGTCAGGGTGCTGAATGGTTCGTGAACAAATGCCGGATAGGGCTTCCCAGAAGCTGATCCGGAACAAGATTAGCTCTTGATATTATTCAGAGATTGGCATTGGCACATGGCTAGGATGCCAGAAAGGGGTATTAGGATGTGGAGAGCTTGAAGCTTACCGGATGGTATGATCATACCCCGCTGCGATGCGCCAACACTCATTAGATTGGACTCGACTCGGAATGCGGGGAGCTTGGGGACTTACCTGTGCAGAGGATAACACTCATGTTCTGGTGAATCCTGTATATTTTTCTATGAAAGCCCCTGAGCGTAAGACAGGCTACTGGGATATGTTGTCGGCTTAAATAGGTCACTGGGGGCAAGACACGATCTGGAAGCACCCGACGTGGGATCGGAAGGCGGAGTTGGAGCTGCAACCAAAGGCCAACGCGGAGCCTGAAGGGCCGGGGTTTCTGCCTTGGAGGTCATGTGACCTACAAGGCGGTCAGATATGGACCATCGTCACGTGCGATAGCGATCTGAAGCTTCGACAAATAAGCGTTGCTAGATAAAAGGGCGGTGGAAACGATAAGAAGAGATAAGAGCAAAAGTGAAGGAGAGAGCAAGTGAAGATCGGTTTTTTGACTGGCAGAAACTGACCGTAAACAAAAAAAAGTTGACCTGTATTGCATTCACTTGAATAACAACTGCATTCACTCATCGAGCCCTAGCCTTCGTCTCCTTTCGTGTATGAATTGGGATTCTCTGGAGAAAGCGCTTGGGGGACTGTCATTCACTCAAACCCTGGCTTGGTGGTTATCATTCACTTGATCATGCCCTGCTACTAATTCACCATGGATCTGCCTCCCTCTCTTCCTCTTCCTCTTCTACCACCCTCCTCCTGATTCGTTTCTTTCCTTCTCGGTTTGCCTTCTGTCATTCGTCTTTGCCAATCTATTCACCATAAATTTTTGTTGCGGACCCATTGTTTCTTATTGTCTCAACATGAACAGAACCATGAATCGCTGTGCATCTCCTGTATTTGAGAGCAATAGCTCTGCTGATGCTGATCCGGAACTTACGCATTCCAATGGATACGAAACTCAGCTGTCATCATTATTCGGAAGCCGTTCCCCATCGACTGTCAGTGACGATGACATTGGCGATGTCAACGACATCGCCATCGACAACAGCCTGGACTTCGGCACGGAAATACCCTTGGGCTTTGATCCACTCGAGGGATTTCAACTGACTGCGGATGAGCTTGCAGGCATTGATGGTCTTTTCAGTCAAACTTCAAGTTCCCCCAACACTGTTACCAAGCTGCCCGCCACCTCCAACAAGAGAACTTTCGGTCTAACATTTGAGGGAGATGGCATGCACCTTCAAGAAGCCCGTCAAACACCCAAGAGGCAAAACCTTTCTACTCAATCGCATGAGCCATCAATTGTTGTCCGAGCTCCTCTCGTCATGCCCACAGTGTCGGGCATTGCCCCAACCCCTGTGACCATGAAGCCCCCTCGTCCCATTTCCTCCCATGTTGTGCCTGCGGTCTCATCTCCGACCCCGGCTAGTATTGCTTCCAAGGACAAGTTTGAAATTGGCTCATCTCAGATGGCGGCGCTTTCAACTAATGAGGTAACTTCACGTTGCCCTCCCAAGGCCGATCATCTTTCACCATATCAGCGAGTTGGATACAACCCTTCGACCCCAGCAATGCATCCGAAAGTGGTACAACTCAGCAACGAAATGATGAACCAGCGCATTGCTCTGCACAAACAACGAGCGGCTACTGTCACAGCCGAACGCAACAAGCTCCAGAAGGGTTTGCTCCAGTATACCCAGATTGACCCCGTTACCGGTTTGCTGGGTATTGACAAAATGAAATCCGAGATTGCCACCATGCGTCGCCTCCTGACACTTGCAAAGAACAAAGAGGCCTCTGAGATTGAAATCTGGAGAACCAGATATGCAGTACTTGCCGAACAATACAGCAAACTTGCTCAGAAACATGATGATATGCGCCGCCAGTATGAACAGTCTGCTCCATTCCATACGACACCTACCTACCCACCCGCTCTTCGCCAGCAAGCAGCAAACACCGCCCTGCCTGTTCTCCAACAAGCACCTCCCAATCCACCCACTTCCCGAAACGCAAACACATCGACAAACCCACCACCTGCTGCCCACTGTCCCCCAGCATTTCCCCAGGATGCCCATCAAGTGATTGATCTGACTACCGACATCCACACAGAACCCGTGAGTGCCCAAGGAACCCGCTCACCAGAAAACAATTTCCAAGGAAACAACTCTTTGCCCAAGGATAACTCGCTAATCGAATTTCACCGTCAATTCAGGAACAAGAAAATGGACTGGCTTCACAACTCCGAGACCACCAGTGATGCCAAGTCACGCGTTTTCGAGGAGATGAACCCACCTGTCAAAGGCCGCCTCGGTAAGGTCTCTTTTGCCGAGTGTTCCCAGATCGTCGAAGCCAAAAATGTAGTTCGACTCGCCCTTGGAGGGCAATTCAAGAAGGCCGTGACGGCTGCTGACGCCTACGAGGAGGCCTACGAGCCTACAGATGAAGAACTTGCCAACATGATGGACGAAGAGCTGAGCAAATTCTAATAGTCATTTTTAGTTTGAGCGTTCGTATCGTTATTTTATCTTTTTCTCTCCTGCGCTATTTTCCTTCTCGTCCCGTTGCATCTGAATTTCTCTGAAGGTAATTAGTATCTTGGTTGGTACTATAGCCCTTGCCGGCGTTTGTTTTCTGCCCTCTCCGAGGTAATTGATGCATTTGGAGCCCAATCTCTAGTTTCTTCCATGCCATCTGTTTCTACCTTTATTCACTTCCTTTTCCCCCCACCTTAACCACGTTTGGAGAAGTTCGAAAGCCACATCGCGGCCTACGAAGTTCACAAAAACGCAACAGGATGCCTCCTCAAAAAGTCGCGGAAAAGGGTCTCTTGTTCAAGTACAATACTATTGACCAATTTGAACCGTCCTCTTCTCAGTGAAGTCAAGCAGGCATGATTCTAATTATTAAAGCATGTTAAAATCATGATGACTGAGACATTTTGCTGATTTGAGATGGATACTAAAGACTATTAGAAGCCTGTACAGGAAGGCTGAAGACATCAATTGCAATGCCGTTTGATTTGCGTGGTTGCTCAATAAATATATTATATTTTGCATTTTGGGCTTGTTTGCTCATCTTGGACTTAGCATCTCAAGAATTCACGTCTTGATCTAACTCCCAGATCTTGGTTAGACACACCATTGCCAGTTTGGTGAATCCATTCACTTCTAACCTTAGCAAGCCTGAAGACTGACTTGGCTCACCTATTCCATCGCAACGCGCCTCCAAACGATGGTATTCACGATAAATGGCTACAGAAGTGCAATCACACCCGAGCTTCACGACTCCTGGAGAGCTCATTCTACTTCACCCACGATCACGACATGTCCAAGCATAAATATGCCAGCTCGTAAGATTCAGAGGCTCATTCGTTTGACTGCAAACCTTTCCCACTGAACATTGCACACACAGAGATCAGCACGTCCGGAAACACTGCGATGAATGCCGTCGACCCCCCGTTGACCAAGAATGAATTTGAGACAGCGTTCTACTTTCGCAAGCGAGTCCGTGAAACCGAAAGAGCCTATTCCAACATGACCGTGGAAAACTACAATGCCACCATTGATCCATACCGTGCCACAACGCTCCAACCTGCCTGGCCGCATCCACTCAAGCTTCTGTTCGACCCTAACCTTGTCAGAGACATTGAGCCTATGGAGTCTGATATCGCTAAACAGCTCTGGATCGGAGGCCTTCACAATCAAGGCCTTGTCACTGTCGCCATTGTTTCAGCAGAGCGATATTCCAACCAGCCACCTCAGAAGCTTCTTACAATCCGGTTTCTCGGACAGATTGTTCGTCCCGATGCTCTGATTCCTGTGATGCTCAAGATGCAGAAGACTCTTGATAACATCGGCTGTGAAGACGTTCGTGTTGATATCTACAACCCTCGACTCCGCTGGAATCCACTGTTCTTCGACGTCCCATCCAGTCATCCGGCCCACAAAGCTTTTAATGAGCGCAAGGAATGGATTCGTGGTGTGGTTCAACCTCACCTTGGCAGTGCACCAGTCAAATTCGCCGATGTGGGATGGCATCAAAAGGCATGTACTCCATGTGTTGTTATTCTGGTGCGCCGTTCGACCGAATTACGCTGGGCTGATTTGCGCAAGGAGATCTTGGCTGGGTTTTCGGAAGATCTGGAAATGGAGGTTGAGTTCATTCCGCGCTGGGATGCATGAGATTGGAAGTGAAGGTGACTACGAACGTGCTATGATGATACCCTTATTTTTCTTTTGTCGGAGTCATTAGGAGCATTTTTTTGGGATGTTTGTGGGGTTGGATGTATGCGGCGAGGTATGAAGGGCAACATGTGTCTAGGGCTTCTTTGTCAGTGGTTCACATGTTCGGACATACCTGCTGCGCTCAAGATTCGAGAAGCATATGTATTATTTTTTGTTCCCAATAAATCAAATTCAAGGATATTTTACCTTGAGCTGATCGCAGATAGGCTGGCTTGGGCTTGTGCTTCCAAAGTTCGAAGTATTATACGTGCCAGTAACCCTATGAAGACCATGAGTTTTTAAATTTGACGGTAAATCTCATATATTGAAAAATTCTAAATATTGAATATGTATAGATACTATGATTTTATCTATATGAATCATGACGAACTGTATCGTGAACAAAAATCACAGAATGAAAAAAAAATCAACCTGACCAGGTATAACGAATCGTCCACATCGTAGATCGACAAAATATCCACAAGCTAAACGTAGATAGCCGGCCTAACCGGATAAGAAACCCCAAAATTACTTCCAGAAACTTGCCAATTAATCCGTAGTAACGGCGTGCGGTTCATAATGTTGCTGAACATGTCCATCAGGGGAGTCCCCACTACTATGCGGAGACTTCTCCCGCATCACCATTCCATCCTGCTTAAGCTTCTTGCGCGCCTTCCGGCCGCCACAACAAGCCGCACAGCAGTCGCCAAATTGAATAATGAAGCCAAACAGACTAAAAGCCGAAGCGATCCACATGAATGCAAACATCTGCTTGCCGATGTGGGCCTTGATGTTCAAGCTGGGATCCGCATTTTCGAAGACATTGGCGAAAATGATGAACATGACTGTCGCGACGACGGATCCCACGATGGTCAGCAGCGCCGCGAAAAAAGTGATGACGAGGAATGGCAAAGAGCGCAGCCAAATGAAAGTGCGACGGCGGTGGGGCATGCGGCCCGGATCTCCGTTAGTGCCAATGGATTGATCCTTGCCGACCAGGTACTTAATCGCTTGTGGCGGCCGGGAGGAGACCGCTAGAGGGCTAACGAAAATCATCACAAAGTTCAAGACTGTCGCTGCTAAGAAAATTCCGAACATCCATCGTGATGCGAGTCGGGCGAGCTTGAGTGGGCTGGTGATGTCGGAGGGCAGTGCAACTAGGCAGCAACTAATTAGTTTTGGAGCTCGAATATCATCCCCTAAGGTTTTCGGGGGGGGGGATGAAAGAAGACATACTACTAGCGCCCGCCAATAGTTCATTAATGATGATCGTGACGGGATTGAAGGCGTACAATGTCTCCGGCGTAGAGCAGTGTGTAATTCCCTCATCGTCATACCCCTCGCAAAAGTTCCACAAGCCAACCTGGTAGAAATCGTGCAGACCAATGGACCGAGCGATGGAGTTGATCAAAACGGCATTGGGGACCGAAACGGGGATAATGTTGGAAAGATCGAGGTAAAGAAAGTAGGTGTCGCGTAAAACGGGCTTGTTGGAGATAGTTCCGATCTCCACCAAAAGGCAGAAGATAAAGGCGATTAGGTAGAACAAGGAACGAATGCCACGATGCCAGTGGACCGTCGATTGGCGGCGTCGGGCGATAGGCTGGGCGGGCTGGGCCCGGGCACTGCGGAAGAACGGCAGCCTACGCCTGGCATTGGGAGCTTCTGTCCCATCAGTCATGACAGATTGAGGGTGTTGAGAGAAGGAAAAGGAATATGTGGTGAAGAGAAGTTTGATGTGGAAATGTCCAAAACCCAATGTCTTGGGGAGCTAAGACGCACCAAAGATGACGTTGTGCTGGCACAGTTGGCAGGGGGGAATAAATTTTTAACTTTAGGGGCGTCTACTGTACACCAAATCTGATCCACATCCCAATCCCGTGTGATCGTCCGAGGGCACACTAGCTTGTCTAGCCGCGCCGATCATGCAAAGCCGACTCGGATCAAGGGGCTTTGCATTCTTTTAGTTGTGCCGAAAATAGGGTGTGGAATTGTATCTTTGGCATAAGCTGATTCCTGAGGATTTACTGCCCCATGGATGGTGCTGCATGACTCGTCCTTGTGTAGCCTCATTATCAGGCAGCACTGATTAACATCCGGATGAATATTCTATCATTGATTCCCGTTCTGGCCTCTTTCGAATTCATCGCTAAAACCTATTATTGGTTAATCGAGCTAGCACCTGTGGCGGAGGACGTCATCTAAGTCAATTTGGTACTGGCAACTCCACCACAACTCCACCAGATCCCACTTAAACCCTGGTCTATTTCTTGGCAAATCAGAACTTAGGAAAAAGGGTTTCGGGGGTTTTGGGGGTTAAGCCTTGGAGAACATAATGTTGGATCTCCCTTCTTCCCTTCCCCGAACTTTTGCTATAATCAACCAACACACACCATGCGCTGGTCACTAGCGCTTGCCCTCCTCGCTGGAGTGGCCTGGGCCGAAGATTCCTCCACATCTACTTCCTCATCTTCATCCTCTGAATCCTCTGATTCGACCACCACCTCCTCGTCCCTGGCCCTGAGCGATGCGACCACGGTAACGGACGCCAGTGCCGCCGTACCTACGGGTAGTTACGAGGTTTACAGCACGACAATCACCCTCGCCGACGGGGATCAGCTCACCTCCACCATCACTCAGAACTCCTCCGCGACGACAACCGGCAATGGCACCGTCGTTACAACCACCCACAACTCCGTCACAGTCCTGGTCGGAGGTGCCGGGACCACCACCCTCGGCAATTCTAGTATGAATGCAACTGCGACCACCTCAAGCACATCGACGGCCGTGGCCACCAATACCCGACCATGCAACAGCTACGCCGAGTATTGCGGGCGCAGTTACTCCAACATCACCATGGTTGCTGCGCACAACAGCCCGTTCGTGCGTAAGGGCAATGCTGCCGCCAACCAGGATTTCACTGTGAAATACCAACTGGACGATGGTGTTCGCATGCGTAAGTTCCAATCTGATACGTCGTTGTGTGTCGAAATGTCTCAATTAACCTCCTCTTAGTGCAATTCCAGGTCCACAACCAGAATGGTACGATGGAACTTTGTCATACCTCCTGCTCGATGCTCGATGTTGGTACCTTGGAGGCTTACCTCACCACGGTGACCGAGTGGATCCGCAACAACCCATACGATGTCGTAACTCTCCTAATGGGTAACTACGACTATGTCTCGCCAAGCCACTTCGTGGACCCGATTAAATCATCCGGTCTATACGACTACGTCTACACACCGTCGAAGATCCCAATGGCCCTGGATGACTGGCCGACTCTCTCCGAGATGATTATCACTGGCAAGCGCGCTGTCATCTTTATGGATTACCAGGCCAACCAAACCGCCTACCCGTGGCTGATGGACGAGTTCTCCCAGATCTGGGAAACCCCCTTCTCGCCCACCAGTCGGGCATTCCCTTGCACTGCGCAGCGCCCACCCGGTATTACTCAGGTACAGGCAAAGAACCGCATGTACATGGCCAACCACAACCTGAACATCGAGTTGAATCTCGGCTCCATTGATCTGCTTATTCCCAACTCTGCTGTGCTCAATGAGACCAACGCGGTTAGTGGCTATGGTAGTCTGGGTAAGATGGCAAGGAACTGCTCTGGTAAGCTTTCACCCTAATCCCGTGGATATCACATGATTCTAACATTATTTGTAGCCAAATGGGACCGTCCCCCGAACTTCCTTCTTGTTGATTACTACAACGACGGCAACTTCAATGGCTCCGTTTTTGAGGTCGCCGCGGAGATGAACAATGTCACCTACAACAACCAGTCCTGCTGCGGAACCGCATCTGCTGCCGTTCCTGGCATGTCCGCTGTCACCGTCTCAACGATGTTGCTGGTGGCAGCCGGTGTGCAGCTCTTCCTGTCCGTGGTTTGATCTGAAATGACTTTACGATTTTGTTACAGCTACCCCTTTTGTGTTTCTGGCATCCGCCGTCATCGGCGCCTGGTACTTAATACTTGGATATTGGCACGTTTAGATCGTGTATATATGGAAATCTAGACTAGCATTTTGCGCATAAAAAAAATCAAATAACCAACTCTATATCGAGGTTCTGTTTTTTAATCTATACGTCTATTTCAAAAATGTCAAGGCAGCAAGACAAAGCGCATCAACCCCTGACCTCATCGTCGGCTGAATGACAGGAGCAAAAAGCGCCGAGTGATTCCCCGCAATCTCCTCAGTCGAATTCTCCTGCCCATGCACCCTATCCCAAAGCTCCGCATCAATCCCCCCAATAAACCAAAACCCACACGGAATCCCCCTACAAGTTCCAAGCGTCGAAAAGTCCTCACTAACATTCGTCCTCGGCGTGTCAGCATCGAAATCCCCAAAATGCCCCCCAAACGCCTCCGCTAATCTCTCCGCCACCCCCCGATCATTATCCGTCGGCGGGAACCTGCGCGTAGGCACAAAGACCGGCGGCTTAGGCGACCCACTAGCCATACACTCCGCCTCCACAATCCTCTTCACAGCCGCAATAATCTTCTGCCTAGTCTCCAGCTTCACAGTCCTAAAATCCAACCCTATCTCCGCCCGATCCGCAATAATGTTTTCCGTCTGCCCCGCCTGCAAACTGCCCACCGTAACAACACCCAGGTCACTCGGATCAACCTCCCGACTCACAATCCCCTGCAACCTGACCACAATATGCGCAGCCAATAGCGCCGGATCAACAGTCTGATGCGGGAGTGATCCATGTCCTCCACGCCCAAACACGGTAATCTTCATACTATCCGCCGCAGCCATGATAGTCCCAGGCCGAGATGCCACACTCCCGGCTCTTAGACGCATGACATGCTGCCCGAAGCAGTAATCAGGTAACGGGACTTTATCGTAGAGTCCATCGTCAACCATGGCCTGCGCACCGCCTCCACGCTCCTCATCCGGCTGGAAGAGGACAAGAACTGTTCCGCTCCATTCGGCCCGTGTATTCGCCAGCGTCTCTGCCGCGGCGAGGAGACATGTTATATGCATGTCGTGGCCGCAGGCGTGCATGACGGGTTTCTCGACTCCATCTGCGTCGCGCATTTTCACGGTGCTTGCATAGGGGAGGCCGGTGAGTTCTTTCACGGGGAGAGCGTCTATGTCTGCGCGAAGCAGGATTGTTTTTCCAGGTCCATTTTTAAGGACACCGACTAGACCGTGGCCGCCTATGTTTGTGTGAATGTCATAACAATTGAGGTTTGAGAGATGGGACGCGATTTTTTTGGATGTTGCTTCTTCTTGGAGGGAGAGTTCGGGGTTGGCGTGGAAGTATTTGTAGAGGTCTTCGTATGGGGTAAGATCTAGTGCATGGCTCTTCAGAATTGAAGATGGGGTAGCCATTTTGGTGCTTCAATTGATCAATTGGAAGTGAAAAGGGAATTGTGATTAGGCGTAAGATGGAAGTGTTTTGATTTTATTCTCCGCACTCCGCATGAGTCAATTCTTGGTGGGGTCGGGCTGTTCTCCAAATTACTCCAATTCGCTGCCGCTTTAGTGGTGGTACGTGTTCTAGACTGCTTATCTGAGACAAAAGATCGTGAAATCAGGCAATTACTGTACTTTATCCACAGGCTAATATGCGAAGTTCTTAGATCAGTATATGAGTCAAAATAATCTTATCTGTAAGCTATGCTAGATCTTACTTGGCATATCGGGGGTGGACGCAAAGCTCAATCGATAGAAAAGAAAAAAAAAGGCATACCTGCTGGATCTGCGGTTTTCTGCGCGCAAAATTTAGTACCCTGACGTAGCAGGGATGCTTAGGATATATGGCAGGTGTTGCGAAAGAAGTGAGAATTGTGGGCCTAGAGGCAGTAGTGCGCATTTGTTACACCAAAACGTCCAAAAATCCAAATCAGGCTTGTGCGTGCATATTTACTACATAAATTGGTCAGTATCGTTCCACAGCAGATATGCTAGCCTTGAAGATCAAACTTTCCGTCTCTTGGCATGACAGCCATTTTGTGCCTTAGAATTCAGGCATCAACAAGTTAGAAAGGTCTACTTACAGACTTACAGTATCCTATGAGAACAGAGCAGCATTGTGGCATTCACGAAAGGCTGAATGTTCCCTTCTAACTCAGAGTCGACATATACTCAAATTCGATCATCAAACGGCAATGTATGATTACTCAGCCATGGGTACCCTGAGAATTAAGCTAGGCCCTCCCTACGTGCTAAGAGAAAGCTTGGAAATCATTCCAGAAACAACTATAGAGATCAAGCGAACTTCGAAAATTGTACTTTGGGACCGTCCACGTCGGCCCGGACTGGGAGTGCGGCAGTTATTATGGGCCAAAGTCAAGATCATCCCTGTTCTTCATGGCGTCTACAGATCCGCAGCTCCAGCAAATGACGTATTCCCATCAACAACACGAGGCCAAGAAGGTGTCCACCACAAGCAACCTTGATTGGCGTGATTCTAGAACAGGCGTGCCATACATCCCTGTCTAGCCTCGATCCGCCAATTTGGTATTTAATAAAATGAGTGGCCCCGGTCCCCACTTACGCAACCCTGGGTAAAAAGTACGAATGTGGGAGGTCCGGGGGCCATATCTAAAGTCAGTCTCATGATTCTGATTTCTATAGATCATTTAAACAGTAGACTATAGAGTCGTCCATTCATGTGGAAGAAGGGTAAAAAAATATCTATAAATGATGACGTACATCCGCGGGACTCAAATATCAAACTACCCTTTTGGGCAAGGGGGGAGGCATCACTAGTATAGGGGAGAGTGAGGGGGTTTGACTGATAGGGGCCAGTCCGGGTCTATATAAGCCCGCAGTCCTCCAACTTTGCGAACGACCATCTTTTTCTCCTTTTTCTTTCGCCCATGGCCCAGTGGACCGCATATCGATTTACCCCATGATCTACAAACATGGCTGGCCGAACAATGAACCCCCCGCAATCCTTGGTTGATTCCTCATTCCCTTTCAATCCCCTCTGGGCAATGCCAACAAATAGCCTAAATCCACCGCCCGAATTCCAATCCAACCCTCAAACCATCCAACCTCGCCACTACACGCATTCTACCATGCCTCGCCCACAGGTCCCCTCCGTGAGAGAAAAGCAACTCGAACGGAATCGCATTGCTGCGAACAAATGTCGCGAAAAAAGAAAGCAAGAGCATGCGAGAATGCAAAATGCCCTGGACATCGAAGCAGCCCGACACAAAAACCTGAAAGCCGAGGTGGGGGTTCTGAAGGAAGAAATTTGGTATCTCAAAAACCAGCTCTTTGTTCACGCCAAATGTGACGATCAGTTCATCAATTCCCAACTGGACGAGATGGCTAGTCGATTTACACATGGCGCAGGCGACCCGTTTCGATGCCCTTCGCCTTCATTTTCGGTTAGTACGCGGTCGGACCAGTCCGTAGTGGATCATGGGACGGCGTCAAAGACGGCAATGGATAGAGAGAAGGCACGGGAATTCTATGGTGGTGGATTGTTTGATAGTTTTGTTGATGTACCGAATATGTGAAGTTAATATGGGGAATATGTGGTAGTGGCCGGTTCCAATCCACATATGAAGATCTACTTGATGTCATTCCATCCATTGCACGATACCTACCTGTCTTGGTTTCAAGGGGAATTGACCCCCTGGTTAGCGAGTCTCGTAATTCGTCCGCGGAGACGGATATATACTGTTCCTCAGCATAGACTCGGGTAAAAGCGCCGACCAGTCATATGTAAGAGAGCATTGGCAAATCAAGTTCTTTTGGCCTACTTTCGACTCCTGGCGTTGGAGATCTGCTGGTAAGCAGCCATTAGGCCTGAGCGGGATACTACATCCGGCCCGTCCTTTTACTATGTGGATACTTCGACTATGTGGATACTTTATAGATCAAGATATTTGTCTACAGTATATATCTCAATTCTATTGATGCGTTTGATTTCTCCCTATCCTGATCCACCGTAATCAATTGATTGGTGGATAAGATAGCCGCCTTCCAAGGTTATCAAAAAGCGATGATCGTGCGGGGATACTCTTACGCACTGAATATACAAAAAGTGGAGAACTATTTGTTCTCGGGCGGCTGCTTTGTTTGTTGGTACTGATCTTCTACTAAATCGGTACACGAGAACCGCCGCTGATGTCACCCAATGTAACCGAGCAGATTGACGATCGAGCGACTTAACGGCTGAAGATTCCGCAATGGTGTGGGGCCATATTTGACGTCTTGATTGAGAGCACGGGGGCCCTTCCAAGTTTGGAGTAATTGGAGGTGCTCAATCCACGCTATAGATACCAAAGCAAGCCTGTTGGCAATGGCGCTAATCAAGCCTAAAGCCTAAATTGCCTTTCCGCCAGACCCGTATATTGTGGAAGTAATATAGACCATTCATTTAAAGAAAATGTGTATCTTTCAGAGCACGTGGAAATTTACCGTTTTGTGGCGCGACCGCTAACTGGCTTTAGAGTTATCTCGTGACGGATCTTGCAGATGACCTCCACTCCTTTATAAAGCAGAAGATCAGTGCACTTGGTGCTTTGTGGCAAATTATGATATATCTAACTGACCCATTCGAAGATAGATTCTGATTCTCATCTTCTGATCGAAGATGTGCTTTTCGCTGGCTTGATGCACGCGACCCAAAACAAGGAAATATCCCAGTCAATAAGTAATGCGACTTTCGAATCAGGGCCGTCATTTATATCAGCTCGGTGTCAAGGGGTGCAGGTGACTGACCATGTACTAATTACATTGTTGCTATAACAGAGAAAGGATTATTGTGATGTATAGCTACATTTTGTTGGTCCGACTTCTACGTGGGCAGTCTGATAGGGGCGGTGGATGTGTACTAGCAGAAGCCGCACTCTGCAGCAAGCCCCTGACACTTTCTTGTCGCCGATCTCAAACCCCATGATGGCCGATGAATCATCGAAAGGCTGTATCACATGCGGATGGACACTCGAACAACAAGAACAATGCTGCTATTCCAGCCACGTCAAGCTCTTCTACAGTGCAAGCAGACGAGGCGCTTGGTCGATTGGATCCGATGTGGTTGTGAAAGAGCGCTCTGACGAAGGGCCACAGACTGAAGTAGACACAGTCTATTACCTTGCAAAATACCCCAATATCCCGGCTCCAACGGTTATACGTGACTGGGTAGACGGCGACGGGAGATACGTTGTCCTTCAGGAACGAATCCAGGACAAACGCTCGAACAGACCTAGCCTTCTATATCGGAATCGCAGAAATAGCCATCGCAGATCAGGTCGTAGGAGTTCGTCATCAGCTATGATCTATCACCTCGGCGTCCATGGGAAGTGTCGACCAAGGCCTTAGTTACCTGGCATTATTTTCTTTGACAGCGAGCCATACGGCCTCTTTCACTCCGATCTTGAAATGTGGGAAGTTTTAAGCATCACTCTTCATGATCCACCTCGAAAAAACAACCTCGCAGAAAGCCCTGGAGTATTTGATGAAACTGATGCCTAGCTGTGAGCCGTATGTCCTCACTCATTGCGATCTCAATTTGGGTAATTTGACGGTTAATGATGGAGACATGACCGGTATAATTGATTGAAAGGTTTCTGCTTATTACGCTATCTGGCATGAAGATGTCTTGGCTTCTTGGGGATGGACTGAAAATGATGCCGAGTGGAAAAAGCTGCTTCAGAAGCGTTTGGAATCTCATGGTGATGCAGGTGGGCATGACGATGTAAAGACTTTCTGGAAAGATCTTCGACTTTTGAGAAATTATCCAAACTTGGATGAGAAGGGCCGAAAGATCAAGGAGTGATCGAGTGTAGATGAATGAGATCACAATTGACAGCTATTACCTTTACACATTCTTAAGTAATCTCATGCCTTATAAATGTGGCAACATGCTCGAAGGGTTGTCTTACGAGACATGAAGAGAGTCAATGTTCTACCTGCCTTTGAGCTCAATACATAGTCCTATCAGATAAGATTTGTTCAGTGTCTGTATATTTGATTATTTTAGACCTGATATTAACCACAATATAGACATATGTAGACAAAAGCGGGACAATCAAAATAAATTAGATGATCCTCATTCTTTCCCTTTTTCTTTTCTGATTGTGGTGTAGAGCTGACGACGTTGCGGCTGTGTTAGTTTGCGGTGAAGGTGCATAGTACTAATACGTTTTCGTGCTGCGCTATTTTCGTTAGCTTCAAATCTTCCAACTTCTGGTACGCACTACTTTCAGGGTAAAGTGGGGACTGGTGGATCGGCGCGATTCCTAAGTAATACCGATCACCACATGTTCTTCCGAACGCCTAAATTTACGCTACAAATCTTAGTTTTTCGTGATAGAATGCTTGGCTTAATACACTAGACGTGATAAGCAACAATAAAGTAGAAAGTGACGCCCGATGACGCCATGAGTTGGAAGTATATATCACGTGATGTTGTTTTCAGACCGACGATCTGGTTCAGTGACCCCGCGCTCCCCTGATCGGTGTTCACCTAATGATTATCTGATCCTGATTTTTCGACAAGCTTTAATAAACTTCACAAATCCCACCAGTCATCATGGGTTTCATGGGTCACCATGATCTCGCTCCTGTGGTCGAGCCTATCGCCATTTTCAACCAATTCGTCGCGAAGGAGCCACAGACGATAGTTCTCAGAGAAAAGGTGCTCTCCGTCTCTGGAGACAGCTTTGATATCAAATTGGCCAATGGCGAGACGCTTCTGAAAGTGCACGGTTCCTGGATATCACTTTCTGGTCGCAAGAAGGTCGAGGACGCCCATGGCAAACACCTGTTTGATATTGTCAAGGAGCATTTGCATCTCCACACGACCTTTGCGATTGAAGACACCCACGGCAAGAAGATTTGTGAGGTGAAGAGTAACCTTACATGTAAGTGCCGTCGTTGGTAATTGGATCATTTAATACATGTCACTAACTGCAAGTAGTGGTCGGCTCCAAAGCCACCGCCACTTTCACTGATGCTAACGACCATGCAAAGACTTTCAATATGAAGGGAGGCTGGTTCGATCACAGTGCTGATATTGTTGACCATAAGACTGGCCAAACTGTTGCTCGTGTTGACCGAAAACTGCTCAGTGGCCGTGATCTTGTGTTCGGCCAGCAGACCTACGCCGTTGTTGTGGCGCCTGGCGTGGACGCAGCACTGATCGCTGCCATGTGTATATGCTTCGATGAGAAGAACAATGAGGAACGTGGCGAGTAGCCATATGAAGTTACATTAGATGGCATGTGATTGCGGGAAAGGACTAGCTGAGCCCGCTCTCTTATCATGTCTCAGAGCGGCTGTTGAGGTAGTCATTCAAGCATTTGACGCGCTATATTTGATCAAAAATATTTGAATTCATCATGCAATATGGACTGAACATCCCACCAACTCAACGTGGAAGCTTGAAGGTAGTAAGGTAGTCTCGGCTGCAAATATAGATCTCTCATCTCATACCAAGACTACATTTCGTTTCGAACATTGCTTGAAGTCGTGATGAATTATATTCCAGAAAGTGCTCTAGTCCATTGAGTAGCCCCATATCTGATTTAGTAATTTCCCACGCTCTCCACTCCAATGTTTAAAGCATATGCATATAGATTGATAAAGCCCTTTGAGACAATCTCAGGGACACCTAAGACTCTTACATGGTGACTGACTGAATGGAGTGATGCATATATGGTCGGCTTCTAAGAATGCGGGTTATTACATCCGAAGAAGATTGGTCGTCTCTCAACATCAGCTTGCGAAGGTGATAGACTGAAGCGGGTAATCATTAGGCCCTACTAATATATAGAGCCCAGGTGAATAAACCATCAGAGGACGACCATCATTCCCACCGGATTTCTCAACTATTCGGATTTGAACCGAATCAACTTCACGTCACAGGCCAACCCCAAATGAAGTCAAAAACCCACACGAAACGGCATTCAACTGAAAACTAGATAACTGAAAACTAGATGTAGACCATTCCTATGGCTCACCCTAAAGGTTGTCACATCTATCGCGCGCAGGAAATCGTGAATAAAGGCATTTGCGATCGAACGGGAGCTGCCCACCACCTTCCAAGTCATCGATCCAACCGCAGATTCGAATGAGTGCATCAGCTTTGCACTCTAACAGACTATTTCCAGAAACCTGAAAGGACCAACGTTCATGGTCTATCACAGCATCAGGGAACTCTTCCAGCGTATACTCGTGGGATAGAATGCGGGTCTGAAAGGCATGTAGAAGCTGCATGTCGCTCATGCTGTTGTCCAATTCCTTGATGAGAATGTTGATATACATCGTAGGTAATCAATGCGCGGCTTAGAAGATTGGTCTGGATTATCCAGGGTCGTTTTGGTCTTAGTGGCCCTGCAAGCCAAGTGTTTTGTTTTGCTAGACTGGCGTTGGCGTGATAAGCAGGTAAAGATAATTGAAGATACTGTAGTTGTCACTGTTGTGAGGGCTACTGTCTAGAATATATCTCAGGTGTTTATATAATTTCTGTAGACAATGAAGAATTAGTGAAGTCGAAGTTTGAACTGACAAATTGATACAATACATTAAAGCAAGACATTCAATGGCCGTGCTTTGTACACAAGATTCTTTTGAGCGTGGGTATACTTCCAATCAAAACCTCAGGCCACAATCACATGACCCCCGCAATCATCACCAAATCCAAATCCAAATCCCACCGCCGATCAGGCCAATTGAACCACACCACCTCAATTCCTCCTCTCGTCCCGCGAACAAAGGCATCACCGCAAATCCCAACCACAGCGAGGTCTCCACCCCTCGCCAACAACCACCCAAAATGGTCGACATCGTCCCGCTCAGCTCCTACCCCTCCTACATCGACCTCCTCCCATCAATCCAGACCTGCAACATCACCAACCTTCCCGAGAACTACTTCTTGAAATACTACCTCTACCATGCCCTGACATGGCCCCAGCTGAGCTTTGTGGCGATCGTTCGGCCGAAGGGCGGGTACAAGGCTGGAACTGGAAGAGGTGCTGCGGGCGATGTCTCGGGACAGTACCCCAAGGTTGTGGGGTACGTGCTTGCGAAGATGGAGGAGGAGCCTACGGATGGAAAGCAGCATGGACATATTACCAGTTTGAGTGTTATGCGGACGCACCGGAGATTGGGAATTGCGGAGCGCCTGATGCGCATGAGCCGTAAGTTTTTTTCTTGGTTTCTTTTTCTTTACTTGGAGACTCTCGTGGCACAAAAATAGCTCTGCGGACTAGAATTATTGGAAGGTACGAGATCGCTAATTTATTTGCTGTTTATAGAAAGAGCCATGGCTGAGTCCCACCGCGCAAACTACGTCTCGCTCCACGTGCGTGTCTCCAACACAGCTGCGCTGCGCCTATACCGTGATACTCTTGGCTTTGAGGTTGAGAAGGTCGAGGACAAGTACTATGCTGATGGCGAGAATGCGTATGCTATGCGCCTGGATCTTACGGGCCTGTGGATGGACTGGAAGGCCATTGAGGCGCGGGACCGGGAGAACGAGAAGAACGATGATGATGCACAGGATGAGGGTGAGGAGGTTGGCGAGCTAGGCAAGAAGGACGATGCCAAGGATCAGGAGCGGATGGTCAAGGTTAAGATTGGACGTGCTTTGGGAGTTGGTGACTTGGTTGAGAAGAATGAGTCGCAGCAATAATAATCTTGATCGGATTATTTATCTGTTGCTAATGGGGCTTTTTGCAAGGTCTATATAGTCTGTCATGGGTCAACGCTATGCATGTCTGCAACATTGGAATGGATACATGAGGTGAGAAGACCTCCGGATGAATCATTAGAACATATCCAAATGAGCGCAACCATGTTTGTACTTCGAATTGAAAGAATGTACATATGCCCCAAACGCTCAAAATACAAAATGGAAATCATTCCAAATGCAAGGGATTCGTAACGTCATTGGGCTAGCTCGAGTGGCTGCCTTTCCAAATCGTACTCGCCAATATTTACCGCTAAAAAATGAAAAAGTAAACAGAAAGCCTTAATCCTTCCCCTTCTTCTTCGAAGATGACTTCTTGTCAGATCCTTCGTCTCGGGATGCCGCAGAGTCACTTTGCTGCGGCTTCTTGGAGAGGCGTGGCTTCAGCTTGTCCCTTAATCTTGTCTGTGGGGCCGATTTGCCCTTGCGATCAGGAAGTTCGCTCGGAAACCCCTGCATGCTAGCCTGAGAGGAAGAAGGCGTATTCGAGCCAGGGGTGCTGGTTCCCGAGCTAGTCTCAGCACGCATAGGCGGAATCCTTGAATTAGGGTAAGAAGTCTGAACAGCAGGTGCCGTTTGCGCACGAGTGGGAGCTTGCTGAGACTCGTTGAGCGCAAGATTCTCCATGCGCCCAGCCAGGGCACCCTCATCCTTCTTTTTGCTACTGTCCATAGACCAATGATGCTTTCCATGGCCAGGACTATGGCCATGGCGTCGATGATTTTTATGAGCCCGTCTTAGACTGTGATGCTCTTCACGCGCTCGGCGAACCACATCCCGAAAAGCCTTCTTGGTGGCACGATGTTCCTCTTTGAAGGCGCGACGTTCAGCAGCCTGCCGCTGTTGCTGCTCAGGTGAGTCCCATCGACCCCAGTCACTATTATCAGGTTTGGGGATTTGTTGATTTTGGTTCTTGGCCCCAGGACGCCAATTCGACCGGCCAGAGAATCGTGCCTCGCGGCGAGACACTTGTAGAACGTCGAGCTGACGGCGAAGATCAGCCGCTGCGTCATATAGAGTACGGTCGTGCCGGTCGTTCAAAGATTGGAGCTGGGTGCGGACTGTGGCTAAGTCCGAGGCATCGAGATCAGAAGTGGTAGATAGGGAGTCGAGAGAGCTGAGAGACGATTGGGATGATGCAGAGCTGATGGATAGGCGGCGCGTTTTTTCGGCGAGAGCTATGTCTTTGGCATCATTTTGGCTGCGGCTCTGACTTTGACTGTGAATTTGACTTTGATCTTGATTTTCAGCTTGAGTTTGGGGCTGGCTTTGACTTCTGTTTTGAGTAGTGGTTGCAGCCATGGCTGTGGGTTGCGCCGGAGGTTCGGTTGGCGACGGTTGCACCGGAAGTTCAGTTGATGAGGGTTGGGTTGGGGGAGTTGGCGTATTATACAGAGACCCAGTTGTCTGACCAGGGGGCCAAGGAGGCCGAGGAGGATAACCAGTCGGTTGGTATGCATCTGGCTTTCGACCAAATCGAGCCTGCTCTTCGACCCATCGACCATGTGCTAAGGCTTGTTCCTCAACCTGCCGGCCGTAGTGCATAGCCTGTGCGCTGATCTGATCACCATAATGTTGGGCCTGCTCTGCAAAGCGCTCGCCGTATTTCTGTGCTTGAGCTGTGATATTTGAAAACCAACCAAATGCACCCTTGGAGGTACCAGAGTTCTCATTTTGAGGTTGAGCGTACGCCCAATTATTCCATTGCCAGGGTGCGACGCCTTGAGGCGGATGTGGAGGGTAGTGACCGTGACCCGGGAACTGGGGAACACCATATGGAGCTCCGTACGGCATGGTACCAGGAGGGAGTCCATATGGAGCAGCTGGGGCATAAGGCCAAGCTGTTGGCGACTGCGACTGGGCATACTGCCCTGGCACAGGGGATGGCGTGTTTGAGCTCCATGGAGACTGTCCTTCTGTAGAAGCCGGGGCTCCATTGCCCTGTGTCGCCTTGGTTGCCGCAGGGTAACAATGGGGACACAGTGCTGACGAAGGAGCTGCATCGGGCTCTCCAATATAAGCAAATGTAATGTTAGTGGCGCGAGGCTCGAAAAAGCATTGATTCCATTCATCAACCACCGCCACAATGCGAGCTTGTCGCTGGTCATCTGTCTCCTGAGGCCTATCCTTGCGGTCCCGCTGGATCTCCGCTCGCAATTGGCGGGGGAGATGTTGCGAGGAAGCAGCTAAACCTAATTCGGGCGGGAACAGGTAGCGCAGGAAGGTGTCCCAATCCTGTTGGGATATCTCGTCCGTACGGGATGCCCAGCAGCGAGGCCGTCGGGGAAAGTCCTTTGCTTGGCTGCGGGGGTATATAGTCATGTGGTGGTGCAGAATGCTCCGACTGTCGTCCAGTACGAGTGGGGGTCTCTCCTCGAAGTAAGCCACGGCGGAAGTGAAATGGATGGGCACAATGGCAGGCGATGTTGGAGGTAGCTCAGCAGTCCGAGAGCTGCCGGCGCCTGATGACCCTGCATTATTCCTGCGTAAAGGAGCTGAATTTCGTTGCGAGGTATTGTTCCTGTTATTCGCCGGCGGTTCTAATGGATCGACAGCAGAGTAGGGCGGTGGGGCCTCCTCCTGGTCCATTTTGAGACTTTTTTCGCAGTCAATGCGTAAGGGACGGTGGGTATATGCAATGGGATCCCACTAATGGTCTTCAAAGGATCGCGGGTATCTGGCAGCCCGTCACAGCTCGCCAGCCATGTTGCGATAGGGTAATAAGGTTACCAATTCGAAGGCAGCAGGATTCTGAAACCTGGGAGGTTTGTGAGCGGATAAAGCTTGGCATGGGAACTAGTCTCCGCTATCTTCTTACGCTGCATGTGATCGAGCACTGAGGCGTATTGGTAACCTTGAACTCTGTGTTGTGAGAGATGGTAACTGGAGAGAAGGTCGGAGATGTTGGAAAGGCGGAGTACGATAAGATAATCACGGGTTCCGCGGATTGCGACAGAACTCCACCGAACCTATATAACCCTCGGATTGGGATGAGAGAAAATGCGCATTGAAATGAGTAAAATCATGGATGATTACCTGGGTAGGACTAACAAAATCTCTAGGAGATAAAGTCATGATTATGTGGTGAGATAGCGGGGTAGTCCAACCTACATAAGCCATAGGGCTGAGTCCACCCGATCGACAATCCCTTAATGACGATGCACATTAATTATTCGCTAGAAACTCTAGACCCGCTCTACCCACTATTTTCCTTGTTGCCAGCCCGGCATTTTGCACACGATACGTATGTACAACCATGAGAAAATCTAGAAAGAACCGAACTTCAGTCCCACGCGTCTCCCCATCCATCATCCCCATCTTCATCCTTCGGCTTGGTATCAATCTTCTTAGCCGGTGCAGCCACAACGCGCGGCTTGGGAGTGGCTTTAGCGACAGTCACATTGGAAGCACCTGCCTTGCCGAGACCCTTAGGTAAAGGTTTCTTGGTTTTAGCTTGGCTTTTAGCAGCCAGCCACCCTGCAAAGTCAGGCTCACCACCGTCGTCGTAAGGCACAGCAGGAGATTTGTTTGCTGAGGGATCAGGCGATGAAGGGCTCGGGGAGGCCACGGCGGCAGTAAATGGGTCTACTTCTTTTTCCTCATCGTCCATAGCACCCCAGGCATCGAATACATCATCTCCTTCATCTTCCTCCGGAGGTTCATAAACAGCTTGCGGAGGGCGGTCGGACATAGACCGACCTAGCGGCTGGGCAGTGGGGCGTAATGTCTGTTTGGGCAACTCAAGCTGCGTGGAAGGAGATGATTTGGCGGGGCGGGGAACAGATGCAGACCGGGTATGGTCGGGTTCAGCAGGGCTGGCGACCCCAGCGGTTGGTTCAATCTCGCCATTGGCAGTTGCGATTTTGTTGGTGAATGATGAAATTGCCCATCCAGCCCAAGACTTATCATTCGAGTTACCGGGTCGGGGATCGGACTTAATGGGTTCTGCTTCTGTGGGGGCAGTGGGTGGAAGCACTGTGTCTGCCATTGTGCTGCCAAATTTGCGAACCCGTTGGATGTAGAGATCGAGGGTTTTGTTTGCTTGGTCCCGAATAAGCCTAGACGCGGGTCAGCACAAGAAGCAAGAAATGTTAAGGCTTCTTGACTTGACTTACTTTTCCTTGTCTAATAAGGATGGGCAGATTGCAGGCAGAATTTTCCCAGCACAATCTTCGTCGGTGAAGACATCTATCGTTGCAGCCAAAGCAAGCAAGCCCGCAACTCGGGCGTGCGCGAAGGGGTCACGGATAGACCTTGTAAACGCAGCAATAAGGACCTTAGACCGGGTCTAGAGCAACGTCAGTAACAAGTCATCAAGCCATGCTTGAGGAAACGTACACTTTGTCCCAGATTTTTCGCAATCCGTCCAAGACAGATGGTAGTGTTTGTCCGAATACCAGGTTGCTCATCGTTAGCAGTACGAGCCAAGAATTTGAGCAATTCTCCATTGACCACTCGATCACTCAGTTTATTGATGACGGAGAGCACAGCCTTGACAGTCTGTTCTCGCACCACCGGGGCAACATCGGTAAATCCGGAGGTCTGATAATGTTAGCGAAGTTCTTAGAAGTGGGTGCTTACAACTTACCATTTGGGGGAAGATCTTGTCATTGACAACCTTCTGGGGAAGATTATCAATCATCAAAGGCAAATTGTCCAACAAGCATACACGGAGTGCTCGATCGGGATTGCCAAATAAGCGCACAACGACAGGAGTCAACTTAGCATTGAACTCGTCTGCCGAAAGCTTGGAGCCAATCTTCAAGGTAGCACTAAGAACCTTTGGTCCACCGCCACCAAACTCAACAGACTTAAGTAACTCAGGGAGAACTTTCATCTTGAAAAAGTCCTCGGGAAAGTCATCGGATAAGTTATCAAGTTCACTTCTTATAGTTAGCAGCTAAACTCACCACTTCAACCAGAGATAAACTTACTTAATGAATTCTTCCCTCTCGGCATCAGTTTTGAGACCTAGACTCTCCATATCCTCCGTCAACCGAATTAACGAAGTCTGGAAGAAACCGCCATGCTTTTTCCCTTGCTCAACAAAATGACCTGGACTCAATCTAAGTTTGGGGTTTGCAGTACAAAGACGTTTGTAGCTTTGATGCATGCTTGGGGGAACATTTGTTGTCTTGCCGATCTGATCACCACCAGAAAACTGGCCATTGAAAACCTCGAAAATCAAAACTCCCAAGCCATAAGCATCAACTGCTGTCAATGGATGGCGCTTGATGACTTCCCAGCCGCCTTTGACCACTTCCGGAGGTGTGTATCGAGCTGCATCGGGTACAATGCTTCCATACGTCTGTTTCTGTTAGCTTAAAAGGGTCACATTTCGTCGGCTTATCCCTTACTAACATATATAATGGCATCATCTTCCTTCATCGAGCTCAGGATATCAAATCCACCTAACTTCCACTCCCCGCTTTCACTTGTGTAGACCGAAGACGCGCGAACAGCACCATGGACAGAGGATGCATCTTCGTTGATAAACTTGAGCGTAGACTAGTGCAGCAAGGCAGATCAGCACACCTTTTTCATAGGTATATTGCAGAACAGTACGTACCGAGACAGTATATAGACCCCATTTTGCAGTCTCCTCGCTCAAACTCCGACGCTTGACCTGCCATGAAAGCGGCACAACTCGTTCGGTAACGATGTAGAGAGTTGACTCGGTCTGAGGACAAGATTAGCCTCTAAATTCCAACATGCAACCCAGCCAACACAGCAAGGCCAGCAGCAGGCCGATATACCTCGATTGTATCCAAAACCTTAATCACACCCGGATGGCGCAAGGTCCTCGATTTCCGCACCGCATTCTTCGCCAAGGGGAGACGCGACTTATTCGCCGCGATATCGAATGTGAACACACTGCACGCTGAGCTGTCATCCTAATTCCACCAAGGAAGCCATCAGCCTTGTTGTCCGAGGTTATTTCGGGGTGAACAGAGAACCACCCTACCCGTTTCGTACCGTTGTGCAAAGTCCAGATCGAGTCACCAATATCCACTCTATCGCCGAGAGAAAAGGGGAGCGAGCTGCCTTTTGCTATCGCGGATGCGACGGCGGATTTGAGGAAATCCATGGCCGCGGGATGCTTGTTGCCCGGTGGTTGCGGTGTTGTTTTGGAGGCCCCGGGGGCTTTTGCGGCTCGATGGCCAAGGGCTATTGTTCGAGAATTGGAGTAGGAGGTTGTAAGGAATGGCTTTAAATCCAGTGAAGGTGTTTAGATCCGGAGATAGTGTGACAGGGGGGTTATGAGTTATGTGGTTGAGCTGGAAAGTTGGATGCGGGCCCCGCCTTATCGGCCTAAGCTGGCCTTTGATTAATTTCGCAGGGTCCACCTTGGTTTTGTTTCTCTAAGCTTCCCAAGCTCTTCCTCACACCACCTTGCACGACATAATGATGTCCACCTTTTCTCTTGTTACTGACCCTTTGCTGAATTACTGATCACGCAGGCCTTCCACAAATCCTTTAAGCACTTCGGTATGTTGACCCTCGATCTCTACCCCAAGCACCACAACAAGCGACTTCGTCGCGTCTCCAGTGATGACTACCTGGTAAAAGGTCAGACTCCACAAAGAACCGACAAACCATAACATCCTATCCATACCGAAGGTACTCTCATTCTTTCACAACTCCTCCAGACTCTCGAGCTTCCCCGCAACGCATCGACCTTGTTGAGCTCATTCCACTTGGACCCAACTCATACGCGGTGCTCCACTACCTGCTTTGATTTTGCAACCTACCGTCGTCGCGTGGCCCAGGCTTATGCCTGGCTCACAAATTCGAACTTTATGCTTCAACTCTCAACTCTTCAGCAAGCGCACATACATGGCAAAAAGGCAGAAGGTCAAGCCAAAAGTCTATGGTTTCCTCGTTGAGGCACCACAGGTTCTTTCCTCCTCTCTGTCCCTTGAGGATCGACAGGAGGAGAGGACCGTGGTGGGCCTTGGGAGTTTCCATGTATATATACATACATTCTTCCATGTTTACATGGGGGTACGTTGGGCCGTTTTCTGGGGTTCCTAAGTCTGCTTCGCTTCCATGAAGACTGATAGGAACCAATGGCTACGGTCTATATATGAAAAACGGGAGTCTTCAGGCTCTTTCATTGCGCGAAGAGTTGCAGGTTTTGGTGTGAGGAACGGGTCAGACGCGGCTGAAAGCAGGAGATAAGCGGGCAAGTGGTCGGTTATTGCGAGCTGTGGTTCTTGTCGGGGCACGGTGGGCTTGCTCCTTGTTGATGTGGAGAGGTTGAGTGTTTGGTTTGGACAGAAATTTTGAGGAGCACCGCGGTGGATAAGGCGGGTTTGTCTGGGACTTGAATGATGACTCAAATAAACTGAAAAGACCTGAGGAGACATGCTTTTGTTTGAAGATTGCGCTTGAAATGAGAAAAGTCTTACTAACTTCTGCAATAGATCTGGTCCGAGATTCATTCGAATATCAAGCGTAACGTTATGCCAAACAAAGTATCTTTATCGTTCAGACTACATGTTCAAAAGACCAAATTTAACTTGATATAAATCCTTTCATTGGCATCCCACAGGAGCACTAGCGATCACTTGGAGACTACACACCGTCCGTACATACCACGCCTACTACTGCTCGTAATCGGCTTGAAATTCCGACCACTATCTCATCTGTTGCTGAAACAACCTGTCACACCTCTCACACTTCTCATGCCGATCCGCTGGAGGCAGGAAGCCCAACCTTCAGAGCATCCAGGCATACACAATATCAACAACCAGAAAAATAAAAAGGGAACAAGGGGTAAAAAGGAAGCAAAGAAGGGAAAGAAATGCAAATCTCGACCAGGCCCCCTTCAACTGCCAGTCTTGCCATAAGGAACAGCCCTGACAAGGAGGAGGCTCTGTGATGGTTCGTAAGATGTCAATGGCAGTGGCTGCATGCTGCGCAATACAGTAAGATTTCACCAGCAAGTATACCACCGAGCCCACGGCTCTGGGGGTTAAGTAGACAAGATAGATAGGACCACTCATTGAATCTGGAATCAGATTAGAAAGTGCCATTGACGTAAGACAAAAGACAAGTCCATATTACCTGTTAAATCCCATGGATGTGTGCATCATCGCTTGGCACACTAGTGTGATTATCACAGCTCACAGAAAAGACGAAAGCCAAGATACAGGTGGCCGGGGTAGTTTGTCAACCGAAGATTGACGACGGCGCAGATGTTCATCGCCAAAGTCAGAGGGCGGCGATAAATATTGACATTGAAGGGAGAAGCTCCGATATTTAATCATAGTATGTAGCTCATTTGCCTTCATCGGTCGCCTCAGCGGAGTGAGTTCCAGATCCAGAGGTGGCGGGGGTGTTGGAGGCCATCTGAGGGGGTATCTGAGGAACTTGGTTGAAGTTATTGCTTGGGGCGCGATGCTGGTTCGGAGGGAAATGGTGTGCCTGGTGCGGGCTGGAGGAAAAGTGTGGCTGTTGGGGGTAGCCACCACGACCAGGCGCTGGGACGAATAAATCAGATAAAGTTATGTTTTTTTTGAACGTGAAAAAGGTACTAACCGTGTCCCGGCTGTTGACCTCCGTATCCAGGCTGGCCAGGAGACATGAACATCATTTGCTGAGGTGGCTGGCCGGACTGCGAGTTCTGGTGCATCATCATAGGGGCGCCACGGCTTGGGCTGGGGTAGCCGCTATGAGGCTGAGGCGGTGCGTGCTGTGGATACGCGTGGCCTGGAGATGGGGAGTACATCTGCATCTGAGGTGTATAGGGGGACATACCCTGAGGCACACCCATATAAGGACCGTTAGACGGCTGTTGCACCATCATAGGAGCTCCCATCTGAGGGTTTACAAATTGTGGACCGTGACTACCTTGGTAATGTCTCATATGAGCAGGCTGCGGACCCCCATAAAATTGCGGCATTGGCTGTCCAAATGCAAGCTGTGCCGGGGGAGCCATAGGAGAGGGGTATCCCATGTGGCTCTGTTGCATGCGAGGGGAGGGGAAGACTTGAGATGAGGATGCAGAAAGCTGCATACGGTGATGATCATCCACGTGAGGGCCGTGGGGGTGATGGGCATGTGGCCCGTTCGGTGGCCCAGAAGAGGGCGGCATGCCAGGGTTGCCCTGCTGGAACTGGAACGACATCTGGTGCTGTTGAGGGAGGTGGGGGTTGTTGGAAGCAGACCGACCCTGAGGCGATGCGGACAGCCCTCCCGAATTCTTGAACATCTGATCATAGGTCTTTTCCTCGTTACCCTCAGGGGCATCCCATGTTGGCAGAGTCTTGTAGGGAGGCGGGATACCACCGTTGAAGATGACAACCCTCTCTGCCGACTCAGCACTCTCTTTCTTCATGCGTTTGATGGGGTTGAATTGATCATCAATAGATGGCCGATCAGAAATGGGGAGAGGCTTTCGAGTTCCGAAAAATGTGGAGGGAGTGGTTGCCCGTGACAAAGAGCGGTTTCGCGAGAAGGGGCGTGGGCTAGCAGCGGGGCCTCCCGAAGGAGCACCACCAGGAGTAAAGGTATTAGCAGCCGGATTCGGCTTGAACTCCATGGCGCGAACATTGAACTTGGCCGCAGCAGAAGTCTGGGTCTGGGTCTTTCCAGGGCTCATGACTCTAGGCTGCTCGCTGGCCGGACCAGTGGGAGGTCCACGAGCATCCTGGATAGGTAGCGGAGTAGGAACAGGGCCCATAGCAGCAGCTCCCTTACGTTGCTGCAGGTTATCGGCCAGACGGTGACTGAGCATACCCGTAGCGGGACGACCAGGCTGCATTGGCTGCTGAGGAAATCGACCACCTGGTCCGGCAAGTGGACCTGTGGGTAGATACCCTTGGCGACCGCGGGGGAAGTTCTGGCGATCAGACGGCGCTGCAGGGGGGGCAGGACCAGTGGGTGCAACGGGACGACTTGCGGGCTTTTGTTCGACAGGCTGGGCAACAGCTTTCGTGGGTGATTTAACATCCCCGGGAGTCTGGACTCGGTTAATGATAGCTTCTTGTCTATGCGGATCCTTCGCCAAGATTGGCACCAAGTCCTTTGGCACAGGGGTCGAGAGCTTAAAGTTCTTCGAAAACTTCATTAGCTCGTTCAATTTGACCGTCCGATCATACGATGCCTGGTTACGCCGACGCTCTTGCATCTTCAACTTTTCGCTATTGGCGAACTGACGGAAATGGTCAAGCACCTCCGTTTCCACATTTGCGGTGGCATTCTCAGCAACTGGTCGCTTCACAGCAGCGGGGACGGGAGCAGGTGTGGACGCCGGGGCATTGCCCGACGTCGTCTTTTGTTCGGCTTCAGCAACGGCCTTGGTAGGTGCCGGCGTCTGCGGTTTCTCTGCAGGAGCAGGCTCTTTCGTCGGAACCTGAACTGCTGCAGGAGTAGGAGCAGGCGCCGGTTGCTTATTCGGGGGTGCAGGAACCCCAGGTTGTCTGCGGCCCGGAGGTGTGTATCTGTTCGGCTGGCCTGAAACGAGAGGCTGGAAAGCCTTACTATCGCGATGAACACCACTGTATTTGGCCTCCTCGTCTTCGTCGTCACCAGTGGCTGGGGCCACATGACCTCTCTCCTCACGCATGTGGGCGTTGTCGGTGTCAGCGCCTTCGATCTCACGCGCAATACGAGCCGCCTCTACCTGCTTCTGGCGGAAGGATGGATCCGAACGGTCAATGGCAGTTGTATATATGTTTTCGTCGTAGCTGGTCTTGGCACCAAAAAGTCGTTCATTGGTCTCAAATTGATCCCAATTAGACGAATCGCCTGTGGTGCTCTCCAGCGACATGTCAACGTCCATCTCAGTCGGTTCCCAGCGCTTCAATGTACGCTCCCGCATCGCGAGATTGCCAGAGATGTCACTGTCGGTTCTGAATCCACTTGCTCCTGTACAGCACATGTCAGCATAATGTCACTTCTGACCAGGCTCTCATATTTCTTACCATTTGACTCCTTAACTGACACCTCCGCAGGGACGACATTTGGCACCGATATATCTGCAACATCCCTAATGTCAAATGACATAGCATGGTCAATTCCAGTCCCTAGATAGGGACTGGCCACATCGCTTGCGCCGTTGGTCTTGGACTGATTCTCGTCCGCACGTTGCACCATCTTGAGGGAAAACGACGAATCACTTGATTCCAGGGTCGATGATGAGAAGATACCCGTAAACTTGTCACCGTTCTTTGTGGTGATAGTAGTCCGCAGGCCCTACAGCAGCTGTGTCAGTACCAATCGTGCATTTACGATCGAGGAGCCGTCTTACAATGAAACTAGCAAATAGGAAAACCAGGCGGTCATGAGCATGACTGTCGGGGGTGTTCGACTCCTTCTGATTCGGACGGGGAGAGCCCGACTGTCGAGCCATGTTTCCGTTGGATGAGGAGTGGGAGGAGCGTTGCGTGATGGGGTTGGTTCCTTGGGTCCAGGCCTTGTGTGAATTTGTGCGCCTAAGGGTAGAACATGCTTCGGTCAGTAGGTGCAACCATCAATCATAAAACAGGAAGACAGCAGAGTGAATGTTGCCCCCGGTCCCGGGGTCCGCAATTGGCTCTCGATGGCACACAATGCCTGGCCTGTGCCTCAGCTCGCAACGAAAGGGCACGTGCATAGACGCAGTGACTGAGGGGCCGGAGTGAACAGGATGAAAATGAAGGACAATGCACCATATCGCCGGTCTTCAATAGCAGGTAAAAGCAGCGGAATGGTGGGTTGGTGCTAGTGGAGCGAGTGGATGTGGGGGTGGGAGTTCTAAAGGGAGGGACGTACCGTTGACCACCATCCCCAGGACTGCCAGACTGTCGGCGACCGTCCCCCTTGGTGCTGGCGCTTGGCCTCAGTGAAGGCCTGCCAGAGTTCTGTGCATTAACAGCATTGCCAGATGCGCTGTTAGCAGCTGGCACGGAGTTGAGAGTAGAAGCCATTGATTGACTCGGGTGGTCAAGTCAGGGCAGGCTTGCGGTCGTGGAACTTCACACGGAAGGTCCGCGAGGATGAGGCACGGAGCCACTCTCACACCGCCTGCACAAACAAGACGTGTTTGGAAGGAGGGGAAAGGGAGTCGAAACACAATCACAACCACACAGACACTCAGATAGAGGAGTCCAATGGCAAGGAAAATATTAGAGAGAAGAAGAAGGGGGAAGATGGAGATTCAAAAATGGGGATTTGTTTGGGGAAAGCAGGTCAGGTGCGAGAGTTGGTAATGTACGGTACTGGTGCGACCCTGATTGACAGCGGGATCGCTTTTCTATGGGGTTGACAAGGAATGGATCATGCCCTGATGTAATGCTTCTTACTTTACTTTGCCTTACTAGGCTCATCAGAGTAATGATTTCCTATCACTCTGTAAGACCTATCCATTTCTACCAAATTTCATCCTACCATTTCCCTCTTATTCACCAAATCGCCTTTGTTTTCCTCTGTGTTAGCTATATGTCTTTTGGGCTCCAACCCTGCGCCGGTTCACTTGTCAACCACGGTACTATAAGTATTACCAATACACAGAAAGTTACAGCCTGCAACATTTGACTAGCTAGCTGCACCACCATATTGCTTATAGGAATTAAATCACCGATCGCACGATCGGATCTGTAGAATATCTCGATCTACTCGTTTAATTTGCTAGAGGTCTAAGTGGAGAGGAGAATTCATAAAATCGGTATTACCCACATCATCGTAGGATTCTGTACCAAAACAAAGCCAATGAGGGATCTGCAGGGAGCACGACTTTCTGATACATGTACATTGTAGATTTCTTTTGTGTGAACCAAGTGACTCGCTTACCCTTGATTGGCCAACCATATCTCACCAAATAGACATGGATAGTCGATTGAAAATAAATGTATGTAGGAGTAGGAGACCTCAGGAGGCGCCCAGCTGCAGGACGGTGATGCCCAATGGGTTGCCTGGACGAAGACAAAGAGAGCCACAGATATTATTGTAGAAAAAGGGGGGGGCAAGAGATTCTATTTCCAGGACCTCAAAAGACAAAAATTCAGAAAGATGCAAGTCAACAAGTGGATAAGTGCGGGAGCTGCCGAGTACAAAGCGTGGTGATACAGATCCAATAGATCCATGCAATCCTGCAAGATGATACAGTACATGTAGTTATACTAAGAGTTTAGTGTAGGATAGGGTTCCATAGTTAAGGGAGTCCGTGCTCTTTGTCTAAAAATCACATGTGCGAATCATGTATTAATACGCAGTATTTACCCGTTAGTTGGGACAAAATGCGGGAACTGATCACGTCGATCTGCCCTGTGGCTGTTTATACGCGGTATTCGGGAGGCTGGGTCTGGTGCCTTGTTTGCTTGGCATCCCAACTCTCTCTCTCTCTTTCGCCCCCCATCGTCGCTTATCAATGTCAACACACCCTCGGGCTCTCTGGAGACCCTGCTGAGAATCACCTTCCCTTGACATTCCCTGGGACCGACCGACTTTATGGCGTCAACTTCTGGTCGCAGCTCATCGGCCTCTGGCCGTTCCCAATCGGCAAAGGGCGTGGTAAGTGTCGGATTCGTGTGGGATCGTCCCCAAAGTACGCAATAAACTAACAGTGCCTTTCTTCTCGCGATAGCCCGATAAACAAATCTCTCAAATTGAAAAGAGCGTGACGCACCTGCTTGTCGCAACAAAACAGCTACTTGAGACCTTGACTCAGTGGTCTCGAAAACAAGCCACCGAAACGGACGTGTCCGATGTGTACGTGCGCCTGGGTTATGAGTTCAATCTGGCGTGTCGTGCTTTCAATGCTATCGGTGTCGAGACTTCCGACCTAGGACCGGTTCCAGATGTTTTGCGCACAATTCTAGAAGATACATTAAGCCAGGATGCCTCTTCACAAAGCCTCGACCGATATCTGCCCCAAATCCGCGACATTATCATCAACTTGCTCCATGGTTTGAAGAAGAAGCAGGCGCGTCTGCGGTCACGACATCAGCGGGAGGATGGGCGAGGACTTCCTGGGAGACAAGCCAGCGCCGGGAGCATTTCTAGCAGCAACTCCACCATAGGCCAACTCTACGATGAAGCAGCGGCTTCGACTTTGCCTGGTACAAACATTCAGTCCCCGAAACGGTCAGCCCGTCGTTATGGCAGCAATGGATCTTTGGAAGATGTTCAGGCGACCCGTCGTACATCACCCCCGGTACCAGGAGACCCACGCAGTTACTCCGAACGGGACGCATCGAGGCGGGAGGCCCAGCAAACGCTCACCCAGCCATCACCGGGGGGTGAATCAATCTCCCAAAATGCTCCGCCTTCAGCCCCTCCAGACTTCCCGGCCCCGCCGCCACCTCCCAAGGAGGATGACGCGCTTGGTGCTTTGCAGCGAAGTGGAGAACTAGAGCGACGGGCGTCCCGGAGGTTCTCCGCATATCAAATCCAGAAGCACTTGGGAACCTCATCCAACGGAGTCCCGGTTCTTCCTACTCAGAATTCTCCCATTCCTAACCGCGGACGGGATGTCCGTGAATCTCTCAATGCGGTCCGTCTGCGAGGATCATACGCCCACTCCCGGCAGCGGTCCTCGAATCGTCTTCAGGAGACTGCCAAGACTGCTCAGCCCCAGCCAGGAGCCGGTATCCCTAAGGCCGTGGAGGAGGAACGCAGCGAAATATCTAGCCAAGTGACTGAAGCGCCAGAGAGTGACGAAACGCCTCGACCCCTGGATCAAAAGCCCGAACCGCCCGCTAAGGATAATGATGAGGTTCTACGGGATCATGAAGCCCCTCCTAGCTTCCCTTTACCACCAAAGGGACCTTCGCTTGAAGAAGCCTTTGACCCCGAGAAGACCCCTGCCCCCGCCACAGGCACACGCCCAGAAACGCCAAAGGTAGCGCGTCTAGACCCAGCTGATGTTGCTACTCCTCCTTCGGTTGCCCAGTACGTGGCAGAGCAACCATCTCCAGGTAAAGAGTTGACTCTCTTCTTGCAGTACAAAAGTAAGATCAAGAAGTACGTACTGCCGGACGGCATCGCAGATCTTACCATCGGACGCCTCCAGTTGGCTTTCATCGAGAAGTTCGCGTGGAATACTCACAACAATGGGGCCGATCTACCGGAGATTTATATCCAGGATCCAATTTCTGGCATCCGACATGAATTGGAAGATTTGGCCGACGTCAAGGACCGCTCGGTTCTTGTATTGAATATGGACAGTCTAGACGAAGTCAAGAAGCATTTTGATGAGAGCTTTGGAGGCGTTCGCGCCTTGGTGGAAGGCGTGAAGGAGGCACTGGCTGGCCAAGGCACCGTGATTCAACTGGTCCAAGCCCGCCAGCTCGAAGCCGCTAAAGAAATGGCCCGTTTGGCTGCTGCTCCCCCAGCATCTGCGCCCGTAACTGCAAGCTCTGGCGGCTTCCCTAAGGCATTGACATCTGCTAGTGGAAGCCAAATCGCGGAATTGCAAAGCCTACGTCGTGACCTGGCTGTTCTGCGTCAAACCTACTCGAACTTTACATCTGATGTCACCAGCTCTATGAGCGCAGTCCGTACCAAAGCAAGTCAGGTCAAGGCCGCAGCTGAGAATGTCGCTGTTCCCACATATGAGGGCGATGCTGGCCGTGCGCGGGTTCAGACTGGCAAGAAGGAGCTTGGTGACGAATCTGAGCGTCTTGTTGCACGCGTGGATGATCTGCAAGATCTGGTCGAGGATCTTCGGAAGGATGTGGTTACACGAGGTGTTCGACCTCTCCCAAGACAATTGGAGGGTGTCAGTCGTGATATCAGCAACGTCATGAAGGAGATCAAGAAGATGCAGGACTTCCTTGGACGCGAGAAGCCCATTTGGACCAAGATCTGGGAGAAGGAGCTGCAGTTGGTCTGCGAAGAGCGGGATCAGCTTACCATGCAAGAAGACCTTGCTGCTGATCTGCAAGACGATCTTGAGAAGGCAGCCCAGACTTTCGCTCTAGTGGAACAGGCAACCAAGGAACAGGCCATGGAGAAGGCCAACGGTGGCGGTGTCGTTGGTGCAGTATCTTTGCGGGCCCCTTCGCGTACTCTTGGTATTGACCCGACGGTCGACCCCATGAAGGCCAAGGACGGTGTTTTGGGTGAGGTTCGTGCGCTACAGCCCAACCATGAAAGTCGCCTCGAGGCTATTGAGCGAGCCGAGAAGGCTCGCAAGAAGGAGCTTGAGACTCGACGTATTGGGCTGTTCCAGAAAGAACTTGGTACCTTTGTCCAAGAGGGCAAATTGAAGAAGAGCGGTGGTATTGAGGAGGCCGAACGCCTTCGCACTGCCAAGGATGATCGCATTAGAAAGGAAGTTTGGGACCGGCAGCAGGCCCGCAATGCCGAGATGGAGAAAGCCGAGGCTGAAGCTGCAGCCGCTGCAGCCGCTGCTTCTGAAGAAAAGCCTGAAGAAGAGGCGGATTCGAGTGAGCCGGCACCGGAAGAAGCTAGGGCAGAGTCCCCGAAGAATGACGATGAGTCCCCGGTAGGAGAGGAGGCTAGTCCTGATGAGTCCGCAGAGCCCGAGCAGGCACATGAACCTGGATCTACCTAGACGAGCTGCTTGTTGCTCCTGTCCTCTTTTCGAGACGTTTCTCCTTGTTGTTTTCATGCATTTTGTTGTGAAGGGTCCCATGTCGTTGCATTTTCCGATTATACCTGTGGCGTGTTTCATTATACCATGTGTCCTTGCATTGCCTGTCATTTACTGACGATACCCTACCACATATGTGGTCTGTTTCCCTTGTTTATTCGCGAAGCATGGAGTTTGTGCCCAAGTAGCTCATACGATCGTTGAGCATATGAGTTCATCTTAATGTGATTTATTGATCTTACTTCCTTACATGGAAATAATCTTTCCCACTAGTTCGCACTAATCAAGAGTGGAGCGCATAAAAAGTAGAGCTTAGACCCAAAACAAGCCCAGCCATCCTCTTTTCTCACCGTATTTAGCTCTATCCGCCACTCCTTCTTCCTTTCGTTAGCCATGATTTTCGTGATCGACTGTATTTCTCATTCTACATTTACTTTGTGTCTCGCCAAGCCACTACATAGGCCCGCATCAGCCATCAGCCCCGTGTGAAACACAGATCCAATCCTAGTCACGGGTGCCCAAGCCATTCTGTACGACGCTATGTTTAATTTCCTTATCGTCAGGTTTCGATCATGATGCAACGCCTGCTGACAACAAGCTTAGCATCCAAAATCTTGACATTGTTTGCCTTGCGCCGTTATTGTCGCCATAACCTTGGATATCGATTTTGTTCGATTCTCCTCATTGGTCTTAGTTGGTCCCCATGCGACTCTTACCGACATTTGCGTTCTTGCTTTTGAACGCAGGATCTACCTGCTCAGCAACAGAACATGCAAATTCATCGTTGGAGATTGGAACTACAAGCAGCTCAGCCTCTACATATTCCGACAACGATATCCTCCGCCACATTACTGAAATCGAATTCCGACTTGCCAATACGCCCATCCATGGCTTGAAGAAAATGAGTGCTGACGAAGGAGAAAAGTTCTTTCTGGATTACTGGAGCTTTGAACCCGACTCACAAGGCCAATTGTCAGAACGAGAGGAAGAACAGACTCATAATAATGATACCTTGAGCATTGATGACCTCCCGTCGAATCTATTTCTACCCCGATCATATCCTTTTCAATCTTCGCTTCCATTCGAAGCAAATCGCTGGAATCTGCTGGGTTCTAGAGATTTCAAGTGCCCGACTGGAACGCGTGCGTGTACTTCGATTGGGCGATCCGATCGGTGCTGCAGTACTGCGGATACATGTGAGATTGTCGAGGATACAGGATCGGGAGATGTAGGGTGTTGTCCCAATGGGCAGACGTGCTCCAATGTAGTAGGATCGTGTCCGGGTAGTGATACAACTTGCTCTGAGGCGCTGGGAGGGGGTTGCTGTATACCTGGATATGAATGTGTCACAGGCGGATGTGAGTATAAGTTGTTTTTTTCTTGGAAGAATCCATTGTTTGGCGACACATTGAGATATACAAGCAGTCCAAGCTTGGCTAATAATTGATTATATAGGCGTTTATATCTCCGTTGTTACGGTGACCATCCACTCAACAGTGACGCTATCTACAAAGACATATTCGACCGTTCCACAGAGCAGCCGTTCTTCGTCACAGTCCTCGTCGCAGTCCTCGTCGCAGTCCTCATCGCAGTCCACCAGCAACACTGCAACTACAGACAATCTCGTGCCACCAGCGCGACCGACGGGTATTTCGACTACTACGCAGGGAACAACAAGTCGTGTGAGTGTCTGCCCAACAGGGTTCTATGCGTGCTCTGCTGTCTATCACGGCGGTTGCTGCCAAACTGGACGAGACTGTGACACGACTTCGTGCCCTACAACAAGCTCGACCACGTTCACATCAGACGGCGTGACAATTGTTGAGGCAGTCACGACAGCAAGCGGAGGATCTGATAGTGGGAGGACGGGGAAGTGCGCTACAGGTTGGTTCAAATGTGCCGATACGGTCGGCGGTGGGTGTTGTCCGTCAGGGTACACCTGTGGATCGAGTTGTACGGCTGCGGCGTCAAAGACAACGGTCGCCAAGGAACAAGCGACTAGTGGAGGAAGCAAGATATTAGTTTCATGGGGATTGGTGGGAATGAGTGTCCTTGCGTGGTGGTGCTTTTAAAAATTTGATGTACGAATAATGAAGTTGATAATGGAAATGACATGGAAAATCGAAAACCCCACGGGGAGCCGTTACTAATAGCCGGCAGTTCGTTCCTGCGGTGAAAGCTCTCCCAATCCATCACCGAATCTCGCCGACACCGGTTAGCGCTTCTCCGCTCGTATCATCCTCTCTCTCTTCCTTCGCTCTCTTCCGGTCTTTTCCTTCTGAAATTTGTGTCCATCGCTTGGTAAGTAATCACTTTCTATCTATATTCTTACAATCTCTATATTATCTCTGAATCGCCATTCTGATCACTCGCAGATAAACAGCCCATCATGTCCGACAAGCCGCAGAAGCCCCTCCCCTTCGTCTACCAGTTCGCCGCCGGTGCGGTGGCTGGTGTGTCTGAGGTAAGACTCCCTTGATACTGCAGAATATCAAATGCAATCAATTACACTCCTTGAGGCTGGTTACCTCTCTGTGAGATCCTCAGTGGCTAATGTGTCTCCCCGCACGGATAGATCCTTGTTATGTACGATGCTCCAATCGGCCCATCTTGCGGGCGCACAATCCCCCGATCGCAAGGGACATGTCGCGCTTTGATTCATAAAGGACCTCCGAATTAACAATACGCGCTTTATAGGTACCCATTGGATGTGGTCAAGACTCGAGTGTAAGGATGCCTTCCCGATCGGAATGAGTTACCGGATGCAGCACACGACACTAACATCCCCGCTTCAGTCAGCTCCAGAGCGGTGCCGCTACCGCTGGTGCCGAGCACTACAATGGCATGGTCGACTGCTTCCGCAAGATCATCAAGCAGGAGGGGTGAGTTTTATAGCAATCCACATTGCGGTTGCCTCCGAGACCAGACCTAACCCGAAATGAATTCCGCAGCTTCAAGACCCTGTACCGTGGTATCTCCGCACCCATCCTGATGGAGGCCCCCAAGCGTGCGACCAAGTTCGCTGCCAATGACAGCTGGGGTGCCTTCTACCGCGACTTGTTCAAGGTGGAGAAGCAGACCCAGAGTTTGGCTGTTCTAACCGGTGCCACCGCTGGTGCCACTGAGTCGTTTGTTGTTGTTCCCTTCGAGCTGGTCAAGATTCGTCTGCAAGACAAGGCTTCCGCCGGCAAGTACAACGGTATGCTTGATGTTGTGAAGAAGATTGTGCAGACTGAGGGCCCATTGGCCATGTACAACGGTCTCGAGTCGACCCTGTGGCGTCACATCCTCTGGAACGCCGGTTACTTCGGCTGTATCTTCCAGATTCGCTCACAGCTGCCCACCCCCGAGCCCGGCAACAAGAGCCAGCAGACCCGTAACGACCTGATTGCCGGTTCCATTGGTGGTATCGCTGGTACTCTCCTCAACACCCCCATGGACGTTGTCAAGTCCCGCATCCAGAACACCACCAAGGTTCCCGGCCAGATTCCCAAGTACAACTGGGCCTGGCCTGCTCTTGGCACGGTCATGAAGGAGGAGGGTTTCGCCGCTCTGTACAAGGGCTTCGCCCCTAAGGTGCTGCGTCTCGGACCTGGTGGTGGTATCCTGCTTGTCGTCTTCACCAATGTGATGGACTTCTTCCGCAAGATGCGCGACGAGTAAGCACATAAATTGTCAGACTCTTTTTACAAAAAAAAAAAGTATCCACCTCTTTCCTTGCCGTCAATTTATTTGCCTCACCAGTGAAGGTTTGGTCTATACGTGGTCAAACCTGAATCGCCGAGGGCATTTTGGCCAACCCATGGTCCCCATATACCCTGCTTTGCAAATCGCTCAATCTGTCAAACACATATGAGTTTGATAGACCATGTCGAGCTTGTTACTTTTTATTTCGTTTGTTCACTGTACCACAAAGCAGAATAGAGCATATGACTGCCAGATGGATATAGAGGAAATCGCATTTGAATCAAGCTTGTCTTCATAGTCCCCCTGCATAGAACGTGACTCTAGTAAACACCCGTATCCCCAAAATTCTCCAAAAAGTCCTCAGCCTCAGTTGTTCAAGAAATGAACATCTCCCAAGAAGTCTCGGGGATTCTTCTCATTCCCCCTCTTGTGAAGCTCCGCAGCCAACCGAAACCCAAAGAAACATAACAAAAATATGATGACCATAAACGTCGCTGACACCATCATACAACAGTTCTGACTAGCCTTCCTGCGCTCCCGACGCTCTTGTCGGCGATCACATTCCTCACAGTGGAAGTGTACTAGCTCCTCATTTTGGGAAGCAAGTTGGAGAACGGGCGCATCATTGGAATGGAGATGATGTTCGTGTCCTTGATGCTCGATATCGTCAACTTCATCTGCGACGGGGACGTGGGAGTACTATCTCATAGATTAGTATGCGCTAAATTAGGAAGAGTGTATCCACTTACCCCAGTCCTAGAATTCGAAGGACGTTGCTCGTACAGCTCTTCATAAGCTGGAGCCGCCTCTTGAGGGGTCAACGGGCCGCCCATTATTATTGATGGATAGAGTTTGATTTAATGTGCGTAGAGAAGATGGGGTATATCAGGAAATCAATGGAATCGGGGGTGTTCTGGTGTATGCAGGAGGCAAATATGGCATGACGATGGGTTCTTTGCTTACGGCCAGCTAGAGGTGGCTGAGCAGTCCCGTCAGGCTAATCAATGAATTTCTGCTTATGGCTGTTGCCATTTCAGGCAACCATAATAAGGCTCCGTTCTGATTGGATCAGACTTTCTTTCCGTTGCCACAGGATCCGTGCGCTTGTCATGATCCTCGCAATATAGTTGTAGATCCCTTGCGCTAATTGAATTTCTAGTGTAGTACAAATTATAGTATAATTCTTGGCCTGACTCAAAAATATGAGGGTGAAAAAAAAGTAGCAGATGATGCGTGGTCAAGTTGACTAAATGTGCCTGTGGGGACAGTAGAGTTTGTGTATAAAGTTAAAAAGTTGTATTGAAAGCAAGCTTTCTCTAAATCTATGCTGAAATTAGAGTAGCTGTCACATTGGAACGGAAATCACGGCTGCTGAATCCAGCCTTGAAGGTGAACTGTCTAGCAGGAATACGCCAGTCCTGAGCAACAACATCCCAGTAACTAACATCTCTGCGCATCAACTCAAAAGTAATGGTTTTCTTCTGTCCAGCACGAAGCCAGACCTTGTCAAAGCCACGAAGCTGGCTAGGTGGTGTACCCGCTGGGGTCGAGGAAGGATACTCGACATACAGCTGCGGCACAGTATATCCACCAACATCTCCAGTGTTAGAAACCTCCGCTTGGAGTGTGTAAACGGTATCCCAGAGAGCAGGGTTACCACCAGGCTGGACAGGACGTTTCTCAGGGAGAGCAGTGAGATTACCAGCGGCCTTAGTCTTGGCCTTCAGGCTTCGTAGGTCAAAGGTGGTGTAACTTAGACCAAAGCCGAACTCGTAACGCACGGAAATATTATGCGCATCAAAGTACCGGTAGCCAACCTCGAGTTCCTCGTTGAACCAGCTTTGCCAGTCGTATGTACCGTTGGTCGTCACATTAGTGGTGATTGGGGCGTTGTAGTCGGACGCATTGTATGCAATGACATAAGGCAGCTTGGCAGATGGGTTGACGTCGCCGTAGAGAACATCAGCGATTGCGTTTCCGGTCTCCTCACCAGCGTAGTGCTGGGCGAGAATGGCCGTGACATTCTCATTGTCAGCAAATGGCATGGTGTTGACACCACCTGAGTTTGTGATGACGATAGTGTTGTTGCAGAATTTGGCCACGGCCTCCACGACAGCGTTGGCATTCCAGTCCAGCTCCAGGTAGCTGCGGTCTTCGCCCTCTGCGGAGTAGGACTTCAGGAAGACAAGGCAGGCATCAGGGTACTGGGGAATGGCCAAGGCTTCCAGACCAGTATCGACGATTTGGGTGTTGTTCAGGTACGATTGGACCAATGTACCGTCGTTGCGGGCTCGAGCAGAGATCGCTTCTAGGGGGTTGGATAAGTAGCTGAACCGGCAGGCACCGGAGCTTCCCGAGTTGGCGAGGACACCGAATTCAAAGTCTCCTAGAGTATCTGGACCTTGGGTCAGAGGACCAGCGTCGTTTCCAGCAATGATAATGTTGCGAGGCTTGCGAAGCGGCAATGCGTTCTTTTCGTTTTTCAGGAGAACGGTCGAGGCAGCACCGTGGGCACGAATCAGAGCACTGTGGTTACCGCGCACGTCACGGTTAGTTGTGCCTGTGAACTGCCAGTCGTAAAGCCAAGTGTCTGGAGCCGAGTCCACGTTCATCGGACCGACGGAGGCGTCCACGCTCGGGTAGTTGCGATCTTGGTTAAGCCAGAAGTAGGGCGTCATGATACGGACAATCATGTCATCCATACGGTCCATGTCAACAGTGCCATTCTTCAGCGCCGAAGTGAGGTTCTTTCCGAAGTAGGATCCTTCCGTCCAAAGCTCACCATACTCAGTGAACCCGCCAGGCATGGTCATATCCATACCACTCTCAATAGATGACACTCCACTGTGGGTGGCACCCCAGTCAGACATGACATATCCCTGGAAACCAAGCTCAGTCTTCAACAGTTGGTTGAGGACGTATGAGTTCTGGCAAGCGTGAGAACCGTTTATACGGTTATACGAGCACATGGCGCTAGCGACACGAGCCCGGACCGCATTAGCAAACGGCCACATATAAATTTCGTGCATAGTCCGGTCATCCAGGTTCGAAGAGACCGAGTCCTGGATGTAAGTGGTCGCGTTGGCATCGGGTTGATATGTGGGAATGCGTTGTGTCTCCTGCTCGTAGGCAATGAAGTGCTTTGCGTTGGCCTGGACACCAGCATCTTGCATGCCGTTAATTGTCTCTTCCATGCAAACACCCGTGAGATAAGGGTCGGCGGCGAAGCCCTCCCAGGTACGACCATTGTAGGGACTGCGGCCCAATGGTCCACCGATAGGACCCAGAATGACGTGGGAACCCTTTCCTTTGTGCTCCTTCGCCAATGCGTTACCCCTCTCGTACAGCAACTTTCGGTCCCAGCTAGCGGCAGCAGAGACACCGCTCACGAAGACACTCGAATAACTACCCTCTTCGACACATTGTGGTCCATTCTGTAGACAGAGACCAGTGAAGTTGAGACGAGGAATGGGCAGGATGTTTCCAACACAGGGACCAGGCTGACCCGTTGCCATCCAAGCCTTCTCTTCCGTTGTGAGCTTCTTCACCCACTTCTGTGCCTTGTGTAAGGCTGTCTCCCAGCCACCGGTACCATTGATCTTCGCTGTGTAAAGTTAGTAAGAAGGGTAATCATCATATTTGGAAGTGCGTTACAACTTACGTGAAGGGTAAACAGGAGGAGAGTGGCCATCAACACCCAAGATGGTAGTGTTCAGTGGCTGAACATAGCTGAAAGCTGTACCCGGGTGGTTGACAGGAGGAGTCTCACAGACATCAGACCCTAGTGAAGGAACCGATAACAGAAGCCAAGCTCCTAGAAGAGTGTGCGGAGATATCATCGTGACAAGCTAAACTCCCGGCCTTGTTCCAGTAGAGCATACCAGAAATATCAGACCAGAACCCGGGCATGACTTCACTCTTAAATATCTTGGTCAATCCTGCCCAAGATTTTACACATCCCACCCCGGATGGCTCATAGTCCCACTCGTGGGGGGAGGGACCCACCGTCATCCGGAGAAACAGGGCCTCGTGCCGAGAAACACTCTACAACCACAGATGGGTCTCTTCAATTTCAGGAAAGAGATCGACAAGCCAAGCGAAGCCTCTGCCGTGCTTGGGTGAGATGAGAAAGTATAAACCGAGAATCACGGTTTGCCGAATTCAAGAGGCAAGCTATCATCAGTTTTCCTTGGCTTCGGTATGCCGAGGGACCTGAACTTTGGATGAAAGTTCCTGTGGTTAATTCATGAATTGCCTCAAAGTTCGTATGAGGACTTGTTGATTCTGGGGAAATTAACTCACGCTAACGCGCATGGGCCGAGCTAATGGTGTGACGTTGGGGTATGCTGCCGATGACGTTGAATAATCTCATGTTCCTGAAATCCATTCCGGGTCAACTTCGGCTAAATCCCCGGTTCAGTTACCGGTCCATCCCACCATGTATACGATGTAGCTGTTTTGCAAACTTGATGATCCCAAGCCTTTCGATATAAATGTTCTGGTATGCCATTTTAGAATCCGAATAATGCTGATTCATCGTTCTGTACGCACGTTCATGATACCTGCCCAACGGAGAGCTCGGAAAGAACCCGAGATTTACATGACCAAGGCTCTTTCCCCACAACCCCACGGAGAAGTTTTTCGGGGCTAATAGTCGCCGTACCACGGAGGGTTTTCCATGTCGGGGCTCGGCAAAGGATTTGACCGCTCGGGAAACAAGCCAGTTTCCTTCACTTGAATACCGCGCAGATCTCAGATATATTCATGAAAGATACTTGGTTGTAGTTGTCAAATATTGCCTATAATATCTACTAAGGGGGTTATTAACAGAAGATCCTCACTTGCACGGTATAGAGTTTGGCACCCTCGTAATCGCAGAGAGGCCAACAGGTACAGTGTTTCATTGACAGTCGGCACCTACATATCCGACAACTCTCCGCACATATCCACAGCAATTGCTTGCTTGACCCCCGAATCAGGCTATTTCGGCATCTAGCGGAAGAGCGGACCGCTTAAACGACCATTTCCAATAGTTGGAGGCTAGCAATCAATCCTGTTTGGGGCAATGATCATCGCCCTGTGGGGTGGAATGATGTACGTGGTAGATTTACTTCAGGATACTAGGACTAGGTCCGGAGGGAGATCTATCCACTTTGAGGGATTAAAGGAAATATGTCGCAATGAGAGAAAGAACGTGGTTCAATTTTCAACATTTGCATACAAGATAGTAGATTTAAAGACAACTGCCACTTGCTTCAGAACGTGGACCTCAGACATAGTCTATAGCCTTTTTGAATTGCTTCCCAAATACCTGCTCGGGTATCTGCTTGAGCTTCTCCTTCTCGAAATGTGACGAAGAGGGCCTCGGGAAGATTCTACTCCAATATTGCCATATAAGCCCCGTCACAATAGTCGTTGGAATAGCGAACACCCAGTATATCCAAAACTTATCAGAGACAGCCCAACCCAAATCCCTGTCGTAATTGAAGAATGACATGCTGAAAATGGCGGAAATGAAGGTCGGTGGAAGGAAAGTCAGAGTCACAAATGAGAGTGTCTTCATAGTAGCACTGTCCAAACGTGCAGCATGGCTAATTTGAACTGTAACGCCAGCATCGTATTGCGCGACTTCGTTGAACTTGAGTTGGATCTCGTTCTCCAGTCTCTTCTGGTTCGATATCGACCGGTGTCGGATACTTTCGATATGACTTTGAAAAAACGATAAACGACTGGAAATATCCTCGAAGGGCGTATCCTGGGAAGTAAGCGGTGCGTATAGGTTTCTCCGTGCGTGTATGTACATTTCGTGTTGCCGGATTATATGGTTCACATTTTGTACAGCCACATCTAGTGACTCGGTAACATGGATTGCATGGCGTGCGATGTTGTGTAGTCGCCGATATTCAGGCTCGGGTCTTTCTCCTAAAGACATGCTCTCGTTCCCTTTCTCTTTCTCTTTCGCTTTCTCCTCTTGTTTCTTCTTTTCCTCCTCCTCAGCCTGTTTCTCAATATTTCGAACATGATTGCGAATTTTCCAAACGGCGATTTCTTGGAGACGAGCAACCTCTTGTAGTATATCTGAATAAACCCAAAATGGATCATTAAGCTTTCGCATGTCTGGGTTCAACAGTGGAGTCGAAATATCCTCGCTTGGGTCTAGTAAGAGGATACCCATCTGATTTGTTGATCGTAGCCACCGTGTGGAAACACTGAGCTTGGACCAGGTATATTTTTGCAAGTCTTTGGGCAAGTGCTTCACCTCGAAGAATGACCAGGTATCTAACCCTTGTTAATATCATCTTACGTGGGTGTAATAGTCAAGCAAACTCACTGAAACCGGTGACTTTGCTAGCATCACGAGCATCACGAGTGGCCTCGCATCCAAAATATCCGTTTGCATTGTTCAGATGATCCGAATGCCAGACCTCAGGCATAAAAAAAGAACTCGCAAACTCTCTACGATATAGGTGGTTGTCCCCTTTCTTGTCAAGGTGTATAGGTGTGCGCGCAATTCTGACAAAATTAGTTGGTTCGTGCCGGAAGCGATTTGGAACTTAGAACATACATAATAAACACTTGTGTATCGTGCGAGATTATCTGGGGCGCCTTATCTGGGCTTTCCGTGCGTAGATCATGAAGGCCAACTTTGATTGTAGGCTTCCACCCGCCTAGAGCTACTGTTACCACTCAATTGCTGACAAGCAAAAAAAAAAAAAAAAAAGGGAAAATTTACCTTCGCTCCACTGCATAACCTCTATATCCCGACATGTCGCATTGCCTCTCTCATCCATGGCTGTACTTGATATTTCGAAAGAAAGCTTGGGGAAATCCTGAAGATTTTCTAGGCAGCGCTTCTAGCCAATATGCAGGCTCAAATTCGCCTTGCCATAGGGTTGCTGTGAAGGCAATTTTGAGAGATCATTTTTTTTCGTGATTACCCCTCAATCCTGCCATTCTAATTTCTTGGGCATTTTGACACGTCAGTGCGCCGGGTGAGCATGCATGCACGAGGCGTTTCAGCGAATGAGACTGATTGGATTGAGCCGCGCGCGAGCATCGCCTCATGCGGGGCCGGTCTGGATGTCACAGCCCCCACCCAAGCACCACCCGGGTTCAAACACCAGGGCATCAATTGATAGCCAAGGATTGAGCCTCGTGGTGCCCGGGTAAGTTTCTTGTAGATGATCGATCATTTGTCTTGATGTTGCCTTGTTAGAATAAGCTTATTCTGCTAGACACTTTGGTGACACCGGTACGACCGTGATAACCTTGTATATATATATACATGTACTGTACAAGGTTTGATATTGATCTGAGTCGATGCCTGGGCAGGCGTTTTGTTTCCAACTAGGTTCGAGCTCGGGAATCAGTTTTGAGTGAATTTTATGCGATATTGGAATGTGCAACCGCAGAACAGCTATGGGAAATATGATTGAGCTCATTTAGAGAAGAGGAATTTTGAATCGGATATCAAGTAGGAGGAGGAAGAGACTGGCTAAATTGCATAGTTTGCGGGGAGAAAAACATTGGTCTCAAGTGTAAACGTTGAGGCTGGCTCAACTATTGTTGGCCTATTGGCCTATCGTCAATTTCTCCCTCTTGATTGCGAAAGATCGACTAAATAGCCCCATCGACTCCTGATCTCAGCTCGGCAGTTCCTTTAACCGACACCACTCTAACCCAATCAGGACTAGCTCTATGTCTTCGCCTTTCACAGTTTAGAACCTTAAATAATACAATGAAAGACCCTGGATGTGGATCTGAGGTTAATTGTGCTACTTGGCATGATGTGCGTGGTTAGGTGTGGGTCCTGCTGATATAGCTGATCAACAATGTATGATTCAGGCCTATACTGGACCGGGCCCTTATTGTGACTTCATTTATGTCTCCGACATCGGAGAATCGGCCTGGAGGCTTCAGACGAATGGCCCGACTTCAGTCTCAACTAGACGAGTACCTTCAATTGGTCGAGACCTGTCTCGCGTTGTTATATGGTTGTTTTCGAATGCTATCCAGTGATGGTACCGTTTATTATACTGAGCAGCTCCCAGCTGCTTCACGTCCATGTGATACCAACTGAAGATCATTACGATCTCTCCAATCTCTTCTCAGTATCAAATGACGCTATGAAGTCGACGTTGAATGATGAATTGTAACCCAGTGCCAAGTCTTTGACGCCGTCAGCACTACTAGGGGTGCTTTTATACCAGGTTAACGACAACGCATTCAAGGGAAAGACCTTTTACTCCGACAACGTGATCTTGATTGTATGGGGAATAAGCTGCAAATCGTACTACTAGGCGTTGCCACATATCCTTTGCCCCGGGCCTTTTTCGGCCGAGGCAAACAACTACTCCATACAACGATGACTAATGAGAGCAAGACCGGGATTTGGCATTGACGCAATGCACAAATCTCGCGTTGGACTATCGTCATGGCAGAAAACTTGATAATGTCTGATTTTGTCGAACGCCTTCCGGTGCATGTGATAGCCGACTCGGTGAGAATCGATGTTGTGGAAGTCGGACTAGAACCATGAGAGCTCGAGCATAGTTCATCCTACCTGCAAGATCGTACATCCTACCTGCAATAAATCGTGCACACTTCAAATCTAATTGGTACTATTATACCCCATGTAGTCAATTAAAACCAGACCCTTAAAACCCCAACATCCCCGCACTTACGGGGCTTGCCGAAAGGGACCGAGCTCCACATTACCGAGGATACGCTCCTGAAACCACATTCACACACATCTCAACCCCTCCAAAATGGCCGAACGCGCGCTAAAACGTAGGAAGCCTACGCCAGGAATGGCCCAAAACCCGGCTGTTCTCACCACAGTCCCGCTCGACAATCTATTGACCGAGATTCACCGGCTCCTCGGTCCAACCTGGGCCTTGCCGCCTTACGACAACCTATTACCGGCATTTCTCAAGCCACCGTCATCGCGGCTACAAATTGAAGATCTCAATTATCTCGTCAGGAAAGGCGCGTTTGATGTTCCACAGGGTGCGCTTGGCCAAGAGATCTTCAAATCATATATTCGGCATGTGCATCCCCACATGCCGTTTTTGGATCTGGATCTCTTTTCAGATGCTATTTTCAATCAAAATCCCTCTCGATATGATGGGGAGGGAATCAGCCTCCTACTGTTCCAGGCGGTTATGTTTGCCGGTGTGTTCTTTGTTGATTTGAAACATCTTTACGCTGCTGGGTTTCTCTCCCGACGGAGTGCACTGGAAGCACTATTCCAAAGAGCCCGGGTAAAATATCAGTATTCCTTGCTTGCATATATTGTTACTAACAAACTACTTGTAGGCCCTCCATGACTTCGACTGCGAAGAAGACGAATTCGCTGTCCTCCAAAGCCTCCTTCTCATGACATACTGGTACGAAAACCCAGATCGGAACAAAGACGGCCGGTATTGGATTAGTATTTGCGTCTCACTTGCAAGCAAAGTGGGCCTCTACCCCCATGAGTCAAACAACAAGACTGTAGAGGGGCGATTCAGGAATCTCCTATGGTGGAGCATGTTCACTCGCGACAGACTGATCGCGCTTCCACTGCAAGAGGCGCCCCTCATCAAAAACGAAGTGTATCTATCATTGCCGATCCCCACAGCAGATGACCTGGAAATATTTTCTCCACGATCAACATTGAGTAGCGACTACGCCAAATCCTGCTATCAAGATAATGAGGACAGCCTCGCGCTCATCTTCATCGAGAAAATCAAACTATGTCGCTGCATCAGAGACGACATGTTTTCATGGGGTCTGCAAAGACCAGATCTCGGGTCCAGGGGTATAAAAGCACGAAGAGAAAGTTTAACTCTCTCAAAACTGGATCTGGATGATTGGCTTGAAGGATTACCAGATAAGATCGCCTTCCGACCGAAACCATTCTTAACGCCCAACGACGCAGACCTCATATTCCATGTGCACTGTGCATGGCTGCAGATGGTTTACTGTGAGATTCACAGCACGCTTCATCGGCAATTGGAGTTCTTCGCTGAGCATGGAGATACACCTCGGCGAGTACTCTCGTCCGATTCTCCTGGGTGTCCGGTTCTGCGCGGTGCTGTGGAGATGACAACCGTTATTGAAGATCTATGTCAGAAACACCTTATATGCTACCTACCCACCAGCAGTGTCGCTATGGTTCTCCGTGCGGGCATCATCCACATCCAGCAGATGTGTAGTGGTGATGCCCAGGTGGAGCGTAAAGGTCTGAAAGGTCTGTTGCAGTGCATTCGCGCTCTACAGCAACTTAGTAAGGTTTATGGTTGTGCGCTTTTCCTTACATCTATTCTCGGAGGCCATGGGAAAGAACCATTGGGTTCTTCTCCGCAAGATCTTTTGAAGAGTTTGGATATGGAAACGCTGGATCGGCTTACCTCGGGGTATCATGAATCTGCAGCCTCGATGGTCAGGATCAGAGAGCCGTATGACGTTGATGTTATTGCTCAGTTAAGGACCAGGCGAGAGAGCATCTGTTATTGAGTGCCTGGGTATGAATATTGAGTGTTGGTATTGAAAAGTTTAGCCCATGGGTACCGAGGGTTGAGCTATGATGACACTCACTTGACAGCGCGGTCAAAGATCAGTTTTGAAAACGCCATTAATGACTATATTACGGCAATTACGAGCAGACAGAAAAAGGTCCTTGATCAAAATTCAAATAGAGGGCATAGCGTTAATTGCTATCTGGATTACGAGAACTGCCAACCAAAATGCAAGACGAAGACGCGCGGGCGGAAGCAATGAGAAGGGGAATATTAGGGCCAGAACGAAACGCGCAAAAGCCAAAAAAAGACGTATCGCGATCTCTGTAGAAAAGAATCCAAACTTGAAATATAGAGCCCGAACAGCAGTTCAGAAGTCACGAAAATCATCTTGTAAGACTGAGTAAAAATGCAATTGAAGTGTAAAAGGAAATAAGTCAAAGAAAATCGGGGGTATCGATGGGATAATGAAATCAATAAAAACGAAGATCAGTCTGAAAAGGACAAAACCCAAAAGCAAGAATCATGAAGACATGAGGGATCGAGGCTCCAGCTGTAGGATATGACAGAAACCGTGGCGAACATTCTAAAACCGGTGGTCGTGTTCCTAGCCATCATGACCTGATCCGCTAACGAGATAAAAGAAAAGAATCGAAACCACACGATAGAAATAGACCGTAAAACCGTAGTCACAGTAAATGCGTTAAGACAAACAAAACAGACAAATTGAAAAGTACTCCTCAAGAGCCATAGCTCTCTCACTCCTTGTACGCCGACTAATCGGGACCTCCGTTAGACGCCGTGTATGCAACTTGTCACCACAATATGATCGAAATGAGGCAAATCTGCAACTCAATTCATCTCCATTCCATATTCATCCTCTTCCTTGAAGCTCATTCCAGCATGGCCAGAAGTGCCCCAGTACTGAGTTTGGCCGTTGGTGCTGCTGGCACCGCTGTGGTAGGAGGGACTCAAATTAGGAGGAGTGAGTCCATCACCACCCTGCATAGCATCACCGGCGAGGTTGGTATGCTTCGGAACCCGTAGGCCGCTGCCGGGACCTCGTGTGTAGCTAAAGGAAGTGGGGTCGTTGTTCTCCAAGGCATCGAGGATCTCAGTGCGCATGCGCTTCTCTTCCTCGGTGGGTTCAAATGGCCAAGTGCCACCAAGGCTGCTAATCATCTCGGCGAGTTCAGCTTCCTGCTGGTATTTGACGTTCAAAGCCCACATGAGATCGCGCATCCAGCTCACAGCGCCGTTCAGGATATCTCCTTTGTTGGGACCCTTCTCCTTCTCTTCAATAGGGAGACCCATAGTAATATTTCCGGGTGTGGCGCGGCGTCCATTGCCCCCAGCAAGAAGGGAGGTTGCAGCATTCCCACCGGCACCAGCCATGGAAAGGGCGCTGTTGTTTACGAGCTGCTTTCGGACCTTGTCATCTTCTAGTCGGTGCTGCGGTACCAAGTGGGAGAGATCCTGAATGCGTTCGTTGATGTTGTCACGACGGCGGCGCTCAACCAGGTTGTGAGAGGCCCGCCGACGCCGACGCTTGGCTTCCTGTGATTCAAGATCTTGAGCACTGCCGGGCATATGGTTATCGACCTTGGCAGGCAAGGAAGCATGTTTGCCGGACTTGAGGATTTCCGAAATTCCGGCATGGTGATGTTGAGAAGGTGAGGAAATCGGTGAGTCAACATAAGACTGTGCGCTGGTCGGGGTTCCATCCCATTGATTCGACAATGTCTTCTGGTGTCGAGGTTGCAGGCCACCTGTACGAATTGGCTGACCGGGGAAACTGCCAGACTCTGGAGTACCCAGGTTCAGGGATCCAAGGGCAGGAGTCTTCGGGGTCATGGGGCTCCGGGTATCCGAGGAAGTCCGATCCATGTTCTGCAAGCCGGGGCGGCTCTTGGCGTAGTTCTGGTCGAAGGAACCTGCATGCATGTGGGGGTTTTGTTGGTTCATCCGGAACTGTTCGTAGTTGAAGCTGTTTTGGACGAAAGGGCTGGCCATTGGGGCATTGTCCGGGGTATTGGAGTAAAGATGTGACATCTGGCTTTGGTGGCTCATGGCGATGCCTCCTGTGGATTGGTCCTGCATGTAATTCATGTCATTGCGCTGGTGGCCATTGGGCGCGCTGATTTCCAAGTCCAGAAGTTCATCGGTATCAATCCCGGAGTTACCAAAGTTGAAGCTGGAGGACATGTTCTGTTGCGAGCCATAGGAATAAGGCATAAAGCCGCTTTGCTGCATGGACAAGTCCGAGGGGTCTACGGCCTCGTTGGGATTTCCATACTGGTTACCCATGGAGTAGCCGGAGTGAGACATCATGAAAGGATTGCTGTGATCGTCAGATTCGTGTTTGATGAAAAGACTTGCTTCTGCCATTTTTCCTGGACACCAAGGGTTGTGTATGAAGATTGTGGGGCAGCGCGGGGTCGGCGAAGTGGGAGAGAAAGTCGTCGCGCCGGATTACTGACCCTCTCTAGATAGACGAAAATGGACAGCACAGAGGCAACTGTCACAACAATCAAGTGGGGATCAAAGATCTGGGGAATCTATTTATACAGAAAGTTAGCTTCGGATGATTTCACCCGCGGGAAGGGGGGGCAGGATAAGTCGGCAAATGAGAATGCGATTGCCTGCATCGGCAAGGCGCGCGACGAGGCAACCCCTTTGGCCTGACAAATGACGAATATGGAGTCGCAATAATTACCTTTCTAATCCAGATGTGCTAGATAGCTTGATCTGTAGAATCGTGATGTCGGAGGACTCCGATAAAAATTGTTTGGTCGCGTTGGTGGGATGAGTCGACGGATTCGGGGAACAAAATGTCCGGGGATTTGCAGATCGGAGGGTCCCAGGCCGAATAGACCGGGGATGAAATTTCGAAGACAAAGGAGTATCACAAAAGATCCTGTAAGATCTGAAAAACCTCAATGAGCCAAGGACAGGGGAAGAAAAGGATAATGGGCAAGAAGTTTAAAGGGGAGGAACAAGGGAAAGAAAAAAAGGGCGGGAAGTAGGTAGATAAGCGCGGGTAAAAAATGCAGCCAGAAATGGAGTAGAGTTAAGAAACCAGGTCCTGCGCTATACTCAAGCGAATCAAGTCCCGTCTTTTCTCTGTCAATTCCAGCTAGACAAAAGATAATAATAACAAGCAAAGAAGCGAAACCAGTCAAAAGCGGAGAGCGGGGAAAGCAACGCAACAAGCGGTGGAGAGAGGGCGGTGAGTCAGTGGCGATCTGGAGAGAAAGATCGCGATGTGTACAGACCCACGCTCGGATTGCAATACAATACGAAGCCCACGTCATCTCACACTCGGTTGGGTGAGAGGGGGAAAAGCTCAAAAAATGAAAGAAAAACCATAAGTTCTTACCTGATCAACCACAAGAGTTTGGGAAAGGTAGGAGGACCTCAAGTTGAGGATGTTGTCTGTAGGTAGAGAGATGTCAGTAAGATGGAAGATCATCGAGGAAGGCAGCTCGCATGTCCATAAACGCAGAGCCCCCTACACGTGGCATATGGCCCACGGCCTACTGGGGGAAGTTCTGGGCAGGCAGCAATGCAGGAACGACCGGGGTGAACCAACATACTCAAGGCCGAAGGGGTGTAAGGAGCCTAGAAGGCCACGTACCTGCGTTGAGACGACGGAAGTATGTCTTGATCCACTTGTAGGGCTTTGCGAATCATGGGGCGCAGGAATGGGGCGCAGGATAAGAGAAACCAGTGATGGAGTGACAACACAGCAGCCGTGGATGCAGAAAGGAAAAGCACTTGCAGAAAGATCGAGGAGATGGAGACTTTAAGAACTTAGGCCCCTAGCCTCTCATTTGATATATTACGGCATCGGTCATGCAGCCCGTCGATCGGTGGAAATCGATGAGGCTTGCCGGACGTCGGCATCGGACATACGGCGCCTTGTTTTTTTATTATTTTAGAATTTTTTTTTTCATTTTATAATTACTGTATCTGTAAAAGGTGTGGAAGGTAAAAGAGTAAAGGAGGGGGGGTGCATGAGGTGTGGCAACAGTAAACCCCCGAGCCTCTTGTTTTTTGGTATTCAATGTTTTTGGTGTTTGGAGAAGATGATAGACCTAATCTGTACAAGAAAAGACGGAAATTGGGACGAAGGGGGGAAGGGTGATACAGCCGGATGTAGTTAACGGCGTCTATCCCATGATGCCGTAGATGTTTGTCACCTGTATTGGCGTCATGACTCAGAAAATCAAAAAAGAAAAATTATAAATAAACAACCTAAGACCTTGATTGCACAGGGGAAGAATGTATCAGATGGACATGGGTTACAGAGGAAAAACGTAGTAGGTTTGGGTAAAAACACCAGAACCAGTGAGGTCTGAAGGAAACCCTAATCTATCAAAAGGATGTGCATTAGTGTCCCCGGAAGTAGAGAAGGTAAGAAGGGTGGGAAGAAAGATCCCCCAATAAGACCATGTGGATATGATAAGGGGACGATCTCTAGGTATGCTGCGAGTTGATAATCTGGTACAGGACCAAATCCATTAATACATTTATCCCTAAATTCATAAACTCATTTTTTCTAGTCTCTAGAGGAAGCTGTGCCGGCGATCGACAAAGCTCGAACATGAGACGCACCGGAGAATATAACGCATAGATCAGACTCCAGAGTGTAAAATGCAAAGCCAGTGTCCACGGCGTCGGATCTCACCTTCGTCATTTCACGTAAGCCCCATCAACTCTATCCAGTGCGTGATGTGGATGCAAATGTCGTGCAGGCCGGTGGCGATCATACTGCGATGATCAGAGCGTGGACCGTGCCCTTTCTCTCCGCGAAACTCCGAGCCTTGATGCTTTTCCATTGTTGAGGGTCCGTGTGTTCAGGCTCCAGCGCAACATGATAACAGCTCTGTGCCCTCCCGGTGTGGTACTGGCGTATGCGCACTTTGTCGAAGCACGATCTCAAGAATGTGGCTGCGACACACGATTGGAGGGGTTGGAATGTGTCTGAGATGACCGACCAATAATCTTTGGGAGGGGGGTCACCTTCATGGCGCGAACCTGTTTTGGTCCCCTCTTTTGGAGACTGAGCCACGTCGCGAAAGTTTTCCATGCGCATCATAGGAATGTGTCTAAGCCACCCCACCTCGGGGAGGAGGGCGAGGTGAGGAGTGGGGAAAGTAATAATAAATTCGTAAATCCCGATTACCCAGACTTGTATAATTAGTACGGGACGATCTCCGTGGGATAATGCACGGATAGAAGGAAATCATGATGGGGTCGTGGATCTTCTTACTACGTCCCGTCCCGTCAAGGTTCGGAGGGTATCGCCGAGTATCCACGGTAGACGCAAGGAGGCATATACTACTCAGTTGGGGTTTTCCGAGCTGAAACTAGATATCTAGAGTTTTTATCTCGCATAATTGTTTCGTCTACGCAGCATACATACAGTGCACAGAGCTCTAGCATGACGTCAATAACGGTCCATGCCGTACCGATTCCTGCGCATCGGGCAAAATACGGAGGAATTATGGAAATCGATGACAAAAAGGAAAAAGAAATTCCAAATCCAAATGGGAGAATAGGCCAGACCAGGTGGAATGAAGCTAGTGGGCAGCCAATGTTACCCAAAGCCAGGGATTACAGGGCAATATCTCCATTCGGCTCTCGGATATTTCGTTATGGTCGTACATGCGGGTAGCGACGTTAGAGGTAAAGGGTATGCAACCTCATATCGACTAACACTTTCAGGGAGTGCTTCCGATACGACTATACGACTGCGGGACGGAGCCGCCACTATAAAGAGCCAGATGAAATTCTGCAGACTAATATAGTGTACCAGTCCTGGTCCAAGACGTGATCGCCAACAGGGTGTGCACCAACCAGAAAGATCGACATAAATTATTGATGGAGGGTAGCTGAGTCATATTCCATTAAATTCATAGCAAGCTCAAATATGGGCCATACATACTTTGCATTTATTTCTTGAGATGTACTCCGTATTTGATGACATATTATTACTGCGGAAATCCGGTTATAGCATGCCGCATCAGCCCCTCAAATATTTAGTCTGACTTTCCAAGATACCAAAATATTGTCTCGATAGATAGTGTACGTACTAGTTCCAAGCTAGGTTTTTGCTTTTTTAGGCGGCGTTGGAAGAAGAAGTAAAACGAGTGGAGGAGACAACAACGAGTGGAGAGGAACTTGCGGAGACGATGGCCCGTGCCCGCCTGCTTTGGGGTCAGAGACCTCGGATCTTCTTAACTTCCCTTTCCCCCCTTCCACACCATTATCTGCCCAAAGTATGTACCATCTATACACTAAAACCCTAGCTCCAAAACATGGGTATCATCTGACAGCTTCTTCATTCAGCGCCGATCTGGGCTGGTCGCATCGGTAGCTCTACGCCATCTCGTCATCAGGCTTGATCGACCTTCAACCAACTACCCCCCCTCTCGAATAGTGCAGCGCTTCCTGATCCAATCATCACTCCGCTCCCTCGCCGTGATTGACTTCCCCTCTTGAAGTTCATATCGTACCCGGGAAGGTTCAACGTCTCTTCGCTTGGCGAGTCCACTGTGTTGACGTACTCTCTTCAAATCCCGCCTGTGCCGCGTCGGATTACTCCACTCATAACCTTACCCCTCTGTTGACAAAGGTCAGCAATAGTGCGTGTGTCCCGGATAGTGTGGAAAATCTAGCGGTCTGGCGCGTATCAGAGACAAGGCAAGAATCCACTATTTGGAAGTGTGTGGATCACCCGTAAGGTTTTCGATCGCCTTGCCCATTCTCAGTGGTTTCGCACACCCTCTCCAATCGGTGACCGTTATCGTCATCCTGTAGGGCTCGATCTACCTCTGATCACAGCCGGGCTCGAGACAAGTCGGGGCCGTAGTCAAGTTGGGAAGCCGAATCCGCGTTCGGCGTGGGCGTCATCTGCTCCTTCGCTGGCTTGCTCTAGTCTCCACAATCCAGCCAATCCTCTGGGATCAGCCCATCATCCGCCGCAGATCATCTGCACTCCATCGTGCATAGTCCCTGCAGGCGTTTTTTACCGTGAAATTTTGGGCCACGGGCCTTGTCTGCAGACGCGGCCGTGCTCGCTCCCATTCTGCCTTTCAATTGGGATTTCTCTCATTCCAGCTAGACAGTAGCCAGCATTCGCCATGGCTACCAACAACTTTCGTGACTCAGTCAACTCTCTAGGGTGGTCGCGCAGAGACCCGGATTTTCCCGTCCGTACTAATGCCTCCTCTGAGACCCCGTTCCTTTCGCGGCTACAATCCATGAACCCGTTCGGTCAGGGTGGCTATGTTCAACTACCCACTCACAATGAGGCCCCAGGCGCGCCCTTGCCTGCACCCAATCGCAGGGAAGAGGAAGAGGGTTTCTTCGCCTGTAAGTATTTTGCTTTTGCTTTTTCTTTTTTTATTTTCTATTATTTCATTTCCCTTTTTGATTATCTACTACTCGATTCTATCCCGTGATCGGTACCTTCGATCATCCTGTTTCCGGTGCTGTCTCGATCCAGGTGACAAACATGCAGTTCCTGCGCCGGGAAGATTCATCATGGCTATGCTTGTCTATGTATTTATGATTTGAGAGGAGATTTTGAAATGCGCTAACGAGAACCGTGTCTAGTGAGTCGTTGGGATCGGATGCTCATCTTTGGCGCCTGTAACTTGGGCGCCGCAGTCTGCTTTATGATATGCTTCTTCCTATTTCCAGTTCTCTCGCTCAAGCCCCGCAAATTCGCTGTTCTGTAAGTTACCTCCCCCTTAGCGCCATCAAACCCTTCTGCATCTTGCGTTTTCGACCCCACCCACCCTTCCACATCTCCGTTCAGCTCGTCTACGGGTTCTGCTCCAGCCAGTCAAATCCCGAGCTATCATGATCCTGGTCATGAGCGCGCTGGGGCTCGGACCATGTGGGAATCCATGGCCGGGCAAGCCTGGTTTTATTCGTTCATTTTCAACGTCCTGCGCCTCACGCCAAGCATTCTCAAGGCAAGATGCCCTAGAATATCTTCATGCTAACAAAATGTCTTTCTCTGTAGATGGTCTGTCGGTTCAGTCCTGTTTCTGCTATCATGGGCAGTCCTCATGGGACCCTGGTCTTACGCTAGACATTTGGTCTCGGGACCACGGTTGCCCTTCACGGCAGCCTACTTTGGATCGATCGGACTAACACTGTACTTTGCTATCGGGGTAAGGTCTTTTTGTTCTCATTTTGGTATCAATCTTTGTCAATCATCAAGTCCACACACACCCACTACGTTGTACATCAGTCTGGTTGCACAGTACCGGGGAAAAGGGGAATCTTGCATTCCTATGGTATATCGCAGTACTACATGACCTGCACCGTCACGTCGGTACACATTTTTGTGGGGCTAATGTCAATAACACCCTATATCATCGGTTTTTGTGCAACCACGCTGCTGCAACAACGAAACCTTGCGCCACTTCAAACTGCCTCAGACACCCAGAGTACACCTCTCACTGTTTCTGGCACCGGCTCGGAAATGTTCACAATTCCAACACTCCTACTGTCCTTTTTCATGAAGCCTTTGCACCTCCCTCGAAAGTATCACCTGAACCTAGCTGACCTTTATCTCATAGCTCCAAAACCTCTTCCTTACTCTCATCTCGTCTATCTTTCAGCTCGCCGCCCTGGTCTGGTATCTGGTCAGCTACTTCCCCATGGGCAGTACCGGCTTGCAGTTCATGGGCCGTTTCGGTGCATCGCGCGTGTCTGCTTGGATTTCCGGTTGAGACTCGATGGCATTATACCCACGAAGTGATTGATGAACATTCAGCGAGCGCAAAGCTGTCGCGCAGTTATTTGCATTTACCTGCAAGCGCCATCGTTCCTTCCTTTTCCGTTTCTTGTATATGTAATGATGCCCATCGTGGAGATAGAGGTTTTGGTACTTGTCTTTGTTCTGCGTTCTTGTTTAATAGCCTAGGGGCATATACCCAGTTCATGCAAGAAGCCTACTTGATCAGCCAGTCTTCCATCCGTACCACACTTTCCTCATAATGATAAGTAGACGTCGCTCTTACTATCCGCCCTGGAATCATATGGATGTAGGCAAAAACCACCAAAGCACCGATTCCTTCCTTACAAGACAATTCAAAGCTTCTATCACATCTGATCAAGGCGTACATGTACGCCTTGGAATCAAGTAACATCCTCTTTGCAACACCATCGATTCATTTTCACTATTATGTGCACATCGTACAAAGGTAGTGGCTGCGAAGATCTCACATTATCTCCCCAATCACTTCCTAACAACAACCCGCTTAGGAAACTCCATCCCTCCATCCCTTCCCGTAGTTTGCCTTGGTGTCTCTCTTGTTCCATCCTCAAGCACTTCCACGCAGTCATCACATTCCCCCAGCTCGAAGTCCATGGAGAGGTGTACACGCTTCCTTCTCTTTTCGTCGCGTTCGAAGATGATTTTAATATCTTGCGAGGAGAAACTCTAAGACGATCCCACTGAAGAGGCCTATTGCCCATCCCTGTGAGAATTCTCGTAGACATTTCAATATGGGGGCTGGGGGAGCGGAAATGATATTGGATCGACGAAGAGAAGTTCGGTATGAGCTTCCTTTGAAGGTCTGTATCAGGAACGACTAGGCATAAAGTGCAGTGCAAGAACCAGATCTTAGAAGTGTTCTCTTGTCATCAAGACCCGTTCAGGGACCATACTCGGATTCAATATTAGGCTCATCCATGTGGACTGAACTTCATTCATCATGTTGAGATCAAGCGCGTAAAATTTTATAAGACCTTAGAACCATCCAATCAATCACGGATATCTATAAAACCAAGAAAACAGAGTCCTTTTCAATCATCAATCCTTCTCGCCCAACAACGTCAATCCCTCCAAATTTCCCTTCCTCGCAAACCTCATCCCATCAAAGTAATTAGACGCCGGCCTCCAGACCTCTCGATCACTAGCCTTAGGCAAATGTTCTTGAGCCTTAAGCACATATGTCGAGTTCAAGCCCATAAACCGCCGCGGCTGCATGCTTCTAGCTTCCACAGGATCCAACCGCGGAACAGCAGCAAGAACAGCCCGACCATCCATCTCCTTTAATAAACGACAAATGAAAAACGAGGTCGCATCCGCACCAAGCGTCCACGATGCATTTGCATATCCGAACAGAAATACCGCGTTGGGTAGATCTTGAAACATCATTCCACGCCATGTATATTTCTCCGGAAGGCAATACGGCATTCCATCCAGTGAAAGAGAGATACCTCCTCCAAATTGGACGTTGAGGCCTGTTGCTGTGATGATCATGTCGGTGTCAAGAAAGTCGCCAGAATTCAGCATGATGCCGGTAGATGTGACCTCTTTGATCGTATCTGTTTTGATATGCGCGCGGCCAGTGTGGAAGCTTTTATAGAAGTCGCCATCTGGCGAAGCGCATAGGCGCTGGTCCCAAGGGTTGTAGCTCGGACTGAAGTGAGGGTCGACAGGGATGTGCTTTGGAAGTTGGCGAGCGGAGCCACGTTGGAGCATGCGTTTTGTGGCATTGGGAAAGGAGCGACTGAACAGGTAGAATAGACGGCCTAGGTATAGGGACCTAAGGCGCTGGATCTTGTTTTGGATCGTTGTTGGGAGGAGAGATGTGAGCCAGGAGCCGGTTTTGTTTCGTATTGAAATGATGTATGAGGGACTGCGCTGGAGCATGGTGACGTCTGCTTTTTCGGCGAGTTTGGGAAGAAGCGTGATAGCTGTTGCACCGCTTCCGATAATCACGATCTTCTTATCACTGTAGTCTAGATCTTCGGGCCAAAATTGAGGGTGAACTATCTGGCCTTCGAACTGATCTAGGCCTGGGATCTCAGTTTGCAGAGGTTCTTCGTAACTGTAATATCCTGTTCCGAAGATCAGGAACCGCGCTGAGAAAGATACTGCGGTAGGCCTGTCGGCTCGCTCAACGCTCAGTGACCAGGTCTTGTCGACCGATGACCAATCTGCACCGAGGATGCGGTGCTGAAATAGAATCTTTTCGTTGATGTGATGTTCCTTGGCTGCATTTTCCATGTAATTGACAATAGCTGAACCCTCGGCGATAGGGTTGTTTTGGTCCCAGGGATACCAGTCGAAGCCAAAGGTAAATAGATCCGAGTCCGATCGGATTCCAGGATACTTGAAGAAATCCCAGGTGCCACCTAGGTTCTCACGGGACTCCAAAATTGCATAGCGAAGGCTGGGAAATCGAGATTGAAGTCGGTATGCGGCGTTGGTGCCAGAGATACCGGCACCAATAATGATCACGTCAAAGTCGGTATCCATGATGTGTGTTTGGTCTGAAAATGGCTGCTCTGACATGAAAATAGAGCGCTGAATTGTCCGGCTTAATATATCACAGTACACAGGTATAACAATCAACAACGGCGCTGCGCTTGCCTCGGTCCAACGTCTAGATCCTGAACACCTGTACGTGGGGAGACGTTTCAATATTGGGACAATTCCCAATATGGCGAGGACGACGTAAAATAGAAATCCAACCGAGGATATTCGGAGTTGATGTCAACAGCCGCCCGGCGTAGATCTTACTCTTGCATTCTGTATGCTGTTTTGGGGTTTGGGGCCACTGCATCGACTGATTTGGGGGCAGTTGCGAGGGACCCACATCCCTAGACCAATTAACAACAACGATACTCTACTCCCGAGGCTTGATTCTCACCTATTACTCCGTTCTCCGTCCAACACAACCTTTATTTGAAATGCTCAACATTAGGAGATATTATTTCCTCGTTCGTTTTGCTGATGGGCTATGATGTCATCACAGTTGTGGTTCCGCCCGATGTGTTGAAAATACTCAGCTTCACACGGGTAGTTCGATATTCGCTTTGTTTTCGGCGATAGAGTTAGGTAACCAATCAGATATATGCTTTGTGTTTCAATCATACTAATGGAGTGTATAGTGGGGTCTGCCATGTGGGTAGACTCAGGTTGTGAAAGATTTGCATCAGGTGAGGGATTGATCCACTGGTCAACCTTATATTCCAAATAGTGCGGAGTATAGGTTAGGATACAGAGCATATGACCTTACATATGACCTTACATATGACCTTACATATGACCATTTTACAGATGACACCGGTCACAGGCTGTGCATTCTGAATAATCAAGTATTACGTAGAAGAAGGAGGAGATGTGGAAGGAATTTTCATCTACACATCATGATATGTTAGTTGGACACCCCACTTGGGGTATTAGTTAATGGCGCAGCATTCGGAGTGCGTTGTGATATTATCGAGGAAATGCATGGGTGCTTATTTCTTCACAGTAACCTACCACTAAGTAGGCCTAATTATGCAGTTGCCACGCCTAATGTGAAGGTGATTCAGGAGGTACCCACTGAGTTGATGCCCCCATAATACCTGCTTCATAGTGCTAGTGCAACCCATGGGTTCCAAATGCAACTTCTAAAATCAGCCCGTCAGTAATAAAGGTAGCGATATCTGATGCGAAATGAAGCATATCCCAGTAATGTGCATCGAAGTAAGAACCCGAGTACTGGTTATCGTAAGCCCTGCTCTAGGGACATTATATCTGAGTCTGCCATGTAGGCAGCAGAGCCTTGGTACACTGTGACCGTGGCGGATCTTCTGCTCCACCTCCCAGGGGTAGTATTAAATCATAAAGGTGGCGCATAAACGTAAAGCCGCTAAGCCTAGAGCGGACCTATGCCCGCATTAGTAGCTCAGGGCCGAGTGAACGTAATGAACATAATCGAAACCTTATTTAGAGCAAAACCGATCATTCGAACTGTCACGCCACGAGGAAAACTCTGCACGTGGGCTACGGGCTGCGGGCTACATTCTAGTTCCACAGTCGAATGTTTCATTCTCCGATCAAGACCGACGAGCAAAGCTTAACAGAATAGAGTCCGGAGTAGGTCGGGAAGATAGAAGAGCCGTCGGGACGGGTTGAAAAAGTCACACCATCCCGATATTTCTCTGAGCCGAGGTCGGGATCAACGTGATTATCGGCCTGATAGGTTGATAAGCAACTATAGACAAGCACTAAACTATTTTCAGCTTGACAACATCCCATTCACATGCGAGTCTGTTCGACTATTTTTTATTTATCAAGTTCACATGGTCTTGACCTGCTGTCTATTTTACATCCCACGACTCAGTCCCTCTATCATTGTCAAAGCAAAACAAAATGGGTGTTGAAATCCCCGAATCAATGAAAGCCCTGGTGGGCAATCGCTCAATTGTGACTCGCTTGTCAAATTATGTGTGCTCAAGCTCATCTGGAGATGGAGTGAAGGTCGCTACAGTGCCTGTTCCGAAGATAGAGGAGCACGAAATCCTCGTCCGGGTGCACTCTGTCGCCCTCAATCCTACCGACTTCAAACATATCGATATCCTCTCCCCTCGAGGCGCAATAATTGGCTGTGATTACGCGGGTACTGTCGCGAAGGTCGGACCCAAGGCCGCTGGGGATTGGGCGGTCGGTGATAGAGTCGCTGGAGCAACACATGGAGGACTATACACCGATCGAGGATCGTTCGCTGAGTATCTCAAGATCCCGGGACATCTTGCATGGAAGGTTCCTTCATCGATCAGTGATGAAGAGGCAGCTACGTTTGGTGTGTCTGCCGTTACCGCCATGTTGGCCTTGAATGTTCGACTAGGCGTTCCCTGGGCAGATGGAGGCGAGGGCAAAGGCCGATCAACAACACCTATTCTCATCTATTCCGGTGCGACTTCTGCTGGCCTCTACGCTATCCAATTGGCGAAGCTAGCGGGGTTGAAAGTGGTGGCCACAGCATCCCCACATTCTCATGACCTGGTGAAGGAATATGGTGCCGATGATGTATTCGATTATCGATCACCCACCGCCGTCGAAGAGATCATTCGCGCCTATCCTACTATTGATAGAGCAATGGATTGCTTTTCTGAGGGGGTCTCTACCGCGTTCTGCGCGGATGTCGTTCGCAAAAACCGGGGATGGGTAGTTACTCTACTGGACTCTGGAAAGACAGATTTCGATGGTGTGAAGGTCGATTTCCTGCTTGCTTACACGGCTTTTGGGGCTGAGTTCCAATGGCTTCCCCCCTTCGGGCCTAAATTTGGCATAGTTCCATCAGATACCGAAGCATTGCGCAGGTTCTATGCTTCTTTGCAGGGAATCTCCAAAACCCTTAGGCCACCACCTCTTCGGACTATTGATGGAGGATTAGAGAATTTGAGTACGGGGCTTGATTTGCTACGCCACGGAAAGATTTCTGGTACCAAATTGGTTGCGCGTTTAATTTAAGATGATGTTAGGGATTTCGATTTTCGGGTATTGGCGTTGATTGTGTTGCCTTTGTACAATTCTCATGGTTATTTTGCGAATATTCGATTAGAATATAATGTGACTCCAGCTATCATTTATGGCCCCGGGGTGAGATCAGAATCAGTAGTTTGCGATGCAGGTTGGTGTTTGAACCGATTTGTCGTAAGTAGGCATATGGAATCGAGAATAATATATTGATTCTTCGAAAGTAACTCAAGTGGTGGTATCTACCTAGCAAAAGGGACGATAGCCCTTCAAATAGACATATAAAAACCCTGCTTTTGCCAAAGACCGTCTGCGCCTGACTGAATGAAGCTTTCCAGTCATATAGTAACATGCAATGTAGGTAATGGTATCAAGATAAACTTTAATCTCATGCTCTGGCTTATTTGCCACGCATCATGACCGGCCCAACAATTCCATTTACAACCTTGACGCCCTTGACCTCCATCTCGTAAATCCCGGTATCACCACCAGACCCAAATTCCAACCAACGTTGAAGAAGATCGTTGCTTTCCTTTGGCTTGATTTCAGGCGAGGCAGTTCCAATGGTGATGTGAGGAATGTTATTTGCACATGGCCAACCGATTTCGTTCTCGGGGTTGTTGTCAACTGCGGGCAGGATGCGCGCAACAAAAGCCATTACACGATTGTCCCAAACAAGACGCTCCAGACGAACGCGTGCAGATCCAAGGACTGGTGGACTCTGGGCCTGATTGATAGTCATAGTGTCAATGTACTGCTTCGTGTAGTGGTTCCAAACATCGGAGCGATCTTTACTCGAGGCCCGGTGGATAAGAGTGACATGGCAAGTAGGCTGGATGCGTCGCTGATTCACAAGTCCGTGGTACAAACGTGCGGCTTCCACAGGCACTTCAGGAGTGAAGAGGGAGTGGAGGACAGAGAAAACATCTTTGGCTGTAAGAGCAATCTGGAAAAATTCGATTTTTCGGGCCAAAATAGTGGGAGAGATATCAGCATCCGAGACATGCTGCAGTTTTTCCTTTTTGTGCTGTGAGTATGATCCGCTCAAGTCTTGCTTGACTTTGTATTCGTTCATGGCAGCGTCGATGGCACCATCTAGATCCTCGGCTGAAGGCATGTTGGGCACAATTTTGGGGTAGGCAGCATGTAGAGCAGCCACGACTGTCTCAAGATTCTCTCGCGAGGATGCACACACGTTCAGGTCGATGACGTGTTGGAAATGCTCGTCTGGATCTCGATTTGTGTCAATACCCTCAAATCGATACAGGAACCCGTCCATAATTCCAATGGTCTCTTCGGGATTCTTTGTTCCGGCCCGAATGGTCTGGTGGTTGTCACCACGCTCCAACACTCGCTTTCGGGTAACTTCCTTGATGGCTGGTAGCAGTTCGTTCTTCGGCTCATGAACATAATGAAGAGCCACAAATTGCGCATTGGGGATGACGGGAAAGATGTCCTCGAACAGCTGCTTGCGTTCGCGTCGTTGGTGGCTGTTGCGGTCCGCAATCACCACTGGACTTGTTGCCATGGCTTTCGTGATTTCGAATGCAAACTTCTTAGGTTTATTCTTCTGCTTTGGGATATCATCATTCTGAAGATGGGCCCATCCGAAAAGATGAACGAGAGCCAATGCCAAAGTGGTCTTTCCACATCCTAGAGAAGCAATTGGAGCGATGACAACGTCGCGCTCAACATTGTCACTCTTCGGCTTCAGCTGAGCTTCCATGGCGATGATTTCGGAACCATTTAGGCCTCGCTCTTTCAGAAACATTTCTCGTAATTCGATGATGCCGTGGTTCTGGTTGTAGAGCTTCGCCTTTTTAGGGTCCTTGATGAGCTCTCTGCGTGCGAACTTGAGATACTCCTCGGTGATCTGCGCGTGTTTCTTAATGTGGGGAAGCTTTCCTGAAATCACAGCCTTGGTGCATTCACGCCATTGCCGGTACATGAGGTAAGGCTCTTCAAACTTGTATTTGAAGAACCAGTCGTGATAGGGACCTTGGCCACCGTCATTCATCTTGCAGCGAACCACAAAGCCTTCAGTCTCCCGGCCATCCCATGTGCCAGTCTCCGCGGCGTCTTCCAGGAATTTCTTCACATCGTCGAGGTCATCGTATTTCACGAACTTTGCCTTTTTAAACCCCCATTTGTCGGCAAATTCATGTACTGCGTCACTGGATTTTGTAGAGAATTCCGGGAGGTTGTAGTTGAGACCATGCAAGTATATACCAGCAGCGGCCTCATCATACGCCAGAACATGTTCTTCAAAGGCGTCATCACACAGCTCACCTACAGCTGTAAGGTTGTTTTCGCGCAACTCCCGCGCAAGCTCCTTCGTTGATTTGTTCACGGCGGCGACGTGACGCTCCACCCATTTTTCACCAGCTATAGCATGGCTGATCTCGAAGTCGGCACGGTATCCGGTGGAATGTTTACTGCACACCAGCAATTTGTCATCTTCCAATCCCGAGATGAAGATAATACACCCATTTTCCTTCACACTCAGCTCATAAGGACCTCGTGTGTTATTTTCAATATTCCTCCAACGCGTGTTCTCGGTTTCACCCACGTTGTGAAACTTGTCGTATCCACGCACAGAAATCTCGGGTATACCGTCTTTGCGTCGGGAGGTGAAAAGACCGCGGGCATATGTCGGAAGGTCGGTTCGTTTGTAGTCCCAATCCATGAACTTCCAAGAGTCAACCGTCACATCCTTGGTCCCATGGACCGTGAAGGTTGACTTTTTACAAGTGTAAGTCCGCTTTTTATCTGCCGTCTGCATCTTTCGGGCATCTTCTAAGCTTTTCACAAGCTGCGCTATCACATGGGGATCCTGAGGCGCCATGATTGCGGCTTGAAACCCAATGTCGTGTGGTGAGGTTTGGGCGAAATACTGGCGGGGCAGTCGAAGTGGGGTGGGGGAGAGCGATAGGAAGAGAAGGTAAGGCAGGAACGAAGGGGTTTAAATCCTTTTGTCAGGCGTCGCTTTTGAAATTCCCTGCCCAGGTGGAGCCTTTAATGAGACTGTGAATACGAGCAGTCAATTAAGAGTCATAAGGCTGTGTGTGTCACTCTGCGGGGAACCAAATAGGAAAGGCGGACAAAGCCTTATCGCGACTTTTTTTTTTTGCCCGTAAATTTCTCTCCGCAATTTAAATGAGACTTTGATGATTCATTGAGAAACACATTTCCAACCCGATCGCACAATTTTCAATATCTGACTCATTATCTCCACAATCATGGCTCAGCCAAACCCCTACCTCCTTGCTTGCGACAACCCCGCGGCGCTACTGGATTTGCTACGGTCCAATCCCGCAATCGCATCCAGCCAAGATGAGTCTGGATACTCGCTTCTACACGCTGCCGCATCCTACGGTCACACCGATCTCCTCCGCGCGCTTGTGAAAGAGTTCAACGTTGATGTCAACCTGGTGGACGAAGACGGCGAAACATGCCTGTTCGTGACAGAGCAGCCCAAGGTCGCCCGGTGCCTGGTCGAAGAGCTCGGTGTGGACTATAACAAGACAAACGATGAAGGCATGAAGGCATACGAGAAGATGGAGTCAGAGGAAGAGAACCCCAACGTGTCCACCTACCTCCGCGAAGTTAGTGGTGCCCCTGCTGCTCCTGTGGCCGACTCGCCTGCAGGCCCGCTCAATGCCCCGCCGCCGATCCCTGGCAACATGCAAGTCAACGTCGGTACTATGTCGGAGCAAGAAATGAATGCAGGCGAAGCCGAGGTGGATCCCGAGTTCAAGCGACGGATTGATGAGCTGGCGGCTCGTGATGACTTCAACAGCGAAGCCACCCAAAATGAGCTACGTGAGCTTGTGATGGATGCTATCGCTAGCTCGAGCATTGAGACTAATGAGCGCGAATCACGCCAACGGACACAATAAAGGAATACAGCCATATACTTGGCGATTTTTTCCTGTCTCGGCGCATTCTTGGAAAGACTGCATTTTCGAGACCATATCATCTCACGACTCTATGAATTGTACTCATCTACACTATGGGGTTTGTTCTCCACGCTATGTCATCCCACACGCCCCCGAAAGAACACTTTCAGACTTTTGGAGTTATCTGAAGATACCAGGGTATTCTTGGGAGGTAGATTTGGTACAAGGAGTGGAGTCAACAAATGCAGGTGTCCACTGTTGCTACGAGAGATGAGGCAGAAGGCATATCGCTTCACTAGTGGCTGAATACGGGCACCACTGTGGATTGTGCTCTAATTAATATGACGAAATGAACTCCATGATCAGTAAAAATTCAATTCTAGAATTCAGATGTCTCGCCCTTCACGGATGGAAATATGAGGTAATCTTGTGAAGCAACAATTACAGTAGCTGTAGATACTCCGCCAAGCTTGAGCTGCCCGCTCTCCAACTCCGACCTCCGAACCCCACACCTATACCAAACAGTCCCCGACCGCACCAGTGTACATCATGTCTCAACCAGCGTCGCCTTTCCCTACGCAATCCTCCTATTATTCAACTCCGACAATGTCACACACCACTATGAATGCCGACACACCTCCCCCTCCACCCCCAAAACCCAGCAGCCACGAGGCAAGCCGAGGAGGCACCCCCCAGAACATGTCCTCCCTACCAACTCCTCAACAGCCAACCTCCGGCTACCCGTCCGAGTATCAGACCACAGGAACCCAACAGTCATCATATTCTCAACAAAGCCCGCTCCCCGCGCCACCAACAATTGAAGAGGGCTGGCTCCCTGACGTAGTCAAGGACAAGTCGTAAGATCCGCGACTCCCCAACCACCATAATAAACTAACAACCTCAGAACCCTCGATCTTCAATCCATCCTTAAAGACCCAAGCCTCATATCGGCGCTCTCAAGCCACCATCCCTCCCACACAGCGCGCCAACAAAACCTCGAGTCCCTCCTCCAAGTAAATAAGGAGCTCGCAACGCGCGTCCTTGAGTTGCAAAATCACGTCGCAGAGCTTCGCGCTTCCGCAGAGACCATGCTCCTTCAACACCAGTCACTCGAAGTCTCCTGGCGCAAAAAGCAAACGGAGATGGACGCCGCATTGGCACCGTGGTCGCCCAAGGCACTATATCAAAGGTTGAGTGCCGCGATCGCGGAGCAAGAGGCGGTCTGTCAGGCTGTAGAGGAGAGTTTCTTGGACGAGGATCACCACGGTCGTGCTACAGAGAAGGAGATTGCCGATTGGGTGCGCCGAGTGAGGGCCGAAGCGTCGAAATTGGCTTCCAGGAAAGAGGCCAAGGCGCGGTGGGATGAGGGGAGAGTTGGGGGTTGGCGTTGATCTAATGAAGCTTCCCTTTGTGAATAGACGAGCAACCTTGGAATAAATGTTGCCTTTATGATGCCATGCCGCCTACGAATATATGAGTTGACCATTTTAAGTCTGGACGAGTGTTGGTGTACCAGAGTGTCCAATTTTCTCTTATATAATTGCACACTACATATAAAGAGTCCATCCGTTATGCTTAAGTCTGTGCTTCCTTCCTCCGAGCGCGCTGAGTCCTGCCTAGGATAACAGTACTCAAATCACCCACTGGAAGTGCAAATGGGAAGTCGACAGCCTCGAGAATCTGCGCAATAAAGATATGCCAAATTGGTAAACAAAGTGCGAAATTGAATGCACCAGCAGTCTATGAAATAAGATCAGTTTTCGCCCATGATTAGAGCAGTCGATTTGACATACCATTTGCAATTTAGCCGCAGCAGCCACGTTCCCCAAGGCCATTTGGAAATATGTAGCTCCAGTCAAAGCAAATGTGATGACAAGGAGGAACAAGGCGAGGAAGAGGCAGACGTTTGTGCGGAGTGAACATATCAGGTAGACGAAGGTGAGAAGTGCTAAACAGACATAGTACAAGCCTGTGTACATCCAATTAGTATATTCTCCTGACGGCTTGGGCTGAAATAGAACTTACCAATAGTAGCGTCGAACTCCGGTGTCTGAACGCCTTCAAGTGTGTTACCGGTAGACGAGTAGTTGGTGCCTACAGCGAAGAATGGCATTTGGGTGGTGCCTTGAACAATCCAGAAAGTACCGTATGTGAAGAACAGAGCGCAGGAGAAAGTATTTCCAATGATCCACTCGCCAACTCCACCGAGAATTTGTACCATTCCACCAAAGAAGATGAACACGGGCCTAGTGGAGAAACCAAGTCAGCTTATTTCTTCGCTATAACACGGCCAATGGTAGAACATTTCAAACTCACAAAATAGCACCACCATTACCACCAGAACCTCGCCAGCCCATTGTCTGCATCGCACCTGGTGTCGCAGCGAGCAAGAAGCCCATCAACGAAATCGGCGTCGGGTTACCGAATGTTCGACGCAAGTTACCTGCCGCTGGCAGCTTGGGACTGAGATACAATTTTTCAAAAGCATCGCGCGGAATTGGCAGCAAAACACTATCCGCAGTCTGCATACGGCGCAGCATCTCCACCGTGGAGGACTCCTGCTTGTCACTGATGTTGTCGTCAGACATGTTGGGTTTAGATGATGACCCCAGGGTTCTTGAAGATCAAGTTTAATGGATGCCAGACGAACCCGGGCGATCCATTGATCTTATATTTGTGTGGTACAAAAGTCAAACCCCAGCTTTATCCCTTTTCCCCACGTCCCCATAATCTATACGTCAATTCCCCAAACATGTTACCCCAGAAAAAGTGGCGGGTCCGGAGTAACTCCATGGCTCCAACGCCAAGCTCAAAAGACAGAAAAGAATCCCGATCGGATACGTAGGTGCCTTGCAGGAGCACCATTGCGAGTTCTGATTCGCGGAACGACCTAGCTCAGCCCGTTCTGTCCGAGGCAAGCGGGTCCGAAGAGGTCATTTTGTGGGGGTGCAATGCGGGGATAGGCATTCCAGACCCGGGAATTGGTTGTTCGGCCGCAAAACCCGGGGGGGACCGAGGTTTTTCGTCGATTTTGAATCGGCTGTATGTTGGGCTCTTCGCTTTCATGCGGCTTTGGGTTCTACAATATATAAGAAGGTTGCATGGCGCTCTGGATGGGCTTGGCTAGACGTTCTCTATGCTTCAGGTGGCGTTCAGGGAAAGTCTACTATGTTGCTTTGTTCGTCTGCCCAGGAATCGGTTGATTGGAGTGCTCTTTCTCCTGAGACTGTGACCAAAGCCACATTTTCTCCAAGCTTTTGAGTGGAGTTTATGTTTCTGGGCAAGGTCTTGTTACTCAAGGGAACACAGGAGAATGTGGCGGTCTGACTTGACACAATATTATGTCCCGGTCTTTCACTGATTTATGCATCTGCATAGGCAGTCGAGACCCTCAAGTGCCGGACAGCGGAGTTGCTCCGACTATTTGGGCACTAGAAATCTGCATGTGCAGCATGGAGCGTCATGCCGGAATCATGAGTGTTTTCTGTACAGTTATTCAACTATTATTTACCCACCTCTGAAATTTGCTTAAAGTAGGAATACATATACATATGCATTGTCCTTAAGAGTACTCGGCAAATATCTCTTGCATCTCCTTGACAAGCGAGCGTGATTACCCGTGTCTGCCGACACCCAGAACGGCCCGCTACCAGCTACTCCCAATCCCAAAGCTAGGAGCAAGATCAAAATCACGATTATCAATGTCTACATCGCTGTCCAACATCGATGTCATCGAGCCCACATTTGACCAGGCAGCTCACGACGCTGTCGACGTCGATATATGTCTTTTATTTGGCCGAGGTCGACGCCATGTCGGAAAATTAGGTGGATATGGGATTATTGTTGAAGACCCACCCACCGACGGAAATACTGACCCATAGCCCCTATTTCGTGTCCTCAAGCGAGGCGATCTCGGCTACCTGGAAGCCATAGCTGCTATCTTTATCTCCCACTTCTCGGTGAATTAGGTGAAGGTAGTATTGATGTGCGTCAGGGCACCCACATGAATCTGCGACGGCTCCATTACATCACAGGGCCTCTCCAGGGTGCTTATTGAGCAGTACCCGACTCTGCGGAGGCTTAAGGCGTCGTTCTTTTCGGTGCATGAGGTCAATTGTTTGTTATTAGCGCGCGTCTGCTATCTCCCGATAGCTACTGAGCGCCGTGGCGTTGCAGTTGCCGAAGACCCTGATTCCTTAGTTGGACTATTCCTCGAAAATTGCTTTCTGGCTAGCGCCATCCTTAGACATGCTCAACCTCGGCCCGTCGCTTAGCAAGTTGCTGGGGCTCCCATTCCTCGCCGTAGCGGCCATCTTCCCACCACCCATGCATGATATCCTGACCCGATAACAACATACCATCAATAGCCTGCAAATCCTCGGTCCCGTCTAGCAGCCGGGAGTAACGTAGGACCCTGCCACGATCGTCAAGATACATCACCAGAACATGCCCCGGGCTGTCATAAGCCTCCTTATCGTAAATGAGCAAGTGGCACCATCTAGCTGCCTGGTGAGCCATCTCAAAATGGAATTCAATATTATGGTTATCCTTTCCTGTGGCCTTCTCTAGGGTTTCTCGCCTTTGAATTTCATATTTAAAGGCAGAAACTGCCGTCGCTTCAAGAATTTGCGGGATACGGGTTAATATACCGCGCAGCGACTGTAGGCCATCGTCCGACCCCGCGTCGTATAGCGTGGCATTATCGAAGATAGCCCCGTCGTACTCGCTCTGGGTGATTAGCTCGGGAAAGACTATGTCCGACTGGTCGCCGTAGAAAGTGCGGACAAGACGTGTATAGCTGACCCCCTGTCGATCCAACGGATTCCGGACACGAGAGAGTAAATCCTTCTCGCCCTTTGTGATGTCCTCATCAGTCCCCCACATGTCCTCTAGTTGGTCACTATAGGGCTGCAATTCATTATGCGTCATTGGTAATCGATGGAGAGCGAATCAGATAGACTAACCATGCGGCCACACGAGCCAATATTTAGCCACTTGCCAAAGATTGCTGAGCGCTGGGCTTCGTCTGAAATAGTAGGGTCATCTTTCCAATTTTCCTAGCAGCCAATCATTTTAGCTTATAGCCTTGTCTTTAGATTTAGTGAGGTGAATACCAGGAGATACAGGTCGGCGGCGTGGATCATCACCGTTTCTTGGCCGTGTGTGCGCTCCAGGGCGTATTCGTTAGACATGGCAGACCGAGAGTGGTCGGCGAGGCGAAGATAAAATCTCAGTTTGCTGGGAGGAGTTAAGGAACTTAGATCCGGAGTGCGCAGGTATTGTTACCCTGATCAAACTTCGAAACAAGACAACCCGCGGGTCGGGCGGGTCTGTGGGTCTGTGAGGGTCCCCGTATGTTTGACAGGCCTCGCCCAGGGGCCAGGGCTTATCAACCAGCCTGTTTTGATAGGATTTGACATATGCTTTATTCAGTTCAGGATTTGAGATGTCGGTAACGCACTATTCCCTGGTGATCGCCAGACGACGTGCGCCCCATCACTGTACATGCTGACTACTATCAATCTAGGCCGATGTAGACTATACCTGTGGGACTGCCACTTACACCTTCCTTTGCAATATTTCGCAGATGGCGCAGATCCCCACCAAGCTCCTCGTCTGCGCTAAGGACACTGCTTGTATTACCAGTGAGTCGATCTACTGTTTGCCCGCCATGATCATAAGCAATGTCTCGCACTGCTCACCGTGCTTGTATGAGTACAAGGCAGCAATGCTGCGCTCTCCATATGGCCGGGCACGCTACAGACCGGCACCATACTCGATTACTTTTTAAACATGTCTTTTCCGTGGTTAATCTATATGGAAAAAATTGAGATCTCAGTCACTATAGTACATGGAACAATTCAACGAATGAAATCCATACGTGGGGACGCTATGCGCGTCCTTGTGGGTTGGCTATTTAGTCTGCGTTGATGCGTTCTCTACTTACCAAATGAGGGATCAAGAAACGCGGTAATGCATATAGAGGGGACTACGGCAGATTCTAGAGATTACTGTTAATATCGGCCAGTTTAGTAGTAAGAGGGCTCATCATCTATGCTTTTTCAAAACAACAATGACCCTACCTAGAAACTATTTTCTTATACAATATGTCATCAGTGATCTCCTTTCCAGTGCTTCAGATAAATATATCCGAATCGACGCTACTGAAACACTATCTGTAGTGTCTTGAGTTGGTATAATGACGACCCCGAATAGGACTATGTGATGAGCCGGGCGCGATCATAAATCCTGAGCCTATGCTATAATTTTATCATAAATTTTGAGCCTAGACAACTTCATACAAACGGCGACAGCCCCGTTCAGAAGGCGCTATCCGGCAAACATTAACCTGTCTATATAGGTGCATGATCTCAAAAGAGTTCTGATTTGAAGCTTAGACTTCTGGGCAAAGTAAACATTCATGTGTCCACTCATTATGTATTAAATAATTTCGGATGAATTGGGTTTGAGGATAGCCAAGTACCGGACAAACCCCCCGCATCTCAACAATCGTGGCACTTGGCACTTCTATACAACCGAGATAAGCACGCCAAGAATAGCCGACCCGTGTCGCATTGGTAATAATGATAAGACACTGATGGTCAACTCAACCAAAGAGAGCAGGCATTTGTAGTCAAAGCCACCCAGCTATGGGACCTATACACCCCGCATAACTTCCCCGGGGTCCGATAGTGAGCCCCGCCGGCCTGATGCTTTATAATTACCCCTCGACCCCTCTTCTGGATGATAAGATAAACTACCAATATGCTGTTGAAGTATACCTGATAACGGCTATGTCGGCCGCTTGGACGAATCCGAGGACATCTTGAGCTGTCTGATTTCGGCCGTGGGCTGTGGTTGTAATCGCTGCACGCCCTTGGTCAACATATCGACGTAATTGCCAAGAGTTTTTCTGCTACTAACTGCGTCTAGATGCTTGACAAACCATCGCTTAGAGAGTTTCTTTCCTATCCAGGGCAAATCAACCGTCTTTGACGATGATAAGGACGAGATAATGCAGTATCTCCGACTATCTCGGTAGATAAATGAGCAGTTCCGAGCAGTAGATGATACTGAGGTAGTACTGTAGCACCTGACTTTGTCGGCTCATTTTCAGTAATATAAAAGCCCGTAGGCTGGAGCTCATTGTGAGCATACCCCAGTGCACATCAATTCTTCAGTATCTATTCAATTGGCATAGTGATGAGAGGTTCTATTGATTATATAGTGCTCGGGCTGAGTGCTTCAAGCTTAGCCCTTGCCAGGGTTGTGCCAAGAGATACTATAAGCTTTCATGGTCCCCTGGATGTTACTGCAGGATCATTGCATAATATCCACGTGGAGTTCAGTGATGAGTTTGAAGGCCCTCTGCAACTCGTTTACGGGGACTGCAGCACCGAATCTCCAGCACAAGGACACCATGAAGTTCTCAGTGTGTTTGTGAAACGTGAGGCCCAGCCAAGTCGATTTGTCTGGGTCACTCCTTCTGATGCACCACACGAACACTGTCTTCATGCCTTCTCCGGAATGTCCCTGCTTGGTCGCTCTTCTCCCATCACTGTGACCTCACCAATAAAAAGACGTGAAAGCATCGCCGATGTGGCCGACATGGAAGGTCCCTGGTTCGACGGTGTTGCATATATGAAATCAAAGAAAAACAGTGACGCTTTTATCACCAAGGCAAAGAGTACATCTGTTGCCATCCTCGGCGGTGGAATGTCCGGATTAATGACAAGTTTACTGCTTGAATCTGTTGGTATACATGACTGGCACATATACGAGTCATCAGAGCGAGTTGGTGGGCGTATCCGCACCAAGTATCTCAACAACACTCGTCCAGATCAATATCAGTATCAAGAGATGGGCCCAATGCGTTTTCCTGTTAGCATCACCTATGCTGATACAAACGAGACACTTGAGATTATGGATCACCGCATGGTCTTCCAGCTCGCTGGTGTTCTTAACAAGATGAATGCCGAAGCTCCCGAGCTCCAGGTCAATTTCATCCCCTGGATTCAAAACGGTCCCAATCTTCCTGCAGACTCCGGAGGCGATCGTCTACCCAATGGTTTAATTCCAACAGTTGCTGAGGTGGCAGCGAACGCATCTCTAGTCTATACAGCCCCATCCTCCAACGCAACAGCTGCTGCCGATGCAGAAGCCGCTTTCGATAATTACACGACTCTTGGCGACATTGCTACAATCCGGAAAATTGCGACAAATATGTACAAGGCCCACAAGCAGGCTCTTGAAGATGGCATGTTCCACTGGTCCGAAGCTGGCTACCTGCGATATGCCCTCGGATACAACTCCAACATCACTGATTATGTCGCCGGAACAACAGATATGCCAATCTGGGGTGACTTCTACGATGATGTCTACTTCTCAGCTACAAAGTGGCGTACTATCGATAAAGGACTCGAGTCTCTTCCACGTGCCTTCTTCCCCCATGTCTCTGAGAAGTTAACCCTCAACCGTACCGTGTCAGGGCTAGTGTACAATGAGACTTCGGGTAAGGTTGCCGTGGCCTGGCGTGATGATCCCCTCCAGATGAAGCCAAATACCTCTAAGGAGTACGACTACGCAGTAGTGGCAGCCCCATTCAGCAAGGTCAGACTATGGGAGCTCCCGCGCTACTCCTCTCTGCTCAGCCGCGCAATTGCATCGCTCAACTACGACCCAGCGTGCAAAATGGCACTGCTTTATGAAACCCGATTCTGGGAACACCAGGAGAACCCTATCTTTGGTGGCTGTGGGTCTGTAGACGTTGCCGGTGTCGGAAACGTCTGCTACCCTTCTTATAACATAAACGGGACAGGCCCCGGTGTTGTCCTCGCATCTTACATCTCTGGTACCGAAGCCCGCTCTGCTGCGGCTCTCAATCCCGAGGAGCACGTTGCACTCATCCAACGTACTATGGTCGAGGTGCACGGTGAGGTTGCGGCTGAGCAATTTACCGGTATCTATGATCGACAGTGCTGGGAGTTTGACCGACACCAGGCGGGTGCGTGGTGTGACCCTCTGGTTGGTCAACAAGAGCTGTACCTGCCTGCTTATTATCAGACGGAGTTTCAGACTATCTTTATTGGCGAGCACACTAGTTATACGCATGCTTGGATCTTCTCAGCTTTGGACTCCGCTGTCCGTGGGACGACTCAATTGTTGCTCGACCTTGGATTGGTGGATGAGGCGAAAACAGTTGTAGATACCTGGATGGGTCGCTGGATCAAGCTATAACCTTGTTATCTTTAGATATACAAGAGGGTATCTACCCAGTACATACATAATAAGGAATAAATCTGAACATATTTATGCCCCACTGTGTTGCTTCATTCCATAAATCGTGCTAAGCATTAGACTTCAAGTGTTTCCAGCATCGTGAAAATAAATACAAACATCTTTCCTCCTCAATCTCTCACTCATCATTCACCGATCAGAATAATCACCTTAAGTGATTAGGGTCATCTTGGCATCCTTTTGACTGAAGAAGTCTCTCCGTCACTTTGAGGCCACTATCATCCATATCGTGAGTAACATTTAGCTCCAGGGACATCAGTGCACGAAATGCAAGATAGGGCGAGAAACTTTTGCCCACTGCGTCACCGTGCCTGGTGTTCCCGAATGCGCAGATTGCTACTACCACAGGCACAACCTTACCAGTGATTTAGCAGAGGATATTACGAGTCGTGTGCGTCAAAGCGCTGCAGATACTGCCCACCTTTATTCCCGACGTGTCAGCGCTAATACCCCCGACCCCAATGATGTTGACGCGACGAGATCAAAATCAGCGACCAATTACAAAAGAGGGTCCAGATCGAGACCACCAATACTTTATGTATTTTCAAAATTTATCTCTTAATGAAAATTTTTGCTGACAGCTAAACATGCTTATACCATTGCTTCGATCAAAGCACAATGTCAAGAATGGCAAAATCCTGAGAAACTTCAAAACGTCACCCCTAAACTCGTACGGTAGCAAATAAGGATCAAAAGCTCGCATGCCTGATTCGGGTTTCTGCTTTACCATGGGAGTGTGATAAATGGACACCCACTCGGCTCAACCAGAGAACTACTGCACTAGTATTTCGATTCTAGATAAGAAAAGGGCGCGGCTCAATGGGTAAGCCTCCTTGACCTTCAACTCCAGTATAGCTTAGTGTGAGCAGGTATATATCTGGGTATGTACTCAGTAATGTTACTACTCTTCATTCAGGATATTGTGTCTTGCCTGCCATCATAAAAGTGGCGTTCAGCTGGTGTTTATTTAGCACTCCCCTTGGTTCCCGCCGTTTGGCTTACCGCCTTTACATGGCCAAGTTGTAGTTGTAGGTCGTAAGAAACGTAGATTTAAAGGCCAACAATAACAATTCATTGGCCCATGAATGATATCATATTCTGTATGATGGGAAGAGGTTCAATCCAGATTTCGTACATACATGGGTCAGACCCGTAACTGATCGCATGACTGTAGGTTGAACTACAGGTCAAAATGGATTCTTTTGCATTATTTGAACCTTTCGGTTTGAAATTATGAGTGCAATGACAGTTAACTTGGAAATCAGCTATGTTGAAGGATTGACTTGATTTTGTCTTCGCAATTTCAATGCATGCGAGCTTTTGTCCTTATCTAGGGCGGGGTTCGGCTCGGGATTCCCGGCCTCAAAAGAGCATCAGCTCAACTCCACGGATCCACCCAAGCTGCCATCTCCACCCAAGCTACGAATTTGCTGGGTCCTGCAACACTACCATCACCAATTACGGCCTTCATCCTTCAGTCCAAGTGAGATTTCCTACTTCGGGTTGAGAATGCGTTATCCAGTTCAAGAACCTGGGTATGACGTGGTGGTAATTGGAGCCGGTTTGAGCGGCCTCCAAGCTGCTCACTCCGCCCGCGCCGCAGGGCTCAGGGTATGTGTTCTGGAAGCGACCAACAGAGTCGGCGGGAAAACATTATCGGTCCATTCCAGTGAAAGGGGGTTCAATGACCTGGGTGCTGCTTGGATCAATGATACAAATCAAAGCGAGATGTTCAAGCTCTTTCAACGATATGACATCGACGGATTGGTTCAACGCGCCTATGGGGATGATGTCGCGCTGTTGAAAGATGGATCAGCTATCAAAAAGCCATACGGCCAATTACTAGTAAGTGGAGAAGCGAGAGAGGTGTGGCTCATACTGACCGGTTTCTTCTAGGGAGACCAGCGTTTGCTCCAAAAGCTCCTAGAGGTGCTTCGAAAGGAGTCATCTCTGGTAGATTTGGACAATCCTGCCGGATCCCCAGGCGCCAAAGCTATCGATGAACTAACATTCCAGGAATTTTGCATCGAGAGATCACAATCACAGGATGCAGCTGGTATCGCAGATTTGATAACCACAGCACTTCTTGGTGTACAAAGCGAGGAAGTCAGCGCATTGTATATGCTTCATTACATTAAAGCCGGCTGTGGGATAGATAACTTGTTATCGGATCAGAAAGACGGAGGGCAATACATCCGAAACAGACAAGGTTCATGCCTCCCCTACTACACGCGTCGGCGTTACGCTAACCCAATCATAGGAAATCAAACAATCTCTAAGCGACTGGCTGAGGATCTTGGAGAAGACACAATCTTTCTACGCATGCCAGTCACTTCAATTGACCAAAGTGGAGACATCTGCGAGGTAATGACAGAGCCCGGAAACGTCTTCCGTGGTTTGAAAGTCATCGTTTCGGTTCCAACGAGCTTGTACAGTTCGATAAACTTCAACCCTGCACTACCCAAGAACAAAGCAGCATTAAGCGATCATGCTGTTATGGGTTACTATAGTAAAATGATTTTCGTTTTCGAGGAACCGTGGTGGCAAAATGCTGGATCTTCAGGTGTCATGGAATGTGAAACAGGCCCTGTCACATTCACACGAGATACAAGTGTGCCAATAGATGACCAATGGTCCATCACCTGTTTCATTGTTGGTGAACGTGGAAGGCAATGGTCGAAACTGTCCAAGGCCGCGCGCTATGTGGAAGTGTGGGAGCAGTTCAGCCAGGCATTTGGCCAATTTGTTGATAAGATCCCTGAACCAGCGAATGTTTTGGAGATGGAGTGGGCCAAGCAGGCTTTTTTCCTTGGGGCCCCTTGTCCAGTAATGACACCTGGGACTCTAACCGCCGTGGGAACTGAGTTAGCAACACCGTTTGAAAATGTCCATTTTGTTGGAACCGAAACATCTCAGGTGTGGCGAGGGTATATGGAGGGTGCTGTCCGTTCCGGCCAGCGGGGAGGTGCGGAGGTTGTGGAAGCATTATCCAAGAGACATCGATAAATGAGTGACTTCTTGGTTAGAACAAACGTCGGGTTCGTTTTGCGGCTCTCTGTCATCTAAACGTCATTATTGCAAAGTCACAGCTATATAACCACCTCAAAGGCGAACATGATTCTGCTTCACAGGCCAACTTCCACCACTTGAGAACGCTGGAACTTCCCTGGAGGTAACACTGAAAAGCCAACTGAAATGTCAACAAAGTTCAAATTAAACACTGGAGCCGAAATACCAGCCATCGGCTTCGGCACCTGGCAAGACGAACACGCACAAGAAGGAGCCGTGCTAGAGGCGATCAAAGCCGGCTACCGGCACATTGACACGGCCGCAGTGTAAGCAACTGTATGTCAACTGGACTTCAGATTATAACAGCTGAAAATCAACTACAGCTACGGCACCGAGAAGGCAGTCGGCAAAGCCATCAAGAAAAGTGGCGTACCCCGAGAAGACCTCTTCATCACAACCAAATTGTGGAATAACAAGCACCATCCGGATGATGTAGAAGGAGCGCTTCAGCAATCCCTCCATGAACTGGACCTAGAGTACGTGGATCTGTACCTTATGCATTGGCCAGTCGCGTGGAAACGTGGAGATGAGAAATTCCCAAAGTCCAATGGTACGTTTGTGGTGGAAGATATTGGGGTAGTATATGTATGGCCTGCATTCTATTATTTGATGAAACAATGCTAACTTTGGGAATTTTATTTTGATTGCAGACATACAGGGCTATGGAGAAACTACTCAAAACAGGCAAAACCAAAGCGGTAGGTGTTTCGAATTTCTCCAAAGCTGATCTGGAGCAAGTGCTTGCGAACACGTCAGTCGTCCCAGCTGTTCATCAAATGGAATGCCATCCATGGCTACAGCAGCGGGAATTTTCGGATTGGCACATAGAAAAGGGGATTCATGTTACGCACTACTCGCCGTTTGGGAACCAAAATTCCACTTATGATAAGAAAAAAGGTGGAGTCGGGAAGTTGATTGAAGAGCCTGTGCTAGCAGAGGTTGGAGAGCAGTATGGAAAGAATGCTGCGCAAGTTGCCCTCGGTGAGTCCATCCTGTCTTTATCGCATTTGGAATGTTACTTACTGGCTTTGTAGCGTGGGGAGTGACATTGGGCCACTCGGTACTTCCCAAGTCTAAGACCCCGTCACGTATCAAGTCGAACCTTGAGGGAGATTTCAAATTAAGCCCACGCGATATGGCAAAGATCTCTGCGCTGAACAGGAAAATCCGATTTAACGATGAGAGTAAATCCTTTGGACGAAACTTTTTCGAAGACCTGGAAGACAAGACGGGATAAAATCAATTGATAGGAGCCTTGTATGAAAATGAGCACAAAATTCTAGTCGATGAATGAATCAGAATGTTCTAACATGCCAATGCCATTTATACCAAAGTTCATACTCTACCTTTATTGCTGAGTAATGACGTCATATTTCTATCAAACCAGGGAGACCATTTACCCCGGAAACCATTCGCAGCTTTTAGCCACCGTCCTTGAGATTAAGGAAACCACGTCGAAAATGTCGATGTTATCAGCAAAGCATGGATTCGCTCTAGTGACCCCTGCATCCAGAGGCTTGGGCTTCGCTTTTGCTCAGCAACTTCTAGCACGCACCCAGCTCCCAGTCGTGGCAACGGCGCGCAAAAATTGCGATGAGGTTCGAGACCAATTACTCTCAAGCAAGGGGCTACCTCAAAATGCAGAAGATAGGCTTCGTGTGCTAAAGGTCGACGTGACAGGTACGTGCCACTTACGGGCTGGTCTTTATGGGTCTCCCTAACTGACAGACCGAAACAGACGAAACAACGTTATCATCAATGACAGATACTATCCGACAAGAGTATCCTGAAACACCCTTGCGCATAGCATTGACTGTACCTGGTGTTCTACATGTAGAGAAATCGCCAGCGCAGATCGACGCCGAGAGCGCGTTGCACAGCTTTCAGGTCAATGCTGTTGGTCCGCTATTGTTGATGAAACACCTTGCCCCATTCCTTCCGACCAAGTCTTCTTCTGCTTTTCCTGCAGCTGAGGATAGCGATGTTGAAAGTGAAGTGCAACTACCCACACATGCAATCTATGCTATGATGTCAGCCCGTGTAGGCTCAACCTCCGATAACCATTCTGGCGGCTGGTACTCATACCGTGCGAGCAAAGCGTCCGTATTTCAAATTGCGAAAACGTTTGATTTGTATCTCCGTGGGCGGTGTGGAAATAAAGCGTTGGCTGTGGCTTTACATCCTGGTACCGTGCGCACGGAGTTCACTAAAGAATTTTGGACTGGTCGTGAGATGCTAGAGCCTTTGGATTCTGCGGATCGGTTATTGTGTTTCCTTGCGCGATTATCTCCAGGGCCTGAAGATGGAAGAGGGAGGTGTTGGGATTGGAAGGGCGAGGAGATATTACCATAAATGTCTATTCGGGGAGCTCGAAGGCTTGAGCAAAAACAAAGTATGTATGATAACTGAACAGATTGATTGGACACGACACATCACTAGCCACATTTGGTGTCATGCAGTGATCAAAATGCAGATAAAATGCTACTCTATTTGATATTCTGGAATAAAGGCGCCAAGTCAATATCAACTTTTAATCACCCTCACATTCTAGGGCAGCCTAGAACGTGTGAATTCCTATCCTTTATTTGATACAAGTGCCTATGCAGAAGAACCCTCAGGGTGGTCTCCAAGTGTTTTAGTCGTTAATATCATCACCGAAGTAACCAGCCCTTCACCAGCCCAAAAATCCTCATAACAAGGAAGTATCCGACGCAATCAATGAGAAGGATCCAACTTAGGTCTACTTCCATTGACAGGAACTGGAAGTTCAACATCGATAGACCTTCCAAGATGGCCCATCCAGTGACAAATGAAGCAAAGAGAGTATAATAATCAAGAAGACCTTGAGAGCCAAATGCTAGCCTCTGTGCGCTTGATAGTTGTAGGAGGCAGGAGACATAGGTTGCTCGAGATTTTTGGGTCGAAGAAAACAGAGCAAAGCGATCCATGAAGGTGGAAGCTGAATGGCCACGACACCAAAAGAGGACCAGTCGCATCCTCCAACTTGAGATAGTATGTGAGCCATTTGACGGATGATCCAGTAATTTGCGTGATGCCGAATGAACAATTGAGTCAAGAAGTGCGGAGTCTGACACTATGAGGCGCTGAGATGTTGGATCAGCGGCAAGTCCAGTAGGTCTGGTTTCATGCGCGAGTGCTGTCATCATATCGGGGTAATTGATCAATCTGGCATAGAATTGTGGGTCGACTGGCTCAACAGTAAGAGTTATGGTATCAGAGGAGTTGTCTTGATATGAAGAGGATCGCATGCGAACAACGTCGTTCGTAAAAGACCGGCATGGGAGGTATGTGAGCTTGACGGGCTTGGGGAAAGCCTCAACACATCTAGCAAGATACGAGCGGAAAAAGGGCTCGAGTTTTCTAGAACGTCATTAGTGATGTTGATACAGATCAACCCGGTGAATGGATAGTGACCATACATTTCTAACGGTGTGACTGCACGGCCAACACTACCGCTCCGAACCGGAGGCTTGGAGTTCATCTTCATCATTCCCTTGAACTTGATTTTTAAAGCCTTAATAATGATCTCCGGGGTAGTAAGCATACCCGGGATGGTCCACTGGAAGACGAACCTTGCCACGTCCAAGGAGCTCATCTTGGTTGGATCGATTGGTGGGCCATCACATGTCAATCGAGTTGCCATGCGGACTTCACCAGACTCTTCCATTGTCGTCATGTTCGAAAATGATGTGTTTGGTTTCCAGGCGGCTGGTTGCAAAGGATCCATCATTCGATTGGACACCAGCCCATCCACTTTTTCAAAGGGAGATGCAAAAATATATTTGCTCCAGATGCCTTTGTAAAAGTTGGCTCGGGGAGCTGATTTCAGGGATTGCACTAGCTGCCGATGATCGAGGTATTTGATCAACTTCGAGGCCTCTGGAGGGCTGAGTGGCTCATCGCAGGTCGGGTTAACTCTCAAGAAAACATTTCGTTTTTCCCAGTAAGAGTTGTTGATTTCGAGAATGACCGTGTCAAGTTCTCGGTCTTTATTGTATAGGTACCACCAACTCACGACACTTCTAGACCATCCTAAGAACTGGGGCACACTTAGTAGGTATGCATATGGCCACTGTTTAGGGTCCTCATTCTATCTCAGGCTGTAAGTATCCAATTGGTAAAGGTTAAAGGAAGGGTATCCTACCTGGGATTGAAGAAAACTGTCCAGTTTTTCTCGCAGATCCACACCATGATCTCCTCTATGCAGGAACCGCGCTGAGTCAAAAGTGAACCAACAGCTGAAGTGGGAAAATGTCCGCTTCCAAGACCATCCAGTAGCTCCTGGTGGCGGAGTCACGTCAAGAGACTTGTCATCCACGGCCAATAAATTACCAATGCGACACCGAAGGCCAACTGGAATCCCCACAACAAGAAATCGGTTGAGGAATTTATCTTTCACAGGTATGAAGCGGGTATGGTTGAATTTCACCGGGAACAGAAGAGGCTTGCCCAGGACTTCCTGCTTCTTATCGGATAATGATACCAGTTGGCGAGGGAGGAAGATGGCTCTTGCCAGCGATGTAATGATAGCGGTGACTGTGAAGAGCAACACTAGTCCAATTCCCACCACCACGGCTTTGAACCAAAATGAGGGGATGTTGAACTGATGACCGAAATATAAAGTCAAGAGAACCACATCTTTAGCCGCAATATTCAACAACATATCCGCGGATCGTGATTACGATAAAATAGCACTCCTTTTTGTGCAAAATGAATACCCAGTATCATTCCTCTCTTTAAAAACAATCAAAGACTCTTTGAGAAAAGAAAAATACCTTTACTCTCCACCACCCTCTCGGTGATGCCCGAGCTGAAATGAGGAATAAATGCCATAGCCTCTTCAGCCATGCTACGGTTCATGCAGGCTTTGCTGGATCCACAGGTTTGCGGGTGGAGCGCATCTCGGATCTCTACGGCTATCAGAGTTCGTTAGGGTGGCTGCTTTGACAGATGGAGGCTGACTGAAAAAGCGCGCTAGCTGACGTAGATGGGGGGATTTGTCCCGTCAGTTCGGCAGGTGTTCAGTGGCTGAGGTTTGTGGCTTGGGAAAAAGTGAAGAAAAGCGGCCTAATAGGCGCCATTATAATAGGTGAAAGGGCCCAGGTTCGTGAGGCAGAAAAGGGCGTAAATATGCGACCACGTTTCATTGGTTTAAAGTAGTTCACATTGAGGAGATGTTTTGACGCTAACCTTATAATCGATAGCCACATCTAGCACGCTGTCAAACCCGTGAAATGGATACTTGGTATTAGTCAAATTAGCGGTGTTAATTTGGTGAAATGACAAAAACCCTTTTTATTTTCCAATTTCATTTCTCAATCGCGAGTAGCCCAAAGCGGGTGGTGGGTGTGCATCTGAGCTGGACAGCATAAAGCCCCTCGAATAAACTGAACCAGTATGAACAAGTCTCGGACATACCCGTTGTTGCAGTTATGAAGTATTATATCATTTCTTTATAAACCCGCAGCATCGCTGACGTTGACGTTGGAAAGAGGATATATCTATTATTTCAATATCATGGCGCTTCCGTCTCGTGCACCAAGTCGGGTAATCATTATCGGAGGTGGAGTCTCCGGGATAGCAATGGCATGTCGACTCAAAACGGATTATTGTCTTCATGATATTTGCATATATGATCGACAGGACGGACTTGGAGGAGCATGGTGGGCTAACACCTGTTTGTGACCCCCCAAAGTAGTACAACTAAAGTGGCTGAGAGATAGAAGATTCTAACATTTCATCCAATAGACCCGGGCTGTGCCGTGGATATTCCGGGATTCTGCTACAGCTTTTCCTTTGCCCCAAATCCTGACTTCACCAAACTTTTTCCTTCACAAGTTGAGGTCTTGGATTATCTGTCGACTGTCGTCAAACAATATGGCATTGATGAGAATTTCATTGGAGGAATAGAATGGGTTGATGCTTCTTGGAATGAGAAAATACAAACTTGGCTAGTCACATTACGAGACATACAGAAAGATATGTTGTTCACACAAGAATGTCAGACTCTGATATCCGCAGTTGGCGGGTTGGTCAACCCACAAGAACTGAGGATACCTGGTGTTGAGCAATTCCAAGGAAATATTATTCACACAGCCCGATGGGATGCAACAGTCGACCTCGCCAACAAAAATGTGGCAGTCATAGGGAACGGGGGTGAGGAATCCGCTCCATCTTACTTTACCTCAGCTAACGTTCAGCAACATGCAGCTTCGGCAATACAACTCGTTCCCGAGGTCTTGAAAGAAGCACGTTCTGTTACGCAATTTGCGAGAGTCAGTCTTCTGTCTTCCACTACTAAAAAATGCCCACACAAGATTAATAGCTTCTTCAGACCCCCCATCATATTGTCGAGGGAAATAATTATGATATATCACCGGAATGGAGAGAGACCTTCCGTAGTTTTCCACTGTTGCTCTATCTGATTCGCCTTGTGCTTTTCCTCTATATGGAGATCACTTGGCTTCACTTCCAAAACAATCGATTAGGTAGGATTGGCCGGGCTTCAGTGGCAAAAAAGAGCCGAGAATATGTTCAAAACGCAGCACCAGGTACGAGACATCAGTTAGCCAAACTTTCCATCGTTGACTCTTATTAATCTATGAGACTAGAGTCATATTGGGATCTTTTGATTCCTAAATACGAGTTTGGATGCAAGGTGAGAAAGACATTCCAGATATCATGAGTCTTTCATCTGATTAATGGCTGCCAGAGACGGATTTTCGACCGTGGATACCTGGCTTCTCTCCGACAGAGTAACATGCGCCTTACAGATGACCCAATCGTGGAAATCACTGCTAATTCAGTTATTACTCGGTCTGGAGAGGAGCTGTTTGTTGACACAATTGTAAGTATTTTCTGATACCCAGAGTCCAGATAGATATTAGATGTCACTAACAAAATTCTCAACACTTAGCTACTGGCAAATGGATTTGCTCTCACGCACTATGACACTAATTTGAAAGGTCGGAAGGGAATCACACGCCAGCAACACTGGGAGGAATATGGCCACAAAGCAACCTTCAAAACAATTGCTATGCATGGATTTCCTAACTTCTTCTACATTCTGGGTCCTAATTCTGGGCGACTTTACACATCCACAATTCAGATCATTGAAAGGTATGTTGACGGAAGAAACTTATTCAATTGAAAACAAGAACGTATGCTAAATGGAGACAAATACTACAGTCAAGTGGGAGTGGTCACCGACCTCATGAAACCCATTCTACTGAAACAGGCTTCATCAGTCGAGGTCAGAGCGGACAGCCAGCGAGAGTTTGACATACAACTGCACGAAGCCATTGACAAGACTGTGCATAGCACCTCCTGCGGAAGTGTAAGTCTTAATTTCGAAAAATGTGACACAAATGGCTAATAATACAACTACAGTATTTTATTGATAAAGGAACCGAAAAGAATTGGTTTGTTTACCCTTGGAATACAATCCACTTGTGGCTGTCGACGGTGTGGAGTCCTTCCAGTGATTGGAATTACCGAGCTTTGTAGTCCTTCTACCACAAATTTTGAAAAATTGGACTTAGACAACGATAGATCTTTGATATTTCAGTTGAATATATGGTTTCATTCGACTAATAAACTCGCTTAGTACCCAAGGTCTGACTTTAGCAAAAGGTGGAGCCCCAATGTTTGACGCGCAGACAAACTGCGGATGTAGCTTCTGCGCCCGGCCGGACTTTTCGGCTGCATTTATATTTCGCGCTCCACCCATAAAAATTTTCTCTTCCGTGCACATCTCCCACTGGGAGCTTAGAGCTTCCAGCTCTTTTCTTTTCTTCTTTGTTTATTTCTGGCATCATGAGCGGCAATGTCTGTCTTATGATTATCTGCCATCCTTGAAATCGAGGCACCTGAACAATTAATGCTTGTTGTCGGCCTCGGTTCTTGATTTTTTTCTCTTAAAAGGTAAGGAGACAGAACTTTTTTTCTTTCCCCTCCCCTTCGAATGATGACCCTATGACATGCAAAGGCATTCCTCAAGCTTAAGATATCGTGTGGAATCTTGTCAAATTAAGTTTCAGCCTTGTCTGACTTCGAAACAATTGTCTCAATACTTGTTACCAGCTATTATTTGGCGTACAATGTGCTAACTCGATTCTGGTTAGGTAAATTGAATCCCTCGTCATACTATTCCCTCTATTGCGGCATGTGCCTTGCATGAAGAAAATTTGAACGAACGGGCGGACATAACGTATCCACGTCCTCTCATCCTACAAAACCAGAGCGTACAAACTCTGTGGGTGTGTGGGAGGTGGAATACTTGTTGAGAACTCGTCACCTGATCCTTTGCCCAATGTCACAATTTTTTCAGTCGAAAAAAGGTCTTGAATATCCGTCTGACTCTGTGACTTTAGGTATTCTACACTTCTTTTTCTTTCTTGCATACGTGCTTTGGAACATGGTCATATCTATTATGATGAAACTTGATATTCACACTGTTTGATTCGAATTTATTCGAAAATGAACATTAAACAAAAATTCTGATTTAATGAGGTGAGTTAACTTCAATCGCTCTTGGACAAGAAAACATATGCTGACCAGTGGGCTTCTAGCCTGACATAGTTACCATGTCTTGATCTTACAATTTCAAGCTTGCATTGTTCTCGAATGCGATTGCTGACGATGATCAATCATCTAGGAACTTGCTGTCTGCTGTAGATACCCTGGCGTCAATTCCTTTGTGAGTATGACCTCTATCCATTCAACCCTCTTTGCCTGATGAACAAAAAATTTTCGCTGTGTTCTTTCAGAATTACATTGACGATACAAATTTATATTCACTTTGGAGATCTGACCGCTTCTCTCATTCACACAATATTCACTCATTTCATATTGTGTTCTGTTGCTAATACGCATTACAGATCTTGATACCCGTGAAATAGCTTTGAATACATTTGATTTTTATATCATTCCTCCATTTTCTCTGTAGCACATCTGTAACCGTCACGTAGTCCACCAGCAACACCCCCAACACCTCGCTGAATGATTCCTTTCTTACATCACTCCACAAAAAAGCCATGCTTCTTGTGCCACCCCTCGATGCTGGTGTCTCCGTTATAGAGCTCATGCACATTCTTCTTGCCTTCAGGCCACCGCGCCCACGCCGGCTTCGATCCAGCCATGACACAAACCATCTCATCTGGCACAGGTAGATCAGTATCAATGGCCGATGCAAAAGGGTGAATCAACTCTGGCCAGTGGTGATCCCAGAGCCAAAGCATGGAACTGCAGTTTGAGCAGAAGTTCCGCTCAGAAGAGCATTGTTCCTCATTTGGGGTTCCGCGATCCTTGATGCCGTGGTACTTCCTGAATTGGATTCATCGTTAGTACATGCATTTCTCGTTTCATTCATAAAGACAACTCGGGGAAGATATAATTCTTTGATCTTGAAGTTGGCTCTGGGGCTAATCCTTACTTGATGAGGTCCTGGCCCTTAAGCACCTTCAGGCTATCGGCGATGCCGCCGAGGTTCACGGCACCCGAGTACCCGCCTACTTTGCGGCAGATGCTACAGGCGCAAAGTTGGTAGGGAACTGGGGTTTGTGACTGGAGTGTAAACTCAATGCCGCCGCACTGGCAGCTTCCGTCGAGTTTCCTGACATTTGTTAGTGTCGGATGCGGAGTAGATGCGGGGGTGTTCGGCTTCTTTATCCTGTATAGACATACATAGGCATGGCTGAAATTTTAAAATGATATTCAAGCGGAATTTGCGATTTGACTTTGGATCCTGGGGATTCAGCAGGCGACTTGAAGGGTAAAGAAATAATTGATGATGGTCTACTTCAGTTAAATGAGCGACAGGTTCCAGCTATATATAATCGCGGTACTTTGCGGAGAACCAAGTCCCCTCATTATGCAGACAAGTCAAACATGCAAACTACTGGACAATAATGCAACACAGAATGTCATTCCTTCGCTCATTCGTCCGGAAAGTCAGTTCTAGTCCTGTTCTATGCCGGTCTTGTCGGGAAATACATCATCGGCCGTATCTTACGATGCTGGTTGGCTGATCGTATGTTTGTCTCGTTTGTTCTATTTGTCTCGCGGCTTGAGCTTTCGAGGTCCAGTCTCGACTCCAGCATCGACCTCTCTGCATCGCTTGGACGAGTATTCCCCTTCAGATCTACCCATAAAACCGCGAAAAACACGCCAAAATGAGTTTCGGTGCTCCCGGAGGTGGTTCGGTGAACTACAAGCCCTCACCGTGAGTTTCGCCCCAGCATGGGATCTTTGCGCATGCTTTCCACTCGCATCACGAGAACTCATTACTCCCCAAAAGAGTCTATGATATTACCGTGTGCTCCATTACTAACATGACTCACAATTGACAGGCCTGAGCGCGGTAGCTTTCCCCTCGATCATGAAGGTATGTTAGCGACAATTCTCCGTCAATCCTCCGCAAAGTATACCTCAAGAGCGTCGCTAATTGATTATCCTCGCATAGGAGAATGTAAGCATATTATTTCTGGCTACTTGAAGTGCATCAAGCTCAACCGAGGCACCAACGACGAGGCGTGCCGCAAATTGGCGAAGGATTATCTTGCCTGCCGGATGGACAAGTACGTTACCAGCTTCAGCACATCTTATTTGCCTGTCACTGCAGGGGCTTTGAAACTCGGATTACCAGAATTGAATACTGGGATTACTGACTATTGATTTTCCCCAATAGAAACCTCATGGCGCCCGATGACTTCAAGAACCTTGGACTTGTATTCAAGGAAGACCAAGAGAAAAACAAAGCTCCAGCAGCTGTGCATATGCCGGAAGCATCACAAGGAACTGGCAAAGGAAATTAAAAAGGAGATATAAATAATTGGACGATTTGTACGATATCGAAGAAAAGCATCTGTCCGCACGAGATGGGCCTAGGACGCTCCGACACCTGGGCAGGCGTTGATAGCAATCTGTACATAGACATTGTAATATACCACAGTAAACTCTATTCACAATCTCACCATTCTAAACAAATGAAGGAAGATCTTTGACAGCCTCAACTTCATTTTCAGTTACGATTGGCTCGAGCTTGTTGCATGCGGGGAACCCGGGTTCCGCCCACAGCACCAGCCAAACTGAGCTCTCCAGCTCCAACATCGTCCCAGCCGATCGTCAATCCACTAAATGTCGTCAATTGCGCGGCCACCAGACCCATGCCTGGTGGCCATTATCCTGATCGTGCGCTCACGCACTGGTCCCCGTCTCGTCTTCCACTACCCTCCGAATCCACTCAGCGAGAATCGACTCAAGACAACCACCAAGGGCGGGCGGCGCACCTCCCGCTCACGGAACCGACAAGGCGCTAGGAACACGGACTCGAGCTCCAGTGATGATAGCGGATTAAGTTCGGATGAAGAGGACGAGGACAGAGAGCGCGAAAACCAGAATCCCACAGCTCAGACAATCCCCGGCCAGACACAAAGCGGCAGCCACCCGACGGCGCCGAGCGTGTTGCTGGCCCGCCGCGCGAGTAACTTTGGCATCGTCGATGACAGTGTGAATATTGCTGTGTCGCCAGGTACTGTTCCGACAGAACCACCACGCCCAGGGTCTCTAGGGTCTGGTCGAGGCTCGTCGCTGCGGAAGCGGGGTGGTGCTGGGTCTGATCATGAAGATGATGGGGCTTCAGATCGGGATGGTGCTAGTGGATCATCGGGGGCACCATGGGTGTCGCTTTTGGGTCTACCGGGAAGTGTGTGGGAGAAGCTACTGAGTCCATCGCGATCGTGGCATAAACGGCGATTTGAAGTTGGAATTAATGATCTCGCGCTTATCGGATGGCCCGTCTTTGTGCGCGAGGATGGAACCTGGCGCAAGCAGCGGCGGAAGAAGAAAAAGAAGAAGAATCGCTCTGAATGGGATGGTGGGGAGCTGGGTCATAATGATCTTGAGGGTGCTGGGGATGAGGATGGTGTGGCTTCGCCTGATATGGAGGCTAGTATTGCTACCATTTCTGAACTGGCGCTTTCTCCGACTGAGACCAAGCGCCACTCTACGGCTAGTGTGAAGCTCGGGAAGCAGACAGATGATCCGGAGGACAAAGACCATATGACTATGTTTAATGTGGTTTTTGTGATGGATCCTCCTTTGCTTGAGTACTCGGGGCGTGTCAAGGAGATCTACGAGAATGCTATCAAGAAATTTGCGAAAGCTTTGAAATGGGAGCAGGCCCGAACAGATTATGTGTGGAAAGAATCGCAACATATCTTGTCTGTACGGCGAAAAGCTCGAGAGTCAAGTATCTTACCCCCTGGTCCCTTATGAATTGGGTCTGAGCTAACAACTTTCTTCTAGGAACCTCGATCCATAAGCTTTATGCCGACTTGATAAACCAGTCTTCTCTGGCCAGGGCAATCTATACAGTGTATACCAGCATCTCGGCATCTAAGATTGCCTCTGTTTCACTCAGTCCCGATGTTTCTATCTCGCTACAGATTCCCCCGTTGACCTCCACGCCATACCTTGCTGGCCCTGCAGACAAATCTTATCCAGGTCTCTGGTTGACAACGGCTGACAGCGCAACTCCAGTGGATGAACCTGGTATCGACGATATCAATTCGCCCCACCAAGTCCTTGCAAAACACTTCGCACTACTTTTGCTGGATAGTGAGGCATCTATTATCAAAGATGTTGAGGCCTCCGGTGGCACCCTTGCCACAGCACTGGCACACTATATTCGCTGTTCGAAGCCAACGAAGTCTTTTGCTCAGATTTCACTATCCTCGGGAATCCCACTCTCCACTATCCAGATGCTGGCTAGTCACTTGGTGTACTGGCGTCGTGCCCGAGCCATCCCTCCCATTCACCAGCGAGACACGTACATTGTTTCTCCCAATTGCGACCTGAGCAAATTGGAAGTAGCGACTATTGCATATCAGGCAGCATTCCCAACGCTTCCCAGTCTCCCAAAGATGCTCTCTTCACTCAGTGGCACCCCTCGTCCTTATGGAAGCTTCATTCCGAGTAAAGACCACAAGGAAACATACTTTTCTATTCTCGCATGGCTTCTCCGCGGTGGTTGGGTCACACAATTACGTACCTTCGCCCGCATCAAGGTGACACCCGAGATCAAACTGGCCGTGGAAATGGCTCTTCGAAAAGAAGAAGTGGACCGCTACCTTGCCAAAGGGAATCCTAGTTCCCTAGCGGACGTGGATACAGACAGTTCGGACGATGACGACGCCAATTCTTCGTCGTCCTCCTCGCTCGCCAGTCACGGCAGCGGAGATGACACGCCCATGCCGGGTCGCGTCGACCCGCACGCACAGCTCCGCACTTCGCATAAGCTACTAGACCGGTCCACTGCTCTGCGGCAATCAACCTTGATCTTATCTCCGCATCGTGCCTCCCCACTTGAATCCCGATGGCTAGACGAGATTGTCGCTCGGTTCCCGGAGAAGCCTGGGGACGAGAAATTCCTTGAAGGTGTGAGCCCAGACATCGCGCCGAATGACCTTGAAAACTTCCAGAGTCTACTCAGGAAATACTGGCCCTCGTTCCTCAAATATTTCAACGGACACGATGCATTGGAGAAAATCTCTGTCCGAGAGAACCTGAAGCGTAAATTAGTGTGGCAGGTCCTCACCCGCCTGGGCTTTATTGGGCAGACAGGTTCAGTCGAGCTAGACGCGCGGGAACAGGTGCTCATCAGTGTTCGGCATTGGTAGGGAACGTATATGCTCGCTCTTGTCATTTAATATTTTTTTTGGCCTTTGAACTATAGAAGCGTGGAGTTATCGTGCGTACGGACTGGATACCATTTTGTTTTCCTTTTTGGCTCTCATACTCTGTCTCAATATTATCCTGTTAATCCTTGCCTATATTTCCCCTTTCCCCCTCCACATCGGCCTAGCGGAGCGTATCCGCTGCGCAGAGTAATACAGATACCACATCCCACGTTCCAAGGTCCCCTTGTTTCCGCCGATGTATTCTGCTTACAAACTCCACCCACCCGACGGATTCCGCGTGCCCTCAGCCCTAATTGTGCGCTGGCGATAGTGTATTCCACGGTATTCTGGGCGTGGGGGTGCTGTCATGAAGATAAACGAGAGTATTTTGTAGTATAGGTTGGAATAAATCTAGGCAAAAGTAACAATCGTGATCTATGGACTGATATGTATGGTATCAAAACTCCTTGCAACCTTGGGAGTCAAGGGTATCACGTGCCGATACTTTAGGGCACTGGCAAATATATCACATTCTGCATTCTTCGGTCGCACAGAACCGCGTTGAATCATTAATGGCTTGGAAGGACCCTTTGACACGACACCATAGAAGTGCAAAGGAGAAAAAGGAAGACCAGAAACAGTACCAAGATTGGGTACATAGAAGCGTAATAATAAATACAAGTACGGTATAGGCCAAGGAGGGGAAGTAACGCAGGAGATACTTATGAACCTACAGTAGTGAGCTAGGGATCCTGCACTTGCTTACAGGTTCGGGTCGGTATTACGTATACCAACATCCCAGTACGGGCCAAATCAGGTACCCGAGGATTTCACGGGTCGTATATCCGGCGGGAGCTCCACGGCTGAAGAAGGGAAGATGTGCCGGATCAATGAGGAACCTTCCTGAACTGTATTACAGATATGCTGTGTGAATTTGACAATTTATTCTTCATTTTTCCATTTATCTTTTATCTTTCGCCGAGTGGAAAAAAAGCTGCTGTGAGTACCGGATCACATAATCAAGGCCACGATGGATTGACTTCCCGCTGCGCCGCGTCAGATAATCCATTAGACGGATATGTGGTCCAAGGACCAATCGTCGGCTTGGATCGGAGGGGCTCGGTGGACCCCGCAAATGGGTAACGCTTTAATTCACAAATTCACAAAAGGTTTGATCAATTTGCGGTTAAAACGGATGCTATGACAAATGTAAACCATACTCCATAGGTATCCATGGGTGGATGTTAGATTATACCTAAGACCTGTAAGTAGTAGCCCAAGCTAAAGGTATTGCATTTTCAGTCTGACGATTACGTAGTGTCTTCGATTAATGGCTAGTTTGACAGGCAACGGTTGTCAAGTACCTAAAGTGTACGTATACATAATACTTTCTGCAAGCTTCCATTGGTCGGACTTTGGGCCCCCATTCCAGGCCTTCCAGCCTGGAAGGACCCTGAACAGATGGGTGATGCCGGAAAATCTATCCCTGGCACTACGATTGGATCATTCATGCTTTGAGGCTCCAATTTATATTTTGGGAGCTTTTCTGACACATTCATCATACACTAAGCTTGGGCAAAGCAACAAAGCTCATTGTCTGTTCTGTACTGTATAAGTTACTGTATACTTTGGGCTTGGACCAGGATATAGAGGGACAGGCGCCCGAGCATTGGCCGAGCGTATTGTCATCTACGTAATAAATAGTAACGGATGGTAACAATCCAGTCAATGGAGAGCCACTAGTCCGAAAAAGGCAAGATAATTTCAAAGTTCATTCATATTGTTGAATGTGATTCCATTCTCCCACAAACCTTGAGAGCAACTTGAGGGTAATTCTTGTGTAGCAGAGGGTAGCTGACGGATGTAGATTGTAGTACGAACAGTTCATGTAAATTACCCCCCGGATATCCTCATAGTTCTCTTACTGATAGACGTGGTCAATGGGTCAATTTGTGCGTCCGGCACCGAGGGATTAATCCGCTGGGCTCCATCCACTATACTAAAGAGATTTTTTTCTTATGCGAAATTCCACAATTACCTACCTGGGGTACACAGAAAGCATACGCAAATTTGTTTCCCTAACAATTTTCCTTGGTTCAAAAAATCCAATACCTTTTGTGTAAGGTAAGAAAAAAAGCCCCCGCTACCATTTTGCCCTTATTACCCAAATAATTTTGCGTTCTTGCTCTTACCCTTCACCATCTCCCCTCTCACCTCCACCCCTCCCCCCCCCCCTCCCTCGGGTGTTTGTTCCTCGCTTTCCATTCCTCCCTTGTTTTTATTTGAGTCTTTGACTCGTACTCGGGATTTTGTGATCTTGTGAAAGACCCGAGCCCTCATTGCTTCCGATCCTCCGGAACCTCCTCTCGCGATTTGTGACAATCTCGAAATTCCTCCCGATCCTCACATCTTCTTTCTAGTGGATTTCGAACTCGTCGCACACGTGTCATTCGCGCCGTCCTCGTGCTACGAACCCTACGGTCCAATTCTGATCTCGAAGTCGAACTAAATATTCGGTTTTGCTTTCGCATCCCTGTGCATTTACCGATCTCGTCAACGTGAGCTCCGGATTGAATCGATTGTTGTGATCTCCCCGAGACTGAACCGAGGTGGAAACATCCAGAGCATCCGGAAAAAGTTGCTGTGACTTGCTTCCCTGCGAACCGACATCCCGCCGATGCGATTTGCGGTTTAAACGATCCATACACAGACAAACAAACCCAGTTCTGTCGAGAACGTCTTCAAGCTGTGCCTGAAGACTCGCATCTTGTCAGTTACACCTCCGTGTGAGAACGATTCTTAAGAAACGAAGGACCGTTCTTTAGTGGGGTTACAAAAAGGTGGAAATCATCCTTTACCCTCTGTTTTGAAACGGTGCCGGAGTCATCTCGCGCGTGGGCGTTGATTTGAGTTCTCCAGGTTCCCTGTCTACAGCAGAATCCCTGGAACGGATTCTCAACATATCCAAACTCCGCGAGTTTTTGTCTGATTGAGCTACATTGAGCTTCATATTCAAGAAAATGCCTACATTCAGCTACGCGCAAGCCGCAAAGGGGGCGTCTGAGACCCCAGTGCCCACCAAGCCGGTATCTACAGAGCCCGAAAAGACTGAGTCCAAGCCGGAAGAGCAGACCAACAATGTCCCCGCAGAGCCGGTAACTACGACCTCGGAAACCGAAACACCACAGGAGACCGAGAAGGCCACAACAAGCGTTGATGAGGATGTCGAGTTCACCACTGTGACCAACAAGCATGCCAACAGATCGAAGGCTGTTCACTCCAGGACATCATCCCCCAGCGTCCGATCCACGGCAGCACACTCCAAAGATGGTGAATCATCAAATACCTCGAACGGAACTCAGGAGACTTCGTCTGAGAAGCAAGCCGAAACTAAGGCTGAGAAGGCTGGAAATGATACCGAGGAACAGAAGGAGAAGTCTGGGAAGTCCGAGAAGTCCGAAAAGACTGAGAAGTCTGATAAATCTGAAAAAGCCGAGAAGAGCACCCCACCAAAGGAGTTGAAGGCCGCCCCTCTCCCCTCAGTGAACATCTGGCTGCAACGAAAGGAGGCCCAAGAGGCCAAGGCCAAGACTACTCCAGCTCCTGCTGCTGCGAAGGCCACCTCCGGGAAGGCCACTGAGGAGAACCAGCAAGATACGCCCAAGACCAACTCTAAGAAGAAGGGTACCGACAGCGCGCAAGAAGGAACCAAGGGAGGTAAGAAGGCTGATGGTGCTAAGGGCCGGGATGGTGCCTTGCCCCCGGTCGAAGATGCCTCATCATGGCCCACACCTGAGGTTGCTATTGGCGAAGATAAGAAGAAGGCACAGGAGAAGACAGATAAGACCGAGAAGGCAGAGAAGAGCCCGGTCATGCGTGCCCACGGCAAAGAGAAGTGGATGCCTGTCAACTATGTTCCTACTGCCGTGTTTAACACTCCCCTCCCTTCCGCTGGCCGTGGAGGTCGGAGAACCGCTCGTGGTGGACGGGATGGTGGTCGTGGTGGATCCCATGCAGCCGCTGCCGGTGAAAAGGTCGCCTCAGGCCAGTCTGCCCCTGCCCCTGTGAGCAAGCAGACATCCGGAGACCGTGGCCGCAATGAAGCTGGCGCTGGCCGTGCTGCTTCCCTCCCTGCTCAGACTCGACGTTCTACCAGCTCTGACGTGACCAACTCCGAGGGTCGCAAGGCTCAAGCAGTGGAGCGCAACAACCGCCCCCAGCGTGGTGCTGAAGATGCCACTGCCTCAAATGGCAAGCAGGTCAACGGTGGTGAGAACGCCGCTCGGCCCCAACGGGATGGCAAGCAGTCCAACCGAAACGGTGACAGCCGTAATGCTAAGGGTGGCAACCCGGCTGTTGACTCTCAAGGTGCGGCTCGTGCCAACGACCGCCGATTTGACTCTGGCGCCAAGTCGGCTGACGTAAACCGTGAGGCTGGTGCAAATGGCTTCCAGGACTTCAACCGTGAACGTGGTGACTCTCGTGCTGAGCGAGGAGGCCGTGGAGCCAACCGCGGACGTGGAGGTGCCTACTCTGGATTTGCTGGCCAGAATGGCCAGTTCGGCAACATGGGAAACAACTTTGCTTCTAAGAACTTCGGCTTCAATGATCGTCAACGGTCTCAGCACGGTGTTGCCAACGGCTCGCAGCAGGGAAACCGGATGTCTTTGAGATCACCTTCTTTGACAGGACCTGCAAGCCCATACGGCGTGTACCCCTTCCCAACTGACATCAACACAATGTACCCCTACCAGGCTGTTAACCCCGGCCCAATGAGCGCGGTCCCTTACCAGCAGTACATGGAGCCCTACTCGCTCATGAATATGCTCTCTATGCAGCTGGAGTACTACTTCTCGGTTGACAACTTGTGCAAGGACATGTTCCTTCGTTCCCAGATGGACGCTCAAGGCTTTACCCCTCTTAGTGTTATTGCCACCTTCAAGCGTGTGAAGTCTTTGACTGAGGACTTCGAACTCCTGCGTCATGTTTCACGCCAACTCCGCAATGTGGAGGTCCAGACTGGTGAAGATGGTATGGACCGCTTACGCCCTCGTGAGAACTGGTCTCAGTGGGTACTCTCTGGTGCTGCCCCGGCGCAACCTGGAAAGAATGACGAGAACACCCCTATCAACAACCACGTCGACGGTGCACCAAATGGTTCCATCCATGGTGGATCTCAACAGTTCGTTCCGAATGGCACAGCTTCCCACAACCGCACACATCTTTCCTCCAACGCCCCGGAGTTCATGCCATCGGCACAAAATGAAGTCGCCACTGTAGGAAGCCCCCAGGATTGCTCTTATTTCCCCCCATCCGTTTCCAGATCGGAATCTCCCCTTTATATGGCAACAAATTTGGAAAATGCATTTATTGACGAATGTCGATCAGCGCTCGGACTAGATTCACGCAAAACGACCCCACTTTCCTCTCCCCTGGGAGCAGCGGCACAACTAGCTGGGTATGCGTGAATTCTGTTTATATCTTTGACTTTCAAATCGCAGCTGACATTCTCCTCTTATTTCAACCAGTAATTTTGATCAACTGCACACGCAACGTCATCCGACCAACTATCTCACTCGCCAAACTAACAAGCCGCCACCCAAGCAAAATCATCCGCCATCCCAGTGGAAGGGAAAGGGCCACTCAAAGCAAAAGTACGCTAATGTCAACAAATCACTTGAAATGCTTCTAAATGATGAGGTTGGGGGTCCAGCACGACAAGGCTGGGACACTTCTCTCTACGAATATTGGTTGGACTGTTTGATGCAGGAGTTCAATTTGCGAATGTACAATGAATTCAGGCGCCAAGCCTTAGATGATCTTTTTACACGACACACCGACGATGGCTTTATTTTTCTCATGGAATTCTATCGCCTTGCCGTCAGCAGCCCATTTCGTATACACCCTCAGATTCTTTCGGATCTGGTTGGGTTGTGCCGGGATGAAGCTTTCAAACCTCGTGATGCTATCTTCAGTCTGATTGAAACTGCTGTTGCCAATGACCAAGGGGATGAGAAGTTCCACAAAATTGATTTTATTCGCAAACAATTTACAAGGGCATTTGGCAACCAGTGGAGAGGGACTGGGAGAAAGTCATATCATTGAACTCCGTTGTCATCCGCTTTTGCATATGCTTGCTGGAATCCTTTTCTCCTTCTCTGTTTTCTTCTTCTGCTTTCCACAAAATCATGATCAGCATAGCTGTGTTCCCAAGGGGTTTGCATGCATCTTCCGGCTACTTTTTTTACTTTTTTTTTTTCCAAGTGCCTAATGGTCACAATTCTATCGCAACATTACGGCCTCCTTTTATCCGTCTATTGTGAAGCCTCGGAGTTTCACACTGGCTTTACTTTGTTTCTGTTTCCCCAATATTGCTGCGTTTTCCATCATGGGCTTTCTCCTCAAAACGTTTCGGAGTCCCGGCATGCATGATCTTATGGGCGATATCCCCTCTCCCCTTTTCGACGCTTGATTCCATCGCGTCTCAGGCCCAAAAAATTATTGTTTTTTTTTTCTTCTCTTCCTTCTGATCATAGAAATTTTTTGTTACCTCTTTCTGTGGAGTTCCCTTACTTCCATCTTTATGCGATCGAAGTGTCTGAGCTGTCTCGCCACGACACCCAGATCTTAGCGAGTTTCCAAGGTTATCAGCATGACTGGCGCAGCGACGAAGAGCAAAGCAATGGTCGAAGCCAACAATGAAAAAAGTATTGTATGATGTCATTTAATTTCCCACTATGATGTGGGTGTTCTTCCGACTGCATTTATCCATGGGGGCTTTCTGTGAAGAGACCTTTCTGTCACGTTTATATCAGCTTGTATCCTTCCGAGGAATATCTGAGAGAACGTTTACTAAGTCAGCATTTTCTGGACCTGGAGGCGTTGTTCTAGGAGTTGCAGCTATGGCTTGTGTCGGCGTACTTTGTTCATAAATCAGGTTGCAGGGGGGTTTCTCTTTTTTTTTTTTTTTTTTTTTTTTCCTCCTTGGAATATTACACTATTGCAGTGCATAATATGAAAGGTATTCTTCCTAGGAATATGGTATTGCGAGATGTTTATCTCAAACACAGCGATTTTTACAATAGGACATTATGATAAAACCCTTTCAAAGAGGAACGTTAGTATATAGTGTCCGTCTACCTATCAGAGTTGAGTCAATGCGGAGAACACCGTGTTGCCTCAGGCAGCCAACTCTCAACCTTTGTTCCGAACTCACGACCAGCTTACTCCTTCACTCTCCCTCCAATCTCCACACATACCCCCGCAATCTCTCAACATGGAGGGTGCATCCCGGCAATCATCAAGACTATTACGGTCCCGTGGTAGCCTGCTCCCGCAGCAACGCCGTCTTCCCCGACCAGCCACCCGGACGGCTCTTTCGACGACACAATGTCGCGCGCTCTCAAACTCGAGCCGCAACCTCGCCCCAGAGTCCCTTTTCAGCCAGTTTGGAGGTAGCTCTGCAGCTTCGCATAACCCGTCAGGTGGTCCAACCACTTATTTCACTAACCGACCAACCCTCCCCGCAAACACGATCGTACGATTCGTGCCACAGCAGACAGCATGGATTGTGGAGCGGATGGGAAAGTTCCACCGCATTCTGGAGCCCGGTCTGGCTATCCTTTTCCCCTTTCTGGATCGCATTGCATACGTCAAGAGCTTGAAGGAGTCTGCGCTGGAGATACCCAGCCAGAATGCTATCACCGCGGATAATGTTACATTGGAGTTGGATGGCGTGTTATATACCCGAGTGTTTGACGCATACAAGGCCAGGTATGCTCTCCCATCATATTGCACTGCATAATTGAAGCAAGATCAAATGTCTAACATATTGGGGCTGTAGCTACGGCGTCGAAGATGCGGAGTATGCCATCTCCCAGCTTGCGCAGACGACCATGCGATCCGAGATCGGTCAGTTGACTCTCGACCACGTCTTGAAGGAGCGCGCCACACTCAACACGAACATCACACAAGCGATCAACGAAGCCGCACAGGACTGGGGTGTTGTGTGTCTACGATACGAGATCCGGGATATCCACGCGCCGGACGGTGTTGTGGAAGCCATGCACCGCCAAGTCACTGCGGAGCGATCCAAACGAGCGGAGATCTTGGAATCTGAGGGTCAGCGACAGAGTGCAATTAATATTGCCGAGGGAAGGAAGCAGTCCGTCATCCTCGCGTCTGAGGCTTTGCGCGCCGAGCAGATTAACCTGGCGGCTGGTGAAGCCGAGGCTATCCAGCTGAAGGCGGACGCTACAGCACGTGGAATTGATGCCGTTGCGAAGGCCATGCAAGACGGTCAGGAGCATGCCCATGGTGCCGTTAGCTTGAGGGTTGCCGAGAAGTATGTTGAAGCCTTCTCCAACCTGGCTAAGGAGGGTACCTCTGTTGTTGTCCCTGGTAACGTTGGTGACCTGGGCGGTATGATTGCCAGTGCTATGGCGGTCTACGGCAATGTGAGTAAGAGCCAGGCTAAGAACATTGCTGCCAAGACTCTCGGTGCTCAGGAGTCGGAGATTAATACCACTCCGAATACTGAAAAGACTGATGTCGTGGAGGAGGAGTTCGAGGCTAAGGAGTCGAGCGAGACTGAGCCGAACAACGATGTCACACGGAGTGTCTTGGAGTCATTTTCCGAGGCTAGTCAGAAGACAAAGCGCTAAACATCGATGGCTAAATATCGATGAGCCATCCTCGACGTGTGCGAGCTAAGTTTTCTTGGGTCCTTTTGCATATTGATCCAACGGAGCCTACAGTGCTTCGCAGGTCTCTCTATTTGTACCACTTTCCCTCCGCTCTTATTGTTTTTTCTTTTTCTTTACTTTTTCTTACTTCTTATTTGTGTTCTGCTTTTGCTTGGTTCAACAGCATTCTTCAGGAGTCAAAAAAGGCACCAGCTCTTCTTGCTATGCGGGAGTTGAACTGACCCCGTATTTTTACGTACATAAGGCATCGCGGGGCATTGGGACTAAGAACACAAGGAGAAGAAAAAAGAACCAAGAAAGAAGACAAAGCATGTATGATAGTGTGTAGCAAAAATATCAGAACCAGTACACTGTGAAAGAAGATTTGGAATCTTTTCGTAAATGTGATCAATATACTCTGTTCTAGTGAAGTATTAAATGCTTAACGCGAAAAGAGGAGCTCGGGCCACCAATTCTGGAGATCGCGACTTTTCGGTTTCGCGCCCTGATCAGCAATCTCCCTTTGTATCCCGCAGCGCCCAACTCCCTCTACCCCCATCATCTATCCTCAGCTTCTCGGCGGACTCAATTATTCAGCTTCCGCGAAGCTGCACAGAGAACTTCCAAGGGGGTATCTCTGCGATGTCCTCTACGATAAACACCTGACCCTCCATCTGATCACCCTTCCAGCTTCGCCCTTCCTCTCGTCGACCCTCATTTCGCAAGGACTTTACCAATACAGAGTACACCGGAGCCGATTCGCTACATTCAAGAGTTTTATATCTGCGTTGCATAGTGGTGTGGCGCACTCCGCCTCGGTTGCGCAATGCATATCATCAAGCCAGTCTGGCTCACACATGGAGGTACGGATATCTTGGTGGTCCTATTGCTGGATTATTTTACCTAAAATTGAGCGCTGGGCTGGGTGGCTCTTTGAAACAACCGAGGGTTCTTTTTTGATATGAATAGCTGTGCTGATTATTTGTCGATTCGCATAGGTGAAAGGAAAGATTTCGAGGTTTACAGTTGTGATGTCTCGCCTGACGGAAAGAGATTGGTGACTGCCGCAGGAGGTGAGAAAAACTCAAGATCGATACATCAGGGCTGCTCTGGGGAGTGCAGAGCAGATCATGTGCTGCTGGAATTGCCGAAAGATCATCGCTAACATGGAGCTTCTGTGCTGCAGATGGCTATGTGCGGATATGGTCTACCGAGGCCATCTACAATACCGGCAATCCGGAATTCGCAAGTAAACCGAAGCAGCTTGCTTCTATGAGCAATCACTCCGGAACGATCCATACCGTTCGTTTCTCCCCAAACGGACGATATCTCGCGTCAGGGGCGGACGATAAGATTGTCTGCGTTTATACGCTGGATGCCAATCCACCAACACACGGTTCAACGTTTGGTAGGTATCTGTATAGGTGGAATATCAAGGAGAGTAGGCACTAATAACTTTTGAACTGTGCAGGGTCGGACGAGGCACCGCCTGTAGAGAACTGGCGCACTATTCGGCGATTGATCGGTCACGACAATGATGTACAGGATCTGGGATGGTCATATGATTCGTCGATTCTGGTCTCTGTCGGGCTGGACTCTAAGGTTGTAGTTTGGTCTGGACATACATTCGAAAAACTGAAGACGATTGCCGTGCATCAGAGTCACGTCAAGGGCATCACGTTCGACCCCGCGAACAAGTACTTTGCTACTGCCAGCGATGACCGTACTGTTCGCATCTTCCGATTTACTTCTCCTGCGCCAAACTCGACATCTCATGACCAGATGAACAACTTCGTACTGGAACAGACCATCTCCGCGCCATTCGCTAATTCTCCCTTAACCGCCTATTTCCGTCGTTGCTCATGGTCCCCAGATGGTATGCATATCGCTGCCGCAAATGCGGTCAATGGACCTGTTAGTTCGGTGGCTATTGTTAACCGTGGCTCATGGGATGGCGATATTAACCTTATCGGTCACGAAGCACCGGTCGAGGTGTGCTCATTTTCTCCGCGGCTGTACTCCCGGGAGCCGATACAGAAGCAGCCGGCTGATAACCATGCGGCACACCATATCACCGTCATTGCCTGCGCGGGTGCAGATAAGTCCTTGAGTGTTTGGATTACAAGCAACGCTCGTCCTATTGTGGTAGCCCAAGAAATGGCGGCCAAGTCCATTTCAGATTTGGCCTGGAGTCCGGACGGCAAGTGTCTTTATGCCACTGCGCTAGATGGCACTATTGTTGCAGTCCGGTTCGAGGAAGGCGAGCTGGGTTACGCCGTTGAAATGGAAGAGAACGAAAAGTCTTTGACCAAGTTTGGAACGAACCGCAAGGGTGCCGGTATCACAGAGACCACAGATGCCCTGCTACTTGAGGAGAAGAGCAAGGCCGGTGAAATCAAGGGCGTTGAAGGCCGTATGGGTGCACTTATGGGTGACGGCCCGGAGCCTGCTGTCAACGGGGGGTCTGCGCCGCAGCCATCTAACGGCACAACTCCTGCACGAGCTTCGTCGCCAAATCCAGAGCCCGCGAAGACAAATGGAACAGCATCCACCCCTGCTGCCACCGAAGCTGAGAAACCTGATCCATACATGGCCAAGCTGGAAAGACTCAAGCAACGCCCAACGTATACTAAAGAAGGAAAGAAGCGCATTGCCCCCCTGCTTGTTTCTGGTGCCGGTGCTGGAGAGTCTTCTCTACCGCAGGCTCGTTTGATGGCTTCAGTGAGTAGCCAAGCCAAATCTGATGCCCCAGCATCCATCGTTGACCTTTCAAAACCATTTGATGGGCTACCCAAGGGTGGCTTGACTGCCTTGCTTCTTGGAAACAAGCGCAAGCTAGCTCAATTAGAGGGTGACGAGGAGGGACAGGCTGAGAAGCGTGTGGCCGCGGCGAGCCAAAATGGTGCGACGCCCATTATGGCCAACACGCCTGATGGGCTTCTCCCGGCCCAGACACAACCGGCGACGGCTGGTCAGCAGCCTACCCCGGAATTCATTAGACCCGCGGTCACAAATCCCTGCATGGCCGTTAGCCAGCTGCGGCTGGCAGTTCCCAAGATCCGAAGTCACATTCTTCGTGCACTAGATTTGACTGGGAAACCGACTGATCCGCCAGCCCCTGGTGGAGGAGATTCGAGCACCAAGTCTAACGTGGACGTTGTCTTTGAAGCCCGGAATCCTTCGCCAGCCAGTTTGACCGGCCGTGCTGTGGATCGGGAACCAGTGCGTCTCACACTCTTTCGTGGCGAGCACCCATTATGGCAGGACTTCCTCCCCAAGTCTGTATTGCTGGTCACCGGTAATCAGAGTATGTGGGCTGCTGCCTGCGAGGATGGCTCGGTTTACATCTGGACTCCCGCCGGTCGTCGCTTAGTGAGTGCTCTGGTCTTGGAGGCACAACCCGTCATTCTAGAATGCAACGGGCCTTGGATTCTTTGCATCTCATCCGTGGGTATGTGCTATGTTTGGAACGTGAAACACCTGTCTTCTCCACACCCTCCTGTCTCTCTACAACCCGTTCTTGATGCCGCCATCTATGTCATGGGCGCCAATCCCACTGTTGCCCCGGCCGTCACCGACGCACGCGTCAACTCAGAAGGCAGAATTGTCGTATCCTTGACCAATGGAGAGGGATACTCCTACTCGCCGACCATGTACACATGGCAGCGTGTCTCAGAAGCCTGGTGGGCTGTCGGCAGCCAGTACTGGAACTCGACAGAGGCACCTGTCGGTAACCTGCAAGCAAGAGACGCACAACAAGATACGAAGGATGCCAAGGCCGCAGTTTCAGCTGGCATCATTCCCTTCCTGGAGCGCAACACCACAAATGAGACTCTCCTTCGTGGACGTGCATACTTCCTGCAACGGCTGATTAAGGTTCTCCTTTCCCGTGAAGGTTATGAGACCTTTGAGTCTAGCGTCTCGATTGCTCATCTTGAGAACCGCATGGCGGCTGCTTTGTCTCTAGGCGCGAAGGAAGAGTTCCGCTTATACTTGAATATGTATGCCAAGCGCATCGGTGCTGAGGGCTTGAAAATGAAGGTCGAAGAGCTGCTCAAGGGATTGATTGGTGGCCTATTCGATGATGAGGAGGGCTCTGATGCCGTGTCAAAGTTGCAGAGCAACGAGCGCGAGGGCCGCAATTGGCGCGAGGGATCGGAGAATCTTTGTGGTTGGCCACGAGAGACTCTGCTAAAGGAGGTGATTCTTGCTCTTGGTATGTTTTCTATATCCTTTATCCTCAATTGGGTCGCACTACCATCTCCCGTTTTCCACCGTACTAACTACTGTCCAGGCAAATATCGGGAACTCCAGCGTGTGACTGTTCCATACGCTAAGTTACTGGATATGGTTGACAATACAGACGCCGATGCTATGGACCTTTGATGAACTTTATCTCTAGCCCTTGCTATCACTTCTTTTTCTGGCGTTGATTACATGTGCCTTGGGATAGGGCACGGAGGGGTTTTTTGTTTATGCTTTATTTTACCTTGACTCTGAGTTTCCGATATTCAGATATCCCTAAGAGGGCGAGATGATTCAATGGGGGTTGTATTTGTATTATATTTGATGCACGAAACTCGCAAAAGCATTCTACATCCTCCATAGGGGTTGATCAGTTCTCTCTCTACTTCTTCTGTCCATAAAGTCAATATAACTTCTTTAATTGGCATACTTGCCCACAGTAGTGACGTCAAGGGCGCAGGGCTTCACGTGAGCGGTGTGTATTGCAGGCAGAAAACTTTGATGACATGTTTCTCCTTTGCTATTGAAGTTGCAAGCTATCAGGACTACAGCTCACTCTCCTTTATTCTCTCTTTGATCTCTCTACAATCAATCCCAATTGATTCCCTGCCCGCTGTTTGGTGGGTGCCGCCATAACGTCTCTCCTCAATTCCTCCGTTCTCTTCTTTGGTATCGTCGACCGATCCGCAGCTGGTCCTGCTTTCACCGCGCGCTATCCTTGCCGCTTCCGCCTTGGTCCATCCCCCCACCTTCCACCTCCCAAGGTCTTTTGTCGTTTCTACTCCAAGAAGAAATCCAATAAAATGCCTCCCAAGAAGGCCCAAGTTCAAGAGAAGGTCCTCCTGGGCCGTCCTGGAAACAACTTGAAGAGCGGTATCGTATGTGAGCAATGACCCCACTCTGCTTTTTTTTCCGCGGTTTTTTTCGCACAGCACAGTCCACTTTTTTATTTCCACACAAACTATTTAAACCTCCCCCTTTCCTCCTTTCCTCCTGCTTCTGCTTTTATTTTCTTTCCACATCCCAACACAAAATGATACTCCTGAATACATGATTCAGTGGAGCTTGGGCTACACAGATACTTACTCATAATGATTTAGGTTGGTCTTGCAAACGTCGGCAAGTCGACGCTCTTCCAGTCCATCACCAAGTCCTCCCTTGGTAACCCTGCCAACTTCCCCTATGCCACTATCGACCCCGAGGAGGCCCGTGTCATCGTTCCCGATGAGCGCTTCGACTGGTTATGTGAGCACTACAAGCCCAAGTCCATCGTTCCCGCCAACTTGACCGTGTATGATATTGCCGGTCTGACCCGTGGTGCTTCGACTGGTGCTGGTCTGGGTAACTCTTTCCTGTCGCACATTCGTGCCGTCGATGCCATCTTCCAGGTGGTGCGATGCTTCGACGATGCTGAGATCATTCACGTCGAGGGCGATGTCAACCCCGTCCGCGATTTGGAGATTATCAGCGACGAGCTGCGCGTTAAGGATATCGAGTTCGTCGAGAAGGCGCTCGATGCCCTTGGCAAGCAGACTCGCCGTGGTGGCCAGTCGTTGGAGATGAAGAAGTTGAAGGAAGAGGAGGCTACTGTTGGCAAGGTCCTGCAGTTCCTCAAGGATGGTAACGACATCCGTAACGGTGACTGGACTCCCAAGGAGGTACGTTTTCACAATTTTTTTTTTCTTTCAAATTGTTCATGCACTTCTCCCCCACCCCGTCCAATCGGACTCCATAAAATGATGAATAAGAGCATAGCTCGAATATAACCCAGCTCGTCGAAAATGTCCCACATTTATATCACGTTGAGGACATATTGAGATAAAAACCCTATCTGAAACATTTTGGAGTCCTTTTGTCTTATTCACAAATCACTCCCAATCATTTGAAATCAAATTTACTGACTCGATTGATTACAGGTTGAGGCTATCAACCCTCTCTTCCTCCTGACTGCCAAGCCCTGTGTGTACTTGGTCAACTTGAGCGAGAAGGACTTCATTCGCAAGAAGAACAAGTACCTCCCCCCTCTGTTCGAATGGATCAAGAAGCACTCTGAGGGCTCTCCCATTCTGCCCATTTCTGCCTGCTTCGAGGAGCGTCTTGCCCTGATGGGTGATGATGCTGCCGCTGCTGAGGAGTGCAAGAAGCTTGGCACCCAGTCTGGCCTTCCCAAGGTCATCACTACCATGCGTACTGCATTGAACCTGGGTAGCTTCTTCACCACCGGTACTGATGAGGTCCGTCAATGGACCATCCGTAAGGGCACCAAGGCTCCCTCCGCTGCTGGTGTTATCCACGGTGACTTTGAGAAGACTTTCATCCAGGCTATTGTGTACAACTACAGTGTTCTCAAGGAGCTTGGTGACGAAGCTGCCGTCAAGGCCGCTGGTAAGGTCATGACCAAGGGTAAGGACTACGTTGTTGAGGATGGTGATATCATGCTCATCAAGGCTGGTGCTGCCAAGAGCTAGATACATATTCAAGTAGATCAATAAATGACAATTCTTGGACATGAACTTTTTTCAATGTAATATTTCCCTGTGACCAGTTGATTGTTGCAAGTCAGCAGCATTATTCTTCTCCAATTCTGCCTGATCTTCTTTTGTAAAAAAAATCCCAATCGCCCCTCTAGATATCATCACGTGACATCCCCGCGGATCCCACTTCGCATTGATAGGATCCGATACACATCACCCCTCTCCAAGAAAAGCACAACCATGTTCAAGAAAGAGTGAGTAAATACCTCCAGCATTTTTATGATACCCGGGACTGCACACGAAGCAGCACAAGCATAGCTTTCAACCCCCGAAAGGAGTACAATGGACCAGATCCCAGCACCGCAAAATCAGAAGCTCTACCAGCTCTCTGCGCAAGAAATACTGGAACCAAGCACTGCATAAAAGGAGCACCTTCACAAATATGTCGTCGATACTTCAAACCATACACATCTATCATGTCACATTTTATACCATATGCCAAATATCGTATGACCAGAATCACAGGAAGCTAACAAACATATTACAGAATCCCGTCGACCAACCGCTCGAAGGTCAAGTCCTCAGTGCAGCGTGGCTTGCGCCAAAAGCTGCTGGAGACTTACCCCGGTTTCGAGCCATATATTGAGGAGATCATGCCCAAGAAGGCATCTTTAGAGGCCGTGAAGCTGTACGTGCAACCCTACAATGCCGCTATCTCTTTGAAAGAGAGGCTCCCAAAACAGCCAAACCCAACCCAAACTAACAAAACAAACCTACAGTCCCGACCGCGTTACCCTCTACACAATAGACTCCACCCCCCTCTTCTTCCAACCCTTTGACGGCCCTCCAATTCCCCACCTCAAGCTCGTCCACGCCTTCCCCTCCGCCCTCCCAACCATCCAAATCGACCGTGGTGCCATCCGCTTCGTGCTCTCCGGCGCCGCACTTATGGCCCCGGGTCTGACATCCCCCGGTGGCTCTTTGCCTGATGCCGAGCACGCGCTTGAGGCTGGTGCCATCGTTGCTGTGAAGGCCGAGGGTAAGGAGGAGGTTTGTCTTGTTGGTGCGCTGAAGATGGGCACTGAGGAGATGAAGTCTAAGGGCAAGGGAGTCGTTATGGATGAAGGTCATTATTTGGGTGATGGGCTTTGGAAGCTGCAGTTGGATTAGATCAATTAAAGCTGCATAGTACTGGACTTGGAGAGTCCGAGTCGATTTCATGGTGAATGTGTGGATGCTACGATGGTTTATGACTTTTAGTTTTGATTTGGGGTGGTTGCATATATACCGGATAATGTTTGGCAACTATTGGCTTTCCCTGTCCATCTTAGTGAAAGGCTATCTTTCGTTTTGTAGCTGCCTGTCCTCGAACACCTATACTTATTGTGTATGACGGCCTCCACTAGCACTTGGCTCTGTAACCGCACACCTCGATGTCGAAAAGATTGGGTCCCCTTATCTCAAGTTCCTTATATCTATGCTTGGATTTCATTCTCTCTTGGACTACTTCCCTATATATTCTCCGATGACCGTGGAACTTTTATCGTTTCATCCCTAAGTTAACATAAATTCACCTATACCCGAGCCTTATCCCTTAAGTATTCCCCGTAGTTGGGTCCTAGGCTTTGATCGCGTTCTTTAGAAGATCAGGTAACTTAGGATTAGCGTGGTGGTTGATCGAAATGCTTCAAAGCACTAATGTCCTCTACCTTTCTGAGTGGATCGTAGAATGCTATTTGACTAAAAGTCAGCCTATTACTCTACGGTTGTCATAAGAAACTTGGTGTGAGACTAATGTATATATTTAGGATATAGAGGGTCGCCATTTCCAAAAACTTTTCTTTCTTCTCTTCTGTGATTATGCCCGGGACGATAACCGGTAAGCTCGAAATTTAGTCGCTAACTTAAATGACAATTGTTTATCCTATTTTAATAGCTTTACTAAATCTGTTAAGCTCATATAACCACTTCATAAGCATTTAGAATATAGGAGAACGAATGCTAGTAATTCGCATATAGTTCAAGTATCATATTCCTAGAAATGGCCAATTAGGCTCGGCGGGCTCTAATCAACCCAATAACTTCCTAATACGCGCTATCCTTATAGAGTGGCTAAAGAATAGAGACTAATAAAAAAAAGGTAGACTAGGTAACTTTTCATTACTCTAGCTATAGTGTACTTCGATGATTCATGCCCGGTAGGACAATCCACGCGCACTTATGCCTAATATTAGATCCAAACAACCGCTTTTAGTCTCTAGAAGAATATCAAGCGGAGATCGCTAAGGGGGGTTTAAGGACGAAATAAGCATCGGAGGAAGCCATGCGGACTGCCTAAGCTATTCTACCTAATCAATACTCTCATATCTGGAATTGCATTAAAGACCACGCTTTAGGTGTGCAATATCTTGTGCTGAGGATATTAGCGCATACTTCAGGTTAAAAGTTGATCTGCATCTGCAGTACGTGGATAGCAAGAGACAATATTAAGTCCTATAAGGAGAGAGAGAGATATAGATGCTGAATTAGTTGCTAGCGGATTTGGAAGGTCGTTGGGGAGATCGATGATTTGTCACGTCTATTGTGTTTTGAGCCTTAGGCTTTCTTAATGCAGTTTGTGGTCGGAGAAAAGGCATGACGTCTTGACGGGATTTGCGGTTGGGATCGGATCGAAGAAGGCTAGTGGCAAGAACTATTTTTCCGACACTTTGTCCGACGTTCTGGGCTATTGTGGCCGTATCTCCGTTAGTAATACCAAAAACCACGGATCGGTCTATGGGTCGAGACATGTGGCGTGACATATAATCTTCTTGTATGGAACAGCTTCTGATTACTCAAATCCAGAGTCGAGATCTTTTATATTATGCAATCAATAATAGAATCAATATCTATTTAAGCAGCACAAAGTGAAACTTGTTACACCTCCATAGACGAATCACTCCTACCTATCCATCAATATACCACACGCTGTAGCAAGAAAACCTCGCCATCTGAAGTCTCGAAGTACAGCACTATGACGATGCAAATCCAATCACGATGGAGCAAAATCTTACAAAGAATTCGCTACCAATGGCATAACCATCGGATCATCATGGCCACAAAAGCCGACCTTTGGGATGACTACACCTTACCCCCGGAAAGATACGCTGGCCAAGCGCACGACTAGATTGTGCAACCAAATACCCAAATTGACGAACGCTATGGATACGAAATGCGCCTTTTTTTATTCAATCGCTATTGTGTTACTTGAAAATTCCGATTGGCTTTGCCGACGCGGAGCCACATAACCTGAAATATGGAATTATGGCAGATCGAAATGAGCAAGCTGGGGGCAGTGTATCTGGTCTGGCTCAAAAAGAAATTTTTATTGATATCGGAAGCTTGCCTGCACTTTTACTCCAGGACGAAGCTTGTCTGGTCTCGCACGTTGCCCCTGGCGGTTTGTCTCTCTTTAGCCTTTCTGGGGGCTTCCTGTCAGCTATTGATGCGGCACTCTGATGCTTTCATGCACCGTTAAACTTGATTTGGTTTTAGCTTTACCTCATCTTGCAACCATATATCCCCACCAGGTACATTGGTGAGTCAATTCAGCGAGTTCTATGTTCTTCCAACTCCGCAGATATCATTTGCAAAACCCAGATTGAGTGCAAGCGCCCTCTTTGAGAATGTTGGCGCTGATGTTCCCCTTTCTTCTTTTTCAAAATATGGTGTATCTATATAAACTTGCATTTTCAGATATCTTGAATTGAACCAATGGAAAAAGCAAGATTAAGTACCAAACTTGTTTTGCACAAGACAAGAAGAAAGAACAACTATACTAAGTAGCATTCACGAAGACAAGAGAGATGAGGAAGGGAAGGAAGGGAAAGGAAGGGAAAGGAAGGGAAAGGAAGGGAAAGGAAGGGAAAGGAAGGGAAAGGAAGGCAAAGGAAAGGCAGCTATTCTAAAAGTGAACACCCTCGTGCCGGGCTAGTGCCGACCCATTATTTTCAGTTGTCATCCATATTCAACGCAGTCCTATCCGTACTGTGACGGATAGTCACAAAGCTAATGTGGGAACTTTACAGAACTTGTGGGAACTCCAGACTCCAAATGATCAGTCGCTAGGCGTGGGGCGAACTGAGGCCTTGAACTCCAATTTGATCCAACAAACCATTTTCGCTCCGATCAGCCACTCCGCACGCTAATTTTTTGTGGCAGGAAAGGATGGACATGGCCAGAACCTTATCAGAGATACCGGGGTATTGAATAAGACATCAATTTTGGCTCGTCACTTTAGCCAATATAGGCAACGTACGTTTCCCACCCCACCTACAAGACCTAGGCCGTCAGGGAAAAATTACGAGCACCATGCCGGTAATGCGGGGTGGCTCGGAACGCGCCGTGTAATAATTTGATTAAGAATCATCTCGCCCGAGGTACCGGATTGGTGATACAGTAAAATGGCAGGTTAATACGCTTTTAACATTGGCGTTCTAGAAGTAAGCAGAATGATGACAGAACGTAATATCTCGGACTCCCAACATGAGCATTATTGATGCAGGTATTTAAATTTATGCCCAGGCAGAGACATTCTTCTCAACAAATTCCTCCCAAGTAGTAGGTTTGGAGTCAACGAGCTTCAGGGTGGGCTCAAGCGACTCGCCCAGGTAGTAGCCAGGCTCCTCCACAAAGAGCTGGTTCTCGAGGTACTCGACAGCAACAGCGGGAGGTAAAGAGGCCTTGTACTGCTCTGAGCTGACCTGAATGAAGGCAGCCTTCTTGCCCACAACCTTGGAAAAGGTCTCCACAATCTCTTGAGGAGTGTAGTACTTGGCAGCGGCCAAAACCTGCTTGTTCTTTAACTGGTCTGCGTGTTTCAATGCGACCTTCACAAAGAGACCTAGAAGGATATTTAGCGACGTTGTCCAGAGTTTAATATTGAAGAGCAAGCCTTACCGGTGTCCTGAGCAGCATCAAAGAGAGGAAACTTGGCCTCGTTGCCAACAGGGTAGAACAGCTGATACGATCCATCGTCGGCGCGATTAATCATCTGAGTGAAGTTGCTCATGTAGTATCCAGGCATAACGAAGCTGTATCCAACACCAGAAGCCCGGATGTACTTCTCAATATTGGCCTTACTGTCGAAATGAGGCACGTGGGTGAGACGTCCCTTGGTCTCCTCTGTCACATGGTGGAGCGAAGAGAAGATAAGGTGGGAAACACCCACAGCTTTGGAAACGTCTGCAACATTCTTGCCCTGGGAGTACTCAACATCGGCGTTCATAGTCTCCCAGTAGTTGGTGACCAAGAAGATAGTGTGGGAACCCTTGAGGGCAGCAGTCAGAGAGTCGACGGAGTCCAGCTCAGCCTTAGAGATAGACTTAATTTAGTTCATAGATCATTATTTGATAGGTTCAAAAGCTAGATCTTACCGTAACAACCTCAACTCCCTTCTGAGCGAGATTCTGAGCGGACTTCTTGGTGGTGTCGCGAGTAATGCCGCGGATCTTGAACTCTTTGGAGAGCTCAGGATCGGCGAGGATGGCCTCAATGACCGAACCACCCTGGTTGCCGGTAGCACCAAAGACAGTGATCAATTTGGACATGGTGAATATGTTTAACGGTAAGTGAGAAAGAAAGTCAAGAATATGATAATCTTAGAAAATTGAATATTTGTATAAATGATAGGGAATAATAACCGGGAGCCGAAGAATCTTTTATAGCCCCTCGTTGGCAAGCAGAGAAAAATGAATACGATTTCAGGAAGCTATGATAGAATGCAATGAATAAGCTTCGGGGTCATAGCCTGAGTGTAAGGCCGATCCCTTGCTGCTTCGTAACTCCCGCTGGGTATCGGGTCTCATTGTTTGACCGAACTCCATATCAGTTGCAAAGATAAAGTAAATTGACCATCTATTTCGGGCTGTGGCTGTGGAGCTCACTGGCCAGATGATCTATTAGTCTAACTCTAACCGGAAGTATCATTACTATGCATCATGATCGCCACTAACCAAGTGTTGCCACACCGAGCCCGAGCCCCGAGCCCCGAGCGGTGAGAGAGAACTTCGATTTATATTTACTTCCATTCCGTCCCTAGTCACGTGCTGGAGAGGATGCTGACATAAAGATAAATCAGTGCCTGAGGACGTATCTCACCAATGAGTGGGTCCACCACATCAATAATTGCGTCACGTCGCATTCTTACCAGGTCGTAGAACCAATAGGTGCCTTAGTCGATCAATTTGAAACGATAGGCGTATTTTGGTGTGGTTGAACAATCGAGTATTGAAGAGTCCTACGTCGGGTTGTGAGGTGGACCACTTACTAGTGGAATACTTGAAGTAACCTGAAGGATTTTATATTCATAGCTATCAGTAAGTAAATAGCTGACACTATAGCCCCATAGTATTTACTACGTCCATGAAAATGTCAAGGGACCCTAGATCTCCTTGTAAGTGTTCCATAGGATGTGCCACAATCGGGAACGTAATACCTGCACCAGCTAGGTTCAAGTTATTTCCAACTGGCATAGTTTCGCTTGATTCACCCCACGGCTGCTGAGCTCGAATTGCAGCAGCCCGACTCCGAAGACGTTCCAATGGTCGCATCAACAACCCAAGTCGATTACTCATCGATCCGCCCCATCGTTCATAGACCCGATCCACGGCCACCCACGCGCGGTCTGATAGAGGGGAGGTAGGGCGCACGCAGAGCTCCGACAGAACGAATGCAAACGCCTGCCACTGTATATATCCCTGGAACAGCCAGGACCATTTTTTGGTATTATCATGGGATTCGAGTAGGTAAACAAATTCGAGAACCTCGATCGCGGTTAGGATGAGGAGATCACATTTTCCGGAGAATACATCTCTCTGAAATCCTTCGATGCTCATTAGCGAGAAGTGTGACACAAGCCACGAGCGCGCGAGAGCAACGCGGGCAATGGTAGCGGTCACCCAGTGGATCGCGATTTCGAGGTCACAAAATTGGAGATATCGCTTGTCAAGGGCAACCCGAGTCTCTTCAATTGCCCGGAGGCGGTTCTGAAATAACACATTATGTCCATTAGTATCCACCCCGAAGCTGTTGAGTTGCATTAATTTGCGATGCAAAATGAGGATTTCACATCTGACCAAGGTCAAAGTCATCTCTGTAAAGCCAGTTCGTTCCGGCGGGGTCTCAACCATGTCAGACGACACATCATCGTCATTGATATTCAACGGCAATTTAGTATCGTAGTCTCCTTCCCGGATTTGAGGGCTTGTGGCTTGAGATTCGGACGACCGCACATCCAATAGATATATATACCACCACAATCGTCGCCGCATCTCTGTCTCGAATGGACCCAGCCCGAAGTGGCTGCTGTCCCGATGCAGGCCCATGCTTAATGCAAGACGAGTCACAACAGCGATCATAGTCCAGACAAAGTGTGCATCCTGAGGATCACAGGCGGAGCTCAAGAAAAGGACTGCTGCTTGTAGCACAATCAACTTGCGTGTGTGAAGGAATCCTGCCCGCACTAACGCTTGCTCGACGGCGAACCGATATCTTTTGGTCAAGGTGGTGTGGTCTGCCCCTAGCTGTGCAAGACATACTTCTGGTGACATACTGCGGATTGCAGCCAAATAGATAGAAAATACCAAAGCCTCGGATCCCTTATCCAAATTCTCGGGGTCTGTTGTGGCTGTTTGGAGCATATCTTTCAACATGGGCTTATGGACGATCAAAAGTATGGGTGCCACATTCTCTTCGAAGATGTTGAAAAGAAGATGGCTGATGATCGGCGGCGGATGGTAATTGCTGAGTGAATAGGCCACAGAATGGTACCCAAATATGAAAGGGCTCAATATTTCGGAGTGTGTCGCTGCTGGCACTGGCGATGAGAAGTCTTCCTCCGACAAGGTTGGTGATTCCGGCCTATCAAAGATATCTCGAACTTCTTCAATCTTCAAAACAAACCTCAGCAAATTTGTTCCATATTTTCAGTAGTGATACCATGGAGGGATAAGACGTACCTGATGTGCGAGCTCCGTCAGAATTTGATGATTCACATAACGGCTCGTTCCACTATTTCGACCCACGACGAGGTGTCCAAGTTGAGCCTCCAGCGTATTGGAAGTGGCTTTGGGCGAAGCAGACTCTTTGCTTATATCATAATTGTCCTCTTCTATCTCTCCCGGCTTCTCGTTTACTCCATCGTCCGGAAAATGCTTGGCTGGCCATGAGCGCACAGTGCGGCTGCCCTGCGGGCCATCATTATTTTCCCGCTCTAAAAGGAATTCTTGAGGAGCCTCTTCAGCAGACACTTTGCTACCGAGCTTCTTGATTTGCTGTTCTAGCAGGCTCAATCGTGAAAGCAATTCGGCCTTATTCGATGATCTTTTGGGGGCTTTCCGAGGCTTACGGCCAGGCGGTGGATACGAGCACTCGACGCCCGAACGCACGCAATTATCGCAAGGCAAGGTCTTGCTACACCGCACCTTTCTGCGGTTGCAATCGTGACAGCTCCTATGGAGCAATGTTGGCCCTCCTTCACATGGGAAGGATGTATTCGAATTGACTGGTTCTTGAGCCATATTGCAACGGAAGTTGAAGTAACCGAAGTGAGGGCAGAATTGTACATAAAGTGGAAGGCGGTGACTTGGCGTGGTCTCACCACAGGCCCATTTTACCCAAGTTTCCCTCTATCCCTTTAGTCTATTACTTTCTGTTGTAAAGTCAGGCATTGGCTCATCAGGACCCTTGGTTTCTCTCTCTATGCGTGGATGTGTGTGTGGAAAGGGTACCGGTTGGAGTTTCTTCATTTTATTTCACGCGAGAAATGTGCCCCACATTCCCCGCAGATCTTGCTTGCCCCGGTGACTAAGCCCGAAATTTCAAGTCCGACCCCGTGGGTCTACCGTCTATCACGGCAACGTGAAGTTGCCATGAAACTCAATTGATTGTCTAGCATTTCTACTAAAGTTACGGTGTAGAAAGGAAAGTCAAAAATAGTCTAAATCCCATCGGCTTAGCTTGAAATGCTCCTGTGTCCAGATGTCTCTATGGGAAAAGACGGAGTCTCGCATGCGAAGCTATCTTACTGCGCTGGGGATCGGGTATCCAAACTCAGCGAGAAACAGCAATATTTTTTTTTTCTTGTGAGCTGTTGATTGGAAAAAAAAATTGGCTTTGATGACCACTTCCTAACTTCATGAAGCATGAACAGCCAACCTTGGTAGAATATTCGTCCAGTGTCTTACCATGATTACTAGTCACTGCACCCATATAGCCCGAGATTTTATGGCATCCAGTCTCTTAAGTCGTGAGTATATTTAAGGGAAAGTCCTTCTCCAAATCGACCTCACCCCCTGTAGCCCATGGAACAACTTCGAACCAAGAAACGAATACGAAGTCGGCATAGCTGCATTTGTCATCGATCAGGTAAATGCGCCCCTCGAGAACTCCATTCAATACACCCGACACGCGGCGAATCTCGTTGATGTATCGATCAATAGCAGTCTGGACCTGCTCCTTGTGGTGAATCTTGAACCAAACAGCCTGGCCAAAGTATGGTCCTTGGCCAGATGCTTGGAAATGGAGCCATTGTTCCGCGTGGTAGATATTGGCAGTGCCAGGCTCGAAGCTAATTTTCCGCTTATGATCGTACTTGTCGACCAGATACTTGATGATGGCTCCGGACTCCCATAGAGCTACTCCGGTGTTTGGGTCCTCGACTGCGGGAACGCGTCCATTGGGGTTGATCTTTTAGTAGGCAGGCTGCTTCATCTCGGGACATTCGAGAAGTTTGACCTCATATGGGATATCGAGTTCTCCAAGGATAATGACTACCTTTTTGGGATTGAGGCCGGCATGGTGGCCATAGTGAATGATCGGCTGCATAATGGACGTGCTGGTGAGAACGAATAGGCACTTGAAGTTGCAAGTTCAAAGTCGCAAAGAACCATGATTTTTCTTCGGTGTTATAAATGCGTTGTTAATTAGTAAATGTGGATTTCCACAAACTGCTTTTCTGGGACGCGTGGGAACTCGGGATAATTGCTTATGCAAGAGAGCGAAGCTGACTGACGATCATTGTGGATCTGGGAAGATCAGGGTGCAATTTTAAGTTGCCCAATCAAATCCATGGACCCAACGGGAGCGTTTGTCATCGTTCGCTACTCGGTCGCGAGATTGAATGCCGAAGAAATACATTACGTCAAGAATCAACCAGCGCTATCAGGATAAATAGCAAGAGGGATTAGCTGTTGACTACAAAATTCTTCGCAGAGTAATTTTCGCGCACGCCCAATATCACCATGTCTACACACAATCTTGCTTTTACTGCTCCTCTCAACCCCACTGGGGCTAGCCCAATCCTGCATGAAGATCAAGTTTGGGCTGGCCTACTCCTCAAAATCAAATCGGCAGAAACATTTGTTCCGAAGGCCATCAAGTCAACCACCGTGGTCTCCGAGGACGTTGACCCCGTGACCGGAAATCCCGTCACTGTGCGCGATGTCATTTTCGTCGAAAACAACCGCAAAGTGACAGAAACCGTCACCGCATACAAGCCTTCGAGAGTCGTTTTTATTCAACCAGATGGAAGCACGATAACCAATGTGGTTAGCGAGGGAGCAGACGGCGAGCTGTACATGACCTACATTTTCGAATGGAGGCATCCCGGCGCCTCCACCGCGGAGCTAGAAGTTTTCTTGCAGAAAGAAAAGCAGATGATGAAGCTGGCTGTGGAGGGAACTATTACTGTGTTGCGTCAGTTGGTGAAAGATGGCAAGATCTGAGCCTCTCAAAATACTGGTTCTTTGTACTTTGCTACGGGGATTTTAGGCGGTGATTATGTATTTATATATTTATCTACAAATTTGAACGCAGTATAGATGTCAAGGCTAACTTGCACGTGTGCAAGTTATGCCAGGGGCACCATCATGATGTCTGTCCATTGATTGATATCATATCGTGTATAACTGAGTGAAGTGCCATTGTTCACGTTGATGCTGTGAATGATAGCTGTCTACATAGGATACTACCCTAGTAAATCAGAATAAGGCGCTTGGGTATATAGCAAAGTTTTTAAAATTCAAAGTCTGCAGCCGTGGTCGTTTGAGTGAAATGGTATGCGACTCTTTAATTCATACTATAGATATAACATTCATGGTGGAGACTGTGATTAAACTGGGGCGACCTGACGCCACTACAATCAACAAAGTGTACTTGATCGACCGTTGACTTACCGCATACATTTTTATAATATTCGACATTGAAACTCTGGTTTTACATTATCTCGGCATTGACAGAGGGCCCGAAGACACCGACCTAGCTGTCAGCATTGCTCGGCGATCGGGCTTCATCTTTCCGATACCATCATTCAGTATGGATTCTCTTTACAAGTGATGATATCAACAGGCAGCAATAGTAGGCATTCTGAGGGAATCAATGTAATTTTAGAGTCCAAAGCAACGGATTGATAATGTGTATGAAATCGATAGTGATGACGTCACGCTGCAGTGGAAAACTCGTAAAAGGTCGACTTTTTCCCCTTAGCGGCCATGTAACATTGTCTTTATTTATTTCATCTCAAAATGTCCAAGCCAATCGCAATCATTGCTGGTGCAGGGCCGGGAACAGGAAGCGCCGTTGCGCGCCGCTTTGCCCGGTGTTACCCCGTAATTCTACTTGCTCGATCGCAAGAGTCCCTTGATCCATTGATCAAAGAAATTACGCAGAGTGGAGGTTCGGCGATGGGAGTTCCCACTGATGTTACAAGCGCGTCTTCAATGGGCTCGACAATGGATCAAGTCAAGGCCAAGTTTGGAAATGATATCACGGTCGCCGCGGCAATCTACAATGTCGCGAGCAAGTTCCTAATGAAATCGTTCTTGGACCAATCCCCGGATGAATTCTTCGGTAGCTTGGAGCCGTCGAATAGGGGTGCCTTCAATTTTGCCCAAGCCACGCTCCCCTTGATGTTGAATGGGGCAGGTAAGGGGCAGTACCCACCCACGCTCATCTTCACTGGTATGTGATCTTGGAATCTAACAGACAATTTTGAACTAACCGGAGCAGGTGCCACGGCTGCACTCAAAGGTGGCTCAGGTCTATCGGCATTTGCCATGAGCAAGTTTGGAACTCGCGCCTTGTCCCAATCTCTTGCCCGTGAATTTGGTCCCGAGGGCGTTCATGTTTCCCATGCCATTATAGACGGAATTATCAACACGGAAAAGACTAGAGGCTACGGTCAGGATATTCCTGACTCTAAAATCGATCCTGAGGGAGTAAGTCAACAGCAATTCTCCAGATCTCGTACCTCACTCTAAAAGTCAATGACAGATTGCGGAATCTTATTGGTTCCTGCACACCCAGCCCAGGAGCGCATTTACCCAGGAGATTGACCTCAGACCCTATGTAGAGAAGTGGTGAGAACACAGCCTAGGCCAAAAGTAGGAATTGGGTATGGAGAGTAGCTTTCAAAGCAGATAATGGGCGCTCTTGATATTTTGCGAAAGGGGGATAAACTGGAGGAGGATGGTGTATATTGGTTCCAAACAAAACCTGCTCCCACAGAGCCCACTAAGTGTGAAGTATACTAGGGATTAAACACTAGCAGTTCCAACGTGTTTCAGCCATCAAAGTTCGCCCTGTGCGGCATTGTCAATTTGTGCTCAGTCGCTAGCTTAACATATACAGGTCCGCCATAATGGATGAATTATACAATGGATGGAATCTACAATGAATGAACACCATGATCTACGAAGAGATAGAAATGGCAGTTTGAAAAATAGCAAAGATGACACAAGACCGCAGCCAATAACCGAGGTAGGGGTGATCTCAAGCAATTCTTAATAAAATGTATCTCCTCCGCTGACATCAAAGACTTTGACGGCTTATGAATGAGACTTCTGGGCTTGAAACAAATCTGAACACATGGGCAACATCCTCTGGCCTGCCATATCGCTTTAAGTCCTATTTCTGGAGCATGGATTCGAAAAGAGGATGCGTGCCATCCGGTTTAACGCCCAGGTTTCAGACCTGTTCAGTTTCGATCAAGCCAGGCATCCCCGCATTTACGGTAATACCAGGTCCAGCCTACCCCCAAGTACCCGCAAGGGGCATCACTAGGGCAAAAGAAAATATGAAGTTTTGCATGGTTGCAAAAAATCCTGATTAGATTTCGATGACTTTAGCATTGATTCGGGGTGGTTGCATATATACTCGATAATGTTTGGCAACTCTTGGCTTTCCCTTTGTACTCTAGTGAATGACTACCCTTTGTATTGTAGCTGTCTGTCTAGGGACCCTATGCTCAGTGTGCGTGACGGCCTCTACTAGCACTTGGATCTAACACCATAAGTCTCGACGTCGAATAGATTTGGAGTCCCCAATCCCAATTTCTTCATTTATGTGCTCAGACCTCACACTCTCTTGAACCATTCATCCACATTTTTCCCGACGACTGTGAAGCTTTTATCGTTCCATCGCTGAGTTAACACAAATTCAACTGTACCCGAGCCTCATCCCTCGAGAATTCCCCGTCATCCTCTTCAATCTTAGCCGGGATTGGTTTGTTCGCCAGAGGTGTTAGTCTAAAACCGTGCCTACGATCTCCAACTGGGTAATCAAGAGTCTGCGAGTGATTGGTGACTCGTTGGTCCCATACAAGCACAGTGCCAGCTTCATAGCGGATCCGACAAGAGAAATCTTGTCGCTTGGCGATGTGATCGAAAAGGAACTTGAGGATGCAGTCTGACTCCTCTTGGTCAAAACCGACGATTTTCTTCGTGTATACTGGGTTAACATCTAACAGATCATTGTTAGAGAAGACAAAGTTGTGGAAGAATGCACGAGGGAAACTTACAAAGGGCTTTCTGCTTCGTAACAGGATGGACAAGTACAACAGGGTGTTCAGCCCGAAGCACGCCGCGCCGCATCACGGCTTGTTGACCGTGCTTGAGCTCTTGGCTGACACCATCATTGTTTGTGTGAATGGCTGTCAGGCCTTCAAGCCGCTTGCGGAAGCGAGGCGATAGACTGCTGTATGCCCTCACGCTGGAACTCACAAGAGTGTCTCCGCCAGCGGTAGTTGGGGACTCGAGCATAGCAATGAAAGTGGTTCCAGGGGGTTGCTGCTCGGGACTTTGGTCTGTGTGCCATTGAACTGGACTAAGACCGGCCCAAGATTGGCGGACTCGGAGATCACTAGAAAGAGTGTTAGTTATGTCGGACTTCTAGCCGTGAAGAATGAATCACCCTTACTCCTTGTGATCGTAAATAATCATGTGTTCTTCGGATCCCGCAGCTGGATGAGGGGCCCAACCGTGAATGTGCAGAGGACCAAAATGACTGACAAGTTTCTTCTGTGCCTCGAAGCCGATACCCACGAAGTCTTGATCACGGAATACCAACGCACCTCTCTGCGCAGCAAGAAGGGCTAGTTCATCCAAACCGGCGCTGTCAAGTTTAGAGAGCTGAACTCCATGAACCTCAGTACCCACATGAGGAGATAGATCCCAGACTTTGGTTGCGTTTTTCAGAAGATTGGGCAGCTTAGGATCAGCGCGGTGACCAGGATCGAAATGCTCAAAAGCACCGATGTCCTCTACCTTCTCGAGAGGATCGTAGAATGCTGTTCAATCAAGGTTTAGCCTTCATTTCAAGAGTTTCATAAAAAGCTATCAGTGAGACTGACGCATGTAATCAGGATACAGAGGGTCGCCATTTTTGTTCTTCTCTCGTGTGATTGTGCCTGGGGCAATGACTGTTGTGCTCGACATTCTGTCGATGACTCAAAAAACCGCCGTTTGACCTATTTTGATGGCCCAGCTGACTCTATCAGGCTTATATAACCAGTTGAGAAGCATCTCAATCAAACATGATCGAATGATGGTATTCCGCATTCTACAACTCAAGTACCATATTGATAGAGTTGGCCGTTCGGCCAGCTCGGCGAAGCTCCGATAACCTAGATCTTCCTTATCGGCGCTATCCTCTCACAGCGGCCAAAGGATCGAGACCAATAAAAATACATTTAGATAAGGTTATTCTTCTCTGCTATAGTTGCAGTGCATTTCGAAGATTCATGTCTGGCAGGTCAAGCCCCGTACATCAGTGCATAACATCAGATCCAACCAACCACTTGGCTTCTGGGAGATATCAAGCTCTAAGCCTGGAAAGATAGCCAAGAGGTGCTTCAAAGCCTCTTAAAGCTCTGTTATCCTCACGATAGATAAATGCAATTTTGAGGTAGAAGTTAATCTCTGATATCTCACTATGGAGTTGACTAATTCTTCACCGTCTTCCATGACCGACACGGAGAAGATAGGCGACGCAGTAGCTACCGTTTCCGGTGGAAACTTGGCCGAGTATGAACGCTTTCTTCACCTTGAGAGTGTATTCAGCGGGACTTCCAAGAAGAAACTGCTCAGGAAATGTAAGACTCATGCAACGATACTATATTCCCTTGCTCACTTTGAACTCAGTGGACCTACGCCTACTTCCAACACTGAGTTTTCTATATTTGATGTGCTCGCTCGATAAATCCAATGCAGGAAATGCCAAGGTTAGTCCATGTCTTGACCTTTAGAGCTTACTCCAAACTGATACATATTCATCTATAGCTATTCGGCCTTCTGGAAGACCTTGGCATGACTGGTACCCAGTACAACCTGGCCCTTATGTACTTTTTCTTCACCTACGGACTCGCTGAGCCAGTATCAAATATCATGCTTCGAAGAGTTGGCCCCAAGATATGGTTTCCCTTCATCGTGTGTGCATGGGGACTCATCACAACCCTTACTTCGCAAGCAAGCTCTTATGCTGGCTTCATTGTTATTCGTTTGATGCTAGGAATTACCGAGGCTGGACTCTATCCTGGAGCCTACTTCATTCTCTCCATGTGGTATACACCGAAGGAGATCGGCACGCGCATGGCCATTTTCTACGGTGCGAATACCACCGCAGGTGCGTTTGGCGGTGTCATTGCCTACGGTGTCGGGTCCCTTGATGGAAATCTTGGCTGGAGAGCTTGGAGGTGGCTCTTCCTCATTGAAGGATGCATCACCATATTTGCAGGGCTTTTGTGCCTATTCTGCTTGCCGTGAGACCTCCAACTTTATGGTATTCGTCAGAAGACAGACTAATTGGATATTACCAGCGCGTTCCCTCATCAATATCAAGCAGGGAAAAGCACCAAATGGCTTACTGACGAGGAAGTTGAATACGCTTCACTCCGTGTCAAGTATGCCAATGGCCCGGTCTCTTCCACTTATACTTTCCGCTGGAGTGATGTGATCTCGGCTGCAAAGGATCGGAAGACTTATCTCATGTAAGTTCAATCTAAGTTTCGTTGACCGTTCATAGCTAATTTGATCAAGGATGATGATGTTTTGGTGGGGCGGTTCCGTGCCCACGTACTCTCTGTCTTACACTTTGCCCACTATGGTCGCAAATCTGGGATATACTGCTGTGAAAGCGCAAGCCTTGACTACGCCTCCGTACATATTTGCCACATGCGTTTGCGTTGCTGTTGGATACATCAGTGATCAAAAGCAGCAACGTTATCTATGCATCATGGGCGCCTATACCCTCGGTCTGATGTAAGTTAATCTCTCACAAGATGGAGAATCGTGCTAAAGGGAAGAATCTAGTGGTATCATCATTTTGTGGATCACAGTTCACTATCCTTCTCTCCCAGGCGTGAGCTACTTTGCTATCTTCTTGGCTGCGGCTGGATACGCAGCTCAAGCTCCGATGGTAAGTCCTCTCTCTGAGATTCAAGTATCAAACACCGACTCACCATTGAATGCAGGTCGGCGCATGGACGAGTTCAAATATCACAAATCCTTCCAAGCGAGCCGCTGCTATTGGGCTTCTGATGCTCTTCGGCAGTGTTGGTGGTGGCAGTATTGGATCGAATATCTATATTTCTAGCGAGGTCATTTGATCTAAAAACCCTCAATCGTGAGTCCAGCTAACATCTCATAGGCGCCTACTTACCCTCTCGGATTCGGCTTCTCAGTTGGTGCAACTGTTCTTGGCGCAATGATCCCTGCTACTGTACACTGGTATTTGATGCGCAAGGAAAATAAGCGACGGGATGAACTGGACGTTGTTGAAATCGAGAGAACATACACTACTGAGGAGCTGGGAGAGATGGGAGAAAACAGCCCGTTGTTCCGATTTGTACTGTAATATGATTGAGGACATACCCAGTGTACTAGTGCTATCGTGCAGCTCGTAAAAGTAGCGCCGAGTGAGATCAAAGATCACAGGCGAACCACTCGATCACGGACTAGCGCTTTGGCAAATATTGGCTTAAATTGATTGAATAATTAAAGGCCCATTTGTGACCATGAAGTGAATTGGCCAGGCGTCGGGTGCACTATCTCCACCTGGGTAGCTATCTATATATCCTTCCGTCTGTCCATCTTAGGTCTAATGGGAGATGGATTACACTCTTAAAACCCGGAGGAAGATACATGATTGAAATTTTGGCCTGTAGAATCTCCGACCCGCGCCACATCCAAATCTCCGTAGCCCCCCTGATAGATACGCCGCCGCCACGACCAAGGTACCAATCTTCAAGGGAAACCCTCTTTGCATTATCGGACGACAAGATGTAGCGTATTTTGGCAGGCGCAGAATCTTCCTTGAATGCGATTTCCCGCTGCAAGCCCGCTAGTCTACCCACATTCGGCAGAGCTGTCCGGACAGTCCGCTGGGGTAAGTAGATGGGCTATGGTCCAGCGCCCGACGGTCACCTGACAACGGGGCTAAGGATTACTTGGCGTTTTCTGTAGGCTGGAACTTTTTCTCGGCTTACAACAGCAGTATTGTGTGCACGAGTATTCAGCATGGCTTCAATATTTTTTGGTAGTACGAATACGGGCTCCCAAGTTGGAATTAATCATGGGACAGTCAACATCTTTCCCGGTGCGTATCAAAGACCTTTAAAGGCTATCCTAATTTGATTAACACTTTTCGGCCCAGGCCGACCGGAAAACCCACCACAGCGGACGATGTGTGAAAGCGAGAAAGGTGAGAGTGGCTGAGCGAATTGTGTTTGGTGATACCTGGCATAATTGACTAACTCTACGTAGAGTGTCTTAGGTCACTTAGTTTCCGTGAATAAGAGTATAGATATAACGATATCCATTCGGCACTGAATACTTGCATATGGCTCTTTGAGGACCCGTAATATAAAGCATGGTTGAATGATCTATAAGGGCTTCTATGGATCAAAGGGCACCCTGGTATAGGTAAATCCGTTCTTATGAAGTTCGCTGTCGGGTCGATGGCTAATAGAAACACTGGATAGCTTGTTTTCTTTTTCATCTATGGCCAAGGGACAAGGCTGTAGAGAACACCACTGGGGCTCTTTAGAGCACTATTGAACTGTATTCTTGATTCATTTCCGAGTTACCTTTCTCAGCTCACAGAGTTGTTTAAGGATCGAGAGAAACGGTTTGGTTCCTACGAAGAAGACAGATGGGCCTGGTCGGAAGAGGAACTTCAGAAGCTCCTGTCGCAAATCTTAACCGAGGGGACAAAGGTCCGTCCTGTCATCCTGTTTATCGACGCGCTTGATGAATGTGGGCAAACTTCTGCCAGAGACCTACTGAAATATTTCAAAGAACTTATGAAGGAAGTCAAGCGCGAAGGAGGACAAGTAAAAATATGCTTCTCTTCTAGACATTATCCAATCCTTGGTCATGGCCCGATCCCGTCTATCCTCGTGGAAAAGCACAACACAAACGACATCCAACGGATCATCGGTGATCTACTGAAAGAAATTGAAATCGAGGAAGATCGCAAGTACTTTGAAAGCGAAATTCTGTCCAAAGCTCGAGGGGGATTTCAATGGGTAGTCCTTGTTTGTAAAAGGGCCATTGAAGAGAATATAATCGGCACCAAAAGAGAATACCTGCACCGCAGGTTCACCACTGTCCCGGAAGCTCTTAACGGGCTGTACTCTATTATTCTGCATGATGTGCATGGAACCGAGAGACAACAGATGGTTAAGTTGTTCCAATGGATTTTATTTTCTGAGAGGCCCCTATCCGCCCACGAACTTCGGGATGCACTTTCTATAGAGATGGACATGGAATCCGGTACCCAACTTAGAAGCCACAGCAGCTGGTCTGATACTTTGGATAGGTTTGAAGTGCACGTGAGACATATATCCAAAGGATTGGTGGAATTTCGAACTCGTGAAATATGGGAGCAGTATGAACCTGGGGAGGAAGACTCAGATCGGGAAGCACAGGTTATACATCAATCAGTGGCTGATTTTTTGCTTCACAATTTCCTCGGTTGTGCAGTGCGTGACCAATATTCCTCGCAGTCAGTCATTGGAGCTGGTCATTTTCATATATCAAGGTCTTGTCTCAGATACATCACACTAGATGGAGTCCTGGAAGGCGCTCGTCGACTGTCACGGAACCAGCTCTTTCAAAAGTTCCAGTTGATACCGTATGCTATACGGTTCCTGTTCCAACATATCAAGGAGGTGGAACTCCAAAATATCCCTCAGCCGGATCTCCTTTCGCTCATCTACTGGCACCAAAAGTCAAGGTTACAGGAAATAGCAAGGTTTTGGAGAGTCTCTGACCCTGATAGTGTCTATACGCCTCGAGGGTGGCCATTCGTTGAGGCAACGGCGTTGCATGTCTTGATCACATTTGGTTCGAAAAGCGCTTTTGACGATCTCTTGGAGAAGGATGATGTGGAAGTCGACGGTAGAGACATTGATGGGAACACACCCCTTCTTCTCGCCATAAAGGAGCGTCATTATTATATGGCAGTGGAACTTCTCAATCGTTTTATAGAATGGCATCTACAACGAAATATGGCGGCTGGGAATTTGATCGGTTATGGAACAAGCATACAGCGGGAAGGTTGCTACGTCGTGAACGTAGATGCTCAGAACAATGACGACGATACGCCGTTGAGCATTGCTATGGAAGATGCTGCGCCAGACGTGATTCTAAAGTTGATTGATGCAGGAGTAAATCCTAATACTCAAGATAGGTCTGGTCAGACACCACTCTCCTGGGCTTCAGAGAGAGGCGATCAAAGAATTGTCAAGTTACTACTCGAACGAGGAGCGAATCCTAACATTCTGGATAGCTCTGGTCGGACACCACTCTCCCGGGCTTCAGAGAGAGGACACGAGACAGTTGTCAATTTACTACTTGAGCAAGGATCGAATCCTAGTATTCTGGATAGCTCTGGTCGGACACCACTCTCTCGGGCTTCAGAAAGAGGATATAAGACAGCTGTTAAGTTACTACTTGAGCAAGGAGTGAATCCTGATATTCTGGATGGCTCTGGTCGGACACCCCTCTCCCGGGCTTCAGAGAGAGGACACGAGATAGTTATCAAGTTACTACTTGAGCAAGGAGCGGATCCTAATAGTCTGGATAGCTCTGGTCGGAGACCACTCTCCTGGGTTTTAGATAGTGGAGATGAGAAAGTTGCTAAGTTACTACTTAAGCGAGGAGCGGATCCTAATGCTTCAGATAGGTCTGGTCAAACGCCACTCTTCTGGGCTTTAGAGAGAGGGTATGAGAAAGTTGCTAAGCTACTACTGAAGCATGGAGCGGATCCCAATATCCCAGATAGCTCTGGTCGGACAGCACTCTCCCGGGCTTCAGCGAGAGGATATGAGAGAGTTGCTAAGTTACTACTTGAACATGGAGTGGATCCTAATACACCAGACAGCTCTGGTCGGACACCACTCTCGCGGGCTTTAGAGAGCGGCTATCAGAGGGCTTACCACAACAGCCATTGGACATCAAGCTCCTATGCTTTAGAGAGCGGCCATCAGACAGTCGTTGAGTTACTACTTAACGAAGGAGCAAATCCTAAACCTCTGGATAGCTCTGGTCAGACACCACTCTCCTATGCCTCAGAGAGAGGAGATGAGAGAGTTGCTAAGTTACTACTTGAGCATGGAGCGGACCCTAATGCTCTAGATAGCTCTAGTCGGACACCACTCACCCGGGCTGCCGAGGGAGGATACGAGACAGTTGTCAAGTTACTACTTGAGCATGGAGCGAATCCTAATCTCGATGTGTTTGGTTGGACACCATATCGCTTTGCTTTAGCCGGAGGACATGAGAGAGTTGCTAAGTTACTATTATAATGTAAGCAGCCAATCTTTACATTTTAGATAGCTCTGGCCAAACTGCACTCTCCCGGGCCTCAGAGAGTAGACATCAGACAGTTTTTACATTATTACAGTCACTAGCGAAATTTGCTCTCTCCCAAGTGACTGCTCTTCTTTTCTCGGGACCCACTGCTAAGGCCTTACATTAATCGCCCCGTAGTGCCATGAGGGCCATAGGATAATACAACGTATATGGTACTGTATCACCCACTGTAATACTACATTCAGTGCCTCAAATTTTGGTCGATAATCTTTGATGACCACGTGCTAGGTAAACAGTATACATTCCACGGTCCAGAAAAAAAAAGAGAAGAAGACAAAAGCTATCTGTAAACGACAAGGGCCCACAACGCAAATGTAGAGTCGATGAGTTTAGTTGAAGGTACCCACATAGATAACGGTATCTTGTTGAATGTCGCTATCGATTCGATAAGCTGCGCGCGCCAAGCAGGTTCGCCGCGGTCAAAATTTCGCCCAAGTTTCCTATCTTTACTTCTCACCCTTATCGGCTATAACCAGATACCATGATTAGAAAAGCTACGTTTCAATGCCAAAAGGGGGCGAAAGGGAAATGATAGACTACCCATTCTCGTTGAGATTTTCTAACAAATACTTTGCCACGCACCCCCAAATATCATCCACCAAACATGCGGCCACTATCTATGGGAATCTATACGCCTTTACCATGTTTCTTCCACGACAATGAAGATATTGGTGAGACTGACGTGGCAAACATGGAAATACAGTGTAGCTTACGTGATGGGAAGATACCCAGGCTTTCCAGAGACATGTGAAATGTATGAGCACGGAAACTTTCAGAGTTGTTCCGATTACTAACGAGGTTAAAAGTCATTGCGAATGCCGGAACTATCCCAGTAGTGTCTGGGTCTATGGGCGAGGCTATCCATTTGGTGAGAATCGTTCTCCCAAAGCAAAAAGTCTCCAAATTGATGGATTATACTATTCCAGAGCCGCGAAGAGAAGAAGACCATTATACGACTTGCTCGTGTCGCTTTAGATGAGATAAGTCTGCATGGCATTCCAATTGTTGCAGGTGCTGGAGGAGCTAGTACCCGTGAATCTATTCAACTTTGCAAAGATGCTGCAGAAGCTGGCGCAGATTATGTGATGGTTATACCCCCAGGGTACTATGCCGGAGCCCTGTTAGCGGATACCACCGCGATCAAGAAGTTTTTCGTGGATATCGCAGAGGCCTCGCCCTTGCCAGTGTCTGTACTACCCCGGTCCTCAGAACGACAGATTTCTAACACCATGCAGTATCATATACAATTTCCCTGCCGTGTCGGGAGGAATTGACATGGATAGCGATCTGATAGTGCAGATAATCAAGTCTTCCGCCAATGTTTGCGGCGTGAAGCTGACGTTCGTGGTCATCCTGTGCTTCCAATTGATTTGGCTAATGTATCCTTACAGATGCGCCAATGTGGGCAAGTTGACTCGGATAATGGCTCAAATTTCGAAACCAGAGTTTCAAAGCGCTTTCCCCCGGTCGTCAGTGTCCCCCTTTCGGGCAATCGATGGCTTTATTGACTTCTTGCTACCATCTATTTCGGTTGGATCAGCGGGCGCGATTAGTGGCTTGCCAAACATAGCACCGGTTAGTATCTGCAATAGTTCCGACGAAATAGGAAATTAACTGACGAGTCAGAAATCCTGCGTGAAACTGTGGGCTTTGTGTCAAGATAGCGAGTCCAGCAAAAAAGCAGCTGAGTTACAGAACTTGATTGCTCTTGCAGACGGAGTGGCACTAAAGATAGGAGTGAGTAAGCCCCAGAGATGATTTAAAGTGTTTTCCGGTTCCTTTGCTGAGATTGCTGCAGATTGCGGGGATGAAGAAGTTGTTGCATCGTCACTTTGGGTATGGAGATAGACCCCGGCTGCCACTGTTGCCGATGGACGACACCGTGGCGGACGCAGTTCTATCGAGCCCGCATCTCCAAGCATTATTGGACTTAGAGGCCACACTGTGAAGGAATTAGGAACAAAGTCGATGTATCTAAGCTCTCGAGTCTGAGCCTACAAATGTGTGGAGATCCGCCCCCGCTTGGCTCTGATAAGCGTCTGTGCTGGAGATAAGACCGCGTTGTTACTCATCCTCTTTTTCTTCCCTTTCAATATTTTTCTAGCTTGATTTGAAAATGGAATGTTCAGCATCTGCTTCGGTCCTGAATGGTCGTTTGTACAAGTCTCGAAAATGCCGGCCTTGCGACGCTTGTCGCAGACGTAAAGTCACCTGCGACATGCCCAATGGACCGCCATGTTATCGATGTACTGGCAAAGATCAACAATGCACGTTTGAAGAGGGCCCGGGACCTCGAAAGAGGGCTAGACTATGTGAGCAAACCGAAACACTTGAGACTTGCGAATACCCTGACGGGTGGTTGGATCTCTTGAATGAGAGCCAACCAAGCAATGGGCAAAGCAATGAAGCCTTATCGCCAGGGGAAGGCCTTCTGGGCGTCATTCCAGAGTTGGAACAAGGAAGCCCACAGACAAGCCACTCGTCTCTCAGTCAGGATGGCTCGGCAAGGCTCGACTCGCACAACAGCGTCTCATTCAGTCCGGGAAGATCTCCACCGAGTCAAAAACGACGCGCATTCAGTGACTCGCCTGATCAAATAGATTCCCTTGAATATATTCCAGGGGCATTCAGTTTCTATATTGGGCCAACCGGAGTGTCTGATATCCAAATCCTAAGCCATCAACCCTACAACGACCAGAATATCTCAATACCAAAAGTGAATGGGTTGAAATATCGAATTATGGACAAGTCATGTCAGAAACAGAGGAAAACAGTCGATTTCTCACCCCCTACTGTTTTTGGTATCACCGACCACTCTCTCCTAGAGAAAGCGGAGCCAAAATTTGATCCACGACTTACGGATAATGCATGGCCTCGCCTATGGGCTATGATGAATCCCACTGAAGCGTGGCATCTCATCAAGCTGTATTCGCGCTACGTCGACCCGTACTTTCCTATCCTATCCAGTCATCAAGTCCCATCATCACTAATCGAGTTGAATAAAATGCCACTGGCATTATTGTCAGCAATCCACCTCGCTGCAATTCGTCATGTATGACGATAGTCTCTACACATTACTTCTAAACCCCCCTCTAGTGAGCAATTATATCGTCTTTGCTGGCTTTGCATATCACAAGACCTTCACGCACCTTCTCTCGCAACACTTCAAGCCTGTCTTCTCCTTCAGCAGCGACTCCCAACAAACATGTATCTCTCAGATACCGCTTTTGCATGGTCACTCATGTCAACCTCCCTGGCCATTGCTCAAACCGTCGGGCTTCACAGAGATGCAGGATCATGGATCTCTATTCCGCCCTGGGAGAAAAGGCTTCGGCGTCGACTCTGGTGGGGTCTTTATGTCATGGAAAAGTGGGTCGCCCTGGTACGAGGAATGCCTAGCCACCTGGGTGATGATGATTACGATGTATCTATGCTCAAGCCCAAAGATATACAGGATACATTGTCAGACTCGCCGGATACACAGAGTCATATAAATCATCTATCGACGTTATCCACAATACTATCGGATATCCAAAGATCCTTCTATTCGGTGAAAGCGATCGGAAAGACATCCAATGACCTGCAATACTCCTTGGACTTAGCACGGCCGATGCGCGTGAGGCTTAAAGATTGGCGGGATAATCTGCCAGAAAATTTGAGTCCAACCTCTAATGCTGTTTCTGGCGAGGACCTCGATGGGAATGGATCACTCTATCTTTCATACATCGTCACGCATGTGGCTCTCCTTCGCGCTTTGTTACGACCTTTGGATCAATGGCCGGCACTTATCAAGATGACCCAAGAGGAGCCGAAGGCAATCTACGAGGGCGCTAAAGCAGTTGTTAAAGGGGCGTTGTTATGCGTGAAAGAATTTGTTGAGTTCGTCGAAAAGCTTACGGGAGCACAGTGGAATGCATTCTGGCATAGTTGTGAGTCTTTCAATCCAGTAGCCAGAGCTCAAGATCTAACGGAGTAATTAGGGAGTCGACCTAATTTCGCCATCGCTGGCTCCTTCATGGTGCATCTTCTACAAGTCGTTTCACCCCCCAACCAGGCTGAGGGTGAACCAAGGCCTGACTTTCCAGGATACTCATTCGACGCAGAGCATATCGAACTTCAAAACTGGATTCGGAGATGGCGCTGGGCAACTCGCATCTCGGCAAATGGAGCGGCGGGGGTGAAAGGCTTGACAAACCTCGGATTCATCAAGGTAGAGACTCTAATGGGGAACGGGGCAGTGTAATAAAATAGACAATAATTCCAGCATCAAATGATCACAAAGTTTCGACAGTACTAGCAGAGATTAAGCATCATCCTTCCTTCATCCTTGGCACACTCCCCATCATCTTCCTCAATCAAACTCGGAATTGGCACATTAGCCAAAGGGGTCAACCGGAAAGCATGTCTCCGAGATCCAGCCGAGTAATCCAAAGTCTGCGAATGCTGCGTCACTCTCTGATCCCAGATCACCACTGTGCCGGGCTCATATCGCACGCGGCAGCAGAAGTCATGCCCGCGATTGATGTGGTCGAACAAGAACTTCAGCATATAGTCTGACTCTTCCTCGTCCCAGCCAACAATACTCTGGGTATAAGAAGAGTTGACAAATAGCGCTTTCTTTTTGGTGACGGGGTGTACGACTACAACTGGGTGAATGGTTCGCGTAATGGGCCGACGAAGGACAGAATTTGGGCCATTGTCGCGGATCTCGCGCATGATTGGGTTCGCCGTGGTGTGGACAGCCTTGAGACCTTCGAGTCGCTTGCGAAATGAAGGAGAAAGGCGCTCAAAGGCACGGGTCATCTAGAGGGAGCTTCTCAGCCGACTGAAACTGCTTGTTTTGTTTGGAGAGACTTACGTTGGAAATGATCGTGTCGCCTCCCGCTCCTGGAGGGGACTCGAGCATGCAGAAGAATGTCGCTCCGGGAGGCTGAGACTCAGGAGACTATTGAAAAGGCCTGTGAGACTTTCTTTTCATCCAGAACCATAGTGTTGAGTCTTACCTGATCGACATGGAATTGAATTGGGCTTTTTCTTGACCAAGATTTGCGAATTCGCAGATCACTGTTTGCAAGGACAAATGAGTCAGATATAGAGTAGACAGGCACTATATGAACTGGGTCTTACTCCTTGGAATCATAGACGATGACGAACTCCTCAGGACCATTTTTAGGATGAGGCATCCATCCATGCTTATGAAGGGGCCCAAAATGACTATAATCCGTGAGAAACCTTCACTGAATGAGCACGATCGACTCACGAGGCAATCTTCTTCTGCTCCTCAAAACCAAGGTTAGTAAAATCCTGGTCCCTGAAAACTAAACACCCGCGTTCTGCCACCATGAGAGCCAATTCATCTAGACCTTGGGTTGAAAGCTCCGACTTCAACCGTCTGCATTAGTTTTTTTGGGGATGATTATAAGGGGCAGAAAGGCTCACAAGCTGAACTCCCTGGAGCTCTGTTCCACAATGTGGGCTCAATTCCACGACGTTAGTCGCCTTTTCCAAAAGATTCGGAAATGATGGATCGGCTCGATGTCCCGGGTCATCGTGCTCGAATGGTCCGACCATCTCAACCTTTTCCAGCGGGTCATAGAAAGCTTTACTCTGTGTTATTTCATGAAACACTCATTTACATAGGACATGAAACTCACGCAGGTAGTCAGGGTAGAGTGGCCCCTTCTCTTCGACAGATTCGGACACCATCTTGGCGATATAATCAGGAGCTCAGAGGTCGTTCAATGACTTCCATCCTCAATGGCATCTCAGATGCTATGTTTTTAAAACAACAGCCATGGCACCAGATTCCGCTCATTCCTCGCCTCCGATGAATGGCCTCATCCATTATCGTGTGCACGGCCGCTGATGGAATGCTTGCCCGCGCGGGCAACTCAAAACAGCCCCACTTGCACCCCCACTCACTATCGATGGTGGTTGATAAGAGGTCCGCAGGCAATCACCGGGGGTTGGCCGAGATCGTGGGTTTGATGCCACTTGGGGCGATAAGCCTATCGAGAAGTAAGTTATTGATAAGCGATATCCAAAGTGTAAGATGAACATTGCATATATTGGCAGGCCTTGAGCAAATCTATGGTCTTTACTAGATGGACCAAACCCATCTGAGCAAACAACAAAGCAGAAATAGAAGATGGCTTCTGACCAAGTCACCATTAGCGATGAGCCCAAGGGAGGCACTGTCACAGCCGAGGCAGCTGTCAAAGCCATCAAGGCCGGACGAAACAAAGATGTTGATATTGCTGCACAGATAATTAGCGACTACGCAGATCAAATGGATGGTGAAAGTTGGTCTATTGAGGAAGAAAAGAAATTGATCCGCAGAATTGATTGGAGACTTATTCCCACTGTGAGAAAATCCTTGTCATTGCGAATATCTTTCAATGCTAATATAGATTAGCTATTCGTTTGTGCTACTCTATCGGGGCTTGATAAAACCGCTATTTCGGCGGCTGCTATTTACAACATCAAGACGGATCTTCATCTTACCGGGGACCAGTATTCATGGATTGGATCAGCACCATTCTTCGGTGGACTGGTATTCATGGGTCCTTTGGCCTACTGTTTGCAAAAGTGAGCATCTTCTATCATTTAATTAGGGCGAACTCATATCTAAACCGACTAGGGTCCCTGCTGTGCCGTTTTTCGCTTTCAACGTCCTCTGCTGGGGTATCCTTGAAATGTGTATGGCAGCATGCACCAGTTTTGGAGGCCTTTTTGCATGTAGGTTTCTTTTGGGTGGCTGTGAATCACTGCTGATTCCAGCTGTCACATTGGTTGTCTCCATGTGGTATCGACCTGAAGAACAGCCAAAGAGGAACAGGTACTAGGCGACTCATCCCTCGCCAGCAACATAAACTGACATGTATCTGCAGCATCATTCTTAATGTGGTCGCGCCGATTATCAACGGCTTTGTCGCTTGGGTCGTTGGGTATTACAATGGACCGTACGAAGCATGGAAGATTATCTTCCTTTTAGTTGGAGCTCTCACGATCGTCACATCCGTCGTGGTGTATCTCGTACTGTACGATGCTCAAATCATCGAAAGGAGATTGAAAACAAACTGACAAGACCGAATAGGCCAAACAACCCGCTGGAAGCCAAGTTCCTTAGCCCCCGGGAAAAATACATTGTCATTCAGCGCAAAGCAGCCGATAACACCGGTATCGAGTCAAAGACCTTCAAGATGGACCAAGTCTGGGAAGCTATCTTTGACATCAAGACATGGCTGATTTGGATAGCCATTGCTGCTTTGCAAGTACCCAATGGCGGGTTGACAACATTCAACACCCTTATCATCTCGGGCCTTGGCTTTGATTCCATTCAGACCTCGCTTCTCGCTATGCCCCCTGGTGCCATGAGTACTCTGTCCGGAATCGGTCTTTCCTATCTGGCTGCTACTACAAGACGGTATCGTACCGCTATTGTGACCGTCTCTATTCTCCTGCCCCTATTTGGTGCCGTGCTGTGTTATGCGTTGCCGCGAACGAACCTTGCTGGCCAGCTCGTTGGGCTATAGTAAGTTCCCCAATGAATTTAATTGCCTGCATATACTGACTTGAGTTCCTCACAGCATCCTATAGTAGGTTAAAATAATTCCCAGAGCGTGTTATGCTTGCTAACCTCCCCAAGTACATACTGGGCTCCCTACGTCACCCTGGTCTCGGTATACCAAGCCAACGTTGCAGGTCACACAAAGAAGTGAGAAACTCCCCAAAAACATAAGTCTCTGTCTAACGTACTTAGAATTACACTATATGCCTGGTTCTACATTGCCTGGGCAACCGGAAATATCATTGGACCCCAAACATTCCGAGCTGATCAAGCCCCTGAGTATACCGGCGGGACTGTGGCGATGATTGTCTGCTATATCGTTGCAATGTTTGCTATTACAGCGTATGGCCTTGTCTGCCATTTCAGCAACAACAAGCGTGCGGATGCCATTGAAGGTCGCATGGCCGCCGACTATGACTGGTTGGATATGACGGATAAGGAGAATGTGGGTTTCAAATACACTACTTGAGGCTTTCAATCAGTTTTCAATGGAAATTACCACGAGACGTACAATTGATAAGTACCGAAATCTTCATGGAACTAAAGGGTCCGACAAGAAGAACGAACCTTACCTCGTCATCAAGAACTTCGCCACTGCTAGAGATCCCTGCTGAGGCCGCCGTTTATTTGAACTACTTTAAAGAGGGATACAATTGGTTGTGACAACCATTTGCACTTCGGGAAGTAACGCCCCCGAATGGATGGGCCCAAATTCTACCCACCATGGCGTACTGCTCTATTCAAGGTTTCTTGGCCCAAGTAAACATTACAAAGGGAAAAGCTAGAGACTAGGTGTTCCCGCTTGCACAGACTAATGAATCTCACAATCTGACTCGCAGTCCGTCTCACAGCCTAGACTGTGGCGCCACAGAGAGAGCAATTTCCGTTCATCTAGATGGTCCAACCAGCTGGCATACCAATCCAAGAACTCTGGAATAGAATCGAAGCGCGCCTTCCTGCCGTACAAAACGCTTGGATTGTCAACCTCGGCCTGGAAAACAACCACCCGCCATCCCCAATCCCGGATGTTAGCAGCATCTTGGATGTCTCCATCCTTGTGCTTACCATCTTCCTCGTCGTCATCCGTCCACAGCCGGCAGTACACGTACGCGCTATACCAAGACGGACATGCGTACAGCCGGCTATATCCAACGCCAGTGATAAAGCCGGCCCGAACCTCTAGGTCATCATCGATATACGACTGTAAGAACCCATTCGTTGATTCATCTTCTAACTCCTGCTGTGTCTTCTCTTGCTCCCGCTTTAGTAGATCCGGATACTCCAACTTGTCACGTCTTTGTTCTTCGTCAAGTCCATCTAATTCTTCATTTTCAACCCCAATCGACCAGGCTGGTGTGAACGGCGCAATATCCGAGAGCCTGAAGTCAGCGTCTTCCACCCCCTGCGCGTACTTTAGAAATAGAGCTAGCTCGTCACACCGCGGGATAGTCATCAGTCTGTGGTCTTTGTGGGATTTACACGCGATGTCGAGCTCCTCGTCGTTTTCGGCAACGTTCGCGTCCGCCTGCCGCTGGCACACACGCTGAACTGTGTCGAGGTACATCTGCCGCCATTGCTCTGTGTGCAGAAGGGGCGGGAACACGCCGTCAGCCGGTACAGATGTTGGCAGGGCCCTGAGTATAGCAGGGACATCGAGGTCTTTGACTAGTGTCTGCCGTGAGATTTGGATTGCGTTGTGACTCCCACGCCTGTCAGGATCTTCGTCGTCCCATTCAAGATAGTCCATCCATTGGTAATGGCGGAAATGACGGCGCTTCTCCTCTTCAGATGCTAGACCTCTCGCTTCGATTTCATTGATGCGGTCTTGGAGAAACTTTTGGTTTGCGGCCGCCATTCTGCTACGAAAGCGGGTGATGGCAAGGCGCATAGTTTCCTCTGCATTTGTGTTTGTGCCTGAACCTGCCATTACTGTTGTCGAGGAGGGCTTTGTGTTATTTGCTTCGGTACTTGTTGGTCGTCTCTGATTGTAATCTTGCTGTTCTTTTGTTTCCTCATTTTTGTGAAGTAAGGATATGGGACACGGGAGCTATTGAATACGCCAAAAGTTGGTTGGAGTGGGCCTGTCGGCTCGTCGTTGGGGCCTGGCGGAGACCCTGGAGCCTGGAGGTTCCACCACCTTAGGGCTAACGCATCTCCCAAGCGGGTCGCCATCCCAAAGACTTAGGGGCTAGGGGGAAAGTGACCGCCAAGGTGGCCATAAAGATCATCGTTATCATGATTCCCTGCCTCGATAATCCACCGACGACAGCAGCCTGGAGCAGCTATGGCAACCTCCAAGCAAGAAACTTAGATTAGTGTCTTACCACGTTCATTCTCATTGACGAGAATTTACCGGCAGACCTCTGGGGTAAAAAAGAGATCTTGAGGTGTCTTTGGATGCAATATTTCTTGATTATATTTTGGTAAAATCTTGAGAGTTTAAGGTATGTACAGACAGGTTGGAACAGTATAACCTGGAAGCTCCAACACCAACACAAACCAAGAGTGAGGTTGACATTCAAATCGAATTCAAAGACCGTCCTGACTATCAACCGAATGTGGATATTCATCCGAAACATCCCCTTGATTGGGCGACAATGATGAAGTCGGCGAAAGAGAGGACCACGAGGGTGTTCTCATTGGAAGGCTCAGTCCAAGCCCCTTGACACCAGCCGGAGAGGCAGACCTTGACCCCAACCCAGAATGCGTGCCATTTCGCAAGGGCCAAGAGCGCAATCCTACACGGCCAATGGCACGTTGCAGCATCTCACCCGAAGCATCAAGCGCAATCAGGAACCTAGCAAGTTCGGCACAGAGTTCCCAATCACCCTTTTGCGAGGCGAGGCCAATAAGGCGAACGACGTATTCCTCGATCCGGCCGTCATGGCTCTGTTCCTCGTCCTCGAAGGCTTGAAGTACAAGGAGGTAGCCGACAGCCGTTTTGAGTGAATCGAGTCTGAGAGCCTGTTCAAAAAGGTCTTTTGGCGGGGGCAGGTAGTTAAAAAGAGTGCGCCAGGACCGGAGTTCGGTTTTCCGGGTGCACTGCACTACGATGTCAAGATACTCCCGCGTGGGGAGAGATGCTTGGAGGAAGGCGATGACGATTGGGAGAAGGGGCTCTTCCCGGATGATTGATTTGTCGGATTTGTTGGCGCGGCTTTCGTTGTCTACTTCCTCGTCGAGGACGTGGTGGAGGAGGATTTCTAGACCATGCGCAAAGTATGACAGGTGCGAGAAGTGTCGGCACAGAGAAAGGGCTGCGGGAGTTCCGAAGTTGATCAAGCCGTATTGAAGGAAGTATGGGAGGAAGAGATGTGTCTAGACAGGATAGTTAGACATGGATTCCAAATAGGAAAATGATTGAACTTACTCGAATGGCAAATTTGAGGGTGGCAAAAGTAACGTCTCGCCGCTGCATCAATTCGGATTCCACTCCTAGTACAATGCCCTTGTTCAATAAAACGGAGAGAGGATAAAAGTCCAGGGGTATATTGAGCGGTGCCGGCACCGTCTCTTGCTGGAGAACGTCATGTACATCATTCCATGCCAACAGGTCTTGACCGCGGAACATCCAAAGGGAGTCCCTCAGTGATAGGGTGCCATGGGATGGATTGAGTGCGATTTCAGCAGAAGGGCTCGCTGGTAGAGACTCGTCGATTGGAGGCGCAAAGTTGAAAGAGAGTTGATCACGCATCAAGATATAATATTCCACATCATGGGAGATGACCCGCATGTCATATTTGAGATCACCAGACTCAGTCACTGTCGGCTGCAATAGAACAAGATTCCCATCGACCAAGAGTATCACAGATGCGACCTTCACATCTTGGGAAGGATCACCGTTGTCTGTTAATTGTGAGCATTTGGCTTATTGGTACCCGGATATTGTCGACTTACGCATTTGCTCCTCGGGCAAGACCCAGCTGATGGCCCGTACTCGACTTGGAGCTCGCACAATTCCATTGAACGCAATCTGTCCTACAGGGACAAGAGTTATTTGGGGCTGTGAGGAGTTGATGATGTAATGATACAGGATGTTATCATAGGTATACACCAGGAGAGAGTCTTCTCCAGATGGACCAATAAACACCACAGGAGCTGGTAGATACTCGATAAACATGATCGAGCTGTTGTTTAACGCTGCCTCTCGCGAGTAAAGACGTATCTGATAGGTTTAGTCAGCATGGAACCCAATCCTCCCTAGGAACTAAACATACCTCGTATGACGATTCATCCCCCTCAACAGCAGCAATCAATATATGCCCATACCAGCACATGCCGCCTCGAACAGCAAATGAATTCTCCACCTTGGAATCTTCAAAGACTTTCCATCGGCCACTATTTACGCTATAGTGTGCCAACCCCCTTCGACCAGCAATAGCTACATACCGTCCATCCTGAGACACGACGGTTGATCGAATAGGCCATTGTGAGTGAAGATATGCCGGTGGGTACTGGGCATGATGCCACAGCGAATCCTTGCCCGAGATAGTCATAAGATCTGGCAAATCATGGCCACGGTAGAGGATCAACTCGGTTCCAGTCTGCAGTAGGCCCCGGGCAAGATTGGCGGCAGAAAAGCAGCCCGTCAAGGCACTGCGAGCTGTCTCCAGAATCCAAAGACGCCGGTCATTCTGTCCTGACAGAATGATATCCGATCCACCTCCTATCCAGCAACCACTGGACACACCTATTAGCCAGCTCTCTCCATTGGATTTCGCCAACGAAGCATCCACGGTGAAACTACTCCCGCCAGGCTTTCCAAAAACACTCCATGTTGTCCAGCCATTTTCGTAGCCAGCAAAGAGACAGTATCCGTCCGGCGAATAGCTCATGAAGGTTAATGCCCCAGTGGTAGTAGGCGTTGCTGGAAGCTGCAGCTTTTGGGAAAGCGGCACATTTCCCGTGTAATCTTTGGCTGTGTAGACCAAAATCTCGCCATTTGTGCAGCTGACTGTCAGAAGGGAAAATCGGGCATTGACTGCCACTTTGACCGCTTTGTCGCCATCCTCTTTGGGGTCATGGAAACAGTGTCCGTGGAACAATTTTTTCGGACCTTCGCTATCTTGTTGAGCCTCGGTCACTCGTTGCACGGCATATGCCTGTCCAGTACTTGTGAGCCAAATCAAGACATTCATGGCACGATCATAGACCATATCCACAATAGACACATTCTTGGGAACACCTAGAATGCGACTCAACATTTCTGATGTTGTTTGAGTTCCACCCGCCTCTGGGGTCCATCGAATACATTGTAGCGCCGGTGGTTTCACCGTGGCAACGACCAGCTCCTGATCCAGCGCCAGCGCCTTGACTATCCCAGATTCGATCTTGATTGCCATTCGAAACCTAATACTAATGTCTCCCACCACATTGGATTCCTCGACGGCCGAGAAATGTGTCAATTGTTGACGGCGCGGATGTGTTGAGTGGTCGAAGCGTTGTCGGTAGACTCGTGTCGCTGGGTCCGACGCTACTGCATATGTAAGAAGGTACCCGTGGAGGGTCTGGACGGCCAATATCGTCGAATCCGGGTGCATTAAAAGCGCAACATTAGAGCCGTATGTCCTAAGAGAAGATTTAGACCGCGCTATGGCCGCAACGACTGCCGTTGGCTGTAGCACGCATTAGCAACCATCCTCGGGACCAAAACTACCATGCCACAAGGAAACACACCCTAGTTTGCCACAAGGAAATCGAAGACTCTGTTAAGGTCGCAAACATATGGCCGGACCGAGACACACATAGGCCATTGATAGCTTCATTCTCCCACTTTGGGATATCCTTTTCGGCAACCGATTCGGGGGTTGGCTCCTGGCTTTCACCGACTGGGGTTTCTGGACCACCTGTCCCGTCGTTGCTATTCTCTATCGAGCTGCGCGGCTCCGGCGAGGGTGGAGTATGTTGGCGGTCCCCATCATATGAAACATCAGCGATGTCAGGGCCATTGACGGCGTAGACCCGGGGGACTCCATTGGGCCAGTACATGGCTCCAGCTCGGAATGGGGACGTTTACGACTGGCAATGAAGCTCATATGGAGTCATCTCGTCCCGGTAAGAAACGCGATTGGAGGTAAGCTCCGTTGTAAGGTGAGAAAAAAAAGAAGATATTCGAATGCTTTAGATGAAGGTTCCCCAAACAATCGATCCAACGGGGACGATAAGCGGAATCACGTGCGTGAAGCTCCCCGCATTGCTCTTGACACTTTTTTTCTCTTCTCCTGAACTCAGTTGACATATTCTTTTTTCTAGTGAGCTGTTTTTCACGGAATATCGTTATAATGGTGAGTAATCGTCTGTAATTTGACCTCTGACTGTTTCGTTGGGTTCAAGCTAACTAAGTGATTTATAGGCCCCCACTGAAAGTAACAAGCGCCTGGCTCTGGCCATCATCGACTTCCTCGGCTCCAGCCTCAAAGATGGCACCCTGACCGCCGATGATGCCGAGTCGATCGAGATCGCCCAGTCCTGCATCGCCGACACATTCAAGGTTGACCCGACCGACGAGGCCGCCGTGAAGGATGCTGTTGGTGGACAGTCTCTTGCCAACATCTACAGCGTTTACGAGAAGCTGCGCAACAAGTCTACCCCCCAGGCTTCAAGCTCCAGCGCTCAAGAGTCGCAGGATGATAAGCCCAAGGCCGGCGCACCCACTGCCGAGTCCGACAAGTTGAAGTCCGAGGGCAATGCCCTTATGTCCCGCAAAGATTACCCTGGTGCTATCGAGCAGTACACCAAGGCTCTTCAGATCGCCCCCGGTAACCCGATTTACTTGTCTAACCGTGCTGCTGCCTACTCCGCCTCTAACCAGCACGAGAAGGCTGTCGAGGATGCCGAGCTGGCCGTTGCCGTCGATCCCAAGTACTCCAAGGCTTGGAGCCGTCTGGGTCTTGCCCGCTTCGATATGGGTGACTACCACGCCGCGAAGGAGGCTTACGAAAAGGGTATTGAGGCTGAGGGCAATGGTGGCAGCGATGCCATGAAGCGTGGTCTGGAGACCTGTGAGCGTAAGATCGAGGAGTCTAGCCGAGGTGTTGAGCCCCCCTCAGAGGAGCTGGATACTGCCTCTGGTGCCTCCCGTGGTGGCGGTGGTATGCCCGACCTGTCCTCTCTTGCCGGCATGTTTGGTGGCGGTGGCGGTGGCGGTGGTATGCCCGACATGAGCTCCATTATGAGCAACCCCATGTTCGCTAGCATGGCTCAAAACCTCATGAGCAACCCTGATATGCTTGGCAACTTGATGAGCAACCCCCGCCTTCGTCAAATGGCTGAGGGTTTCGGCCAAGGTGGTGGCATGCCCGACATGTCTAGCCTCATGAGCGACCCTAGCATTGCGGAGATGTAAGTTGGTCCTGGTATTCACAATTCTGGATCTAATTATGCTGATATCTGGTTTATAGGGCCCGTAACATGATGGGTGGCGGCGGTGCTGGACGTGGTGCCGGTGCTGGTGCCGGTGCCGGCAACCAGTAAATCCTGGATTGAATGATTCCAAGGTTGATGCATGACATGCAAAAGAGACACGATCTGATGTTATTGTGGCGAGCGTTTTTTTTAGACGAACCATTCCTACTCTCTCATTCATTTCGCTTGGTATTCTTATAGTCATAGAACGTACTTTAATACCCCTGTATATGGTCGGGACGGCAAATTGAAAGTTTAAACCAGATACATTCTCCGTAGATATATTTACACAGCTTAATGCAACCATGATTCTCTTTACCCTCGTTGGATAGAAACCCCAACGAATGCAAAGCAACCAATCAAAAACTCAATGACCGATAGTAACGGTCCAAATGCAGATCAGACAGTGTCGAGGGGAGAGTGAAAAATGCAAAGCACAGGACGCCGGGGAACACCTCAAGCCCAGATGCCTTCGAACCAGCTCAAACGCGCAGCTGCAATCCGAGTCTATGGAGAGGGAGGGTAGTGTTTTGCTTTTCAGCCAGATCCGAGTAGGCTTGGAAAGAGACAATAAACAACCCGCAAATAACAGAAACACAAGTGAGAATGGAAAGAAAAGTGAACATTAATACATGAAAGGAAACAGCCGGTCAAATAGAACGGCCGTAGCCGTAAACAAGCGCCAGCTCCGCCTGGCCTGATATCAAAGTCATATTGTACAGTCGAGAGGAGCAAAGATGAAAGAGGAGAAGAGGTTCAAGGGATAAAAAATACAGTTTGAGAGGTGGTAGCTGTATGCTGAAGGGAGAGAGACCAGTCTATCTCCTTAGATATAGTCACGAGCAGCCTTCTGGAGCTCGATCAATCTCCAGCCCCGTGTCTCAGGGTTGTTGACTTCCTCGGGGATGCGAGTCAGACCGATGGCGTAGGTGACCAGCTGCACCTTGTCCTCCATACCAGCAGCAAGCTTGCCGGTCTTCACGTTGCGATACACGTGGACTTCCTGGGCACGGCAGGTGACAACGAATACGGGGATGTCACCGGGGTCCAACAGACGAGCGTGGGAAACATCAACGCCACGGACGTCCAAAACGCGACCATCTGAGCGGAGACCAGCAGTGGTGTATTGCTTGGCAAGAGCGGCATAGACGGAGAACTGAGCATCAGAAAGCCACAGCTTCAAGGTGTCAATGTCGCCCTTGACGTAGGCATCGAGAACCTCAGGCAACATGTATTCACGCAGTTCACGCAGGAACTCTTCCATCTGGAAGTTCGGGTCAATCTCACGGAACTTCTTGATGACCTGAGCAGTCTCATTTTCGGCGAAGAAGCCACCGATACGGTCGGTAATGCTACGCGCAGTGGTGATTAGAGGGTTCTCCGACTCCTCGTAAACATTTCTGACGTCGAAGAGCTTCTGCATCATGGGGTTGGAGTCACGGAAGTTACGCCAAGATTCCTTCCAGGCGGCATCTTTGTGAAGTGTAACGTTGGTGCCGGCACTGGTGGGAATTAGCAATCAATCGGATTCTGTAGAAGTAACAAAAGCTTACTTGGGGTCTTCAACAACCTGTTCCACCTTGGCCGTTTTCCCAGCCTTGGCTTCCATCTCCTCGCGACGCTTGCGACGCTCTTCCTTCTCGATCCATCCACCGTAGCGAGAGCTGCTACCGTCGTCAATAGCATCCTTCACGCTCTTATAAGCCTCGGTCTGGCGCACCGGTCTGGTGGCCTTCTCAAGGCCGGCACCAGTGGCGTTAACACCCAGACGAACACCCTTTACGACCGGAGTGTTCCATGTCCAAGCCGCACTCTTTCCAATGACTTGACCAGTGGACTTCAAAGCGGCACCAGTGCGGGTAGTGGCAGCCCCAGATGCAGCTTTGTAGGCCTCACGAGCCCGCTTGATGTTCTCATTCTCGCTGAACTCTTGCGCCGAGGAAGCGAGAGCCTTGGTGGACTCATTCCATTCCTTGGAAGCCTTGAACTCAGTCTGAAGAGTGTCACGGAACACTTGCCACGGAGACTTGTCTCCATGGGGTGGTGGCGGCGGAGCATCTTCCTTCTTCTCCTTCTTCTCTCCTTCCTTAGACTCCTGACCTTCGGATTCGGACTTGGTTTCCTCGCCCTTCTTCTCTTCTTTCTGCTGTTGCTGTTGTTGGAAAAGGGAGTTGGCGACATGGAAAGAACGGGTCAAGGGAAGAGCGGCAAACGGCGACACGAGCTGGGACACGGGAAGACGAGTGTGCTGAAGAGTGCTTCTTTGACCAGAAGACAAGTTCAAAGTCTGAGCCGGCAGCGCCGAATATGAAACGGCCCGAGAGCCCTGCGCGGCTTTGAGGATCGGAGCTTGAGACCGAATCGTGGCCGCGCGCGCGGCGGTGGACATCTTGGCCGAAATCATGCTCTAGGATAAAAGAATAACAGGAATGATAAATAGGAAAGAGGATTAAAAAGTAAGAAAAATATCCAGCCCAGCCCGGATGTTCGGGGTAAAGTATTGAGGAGTGAGGGTTGAGACCGGGGAAGAAGGTGAGTAAGGGAAAAAGTCGAGATGCCAAGACTTCGAAAAACTTCCAATGTTTCTCTTTCCGCCTCTTGTCTCCGATCACGGCTGCGACTCCATCCCGGTCTGTCACGATCACCGAGGGCAATTGCTTCGTCTCAACCCCGTATTTTCCTATTCATAACCGAGCGCTGTATTATTTTGTGACTGTCACTTCCCCTACACCTCTGTTGCGTGGCCTCCATTCACCGACGCATCGGCATCTCGTCGCCAAGATGAATTCTTTCTCGATGAACACACTCGCAAAGGCCCTGCCGTCAGTATGCCGGCAATCCCAATCCCAGGCTGCAAGCTTGCGGACCATTCGGCCTTTATCCACTTCTTCGAATGTCCTCGCGAGCTTCCGGGACCGCACCCGATCGATGGAGAGCCAAATTCTGAACCGCGACGCAGAGAGCTCAAGTGAATCTTCGCCGCTATCTGCCATCACGAAAATGATGCAGGGTGACAGCTCCTCGAGCTCTGCCTCCCGGGTTCGCTCCGACTACGCGCGGCTGGCTGAAAGCCTCGAAGCCGATATGATGAAGAATCCCTACGCCGACCGTGCCCCTCCTCACCACCTCCATGTCTTCTGCCACAAACACAACACAATGATCACTTTGACACGGCCCAACGGTAACCCACTCATGTCCTTGGGCTGTGGTAACATTGGTTTCCGCAAAGCTGGTCGTTCCGGCTTTGACCCTGCCTACCAATTGTCGTCACACGTGATGTCCCAGATCTCTGAGCGTGGATACCTGATGGATATTAAGCGACTTGAGATTGTCTACCGTGGCTTTGGAAAGGGCCGGGAAGCATTTACCAAGGTCCTTCTTGGAAATGAGGGACGCAACATCCGTGGGCTTGTGAGCCGAGTGACCGACTCTACCCGTGTGAAGTTCGGTGGTACACGTAGCCGGAAGGTCCGCAGACTGGGTTGAAAGAAGCAGCTGGGCCTTATCAGTTTTGTTTGCAGGTCATCCATTAGGAGGACCAGGAGTTCCTGCGACTTGTTTCATCTCCGTGGAGGAGATATTGTATTGAAGATGAACTTGGTCTTGGAGGCCATATTCCCTGGGCATAGCTGTTTGCCGTATGATTCTATATACTGTACAATATCAATTAAATTCATTCCTATTTCGATAAGATCACTTTGACGTTTAGTTTTTGGTGGTTTATCTTTCCACCTTTATCTCATTAAAGTCCGGATGTCCCTGACTTACCAAACAAGGTATAGCGCGCAATCAGCTCCCGCAGCGATCACGTTCTCGAACTTCTCTACTTCAAGTCTTCCGTGTTGATGCTTTTCATGCGCATTTAGCTATTTCTTTCCTATCGTGCATCTCCCTCGCTAATTGACCTTCAATATTCTGTCCAGTCCTTGGTGGACGCACCGACGGCCGGCCCTCGGCTTCTTACAACCCCGGACTGTTGCCTTCGAATGCGCCGGAGCTTCCCCGCGAAACGACCAACGCACAACCCTCCTAAGTTGGAGATTTGATATCCACGGCTTGATGATTGCTGGAGACTCTCTGCTGGGCCGTCCAATACCGTTTGGATGCACCCTCTAAATCCTTTTCTCCGAGCCTTCTTTCGAAGCACTGTTCCGGGGCAGTGTATACCCGTGGAGAATCATGTGAGTGTAGCTAATGCAAGACCCCTCGGATCGACCCGGACTGGCTAACCCATGCCAATTCATTCTGATAGGTACTTCTTGTCCCTACGACGGATTGCCTGGTCGGCTCACGGGACCGGGAGTCCAATTTGTACTACTCGGATCTCGTCGCGTCGGAGGAGTTTCTAGGGAGCCACGTATTACGAATTCCGCTCAACACAGGCTCGAAAGATGGAAAAGAGGACTCAAATGTGCGCGACAATAGAGGAAAAGCAAAGCAAGTCACAACATTCAATGGGAGGACGGTAATCATTAAGGAGAACTCGGTCTACAGCAACAAAGGTGGGAAACAATGGGCAATGAGCTGGTCTTCACAATGCTGACTTCTACGTTTAGGTTTCAAGTCTCTCACTCAAGCCCAACTCTTGTCCGACGCCTTATATTATACACCCTCGAGCGAGTCGCGACCATGGCTCATATACTACATCTCACGTCCTTTAATCGGGACCTTTGATCCCGCCAGGATAGTTCCCGCTGCAGTGCCAGGGACCAACACAAAGACGATCGAGTCGCCCCCTCCCGATAAGAAGACCGTGAATAGACAGTCCATCGGGACACCGCCAAAGCAAGAAATCAAATCTTTCGGCGAGCTGTTGGCCAATTTCCCCATGATCGCAAGGCAGATGCAGCCTGGTCTAGAAAGGTTATTTCGGGAGTTTGGTAAAGAACTGGGCAAGCCGCTGCCACCGCCACCTTCGAGATCGCCTTCAGCTTCTGGTAGCGAAAATGAGCACAAATTATCCCGCGCCGAGACTTTGATAGATGAGAGTTCATCTATCCGTAGTTGGTCATCTCGCCGTGGACGCCTACCATTCAACTCAGAAGAATATTTTGAGGACGACGAAGATCTCATGAGGCGGAGCTTGGAGACCGCCGTAACCGCCGCTATTGATCTCTTCCGGTTGGTCGACAAGCAGCAATTATCTCTCCTTGGTGCCACAACCGATCTTACTGGCCCTTTGGTAGAGCGACTTATTGAGCGATATGTCGCGGAGCAAGTTCACCAGCCGCTACTGTTTCCACGTCTTTGTGCTTTCCGGCAGCCCGAGGATTCAGAGTTAGACTCCAGGATCCGACATATGGAAAGCATCGACGTGACTCAAGTTGGGATCAGCGTTGAAGGAGGACGTGAAGGTAAAAGAGAACTGATCCGCCGGCTCGGGCGAGCCGTGGAAGAGTTCAGAAAGATGGGCGATGCCAGAAGTCCACATGAAATGCTCAATACCCTGCTAGAAACGGTCAAAGTCATATCCTATCCTGGGAGTTATAATCAACTAGACGGGCTCGGATCTGAGAAAGGGCGATCCCCCATCACTATCAATGCGGATGTCTTGGTTTCATTGCTGTTGGTTGTCGTGATCAGATCTCAGATTCGTCATCTGCAAGCCCGCCTACTTTACATGCAACACTTCATTTACATCGATGACGTGGATAGTGGTGAGATGGGCTATGCGCTGAGCACTTTCGAGGCAGTCTTAATGTACTTGGTCACTGATTCCGCTGGTCTTCGTCGCGCAAGTGTGAGAAACCGACGGTTATGGCAAGCTACCAAAGCCGGTCGAGTTTCGGACATGAAGAGCATTCTCGAGCCTAATGGGGACCACGATTCTATCGACGAAACTATTTCTCACCAGCCCGAGCGCAAGTCAGTCTTCTTTCAAACCGACAGCATTGAGGACCTCGAAGAGTCTCCCTTTGAGACATCTTCAATGTATAGCAACTCAGTCTGTACAAATGGCGAGCCATTCCCATCGCTTGACATTCCTGCTTCTGAAGCACCGCCCCTATCGCACGTGTTCCCATTTCAAACTTGGGATGGGCCGTCAGCTGTAAGGGATCTTAACAGGCCCGTGAAAAAAGTGTCTATGGATGTTCGCAGCATGTCAGAGTCATCGGCTGTCTCCTTCCTCTCTCGAACCACTACCATTGGGTCAATGGCGAGCGGCATTGAGGGCGATAGCTCCATTGAAACTATGACTAAGACTCAAGATCCTGCTGGCGATTCGATACCTATGATGGCCGTAGGAAGACGCCAAACAGAAGCATTGAAATATTTGCTGAGCCTCGAAGAATATTATCCTTTGGAAGATATACTCGAAGACACAAATGCTGATGGGACCACTCTACTCAACGCTGCTGTGCAGCTTGCACACTGCGAGATTGTTGAGATTCTCCTGGATTTCCTTTTTAGCAAAACCGATGATAGTGTGATTGCGAAGTACCTGACCAAGTCTGACGTCCATGGTCGAACCGTGGCCCATTATCTTTTCAGCACGCCTTCTCTTCTGGCCCGGCTTGGTGGCCTTCTTCCCTGGCGACAAAAGGACAAGCATGGGCAAACACCGCTTTTTGCACTCTGTCGATCGTATGATCACCCCGAGTACAAGCGCATGGTTCAGTCTGCCTTGACGGCAGCACAGAAGGCACAAGGTAATGGAAAACCTTTGCAACTGGATGACCATGTCGATGCCAAGGGTAACACGCTTCTCCATATTGTGGGTGATCCTGAAATAACCACTCGGATCCTCCAGGAGAGTGATTGTGACCCTAATGCTACAAATGACAAGCGATTTACCCCACTGATGATGGCTAGCAAGTATGGGCGTGTGGATCAAGTTCGGATTCTTTTCTTGGATCCACGAGTCGATGTCCATGTCAAGGAAGCTCGGGGATTGACAGCCGTCGAGCTTGCAAAAGACGATGAGGTCCGAAATAGAATTGACGACTTGATTTTGCTATCGCACCCACCATCAACACTGGGTGACCCGTCGGGCCGTGTCACTACTGTGGTGCGATCTTTCTTTGTTGAAGATGCAACGGTGCGATTTATTCTCAAGTCTGGCGCACCACACGCACAAACGTCGGACTCGGTAGCATCTTCTCGGCCAGGCTCGACGACTTACACTGTCACCACATGTCGTCGAAGCTTCCAAGATTTTGAAAATCTTGCTAAATGGCTCTCCGTGGAGCATCCCGCTTCCTATGTACCGTCTCTTTCTGATTTCCGGAATCCATTCCAGATTCACTCCAAACCATCTCGGTCCGTGCTTCATGATCTACAGGAAAAGCTCGATCGGTTCTTGAAGACTCTTCTGACACATCCCACCTTCGCTACCCACGAGATGCTCTGGGAATTCTTCCTTGTGCCAGAACTGCAACCGGAGATGATGGCAGATAGATCTCGCAGCAAGGCAGCGGTGTTGACCGAAACCATCGCAGATGACTTCGCGCCTATCTCGCTGGAGGGCATGCGTGATACAGAGCAATTTGTATCTCATGCGCAAGATATGGTGCGCGGCGTACACGTTAACACGCGCAGCCTGATCCGACGTGGACATGCACTTCAAAACAGTACCTCGGATATGGCGGACGCTGTGTCACTCTGCTCATCTGTCCTCTCCACTCTCCAAGAACCTACAAATGCTCTCCCGAAATCCTACATCGAAGCGTTCACCCGCTACGGTACCTGCCTCTCCACTTCTAGCTCGGACTCCTCCCCACTTCTCCACTATCTTGCCGCACTCACAGCAATTGACAACACCACCGCCGCCATCCTCACATCTCTCTCCCGCCCTCTCTCCCTCATGTCAGACCTTACCTCCACAAATCGAACTATCGCACGCTCTCGCTCCTCTCTTCTATCCTCATCCCTCCCTCGCAAATTCAACATCAATCTCCCCGGCTTCGAAGAGTCACGACAGAAATCGGCCCGTGACCTGGAACAGAAGATCGGCGACGGCGAAGTCGAGTCAGCCCGTCTCGCGAGGGAAGTCTCGTGGAATAAAGACGTCGTCGTAGGCGAGTTAGCCGGGTGGACGACATGGCGCGAGAAGGTCGGTCGCGAGGCCATCCGCGCATTCGTCAAAAACACCCTCGTCCGTGAAAAAGAGCGCGGAAAGCGCATGGAGCGCTGCCTGCGTAGCGTGCGAGAGATGAAGCCATGATTTCAGATGAGCGTTCCTGGTTGAATATATTCTCATAGACTTGATTTCAAGAGATATCTCGCGCATCAGACTGCGTGTTTCTGACTTATGCACATTTCATGACGGACATGTTCGGGGTTCGAATATTCTTTCTCTTTGGTATTTGCTTGTTTGTTTGCTTTGGGCCTTTGGTTTTTTTAAGTTGCTTTTCGAACTTGACGCTTGATTGCTGGCGTGGGTGGATGCTATACTCTATCTCATATCTTTACGTACACATATCAATAGCTTGATAGCCTAGCTGCTATATCACGATCATGAAACCCCACTGGGAATTTATATTGACTAATGTATAAAATTATGATGTATCACGTCCAGGTAAGCGATACTATACTCGATTGTTCCAAAGATGGGTTTTTCTTCAACAACGTAGGAATACTTAGTCCCCAATATTCTGTTTTCCTGTCTTTATCAATACATTGCACCTGGACTCAAAAGGGTCGCACACAAAGGGACCAAAACCAAAAGTTCATCACGCTAGATCAACCTTCCGAAGACCCAAACCCTGGCGACTGAGTCGACGAAACTGACAGAATTGAAGGAAGCTGTGACGCACGCCCGGAAGCACTCCAAGAAGAATCAGCGGGCGATTCAAGCGACATGCTTCCTCGCTGAGACTCAACATATACCGTCTGCGAGCTCTCCGGCTGCTCAGCGCGCCCAGCCGAGTATCTCAGATTGGAAACAGAAACCCGACTCGAAGCCCGGGATGCATTTGACGGGTTGGAACACACCATCGAGCGAACGGGGATGTTCCTAGTGCTCACATCATGTGGGCGAGACACCACAGCCCCCACATTAGCAAAATTCTGGCAGTGAATTGAGTCCTGTTGTATGATATCGGGACCGACAGACGATTTGGACGATGCACTTGTCGTAGTCCATGTGGAAGATCGAGCAGTCGGGGCACCCGTCAAAGCCCTCGACAATCGCGAGGTTGATGTTTGGACCGGTACTTGCGTATAATTAGAACCGGAGCCAGAACCAGAACCAGAACCAGAGCTAGAACCAGAGCCAGAACCAGAGCCAGAGCCAGAACTGAAATCTGGAGCAGGGCCAGCGCCAGCACCAGAGCTACTCGATGTGGTCGGTGTCAATTCCGAGAGCCCCATGCTGCGCCCGTCTGTCGTGACCCTAGTCAGGGAATCGAGCTTGCTGAAATCCATAGACGACGCATCGTAGTTACCACGGTAAAGCCTTGTAGGATTCCGTCGATAACTCTCATCGACGACAAACGTGAAGGACGGTGAGCGGCTACGGCTGAACATCAAGGATGTGCGTTCGGGCTCAATATCTTTCAGGAGAAATTCGTCAAGGCTTTTGCTTGTGTCTTCATTCAAGACGAGACTGGACACGTTGAACGGGTCTTCAAGTTGATTCTCCGTGTTGAGACGTTGGCGAGCTTTTTGTTGTCTCTTTCGTTTGAAGTACCATATCAGTAGGAAGACGATGGCGAAGAACGTGACTGATGCGATGATGGTTGCTGCGGCAATTGAGGGCTTCTTCGCGTAGGTCCAGCTGGATCCCTTGGGTTTGTGGGTTGATTTCGCTTTGGCCGTGAGACGGGGCTTGTTGTCGGCTTCGGAGCCTGCGGTTTGAAGCGGACCAGGTATGATCATCTGCTGGAGTGTGTCATCTGGAATCACCTCGAGTCGCATGCCTTGATGGTACTCGGGATGCATTTATCAAGAGGAAGATGTGAAGGCTTTCTTCTATATTGCAGGGCTGATGATTGTCAATTTCAGTTATATCGGTACTCCAAGCCTCGAGATATGAACCTCCGGCAGGGCAAGTACACCGTGCTCGGTACAGTAGCCCAACCAGCAGGCGCGTTCTAAGGTTTGCATCCAGCAATGCGAGCCAGGGCAGAATACCCAAAGCTGTTTCCCCGTTTATGGCAGTTTATCTTTCTCATGTTGATCAATTCGGGACGTCCTTCGGTTACGTTCATGGGTACAACCATGTCAATGTCCATTAGTACAGTATATACTGTCTCTACATTCATACGTACCGTGGTACGTATTATATATCCACACGATCGGCTTGGCACTACCTTGGCATCAAAGCCCAAACACTGTATTTGGGGCACACAAGGACCCTGAAACAGAGCCTCTTAAGGTTGAGATTCACAGGAAATTCATTATGAGATAATGCATCCATGGCATCGATGTAAATTTTAGCCTCAAAGCTTATATAAGCCAGACGCTAATCGGAGGCTAAAGATATAGCCGTTGAAATTCTCGGGATCTGGTGCATAGTCCACGGCACTCCAAGCCAACGAGAACGCCGCAAACAACCTTCCTAAACGATTGACTCAAGAACCTTGGAAAGCCATTGAAAGACTCACAATGGCTAAAGACTGCTCGCCACCACCATATCAACCTTTTGATCCTTCCACCCCTGCAGCGACACCAGCGCCAATAGCCACTTTCCAGATCGACCGTCCCATGCAGCAAGATTACTACATATACACCAATCCCAACAAAGATGACTTCTTGAGGGTGGAGGCCCATACATCCGGCATAAAGAGCGACCTAGCCTTCTACAGGAGCAATGCGCCCCACCGTGAATTGATGTCTTGTGATTTCAAGGAAATAACCAAGACGGTTGATAAGGCTTTCATCAGAATGCCAACAGGCGAAATGGACGTAATTTGGTGGGCTGCAGGTCTGGATCCCAAGATTCCTATTTCCGTCCAGTATCGGTTTCAGGCTAGGTTGCGGGATCCAGTGGATCCGTTTGCTATTATCTCAGGCCCAGTCAATTCTGTGAATTCGCAACCATTTTACTGGCAAGGTGGATCTGAATGGAAGCTGGTGCATGAGGCAACGGGTAACGTGGCTGCTATTGCGCGCGATGTGGATATAGCCGCGCGCAAATATGGCTCAATTGATATTTTGATGTCTTATGGTGATACGTTCAGTATCATTGTTTTATCATCTTATATGACAATCTGTGAGAGGCTCAAACGGGAGGCTAAAAAGCATCGGTTCTGGTAGATAGTGTTGTATTATATGCATAATGACCAATTCATGAATTGCTAGATGTTGAATGGACCTCGAAATGGATCGTCTGTTGGATGACATTGGTGGGTGGGCTGACTAGTCCCTCCATGCTTTCAGCATCATCTCGGATTGATTCCCGCCATCCACTGGTGACCTGCACCGAGGTTCCGGGGCTGAGAGGTGGATCAGTTCGTGTATGGAATGACCTTTTCATGGTTGACAGGTTGTATTTATCGCCCATATGTGCGTTAGCAGGGTCGTCGTGGATGGCGAATGCGTAGACATCGGGTTGAAGCTCGACGACCAGCCTTCCGAGGGATGGGAGGGCAGTTGTGACTAAACTCAGGTTCATCATGACCCTGTTGGGTTATACTGTTAGCTTTGTATACAGAGACGAGGTTGTGTTGATGGTACTCACTGGTCCCAAACAGTCGAGTTGGTGCTTGCCCCTAAATATCTGTTAGATATGCGTCAATTATATAACTCATACACATTGATCTCACATAGAAGGTCGGGTGATTTGAATAGGTTGAAAATGTAGTGGATTTCCACTCCCGTCGCGGCACACACTCTGTACACAGCAACGGTCAGATTGGTAACTTGAGGATTTGGTGGTGACCTTGACTTACACCAATTTACTGGCAATAAGTGCCATAATCCTAAATCGTTTCCATCGGGAAAGCTGCACGTTGCGGAGCAACACACATGGAAGAACCACGAGGGCCACATCAGTGATGATGTTCAATGCAGCGATAGCCTGGAACAGTGCCGGCTAAAATGGACAGTAAGTTTTCAAGTCCGAGAGGGATATTCAGGCGTCTTACTTGATTGATGCACTTTTCCGTTAGATTCCACTCCCAAGGTGTGGGCAGAGAGCATCGTAAAGCCAAAGCTAAGATGGATCCAATAGCCCATGCAGATATTGCCCCAATCAACGACATGTTTGCCCATGTATATCCTTTAGAGGTGAGCGTGCTCTTGAAGAGAAGTCCCGATGAAATCTTGCTCAGCGCTATGGTCATGACAAGGAGTATTTGTGCGACATATTCGTACTATAGGCAAGGTGAGCTTGCGATCTTGTGAGCGCGAAGGTGGCTGGTATGATGTCAGGGACTCAGGGATTCCTGGCTTCCTACCTTTAGAAACAACCTGAAGTGATGATTGTCGATGGTGGAGCGTTTCCGACCAAGTCCATTAGAGATTGCAAGTTGTACAATGATACTCTGCAATGTGCCCGATAGCTATTCAACAGAATAAAATTAGCCATTTTAAATCTTTCTCAGGGCAATTAATTAGCAGGATGGAAGGGACATACTGTTGCTGCTGCCAGTAAAATATCATCGGAGTGAATGACTCGTCCAATATACCACCGACTGAACAGGCGAGTGAGGACAACCACGATCGTCAACGCCAATAATGTATAGACTGTGACCGCAGCATATCCACCATGATCCTCATCCGAAATCTCAAAGAGAGGAGGCAGTGTGCCCGCCATCACAAATGTAAATTCGACAATTGCACCACGTTGTTCATAGAGAATTTCAAGGAGACAAAATGGGAAGACCGATCGCAGATCAGCGGAGCGGGTGTATTTGACAGGTTCGTAGCGGGGCCTTTAGCGGGATCGAGTCCATACCACCTTGACCAACTACTGGCGTGCACCCATCAGGTTCTCCCCTACTTTGCGGGAGTCCCTGCTTTTCTCCCTAAACCAAGTTCACAATGAGAGGAAAAACAATTAGCAACAAGGTTGTTCTACGATCCTTTATCGTGTCGTATCTGCGCTATCGGAGTCCGGCCGGAGTGGCGCGTGCGACCAGGGGTTCTAAAGAGGTCTGTGTTAGCACAAACTCAATGTTATTGACTGAGACATTCGGCTTTAATCATATCGGCTTCGAGTCTAACAAAGGCAATTGGCGCAAACGGCGCCAATATCTATGTGCTGTGGTAGATTAATTCGTTCCAATCTGGCTGGACCATTCCCTAGTGTTCCCAAAGAAGTCGAAGTAAATCACCTAAGCCATGTTTCAGAATATTTAATTGGCGCAATCCTCCATTGCTTATCTGTAACTAGAGTGACGGCACCGGCAGAAACCCGAATGAGCGTCCAGTCTTAGCAGGTGGAACCGAACGTTTTAGATCTGGCTTTGACTGTCAAATCACCGATGGTTGATTTAAACCTAAACACCCGGAGGTGGACCATAATGGAACGTAGGCGTCTCCACAAATCACAATTCATTTCTCGAACGGGGCTATCGGGAGCCACCGTGACCTAAATAGTCAAGAGCTCGTGCGTGTGGTCTGATATGTGGACCGAACTCGGCATTTTCACTGAAAGCTCCTTTCTTTGCTAGTACCTGCAGTGTGATTTCAATTATCACATGGGATGGTCAATCGCGCTTGAATATACATCAGGCTGTACCTGGCCGCTGACAGACTGATTTGGTTGTTTCAGCCCCGCACGACTCACTGGGCTTCAGCGAAGCTCAATTCGCCACCATGTCGAGCGAGGAAATTGAGATGGGCAACATGCCTGTCAAGTCTGTCCAAGTGAGTGTGTCGCACGCTCGTTCAGGCTCTGACGGGGGTTATCATGGTGGTGTGTCGACATCGAGGTCAAGTAGGAAACATTTGGAGGTAAGTTCACCCGACGATCTCCACAGGAGCGGAGAGATGCGAAATTGACACGGTATTCGTAGAGAAGTTTTGGATCACTCTCAATCCTCTCACTATCACTAACAATTCTCTCATCATGGGAATCTGTTGCAAAGTAAGTATCCAAACACAACCATTGCAGCACCGACTGACTCCCTTCTAGCAGCTTCGAGTCTGGACTCGTCAATGGCGGACCAGCCGGTCTGGTCTGGGGCATGGTATTGTCAATAATTGGTACAATGGCCCTAGCAGTATCACTGGCTGAGCTGGCATCTATGTGCCCGCGAGCAGGAGCTCAGTACCACTGGACAGCGGTGGTTGCCCCTCCACGAATCAGCGCATTCATTACTTGGATGCAAGGATGGATCACTATCTTCGGATGGCAAGCCACCCTGGCTAGTATATGCTACTTGATATCAACGCAAATACAGGGGATGGTACTATTGAACAACCCGCAATATCAATCTCAACAATGGCAAGGGACGCTCATGATGTGGGCGATCATCGCTTTAGTGGGGTTCATTAATATTTACGGGATCAAGATTTTGCCCGCTCTGCAGATGTTGGGAGGAATCATGCATATCGTATTCTTCATCGCGATCGTCATTCCATTGGTGCTTCTATCACGGCGCAGCACCTCCGAATTTGTCTTCACTCAGTTGATAACGAGCGACGAAGGGTGGCAGTCAAAGGGGGTGGCTTGGTGTCTCGCCATGTTGACAGTGACATATTGTTTTGTCGGCAAGTGAAATCAAATCTTGATATGGGATTAAACGCTGACTTGATGCAGGACTGGACGGTGCCGTCCACATGAGTGAAGAGGTGCGAAATCCGGCTATCGTCATCCCGCGCATTTTAGTTCAATCAATCGCCATTAATGGGTTCATGGCTTTTGTCTTTCTCCTCGTTATCCTCTTCTGCATGGGCAGTGTTGAGGAGGCTTTGAATCCCCCGTATATCTTTCCAATGATCGGGGTTTTTATGCAAACTACCAATTCTGTCGGAGCGGCCACTGCCATGCAGACAGCTATTACACTAATAGGCATGGTGTCTAACACCGGCGTACTTGCATCTGTCTCACGACTAACATGGGCATTTGCTTGCGACGGAGGTTTGCCATTCTCCAGATACTTCGCTCACGTACGATCCCTTCTTTCATCCATCTACCATTTTCTGACATTCATTTAGGTCGACCGCAACCAACGTGTACCGAAACGAGCCATCTATCTTGTTTGTGCCGCAGTCGTCCTTCTCTCGGTAATTAACGCCGCCTCGGAGACCGCTCTTAGCGCCATTCTCGCTCTTTCCACTAGCTCTCTTTACATTTCCTATCTCATTCCGGTCTTTCTGATGATCATCCGTCGTGTGGATACCAGCCGTGGACCCATTCCATTTGGTCCCTGGAGTCTGGGCCGCTACGGCATGGCGCTCAATATTTTTGCCTTGGTGTTTGGCGTCTTCGTTTGCATTTTTGTTCCATTCCCGACACAAATCCCGGTAACGGCTGCGAATATGAACTGGTCCGGTCCTGTGTTCTTGGGTGTCGTCATATTGTTGGTGATAGATTGGACTTTTCGGGCTAGAACGAAGTATACTGGGCCCAAGGATCTTATAAAGTTGGACAACAAGACTAATATTGCTTAAACTGGTTGGGCTGATCTTGTTAGACATTTATACTAATTTATATACAGGATTCTTATGAAATAATGTCGCGTAGAAGTGCTTTGCATTTGACAATATCTGCTTAGAAACTAAAACATATACCCACCTTGGCTACATGACACAACAGCATCGAATATTCCCTTAATTCAAGGTTTACCGCACGTCATCTCAGCCAGGCCACGTGCCGATCATTAATTAATTTTCCGAATCATGTTAAGGCTTCCCTGTTCAGTAACTATTGGAGAGGAAATGACTAATCAATCTCCTTATCGGCACATACGTCATCGACACCTATGTACTGGATTTCCTTCAATATTTTTAACTTCCTTTTCTAGATTAGTGCTCACCCTCTCGCCGCTTTTACTCACTAAGTAGGTCTAAGCACGGCCTCCGGCGAGGGTATATATAGGTCACGTCGCTAATAACATAAGCTATAGGTCGCTATTAAAAATAGGCTAACCCGATTAGGAAGGCCCCTATAATAGATTACTATTTACTAAAAACCAACTCTGCTTCCTTCTATAACTATCTCTTCTCCGCCTCTTTCACCACTTACTACGCCTCTACTTGAAAATGGCCAACAACTGGTCAGATGCCACCTGCATCCGCAATAATTTGGCGGCGGATCGCCAAGATACATGGGGCTTCTTCTTTTATCGTACATGCTGCTACGACGATGATGCACAGTGGGAGAGTTTCCTTGAGCGGATGAAAGCATTCGCAGAAAAGGCGTTACTCAATCCTAGGACGGCGAACAAGAATGGCGACGGAGAGATTCTTTTGGGGCAACTTGAATGGAATATTCAATCGGACCCCTCTCTAGATAATTGTTCATATGAGGAAGTCTGGCGGTATGGATCATGATCTCTCCCTTTTTGGTTTCTACCGGAGAGGTTAAGGGAATCAAAGTACTGATTTCCCCCCGTCTCCTTAGCCGCCACCGGGACCTTATGAAATCTCTTTACGGGGAACATTGTCCCGCCTTTGTCCGACAAGGATACCCCGTCATCGTGGACAAAGAGGCCCTGAACTCTGTCCTAGAAGCCACTTCACCAGATGTATGGACGGCTGGTGATAGTCATAGGACGATGGCCTACGTGAATGTGCTTGATATGCAATGGTTTGAAGTACAGGATGAGCCGGATAATGGAATTGGATCGGAAGTCGGGTGGACGAGGGTTTCGGCTCATAAGCTTTATCCTAGGTTGTATTCGTTACTGGCAAGTGGAATGTGGCCGCAGGTCGTCTATCGTGATCCTCCCACAATTTCTCGTTTAAGCTAAATGTCGCTTCATTCTTAGCAATTCTCTTTTTTTTTTTTTTTAAAAAAAAAAAAAGTAATAAGCGCTCATTGAACCCTATGTCCTTTTATCTTTCAATACCCTTCTGGAATAATAAGCGTCATGGCCGAATTGGATACACTTTCCCTGACTAATGAGGGCTGCAAGCCGGTGCGAAACTTTGGACCCATGTTGATTCAGGAGAAGCTTGGTCCGCTTTTCTATCACTTGTATTGATCAGGGCTGTAAATATCTGTCAATTATGTGATCAAACCGCGACGCAGTACTCGTAGTCTGGCCATAGCCCTGAACAGTCACTACCAACAGCCGGGTTCCAGTCTATGAAGTCTGTAGTAGATATGCCATAGGCTGTTGCAATAGCCCAGCACGAGTCACCCGATACTGCAGTGTAGAATTTTGGTGCATGAAGCGGTAATGCCAGTCTGCACTGGCCCTGCGACGCAGTACTGCTGTCCAACATCAAGATATTGACAGTTGGAACCGATTGATGGATTCCATAACAGAAATTCCGCAAAGGTGATGCTATATTCGACCTCAATGGCAGAACATGAGTCGCCTGAGACGACAGTGTAGTATTCACTGCAAGACACACTGGAGGTGGTCTCCGTGGCTGCCGCAGTAGTTCCAAAAAGGTTGTGGTAGATGTGGAAGTAGTCTCGACGGCAACACAGATGGCGTAATCCCCTTATCGGCACATACGTCATCGACACATATATAGAGATGCCTGGCGCGTGTTAAAGAGAAAGAACATCTTTTCCAACTTTCATCTCTTCACTCCCACGTTCAAAAGCCATCAAGGACACTTAAGATATACATTCACCGTATTCCGACCTTTTCATCATGCCTCTCGTCGTTCCCGGTATCACCACCAACTCCGCCAAGGGCGGTAAGTCTGAGTGGGAGAACAAGTTGATGGGCAAGAAGATCAGCGATACAGGCAGCAACGAAATTGTGAGTGGACATGACTTTAAAGATGAGACGTAACTCTCAGATACTTGAAAGGGTTTCCTAATGAGACTATGCTTGTGTAGTCATTTGCCAAGAAAGACCTTCCTGAGTCTCATCGCGTGCTCAAGCCTGGGGACATGAAGACTATGGACCACAACCCTGATAGGTATGAAGTCAAGTGAACAACATATGCTCCAGTATGCTGACTGCTATGCTATAATAAAAAGACTTAACATTCATCTGGGCGAGGATGACACTGTTCAGAACGTCACTTACGGCTAGATTAATCTATGTAGGATTACGTACGGTCGTCGCTTCTCCCCGCGATCGATGGACTCCGAGACCACGATTCACGATCATGTTATTTTAAATCTTAAATGGATCAATAATAAACAAACCAAACAATCTTTATCCATGACCAAAATCTATAGACTTGTATATGCATCAAGAACACGCTCCCTTACTCAGCCTTCCATCTCAGCAAAGTCAGTGAATGCTTGGGGAAAACATATTTCCCAGATCCATCCCAAGTAGACTCCTCAACACGGACCTCCTCGGTCTCCTTCATATTCGTAGCCATAACATCACCACCTGTAACAGTGAAAACCTGCGCAGTGCCAACAATACCTTCAACAGCAGTCTCAAAGCCCTTCTCCTCATGAATGTTCACAACCGCCAAATTAGCATATCCATCCTCGCCAAGACTAGCACTAACATCCAACCAAGGTGTATCAACAGTACCCCGCAACCACTTAGGCGCAGTCTCCCCCTCATAAGTTCCACAAGAAACATGCGCAGAGATTGTCCACCCACGCATGAACTTCGAGAACAAATACAGCGGCCACCAAGTAGTCTGCTTAATGATCTTATCCTTGGTAGTCATAAGCGGCGAAATAACGTTCACACTCTGTGCGATACACGCCATTCCCAGGTCGCGACTCTTGCGCACAAACACATTCAGCCATACGGCGACGGCTAGTGCGTCGGAGAGCGTGTAGCTCTCTTCTGCGCCGTGGCTTCCCTCTGCACGGATGGGATCCCAGACGTTCCACTCGTCGAAGCAAATTGTTGGACGGAGTTGGCTAGGTGGGACGCCGTTTTCGATGCGGGCGAGGTCGATCAAGGAGGATGTGATTTCGATCGCGCGTTCGGCTGCTAGGGGAGCTGTGGCGTTTGGAAGGTGAGAGTTGGAGCATGTGTAGAGGTGGATGCTGTGCATGTCGATGAGGGGAACTGCGCTTGTTGAGAGGGCGGAGTGGGCGGGGAGAAGGCAGTGTTTTAAGGTATAGTAATCCCATGAAGCGGTGCCGTCTTGGCCGCAGAGGATGAGGACGATGCTTGGGTCGAGGAGTTTGAGAGCTGTTGCTCAGAAGTAGTTGATTAGTATTCGTCCATGGAAGGATGGAGATGAGTGGACGGAAATGAACTAACCTTTAGCCCACTGCAGGGCTTTGTGCGCATATGCTTCCTTGGTCATCTGTTCAACCTGCCATGGGCCCCATGTCTCGTTACCGAGTGCCCAGTATTTGACCTGGATATGTGAGCTGGTGAAGTGTATACTGGACATAGGGATAACATACGTTATACGGCTCTTCACGTCCATTCTTGCGTCGGAGGTTGGCATAGTATGTGTTGCCGGTTCCATTGCAGTACTCCAACCATCCCAAGGCTAATATTATTAGTATTAATCATACTCGTCTGGGCCTATAGAAGCCATACCTTCGTCAAGAGTACCAGTTCCAAAGTTAAAGCACAGGTAAGGCTCAGTGTCAAGAACTTCACACCACTTCATAAACTCGTCGGTTCCAAACTGGTTGGTCTCTGTTCCAAGCCAAGCTAACTCGGGCCTGTAAATGTATCAGCATTGAATCCATTGAGTCATTTCCCCCCAACACTGTGAGCTTACCGGGCTGGTCGTTGATCCTTGGGACCAACACCATCTAACCAGTGATAGGTTGCGCAGAAGTTTCCACCAGGGTAACGAACAACAGGAATGTTGAGATCCTTCAGCGCCCCAAGGACATCCTTGCGGAATCCATTTTCGTCCGACAATGGGTTACCGGGATCATAGATACCTCCATAGATACATCGGCCCATATGCCTATCCAAGGTATGTTAGTTCACTCTAACAACAAGGCAGATTTCAATGTCAAGCAAAGCAAAAGGATTGAAAGCTTACTCAGTGAAGCCGGCATAGATATTCGGATTAATCTTCGAGATCCGGCGCGAAGGATGAACAGAGATGACCGGAGCATCCTGGTCACTCAGCTTAGTAAAGGAAGTCATGGCAGAAGTCGGAAGTTGTAATTCGTTTGGTCTACAGCTTTACACCAAATTCGTCCCGGTGGCTGAAAATAAGTAATCCCTTAACCCGATGATCGGTTAACAATTCAAAGACAAAAAACCCGATCAAAAGAGCACCAGACCGAAACGGAACCGACAACACGTTCCTCCAAGCGAATTTATTTGTTCCCCTCCACCCGATAGCCTAGAAGGGGTAAATCTCCTGCGGGGCAAGATAGTCGTCCGCCATGGCGTTGGGGACGCTATCCCGCACCCAATGGCATGTTCAATGGAGACGAAGCCCATTTCGGGATAGCAATCAGCGCTTAAGGCCAGGCTGGAGTACAGGTCACCTGGATCTCACCAATAATCTCGTTGACTGGTGATTTCAGGTGCTTGTATGGGTCGCCGAGGCTGGTGGAGATATTCCATCAATCATAATGCAGGGAAGCAAGACGCCACTAGTCCCGGCCCCGCAGTTCTGGACTGCTTTGTATCCTCGTGGCTTTGTACTGATGGGTCCAGGATCCAATCGTCAGGGTCTTAAATGCCGAAATGTTAAAATTCTTTGTTTCTTAGCTAAATTCAGGAGGATTTAGAGGGTGAAGCTCGGTTAATTCGCCAAATGGTCGTCGTCAAGAAGGTTTGAGGTCTTGGCTCTGGAGGTGCCTCCGGGCTGGAATTGTTCATTTTCAGGTGGACTTTGAAATCCTGGGGGAACCTGGAGTATATAGTATTTACTTGCTGCCCCGCAAGCTGTCAAGGGTTTTGTGGAGATCCCCGGATTTTCTTTCTCCATTTTTTTTGGTTGATCGTAGACCCCTAATCTGAGAAGCTCCATTGTTGACGGAGTTGCCCACTATGCTATCACCAGCATGGTACCAGGTAAGAATATTTGCGGTGATGTGATTATTCCAGTACTGATCGTTGTCTAGTTCCTGGTTGGCGTGTTCGCCTCCCTCGGTTCATTCCTCTACGGATGTAAGTACTATCGTCTCATAGTAAATGAGACTTACTAACAGGACCAGATGATTTGGGTGTTATCGCCGAGGTCATTGTCTGTGATTCTTTTGTTGATAAGTTTGCTGCGAACTCTACACAGAGGTATGTTATGTATGATTATTCGAGCTATGCACAATTCACCTAACAAATGGTAGCGGTCTTGTTGTCTCCATGTTCACAACTGGTGCCTTCTTTGGCGCCGGGTTTGGCGGTCCTAGTGGTGATTACCTAGGTCGACGAAAGACAATCTCCCTTGGCTGCTTGCTCTTCTGCTTGGGAGGAGGTCTTCAAACCGGTGCACAGAACATCTCGTTCTTGTATGCTGGACGATTCTTTGCCGGCCTTGGGTAAGTCCTCAAATCTAGGCATCTTCAAAAGAGACATATACTTACATGTTCTAGTGTCGGTTTCCTTACCATGATTATTCCACTCTACCAAGCCGAGATCTGTCATCCTAGTATTCGTGGTCGAGTCACAGCCCTGCAGCAGTTCATGCTTGGAGTAGGCGCTCTCTGTGCCGCATGGATCTCCTATGGCACATACATTGGATTTTCTTCCACTGATGATGCCCAATGGCAATTGCCCCTTGGACTCCAGATGCTGCCTGCTGTATGCCTGGGTCTCTTGATCATGATCTTCCCCGAGGTAAGCAATCGCCCCCTTAACCACTGCTTCTATCTTCTCTAATCTAATCATGCTTAGTCCCCTCGTTGGCTCATCGACCATGGCCGCGCTGAAGAGGGCCTCAAGACTCTGGCCAAGCTGCATGCCCATGGTAATGAGATGGACGCCTGGGTTCAGGCTGAATACGCCCAAATTCAGGAGAGCATTACCTACGAACATGAGCACGAAGCCAAGTCATACACCGAGCTGTTCACGAACCGGTCATCCTTCCGCCGTCTGTTCCTCTGCTGTGCCTTGCAAGCTTCCGTCCAGATGACTGGTGTATCCGCTATCCAGTAAGAATATCGTTATCACACATTGGAAAATGAGATATTGATCAATTAAACCAGGTACTACTCTGTGACAATCTATGAGCAGATCGGAATCTCCGGTGAGGCTACCCTCCGCTACCAGGCCATCAACTCAATTATTGCGCTGGTTGCCCAATTCCTCTGTATCCTGTTCATCGATCGCTTTGGTCGTCGCTGGACGCTCATTGGAGGAAACCTCGGCAACATGGTGACATTCATCGCCGCAACGATCCTTCTGGCCAAGTTCCCTCCTAGCACCAACAGCACAGGTGCCCATTGGGGCTTCATCATCATGACCTGGCTTTATAACTTCTCATTCAGCGCAACCTGTGGTCCTCTATCATGGATTATTCCAGCTGAGGTCTTCGATACCAGGACTAGATCTAAGGGTGTATCGATCGCAACTATGACCTCGTTTGCGTTCAACACAATGATTGGTCAGGTTACGCCAATTGCCATGGCAAATATTAAATACAAGTTCTACTTCCTCTTTGTGATCTGCAACTTCACGAACGCGCTATTCTTCTATGCGCTTCTGCCGGAGACCAAGAAGGTGCCGCTCGAGGAGATGAACTATATGTTCTCACATGCGCCGTGGATTGTGCCCGGTAGCAAGAAGGAGGACTACTTGCCGCATGATTTGGAGCGGAAGGTTGAGGAGCAGGAGGTTAAGCAGAGTGCGATGCATTATGAGTAGGGGCCACCGGCAGGGGGAACTTGCTGGATGGAGGTCCATTCTTGTTTTGACGCGTGGGTGTGGTGTTTGATTATAAGTACGAGTTGTCTTCCAGAACTGGAGCTTGTTCCAGAAATGGGAAGGCAATTTGATTGTTGGCTAAGATTAATTTATTCGGAATCCGAATCAGATCCATATCCGACCAGTCCCAGGGATGCTGGCTTGGCTGGCTGAACCTTCTCTGTATTTGACTTGTCCGTACCTGCAGACGCAGTCTTGGCGATACTGGGCGCGGGTGCCTTGGAGATCTGTGCATCTGGCGATGCGGACTTTTGTTGAGCTTTCGTAACCGGCGCCGTACCTTGAATAGGCTTCTTCGTCTCCTGCTCTTTTGTAGCCTCGATGCCTTCTGTAGATTCCTTCCGCTTCTTTCCAGGGAGCAATAAATCCTTCTTTTCGCGTCGCCTCTTGCGCGCCGGGACTGTCCACTCCTCTTCCTCCGCAGGTGTGACTTCTGACGACGTGGGCCCTAGGGCAGTCTTCTCAGCCTCTTCCCGTTGTTTGCGAAATGCCTCGAGCTGGTCGGCCGTGTCTTTCTTCACAGCAGCCTCTTGTGCGCGCGTTGACTCAAGCACAGAATCCAAGAATTCCACCTCGTCCTCGTCCAGAGACCGGAATTGGTTCTTTAGCCGTATTTTCTCTTCGAATTGTTCTTGCTTTGCCACTAAAAGCCGAACAAACAATCACCCTAACATGTCAGCCACCAATGCCCTCACTTCCCGACTGCACAGTGTGGCATCGCCCCGCAACGGAGGAAAGCTCACTTTTGTTCTGCTGGAGAACCTCGAATAGACTCTTGCCATCATTCTGCTTGCCAATCTCGGCCTTCTTTCGCCGCTCCTCCTCCAGCTCCTGTTGCACTTTGAGCCATTCGTCGTCCCGCTCGATCGGCTGATCGGTGGTTCCGGCTGATACGAATCCTGACGACATGACGACAGCGGGGGTGTCGGGAAAATTTGGGGTAAGGTTGGAGAGTCTTCCCGGGCGAGTCTCGGGTATAATGGGCGGCGAGGGTGGAGCGTCTAATTATCCGGGATACGGGCCAGTGACAATCACGGGATCCAAGGAGGGAATGTGGAGTTACTCCGGACAGAGAAGGAGGAAATGGACCGAAAAACCCGGCGCGGTTAATGATGAGTCTCGGCGAACTTTCTGGAAATTGGGGTACAGACTGGGTTACCAGGTTGTGAAAATGAACCCTGCGTTTTTGCGATGTAAGTGGGTCTGGTAGGAGGGCTCCGGTTGGATAGAATAGAGGTGAACCAATTATGACAAAGGAGCTGTATTTAGCCGGAATACAAACACGTCAATGAATGATCTCTGGTGCGCTTATTCCTGGTTCTACGTCTATCATTGCCCATTGGTTAAAAGGAAATATCTTCCATTTACAGGACAGCTGTACAGGGAAAGAATAAACCTGGCCTTTCAGAATTCACCGAGAGCCATTGATAATCAGTCCCGTAGATAACAAATCACAATGTAACAAGGGTACCCCACATCTTCCAAGGAGGGGCACGACATCATAGCTTGGACCTGCCCACTTTATGTCGCATTGGTCCGCCACTATGATATAAAGACTCCCTAGCTCCCCTCTGTCCTTCTCCCTAATTTCAAACCAATTTCAATCACAAACTCCAATATGTCGAACCAGCACACCAAGTATGCCGCCCCTCCCAACAGACCCCTCATTTGCGACCTCCAATTTTTAACATTTCATTTAAAGGAAGACTTACACCCTCAACACCGGTGACAAGATCCCCGCCATTGGCCTGGGTACCTGGCAGTCCAAGCCCAATGAGGTCCGGGTCGCTGTCAAGGACGCCCTGCTGAAGGGCTACCGCCACATCGACACTGCCCTTGCTTACGGCAACGAGGCTGAGGTTGGTGCCGGTATCAAGGACTCTGGCGTGCCCCGCGAGGAGATCTGGCTCACCACTAAGCTCGACAACCCCTGGCACCACCGTGTGGAGGAGGGTATTGCCTCCTCCCTCAAGGATCTCGGTGTTGACTACGTTGACCTGTACCTTGTTCACTGGCCGAGCTCCACCGACCCCAATGACTTGACCAAGCACCTTCCCGACTGGGACTTCATTAAGACCTGGTACGACAGATCTCCCCCATGCGCACATTCAGATGTGTTTAGCAATGCTAACTTCATCACAGGCAAGAGATGCAGAAGCTCCCTGCCACCGGCAAGGTCCGCAACATCGGTGTCTCCAACTTTGGCATCAAGAACCTTGAGAAGCTCCTCAACCACCCTACCACCAAGATCGTCCCCGCCGTGAACCAGATCGAGCTGCACCCCAACAACCCCTCTCCCAAGCTGGTTGCCTACAACACTTCCAAGGGCATCCACTCTACCGGTTACTCCTGCCTGGGATCCACCAACTCCCCTCTCTACAAGGATCCTACTCTGCTGAAGATTGCCGAGAACAAGGGCAAGACTCCTCAGCAGGTGCTGCTCGTCTGGGGTATCCAGAAGGGCTGGAGTGTTATCCCCAAGTCCGTCAGCAAGTCGCGTATTGAGGGCAACTACGAGATTGACGGCTGGACCTTGACCGATGAGGAGATCAACCAGCTTGACAACCTTAAGGATCGCTTCAAGGTCTGCGGTGATGATTGGTTGCCTATCAAGGTTTTCTTCGGTGATGACGAGTAAATATTTAGCATGGGTTAACATGTTTATGAAGAAATGCGCTTTAGATACCAAAAGAATTGATTTTAGATGGTCACCATTGATGTGTTTATTTCCCGGAATCTCCATACTTGTAAGTTGTAGACTTTGATATAGAATGAGACCTAGTCAATCTGTTATTATGAGCTGTAGAAAAAAGTCCATTAGTGATGTCAGTGTTTCTGCAGGTTGGATACCATTCATCTTAACTCAACAAGACCATGTGGAGACAATCCCAATTGACCAATTCCATAACTGGTTCTACAGAGTAGGTGGGCGGAAATTTGGCGATATAATTACTGAATGAAGACCAGCCTGTCCCACTTGTAAAAATTCTTGCTGTATCTTAAATACATGCCTTAATAGCTCCACCTAAGCACCGCCTTCTTTTCCTTTCGTCTCATCCTCGCCGCTACTGTCTACTTCTGACTGGGCATAAGTCTCAATCCCAACTCTAGGTTTACGCTCTCTATGAACAATCGTCGTCTTTTGTGAGGATAGCTCACGTATGGTGGTATTAATCTGGGTAGCAGTAGATCTCGGGTTCAGCCCTCTATGGTCCTAAAACCAGGGGCTGGGGGTATCTCTCATGCATTTCAGAACTGGAAATTGATGCATCGGTTATTTTTCACTCGCTAATAAGTCTATCAAATATTATTAAAAAATTTCCTATGGCGTTTGGAGCTTGGTCGGCTGCATACCTGGATATATCCATACTGATAAATCCTCACTTTCCAATAAAACCGGCTTGAACTACCTAATCCAATCGTTAAAGGAAACGCCGGTCACTTCTATATTGAAATAACTGGAATATGTCGGCTCGACTAAGTCATCGGGCCCTTAAATCATGACCTTCCGTCCCCAATAGCCAATACTTCCCATATAAAAGCTTTGTAGTGACAATTCTTCTCCAAGGAATTCCCAAATATACTTCCAAGAAGTAGGCTCGGGATTAATCGTTAAGGGAGTCTTAGTCTTTAAAGTTACTAACTCGAGTATAAGAGAGTCTAGAGTCCCCTTAGCGGTGATAAGAAATGATTTGAAAGACTCAGATTAAATTTAGATCCAGTGGAGGCGAAGATCTTTCAGTCGGGTGAACTTAATAGTTCGAGATAGCTCTGAAAAGTGGGATTCGCTCATACTACGTTAATATTGATACTATTGCGAGAACACGAGTTTTTCAAGTCTGGGTGCAACAGCAATCAAAAGATCGATATGACTGTTTGAAGTTGGAGTAAACCCCGGCTTCTCCTTATCATAACATATGTATATATGAAGATTTTCTAGGCCTCCAAGCTTTGGAAGAAGAGAATTAAATTGCTCTTGCGTAAGAGAAAAATTAGGAGAAGTTGAACCACAGAAATTAGGACCACATATATTCAATGCTCTAATCTTTTATTTAGATTCATTGAGACCTTATAAAATTCTTAATAAGGCCAGAGAGTTAGCCTTAGCTACATAGTGCCATTAGACATGATTTAAGTTCAAGAAGTGGAACCTATAGTTAGCCTGATTTCTTAGCTTCTGAAACCCTAGAAACCGAAGTTCCGTCTGCCGTAGACCAAGTAGATAGCTTATCGCGTAATGCTTTAGCCCAACGTACTCAACGTTTCTGAAGGAAGCGAAGCATGTGTGGAGCCTAGCGGTAAAGGTGCTTGATTTGAGAAGAGCAAGATGATCGGCGACTATGCGTTGATATACTGCATAACGGGCATATAGGGCATCATTATTTGGCCTCAGGTGGGGTAACGGCTTTGAATATCGAGAGTTTTAAAACCCCTTAAGATCCATATCGTGGCGACCTTCAAAAACGGTCGGGATCATCCATAACTGCCGGACTCCAGCTCGGACGGTATCGCTTTTTGCCAGATCTTCTAGTTATCGCATGCCTTCGCTAGTGGCAATGAAGCAAATGCTCCTGAAATAGCGATCTACGAATGCTTCTAAAGATTTTACATACAGGGAGCGACATGATATCCTGAGTGCGGCCCTATCAGGCTGCTCTAGATAGCTACAAATTCTAGTCACAAGTTCGATTGGCAGAGTTGTGAGAGACATTTTGGTAGGACTTCTCGAAATTGCAGGGTCATTCCAGTTGGTAGCATGTTTAAATTAGTCAAGGGGATCCTTGGTCGGCTAAATAAATACTTGCGGGAGCCCGAGGCGGATAGGAGCTCCTTAGGGCCTACTAAGGCACGCCTGATTTAGGGGAAACGATCATCATGATGTGGGGGGGGTCAACGATGGGACTAGAAAAAAATACAGTCCCATGGGGAATGTTAAGGTCTAAAATCAGCTGTTTGGGTGTTAATATTATAGATCTGGGTATTTGAGTAGTACTCTAGCTTGATCGTAAGACTTCACTAGACTATTTACGCGGCGCTGCTTTCCTAATTGTGTATAGTCAAATGTTCTGGTGACCCACCGCCAAATGTTCTGATTACATTACCTCTCCTGATTCTACGTGCTGGATAATACAGAGTACTGTACATCATGTACTAGACTTAGCGCGATCGTTCCGGGTGGAGCCCCGGTTACTAAGCCGCTGTGGCGGTGCCTCGCCACTGGGGTAGGCTGCCTTAGGACGTAACCTCCTCTCTTCCATACTCGATATCCAAACCCAAAGGTACTCTTGTTATCTATCAAATCATCAGTATGGCGCCTGTAAATGGGCACCTGCTGCTCCCCAAAATTTGGAGAGCAGCAAGGTATGTGTTACCCATTATCTTTAGCGTCTGACTCATGGACTAATCGTCTACCAGGTTCGCCTATGAGAAGGCCTCCAAGGCCATACGAGCCAAGTTACCCGAACCAGCTCAGCATACCTCACTTCGCTACCAACCAGCCTACGCCCGGATCAACAGACAGCCTATCAATCGCGCCGCGGCTATCCGCCAGGCTCGCAGCCGTCACTTCTCCACTCGTGCAGCCGGTGCCTTTGCCTCCGTTATCCGAGGCATCCAAGCTGATGTTGGCACCTTCAAGACCACCCGCGTCGCTTCCAACATTAGCCGATTGACTGCTCGCGCCCCGTTCGCATCAACCCTCCGCCCCAACCTGACCGGTGGCACCTTGGGCCGCACCGCGGGAGGATATGCAATTGGTGCCGGCCGTTTTGGCGGGGCCCGATACTTCTCCCATGGAGCCGCAGCCCCCGCCCAAGTCATCCAGAACGTGTCTCAAGGTGTCCGTGCATTCTTCCTGTCGGGCCAGAAGATTCGATTCGACGGAATTGACCCCCGTACGGGCGAGAAGCGTTACAAGGCCGTGAGCGCTATCCAGGACCAGGCCGGTCGAAACATGACCGCCATTCCCCGCACTGCCCCAGGTTCGCACATCGACTTCCAGCTTTCCCCGACCATCACCGCTTTCGGTGTTCTGGCTGCTCTGGATAAGAAGACCGGTGCCACTACGGAGACTCTGCAGTCGGAGGGTCTTATGGATCTCCTGTCCGCCGACTTTGCCCGTGCCTTGAAGGAGTATGCTACTGTCTTGAATGATCTCAAACGTCTTTCAACCCTGGGTGATATGCCAATTCTACTCCACGATCGCTCTACTATTCGCGTCCGGTTCCCAGGATGCGACGCTGAGACAGTCGAGAGCCTTTGTGACGAGGTTGGTGTCCAACGCGGTCGCATTGTTCAGGACGATGACTTTGATCTCCGCACTGGCGTTGATCTAGCCCTGCTATTCCCATTTGCACCGAGCATGGCCCCATCATCCAACACAGAAGATTTCTTCGAGCAGCCCTGTAAATCAATCCGTCCATCCACCGATGACCTCGACTGGCACGCCATGCTCACTCCCGAGGGCAGTCCATTCTCTCACAATTCCCGTGACTCTGGTAATGCCATCAGTTTCAACGACAGTGAGCTGTTCTGCGAGAACCCATGGACCTCTCCTAAGTCGGCATACTCGAGTGTCAATATCAGTGAACTCGGGGACCGTGCATTTTTCCCTGAAGAGTCTGGTTCCTGTGCTAGTTCCGATAGTGCATCCGGATACGATGGTGCTGAGGGCATTCACCGATTTTTAGCTGAGTGTGATATGGCACGGCGCTGATTGGGTCCTTTGACTTTTGTTATAACATTTATATGGTCTTATTTTCTTCTTGTTGTTTTTTTCTCTTTTTTTTTTCTGATGGAATTTTCCTTTGGCTATCCAGGTAGATGCCAGATCCATGATGACAGCGCTGATACCACTCCACTCACTTGATATTTCCTTTTTGTTCTGCTTTCTGAAGTCCTGGTGATAGTACAGAATCCATTAAACTTTTTTGAAATTGCCTGCCGTTCTCCACATACTGCACTTTAAAGCTTTTTAAAAGCCACGTAGATCATACCAGCTTACTTGAGCCATATCACGAAGTCAAAAGTTGTGTTATCCCCATCTACAGTGAGGTAATGCCTTATCGCGATGTAGAGAACATTGTTATCAACACGTGATATTACATCATTGGACCCCTGGTCCTACTTTTTAAGCTGTAGACTTAACATTCTTCAATGCCACATATTCAAGGAGACTCAATCTAGACCATCCTACACCTACTTGGCTCAAGCTCAATTGTGAACAATCTAAAAAATGAACTCCCTTCCACTACGCACCAGAGCGTCAACGCTGCGTCTCCGCAGCCTTCATTCACCACGCTTAAGCTCCATCGCGGCCCCCAGGAGCTTATCCACGCTAACATCTGGATACCTCCAACAAAAGGGGCCTCAGATCAAACCCAATCTGGGCAGCCGTAATCACTTGAAGGCATTACCACAAATTACACTCCAACAAAAGGCTGTTCAAACACGGCAACACAGCACCACTTCTAAACCAACAGCGGACGCTTTAATCGAGGAGCTCCAAGACCTCTACGAAATAGCCAAAGATGAATTCGAAATCGCTACTGAAAGCACAGACGGCGGCACAATCTACGCAGCCTCGGACCGCGACTCGGCCCGCGATGCCCTAAACGAGTTCTGCGCTACCTACTTCCTCTATACCTCCCGCCCGGGCGAGGAGGATACCGGTGTGATTCTGCGCTCTGGGGAGGCGATGAGTGGGACTAGGCTGCGGAATGCAGAGGTTGTCTCCCTTGGTGAGGATGGGGAGCAGGGGCCTGTTGTTGATACGGCTTTTGATCCTGCGAGTGTGGAGGATGCTGTTAAGGACGAGGTTCGACGGAGGATCGGACAGCGGGTTAGGGAGTTGAGGAATGCTGTTGAGCTTTTGGAGGAGAGGGCTTATGAGGAGTAATCTACTATGGACTTTGGTATCTGTATGTCCAAGACTGGGGATGTTAGGTTTGGTATGCTGTGTACTTGTGCCCAGGTGGTTTTTATATGTATAAGATGAGGACTGTATGGAAATTATTCACATATTGTTTGCCCAGCTGCCTTGTGGAGTTTCTGTCAAATGTTTCGTCACGTTGCTATGTATACACGCAACGTGAATACTACATGGGTCAGGTGCTTTCAATACCTTCGGACGTGTTCTTCAAGTATATAAAAGCTTTATGGTCGTAAGCGTAAGCTGAAGCTCTACCTTATTTGAGCAGAGCGTACTGCCTCCATGCTTTTGCAAGTCAGTTTGGTCTATGGCCGTCTGTGGTGATCTCTATTTGTCTGTACATGATGACTTCTGCTTAGATCTACACATATATCTAAACAGCACATACATACTAGGTCAAACCACGCCAAAGCTCTCTGGAACCGACAGATGGTGGATACAGCTTACAAGCACGTGGTCTCAATACAGTATTTTTAATTTAGCTACCTGGGCAGGAGGGGGTGAAAGAATGACTACTAGCTCTCTAGATTATTCATTTGATAGATCAGTCCAACTGTTAAAAAGCAGCCTTAAGGTATACGCGGCAACGACATAAAATGACTAGAACAACGAAAATCTTCATTCCAATTTAAAGTCCAGATAACAGGAGTCTGGACAAGGAGAACACATTTTTCTCCGGGTTATCATTAAGCACAAAAAGTTGAAAAACTCCAAAGAGACCGACAAACGGAAACCCCATCCCAGGGAGCCGCAAATACGCCGGGCCGCATATCACGCCGTTCCATATCGAGGTCGTAAAGCAATTGGGTCGATCAGGTAGGTAATTGACATGTATATCGTAACAGTCCAATCAGATAATGGGTAAATGAAGAGTACAAAAGAAGACAAATCATAATTCGGATTTGTTAAACCATGGTGAAGGGTGTGAGTGCGAAGTGGTCGGGGCTAGGGGAAGGAAGAGTGGAGTTGGGCTCTTTGTGGGTTGTGCGTTGGTGGCGCTTTAATTGATCTATAAAGTAAAAAATTAGTGTTTGCTGAGAGTCGAAGGGCAGTCTGAAAACATACCAGGACGAGTAAAGCTCTTGGTGCAGCCAGGGTAGGGACATTTGTGTTTGCGTTCACCGTGGGCTAGAATGAGTTAGTACATGATAATTCCATGGTGTAAATGCTGGAAACATACTTAATCTGTGGCTGGACATATTCGATGAATCTCCAGTCTCAAAGTCGCAACCGGGGTAAGTGCATTTGAATGGCTTTTCGCCAGTGTGGGTGCGTGAGTGGGTTTCTATGATAATTAGCTATGTTCCTGATGATGTAAATAGAGAAACTTACTCAGTTCACTGCTATCGGTGAACATCTTTCCACACTCTTTGCATTTGTATGGCTTGTCACCACGATGACTGCGCTCATGGCGGTCAAGGGTCGCCTGCCGAGCGAAAGATTTGCCACAGACTGAACACCTGAAATTCTTGTCTGTTGGGATGGGATTAGCATATGAAACAAGATGTGATAGAAATAACCCGAGACGTACAGTTGCTGTGTGTCAGAAAGTGGCCCTGCAGCTTCGACTTTTGTGAAAACGGCTCATCTGGCCGATGACACCCAACCCAACAGCAGTAATACCCGTTGCCCTTGGCCCCATCAACTGTGTTCATGTGGCAAGACACAAGATGTTCCTGGAGAGCGCCAGCATCAGTGAAAGTGGCTCCACATGGGGTTTTAACTCCATGTAATTTTGTTGACCATTTGCACATATGAATGTCATTGTCCTCAGAGAAATCGGGCGTCGTTAAGATTGATGAGACACCTCCGTCCAGCGGTGGTGGAGTTTCTCCAGGGCTTGAAATAAAGTGGGAACTGATGCTGGACCTGGACTGCCGGGAGTAAGGAGAGTAAGAGTGGACATGGGCGTGTTGGTGCGCTTTGCACCGATGGTGGGTACGATGAGGTCCTCGGATAATTTGAAGGTTCAGGTCATTAGGGTTCTTGAAGTGACCGTGGCCGTGACCGTGGCCGTGGTTGTGTTCGTGTAGGTAATGGTGTTCGGGATGAGCATGGAAGATATTTAGGGGGTCGGACGTATTGCTTTTAGGGGCTTGAAAGGGACTCGGAATTGTGTGTTCATGATGAAGTTGGTCTTGCTGGATAGGAAAATCTGGACAGGTTCCCAAGAGATGGAAGACGTCGGCTGGGTTGACATCAGTCTGCGTGGGCATTTGTTGCACGGGGAAGATTCCTTGCAAGTCCTTCTGGAAGTCATGGCACTCGAAATGGTTCGCGACGCTTTGGTCGCAGTGATTCGCGTGGGCTTGGTACGATGACAGGAAGTCTTGATGGTAGCAGGGATCTATGACAGCCGGCAGGGTATGATCAGGGATTTTTCCAGATTCACCAACGCCTTGGCCCATGGAGGCAGAAGGCAACATGCTAGAGGTGTCCAACGACAGAGGCGTATTGAGACCGAAGAACGAATCGAATTCACAATTCTGTTCCTCAATGCCATCACAGCAGTGATCCTCGAAGCAGACAGGGTCCGTGCTTTCGCAATGGTTCCCATCACAGTGAGTATCGTCGCAATGGGCAACGGAGCAGATAGTCGAGGCATCGCAGTCCACAAAGCCATCGCATACTGACCCACAATCTAGCGGGCAATCTTCCTGACACTCATCCTGGCAGTCATCTTGGCAACCATCTTGACATTCATCCACATCACAGCAAGCCTCGTCGACCACACAAGGGCCAAGCGCTTTTGGACCGAGCGCCGTGTGATGCTCTTGGTCTAGGCAGTCCCACTGGGACCGAGGCTGGTCGCCCGATTTAGTCTCATCTTTTCCATCAATATGGAAGTCCTCCCAGCGACACTCTAGACAGAATTCACGACTCGGAGCTTGAGAAGTCATGATGCGCACGGTTCAGGGACAGGATACTCAAGAGAAGGATAAGGAAGGGAAGAGGATGGCTAAAACGGGGCAAGGCCAGGGACCAATTCTCGTCTCAGAAAGGTACAAGGAAGGAAAATGGGGAACAGACGGTAGAAGAACTAGGAGGGGGATGTGCGACCGCAAAGTGGGATATGGCCTGCGCCAGGTACAATAATTTCCTTAGTAGAAATCACGTAACCGACCAAGGGCCTAAAGCCGCCACTTTGGAATTCCACTATGGGGTCGCTAGAGCCCCAGAAAAGCGCAATAGGGTGTTTCCACTGTTTTCGCTATCCAATGTCCACTGCAGGTAGTTTCACGCTTGTGTCATGCGCTAGGACCGCGGGAGTACTTTGCAGACTCGGGGAGGATCAACGACGCAATCGGAGAATTGGCGAGCAATCGTGCAGCGCAAAATGGAATCGAGGAGCAGAACGAGGACCTTGGAAGTTGAGAAATAACCGAATCTGGATCGAAAAGGGGAACAGCCTATTGCCCATCGACTCTCACTGGCGTGGGGACCTTTGGGACGACGAAGTGAAGGTGAGGACCTTGGGGGTTAGGCGTCATAGTTTTCGAGCGAATTGCAACACTGCAGTTGGTGAGCGGTCAACCAAGGCGTTTATCCTGTTAACATTGTCGCGAGCAGACGCCGGTATTGAAATTCTTCCAGCATCTGCACGGAGTAACCCCGAGGATAGAATAGAACGAATCTCTCTTTTTTCCTTCAGTCCCTTCATCCGATGACTAACCGGAGATCTTTAGCCCCGCCAGTCTTTAAACTTTCATATCGCTCCAACGGGCCTACCATACCTGTGGTAACCTATAACAGATATCATATTAGTCGCATCACTCACGCGACACCATTCCCACTATCATTATCTCACTTTAATGTCTGCAACGAAGTATATAGATCAAGTCACATTCTTCGTGCTGACGTAACCCCACGTGCCCCGGATCTCCCGCGATAGCTTATCGTTCGCGCAATTAATGCACTGACCACCTCAAGTCCCGACAAAGACCAAAGGGCCAGATCTATGAGACCCTGAGACCTACTGGCTAGCTACAAAAACCTCAATCAAACACACTCGACACTACTTACACCCTAATTGTAGTGCCACCAACAATTCGGCCGCCATTTTGGTGTCTTTAAACAGAACCCCTTGAAAACATCCCCGACCCCCGCACCGGCATCAACATGGGTAACATATGTTCCCGCTCCTCGAACAATGACCCGGAAGCTTTCACAGGACCCGGCCGTGTTGTCGGAACCTCAGATCCTTCCAACTCAGCACCGCGCGCCTCCGTCCCCCCAACCACAAACTGGAAGTCCTCGCCGGGTCGCACGCTGGGGGAAACCTCGCCTGGTGGGGCGCAAGGGGCTAGTGACGAAGCGCGGTCGAATGCTGCGATTGCAGCGCAGGTGAGCAATTTACTACGTACATAACCATGGTATGAGAGGACTGTTTAATCTAATATGTCTACGTTGGTTCAGAAACGCGCGGAGTCCATGTCAGCTACGAGCAAGGGCAAGCTCGGCTCAAAACTAGCGGCTCAGAAGGCAAAGACACAGACGCAGACATTGGATGAAGCTAGTCGGGATGAGAGGGCGGCGCGGGATGTGGATGAGGTGGAACAGGCGAGACAGTGGTCCTGATAAGAGCTATCTATGCTTCGATCTGAGCGTTTATGTTTGCATTGTCTTTCAATTTATATTAATGCGTTTGATAGCGTTGCCGTTCCAAGGTTGGTGATTCCCCATGTCAAACTAGATCCAACTAAACGGACAACCTACTCCTGTATTCCGGGACTACTTTATGCACTTTTATATAATGTTACTGCCTAGGTGATGGAGAATAATACAGTGGACTATAGATATTTGGTTTTATGCCTGTACATGTGTCTTGCATGCATCAAGGCTATTGCTCTCCATGGTATATCCTTATCCCAAATTATCGTACAACCACATTTCATGCAGTACATTTCGAAAAGGTCATAAAAAGGCCCACGGACCGGATAAAGCGTTGAGTGGAGGCTAGACAACACTGTAACGACCACTGGCGGGAGCACGAGCATCGCTGTCAGCGGCGGCGATAGTACCCTCCTTCAACAAACGCATAAGCTCGCGCATGGCGTTGGTAACGGTAATTTCAGTTTCACCCTCAACCAGGATGTACAGTTTAGGCGCATCCTCGGAAGCAGGTTCTTTGCCAGCTGCATAGAAATTTCCTTTCGTAGTGATGGATGTACCGGTGGATTCGAGAATCTTGGCGACGTTTGTGCGATTTGTGACGGCCCAACGAGCTTTTTCTGTAGGAAAATATTAATAATTGTCGTTGCCAAATATACTGCGGGGAGAACTTACGGGGAAAGTCGTTGATTTCAAGGGTGGCATGAAACGCGCCAGCATCTGGTCCACGGTTATCGATGGGAACACCAGATCTCATCACACCAGCTCGGCTCAAACGAGCATGAATATCAGCAACGGCAGAGCCGACCTTGTCAAGTGGGTTCTTAGAGCCGCCCGCCGGGTCCTTCTCTGTCCTGTGCACAGTAATTTTGCCATCCAGATCAATGCCCTTAGGCACTCCGACAAGCTGAGTAGGAGCCGGAGCAGCGGCAGATTGCACAGACGAAAGAGCCTTGTTGAAGCGCTCCTCATCCTTAGCATTCTTCTCCTCCTTCTCTTCCTCTTCCTCGCCCTCTTCACCGGTTTTATAGGTACGACGCTCGCGGTTCCGGGCGGTCTCACGCTCCTGGTCAAGCCGCTCAAGACCCTTGCCACCGAATCCAGAGGCCATGGACTTTTCTTTGCCAGCCTTGACCTTCTCTAAGAAACCATCAACGAGCTTTTGAACGGGCTCGGGGATCTCCTGACCACTCTGCTTGAGCGCCTTGGCAATATCCACAGAATACCGATCTTGTTCTTCAGTGAGGAAAGTGACGGCGGTTCCAGTGTTTCCAGCACGACCAGTTCGACCGGCACGGTGGACATAGTCCTCCAAGTGATTAGGTGCGTCGTAATTGACGACGAGTTTGAGCTGCTTCACGTCCAGACCACGGGCGGCAACGGAGGTAGCAACCAAGACTGGGAAAATACCTGCCTTGAAATCTTCGATAGTAGAATCACGATCGATCTGGTCCTTTCCACCGTGGATGGACATACACGGATAACCCTTGCGCATGAGCTCCTTGAGCAAGTTATCAGCAGATTCCTGACGGTCCACGAAGATCAACGCCCGCGCGTCCTCATTTGCGTCATCCTCGTATAGATTGCCCAGTATCTCTAAGAGACGGAAGAACTTCTGGTCCTCGTTGCGGACCTCAACGATCTGTGTAATTTCAGGGGCGACAACGCTCTTACCACCAACTACAATCTCGACCGGCTTTTTCAGGGTCTTGCGAGCCAAAGCTTCCATATTTCGAGGGAAGGTGGCAGAGAAAAGGACGGTCTGACGATCTGGTCTTACGTTGGCCATGATCTTCATAACCTGGGGTTCAAAGCCCATATCGAACATACGATCGGCTTCATCAAGAACAACGTAGGTAACACGTCGCAAATTAATCACTCGGCCTGCATTTGCTGCAAGCAAATCGATCATGCGACCCGGGGTGCATACGACAATTTCTGCTCCCCGCTTCAAGTCGGCGATTTGATCCTTGATTGGAGCACCACCATAAGCGCATACTGCACGAAGACCTAACGCCTTCAAGAAAGGTTTGCAGTCCTTGTGAATCTGAGTCGCCAGTTCACGGGTCGGTGTCATGATCAGACTGATCGGACCTTCCATATTCTCAAGAGGCCGTTGATCTTTAATGTGTCGAAACATCGGAATGAGAAATGCCATTGTCTTTCCCGAGCCAGTCTTCGCAACACCAATCACGTCACGACCAGCCATTACTGAAGGAATGGCCTGGGCTTGAATTGAAGTGAGGGATTCGTAGCCAAGTCGTTGAACAACGTCAAGAGTTTGTACACCTAGTCCGACCTCGGCCCATTTCTGTACGGGTTTTGGAACATCAAGACCACGAACTTTGATACCATCGAGTTCAAGACGTAGATTGGCGGTCTCCTCCTCGCTCATTTCTGCGAGGTGCGCTGGCTCGTGATAGAACATCTTCCGGAATGGTTCGTACTCGACTTTCGCGTGATCAACTGCGGGGATTTCCTTTTTCTTCTTCTTGTTGGCAATGGCGAGAACATCATCGGCATCATCATCTCCGACGGCGGTGATGGCCACATCTTCTTCGTCACCGAACATGGCCTGGGGTTGTTGTGCCTCCTTCTTCTTGGAAAATTTGGCGCCAAATGTTTTCTTCGGTGGTGCTGTTTCTGCTAGTCCTGACATGAAGGCATCTAGAGGATCAACTTCCTCATCTACTTCCATTTCAACTTCGGCTTCCGGGTTTGACGCATCTGTCATTTGGACATCACCGTTTGTTTGCGAGTCGGTTTGTCCGTCGCTTTCTGACTGAATGACATTCTGAAGTCGCTCTTCCCGGCGTTCCGCTGCTGCTCGGGCAGTAGCTTCGGCGTCTTCCTCGGCCACATCTTCGTGCATATCCATATCGTCATCTCCGGCATCATCTGCTGCATTATCTTTGCCATCATCAAGGGGAGGAGTAGGAAGCCTCTCGAACTTCTTACGCGTGGATTCCTCCTCACCAAATCCAAGTGTCCGAGTCGCTGTGGATTTCTCTTTGTCAGAGGCCGTCTTTGCTCCTCCCAGTCCAAAACCACCCACATTGCCTATGGGTTTAACCGAAGCGGAGGCGGAGGTGGGGATAGGTGATGGTTTCGGAGGGGCTTTCGTGTTTTGAGGCACAGCGACATCGTTTCCAAGAACAGCGGGCGATGCAGCAGAGTTTACGAGGTTCTTTGCGATAGCTTTAGGGTCGAACTTCCCAGGGTATGGAGTTGACGCCGCAGATTCGGTGGGCGTCGCAGGTGTTTGAGGTGAGGCAACAGCAGGGGAAGCCACGGATTTCCGGTCAATTGCGTCTAAGATGTTCCGAGGACCAGCCGCGGCCTGTTCTTGTTCCTTGCGATCACGCTCCGCTGCTTGCTTCTCTTTCCACGCTGCCAATTTCGCTAGTCGCTCGGCTCTCTTCTGTTCGTCCGTTTGAGCAGCGGGCGCAGGTGCGGGCGTGGATGGTTTAGATGGTTCACGGGTTCGAGACCTCGACTGCCGATTCGACCCGCGGTCTCGGCTATCCTCCCGTCTAGACTTGGGTTTCAGGTCAGCAGAATCATCCGTGCGCCTGCGATCGCGGTCGCGTGAATCATCTCGCCTGGGTCGGTATTCTCTATCGCGGCTTCTCCGGCGGAAGTCATCTCGCTCTCTAGACCGTCGACGGTCTCGAGATCGTTCTCTTCGGTTGGGTCGGTAGGTATCTTCATCGCGCCGGTCTAGGGAGCGGTCACGTCGTCGGTAGCCGGCTCTGTCGCGCCCGTTATCGCGACCACGGAATCGGCGCTGGAGGGTATTTAGATTAGACGGTGCTCTCAATATGCTGGACTGAGGGCAATTGCCACGTACCTCTGGACTGCGGGATCGGCGATAGCTGCGTCCCTCATCCCGCCGGCTTCGATCAAAACGGTCATCATCTCTGCGAATCCGCTTGGATGAAGAGTGTGTGCTGCCTACAGGAGATGGTGAGCGAGTATCCCCGTGGCGAGCCATTGTTGCAGGCCAACGATGAGTGAGTATTACTGAAACTCAAGAGCACCAGGATTTGAGCACCAAGTGGAAATATCACCAGAATCCCATGTAGTGCCCACTGATAAGGTCAGGCAACTATTCTTGAAGTAAGTCAAGGGTGGAGCCGAATATATAAAACGCCAATGTTGATGCTATTTTCGCTATCCGGATGGGGGATCGCTGTCACGTGTACTGCACGTGATGCACCAAACCCAAAACGGAAGGTTCTAAACTGAAGCTCGGACGCGACCCTAACAACCAGCCACCGCTTGCGTCAGGAGCCCCTTCACACTCATTTGCTTTTTACTGCCAACCAATTGTGCAGCATTGTTGATTAATTTGCACCCAACTGCACTTCTACCCGGACAGCAACTGAAGCTTCTTACACACTCATGTCTTTGCAGTGGGTCCGTCGCGCAGGTGTGCTTCGGCACCTGCATCTCGGTGATGCGATGGCTCGTCCTAGTCGTGTGACCGGATTACAGAACCAACTTCGCCGTCTATGTCTCTCCAGCCAACCTAGACTGACTCCGCTGGTCGGAGCTCTCTCTACCATCACATCCCAGCAGTCTCACTCATATGCGACTGATGCCTCTCGCCCTAAGCCCAAGAAATCTACCAAGGCCACCGCTGGCACGCGCAAGAAGAGCACAGCACCAAAAAAGAAGCGCGAGTTGACAGAAAAGCAGAAGGAAGCTAAGGAGAAGAAGAAGCAACGTGATCATATCAAACAACTCAAGGAAACTGCACTGGAGACCCCAAAGAAGCTCATTGCGGCCGGCCACCGTCTTGCTTTCCAGTCAAAATTTGCCGAGCTCCGACCTCATCACTCGGACATTGTGGAGACATTCAGCGCTGCATCCACGGCTGTTAAGAATATGACTGCCGATGAATCTGAAGTAAGTTTATGTCGCGCAGCTCTGTCAATTACCACGGCGTTCTGACCTTTCCACTTTAGCGATTCCAAAACCAAGCCGAGGAAAATCGTGCTGCCAACGAGGCCTCTCTTGCGTCATGGCTCAAGCAGTACCCCCCTCCAGATCAAGGAAGCGAACAATGCCCGTCGATCTCTGGCCAGACTTACCGGCAAGCCGGCTCGCCTCATCGTCGATGATCGTCTGGTGAAGCGGCCGGTGTCTGCCTTTTTCTGGTTCATGAGCGAGCGCAAAGCGTCCGGTGATCTCAAGTACATGCAGACACCCGAAGTCGCGAAGCAGATCGCACAGGAGTGGAATGACATGACTGAGACTGAGAAAGCAGTACGTTACTTCCCCCTGTAGTAGAAACTAGACATACAAACTGACAGCCATCTAGCAATACCAGAAGATGCAGGCGGATGACAAGGAGCGGTACATTCGTGAGCACAAGGAGGTATACGGCATGGATCCTAAGCGCACCAAGCAGGATTAAGCGCGAGCGCACAATCTTCTGTACTATCAGCAGTGAGTGTGACGGTGTTTTGAGAAATGGGTTTCCGGGGTCGGGAAAAGGGATTTGGCTTTTCAATATGGTGTCGCGTTGTTTCACATTCTCCCACGAGTCGCTTGATTCCCTTTCTTTTGTCGCTGTATTGTAGTATGCTTTGTACTTCTCTAATGTCACACATCTGTACTTTGGACTAGTCATACCTCCCCAAGGGGCCTGTCATATTCAGGACCCATCTACTATCATCATGATTGTTTTTCTGTGGTCTGATCCCCGGGGTATTAGTTGCAGACGCTCCGAATGCTGCATCGCGAGTCAATCGGCCCTCCGCAGCGGAGCACCCCCGCACCAGTGGATTTCGAGTCTCGCAAAGTGGCGGTGAGTAAAACGATGTGTCTGGCGTGCAGAGCAGCCCAAGCCGACCCTCTCTTGTCTGAAAAGGGATTGGATTGTGGCAAATTGTATAAAGAAATTTCTCCTTCAGTTTTCCAGTGTAGGGGGTGGAAGAAGGGGTTGAGTAAGGAATACCAGGCATGTGAGTACTTGATATCCATAGCAAAGCTTTCTCCGCACTCGTCCCTGCATTACATCCAACACCATGATTCTTTTTGGTAATTATACATGAGTACTCCGTATTGTACCGGAGGACACATTGTTTGTTTATTGTCTGCAGACGGGCTTACCCGCAATCTAGTCGGGCATCCACGGTTGAAGCTAGTCCGATCCACGGATGAGGGGTCCACGTTCAGCTTTGCAGTATGTTTCTTGCGGTGAAGACTGAGAATAAGGATCGAATACAATATGACAATAGGTGGAAAGTACGTTTTTTAAGAGACCTATAAGAGCATTACATCGAGCGATCATTATGATATCCCCTGCTTGTGGTTGGGGCAGGGGCCTCCCTTCTTGTTTCATTCGGGCTGATGGAGGGGGACTCTCGTTATCGATAGGCGGGCCACCACTGCATCATGTACGTTGCGCATATCTGCGTGTCTGTGCGACGCCCTCGAATGTACAGATTGTATTGTACATGAAGGAAATTTAGGAGGCATTTGAAGACTTTTTTTCAGGTGTCGAGATAGCTAGAATATAATGAGGAATTGGTGATCGCCATCCCAGCCTTCGCTTTTCAAATTTTTTGATTTTTGCACTTTAGCCTATTTCGGCTGGGGTTTAGCTCATTCCCGAACAGGCGTTCGTCTTTACCAACTTGAATGCGATTGAAGATTGACAAAGATTGATGAAGATAGTGAGAAAAGCTTCGTTGACTGAGTGTGGCTTTTTCCAGTAGAAGAAACAAAGGTGACCGTACGAGTGTGATGAGAGAAAGTGATTGTATGTGATGATCACCCACCGCCCCAACTCTACTTGTCCATCCCTGCCTCCTGGTCCTTGTTCTTCCTTGAAAGTTTATCTGATTATTCTCCCAGAATTCTCCCAGAATTCATTTCTCTCTCCAGAATCACAAGCGCAGTGTCCGACTTCATCCATAATCTCGTTATCGTCTATCGGTACGACGCTATCCGAATCTAGCATCGAGGACCGAAATCGCGCCGGTCGTGCAGGGTGGCTATTGTGTCCTTTTGTTTGTCCTACGAAATCTACCGACCCGAAAACCCTCGAATCCTCCCTCGATACCCCTCAAAGACCCGATCTCATCTATCGGCCCAACCTTGACTCATCCCAGCCGACTCCCGCGTGGGGACAATCACCAATAAACCAGACACCCACCTCATGTGTTCTCACCCAGTCGCCAAGAAGGGCTGGAGACACTAAGTGTCCCGGTATCGCGAAAATTACAAGAATTGATCGCATGCGATTATTATACCATGGCGGCTGTCGCGAGCGCTCGCTACAATGAATGCGCCGGCATGGTGCCAGGAGTACAGCAGAAATGCTGGAAACTGGCGGTGAACACACTACTGGATGACGTATGGGCGATACTCGTCATGGGAGAAAATACGGCTCTGTGTCAGGGTAAGAAGATGGGAAGTCAGCCGGGCATCATTACGGAATTGAATTTCACTTCGCCTGCTCCGCCCTCGTACACCCAGCCGCCGCCGTCTTACGAAGATGCCGTCAGCCATTTACCGCCGGGTTATGAGACTCTGGATACCCTTGCGGAGCGCAAGACGGGTGTGCTGCCGGTGGCGCTACCGTTGCTAGCTGAAAAAGCCAAATCAAAATCAGTAAATCAGTCCTCTTCTGTATTGAAAGATCGGAGGGACGTTGATATTGATTTTGAGAGCGCGGTAGGCATCCGGGAACATAAGAAGAAAAAAGGTGGAGCAAATAAGAAGCCAGTCGCTTCAACCCCGGCGGCAAATGCCGGTGGCTCGGATGGTGCAGGGGAGGAACCGCCGAGTGGTGATGGTGGAGGAGATGCAGGCGGAGGTGAAGGTGGAGATGCGGGTTCCGGCGGAGGCGATGGGGGTGACGGTGGTGATGGCTGGGGGGATAGCTGGGCTACAGCCGGGTCCAAAAAGAAGAGCAAGAAGGAAGAGGAGGAAGAAGAAGAAGCAGAACGACTGGCCAAAGAGGAAGAGGAAAAGAAGGCTGCTGAAGCATCTGCTGCAAACAATCTCAGCTGGGCTGATGATGGGGATGCAGGTGATGACGGTTGGGCTGGCGTTGGAAAAAAGAAGAAAGGAAAGGTACGTTACTGATTACAAGCTATTTCGATATGGCATTTGTTGACATAAGATATAGAGTGATGCACCAGTAGACGATTTTCAGGATATCGGCCTGAACGATGGTGCGCCACAGTTGGACTTGAACTTCGATTCAGGGCCTAAAACGGGCGGGACTGGTTTTGGCTTTGGTGGCTGGGGGAAGGACTGGAATACTGGCAACAAGACAGGTCTTGGGGCCATCGGTGAGTCCGCTCCGAAAGAGGAATCCAAAGATACAAATCCTTGGGCAATCGGCAAGAGCAAATCATCGAAGACCCCCGGTGGGTTTGATTTTGGCGACTTAGGATCCGGAAAAGACTCCAAGCCCGACGACGACTGGGGTGCCTGGGATAACCCAAAGGATAAGAAGAAAAAGAGCCTGCTTGATCCAGAGCCCGAACCGGAGCCTCAACCAGAACCTGAACCCGAGCCAGAGCCAGAACCAGAAGAGCCAGAACCGGAGCCCATCAAAGACATCACGCAGGAGGCTTGGTATCTAAATCTTTCCAAAAAGGAACAACGCAAGGCAAAGAAGGAATGGGAAAAGAAGGTAAAGGATGCTCAGGCCGAGGCCGATGCTAAAGCTAAGGTGAAAGAGGAAGCCAAGGCAGCCAAGGAAGAGGAAGAACGCCTAGCAAGGGAAGAGGAGGAACGCCTAGCGAAGGAAGAGGAAGAAACGAAGGCCCAGGAGGAAGCAGATCGCAAGGCTAAAGAGGAGGAGGAAGCCAAGAAAACCCAGCAAGAATCCAACGACTGGGGCTGGAATGTCCCGTCCAAGAAGGAGAAGAAAAAGAAGATCGACCTTCTGGCTGACCCCTTACCTGCACCGGATCCCCCAACGGATAGTGGCTGGATGGGTGATTGGGGGACGACTGGGAAGAAGAAAAAATCGAAGGATCCAGAGCCAATTCCAGAGCCAAAAGAAGACGACTGGTCTAGCTGGGGTGTCTCAACGAGCAAGGACAAGAAGAAGAGCAAGGGCAAAGTCGAACCGGAGCCTGCGCCCGAACCTGAGCCCGAGCCTGAACCTGAGCCTGAGCCTGAGCCTGAGCCCGAGCCAGAACCGGAACCTGAGCCTGAGCCTGAACCAAAGCGAGAGCCACTGGATCCTCTCTATGAAGACTGGCACACTATAAGTTCGAAGGAGCGGAAGAAGCGAGAGAAACAGTTGACACGAAAAGGGCTTCCTATCCCCGGAAAGGACGGCTTTGAACTTCCCTCTGATAAACCGCCTGACCCTGAACCTGAGCCGGAGCCCGAGCCTCCTGTCGAACCTGAGCCTGAACCTGAACCGGAACCGGAACCTGAGCCCGAGCCAGAACCTGAACCTGAGCCGGAACCCGAGCCAGTGAAGGTAGTGGAAGAGGAGAGCTGGGGAGGAGCCTGGGGCGTTACTAAGACCAAGAAGAAAAAGAAGGGCAAAGATATTGAAGAGCCGCCACCTCGCGCTCCTACACCTCCTCCTCAGGGCCTAACTCCAGAACCAGAGGCTTTCAATGAAGGCAATGATGACATCTGGGCAGACCTTGCCCCTAAGAGCTCTAAGAGCAAGAAGACGAAAGCCATTGAGTCAGTCAAGGAAGAAAAGCCTGCTGCCAAGGGCTTTTGGGCAACAATTACGGGAGGATCAGCACCCAAGAAATCCACCAAGAAAGACGAACCTCCTAAGGAAGAGGACCTTCTAATTGACGTTGAAGATGATCCCCCTGCTGAGCCAGAACCCGAACCTGAACCCGAGCCTGAGCCAGAACCTGAGCCAGAACCTGAGCCGGAGCCGGAGCCGGAGCCAGAACCAGTGAAGCCAAAGGTCAAGAGCACAGCTAAACTATCTGTTGCCGAGCGCATCAAGCAACTGGAACAGGCCAAAAAGGACAAGATCAAGGAGTCTAAATTGAAATCCAAGGAAAAGAAGCCTGACCCCGAACCGGAGCCAGAGCCTCCCGCCGAGGAGCCTGTGAAGAGCTCTAAGTCCAAGAAGGATCTGGAGCCAGAAGAAGAAAGAGAGCGTTCTAGAGACTCTGTTCCAGGTAGCTTCCCAGATGAACCTCCTGCTGAGCCAGAGCCGGAGCCTGAACCTGAACCAGAGCCCGAACCAGAGCCAGAAGCCGAAGCTCCTGCTCCCGATCTCTCGAAGATGACTAAAAAGGAATTGAAGAAATATAAAAGGGCCCAAGCGGCCGCCGAAGCTGCCAAGGAGTTTGCTCCGCCCCCACCCCCAGAGCCGGAAGCCCCGGCCCCGGAGCCCGAGGCTGAACCAGAGGCTGAGGCTGAGGCTGAGCCAGCTGCAGAAGTTGATGACGGGGCTCCCCCGACACCACCCCCTGAAGAACCAGAGGAAAAGCCTTCCAAGTCCTCTAAGAAAGATCGCCCACGTGTTGAACGCACCAATACATCTTCTGGCTGGGGATTCTGGGGTGCAGCGCCACCAGCAAAGAAATCTAGCAAAAAGGATCCAAAGCCTCCAATAGAGCCGGAACCAGAGCCGGAACCGGAGCCAGAGCCTGAGCCTGAGATTGAACCAGAGCCAGAGCCAGCACCGGAGCCTAAACCAGAACCAGCAGAAGCAGAAGCTCCTGAGGAAGAAGCTCCAAAGGAAATTCCCAAGGAGAAGAAGAGATCCTCCAAGGACAAGGAGTCCAGGAAAAAGGAAAGCAGTCGAGCGGAACGGTCGAAGCCGACAAAGTCTCGACCTAAGGAGTCTGATCAGGAGATTGAAAAGTCGTCAACATCAGACCGAGAGAAACGGCGAGACCGCGAGGCGCGCACTCCGAAGCAGCAGCGTGCCTCGACGCTATCCAATTTCATACTTGGTGCTCCTCCACCTACGCGAACGAAATCAACGCGCAAGCCAGGCACTTCAAAGTCAGCTTCCAGGCCAGTGTCCCGTAGACCATCTGTTGAGATGGATGGTGAGGGCGCCATGCCATCCCCTCCTCCGGATGATAAGCCCGAGATGCCCGATAAGGCAGCCAGGTTGATGGGGGCATCAAAATCAAGGCGCGAACGTCCACGCATGGAGAAACGGAGATCAGGTGAGCATTTGAGAGCCCTCCAAGTATGACCTAATCTAATCACTTGATATTCAGCTCCTCGTGATCCTTACGCGATCGAAGACGACGACTTAGTCATGGTAGACGCAGAAGAAGCTGGTGGCCAATCACCCAAGGAGGGCTCTAAGGGATCTGCACCATCGAAGCGCAGATCCAGGAGAGAGGTCAGTAGTATCCGTTCACCTCAATTACTGCTCGCTAAATTATATACCCATATAGTCGCGCGCAAGGCCTGAAGAGGATGACGCTGTCATCGTCGATGCGGATGGGCCCGATGACGCCGTTCTTGTCGATACCCCAAGAGACCCCAGGGAACGACGCTTGAAGCGTGCTAACACAGCTCCACCCAAGAAGCAAGAATCCGGCGGTTTAATGGGCCTGTTTGGTTCTTTTAGAAAGAATAACACTCGCCCAGAACGTCCAGAAATGCCAGACCGACGAAAGTCCCGCTCATACCGCGACGAAGAAGCAAGAAACATGACAGAGCCAGAACGTGATGATCCTCGACGAGCGCGACGTGACGACCGTCGCCGGCGATCTGTCAGGCCTGACACCGATGGGGAAGGATTCACCACCGATGCTGCTGGTGCGGCCATGGGCGAAACAGAAGCCGAAGATGCGGAAGCCCGTAGAGCCGCCCGGCGAGCGAAGCGCACATCTCGACAGGCACCTTCCGATACACGCGAGGTGGAAGCGCGGGAAGCCGAGGAACGACGTGCTAGGCGCAAAGAAAAAGAGAGAGCACGCGAGCAGCAGGCTAAGGAAGAGGAGGAAGAGCGCCGTCGCGTCCGCCGTGCTGCACGAGAGGAGCGACGTGCACGAGAAGAACAAGAAGCTCGCGAAGCCGAAGCTGCTGCCGAGGCCAAAGCAGCAGAACGACGTGAACGCCGACGCGTGCGCGAAGAGGAGATGGCCGCTAAGGCTAAACGCCGGCGCTCTCGCGCTGAAGAACCCCCAGCCCAAAACTTTTACCCGCCTGAAGAGCGACGTCGTGGCTCGCGAACAGCGGACGACTCGAAATCTCATCGCAGGCCCAGACCAATCATTCCAGACGCACCCGAAGAGGATCTTGTCATGACTGGTGGACTCAATCACGGCGCGCCAAAGAAAGACAAGACATCTTCGTGGGTCTACTCCCAAGCTGATGAGCCCCCGGAGCCTCCACAAATAGTCCCAACCTTCATTGATATGCCTCCAGCCGCTGCTACTGCCGCGGAAAACCTCAACGCGCATTCACTCTCTTCAGACGAAGAAGCTCGCCGTGCTGTCCGTCGCCGAGCTCGCCGCCGTGCGAAGTACGGTGAAATGGCTGACGAGGAGATTGAGGAGAACCGTTCGCGCCGCCAGCCTTCCCGCCGAGACCCCAAAAGCAGCTCTGGCAGTGGTGACTACGAGCGCGATCGTGGTATGAGATCACATGGAAGTCGACAGGATGCTCCTGTCCCTCCGAGCTCTGGGGCGAAGAAGTCGAGCTGGTTGCGCAAACTTGCAAATTTCTAAACCCGACACTGTTCCTATTTATGCGGTGGTCTTTTATTTATTTCCTCTATCACTTTTTGTTCTTTTTCTCTTTCTGTTTGTTTATGATGGAGCAGGTGGCATGTATTTGGTATTTTGGTTTGTTTTCCTGTTGATTATTCCCCTCCCCAAATCCCCTCTACTTCCGCATAGGCAGGCAACCCCTCACGACAGATACGAAATGATTCTTATGATATGATATGTACTCAAAATGATTTATTGACTTGTCTCTTCTCTTATTTTTCTTGGACCAGCCTTACTGTATGTATCCAGGCATAAATTTGAGCTACGGTGCCTAACCGACGTCTAATCATACATACTACCTAATAGACTGGAAAGCCGTGACCTCAAGTCTCACTTTAGACGGTTTCAAGTATTGGAATTACCCGGTTAATGATATCTACCCGTGAGACTCCACTCGAAAGTCCTTTGACATATGAATACCCCCAGGAAGAGCCCCATTGGAAGCCAAATCCGTATCAGACTGCCCATCAACACCATCATCACTCCATCTAGTCTCTTTAACACTCGAGCTAGTCTTTGTATGCCCCGATGTTACCTGGCTATTATTAACACCAATATCCATTCTAGTCATGGCAAAGTGATTAGACAAGCTTTTTCGACCAGGAGTCTGTCTGTTTGACCAGCCGGATTCGTGATTCGATGCACCAATCCAGCTCCCAGGGATTATGGCAGAGAAAACGCGGCGGAGGAGAGGTAGGTTGCTAGCGACGATGGCGAGTTGTTCTTCGATGATACTCCACATCAACGGGAGGGGGAGGGAGTATGTGACATCTGCGAAGTTGATGCGCATCAAGCTCACAACGCGAACCATACTGATTGCGCTGACACTTGTGGTATGTTAGATTTGTTCAATATCCATATTTGTGACAGAAATACGCCACGGGGGAGGAAGCGATCACTTACAAGAGTCCGAGCAAAAAGGTGACAAGCAAACCAACCTTCCGACCAATTGGTAGTTGCAGCTTCAAGATGTACGGTATTGGTAGCGACATGACCATGAAGTCGGTGACCATATTCAGCACACCGGCAACAACGAAGGCTGCATTTCGATCGCCGCATTTCCCACCGGGTATTGTCTGATTCCAGTTGAATGCAACGGGCTGGCAAAGGAGTAATGACTCAATAAGAATACTGAACGCCCAAGCCCAGATGATCGCGCCGGTCGAGTAAATTGCAATTCGCATACTCTTTTTCGTACCGAAAAGCCTGTAGTATAGGATCATAATCGACGTTTTGACGATGGCAAGCCCAATTCCATATAGTATCTGGCATGATATGATCACCTAAAGTACGCAAGGTCAGTATCACTTCAACGGAGCAAAGGTTATATGCACCGGACCTTCAATACAAACTCTTGATCAGATGCGGCGACGTATTTTGCGTGTCGTCCAACTCCACCCTTTGTAACGGCTAACAACAGATCATCAGTAACGATCTTCGGTCAACATGAACGGTAGGCCATACTCATTATCACCATCACTGTCGACGCAATCACGAAGCACTTTAACGCTGGTTAGTCGAATGAAGCGTTGGAATGAGGTGCTTGATCATACAGTCGCAATTATCATGAGATTATCATCCCATCCCAGCTTAATACCTCTCATCCTTCTCGAAATAATCCGAAGAATCGTAGACAAAATGGCCAAAGAGCCTAATACCACCATCACAATGACAATATCTCTGCCATCTGTGGCACTTAATCCATAGTTGCCCATCTTGTGTATCTCCAGCCCACGGGCGGTTTCAAGCCAGGCTTGTGGCGTGTCACAGGCGCAGCATTGGGATTAAAGTAAGCGGGCAGCAGTGGCAACTCGTGCAAATAACGTGGTAACCCCATCAGTTTTCCGCCCCCAGTACAGTAAAGATCGCGATCCTTCGAAAGTCTCCACAGCGGGACCTCCCCAGTGTTCTGGCTCGTATTGGAGCTAAGCGGGTCAGGAACCATACCGAATCTAGGCATTGGGGCCGCACACCGGGGGTCTGTGTAAACCCAAGAACACTTTCTCCTTCGGCTGCATGCCACGTTCTCCTGCTGGTTAAAGCAGATCCGCCCCCCTTTCTAAAAAGACACCAAGAGGAAGTATAAGATCTCATATCACATTTGAGATCTCACAGATGAGCGGCGAATTGACTTCAAGCCTATTCGACACTTAATGCTGACAGCCGACTTCGGACCTACTGACCCGGTGTTTCACTAACAATTGAAATGGGTTAAAGGCTAGTCCGAGCGCAAATCCTGCGAATACCAATTGGATAATAGGAGTTCACCTAGACCTTTTTCAAGGTTAGCTTGGCTTTGTTCCGAAGATCCGGCATAATTCCATAGCTCGTGCCTATCTGCAGTGAATTATGTTTGTTGTGCTCATGTCGGTCAGGAGGCCAAGATTCATAGCCTGTCGGCCATCGGTGATTAGCTGTATTAGCGGGATAGACATGATGCCCCTCATTGAACCCCACGGTTCCTGCATCCCCTTTCAACTGATTTCCTTGTTTTTTCGAGTCCATTGCATTAATAGTAATCTCAATAATGGCATCATTTGATACCGAATCCTCTGCAGGACTTCAAGATGCTGCTTTTGACTTTATCATCGTCGGCGGCGGCACTGCTGGTCTAGTCGTCGCCAATCGGCTATCAGAAAACCCTAATGTTCGCGTTCTGGTGCTTGAAGCAGGAACGAATCGCATTGGCGATCCTCGAATCACTGTTCCGGGTTTGGGACCTGCGACGTTCGAAGACCCAGACTTTGATTGGAACTTTCGTTCCGTCCCTCAGGTACGATTTTCGATCAATCGTTAAGATACACAGCAATTAACACTTAAGTAGGAACAACTCAATGGTCGCAAGCTCATTGGAAGCAAGGGCCGTACTCTTGGTGGATCCTCCGCTATCAACCTAGGCATGGTCATCTACCCATCGCGCACCGGATTGGACGCATGGGAGTCGCTAGGAAATCCCGGCTGGGGCTGGGACGGACTTTCTCCGTACATTCGCAAGTTCCAAAAGACCACACCCCCATCTGAGGGAGCAAGAGAGTTCTTCCCGGAGATGAAGTATGATCAGAAGTATCAAGGCAGCGAGGGTCCTGTACAGGTGTCCTACGCGGACCAGTGGATGCCATTCCACTCTGCGTGGATGGGAAGCTTCAAGGAATTGGGTTACCCCCAGCTCGAAGATCCGGTCGCTGGAGCTGGTACTGGTCCCTTTGTTAGCCCCGGTGCGGTGGACCCGGTCACACACACTAGAAGCCATTCTGCGGCCGCATATCTGGGACCCGATGTGCAAGCTCGGGCAAACCTAAGGATTGTCACTGGTGCCCTCGTAGAAAAGGTCTTGCTGGAAAATGGAAATGAAGGCTTCGTTGCGACTGGCGTCCGATTCAGTAAGGACCTGGAGACATTCACCATAACAGCAAATAAGGAAGTCATCCTTGCTGCTGGCACAACCCAAAGTTCTCAGATCCTAGAGCTATCTGGTGTTGGAGATACGAAGATTCTTCAACCTCATGGGATCACAACTCTTATCGACAACCCAAGCGTCGGAGAAAACCTCCAAGACCATGGAATTGTCTCATTTGGATACGAAGTGGCAGACGGTATGCCATCCGGTGACATGGCTAGGGATCCTGCAGTGGCAGCAGCCGCAATGGCCGCATATCAAAAGGACGGTTCAGGCCCATTGGGCTGTGTTCCGTTCGTGTCGGCCTTTATGCCATGTCTAGACTTCCCCCAAGATGAGCGAACCCATTTACTGCAAAAGATTCAATCCTGCATTGATGATCCCAACACCTCGCGAGCACACAAGAAGCAATTCGAGACAATCCATCAGATCATGCAAAACCCGGATGACCCGACTGTGCAGTATACCATGGCCCCTTTCCAACTCCTACCAAGGGAAGGAGATAGCCCCAAGCGTGTTTTCGGAATGGGGCACCCTGGACTCTTCGTCAGCGTCCTCTCACTATTGAGTTATCCTCTTTCGCGTGGATCAGTGCACATCCAATCTGCCGATCCGAAGGCTGCACCGCTTATTGATCAGGCTATCCTCCGTCATCCGGTTGATCAGGAAATGCATGCTCGTCATAGCATGTGGATGGACACTAAGATTGTTGAGTCGGAGGCTTTTGGATCCCTGCTGAAGAAGGGTGGTGAGCGTCTGCACACACCCGAGCGCCTTACAGATTTGGAGAAGGCGAAGGATATTTGCAAGGAGCTTGTACTTTCCATGTACCACGTTGCTGGCTCGTGTGCTATGATGCCGCGTGAAGATGGAGGCGTTGTGGATCCCCAGTTGAAGGTTTATGGCACCACTAATCTTCGTGTTGTGGATGCTAGCATCTTCCCCATTGAGCCTAGGGGCAATATTCAGGCGACTGTGTTTGCGGTTGCCGAGAAGGCTGCTGACATTATTAAGCAGCAGCTGTAGTGGTACCATGCTATGTTCAAGTAATTACAGACTCACTTTTCAACGATCTTAAATGGTTTCGGTTCAGGAAGCGTATAAACGAGCTGTAGCGAAGTCAGGCTTGGTGTATATGAATAGTCGAGAATTTAGAATGCAGTACTAGGTATCTACGGCTTACGATAACTAAGATATTTAGGGTCCCGAGGTCATTCTCTTACACTAATATGAGGCTCGTAATACTACAGTGGTGTTACATGAGTTTAAAACCCTCTCCACTCCATACATAATGTTCTGTCATCTTCCCTGCCAGCCAAAACCTCACATTCTTAGCTGGATAAGCTTACTATGTAGAACATGCAAACTAAACATTACTGAGAACATTCCTAATGGCGTAGCACATATGCTTTGTGTACAAGCAGCGTCGGTTACCCGGTGTTTTTTAGAGTCAGCGTACTGCGTATAGTATTGATAAGCGTTAAGCTACATATAATAAGCGGCCTGAAAGGATGGTTTCGAACTCATGGAACGCCACTATACGTGCAGACCTTTCACCTGGGAAAGCTTGACGACCGTATGCATGAATAAAATTATCACACGTATGTGCAAAACAAGCACTTCTAGGTTTTGCATTTTTAGTGCTTTTCAATCAAGGGTCTGCTGCTTAACAACTCGGTTGACAACCTCGGTCAAATCCTCCTCCGGCAATCCAAGTAACTCATTGCACAACAAACCGTCCTTCTTGAAATCTGCTCCCCTGTCTGCATCATCCGCATATAGTAGCATCAGAACAAGTAGCTTCAGACCATCAGAATAGTCCTTAGTATCAAGCTCGGCTGCCTTCTTCAGTGCATCCTCTGAGGACATTCTCTGCACCTCCCACGTGGTATCGGTTGCTTTCTCAAGTGCCTCAAGAACCTGTCGCTGCGACACAGTGAATGAAGCCACATAAATTGGCCTGTTGATCGTCTCTTCTGGCTTCAGTAGCACCTTGGCCACGGCCGCACTCGCAGTCCCTAAGGTCGAGGTCGACCACGGCTTGTCACCCGAGTCGTAGATGGTAACGCGTTTCTCCTTTAGATAGTAGTCAAGCCATCCGCTTTCCAGCCCCCAATCGAAAAATTGCCCAGTATGAATAGCCGTCCACGTTAATCCTGTGCTCTCTTTGGTCTTGAGGTAAGCGATGACCTTCGCTTTTTCAGCGTATAGTACGACGAGTTCGGCTGCTGCTGCACAGGTATTGTTGCCGTATTCAGTTGGAATAAAACGCTTGACGCCTGCCTGGATTGCAGCGTCGATCATGCGCAGATGGACTGTATAGGGTCTCCCAGGGAGCGTCGAGACGAGCGCATCTTGACCTTTGAAGGCGTTGACGAGCTGATCAATTGGGTAGTCATCATCTACCGTGTGAACCTTGAAATGCGATGGGAAGGTTGACTTTGAGGATTTGCGGGAAAGAATTGAAAGGTTGAAAGAACCTTCTTTTTGAAGTGCGGAGAGAACTTCGGTGCCGAAGAGACCCCCGGCCTATGTTTTGTTATCGTTAGTACGATGCCTGTAGTAGAGAAGGGTGGAAGCTTACACCCATCACCATGACTTGTTCTATCACCTGCGCCATTCTCTCATGCAATTGAGATCGGGAGTGCAGGATATGATAAAGTTCGACGCCAATTACTTGGACATCAAGTTTACCCCGCAATTCAAGGTGGGTCTTCCATTCTCGCTATGCTGTTTGACCGTTACTCCTTTTTACTAAGAACCTCACGACTTATTGAACTATTTCAGGCATGAATGATAAAAATGTGATTTTCCTCCCTTAATTCTGACTGGACCAGACTAGACTAGGTTGATCTGCTATTCTACTGAAGCCCCTTTGCGTAGACCACGGATTTCAAGAGACGGCATCATCCATCGATTTCTCTGTAATATTCATTGCTTCTCCTCAAGTGGTTGAGACTCAATTAGATGTCGATCCAACTCGCCACCCAGGGTTGCGAAAATGCGCCGGAGATCCACCGGCGACACGTAAATCATCTCTGGTATCCATTCCGAGACCTGATAAAAAAACATTTCGAGGTGTCATTAACTGGGAAAATTTCAGGTTTTCGTGACCAACTTCGGGGAGTGAATCCTTGGGCCGGTCCTTTCGCTTTCCATTGCTTGACTCGGAACCTAGGAGCTTCACCATCAACTCTGTCGAAACACTCTGGCAGTTTTGCATGGTCTTTCCGCCCTGGTTTTGGGTGGTGTGGTTTGTGATCTCTTCCAAGCTTAGTATCTGCCTGATAATTAAAAATAGAGGTAGCAAAGAGATACATACTAGAAGACGGTAGGAAGAAAGGCGAAGGAGAAATTTCATATAATCCTCGCAAGAGCGCTTCCACATAATGTAGTAATAGAAGCAGTTGGTGCGTAGACCAGCCAATATACCTTCGTCCACCATATACTTACAATCTGCGGGATACTCGCCATAGACACCACGCGGCACGCACAGCAACCACGTAAAGTCGCATTGTTTCAGTGCAGGGCATCAGGCCCCTTGGGGTCTGGGACTGCTTGAACCAGTCTGGCGACCAGTCAGCCTATGCCATCAGTTGTGCTGCCGTGAGAACGCAGGGTGCAGTCCCACTACACATATCGATACGTCAGTTCTCGACACTAGTCGTTTTTGCAGGCTAAATCCCACACTCACAGGTTTAAAGGTAATATGCAGCAGCTGTATAAGAACTAGCCGGAACAGCCATCGATAGGACCCCGTCGTGCAGGAAAAGTGGACCTGATGTAGGGTCTTGCTCCACCAGGTGTTTATGTATAACAATTTATAGATATACATAGCTTGTTTGCCTCGTAAATAAAGTGGAGAAATTTTAGGTATCACATTAACAAGAAGTTGGAGAAGGGGAGATTAAGGAATCCCGAGAGTATGCTTTTTGTATGCAGCCTCATGACGAATACCTGTCTGGGGTCGTAAGATCCCGTCAAACATCATGATGGGGAATTCAGAATGTTCGACTTCATATCTAGAGTTCATTCTTAGATTCTCTGTGTTATCTACAAGCATTTCGAATTATCAATTTAATTGTATGTGATAGGGACATAGTAATCACTGATTAGTATGCCCTCCGTCTATGTTCTAAACAACTGCGTCTCCATCCTCATTCCTAGCTCCACCAACACCCTCCATCTCCTTGCGCCGGTTCTCTAGAAACATCCTTCCACCCTCATACAAACCAAGATACAAACTCATTGAAACAGCAGTCCACACAGAACGAATAGCACCACCCTTGAACAAGCCTCTTACCCCCTCTTTGCGGAATATCTCTTTCCCAACAACCAAAGTACCCTTTTTCGGAGCTTTCTTCTGCGTTTGGCCTCCCTCTGTTTTCGCTACATCATCAGTAGCAGAAAGCATAACTCGCGTCTTCACAACATCGATGGGCGTGGTCACAAAAGATGAAAAGGTCCCGGATATACCCGCCGAAATACCCGTCAGCCCCGCCCGCTCAATGAGCGCTTCTCTTTGAGATAATGACTGTTCGGGGTCGTCTCTTCCTTGAGGACGCCCTTCCCTCTTTCGTCGTCTCCAATCTGTGATACGAGTGCGAATAAACTCAAACAATGGAAATTGGAGACCTGTAAAAGGAAGATTGCGCCCCACAAGCGCGGTATATCCGCTCCAGAGCCGCCAGGGATGAGCTTTGAAGCGTGTAAGGACCTGACGCATAGCTGATGTGTTCTGTTTGATATACTTGTCGGTAGATGCATGCCTCGAGTTAGATCCTGGTTGGCCCTGAGAGCTATTCACCATCTGAGCGTTCTGCTTTAAGACCTCTGCTGGTGTCAATATGAGACATGAGACCATTTCGGCGGATGAGGAAGCTATGGCGTGGATTATTGGTATTGGTATGGAATGAGCAAATGGGAGGCGGATTGTCGACCGTGAGTTCTGGGATTGAGATTCTGATCCAATATTGGTGGATGAATTGTAAAATGCATATTTTACTGCTTCATAGGTTGTGAAGAATGCTCCTGCTGGGTAATTGAAGGCATGTCAGTATCCGTGGTCCCGGATGGTGTCGGTGATTGTTGAGGGTGAACATAAAAAAGTCCTTGGAAAACTGAATTGTGGCTCAATTCCAGTGACTTGAGGACGCTTGAAAGACCCGTGGACCGAGTGACTGATCTTACATGAAGGAATTGTGGAGAATACAACACTCCATACACCCTGATATAACCCTCGGAAAAGTACATTTCGTTTCACGGCACCTGTACGCACATCCTTGAACACGCGTTCATAGTTAGGGGGATTGAATGCGGGTTTTCAAGGTGTCGAAAGGATAGACCAAGAAATCGACCGAGACGGCAGCGAATGCGCCGGCCTGTATGGAGACCGTTAGCCCTTTCCACTGAGAATTATGTCTTCTGTGCTCATTCCATGCTACAGTGCCTCTTGGTCCAAGGCGGAGCAGAATATATAGGTACTGTACAACCCGCCCGATATATAGATTTGAGGTGGGGACTTACAATCCAAATGTCCGTATGGGTATTATACATTGTATGAACAGCTGAGGATTCAAACTGCAGGTGAGGACCCAAGGAAGCGAAACAGCATGCTGGGATGAACCAATGCTCTTGAAAAATAGTCCCTTTCTACGGAGTGAAATCAAGTTATCGGTCATTGCAATGTTGTATCTTGATGAAGTCATACCAGTCACATGACCTATATTGCCCTATTACAGATTAGGGCTGAAATTTTGCTGATAGATCGACAAGTATAGAATAAGGCCAAAAGTGTAAAGCAAAGCGCAAATAAACATTCATGTCTAGATAAAGTCATTGTTTTCTATGAACGGATGTGAGTCCATATGTGCCAAAAAATTAGACAAGAAAGACCCATCGTCGTCATGGATACAAAAAGAAAGAGGAGTCGTATAAACATCCAGAGAACATTTTCCCTCCCTACGCCGTAATAAGGTCATGCAATCCCAAAAGCCTCAGGTCCACACACATCTAGTTCGCAGTCTCAGGCAGCAAGTTGCCCTTGGCAGCGAACATCTTGCCGGTAGTCGATGAGACAAAGCTGTCGACCTGGCGAGAGAACTGCTCCACCTGGCGGGTGTTGAGCATGCTCTCCAACCGGCTGGGCTCGGTGGGGAGCTTGAAGAGACGCTGCCACTCGTCCTCGGGGAGCAGAGGCTGCTTGAGAGTGGCGCGAGTGGCGTTCTCCTGGGCGCGCTTCTGCTTCCAGTTGTTGATCTTGGTCTGCTCGCGGCCGAGCACACGCTGGTAGTACTGGTAGTTGTTGACCTCGGTGTTGTGGGCCTCGATGCTGTCCAGCAGGAGGTCGCAGTTCTTCTCCAGGAAAGGATCAATACTGAGGGACAGGTTGTCGAAGTTGGGGCTGAGGATGGTGGACTTGGAGAAGGGGCCGGCCTCGAGAGCGGCGAGAGAGGGGGGAAGGTCAGTCGAGCTCGAGGTGGTAGGGTTCTGCAGCTGGTGGATGAAGGAGGTGATCAGGTGCGAGTTGTGGATCTCCACGGGGAGCTCCTCGAAGATGTCTTGGTAGCGGATGTTGGACTTTTGCAACCTGCAAGACTGTCAGTAAAAAAATCCCGAGTGTCTATACAAATCAATGGCACATACTCCTCTGAGGTGAACTTGTTCTCCTTGAACGCCTCCATGAACTTAGCGGAGAGGCGGAACGCGCGTAGGCTGAGGGCTCCCTGAGCGCTGCGGCTGACGTCGTGAACCAGCGCAACTGTCCGCTCGTTCAGCTCCTTCTGGTAGTAAAATTGGTTCTCAATCACGTTCATGTTGACGAAGTTGCCCATGTTGGCGCTGGTGTACCATCCGACGTTGTTGGCGTCAATGTTGACCTCGCGGATCATGCGAATCATCTCAGCCTGGTAGGCGGCGTTGCCCTTAGCGCGGGGAGCAGCGGCGGCCGGGTTCGGGGAGGCGTTGTCGAAGTGCGACTCGGTGGGCATCTCAACAACGGGGAAAGGGAAAGAGTTGGTGATCTCGAGGGTGTTGTCAAAGTCCATGCCGACGAGGCAACCGGTTGCAGTGGTCGGGAAGGTCTGGTTGCAGTGCTTGATGATTTTCATCACCACCTAGAGCATCGAACATGAGTATTTCTTGCTGGCGAGGGCAGGGACAGATTTTCAAGATTTGGAGGGGATCGTACCAGGGCCTCGACCTTGACGGCCACGAGGGGGGCTTGTGCTCTAGACGATACATTAGTCGGAGAATAACAGCAGCACTTCGAATCGAACCTACTCGGCCATATTGAAAGGTGGTTGCACCGGGTATAGGAGTGGGTTAAGGCTCTTTGATGGGGAAGAGCGGTTTGTGTGAGAACAATTCAGACGGGCGGTCCTAATGGGGATTAGCGTGGTACGGTAAATGTGTATTATATAACATCTTCTCTCACCTCACAACCCGAGCATTGAGGGGTATTACCGTATTATAACACTATAAGTTTTCCGCCGCAACCTTGGAACTCCGCATTGTGCCTGACGGAATCTACTCCACTCAATACGGACTATGATTTTGGTAAAGATGATCTAAATTCATTCCTACGATGATTTTTTTTTTGATTGATCTGTAGCAGGTTTTTGCAGAAAAGCTCTGGCTTTCTTTATCTAGGCTGCATGTCTAAAAGACCCTTAGTCATGGCAAAGCGGAGATTGTCCCACTTCCGCTTCCGCTTCCTATCGATGTCATTATCAAAACGTAGAACTTGAGCATTCTCTCTTTCATAGATATTCCTGCACCATGAGTCCCGAGCCAGGCTATCCCGCGACAAGGACTGTCACCTATGGCAGATCCCACGCCCTTCAGACTATAAGTGTCACACCACTAAACACAAACCAAGATGGATACTGGGTGATGTACGAACCAAAGCAGCCCCTCCCCGCCATGGATTCGAACGAGAAAACGGGCAACCGCAATCATGACAGAGCGCAATAGCTAAAACCTCAAACCAAAACATAGCTATATTCATGGTGGCGCATGGCGAGACCCAACAGTCACTTCATCTGCATTCGATAACGCCGCGACCATCCTGCGCAACTCCCCAGACCTTCTAATATCCGGAATCGCCTCAATCTCCTACCGGCTAAGCGCACATCCAAGCCATCCTCAAGATCCCGCTACCACTCCACCAAATGAACACCGCAATGCGAAACACCCAGATCACATTCGCGACGTCGAAGCTGCTCTCGCCTTCTTGCAGAACACTTACGCCTTTGGACCCCGCTATGTCCTTGTCGGACACAGTTGTGGCGCAACGCTAGCCTTCCAGGCTGTTATGGGCGCTGTGGCGAATCACCGCGAACAATCTTTCAACGGCGGAGCGGATGATGATGGCGTAGGTGCGGAGCGGATTTCGATGTCCCCCGGTCCGCTACCACCGAAGCTGTCGGCGCATCCGATGGCGATAGTGGGTGTCGCGGGTATATATGATTTGAGGAGGTTACAAGATACGCATCGGGATATTGGAGCTTATAGAGAGTTCATTGAGGGGGCCTTTGGCAATGACGTAATGCTCTGGGATGGGGTGTCGCCGGCGCAAATGGTTGGATCGCGTGGTGTGGAGGGTGGTTGGAAGACCGGACGGTTGGTTGTGCTGGCTCATTCCAAAGACGATGAGCTGGTGGATGAGGGACAGGTTGAAGAAATGCGGGAGGCATTGAGAGGGTGGGAAGCAGGGAAAGCTCAAATTCCGGTGCGGGAATTGTCAAGTCGTGATAGACGAGTCGAGGTCCTATCTATTGAGGGTGCGCATGATGAAGCGTGGATCAATGGCGAAGGATTGGCGCGAGCAGTCAAGTTCGCCTTTGTTGAGCTGCAGAAGATGGGGTTGGCGCCTGAGCCCGAGATCTTGGGCGGGCCTACCATTATATAAATGTAAATACTTTGGCAAGACTACGAGACACGAAACAGTATTTGATCTTCTTCATTTCGGTTCTGTTAGAGATGAGGGAGATTGATGTAGATACAGTCGAAGATCGGCCCAGGCGGGCCAGAGAACGCCATTATTCGTTAACGCATATCACAGAAGATCAAATCCTAGGAAATCCCTCGGTACGCCGAATTTGCTCGTTAAAGATCCATTGGAGTGCAATTAGTTGCCAAGATCCATGCGACCAGACGCCGCATCCCCGGCGACTTTTTCAGTGTTTGCTTCGGGGACTTCCTCGCCGTACTCAAATGCATCGTCTTCACTCTCGCTTTCTTCGATGAACTTGTGAGTCATATCGAATTCGCTTAGACGCCAGTGGAGGTCTTCTCTGTGGCCGTCCTGCCAGCGCGCCAGGGCAGCAGCTGCGTGCACCTTGAAGCCATAGATACGGGGCTCATAGCGGCGAAGGCTCTTTTCGGGATTCAGTGCTGGGTAAACCTGGAAGAGGATGGAGTGGAATGATGTGCCAAAGTAAGCGCCATCGATTGAGGCATGGCGGGAGGATTTGGGGTTGTAAATATCCTCGCATTTAGGACAGTAGAGCTTCACGGTGGTCGAGTTGGGAAGATCGGCCTGGCCCATAGGCAAGAGGGGGTGTCCATCACACAGAACGCGCGGGCATTTGCCAAAGTCACACTTCTTGTATTTATCAAGCTGTATACCCATATTAGTATGTAGGTATCAAGTGCATGAACATGTAGCACTAGACGTACCATTTTTGCCAAGCCACGGGTGGTGACAATGTAACGCGCATGGACCAGTCCGTACAGATGGCGAGCGGATTTTTCAATCTGCTCTCGTAGATCATCATCGGCATCAAGGTCGAAGACATCGGTCACAAGGTCCAGCGCATATTGGTAGTAGGGGACTTCGGTATTCAGGCCCGTCAGGTTGAATCGGTCGGTCAAGTAATCCTCGTCGATTTCGCAGAAGTACTCATTTCCCCGCGACGAGACAAACTAGAATGGAGGTAGTTCAGTCAGTACAATTCATCCACACCAACCAAAAGCCGCATTCGGTAAAAGGTTAGGGCAAAGCGGTCTAGACAGCACATGGGGCCGATAATGGGTTCATGAGACCTTCAGCCTCCCCGGCCCCTTGTTTGATATTCTGCAGTGTGTCTGTCACACATAAAAATGCATGGCAACATCACATGCGAGGCCTTTGACCGCAAAACCCGCCTGCGGGGCATATGGTTCCCACCGAAGTTCCCCAGAATAGCACGTACCCAGTCTCGCCAGTAGCTAGTGTAGTCACTATCCGTCTCGCTGTTGAAATCCTCCATCATTGTGGTGGCCGAGTGATCTCTGTCAGATTTCGTCTAGGTTGCTTCCGCGGAGTCGAGGGGTAGGTGGGTGAGGGTGACAGCCGCAGAGATTGGGTGGATCAACCCCGGGGTGTCGTAAACCCCCACGACTTTTCAGACTTCACGATGAAGGAATTGGATATGTTTGAGAATACGGATTCACGGCCAGAACATCCGAGAAGACGAGGGAGCGTGACTGTGGATGGCTGGGGGTGGTGGTGTCGTTGATGGAAATGATTAAAGTGCGGATTGGGCGGTGATGATACTGCCGGGCGATCCACTGCCGATCGTGGGTTTGGACTGCACCATTTCCACTATTCGGCTTTATATCAGGAGGCTTTTGATTAAATATTGGGTTTGATCAAATGAACTACTATTGCAATCTATATACTTGCCAAAAGACGTCTGTAGTGGATCCAGTTTGCAAACCGGTGAACAGGCCCATATGGTGGTTTCGCCCTCAACCCACCCTTATACTAGCTTTGGTGTTATTTGGTTTTATCGGCCTGCTTCACTGATCTCCATCCCGATCCCAACGCACCGAATGTGGTTACACAAGCAACCGCCATACCGGTATAAAATACCTTCACAAGAGCATCATTGTACACCCCCAAGGCATCCACGAGATACTTCGCGGGGATAACCTCTCTTAGGCTCAGTACACCAGAGTTTAGAACGAGGTTAGCGTCAAGCCCAGGTACTTTGGCGGCAAGCCCAGAAATCAGCTCTATGGCAAATATGTTCTGCGAAATCGCAAGCATGACCACACCTCCAAGAAGCTGCCCAAAGGTGAGTACCACGATCGCGGATGGCACATCGGATGCAGGCGTAGAGGCCTGAACTGCTATATAAGGTTGCTGCCAGGCGAAACCACAACCAAGGCCGAAGATGGCTTGAAATGAAATGATGTGGGCGAGAGATGTGGTCGTGTTGAATGTAGTCGTTAGACCGGCACCGATGGACATCAGCACGCCCCCGAGGACCATGTACGGCATGTAGTATCCTGTCATAGTTGTCATTGCACCGGCAAAAATGATGGCAATAGTAAGACCGAGAATTCGAGGGAGATCTCTAACCCCGGACTCCATTGTTGAAACGTCACGAATCGCTTGATAGTAGATGGGAAGCTGGGGAGATTTAGCTTTTCTATACTGTGCAACGAAGATTTTCCCACTCACATAGTATGTGAAAACAAAAAGTGCGCCTGAACAGGCAAAGCTAACCGCAATACTGGAAAGCATAATCCGAGACTTTAGTAGCCTAGCAGGAAGTGTCGCATGTTCTTGCATATACGCCTGTTGTAACACAAAGGCCACCAACAGGGCTCCAGTCATGGCTAGCGGTATAACAACCTGCTTGCTGCTCCATGGGTACTCTGTCCCGCCCGTTTGAAGTGCCAATGTGAAGCAAATGACCAGCGGCACGAATAGGGCCATGCCTATGGGATCAAGTTGTCGCAGCTTGGCAAGAGACGAATGAGTCGCCTGCTTATCTGTCTTTGGCATCCGAAGAAAGAACAGCACCGAGAGGATTGGAATGACACCAAGAGGGACGCTAATCCAGAAACAAACTCGCCAGGAAGCGACATCGGCAATAGCACCCGCTATCAGAGGCGCCGTTGCCAGTGCAATACATTCCATGCTTCCGATGAAACTCTGATAGAATGGTCTCCACCGAAGAGGAATGATTCTGGCGGCAATGCTGATGGTATGTTAGTATGGACGATATACCGAACACACAGCAACAAAGCGTCTTACATATTGCAACCGGAAAAGATTCCTGCATTACCCAATCCAGCTACTGCTCTTCCCACAATGAAGGCAATCGAGGACTGCGCTGTAGCACAGATGATGGAGCCAATGACGAAAACCGCTAGAGCAGACGCGAAAACAATCCTCGCGGAGTAGAAGCAATAGAGCTTCCCAAAACTAAGGACTGTCGCGCAGGATGCGAGAGAGCTAGAGATCCAGTCAGGAAGACCAATCAAACACCCACATTGGGGTGCGACTTACTATGCGATTCCGTACCAACTAACGTCGTTGAGAGAGCTGAATTCATCGCTGATGGTGGGTCCAAGCGTGCCAACACACGTCGAATCCTAATTGCCATGAGCAGGGTGATTCGCCTAGCTCGAAACGCTTGACTCACATAACCTGCTAGGAAACATGCCGAGCACAATGAAATCACAATGGTACAAAACTTCCATGTTGAGAGTTTTATAATCTCGTTGTCTGTCATTTTGGCCACTGCGGGGGAATCTAGTTGCTCATTGCTGAGAGTGGGGGCTGCATGCTCGCCATTCGACGGAGCAATTTCTTCCAACTCCATGTTGGCGGTTAATATTTATGGCCAGAGTCAAAGAGACGAATGCAAATATACTGGACATGAAGGGGGCACGAATATAAATATAAGCATGGAAGCCTGGTGGTGGAGATAGCGGTACCATGAGCCAATCCGATCATTATCTATAGCGCCATGATTGGCATGGCATGATATAAGCCTGATTTAGCTCGGACGCCATAACTCGCGTAGATGTCCGGGGTGACATCTAATTGCCCGGAGAGAACGGAGTCCGAGTCTGACGTTCATTGGAGCCTCAGACTGTCCATGAAAACGATCCGGCAGTAGAACGGACGTGTATTCATTCCTGATGTATCAAATACCTGTTGTTTAGTCATTTAGACACAATCGACGCGCGTTTACGGCTTCAAATACTCCTTATATTGGAGCTTTGTCATTGATCATGATCTACTTCTCCATATGGCCAGGCCCCACACCGCCCTTGGACCCCCACACGCATAACCAGCGCAAGGCTGCAATCTTTTCAATCTTCCATCTTTAGTGACCGAACAATCTACTTTATGTCGCAATGGGCTCCAAGACAGCTGAAGACGAGGGCCAACAAGGCGGTAGTAAGTATTGGCGTGGTTCCAGCGCATCGGCTAGGTCTTGCTCACATTTGAATAGATGATCCGTCCGGCTCAACCAAGCCAAACGCCACTGGTGGAGAACCACGAGGTGCCCACCTGGCCCGAGATGGAGATGGAAGTCTGGGCGATGGGGACAGCGACGATGACGACGGCGACAATCAGCCCGGGGCTGTTGCCGAGTCGCTAACATCGCAAAATACCCCGACAGACGCTTCAAAGAAGAAGAAAAGAAAGAAGTCGAAGAAGAAGAAGGCGACTACAGCCAAGCAGTCGTCTCCTCCTCGAATTCCCCTCACCAAGATCTACCAGAATGATCAGTACCCCGGTGGAGAGATGCAAAGCTATGAATCTGTGGATGAGAACACGGCTCGTACCACGGCGGAGGAAGCCAGATACGAATCTCGTCGTCTCACTCAGGACAAAACTTGGCTCACGAACTATCGCAAAGCAGCCGAAGTGCATCGCCAGGTTCGGCGTTGGACGCAAGAACATGTTCGGCCGGGTCACACTCTCACAGAGATTGCTGACGGTATCGACGACGGTGTGAGAGCGCTGCTCGATAACCCAGGCCTTGAAACTGGAAGCTGCCTTGTGTCTGGAATGGGGTTCCCGACGGGCCTTGCGCTGAACAATTGTGTTGCGCATTACACGCCCAATCCTGGTCAGAAGGATATTGTCCTCCAAGCAAGTGATGTCCTGAAAGTGGACTTTGGTGTCCATATCAACGGTTGGATTGTTGACAGTGCGTTCACCATGTCATTCGATCCCACGTATGACAACTTGCTTGCTGCGGTCAAGGATGCAACCAACACTGGTATTAAGGTGAGATAGTATGCGTTCAGTAATCCCATACATAACTGACTCAATTAGAATGCCGGTGCTGATGTCCGGATCAGCGATGTCAGCGCTGCTATCCAAGAGGCCATGGAAAGCTACGAAGTAGAGATCAGGGGTCAGACCTATCCAGTGAAGGCTGTGAGAGATCTAAGTGGCCACAACATCAGGCAGTATCAGATCCACGGCGGGAAGTCGATCCCCTTTGTGAGAACCAAGGATCAGACCAAAATGGAGGAAGGAGAAGTTTTTGCCATTGAGACGTTCGGGTCTACTGGTCTTGGAAAAACCAGAGACGGACCTGGTGTCTATGGTTATGGCAAAGACCTGCACGCCCCAAAGAGGGTGATTACTCCTCTTGCCTCGGCACGATCTCTATACAAGACAATCAACGACAACTTTGGAACAATTGTCTTCTGTCGCCGATACCTCGAGCGCCTTGGCGTCGATCGTTATCTGGCCGGCGTGAGTGCCTTTCCCTCTGACTCCCAAGTTTTATTGTGCTCACATTGAATAGATGAACAGCCTTGTCTCCCAAGGAGTAGTCGAATCTTACCCACCCCTCATGGACATTGAGGGGTCATACTCCGCCCAATTTGAACATGTATGCTCCCTTTCACTTGCTTGAGATTCCGGGTGCTAATTCACTCTTTTTAGACCATCTTGCTGGGTCAATCCGGCAAGGAAGTCATCAGTCGCGGAGATGACTATTAAGGTTACTAGGCGACGCCAAGTATATGTGGAAAATTTGATCCCTTTTCAAGTTCTTGTTTTCAGTCATCCAACATGACCCTTGTCGCAAATTGTTCAAATTACCATTCAACATGGTAGACTCTAGGCAAAAGTCTCCGAGTCCAACAAAATCCGAACAACTGGACTATCATTGCTAGCTCACCCATATACATTCTCTCAAGCAATGTAAATCTTTCATTTCGGTGATTTGCAGTTTCAGTAGATTGTTTCACTTATACCTTAGCAGTCTTGGCGGCGGTTGCTCCCATATGTAGTGAGAATGGGCTCAACGGTTCCAAAGACTTTCAGCGTAGCGAAATTAAAGGAACACACAGCAAGTTAACTTTTGAGTTAGTTGAAGCTGAGTGCTTGACTGAGACTATGTGTCACTGGTGGAATGATACCCAGCGGAGAAACTCTTCAGGCGCGTAAACGGGAGTAAACAAATGCTCCACTAGCATTCCACCGAGGTCATTTTTTGGATCCTAGTTCCCGCTCATCACCAGACTAGTGGCCCGGACCCTTTGAAAAGGGGCGTTCTTGTTATTGCTATGTGGAAATTCAACGCGCCCCTCAATTTAGCGTGCACTAGGAACGGATTCCTCACATGTACGGATCAGGGGGTTGACTCTTAGGTGAAATTCACTGGATCCACCTCATTGAATTCACTGTACGCGATAAAATATAAAACAGCAAATAAATCCTGAATGCGTTCCACAATTACACCTAGAAGATCGTCTCCAAGCGAAATCTAAAGGCCATAGTGCAAGTACTCTGGAGCCCACCAGAAATGGCGCTTCTCCTCGCAGCAACGTGCCTACTACAGCTAGTCACAGCCCAACAGATTGGCAAAATCCCAGAAATCCATCCAAAGCTTCAAACATGGAAATGCAGCACACTCGCCGGCTGCGTGCCACACGACACATCAATCGTTATTGACGCGCTTTCACATCCCCTACACGAAGTTGGAAACAGCAGCGTGTCATGCGGAAACTGGGATACAGGATTAAATCCCTCGCTATGCGCAACTGAGGAATCCTGCGCTGAGAACTGCGTTCTTGAAGGTACGGACTATGCCTCACATGGAGTGCAGACGAGAGGCGATAGTCTTGTTATGCATCAGTACCTGACAATCAACGGAACGACGTCGGTCGTGACGCCGCGTGTGTACCTTCTCGATGAGAGCGGGAAGAACTATGATATGCTTCGTATGCTGAATCAAGAGATCAGCTTTGATGTTGATGTCTCATCGCTTGTTTGTGGTATGAACGGGGCGCTTTATTTAGCTGAGATGGAAGAGTCAGGTGGACGGGGTGTTTTGAATCCTGCTGGTGCGCAATATGGTACTGGATATTGCGATGCACAGTGCTCGGTTGATCCGTGGATTAATGGGGTTGCGAATGTTGATGGAGCTGGAGCTTGTTGTAACGAGATGGATCTTTGGGAAGCTAATGCGCTTTCTACGGCGTTGACGCCGCATGCGTGCAATATTAGCGGGGTTTATTCATGTGAGGGGGATTTGTGTGGAAGTGACGGCGTTTGTGATAAGTCGGGTTGCGGGTTCAACCCTTATGCGCTTGGAGATCATGATTACTATGGGTATAAGGAGGTGGTGGATACGTCGAAGCGGTTTACGGTCGTGACGCAGTTTGTGACGGATGATCAGACCGCGTCGGGTTCTTTGACTGAGATTCGACGGTTGTATGTTCAGAATAACAGGGTTATTCAGAATGCTGTTGTCAATGTGACTGGAACGGAGGTTGACTCTTTGACGAACGAGTATTGTGAGTCGGCGAGTTACTTCGAGGAGATGGGTGGGCTTAAGCAGATTGGCAAAGCGCTTGGACGTGGAATGGTTTTGATCTTCGCTATTTGGAATGACTCGGGGGCTTACATGAACTGGCTGGATAGTGAAGGTTCTGGTCCTTGTAATACAACGGAAGGGAATCCTGCCCTCATCGAGGCTGAACATCCAGGTACTTCTGTGACGTTTGCAAATATTAGATGGGGAGATATTGGGTCGACTTATGGTCACGAGCAATGAGTTTCAAATCAAATCATTTCATTTCATTCATCTACCTACTTTAACTACCACTTCTCCCCTCATCATCATAAAACAAATCCCGAAATCTAAAGCCAATGACATAAAAGAGTGTATACAGTTCGTGCTATCATTAAACAATCATCAATTGCATGAAAATCATTCAAAAACTCCTGCGATCGTGCTATCCTCTTCTAAAGAAAAGTTAGAGGGGTTCGAAGTGATGCGGGCACATGAAGAACGTACCAGGATGGATCTTGGACAAATCCACCATTCCATATTCATTTACTGAGCCATGGTGCCAGTAGCCTTGAGGTATTTGTTCTCCTGGTTGTGGTGGTCGTGGCGGTAGTCACCCTCAGCACCCTTCTGGGCACCGTTCATCATACCAGAAACACCGGTAGCCTGGGGGTAAGGGGAGTTGGCCTTAGTCTCCTGACCGCGGGCCCAGACACGAGGAGTGGGAGTAGAGTAGCGGTTCGCATTCCAGTCGGATTGGCAGTCCCATCCAGACTCATCGTTGTAGTCACCGTTCTTGCACTTGTCGTTGTACTCGTAGTCATCGTTGTTGTTGTTGTCGTTGTTGCGGTTCCAGCTGCTGAAGGGCCACCAGCGCTTGACGCTGATGGTGGGAGTGTGGGTCAGAGCCTCAGCGGCAGCGTGGTTCAGGCGCTCGCTGTCGTGGTACTCGTTGCCAGGGAAGTGGCGGGCCTTAAGACCGGTCAGGACGGATGTCGCGGCATCGGCAGCATCGGCGGCATCTTCACGGTCTTCCTCGCGGTGCTGCTCGCGCTCGCGCTGGCTCTCACCGTCATAGTTGTTGTAGTAGTCATCATCGTAGTCGCCATTGGGGTAGTGGCGGGCCTTCAGGTTGGAGAGAACACCGGCTGTGATGGCGGCAGCGTCCTGGCGATCCTCTTCACGGTCCTGCTCGCGCTCACTCTCGCGGCTGTTATCGCCGTAGTAGCCATTGTTCTCGTTGTCATAGTTGTCGTTGTCGTAGTTGTCAGAGTTCTCTGGGCGGTTCCAGCGGGCGTGAAGACCAGAAACACCAGATTGGGCAGGGTAGCTAGCACCGTTGGTACCAGTAGCGCCGTTCGTACCAGTAGCCCCGTTAGCACCGTTAGCACCAGTCAGTGCACCGAGGTTCGTAGCTCCAGTGGCACCATTGGCACCGCTAGCACCGTTCATAGCGCCGAGGTTTGTGGCACCAGCTCCAGCGGCGGGGACGCCGGGCATGCTGGGGACACCAGGAACACCAGGAATACCAGCGCCAAGGTTAGCAGCTCCAATGTTGGGAACGCTGGCAGCGCCGGGCATAGAGACACCACGCTTGGCAGTTGCGTGCCATTGGCCATTTGCATCAGTCCAACCATTCTGGTTGTTGTTGGAGTGCCACTGGCCGTTGGCATCGGTCCAACCATTTTGGTTGTTGTTTGAGTGCCACTGACCGTTGGCATCAGTCCAGCCATTTTGGTTGTTGTTGTTATCATAAGGCCAGTTGCGGGCCTTGAGGCTAATACCAGGAAGACCGACACCAGGGACACCAACTCCAGGGACACCGACGCGGGGGCGGTCATTGCCAAAGGGGCGGCCGATCCGGCCACGGCGCTGGTAGTTGTTCTGGCCATTGGTGTACTCATCATTATCGTATCCGCCGTTGTTGTATTCGCCAGTCTGGTCTTGGTCGTTGTACTGGCCATTGTTGTACTGGCCGTTGTTGTATTGACCATTGTTATACTGGCCATTGTTGTATTGGCCATTGTCGTAGTTTGAGCCAGCGTTGGGAACGAACTGGCCGTTCTCATAGTGGCCCTTGCGGTACTGGCCACTAGGGTCCCAGACACCAGACTGATCATTGGGGTCGACTGGCAAAGCCAAAGAAGTCATTGGCGAAACAGCCAACAGAAGAAGGCCGTTGATGAGAGAGTAACGCATGGTGGAGGTATTTATAAAAGAGGAATGTAGACTTTGTCTTGTGTGACTCTTAGATCTGGAGAATCTCGTGAGCCGCTTTTGCTTGATGAGATGAAGACCAAAGACGGTCGAACAAAGCTATATTTATATTCGAGCCGAGCAGAGCTTGAAGCTTCTGATTACGTAGCTGATTCAGAGCTCTGCAAAGCTCTCTCCAACTTTGATTGCGATGTCTGAGCTCGGCAAGCATATCGCATCATCCAATTTGGCTGGGGATCAGGACGTGGCTGCAAGGGACCGGGCTCAACGTGCAGTCGAATCATTCTGCCTTGCGGGGGATAATGCGTTTTGCGATTGAAAATCTGCATGATGATCTCAGTGGGTAGTGACCGACGGCTACTTGTTCATATGCGCTAAATAAGTGCCCTCGCATTGGATGTCTTACTGTACCACGCTTAGACTCTGCATGGTGATCCTCGCATTATAATCTGCAGTCATAGCGTGTTGGTGGCGCCGATCGCTCCGGAAGGGGCTTGGTCGCATTCCTGTTGAACATCCGGGGCGCGGGAGTGCAGATCCAGGGGGCTTTTGACAACACTTTGTTTACGCCATCAAAACTATTCCCACCCCATTGCTGGTGAGTCTACCCGTGGCTCCCACCCCCAGGGATGACTTTTTAATGGCCATGAGCCTGAGGTGCTCATGAGACCTGAAAACGTGTAAGACATGCAGGGAGGTCTTTGCACCAAGCCAAGCTACTATGTATAGTAACTTCTTGAGTGAGGGAGAATGACAAAGTTCGCTGACAAGGTGCGACATGCGGTTGGACTGGCGGTCTGCAAGTTATTGAACGGATGAGGTTGGTCGTGATTTAGAAATATTCAGATAATTGCAAACCCAACTTTCTTGCCTCACTCCTCAAGCACCATTGATCACCGGTCAACCCTCCTTCTCGACCTCTGCAAAACATACAACATGTTTAGAGACAAATTCCCCGATCTAGAAGATCCCCGCGAATCCGAGGAGCACCTCCTGGCAGAAGAAGAAGGCATATTGTGGGGCATAAATGAGCAAAATGACGATTGCAGTTCTTTCACGAAGACCTTCCTTTGGTTCACTGCACTAAGCGTATTCTTCATGAGCGGCACTTTGTTCGGGTTCTTCTGGCGGGGTGACTTGGATAGTCTGTGTAGTGAACATACCTCACAGTACTGTGAGTTGGGTAATGAGTCATGATATCCGAATCCTACTGAATACATTCAGCACCCATTATGAAAAAGGTTGGGATCACCTATAACTTACATGAGTTCAACGGCTCGCTTCTCAAGGAGAACATCTTCCGCCAAGATGCGAGTCCGGATGTGGATGCTGCATGGGAAGCTCTTGGAGTCAATTGTGAGTACGACCTGTTTTATGATTTTATTCATTTTAATAATGTAATAACACCATTATTTCTCTAGATCGAGGCATTCGAGTACCCGAAAAAGATGCAGAGCAATCGGGTCTCACCGCAGACCAGGTCCAGATCAATCCTAAATATGGCGGAGGATATCCAGCAAACGTGGCAGGTCTCCACCATTTGCACTGTCTAGTCAGTCTTTCGCTTTTTTGTGAACAAGCTCTGTCTAACAACTACTAGAACGTTGTTCGACAGTCACTATACTACAACTACGACTACTATCGTTCCAAAGAAGAGGGCGTATTCGGCAACAATGATTACATCTTCCGACGCCAAGTTTGTAAGTATTCAAGTCATATACCAACTCCGTTTTTTGGTTAAATTGTACATACTGACTTTCATTTTCAAAGCATACTGCTTAGATATCATTCGGCAGCAACTCATGTGCACAGTAGACACGGGAGTATTGGGACAGGTCTGGGTTTACCCCGATAATCCAGAGCCACACCTCGACTTCAACACCCACCATCGGTGCAAGAACTTTGACCAGATTCGACGCTGGGCTGAGGTGAACCAAATTCCTAAGGATCCACCAGTGGATTATATCGCGCCTCCCGCGCCCGGCACCACGATTTATAATGAAATGCCATGAAGGATGAAATAACGACTGATACGTATCGAGGACGAATATTATAACAAAAGTATTTGACAATTCTACTAGTTATTTACAACTTTTCTCATTTCTCGTTTCGAATATCCTCCGTCAACCCATAATCACTTAAATCCTCACTCATCCCAGGCAAAGTACAAACCGCACTCTCCGCACCCCCAAACATCTCCAATGCGGCAATACCCCTAAACTCCATCCCAATCTTCTCAAGGACCCTCCGACTATGAAGATTCGTAGCATCACAGAACCCAAAGACACCTGTAATCCCCAGCTCTCCTTTCGCCCACTCAATTAATCCTTTCGCTGCCTCGGTCGCATAACCCTTCCCATTCATCTCAGGTAAAATCGCATACCCGATATCGGGCGCAAGATAATGCCGATTTGGGGGTGCACCCTTCAAGAGCGACACGGTCCCAATCGGGAGTGGTTGTAACGACATGGTATCTTGATCCTGAAGTGATACGAGGAACATACCATGTTTGTTGCACGCGTAGTCTGCTAAGACGCGGGTATTGATGAATTCCGATGCGCTTTTGGCATCAAGCACCGACGTGCGACCGCAGGAGCGGATAAACAGATCTGTGTTCCAGAGGTGGGCTAGGAATGTACAGTGGGCTTGGTTGGTTGGGTCCAATGGAGTGATGCGTAGGCGTGGGGTTGTGATAACGAAGCCACTTGGAAATGGTGATCCCGGTTTGGAGGTCATTGTGAAGTACTTCATACAACAATGGAGTAGGTTCAATGTGTAGTTATCGGTTGCAGTCGTTCATGTTCTTTCTCGGGATTATATGTTATCTAGGGATGACTGGGAGTGACTCTGATTGACTCACCGGCCCCCACCCTCGGGCGTGCGGAGTCCGGAGTTCAGAGCTTAAGATACGGACCGTCTATCTAGTGATCGCTTGTTCAATACCTGTTTACACCCCAATTCTAGTTGACGGTAGATTGGTCTGATTGGCGAGATATTTCAAGAATTCGTTTTGCCAAGTGATAGATGTTATCTCTAGGGGGTTTTAATATTAGTCGCCATATTAATTTAGTAATGTCTAAGAATTTTTTCCTCCTCGAATTCGGGGCCCTTCTCACACAAATATCCTGCAAATAATGGTACAGATGATATATATCGCAAAAATACTGCTTTGGACCCAATACCACTCGGCAAGTACTAACATCAAACTGGTTAGGAAAGCTATCACGTTCACAACTTGTAGTGTGTTTCTCAGCCTGTGTCGGTTTCTTGGCATATTCTCCTCAAAGAGTAGTGAGAAAAGGCACACACCATATAATCCTGACAGCACGAGGGGAAAAAATCCCCACTTGCCAAGCAAGTAGCCCAATGGACTCGAACCAAAAGATCCACCAATGGCCAAACTCGCTAGCCAAAGGCAAGCGATGAATGAATAAGCAAAGACTGCTCGAAATGTGCCTGGACGGCATTTCCAATTCTCAATCGGGTTTGTGATATTGTCAAGACCATCGTGCGTTGAGATGGGGCCAGCATCTAGTGCATCTCGTGGCTCTGGGGACGCAGATTGACTTGAATCGTGACTAGAGGCTGGCCTCCCATCGTGGTCGGGCTCTAGTTCACGAGAAATTGCCTATTAGAAAACCTTCTATCAGTGGTCCCAGTCAAGACTTACCTGAAGTAAAATACTCAATAATTGACAGAAGCGGCGCGGCTAGCAAAACAACTGACATGACTTGTCCAAATGTCCAATCACCGCTGGGCGGACTGACTTTCGGGGGGACACCTGTCCAATCACCGCTGGGCGGACTGACTTTCGGGGGGACACCAACTGTACCCATCTCGATGTCTTTCGTAGGTTCGAATAAATTGAAAAATGTCCATACAACTTTAGATGTACCCCATGCGAATGCTGCACCCAGCCATGCCACCTATTAGAAGTCAGTTATCGAATACATCGTCTTAAATGCGATACTGTTGTGATTTACTTCAAAAAGCAATGAGGTCAGTGTGTCGAGAACAAATCGTATGGTTAAAAAGGCTGCGAGTAGCGGGCGATAGCAGAGCGAACGCCGGAGACTTTGAGTCCTGTGGCCTTTACAACACTTATCAAGAATGACCTTCAAACAATTCCTTGCCTGGAGGCTAAGCCACGACCTAGGCCGGTCGAATACCTTGGCGGAGAAGGCTCTATGCAATTTGACAACTCGCGATCCAAATCCGAAAATGATCACCAGTGCAGAAACAAGGGCTGCTCCGGCGTCAACCTGAAGAGGAGGAATCCTCAAAGGCTGACCAAAATAGCATATTGCAGCTCTTGATGCATCATAATCATCATCAGAGTAAAAGCTGAGCTGGCAAAAAAGCCCAACAGCCACAAAGAGTACTAAAGCACCCATAAGAATTAGTCGCCACAGGCGTTCCGAGGGACGATTATAGAGATATCTTCGCAGCAGAGTCAGGCACACTAAGTGAGTGAAGCAGGATAACCAGGCAAGGTCCATTATGAAGCCCCAGTACATGGTTGTGACACCGCATCGAAGCTGTGAAGCTCCACTGACAAGGATCGAGAGGCCCGTCAGGAGCTGAAGATCGCTCATTGCTAGAAAAGACTTGCGTCATGGTCAGAAGATGTTTTTTGAAGGACATATTGCAGCATCAAACCTGGATGAATTTTTTTTCAAGCCGATCACTGATCTGAGGCTTCGCCCAAAAGGGTCTGACACTTCTAAGGAGGCATCCCAACCAATGCCGCAGCCATCCCAAGAATAATTCATCCACGGGGTTCGGAATACATGCCAGGGTGTTACCATCGGTCTTTCCAAATGGGCCCTGAGATGGTTGATACACGAAGACATAGTATACGACAGTGATTATAACTGCAATGCCAGCAGTGACAATGTAATTGATGATCATCTAGACCTCGGTTCTATTAGGTTGAGCGGAAGTTCAAAGATAGGTTGACTCACCCCAACTCCTGTGATATCATTATTGTAATAAACATTGGCTGACCCCAACGGACGTGAGCAGTTATAGCTGCAAGACGAGGGCATGATGATTTGAGCGCAGAAAGTAGTCAAATCACTCAGATCATGAAAACGAGCTTCAGGTTGCTGGAGGAGAAGATCGAATAGCCCAATTGGGGGCAGGTCTTAGTTAAGAGCCTCATGCAGCTACCCCTTGAAACATTGATGCTTAATCCACTTGGTCAAGGGCCCTGCCCAGTGATAATTGTCTACGAAGAGAATGAAGGGGCCAGTGCGCCCAGGTCACGGATTATCCCTAGACTTTCACCACGTTACCTATCCATCCGCAGGCTGGCTCTCCTGCCAAGATATGACGAAACATTTTACTCTGTAAAAAACTACACCAGTAATGAAGTGGGACTTTCGAAGACTGAGAATTATGCTATCCACAGCAAAACAGCCAATGAGGAGGTGAGAAAGCGTAGAAATGTTTTAATGGAGACCAGGGTCGATATCGTCTTTACTATTGCCTTTGACGCAGCGCAGTAGCCGCTTTGTTGTCCGCAAGTAACGAGGGACTAGCGGGGCGTTTCGGCAAGTATCGTCTGCCCAATGCCAGAAACTACAATTACAGTAAATTTGGTGATCTACAAGAATTACATACAACATAAGGTGTAGTGCGACATTCCCTGACCAAATTCAGATTAGCGCGGTCTAAGTGGGGCGCTGGAAATGAAAGTGTAACTCCTGTGTTTGCTTCCTTTGGCTGAGTCAAGTACGTTGCCGTATTCTAGGCCGGATATGAGCTGAACCAGCCCCGGGATTATACGAGTCCCCAGGCGGACTGGATATCCTCAGTGCTCTGTATGCTTCGCCTTCAGTATCAACGAGTAGCGTATTTGACCGGACGGTGAACTGATATCTCAAATGTAGTTTTCTTCATGCTCGGATTGTCACCAGTAGCTGGACGACTGTATGATGGCTATGAACGGCGTTTTCCGATCATGATCGGCAGCTTTTGCACCTCTTCAGCCTCATGATGACCAGTCTGTCAACCAAATACTATCAACCAATCTTGAGTCAGTCTGTGTGTTCTGGGATTGGAATGTTGTTGATCATCACTCCAGCCATGAATGCCGTAAGTGCCGCACCACCCGCCCTGATCGCTGCTACTCTCTACCAGGCAGAAAACTGAGTATGTAACTTACAAGCATTATTTTGCAGCCGATGACCCACTCCCAAAATTGCCGAGCGCTGGCTGGTGGATTTGCCTTCCCCGGTTCCTCTTTGGGTGGTGTTGTTTCCCTATTCATGATGAACCACCTGCTATCCGCAATTGGATTTGCCTGGACCATGCGTGCTTGCACATTTCTAATCCTCGGTCTGCTGCTCATCACCTGCACGTTAATGTCGTCACATGTCACCCACACCCACAAGGAGTTCAAGCTTAGTAGCTATCTGAACCGTTGCGGGGATGTAACTTTCTACTCATGTGCATCGCCAGCTTCTTCATGTATTGTACACCGCCTACCCCTACCCTTTTCTGATTAATTTCGCAAACCGACTTTTGCAGGGGGCATGTTTGTGCCGTACGTTTACATGATGATATCCTCAATCCACTATGGCATGTCGGTCCAGATAGGATATAATCTCATTCCCATTCTAAATGGCGTTAGGTAAGAGAAGCGCAAAGAAGAAAGAAAGAAAAATTTGAAATAATAGACCTTTGTTGAGAGGGTCTATATATATAAGTTTTGATATAATACTGTACTGAGTATTTCGAATTGATACGATTGACTATACGAAACATAGATTGTGTTTAGAACGCTGTCGATCCAACCTGGCTTAGTCGTATCTCAAAACTCCCAGATCGAAACCATGTTCTCCCGAGTTTCCTTCCAAAGCGTTATTTCCCAGTCACATATTTGTAGACGTTCGCAATCCTCCCCGACACTATCTAAATTACCCAAGGATCATCACTTTTCCACCTTAGAGACAGACCTTCCGAGTACCGCACACATGGCCATGAGAGTAGGATAAACAAGTAGCGTGGAAGAAGCAACGAGGATGACTGCAGTAGTTCTGCATACAGCTGGGACAGCAAGAGATATCTTCGTTTCTCTTCGTAAAACTCGCGCCGCTCAAGAGCCAGCCACAGAATTAGATTGAGCCGCGTCGCGCACATCAGCAGCAGCCTCAGCGCTATCCCAGGCACCATCCAGCTCATTGCACAGGTCATCACTAGCGATGGCAACGACCACGTCTTCCATGTCCTTCAGGTAGTAGCCTCCATTCTCGGCATGGAGCATACCGTTCGGATTGATCTTCACGTAATCGTTCAGGGATTGTCTATCGTGGAGAATCACGATATCAGTGGGGGGTGAAATTTGGTACCGGGTTAGACCTTCAACCATGACGTTCATGAAGCACAGGAAGTGAACGAAGGAGGTGGAAATGTATTGCACGACGATGTCATGAGGGGTAATTAACTAAAGTCTCCAGAAGGTCTCCAGATGTCTTAGTCATCTATCTCTCGGCCCCTTGGGCCGTGCATACCTTCGAGGTTTAGAGCATAGATCTTCTAAGAAATACCTTAAAGAGGCGAAAAAGAACGATTAAAGCAGAAGATGCTATCAATTCAAGGCCATTAGCTATAGCAGTCAGTCGGTGAATATGACGAAGTAGAGAAATCTAAAGAAGACGACTAACCTTTGACATTTCCACGAGGATTTGAGGGAGATTCCAGTGAGAAACAGAGACAAAGATGGGGGAGAATGTTCATATACTTTGCAAGGTTGACTAGCTAGTCTAATTAAAGCCTCGAATTAGAGCGACTGAATTCTGCCTCGCGAGTCTTCTCGATTAGGACCCGTGTCCATTCGACTCAAATCATCTCCTCCATCAGAGCAGCAGCAGAGTAATGTCCACTAAACATTGCAGCCACGATACCACGGAACAAACCACAAGCATCCCCAGAAAAATAAGCAGGGGCATCAAGCAGCTTCAAATGACCAGAGACCTTAGGATACCATCCAACGCCCTCCAAAGTAGGTCCAATCAAGTTCGCGTTCTCGTCCGTACCCAGGTCGGGGAACTTTTTAGCAAGACGCGACATGCCCTTTTCAGTCTCCTGGAATCCCAACTTATCAATTTGGGACTACATGGCGCGACAAAAGGAAAGCAAAACTTCAAGCTAAAAGAGAGACCGGAAGCTCATAAGAAATGTTTAGTTAGATTTTTTATATAAATGCGGATTATTAGAATAAACTGCCACCACTATTAGACACTTCGCCCCCATCTAAATTGAACGTTAATTTCAAATTTCGTCGCATTCGATTTGGAAAGCTCCCCAATGTATTTCATAGAATCAGCCGCAAGCGCATGTGTAAAGTGACCATCGATCTATGAGAGTCAATTTGCAGAGTCTCAGCCTCAGACTTTTGGTAGTATGTTCGTCCTGCATGAACAACCCCGAAAGTGAAACGATGCGATAATTTCTTTTCTCCAGGCATGGGGGATGTCAGGGTATTGGTAAATGCACGTGATACAGCCTCCCAGTACAAAGGTGGCGATCAACCAGGTTGATCAAGGTTCTTCGGTTACATTCAGTAGCCCAGGCATCACCACCGCAATAGGTAGTTGAAATGATTGTTTTGGGCTTAGAAACAGAGCTCTAAGACCCACAAAAGACAATCCAAAAGTCAATTGGCCATGCATTAGATCCGGAGATGTTCCGATTCCAGACCGGCGATTTGAAGCGACGCGCATGATATGGCTCCTGTGGCGTATATACGGCGGGGAGGATAGTGGGACATACTGTCAGGACACATATACTAGTTGTTTCAAGGCATTCTTAGTATCACACAAGTGTGGACGGATGATGCGATGCAGCCAAGGCGATATGGGTCAAATTCCGGGCGGGGTTGAGCTGGGTTGCAAGTATGCGAGTCGCAGCAGCTGAAGGAGTATTGCAAATTGACGCCTTTCATTAAGTGGGGTATCTTTGTGGCACTGGACAATCATCAGACATGAATAACGTATGTACGGTAAGTATCCCAGAATCCCCTAGCATGGCAGCTCGGAAGTTACATGGCGCAATTTTGATCGTGATTAAAGCATTCTCGCCCTGCGGATCGCATCTTTCCTCTTGAAAGGACTCGAACGGAGACAGAACTCGTCTCCTCTCAGATCTCAATATGAATCCCCAGGTCTGAGTCGGTGTTTTTGTCTTTAACAAGGAGGGTCAGGTGGTCATCGGCAGGCGAAAGAACAGCCATGGTGCCGGTTGGTTGTCCCTGCTTCGTGTGATTTTTGTATTGTGGGGATATCTGACCATTCTCTTAGGTACCTGGGCTTTCCCTGGAGGTCATCTTGAATTTGGGGAATCGTTTGAAGACTGTGCGGCACGAGAAGTCCTTGAAGAGACTGGCCTGAAGGTCTCGGACATTCATTTCCTTACGACAACGAATGACGTGATGGTCGATGATGGAAAACACTATGTCACTATTTTCATGGGATGTACCGTTTCTGGGGACAATCTCGAGCCTCAGGTTAGTAATCAGAGAATATTGTGACTCTGTATATTGCAACATATCTGACTGATGCTTTATAGTTGCTGGAACCCGAGAAGTGCGATCGGTGGGAATGGGTGACTTGGGAAGAGATCCACTCGTATCTGAGTCCGATACATAGTGATGGACCGAATGCATATCGCAAGTTGTTTCTGCCACTTGTGAATATCGTCAAGCAGCGACCGGGGTTCCACCCGACCGGTGCCAGTCGTGGATAGAAGGTTGCCATTCGCATATAGGCGCGTTTTTCTCTGATTCAAATAGATAACAGTTTACCGAATAAATCATGCACAGCCGCAGAGTGGTGCAGTTTTCGTATTAGCAACAAGAAACTCGATAAAGAGTTCAAGTAAGCGCTGGTCAAGGCTGGTTCGAGCGTTGAGGCTGGTTGCTGCTGTTATTTATCCCTGGAGTCTGGAACACTTGGCGGTGGTCGCCTGACTACGGGGGCCTGCACACACTTTCCTAGCAGTTATAATTCAGTAACAGTATTAGACTCTTTGAAATTTCATCGTGAAGACAGAAATTGGGGACGAGAATAACATGCCTGCCATGGTCATCTTCCCATGCTAGTCATTCAGGTAGCGCATAACCTCCCCCTCTTATCGGCAGCTCAATCATAGTACCAGAGACGCTTGCCTTTTTCGTCGAGGAGGGACATGTGACCTGGTTCAGCGCGAGAGCTGTAGGTCCTAAATAGCAAAATCTTTATCGAATCAACAGGAACCTTACTTGAAGATATCGAATACACTCATGTCAAATTCTTGCTAGTCAAAGTCAAGGAGCTTCTATCTCTATGTCTCAACCCATGGCGGATCTTCTGATTTTCTTGGAGCGAAGTGTCATACACCTGTTGCTAGGTCCAAGACCTACTAAATATCTTATTACGTCGCCAAAGAATATCGAGTCTCCGCACTATCACCTCTATAGCAAGCCTTAATAATATGTTAGTATAGTTACCGAGTACGCAATCGCCGATAGAAAGCCGGGTAGGCTACACCTATAGGAGGGAGCGCTCAGGGCGGCACCCGGACTAATTTAGGCTGTGCTTCGGGAGCCCATCTCTACCCCAAGCGGCAGCCTTACCGTCAACAATGTTACATCATAGTTGTCGATATCGTGTTCCAGGGCTATTATTTCTGAAGAGCTCGGGGTAATTCTTGTGTTTTCAATTGAAAAGTTCCCTAAAACAGGGGTATGTATTACGTATGGTCCCTATCGCACAGAATTCCTAATCTCTAAGTGACCAGGACTTTTGAATTAAAGATGATGCATTTGAACCTTGGAAATTTTGACATCTTTCAATATTAATCTCAAACCAACCTTGACCATACGAAAAATTAACTTGGAGCAATTCAATCTTCAGTCGTGAATTGTGAGGATTGTCGTGAATCTTGGAAATTTGAAAATCGCTGCAATCCCGTCCTGATACTGACATTGAATAGAACTGAATTTGCAGTTAGTAGGCTACATATAATTCTACTGACTTAACCTCCAGGATCTTAGAACAACATCTTCACAGACCAGTCGAAATACATTCATCTCCGTGAACTTGGAAACGAAGTGACTTCAAATTACTCACGAAAGTTCTCCTCGCAACAAACCAAACATGGCCAACATACCCACCAGAACACAAACCGCCGATCGGCCACGGATCGTTATACTCTGCATTGATATAGGAAAGAGACGTTGCCGACGGTCGTTAAACAGGCTTTTGAATGAACTGTCAGCTAGAGCAGAAGTCCAACTGATCGATGATCCAGCTCAAGTGCACAACATAGTTATCCAAGTCCCACAACCACAGGCTGTTCTTATTGCAGACGGGGCATTGACCCGCGACGAAAACTGGGCCTGCTGGACAGCTTTCCTGTTTTGGATGCGACGTGGTGGTAGATGCATTTTTATGAGTGGTTGGCCCCGCCTAATCGAAGGTGATGACAAGCTCAGAGTGCTTTTTTCCAGAGCAGGGCTGAACTGGCAGCAATGCCACGAAATGTTGTATCTACTCTCGGCGATTGATACGTCTGCTACAGGGCACGAGGGATCGACAATCCGGCCGGCGACTAACGTGCGCGCTAAATGTCTTCGAGATGTTGGCTTCCATGATAGACTGTTGGTTCCGAATACTGGTGTGAACGGCCACAGTGATCAAGATGAATCGCCGGTTGTAATGACCAAAATTCAGGATGGGCGCCTGGGTTACGTGGGGTTCACAGAGTGGGACTCGAGTTTCTACGTTACCATCGTCGTCAGGATTTGTGGGTTCCGTTGACTGATTTTGAGTGATGGTCTAAGCATGTGGATCAATTTGAGGATTTTAGCGAAGGGAATTCGGTATCAACAATAGGTGGATTGGGCAAAATCTCCAGGTGGATGTGAATAAATGGATTAATTTGATAAATCTCCAGCTCTGTCAATATGAGCATAGATACCTGCACAATCGTTCATGGTTGAATCACCGATCAAACTTCTTCAGCTCCAACCAGCGCATCGGCGGATACACCAACATCGTCCACGAAACACCAACCCAGATCCCCAGATCAGACCCATATTCTCCTACCATACTCGCGATAGGTCCAACATACCAAATTTGGTCCATGGAAACGATAGCCCCAGCCCAACCAATAAGGAAAGCCAACAAAGCAGCAATGCCGATTGGCAGCTTAGAGGGATCCGCCCACACATCCCAATTAAAGCCTCTTGCCCTCCGGAAAATCAAATGCTCTTCAACCGCAATCGTCAGGTAGATAGTGACCCAGTACCCCATAAGCGACAAGAAATTATCAAAGATATCATACAAATGATTTCGACCGCCAAGTGCACAAGCAGTGTAGATCACAACGCCAACACAAGAGTAGAACCATCGTGGAAGACGGGCCAGATGACGGCCCATAATCTGGAAACCGAGGGAAGCAGAATAAGTGCCGGGGATATTGTTGGCAATGAGACCCAGCGCGACCAGCACACCCATGAACTTTCCGAACCCGCCGAGTCCGTCGTAGCCCGCTAGAATGAGGGCACCGGATGAGGTGTCGTAGGCCATGCTCCAGGTTTCGTGGGTGAAGGTGCCAGAAGCCAGGCCGACACCCATCACGTTAGCGAATGTTAGAGCCAGACCCACTCCTAGGAAGGTCATGAGGAAGGTCTTCCAAGCTGACGTGGTTGGTGGGAAGTAGACGAAGAAGTCAGCACCTGCGGGCGCCCACGCGACCGAAGCCGATAGGCAGAGTGAGAAGAAAGAGAGGCGATTGCCTGCGATAGTCTCAGAAGAGCCAGTTGAGCTGATCGTAGTGTCGAATTTGGGGCCTGCACTGCCGACCAAGACGAAGATGGCGATGAATTGGGGGACCCAGGCCCATCTATATAATTGTGAGTTTCTTGGCTGAGGAATATAATTGTGGATTGACTTACCTCTCATAAATGTGGAAGACCGTCATGCCGAACAAGACCACTACCCAGGTCATAATCGCAATGATGATAATGCCCACAATGACGGTCATCCGGCCTCCAGAAACGGCAGACAGAATTTGGCCACCGACTAGACAGTCGATCATACCATATCCAAGCATGATGATAATATTAAGCAGACAAGCGATCTTACTAGGGTAATAACCCATGAAGTACCTCGCGACAACCTGGTCACCTCGTTAGCCTGACACTCAAATTTGAGAAGTTGCAAACATACCATCGTACGATTACCACTCGCTGGCCCAAAGGTTCCCATATAAGCAACGCCAGCAGCTCCAAGCAAAGCACCGAAAGTGGCACAGAGAGCAGAGTCGACAAAGCCGAGGTCATAACTGAGTGGACCCAGCATACCCAAAGCGATATTATTAGCGGTGATATTAGTGCTGAACCACAAAAGGGTCATCTGCATATAATCGGCAGCCCTGATGTCATGGCGCTCGTCAACAGGGACGCGTTCCACGCCTCGGGACTCAAAAAGCTTCAGCGAAGTAAGCCGGGCATTGAGACGGCTGAAGAATCCGGCCTCGGTCGGAGAACCAGCTCCGACCGACGCATCTTTGATTGCATCTTGTGGTGAGGCTTCGACGGTCGGAGGGAATTGAATGCCCTTCTCCTCGTCTACCACGGACTGAGCCATGATTCTGTCTCGTGGTGGAGTTGAGTCAGGGAAAAATATCTTCAGCCGAAAATTCACCGGGGTCTAATCAGCCGCAAGGCTTATCTTCTGAGTGGCGGGGCGGGACCCACTCGTCTTGTCTGTCCAACCCCTCTTTACGATTATTGTTACAATTGTGTTCTTCTTCTCTCAATTGATGAATTATGTTTATAATGTGCACTAGGTTAGGGTATCGTAGCCCCAGTTTATAATTAAGCTTAACAAGTCAGGAAATGACCCTGTCTTTCATATACATAGGGATGACCTCCTTGGATTATTTCGTCAAATCGCCGACTGATCCGATCATAGTTCTGTCCATACCGACCCAGTTCCCGTAGACGGATGGAGACCCAGTCTTGATAGATCTGGTCGGATGTTGCAATGCCGGCAGTAAACAACGGCCAGGTAATGCGCACCATAAGCCGGGGTCGGGTGCGATGAAGCTTCAGACTAAGTTCCAAGACATGGGACACTGCAGCACTGAGCGACATAAAGCTGATGTTGACCTGAGTGCCAGGACTCTTGTTTAAAGTATCCTGGAAGCAGAGATGGAAGTATACCATGGTGCTGTAGAATGTGATGGCGGCCCAGTAGATGGTCTCCATGACACGACGGCCATCACCGACCGAGTCGCAAGATTGGGCGACTTTGGCGGAGGTCAGCAAAGTGTCGTATTCCTGGATTCAATTAGAGGTGATACGCATTTGAAGGATTATCCGGGGTAAGTCTTACAATGGACAAGGTATTGATCTCGTTAATGAGGCGTTGGTAAGGGGATACCCCCCAGCAGCTTCCTGCGATCGAGGTCCCTGCTTAAATAGTTCGGTTATTTTAAATTGCATGACGTGGCTTCGGTGATACAATGTGAGACCAGGCAGATTTTCCATATCGTCCAATTGGGCAGAGACGGGGTAACTCTCCCCCCAGAAGCGAGAAGGTGATTGTCTGCTGATCCGATAAAGCTCGGGCAAAGTTAAAGGACCAGTGGTGGGAGTCTCGGCACCCAGAAAGAATTGGAAAATATCGGTGTCCAGTCGTGCGGTTCCAGGTCCAAAGAAAAGCGCCGCTGGAGTAAAGAAATATAATGTCCAAAGAAGGAATAGCGGGACAGAGGTACATCGCAGCGTGTCTAGTGAGTTGGGCTCTGAATAGAACTCCGGCGAGGGGGCGTTCGTAATTGGTGAGTCGGTAGATGACTGCACCTCGGGTGAGGACTGCTGGGGGAATGTCTCAGGTTCGAGAGTCAGTGCTGAAAGAGAAGAGGATTGAAATGTAGTTGTTTGGCTCGAGAGTCGATCTTGAAGCAAAGGCACAATATGATTATGAAGCAGACTTTCAATGCCTCGAATATGAATATTGATGGCGGGTGCCCCACTGCCGAACCGGTTCTCGTAGTCAATCATAAGCCATAAAGTGATGAAAATAGCCTCTATTTTCTGTGGAGTCTTGACATCCTGTTTCAGAGCATGACGCAGACTCGATAGAGCTCGGCCATAATGCATTCGTCCCCCCAAGTCACAGGACTCATTACTGGCTGAAATACTAGGTAAAGCTTCTTGGTCATAAAGTCGAGATCGATGGACCTCCCTTGCAGTAGTGGCTAGTATCATGCTCATGACCATCGGCTCTTTCACCGAGATCTTTTGGTAAGCATAAGACACTGTAGACCAAGGCCACTGTTTTCCGAGAAGGACAACCAATGTTGAATTCTGGAGATAATTCAGACAGTCTCGGTCAAAGCCCGATAGAGTCAAAGAGTTGGCTGCGGTCACGTGTTGATCGCTATTGCCATCGAATCGCTCCAAGGGAAGCAAGGGCGCTCTGGAAGAGCTGGGCTGCTGCTGCTGATTTCGAACGACCTGACTGGACTCGCCCGCCTTTTCCGTGTGTGCTGTCTCTCTGCCTTTCTTCGTGACGGTGGCTGATGTAATTGTTGCCTTCCGTGGAATAGGTCCACCTTTCCATTCGCATAATATGCGCGCTGACAAGCATCGCCTACATTGCGGCTCGTCGAGGCCTGGCACCTGTCGTTTTTCTTCGTCGCATTTGACCTTGCGCATGCGACATGACCGACAGCCTATAATAACAGGTTTAGATTCATTTGGCATCCCAGCAAAAGGAATGTGAGATGTGGATCCTTACCTGTCTTGGAACGTGTCTTACCCGACTGAGGCATGTTATGTGAGTTTGCCGAGCTTCCCGTCAGGCTACATCTGGTCGCACAGGGTCAGGACCCGCTCGTTAAGCGGTGCTGGGGTCCAAACCTGGGGTATTTAGCTTAAGCGAGAGCCGGCAAGAATGACAATTGACAGAAAAGAATGTGTTGAGGGGGAAGTGGAGGCCGGGGAAGAACAACGCCTTATCTGCCGAGTGGAGACCATTGCCCCCAAAAAAGCTATCGATAAGCCAAGACAACTGCCGATTGGCTGCTTCGCCAAATCCTAGATCCATACAGTTACTCATTGCCGAGCAAACGCCAGTTGTATTCACTATCTTCGCCAACGTCTCGCATATCGGAGCCACCCGAGATAGCCGGAATGCGAACTTTGATTGGGGTTGCTATAAAACTGGACTCAAAATCTTCTATCATGGCGTTTTACGGAATTCAACTTCGACAATCGAAGCCAAATAAACAACACCATGCACGTTGCCGAGTCACAGAGAGTGTTCCTGGATATTGTCCAAGAGGCACTTAAGCGATATGACACACAGTTGAAGGATATCAACCACAAGGTATGTGATCGCTCTGTATATCAATGCAAGTTTCAGTAATTAATTTTGTTAGATCTGGTCCAATCCGGAACTGGCATACGAGGAATTCAAAGCCCATGATAACATTTGCGAGCTCTTTGAAAGCCTTCAATCGAGCGGATACGAAGTCGCCCGGAAGGCGTATGGTGTCGACACTGCTCTTGAGGTCAAATACTCCTATGGCAAGGGAGGACGAACTGTTGCCTTTAACGCTGAATACGATGCTCTTCCTGGGATTGGCCACGCCTGTGGTCACAATTTAATTGCGACAAGTTCCATAGCTGCATTCATCGCTACTTGCGAGGCAATGAAAGCTCAAGCTCAAGCCTTGTCTGTGCCTGGATTCACTGTCCGACTACTAGGCACCCCGGCAGAGGAATCTGGTGGCGGCAAAGTCAAGCTTATCGACGGTGGAGCCTATACGAATGTGGACGCTTGTCTAATGGTGCATCCCGTTCCTATGGCTCCTGGGAATCCTTCTCTTTGCGGCATGGCCACTGTTGTGGCAGGGGGCTTCCTAGCCAATGATAAGGTTCAAGTAACCTTTACCGGCAAGCCTGCTCACGCTGCTGCTGCCCCCTGGGAAGGCATCAACGCACTCGACGCGGTTGTGTCGGCATACGTCAGCATTTCTATGCTCCGACAGCAGATTTTGCCTTCTCAAAAAATCCATGGAGTCATCACGGAAGGAGGAACTCGTCCGAACATCATTCCCATGTCTGCCACAGTGGATTATTACATCAGATCCCCAACCAAAAAGACACTTAAGCCATTGACCGAAAAGGTTATTAAATGCTTTGAGGCTGCTGCGACTGCTACAGGCTGTAAGGTCTCATACAAATGGTATGCCTATCTATCTTGGGCCCTTGTGAAGACAAGTCGAGCTAATAACAATCTACTAGGGGTCCGTCATATGATGATCTGAAGAGCAACATGCCGATCTGTGAGAACTATGTCTCGGCAATGAGAGCAATGGGTCACCACACCCTACTTGATAACTCAGAAATTAAGGGCGCACTTGCTGGTGCCTCCACTGATATGGGTCAGTTCGCCGCCTAGTCCCTTTGGAATCTTAACTAACACTGCGATAGGTAATGTCTCTTATGTCGTGCCTGGATTCCATGGTATCTTTTGCATTCCGGTCGATGGGGTAAACCACACACCAGGATTTACTAAGGGGGCTGGGTCATCTGAGGGCCACGAAAGGGCTATTGCATGTGCGGCTGGTATGGCCGTAGTAGCCTGTCAAGTCCTAGTTGATGATGAGTTTGCCGAGTCGGTTAAGAAGGATTTCCAGCGAGAGTGATAAGAAAAACCCATAACCAATATCAAATGGAATTGTTATCACAAATTAAAGCACGTAACTCTTTAGTTTGATGTTCGTAGGCACTAGTTTTCTAGAAAGTTGAAATTGGTGCACGAACCCCACTCTCCTACCTGGTGTTCAATACCTGAAATGTTGAAGTACCCAATTGCAATCAGCAAGGTTCTAGGTCGAGAGCACATAGTTGTGTTGCTTGCTTTGCCACGGCTCAACTGCCAAGCATCACTGGCTGTGCCGACCTAGCCAATCGCCATGTTGCCGAGGCTGACCTGCAGCAGCTTGTTATCAAAGAATAGATGATTGCGGGGGTGCTTTATCTTTGTCCTGCATCAATGCCAAGCGATAGCAGGAGAAGTAGTCATCAGTGCCGTTCGCATATAAATACTCCATCCTCTTGAGACAATAAGACATGAGTTCTGTTGAACAATACCACTGTCAATATGAGTGACATAATGATGGAAAAGAAAGGTGGCGAAACAGCCCAAGAGATGGATAGTCAGAGCGTCGATCATGGGGCTGTTGAACGGCTTCACACTCACCAATTCTCCCCCGAAGCAGAAAGGCGACTTGTACGGAAAATTGATTTCATGTCAGTCACGCTGGAAAATTTCCGACAAAATTATATGAACATGACTTATGCTGACATCTACGGCTTTGTCTCAGGATCCTTCCAATCATGATTGTCGCATACCTTCTGGCATTTTTGGACAAACAAACCCTCAGCTATAGCGCCTTGATGGGGATCACTGAAGACCTCCATTTGGTTGGAACACAATACAGTTGGAGCTCGGGAATCTTTTACTTTGGATACCTTTTCTTCAGGTAATTGCATGAGTCTTGGTATATTAGAGCCAAGAAGCTGAAGCACTGACGTTATACACATGATAGTTATCCAGCATCCCTTTTGATGGTCAAATTCCCCCTCGGAAAGTACCTCGCCGTGAATTTGTGAGTAATCACTAAGAAAATGTTATGATTGCATCTTCATTAATGTACATCCAGCATGCTATGGGCAATTGTCCTTGCGTGCCACGCAGCGACGAAAAACTTTGCTACCTTCATGGTAACTCGATTCTTCCTGGGATGTACCGAAGCCAGCCTGTCTCCTGGATTCACTCTCCTCACTTCTCTATGGTATCGCAGATCTGAGCAGCCACTGCGTGCAGGCATATGGTTTTGCGGAAACTCACTCTCGTCCGTCTTCGGCAACCTTATCGCCGCGGGCATTATACACATAAACAGCAAGCTTGCATCATGGCAGGTGAGAACACAATTCGCATTGAAAATAATTAATCGGTCTAACATGCTACTATGACAGTGGCTGTTCATTATATTCGGCATTATCACATTCCTATTTGGTATTGTGATGCTTCTGCGTTTGCCAGACTCACCCATTGATGCCAAATTCCTGACAGACGAGGAGAGAATAATCGCTGTCGAGCGACTGAAAGATAATCAAGCGGGATTCAAAAGCAATGAAATTGATCGGGGCCAAATTTGGGAAGCATTCAAAGATGTGCAGACTTGGCTTTTGGCTATCTTGATTTTTGCGGCCAATATTGCCAACGGAGGTTTCACTACGGTTTGTCTACCCCTACCTGTCAAGGCCTGCCAAAGGTGCATGCTAACAACTTCTAGTTCAACGGCCTTATTCTGGAAGGTTTTGGGTTTGACCTATTCGACACCTTACTCCTGGGCCTTCCTGGGGGTGTGATTGTGTGCATATTTGTTTTCATATCGTGAGTGCCTCTCAGACAAATGAAGAAGGCGATGCTAATAAAGGTCTCAGGGGCTATATCCCATCAAGAGTGAAGGGTAGCCGCTGTATAGTCATGGCTGTTATGTTTCTTATAAGGTAATACAGAGTGAACGTTGACTGACCGTGATCGTGCTAATGTCATTTTAGTATCCTTGGAAGCTCTCTCGTCTATGCAGGGAAAAATACCGCCTCTCGCTATGCCGGTCTACTCTTTATGGGTGTATACTCTGCCGCAATGCCGGTATCAATGGCTATAATTAGTTCTAATGTGGGTGGCTTCACCAAACGAGCCACCGTGAGTGCGATATACTTCATCATGTATTGCGCGGGAAATATTGTTGGACCTCAGCTCTTCTTTGCTCACCAAGCACCAAAATACCAGGTAGGGAGTGCACCACATCGAAGAGATAATCTTGCTGACTCAATTGCAGAGCGGATTCTTGGCTATCATCATCTGTTTGGTTGCTTGTGTTGCGATTAGCCTAATAATGTTGTTCTATCTTAGATGGGAGAATAGTCGCCGAGATAAGCAGGGAGTCAGTGGTGACTTTGCTACTAACGGAACAGAATCTAAGCCAGTGGAACAGGGTGAATTGTTGGATATCACTGATCGACAAAATCAGAAGTTCAGGTATGCGTATTAAGTTTATATAGTACTGTGCTATACGAGAATAGAAATGTGGTTTTGATTTCGAATGGCAAGCCTGTAATCAATAAGTAATCAGCCCATAACCCCCAAACTTAACCCAGAAAGGCTTGTAGCAGAATGGCCCAACCGACGGGGGAAAGCGCCGTTATGATCCTGCACTGAGCACATTGCTCATTTTCACTGCTTCATGAGCTTATCCACCATGGTGTTCACCATTGCCGGACGGCTGAGTGGCACCATGTCATCAGTGAACTGGGCTGCTCTTGATAAACCTCGCCCGTGAGGAACTTACAAAATTCCAAGCCCAGGTGGGCCTGATGGATCTTAGCAAAAGCAGTAACAGCTACGGTTCTTGAGAAGCTCCCGATACAAGGGTGCGATCCATCATCATCGTATGCGGGGCTTATATGGAGCAATCTGAAGTAAGTTACTGATGCAGGTGGCCTTTGATTTGCGATCGTTTTACCGTAGATAGGTCATTCAGTGACACGTCATGAACTTTGGGGTAGCTGATAATGCAGCCACTTCTGCAACCTACAGTATAGAGGCACGCTCAACTCATCTCTACTCCGCTGGGCTAGACCGGACGGACATATGAGAGTATGATAAGCTGTTATCATTTCTTTAATAGGTAAATGACACGTCGCAAACAGCGGGGCAGCTGAAAATGCGTGATCCACACCAGCCACTTCTGCATTGTGGGAACGATTTAGCTTAACTCTAACCCCACTTGGATAGATTCTACCCCACTTAGCTAGATTAGATATGCATCTTAAGATGTGATTAGAGTCATTTCATCATGGATAGGTTAGTCAATGCGTCATAGACAGCGGGGCAGCTGAATATGCGTGATCCGCTTGCCACTTTTGCAACCTACAGTATGCACGCCCAGTTCGACTCCACCCTTCTTAGCTGAACCCACCGGAGCTATACGGAATGTGAGTGGTTTTAAGGACCTTCTAGGCGGTGAGCTACTCGCAGACGGTAAGCTACATAAACTTGAGACTCATCTCCCCTATTCCTCTCTTCTTTCTTTTTATCACACTGAATTTCATACTCAGGAAACAGTATACCTCAATCCATTTATCCAGCCAAGGCGTCTATATCAATTACAATGACTCCCAACTGTCCCAGCTGCTCCGAAGGTGTTGGTCCATGCGTACGTGAGCCATCTACTTTTGTCAGCTACTATGATGGTTTACTTACAGTCAATTTTCCATATAGATCTGCGAATAAGCAACAGTATACAAAGACCCTTCTGCACTGGATCTTTGGGGCAGTTATGACGAGGGTCGTGAGTAGAATTTTGGGAAATGATGATCTGGGAAGTTTATCTGGAGTGTTGATGGTGTGGAGCGCAGATTGAGGGAGGTATATGATACGAAATAGAACGAGTTTAGTCAGAAGTTCAGAAATTCCTCTTGACTTAGGTTCGCCGATATTTCGTAGACGATATTTCGTAGACGGCTTTTCTTTGCTTATTCGGCTAAGCCTTTCTCTCGGATGTATTGCCGTTCAATATCTACAGCCATTCGTCGCTCCTTTCTACCCAAAGTAAGGTATGCATGTGATGCAAAGTTTCGAATTCTGGGTAGGCTTTGTGAGAGTCGTGCTCATAGTAATACCACTTACCTGTGCAGTAGTTGTACTAAAGTGCTGTTTCTATTCACGCCATGACTCAAAATCTGCGGAAAAGGCCAATTCTCTGACCACTGTGGCATTCCCTTTTGCATTAAGTAGAGTGGCATCTGTAATACATTTCCAGCGCTATACCGGATACGGCAATAATATGGTGTTGAACTAGTGGGCCCCGCACTTACGCCCTCCAGATAGCTACTCCACTTTGTTAATCAACTTAGGCTTTACTACATAGTATTCTTACTACTCACTTTCATTCCTTTTGCTAAAACTTGATCTGGAAATTGTGGTAAACACGTTCTCTACGAAGATCTTTAACTTAGATTAGTATGCCTTCTGAGTGGGGTTAGGCATATTGCGGACGAGGCTCACCAACCCGAGGATGCTATCTAGCTACTGTAGACTATGATAGACTGTGAAGGAATAATGAGAAAGGAGGCTCTAAGGGGGAACATTGCCAAGGAACTGTCCTCGACAGGCGGTCGCTCCTACAGGCTTCCTGCATCACGCCACGATGTACCTTCCCGTATTCGCCTCAACATCGTCACAAAGTCAACCGCGTGTGGCTTACTGTGCGGGGCAATGTTCGTGACTATGAATAGTGCCTGCATAGAGCATACGGTTATTATCGGGGGGGGTTTTTCCAGAGAGGATGCGAAAAGTTAGCGACTGGTCCTCCACCGGCCGCCGACAAAGAGGAGTTTCAGCCCTGACGATTCGTAGGGATCCAAATTTAACCCAGTCAACACCAACCCAGCAAAATGTTGTAACAAGAGCCCAGATGATTCCGCCCCCACGCTTGGCATGTAGACATAGCTCAGTCACACAGCATAAAATTCCAGCCTGGATTACAACCTACGGTATGATTGCAGCTGCGCAGAGCGAGCTGAACACATTGATGAACATGTGGTGATACTCCCTACCGGCTTTATTGGCTGTCATTATTAGCTGCAGCTTATATGCAGTCCAATAATTCAATTATCCCTGCTATCCGTTGGCCGCCGACGCGGAATCGATAGAGAAGGTCATGACCATCTGAGCAGCACTATCTGCGGCTGAAAGAGCCGCACTGTCAGTCGGCGACCATAAATCTGACGCCTATCTCCTCGTAAAATCATGCATTCTGAGTGAGATAACCCGACTATTCTCACGCGACCCCCATCCGCCCCTTATGAGAGCCAAAGACCCAAGCCGCCGCAACGATACCGGCCCACTTTACCATCCGGTGGAACCTCCTGAATCGTATGCCCTGGCTCCTACGGATACTGAAAGCTCTCTTCGACATGCCGCCCCCGTTACAGGTGAATCTCGTCTGACCAAAAAAATGCGGCCTCAGCAAGGAAAGCGCCGGACCTCATTCTCGGGGTGGAAGCTGGAACTCTTCGCATGTTTGGCATTCCTTACAGCCCTCGCAGCCATGGTGGCTACAATGTACCCTCACCAGGGAAAGCCACTTCCCCAATGGCCCTTTCGAGTGTCTGTCAATACATTGCTGGCCATCTACGGGGGAGTGATTAAGGCAGCCACGCTCTATGTCGTCGGATCTTGCGTTGCCCAGTTGCAGTGGTCATGGTTCTTATCTGAACGGCCTCTTATTGACCTATCTCGGCTTGCAGACCTATCTCATGGGGATATCCCTGGAGCGTTCCGCTGGCTCTGGTCTAATCATATCCGAGAGCCGTTGATCACACTTGGCGCAGTTATCGTCATCGCCTCTTTCGCCTTCGAGCCGTTCATACAGCAGCTAACATCATATGTCGACTGCAGCGTCCCGCTGGAAAACCTCCGGGTTGCTCCGAGTATACCACGAACGAACTACATTGTTCGAAAGAGTGGTGTGTCCTCCGCTCAAAGTGGTGATCCGGAAATTGCACAAGCCATCTTGTCAGGCCTCGTCGGCGGTCCCGATCCTCTCGCCAGCACTGGGTGTACGACAGGAAACTGTACCTTCTCGACTTCTTACACGAGCGCCGGCATCTGCTCGACATGTGAGGATATCTCTAGCAGCATAACTGTTATGAAGACTTGCAGAGGGGAGAATAGCTCGGTTGTTGACTGCGCCAACGCAACGTATCAACAGAGCGTGGTTTGGGCCGATCGCGTCACTACAGCCTCATATGATGGCGTCGATTTGACGAACGTTAGCTGGACTCCGATGCAAAACGAATCGCTTCTCTTCCACGTGGACACTGCGCTTTATCCCCAGTGGCCAAGCTACATCATGTTTGGGATCGAGATTGTCTGGGGAGAGACGACGTACTCGCAAGCAAAGGTCAGCCCTTTGACCTTGGACCCTTTGCAAGGTTGTGAGGACGCCTCAACCAACAATACGTGGGCTTGCAGGGGCTACGGATCTGCATACTGCAAACTGCGGTTTTGCACTCGCACATACAACGCATCTGTTGAGGCTGGTGTTCTAGTGGAGAATGTCATCGAGGAAAGCCCATTATCGACGAAGGATCTGGTGCGCCCGCCGCCGGAGTTACTAGTAGGAGACGAATTCACGGCGACCCTCGGTCTTCTCGATCTCCATTGTATCAATGATGTGGAGCTTCGGGAACTTCGCAAGATTGGCTACAACATTTCCTCCGCATCGCCCCGGTGGGCTGCATACGTTGTCGACAACGACCTGTTCCAGCTTGACGGCAACAAGTACAATGACATCGGCCCCGATTCACCGTTCCCTCAATCACTATTGGTCCACAGATGCCTCTACACGATGAGCGTCGAGATCCAAGACAATTGGTTCTATGTCGCAGGCGCCCTCAGCGGAAACGTCTCAGCTGGCTGTATCCAGAATGGTTGCTTCGGTAATAGCCCCAAGGTGCGGCAAAACATTGAGCCTTTATCATCCCTGTCCGGTGATGGTGGTCCGATATTACTCTACAACAACTCCCAGCTCGACTTTGACAGCATCTCCGCCAAGCTCTCCCATGTAGCCACGCACATGACGACAATGCTGCGCCAGACGGGGAACGTGAACTACAGCGCACCGGCCGAGGGAGTGGTATTTCACTATGCAACGTGCCTGAACGTCCACTGGATCTGGATCACGCTTCCTTCCATAGCAGCTGGCTGTGTCGTCGCACTGCTAATCACCGTTGTCATGTTAACGGCGTCCGACGGGACACCCATATGGAAGGGAAACGTCTTGGCTCTTATATTTCATGGCCCAGGCGGCGCTGGCTGGAGCGATATGCCTAGGTCGAATGTAGACGGGGACAAGGTGTTGTCCGAACTGGACACGAGTCAAGGGATGGAGCAGAGAGCACGTGAGATCAAGATCAGGCTTGACCAGTCTTCGAACTCGGTACAGCTCTTGAAAGCCAGGGAGAGATAGTAGAGTGCGATAACGAACCCTGGTGTCATGCTCCAGCTTCGCAAGGTATAGGTGATCCGCCTATCAGGATTCGCTCTCTACCGACTGCAGGAGTACTTGGTCTCAAGGTGCATACCTGAATCGTGGCCCATCCTATGATGATCGAGTCGACGGTGGGGCTTGTGATATTCTCTCTAGGTAAAATATGGAAGCTAATATTGGATACTGCGCCTTGTGCGATACTATTGATGAGATGTCCAGCTAATCTTTGGGTCTTTGATTATGTATGGATGTGGCCTTGGATCCTTAAATAATCTACCAATGGTGGTATTATGTAGAAGGCGATGCGGTGCAGTTGGACATAGGACATCAAAACACTCCAGCTTTTCAAAGTCTGGACATTCAAGTACTCTGGTCCCGAAAGAAGGGCGCATCTCGTGCTCCAGGGCTCTCTGTGCTCCATGATTAAGAACATTTTGCAGGACCTCGGCTGTTTGTTGAAATTAGACTCCCAGCATACTGCTTTCTTCGATCAAGCCGTGCAGTATTTCAGCCAATGTAGTTGCGAATCCCGGGTCATTGACATCACGCTTATCTCGAATCACCTCAATCCCACTCCCCTTAAGTTCATTCTCCAATGTCGAGAAAAGCACTTCATCTGCCTTAGGATCCCAAAATGGTTGATCAGGAAGATCAAGCATACTGAGTCCACCAACTGGGAAAACAACCTTTGTCCTAGAAGCAGAGCCATGACGGGCTCCTTCATCACCCATCAAATTCTTCGCAATCAATTTCGATATCTTCTCACACTCCTCCTTTGTAGTCCTCATGAGCGTGACGGTAGGATTATGCCGGTGCAACACTCGTCCAGCTCCCGACCCCCCTTCCTGAAAACAAGGTGGAACACTTTCAAATGTGCCAAAGTTGACCATGTCACACGCCCCAAGACTGACAACGCGCGGTATATTCCGCGCGGTCGCGGCACGTATCCTCCCAGGCCCAGCACTCAAAACCCCACCAACAACTTCATCTGCGATCTCAGTAGTCGTCAAATCAAGCACAGCATCCAGCTGGCCCTCAGAAATAAGTCTCTCCATCGCCCGTCCACCAGACCCCGTTGCATGAAAGATATAAATTTCACAAGTCCCTGGGAACAAAAGTTCCAAATGTTCCTTCGCCATCGTGGCAGCCGGTGTGGTAACCCCAAACATAGTTATGCCAATACGTACTTTCCCTCCATCCGTCGTCTTTCGTCGATTAAGGTATCCCCACCCCATCCCCACAATAGCCGCAGCCGCATTCCCCAATACCCTGTCCAGTACTCGATTGCGTCCCGCAATATCGACAACCGAGTACATCATACTGATATCAGTTTCCCCGATGTATGGCCCCACATCGCCGGATGCCATTGTGGATACCATTAACTTTGGGAACCCCACTGGGACTGCGTCGCGCATTACTGCTGTTGCGAGCGCTGTGCCGCACGAGCCGCCTATTCCCAGTATTCCATGTAGGGACGGTGTTAGTGTCGTGACCATGCGGACAGCAAGTGGAGTGAGAGTTTTGATGTATGCTTCTCGAGGGAGGGCGCTCATATCGAGGTCCTCGGGTGGATCCGTATTGCGGGGTGAATCCAGTGATGACTTTCGAGCGAGCTCTGGGTTGAGGACATCATGTTGCGTAATATCTATTTCTGGGTGAGAAGTTGGTGTATGACCGATGTCCATTAATAGGACATGACTTTTTTGAGATTCGAGTTGCGATTTTGTGTAGAGGAGCTCGGGGAGCTTGGTATCACATGTGCCAAGGAGGAGAATTGTTGGCTTGGTGGACGGCATGGTTTGGTTTTGACGGATGACGAATCTGGGCGGTCTTTAAATTCTAAATGTTCGGGGGTAGGTGGAAGGTTAATAACATGGAGAGATAGTTGTTTCCGGGTGGTGAAGAGGTTCGTAGGTGGTGCAAGTGAGGGGCAAATTCATGCGTAACGTACCCATACTCATGTCCACTCTTATGCAGCCAATGTATCTTCAGCAGGAATTACTGCGCAGAAGGATCCACTACATATTTCCGGTGCTCTGATTCGTTCACCTGAAACCTGACTGAACCTTATTGTGGTTTAGTTGAAAATCACATGAGTAGCAAGTAATCTCTGGCACTCCATATGCTAAGTTGCCTAATGTTTCTAAGGATAAAATAAGGTAACGCGCCCGCTCCAATCAAATTTTGATACCTGTCTTAATTTTTCTATCTGCCTATTGGCTTTAGTACCGTTGTCTGACAGGTCACAATTAAAATTGATGTTTACTTTCCAGCCTCATGCTGCAGTTTCAAGCTTGAAACCCATCCCATGAGGACGGAACCCAGTTTGCGGTAACAATTCTCAATCTCTTCCCCCATAACCACAAGGGAAATACTAGTAGAGAGAAAAGCCCCATAAGAGCACCAAAGGTACCAAAAGGTGTAGCAGCCCCCGCTTTCGTGACCCATTCACCCGCAAAGAAAGTCCAAGCAAAACTGATGATCGCTCTCATGCAGGTAACCGCAACAAAACAATCCGCAGAAATGGGGCCATATGAGTCGATAATCTGGTGAAAAGCTGTATCAGCAAACGTACATATAGCCAGCGAGGAATGATAAACAAACATAATTAAACCCAATAGACGGCGCTTGCACTAAGCCAAAGCACAGCATTCCTAACCCGAACTCCATTCCAATCCACATGTGTGGACCAGATTGTTGAGCGCAGAATCCAAACGTCCACAAACCCGTCGTCGCAAGAAGCAAACCTGGAATCGCAATGGGTAGGCGAGCCTCGGGTTCCACAAACTGCGCGCCACTTAAGACTTTCTTAGTAGTTACCACGCGGTCTGAGCCCAGATTGGTTGCCAGAAAACCCATTATAGAACCGACGATGCCTCCAACCATGATAAGGCCTGCATTGTTACCCCATAGATACGGCGGCGACGCTACAATCGTTGGTCCTACCGTTGTGATAGTTACCACACCTCCCACGAGCCCGGCATACCAGAGCATGGCGAGCCAGACGCCTGGTAGCCTGAGGGTCTTCCATGGTGCTAGGAAGTTTGGCACGAAAGTTGAACCTCCTTGAAATGTGTATAAACGCATCAGGCGTGAGAAATTTGCTGATTGTTGCCCAGGGTCTAAAGACTCTTCCGGGTGAGATGGCACATTCTCGACGAGCTCAGAGTCCTTATCGTTATGATTCTTGCTCATTTCGTCGTCCGTAATTTGCTCAGTGGTTGTCGCTAGAGGCCCCCTGCTGTACAGGCTTTCCGGCAGAAGAAACACGCACGCGACGAAAAGGATGGCTGACAGGATCACATTTACCCAATGAATCCACGCCAGACCCTGATTACCTGCGATGTATCCTCCCGCAATCCCTCCGATGATTGGACCGAGCGCGATACAGACAGTGTAGCATCCCTGATGACAGCGAACAAGGAGATATTAGCAGGGTCATTTCGCGGCCTTATTCAGACTTCCCAAAACATACCATGGCTCTCCCTTGTTGGTGTGTAAAGAATATCTCCCCGACTATATTTGGTGCAACTGCCAAGATGAGTTGGTCAGTCTCTTTTTTCAAAATTGAATTTAGGACGAGGCTCTTACTTGTATCCGCTGGCGCCACAGCAACTCCCATGAAGACTCTAGCAGCCAATAGACTACCGAAATTATTCGCGAGGCCGGCCCACATGGACGAGAATACCAGCAAAAGGATATTGCCGAGAATGATGGGCCGCCGACCAAATGTGTTTGCCAGTGGTACCCACCAGATGTTGGCTGCTCCCATCATAAGCACGTTGACCTGTCTGTTGCCTTAGCCAAGCTCTCGTAGTGTAAGTCTTGGAAGTTTTCTTGACATACCGCAACCAGATGGGTCAATCTTCCTATTGAGACTGGGGGATCAAAAGCCAGCGGAGTGACATATAACGGAAAGGCGCTGGCGATGGATGACGATGTGAAATTTCCGACAGCGGCATACATTGACATGCATATTAATGCGGCTATCTTGCGCCATGCTGTCCAATTGAGGGGATCAAGCGGGTCAGAGGAAGGCTGAGGACTCAATCGTAGTTCTTGTCCATGGACTCTGTGTCTCTGCTCTGTTACGTGTGATGGATGTGCTAGTGGCTTATGTGAGTTTTATCCAAACGCAAAATGTCACTCCAGATCAGATGTCGCCTTCTCACCTGACAAAGTAACAGTCCCTGGGGGAGTGGCGTCTGTCACTTGCCCTGCGGACATGGAAAACACCTCTTTATACCCCACCATCATATGTCTCTTATATATGAAAAAGTAAGCAGCTTTAGAAAATCGGCGAAAACTCTTTCAGGTAACATAAAAGCGTAGGACCATGGCTGTTTATATGCTTACCTTGGCGACTAGGAATCGTTGCCCCGAAATGACATTCAAGCTGTGGCTGTCGGGATCACATTTTCGGCTCCACTAGCTCACTGTCATGATCCTTTCGGGTTATCACATATCGGTCAAGGGTAGCATAGAAACTAGCAGGGCTTGAGTTGGGGGTGGGGGTGGGGGTGGATAGCTTATGCGGGGGCCCCGCAAAGGGTTCAAGGGTCCAGGTTTGGAACTACTTGGCAATTCTTAGCGATCGAGCTGGTAGAGATTGGGGCTTTTGCAATCCTCAATTTCAGAGGCGGCTCGGTGCTAGATAAGCCGAACAATCGGGGAGTTCTGAGTCGCGATCGACTACAAGTCACTAAGAAACAACGTGAGCAACCCGGATGCCATTAATGGAGGCCAGGGATTCTGCCTTGGCAGACGCCACAATGCAAGGAATTGAAACTATCAATGAGTCCACCTGCGTATTTGGAAAGGTAAGAAAGAACATTTCAAACTCAGTGGCTCATTGGTTTGGGGCCCCCATTTCCAGGTAAGCAAGACCTACTTGAAATGTTAGAATATGATCATTTACGATATACACTGCTAGCAAATATGTTAAACTTTTTTTTTTTATTCAAGCCAAAGCTACCAAGAATGGATAGGAATTTCGTAAAAACATTACGGTATGATAACAAGGATTTATTCTTCAGAAAACAAATTACTCTTAATTCGGGTAACTATCTTTCACATTCCAGGGTCTTCAACCACCGCTTTCTTGGCTACCTAGAATATCAATGAAAGACCACCTTCTCTCCATAGTAGCTGATAATGATATCTTTACTCAACATGCCACTGCTTTGGTAGAGGAGCCAGTGTATCCCAAGTTGATGAAAGTTTCATAGTTCCAGTAGTCTGCCTGTGTGCCTTCGCCACTGACAGTCGCGTTTCCAGTGAACTTAGCAGTCCAGTAGGAGCTGCCTTGAGTGTACTTCTTCCATGCTGCAAGACCAGTCTGCAAGTTCTGTTCCCGACTCGAGAACGTGTTGTCGATTTCTGCTTGAATAGCCCATTCTCCAATAAAAACAGGGAATTTCCCATCACCAGGGGCACTGACAGCATCCTCACAAATGTATTCCGTCAGATTCGCTGAGCTGGCTGCACGGCCCGCAAAGTAGTAATTGTGTACGTCAAACACCAAGTTCGTTCCCGTGGTGAATTTCGAGGACCAATACTCTTCTCCCTTGAAGCTGCCCTGGAACATCACAGGGATTCGAGAATTGACAGCTTGAACTTTAGAAATGACTTGGTGAATATAGCTTTGCACCCATTGAGCACCACTATCAGTGAGGCAATATGTACTCCCAAAAAGTGAGAGATCAGCAACATCGACGGGCTCATTGATTGGCTCGATTGTGAAAGACTGAGGGAACTGAGAGCTCTGAATGAAGGCGATGACTGCATCAACAGCCTCCAAAGAATATTTGAGGGCTGTCGCGTTGTTAAACCAGCCATAATGACCCACAGCTTCCCCGAAAGCCATTCCATTGACACCACCAGGAAGAGAATGAATATCAATGATGATGTGCATGCCGTACTTGTTGATAGCGTAGCTCGCTATATTTTTGAGGGAGGACTTTTGATTCCCAGTATAAAGCTGAGAGCCCGGGACCTTGATCCAGGCAGCATAGGTAGTCGGGATTCGAAGGACGTTAATACCCGCCGCCGCGAAAGTATCAATGTCGGAGGTGGTAATCCAAGTCGCGTACCGGCGCTCAAGGACAGGACCACACTGAGTACCAAGATGAGCGCAGAGATTCCATTCATCTGCGGCTCCACCAGAATACTGAGCCCACCAGGTAGTGTCAATGGTAGACTCCTGCTCCAGCCATCCACCAAGGTTGACTCCGGTAGCACTGAATGTCGTCCAGTTCAAGTACTTTGGAGTGACAGCAGAGGAGACCATCGCTGCATTTGCAATGCCAACCAGCACCATCACTGAGTGGAAATTCACCATGATGTTTGGTGAGAATAACAAGATAACTTTGTTGGATTATTGGAAAACAAATATGCTCAGAATATTTCTTGCCTTAACATGTAAGTAAATCAACCAAAGGATGCCTTTATACTAAATAAGCTTGACCACACTGTTTTGAAACTTATACATAGAGCTGGGGTCCTTTCCCCGCACCGTATCTGCAACATTGGAGAGAGATATCGGGGTCGAGCTAAGGTTGCAATATCAGACAAATGACAACTATGAATATTACGCAATTTAAGCGACCTGCCCCATGGGGAACAAATATACTTAGGCTATTTTTTCTTTAACTGAATTTCCGGGAATTGTGTCCACATTCCGCATGACTCCTACCCTAATTTATCGCTCTAGAGCAGCATTGAAGTTATACGGACAAGACTCCAAAACCGAGAGACAGGGAATCTACATCCTGAAGCAACTATACCAAACTCAGCAGATCAAATCCATGCAAGGCGGTACAAGGCTTTCGTATTAGAGAAGGGCGCCAGGTCCCAAATCGGTCTAATCGATGTAAGATGAGTAGATCTGGGGGTTATATTGAAGCCTGTAGACCATCAAGGCCGTACGGAGGGAAGCCGAGTGATGCACATGACAATGAAAAGATTATCTTATAAATAGCGTTAATAGGAATAGGTAGCAGATGGGCTACGTGCCGAAAATTCCTGGCACAGGAGTTTCGGTTGGGCGAAGCACATCTACGTCAAAACAAGAAAGAAAGAGGTTCAGAATGTAGCACGTCAAGCCGTTGACTAGATGAAAAGGGGTCCCTTGACGTCCAAAGCACCAATTAAATTCGTGCCCCCAGGTGCACGCAGGTGATCTTTACATATTCTCAGTCTGCAGCGTCCAAGTAGAGTGAATCGGGATGTGGAGAGACCCGTATCACGGACTATATGTTAAATCCAAGACATGTGGCTGGCTTAAATTGGAGAAAAGCTCAAAGCTCTCGAGCAATTTCGGTTCTATAAAACCCGAAAGGTCATTTTGGTCGCCAATAGACAAAGGAGCCCTGCTTTGTTCGGCCTCGATTGACACGACGTTCTCTGATACCCCGCAAAATGGCGCTTACCACGAGCCAAAATTACTTGGCAAGCTTCAACTGTTGGTCTGTAATGGAACAGCCAGTCTTGAATTCACGAGATAATGCTCGCCCTTTAATACGCCAATCATTCCCCCTCTTTGACTCGTCTTTATTGGTAAATAGTTCTGGCATTCCACAGCAATCCTATCTTTGCACCTCAATCATTCCGCCCTACTTTCTTCATCATGGAGAAGTCCAGCACTCATCACGATGAGATTGGAAATGTTGAACGCGGCCTGGGTCTGCAGGCTGAGCTGGATACAGACAAGCAGATCCAGGGTCGCGCAATACAACAACAAGAACACAATCGAGGATACCTGGAGACTATCCGAAAAGATCCCCGTCTTCTTTTCTGGATCGGAGTCATGCTCTGGACCTTGATTGTTCGAGGCTTTGAGAATCAATCCTCTGGCTCCGTTATCAGCATTCCAGACTTCAAGAAGAGATTCGGCACTCTTCAGGACGGGCAGTACTTTATTGACACCAAGTGGCAATCTGCCCTCAGCGGGGGTCCAATGCAGCTGCTATTCTGGGCTCGTGGGCTGCCTCTTACATGGCAGATAAGATCGGTGCCAAACCAGTCATCCTCGCCTCAGCTGTCATCAATATAGTATCAGTCGGCATCGAGTTCTCGACGACCTCGATCGGCATGTTCTTCGGTGGTAAAATGCTGAATTTCATCGCTATCGGGGCGTTTCTCAATATCTGTACGGCATACGTTGCGGATATTTCCCCACTCGCCATTCGGGCTTCTGTCATCGGCTTCTGCAACCTCTCTCAATGTATTGGACCATTTGTCTCCGCTATCATGTCGTACTATACATCCTCTTGGGATAGCGCTTGGGCATGGAAGTCTCTAATCTGTGCTCAATGGGGCTTTGCTGGTGTCGCATTGATTGGGCAGATCTTCATGCCTGAGTCGCCAGTTTACCTAGTCCGAAAGGGCAAGCTCTCTGAAGCACGAAGCACATTGCAGAGATTATACTCGGACCCGAAGGATGCGGAGGGCCACCTAGAGCGAATCAAATTGACATTGGAGGAGGCTGAGGTACAAATGTCTGCTTCATATGCTGAATGCTTCCGTGGAACCAACCTTCGTCGTACTATGATCGCTACTCTGGTCTTCCTAGCTGAGCCTATGTCTGGACTTGGCTTCGTTTCCAATTACGGCGCCCTTATGTACCAGTATCTTGGAATCAGTGACCGTCAATCGTTCTTGATCCAAATTGGGGCCCAGATTCTCTCAATTTCCGGAGCTACCATCTCTTTTCTTATTTGTGATATGTTTGGTCGACGCCCCATGTTCCTTGGTGGATGTATTGGTCTTACTCTGCTATTGTTGTGTATGGGTATTGCTGGCTCGGTCAACACATCTGCAGCTACTCTGGCAGCAGTCGGCTTCTATACGATGTACAACTTCTTTTACAATGCTGGAGTTGGGTCCAACGTCTACACCATTGCTGGCGAGGTGCCTACGTCGGTCCTGAGAACCAAGACTCTCGCTATCGCTCTCTCCATCTCCGCTGCCGTTAACACAATGTGGTCTTTTGTCGCTCCTTACATATTTAACCCGGGGTATGGGGACCTCAAGGCTAAAATCGGCTTTGTGTTTGGTGCTTTTATGCTCATTTTTGCTGTGCTCGCGTTCTTCTTCGTTCCTGAGACCCGACGCCGAACATATGAGGAACTTGATGAGCTGTTCATGAATCGCGTCCCGACTCGTGAATTCCGTCGCTATGTGACTGTCGCAGAACGACGGGCGGCAGAGGCGTATAGTGCCAAGGAGAAGATGGCTGTTATTGAGGAGTGATGTCAATTTCGTTGAGACGGAAACCCATGGCACTCAGGATCATGATCGTGAAATTGCCAACGTATCTATTAGTGGTAGTACTACAATCAAAGAATATAACATCAAAAATGTGGTCCTTTCCCTTTACATTCAAAGCGCCAATTGTGCTCCAGTTGTGTCCAGAAAAGGATCTGTATGCCAGGACAGAATCCAAAAAAATTGTCCCCCTACCCCAGACCATAGTCCATTGAAAGACATCGAAAGTTTACCAAACCACGCCAAGGCAATGGACGCATAGGCACGACAGAGCCCACACAATAAAGGGGTAGGCCTGTAGCCCGAATGGTAGAAATGGCAACAGATAATACCTTGCCGGCAATGACGAAACGATCTACTTCACACGAAAGTGAGGAAGGACTACAACTACAATCATGGAAGACGTGAAAAGCAAGAGTTTTGCACTCAGCATCATTATGTTTCATTTAATATGAAGTGTGCCAGCTACATCAGCTCAGGCAGCACGATTTCTGGTATCAAGAAAAAAACCCATCCGGTACGCAGTGTTGAATGCAAGACCATCCCGGTCAAACCCACGCCAGTAAAATAGAAAAGCACACAGCCCAGGTTTGTGGAAAGCCACTTTTTATGCCGTTGAAGGACAACCACTAATGGGATTCTAAGTTGATAAAGAATCCCGAATGCCAATCGTAACATCGTCGAATCATGTTGAAAGTCTATATCTCAAGAAAATGGAATATCGGACGCAATTGGAAAAGCTTTTTCTTAGGAGGTTAAGAAAAGTGTGGTTGCGTTGCGCTTAGTAGCGGTAGATCTCGGCCTTGAAGGGGCCAGCGACCTCGAGACCGAGGTACTCAGCCTGGACGGGGGTAAGCTCAGTCAGCTTGACGTTGACGTGGGCCAAGTGGCAGCGAGCGACCTGCTCATCGAGCTGCTTGGGGAGGACGTAGACACCAACGGGCTTGCGGCCAGAGCTGCCAAACTCAATGTACTTGTCACCGAAAACGGCATCCTCAGCCTTGTACAGAGCGATCTGGGCAAGGACCTGGTTGGAGAAGGAGCAGGACATGACGAAGGAAGAGTGGCCAGTGGCACAGCCGAGGTTAACAAGACGACCCTCAGCGAGGAGGATGATGTGCTTGCCGTTGAGGAGGTAACGGTCGACCTGGGGCTTGATGTTCTGGACGGACTGAGCGTTGGCCTTCAACCAGGCAACGTCGATCTCAATATCGAAGTGACCAATGTTGCAAACGATGGCGTCGTTGCGCATAGCCTCGAAGTGGCGGCCAACCAAGATGTCACGGCAACCGGTGGTGGTGACGAAGATCTGACCGATGGCAGCAGCCTCATCCATAGTGACAACCTCGAAACCCTGGACAGCGGCCTGGAGGGCGTTGATGGGGTCGATCTCAGTGACGAGGACACGGGCACCCATGGAGTGCAGGGCCTGGGCGCAACCCTTACCGACATCACCGTAACCGGCGACGACACCGATCTTACCGGCGATCATAACATCGGTGGCACGCTTGATACCGTCGATGAGGGACTCACGGCAGCCGTAAAGGTTGTCGAACTTGGACTTGGTGACACAGTCGTTGACGTTGATGGCAGGGACCTTGAGGGTGCCCTCCTTCAGCATGCGGTACAGGTGGTGGACACCGGTGGTGGTCTCCTCGGAGACACCGAAGCAGCCCTCGAGCATCTCGGGGAACTTCTTGTGGACGAGGGAGGTGAGGTCACCACCGTCATCGAGGATGAGGTTGAGCTTCTTGCCATCCTTGAAGGCCTTGAGCTGCTGCTCGAGACACCACTCGTACTCCTCCTCGGTCTCACCCTTCCAGGCGAAAACGGGAACACCGGCAGCAGCAATGGCGGCAGCGGCGTGGTCCTGGGTGGAGAAGATGTTGCAGGAAGTCCAGGTGACCTCAGCACCGAGAGCGGTGAGGGTCTCGATGAGGACGGCAGTCTGGATGGCTGGAGAGGAGGTCAGTACAATTCTTCTTGTAGAGTTTTTAGTAAAGAAACGTACTCATGTGGAGACAACCGGCGATACGGGCACCAGCCAGGGGCTGGTCAGCGCCGTACTTCTCACGGATGGCCATGAGACCGGGCATCTCAACCTCGGAGAGCTCGATCTCCCGGCGACCGAAGGCAGCCAGGGACTGGAGAACATGAAGTTAGTTGATATCCAAGACATTGATCAACGTTGACCTCCGATGAGGACAGAGAATGGGACACATACGATGTCAGCGACCTTGAAGTTGTGGGCGGGGGCAGCCATTTTGTATGTGTGAATTAATGACTGCAATGAGAGAATTAGCAACAATTGCAGTAAAGAAAATAATGTTGATGAATACTAACCAAGAAAAAGGGAGAAGGATGGGGGATAGAAAAGGAAAAGAGGGAAGAGAAGAGAATAAAAAGGGAGGGGAACGCAGATCCAAGAGGAGGGGGGGAAAACTTCGGGGACCCATGAGTTTGTTTGGGTACCTGCTTTGCCATATTATTTTGTGTGTGCACACAGGTACCGGTACTTAGTCGGTCAGCCCACTTAAGCTAATGGTGGGGTCGATCTTAGTCATGCATATCGGCATCCGACGGACGCTGAACCTGCCGAATAGACTGAGCTGTCATATGCGATTAGGGACCCTGGGGAATGACTTCGGAGCTCGAAAACTTTCGGTCTATTTTACATATCTCGTCTATGCGGGCAAATGCAAATTGTTTCAAAGGGATTCCATTCTCGTCCCCAAAATTGAGATCTTAGAGTATTGCAGCCTCGTGGGCTTACGGGCTGTCAAGGAGCTACATAAAGTTATGGAATGCCCCGCTTGCCCTAATGGATCTTCTGACTCGGCGAGTAGAAACTCCGTGGGAAAACACATGTTGAGAACCCACCAAGAGTGTACAAATCAGAATCATGTTTCATAAGATTCGTTTTAACAATAATAATAAAAACATAAGAGGAACATTGCGGCATACCACGATTCCAGATAAAGCCTCGTCGCATCATCAATCATAAATTCATTTCCTGCCCGAAACGCAGATCAAAGGGAAATCCATAATCCAGGCACTAATATGAAATCTGTGCTGGCTCCATGGAAGCATTGTTGTAGGCATGCGACCCATTTCTTGAAGGCGGGTACTCAATCTCATCAGGCCACCGATGCCGCTTAGGGGCACCCTGACTGTGTGAGCGCTTTATGAGTCTCTTCTTCGCTCGTTCCTCACATTCTTCCTGGAAATGCTTGTGTTCCTTGCGCTTCTCGTTGACCTCCTGCCACTCTCCATATGCTCCCTTGATACCCAGTGCCGCTAACCCCACACTAAAAACGTCCATCGCATTGGCCTTCATCCTGCGTTTGCGCGCCTCCTCGGGCGTAATCTTTCCCTCCTCTAGTTCCTGTAGACGCTTCTTCCGCTTCTGAACACTCCCATAAACACTATGTGCCGCATGAACAGTGGCAACTGTGGCCAGGCCACCTGTTAACATCATGTCCCGCTGCATCTTCTTGTGTTTCTTCTTCTCATCATCACTGTCGCCTAAGTCAGAATCACTCTCGGAACTGGAATGGCTATGGGTGCCCGCTTTGGTGACTGCTGCGCTGTCGCCTCCGTTCTCTCCGCGCGACGCGCTAGGGGCTACCGATCGCCTATTGTTATAGGGGTAAGGGGGTTGGGAATATCTTCCGTCCATGGAACGGTATCGACCTACATCTCTCGAGCCTCTGTCCCGTCTCGGATCCCTGCTGCTGCTGCCTCGGTGGTAATAGTCGCTATCTGCGTCGGAGTCGGAATAAGAGTCGGAACGATCGCGGCGGCGCGAATCACGGTGTCGACGCCGCTCGCCTCGCTCACGTCCATCATCTGAACGTTTGTTTGCTTCTTCGCCCAGGCCCAAGGCTGCCATGCCCTTGCTGATGTAGTCTGAGACACTCTTGCTGCGCTTCTTTGAGCCGCGCCGGTCATCATCACTGTCTGAAGATCTACCTCGCTCGCGAGCACGAGATCGGGAGCGAGAGAAACGATCGTATATCTCTTTGCCTGCTGCCGCTATCGCACCAGATGCTGCCAAGTCTTTGAGGCCACTGCTGGATTTCCGGGAATTGCGGCCTCGGGACTGAGATCTGCTTCCGTTCACGAAATGGGTAGCAGCAAGACCTGCCAGAGTAGACTCGACCATGTGACGCTTGCTGTGCTTGTTCGGGTCGCGGTCAACGAGGCCATCAGTTCCAGCAGCTGTGACCGCGGCAGTCAGAATGCGCTTGCCCTTTTCACCGGTCCATTCACCGGGATCTTTGCGAGACCGGAAGGCTTCCACGGCACCGGCTGTGAGAGCGGCACGAGCAGCTTGAGAAATGCGACCTTCGCTGCGTTCACGGCGCTTACGCTCACGATCACGGCTGCGGCTACGCGATCGAGAGTCTGAAGAATAGCGGCGATGACGAGATGAATCGCGGCCACGACCATCACGATCACGACCACGGGAAGCAGCAGCGCCCAGACCGATGGCGCTCATCGCTTGCTCACTGAATGACTTGCGGCGTCTATGGCGAGGTGGAGATGGGCTGGCTGATGGAGAAGAGTATCTAGAGCGGCGCGGTCCTGTATATACGAGTCAGACTAATGCGCCCAAGAAAGACCAGATGTCACATCCACATCTGATACGAGAGGTCAATACATACGACGATCATCATAGTCGCGAGAGGGTCGCGCTCGTGAGCGATACCCATCGTAATACGGATCATGACCACTAACGGACGAGGCACGGCGCACATTTTCGTAGACCGGGCGCCTAGATCGCCGCGAGTCGTAGCCACGCTCATAGACATACCCCTCACCGGGTGGGTAATCGCGCTGAATTTCCTCGACCGACTCATCAGGATAGACTTGTCGCTCGTATCTTTCATAGCGGGGGCTGTCACGGTAGTCTGCAGCGTAGCTCACGGGGCGGGCACGGTCGCGCGGGGCAGGGTACCGGCGGTCATCGTAGTATGCCATGGTTCCGCGTGGGGCCTCTCTCAGAAGAAAAGGGGGGCGTTTATTTGGGTCTTTCTCAAAGAAAACAAAAAAATGTCGTAGAATTTCAAGCCTGTCACCGTTCACAGGGACAAGGGAAAAAAGTGTTGTCGAAAGAAGATCACAATAAGCCGAAAGTCAAAGGAAAATCAATCGAGGCGGGGCAGGTGGCGTGACGTCGTTGGAGGAGCAGGGATCAATGAGGCTGGGCACTTTTGAATCGTGGCTGAGAGACTGTAGGCTGTGATATTATTCCAGGTTAGATAAGACAATTTTTACTTCCCCATGATGATATTTGTGTATCAATAATTGAAAGTAAATTTTGGGGGGAACAGGGGGGCAAAGTAACTCTTAGAATTGAGTGAGTTCCCTCTTTGCTATATATTAATATCGCACAGTTGGAGTCACTGATATGACGTCGTACCGTGCAGATGCTGACCGTAGCTTCAAGGAAAGTGTCGCAGGGACAATGTTACCATCGAATAAGCGACCGATCGGATGATGCCGTGGATCAACTCTCGACCTGTCATGGCCAAGACAAGGCAGATGGTCCAGGCGCGCGACGTCATGCTGCAGGGATTCTTCCCCAAGGAGTGGCTAAGCCTTGCCGGTGGGCTAGTTCGTCGCTTCTGGAACAGGTCCGTCAATTAAGACTGAATCATTATCTGACCGCTATTTGGGCATCGACTCTTTGTTTAAAGTGAGAAAGATCTGAACTTACTATGTAACGACGTCGGATAATACAGCGAGATAACGTTGGAAGTATAGGTAGATTCTCGTCAACAATCGTTCCACGGAACACACTTCGGCTGATCCCGCCGTCCAAACGGATTTGAGGAATTTACTTGCGATTGTCACTCATTTATCAATCAGAAAAAATTTATGTTGCTCGGTGCAGCCAGAACTGGTCGTACACATGGTCATTCCATTCATGGTGATCCTTGCTAAGTACTATACAAAAGCACATCACCCTCCAGTCCTTCAAACGAGTTGGCTTAGTCCAACCATCCAGGTTCTTCATAACACAATATAGAAGCAGATGCAATGGTACATGGGATATACAACAGGAAAGCAAGATAATAACCAAAAAAAGAACCCAAACACATAGGTGACCCCTTTTAGGAAGTCTGTCCCTCTTTGCCCGTCGGATCACTCCCAGTCAGGAGTGACCAGCCGGGCGAGGTGGTGTGAGGAGGTAAAAAAGCCAATTGGCTATGTATGTTCGAGAATCAAAGACAAAAAAAACTCCGGGGCAGAAAATGCGCTACAGAGACAGGATAAGAGAAAATGATGCAGACTGCGCAGCAGCGGGTTAGAGGAAGGTTTCGTCAGGAGATAAAAGGAGAATCCGTATGCAGGTTGTGAGGAAGTATAAAAGAGCAGCCAGTCGGGGAGTGGGACTGGATGATACTGCACAAGTCGTTAAGGGAGGCGTGGTGCACTGCTAGGCGGTGGCATAGACGCATCGGTAGTCTGACTGACGGTCCGATGGTGGGTGGCAGTAGCATATCCAGAATCAGGTCTTGACATAGCCCATCGTGTCTCACTGTCCGGCTCGGAGGTGGTCGAGCGCATGTCGTCGGAATGTGTGCGGTGGGTTCGGATGTGTTGCTTCATGTTATCTTTGCGAGTGAACGCCTTGTTGCAAATGGGACAATGCACACTCTTCTCACCCGTGTGCTTCTTGCCGTGGCGAGCAGCATGGCCGGATGTTGTGAAGGTGGCCGAGCAGCCATGGCTCGAAGCATATGGACACGGATACTTGTTCTTTCGCCCTGTCCCCCGGATACCAGCCCCCTGGGAGGATTTGTTCTCTGATGGTGCAGCGGAATGGATCTCTGGGGGTGTCCGCGGTGGGGCAGGCCCGCGAGAAGGATACCGATATGGGTCCCGTCGCAGGTCCTGCCGGGCGTACGGGTGGTAACCGACTGATGACGGTTGGCTTAGTAGGTAGTCGTAGGCTGAACCATCTGAGGAGCCTGGTGAAACGGGTTGCACGGCCTCGTTGACAGGATCTAATGGGTGCCGATATCCTCGCGGGGACACTGTGGGGGACTCGGATGATGCGAGCGGGCGCGAGAATGCGTCGCTGACGGATGGAAGGCGCTGGTACTGGTGCGGCGGCTCTGACTGGGAAGAGTTCAATGTCCCGCCAACTCTAGGATTGGATCGGACAGCAAACGACGGATTGTCGTCATTGTTGAGGATCGATACAATGTTCGCCCTGCTGCTGACGGACATTTCCTCAGTGACCCGATGCACGGTCACCGGGGCTGGGAAATTATACTAGAAAATGAATATATATTAGTATTTTCGCCTTCACTTTACCCGCTCGGCCGGGTCTAGGTACTCGAGATGATCTGACAAATTACAGATGAAACGGAAGAGGGTGGAGAGACAACAGAGAAGGAATGAGAGGGGGCTTTGTGTCTCCGTTGCACCCCTAACAGGGCATTACAAACGTACCAGTGGTTCCCGGAAGATGTTTGTTTTCTGTGTCGTATAACACGTCGACAACATTAGGCCCTAGAATAGGCACCTTTGGCCTGCAGACCTAACAAGAAACCCAAAAAAAGACTCGAAGCTGTACTTCGTGTCTTTTTCTTCGGAGAAGGTGTGGCGAAGACCAGAGAGCGCAATCGAGGCGATCTCAAAAAATAAATAACAGGGTCGATCCCCACCCTTAAATGACCGGGGGGTAGCTCGTGCTGGCGATTGTCGTTGTAGATAAGAGTCTGGATGCCGGTTTCCCACGACGTTGATGTTCTCCGACACAAACTTTCACAATTTCCCTTTTCGATGATCGGGTTCCTTTTTTTCTTCGTTTTATCTCCCGTTGTTCCAAAATCCGTCGTGGGGGAACACAGTTCTCAACGGCAGTTGCAAACCGGCCTGGGGATCTTGGCTGAGGTGATCAAATACACAAAATTGCTAGGTCGTGAATTTTGGGAATCGAGCACTAGTCACTTTCTTCCAGAGAATTCTCAGGCTCCTAAGAAGAGATCGAAGATCGAAGAATGGTTCCTTTTATATCACGGCTGTGTTGCAAGAAATAGAGTTGGCTCCTGGTTTCATATGACGGGAAGGTGAGTGGCAAGGAGGGGAAGACGAGATGCGTGATAGATAGGCGAGATGAACCAAGATGACCCAAGAAGGAAAGAATGGTTAAGGGGAATCAAAACCAAAGGGAAAGTCAAGAAGGATGAAGGATACAGTAGCAAGAAGTAGACTCGGAGAAAAAAAAAAAAAAGACAATTTTACGAAGCAATGTTCCATTTCAGGTACTAAACATACTAAATATGGCGCCAGGCAAAGCCAAGCTTCCAGGGTCTGTTCGGCGAGGCTCCCCCAGAAGCTCCAGGTATTTTCATACGTTGATACCGAGCGGGCTTGGGAGTGGAGCTATTCCACTTGGGCAATACAAGGGAAAACAGCATACGTGTGTATTTGGGTAATCAAATAAGAAATGGAGACATGAAATTAAATAAAAAGACTAAAAAGATTAAAAAATATTCCCAGTACCGACAGGACCCCTAATCCACACCTGGAACTATGGCGGTTTCTGTGCAGACCCGCGGGCTCCGTTTCTTCCGGCCCGCCCCATCTCGACCCTGGCGGGGACGGACTCGTCAGCTAAGATCTACTTTGGTCCACGCCAATGGTAATTTGAATCATGGCTTTGATTATACTTTGTTTGATTTTCTATTTTTTCTTCGTTTTGCTTTTCTCTGCTCATATTCCCCGTCGCAGATTGCAGACGGATTATATGTGTTAACATATCGGAGCTTGTCCACCGATGCTCCGACTCCACCTGGATTCCCAATTCGACTAGGGCTTCGGTTGGGCCAAGCGAAGTGGTACTCTAAAACAGAACTGTTCATATCGGGTGAACTACGGGAAAATTAAAATTAAAAAGAAAGTTGTAAAATATCTAAGACGGCCCAGAAAGTCTTTTTACCCTTTGTTCCATGGACCCTGGGAACGATAATCGGCGCAGGGACTCGATTCCTTGGATCACCCAGTTCGGTCGGGCTTTTCTTTAGCCATGCTTTTTGCCTCTCGGGAATATCTTTAGAGATGGCATTTTATATTATTGACAATAGCTATACACAAAGCGTATCACGAGGACCCCCTTTCCTTTGACAGAAACAGTCTATTGAATTTTTTGTACAGTGCGCTGGGCTTGGGGGCGAGCCGCTGGAGTCCGGGGACATACGTAAGTGATGATGTTGCGCTCATCACTTATCCTTATTGGGAACTCACCTCCGGGTCCGAGATTTAGGCGGTGGGGATTGGCTCTGCAAAGACTGGATGGTTGCGAAGCCCTATCGTCCCGATTAATTCTCCTTCCGTTCTAGTGGTTAGTCCTGCAGGGCCCTGGAAGATGTCTATACCGGAGAAAAAAAAAACAATTTTGATCCATCGAAAGAAAGAATAACCCACCTGATCTACAGGGCTATCGATTCCAAGCTCTTAGAAGTCTAAATGCATACCTTCAAATGTTCTGAAGAATAATGTGCCCTTGTTACCGATCGACATAAATGCTTTCTGTAAGTGGCATCTTGTACCGAGTTTTCACTGGGAAGACAAAACGAATATTTTTTCTATCTCAAGTTTATTCGCATACACGAAACATATTACGAGCCACCTGCGACCACGTAAGCAGATAAGGCTAGAAGCAAGACCGGGATCGCTCCTACGTCCCCTAGTTGCGTACATCCCTTGAACAGAGCCCGAACGAAAATTAAAAACAGCTACGGGTCCAGGGGGGAGCCACTCCTAGCCCGTGCAACCCTCGTACTCGTACGCGTCTACCGCCCCGCCCCGTGAACCTGTGTCTGCGCGGGGACTCTCCGCCCAGCGTACGTAAGTCAGCAACGTATGAATTTGACTACTCCTTGTCAACGCCTTGTTTTGATGTCTGATAGTGCCATGGGGTCAAAAATACAGAGTCAAAATAACAATGGGTCCTGAAGTCCCCGTGCACATACTCGCTACAAAGCAAAACCTCTTGTTCCACCCTCAGGATGCAGACCGATTACGACTCCTAGCCCCTCAATGGCACAAGCCAGCCACATGTGGTCTGCCGATCAGCCAAGCTTCTACATCTCCCGATCTTGACCCTGGACTCAAGGGTTATGTGGTTTGTGCTGAGAAAAGCAAAAGAGGGGGAGAGGTCACAGACCCGATATGAAGAAAAAAAAACCACTGAAAAAGACATTGATCCTAGATTTGAACCGTTGGGTGTATCAAGCCGAGCGATGATTTGCTCGGCGACGACGCTTAACGGGGCATACGTATGCAGTCTACGTATATCTGTCCCCCACTGGGCTGAACTAGCCCCGATCCAGCGATTATGCTTCCCTGCTTATCCTGACTAGTCAAACTAGTGCTCGCATCACGCCCATGATTCGTACGTTGCCCAGCCTTGGAAGATTACGCCACTGTTTTTGACTTGTCAGGGACTTTTTTAGTGCGGTTCCTCCGATTTTAATTTTTTTTAACCCTTTCCCATGCGGACCCTTTTTTTTTAATTTACACCTAGTCTTGGTATTTATACGCCATTTCTTACCCTGAATGCAGGGACTCGTGGCCAGTCCCCTCCCTTTTACCATATTAAGCCTAGTCTGACGTCAATTGGGACCCAGCTTCTGAAGTCCATCCCCCATCCCTACTAGTGCTATGGAGCTACTAATTTACGACTGCTGCACCTACTCAAGCCTGCCCACGCGGCCTCTACTGCACTATCTTATACGCCAGCCGCAGGATCTTGGTGGCTTGTAAAATTGATCCCAAGGGCGTTCTGGTCCTTTTGAATCGGGGTGTTGTCCAAAGAAGCTTACAATGCGATTACTTTTTGGACCCCAACTTAGTAACACACTTTGAATTTGACATCGGGGTATTTTGTAGATGAAGAGGAAATGAAATCTAATCGATTGGTTCGATCGATAAAGAACCACTGGGACAAAAGAAGTCTAAACCCAACTGACATAATTGGCATAAAATTTTTGACACCCGCTTATCAACCTTAGAAATAAATTAATCGGGGACTGGAGAAAAAAACACGTGGTAAAAACAACAAGCCCCATAACGGTACCAGTTTTCTGGTCGCTAAGCTTCTCACCTCCAGGCCTCCCCAATAACTTGATTCACACAGCCACAGCCCCGTTTTCATTCTCTTCAACCTTGCTGCCTGGCTTCCAGAAATGCCCCTGTCAACGAACCACTGACGTTCATTCGCTCGGTACTTCACGGGATACTCCATAGACGATCCGGCACCATTGTCCCGGTGTTTGTATGTTCCAGGCGATTGCTGTTCCCGGCTTATGCAGCTGCCTACACAACCACTCCATCAACGCTCGGCCCCGATCGCTCTGTGGCGCATGTCAACGCATCTTGAATCTGGGTCGAAATAATACATAACAGATCTATTTCTAGTGTTTTGGTCAATGCTTCTCGCTAACTTGACTACGTACGTAGTCTAGCTACTCCATAGCTATGAAGCTACTCCCCATATCTTGCGAAGGAACCCGTATACCAATAAAAACCGAAACAGCGCAAGAATCGCGCTACGTCATTACTTATGACTAGTAATAATGGCATGATACCGGCAATAATAATAGCACGAAATCATTACTTATTTCAGACACGTCGTGGAATCTAGTGCGTATGTTGTCCGCAGTCGACTGTTCCGCCTAATAAAGTTTGCCTAGTTTCAAGCTTCTTACGCATCAGCTCCTGTCGCGGCCATCGCGTACTACAGTAGATACCAAGAAGTTTGCGTACTGCTGTTCTACGGACAGATATCTGATCAAAGCCTTGGCAACCAACTGACCGCTTACATAGCAACGAAAATCATTGCCCTGATCCTCGCTTACAGCAGTGATCCACAGGCCCCATCCACGGATAAACGGGGTACGAAGGAGGTAGTTTACACGTATTGAGATAATATGACTAGCCTTCAGCCTGCGGGCGACAAAGAAAAGAAAAGAAACCAAGTCTGCAGGTTCACAAAAACAAAATATCATTCCAATCAATTTGCTCCGTTCCAAAGACGTTGGGTTATCTAGGAGATTATTTTCTGACAGATATCTGCAGGGGGCCAGATAAGCCCAGGTAAAGCCACACACACCTCATACAGCGGAAAAAGTGGATCACATATATTAAAACCAATTTCGGCGCACGAACTTGTTTTCACTTTCATGAGAAACGACCCCCAGATGGCTCCATGATTCACGAACATCTGACCAGTAACCCTGATTAACGGCTCCCACATCCGAAACTTCTACCTATGTCACGCCTGATTCATATACCCCTCAAACCCTACATATGAACCCCAACGGAAACTCCGTCAACAACCCCGAGCGCGTATTTCTAGACCTATAAGCACCCTGCAGCCCAGGATACCCTTGGACAGAATCAAGTGCCCTCCATAAGTAAGCCCACCAACCATTGCGTTACAAAACCACACCCGACCCAACCCACACCCAGCACTCCCATTCGATCGGCACACACAGGGTCCGGCCGACAGAGCTCAAAGTGGAGTAGGAGCGGGGAACGTAAATCACAGAATTCGTCCGTGGTAGGGGAGGAGGTGACGAATCCCGGATTCGTAGACACTGGGCTCGATCTGGATCCGGGCCGAACTGCTTAGTGGAGTGTGTAGGCACTAAGCGTTTTACGAAGCTTTTGACGGCTCGGTAGGGATGACTACGGTCATGTCCGGCAGGGCCACTGCCACTTTCTTTGCGTTCCGATAGAGTGGATGAGTAGAGTGGGTGTGGCTTAGTATAATCATCGGTGGATGGAGGAGCAACGTACTGTTCATTGTCATGCAGGTCAAAATGAGGGTCATATTTACATACACAAATGGAGACATATACGACCGGATATACAGGTCCGGTACGAAGGATCTGTGGAAGTCCCACGTCGAGGTGTCAAATGAATATCATTGGACAAGGTTTTTTTTTCTTTTCTTGGATTATTGCATACAGTACATGAATACATACCATCGTGCCACGAATATGTATCGGGGTCTGTACTGTAAAACCGGCGGATGCAGGGTAGTTGAACTAGCACACTCAAATCTGCACGAGTTGCGTAAGCGGAAACGTCATGTTGGTGGATGTGTTTAAGCAAACTCCACGCAATTTAGCGACATGCCCTTTACCTGGCCTGTGGGAGATTAATCTGCCTCTTTGGTCACTTGATAGGTTGACCCCTGCATATTCAGTGGATATGCGACATCGCGGCTACGAACTTGTTACGTGGAAGAGGGTTTGATTGGGAGTCCCTGAACGATAGCTATTTCTGAACCTTGGGACTTGCTCTAAGGAGCTTAGGTGGCGAGCGGGAGGGTTTGTTTACTGAAAGCATTGTTGTTTGCGTGATCAGTTAGCTGATGAATTGGCATGGGTCTCGGAGATGAATGAAGCTATACAACACATATCATTTGGCCGAAGTCAACACACTACTTAGCATGTCGTCTAGCGGTCACCACAGTGATGCTATGGGAGTCGATAATTGGGCCCAATGGGTCGAAGCGTTTGATTTTGATAAGCAACGTACGACGCATATTCGCCATAGATCTGTCATGTTATGTCTGATGTGGTTGATAATAGTGATTCGATTCAGTGAGTGACGTGCTTTTGGTATATCCAGGGCTCGGCCTCGATCTTGATGACAGGCACTGACAAAGCTAACCATGTCAGGTTCGAGATAGTGTAGGTTCATGTTGACTTCCTGCAGGGCAGTCCTAGGTGATCCCGGTCAAACCTCAACCCTGACGCAAAACATCGCGCATCCTTGCCGCAGCTCCGCGATGGTTCATTCCTGCATGCATGAAAACCCAACGGGAAACCCTCTGCCCACGGTCGGAGTCCTCTAAATAGCACGGCATAACCTACGAGTTCCTCTATCCTCCAACACCCTCGGGCCCTCGTGATTTGGTAATAGCACGAAGCATCATGTGGCATTTCTTGATGATCCGTCAAGATCCACCATAGGTCCTCTACGCGCTCTGGGATACAACATCCGGAGCATTGAGCCATAAAGAAAGTAAAACTTCCACGTTGTATCCAGGAGACCGGGCGTCGCAATTTTGCGAGTTGTGTGGCTAGTAGCAAGGGTCACGAGGTCTGGATATAAGAAGATTATCAGAGATGATCTGCTGAAGACCTTGGCAAGACAAAAAAAAGATAGGCAAGCCGCGAAAGGAGAAAACCTGACATGACATCTATGATCCTGACAGCAGCGAAATGTCTCGTCCCGGGATCTTTTCTCTCCTTCCCTTGACACAGCGCATGCTTCATTGGGGGATAAACCGTCGGTCGAGCATCCATTGATTTGAACAGCCAGCGGAGAGAATTACAGAGCAAGAATCTTTCGGAAAGATCAGATATGTCCTTCTGAAATGAAGATATTCCAACAAAACTTGTAAATATATCGGTGTCTGCAGAATCGCACACTAGGTACCTTCTCCATTATTCCGATCACTCATTTCCGGGTGCCGATTTATCACTCGAGCATAATTTCATCTCTTTAGATGAGTGATTCCCCGTTCCAATTGTTTGGTTGGTAGTCGAGAGATGATTGATTAATGTTTAAATCGATCTCGAAGTATGTTTACACCTTGGGCACCAACTGGCAAACATGGAATAATCTTGGCTTATTTCCAACGTTGAACGGAACTTAAGGAAGCAATAAAACTCACTTTTCTATGTAAATGTAATTACATTTATTGCTTGTATCCTTGGATAAAATGTATTCAAGACCGGAGATGACTAGCTCACCGGAGCTTTTGGATGTATCCGATCGCGCAGATGTGGGCCGAGCCAGCCACGAATATATATTCGGAATTCGACACTCGATTTTGCAGCCCTGGAGGGTGCTTTTCCGAATCCACAATGGTCGCAATTTGGAGACGTCGGCCACGGAATTTAGAATATGTCTGTATTTCAAAAGACTAGCAGTGGACCTCCTTACATGCTACATGCGAAGTAACAAGGCAACTGTGAAGTAGAATGAGGTAATTCGTGGGGCAATGAGGGGTAGAAAGCAACAACGTATGAGACATCAATTACATCCTCATTTCACTTCCTCTTCACCTCGTCTTGACATTTCTTCTTCCAAGGTTGTGAAGTAATTCAAAATTGAGAGACACAATTAAGTCCTGAATTGGTCTTAATATGCCTCGTCCGGCCAATCGCGAAGAAGTCCTCGCGCGACTTCGCAAGACAGTTGCCGATGGCTCCATCATCGTCGGAGCCGGTGCAGGTAAGGTTGCCCATATAACTGCGTCTTTTATGATCTACTCAATAGAGGCTCTACTGACTATGCCCTTATGCAGGAATTGGCTTATCTGCTAAGTCAGTCGAGGAAGGCGGCGCCGATCTAATCCTGGTCTATAACTCGGGCCGATTCCGCATGGCTGGCCGCGGTTCTCTGGCCGGGTTAATGCCCTACTCAGATGCTAATAAAGTTGTCGTGGAAATGGTGTGTCTACGTCGCCCCTTTCCACTGCTGGACTGCGACCGTCTCACGCGCGCCAAGGCACCTTCCGTAGCTAACATCTGCACTAAACCAGGCTTCAGAGGTTCTTCCCGTCGTGGAAAATACCCCTGTTCTAGCCGGAGTTTGTGGCACTGATCCCTTCCGCGAGATGCCCTCTTTCCTCGCGGAACTCAAGCGTATCGGCTTCGTTGGTGTACAGAACTTCCCCACGGTCGGGCTGATTGACGGCCAATTCCGGCAGAACCTCGAGGAGACGGGAATGGGTTTCGACCGTGAGGTGGAGATGATCGCAGAGGCACACAAGCAAGGGCTCGTGACGACCCCTTACGTCTTCGATGAAGATGACGCGATCAAGATGGCTAAGGCGGGCGCGGATGTCGTAGTCGCTCACGCGGGACTCACGACCTCTGGTTCGATCGGAGCGCTGAGCGGTCGATCGCTGGAGGATTGTGTGGGTTTCGTACAGGGTATTCGAGATGCAGCTGTGCGAGTCAATCCGGATATCCTGGTGCTATGCCATGGTGGTCCAATTGCGCGACCGTCGGACGCGGAGTATGTGCTATCCAGGACTGTGGGGGTGCACGGGTTTTTCGGGGCGAGTAGTATGGAGCGGTTACCGGTAGAGATTGCGATCAAGGAGAACGCGATGGAATTTAAGCGATTAAAGGTCCGGTTGGAGTGATTGGAGAAAAGTTCCAGGAATAATATGGGGTAAGAAGAGGAAATTAGCCGGGATTCCTATTTGCGTGTCCAAACGGGCAATTCCTCCCCGCGTGGGTGGAGCTGCGGGGGCTCAATGTTATCGTCGGTTAAATAGGCGGGGTACAAAGTAACACGATCTGGCAACTTCTTTCGGTTTACTCTCAGGTTATTTGTCTTGCATAGGTGATAGACCGCATATTTGATCCATCACTCAAAAATGGCAAACACAAACCGCGTTCTGGAGGGGAAGCTTGGTCTCGTCACTGGCGGATCCCGGGGTAAGTCCAGGCCCGACGAACGACAAGCTCCAATGCGCTAATAAAAGCTCCAGGTATTGGTGAAGCCATTGCCCGCAATCTCGCTGCGAAGGGTGTCTCGCTACTGCTGAACTTCACATCCGAGTCTTCGCGCGCTCCCACAAACGAGCTGTGCGCCTCGCTGGCCGCGGCCCATGGAATTCGATGCGAAAGTGTCCAAGCGGACCTGAGTAAGCCTGAGGAGGCCGTAAAAGACATCCTTGCGGCCGCAAAAAAGAAATTTGGATCATCTGGAAAACTGCAGATTGATATTCTCGTGAATAATGCCGGTGTCTCAGCCGACCGAAACTTGAACGACGCCGCCAAGGGCCCCATTGACTCCGAGCTTTTCAACTGGCACTACACCATCAACGTGCTCGCCCCCCTTCTCCTCACCCAGGCAATTGCCCCTTACCTCCCCACAGACCGCAGCGGCCGCATCATCAATATCTCCAGCGTGTCGTCATCAATGGGTTTCGTGGGCCAGTCGATCTACGGTGGCACCAAGGCAGCAATTGAGGCCATGACACGCACCTGGGCGCGTGAGCTGGCTGATCGGGCTACTGTCAATGCAGTTAACCCCGGTCCTGTGATAGGTGACATGTACTTCAAGGCTGGCGAAGGTTTCTGGAACGATATTCAAGGTTTCCAGGATAACACTCCTGGAAGCAAGTTGGATGAGAGTGACCCGGACACCATGAGCCGAATCACAGAGGAGCAGGCACGTTTGATTAAAGAAAAGATGGGTGGACGGAGACCAGCGTTCACGAGTGAGATTGCCGGTACTGTAGGAATGCTCTGCACACCGGATGGCCTTTGGACTACCGGAAGTGTGGTTTGTGCCAATGGTGGAATGAGAATGACCGTTTAGAATTCAATGGAAGTCAAAAACAAAGCAAGAATTAGCGGAAACTAATGCAACGAAGTTTTCGTCCCAAATGATTTCATACTTCAAGTCCGCTATTCCCATTGCCACCCACTTGGCAGCCCGGATATCCCTGACCCCACAATTCGCTGCACAAAGGTGTGGGGTGTAATGTGCACAAAAAGACAGCCTTTAGGTCCTTCTTGGATATCATGTGATCATGTGATGGTACTGAGGCCAAGCTAGAAGTTTTCGGTAAGTGGAGGTGAGAAAGTCGGCAGTTCAACGCTAGTCAGTCTGCCGCTAGGGAAGGCTATACCAGCATCAATAAGTTTGCCGGCGCTTGCATCATACAGTCCAGAAAATCGTTCTCATAATGATTGATAAACATGTAGAACAGTAATAGAGCTGCTTTTGTCCATGACAATTAAATTATGTTGTATCATATTATTGTTTGGGCGTCATCACTGAGACAGATTTTGCCGAGGATCGGGAAGTCCGGGGTCCGGGGTATTGCGGGGGTTAGCTAAGGGTCATTGACCTGGAAAACCCATCCAATGCTTTCGTATTGGCGGGGCGGCTTTTGAAACTCGGTTGTCGGGACTTACCGAGACACCAGATCCGACCTTGGCTTACCTGGCTCGTCTGTTTAGTGCTCTTTTTAAGATGAGCTATATTAGCTGTGGGGAAGTGTTCCATGGAATATTCAAAAGCCGATCGCCATAGACAGCCGCACAGTAGAAATATAAATAGCAAAGCAAATCCATTGAACTTCCCCACAAAGAAGACAAGAACTACAGGTCTGACCCGCTTTGAAATGCTGTCTTCTTTCTGTACATTGGGCCTTGCCCTGTTCGTTACCCAGAGCTATAGCCACAGCAATCCTTTAACCATCCCAGCCCCGGGGAAGCATAGTGATCCAGTTGAAAGGGATCTCCAGTCATTTTCTATCGAATTTGCATTCTTTCCTGACTACGCTGGCAATCGTTCAAACCCGAACAAATTTTCAGAGCATTTATTGGAGAACTTCCAAAGGATCACTGGAGTGTACCCGAGAGTGAGAGTTGGAGGAACTACCCAGTGAGTCTTCACTCAAACCACCTCGGGATATGTCTAACCTCGGAAATTTTACTACAGAGATAAATCCAAATACTACCCTGATCAAGAAGAGGGTATTCAGCTCGTATTTGCCAAGCCAACAGACGACCAACCAAGCGAAATCAAATATGGCCCTGCGTTCTTCGAGTCATATCATACCTTGGGTAATATTAAGTTCTCCCATGGTTTGAATATGGCCCAGAATGCTTCACTACACCAGCTCCAACTGGCTGCCGTGGAGGCTTGTACCTCAATCGGGCCCCAGTTGGAAATGTATGAACTGGGAAATGAGTGGGACCTTTCTGGAAGCGATTATCGTCCGGCGAATTACTCACTCCTGGACTATGTGAACGAATGGAACGAAAAATCTGTCTTTGTCAAAGCAGCTACCCAAAAGGCCTGCCCAGGTCTCTTCCCTGGATTTATGGCGCCTAGCTTTGTGTTTATAGATGGAATGACTACCTGGACAGCGGAGGAACTCTACAACCTTGACTATGACCCGCATGACCTCACCAAGGAAATTTCGTTCCACAAGTGAGATCTCTATTCCCACGTCTCCTGAGATATTACTAATATTCCTTCAAAGCTACATGGGAGTCTTCGCCCCACCACTGGCTCCAGTATCCTACGATCTTCAAAGTAGGTTTTGCGATCAGAAATTGTGAACACCATACTAACACGCAAAGAAACTCTTATGAATCACACCAACATTGTCGATAACCTGGCATTGCAAATCCAGCGCATGAAGAATCTCGCTCATCTTGGCCACCCTTACATCCTCGGCGAGACGAACTCGATCGCGAATCAGGGACGTGATGGCGAGAGCAATGTTTTCGGCGACGCCTTATGGGTCGTTGACTTTTCCCTCTGGGCTGCTGCAAATGTATGGACCCTCTCTTCACAGGTAACAATTCGAGTCAGATAACTAATTACTCATGGCACGCAGAACATCAAGCGCCTCAACTTTCACCAAGGTCTGAACTACAGGTACGTCTCTTGGCAACCCATAGCCAGCGAGGGCCAGCCACCTGAGACTAGACCCCCGTATTATGGTCATATCATGGTCGCCGCCAGCTTGGGGCACTCGGAGAACAACAGAATCGTCAATATCCCATTGAAAGAAGACACAGAGTCTGCGTATGGAATTTACGATGGAGACAGGCTATCCAAGCTTGTTGTTGTCAATCTTAATGCGTTTAACCAATCTACAACTACTTGTCGTCCAAGCCGGAAGTACGAGTTCAAGGTTCCTGGGCACTATCAAGGGGCCACAGTGGAACGTTTGATCGCCCCCGGGAGCGACGCTTTGACTAACATCACATTTGGGGGTGTTTCCTACGACTATGACCTCAAGCAGGGAAGACCGGTCACTCTTGATTGGAAACAGGAGAGGGCTGAAGTCCACGGAGGCATGCTACAGATTGATGTCCCGGACTCTTCGGCCGTTTTGTTGTCGCTTAATTGAGCTGGTTTTCATCCTTTCTCGAGTTCGCAACTTGTCTTGAATTAATGCGAGTGCCCGGATATCGGTCATAGCGATGAGTTTGTTCCACAATGATGATTTGCGGTTTAATCAAATAAATAGGTCTTCAGCGCCGCTATATGCAGCCCTTTAAATATTTCGTAGCAAGTAAGAACGGATGGTTCGTCATAGGCCGAACATAAGGCGAGAGTGGGTCAAGTCCCTATTTCGGCCCCCACTCGTGTTCCATCTGGACGGGCCCCTGGAAGAACACGGACCCGAGATACGCTTCATTTGTCAATTCATTCACATCTGATCAATAAATCGGGGAAACACAGGATGGATCATATTGATGCCAAGGCGGCAATGATGAAACTCTTTCGAAGCAAACTTTTCCGCCATCATGGTCTGACTTTGTTTCATCTTAACCCAGGAAAAATTAAAGATCAGCCTTAACGCCAAGAACGCCGAACAAGGATCTGCTGCAATAAGCACAGGAAAAGGCCCGATAACCAAGCTATTTTTAAATACGGTCGCTGCTACTAAAAGATGCACTGCAGCTCCAGCGCAATTTTTCCTCAAACGTGCCCACAATGGCCGAGTCGCGCGAGTCCCAGCGCTCTCTACTGCCTCCCGAAGAGGATCTAGTAACGGTGCGACCGCATCACTCATGGCATCCACTTGGCCGATCGTCTCCTGAGCCCGACTACGCCTATGCGCTAGGCCATTACGAGTCGCGCGAGAGCTTTGCCGAAGAAGTCTTCCGTGAGGTAGGGCTGGGCATCTCCAACGATTCTGGAGATACACTTCCCGCGCGGGAAAATCGCAAGTCTTTCCATTTAAGCGACCATGAGAGTCAACACAGTGAAGCGACCACTCCCGGTTTCTTGAAAACGCCACAGGAAACACCAGCCATCTCGACCCCGCAGCATCCTGACTGTCCCAGCCGATCGACAGTCCTCCAACGGAGGTTTGGATGGGTCCCGGTTTCTATTTTTCTGTTGGCATTATACGCGACCATTTTTTCGGGTGTATACCTCGCTATCGCATTTTGGAAACCGCGATGGAAGACTGTGGGCAGTGGTGCGCCACTGGCTGCGTCCACTGCGAATCTGCTTTGCGCGTTCTTTGCTAAGACGATCGAATTGGCCTATGTGACTATCTGTGTCGCATTCCTGGGTCAAGTGCTCAGTCGACGAGCCATGACGACGGACTCGCGCGGAATCAGTATCTCGGATATGAATATGCGGACGTGGATTATGCAACCAGGTTCGATGCTGGTACATTTTGAAACACTTCGATACTCGGCGTTAACGTTCCTGGGTCTTATTGCGTTAATCGCGTCATTTGTAGCTATGCTATATACTACAGCTGCGGAGGCTTTGGGTAAGTCCTAATACAAGCAAGGGACTACGATAGGAGGGCTAATGATCTTTCAAGTTTCTCCAAAATTGACTCTCGGTCCGGTTGAGAAAACTATCTTGTGGGGGAATGTTAGTGCTAGCTTCGGTAACGAGGTCTACCTTGGCGAGAATTGCCAAACACCGATTCCGGTATCGATGGACTACGCTAGAAACACGACATGTCTCGAAATCCAGCATGTAGGATCGGCCTACCACAACTATCAGCAATGGATTAGTACCTGGAGTGAGCTAGTGACCAGTGGTAACAAAACGTCAGATCAGCTGGCTGACCGACCACCGCCTACTGGCTCCATCTGGGACAATACAACCGTCACTGGTAGCTGGGTCAAAAAGCAGAACATAACCGAGCTATCAGAGAAGCACAAACGCATGGTGAACAATATCACAATGGCATTCCCACACGGTGGTATCCCCGCAGCAGCCATGAATGCAAGAAACAATATCCGCCAGCCAAAGGACGCATCAGGTGAAGGCAAATACAACATCGAAGCCTCGGTTCCATCACCCGTAGTCAATGTCCTATGTGTTGGCATGAACAAATCTGAAATATCTCCATTAGTCTATTCATCATGGCCGAATGCCCACTTCAATGCGACGACCTGGAGTGTTGATGGATCACCCGATATCCCACGGACTCCATCTTGGCTCAACAGCACAGTCGTCGACTCCATTTTCGGCTTCGGTGAGGCATACGGCCAAAGACCCCCGATATTTGGCACATTTCCCGAAGAATATAACACTATTCTCAACACAACAGGTCTCTGGCCTGCAAACGCAATTTACCTTCTCGGCAAGCCATCTGCATCCTCTCCAGAATACGTGATGTGTGCCATGAGATCCACATTAACAGCTGTCTGTTCGACTCACTACGATGCAGAATCAAGCGGCGCCTTCCTTTATACCCAATGCGAGGATGATTCTAATCCCATGCAATATAGCCGCTCTGACACTGTCTTCGAGGAGGGCGTCTGGTTGGCCGATTGGAAGGACGTTGCCAGCGAATGGGCGAACGCCCTGAGCCTCGGGTCAGGCATTACAGATTCTCAAGCTAGTAACGAGCGCCTTATCATGCAAATGATGCCGGCGCATGATAACGCAACAGACACATACAGTCTTGACCCCAAACTTCCATCTATCGGCGAGGCGCTCGCTGTCATGGCAGGTAGCACGCTGATTCTCAGCACGCAAGATTCTCCCTTCGTGCAGGGATGGAACTACACAGACACTGTGAATGAAATTCTTCCGACCCCCCTGTATCAGCACTTCAATGCAACCTTACAGGCAGTCGGATATGCTTCGGGCGGCACAGAGGAATGGCAGGGAGTCTTCTTCGTCATTTTGATTTTTGCCTTCCTCACCAGTACCGTGTGCTTAGTGTTCATTATCATCGAAGCCCGCGGACATCAAATCACTGATTTCACGGAGCCACAAAATCTCTTCGCGCTGGCTATGAATAGTCCTCACAGTTCGCTTCTTCGAGGTGCCTGTGGCTGCGGTCCTGCTGGGCCCCAGATGAAGGAGCGCTGGTTTATTGGGATGCAGGAGCATGATGAACACTATTATATTCGTGCAAAAGCGGACGGAGCCACCCCTGAAGCGACATCAACGGGGTATTCGAGGCTTGAGCCTATGGAAACAGACGATTCTGGACTTAAGTCTGTGAGTCCGGCTGTTAATGAGTTTAGAAGGATTTCGAATCGAGGTTCTTGGTTGGCGAAGCTTTATTAGATTTTGATGATCTATGGGCTTGTTATACCTGCTGTTATTTTTCTTGGTATCCATTCTATGATGGGATTCAATTATACCCTTGATTGTACTGAGGGCTACTTAATGGCGTTCAAATGTCTTATATTTGGACCGGCCTCGCCGGCACTTAATGATGACGATTCTTGTCATGAATATACTATGCCCATAACCTTGGAATCTTCGCATGCCATTTAATTAAACGTAATTTAGTCTCCCAATCGTATCAAAATATTATCAAGTCTACTCCTTTCCCATTCGCTTAGCCAGCCATTCCGGAATACTCGGCTTCTGTTCCCACATTGACCTCCAGTCCTGAGACTTAGTAGGCAACGCATAAACAGCAGTCACAAACCAACTCTCCTGACCAGCAGTCATCTCAACAGCTAAAGACGGTAGCAACGTGCGGCCATGAATCAAGTTCGAGTTAGGATCTGCAAGCACAATGCGGCCTGCACGTCCAGCGTCCAAGTTGAGCAGTTCAGTAATGCCCACAGCACCAACAGAGGAAACCACCAACGCACTACTCCCGGTCAGCAAAGTGCCCTCATCAGCTGTATTTCCACCCTCCTCCAAATCTACCAACATCCTCCCATTATCACTCCGACACCCATAAATCGCAAAAGCCCCCTCAGATGTCTTCAGCGCCCGCCCAGTCCGCACCCGATGCGCCCGAATATGCCAGTTCGGTGCCTCAACAGAAGGCGGAACAAGGATACTCTCAACATCCACATCATTCCAAGGCTTCCATCCCGAAACGAGAACAGGAGTTCCATCCACACCCTTAGGGAACTCGAACCGCGCATCAATCGCCACCCTTCTCGTTTTCCATATCTCACCTGCAGCATCATCACATAACGCCAGCATACTGTCAGGCGCATACTGCTCCAATTCGTATGCGCCCGTTGGAACAGAGTATCCAAACGAAGCACTGTAGGCGAATTTCCCATATTTTGCCTGTGTACCACGCATAGCGTAGTGACACGCCTGTCCAGACGAAAGAAGGAACGAATGTCCACCACGTCGGACGAGGATATGTTTTGGGTACGTAAGGGCCTTCACCTCTGGTAAGGCCGAGCTTGGGTACTCCTCTTCCGGAGAGGACCAGAAGGGGTGAGATTCTGGTAGTGCGAGCGCCAGGAATGAGAGACAGCACCAATAGGGCGAGCCAGAGGAGTTATAGTTCTCGGTAAGGTAGGGATTTGAGTAGCAGAAGCCTAAGTTGAGGGTTCCGTCGTTGTTGAAGATGTCCGGTTTGGTAGCCCACCACCGGAAATGGCGGAGTAGGAGACCTTTTACGATGCCCCAGCTTAGCTGTGGTGGGAGGTCGACGTCTGCGTAGGCTAGTGCGCCCCAGAAGCCGGCCATTGCAAAGCGGTAGGTCATCGAGCGGCCGAAGGGGATTGCGCTACCTGCAGGGCATCATTTGTCAGTATGCTATAGTCAGTAGGAGCTTAGAAGGCCTGACTTACCATCTGGAGCGAAGTAGTGCACGAAGTCCATGGCATATTGCTTCGATCGCTGTCGATATCTCTCTGCTCGCTCGGTATCAAAGTCCCCCGCTAACTTTGCGTACAGAAGCTGCAAGAATTGGATAGCAAATGACCCAGAGTAATAATCCATCTGGTGGTGGCTTTTCGGTCCATCATTACTCCAGCCATCACCAATATGGAACGTATCCAGATGATCCATGTCCGCCTCAATACGTGAGTGGGAGTATTCAGCCCCATTCTTCTTCAATCCCAGGTTTGCGAAAACCCGGAACCAGAGCCTGTACACCGAGTCAGTAAGCGTTTGCGTCAACTCATCCTAAAAAATACTAACCAATTCGTATTTGGCATCTCCAACCCATTGATACTTCTCAACCAATTTCCCACATTAAGCTTCTCCTTCTCACTTAGCGGGTCCCAAAAGACATGCGGCGCAACTGCTAATGCAAATCCTAGCGGACACATCTCCACCATCCGCTGATCGGAATTCTCCAAGTCGCCCCAATATTCTGGGCTGGCAGGGTCACATCCATTGATAATACCTGTTCGCCAACGTGCTGAATCGGCATAGTCATAGTTTCCTGCGAGGAGAGATGCGAGACCCCATAGTGGACGGGCGAAGCCTTCGAACTGGGCGCCGCCTTCGTCAAAACGGGTTGCTGTTGAGCCGACTTTGACGCGAGTTTGTTGTGGGGTGAAGAGGGGGAGGAGGGGGTTTAATAGGGCGGTGCAAGCAGATTGGAAATCTTGCCTTGTCTTGAAAGGGTTCGTGCTGAAGGGTTGAGTGGGTGTGGTCCCGTTGGCGTGAATGGACATTGTTAGGCGTGTTTATAGTACTGTGTACAATGTTCTGCACAGAGTGGCCTTCAATGTAATTTATGTTGGCTCTGTAGTTCATGTGAATTGCGGGGTTCTATGTACGTTTATCTTGCTATGGATTTAGTCCGGAGTTTAACCGTCCATTTTGCCGGAACGTGGGGATCCCCCATATAGTGTGGGGGTAACGGCTAAGTCGCCGATATTAGGTCTATTGTGCGAGATATCCCACCTATTGTATTTGATTATAGATGGGTGGCAGTCACTGACTAGCTCTTTCCATGTCTCCTGGCCCCTCATTGAAGTTTAGCTGACAACCAGGGCTCTTGTTTGGTGTGTATCCACTTGCAACGTGATGTTCCCTTTTACCCGGCCAAGACTCTTTGCCCCCCATATATCTCGAGCAGTATAAGAACGATCAGACGTAAGTCCCGTAATATCACCCAAAGACAAATTGACAGTCGTCGCACTCGCAAGCTCACTGAGTACCAATATCAAAACCTTGCTGCCGGTCAACGGGCCAGCCCAAACCTGGATACTCTTGTCAGTACTCAAATCTGGAAGGTATTGCACTGCTTCACCAAGAGAATCTTGTGAGACGGCGATAATCTCCTTGTTTTTCAACACGCCTAAACTCTCATCGGAAAGCATTTGCAGATCGGCACCGATGATCAGCGGCGATTTCAAAGCGGCCCAAAATGTCATGTGCGTCTGTTGTTCGTGTAAGGTCATGTTTCCGTTGCCGATCTCAAGCATATCCATATCAGCCCATGCTCCAGACTTTTGAAAAGGGCTGAGCTCTCTCATTCTTCGAATTATTGTCAACACACTGCAGCCGGCGTAGCCGACATCCATGCAGTATGCCGTTTTGCACTGTGAAGCTCGTCAATAGCCGTTCGCAGTGGTTTAAGGGGCAAAATCACAGCACAGTCTTTTCCAGTGTCACTGAAAACATCGGTTATGTCTCCCGACATCCGGTATGACTGGCTATTCTCTGGTATTTGAGTCAGTGATGGCACAAAAGAGAAACAAAGTCAGCGAATACTAACCGTCTGCCCAATACCAGGGGAATTGATGGCCCCATTGGCAGATCGAATAGAAAATTTCTCGACCAGTGCCTCTGAGCGCATCTCTCATTGCTCCGAAGCGAACCTGTGGACTTTCGGTATTTGCTTCAAATCCCCCACAGTTGTCATACTTGAGATAGTCCACACCCCATTCGGCATAAGTCGCAGCATCCAGTTCTTCGTAGCCCCAGGGGCCTGGATAGAAGTCACAGTCGTATATTCTTTGGTCTTGTTAGTACATTAATCTGAGAGAAGGGGTTGTTCAATATACCCTGCATCACTGTAGACCCCTAGCTTCAACCCCTTGTTATGCAAAAAATCCGCAATTCTGGCCACTCCACCCGGCAGCTTCGTAGTGTTTGCTTGTTGTCGCCCATTCTCGTCTCTTTCCATTGCCTGCCACCCCTCATCCATGACAAGATAGATGTAACCAGCATCACGCAAGCCTGTGCTGACAAGTAGACTTGCGGTATTTTCAATGACGGTTTGGTTAAAATCAGCCTTGAATGCATTCCAGCTGGACAACAATTAGTTATTGAGCAATTGTAATTTATGTTCGAAAATATTTGCTGTTCGAAAGTAAGAAAATACGAACCTATTCCAGCCCATTTGGGGATTGGTAGCTAAGCCACCCAGTACACCTGGCAGCATACATAGTCCAAGGATAAAATTCGATCTGACTGTGGTTGCCATTTTTAATTCAGAACACGTTCATTGATGTCGTCGTCGTAGCTGTATCTGTTCAGTAAAGCAGCAAGTCTGAACACAAGGTTTTATGATTATTTATTCAAGCTTGAACCTTATGTTTGAACCAATTGGCAGATGAGGGGTGAACGGGATAGTTACCGGAGCTCACTCCAGTGCTGAATTTCGAGTCCACATTAAATTGAAGAAGATTCACTGAAGGTGTTTCTTGGCTTTGTCCATGCATGGGACTTGTTTCTTACTCATCACAATGAAATCGCTTATATGTCTTTCGATTTTCAGCGCCGCTCAATCAGTCGCAAGCGAAAAGCTCAGCTATGTCGCAGAGCCGCAAGAAGTCTACGTCGCACCAAAAGCTGCGAATATCACGACATTGCTAGACTTCATTGACTCTAGAGAAGATCTTTCAAATCTGTCAGCAATGCTACGAGAGCCAGCTGGCTTTGCCAAAGCGTTTGACACGGCTCCCACTTGGGCTTTTACCTTTCTCGCCCCAAGTAATGAAGCCTTCGAGAATACCGGTGCTTACTATAGCTCGTTTGCCGCAACACCGTAAGGAAGCTCCCACTCTATGCCGTATATTTCTTATGTCGTGTAATCTCCGGTCGCTGAATTTTTTCCTCTTTAGGAAAGGCAAATGGTGGATTGGTAACTTGATCAACCATCATTACATCCCTAACTCAATGTTAGCTACCAGCAGCTTTAATTCAACCTTGTCTCGCGTACAGGTCAGTACTTTCATATCCGTTCGAAGAAATTTGTAATTGAACTGGACATGCCTATTGATCCAAGTAGACAGCAAGTTATCTTTACATCAATGCTCTCGTGGATGACAACGAGCAAGTAAAGATCAACAGCGTTGCGACTGTCACTGAATCAGACATACCAGTCACAAGTGTGAGCCTTACCCTGAATTCCTTGAATTGAAGACTTAGTCTAATAAATTCTCCCATTCGATTTAAGGGCATTGTTCATGTCATCGACCGCATCCTTGACCCATCGGCTCAGATCTTCGAGTCGGATTTGCCCAAGATTGCTCAGACATTCATCGCAGGAAGTTGCTCTAACCCAGATCTTTCTTATTGTTAAGCGAACCAGGATTGGCGATAAGCTTCAAGTCACACTTTTTGATATGTCGATAGTTCACCGATGAAAAGACTGGTCAGGGCTCTGAAAACAAACATTTTGACCAACAGAACTATTAATTATAAATCATCTTCCTCACGCGTAATTAAGTTGGAAATGAATATCATTTCGCCTGTCAGTCACAATCACCAGTCATTCACATTCGTCCCTTTACACCCAATCCCATGCGGACATTCAAGCTGCTAAGGCCGGGACTACCCTCCTTGAGATTTCATCAAAAGCGACGGAAATATTCTCCAAATATATCTTGCTCAGACATTCCAACGCCACTGAATGAAATTTTTGGCGCCTTTCCACCTTGTAACGGAGTGGGACTTTTGGGTTCTTGGTAATTGTTATGAATATTTCGAGCCGACAACAAGATTCGAACTGATCCTTCTGAGGTTTCAGAATGATAGCCCCACCACTACTATCCCTATCGACAAAAAAGACAAAAAAAGCGTCCCCGGGAAGGCTCGAACTTCCAACCTCCTGATTAACAGTCAGACGCGCTAGCCAATTGCGCCACGGAGACTTCTTATTGGTGCACGAAATTTTGTTCAGCTCTATGTCAGAAATGAAGAAGGGATGAAGACCTCAATGGGCGGAGGAAGTCCCGGGAAACGATTGACATATTCACGAACGCGAATATCGTCCTAGCTTCATTGCGGGAAGTCTCTCCACAAAGCTCGAGGTTCCCCACACAGCCCTCCCGGAACAGTCTCCGGAGATGAGCTCCGACCTACCAAGCCTCTATGATGATGCGGGGAGCATAGAGCATAGCCATAGCACCATCATGGAATCTATTATATCAAACCTCGAGCTGTTAAGGTATTTGGATTCTCAACAACCTTAAAATCACAAAGGTTTTAGTTTTGGCGTTCTGGCCATCCGTAGGGACGATGAGAGTCAGTACATATATCTCCAATATTGTGGACGCATCAATGGACCGTATTGCTAACAGTCCTATGAACCTCCTATAAGATAATCACTTTGGTGCTTGCTACCATCAGTTTCATCGCTCGAGTTTCCAATGCAAGCGTGAATGATATACCAGGCATCTACGGGCCTCTTCCAGCAGTGGTAGTCGCCAATATTGACAACATCAACCCATACTTGAAGAAATCGCCGGGTGATTTCGCTCATCCGGGTCTCTGGCACTCGCATGAGGATTTGGAGCGCATTCGAAACAAAGTCCTATCCAACAAAGATCCCTGGGCATCCACTTTCGCAAATTTCAGTACTGACACCTATTCCCTGTCAAACTACACCATGCAAGGGCCACATTCCATTCTTTCACGTGGAAAAATCAGCAACTACACTAGCTTTGCCCATGATGCACGCGCTGCGTGGCAAAATGCGTTGATGTGGTACATCACCAAGGAACAAGCCCACTGGGACCGCAGCACCACAATTCTGGATACCTGGGGGTCCAATCTAACCGACGTTATTGGTATCGATCGCTCGCTTCTGATCGGTCTTGATGGCGATCTTTTTGTGAATGCAGCCGAAATCATGCGGTGGGAGGGAAATTGGACCGAAGCGGGTGCATCCTGGCGAGGAGGCTCTGGCTTCAGCAACCAGCTCTATTGGCTGTTTTCCAGACAGGCAGCAGTCATTGGACAGGCCAATTATGGAATGGTCAGCATCAAGTCGCTGTTGAGCTTTGCGGTATATTTGGATGATGTCACACTATACAACTACGCCATGAACGCCTTCATCAATGATCCTTGCGCTAGTCTGTTCGCAATGTACAAGTCGAAGACAGGACAATCTGTGGAATCTGGACGTGATCAATGTACATAGCACCCACCACTCTCTAACAACCACACATTTCTCTATGTGTTCTGATGAGATGAAGCTAACTTTTGGTGCAAATTAGCTCACACGATGTCCGGTATCGCATGGACGGCATATGCAGCCCGAGTGGGTCAAACGCAAGGAGTGGACCTCTATGAGCTTGGTGGTAACCTCTTGCTCAAGGCCTCCGAGTATACCGCGGCATATAACCTCAACCAAACAGTCTCTTATGATCCGGCTTGGCACAGATGTGAGGCAGTCCTAGTCGGTGCGCCGTGGCCCACTATTTCCGATTATGATAGAGGAGTATCGAATACGCAGCCAGTTTGGGATATCATTTACTACCAATATGTTGTGAAACGCAAGCTGAAGGCGCCCTGGACTACTGAGGCTCAGAATAAAGAAGGGCCAGAAGGGGCCGTGTCATCTAATGACCACCCAAGCTGGGGTGGACTTATCTGGGCCTATTAATACATCCAAAAAACGGCGAATGCATGCGGATATACCTGGACACGCCACTGCTCAAGCGTTTACCATAATAGGTGGTAGGTTGCAGATGCCTAGTATCTAAATTCATAATCAAAAGCCGTTTCATACTTCCCATTGTTCAATCACAAATCCGAAAAGACAATGAAGGTGAACATATTGACTCAAATGTTCCAATTTCACCTTTGGGGTCTTTCCAAATTGGGGAGGTTAGCCAATACTCGTTAAGAGCAAGATATTCGCTGGTGGACACCTTTTTGTACCGTCGAAAGAACTCAAATATTGACACGGCGAGTTCTTTTGTGTATCTCCAACTTGATTAATACGCGTGAGTGAGAAGATAACCAACAAGGAATTCAAATTAATCATTGAAAGCAAAGGAAACAAAAGTTTAGTATTGATTGAACATCACGGAGTTTTGATTAGTAACATCTCTGACCACACATGGCGCCAGTTAAGTGGGGCATCACTCGTTAATCACCTTAATATTGTAGGATATGTGAATAAGTAGATACCAGGATCTGTACTTGATAAAATAACAAATATGGGTCTTGAATACTCCCTCTGTCTTGCCCTATGCCAAAAATAAGGTGTTGAATTACCAATTACCGAATATTGCCAACGCACGCTTACCCTAATAAACATAGCGGAAGTTAGGGTTCTCCTGATCAGTCAGATCCTCAAACGCCAGCTCATGAGAGATCTCGCTCGAGCCTTGTTCCTTTGATCGGTTTCTTGCCATAAGTATCACTCGCGTCAAGAAAACAAGGGCAACGAAGACCGCGTAAATCACAATATGAGCTACGAATCCATGCAGATATCGAGGTGCGTCGGAATTCTGGAATATCTGGGGCGCAATGAGGTTGCCTACGGCCCATCCAATGAAGACCATAGTCATTGTGACTCCCTTTTTGGTTTGGCCACCAATGTTTCGTGTGACAAGGGAGATGATCATGTTGCCTTCTGCGCAGAAGAATTGCGTACAGTAAAAGGCGATAAGCATCCCGCCTGCGTTAGAAGCTGTTGGAGTCACGACCAGAATAACAATTGTGCCAACAATTGCTGGGATGGCCCATATCTAGAATAATTCGTCAATGATACCCCTTTGGGATCTGGCTGGAATTGAATACTTACAACCATTGTAAAGCACGTTTGCTGGAACCTTTGTGACGCCCATGCGGATCCGATCATTACAATGATGGTCCAGGCCCCCTGAGCAATGTTCAGGAGGGTAGTCTGAAGGGTTGAGAACCCGAATTGTTTGATAATCAAGTTGGAGAAGACACCGAGGCCACCAATAATCAAATTAGCGACCGCGATGAGCATGACGCAACACCAAACAAAGGGGTCTTTGAGGGCCTCGAGTATTTGTTCCTTTTTGTACTCTCTGTTCTCGATTCCAGTCTCATTATGTCGTACTCGTTCTATCATCAGCTTCTTTTCCTCCTCACTAAAGCACTTCGCCGATATAGGGCTATCGGGAAGGAAGGCTCCGATGAAAAATGACCAGACGCAGGTGGCCAGACCAAGGACCAAGAACATGAGTTGCCAATTTTTGATTGGCCCATCAGTGTAATTAGCAACTCCAAAACCTATGAGTCCGCCAATCTGTTTGATTGTAAGTAACTTGATGTGAAAGCGACCTGATAGGATCTAGACATACCATCAATTGAACCCCAGACATACAGTACCAGATCGAATTCAACAAAGACTGCTCCTCTCGTTTATACCACATTGACGTGCTTATCAACATCAGTAGATGGACCCAAGAGAGAAATATAGGGAAACTCACAGTAACATCATGGCCGGTTGAATACAGCTTTCAAAGAAGCCCAAAAGGAATCGAACTGCCATGAGCGACCCAAAACGTGTTGATGCGGCGGAACAAGCCACGACGGCTCCCCATATAAAAACATTGACAGCAAGAGTCTTTGCCAAAGGAAGCTTCTGGAGAAGGAAGTTTTGCGGATATTCACCGACAAGAATACCAATGTAGAGGATTGTCCCTAGCCATGAGTACTAGATCGCAAGGATCAGCGCCCGGCAAAAAGAGCAGCGAAAGGTTGCGACAAACTTACATCTTGGCCCACAAGGTGTGCATCAGTCTTGATGCCCATGATCGAGGCATAATTCAGGATACCCTTGTCCAAAGACTGAAGAAAATAGGTAATCACTTGAATGACCAGAATGCGACCAGATATTTTCCAGAACAGCTGTCTATCTGTAGCTGGGTCAATTTCGACCCCCAAATCAGCCGTGTAAAGATCCTTTGCCTCTTTAGCTTCAAAATGACTGTCCTTCGCTATAGATTTTGATGGCAGCTCCTCATGGGTGAAACTTGCCCCGGTCTCATTTTCTTTCGAAGCCATGGCACACGAAGAGCAGATCGTGCAAAGTATCGAATGTGGCGTAAATGTAAATTATGCGGTCACCAGCAGACGTGGATTGCCAGGTGGAAGCTAAGTTATATATGTATAATTCCACTGTCAAGATGATATACCCTGATAACCATATCGCTCGCCTAATCAAGTGGAGAGCTTATTAGCTTACCCCAGATATGAATTCAAGAGTTGGGGCCGCAAAAGAGTTTTGGCGGAGAAAGTGCCGCTCATTGGCCCGCAAATCGTCACTTTGACAGTGGCCGGAGCCCCTCCGATGAATGCTCCGGCCTCCGTACCCCTGTGCTGACGCAGCTCATTTCACATTGATGGTGAAGACCGGAATCCATTGGAGGGAAATCAAGCCTTTCTGAAGGTAATACTTAAAAGACATATTAATATTTCCTGTCAGATTTAATCGTGCCATATGATCTTTCTACCGGGATTTGGCCTAGAACACGCACCATGGCTTCGCATTGCATCACAACTTACGACTGCCCCCGGGGGTCATGGAAAACCAGGATTTCAGTATAGCGATTCAATCGATAAGTGAAGATGCTAGCCAGCAGTGGACTCGGATACCTTCATATGCCGTCGAGGTGGCCAATGCCAACATCGCTTCCAACGATTTTCACCGGCACACAGTCGCACTGGCTTCATTCGACTTTACTGGTCACGTCAAAGTCAAAGTCACATATGGACCATTACCAGTGAACTCAGCAGTGATTCGACCGCTTTCACTCAATATTGAGACTGAGTTAGAAAACAATCAAATCACTTTTACACTGGACAAAGCACGGGATATCATGCTGGAGTTGAACGGAGACAAGTGGAAGGCTCTACATCTTCTCACAAATAACATCGATGACAATACACCAACGAATGATACAGATGACACTTGGTATTTCGGACCAGGGATCAATCAGGGATCTGCGTACGCAAAGGTCACTGATGGCGTCAACCTCGTGGTTCCGTCAGGAAAGACAATCTACCTCGCTGGTGGAGCCTTCATTACATGCAGATTGAACTTCGTGAACGTTTCAAACAGTGCAGTACGAGGACACGGATTCATTCTTGGACCAAAGGGCGGGTTCACCCACCGCGAGCTCGGCGGGGCTATCCACATGAGTCGCGCGACAAACATCCGCGTGGAAGGAGTAACATCACTGGGGGCAAACGGCTTCAGCCTGTCAGCCGGAGAGTGTCACAACGTAGTGATCGATCGATACCGGTCTTTTTCGTCTGCCGGCAACGGTGATGGAATTGATATCTTCTGCTCAACAAGAATCACAATACAAAATTGCTTTCTGCGAAATTCCGATGACACAATTGCCCTCTACTCTCACCGATGGGACTGGTATGGTGACTCCAAAGACATTTTGATCCAAAATTGTGTTCTTCTCCCGGACATTGCACACGCGATCAATATGGGCACTCACGGCAATCCCGCGAAACCAGAGACTACCAGCAATGTCACCATTCGAAACATAGACATCTTGGACCACGAGGAGAACCAGATGTGGTACCAGGGCTGCATAGCCATTAACGCGGCAGATATGAATCTATTTGAAGACATTCACATCGACAATATTCGAGTCGAGAGGATCACGCGTGGTCAGCTGTTCAACGTTCGTGTCATGCAAAATGGAATGTGGACCACCGCGCCTGGACGCGCCATCCGGAATGTTACTTTCAAAGACGTGGCCTTGAATATGCGTGATTCAAAGGTGGTGAACCCATCCATGATATTGGGTTATGGCCAGGATCAACAAGTTGAGAACATCACTTTTGAGAATCTGAACATCGGGAATAAAGTCATTCACGAAGGAATGGACAAGCCCAAATGGTACATGGTGTCAGATTCGGTTCCTTTATTTGTGAATGAGCATGTAAACGGTGTGAGGTTCATTAAAACGACGTAGAAATAACACCTCGAAGACATTACCCATCTCACCCCAATTTCACTTCATCCTCACCTCTCTCACCCACGATCACGGCAAAGGAACTTGGATCGCTATTTAAATGCGACAGTAAGACCTGTAGCTAATTGGCTAGGTATATTATGCGACTTTTGCTCGGCTGAGCGGACGAGAAGACTTTTCCTCAATCATATATACTCTATAACCGAATATTCCAAAATTATCCTTTTGAGTCGGCAATTTGGATAGATAGTATGGATAGGAACATTTGTTCAATCATTCGGTCGCAAAGAATGAGAAGTGCAATATTTCACATAATAAAGTGAGTAGAAGCGAACGTCAACCTTTTACAGGATATCAACCATGCTGAGATGTGAGAAGGGATCACTCGAATAAAACCTGCATACAAAATTCAAACCCTCTGTCCGACATGAAAGATCTACGATAACCTATAGAGCAAGGTACCAAAGCCAAGCGCATCGAACCCACCTGATGTCGTGGCGTAGTTTCCACCACCTCCCTCAACACCATCGGTGCTGTTTGCATTCACCATATTACGGTAAGCATCGGTCCATGTCGAGTCAAGACCTTTCAGCTGGCCGTAGTGGGCAGAGAGCAGTTCGAACCCAGGGCGGATATCTCCACGTGAGCCATTGGAGATGACGGTTTGGTTGCCTTCGTAGCTTTCGTAAAGAGTGTAGGGAACGTCGTAGCCGACGTTGTACTTTCCGACATATTCAGCTCTGAAGAAACGATCAGTTATTGTAACAGTCAGGACGTTATCAATTGTTGGTACTCACGCATTGAGAATCTCATTGCTGTATGTGGCGAATAGATCATCACCCTGGTTGTATGCCTGTTGGGCAATAATTCCAAGAAGAGCCAAGTCTAGTGTGGCATGACCCTGATCGCGACCAGCTTCCTGACCTTGAGTCAGGGTCTCGCCACATTCCGTGTAATTCGCAATTGCAAAGACAGGTAAAGCACCGTTCGAAGGTCCATTGCGGACATAGTCCAGCGCGTAGTCGTACATTGTCTGGTTATCGGTGAAGATACCGATAGCAAGGAGAGAGGCGAGGTTACACTGGTCCCAGTTGGCGTAGTAATGATAATAACCATTACCGTTGTGCTCTTCCATAAACAGCATGTTCATTGAAGCAAAAACATTGGTGAGCATATTTGCAGTGGCAGTCTTGTTACTGCTGTCCCAGCCAGCATAATCCGACATCAGCTCTGCCGCGTTGGCCATCTGGTACCCATACAGACCAGATGCCAAGAACATGTCGCTGGTACCATTGATGGCGGTCAGTGTCGCAGCCCACGAGCTCAGCACATTGACTGCTGCGTCTGCATAGCTTGTGTCGTTCGTGACTTTCCAGCGGATGGCGAGCTGGTATGCGGCCGCGGTGTCGTGATACAGGGACGGGTAGTTTTCTGTGTCGACACCATTGTCACCTCGGTAAACGATCATCTTAGGACTGGGTTGATAGTCTGCCTGGGCAAAGCTGCTGGCAGTCAACAAGGTCCAAGTGGTGTTCCAGGGCTCATCACCATTCGCGATGTGGGTGTTGATGCGTTGGAAATCCTGCGCAGTGTGGAGCGCCCCTGGATGGACGAAGGCCGTTCCAGCGGCCGAGAGGGCGAGAAGAAAAACAATACAAAGCATAGCGTGCAAAGCAAATGAGTGACTGAAGACGTGGATTCAAGCACGCAGCCTGATCATAGTGTTTAAATCATTCTTAACGGAACGCATCGCCTTTACATAGACGCATGATGGACTCCTAGGGGGTGCTTCACATCCTGCAAATGAGCCGAGTACCCCACGGCAGAGATCTACATACGTAAAGGTAATAACTGGAATAGGATTAGACCGACAGGCTTTGCCCATTGCATGGTGGAGAGCGTTTCAGATTGTCACGGAAAAATGGGTCGAGGTCGGGTAGGTCCCATCAGCTGTCCCGATACCAAGACTGCCGGAGACCCACCGGCATTTGCCCCGGCCGCGTGCTTAGTGTCGGCTAAATTTCATGCTCGGAATGGGCTCGGAATGGGACCGGAGAGACTACCCCTTTACTACTCGCAGCATTTGATCATGATGGAATGGAAGTACTAATGTGGAGGGTTCTGGAACGAAATAGACAAAGGGGGTAGTCTTGCCTCAAGGATATGGCAGCAACCATGGGATTCGATATGACGAGGAATTACTCTCAGCAAGCCAAGGTTCCTGTGCGAATCCGCCGGAGATATACCGGCACTTCCTCCGCGCAGTATCTTAACCTCATGTGAATAAGTGTAAGCGGTTGTACTTTTATTGTCGGAAGTAGAAATAATAAACCGTTAGTGGCGCGAACCTGCCGCCAGATTCAACCATGTCTCCAAGCGAAGTCCCTTCAAAAGTATGTCTGAATTTGAGTTTCATGGGTAGATGGATTCTCCTGCTGATATTTCCTTCAGGATGATGATTTCAACCCAATCAGGGCCAGAGCACACTATACAAACGGTGTCAATGGTACAGCCAACGCCCCATTACCGCACTTGATGGAAGCTCTTTACTCAGAATCTGTTGTGGCCAAAATATGGAATATAGCGAGCAAGGCACTTTCAAGTGTAAGGAACAAGCGAAACCGAATAAACAGAAAGAGATAGCCTCCTAACACAGGAAGCAGAGCAAACCACCCGTCCTTTACCCTGAATACACCGATAACAATGGCACATATGTCTACCGCACCCTAGACTTCTGGACATCGGGCTTCTTCCCCGGATCGATGTATCTCCTTCTTGAACGCTTGATCCGTCATCCCCAAAGCATCCCTGGATCCGAATCGACCGACAATCAGTCCACGCCAAGACCGCACCGTCTTCAATTGGAACATCTTTGCCGTTGGTGGACCACAAATCTCCACCAAAATGCTCTAAAGCGAGACACCCACGACTTGGGCTTTATGATTGCACCATGGGCGATGCGAGCTTGGGAGCTGCAGCGCGATCCCGCCGCATACAATAGCCTCGTAATGGCAGCGCATTCACTCGCTAGCAGGTTCAACGTCAAGACGCAGTGTCTCCGCAGCTGGGACGTATGCATCACAAACCGGTACTCATACACCGACCCATCCCAGGATTTCCTGGTAATTATCGACAATATGTTGAACTTGGATCTCCTTTTCTGGGTCGCACGAGAAACCTCCCATGCAGAACTATACAACATTGCTCTGGCGCATGCTCGAATGACACAGAAGCATCATATTCGTGATGATCACTCTACCTTTCATGTTGTTAATCTTGATGCAGATACGGGTAGTGTCAAAGCCAAATTCACCAACCAGGGATTCAGTGATTCAAGTTGTTGGGCACGAGGCCAGGCGTGGGGAATCATGGGCTTTATGCAGACGTTCGAATGGACACAGGAAGATTCATTTCTGACCACGGCGCGGGGCTTGGCTGATTACTTCATTGCTCACCTGCCACTGGATGGAGTACCGTATTGGGACTTTACGGCGCCGGTCACTGAAGCGAGCCCACGTGATACGTCTGCTGCAATGGTCGCTGCTTGTGGCATGCTGCTTCTGCATAAAGCATTGAAAGGCACTCCAGATGGTGACTTCTATCTGTTCGAGGCAATCAAACTAGTTGATTGCACGGTCGCAATGTTCTTGACGCCTCCCACAGCTCGGTTTATCACTGTACCTTCCACTTCTGATGTTTTGGTTTATCCATACGGATGTATCGATGGGCGGGATGGAGACGGATTTGATACCATAAGTGTCATAGATGAATCGAGCACGAAGAATTGCGAGACAATCATGCAAGGGGCCACAATTAACAACTATGAGTTTGCGCCAAGACGCTGGTCGAATCATGGGTTGGTATATGCGGACTATTATTTTCTGTTGTTTGGCAATATGCTGCTTGATTTGGGGTTGACCGGCACCACGAGATGCTAGAGCAAAAGAGAACAGATACTTTGCGAAGGGAGTGTGCAAGATCGCAATTTAGAATCTCAAGTACTCGTTAGAGAGTATAGAAAATGACATAAGTATTTCCTTCACTATTGTTGGTTCTCACGGGCCCAATCTGCGCCGGGGCCTTTAAATGAATACAGGTATCAAAACAACTAGTTGAACACCCTCACTAAATTTTGAAATCGCACAGTAACTGTAGTCCAGAGGAATGATAGTTGGACTATCAAGAGCGAATGCGCCAATTCGCTTGGTTCAAGTCAACGAGCATAATAGCGCTTCATTCGAGCCAGAATATAGTTAAGAAAGGGCGCTGACTCAGTGGGCATCAGTCCTTGATCACCTTTACATTCCAGGATAGCCTAGGGTGACCGGGTTGATATCTGGATATGTAATTCAGATCATACTACTAATCGATATTTTGAATACTGCGCTTTGCCTCATAATACCATCTATATGGTGTTGAGCAGACACTGCGGGGTGTTCGATTAACAATTCCATCTGCACCAGGTTGTGATCGCCGTATATCGCCAAGAAAAGATCTATACCGTCGATACTTGGGCATCTGATGCATATTTGCATGTCTGGCTGTAAGCCTATGCTCCACCATAACGGCTGATGCGCTGTCCTGGACTAGGCGCAAAATTGAAGACATGTGATAAGTCTTCTTGTGGACCCACAACTCCATTTCCATATGGGGCAGACGGGCTTTGCCACATGTTGAACTGCTGCGGATGTGGTGACTGAATATTCATGTGCGAGGGAAGCTGGTTTTCCGCAGTTTGCGTATAGAGAGAAAGGTGGTCATTGTGTGAATCCGTTGGGTAATCCTGTTGAAATGCCGGCGGGAGGGGTGGAAAGGCTAGGCTAAAGGAGTCAAGGCTCAAGGGCTCTTGGACCTTTGAGCTATCCACACCCATGTTTAGTGGTGATCCATTCACCGATCTCGGCGGAAAGACACCTTTGTCTGATGGGGAGGTGTTGTTTATAGATGGCGGTGGTTGTGCTTTAGACTCATCCGAGTACGCAGTCTGTCGAATATCCAAACTTGGACGAGATGTTGTAGCCGGATTGTTGTTTTGGGCCTCAATTAGTCGTTTTGCAAAACTTGAGGCTAGATTGTCACCTCGTGGCTCCGTCGTCTCGCTGCGACCGGTCCATCGCTGGGAAATCTCAAGCAAGCTAGCAATTAGGGTGTTCAACGCCGGTGGGATAGAAACATTGTTATATCTTGCATGAGCTAGGAGCATCCGCCCGGCGATAAAAAGACAGAACGAAAATTGTGGGTTTGTGAAAATCGGCGAGAAGGACAAGAACTGTTGCCCGATGGTGGCAATTTCCGAAGCAGCCTCCAAACAAGTTTCGGCAGATGAAGCAGATGGAAGTCGGACTGGACATAACTGCCAGTGAGCAGGAGGCCAGGCAATACCTTGATGGAGAAGGATCACGGCAGTGTTGTGGGTGATATGAGCTAAAGTCAGGTTTGGGTCCATAACCCCATCGCAATTTAACGCACAGGCTTCTCGCCACTTCGAAGGAAGGTACAACTTCCACCTAGAACAGTATCCGTCAACAAATGTGTCAAAGCCAACCGCAGGTTAGTACGCTCACTGAATAAGTCGCAGGTCAAGTTCCTTGAATGTCATCAGCCACATTTGAGCTTTTATGGTGTCGCTCACAATGAAGGCATGATGCAGGAAAAAGTTTGCTACCAGCGCAAGGGATTCCGTTGCCTCGATATTGTACGCAAAGCCACCAATTGCATCCTGTTCATCCGGGTTTTTCGGCCGTTGTCCGTTGATTATTGAATTTGCAGCCGTATCTTTCGAGTCAGAGATCCCAAAATATGGAGTTTGTGTTTCGTGTCCTTTCTGCCAAAGCGCCCCTTCGCAAGGAAGACGGCGTTTGACATCGTTATTGGTGAGGCTTATTTTCCATCCAGTCGATATGCTGCAAAACCGGTCCATCAAGAAGACAGTCCAAAAGATCCTTCGACGCTCCTCTGCTTCACTCCATGAGCTAGATGGCGATACAAAGATCATTCGTCGAATCAGATTTTCTCCGACATTCGTCCCACCATACAGCACATCCTCCTCGACATTTAGCTGCAGATGCTCGACTGTGCCGACCATGCTACCAACTATAGACCAGGAGGAAGGGCCACGGCCCCGGCCAATCTAGTCACGAAGGTCAGCGCCTTCAAGTATAAGTATATGCTTCAGTTCTCACAGTTTCAAATGCAATGATGACCAAAGCCTGCAAGTTTTCCACTGAGAAAGACTCTGTGCTCTCCAGTATTACCCTTTGTCGACTCTTTTCGGCAATTCTTAATTTTGTCTCTTCGTCTGGTAGATTTTCATTGCGCGAAAAACGGACACAGACAGCTATTATTGCATGGAGAATACATGTGATCCGTGGGCGCTCTTCTGCCAACTGCATGCGCTCGCGGAACTTTCCCATATGAAGAATCGGAATCCACGGGTGGATATTGACATGGTAGAAGTCAACTAGTTCTTTCATTATCTCATTCGGTAGAATCCCGCCTGAGTCGCTAGGAGGGTCAACAAGAAAAGAGGGAGAGTCCACATCGTTAAGCCGCGATCGCCTTGCTGGGCGTGCAACTGACTCCAAGTCCGAGGACTCTTTGTCTAAATCTCTCTTTCTGTTACTATGTCCTCGAGATGATCCAGCCAGGAGCAAAGAGGATTTGAGCTCCTCCCGTCGCGCTTCTAGGTCTGGACTGGTGGATGGGCGCTGGAAAGATTCTGGGAGTGAGGTATTTGGACACTGTGCCTGCCACATCTGTTGCCAAATCATCTCTTGGCCCAGAAACATGTTCTCGAGCGTTTCGATACGGCGACAAAGCTGGTCGACCGCGCCTGCGCGAAGACCTGGCTTCATGTTCCGATCGTCATAAACACAGGGAACATTGAAGCGTATGCATTGTGCGCAGGGCTGGGCGCGATTGCATCGCGCCTTCTTCTTGCGGCACAGCTGACAGGCCGGCACATCTTCCTCGGGTTTCGATGACTCTTGTGATTCATGGCCATTGGCCTCGGTGGCCCCCTGGCCGTTGTTGGATTTCTGCACCATCTGGATTATTCAAGGGCGGTGGTGTATCTGCCAGAGATTTAATGGCGCATATTGACGGATTTCGTGTGCGCCTCGATGTATGACGTGGCTCGAGTTGAGTGTTGAAGAATTAGAGATGGCCCCCGCACTGATCATGCGATCCCAACTGGACAAACCCCATGCCGAACGTGAGCTTAGGCACTCTCAAGGTACGTGCCATGTGGGTAAACCTGGGGTAATCTAACTCCCGGGGACCAATCACACACAATCACACAAGCCTCGGAAGAAAGGTCGGAGAGTCTCCGACAATTCACCCGGAATATTACCCCCCCTTGGCTTAGCGCGACATTTGACTGGATCACGCTCACAATGTTTTCAACATGAGTCTTCCTAGTAACATAGCCTTTGAAGCGTGTGATGTACAGTAGGACGGCTGATCTTCCATGTAAAGGAAGGTAGAACGTAAATAATGCTACGTATGGTCCATGTGTAGGTTGAAGGTGCGATGACGGTCAAATCAGCAGCTGCAGCCTCTGTGATGTTGGCCTCGATTGGAGTCAAATTCATCAGGTCTGCATCGATATTTTGACATTACCGTAGATTGAATGGGACAAGGAAGGAAAAAGAGAATATACACAAGGTGAAGCCTAAGTAGTGCAGGCGGAAAGGGACTAGTCCTAATATGACCAAACAGATATCTCATGCATATTGGCAAATCAAGAAGTTTTTCAAGCAGTTAGTACTGGCCCACGACGTCTAACAGCTCCGGGGACTTAATTTTTCCAATGTAAGCTTTGATTTTTATAATCGAAAATGAAACAACAAAATGCACTAGATTGATCAAGACAACTTATCGCACTCAAAAAAACTGTAGAATTGGAAGAAAAAAACCCATGCATAACCCATCTTCTAGTAGTCACTCTCATCATATCTCATGTATGCATTGTTTGTCACGAAGAGGAATTTCATCTCGGAGACATATAATTCGACGGCCAACGTTGATTGGTCGTTGATATTACGCTTCACCTGTCCGATGGGAACGTCATTGTCGTCGCATAAGTGGAGTTCGACATTGTCGCCCTCGTCAATCGTGCCTTTAGTACGAGGTTGATTCGCATTCAGGAAAACAAATGTCCCAATATCTTTGGCGAACCTGGTGTAATACAAAAGGCCAATGGTCCTGCCACCAATTCTCGCATCTGCGGTGACGTCTGCTGCCAAGTAAGAATCGTTCGCCTTGTTGTACAACTTATACGGCTTGTTGTATTCCAGCTGTCAAATGTCAGTTCTGTGTTGCAACTTTCGATGGTCAAAGAGCCTACCTTTGGTGGTCGCCCAAGCTGTGTCTCGACGTCGAGCTCAAATACACAGCCACCCTGCTTCGCGCGCGAGGTTTGCGGATCAATTCCGACCCACTCACGCCAGCCATTTGTATATCCTTCCCCTTTGAACTTGTTCTTGGCTTTCTTGATATGATTCTTAATGTGCTCGTGGCCATAGCTGTCTAGTGCCGTTGCATCTGCCAGTAAATGGTCCTGCAGCGTATCAAATAGCCCCTCTGATTGATTGTTAGTGCGGTCGACTTGTCACCGAGGGATCAAGCTTCGACGTACCATTTCTCGTTTCATTATTATCATGACGAAAGCCATAGTACTGAGTTCCTTTGATGTTTCCATCCTGGCCAGGATCCGCTTGGAGGAGGAAGCGGCAAGGTGTTTTTTGGGCGGATTCATTGCTGATCAATCTGAATATGTCGGGAATATCACCATACCCTTTGAATGTCCCGATGAAGTCCGCAATTGCAAGGACGTCCTTTTGCTATAGAGATAGTCAGCTAACGATATTGCTGAAGCCCGAGGTGTGCATAGATAAAGCCACTCACGCTAATGACTCTCCAGTTCCTGAAGGGCTTGACTGTAGAGCTCCAGGCTGGAGGACTAAATGATAGGTCAGTAAATGGAAGCCAAATCGGTTGAACAGCTGCTCACTTGTTGCAAAGTGTTGTATCACCACCAACGGCCTCCCAAGAGAGTGTTTTGCTCATGTTGCTGGTCTGTGAGGCGCTTCCTGAACTGCTCTGGTTTTCCTGGTTGTAGCTAGCAGAGGCCTGAACCACTGGAGAAGAAAAAGACAGTGCAGCGCTGATCTTCATCGCATTCGACTTCTCTGCAGTTTTTGCCGAGTCCGTTGAAGTGAAATCCTCCTTTGAAAACAACTTTCCACCTAGTTCTACGTTCGTGGCAAAGAAGTGTCCTGTCCCACGTGTCAGCGACTTGCCTAGAGGTCGAGCGAAAATATGAAAGTAAAAACAAACCAAACTTCTGATAAAATTGAATGAGAGCTTTTCTTTCTTGCCAGCTTTTTACCTTTGAGTCCTCTCTGAGCTTCTTGATGTTGTCCAAGGCTGTCCTGCAGCTCGTGGTCAGCTCCAAGCTGTCATTGTCCAGATGCAGTACCACTCTCGGAAACTATGTTGACTTGTCAGTTTTGAAAACTGCAGAGAGATAGCTCTACTAACATTGTATGTGATGTTCATGGTTCGGTGCTTGCTTTGTTCGCTGGTAGCAAGGGCGTCAGTCTCACTTTTGCTAAACCCACCCTTGGCGGAAGCACTATAGCCGAAAAGACCTCCTCCACTGTTGATAATTAGCTAATTTGAATACAAAGCGTTAATTCTCTGTTGGCTGACATTGAAGCTTCGACGTCCATTGAAGAAAAGCTGCTCGATGCAAGGCTGTTGGAAAGTGCATTGGCGGTTTCAAACACATTGACATAGGAGTCATCCATGACAGTGTACAAAGGATACTTGTACAAGATCTGCTTTTGGTTAGACTTGGAACTGATCAAGATCATCGTTGTGTCTTACCGGATTCTTAGCGGGAAGTGTCACGTTAAGACCAGTCATTTCCAACTCATCGAGGCTCCTCGCTTTGATAGAAAAGGCTTCACCAGCAATTAGTTCCATTCAAGCCATGCACGCGAAATTTGCCCTTACCAGAATATGGCGCTTTATCAATCCTTTGGAACTTTCTTCGGCCACTCGCACTTTCCGAGAAAACCATTCGATGACCATTCAAGAAATGGGTAGCTCGACAAACCAAGTCCCAATCTGCGTCCGATAGAGAGCCAGCGGAGCTAGCGTATAATCAGCTGATTAATTGGCGAGAGGCTTTGGACATGCTTTACTCACATTGCATCAGTAGTGCTGGCAGTCGACTTCCACTGTGCATGATCGTAGCCCTCCAATTTAAAGTCAGTAATGCCCGCCTTGAGCAAATTTACCTTGTCTTCCTGTGTTTATTTGTCAGTCTGATTCCAAATAAAGCATAACTTTTACACATACAGCATGCTTCAGGTTCAATGGAGTATCCAGCAAGTTCTGGACGTTGGCGCCAAGTTCACCATATTTTCGGTTGGTTTCCTCCTCGGAAAGCTCAAAATAGACATCATGAGCGGTGATACTAAGAGCAGGAGTGCTGACTTGCTCGGCAGTGTCTTTTGGGGCCTCGTCGTCGTCTGGCTTTGTGCTCTGAGCTGCAAGTTAACAATACTCCAGAGTTTCAGATCATGATAAGCACTTACGCTTTCAGGTACCCCAGCGGGGGTGAGTTCCTTGTAGAGTTGCCACTTGGAGTCATCTCCTATGCGGGCGCCATCCTTGGTGCAGAAGGGAAAGCGGGCCCTGTCGGATCAAGAGTATGAGAACTTGAAATTTCCACTGGAGATGAGTGAAGACTCACTTTTTGAAGTCGAGCTTGCTTTCAATTAGCGACGCCCGAATGTCCGCCAAGGTCGCATCCTTCTTGATAGACTCTACAACAATGCGATCCGTGATCTTTGTCTGTCCGGCCTTGTCATAGGTCCAGATGTTGAAAAGCTCGCCTTCGATTTTCCCCATAGTTGAAATAAATGAAATTCGGGCGTCCAATGTTCAAGGTTGATCTGCTCGAGGTATACCTAAGAAAGTGACATATACGAGGGGCTTAGGCAGCATCTTTATAGTGAGAATGCAGACGATCTTTGTCCCCTTCAAGCCCGAGCTGCAGGAGCCACCGAGACGATTCAATAGTAGACCCAAGGCGGAACAGTTGGCCCGAAGAGATCAGTTGATCCACAAAGCAGCGTGAAGTAGGGAAAGTTTGAATTTGCTCTACACCATCGAAATCGAGCAGCCTCTCGCATGCTTTGATAGCATCAAAGTTCTCTACGTGGCTGGCTGAGAGGTAGGGGCGACTTGAGGCATATTGCTGCATGTTTCCTACATCAACAGCCCAATAATATCGTATTACTCCGCCGAAGGTCCACTGCAGCTGAGGCCTGCAACAACTTACCGAGAGCTCCTCGTCAGCAATAAACACATCATCATTCAACCCGTACCTACTAGTAACATTTGAGCCACTTTTGAATAGATGCTGCTGGTAGCACCCATTCTCAAGTCGTAGCGTTCTGTGCGTCTTTCCCTTTAGCACGAACGCCTTCCGAACCTGCCTCTTCTTGATTTCGTACTTCTGAATTCCTTCAGCTGAAACAACAAGTGGGGACCTGGATCATCTGAGTTTATGACCATAGATCTGGGAACAGACATGATTAGTTTGGCAAGAGCGCCTCCGCAAAGCTATCCACTAAGTGGGTCACCTACGTGGACTGTGCTCCATTCATGGATAGATCTATCTATTTTTCGCAGATCTGCAGGGGACTCTTCACCGCTACACTGCGAGAGTCGGAACTTTTTGTTAAGGGATCGCCAGTATCTCGGTGCGCCAAGAATGCCTGATGCCACCATTATGACAAACTGATTCCTGTCTGTAATGAACTGGGAACGCAATCTGCATGATCATACATGCAACAGCACTGCGTATCGACACCATACTAAAGTAGGATAATAGTTCATTCAGATGCATGCGCAGGGTAAACCTTTGAATTTTGATCACCGGGGGTAGAATGACACGCTTAACGATCAAGATCATGCCTGGATTTTTGAAGGTTGATGTGTTGACAGTATTTCGTTGATATGGCGCCGTAGATTACAAAAGTAAGTTGAGCTATTTCTTGCTGCTGATAAATTCCTGGTTGAAATACATTTGTTTTCCTCGCTGTGGTGGGAGCTTTGACCCACAAAACTCGAATCGTGCCGATCGGTGCCAAGATCGATCAACAGTTCGCATGTCGCTTAGATTTAGTTCCCAAATGAGGTGAAAGGACAAGCCTATAGCTCCTGACTTGATGAGTTCCATTTTTGTGCACACGAATGCCAACAGTACGTTAGCTCATATTTCTTTCTTTGTTAATCGATTGTTACAACCTGGGAGAACTAGGCCGATTGGTTTTCTCACGGGCCGCGCCCGCGTTGTTGAGGGAGTTGGTGGGGATCGCCCTCTAGGCCGTGTATTTCCAGGCGGCGATTCTCGTACTGATTCTGCGGGTTTGCACCCGTGGGATGTATGGCTAGCGACAGAACATGGTGAGAACCGCGAACGCTGACCTGGGGTGAAGCTAAGCGAGGCTAGGGAGGTGAGAGATGAATGGTTTGTGGGTGCCTGAGACAGTCATGCATCAACACAATACAGTGCACGACTGCTTCGTGCGTTGAATATTCATGATACCTCTTGCCTCAGTGCTTTGCCAGGGAGGTCTTGCTGCCACTATGACTATAGGGCACTAGAACTTAGATATGTCGATGTCCCTTTAAATTGCCTTGCATGACGACAACATCTTCATTTGCCCTGAACTCCAGTTGGAGCATAGATTGATGACAGGATCCCGTGCCGGCAGCTGTTTCTCAGCCTACGGCAAGAAAAAGGAAATCAAACATAAAACAGAAAGTCATGCTATATATTCGTGGTTCATATTTGCCATTTGCTAGAACAATCTGGTCAAGAAAATGTTGATTGTGTTTGGTATTCTTCAAATAGTCCTCCAAGGTTCCCAATCCTCTATGTGATTTTCGAAGAGTCCCAGAAGCACCAGGCCTTGGGAGGTCAACAGGTTGAAGTATACTCTCCTGGCTCAATAAGCGTCGTTTTAAGCGACTCATCTGAAATACAAAGAAGGCTTTTACAAGCTGGCTTGCAAACCCTTCTAACAGACCAAGGCCTCAAATCCGGATAGAAATACTCTCGTTAAAGAATTCACTAATAAACTAGTAGATAAAGTATATTCACTTGTAATATACATACTACTTGATGACATGAAATTGTCCGAGTGGAGCGCATTGGTTCCAAGGTCTCTTTGCATACATGACCAAACTTCGACTAAGGCCTAAAAATGAGTAGCAAGCCCTGAATTTCTCTAAAAGGAACATGACGCGCGGTCTTCACGTAGGATATGGCCCCATTAAACACGCTAAAGCTTTTCCTGGGCGGTAAAGTCCTTCCAATCCTTAGCGTACTGGGTGCTTCTGATACCCTCAGGGTATTTCCCCAGAAGCTCCTTGGCACTATCCCATGCCTTAAGGGCACGTAGAGTCCGTTCAGGGTCTCTCTCTATCAGTCTGTACGCAAATGGTGTAGGTCGACACACAATCCCTTGAGTGACTGCTTCAGTAGATACCGGGATCCTGTTGCCGTTCTCATCTAGATCATGTTCAAATGTAAACGCCCACAGAATATATGTGAAACCTAAGAAGAGCGAGCGCTCAGCTATATTTAGGCCTGGACATACGCGCCGGCCAGCACCAAAGGTGAAATGATCGCGCTTGTAAGGATCATTCTGGCTGGCACTCTCCTGGGCGCGCATAAAGTCATTCTTATACCTGTCTGGGTCAAAATTTCGGGGATTCGGATATCTTTCTGGGTCGTTATTCAGGGCCCACACATTGATCATCATGCCAGTCTTTGCTGGGAACGTGTATCCCTTGTATGTGTCTTCATTGGTCGTTGCGTGAGGAACGATGCCGAGGATGCTTGAAGGCAGGAATCGAAGCGACTCTTTAACAACGCCACGCATGTATTGCAAATTGGGCTATAATAAACGGTCAGCCTAGCTCCACCATCATACTTTTTGGAACCCTTACCTCGTCAGCCATAGTTGGCAGTTTGTCGGGCCCAATCACACGGTCAATCTCTTCTTGGGCTAGGAATTTTAATTAGCGACGATAGTCAGCTTTTATCGGGAAAACCCAGGTACCTTTCTTCTGGACCTCTGGAAAATTGATCATAGCCACTGCGAATGAGAGGAAGATAGAGGCCGTAGTGTCAGATCCCGCTTCAAGAAGAGTACCGCTCACATAGCTTGCCCAATCATCTGAGAACCCCATTTTCTCCTGTGACTTGAACATGTCTTCACAGAAGTTCTTGCTTGCAATTCCTTTTGTGATTCTATCTTTTACTTTGAGCACATAGCTCTTGTACAACGCTATTTCTTCCTGGTGAAGCTGCTTGCCCTTCTTCTTGCTAGGATTGATGAAGTCGGGAAGATGCCGCAAAATCGGGAAGTAATCTAGTACCGAAGCAGACACCTGCGACGCCACAGCAAATTCTTCGAAACCCTTAAATGATGTAGTATTAGTATGAGTAGGCGTGGGGTTGAAATTGAGTGTACCTCGTAGATTTGCTTAACATCCGGGTCGTTAAAAGCTAAACTTCGCCATCCAAATGTCATGCTTGTGACCAACGACGTGCTGTAGCGTCTGACATGATCGTGATATCTGTTGGGCTTTTTTATCATGTCTGCCAGCATCTGCCGAAGTTCGAGTTCTTGATACGGAATATATTCGACGGCAGTTTTGATGTTGAGAAGGTTGTGGATCATTTTGCGGGCTAGACGCCATCCTTCATCGTATTGCATGAGGACCAGGCGGTAACCACCCGATATCAGTGTCTGGCCGACATACATCTCAGGTCGTGAGGAATAGTTGTTGGATCGCTGATCGATCAAGTCTTTGACAACTCGCGGTGAATTCAGGACAACCATACGTTGGTTACCAAGCATCACGGAATAGATTTCCCCATATTCGTCAGCCCACTCCTTGAACTTGACGTGCACATCCTTTGACGGCAATTGGTGGAGGTTGCCGGCTATAGGCAAAGTTGGTGGCCCTGGGGGCATATTCTTCGGCCTTCGTCCGACTTGGAAGATTTGATGAATCAATAAGGTTAGGCCGGCGATGCCGACAAAAGCCAGCCATAGCGGTATCGAAATTGGCATCATCGTCGGTCAGAGAATTTGGTGATCATAGAAAACTTGATGTCACCTCACAGCTTCAAACGCTGCTTTGGCCTTAAGTAATGAGAAGTCCAGGTTGGTCGGAGAATCCTGTTGGGGGGGGGAGGGGAAAGCGACGTGTTGTGTAGAGTATGGGGTATCGGTAGGCTGTCGGCATTGTTTCCGGCAACTGTGCCATCGTGAAATTCGATTCAAGAGTGGGGGAGCTAATCGCGCCTATGTAGATAGACGAATACTGGCTATCCTTTATCTTGACGGGGGTGTAGGAGATGACACATGAGTGGAAGAAGTGGCTCTCATAATCGGGGCTACCTTTTATCAGCCCCAATAGGTGGGCGATGCCATTCTGCCATTCTTCCGCGCCTGGATTACTCCCTATCATCTATCATTTGCCATTAGAACGGCAAAATGCAGAACCACATCCATGCCATCATGAATGATATTAGTAACCACAGAGACATAATACTCTTTATTCTCCGAACTGGGGACCATTAAAAGTACTGGAAAAGTGAGATAGTGGAGCTCCAAAACTCAAAGCTATGGTCAACACAATCTTTGCCATTGGAAAGTCAGATTAGCTTCGTGTACGAAGATATCATTGAATCGGTGCTCTGGCCTCCGGTTTTGATTTCAAGGATATGACAGTGGCTAAGAGACCGCCCGTTGAGAGACAAAAGATCCAAGCACGAACAAAACTGATAGTAATGCTTCCCACGCTATAAAGTTGGGAGACTGAAATAATCCAGCAAGGATGAATTGGAACTTACGCCGATAACACCGTAGCGAAAATTAGCCATTTTAGCATTTAGCAAGATCAAGGGATGCGGACGCCATAAGAAGTATAGTTGCTGGACTAGCGCCGACCCACTACGGCAAGACCCTGCTCGCGCCTACATACAAACTTCAGTTTTTTATCTCGCGACTTAACGGAGACTGACAAACGCTGATCTGTCAGTACTACTACCTTGCCCCTCGGGAACTGAACAGAGTCATCGCAGCTTTTCATTTTGTGGCAGAATTAGAGTTGAGAGGTGGAGCACACTTTAACAACAATAACACACTAGGTCATTATACTGTACTTTCGTCAAGTTCTTTATACCCCACTTCTGTAAACCTTGTTGCTTGATTATACACCATTGTAGGAAATTCGGTGGGTCTGAGCCATATGAAGTTATCAGAGGAGCTATTCATTACTGTAGCAGGAGTGGGGTGAGATCCACTCGCCCTTGCCCCCGCGTTTAAACATTGGATTTTCTCCAGTGTTCCGGTTGTCGGGATTATCGGTCAAGGTGATATCGCTTATAAGCTCGAGAGTGGGGGGATAATACACATAGCTTGATTTATGACGGGGATTGACGTTTAGGTGGTTATCATCAAGGGGGCAACCACAGGGATCCATATCAGAGCCCCTGTGATCGACCATGCAGATAGCTCTCAAGTCAAGCATCGTCTAAGCTCTTTACATCATACGCATTAATTACTATTAAGTTTGTTCCCCTCGATAATATATTCTCTTCCCACCTTCCCAGCTATACTATCCTCAATGGGCGACAACCGCATGTCTGACACAAAGGAGGAGCCTCATGACGATGCAATTCTCACCAAGCCATCTCATCACCACACTGCTGCACCTCATGATCTGATGGATGCTGCAGAAGCTGGCATTGTCGCCGTGTACGATCGACCCGGAAATAGAATGCAAAAATGGGTTGATAAACTCGAGAGCCTTGCTGGTATTGAAGCCAGGGGCATTGAACGTGTTCCCGACAGTGTCAAAGCAGAAAATACCACAACGGGAGACTACGTGCAGATGTGTTTAATCTGGCTTTCAGCTAATCTTACCGCCAATAATATGATGATTGGCATGCTGGGTCCCTTGACCTTTGGACTTGGGTTCCAAGATAGTATGCTTCTAGCCACCTTCGGGTCCCTTATGGGGGGCGCCGGGAGCGCCTATATTGCATCATTTGGACCTTCCAGTGGGAACCGTACTTTGGTATGCTCTGTGTACGATTTACGAGAAAAATTTGCCTTCTGACCCGACTCACCAGGTAATTGCTCGCTATACGATGGGCTGGTACCCCTCCCGCCTCTGCGTTGCCCTCAACATCGTCATCATGGTTGGCTATGGAATCATCGATATTCTTGCTGCGGGTCAGATCATGTCAGCTGTGAACGGTAAAGGGATGTCCGTGATTGTTGGCGCTATCGTAGCGGCAGCGATCTCGCTAGTTATCTGTGTGGTTGGTATCCGGCTGTTCCACAGCTACGAACGGTGGGCATGGCTGCCCCAAGCTATAGTAGTCTTGATTCTAATCGGCGTTTCTGGGCCCTATTGGGACCCAACGTCTGTTTCGAATAACACCGGATCAGCCAAGTCCGCAGATCAGGCAAGCTTCTTCTTCCTTTGCCTGGCATCACCTCTTTCGTGGTCCCCTGCCGCAGCAGACTTTTATGTCTATTTTCCAACCAACTGCAAGCGGTGGAAAGTTGCTGTTGCTACCATACTTGGCCTCGGAGGCTCATGCATGCTTTCCTACTACATCGGCGTCGGTCTAGCGTCAGGGGTTGCAGGCAGAGCGTCTTGGGCCACGGCAGCGGATGAAGGCCTTGGTATTCTCCTTGTGGAAGCATTTCGTCCTTTGGGAGCCTTTGGTAACTTCTGCTCTGTTATAGTCGCTTTGGGTGTTATCTCCAACAATATCCCTGGCACTTACTCGGCTGCATTGAGCTTTCAATTGCTGGGCTCCTGGATGCAGAGGCTGCCTCGCTTTTTGTGGACTATCGTTGTGGTTATAATCTACACTGTTTGTGCATGTGTCGGTAGAAATGAGCTTTATGACATTATTCAGAACTTCGTGGTGATTATGGGCTATTGGACGGCGGCGTGGATCACCATTTCTGTTGAAGAGGAGCTCATATTCCGCCGCCGAAACGGAGGTTATGACTGGACTGCATGGAACGATCAAAAGAAACTTCCGGTCGGACTTGCGGCATGTACCGCATTCTTGTGTGGCTGGGCTGGTGCAGTGTTGGGAATGTGGCAGACCTGGTTTACCGGGCCCATTGCAAAGCTGGTTGCCTCGGGTATTGACGTCGGCATCCCCCTTTCTATGAGCTGGGCAGCCCTCGTCTATCCTCTTCTACGATACGCTGAACTCAGATACTTTGGTCGTTAAGTTTTGATTATTTATACAATTCCAATATTTTTCCATGGTTTTTCAGTCCTAGAATTACACTGACTACTCATAAGAGTTGTCCCGAATCCCAATTTAGCCCAACGTCCATGAAATATCCATGAATATACGTATTCTACGTCTGTGCGCTTTACGAGCTCTTAGCGGAGCTATGCACGAAGAGATCGCTTTACTTACCACCTATATAGGCCTTTCAGAGCTCCAGATTCTAGTAGTCACGATCCACGAGCGTGCACGCCTACTCGGTATGTTGAGAATTCTTCGAAACGTAGAAGTAGGCACTAGGGGGGCTTGTCTAGGGGCGTGTTTGGATATACTAGCGAGAGAGCGAGGATACTGGTGAATAGCTCGTTTTTGATAGGTTATTCTTCTATGGCTCTTATACTGCAATCATACTAGCTTCCCACACTCTACGTATGGCGGAAGGCCCCAACGGCTATTTTGAGGATATGTGGCTGTGGGTGGCAGGCCACGACATTGACGACCCGGATAACACCCAAATCAATGTGGCCGTGGCCCGGGGCTGTCTCCTCAAGTCAACGTCCGGGCCAACCTGGATGTAATCAGCAGAGCCTTATTAAAGTCAGCTTCCTTCCCATCTGACGCAAGGCAGATACTCATCGATAAATTTCCCCTTTATCGAGCCCGGTCAGGAGAACCCGATGTGATACAACCCTCTCCGCCTGCACGCCTCCGAATGACTGGCATCGTCTAGTTCGCCGAAAGACTCACTGCCGATCTGGCCTCTATCCATATCTCCGAGAGACTAGCTATATTAGGCGCATACTAATCGAATTGATCAGCGAAAGAAAGTGGATTATCAACATACATTAGCTCAGTTGTACAATATACTTCGAGATAATCAAGGAGCCCGTCAAATTTGATATTCCTAGACATTGCAAATGCAATGATGTTGTACAATAGTGATATCTGTAGAATCCGCTAATCAGTAGCTCGTCCTCATAAGTCCACTAGTAGGCAGCTTTTTAGGTCGTTTGCCCCGTTTTTCATTGCTGTATGTTTCCCCCGGGAGGCCCCAAAATAGACGTGCGCTTTTCGAACCACCGCCATTTTGGGCCAGCCTTAATTCCTTTTCGCGCGCTCGTACTCGTTGACTGTGGATTTTGCTTTGACGTTTCCTCCTGTTTTTTGCGGCGATATCGTCTGCAGTCTTGCCCGTAAATATTCTTCTTAGCCAGTCCATGAGTACTAGTAGTCGATCAGGGTTATTAGATGCGGTATCTGCAGCCCCACAACTTTGAATGGTGCCAGTGAGATGAATGGACTGGAGTGTGTTCTTTAAAATAGAGATCTTTGTCTGCTTTTACGGATCACTATTAGTATCATATGCCACCACATGAGATTGACCATACATACGCTGAGTGGGATAATTCTCGAAATGATTGATGGTATTCCCTCGGGGTGTGTGGCCTTCTATGTAGCCTTGAACAGAAAGCCGCAGCCCTATTCAATGGTGATGCCGATCCAAATGAAGGCCCAACATGTACTTAGCCACGCAGCCTTCAAAGTACAATTTCAAGAGCTAAACCCAGATCCTGAAGAGTAGTTGATTTTGAACCCCAAATTGGAGCGAGAAGTAGGAATCACTCCGCAATTAAATGTTGGACGTGAAGGGGCATTTTACGAATGCACATGTGGCATTGCTAAGACCGAAAAGGGGTTCGACGCGGTGATAAGCGAGGCTGTGCAGGGTACAAATCACACAATGATTGGGTACTGTGAATTGGGGGCCGTGCCATACCCCCCCTCTTTGACATCGGCTTATATTCCTTAGCGTTTTAAGCGGGTACTTTCTCTGTACCTCGTGCTTGGCGTGTCATCGTAATATACTAATACAAACCAAAGTTGAACGAGGTCATCGATTCACATAGTACCATTTGGGTATTCCCCATACGCCACTTCATATTAACCAACCACGTGGAGTGCAAAAGGCTTTTTCCGCTGCATACACGCGCAGTCCCCAGACACTATTCTCGACTACCAGACTTGGCTGTTTCCAGTAATACATGTAATATTCCACGCTGCTTCATTTAATTGCGTTCAACATAACCTCACCCTCATAGTGTGTTTGACCAAATGCTCTGCTTTGTGACCCCTCCCCCCCCACCCCAACACTAAACATTTGTCTACGGGAAAACAGTAGAGCCTCAGCATTGAACGGCTCTGCGTCTTGATCGCGTCTGTAGGTGACCGGTAAAAAAGAGGTTAACCATGAGGGTTGAAAAGGGCAGTTCTAGATCCACTCTCTTGCCGTGTCGATCTGCATCACCTGCATTTCCTGTTACGCTTGCATCCCCCACCACTAACGCTCTTGGACGTTTTGATTCTTTTGTCCCTCGGCCTAGTTGGTGCCTTTTTGCCAAGTTATCAAACCTTAATGCCTGTACTAGTCCCTATATTGGATTATTTGTCCCCTCCAACTTATTTCATAAAACATTGTTTGGTCATTGCGTCTGGCCCCGCTCTTTTCTAGAAAGAGCTTGGTATCCAGCTACTGTTACAGTAGCGATCGCTTTCACCTTCCATATCGGAAACAGAGACAAGCCAATTCGAACCCTACGCTAGTCCACATCTGGTTGGTTTTGTATTTTAAGACCTGTTCCAAAGGTGAATCGTATGATACGAAATATTTAAATTACCCACGAGGGCTATATCTATATCTTCAACCTTACAGACTTAAAAATACTAGGTCCACCATCAACAAGTCCAATCTACACATAATTGTCCTCGTTTTATAAAGCCTATGTTGTCGCCTTCTTATTACGGAGTCCTGAATTGTCTGTTCGAAAGAAATGTATGGTTTATTCTAAATAGCTTGAATCTGAAAAATAGCCTCCATTCTAATTTAGTTGACTTTGAATACCTCCTGTTCTATAGCTTTCGCGTCTTATAGTTGCCAAATGTGGTCGTCGAAGTTCCTAACGATGCAAGGTACAACAAAATTATACCATATTGGCTCTTTATCGACTCTCCACGGTCAATGAAGGTGAATATTGAACATCGCTAAAGGGAGACGCTACGACAAAAGAACGAAATTAAGTAATTTAATAAATCATTCTACCACATTTCTTGATCGTGAAAATATGTGGCGCTGGAATTTATCTTGACGTTCAGCGTTCGGGAACAGCCTGTGTGGTCATGATGTCAGAACATCATTCATGATGATGTCAGAAAACTGGGAAGGTTTAAGGTTTCAGGTATGGTTGAACTATATAAATGCGAAAGAATCGAATTCGACGAATCTTTCAAGTTTGAAGGCATCTTGAAGCAAACTTGAAATTTTTTTCAGATCGAAAACCATAATGGCATTCACACAGGCTGCAAACTTGGTGGAGCGCATCATCGGCCATGATGACAATGCCTCCATTACCACAGATATCAGCAACTATAATGAAACAGGCACGGAAACTGATAACAAAATTCTAGCGACAACTTGGCAAGGGAAAAACCAGGTGAAACTAGGTAATTCAGAATAATTCCTACCGTCATTCAAATCATTTCACTTATGCAAGCAATCAGTACAAATGCCAAAACCCTTGGCCGTTGACCCAGGAGATGTCATCGTGAGGGTGACAGGAAGCACAATCTGTGGCAGCGATCTCCATCTTTATCACGGTATGTAGTCCATAATGCGCCAGAATGATTAGTATCTAATCATATCAAAGGAGTCATCCCACAACTTCAAAAAGGGGATGTACTAGGTCATGAATGCTGCGGTGTAGTGGAAAGCATTGGACCCGAAGCCAAGAAGCATAGCGTCGGTGATCGTGTAGTCGTTTCGTTTCCCATCGCCTGTGGCGACTGTAACAACTGTCGCCATGAGCGGTACTCGCAGTGCGAGAGAACGAACGAGAACAAAATCGAGAATGTGATGTATGGGAAGCGTACAGCTGGTAAGTCTCTCAGATCACTACCAATAAACCTTTGCTTATCTCTTGCAGGCATGTTTGGATATTCCCATTTCACCGGAGGCTTTGCTGGTGGACAGGCAGAGTACATCCGAGTACCATATGGAGATGTCAACCTACTCAAGATCCCCGATGCTGTCCCAGATGAGAAGGCACTCTACGTGTCTGATGTTCTGGCAACTTCCTGGCATTGTGTAGTGGATACTGGTGTTGAGAAGGGTGATGTCGTCGGAGTCTGGGGTGCAGGGCCAATCGGACAGATGTGTGCAGAGTTCAGCCTTCTTCACGGGGCTAGCCGAGTGATCCTCATCGACGGCGGGGATGCCGCTTGGAGATTGGACTTCGTCAAGAAGAAGCTGCCCAAGATTGAAACTCTTAATTTCTCTAGTCTACCTTCGGGAGAGTCTGTGACATCTCAGCTGAAGCAGATCGCACCGAGGGGTCTTGATGTTGCGCTTGAGTGTGCTGCTGGCGAGTATGCGAAAGGATGGGCTCACTACTTTGAGATGATGCTCGGGATGGAGACGGATACGTCTGAGCTTTTGAATGAGATGATCACATCTGTTCGGGCGTTCGGACGAGTCGGTGTTACTGGTATTTATGCTGGATATGTGAGTTCTTTCGATTTTACCCCGCAACTAGGAAAAACGAGCAACTAAACTCACTTATGACATTGCAGACTAATCATTTCAATATCGGTGCCTTGATGGAAACTGGTGTACGCCTGATTGGAAATGGCCAAGCTCCAGTACACAAATATTGGGAACATCTCATGGACCTCATTCAGAAGGGAGAAATCAACCCGCTCAACATGGTGACCCATCGACTTCGACTCGAAGATATTGAAAAAGTCTACGAAGCTTTTGACAAGCGCGAGGGAATGCAGAAGGTCTACATACAAACCAGACACTCCAACCCTCCTGCAGCAGACGCACCAGGCTTGTCGATGATGTAATTTGGAAAATATCATGAATTGAATGTGTTGATAACCAGTGTGACCAATCAAATGAACGTCTTTATACAAATGCCACACATACAGCGGATCATTCCTAGTTATCTTGTGGTCAGATGCCTAGTATCCAACTGGTAGCGGTATACAACTGGTAGCAAGACTAAAATACCGGGACTATAAGGGTGGAGAGGAGACAAGTCAAGCTCCGGTAATTCTAGCATGGATCTTTGAAAACCCACGTGTTCGGTGGGGATGCTCGCATGTGATGGGAATACTCGATGGCTTTTTAGGTATGCCCACGTAGACAGAGATGTGATCAGTTCCTTGTAACCGAAATGGGGATAACCCACAACAGAGAAGACGCAAGGATATGCAAAATATGCCAAGATTATACATGGTGATGTTTAATGATGGGGTACTCGGGTACCATGAAATGAATCCAAATATGTACAGAACAAGCACCAGTCAACCAAGGCTCAATCAGCACGAGAGCAGAATAGTCAACCAGAACACGCGAGTATGGACACTGATAAGTAGTAGGGAAAACAGAAAGTCCGAGGCACCGCTAAGGAATCGCTCGCTCTCAGAGACAAAGGACAGGATAGATGCAAGGGATATGCAACAAGGTATGCGACCGACAAGGAAACTTTTACAAGACACCAACCAGGAGACGCCATGCAAGGAACGAACAATGAAAAGATCAAAGAGGATGACAAGATAGAGAAGGTTGGAGAGAATGTGTAGATGATGGAAAATATTGCAGATGCCATTGTTCCAAAAAATGCTTAGCGTTCGGCGTGGAGGTTGAGCCAGCTCATATCGGAATTGTAATTCCCAGAAGGCGGAAGCTCGTCAATGTTGTCGGGTATGATGACGCTGGATTTGCGAGCATTGGAGTTGCGTGCGAAAGTTTGGGAGTTCGTCGCCGGGAGATTTGTGTTACTTGCGCCGTAATAACTGTTGCTGTAGTTGCTGCTGCTCGGGCGTCCTAGCCAACTGCTGTGACCTGCACCAGTCCAGTTTGTATCGTGCGGGTCGTCGTCTGAGGCGATGCTAACTGAGTCGGCACTGGAAATTCGGGCAGATTGGCTTTCGGGAATGAATAAGCTGCGCCCAGTGTGACCACCAAGTTCTGTTGTGGGACTGCCACTATTGACTTGACCAAGCGGCTTCGGTTGGTCAAGGAAACCGAAATCTAACGGAGCGAGGTTGGACATTGGCCAGGCGGTACTACCACGGTAATCTGATTTGGTGTACGCGGAGCTCATGGTGGAGCGGTCGGACTGCATTCCAGCAAGGTTCGTCGCGCGATTGTCATCAAAGTACTTGCCCCATCCCTCATCGGTGGTTCGATCCCCAGGCTTGTTTCCGGGGCTAGAGATAGCCTCGACTGCAGCGGCGACTGCGGCAGATCGGTCCGAGTCATCGGAGTACATGCTTGATGGAGCCAATCCACTAGACGGAATGGGAGATAGACCTTGCTTGCCCAGCCCGTATCCATAGCTCTGGTTGGGAGCCCTCAGGGCTTTCTCTCCTGCATACCTGCCCGACATGATAGCAAGTGAGTCATCAGATATCGTTGCGACTGGGACAGGGCTCTTTGCCATGGGGTAAGCTCCTTCAGTCAGGGGTTCTATTCCCTGATCTTGGAAACTCAGGCGATCTTTTCCGTCTCCGCCCTTCCTTTCGCCCTCTGGATTATGTTGCTCTCTTTTGCGGCGAAGAAGCACCAGGATAGCAACTAAGATGATGATGGCACCGCAAATACTTCCAAGGGTAGCACCAATGATTACGCCGACTTGCTCACCGGAACTGTCGGAAGCAGCAGCAGCGGCAGCAGCAGTCGGGGATGAGCTCGGTGTGGTCGACGCGGTAGAAGAGGCTGTGGCTGTGGCTGTAGGTGTGCTAGATGTGGTGGTCGTGGTAGTTGAGTGTAGAACCTTCTGTGTGCCACTGCCATAAAAGAGCTCTGTTGTGTTGGTCCAGCTATTGGATGTTTGATTGAATATGGACACTGAGTTGTTGCCGCTGCCGCTGGAGATGACAACCAAATCATCACTGCTTTGAGCAATTGCGTAGTCGGAACGTATCGTGGTTCCGGCATTTGTGCTGTTGTAAGAGGGATAGTTGCTCAAGCTCCGTTTTGTAGAGGAAGATCCAACGACAGAGGCGGCCAAGGCAATCCCATCTTTTATGATTTCATAGCTGGTGATAGTATTCGGCGAGACGTCCATGTCGAAGTCCTCCAGGATCTTGTTACCTTCGTCATCGCTCAAGATAGCGAAGCGACCGGTTTCTGACGAGATGTTGCTTGGAAGTGTTACTCCAGAAGCTACCCAACCAGTTGTATTTGCATAGAGGTAAACCTCAGTTGTGGAGGTATAGCCACCGACCAAAGCAAGGGCTGATTCATTCCACTTTAACAGCATCGGCGAAGCTGCTGAGGGAACACCTTGAGGCACTTTTGAATCTGTGTCATAAGGGGAGGATGTTGATAGCTCATAGGTCAATTGGGAGGCCGTATCAGAATTCTGGCTCCCGCCATATACTAAAATGGTAGCCGCATCCTCAAGATAACCCACGCCATGTCCGAGGAGATTGTTCAAGTTCGATGAACCACTCAATGGCGACCATATCTGGTCCTGGTACGAGTACCGCTGCAGACCGGAGTAAGATGAGTTGCCGGACCCGCCGACTACATAGAAAGCCAAATTGTCGTTGTCGCCCTCAATTGCCGCGGTGACACATGCGGCCCCCGTAACTTTCGCGCCCGGTGATAGCGTGGTCCAATTGGCGTTTCGTTCAAGGGAGAGCGAGGCGAATCCATCGGGGGCATAGACGTAGAGAGTATTGTCGTGGACTGCGGAGCAATGGCCCTCCAAGCTCATTGGGGGCTCGGGCGCAGTCATTGTGAAGAAAAGATGTGATACCAGACCAAAAGAAAAGAATGCGGAATGCCAGCCGGCAGAGTCAGTCAGGGCGAATAGTAGAGATTGAACGGTGACTACCAGAGCACTATCTCATCTCGGCCGGGGAGCGTTCAGGAGTAATGTGCCAGCATCCGGCAGCCGGGAGATCTTCACCTCAAGAATGTGTCCGTTCGGAAGTTGTGGAGTTGGAATGCTGTGGAAGCGCGAGAAGCTCGAGATGTTGGGCCGATGACAAAAAAATGGTAGGCAAGGTCGCTTTAGTGTAATCTCAAGTGTGAGATTGAAGTCGCGATACCGAAGGAAGGTGGGAGCTTGTCAAGTCGGGGGTCAACGCGTCGGAAAAGGTAAAGCGAATGAGATTCAGCGACACGTCGCGAAAGAATGAAAGTTGAAGTACAACAGACAACGACAACAACACACAACCGAAGGGACGAGTGCACAGCACGAAAGTTGAGGCAGGGTAGAGTGAGACAAGGCCCCCCTAGAGCCAAAGTTAGTGGAAAAAGGAAAAGGACGCCATCCCCTTAACGGTCAAGACCATGACGAAATGGCCCAGCGGTAATTTCCCCTTAAACCTACCTGATCAACGACTTCTAGATTTTGGGAAGAATTCAATTGCTATCTTCTCTCCCCTTTACTCTGTACAGACTGAATTATTTCTACTGAATTTTTTTTCCTATTCTGCTGCCTCCTGAGTGGGTCCTGCAGAGAAACAAAACCTGCATCTCTCTACATCCTCGGCTACTATGCATGTCTCCACTTGGGGGTTGGCACCGAGTACAGCAGAGCTTACAATGCAAGGGAGTAAACCAACAGAGAAACCAACATGAACGGGTTTGACCAAACACCAAACACCAAACAAACCCCCTTTTCCGCAAGTGGGGATCTTAACCATGGATTCACACTTGGCTCGTGCGCGTGTGACGGAAAATGAAAACAGGTACACAATGCGCTTTATACTCCTGGAGGTTTTCCATTGTTTCATGTAAATAAAGGATCAGATCATGAAAATCATGGAATCTTGCCATCGAAGTATCGAACCCCCGCCCATAAAAAAAATTAGCGTGGAATTTAAATGAGTCGCCCCCAACTGGGCGCTCTTCCGCGCCTCCGCTCCTCCACTTGGGCTCGTGGGAAAAACGGTCGCGTTGAATAAATGGTGCATTACGTGGACCGTGCGTCTGGTACCTGAAGAAAGGCTTCTGACTGGATCCGACTTGCCGATGCAGGTACAACCTTGGAGTCAGCCCTCTATTTCTGGATCTTGACTCGCACAGTCCCCTCAGCTGACTTTGGGGGTTGGCCTTACATATCCAACCATAGCTATAAGATTCTTACGACAGATCACCCGCGGGTAGGATCAAGATCAGCTGAGAAGGCTGTCCGGAGGATATGGGAAAAGGATGACAGGTACATGTAAGTATTGGTGGATATTAATAACACACAGGTCGAAGAATGGATACAAGTGCGATAGCCCCGCTCTAAGTCTGCCCACTCTGTTTCCACTGGTGCGCCTTTTGGAGCAGCCGCGATAGATTCGCGGCTGATTGGTCGTCCGCAGGGAACACGTAGTCCATGTACTCCTCGTACCGATCGTCCTCCAACTTGCGGCGTTTCTTGACCCGCCGCGGCATCTGCTTCTCGATCTTGTCGATGTCCTCCGGCGAGCCGTAAGTGTTCTCGAACGAACGCCAAGCATTGAGTAACTCCACGCGCTGATTAATTATTAGTATAGAGTTTAACCCTGTAGAGCAGGAGTCACATACCTCTTCCTTCATCTCCTTGTCCTTGAACACCTTGTGAGCCCGGTTGAAGACGGCACGGGCACGACGCTTGGCATCCTCGCTGACCGGCCGCTCCTCCTCTTCTTCCTCTTCTTCCTCCTCGGGTATATTGACTTCGAATCGGGCGTAATTGATCCACACCTTCACGTGGTCTGTCTTGGCGAGGAGACGTTCGTACAGCGCACGAACGCGCTCGTACTCCTCTTCTTCCTCCTCAAATTCAATGTAGGATTTCCACACCAGTTCCGGCATGTCAAGAGTCGGCTGTTCAATGCCCAACTCGTAGAGGGCCCGCGCGCGCTCTTGGTCATCCAAGCCACGTTCAAGTTCGGCATATTGAATCCAAGATTGGCTGTTGGAGGGGTTCCATTCGATCTTCTTCTCGTAGAGGGTTCGGCATCTGACGAACTCAAATAGCTGCCGCTCTAGGTCGATGTAGCCTCGGAAAAGCTTGTCCTTGGGGCAAGCGCCGATCGCCATACCCAATGTCTTCCGTGCAGTTTGCAATTCCATCTGTCGGATCTCGAATTGCGCTTTCATCAACCAGACCTTGGCAAATGTAAACTTTTTGTGGGGAATCAGCTTAATGCATTCCTGGTAGATCTGACGCGCACGCTCAATATCCTTGGCCTCCATCTCTTCCCATATAGCATAGAAGATCCAGAGATAGATATAGCGGCGCCAGTGTCGCTTTTCTTGTGAAGGGGGGATCTGTGCAATGGCACGTTCGTAGATGTCTCGTACACGCTCCGGATCGCCCGCGGTTTCCTCAAGTCGTGCAAAGTCAACCCAGATATCGTAATTCCTAGAGTTCTCCTTGAGCTGCTCCTCATATTGGACTCGGCGCTTGGACAGGATGACGTCTTCGACGCCTTCCCGGTCACCAAACTGCTTCTCGAAAGTTGTGTAGGCCTTGTGCAGGATCATCGATTTAGAGCGCGGTAGGCGATCGAGGGCATATTTGTAAATCGCCCGAGCGCGCTCAAACTCCTTCAGCTTAGCCTCGAACTTGGCATAAGCTGAAAAGAGCTTCTCATCCATAAAGTCCTCTCCCAATGTCTCGATCGCAATGCCGTACACCTCGCGGACCAAATCACTCGTTCCATACTCTTCTTCGAAACGAGCCCATTTGATCCAGTTCTTCGGTTCAGGATGCACTATCGTGAAGCGCTGGAAGATCGCGCGTGCTCGGTCAAACTCATTATACCGCTTCTCCATCTTGATATAAGAGCCCCATGCTCCCTCTTCAGGCTCCCACGACATCCAGCGCTCGAAGACCTGCCGAGTACCAGGGATGTTTCCAAGAGTCTCCTCCATGTAGACATATTTGTACCAGAGCTTATCGACACGGGGAAGAATCGTCACAGCGCGGTCGAGGAGGTTGCGAGCGTGATTAATGTTCCGGGTTTTCATCTCCGCTTCAATGTACCGAATCCACAAGACGACGGAGGTCGAGTCGACATCGAGGGCACGCTCGAAGATTGATCTCGCGCGCCGAAATTCTTTCTGCTCTAGTTCCCATGCTGCATAGCGCATCCAATTGTTCATGTTAATACGGTTGCGGCGCACATAGTCCTCGAATTCCTTGCGCTTGCGGCCTTGGTACTCGTGGAGCTCTTCCAAGTCAGCGAAGCGCTGTGTCGGGGCCTGAAGGCCAGGCTCTTGCCGGTCCACGGCCTCGCGGAGCAACTGCTCCGCAGAGATCTGGATCGGCGCAGCGGCCTTGTTCTTGACCCGGGGAGGGCCTCGTGACGCCTCCATGGTGAAAGGTGAAGGGTATCGAGGTTGGCAGAGATGTCGGGTTGGAGGATGGCCGGGCGTGATGGTTTGTAGTGGCTCAAACAGTCGACAGCGTGACTGCGAAGATAAAACAGGAAGAAAGCGATATTAGTACGGGCCGCTTATTTTATCTTCTCTCATAAAGGCGCACAATGGCCAAGTGAAGATGTTGCAACTCTTATGATCCGTCAATCAAATCGCGGATTGAAATCATTGAACCTGCACCTCTGTCTCGTTTCGCCACCCGCAGTAGCTCTCGTGACTAAGCCGCAGCTAACTTCCGCTCCATCGCAAATAATAATTCCGAGGAAACTTGACATCTTCAAAAGCCCCGGTGGCACCAGGGATCATTTACTTTCGCCTCTAAACCTCACCACTCACACAATAATCTCTCCTTATACGCCATCATGTCGACCGCGGAGGAGCTTATGCGCGACTTCGAGGACTCTGAGGAAGATTTCCAGCAGGACGAAGACCTCGAACCGGAGCAGGAAGATGAGCAAGAAGCCCCCAAAGAAGGCGCCGAAGTGACCAACGAGTTCGACCGGTCAATTACAACGGGCGATGAACTCACCCGCCTACACAAAGTCCTTCGCGATCACTACTCCATCCGATTCCCCGAACTTGAAACCCTCGTCACGAGCCCTATCAAGTATGCGAAAACCGTGGCTATCCTCAGAAATGGCCCTCTCGACGACATCAAAGCCCTTTCGAACTCCGCAGACAACATTGTGGGAGAGTCGCTCAAGGGAGTGCTAGATGGGCCGTCTCTTATGGTTGTGGCAGTTGAAGGAACGACCACCCGTGGCCGCGAGATGACCGATTCAGAATTGAAGATGGTCATGGATACATGCGAGAAGATCATCACACTCGATCGTGAACGTACAGCTCTCACGGAGAGTATCCGGTCTCGTGTGCATCAGATTGCCCCCAACCTAGCGACGCTCATTGGTGCTCACACTGCCGCCCAATTTCTTAACCAAACCGGTGGATTGCTGGACTTGGCGAAAATTCCCGCGTGTAATTTAGGCGCACAGGGATCTAGGAGACAGGATGGACTGGGATTTGCTACGAATCATGGTGTTCGATCACAAGGCTTCTTGTACGACTCACCACTCATCCAGGAGGTTCCCAACGATCTGAAAAAGCAAGCTATCCGGATCGTTTCCGCCAAAATGGTCCTCGCAACCCGCGCCGATGTATCAAAGTATGCGAAAGATGGCTCCCTCGGCGAGGAATTGAAAGAGCAGTGTTTCAAGCGACTGGAGAAACTGACTGAGCCTGCTCCTAATGCTTCAACAAAGGCCCTTCCAGCTCCAGATGACAAGCCATCCAGAAAGCGTGGTGGACGACGTGCACGAAAGGCCAAGGAGGCTATCGCCATGACTGAAATGCGCAAGGCCCAGAACCGAGTTGCGTTCGGCAAGGAGGAATCAGAAGTTGGATATGGTACAGGTGAAGGCACTGTCGGTCTGGGTATGCTGGGTCAACAGAACGATGGCCGCATTCGTGCCACGCAAATCGACCAGCGCACCCGTGCCAAGCTCAGCAAGAACAACAAGGGCTGGGGTGGATCAACTCCGGCCAGTGGCACCGCCTCCTCATTGCGCGGCTTTGGTCAGGGCGGCATGAACGGCACTGCTAGTGTTCTACAATCCAAGGGCCTCCGCAGCTCCGGTGTTGGGACTTCCTTGGGTGGCGGCTCCGCTGGTACGGCTAGTACCATTGCATTTACTCCTGTACAAGGCCTCGAGCTCGTCGATCCTAAGGTGCAAGCCGAACTCAGTCGCAAGCGCAAAGCTGAAGAGGACCGCTGGTTTAACTCCGGCACATTTACCCAGGTTGGCGGTAGCCAAACCAGCACTCAACCGAAGGAGAAGGATGGGTTCAAGGTTCCAGCTCTTCCACTCAAAAAGAAGGTGGACACCGGCGCGGGCAAGATGGGCCCACCCGCTAAGCCATAGTTGCATCCGCTTGTTAGTTCATTTGTTTATTCCGGGTCTGCATTTGGGCGGCGTTCAAGAACGATCAATGACCGGAGGTGGCTGGCTCTTTCTTTTTTAACCTCGTGATACCAATTTTTGTACAGTAAACGGTCATATCCAATCACAAAATATCCAAAGATTTCAAGATAAGGAATTATTTTGTTTGCTTGATCTGTAGGTCCTAATGTGGTGATCCTTTACGTAACATTGTCGGCCGTGTGCATATGCTGCTGCGCCGTTTATTTCCCCGATGCATGGGCCGTCGTATTGGTTTTGGAAGGCGCGATGCAGTATTAATTACCCCCCTCTTTTTCGAATTTTCATTCTTTTAAGCGTTTTGTTCTTGTTCTTCATTATCTGTCATTTTGCATAATTTCATCGAGTCCAATATAGAGCAGATTAAGCGCGAATGAGCGTAGACATCCCACTCCTATAATTGGTTTTTTTGCATGGAATTCCAAGGTCAAATAAATTGTTTGGTCTTTGACTGAAGTACCATTGGGCATCACTTCAACTTCCGCAATCGGTTGATGCAATCCGATAGGTAGGTCATATCGCAATTGGTTTAGCAGATTCTAGGTTCTCGGGTGGCGAAATCGGATCTGTGCTATTGGCGAGATCTCGCCGCATGTATTAGACCGAAGTACAATTTACAACTCAGTAACCATGGAGTAGGAACTGAACGGTCTGCTACCTTATATGAAATTGTTAATTACAATATCCCATGGTAGCCTATCCGAAAACTACACCTTGGTATCATCCCGTCGATCAGGGGTATCTCGCCCGGATATATATATGGTGCGGCCCCTCGATGTCAAAGTCACCGTACCATGGTTGAACATGGAAAACCCTGTCCTAGAATTTACTCAGCGTACCATGTGTGCTACACCAGTACTAGAAAATCGGTACATAATATTAATGCATGATTTGGTTTCCACCAGGCCATGAAACACGTGGCGCATCATCCGGTCAGCTTCCACTCATCAACAAATAAATGCTTCGTAGACAAATCAATATGTCGTTACGAATTGCGTGAGAACCTAAAAGATCCGAACCAAACTTTGACTTTGACACTCTAGATGGCGTGCTTATGCCGGGTTCTGTAGCCGTTCTTTCGCAATCTGGGGGAATGTGGCACCAAATGAAGAAACATGGTAGCGGTGTGCACTGCGTGCCCCAATCTTATGACGATGAAATTTTTTTCAAACCCTCATAAAGTCAATTCTATTGCTTTCATTATAGTCGCATTTTTTCTGTTTTGCATAGACTCTCGCCAACAAACGGCTCGTGATATACCCGCATTGTATTCTTCTCTTATCTTCCAAGCATGGCGATAGACGTGGCTGCCCCAACGCTGAGCAGCACAGCAGCAAAACTTGGCTTGGATCAAGATCAAATTCCTCGACCAATTTTGAACCGGCTCCTCCGCCATGATCTGGTGACATCCGATTTCGACGACTTGAAGTTCAACGCTGCAGCATCTCGTCAATTGCAATTGGGCGAGGGAGATGCTCAATATGACTCTTCAGATATCGATTCTCGTCTGATTGCCTCTCCATACAATGGATCACCTCATCTTCTGGATTTAAATGGCCTGGACACGCAAAGCCGGCTGCTATCGCTGGCATTAGCATACTTCACGCCTATTCGGGACGATTATGCCACAGCGGAGTATCTGGAATCGTTCAATTGGGCTCAAGTCTTTGATCTCTTGAAATTATTCTCAGAGGCTGAAGGCCACGCATGGACAAAACAGACTTTCTATGTTGTGTCGTTCCGGTCAATACTGAAGTCGGGTGTTGATAATGATCATCTCCATGATTTGGATGCGTATTCCCACCAAGAAGCTACCACCAGTGGTGGATTATTGAAGTATTGGTTCGGTACGAAGAATGAGAAGAGACAGAACCTGGCAACTTGTGAGTGATCTCAATGATCTTGATGGGTAACCTTGGCTAATACCGTGAGCAGGCATCTGGCGGAATCGGAATGATGCGAGGTTAGGAGGTCGGGGGCCGTGGCATGCAAAGGCTAGAGCGGCGGGAAGGGAGCTGTATGAAGACATTGTTTTCTCAACTATGAAGTTGGTTATTGAGGATGGTGTCTCTTCTTGGAGCATGAGTGACTGGAGAAGCGAGGATGAGTCCTGAGGGCATATGAAATTTGAGCGCTCATCCACTGGAGACTTATTTTCCTACTTAGCATGAAAACATATGTTGCATTATGCAAAAATTTAAGGGAGAACGTAAATAAGGGGTAGTTGGCCAAAGCATCAGATTCTATTGGGCATTATGCAAGGATTACGCAGGGTCCTATGTATAGTGGCGACCTTGCATACCCTTACCGTCAGGGTATCTCAACTTTGAAACAATGCAGCAACCATGAAAGTTGTCGGGAGGTGGACCACGAGAATGGAAACTTTGATCAATAAGCCTGTATACAATTCCAGTGCATATGGGTAAGGCGCGAGCGTATCCGAATATCGAAACAATTTCAAAGGTGTCTGTAGATCACTATCAGAAAATTGTAGAATCGAAAGATCGGAAGATGTAGAGATGGGCATGTAGCGTGTACCATCCAGGAAAACAAAAATATGACGGAAATTAGTGTCATGAGAATCACCAGTGACTGTTCGCATTTCCCCCGCCGCAGGAGAAAAGAGTATAATTTCCCGCAGTGGAGACATCATGGGTTCCACGCCTTTATCCATCGAGTACACTTCCCCGCAACAAAAGCGGGGATAGTTACCCTTCTTGCTTCAATCTCAGCATCATGCTGCCCAAAGAATATTCCATGGAGACACAAGCTCCACTGAAGTGCCGAATTGTTGTTCCATGCGGGGCGCAGATGACAATCGTGCCAGTCTGGTTGGACATGAAATCTGATTACATTAGGTGACCACCCCGCAATCACGGGGACCTGTGGCAGCTATGAGGTTATAAATTGCAGCATATCTCACTGGTAATCAATATTCTTCTTCAATCTTAACGCTTCATTGACATACGTGCTACCTATCATATCTAATTTCATACAGCCAAAATGGTTGCCATCCTAGCGAACCGCCTCGAGGTCAATGACGGACCCTTGAACTCAGAAAACGCGACTCTTCTCCGACCCTCCGAGACTACACTATCCTTGGAGGAGCTCCGAAAGCGATTTGAGGAAGACGGATATCTCTTTCTCAAGCAGATCCTTCCGCGGAACGATGTTCTGGAAGCCCGAAACGCATACTTTACATCGCTCAAGTCCACCGGTGTCCTGAAGCCCGGCAGCGAGCCCGTCGAAGGCATTTTCGATCCAGCCAAGAGTCATGAGCAATACCCCGGCATTGGTGCTGGACATGCCGACGGAAATGGAAGACCAGGTGGTGAGCAGGCGGCAGCATTTGTGGACCTCGCTCTCGATGCGCATTATCAGGACTGGTATGCTGAGAAGTTTTGCAACCATCCCGCTCTCTACGACTTCATCGCTCGATTCTCCGGTTGGAACAAGAACACTCTCAGTCTGCGTCGAACACTACTCAGGAATAACATCCCTGGCTCGAAGCCCATTGGTGTGCATTATGACCAAATCTTCTTGCGACATGGTGATCCGACCAGTATCACCGCCTGGGTTCCCATGGGAGATATCAAGTTAAATGGGGGAGGGCTGATCTATCTGGAAGATGGTATGTTGAGGCGTCGTCTATCATTGCCGTAATACTTTGGGTTAATTTGGGCCATAGGTGACAGCATCGGAGTGGAGCTCGAACAAGCTTTTTACAAGAAGGCAAAAGAATCCGGGATGAGTGATGAGGAGGCTAAAAATGCTTTTAACTCGAATATGATGGCAACGGGCTTGCTGTCGGAATTTCCGGCTGAATTTGCCCGGCATCATAGCCGACGTTGGTTGGTCTCGGCCTACGAGGCTGGGGATGTTGTCTTGCACAAGCCTCATATGGTACGTCGACCTAAGATTTATTATTGACCGCATCTAACGGCGTTCTAGATTCATGCGTCGACCATCAACCATGATCCTGATAATGTGATTCGCCTCGCGACGGATCTCCGATTCTGTGATTCTTCAAAGCCAATTGATAAGGTATGTCTTAGTGAGAAATGCAGACAAGCTTAGTATCTACTTGCTAATTGAACCTTCAGCGGTGGATGAACCACTATACTTTCAATGATGGTGTTTAAGCAGACAGAAGCTGTATTATTTATCTATTCAACCGAGTGCATTCAAACTTCTTTCAAAAATTACATTTAAAAAAACCGAAGCACAAAATAGAAGAATAATATGGACATTGATAGAGATTTGAAAGAGAGCGACCGATGAAGTTGAACGGCTTGAGTTCTCACCAGGTCGTATTTTGGATCGGCTGAATAACCAGACAAATAATCACCTCGTCATTCCTACAATCTGAGCAGGGACACAATTTCTCAGGGCTGTTTGCTTTACCTTTCTCTCGGCACTGTCATTATGATCTAGTGGAAGTATCTAATTGGTCTGATCAGCCTTTGGAATGCCGACACCAGGATCAACATCGCGCACAGACACCCCTGGCTTCGCAACAACCGTCCCCTGAGATACGATGACAGCCAGTAAACACATTAATGTGTCCAGTCTAGAACGAATGGCTTGTAATAGGCGTGACAGCTAAAAGTCAATTAGCTAGCATAAATTGTTGAAATTACGGGACGGCTGGATAGTTTGGTAAAGTATGCGACAGTTGGAATTTCTATACCGAGTTCCCCTATACAGTGCTCACAACCTTCATTCCAGAAAGCCACAAATATTGCAGACCCCACAAAACATAACCTATATGAATCATAGATATCCAGGTGGGTCTACTTTGCATCTGGAAATTCCCTTCGCCATATAGTCTCCCTTTGGCGCTGCAGTCTTCTCCGCTGTACCAAATCAACAACACCCTATTCAACTTTGCGCAACACCTAAAAGCCATTCAATATGTTATTTTCATCCCAATCATCTTGGGGAGCTGCCATGGTCGCGAGCCTTTTGGCTGCGACTGTCTACGCGATCCCAATTCGCGACTCGAGCACCGAAACCCAAAACCGACTGCATTCAAAGATACAACCTCGCAACCCGGTAAATGAGCCAACCATTCGCATCAATAATACCGCAGCTAACAAGTAACAGAGGATTATTCCCGACACCGAGAATTACCTCAGCAGCATTTTCCACCAGCTGGGTATTGATACCATAGACAAAGCCCTGGCGCCCACATCGTCTACTGCAGATACTACAGAAACCCCAGCCCCCTCCAGCGAAGCCAGCCATGGGGTAGACGAGGAAGCCACGGCGACCCCGACCGCAGCCATCGCTGAGGAGACGTCCACGCCTTCATCGACCACGACTGCAGACGAGGTGACCTTCACAACAACTATTAGGAATGGAAATAACAATCCAATTGAGAATATCCAGATTGGACAGGGCTGGAAGGGTTCCAATCGTATCCACGCTTCGGATGTGCCTGTGATCATGAGTGCTGTTGAAGAGGCACTTGCAAATAGGTTCAACGACATCGTTGATAGCTCTGATGAGCTTGGGTTGGAGTGATGCTGCTCTGTATGACCAAGGCCCCTGTCGCTGCTTGTTTTGTACGGGGGATTCTCAAAGGTGGAGAGGATGGACGCACTCGATGGTTTGATGTTATTTACCCTGTAATGATTTTGTAGTTCTATGAATGTATAATTAGTCTGTTTCTGAAATGTTAATCAGCCAAGGCTCCGAGGTTATTTTCGGAAATACAAGCTAGAAAAGAGGTTTTGTTTAGCCGGTGATGAAAGTTCGCGTCGCGTTCTCCTCCCTCCATTAACCGACAGACATATACGAAGGTATTGATCAATTTGTTCAATGTGCTCAATATTAATGATTGACTATTAGCAGAGACTATATCGATCACCACATTAAGCCTCATAAACTTGGGGGCAATAGGCTGCACTACCTGAGTTTCCGACACTAGGTCAACTCTACAAGCGCCGCCACTTTGGACTAGGATTCTGATCCGTCTCATCCAATGCGACTGTCCCCAGACCACATCAAAACAGCCTATCACAGCCAGGGCGACGTCATATTCGGGCCACTCAAGTAAACATTGATTTGCATGGCCTGGAGCTTTCCGTCGTAGTACTGAAGCACTTCGAGTGTGTCACCAGTGGCTCCAAAAGGAGACACGACTGTGATTTCAGCTTCGGCTTCCGTCTCTTTTACCCACACATCCTGCGCTTCCTGTGCCGAAGTCATACGATTCGGGATAAAAGCGGAGACATTCTGGTAGGGGTAGACTTTGCCTGGGATAATGCCGCTAGTCACGACAAAGCCCAGTTCCTCGTCGACAACTAAGGCTACGCGTGCATTATCGTCAGTGGGATGATCATCTGGCCAGCTGCAACCGAGCGGGTCACTTGAAGCATTTCCGTAGACACCAGTATCAATAACCTTCCAGCCCAGTTCGGTGAATTGACAGTCGTCATCAACACTAACGGAAAGGTTGTTGGTTGACGAGAAAAGGGCATCGCTCAGATTATACAAGTATTCTCTACTCGCCTTTGTTCGATTGGCTGGCGGCGACATCAATTCCGCATAGTTCGCCGGAAGTTCTATGGCCGAGTAGGAAAAGCCGTGGTCTCCTCGGTTGCGGTTCATGAACAGCTCCAGCTCGGTGATTAACCGGTCGACAACCTTGACTCGTCCTCGAAGGACTGTTTTCTTCGCGTCGTCGCCTTCGCTAACGTCCAGGGCGAAGTAGGCTGTGCCGTTTGTTGTGTCGATTGCCAGCAGGCTGGGCTCACCTGCCTCCGTGATAGTGCGCCACGCCGTCATCATAGTGACCGCTGCCGGGTGCGAGTTTTCGGTCGCCTTGTAGACTGGTGCCAAAGGCAGCATGAACGGATTATGCATGACCATTGAATCAATGATCCCCTGCACGATGTTCGTCATACATGTTCGGGAGCAGTCGCTGCTGAATGAACTTCTGCGCGCCAACGAGCCTGGAGCAGCATTTCGAGGCAGGCGCATAGATTCTCCACCTATCGCCGAAATAGCCACGGCGATACCTATCGACAAGCGAAGCAACCTAAGTAGACTTGAAACTTGCATTGTGACGAGTTGACTGGAGTTCTAGTCCAGTTGCTGGTATTAGGCAAGGCTATGCACTGCTCGGTGAAGGAGGCTTGTAGTTGAATTAGCAAGAGGAAAAGTCCACGCTTTATACCTCGAATCTCCAGGTCAGACCACGCGTACCCCTCATTTTCTACTACCTAGTATAGAAGTTTATGCATTTTGACAACGGCGTACACTACTAAGCCAAGAGCAATGCAGACAATATTGCAGTATACTCCTCGGCTCCACGCTCGGCTCCACCCGCTGAATGGTTGGTTATATTCTGCCTAGAGTCTGGGGAAGGACCCACCTGTTACCTCCACAGCACCTTTGAATAGTATTACGGGGCCAAAGTATCCTGGTTCTCAGGTTTGAAGCATGCATGAAGATGGAATATGACCTATTAGAGCCTTCTAAGCCTACAAATCGGGCCCTCCTCAAAATGCGGTTTAGCGCGCGAAAAGAGGCGTTCACAATATGCTAATTACAACAACGCAATTCGGGCCCTCCTCAAAATGCAGTTTAGCGTAATAAAAACAAACTCCGTAATAGGCCAATTTCAACACTTCGGGCCCTCCTCAAAATACGGTATAGCGCATAAAAAATAGCGTTTGATCTGATGCGGGGTATACAAAGGTCGGGGTAATTCTCTCTCCCACTTTTTGGTTAAGTACTCATAGGTCATCATCAGTATCGTCTTATCTGAAATGAATGGAATTGCACACGTTGCTGGTGATTTTGAGTGTCAAATGCAGCGTACCTTCAGGTTCGCGTCCACACACTCCTTCTGCACTTGAACTCTTTTGCAGATAGCAGGTAGAACCCTGAAGTTGTGTTGAATTTGTAGATGTCCAAAATAATAGGCTGGGAAGGCGATTGAGGTCGAGTGAACCCTAATCATCTCGCTTCCAGTCCTTTCACCACAAGGTCACGAAGTTGATGAGCCACTTGATGTTTAGAATAATATTTCGTAATTCATCCCAATTTCTGTTAATATTTTCATCCACCATGCTACTAGCTGACGTGTGGCTTATGCAAGGCCGGTCATCTGGTGGCTTCCACATGTGCACTTGGGTGAGAGATGGGAATCACGGGAGTTCGAGACCAAAGCCCCCTTACATGGGACCCACTATTTTGGCCATACCAAAACCATAATATGGGCATCCGTCCATAGGAGAGATGCTGAAGACTTCGTGGTTGGCTACGGCTGCGTTCCCCAAATTTCCTTCTGTTGGAGTCACTCAACCTGTCCTGCAGATCGATACTATATACCCTAGAGGTGAAAGTTCAATTTTCAACTGCTCCTTTCTTTCTTGCTACCCTAATAGTATTCATTTGATTTATTCTTTGACTTACGAGCCCATGAGTGCTGACACATTCCTTGGAAGATGAGGCCGACATTGTCAACATTGGAGCCCACATTCCAGATTCCCAATCATGCCACGACGACCCCGTGTTGTCGCCCAGACCTTGAAAATGGGCCAACAAAAACCTGAGTGTGATTCAGAAATACTGGGAAAATACTAATTTTATGTCCTTGGTTTTGGAAAGCAGTGCTTGCATTGAAAGTGCCTCGGGGTAATACACTAAACATCATACATGCGAGACGAAAACACGACATGGGCGATATGTATCCAAATATCATCAGGCCTACAAAATGCTACTGAATATTAGCCTTGGGAGTATAGAGTTTATAGTAGATTAACGCCAAGCCCTATCGTGATCTGTTTTCATATTACCATAAATGTCGAAGATCTACATGGAATTCTTACAGGCCCCGATTTCTGGCACCAACGCCTGCCCTTTGCTTCGGTGCGCGCTATTCCTCTTTAAGCGTTTGAGCTATGTCTAATTAGAGATGGACCAAAAGCAACATTCCATGAGCTTTCCAAGGAGAAAAGCAATAAAGCAACATAAATAATGGCTTGCTCCTCATTTACGCATGTCGCCTTCTACTTTCAACTGCTATCGCGGCCTAGTCGACTTTTCTCTCTAGCCCCAATTCCCCATTCGACTGGCTCTCACTACAATGTTCGCCCCACTTGTATTAGGCATAGCTGCGCTAGCCAGCGCCTTTCCAGTGTCTACGACGGACAGTGCTACCTCATATCCGGAGGTGGGCTTTTGTATGGGAGATTGCTGGACACATGATCCTGGAATGATCCAGCGTGAGTCAGATGGCATGTACTTTCGCTTCTCGACCGGATCAGGAGTCAACACCATGATGTCGCCCTCGCTCGAAGGTCCATGGGTCAACGAAGGTCCCGCACTGCCTCAAGGCTCAGTAATAAAGTTGAACGGTGTCGATAGCATGGACATTTGGGTATGCAAGCCGAACCGCGGATTCAATTGATTGACTGAGAATAAGTACTAATATGAGGATTGAAGGCTCCTGATCTGCACTATGATAGTGGACTTTACTATATGTACTACGTGGTATCGCAGCTCGGCACGCAAAACTCGCAAGTTGGTGTAGCCACATCTAAGACGATGGAGCCGGGGTCATGGACCGACCACGGCGTGATTGGGCTCCCCCCAAGCGGCGACTACAACAGAATCGACCCCAACTGGATCACTATCGACGGCAAGCAGTACATGCAATTCGGCTCTTACTGGAAGGATCTCTTCCAAGTCGAGATGGAGTCTCCACTGAAAGTCGGCTCTGCAGCTCCACACCAGCTTGCATTCAATGCCAGTCTCAATCACCGCGAGGAGGCATCGTTCATGTTCCAGCACGAGGATTACTACTATCTGCTATTCAGTGGTGGTATTGCTGGCTCTTACACGGCCACTTCCCCGCCTCAGGGCGAGGAGTACCGCATTCACATGTGCCGCTCAACAAGCGGACTTGGAGGCTTTGTAAGTGCTATTTCCCACAGTCCATTTATGTATCAAAATTACAAACTTTCTAACCGATATACGTACAGGTTGACATGGCTGGTACTTCCTGCTTGAACTCTGGCGGAACCATCTTGTTGCAGAGCCATGACCAGATCTACGCCCCCGGTGGACAGTATGTGGCCCATTTTCCTCTCCTGCAGCACCTATGCACTATGTGAAACACTGCTAACAAGATCTTCTAGGGGTGTCATCCAAGATCAAGAGTGGGGTTCTGTTCTTTACTATCAATACTACCCACTTTCCTTGAAGGAGGCTGGCGGTGATGGTAACGACGGCTTCAGATACGGCTGGAACCCGCTTGGCTGGAAGGATGGCTGGCCGTATGTGATGTCGACCATCTAAGCAAGGCCTCGCTAAAAAGTTCATCGCGTGTTCCGACAACTTGCCTATAGCCAGACGGGTCACGGCGTTGTAATTTTGCTTCTTTCTCTTCTGTGAATGATTGGGACCATACCTTTTTTATCTTAACATTTGTGTAATATAGTATGCTCATTTGTTCGTCGTCTGGCGCTTTGCTGACGCGAGCTGACATGATATTTTCTTATGCTAATTACAAATTTTGAGAGACGCTCGGACGAGCGCCCAGACCCACAATTACCACTACCGCGAGTCCCCATTATTTCCATGTTATGAAGGGGCAAGGCTCAATACCATTAGGGACAACTCATGTTACACTTGTTTGTTTTTGAGTTGTAAAGTCTTGGTCGGCAGATTGTTGCATCCTAGAAGAATCATTGGTGAGCCCGGGTGATCATCTTTTCTGTCCCAAGTACTTGGCTCACGTTCCCTGGCCGCAGATAGTGCTGGTGATCAGTCCCAAGCAGTCGGGTCCATCAGAGGTCACCTGACTTTCGCAGTACACTCATCGAGATCGGCCAATGGCACTTACCTGATCTACATACCTTGGATGATACATCCAGTAGCGCAGAAACTTTTGGAATTCCACGACTAATAGGCCAATCAGCATCTCGTCGGGCATGAATCCATTCCAAGATTTGACGAGCACCACGTGCCATCCACGTGCCCTGAGCGCGCACACCGACAGTCTTAATCACGTGATAAGAAAAGTATTTGGCATACTTGAACATCGCGCGTGATCATTCGTCAAACTCACCTCCACTTCCCCACTTGGCGGGAATCATTCCAAATACCTTCATGTTTTTGCTCGGGGAAGAGGGGTTCTTCGGGGTCCTTATCGTGTCACATCATCTCGGTACATTAAAACCTGGGCAAAATTAAATATCCCTGCCAAAAATTGATTGACAAACCTTGTCCTACTTGGCCGGCATGGCAATGCGGACAGGAAACCACTTCTGATTTGGCATCAATATCTCTGGCTACGTTCTCCTTGCACGTCATTAGGCCCTCACTTCAAATTTACAAATCACATCGGGATAAACTTAAGGCCATGAATTGTCATCGGACGTGCCATACGCACTAAGTGGATCATAAGGCGATTCTGATCGGATCGTCTCGGCAAACCAGCCATGATTTGGAATTCGGAAGCTTTTTATATATGACCCTGTCAGCATGCACAGAAGGATGGAAGTCCACCTGGAAAAATAAAAAGAGCCTGTTGTCTCCCCCGTCTGACACGATATCACTCTATCTTGGATTCTCTTCGATATAATCACAATCCAAACAACCATGGATACCGATCAGTGCGGAGTTCTCCACCCGAACGAGAAGGTTGCTCACTGGATCAATAATGGTATTGGGCCAACCAGGTGCGTTTCTGGACTTGAAGTCTGTGTTGCTCTTCTCATACTCATATTTTACAGCAGGACAACAGACGCCCAACAACATGCCAGACAAGCCCAGAACTACAAAGATCTGATTGGCGAGCTATTTAAATCAAATGAGTCACACTCTCGTGGCTCGGCGGTATCCTTCGATAAGCAGGGCCGATCTGATCAAATGAGATCCAAATAATATGTCAAGTGAGTGCCAATACCTCAACCTCTTCCAGCCTCATGGAATCACGAGTCAAGCTGACTATCCCCTTTTAGGAACTAGCGTCGGGAGTGGGACTTGCACCTTTTCCCAAGACCAGCATGCTTTACGAAACGACGATCATGTTTTATGTGATATTGAATTAGCGTCTTAATTTTAGCGTTTTTGTTTTTAGTAATTATAGGCTTCGCATATGAATTCCAATCGAAGTCCCTCATTCATGTTGAAATGCGTATAGCAGAACCATAATGGACAACAGATACATGTTGATCAAGTGTGTTGAAGCTGGGTCAATTTGTAAGCGCTCTGCACATCTTTCCGACGCGAATGAGGGTCACGTGTAGGCCTGAGTCACGGTGAGCCCGATGATATTAGGTCACGTGATGCAATACCAGGCTTCTGCTGCTGTATAAACACCATCCCCGGTTCCCACTCTTTCAAACTTCTGTCGATGGAAGACAGACAGGAGAATTATCTGAAGCAACTAGATGCGTTTGACTCAGCTGATCTACCGCCTTGTCAGTGGGCCTTGATCTAACCACCTCTCAGCTCAAGCAGAGGAGAACACCAGACCAGCTTATTGAGCGCCAGCGAAAGAATGAGATGAAAGGAAAAAGAACACAATCGTCTTGATCTCTCCTTTTTCATAATTTAGCCAATTGTGACACGTATGACGATATCGTGGTGAAGCCCTACGATGTCGTTGAAGCACGGATGATTCCCCAGACATGAACTTCAAATAGATTTAAATTCTTTCGAATTCAAAATATGTATACTAAATGGGTATATAGCAAGTTGACATCTTTGCTGCAAAATTGGTGATCAAACACCCAGGTCCAGCAATCTCAACGTACAGGTCTCAGCTCCAGGTCCTCGTAGCCTCTTGCATCCCTTATGGGTTCTCTGAAGGGACGGTCCTCGTTACTGGCAAACCCGGAGCTACCAAATGGAACCCCAAACGCCCCCCATGTTGATCTAGGTGCCCATGCCCATGCACCATATTCGGAGGATTCTCCACCTGGGGATGCAACATGGTACCATCGAAAGCCAAACCAGGCAAAGAACGCACCAATAAGACTACCGGCTAGTATGTCCCAGCCCGCATGCATGTAATCGGCATATCGAGTTGCACAAATGAATAGCGCCACTGCCACCGGTGTGAGAATAAGAAGAACGAGATAGAGAGGCGAAGCGGCTGCCGAGGACCGGAAGGGGATCACCTTGTCGGAGCTCTGGTCTAGGTCGGCACCTCTGTCTTGTCTTCGTGAGATCGAGATGGGAACTGGAGCAGGGAATGTGACGGCAAACTTCGCGCTAAGCCAAAGGGATAGGTAGAGCAATCCGGCCCAGGAAAAAGAAGAATGACCAGAGGGAAAGGCTGCAAATCCATCTTTAAGAACACTGAGATCGGTATTTTGGCATATACCGACATTGACCATGACGGGTGCCGAGGACTCGGTTAGACCAAGACCACCGACCACGTAGGGTGCGATGTTGGAGAGGTCAGGATCACAACGGGCGAGAAAGTCAGGACGAGGTTTTCCCACTACGTCCTTCAGGCCAGAAGTGATGAAAAAGGCCCCTGCCAGGCTAAGACCAAGGCCCAGCCATCCTGCATGCCACTCCCAAAGTCGACGACTCCATAAGCTCCTGGAGCCACCTTCTCCTGTAACCTCAAGCGCAGATGAAGGAATGAGCAAAGAAAGCACCAACATCAGGACAGCAGGTACCCCACCAGCAACTATAGCGACAATGACGACGGAGATGGTGTTTGTAACCAAGGGGTAGGATATTTGAGGATCATCAAGAGAGAAGGCATGTTCATAGCCGCTGGTTTTGTAGAGGACACCACCTACACCAGCGACGATACTGAATAACCGGAGTTAGTAATTGTCAGAGGATAGTGGAGGATATAGCGCAAACATTATAATAACCCAGTCAAAAACATAGGAGAGGTTCAATCGCGTAGAGGTTTCCCTCCCAAAAATCAACGTCGTTGATCAAGAACAAAGCAGGTCATACAGTGGAATCAAGTCAAAGATAGAGAACACCCATGGAAGAAATGAGCTGTCAAGCTTTGACGAGATCGTCGCATGACCAATCTACCGATTCGAAAAGGGCCAAGTATAAACTACAAAGCTAAAATAAGCCACACTTCCCAAACAAAAATAGTTTAGGCAGCGAACTAATGTTACAAGCAAAACAAGTACCCGTCGGCCCTTTTTGGTGATGGCTGAGCCTCAGTAGAGTAGTACGCTTCCCTTGTGAACCGGGGTTTTTTTTTCTTTCGGTATTATCAATCGCATCATATTCATCCTACTATGTTCGTTACTCCTCTCATTATGAATATACTGTACATTTGCCTCATCGAATATGTAAAGCAGGCCAGGACATCCCTCCCAAGCATGCTCCACTTCAACCCTTGGCGCCATCTCCTTTCCCCACTTGTCGCCAAAAGATACGAAGATGAAGTCTAATGCTCCAAGCCTGAATGACATTACTTGCAATTACCAAAGACAATACCACAAACTATCGGTCGCGAACTAAGAGCATTCGTCCCATATATAATTTGAATCGCCAATTAGATCGTATCAAAGAAATCGCCTCGATTAATTTCGATATTCCAGATAGCCATGAGACCATTTCAATAAGACATCGATCACAAATCAATCACTCTCTCTGGCATTTCCTCTAGAGATAGCATAGTGTCGTATTGTGTCATGAAAGACACTTAACAAGTAGTTAGCACGTCGATTTAATGGAACAATAGAATGAACCCAACCACTCCTGTCGACTTACAAAGAAAAAGGACACCATATGATAGTATTGTGGCTTTGCGCATGCTAAACCCAGGCTTCATTCAATAATGGCATGATAAGAGCCACGAGAATCAGGACTTACCCTGAGAGCTATTCCTCAAGCGATCCAAACTTTTTCACCTCTGGCTTGACCACGGGTGTCATCTTATCATCTGAGATTTTGTGGCCGAAGGTGACGCCAGAGTACTGCTGGTTTTGTTGAATCCAGGCCTCTAGCCTTGCACGCCCACGATCTTGCTCCTCGATGTCATGGAGATGCTCCCTTATGAGGTATAAAGTAAATATAAGGAGTAATGTTGCGATTGAAGCGATATGGACCCCGTATTTCATTGTGGATGAGATTCCGCACGGGACTCGCAGAACGCAAAGAAATGTTATTAAGAAGACCTTTGAATGTTCGCAGCTCAGCAGAAAGTCTGTGGATTCATTGAGTCGATGACACATAATAGATAAGAGGAGGCTAAAAATTAAAGACCAGTAGAACTTTCCATTGGGGGTGATAAGACTGTATTGGGTTATTTAGACAAAAAACCAAGAAATTTTCTAGTGCACACTCTAACTTGGTGGCTTGACGAGTCAGAAAAGTCCGAGCGATCCGTACTAGACGTGATGTAACACGACGGATCCATGACAACGAGGTTAAGCATTTGCAACCTGGATTATGTAATATGCGGCCGGTCAAAAGATTTCCTAAAATGCAGATAATTTCTGTCTGATCCTGAAAATACTCTTTTGTTTCTATGAAAATAGATATGAACTTGTGGGTTATCAGGTCTGTACTCCTTGTCCTGACTAATTCGTTAGTCTATTCAAGACCCACTTAAACTCCACAAATCAGACCCACCCGCGTACAACAGAGTCAAATTCACGATAAACGCCGAAATATCTCACTTCAGGATCAGTTATACTTGGCACAATCAATGAGCAGTCGTAGCAATTGCACGTATGTAGAGCCCTCAGTGGATCATGAGGAACAAGAGTGGGAGTATCTATGAGATTTTATCACCAAAGTTTGACACCCGGCAAGCTCTTTCCGAACTGTTTCACTACGTCTTATGGACCGTAGTTAATGTCGCTTGAGCTAAATCCAAGCTAAATTAATCGAACCACAAGATTCCATGAGAAGGATCTTGAACAATAATACGTGACTTCCTAGCCAGAAACCTTGTAAGAGGAAGAAGCAACGTGAGACAGAAACGCGGTTTCATTCATCCTTGGTGTTCACTTGATAGTCACAGATCAAGTCCTCGCCAAACGGATCATGGCATTGAGATCAGATCTCACTAAGTAGCATATTTTCAGATATCGTGTCAGTAGATTGTGGAGTCCCCGGCAAGTTGAACCGGGGCAGAATTTTTGATACAGGCTCCACTGAAAAGACTTGTTAGTTTAATGATCCACCTTCCAAAGTAGGGTCTCGCTGGCGGAGTACAGTAATCCAATGAAAGATATGGGTTGTGGCGCTGTTTGGCCGTTTCTCCGCTTTTCTTCCGCTTTTCACCTCCACAGATTCAGGGTCTTCCTTTTTCTGCTCAAAATGCTGCTGCCTGGTGGCCCCTATATCATCACCATCCGGGATTCGAATAGGCGGAGAACCGTATGTCAATGCGTCAAACGAGAAAACGCCATGCGAGCATCGAAATCTCCTGATCTAGGCACCAACAATGCCCAAATTCATAGATCTACAATTTGAACATGCCAGAAACGTTATCTACAGAGACCCGTAGGGGTCAGAGCACAGCCAAGTCAATTATGATAAATCCTGATGGCTGCATTGAGTTCGACTAGATTAGACTAAAGCGAACACTATCTCAACTGCTCTTGTCGGAGGGAACTGTGTGGTATACCTGGTATCTCCAAGGCCATATTCGGAAAGGCCCATATCGCTTCCAGAAAAACCAGACGGCCAAGAAGGCACAAGATATTAAAGCGATAGTGAGCAAGATCCGGAGTTTGGAAGAGTTCCCTTGTAACATGGCCTCAGTTTTCATTGTTTCCGTCACGCCCAGTACCACTCCGTGAGCATCCAGAGCAACGACTCGGAATTCCGTATATTGATTGGCAGTTGGTGAGCTTATCTTGGTTTCAAACCCAATCTTTCGAGTCTTTTCCAACTTGGTGAATGTGGGCTTCTCACTCTGAGGTTGGTCAGCGACTTCTAATTGCCATTCCCATACATCTGTGGCACCATTCCAGCTGACGTAGACTCCCCCGTCGATCATCTTTGCCTTTGGTTTGGTCAAAGGTGCCCCGCTCCAAGACCCTTTGAAGGTACGGTAAGAGACAATACGTCCAAAACTAAAGTATGCCGATGCTCCAAAATGGACATCACATAAGATCTCACCCTCGGGAGTGAACTCGGTGAATGCAGCACTGTGGCCCCAGCCAACGAACACATTGCCATTTTGCAGTACCTGTAAGTTTCCTTGCGATGTTGCTAGGACTCGTTGAGAGTCCGAATATATAGTTTGCAGAGTGGCTTGGCGAGCTTCAATATCGAGCTGAATGACCATGCCATAGCTGTATGGCCCAGGACTGTCAAACTCACGTGCTGCATTATTCAACAGGGTGATAGTATTATCACCACGCCAACGTGCATCGTGTTGCCATGAGAATTCTTTAGCACCGCTATTTGTTACATCGCTGAAGTCATTCAAACGGCCACCCAGGGTCCACAGGACTGCTCCAGTCTTCCCATCAATATTGCTGACGGTATGTGTATGTCGCATCGAGACCAGATAGTTTCCTCGGATGTCTTTGTCGACGCTGTTCATGTGAAAAGCATCAAATGGTTTAGACATATCTCCTCCGACCATAGGCAGAAAAGAGCTACTGATGGGATAATGATTTGATGCCCGCCATTCGAACAACAATTCACCCGTAACAATATCGATCTCCTGAAACAGACAGTCATAGATCCAGCCTGATGACGGACCGCCTATAGCTGTTAGGTCGAATGGTATAGATTCGTATATTGTGACAAGAGCCGTGCCGCTGTCGGTTATTTGAAATTCGTGAAGGTCGCCCAAGAGGTTTCTCCCCACGGGAGAAATCTTGTAACGGAGTTGATAGGAGGAGCTGAGCTAAGAAAGCGGCAACCTTAATATTAGAATGGTGTAGGCTAAAATATTGTGAAGTTTCAAGGTACTCCAGGCGCTTACCATATACCATGATCCCTGACCATGAATATCACGCTGAACACCCGCCCAGAAGGTCAAGTAATCTTTTCCTTGGAACCGCTGAACCCTGAAATCGTGAACCTCACCCCAACTATAATCCACCCATACGGGATCCCCCTGTGCGTCGAGAATCAAGAGACTAGGCTCTGCAACCGAAAAGCCTCGTGGGGCTAAGAAGGTGAAATCCGAGTTACATCGAGGGTTCCACTGTAAGGTTTCCAGTCTTGGTGATGTCAAGCTGCACGACTGGTAGCTTCGGAACGGTGCGACGCCATAAACGCCCCAGTCATACGGCGGCAAGTCCAACCTAAAACGAAAGCGGGCCAGTTGAGGTACGCCAAAAATATAGAGTATAGCCAGCACGCCAGCAGTTGCTATGCAGCCAACCAGGCGCAGGTAGTGCTTATTTCGCATTCTGTATGGTTATACTGTTGTTGAACGGTTATCCTGCTGTTGAGAGCCATCGAAAAAGGAGGGCCAGGATGAACTATGTCCAGGGAGCGCATGCTTTTGCTGCTAACTCTCATTGGGGGGACTATCAATACAATACCTCTTCTCCTGGAGATACAGGATGAAGAAATCCAGTAAGTTTATGATACCAGTGTACCCCCACCTTGGGTTTGGCTGTGTTTTGCTAGTGATTTATTAATTTAATTCCAGTAAGCACCATGCGTTAGGTAGGAATGCGCCGACGGTGTCTAAAGGGGTATTAAACCCTGGAACGCAGAATCAATCACAGGTATCGTTCTTGCCCACGTGTGTATTTCCATAGGTCATAGATCCACTTCCCATTACAAGTATCGTAAATAGGGACTGTTGGGAATGAACCTTAAAATTGCTACTCAGATACCCCACTAACTTAATCCCACCTAGCGTCGTAATGGTACTTCACGCGAAATGACAAGCTTTCCCTGTGCCTGGAGACTTCCACAAGACGGTAGTTGGGGTTGTTCCTTCTTTCTTTCATACTTGGGAGGAACACCAAGCTATTTACATAAAGATGCGCACCTTTGAATCAGAACTACCAGTTGCCAAAACACATCGCACGCCCGACTCCTTAACCTCTCTACCAACCCTTTTATCTGCCCCTAACTCCTCTGTTGAAGAACTACTAGTCGCATCGCTCATCTCCGCGGGTGCCCAGCGGATACAACTAACGAAACCTCCATGGAGATCCTCAATGGTTCTCCACAGCCTGCCATCTTCAGCAAGATCCCAGCATCGCAGAGTTCGATCATCGCCAACACTCAACAGAAACCTTCCACCGGGATGAAATACCAAGCCTCTAACCCAGTTATCGTGACCCACCAAAGTCTTGAGCAGTAAACCATTGAAATCCCAGAGTTTAATCGATTTATCTCGCCCACCTGTGGCAACAACACAAACAGGGGAACCCCCAGAAGGCAGTGATTTCCCTCCTGCTAGCGCCACAAGGTAGGAGTGACTAGCAGGAGGAGCAAATGCACAACACTCGATATCATTCCCGTGGCCGCGTAGTATAGCCTGAGGGTCACCAGAAGCGACATGCCAGATCGTTGCGGCATGGTCACTTCCACCGGAAACAAGCCACTCCCCGTCAAATGAAGGGCTCACATCGCGGATCCAATCGCAAGACGTATAGATGGTCTTTAGGCAGAAACCAGTCGAGACATCCCAAAACCGAATCGAAGCGTCGCGGCTAGCCGAGACAAGGGTCTTATCGCCTGGACGTAGAAATTTGACGCAGGAGATGGAATGTTCGTGCCCCACAAGAGTTCGAACATTAGTGTAGTTGGTATTAGGATCCCAGATCTTGATTGTGAGGTCGGTGGAGCTTGAGGCGAGCAGGATTTGACCTTTTATGCCGCCAAAATCGAGGCCTGTTACTGTCCTTGTGTGCCCTTTGAGAGTCTTTTCATGTTCGCCCAGCTCCCAGTCCCAAATCTTGATGCTGCAGTCTTCAGAGCTGGAGGCCAGCGAGTTAAATGTTGGATGGAAGGCCACAGATGTGATGGCAGCTCTGTGTGATTTGAGAGTATGGGCTGGTTGGTCAGGAAGCCAATTTGCTAGGTCTTTATGGCGTGATAGGGATTTTGGTAGTGATCTTAGTTCTTCTGTTAATCTATCGACCTCGGACTCTAGTTTCATGATCTAATCGTCGTTAATAAAAATGATTTTTAGTTGCATTCGTTTGCTTAGGATCACTCAATTATTTTCTTACTTTTCTCTGGAGTAGTGTATTTGTTGTCCATTTCTTTTGCAGAATCTGTGCAAGTTGCTTGATAGCATGGTCCGTAAAGATGGCATCCAACTCCAGCTCGTCGCGAAAAGCGGCGACAGTCTTGAAAGCATTGATCGTTGATAGATATCCGATTATCGCTTTATGTCTGCAATATGTCAGCAAGAGTTTATAGCAAGGGATAGGAAAGGTCGTACAGCTCTTTGGATTGAGATTCGGTCAATATACTTCCCATGATCAATCGTAGGGTATAGTATTGGAGGCTGCCCAGGTATTTGTAATGTCCAGGAGGTTCACCTCAGTTTGAGAGGGAACTCATTGATGGGCAGACTGGGTTAAAAACAATTCTCAGACTGTCAAGAAGGAGGCTGTCAATTGGCCAGCCTCTCAACCTCTTGTCTTTTAATGAAAGGGGGTTTAAATGATTGGCCAATATGCATATTATGGATCACATCTGCGGTGGTTATCAGTATAACCAATGCAAGGTGCCGCGCAGTCTAGATATCTTTGCAATCCCAGCCATCTATTACTTCAATAGTGAAAAGCTTGAGGGAGGGGGGGGGGATGTGGGAGGATTTACTAGGATTAAGATGAAATCAAAAATACGATAATGAATAGGAAGGTGCATATGCATGCACATGTACAAGAGCAGCTATTGAACAATGACTTTTCCCGCTGTGGTCAATTCCTCCTTCCATCCCTAAGAAAAGTTCCCCCTCTATTTCAATCATAAAGTCATGGAAGAGCTTTTCGGGAACCATCAAAAAACTCCGATAACGAATCATGCCAATCAAAAATCCCCCAGTAAAGCTGGGCAGTAAAGCTGGGGGATTATTTCCGCCTGGAAATACCGGGTATGCATTCTAACAAAAACCGGGGAGCCTGGCGATAGGGTTAATGACGAGGCATGACCGGATGGTCCTAGAAATGAAACGAGACATTTGGCCAATGGCTAGCGGAGCCACTGTTTAGCCTAAGTCTCCCACATCAGGATCACCATCATCGTCCTCCTCGCCATTGTCCGGGTTCGTCTCTCCGTCACCAGGAAAAGCCCCGACACGGGAGTGATTCCTGCCCTTATTCACCAAGGCTCTACAAACGCCTGGGAACGCCATTAACCACCCGAACCCTCTTTTTCTGCGGCGCCAGTTGCGGCGCCGCTCAGAATCGCGACCATCACGGTGATGACGGCGGCGATGATGCTCATTGAAGATGCCCTTTTCAGTTCTCTTCCTCCAGGAAGTAGTAGTTGCCAGCCAACTTCTGCTCCTGATCCATCTGACTCTGGTACTTGTTGATACGAGGGCGGTAGCTGTTAGGATCACGACGGAAGGTGACGTCAAGGCTCTTCAAGAACTTGTTGCAACCAGTGACCAGAGACTCGGGGGTGTTAGCGTGAGCGTCAACGGACGGCTGACCGTCGAAAACGATAACACGGTCAGCGAGGTAGGTGGCCATGATGAAATCGTGCTCGACGATGAAAGCAGTCTTCTTGGTGTGCATGATGTAACGCTTGATCACACGGGCAGCGATAATACGCTGCTCGGAGTCCAGGTAGGCACTGGGCTCGTCAATCAGGTAGAGATCGGCAGGCATACCCAGAGCCAGAACGATGGCAACACGCTGCAACTCACCACCAGACAGGTTCTGCACCTCCTGATCAATGAAGTCGTCAATCTTCAGGGGCTTGTAGACATCGGTCTGGAACTGGGGCGAGAGGAAGGCGCTCTTAATACGCTTGAAGAACAGCTGGCGCACGGTACCCTGGAACTTGGGAGTAATCTTCTGGGGCTTCATGGAGATGTTCATCTTAGGAACAGAGATGGTACCATCGGGCTTCAGCGCACCAGCCAGCATCTTACAGAAAGTAGTCTTTCCGGTTCCGTTCTCACCCATCATGACAAGAATCTCAGAGTCGGTGAATCGGCCAGAATCCACCTTGAGGTGGAAGTTACCCATCGTGATCTCCATGTTGGGGTAGCTGAAAGCACGGGCTTTGTCGGCGATCATGTCGTCACCGGCCTCAGTCAGACGGAAGCTAAGAGACTCCTCGCGGAAACGCAAGTTCTCGGTGGGGATGTGACCATCCAAGAAGATGTTGATACCCTCACGGACCGAGGAGGGCAAAGTCACAACACCGTAGACAGCTGGGCGACCGTAAAGCACACAAATGAAGTCGGAAAGGTAGTCGAGAACCGACAGATCGTGCTCAACAACAATGACGTAGTCATTAGGGCGCAGGAGGCTGCGGATAGTACGGGCAGCAGCCAGACGCTGCTTGACATCAAGGTAGGACGAAGGCTCGTCGAACATGTACCTAGAGCCAAGTCAGAGGCGGTAGTGATTGTGTGGGGTCTATATCAACTTACACGTCGGCCTGCTGGACACACACCAGACCAATAGCGAAACGCTGCAGTTCACCACCAGAAAGGTGGTCAATGTCACGATCCGCGACCTGTCTCAGTTCTGCAAATTGTTAGGTGGGTCTTGCATATGTTTCGGACAGAACATACCAAGCACATCCATGATTTCGTCCATGTTATCGAGTTGCGAACGGCTCTTGATGAGACCTTCGACCTGCTTGACAGGGCCCCTGACGGCACGAGGAATCTGATCAACATACTGGGGCTTCACAACAGCCTTCAGATTATCCTCCAGAATCTTGGTGAAGTAGTCTAGTCCAAGTCAGTTCAAAATCATTCTGCTGCCGAGTAGAAGTGGACACTGACTCTGCAATTCGGAACCACGGAAGTACTTCAAAATCTCCTCCCAATCAGGTGGGTTATCATAGCGACCGAGGTTGGGCTTCAGCTTTCCACTCAGAATCTTCAGCGCAGTACTCTTGCCGATACCGTTTGTTCCAACAAGACCGAGAACCTGTCCGGGGCGGGGCATAGGGAGACGGTGGAGCTTGAAGCTGTTGGCGGAATACCGGTGGGTGACCTGGCTCTCCAGGTTGGTGGGCAAGTTGATAATGTGAATGGCGCCGAAAGGACATTTCTTAGGGCAGATACCGCAACCGATACACAGGCGCTCGGAAATGAATGCGATCTTCGACTCGTTGGTCACCTCAATACAGAGTTTACCGGACCGGACGACGGGGCAGGCCTTTTTGCACTCTTGACGACATTTCTGTACCAATCAGCCTCATATTTCTCCAAGAATCGAACCATTTTCCATACCTTCGGTTTGCACTAATCATCCGAAACATTTCGTGTGAGCGGGCTATGATCGAGAGTTTTTTCTTTCGCATTAGCGGGGTATTTGAAACGAACCTTGTCCGAGTTGATAATGGCAATACTTTTAAAGGAAATCAAATTAGAAAGGCGGCTTTTCAGACAGGGCGTTCCATTTAGAACCAGTAGGGAACATACCGTGTGAGCTTGTCAGACATGGTGGCGGCTTCGGTTCAGGGAACCAGGGACTGTATAAAACGCGGGTAAGAAAAGTGCGTAGAGAGCTGCTGAAGATCGTTGAGTCGAGCGGGGGGGGTGGACTGCTGCAGCGTAGGGAATCGGGCGCAATCGAGCACCAAGTGTCTGCGCAGACTCAAGCTGACGGAGTTGAAAGGCGACAACAATGACAACGTCTTGAGGGGGGGCGGAATTGAAACTAAGCAGTCTCTTTCTTATTGTGGGCTGTGGTGCCTGAGGCGGCGACATAGAGACCGCCTGAAAAGCGCCCGCATTATTTAACTTGAATTTGATTGGTTAAAGGTTTTACGCGGATTAATGAATTATCCGGACAACAAAGACAGGTCACATGATGTCCGTTGTTCACGCGCGAAGCGAGTACGCTAGTCCATATCGGGAACTAAGAAACTTGACTGCCCGATCCTTCAGGCAGGCAGGTCGATCCTTGCCTGCAAACCAAACCAAACCGAATCAATCCTCCCAACTCATCTCTCCCTCACTCGTCTCATCCTCATCCCCATATCATCTTCGCTTTCCCCACCCACCATTACTTTTTTACAAAATTGATACCCTAGTCTCCCCTCTTCTGGGGTCACCACGCTATGGAGTGTAAGTTCTTTGTTTTTTTACCTTGATATACCCCCAGACGTGTCGCCAGAACGCTTTGTCCGGGTACTTCTCCGCGTCCTTCGACCCACTGCTAGATATCCCCAAAACATGCGGTACACCTAATGTGGAGGAGTTACATAAACCGGACCCCCCAAATCTGTTGCTCTCGTTCTTCCTGGACGGGTCATTGTGGTCAATCTCCTCAGGGTGCCTTTCTTTCTGCTGCCCGCTTCCATCCCACTCGGCATCAAAAACTATCAATCCCCATCAGTCTTGATATCATACCCCAATCTACCATCTATAAGCTTAATTCTGCTGCGATTTGAGTCGCGTATCACTATTCTACCAATCCCCACGTACCTAGGGTGCCTGCCTGGCTGAATTGAGCTTCAATGCTGACTGCCCCTCGGTCATAGCATCTAGCATGGTGATCCCGTCGGGTCAAGAACCTTATCCAACCTCCACAATGTCGAATGGCTATTCGCATTCGTTAGCTGCCGATGATTTCGGGGCTGATGCCGATGAAACCACGAAGAGCGAACACAGCCAATCCGAGCCCGTCGAATCTCATCCTGTCTCCGAGTCCTCCCCCGAGCCCGATGCCGCGGACGATCTATATGATGCGGATTCTCCAGCTTCGGATGGAGAAGATGATGATGATGTTGTGATGGAAAACAGTGATGATGAAATGGACCAGTCGAGTCGTGAAAACTCTTCATCACCACACGCCGACCGAGGTCTCAAGCGCAAATCGCCGCCGCCGGACGAACGCGACTATATTAACCAAAATCCCGATTTGTTCGGACTTCGTCGCAGCGGTCGCGCACGCACTACGCGTCATCTCGTCGACTCGTCCGAATCTGAATCAGATTCTGTGGCTCCGCGATCTAAGCGCCGGCGCAAGGAGCCTTCCCAGCAGCCCTCGAAGACCTCGCGGTCGGCTACTGCCTCATCGTTCTCGGAGACAGATAGTGATGAGTACGGTGGGAAAGGTGCTCGTGCCAATAAGGCGAGGCGCCGCCGTCTCCAGCAAGCCGCGGGAATGGAGCCCTCCTTCAACGAAGTTCGCTTCTCTACCCGGAACGCGTCCAAAGTGTCGAATTACAACGAGGACGAAGATGATGGGATATTTGAAGAGGACCCAGATGAGCTCGGCGAGAGCTACTGGGATAACACTTATGAAGAAGATACCCGACAAGCTGTCGATGTCGTCCTTAATCACCGGCCTAAGGAGGGCGTCGACCCCAAAAGCCCAGATTTGAGCCGCCAAGACTTTGAGTTCTATATCAAGTGGCAGGACCAGTCATACTACCATTCCAGTTGGGTGCCGAATGAAGAACTTGCGAACTACCGCAGCACCCGTCGCGTGGATAATTATGTTCGCAAAGTGCTCAATGAGGACCTACGCCTTCAACACGACCCATACGCCCCGCCGGAAGACCGAGAAAAGTGGAATCTTGATCGCGAGAGGGATGTGGAGGCAATTGAGGATTTCAAACAGGTTGAACGAGTGATTGGAGTTCGGGAAGAAAATGGTATAACAGAATATCTTGTCAAATGGAAACGACTCTTCTACGACTCCTGTACATGGGAGCCCGAGGATCTCGTCAGCGATATCGCACAACGTGAAATTGACCGCTTCATTGATCGCTCTGCTCGCCATCCTGTTTCCGACAAACTGGAATCAACCCCAGCTACACGCAAGCCGTTTGAGCCTATTAAAGCCTCCCCAAGCTTTTTGCAAAATGGAGAACTGAAGGATTTCCAGGTCAAGGGCCTCAACTTTCTTGCGTTCAATTGGGTCAGAAACCACAATGTGGTGTTGGCTGACGAGATGGGCTTGGGAAAGACCGTGCAAACCGTATCGTTCATCAACTGGATGCGACACGTCCGTCGGCAACAGGGCCCCTTCATTGTCATTGTTCCTTTGTCAACGATGCCAGCATGGGCCGACACCTTTGATCACTGGACACCTGACCTAAATTATGTGGTCTACAACGGTAGCGAAAAGGCACGAGGTGTCCTTCGTGATTACGAGTTGATGGTGGATGGCAACCCCAAGCGACCAAAGTTCCACGTCCTGTTAACAACTTACGAGTACGCTATGAATGATTCTCCATTCCTAGGGCAATTCAAGTGGCAATTCATGGCAGTCGACGAGGCTCATCGTCTCAAAAATAGAGACTCACAGCTTTACAGGCAACTGGTGGACTGGAAATGCCAGGCCCGTCTCCTCATCACTGGCACTCCAATTCAGAACAACCTTGCGGAGCTGTCATCCCTCATGGACTTCTTGAATCCTGGTGTCATCAAAGTGGATGTTGACATGGATCTCAACTCCGATGCTGCGTCACAAAAGCTGGCCGAGTTGACAGATGCCATTCAACCCTATATGTTGCGGCGTACCAAGTCAAAGGTGGAGTCTGACCTTCCTCCAAAGACCGAGAAGATTATCCGAGTCGAGCTCTCCGATGTTCAACTCGAGTACTATAAGAACATTCTCACGAAAAATTATGCTGCGTTGAACGATGGTGCCAGGGGAATGAAGCAATCACTACTGAACATTATGATGGAATTGAAGAAGGCGAGCAACCATCCATTCATGTTCCCTACGGCGGAAGCAAGGCTCCTAGACGGCCTTACCAGGCGAGAGGACATTCTGCGTGCTATGATTACCAGCAGTGGAAAGATGATGCTGCTCGATCAACTCCTTAGCAAGTTGAAGAAGGATGGCCACCGAGTCTTGATTTTCTGTCAGATGGTCGGCATGCTGAACATTCTGAGCGAGTATATGGAGTACCGCAACTACAAATATCAACGGCTGGACGGCACCATTCCTTCCGCGGCTCGTCGCTTGGCCATTGAGCATTACAACGCCCCTGAAAGTACAGACTTTGCATTCCTTCTTTCCACCCGTGCAGGTGGTCTTGGAATCAACTTGATGACTGCGGACACCGTCGTTCTCTTTGATTCGGACTGGAATCCGCAAGCGGATCTGCAGGCCATGGCTCGAGCTCATCGAATTGGGCAGACCAGGCCCGTCAGTGTTTACCGCCTTGTTTCAAAGGATACAATCGAAGAGGAGGTCATTGAGAGAGCCCGCAATAAGCTTTTGCTCGAGTTCATCACTATTCAACGGGGTGTCACTGACAAGGAGGCCTCGGAGATGCAGACCAAGATGTCTCGTGTCATCGGAGAACCTAATTCGACGGAAGACATCTCTCGGATTCTCAAACGACGCGGTCAAAGGATGTTTGAGCAAACTGACAACCAGAAAAAGCTTGAGTCGCTTGACATTGACTCTGTTCTTGCCAATGCCGAACTGCACCAGACCGAGGAAACGGAGCAAATACAGGCAGACGGTGGTGAGGAGTTTTTGAAGGCCTTCGAATTTGTTGACATCAAGGTCGATGATCTTAGCTGGGATGAAATCATCCCAAAGGAACAACTTGATTCGATCAAAGCAGAGGAGAAGCGCAAGGCGGATGAGAAGTATCTCGCAGAAGTCATCGAGGAGAACCAGCCTCGTAAGCGCCAAGCTGCCACACAATCGCGTGATTCGCGAGAGGAACGAAAAGCCAAGCGGCAAGCTCGGGCCCAAGTCGCCATTGACGACGATGACGAGGAGGACAGCAGCTCTTTGGACCCAAAGCGCCCTCTCGGTGAAAAGGAATACCGTGCTCTTTCTCGTGCTTTCCTGCGCTATGGCGACATGGATGATTGTGAAGAGCTTATCCTCGAGGACTCTCGACTGCAAAACCGGGATCGGGAGACTGTCAAAGCTGCTCTTCGTGAGATGACCGACAAGGCCAACTCTCTTGTTCATGAGAATTTGGCGCAAATGGACGCCCTCAAGCAAAGTGGCAAGAATCCCACCAAGAAAGAACAAAAAGCCGTCTTGTTTGACCACCAGGGTGTCAAGCGTTTGAACGCCTGGACCATCGTCGACCGCCCTCCTGATATGCGACTTGTTCGGAAAATGACCACATCTCTTCCAGATTTCAAGAACTTCCGTCTGCCAGAAGCTACCAAGTTGGCTGACTACAGCTGCCCTTGGGGTGCTCGCGAGGATGGAATGCTCTTGGTTGGCATCGGCCGCCACGGATTTGGTGCTTGGACTCAGATCCGTGACGATACCGACTTGGGTCTTGGTGACAAGTTTTTCTTGGAGGAACACCGCGTGGAGAGGAAAACCCAGCGCCTTCAGGGCGAGGAAAAATCTACCAAATCCCCCGGTGCTGTTCACCTTGTCCGCCGAGCAGAATATTTGCTTTCGGTTCTGAGGAACAAATACAGCAGTGGTAACAATGCCATCGCAAGGCGTGCGGTAGACAATCACCACAGGAATAACAAGCGCAACTCTCGGCTTGGCAGTGGCAGCGTGTCTGCGTCCCCTGCTCCCTCTTCTCGCAAGGGGCATAGGGAGGTTGATCGTGTGCGCCAGCGATCCCATACACATGGCAGTCGAGATGGTGACCGTCATCACACACCTGGTCATGATCGACCGAAATCCGGTCATGATGTTAATCGTCCCCGACACCGTACTTCTGATGTCGGCAATGACGAGCTTCGACGTCGCAAGACCCAGGAAAACGGTGGTTCTAGCAAGGAGAAGGAAGACATGGCTTTCATGGTGTTCAAGCCCATTGTGGGGATCCTGGACAACGTTTCCAAGATCACAGCCAAGAACTACCCGGATAAATCCAAGCGGGCGCATGAGCTCCGAACTACCATCATGAAAATCGGTGATTTTATTCGCGAAACTCTGGGAGGTGACAAGCCCATGGCTTCCCTCGAAAAGCGACTGTGGTAAGTTTCTATTAAACATTGGTGATTTTCACATTTCACGTACTGATTATCTGTCAGGGATTATGTCTCTGTCAACTATTGGCCCAACAGGGAAGTGACTGGCTCCAAGCTACAAGCGATGTTCCAGAAGGTCCAAGAAGCTAAAAATGCTCCGAAACCATCCAATGGTACTTAGCATGCAGGCTGCATTAACCCTAGCTAAATTTACCTAAACGGGTCCTCACATCCGTCTTACATCTCTCTCTCCTCGGCTCCGGATGGCCAGAGCCTCCCAATCAACCCAGCGCCCGGCGCACATCTCACATTTCTTATATCTTAGAGCCACGTCTCTTTCTTCTCTTTCTCCTTTCCCTCTCCGATATTCAAAAAGTCAATGATGATTGTTTCATTGAAGTACATACGGATGCAACGAGCTGCATGGCATTGCGAAAGGCGTCGAATGATTTGCGCAACCCAAAAGAAGCACAGAAAGGAGAACCGATTTGGCTTGAATACGATTCGAATGTCATACGATATTTGCATGGCGTGTTAGGGGTCTCTTTTTCGGAGTTTCTGTCTCCTGTTTTGAATTTCATCCTTCTGCACTTTCTCATTCCATCGGCAGATCGCAAAACTTGACCCCTACGCTCCATTGAGAGCGAGGGTCCGGGCTAGCTGGATCTGCCCATGTTTAATTCTTGTCCCTTTCTGGGTGTGCTTGGATAAGTTACTTAAACTGTTCCTGTGAGCTACGGCTTTTGTTCCAATTTTGGTTATTACTTTTCTCCGAGTCGGTCCCATTTCTTGTTGTCATTTTGCTTCCCGGCATATTGTATCCTATGGAGTGGCTACCGCGGCGTCGATTGATTTTTCTGTATCTGCACAAGATCATTCAGCTGGTTTGGAGCACTATATGTGATGTCCATTTCCTATTCTTACTTAGAGCGAATGAAGTGGTCCTTCTTTGGACTTCTTGGTCATGATTGGTTCCAAGTTATGTCTACTTGTGAGTCGTAAAACAAGAAGAAATTGGATCATTAATATTGACAAGGTCGTCGTAAAAGAGCGTAAATATGCTCAAATCAAATACTGGTATAACTGCGACTCGGAAGAAATGAGAAGCTATTCGTACAAAGTGCTAACCCCGTTCTCCTTTCCTCCAATCCATGAATAGCGTAGGTCCTGTAAAACACCGCTTGCGCCAATTAAAAAGTAAAGACACCATGAAAGAACCCGGTAAATCGAGATGCCAAGTATAAGAGAAAGGCAGAAGACTAAGCAGCAGCACTAACCTCTGCTGCCTCTGTCTCAGCTTCTGCCTCCATCTCAACCTCTTCCATCTCCACCGACTTGGCCCTCATCTGCTCCTGCTGCCGCGCAAACTGCCGCTGTTGCTGCTGGAGCTTCTCAAGGCTAGTCGACGGATTGGAACCTGAGGCAAGCGGAGCCACAGTATCTGCAGCACCAACAATAGCACTGAAAAGTCTCAATTCTCCATCAATGAGGTCATCAAGGATAGCTTCTTTCTCGAGCCATGCGTTCTCGCGCAACGGTCTGATCTCATCCCACTGCGCGCGTAACTGAGCACCCTCATTCTCTGCCCAGAAAATTTGCCGGCGCAGCAGTCTATATAGGTCGTGAGGAGGCATATCCAGCTCTGCATCCTCGAAGCCAAGTTCAGGTCCAAATTCAGGCATCATCATATCTTCGGCGTCAGGATCTGCTGGGGGCGCAGCGTTCATAGAAATGATATGGTCGTGAGGCTGATCGCCTTCGGCGCCAGAGTCCTTTGAAGGGTGAGATAGCTTGAGTCGGATGCGCTGCAGTTTTGAGGCAGGTGTACTGGGGATACCGCCAGCGTTTGACTTCGCGTCTGTTTGGCGGAGAGAGTCGATTTCGTGGACAGAGCGCATGTGTTTTGTAAGGGCGTCGGAACGGGTGAAGTTGCGGTCACATTCTGTTCGAATCAAATAGTCAGTTTAACTGCTTCATAAATGCACTGCTTGTGGGTGAGGCAGAATCTCTTCCCAACCTGTTCATTCATCGAGGAACCAATGAGACAGGGGAGCTAGGATCGAACGTACCAGGTAAAGTGCAGTAGAATGGCTTCTCTCGAGTATGGCTTCTCATGTGAGCACGGAGTGCATATGCACTAGCGTGTGTTTGGCCTTTGCGAGTGCAATCGACCCACTCGCACGAGTACCGCTTCTGTCGGCTCCCGATGTGCTCATGGTGGAGATGCTGCACCAAGCCATCCATATTGCCGAGGTCACCAGCAGCACACCCCTCCCACATGCATACGGTGACCTGGTCGCAAGTTTTTCCGCTGTAATCGTCGTCCTGGTGGCCCAGGAGGCCCATAAGGCTAGGAGAGTTCGGGACATCGCCGGAGCTGTCGGAGGAGATGGAAGCTGTAGGCGAGGCTGGAGGGGGCGCATCGTCTTGAACAGAAGAAAGAGGAGTGTGTCGATCCCAGGAGGCTACTCCTGTTCGACGCCGCTTTGAAGGGGGCATATTTGATGCTGATGGTGATTGAGCGCGGCTCTCTTGCTTGACAGACTCGTGATCAGACTCGTCTGCTGTGCCAACAGAGGAAAGGGGGGAACCGGGTGAATCGCGGGAAGCCATTGTGAATGTGGGCTGTCAGCGACAAAGAAATTTTTGTCAGGAGATTCACCAAGACAAAGGGCTAAATTGGAATTGCTGTTGATTACAAGGAGGGAAGGTCAATGAAGCTGTTAGCGTCTCCCAATTGGCTCACGTGATGCTGCCCCAGCTTAACTTTCCCACTCCTGTTTTTCTTCTTTCCTCTTTCCCCCCCCTCCCACACAATTTCAATGACTTTTCTACACAAAGATGAACTAACAACAGGTCCAAGAACGGATGAGTCCGTTTGAACAACTCAATGGCTAGGTAAGCTTACTTTGGCTTTTCTTTCTCTTTCTCTACACCCTGCTTCCTGATGAACACAAAGAAGAATTCTGCAATGCAGACAATCTCCGTAATTGATCTCTCGGGTTCGATTTCAGTGAGATTGGGTGTTGACTCTTCTACACTTGATCTGATCTATCAAATTCAAAATATTTGTCATTGTTGCTCTAAGCTCTAGTTCGATGCTAACGGCTAAAAAAGTAGGTTAAGACCTTAGTAGCGCGATCCAGCAACGGCATTTTCCTTCAGGATTGTGTCGACCTCGGCCAACTCCTCATCAGAGAACAGCTTGACTCCCACAAGATTCTGGGTCACCTTGTCAACAGTTGTGCCACCGGGGATGGGGATAATAGTAGGCATGCCAGGCTTTTCACTCAAGCTCCGGATCCAACCCAAGGCCACCTGAGCTGGGGCAACACCCTTCCGAGATGCCAGGCTCTTGACCTCGTTGATCAGCTTCATATTTTGTTGAAAGTTGGCCTCCTGGAAGCGCGGAGTATGCCGACGGAAGTCACCTTCCGGGATGTCGGACAACGAGGTCACGGTGCCAGTCAGTGCACCCCGGCCCAGGGGTGAGTAAGCAATAACAGGGATGTTGAGCTCTGCGCAAGCATTGGCAATATCGTTTTCAAGGATATCAGTTGACCACAAGGACATTTCAACCTCAACGGCAGCGATGGGGTTTACCTTGGCTCTATAGAATAATTAGTAAATGGCACATACATCATGAAATGGAATATATCTTGCACATACGCGCGTCGGATGGTCTCGGCATCCACTTCACTTAGTCCAATTCCCCCAATCTTGCCCTCTTTCACGCACTTCGCGAGGACCTCCACGGTGTGCTCGACGGGGAAATTCTTGTCCTGGCGCGCACATTGGAAGATATCGACCTTCTTCTTTCCATCCAGGACCTTCAGGCATTCGTCTACACTGCGACGGATGTTCTCCTCTGAGCCGTCTGGCATCAACTGGCCAACTTTCAGTCCACCCTTGATGCTGAGAACCACCTTTTCGGCATTCTCGGGGTACTTGGTGAAGTACTTGTTCAACAGGTGCAAGGAGTTGTAGTCGGGTGTGCCGTAGAGTTCGCCACCATTCCAGAAGTTGGCACCTAGCTCTAGAGCCTTGTTCAATGTTTCAAAGGCAACATCCTCTGGGGTTACCTGGGGGTTCCAGGTCAATCCTAAAAGAATTAGATCCATTGACCATGTGAAGAGGTTCTCTGATGCAACGTACTCATGGTACCATAGCCAGTAGGGCCGACCTCTTTTCCAACAAGAAACGGCATTTTGAGTATATTATACTTTTATCGTTCGGCGTTTAGGGTGTGAGAGAAGCTTGGAAGTGTTGTGTAGGACAGTTGAAAGAAGTTTTCGGTTGCTGTCGAAGTTAATCGGGGACGGAGGGATTGTTTATATAACCACTTCCATACCCACCTCCATACCTCCGTCCCGCAGTATCATCTATAGTTGATTCATAACGCAAAGCTACATAATTCCACTATGTCGGTTTAGTCCCGATTGATGCTCCATGAGACGGTGCCGTTCTAAGTGATGATTGGCCCATCATTCTTGAGCAAGTTTGCGACCGGTCTCCGCGACGTCAACGGGGTTAAGCCATAGGCGGGCGGAGCAACCCCGGAGTTAAGCACGCTAGCCGAGCTGCAGTGCCCGCGTGAGGAAAGCACTTACCTCCTTGATATGTCAGGACTACAGCGCGCGTGGACATCACCTACCGTGTATTCCAAGTTATTCCTATAATGGAATACTTATGTTACATTATGGGTTACGAAAAAGAGACACACTAATCTCATGAAATGAAGTTCTAGATATAATCCACAATCCCAAGTTCACTGATGTTCCAGTGTGGATTGTCCTGAAATGACGTAATTTGCCTATCTCGAAAGAGCCTTTTAGGCATCTCAAAGGATACACGGCCAAGTCCTTCTATGTAAGTACTAAGGTTATAGAGGAGCTGGAGCATATATATTTGGTTATCTGAAGTTTTGGAAATACTTATACGAGAGCCAGAGCCTGGTACGGTGGTACTTGTGGGAGAGAATCTTCCAATGCGAAGCAATAAGTGAATGTATAAATTTTCCAAACTAGAGACCAGGAAAATCATTTCAGTGGCATGGAATGCATATCGTTTTCAATATTAGGTATCTAGCACCACCTGGCAATCATTGTCAATGAGACCTGTGGCATTGAGTGCTGGCTGCAGAGCATGGCTCGAGGTTGGTCAACAAAACAGAACGTGGGCTACGTAAGTACATCGAGCATTTCGCTGTTGACTTGACTCACATCATAGCCATAGGATTAGTATTTTTCATCCCAAAGTTGAATTTAATAGACAACTGAAATTTACAAACTTTAAATATCTGGAAGTTGAGACCTGATAGGGTGGCATTGCTAAAAGGAATGTGGGCACCATTGACTCCTGCGGGGTGAGTATTCGAAGGTCACCACGCTAGTTTAGATAACAAGAGAGTATCTAGACAATGTGGAAATCTGTCAAGATTATGTATAGCTCATGACAGGACCACTTGAGTGCCCTCACATGTGATTTTACCTTGCTGGTGCCAAGACTACGCGCATCGGCCGGGCACCTATTTCCGTCATTCTTGATACCATTATAGAATGTTGCTGGTAGAGACGAAAAGGTCAACGAATTGGGCCTAGAAACACATCCATACAAGTTTAGACTATGAAAGAGATAGGGCATGTTTTGGATAATGCACCCGGGAGTGTGAAATATATGTTCTTAACCTATGCACATCACAGATCGATTAGATTCATGGCTGTTTGTTCCTGGACTCTATTGTAAAGTTTATAATCAGCATTCCAACTTGAACAAGAGTCTGCCTAGATTCCCGATTAAATTGAGTAATAATTACCCAGCATGAAACATTATTGATCTTGCTTTGTCTCGACAACCTTGGAAGTAGATGCGAGCTCTATAACCCCTCATTCAATACCCACTTCGGTAGGGTACTAGACAAAATTAATGCAACCTTCCACTGCCGATCTCCGTACAGATCCCGCCTTAACTTGCCAAGGCTGTGCATGATCAAGAGACAATCAGGGACAAGTTACTGAGGCTGCCAATCAAAGTCGCGAGAATTGTCTTTGTGCGGGGAACCAGGTAAACTTTCGATCTACATTATGAGGGTTTTCAAACATCCGGGATACACCGAGGCGGATTTCACCAGAGTGCGTGATTCCGAGCCCTCTGTTGGTTGGTCATGGTTTTCTATGATTGGAAAGTGCCTCGTGGGGCCTTTGAGATCCGAGTAATGCAAGGGATACATAAATAGAGAGCCAGATCACCTAGATGTAGATGGGCATGCGCTTTCCCCATGAAAATGACCTTCTCAACTGTTTTTCTCACCATTGGCCTCGGCCTTGGAGCCGCTGCGCTCCCAGCCAGCTCTGGCATGAGAAACATCAAAAATGTTGTTGTTCTTGTCCAAGAGAACCGCTCGTTTGACACACTAGCCGGCGGATTCACCTACAACTCTGCCATCGACGGTTTGGTAAACAATGACTACTGCAATCTGGCCAATGTCTCGGTGCCCACTTCAGAGAATATCTGCGCAGCTGATATTGCGAACAACATTGCCTCAGATGACCCCGACCACTCAATTACTGGTGGAAACATGCAGGTCTTTGGCACCTATCATCCTGCTGCAGATGCAAAGTCGTCCATGGGTGGCTTTGTCACCGAGCAGAGCTATTACTACAATCTTCAGCAAAACATGATGGAGGCAGCCGAAGTTATTAATTACTATAAGCCCGATCTTGTCCCAGTTACAGAGGCTATGGCAGAGAATTACGTGTTGTTTGATAGGTGGTTTGCAGCTGTCCCAGGCCCCACCAATCCCAACCGCGCATATTTGACTTCAGGAACTGTTCATGGTAATATATACAATTTGAAAATCATATTGATCCAATACTAACAGAGCGCAGGACATGGATCCAATGATAATGCATACAACGTCTCAATGCTGCCACAAACATCCATCTTTGAGCAGCTGACCGAGCACAATATAACCTGGATGAACTACCAAAACACCACAGGCAAAGGATCCGCAAGTTTCCTCCCTGACGCACTTTTCTACCAATGGACCGCCAAATCGGGCATGGGAGACACCAACGTGCTCCCTATCAGCCAATTCTACGAAGACGCGAAGAACGGAAACCTACCTCAATTCACCTGGATCAATCCCGAGTGCTGCGATTATATGTCCATGCACCCGAAATCCCCAATCAACATGGGCGAGAACTTTATGAAGAGCATCTACGATGCCATTCGCGGCTCTCCTCAATGGAAAGATACTCTGTTCATTATCACCTGGGACGAGCACGGAGGATTCGCTGACCATGTTGCTCCTCCAACTGGTGTTCCTGCTGGTGACAACATCCCATATACCGAGCGTGCACCGGATGGTAAGAACTATACCTTCCATTTCGATCGGCTGGGAATTCGTGTTCCGGCCATGTTGATCTCGCCTTGGGTAGAGAAGGGTGTTGTTCAGAACAAGCCTAGTTCGGGCGATGGGGATTTCACCCATACTTCCATTCTGAAGTTTGTCTCGGAGCTTTGGGATTTGCCGACTTTGGGTCCACGGGTTGATTGGTCGCCTTCCTTTGGGAACTTGATTACCAATAAGTTTCGAGATGATACCCCGGAGACGATGCCGAATGCTGCGGGCTACTAGGAGGGGTGTTTAGGGAGAGCGTGTTGATGAATGTCGCATATATTTCATATAAGTGATATCAACACGGTCTAGACACCTAGGTAGCAATGCAGCACTTGAAAGTAGCAACAGGCTCTAGAATGATCCAGTCAAATAGAGATGGACCTCATTGGTATACTGTTGAAGTTGGAGAACTTATAAAAAAAGAAAGCTTGTTATTTGATCCTATCGACCCAAGCTGAATGCCGTAGATAGTAAAGTAGCCTCTCTCTAGTCCTCCTCGATCTCGCCTTCCTCGCTGCCAGAATGAATAGCCTTTTCGTCGTTCTTTGCATCTTCCTCAGGAATTGCGGAACGTTCGCGGACACGGTCTCGTCGTGGGCCCTTGCTGCGTTCCCGTTCCCGACTATCTCGGCGGTATCGCTTCACAGACCGACTGGCTACGCTCTCAGTGTCGCTCTCCCGTCTGCGCCTGCGGTCCCCACTGGCCACGCTACGAGTGTCTCCATAATCCAGCTCGTCACGGCTACCACGGGGATCGCCACGCGTGCGGTAAAGACGTTCACGTTCATCTTCCCGACGGTCAAGGTCTCTGGGACGGCGATCGGAGTCTCGGTCGCGGGGTTCGCGCTCACGGTAGCGATCTGAGCGATCCCTGTCTCTATCTCGGTCACGATCATCGCGGGTACGGTATGATCGTTCACGATCCGCTTGGGCTTTGCGTCGGTCTGCCTCGTAGGCATCGGGCTCTGGACTGCGACTGACGCGGCTGCCACCTCGTCGTTCTCCTCGGCTGCGATACTCACGATCGTAATCCCGGCGGCTTCGGTCGCGGTCTCGTAATTCACGGTCTTTCTCAAGGTCTTCTTCCTTTTCTTTCAGGCGGCGGATAACCTTGTCGAACGCAGACTCTCGGAGTTCGTCGGACTCGACAGACTTGTATTCTTCGTACTTTTCTAAACGGGGCTGCACCTGATCCCATGTATCTGTGACACGCACTGGGGGTTCAAGGCGCTTGATCCGAGAGCGCAAAGCATCAACGGCACGGCGCTGGTGGCGATCAGCTGCATGCTTCTCCTCCTCGTCACGGCGGATTGCTTTGTCTTGAATGCGCTGGAAGAGGAGTTGAAGGATGTCAGGGTCGATTTTGGAGGTACGCCGATCAGATTCAATAACAGAGTTGAACTCTTCGAAAGTAGTACTGGCGGTAACCTCGAACCGTTTGTCCTGACAGAAACATTAGCACAATTTAAAGAAAAGATTGGGACCCAGGTTCACTCACATCAAGAACATCCAATACATCATTGCGAGGACCGCGGAGCGAGCGTTCCTCCTCCTCAACCATATCCCAGAACAGATCGAGGGGGGTCGACCCGGACTGACCCAGCATGCCCTGGTACCTTGGATCATTTTGAACCAGCGGGCAAATATTCATCCACTTACTACCAGCTTTGATTTTCCCCTGAGACCGCAATTCTTTCAGCAGGTCAACGAACTGCTCTCGGGCACGGCGCTCCTTACGGGCTCGGATAGCCTTTTGCTCTTGGCGGGCGTCATTGAATGTGCGCTCCAAGGACTTGATGTGATTTTCAAATGCAGTCAAAATATCGGATTTGCTCAGGGACTTGAACTTATCGTCACTTTGCACCTTGTCATTAGACTCAATGACCGCCTGAGCCTCGGACCAGCGCGTATACGGTTCAAGATCCAGGCCATTGAGAATGTTGACCAGCTCGTCCATAGCAGCTTTCCGCTTGGATGCCTCTTGCTCCACGTGTGACTTCCTGAGCTCAACCACGTACTCTTCGAAGAGCTGCCGCCTTTCGCTTTCATCGCTGGTAGCTCGGAAAGTAGTCTCACCTTCAATGATTGGACGAATGGTCTTCCAGCGACTGTAGTGCTTGATCTCAGGATGCCGTTGTAGCATGGTATTGAAATCTGCACGGAGCTTAGCGAATCTTTCCTTCGCTCGGTCCTTTTCCTGCGCGCGAACCTCGACCGCGTACTTCTCAAAGGCAGCCTGACGGTCTCTGGGGTCCTTAAGAGAGCGGTACTGCGGGTCCTTGATTGTTGTACGCATGGTCTGCTCCCATGTCCAATCGGGCTGCACGTTGTGCCGTTTCAGCATCTTCATGAAGGCGCCTTCCGCTTCCTCGATGGAGCCGTACTCAGGCTCAGACGTATTGAAAGCCGGCGCGGCCACCATTCCATTGGTGTCAAAATTTCCATATCCACGTCGGTCATTGTAGCCTCGATCACCCCGGTCACCTCGGTCACCTCGATCGTAGTCGTCGCGTTCACGCTGGGGATGGGAATAGGAGCTGGAGCCACCGGCAACGAAAGAGGGTGCGCTGAAAGGGGTTAGTCATTACTGAGGAAAAGACCAGGGAGTAACATACGCAACTGGCGCGACTGGAGCTGGAGGAGCCTGTGCGAGCGCATTCTTGTAAACCTCGGGCATCTCCCACGTGCTTTGTTTGCTTTCCGTGTTGTACCAGTATTTGCGCCCACCATCCGCTGTATACTCCTTCCAAGGCTGATCCGCTAGGGCACGCTATACGTAAGAGAGATAGCTGGTTAGCGCAATGTTTATTCACAGGATAGGTGACAACTGGGATACCAACCTCGACTGGAGTCATCAGCTCAACGGGCTTGGTCCATTGAGTTGCTTTTGTCTGCACATTGTAGTAGTATGCGCGACCGTCTGCATTGCGCGCCTCCTGCCACAGGGCCGAAGCACCACCTGGGCCATTCATTGGATTCATGGTTGTGGAGGTTGACGAGGTGAAGGTGATGAAAAAGCGAAGCGCGGATGAAGCTACGTGTTTGCAGCGTTTGCACTTTCATCTTATCATCCCGTTTATCTCCTTATTGCGCCCACTTGTTGTCATTTACCCCAGGAGCTTGTTCGAAACAATTGCATGCGACAATTTTGGTCGCAATGCCTGGTCTGGAAATTCCTGGAGAATTCTTGCGGCACGCAGTCCTAGAAACGGTTGTGCCTCATGCCCCAGGGCTCGATCTAGAGGGGGCCCTGACCTCCGCATTGGAAGATGGCGCAGATGATCTGCCGTCCGTTCTAGCCTCAATTCCTCAGCGATCTATCCTTTTCTTTGGTATGTCATAGACTTGAAATATAGTGTAGATGCGCTCTTACTTATGCGAGTCCTCTAGACGAAAGCCTTCCCGTCCGCATTGTCCTCCGTCTCTCCGACTGCACCGAAGCTATTCTTAAACATTACTTGCCTCGCCTGGAAGTAAGGCTTGATGTCTATGCTGTAGACCCAGCAGATTCCGTTGCAGAAAATCCAACGCCTACTCGGGAGGCGATATTCTCGGGGGTTGTGGATTTGGACGAGGAACCACTGGTGATTTTCAACGAATTCGAAGGCGAGGATGGTACAGCTGGAAACCATGTTTATCTCATATGGAGCATTGGCAGCTTCCTCAGTGAGTTGCAATGTCATCAATTTGCGACCGAATCCTGCTAACTGTTCAAAGAGCGCCCGCGGAACCGCATCCATCAGCCCTCGCTTTTGTTTATCGGCTCGGCCACCTTAAACTCTTCAGAGGGTTGCCGAACAGAAGACCCCGAAGATGACTACCTCCCTCCTCTTGTCCCTGCATCGACGAATATGCTCCAGCCCCTGGCAGGTGATAAATCCCTTGCCCACAAAGATCCATTCCTCCCCGCATCTAGATTGCTGCGCGTGGTGCCCACTGCCTACAGTGAAGACCCCATCTATAATATTCAGCAGCAGCATGGCCATCCATTCCGTATAGTACCTGCAGCCAGTGCAAGGATTCGATACTCAAGGCTCAGCTCTTACACAGGTGTCCCAACGACGGTTGCTAGTCTCGATTTTGAGGTAACTCCGTTCTTGAACTGTGAAGTCTTGTTCGACAAAGCAGAGTTGAAATTATCTGAGGGAGCCATTGAATCCATGTCTGACATTCCTGGTCTCACTCTTCCGTTGACGTGCCGCCCAAGAGACGACGTGACCCTGGTTTATAAGCTCACCCCCGAGTATGGCCCAGAGACTAACCCTTCATCCACCGCCGTGGTGAGTGTGCTGGAGATTTCCCTTGGTGCAGTGATTCTTTTGTCGGAGGATTGCCAACCACGAATTTCCATGGAATGGAAGACGAATGTTGATTTTTCCTTGGCCCTCAATCCTACCTTTGGTGGCCCCAGTACGGCTTTACAGAGGACAAATCGCCCCACGAGTCTATCTGTGTCGGGCCAGCCACCAGCGGCCAGTGCCAGCCGTAGCTCCCTACGAGAGCGCGCTTACTCTGTTACGGACGTGGGCGTTACTATTTCCTTCACTGGGCCGGTCCGAGTGCAAGTTGGTTCACCATTTTCATGGGGTGTTTTCATCGTGAATCGCTCTAATGTGCCACGAAAATTTGCATTGATCGTCATTCCGCGTCGCAAGCGCGTTGATCCGCGGGGCCATGTTGCTCGTCCTTCCTCCGCGTCTATTTCTAGTAGAAAAGAAGATCAAGTAGCTGAGGCCGTGACAGACGATAATATCGTGCATGCGATGCAAAAGAGTGTTGTGGGTCAAGAAGCCGAGTTGATCAGTTTGAGTACCGATATCCGGGTGGGGTGAGTTTTGTTCTCTGGTTCTCATTGATCTATTACACTGCTGATCATCTTTATAGCCCCCTGTTGCCTGGAACCTGTCACTCCACCGAAATCAAATTACTTCCACTTGCTACTGGCCCTCTGCATCTAGAGGCTGTGCGACTAGTGGATGTGAATACGAATGAAACGACCGATATTCGAGACTTGCCGGATATTCTGGCTGATGACCAACCTCGATCTTAGCATGGAAATGAACTGTATATAGTGAAGAACATAGAATACAATAACATGAAACAGTGGTTATTAATAATAGAAAAAGTCAACCAATCAATAGTCCCTTGTGATAGGACAATCATTTTTAGCCGTGCAAGGCTGAGATCAGTGACGCTTAGTTACATCCAAAGTGACCGCGACTTTCCTTTAGTCATAGCGGAGTCGCATCCTCCACTTTGGTTTTCTATCTGGGGTACAAGTGTCCAGGTGTCTATCTTTCTTACTCCCCTTACCTATGCGTCTGCAGGGAATTTATTCGGTCCCTTTCTCCTCCTCGATTTGGTTACCTGACATTTGCGTCATACTGGCGCGCCCTCCCGGAATCTTGCCATCAATCGAACCTTCCCCTCCATAAATCCGGGCCCACAGCTTCCTTCAGACACCATGATTGCCGCCACGAAACGGAAAGTTCTCGATGGAATGAACCGCCGTTACATTTACGGTCGCGTGGTACGCATCTCCCTCTTCTCATCCCTTTCTACGGAACAACGAAGCCAAAACGACATCGGTGGCTCCGGATCCCTTCCCGACTCCTTGAGCGCCACAGCTAACCTGGTCGCCCATCACGGGTTATAGCCTCTTCTACACACGATTATTTTCCTCATCGAGATGGCCGTAGCTGCTCGCCTTGCCGCCAAGTTTAATACCTATTATGCCGAAAAGCCAGGTAGGTTTTGTGTCGATCTTCCCGCCGGATCCCGGTGTTGCGGTGTGCGATGTGGCTGACTGGAGCTTGCGATATAGTTCTTACAACTATGGTCACCAACGCGGTAAGCTCGGACTCCAATACATGTACTGAGCTATAATGCAGGAGTTGGTTGTTGACGGTGGATACAGGTGCTCGGTGGGGTGGCCGATACGGTTGCGCAGCTTATCACGGCGTTCAGGCATCGATCACAGCAACGATCGCTGGAAGACAACGACTTTATTTCGATAGAGATTGAAGATTTGGATAAGCAAAGGCCGCCTGTCGTCGGAGAGTCAGGATATATCAAAACTGCGCCGCCGCCATTCGACTTTGAGCGTCTGACTCGGTTTATGGCGTATGGTTTCTTCATGGCCCCCATACAATTCCAGTGGTTTGGCTTTTTGTCTCGGGCATTCCCCCTCACCAAGGCGAACCCGACCACTCCGGTATTCAAGCGTGTCGCTTTTGATCAATTTATCTTTGCACCATTCGGTAGGTGTTGCTTGTCATTTTCTTCGGTTTCGAATAGACACTGACTTACCCGTGTGGTATAGGTCTCGCCTGCTTCTTTTCCTACATGACGATCGCTGAAGGTGGCGGCAAGAGAGCTCTAGCACAGAAGTTCCGCGATGTATACCTGCCGACTCTCAAAGCCAATTTTGTGCTGTGGCCGGCGGTGCAGATTCTCAACTTCCGGGTCATTCCAATCCAATTCCAGATTGTACGCATCCATAACCACATATGGGCTTAAGCTTGCCATGCTGACTATACATAGCCATTTGTTTCATGCATTGGTATCGCGTGGACCGCGTACCTCTCGCTCACCAACTCCTCCGAGGAGTCCTAAAAACAGTCTGCACACACAACGACACCTTATGATCATGACCCGCCCCTGATTATATACTGCTTTCGGTTTCGATTCATTTGTTCAGGCGTTCCGGTTGGCCCACAGTCGTGGTTTTCATGGCTAGGGGGTATAAATTTCCGGGGGAAATAACAGGTTGCATTTCAATAGGTCCTTCTTTCTTTTTTGTTGCGTGGGATCGATTCGCGCACCATTTTTTTCTTGCACTTTATTGTATCTTGTTAACATATTTGCTGGATTGCTATTGGTGATTTTGGAGACAATTCGTGCTCTTGTGTTGGTTGCAATGGCAGTGTTCGGCATAACGAAAACATCCCACCACTGTAGCGGATATGTACAATTCCAGTCTGGCCAATCGAATATCTCAGCCGGCGATCTCCCCAGAATTCCCCGACTCCGAGGCTATAGAGGACCCCAGGACGTCCGGCATGTTCCGCAATAAACGGAAGCTGTGACATCAGTCCCGCTTCAGCCCGATCTTAGTCTCCGAAGTAGCTAAAGAACTTGGATCAGAGGTACTAGCGGCCCCAGAAATACTTTTAATTTCCGCCAAAATGTCGTAGTGAGCCAAAGTACTATACTCCGAGCAAGTACATGACCGGTAAGTACCGATTGCAACATCAGCTGGATGCGGGCGTGTTGCTCTCACCGGGCCCCACCATTAGTGCTCTGCCCCTCCAATCTTTACTTGTCGCGACTCACCGTGGCCCTGATTGAGTTCCTTTATTACCATTACTTCCCCTCCTGGCTTCATTGCTTCTTCGCATATTCCGTCCCCTGAGGTATGTACTCGCCCACTCCTTAATTCTTCATATCTGACTCTCCATCAGACTATCATCTACAATGTCTCTCTCCAACAAGCTTAACATCACCGATGTCGACCTCAAGGACAAGCGTGTCTTGATCCGGGTAAGTGATTATCTTTCGAGAGCAAAAATCCTTCTAAATTATCACTTAAAAGAACCCAATCGCTAACCACAGATTCAATTTACAGGTTGACTTCAATGTTCCTCTCGACGGCGAGTTCAAGGTCACCAACCCCCAGCGTATCGTCGGTGCCCTGCCCACCATCAAATATGCCATCGACAACGGTGCTAAGGCCGTTATCTTGATGTCCCACCTTGGTCGCCCCGACGGCAAGGTTAACCCCAAGTACAGCTTGAAGCCCGTTGTCCCAGTTCTCGAGGAGAAGCTCGGCAAGAGCGTTATCTTCACCGAGGACTGCGTTGGCGCCCAGGTTGAGGAGACCGTTAACAAGGCCTCCGCTGGCCAAGTTATCCTTCTTGAGAACCTGCGTTTCCACGCCGAGGAGGAGGGTAGCTCCAAGGATGCCGAGGGCAAGAAGGTCAAGGCCGACGCTGCTAAGGTTGCTGAGTTCCGCAAGGGTCTGACTGCTCTTGGTGATATCTACATTAGTACGTATAAGCCCGATGTTCTCTTACCATATGTGAGGAGTGATGTCCCGTGCTAACAACCCCCAGACGACGCTTTCGGTACCGCTCACCGTGGTCACAGCTCCATGGTCGGTGTCGAGCTCCCCCAGAAGGCCGCCGGTTTCCTCGTTAAGAAGGAGCTGGAGTACTTCGCTAAGGCTCTCGAGAACCCTGCCCGTCCCTTCCTCGCCATCCTTGGTGGTGCCAAGGTCTCCGACAAGATCCAGCTGATCGACAACCTGCTCCCCAAGGTTAACAGCCTGATCATCACCGGTGCCATGGCCTTCACCTTCAAGAAGACCCTTGAGAACGTCAAGATTGGCAACTCTCTGTTTGACGAGGCTGGCAGCAAGATCGTCGGCGACATCGTCGAGAAGGCCAAGAAGTACAGCGTTGAGATCGTCCTCCCTGTCGACTACGTCACCGCCGACAAGTTCGCCGCTGACGCTAAGGTTGGCTACGCCACTGATGCTGAGGGCATCCCCGATGGCCTCATGGGTCTGGATGTCGGTCCCGAATCCGTCAAGCTGTACCAGAAGACCATTGGCGAGGCCAAGACTATCCTCTGGAACGGTCCCCCCGGTGTCTTCGAGCTGAAGCCCTTCGCCAACGCCACCGAGAAGACTCTCGATGCGGCTGTTTCCGCTGCTCAGTCTGGCTCTATTGTTATTATCGGTGGTGGTGACACTGCTACTGTTGCTGCTAAGTACGGTGTTGAGGACAAGCTGTCGCACGTTTCCACTGGTGGTGGTGCTTCGCTTGAGCTGCTCGAGGGCAAGGACCTGCCCGGTGTTGCTGCTCTGTCCAGTAAGTCTTAAATTCGCTCGGTATAGGAGCTTTATATCTTTTCACGAATCTGTAATGTACACAGCCGATACATTTCTAAAATGAATGTCCCAATTTCAAAATATTCCTTGTTCTTGTATAGAAGCTGAATCGCGGGGTTCGTAGGCATGAAACCGAGGCTTTAAGTTGAAGTTGTATGGGGACCTTGGGAGGAGCCTGGGAATTGTACAGAGATAATATCTATCGTCATAGAACTACGTAAATTTATCCTAAAACCTTGATAGGTAATCAAGGGGGTTATAAGATGGAACGGTGCTGCGATGACACAGTGTAGGCCTGAATTAATGAATTAAATGGACGTAAAGAAGGTCCCTTGCATTCCTCGAACGACCAGAGAACTTGAATTGAAGGCCATGCCCCTCGGGCCTCATCGCTAAACTCATCACCAAAGATTTGCCCAAGACCTAAATCAATACCCGTAGTCTCCTGATATTGATAAGCCTCCCTCGGGATAGTTCACTTATCTTGCGCAAAGTCTCCGAACGCGACTCATCAGCCAAGTTACGTGTACCAGGCCCTCATCTTATCTCATCGATCCCAAAGAAGAAAGTAGATTGAAAGGGTATAGTGTATGATAGTAGTGTATGATATGCGTATGCGCTCGGTAGAGGTAGAGGTCTCAAATAGAGTCAACAGAAGTTCCATCCCATCTATTGCTTTTCTTGCGACTTTCAAGCCAGAGCACGGCTCCGGGTTTCAACCTATGGCATTTGCGTGTGACCGTCGTTTCATTTTTGATTTATGTTGTTTATCTTAAGCCGAAGCTTCGACCTTCTTGAGTTCCTCCCTGTAGTTTCGAGAGAAGGTTAGTGAGCTATTTCGAGTTCATGTTTTGAAACGTGAAGGCAGGGTTGGAGCGGGGGTGGGACATGGGGGCGAGTTGAATGAGAGTGAAGGCAACACCCTCTCCTCCTCAACAAGGAAACATAAAGCCTTGAAAGTATTTGTCCAGCGCAATGACTCAACTCACTTCAACTGCTTTGAGAAATCCTCTGCGGCATCGTCATCGTCCCAGCTCTCCTCCCAAAGGTGGTCATTGCCTTCGTTGGTGGCTGACTGTTCGGCTTCTTCCTGGTCCCAATCTAGATTCGAATTTGTTAGCGCGTGATGTTCAAAATGAGTTGTAGTGGCTAATTGCGTTGGATTTGTGGGGAGGGATCTACCTTCGACGGGGAAATCCTCAAACTCGTCATCCTCCTCCAGCACCTGGGGCTTCTGTTGTTGCTGGGGCTGTTCAGAGGCGTTCGCCTTGCCTTGGGGTGTGGAATTCGACATTGCAATTCGGAATTAAATTTCTTGAGTAGTTGAGGTATCTTTTTTTGAAAAGGTGGAGTTGATGGGGAAAGTGGTGTGGTTTGAGGTGTGATCAAGAGAGCTTGGTGAGGTCGGAGCTGGAGGTCAGTGACCGTTGACTTAGTCACCAGATCGGCGATTGCAGATTACATGTATGGACCACCATCAGATAGGAATACCAAATGACGAAAACTAGATGAGTAATGTTGGGAGCTATGGAGCATAAGACATACTATTGTTTTTAGAAATCATCAATAATCATTACCCCATAATTCTGATCGCTTAGCTCGTTCGTAATACGTAGAGTTATGCAGTAAATTCGGGTTCGCCGGCAAATCAACCCCATGGACCAGGATCTCAACTCCGCCACGCTCATTAACTTTCCCCTCCTTGTTCCTGTCAAATTACTTTTCCTTTGTGATTTCCCTCAATATTTATCCATTTCCCATCTCTATATATCTTCTCGGACTTGTTCTCGGAAACCCGGCATATCACATGGAGGCCCGCTAAGATTCTTCCCGATCCGTCGCTTCGAATTCGGCTTAGGCCGTGAACACGATCTTATTTCTACCTATTCTTACCTTCGATCCCATTTTATTCTTTATATTTGTGCAAATTTGCGCCCAACATGATGCGTGTTGGGTCCTGGCTGTATGGCAAAAAGCCGGCCAATGCATCCCAGATGGATTATTTGGCTGAATTGAGAGACTGTATGTTTTTCAGCCAGGGAGATATTCCCGGGGCCGCTTTGTCCTACAGAAATGAGGCTCTTGCTGACCGTGAAATTTCGCGAGCGGGGAAGTGGATGAGGCGATGAAAGGTTTGTGTTATCTCCGCCGCATGGGCCACCCAAGATAACTACATCAGACTAACAAAACTATACAGCGGCTACCTTTATCCTTAACGACGACGTCGATACTGCTGAAGATGGTCTCGCCAAGGGAGACTCAACTTTTCATCAGGTGGGTTTGGACTGTCTGCCCAAATCTGGGAAGTTCTGCTGCGGTTGATGACGTAGTGGTCAAATCGGGCTGTTGCTGACCTTGGGGGCTGCAACTAGTTGGGAAAAGGCATGGTGGCCTTTGTTCGCGCAACTTTAGGCTTTGAACAGGATGTTATGAGACAAGGTGCGCCAAGAAGAAGAAAAGCCCCTCCAATTGCATTGATCTCTAGGTTGACATTATTCTCTAGCATCGGAGCGATTAAGCGAAGCCGAAACGAGCGCCGCGAGCGAACAGTACCGCGCCCAGCAGAGTTCTAGTGCTCCTAATGCCTTTCATTCGGAGATCTACAGCCCCGGTACCGAGTATGTTCTGGTCCAGGCCATTGCACAGCTCTTGGGCGCCGTGGTTGGGGTTTTGAATGAGAGTTTGACGGAGAGTGTCAAGGCGTTCTACCGCCTGCGCAAGGCGTACATTGCATTGGATACGATCTTGAAAATGGAAGAGAAATTTATGGAGGCCCACAGGCCAAAACAGGGCATCTCTACACAATCTAGTGACCTTTCCAAAGCGAGTGCCAACTCCGATTCGAAACTAGCGGAGAAGTCCAGCATGGCCTCGTCGACCAAAGGGGCTTCTACGACTGCCAATGGACTGCCTGCTTTGGATACAGATCTCGCCAAAAGTGTATCCGGACTAGCCCTTGCCCAAGGAACTAACTCCGAGCCAGTGTCACGTATCTCCACACCTGGCGGCTCAAATATCACGCATGACCCCGACTCGGACATTTTCAAAAATGAAATCGACATCTTCATCCACTCGGGTGCCAATTTCTGTTTTGGAATCCTTCTCATTATCATCTCGATGATCCCGCCATCTTTCAGCAAACTCCTTGCCATCATTGGATTCCACGGAGACAAGCAGCGGGGTCTGAGGATGGTTTGGCAGGCTAGTAAGTTTCACAACTTGATCGGAGCCTTTGCTGCTTTGGCAGTCCTTGGATACTACAATGGGTTTGTGCGGTACTGCGATATCATGCCGGACCCAATAGCGGGCGGGGATGATGTCGAGGGCTACCCGGCAGACAGATTGGTGGCTCTGTTGGCAGAGATGCGCAGCAGATTTCCGGATAGTCGACTTTGGTTGCTGGAGGAATCGCGTATGGAGGGGGCGAATAAGAACCTAGACGGTGCATTTGAGCTTCTTTCTACGAGCAAGAAGAGTCCTCTGAAACAAGTTGAGGCACTCTGTGTGTTCGAGAAGAGTTTGAATGCCTTGTTCCTGCACAATTACAGCGCATGTACGAGTGCATTTATTGAGGTGAGCTGAGCCCGGAATTTTTCTATCCTATGCTCTCATATACTAACTTTCCTGTCTATTATAGTGTTCCGATCTCAACTCCTGGTCCCGGTCATTGTATTACTACATTGCTGGATCATGTCAAGTCCTCCTATACCGCCAGTGCATCAAGAATGATCCCAAAAAGGCCGAGCAATACGCTGAAAATGCGATAAAGTATATCCGCCAAGCCCCATCGTATGCAGGGAAGAAGAAATTTATGGCCCGTCAGCTACCGTTCGACGTTTTTGTCTCCCGTAAGATCGCCAAGTGGGAGGCCCGGGCGAAGGAATGGGATGTTTCCCTGATTGATGCTATCGGAGTGGATCCAGTCGAGGAGATGATCTTTTTCTGGAACGGGCATAGTCGTATGACTGACAGCCAGCTCGAGGAGTCACTGGAGCGACTGGCATGGTGTGAGAGCGAGGCAAACCCGACCTGGTCCCGTGAAGGAGCCGAGGGACAAGCTATCGTGGATCTTCTGCGCGCTGCTGTATACCGATCTCTGCGCAAGAACCAGGAAGCTAAGGAGCTCCTCAAGACCAAGGTTCTTAACCATGAAAAGTCGCTGTTCAAGAGTCATTTGCATGACAACTGGGTCCTTCCGGCTGCTCATTACGAGATGGCGGCCAATCTTTGGATGGAGCGTCCCACTTACCGAGCTTTGCACGGGACCTCTGGCATTGCACAGACTTCGCAGAATGCCGAGGAACCCGATTCGTCATTCACCGAATCAGAAAACCCCAATACTTCTGATGTCACCGAGGCCGAGAGAAAGCTTGTCCGTGATTGCAAACAACATTTGGAAACTGCAGCTAAGTGGGAAAGCTATGAGATGGAGGCTCGCATTGGCCTTAAAGTAACCGCCGGTAAGGATGCTTTACAAAAGTGGGAGGCTATGCATTCAGCTTGATCGTGGCCACAATCTCCTTGAACTGTTCATATCATTTGGATGTCATGTACAGTAAACACCGCCACTTAGACGTTTTTGTTATATAGATTCGATTTAGACAATGGGCAATGATATCATGTTGACTCGGGAACACTCCTTAAGTAGCTTCATGAATAGCCAGCCTCCTTGCTCGGTCTACCCAGCAAATACAAATTCTTGAGTTAACCCCACACGGTTATCACAATGCTTCGCATTCTATCTCTTGAGCCCGATTGGTGGGAAAAGACCCATCGCGACGTTGTGTCCACTCGTGACCCTCTTGGTCCGGCAGTTGTCACTCGCCAACCGAAAAGGCTTCCAGTAGACCTGGTCGCTCCACTATAGCTAACAAGCCCGAAATGTGCTAAAGACCAATCGAATCGTACATACAATACGGAGTTTAAGTCAAGACTCGGCGTATGACTTCGAAGACCGAGGCCGAGATCGGATCATACATTGAAGCCCCACATATCCCAAGCTCCCGGATAAAGCGGCTTCTCCTCCTCGGACGTCCGATAGCAGAGCTTCGGATAGAGACTGCAAATCCGCCACTCCGAAGCGATGAAGTACTGATATATCCTCTGGGAGTCCCTGCTTAGATCCCTAAGCCTTTTTTGAGAAGAATGACGTGAAAGAGGGCCCACAGTTCCTTCAGCTATTGTATCCAGTTCTCCTGTGGGGCAAATCCTTTTTCCACTTTATCCAGAATCCTCTACTTGAAGAGAAGAAATTTCGCAAGTCCTGTTTCCTTGCCTTTTTTTTCTCTCCCTTGGTATAGCCTGCGACTGCCTTAGTCGCCTACAACATGGCCAACACAACGGAACACGACTACGATTGTCACTCGAGTAGCGACGATATCGAATCGCATGACCAAGAAATTGGTGGCGCCGATAACACGGAGCCAATCGCGCCACTGGACAAACAGAGCACCGCAGCATCAGGAATATCAGTCTTTGAAGAACGCGCGCAATCGATAGTATCACGCATTCGCAGTCGGGACCCAGGACAAGTCGCGAAATTTACGCACCCCCTCTCGCATACGAAAACGAGCCCCGATGTTATTGTCGATTTCGAGGGTCCGGATGACCCGTACCGGCCATTGAACTGGGGCTTCAGGAAGAAGGCCGTGACGACGGTTTTATACGGGTTAACAACTATGGGCACGACATGGGCTAGTTCGATTTACTCAACCGGCACAGATCAGGTTGCGGCCGAGTTCAATATTTCGACCGAGGTTGCGACCCTGGGAACTTCGCTGCTGCTGTTCGGATTAGGGTTAGGTCCACTGGTTTGGGCTCCTTTGTCCGAGGTCTATGGGCGCAAGGCGGCGGTGCTATTTCCTTACTTCATTGCCGCGATTATGTCTTTTGGAACTGCTGTTGCGAAGGATGTGCAAACGATCATGTTGACGCGGTTCTTTGCGGGCTTCTTTGGTTCCGCGCCTGTTACCAATACTGGTGGTGTTCTGGGTGATATCTGGAGTCCGGAGGAACGTGGTGCTGCCATTGTGGGGTATGCGATGGCGGTGGTGGGTGGACCTGTCCTCGGTCCGATTGCCGGTGGCGCGATTTGCCAGAGTTATCTGGGCTGGCGATGGACTCAATACCTTACCGGTATTATGATGATGTTCTTCCTTGCAATGGATCTAATCTTCGTCGACGAGAGCTACCCACCCGTATTGCTGGTAAATAAGGCACGCCGCCTGCGTTTCCAAACCGGCAACTGGGCCCTACATGCTCGCCACGAGGAATGGGATGTCACATTGAAAGAGCTAGGAAATAAGTACATGATCCGCCCATTTGCCCTTCTTGCAACGCCCATCTGCTTCCTGGTCGCCCTCTACGCCTCCTTTGTCTACGGCATTCTATACCTCAGTCTTGCAGCCTTCCCAATCGTGTTCCAGGAAATCCGCGGCTGGAACCAAGTTGTTGGCGCCCTTCCGTTCCTCGGCTACCTAGTCGGTATTTTCATGGGTGCTGGTATCAACCTGGCCAATCAAAAATTCTACCTCAAACGCTTCAAAGCGAACAACAACCGCGCCGTTCCCGAAGCCCGTCTCCCGCCCATGATGCTCGGTTCGGTCTTTTTCGCTGGTGGCATGTTCGTCTTCGGCTGGACGAGCCCGAAGGACATCCACTGGATTGCCCCGATCATCGGTGCCGTGATGATGGGCTTCGGATTCTTCACAATCTTCCAGGCTGCGCTGAACTATCTTGTCGACACTTTCCAGACAACGGCAGCCAGTGCTATCGCCGCGAACACATTCCTGCGCTCCATGTTCGCTGGCGCGTTCCCGCTATTCACCAATGCCATGTTCCATAATCTTGGTGTTCCATGGGCCGCCAGTATCCTGGGCTTCATTTCCCTTGCGCTTATTCCCATTCCGTATCTGTTCTATACATACGGCAAAAGCATTCGGGCGCGCGGGAAGTGGTCGGCCGCATCTGTTTAGAACTCCGTCATTTTTGCATATGGCTTCTTTCTCTCCATTTCTTGGAGAGATGATGTTGTTTTTTTCCTGAGTACTTTGACTCGTTATTAGATGGGACTGCTTTGCATTGCAGATAACTGATAGATACCCCCCTTTACACTGCTTTTTGTCATGAGATTGATGTGTGGAGTTGTTTGATTAACCTATTAATGCACATAGCATAATTCAAAAGTACAATTACTTACGTCAAAGCCTGCTATCAAGTCATATCCTTAGAAATTAGAAGTAAGCGGTGCTATTCCAGGGTTTGAATTGGCCGATATCTGCGAAACGCATTTAAGGCAGCTTACTATTGAGCAAGGTTTTGGTAGAGACCAGTTTCCATTATACTATGGTAAGACATGATTGATAGGAGACATAGACACGAGAGACATCAGAGACATCAGAGACGCGAAAAAAAGACAGGAAAGTAGAGTCAAGACAGATAAGGAAATAAAGAAAGGCCGATATGAGATCCGTGAATCCATATCTCATAAGCATATAGAGACATAAGAGATGTGTCGGTTCCTGTCCTCAAGGTTGAGCACAAGAGTCGCCGAATAAACAATGAAACAATGAAAGTAGATAAAATAACCAATGATGGGTAGCCTGTCGTTGCACCAATTTATTTTTCCTTTTTCCTTTTTCTTCTTTTTTTTTTTTTCTTCTTCTTTTCTTCTTTTTTTTTTTTGTTTATTAAGAAGCAAGCTCAGGTCGCGCGACCAAATCAAGCATTACTAGACACCATGCTGTTGTTGGTGTTGCTGCTGCTATTGTTGCGACGAGTTAACTTCCTGGCAAGGGTCATAGCCTTCTCCCAGGTCTTCTTCTTCTCAACACGAGTCCTGATTGACGGATCGGGAGACGCGGCACCTGTAGCTTGTTCAGCTGGAAGCTCCTCCTGGTGCTTAGCATTGTGAAGCGCCAGAACGGCCATCTGACCCAAGAAAGACGGGTGCTCAAGCAGATCTTCAAGGCGGACCTTGAGACCTTCTTGCTCGAGTAACCAAGTCAACTGGGCCATGTTGAAAATGTCACCGCCCAAATCGAAGAATGACGAATCAAGCTGGAAAGCAGCTTGGTTTGCCGGCTTGTCATTTGCATCTGGGTCGACGGTCGTGTTCGAGGCGCGTGGAGGAAGGACCTGGTGCCAGGAGCGGGAGAGAATGTCGGAGTGGACAAGGAGCTCAGCGATGGAGCGCGACTTGAGATGTGCGCTGAGGAAGTGCTCGTCTGATGTACGGGGAAGGTCATCGACGACTTGAGGTGGCAGGGAGCACAGCATGTTAGGCGAAGGCAGGGCAGTTGATGGGTTTGCGATGAGCGACTGTGCAGTCTCGCAAACCATGTCGAGCACCTTCTCTGCGAAGGCAGGAAGAATAGGCCCCTTCTCGGAGTAGCCGAGACTTATGTCAAGGTTGCGGTCGTCGGTTGGGCGAGAGACCATTGTCAAGTCGGCGAAGTTGTCGTTGACACCTGCACCGCCCATGCGGTACTTGGTGTTGTCAAGCTCAAGCTCGCCTTGGTAGTCAACGTTCTGATGGAAGACAGACGTAGTGAAGTAGGTCCATGACGGCCAATCTGTGCAGTGCTTGATAATCTCTCGGAAGCCAAGGGACTCGAAGGGCATGTTCGAAACTTGCTGGTCTTGGAGGTAACGGAACAGTTCAAGGCCAGTCCATCTGTCATTGAAGTTGACACGGACAGGAATGACATTGACACAGGGACCGACAGTTGATTCAATGCCTGGAACAGTGGCGTTGCGACCACTGATGGTCAGGCCGAACACGACATCGGATTGAGAGGACAGCTTGGCGAGAGTCAAGGCCCAGGCTGCCTGCATAACTGTGGCAACGGTGACATTTCCAAGGGCTGTCGGAGGGATCTCGATGGTCTTCTTAATCTCAGTGAAGGCTCCGATGTTTTGGAACATGGTTGTGCCCTTGCGGCGGACAACCTGTGTCATTTGCGAGCCCTTCATGAGTTTAGACCAGTGGTTGTAATGATCCGGGCCGATAGTTCCAGGCAGCTGTCGAAGGTAGCTGGCATAGGAAGTGACTGGGGGAAGAGGGCTGCCCTCGTAGCCATGCTTGATGGCAGACATGATCTTCGAAAGACACACTCCATCGTACTGAGTGTGGGACAGGCGGATCATGATCCGGTGTTGGTCGCTCCCCTTCTTCTTGACAACATAGAACTGCACGTATTGCTCACCCTCACGTGGGCCATACTCTCTGTCACGCTGCTGCAAAGTCATTGTGAACTCGTCTAGGTCACGATCGGTGTCATAGACAAAGATGCTTGGGCGGATTTTGCGCAGCACAACCTGGAAGAACTGGTCGTGGAAGCAGACAAAAACAGTCCGCAAGATGTCGAATGCATCAACGACCTTGAGGCAGCTCTCACGAAGACGACGAAGATCCAAAGGACCATTGCCTTCCAAGAAAAAGTAGTTCAACATCCAGCGAGACTTAAAGAGAGTCGCAGTCAAAGACATTGCCTGGAAGTCAGTAACTGGGAGGACATCTGCGATGCCACCCTTGAAAACACCAATCTTAGGACAGATACCACGTTGCACTGAATCCTCATCGACGGCCATTGTAGGTCGTAGCACGGAGATGCTTTCAGATGATGGAGTGGGTGCAAGAGTGGTGGGCGTGCTGTTCGGGAATGACGGAACCTCCTTATGAGTAGACTGGAGGTCAGCATTGAGAATCTGCTGCGTCACGTTGGCAGCGCGAACAGTGGTGAGCATGTCCTCAAAAACAGGATTGTTGAATACATCCGCAACAGTAAGAACCAATCCATCTTCACGAGCAGCACTGACCATCTTCATGGCAGTGATGCTGTCTCCTCCAAGCTTGAAGAAGCTGTCCTGATGTCTCACGACATTTGGCGAGAGACCCAGGGCAGTGCTCCAAAGATTCCAAAGCCTCCGCTCCACATCAGCCGACATACCCTCCTCACTGCTCCGCGAGGTTGCTGAACAAACACCCGAGTCATCCGCTTCTTGATTTCCTTCCAATGGGTAAGGCGAGTCGATTCCATCATCAGTGTGACCATAGCCCGAAAATCCGGAGGTCTGTATCTTTGGAACCATCAACTTGCCTTCCCTCAACATCTGACCAATGATCTCATGAACACGATTATCAATAATCTTTTGAATAGCAACACCATCCAAGGCGTCCACCACAGGCTTGACTTTGTCGTTGGAAGTCGACTGTGAGTAGTTCGACTCCGAAGCCAGCTCCTCTGCGACACTGCCGCCGAAGTTGGAAGAGGCGATAGTCGCGGTTGGTGATTCAATGAACCCAGTGAACACCCTGGCAATAGTGTCCACTAAGGATTGGGCTTGCTCATCGGAGACAACGTCGCTCCAGTACCTGAGCATAATGCCCTCGCCCCCTCGAGAGATGTCAACGTTGACAGTGACAGCGTACTATTTAATGTCAGATATTAAATCATTGAAACGAAAGTTTGCGAATGATAACTTACCTCACTAGGGTCGTGAGCATGCTGCAAATCAAATGACAGGCCCTTGTCTTTGTTACCACCGGCAACAGTGTGGTTCTGAATAGACAAGGTAGTGTTGAACAAGGACTGACCCTGCCAGCCAAGCTCATGTTGAATGCTAGCAAGAGAGCAGCTTTGGTGAGGAATACTGCTAATGTAGTCCGCGTTGACACGCTTGGAGATGTCGTCCAGAGTCTGTGTGGGGGAGAACTGTACACGACAACAAAGCATGTTGATGAAAATACCGACCATGTCTTGGATTCCGTTGACTGGAGCATCGCGACCGGCAGACAGGTAGCCAAAGCAGACATCATCAGAGCCGGTGAACTGCTTCAGGACGATAGCCCAGGCAGAAAGAGTCAAGTTTGCTAGGGTAACGGAGGCTCGCTCGCAGAAGCCCAGCAACTCTGGGTATCGTTGGAAATCCATCAAAATGCCTTTCAGCTCGCGGCTGCTCTGGTAGCCAGGATTGGAAGCCAGATGGCAAGGGTTGACACCACTGAGATAATTCTTCCAGTGATCAAGGGCTTGGCCACGGCTTTGGGTTCTAATGAACTTGATGTACTCGCTGAAACGAGGGCCGGAACCTTCAGCCAGTCGGCGGTCATAAGCCATGGTCAAATCGCGTAACAAAACATCTACACCACCACCGTCGATAATAGCATGATTGATCTCGAGCTTCACAAAAACGCGTCCAGTAGGCGTCTTGCAGACGGTGAATTGGTTGGAGATCTTGGCGGGGCGCATGGCGTTCAGATTGTGAAGGGAGATCGCACTCAACTTCTCCTGGACCTGGGAGTCAGGGCATTCAACACGAAGTACATGATCAGGGATATTCTTGAAAACAAGCTGGTCAAAGGATCCTCCACTGTAGTTGCTGTCAATGAAAACAGTCCGGAGAACGGGGTGCCGTTCGACAACCATCTGCCAGGAGCGGGCAAGCTTCTCGGCATCAACCTTATGAGTGCGAAGGTCCTTGATTTCAAAAATGGTATGAAACATGTAGGCACTGGGGTCACGAAGTTGGCTCAGCAACAGACCTTCCTGCATTGGGGAGCAAGGGTAAATATCCTCAACTTCGTTCTTGTTGCGGATACCGAGCTTGCGGAAAGTGTTGTTAGTGAGGATCTGCAAGCCGTTGTAGTTGATTGGCAGCAAAGGATAGTCACTAAGGGTAGGCTCTGGGGTGGCAGTCTTGAGAATTGACATATCCTTCTCCAACGTTTGCTTGCACTGGAGAATCCAGCGACGGATCTGGTTTTCGTTCTGCATCTTGTTGTTGTACGTGAAGCCAATGTTTAGGCGGTCTTTCACTACAATTGCAGAAACCTCGAAGAGGGCGAAGCGAACAGTCTCGGGGCCCATGTCACCTGCAACGGCGAAGTCGGAGCCGTCAAACACGTTTCCTTGATGCCGGAAGAGCGAGTCTGCCCGCTCAAGCTGCTGCATCTTGCCAAGATAGTTGAAGAGAATTTCCAATGGAACCTGGAAGTCATCGCCACCAGCTTGGAGCAGGCTCTTGGCGAAGTATGGCCGACCATTGTCGCTGATCTTCCGGCGGGTGTCCTTAACACGTTTGATGGTGTCAATGATACCTATGCGAAATATTAGTAAATGATCATTTTTCAGGCTTGGCTTGAACATACCTTTTTGTCCCTCAACTAGAAGAGGTGACATTGTGGTAAACCAACCAACAGTTCTTGATAGGTCAACGCTGGCATCCCAGGATTCACGGCCATGTCCTTCGTTGTAGATAGTAGGCACCTTGCGGTCAGTAAATACGCGACCGAAGGAGTGAATGATACAGGCGAGCAACACATCAACCGTCTCAGTGGCAAAGATTTCATGACAGCCATCAAGGAGGAATTTCGTAGCCTCCTCGGTCAAACTGAAAGATTCCATCTTGATGTCACCATAGACGTTGGCAGTGTCTTGCATCCCCCAGTACGACAGATCAGTCGGTTCAGGAGTGAAGGGTAGTGCGAGGTCAATGTCATGTGTCTTAGTTCGTTCAAGTTGCATGGCACACCAGCTCTGGAATGAGAGCGCTTTTTCATCCGAGAGAGAGCCAGATATGATCAACTCCTCGAGATCGGATAGAACAATGCGCCAGGAAACCATGTCAACACACAGATGATGAGCGACTAGGAAGAGCACCTGGCCGCCTGTTCGGAGGTTGAAGAGATCGGCCGCAAAGATAGGACCATTTATGGGATCCAGGCAACACTGGCTTTCGGCAATCTGTGGGACCATGGCATGTGTGTCACTGACTGAGTGTACACGGAAGCGGAAAGATTGATCAACTTCCTAAATAATTGTCAGTTGGTTCCAAAAGTTGAATCAGATATACACATACCGCTGCTCCCTTTTGTTGCCATTTTCCATCAACGCTCTTGCTAAAACGGGTACGGAACATCGCGTGCTGGCTGGTGACAGCCTTGATCGCCCGTCGCAGAACTTCACCCTCAACCCTGCGCGAGATACGGACGGTCATGCTCTGGTTGAAACGGGCTGCGCCCTTGAACGATGCTGAGGACTGCATATAGAGCTTCTGCACGGGAGAGAGCGCAAAGCCCTCTCCGGACTTTTCTTCGCGATGAGCAGTGACAGGAGCCTTAGACTTAGCGGCCTGTGCTAGTTCTTTGACTGATCTGCTTTGAAGGATATCGTTCAGAGTCAAAACCAGCCCCTGTTTACGCGCCCGTGAGATCACAGCCATTCCAGTGATGCTGTCACCGCCTAGTCGATTTCGTTAGTATTGTAACCTTTTTGATTGGGACCAAGCTTTATTTGAAACTCACCTAGGCTGACGAAAGAACGTTCCACATTGACCTTGGATATAGAGATATTCAAGACCTGCGAGAAAATCTCTTGGATAACCTTGAGCGAGCCATCTTGTTGCTGCTCTTCTGGCTTCTCTCTTGGGCCACGCTTCATGGAATCGTAGTCTTGCATGATACGCTCATAAGAAGCTTCATCGATGTTTTCGAGCCATGCGGTAATCTTCTTGCGATCCAGCTTGCCAGAAACAAGCATTGGCAGTTTCTTAATTAATGCCCAGGTTGCGGGCACCATGTAAATTGGAAGCTGGGATTCAAGGCTCCTTTGGACCTCGACCAGGCCGGCGAGGCCATCCTTGTTGAAATCATCTTCATCAATAAGCTCACACACTTTGTCAGAGATAAGCTTGTTATCAGCAGAAATCTTGTTCATGGACATGACAGTGACAAGACGTTTTTGGAGCGGGCCAGTCTTGGGCAAGATGACAACAGCATGACGAACAAGGTCATTTGCTCCAATGCGATGCTCGATTTCTCCAAGCTCCATGCGCTGGCCATTAAGTTTGACTTGATGGTCCTTGCGACTGATGTACTCTACCGAGCCATCAGGGTTGTAGTAGCAAAGGTCGCCAGTCTTGTAGATTCTCCTGGGGGATGACAGATGAGACTTGAACTCCTTTGCCCAGTCTGGATTCTCGATAAAGCACTCGGCATTTTTCTCCGGATTCTTCATATATTCTCTGGCCAAGGACATCCCCTCCAGAGCAAGTTCGCCGACTGCACCCAAGGGGGCAAGTTTGTGGTGGTTGTCGGGATCCACAATCCAGGTCAGAGTACTCGGAATGCCGTAACCAATCCGAGCTGGGTTACGGTGAGAGGCCACTTCATTGTCAATGGTCGCAAACACACAGGTTTCCGTCGGTCCATATCCATTCATCAATTTGACACAGTTGGCCCATTTAGTGATTACCTCCTGGGTAACCTTTTCTCCACCTACAACCATGTGCCTCATCGAGGGCACAGAAGACGGCTCGATGATACTTGCGATCGAAGGGGTCAGGAAAGTCCAGTTCACGTTCAAGCGTCTGATGGCACCAGAAACATCGTTAACCCGCTCATCTTCGCTGGGAACACAGATACAGCCTCCAACCATCAAGATTGCAAGGGTTTCCATGATAGCAGCATCAAACGTCAGGGATGCGAATTGGAACACTCGAGATGTCGAGGTCATGAATGTCACAGGTGTGAAGGCCATGATACTGCTCACGCAGTTTCGGTGCTCCACAATGATACCCTTCGCACGACCCGTACTACCAGAGGTGAAAAGGGCATATGCCATGTTGGAGGGGGTGACTTCCTGGCGGGCCTTGCAGGAGTTCAAAGACCCGTAGGCTTTGAGAGTCTCCTTGCTGATTGGAATGACTGTTTTGACGACTCTGGTATACTTGTTTGTGTAGTTCGGAGTGCAAAGAATCATGTTTGCACCAACATCCGCCAAGATCTCCTCGTGGCGAGAGGTGGGATGATGAGGATCAAGGGGAACATAAGCACCGCCGGCGATAAGGATACTGATGAGAGTAACCATTGCCCAGGCCGACTTGTCCAGGCACACTGGTACAAATACTTCTGGGCCAACTCCACGGGATACCAGGTAGTTGGCAAAAGATGAAGCCAGATCCCAGAATTCTCTGTAAGTCAATTCGCCATCCCAAGCGCAAACAGCTGGGGCCTCAGGTGTTTCGATACACTTTTCATGAATGAATTCGTGCACACACTTCTCGACTGTAAGTGGTACGCGCTTGTTCCAGTCCGCAATGGTGGCCTTGTCTTCGCAACTTGCGACTTCCAACTCAGACAATTTCACGTTGCTCCCCTTGGGAGTGGCCATCAGCTGCTTCAGGACATGACCAAATTGTTCGATCAAGCGCTTTGTCTTCCATCCACTGACAACAAGCTCATCGTGGTGCGCAGTGAAGGAAATGCTGCTCTTAGAGATTCCACATTCGAGTACAAGAGGATGAGTAAAGAAGTCCTCGCTTGTTTCGCGTTTCTCATCAATCCAGATACTTTCATTGAGCTCGCCCTCGGTGGGCTGGATGACCAGCAAGTTCTGGAAATTGCAGGCAGAGGCAGTGTCGGAATTGATTTGACGAATGCGCTGCAGACCGGCATGGAGGTGAGGAATCATGTCAGTAGTAGATTGGTTTATCTTGTCCAAGTACTGTGAGATTGACATGTCGTTGACGACTTGGATGCGAGTTGGCACAGTGCTCAAAACGGGACCAGCAATGTCGCCGACACCAGGAAGATCAATGTTGCGACCGGAAAGGGTCTCTCCAAAAGATACATCCGGAGACGCGGTATGGGTAGCAATCACGATGGCCCAGGCTGCACGTAAAAGAACGGGAAGCGTGTGGTCAACGCTGTTGGCAGGTCGGGAAATCGCCATCTTGTGGTATTGAGTGTTTCCAGCCCGCATCGCATCTGGAACTGAGTTCTGGTTTTGTGGGAAAGGATTGCTCGAAATGTCTGCCATGTAGGACTTCCAGAAGGCATCACATTCCACCATGTCTTTCTTCTTGAGGTAGTTAATGAACAGGCCATAGGAAGCAGCCGGTTCTTTGTTCAACGTTGCCTTGTAGTTCTCCTCGAATCTTCTGTAGATCAACGGAATACTCCAGCCATCATACAGTGCGTGGTGGACGGACCAAACAAAGTAGCGAGTGGATGATCCTCGGGGTTGGACAATAGCATAACCAGTCAAGCGAGCACCGTTGAACTTTGGTAGCTCTATTGAGTCGCTGGGTAGCTCGCCGAAAGACTCAGCATGAACCCAAGAGATGGGATCATCTTTGAGGATAGCCTGAGCAAAGTTCATGGCTTCAGTATGAATGATGCGGGTTCGAAGAATATCGAGATCAGCAACAGTCTGCTCCCAGGCAGCTTTGAAGCGATCAAGGTCAGCACCTTCAGCAAGTCTGAAAGCTGGCTGCGCGACATATGCACCATGATGCTTAACAGACATGGTCAAAAGGCCTTCCTGTACGGCACTGCAGGGGTATACATCGGCGACTGAATCTTTAGAGACAATGCAGCCCTCGCTAATCTCGTCGAGGAGACCCTCAAGATCGACGCCAGAAGGTAGAAGGGAGAATGGGTCAAGAGGCTGCTGCTTGACAGGCGGTGCCTCAGTAGAACTGGAGCAGATCTTTGCCATGTCAACCAAGACCGGTGTCTTGAAGATTATGGCAACATTGAGAGAGATACCCGCAGCCTGGGCAGCCCCAACGAGGTTCATAGCCGAGAACGAGTCGCCGCCAAGGGCAAAGAAGCTATCCTCATTAGTCACAGATCCCTGCTCCAGGTCGAGGGTCTGCTCCCAAAGGGTTCGAAGCTGAGCCTCAATGCCATTGTCCGAGGTCTCTTCAATCTTGCCTCCAGTATTGAAGGTAATGTAGGACTTCAATGTCTCTTTGGAAAGAGTTTGGACCATAGCACGTAGGCGTCTACGATCAATCTTTGCAGAAGATGTGAAAGGAAGGTTTCGCAGCGGGAAGAAGAGACGAGGCATCATGCTCTGTGGGAGATAATCTGGGAGGGAGCTCTTCAATCTTTGCACAGCATCCATGTTACTCACAGAGATTGGCAAGAGTAGAGGATCAGCCCCAGGAATAGTAGGCGCAAATTGATCGTTAGTACCACCCTGCTCTAAGTCGCCATCGTGGATGGTGAAGAAGGCAGCGAGACCTTTAGCGACGGTCTTCTCTTGGGGAACAACCACGTCAACGGCGACCTGGGAACCCTCTGGGAGGCAGCGGGTGCACTGGTGCTCAATCTCCTCAAGCTCAATGCGCTGTCCGTTGAATTTGATTTGAGTGTCCTTGCGTGCAAGGAAAGCGAGAGTGCCATCACTGTTGTACCGGACAAGATCTCCAGTGCGGTACATGCGATCACTGCGGCTGAAGATACCATGGAGACCAGCGTGGTGACTCCAAACTGGGTCTTCCACGAACGCGGCCTTGGTTTTCTCTGGGTTTCCAAGATATTCGCGGGCAATGTTGCTTCCCTCAAGAAGCATCTCACCAACCGCACCAACGGGGAGAAGACGGTTATAATTGTTTGGATCCACAATCCACACTCGGCAGTTTGCAGCGAGACCAATAGATGTAGGGTCATCATTGACACGGTTTCCATCCCAGTCAACCTTGACACCGACAGTGGCTACAACAGTAGCTTCTGAAGGCCCATAGGCATTGATGACAAATCGGTCATGCCAGCGGTCAATGTGGTGGGCAGGCATCTTCTCACCGCCGGTGATGATGGTCTTCAAAGTAGGCACACTCTTGGGCTCGAGGGTATTGACGATAGCAGGGGGCGATGCCATATAATTGGCCTCCATGCGTCGAATGGCACCTCCGAGATTGTTCATACGCTCCTCTTCACTAGGCACGCAGACACAGCCTCCGGTCATCAAAGTCATCATAATCTCCAAAATGCTGACGTCAAATGTGTAATTCGAGAATTGCAGTGCGCGCGTTCCTGAGTTCATGTGCAGTGCATTCATCATCGCGATAGCAGTGGTGCTGAGCGCCATGTGCTCCACCACGGTCGCCTTTGGCTTCCCCGTAGTCCCAGATGTAAAGATTGCGTATGCAGCATTGGCAGGAGTTGGGCGAGTGCCGGGCAATGCTAATGGCGATTCAGGAAGCTGAGAAATCGCAGTTTGAGACACGGAAAGGGCCTTTTTGCACAGCTTGGACATCTTTGATTGCAATGAAGCTGAGCAGAGAACCACATCGGCACCAATCTCATCAATTAACATCTGAAGTCGTGAATCAGGGTGGGAGGGGTCAATGGACACGAATGCTCCACCGGCCTTGAGAACGGCCAACTGCGCAACAATTGCCCAGGCTGACTTCTCAAAGCACAAAACTACAAAAACTTCTGGTTTGATACCGAGTCCCGTAAGGTAGCGAGATAGTCGGCTAGTCACAATCTCCAGCTGGCCATAAGTGAAGTCCTTGTCCCATGAGCAGATTGCGTCTGCACGAGGGTGAAGAAGGGCTTGCTGCTGGATTAGTTCATCGGCGCATTTCTCAACCCGAGGAGGCACAGAAGCATTCCAATCGCGAATCTGACGGCACGATCGCTGAGACAGGAGATCAAGGTTTCCAATGGTGCGCTCGCACGGGTCGGCAGACATCATATCATTAAGGATTTGGTCGAAAGTGTCGATAACATGAGTGACTTGGACAGAGGTCAAGGTCTCTGTAGAGTAGCTGAAGTCAATTTCGGCAACGGAGGTCGACACCTGAGCTGTAACAGCAACATTGTAGGCTTTGGATGTAGCAGTATCCCGGGCCTGGCGTTGAGGTAGGGAGTCAACAGCACGATAAGTTAGAAGGGTGTTGAATACATTGGCATCGTCCATGCCCAACTGCTGCTTTACAACAGCAAGCTCAGCAAAGTTCTCCTTGCTCTTTTCAAACTCTGTCTTGGTCTTTTGCAGGGATTCATTCAAGTTCAGTTCGTTATTCAACATGAGACGGGCAATGGCGACGGAGGATGGGTCATCAGTCTGCGAGGCCCAGTAGCCAAAACAGACATCGTCGTTACCAGTGTAACATCTCAAAACAAGACCCCACGCAATCTGGAAAATAATTTCCAAGGAAACTCCAGTCAATCTACCGAACGCGTGGAGCTGATTTGTCTGCTTGTTGAGGGTTCGAGTGGACCGACCCTTGTTGGCGGTTTCTTGGGAAATGGCTGGGAAATTGCATGGCTCAATGTCGGCCAAATACTCTCTCCAGTAATCAACATTAGTATTGGAGAAAGATTGGCGGGACGTTCTGTTCCCAGATTTGATTCCAGTCCACTGCTTGACATCAAAGGATCCAAGAACAGTGGTGGAGAGATTCAGGATTTCGGCGTGGAGGCTCTGGTAGTCAGTCTTACCTATGGGGGTCAATGGGATGGAAGAAATGGGTATGTAAAGACTAGGAACCTTGCTTGAGGAGATTCTCGTAGACAAGTAAGTGTGTAGTGAGGAAATGGCAGCTTTCAACTCGGGTGCCGAGCTTTGAATAACTTTGTCGCCGAAGCTGGCAGTAGACACATCTGAGGCGCACAGGAAAACAATAATCCGATCTTCACCACCGAAAGGCAAGGTACTGACAGCAGCGCGGCGCTTTGATGAAAAGAACACGTCAATGCACTGTTCCACATCAAGGGAATCGGAGCACGGCACAAAGTGACGATCGACCGTCTTCTTGCCAACAAAGACGAATGAGCCATCAGAATTGCAGCGGACGAGGTCACCAGTCTTGAAGAACTTCCGAGGCTCAGACTCTGTGGGGTCGGACTGACCCTCGAGAGTGGCGAGCCACGATGGGTTGTCAAAGACATCCGCGGTTTCTTCCTGCCCCAGGTAGCGGGCGGCAAGGCCGGGTCCTTCAATGACCAACTCACCAACAGCTCCAATAGGAACGAGAGTGTTATGATTCGATGGATCAACAACCCAAGCAACATTGGAAACAGCGGATCCAATGATGGTCGGTGCTTGCTCTGGATGGACCAAACTATGGAAACAAGAACATGAGGTTTCCACGGTTCCAAAGAAGTGGTGCAAATGAAGGTCGTCTGCTTGCCAATGCTGCAACTTCCTTTCCGTTGAGAGTTCACCGAACATTCCAACGGTCTTCAGGCCTGGAATATCCTGTGGGCTGACGAATGCAGCGACGCTTGGTGTCATGCAGATCGTGTTGACAAGAAGAGTGTTAACCGAAGTTGCAAGATTTGCTGGGTGGACATCAGCCGGGATACACACACAGCCACCATGGATGAATGCGCCAAACGCCTCCAGAATGAAGAGATCACTTGTGTGTGCAGCAAACTGAAGGACACGCGACGCATCTGTGAGGTTCAGGGAGGAGGAAAAGGCCTCGACTCTAGTCATGAGGCATGAGTGGTCGAGGACAACGGCTCGCGCTCTCTGCGAAGTACCAGATGAGAACGCAACAAAAGCGGCGTCGCTCGGGCATGCAGCGGACAAGAGGGGCTCATCGTTGAGATACTCCAGCAAAGATTCAGTCACAGGGATGACATAGGGAATCGTCTCCTCGAGGACCTGAGCCTTCTCAGGAGATGCGAGCGCAACTTGCACAGCGTTCTCTACTACCCAAGATTCAATTAGACCCATTGTCTTGGCGGAGTCAATGGGAATACATCCGCCTCCAGCTTTCATGATCGCCAGAACAGAGACAATGTTCCATACGGATTTTTCAAATGATGTTGGGATAAGGCTTCCTGGGCCCACGCCGAAGGTCACTAGGTAACTGGCAAGGCGGGATGAATATTGATCCAACTTGGAGTAACTGAGACTTCCATCCCAAGCAGCGACTGCAAGCGCCTCCGGCTTCTTGGTAGCCATATCCTGGATGATATGGTGAGCGCACTTCTCAATGGCCTGGGGCACCTTGCTGTTCCAGGAGAGGATCTCAGCCTTGTTGCTCTCGCTCACAATGTCCAGACAGCGAATCTGGCTGTCGATCTGGGTCATCATGCTCTCCAGACACTGGACATAAGTGTTTGCAACATTGAGAGCCTGAGCATCAGAGAGGCTTGTGGTCCAGTAGTTGATATCTATTCTTGCCTTCGTATCCATAGCTTCAATATTGATGAAGACGGGGAATTCAGCAGGGTCATGGATAGAGCCAACCTCGACACACTGAATATCACTGCTCACTGCGTCCTTCGCACCAGGGAGGCGGCGGTAAGATACACCCGAGTTGAACAGGTTCGCATCAGATAGCTTGAGTGCATGTTGAATGTCAATCAAGGAGGTGTGTCGGAATGGAAGGCTCTCCATGTAGTCATCCTGGATCTGCTGCAAAACATCACTGAGTAGTGAGTCACTGGACATCTTCATCCGGCAAATCATTAGATTGATAACTGGACCAACGACCGATTGGACACCATCGGCAGAGACATCCCGCAAAGACGCCATGTAGCTGAAGCTGACGTCGTCAGAGCCACAGAACAGACGCAAGGTAAGTCCCCATGCCGCATTGAAGACATTAGACAGCGTAATTCCCTTCTTCTCACACGCGGTCTGGAGCTGAGCCAAGGCTCCGAAGTTGACGGGCATCGAACGAAGGCTCTTCTCCTGCGGTGCCTGACCATCGGTAAGGGTCGGGAAAATACATGGCTTCGCATCCGAAAGGTAAGACCGCCAGTAGTTGATGCTGGCCTTCTGGGGTGCATCCTGTAGGAAGCTGATGTAATCTTTGAAGAGAGGTGGACGAGTCTCCTCGAGCCTGCCAACATACGCAAGCTGCAAGTCGCGGAGAATGATAGAAATAGAGTTGCCATCCATGGCCGCATGGCTCAGTTCAATACGACAGAAAATTCGATCTGTCGATGTCTGGCAGATGCTGAAGCGATACGCCGGAGTGAGTTCGTTGTAATCCTTGGGTTCCTGTGCGTCGAAAGTGGCCAAAACATCGCTGTCACCTGCAGAATGCAGGAACACGGGAGTTGAGTCGTACTCTTTCAAGACAACCTGGCAGAATGGATCACGGGGTGTGAGGTTCTCGGCAAAGATGGTGCGGAACATCGCATGGTGGGAGACAACCTGCTTCCATGCTTCAACCAGACGATCAACGTTTGGCGCGGTTGATCCTGTACCTTGGATTTCAAATGTATCATGGACAGCGTAGTATGAGCTATCGCGTGTGCGACCGAGCAAAATACCCTGTTGCATACGAGAGCATGGATAAATGTCTTCAATAAGATCAGGCGATGCAATACCAAGAGCCGGTAGCTTCTGGGTAAGCATTTTCTCGAGGCTGTCATAATTCAAAGAAAGCATAGGAAAAGAGCTCAAAGTCAATCGGGAAGACATTGACGAGAGTTGCTCAGAAAGCGAAACAAGTTGCTTCTGGCACTGTGAGACCCAAGAGTGGATGCGGTCCTGGTGTTGCATAAACTTGTTGAAAGAGAATGTAAAGCGGATCTTGCCAGAAACGACCATGGCGGAAATCTCGAAGAGACCAAAGCGAGGTGTATCACGCCCGAAGTCAGCAGCATCATTACCTTGACCTGTTTCGCCAGCCATTTGGTCAACTAGCTGGAAGAGTCCATCCTCTCGCTGCAGGTCACGGTGCTGACCAACATAATTGAAAGACATCTCGAAAGGGTGCGGGTAATCACCACTCTGAGGGCCTCCAGTCTTGAGGACACGACTGGCGAAATTGGCGCGGCCATTGTCAGAGACCTGTCGGCGAAGGTCTTTTACCTGAATAAGAGTATCGATTGGATCATCTGACTTATATCCATTCACGAAGATGGGGTGAAGAATGGTAAACCAACCGACAGTGTGCGAGATGTCGATTGAGGGATCCCAGACTTCACGTCCATGTCCCTCATTGTAAATCACAGGTAAAGTACGGTCATTGAATGATTGGCCAAATGAGTGCAACATTGACGCAAGGAACAAGTCGATTGGTTCGGTGTCCAGAGCCTTATGGCACTCGAGAAGAATCGAATTGGTGTGCTCTGCATCGATTTCAAATGCCGCGCAATCTACATCACCGTATGTGGTCTTATTGTCCTTGAGTCCCCAGTATCCGAAGTCGATGCTCGGCAGGGGGTTGGTCGGAACTCTCCCTTCAGTGACAAGGCTCTTCGAATGCTCTTCCTGAAGACGGCACCACGTCTGGAAAGGCAGTGAGCCATCGGCTGAAGCTGACTTCTCAGGGTTCAGCACAAGATCTTCCAAGTCTCCAAGGATGATCTTCCATGAAACAATGTCAACAACAAGATGGTGCGCTGTCATTGATAGAATATGCGGCTGAGAGTTATCTTGCATGCGGAAATAATCCACTGCTAAGAGAGGTCCAGAAAAGCAATTGATGCCAGTCTGGCTCTCACCAATGAAGGGTTTGATGGCATCCATGTTCGCGACCGTGTGAATCCGCCATCTGTAAGAGCCCTTGACATCGCGGGTGATGCGTTGAGCAGATGCTGTGGCAGAACCACTATTGTCATATCTGGCCCGCAGCATAGAGTGCCGAGTAACTAGAGTCTCAATTGCTTTCCGTAAAGTGCTTTCATCGAGGGGTTTGCTCAGGCGGGTGAGAATGCCCTGGTTGAAGTGGCCCTCACCCTCCTTTCGAACACCGAAGTGGAGGAGTTGGATCGGTGACAGATTGAAGGGCTCATCCACAGCTTCTTGGTAGGTTGTACCATGGTCGATCGCCTTTGCGCGAGTGGCGAGATCACGAATAGACTTACTACGAAGAATATCTTGCACAGACAAGCCAATACCACGCTTCTTGCAAAGTCCAATACATGTCATGGCGGCAATAGAGTCACCACCCAACCCGAGGAAACTTTCATTCAGGCTGACAAGGTGTTGGGGAATATTGAGAACGCGGCTGTAGACGGCGGCCAGGCCTTCCTCGGTTGAGTTCAAAGGCTGTGAGATCTCTGCACCGAGTGAGGGACTAGAGAGGGTCTTTCCAACATCTGGATCGGTTTCCATGCTGGTCACCCAGCCTGCAATTCCTTTCCGATCGAGTTTCCCAGACGGAAGAAGAGGAAGTGCTTCTACACACAACCAAACAGCGGGTACCATGTAAGTCGGAAGGCGGGCTGACAGTCGTTCGCGAATCCCAGGAATGAGCTCTGATTTCATCTCACTTGGAATCAGCCCCAGTGTCTCCAACTCAGCCTTGGATTCCTCAGCCAACAAGCCGGCAAATGAAATGACAGCAGCCAGTCTGCCCTTTGAGAAGCCAGACTTGGGGAAAAGGACGGAACAATGGGTAACCTTTGAGTCACGACTTAATTGGTTCTCGATCTCGCCAAGTTCAATTCGCTGGCCGTGAACCTTGACTTGCGTATCTTTGCGACCGATATAGTTTAGGGAGCCAGTGTCCGAGTTGTACCTCACCAAATCTCCAGTCTTGTAGAATCTGCGGTTTGTGCTGCCTGATTTATCCATCTTGGTCCAAGCAGGGTCATAAATGAATGAATCCTTGGTTTTCTCCGGGTTGTTGACATAGCACCGAGCCAATGTTGGCCCTTCAAGCAGAAGTTCACCTGGGCATCCGACGGGGACCAGCTCGTCTTGGTTTTCAGGATCCACTAGCCATACTTTGACACCGACTGGGAGACCAATGTCCTTGCAGTCGGTCTCGGGTGTTACCCCTGTGTTCAGCACAGACGCGACACTGGCCTCGGTAGGCCCGTATCCATTGACCAATTTAATTTTGGACCATGTTGCCAGCTGAGACTGTGACATTGCCTCTCCAGCTAGCACGAGACCCTGTAATCCAGGCACGCTTTCAATGTCGATAAAGCCGATGAATGATGGGGTAAAGCACGCCTGAGTGACCCGCATCTCGTTGATCGTGCCCACAATATCATTCAATCGCGCTTCCCCGCTTGGAATACACACGCACGCACCGGTGATGAGAGGTGTCAATGATTCCGCGAGGCTGGCATCGAATGTGTGAGCTGCAAATTGTAGGCATCTCGAATCACGGAAGACGAGAAGTCCGGCGGCGTGCGCCTTCGCACTGGAGAGGAACGCACGATGTTCCAAAAGAGTTCCCTGCCCCAAATGTCAGCCATATGCTTCGATTGGATTTGCTCGGATTGATAACTTACCTTTGGTTCTCCCGTAGATCCGGAAGTAAAGAGAACATAAGCGGCATTCTGGCTGGTAACACCAGATGCAAGTTCGACGCCGTCGGCTGGTACCGGCAGGCCATCCATGGTCTCATTGGACAGAGGAATTAAAGTCTTAACAATAGGCCGGAGCGCCTCTGCGTGGTTCTGCGAGCACAGAGCAACCGATGCCTTAACGGATTCAATCAGACGCTGAAGACGGGAGGTTGGGTGTGTCGGATCCAATGGGACGAAAGCGCCACCAGCTTTCATAACACCGAGCATGGCAACAATGTTCCATTTCTATGTAAAGTCAGCATTTTCGGATCATAAGCTTTGTTAGGATCGAGGCTTACCGATTTATCAAAAAGCAAAGCCACGCGGATTTCAGGGCCAACACCCTGCATACGCAAGTGGCATGCGAGCTTCGATGCCAAGTGGTCAAGCTCTCCATAAGTTAACGATCCATCCCAAGCGCAAACAGCCTCTCTGTCTGGGCCGCTGACAGCTTGATCATGAATTGCTTCATGGATGCAGCGGTCGTACAGCTTCGGAGTGTGGGAATTCCACTTCTGGATACGCTGCCAATCAATCTCCGAGAACAGATTAAGCTTGCTAATAGCGGTGTTTTCGGTTGAAAGGACTTTGCCGAGCACTTGCAGGAAAATGTGGGCAACACTCTTCATTTGCTCGCCGGACATGTCTCCGTTGCGCCACTCGAGAAAAATGTTGATGTCCCGGCGCATCACTTTAACATGGAGACGAACTTGGCACTATGAAAGGATAAGCACACAGATGCAGCAAAAACGTGCACGGAGTGACGGAGTGATTTCGAAACATACCTGATCGGGAAGAGCAGTCGCCAACATTGGTTTCGAAGAAGCGGAGTCGGACTTCTTGTGTGTGCGCAGCATCAAGATGGTGTTGAAGGGCAACTGACCATCGGAAGCTGTCTCAACGCTTCCACCATTCTTCAGATTCTTCCACACTTTATCTACAATTTGCTGAGTGGAGTCGTTTTCTTGAATCGCGAGTCGTACAGGGGAGATGTTCGTGATGCTGGCCCGCTGTACAGGGCTTCGTGAGCAAATAGCGTCGCCGTCGATGTGTTGGTAACCAAAGCAAATATCCTCGGTACGGAGATAGTAATGCAAGACCAGGCCCCAAGTGGCCTGCAATACCGAATTGAGGCGTCCTTCGTGCCATGCGGTTAATAACTGCGCATTTTGCGAAGGAGTCGGTCTGGTTTTCATAGAAACCGGGCGCTTAGGACCGTCAACCGCAGTGGCGAACCGAGGAAGATAGCACTTCGAGGATTGGGCCATGGTTGTCGGAGGAGTCGTTGTAATTGTTGCTGTCGTTGTTTTTTGTTCAGTCGAAATCCCGTGTATGTTGGTCTGATGTGAATATTTCGTCGGAAGTGGATAAAACAAGAGATTGTGAGTGTGAGTAGAGTGCCCTCGAATTAAGTTGGATATGAGTATGTAAATTAGATCCAAAGGAGGTTTGTCTTTCAACACAGTTATCCCGCGGAGTGGAACGTCTCAGTGATTTTAAAAGAACGACCAGTTTTAATTTTCTTATTTTACTATTTTTTTGGTAATCAACATAGCTACGCCATCGGTCATCGGTGCTCGGGCACTAGGTGCATGGCCATGCTCCTCCACAATAAAATACGACCTCGGGGATCAATAGTACAGAGAAGTACAATTTCACAATTACCCATGTATCTTCCTTGCATAGGTTCGGATCTAGATGGATAAAGGGCTGGGGAGGCGGCACGTATGGAGCCAGTGCGGTTCTAGGGGGTGGAGTACGTTCCCTTCTCGCCCCTGTGGAACCAAGTCAGACATAAGATTAACTAACTACGGAAATAGTTGCATTAGGCGAGGCCGAAATGTTCATATTCCATATTTAGCGTGTAAAAATGACATCTGGTGCTGCAGAAAGATACAAGGTAGTAGAAAAAACAATAACAAAGTAATTTCCAAAAAAGTAATCATGCAGGGGTACTTTAGAACTGCTACACTAGGAACATGTATATTTGTCTGTTTTTCTTACATCCTCACCAGAAGGCGAGCCAGATCCACTGGCAATCTCCCGGTCAAACCCCCTGACCTACGTTCTCGAACGTGGTTCCCGCAAGGATGTGAAGGTCGTGAGCTTTCGTTCGGGGCCGCGCCACCGTCATCTATAGCGCGATTTTATTTTATTTTTGAATTTCTCACATTCCTCAGCAATTCTCTCAGGTCTGGTGATCTGTATGACGATGACAGTTTCTAGAAGGTGCATGATATTTTAAACCTGGAGAACAGGTACATGGATGCCGTCCATGCTACTGTAAACATGAGAGATATATGTAGGGTCCAAGGCCAATGCTGCATACATTGGTCCACATTGAGCTCACCAGATCGTATTGAATTTTGTTACACCGACTGGATCTTAGAGCTGCACACATGGCAGCTGGACCTTGGCAACAGGACTTCGCCTCCCGGAAGAAATCAGAGCAGCTATTGGGGTCTGTGCTCTTGCACTCTAGGACCCAGTAGCAGTAAGGTTTTTTGTTTCTTTTTTTTTTCTATTTTTCTTTTTTGAAAAAGGGACGTGGAGATCGATGATTTACCGCGCAGTGGAGATTTACCTCGCAACCGGACTTCGAACTAAAGGTGAGACGTTCGGCTTGATCAGGAAGTTCGGATGGCTCTACTTGTCTCAACTGAGGGCTTTTAACTCCGTTAATGATGGAGATTTTTGCATGCCAAATCCACGAATAGGTGATGGGAGTCTTGATATTCGCCTTCAAGTTCGTAAATAGAAAAGTATAATCAACGTCCTCTGTGTACCCCCAAATCCGCAGACTCGGCCATTATCTCTCGAATCGGAACAAAGGCGGGTAATGTAGCCATGAAGGATTCAAGGGAAAGCAGATTATTCAACAACGTCCATTAATGCGATTGGCCAAGCTGGTGGAGCTAGAAGTCCAGACCAGGTCACTCAGCCAACGACTAGCAGGGAATGGGAATCGTAGTGGTTTGGCACTAACAGGTACCTAAGGGGGGCTTGTGGGGTATGTGGCGCATAAGCGTCCAAAGGAATGGCGTTCCCCAATTTTCGCACGCTAGTGCGCCCAATGGCTCTTCTGCAAGGGCGTCAGAGGATCGCGGGTCGATCCGCCTTGATCGACCTATCGTCCCCCATTTACTTTTGGCGGCCCTTTCTTATCCATCCTGTCCCCCTTTGTCGTGCCTTAGGAGACACATCAGATAATACTGTTCATATAGGCGTTCCAATTTAAAATCAATAGCACGTAAAAAAGATGACGCCTAAAACCCACCTTGGCACGACGAACAAACAATCGTAAACGAGAACGAGAGGGAATCAATACCGAAAAAAAGCAAGCCACACGGGGAAAAAAAAAAACAAGGAAAAGAAAAGCTAGCCACATGGACGGAGAATTATTGTACATTCTTCTCGCCCATGCTTTTTCTTTTGCACATTCCAACAGGTATTAATAGGGGTTCTTTTTTTAGTGGGGTCAACAGACAAATGAGGTCTGGATCTTAAAAACGGAGAAGAAGAAAAGCCTGATGGCTATTAAGCCTTTAACCTCATGCGTCCACTAAATGTGGTCCCCAGCTAACACTTGTATAGATTAGCGGCGTACCGGGAAACAATGCCACCCATCCAGCAACGCCATTGAAAGCCTCTGGCGGATGAACGCCTGGACCGTAGCTAATACACTCCACTCGTAAACAGGGTGCTACACGATAACCTTGGAAAAGAATGGGGCCGATTGTTTCAGAGTGGACAATCTACTGGAGCTACGAACCATTCGGGAGCAGAGTTTGGGCGCCCTATGGGGCCACTAGTCATATTAGGGCATCTGGTTCCCGCAACCGTAAGTGTCCGCGTAAACCTTGGAATCCAGCACTAGTAACCTTGGAATGCTGAAAAAACCTTGGGAATATATAGTGACAACCATGGTTACAGTACGGGTCTTATATTGGGATCGCCCACTAGACCGCGCTGACGTCTTCACAGATCGTCTAAGATCGTACCGATATATATTTCCGATCTGAGCCGGACCCAGATTCCAAGGTTCGTCCAGGCCTGTCGTCCAAGGTTCAATTGTTTACCTGTTTAGTTATTTACTTGTTTTATTTTTCCTTCCCATCTATCTAAATTTCTGATGTACTGTACTTTGTCGTAAAGCAACTAAGTGGAGTTGATTTGGAATTTATTGTGGGCTCTGGGGAACAAAGTACAAGTATGCTGCATCCCGCATCGCCACCCATCAACCACGCTGTTGCAAGAAAAAAAAAAAAAAAAAAAAAAAAAACAAGGATGACCCAGTCACCTCGCATACGCCTCGCTTATAAAATGCGCCTTTTGAGCGCTAGCTGTAGGTACGCATTCCAAATGATGCAAAGGCCTGGCCCACGGCACCCACGTCGCGCTGCGCATGTCTTGCCATCTCAGTCCCAATTATAATTCCTCAATTCTATTGAGCAGCCGACTGGACAAGGCTCAGTCGAAAAATTACTCTGAGGCCGATCATGAAAAAAAAAATCGGTAAAGAGATTGGGCGAATGGACTGAACGAAAATAGCGACAGCATTCACTGGGACCCCACCAACTAGTGGATTGCGAAAACCAAATCCCGGAAATGACAGGTGGACGTAGGTGGACCTACCAGTGGAGACGTGTAGAAGCCATCCGGATTCTATGTAAGCATAAATATGAGGTCATAATTGTCATCGAATTACCCTGATAAAAAAAGAAAAAAGGATAAAAACAAAAAATGGCGGCTTGGACTAAACTAGGGTGAAGTACACGAGTTGCGGCTGCCACGCAATAAGATGGCTTATTAGCGTTTGCGAGCTGAACCTAATCCCAAATGCAAAATGAACTAGGTACGCCTGACACATAAATTTCCATCTTCACCGGCGTTCTCGTTGTACGAGAGGACTACATCTCGGGCACCAATTTGTCTGACTTCATATTCCTCTGCTATGCGGTCAAGGAAGGTTCCGTTATGGTTTCTCAGCTGCGTTGTTTCAAGTCACATCATTGGAAGACAACCAAGGGATCTTCTTCATACATCGTACAGCTGTGGAAGGGTCGCCCTCGCATGAAAGTCGATTTTATTACGTTCGGGGAAGTAGGGGTTCAACCCAACCAGGAGCTAGAGATTTTCACCGTCTCCAGACTCACTAATCAGATTGGCTCACGCCTACAACTCTGATGCAAGGTTGCGCTTTCTTCCCTCGTGTTCATTTTGCCGGCGTCCCGCTTGAGGCTTTTTTTCATTAATTTAGGTTATTTGTTTACTCCAGGGGTTCAAGCTCTATTGATACCTTTGCGTCCCCCACATCCCCAAGGGGGAAATCCTAAATAATAATTCAAAATAAATCAGACGAAAAAGGGAAATTTAAATTGGAAACAAGGCACCCAATGGATCTATAGTGGGTATGGAGAATAGAAAACCTTGGAATCTCCGAGACGGGCTACCAAGAAAGTGACGAACCAAAATACAAAAAGCCAAACGTCTACATTGGGATAAGCTAAGCTGACGAAACTAATGATGCAGTCATCGTAGTAAAGTATTGTAATAGGAAATGAAAAATCTAAAAATGAAAAACCATTGTAAGAGGGTTGCATTGGATGTCCACTCGGTTGCAGGGACCGCCGTAGGCACTCTACCATAGGAGTTTAGGGAGTACCTTTCTTGGGATGCAGTGTAGTAAGCTCCTGCAGAGGGATGGGACCTACACCATTTTGGATTAATCTGATCTAGAACCCCAGGTCCCCGAGCTTTTGCCCCCCTATGTGTTGATCTCTTTTTGAACTCTCTTAATTCCGCACTCGTGGAGCTTTCTCTTTCTTCAACCACCTTCGACACACTCATCGGATGGTTCTTGGAGAGCAGACATGGCTTCCTCGAATTCATCAACGGCGGCATGCCGTCAGATCGACAACACAATGCGCGTCTGGGCCGGTTCATGTCGTGGAGGATTTGATTTTACACTACTATTCGAGGAGACAATTCTCCAAATACTCCCAATCGCCCTAATCTTAATACTGGTCCCCTTCCGGATCATTCAACTCTCGCAGAAACGCCGCAAGGTCGTCGATTCATGGTTGCTTTTGCTTAAATTGGTGAGTTGTTTTGCTTTTCTTAGTATTTCTCCGAGCCGATAAGGTTACAAGCAGTGAAACATTCCAACTACAAAAAAAGCATATTGCGCTAACGTTGTCAATTTTTGTATTACCAGGCCGCTTGGTTATTTCTCCTTGGACTTCAAGTCACTGAAACTGCCCTTTGGGCCTTATCTTCTGCTGATGCAACCATGGCTTCGCTTCCAACGAACGCCATCTTGGCCGTTGGTGTGTTGGGCCTCATGGCCCTCTCATATGCCGAGCACACACGATCTGTCCGACCTTCTTTCATTTTGAACGCATATCTCTTCTGCAGTCTACTCTTCGACATTGCCCGGACTAGAACACTGTGGCTTCGATCAGCAGATTCTTTCAATGATATCATTGCAACCGTGACCAGTGTTGCACTAGGTGCCAAGCTGCTGGTTGTGATCTTGGAAGCCGTGGAGAAGAGAAGCATCCTGAAATCTGAATTCCAAGGCTATCCTCCAGAGGCAACAGCTGGTTTCTACAGCCAAGCTGTGTTTTACTGGTTGAACCCTCTGTTCAAGCTCGGCTTCAGTAGCCATCTCTCAGTTGAGGACCTCTTCGTTTTGGATAAGGAGCTGAGCTCTGAAAGACTATTGGCTATATTTGAAGAGCGATGGAGCAGAGGTAAATTCGATCTATCATGACGGTGTCTAGGTGGAAACTAACAGCCAGCAGTGAAAACAAAGTCTGCCAACTCACTGCAATGGGAGTGTTTCAAGGCTGCTAAATGGCCCCTACTTACAGCTGTCCCAGCTAGGGCGTGCGTGGTAGCCTTCAACTTGTGCCAGCCCTTGCTCCTGACTCGTTCACTGTCATACTTTGATGAGCCGGTGAACAATGGTACCAACAACGTTGGCTACGGATTGATTGGAGCCTATGCTTTGGTCTACCTTGGTCTGGGTGTCAGTATCTGCACTCTCGTTTAGAAACACATTTGACTGACAATTACACAGATCGCAATGGGACAGTATCAGCACAACACGTACCGTGGAATTACAATGGCTCGTGGCATCTTGGTCACCATGCTTTACAAGAAAGCGAGCACCACAACTCTGAGCAACGCTGATCCTGCCAACTCGCTTACTTTGATGAGTGCCGATGTCGAGAGAATTACCAACGGATGGCAGACCATGCACGAGATTTGGGCTAATTCTGCGGAGATTGGACTTGCAATCTGGCTTTTGGAGAGGCAGCTCGGAGTTTCCTGCGCGGTTCCTGTTGGTGTGGCACTCTGTAAGTTCCCCCTCGAAAATACTTGCAATCACGGTAACAAATCACTAACATTTTCCAGTCGCCCTGGTCGGGTGTCTTATTTGCATGTCTTTCGTTGTAGCGCACCAGGCTAAGTGGTTAGAAGCCATCGAGAGAAGAATTTCCTCTACCTCTGGCATGCTGGGATCGATGAAGGGTGTCAAGATGCTCGGACTGCAAAACTCCTTCATGAAGTTTGTCCACGGCCTTCGTGTTGATGAATTGACCATCTCTAAGAAGTTCCGAACTCTCTTGGTGTGGAATATGGGATTCGCTTGGTTCACTCGGATCTTGGCTCCTATCTTCACCTTCGGAGCCTATGAGGGCATCTCCAGCAACTCTCTCACTGTCTCCCGAGTCTACACCTCTTTAGCTCTTTTCTCCCTTCTTTCAGACCCGCTCATGACTTTGGTTATGGCCCTCATGTCTTATGCCGGATCAGTGGGATCATTCGTTCGCATTCAAGAGTTCCTTGAGAAAGAAGACCACAACGACCACCGACGCCAGTCCCCCCTCCTGCCTTCCCTCGAGGACCTCGGTGAGGCCAAACTTCTTTCCAAGGCTGGTGATTTGGATATGTCATCAAGCAACTCGGAGTCAGTCGAATCTTTCAAGCGTGGCTCGACTTCCTCTACTACCAATTCTGCCATGATCCAAAACGGTACTTTTAGCTGGGGTGAGGATCAGGAGCCTGTGCTGCAAGACATCAGCTTTACAGTCCCTCGTGGAAGCTTTACTATGATCATTGGACCTTCTGGATGTGGCAAGTCATCTCTGCTCAAGGCACTTCTCGGTGAAATCCCTTGTGCCGAAGGCAAGATCGAAGTGTCTTCTGGTAGTGTGGCCTTCTGTGATCAGACCCCGTGGCATATGAACGGAACCATCAAGGACAGTATCGTCGCCATGTCAGACTACGATCCCAGATGGTATGCAACTGTTATCCAAGCATGTGCTCTCGAGGAGGATCTTGGACATTTCCCACGTGGTGATCGCAGTGTTATTGGAAGCAAAGGTGTTGCCCTCAGCGGAGGCCAGAGTCAGCGCATTGCTCTTGCTCGTGCTGTTTACGCCCGTCGCAAGATCATTATTCTGGATGATGCCTTGAGTGGTCTTGATTCCACCACCGAGAACCACATTTTCCACAGCCTGTTCGGACACATGGGACTTCTGAGAGAGACTGGTACTTCGATGATCATTGCCTCATCTTCTGTCAAGCGTCTTCCTTACACTGATCACATTGTGGTTTTGGACACCGACGGTCGCATTATGGAACAAGGAAGCTTCAGTGCTCTGACCAAGACTGGTGGATATGTATCCAGCTTTGGACTTGTTGCACCTGACTGGGATTACAAGCCTAAGCGGTTTTCCGAGTCCCCCAGCTACAGCACCATTGACTCAATCGAAAAGGAGAAAGAGGATATTCACCAGGAGCCTGAGCACCGTGACACTGGTGGCGATCTTGGAATCTACACTTACTACATCAACGCTATTGGATGGCTGCCCGCAATGGTCTTTGTTGTTGCTATGGCTGGTTTTGTCTTCTGCATCTCCTTCCCCAGCATCTGGGTGCAGTGGTGGGCTGAGTCCGACACAGCTCACCCCAGGGCACAGCTCGGCTACTACCTTGGCATTTACGTGATGCTCGGTTGTTTGGCCATGCTATGTCTACTTGTTGGTTCATGGCAAATGATCATCACCATGGTCCCCAAGTCTGGAGAGTCTTTCCACCACAGGCTGCTGACTACTGTCCTCAGTGCACCAATGCTGTTCTTGTCCACCACCGACAGTGGCTCTATTCTTAACAGATTCAGCCAGGACTTGCAACTCATTGACATGGATCTTCCTATCGCGGCGATCAACACCATTGCTACCATCTTCCTCTGCATGGCCCAAATGGCTCTGATTGGAGTTGGGTCAAAGTATGCGGCTATCTCGTTCCCCGTCGTTCTTGGAATGCTATTTCTCATTCAGAAGCTCTACTTGCGCACCTCACGACAACTTCGTTACCTGGACCTTGAGGCTAAGGCTCCTTTGTTCTCCCACTTTACAGACTGTCTCCAGGGACTCGTGACTCTACGAGCCTTTGGCTGGCAGCATGGTATGGAGAAGAAGAACATTGAGCTCCTGGACCTGTCGCAACGCCCATTCTACTACATGTTTGCTATTCAGCGCTGGTTGACTCTCTCACTCGACTTTGTCGTTGCTGGTATTGCTATTCTGCTGATCGTACTGGTTGTTGTTCTCCGCGGCACCTCTTTCAACACCGGCTCTATCGGTGTTGCTCTTCTCAACGTCATCCAGTTCAGCCAAACTATCAAACTTGCGGTCACCTTCTGGACGAACCTTGAAACCCATATTGGTTCCATTCAGCGCATCAAGGACTTTACCAAGACTGTTGAATCCGAGGATCAGCCCGGTGAAGACCGAGAGATCCCTCCCAATTGGCCCTCCAAGGGTGCAATCAGCTTCCACTCGGTTTCGGCAGCCTACAGGTACGATATGTATTATTCAAAATTTGGTTTGTGCATACTAACAAATTACCCAATAGACCCTCGGAGCCGGTTCTCAATGATGTGTCTTTAACCGTCCAAGCCGGTGAGAAGGTCGGCATCTGCGGCCGAACAGGAAGGTATGCAAAATCAGCCTGGATTGAACTTTCACTACGGACGGATCTAACAATGACTGTAGCGGCAAAACATCCATGATCATGAGCATCTTCCGCATGATCGAGCTAACCAATGGTCATATCACCGTGGACGGCGAGGACATCTCCCGACTCCCAAGACGGGAGATTCGCGCCCGCATCAATGGCGTCTCCCAGGACTCGCTCCTCTTCAAGGGTAGCGTACGACTCAACGCCGACCCAACCGGTTCATGCACGGACAAAGACATTACCTGTGCCCTGAAGACTGTGCAGATCCTTTCTGCAATCCAAGAAAAGGGAGACTTGGACAGCGACATCGACGAGATCCACTTGTCGCACGGTCAGAAGCAGCTGTTCTGTCTTGCTCGAGCAATCCTTCGCCCTGGCAACATCCTCATTCTCGACGAGGCAACCAGCAAGTAAGTGAACCTATCAATTATTGTCTCACCCCCTGACCTGTTCCCTCGCTTCGAGAGCATCTCCACTTCTTCGCATGATATTTTTTCTTTTTCCCCTTTTTCCCGATTTATTCCTTTTGTTCCTGTCATCATCCCCTGCATATATGCGGCTTGATCCGAGCGCCACGGCGCTCAGATCTACGCGCCTCGCAACCCACTTGTTCCCACTTTTCCCCCTTGCAGCAAGTCAGGACAAATGCTAATTTTCAACAGCATCGACACCAAGACAGACGAGATCATGCAACGCGTCATTCGCGAGAAATTCTGCAATCACACCATCATCTCGGTGGCGCACAAACTTGACACAATCCTAGATTATGACCGCATCGTGGTGCTGGACGCCGGCCGGATCGTAGAGACCGGCGAGCCTTTCGCGTTGCTTACCGAGCCCAAGTCTCACTTCAGTAACCTTTACGCAAGCGTGGCGTCAGAAGATTCGGATTAAGCTCCTCTTCTGATACAGATCACTTTTTCGTTGGAGTTGACCTCTACCCCTTTTTTGCATTATGGCATTTGCACAAATTGAGCCTTTTTTTTTCCCGTATCCCCCTGTGAGCTGTCGCTACGGGCGTGGGTTTGCTGTTTTGTTTCGGCGCGCTGATCTACTTTCCTTTACGGTACATATCGACGTCAACATACAGAGTTCCAAGAATCGTTGCCAGGCGTTTTGTTATTTTTGGCCATTTTTGCCTGTTTTTACATTTTGGATGTGTTTCTTCTCGACTATCGTTCATGGGCTTTTTAGCCATTTTTGATTTCTTTTCTCTTCTCACTCTCGTTCATCTACGTTTTGGATATTGGTGACAGCTTGGAAACATAACTAGGGTGGATTGTCCATAATATGGTGCACTTGTGTACACCGACCTCTTTGATATTTAATGCTAAACAAAGCAATGACTTGACTATCAGTTTTGAATAAGTTAATACTTCACATATTTCTCGTTGAAATGTCATCTTACTTTTATTATCACTTCCGTCTTTAGTCAGGTTTTAAGATTGTTCTTGCAACTCCCTCCAAGGTTTCCAGAATGATATGTAATTTCCTAGTAACGTAGCTCATGGGTTCTTGAATGTTGGGTCAGCTTTCACCTGGGCATGCTATTGTTGCATTTCAGCCTGATATCAGTTTAACTAGCTACACATTATCTCTAGCTTCATCAAACATTGGATTGCCCAGGTGGTTTTGAATATTCGAGCTTCAAATGTTCGTTTTGTGGTTTTGCTTGACAAATATATATCCATGCCAACTTTAAGCTTGAACACCTACAAATCCCTTGCACACCTCCTCATGGCTGTTGCCCCTGCTATATTTACTGTGCGATGTATATTGGTCCAATCCAGATTCTTCTTGTTTGCTGTTGATCAACTCCTTCAAGGTCAGCCCTGAGAACGTCAGACGTGGTTCACTAAAACATGTTAAGTTTTAAGTGCTACGCTGACCCAATTCCAAGGTACTTTGACACCCTCTGAACTTGAGACTGGCTGCCCAGCTGGTCAAACTATAGCCTGGGGCCCTGGGCTTGAATCTAGTATCTACTACTAGGTAGTAGGTATATACACAGGGCGCGTACCTCAGGCCTTGGATTTATACATTTGAAATCCTGATCCTCTCCATCCCCTCAGTGTTCGCACATTCCAATAATTACTACCTCCATTGATACTTTCGAGGTGTGAGATTCACTTGGAACCTTGGAACATTTCAAAGAAGTTGAGCCGCCGCAATGTTACAGGTGGCGCTTCCCAAAAAGGATATCAGGTGGGCTAGATATTCCTCTAGAATACGATGTTTTCAGCATATTTTAGGCAACCTTGGACCCCGAAAGTCCCCTCCAGGGCTGGCCTGCGCAGGTAGGCATTCCAAGGTTTTGCATTTAATCTCCCTAGGTCTGGTCTTTGAGTTGATGTACCTACACTGAAATCAAACATTTGAAAGAACTGCCGAGCAGGTGTCTTCGGCATTCAATACTTACCTAGGCAGTGTCAGCTTCAATGGACTTCCAAAAGATGCAGCTAGCTTGAGTTAAGATAGTGTTTGGAAGTAACGAAACAAGCGTCGTCAGAAATTGCGAAATCTTATTTTTGCACAAAACATTCGAACTACCTGAAGAAAAATAAACCATTGGGAACAAAATGCTTTGGAACTCCCCCATGTCAACCTCCAGCTGCAAATAAAATCTTGGAATAAAGATGAAAAGAAATATTGTCAAGCTAATTGGAGAATATCAGCCATCTGTCCACGAGTATGCACTCGCATCCTCAGCGCCCGATAATCTCATAGACAATGTGGTTTTCAGTCACCACCAGTCTAGGAGAGAACCATCGTTTCATCGTTATCAATTTCCTCCTCATCTTCATCAAGAAGACCGAACTCCCAGTCGCCACGCTCGATACGGCTGACGCGATCCAGTTCAGACTGGTATTCGCGGCGCAGATGTTCAAGTGTAACGATGACGCGCTCTTGGGGCTGTTCGTTGGCAGACTTGAAAGACACACCATTACGTCCACCACCAATGGAGGAACGGCTTCCTCTGCGACCTACAGACGTAAAGGAGGCGGCGCTGGCGGAACGGCTTCTCGTCTTGAACGCGGTGGGTGATCCCGTATTATCCGCATCGTCCATGAAGACGTTGCCGTCACTGTCGGCCTGCAGGCCTTGATTACGGGTGTGTGAAGAGTCAGCGATCAGACTAGAAGTAGACAATGGCCCGATCTCGACAAGGATGTAAGCTTCGCTCTTATCGACCGAGGCCAAAAGGTTGATCAATGACAATAGCTCATGGCGGATCTCCTTGCTCTCTTGGTCATCTTCAGGCACAGCTTCCTCGACGTCTTTCTTGCCATTGCGGACAACGGCGGATGAGGGGGCATCTCTGGCTTGGCGCAGGCGTTGGACATTGCGGTATGCAATTTCGGCCGCACCACGGTAGTCGCTGCGGGAGATGCGGTATGCTTGCAATATACGGTGGTAATCGGGTGAGCTATCGGCCTCGTTGCTGTCGACGTCCAGCCATGAGTGGAAAGAGCTTTGTTTGTGGGCGAGTGAGACGAGGATCTCATCAATGTAGGAAGCAATGTTGGGCACAAGGGAGGTAGGGAAGCGGAGGATTTGCTTGAGACCTGTGGGTCCAGGTCCGGAGACGGTGAGAATGGTGGAGACTAGTGAGCTGAGAGCGGATCTCTGCAGAGCAAGATCGTGATATCGGGCCAAAGCAGAATAGGCCTGGTCGAACTGGCAGGTCCTGAGAGATGCATGGAACAGCCGGGAAAGCAGGTCTGACCGCATACTTGAGTACTCGGGATCCTGCTCAGCCCATGCTTCAGAGTCGAGGGCCTGCAGCGCCAGGCTGGCAAAGTCAGCGACATGTGAGAAAGACCGAACTCGTTCGAATACAGAAAGGATATGCTGGTAGTATTTGGGAATGCCATTGTGGAAGCAGTTCACGGACACAAGGTCCAGAAGCGTCGAGGACATTTCGTGGAGGTTACCCAGGGGCTTGCCACAAGCTAAAATTGATATTAGTAGATGGAAGAAAAGGTCAGATCAAAGGAACTTACAAAGTAGGTAAGCTGCCTTCCGGAAGTAAATGGCGGCAGTGTCAAATTCTGACATCGCAACGTGCAAACGCCCCTTTACATAGGTCGCCCAGGAGGTACTTGCTTGGAAACGAAGGAAATCCCATGCGAGATCAATATTATTCTTCGCAATGAGATCGCACTGAATGTAGGCCAAAGCATTCGCGTACGTGACTTCACCGGGTCGGGTGACCCAAGCTAGGACATCCCGAATTCCCAGAGTCAGTGCATAGCTCTGGGGCAATCCAATTGCTTGACGTGGCTTGATGTCCGAGACAAACAGGTCCTCGAGGATAGTCACTGTCCTTTGGTTTTTGGTCTTCGACTTAGAATCCTTTAAGGAGAAAATTGGTGTTGAAGTATCTGCACGAGTATCTGTAGGCTGATCGGCGCGCTTACGGACATTTGAGCTTAGCCAGTACATCATTTCGTACTCACGAAGAATGACGATAAGAGCAGAGAACAGGCCAGCGCCGTCAAAGTTAGAGCGCCCGCCCTGTTCGATCTCACCATCCACAAAGGAGACAAGTATCAGCAGATTGTAGAGGATCCGACGATTCAGGAGAATTGTCTCAAGAGAACCACTGACAAGAACTCGTGCACCAAAGGAGGTTGAGAGGAGTTCCGAGTCTTTTCCATTGAACCCAAGAGGAACAGTTTCAATGATGGCATAGAAAGCGTCCCCAGGCAAATTCTCAGCATCTAAATTCTCATTCAAGGCTGCAACTAGGCCGTCGAAGGTCTTATTGGAAATTCTATCCGCAAACTCACAGCGCTCACGGAATGCGTCCATGCGGTCGGTGATTGATGAGGAAGGCTCATTATAAATCTCAATATCGAGAGCAGCCCGGCAAGCGGCATCGAGCTCTGCAGAGAACCGCTTTCGGAAGTTTGAAGCAACTTTCACTAGCGATGATGCTTGCTCGAACAAAGTTCCAAGCTCGGCACTCAAATTGCGATGTCTCCAACGATCAGCAATCTTAGGCTTTTGTTCAGCAAGTTCAGAGCCGGAGTTGTGCGCGAGCAATTCGGTGGTGTTGCATTCCCGAACCACAGCACAGGCATCGGAAAGAAGAATCCACGGCATTTCAAAGTATGAATCGTAGGCCAGAGACACCGGCTCAAATCTGCGCTTATTGAGATCCTCCGCGACCTGCCAGAACTGACGCCACTTTGCGTCTGTATCTGTTCGGTACCGACTATATCCCATCTCATCTTCAGCGTATTTCCGCAAAGAAACAGTGGCTGTGATCGTAGAGCAAAGTTTTTCTGCTAGTGGCACATCCTTCTTCAGAACACCAGCCGATGTAGATGACAAAGGCTTGAGTGCTTCCTGATAAATGGCCAGAGCAGTCTGAAGAACTTCTGGTAGGTATCGATTCGGGTGCAGAAGATATTCAAGCCATCGCTCTGTCGGATCCACAACATCATCCAGAGTTGGAACAGGCAGTTGTTGTTGTCGATGAGCCTCAAAAGTTGTCGAAACCCAATTGCTTTCCCAGTCGTTCACCAAGGTTTGGAGGTCAAAGTGAAGAGTGTATAGCTGATAGAGTCCATGGTTTCTCCAAAGTACCCACAGCTCCATCCCCTTGCCTTCATCCATGGGCTTGACTTGGAAATCAGCGATGCTCCAGAACATATTACCCGTGACATCGGGATCCATTGGCCGGAAGATTGCATCTGCATAGAGATCCTCGATAACCAGATCGGATGTGAGACCTCCCTTCACAGCCCAGAACTTGAAGCGTCCATCCTCAAATGGAGAGTATGTCACCACATAAAAGCGATGGCCGCCATCCATAGCTCTCTCTGCATTAAATACTCGAATAAAAGAGGTCTCCGCAGGGTTGAGGGTATACGGCTGGATATCAGGATCAACTGGACGGCCCAGAAGGTCCTTGGTCGCGACCAACTTGTTCGTCGCTAGATTCCAGATCTTCAACGTATGGTTCAGGCAAATAGCGAAAACATAGGTCTCGTCGGATGTCGTGGTAATGGCATTGGCGGTATTCAAGTCAAGGTTTCGTCCATCGTGTCGAAGCGAGGAGGGTACATTCCATTTCACGAGGCCACGGATCGAGGCGCCCCAAGTTCGTTCGTCAAAGGTCAATGGGGTCCAATGTGAGCCTAGCCAACCTTCATGTTAGTCTCTCTTTCCCTGTTTACCATAAAAAAGGCCACATAGTAAGGATATCAAAGCTTACCATCATCCCCAGCTCTCCGAGTCAGTCGCAAAAGGGCACCGTTGTCGAGGGAGATGAACAGCTCTAGTGGGCTGCTGGCGTGCAGTCGGTGGGGGTGAGAAAATGAAAGAGGCGCAGGGACACATGTCTTGCACCAATCCGCGACATTCTCGTCAATTGATTCAGGTCTTCTGAAGAACTCCGGGCGGAGCGAGAATGTGTGCAATTGTTTCGAGGCCGTAATCACGAACACACTGAGAATCTCATGGTCTTCATGGTCTGCCAGCGCAACGCCCGATGGGAGAATCTGGTCCGGGAAGTTCAATCGAAGAGTAACATTGTACTCAAATGGCTCCGAGCCAGCCTTGGTGAGATCCGCGCATTGAATCTCCAGCACCTTGTTGTCATTGACAACTCTCCACACGAACGTTCTCGGATAAGACCTGCGCTTGCGGAAAAAGACTGTCCCTTGTGTCGCAAGATAGCGTCTAGAGAATTCGTCTTCGTCTTTCGCGATGGGGAGGTCGTGGTCGGGTGTGGATGTGGATGAGATCGAAAAGCGTGTCCGTCGAACCGCGCTCTCGGGAGAAACGTGGATATTGGCAACTGTGGAAGGCGAAAATGGTCGGAGATCGACCCTGGTATCCTTGAAAATCTTCGCCATGGTGAACAGCTCGGGGAACTGCACTTAATTCAGCGTCGCAGACTTCCCATGGCTTGAAGCGGGAGAGAGTTGCAGGGCGGAAAGCTGGAGCTCTCAAAAAACAAAGTCTTGGCGCGCTGGAACTTTACCCACTACAACATCAACATGAACATGAAAACATTCTACAGAACTGCAAAATCATTTTTCATAGAAACCTTGATTCTGAATTTTAAAGTACATATTCATAATGGATATTCATTTAGTAATATAGTCAGAGTGAGAACAAGAAATTACTCTGTCAAAGCTTTCTTCAGTCACATCACTAACGGTAGATACAGAGGGATATTGGGTAGGCTCGTAAAGTCACTAATATCGTGTCAACAATAATAAAGGAACATTAATAGAATGGTAAAGGCCCTCAGTCTTCCATGTCCTTCTCGTTAGGGTCACCAATGCCATCTTCGTTGATTGCAAAGAGACAATCACTTTCTGGAAGACACGGGCTGTCGTAAATTTTGCACACTCGAGTCTCACCGCGACCTTTCTTCAAGCTAAGTCGTGTTGTACTGGCATGGGCAATAATGTTACCTCCAATAGGCTTCTTGGGATCGGGGTTGAACATCGCACTGGGGCCACCGTCAACTTGCGCCACAACCTGGTTCGTGATCACAACCGCAATGCCGAACTCATCAGCCAAGCGCTGTAATGTGCGCATGAATTTAGCAAGGTGTGTCTGTCTGGATGACAACTCTCCACGTCCGTTGAAATCTGTCCGATACAACGCGGTCGCCGAGTCAACCACAAGGAGCGAAAATCGGGTCTCGCACATCATCTGAGACGCCTGATTGAGCAGCTGCAGCTGATGGTCGGAGTTATAGGCACGGGCATATGCCACATTATCGAGAACTTCCTCTCCCACAAGGCCAAACCTCTGTGCTACGGCAAGAAGCCGGACAGGTCGAAAGGTTCCCTCCGTGTCGATGTATAGACACTTTCCTTCGCCGCCACCCATATCAAAGGGTAACTGACAGGTAACCGCAAGTGTATGACAGATCTGACTTTTTCCCGTTCGAAATTCACCAAAAATCTCGGTAATTGAGCCAGTCTCGACACCACCACCTAGGAGGGTGTCGAGCCTCTTGGATCCTGTTGTAATGGATATGAGCTCACTTCGTCGGGCATGCATCTCGGTCGCCGTTGTGAATCCCATGGGAACTAATTTTGCAGCTATGTAAGAGGATACAATCAGTGACTGCTATACTTTGAACAGGGGGTATCAAGTGATTTCTTGCGTGGTGGTGACTTACCTTCAACTAAGATCTTAGTAGCCTTCTGCTCCGAGATTCCCTTGATCTGCTCCAGTAATCGCTTCGACCTGGTGATTTCCCATCCTATCAGTTAAGATTCTTGACGTAAAGTGCGAACCTGCGGCAAGTTCGAACTGCTGCCTCGGAGACATACGTGTAAGCCACTGCCTCGACGGTGTGGTATCCAGCATCGACAAACAACTTGATATCTCTCCCACTCAATCCCGCAACACCCTATTATAAGTCATTCAGTATTTTGTTTCGATATTGCTTGGCGGATGCTATCCAATTTCATCAGAGAAGGCACACCCACCTCAAGCGCAGAGAGCGGGGTTGGGGCACCAGGGCCCGGAAGTTGGCTCTCATCCATGTCGCCTTGGGTCTCATGATCGGCTGACATTTTTGCGGCGTTACGATCGAAAAGCTTGAAGCGCAGTAATTGGAATCGGCTCGTTGGCGGTTGAGAGGTCTCACTACACGAGCACGCGTCAGGCTTGATGTACACGATGGTTCGCGGTGCACGGCTGTAGAGGAGTTCACAGATTTAATAAAATCGAACCTCTGGGAATGAAGGAAATGAGTCACCAGGCAGCTGTGGCCCACAAGAAGGATTTGTTTGTGGCAAAGCCGGAGATTTTTGGACGAGTCTAATTGTTTCCTTCCAATGGACGCGTTCGATTTGTCGCGCGGTCACGTGGCTTTGTTGACTGGAAAAGCGACAAGGCAACAACAACACTATCGCCATTTTGGGTATAATCAACCTAAATCTACCAAATCTATACTAAAATTTTATTTCTAGTGCATCCACAGTAGCTCAAATGCTGCCATTGATTCCCATCAACAGTGTTAAAAATACAGGTTCCTCAGGTAAAAAAGCAACGCTTTGTGCTGTCCCAGACCCTCAACTGGTGCGCATCAAGAGACAGATCTAGAGAACAACACCAATCGTTCCCCAAAAACCCGACTTTCTTTGCTGAAATTTTACTGGCATTATCTTCAGCCAATTCTCCCCTCTTCGAATGGGCGCGATCACGACCTTCATGTTCAGGCCTATTCCCTCAGAGTAGAAGTCTCATGACTGAGAATGCGACTGGACCGACGTCCGAAATCTCCGTCGCTTGGTCTCTCGCAACCTGGGATCGAACTGGAGTTCCTCGGCCGGCGAGTTCATGTGGATCCTGTCGTTAAATATTCGGCTCATCTTGCGTCTGAACTCTTCAGACGATCGTCTGCGAAGGATTCCTTCGAAGCATGAGTTAGTTTCTTTGCTTTGTGCCTCAATCAGACCGCTCTCTTTGCTTACTATGGGTACGTGAAGCCCTATGCTGCTCGGCTTGGAGGCGAGAATCACGCTCATGGCGGGGTGATCCCAGATCAAACTCCTCTTGCTCGCTCGTTCCTGACCTGCTTCGCTTGGAATCAAACAATTGGCTGGCACGCAAGACTCGGTTATGGAAACTAGCCCGCTTTTCATGGCTACCGAAGGCCTCGTTTCGACGATTGAAGGAGCTAGGGGTAACTGGGGCACTGGCTATAGTCGGGGCTATCGTCGTTGGTGGATAACCTCCACGAGGCCTGTAAGATTCATATCTGTACTTGTTGGGCCCAGTGATGTCGCGATGAGACTGGATGGAAGGAGGACGGGCATACCGTGGCACAGCGACCGGAGAATGGATTGAGTCATCGCGCGGCGTTGGGGGTGAGTGGTTAATGAGGCGGGAGTGAGTGGGAACAAGTCTTGGTGCTAGACTAAGTGGTTTCGGTGCCGGGCTAGGTGGCCTCGCTTCTGGACTGGGCGATCGGCTTCTTATGGTTGGCTTTTCGGGGGGTTGAGGACTAAGGCTTGGACTGTCAGGACTGCAGATCCATATGCCTGGGACTTCCACGCCTCTCTCTAAGGCTCGAGCGCCAAAAGGGATGTCATCTCTCTTGAGCATGGGATATATGTGGGCTTCCTCTTCTTTCTGGCGTGCCTCGATCGCTGCATATTTGCGTATCCTCCATCTGCTATACGTGAGAACACAGCAGCCGTAGATGATCACAAGAACCTAGAGGACCGGTGAGTACTCCGTTGACCATACTAGCAGCCGAGACATCTCGCACGATTAGGGTTGCCAATGCCTGTATCCGAGTATGTTCTTAGCAGGTTTGATCATGATTACAACGACGATTCAGTGCAAAGGGACCCATACCAAACTTAACTTCTCCCATAACGGCCAGTCGACCCAGAACGCCATGGTCTCTCACTTGTTTCGGGGCGCGCATGCAGCAGTAAGAGCTCTATGGATGATGTGCCGATCTGAGGGAAGGGAAGAATCAAATGTGGAAGGAATGTTTTGCCAGAACGACTTGGAGTCTACATTTATACTGCCGTGGTTTCCATGGGGTGTGCCTGCCTAGTCCTCTACAAGGTGAAAACAACCTGGAATCTGCCCAGCAACACTTTCTCATCTACATTGTCTCAGTTTGTGTAGATGCACATGGAGGATTGTTTTAAAAAGGAGAAAGTTGGATACACAAGATAGACTCGGTCTTGAAAATTAAAAAATAAGTAAGACAATAAATAGCATCAAGAAGATGTCTTCCTTCGCCTTGGCAGAAACAACATTGGAAATTGTAAGATAAAAAAGCAAAAAGAAATCTCTCCCTCGGGGAATCGAACCCCGGTCTCCCGCGCTTATCGGTGTTAATGACAAGCGGAAATCATGACCACTAGACCAAGGAAGATGAGATAGTCGAGTTTCCGCTCGACCACTTGGTGCTGGTTGATGTCGGAAAGATCAATTTTCATCCCATAAAACTGTGTGTCATAGCCTGATCCGCGCACGCCAATCCTTGCCAGTCACTACTTGGGAACATCAAAAGTAAACACGATCGTAGATCCCTAAACTAATATCCAAAATTATTAATCTTGAGGAGTTAAGTATACATCTAATCTGCATGAGCCTTGGAAATTACGCAGTTGCGTCTTCGATGCCGACTGTGCATTCATATGCCAGCTTCACATGCCCTGGAGCGCTTGCAAATATATATCAGGCGTACTGCCACCTCACGAGGTCAGCGATGAAATGTTTACACTGAGTCCATTTGCAAGCTCGTATTCTGCTCATAAGAGAGAGCCGCCAAGGCTTTCAAGGTCTGAGACTCCAACATTGAACATGCGAGGCTTCGAAACTATCCAGTTTGGCCTATGGACCTAAATCTACTCCATGACCGCCACGTTTTAATTCAATGCTGGTTTAAGATAGGTATCTAGGATTTAGGTCCATTGTACTCGGTGCTCGAAAGTCACTCTGGAGATCCAGATGACAGAGTTTCGGCCTTGGAAGGCTACCTCCAGGGCTGTGTACACTTTAAGACTTTTAAACCCCACCATCCTTACAGGCCCGAACCCTGGAGACGTGAACCTAAGACAGCAAAACATCAATTACCAAAAAAGCTGCAGAAGGTAGGCGGTCACATATCATTTGTGATTAGTTTTAGAGCGGCAATGAATATAAATAATGGTCAAGACTAGTTACCTTTCATCTATAACACACTGCGTCACTCAAATTTACACGGTATATAACGCCCGTGACAGAAGAAGAATACGAGGCCTGTGCCACGTCCGGAGACTTTTGGACTGGTAAGCTTTTGCTATTGAGGTTAAAAAATCAGAAACCGAATCGGCAGCAAACGCTAATTGCCGCCAAATCATGAGGTCAACGCCACATTCCTGCCTCATACGGTCAAATTCCGCATCACAAGTCCCTTAATAAGCCCATTATTCTTGCGCAGGTGAAGACCCGATAACTTGGCGTGTCGTACATCATAGAGGAGAATTGAATTTTGGGGATGTAGGCCGGGTTATGCCCTTACGCACGGCAAGCCGAGAAAGGGGTCCCCCTCTCCCGAGAATCTCAGGGACGACGCGCAACTCAGATCTTCAAGCTCATAGGAACATGACGCAGCAGATTCCTGGGTGAAACGATCGACACGCAGCCTTCCGGAGGATAAACTTATCCCTGCCAGTGAATATGCGTCAGAAGTAGCCAACCATGCGCATAAAGTGACATACCTGGGGATTTCTTACGCAAGCCCCAGACATACCGGCCCCGGAGCCATTCCATGTGCTGTGTCAGCTTTTCTTCACAGTCACTGCAACTAGAATACGGACACGCTCATCCGAGCACTGTCACGGTCTGTAGTCACCTGGGCATAGGAAAACCGCGGTCTTTATTTCTATTTACCGCTGCACTGCGTTGGATAATTCATCCGAGAGAAATAGTTTGGATATATAAGTTTCCTGGGCTCTCTTTCAGTTCAGCATGTACAGTACAGCTTGCAAGCTAAACCCCTTGTGGATCCGCGCTAAGCAAATCATATCTGTGATCGACAATCCCTTGGTCGGATGATCTTCAAAAGGATTGTCATGATTTACAATTGAAGATCGACTACTATCATTTGAAATGATTGGGCCCCTTTCTCCACCAAAGTCTACTTCGGGCAGGTCAGCCGCTTAGAGCCGCTGGAATACAAGCCAAGCAATGGGCACAGAATGATATTACTTCCTATTCTAGGAAGAAATGTAGAGCTACCATGTGAAGAAATATAGAAATCGAAAATAGATACGCCAATCCAATAAGACTTTGATAATCACAACCTAGAAGTCTGCTTGGATTGGCGTATAAGCTTTAGTGGATACATTTTTAGACACGAACCCCTAACCCACATGCCCTTGCTAGCTGTCACCACTGAGGGAATCAGTACCATATCGATTGCGTGCGATGGAGGCCCACACAGATGTTTCACGGAGGGGCAGAGGAGTAATACCCACTTTTTATCAGCGGACATAGTTCATACCTTGTTTCTTTTCTCAAATTTCTTTTTTCCTATAAAAATTATAAATGAAAGTGAGAGTCAGGCCTTTTTGATGTTTGAACAGAAAGAAAAAATCCAAGCTCCACAGCCGAAATGACGATTTCCAACCCATTTCGCCGAAGTGACCAGCATGCTGGCCGAAACGACATATTATCCGAAGATGGTGTTGACTCAAGGGACAATGTCACCAAGTACTCCGAGTCCACTATATCTACCCCTGCCACAACAGATAATTCTGTCGTTTCAAGGACAGAGAGTCCTACAAGTTCCTTGGAATCCCCCTCATTACAGAAACCGGAAATAGACCTTGAGTTGGAAATGGTACCAATGGCACCTGAGACACATGGTCGGCTTGGGTCATGGAGAGGCTCTATGATCTTGCTGGTAACTTCGGGCTCACAATTTCTCGACAATGTGTTTATGACAAGTTCAAATATGGCACTGGCTTCTATTCAAGAAGAATTTGGTGTATCCAGTACCAATCTACAGTGGATGATCTCTGCATATACGTTGGCCTTTGGCGGATTCTTATTACTCGCCGGGTCTTTGTCTGATAGGTACGAAAGCACCACCTACATCCTTGTGATATCCCCGAAAACTTTGCTTACAACAACAGATATGGACGAAAGATGATTCTTTGCTTGGGCTTATTTTGGCTCACTATATGGACGCTCGCTATTGGATTTGGCCAGTCATTTATTCAACTAACGATTTTCCGTGGTATTCAGGGCATTGGTGCATCATTGACTGTTCCCTCCGCCATTGGAATTATCAGTTCCTATTTCACGGGTGTTGACCGAACTCGCGGACTATCAATCTATGCTGCCTCTGGAACAGTTGGCTTCTGTGCCGGTCTCATTTTCGGTGGCTTTCTCACCTCGTCCCTGGGATGGAGATACCTTTTCTATTTGATCTCCATTATCCCTGGCTGTCTGGGCATTTTAGGATTGATCGTACTACCCAAGGATCGTGAGGCAACCAAAGAAAGGCAGCGAATGGACTATCTTGGCGCCGTTCTGTCGACAGTCGGTTTGATTCTTCTACAATTTGTTCTGTCTAGTGGTGGTCGCTATGGCTGGGGTGACCCATTCATCATTGTGATCCTGGTCTTGGCCGTGGGATTCCTTGTTGGATTCGTCATATACGAGAAGTATATCAGTAACCCACTGATGCCGCTTTCACTTTGGACGATTCCAAACTTTGCTGGCCTTTGGATCGCTGGATTCAGTAAGTTGCCTGGCTATTCATAAATTATGAGGCAATTGCTAATTTTTTTTTAGCCTGCTATGGAAGCTACCAGAACATCATATATTACATCGTCTTGATGGCCCAAAAGGTAGACGGATTGTCAGCCGGCGACACTGCGATTCGCTTTTTGCCAATGGGTGCGATAGGTTTTATCGTGTCATTGGGAACAGGAAAGCTTCTCGAGTACATAAATGCGAAGTACTGCCTTATTGCTGGCTTAGTCTTGTCCGTGGTAGCTGCAGTACCAAGTGCCGCGACAGCTACACTTACCGAAAATTTGTATGAATCCTCTCCTATGATTGATGACGTGAAGTCTAACTAATGTTCTAGCTGGATCAACACCCTCGCCACGTCACTCATCAGTATTTCCGCTGTGTCCTTCATCTTCGTTACGACGAGCACAACAATTCTGACCAGCGTTCCCGTCGAAGTGAAAAGCCTGTGCGGTGGAATGCTCAACACAGCATTTCAAATAGGATCTGGCGTTGCTCTCGCCATCTCCGCCGCAACAACCTCAGCGGTTGATATCCAGAAAGGACACGGGCTCCCCCAGCAATACGCGACAGGACTCTGGTGCTCCACCGGATTTGCAGGTCTCGGCCTCGTCATTGGAGTCTTCGCCGTCCGTCGGAAAGGAGCATCACCCAAGGACCGACTCGGCGGCCCTGTGGTTGTATAATTCCTTTGTATACAACCACCTGTGAATTTTGATAGACAGTAGATAGGTATAGTGTGATCTGGATGTTATATTCTGGATTGGTTTATAATGACCTTAATGATGGATAGACTAGCGAGTTCGGGCATCGTTGGATTGGACCCAGTTGTTTATTTATTTATTTTTCCAATACATTTTTCCAGAGGATCTCTTAAAATTTCCGTTCCTGATACCGGTAAAGTGTCCGTGGTGGATCCAAACTTAATTCTAGACCCACAAGCTTAACCAGTCAAACTTGGCCAATCGGCCAATCTGTATTTGTCTGGCAGGTGTGCGTAACACTCGTCTTCGAATATTGAGCTCGATGGCAATATTACTCGTTGAAACTTGAATTAACAGATATTAGGTGCAGAATAAACCGAAGGAAAATAGCCGGCGAAGATACTCCGTACTTTCAGCCGTCGCTGGGAAGATAGCAAATCCAAGACAAGACGAAATCTCTAAGTGGATGAGTCGCTGGGAGACGCGAGAGAAGCCTCAACAGATCAAAAAAGTGGATAGAGATTCTGATCACTGAGAGAACTACACTACATGCCATTTAAACGATAAGTCAAATTTCCATAGGCTGTTAATTGAACATCACGTAAAGTAAGTCGAAAACCTCATTGACGGTATCAGGTAAGGTGCAGTTCTCAAAGTTCAGAGCAGTAATACTATTGAGTACATGTCCAGGGAGGACCAAAATTTCCGAGTCAAGCGCAAGAGAATTATAAGATACAACACAGATATGCTCAACCCCGGAGTCAGAGCCTTGAACTCGATCACGTAGCAGCATGCAAGGCAGAGCAAAAGCAGGATTCAATCTCGAGATACGGAACTTTTGAGGATCAATGATTATATCAAAAGCCGTGAGCTGGCTCTCTGGAATGGGGCCGATGGCAGAGAGTTCGAGAGGCCACCTCGGGGTTTCTAGGACAATTAAATTATCATCTTGAGCTGAAATAATCCGAGCATAAGGGAACGCTCCATTCTCATATGCTTCGATGACTCAAGTGGCATTACGGAGATCACAATCCTCTTCCAATTGTTGCATGAGATGAGTCTGCAGACTGATACTGAACATCTTGACTTGACATAGTGGAGGGAATTGATTTGTCGATGTGTCGAGTCCATTTGTAAGAAGTCGAGGGACAAGACTCGTGCTTTGTAATTTCTATCGGTGAGTAAGAGGACACTTTAACTGTTCATTCCATTTGTCATCTTGTATGGAATCAAACAATAAGTATATATCCTCGTGGAAGAGATCTTTGTCGACTTTTTGCTAGTCCCTTTTGATTGAGGTTGGCCTGGCACTTACGAACACGTTGCTCCAGTCGTTGATCATCTAGAAAGAAAAGCCCATGTATAATGGCCAAACGAGAGAAATAAAGTCGAATTGAAAGTCTATCACTGGATTTATTTGTTGACGAGTGGTGATGATCTGTCAAAATACTCTGCAAATCCTTCTCTGCACGGTTCTCACACTGAAAATAAATATACAAACAGATAATCAAGTCATAAAAAGAATCATCGCAGTCCTAGATCAAGTATTGTCGTCCTTCGGGGGATTATCCGCTCCGAATGGGCATTCGAAGGACCAGCTGGGGTTGGTAAAGCTAATATAGCCACAGCATTAACCAAAGCCATTCATCCTTGTAGCATCAGACTCTTATGGTATAGGGGGAGTATTTTGAGCTATCGTCTAGGACAGGGAAAATGCGATTGACTTGGTGCAGCAAGAAGCTCGTCCGGATCGATGGCAGCTGATATACACGTAGTGTAGAGGCTTGACTCTGAAGAAAAAAACATGAATAAACTTACGATCTGTCCTCTTTTCTGTTTGCATTGCTCGATAAAAGGCCACATAGAGGGATACCAGTAGTGATACCGCCACTATCCCGGCCTTTGGGTGGAAAAAGGAGAGAAAAATGATGGCTCCCAACACAATTCCAGTCCCAACATGGAGGATAGGCGCCTGAGGAATCAATGTGAACGTAGGCATGATCGACAACTCGGCCCGAGATCGAAAAATTCAAATTGGAGCCCATGCGAATTATAACTCCAGCACGCCAATAACGAGGGTTGTAAAAGGTGAGCTAAAATAGCACGAATTACTTTGGTTGCTAAGACAAAGGCTGTTCAACCTCGTGGTTCTTGGCGGTGAAACGGTCGACCTGTTACTTCTTGCCGACTTTCACTTTCCCCCTCTACACTCACCCGTTGGAAATCCCCAACGCAATTGCCCCTGAACCTCAAAAGGTCTTGGTTGCCTACAACCAATTCGTTATGAGTGACTCTGGCCTCGTCGTTCCAGGGAGCGCCCCCGCCATGCAGACCATCCCTACCCCCGACAAGCTGCTGAGGCCGAACCATGCAAAATGTTCTATCCCAAATACCGAGCGCAAAACACGCAGCCTTTTCAATTCTGCTGCCCGCTGGTTGCTCCACAATCAAATTTGTACGTGGCATTCTACACCCGACGATCACCCCTTGCTGGGCTTGGCCAGTTAGGGGGCGCATCAAGTCAGGGAAGAATGGCCTCCTATCTCAAAGACGGATCTACTCTGTTTACTCGATTCCTGAGACATCAACGCTAATGATGTTGTTTGCCAAATAGATATTTCCCTCAACCTCATCGCGGTCCTTTTCTGCACACACTCGTTTTTACCTCAGGCTCAACAATACACGTCCAAGCTTTTCACAATCTCCCACTACAATGAAAGGACGGGGGAATACGGCGTCGGCAGCGATGACTTCTTCTTCCTTGGATTTTGCGTCGTGCTGTTTACTTTCCTCCGAGCAAGTTGCATGGAGTATGTGCTTCAGCCGATGGCCCGATACTGTGGCGCATCAACAAAGAAGGATGTGATTAGATTTTCCGAGCAGGCATGGCTGCTGTGCTATTACTCAGTTTTCTGGGTGCTTGGTGTGGTCAGTGAACATTGCCCGTCACAGCTCGAGATAGTATGCTGACCAGTTACCAGCACATCTATGTAACCTCGGAGTATTTCCTCAACCCCAAAGAGATGTTCACAAATTGGCCAACACGGGAGCTCCCTGGGCTTGTCAAGTGGTACATACTGAGCCAGTGGGCTTTTTGGATCCAGCAACTCCTTGTTATTAACATCGAAGAGCGCCGCAAAGACCACTGGCAAATGTTGACCCATCATCTTCTGACAATCGGTCTGTTGTATACCTCGTACACATTGCATTTGACCCGTGTCGCCAATCTGGTATTGATCTTGATGGATGTGGTCGATATTTTCTTTCCCGTGAGTTCCTCTGTCAATATCTCACTGTTTGCGACTCGCTAACTCTCAAACTAGCTTGCCAAATGCTTCAAGTATCTTGGGCTGTCCACGTTGCGAGACGTTATGTTCGGCATTTTTATGGTGTCATGGTTCCTAGCCCGTCATGTTTGGTACGTGACAAACATGTATCATATCTGGGCTTACATGCCAGATATCGTCAAGGTTGGCTGCTACCACACATCGGAGGATAACGTGGTAACGGGTCCAACTCCGCTACCTGAAGAGGGCTGGTCGCATATGCTTGAGGCGTTCCTCAACCCCTCGGGCACCATTTGCTACAGCGACAGTATAAGATGGGGTTTCCTCGGTTCTTTGGGTTTTCTCCAGATTATTACTCTAATCTGGTTCTTCATGATCGTCAAGGTGGCCATCCGTGTCGTGCAAGGAAATGGTGCCGATGATATCAGGAGTGACGATGAGGATGATGACATCGAAGAGGAAGTGCAGGAGAAAGGCTGGGTGCAAACAGTCTCCAAAGGGGGTGTGGATTCTGACCTCAAGGCATTGAAGCGCAATGCTGAGGTCGAAGGGACTGCGTTATCGACCGGAGCAGGTTTCTCGGGACGGTGGGAGCGCAAGGGATTGCTCGGTCGAGTTGGATGCGAGAGGCAAGTTGACTGATTGAACGTTCCAACTTTTCCCAATCGTATATTAAATTTCCACATACTTTTTCAATGCATCCAGAGACGATGGGAAAGAAACATCTCAAGGTCCCAGCCTGATCCTTGTAGCCTTATGAAAAGCTACAAAGTGCCTGGTAGACGGGCGTATTGACCAAACAGGCCCTCACGTCTCTACCTATTATATAAACTTGCTTTTACACAACAAAGCGGATGGTGACAACGGATGATTCATGAGTTATTCACAGACAGGCATGCCCCATTTCTTTCCGAACCAAGGCTTCATATCCCAATTCTTTGGATCCCATGGCAAACGATCACCACCCGTCTTTAGCACAATCCCTTGCCGAACATAAATATCCAGCTTGAGGTCCCAAAGATCAAAAATCTCTGGCATGGCGAAAGACAACATGATGGCCCTGTCTCGCAGTAATGGCAGAGGAATCAAATCCAGAGCTGCATGATGCGGAACAAGAATCTGGGCCATGGTGGGTTGAAGATGGATTGGTATTGACGGGTTGAACTTGTTTGCAACAAGGGCCTGTGGGTTATCCGTTGGAGCGATTGAGCTGAAAAATGGGGACATGCTTCTCTTATCGCAGGTCATTAAATCACTAATATTGAAGTCTAGACAGGTTGCATTGTGGAGAAATGCCAGGAGGGTTTGCGTTTGAGTGGGTTGAAGTGTATTCAGCTTTGGGTCTGTATGAAGGAAAGATATGCTCGGATCCTTGGATGACACCAATTCTTTTCCATCAATGTTCGTGTTAGTAGGTATGAGATTATTAGAGGAAGTAGAATTAAACTTTACCTTGATCGGAGGTCAATGTCTCACTAGAGCCCTCCGGTGGGGTCACATCCAGACTATCGAGACTTGAATCCAGGTCTATGCCTCCTGGATCCTCGTAGTCCATCTCAGAAGCCGACGTCTGCTCTGGATGTGTCGTTGAGATCTCCTGGCAACTCTGTTGCGCAGTAGTTGAATTTATCACGGGAAGAGATGTTCCCAATGCTCGACTCGAAGGCTTCAATCTGGGTTTAGGTCTTTCATGGCAGATTGTCAACCCGGAACAATCCTGTCTTTGTCTTTGTCCTTTAGCGGGAAGTTAGCTTGAACAGTAAGTGAAGTGATGAAAACAATTACTCCATGCGCGTTGTGCAGCCTTGTTTTGTTCTCTGCGAGCTGTAGTGATTATCCGCTTTTTCGGCTTGCTGCTTTGGTCCATATTTCCTTCGGAGGGCATGGATGATTTGGCGCCAAATATCCACTGGCTTATGGTTGATGGCTTATGTTTGACGTGCCATGTTGAGCGGGAAACGAAGTGCCGGAGGCCTTCATTAACTCCGCTCAATCTCCGGACCAATGAAATATTTGGATCAGAGCCTGACTAAATTTGTTCCCCGTAAGCCATGGCTTACGCTTGACCAATCATAGAGCCCAATTCCATAGCTCATACTATACTGCTGGCAGGTATATATTCAACCGGACAGAACCTCGTTTAAGATACCTAACTTCATCTTACCAGTATCAATTGATTGGGTGTATCAAAGATGTCCTCTGCAAAGAAAATCATCGCTGTTGTCGGCGCCACCGGCACCCAAGGCTCCTCAGTAGCCCAAACCTTCCTCACCCTGCCCAACTGGCACGTCCGCTGCTTGACTCGGTCGCCCTCCTCTGAGAAAGGCCAAGCACTCGCCACCCAAGGTGCAGAGGTGATTCAAGCAGACCTGAATGATCCAGAGTCGCTACGTCAAGCCTTCGCTGGCGTCCATGCCATCTTCCTTAATACAGATTTCTGGGAACCATACCGTCGCGCCATCGCCTCCGGCACAGAGGCCGCAGCCAGCGCCAAAATCGGATACGATGCAGAAGTCAAGTTCGGAAAGAACGCAGTTGATGCCGCACTGCATGTCCCAACACTGGAGCGATTTGTCTACTCTGCATTGGGCCCGATGAACGCTGCTTCCGGAGGCAAATACCCATACTCTTACCACTGGGAGACCAAAGCGTACTTGGCGGACTATATCCAGGGTACCCAGCTTGGAAAACTGAGCTCCTTCATCTACATCGGTGGTTATCTCACCAATAAATTCCTCTACCCGAAGTTCCGGAAGGAGGTCGGAGGGTACGCTCTTGTACTCCCGGCAAGCAAGCAGACCCGTATCCCTGTTATTGATACTGCTCGCTCGACGGGCCCGTTCGTGAAGGCTTTGGTTGAGGAAGAGGCCCCTGGAACCAAGCTGCTGGCTTATGATGAGTACCCGACTTTCGAGGAGATTATCAACACTTGGTCCAAGGTCACAGGTAAACAGACTATGTTCATGCAGATGGATATGCAAGACATGCACGAGAAATTTGGTGTGCCGATTGAGGTTCTTGGGGGCCCTGCTTTCCTGGGCGAGTATGATTACTGCGCTGGTATCTCGGGTGTTATTGAGCCAGCTCAGTTGAAATCTCGAGTAGATGTGAAGAGCTTTGAGGAGTCGCTGAAAGGCTTGGACATGGACTTCTTACTGGGAACGAAAGAATCAATTTAGATAAGAGAGAGGCTTAGAATACGACCACGTTGAATAAGTTCTGCTTTCTCCATTTGACAGACTTCAAAGCATGACGTGATTAGTCGTGACAAAGGCAACTAGGATAGCAGTAGTCTGAAAATCAATGCCAGAGCTAGAGAATCGGACCCCTTATTGCCAGGGAAGGGAGACATAGCCAAATACGAACTCGAAATTTATTTAGACAACGAAGGGTCTAAGTCTCTCTTAGTCTCTTTTAAATCCAGGGGCGACCTCCTGGGATTGCTTATCAACAAGATGCGGGGAAAGTTGGTGCGGGGAAGCTCACGGTTCCCAAGGGTTTCACCCATTGTATTCTATTTCCCCAAAGCTCATATTGACTCTTCAAGACCGTTGAAAACATATACCATGTCTAGTTACACCGCACAAACTCCCATCCTCGACCACTTTGTCATCCTCGTGTCCCACAAAACCCTCTTGGGAATTTCTGAACATACCAATGGCCAATTTACCCTAGCACCAGGTGGAACTCACGCCGATGGACTCACAACAAACAAGCTAATTCTCCTTCCGGACGGCGTCTACCTAGAGCTCATCGCCTTCTTCGACGACGCTGATCCCGAAAAGCGCCGCCAGCATCGTTGGGGCAACGAGAAAGAAGATAGCATTATTGACTGGGCTTTCACATTGCCCTCAGAGAACGACTTTGGCACGATTCAACAGCGAGTCCGAGAATCTGCCACCGGCTTCTTTTATACAGACCCTATCCCTGGTGGTCGCACAAAACCAGATGGCACCGTCTTAAAATGGGCAATTTGTGCGCCAAAGGATGACCAAGGGAACGGGGTGGCCCCAGGGACAATGCCATTTTGGTGTCTCGATAGAACGCCCCGAGCAAATCGTGTCCCTTATGAGAAGGAGGCCCATCTTACTCGACACCCTAACGGTGCGCAGGGCGTGTCTTCTGTGTTGATCCAGATTCCTGATGGTGGAGATGCGAAGCTGAAGGGAACATACGATGCGATGTTTGGGGATGCGTGGAAATATGCGGTTCCTTCCGGTTCGAATGCTGGTCATCATTCGGTTTCTATTTCTGGGGAAAAAGCAGCTATTCAACTGGTATTACATGGATCAAAGAGCGGACGCGTGGAACTTTTGCCAGGACTTTTGATTGATATTGAAGAATCTGCATACTGATTGAAATGTACAGAATATTCCGTGTCTATAAAAATTGAGCTCTCAAGCCCGAGGATATACCTGTACATTGCCTAGGACTATTCTCTCGTGCTTATTGCCTTGTTGACTCCCAAGGGAGTTGGTCGATATTTTAGACATCTGAGCCCAATGCAATCAATGGATTCAGAATCCATGCATATAAGAAAATGACCATCAAGCCAGATATATGATTTGATTAATTCCTTTTGGAGCAGCTCTAAATAAAAGTCAATGTATCTTGGGGCGCGGGTGTCGTGAGCAATGCAGGGGCATAAGAAGTATAGCGACCGGTAGTAATCAGGGTAATCTGGCATTATTGCAATCTCTAGCCGCGCTATACGTATGAATGTGCTAGGATCGAAATAAATTCCGCAACTTTGCAAATGATGCCCGCCACCAGCTTTGAAGTCTTTTAGTGCTGCGCGTTGACCCTTCATTCTGGGACTCTGATGCATCAGCAATAGACTTGAAGCGTGGGAGTCGATCAAAATTGTCATTGACTGATCTTCAGATCCTTCATTAGTCAATTCAAGCAATTGAATTGAACTCAAAAAAAACCGCATATAGGTACTCACTGTAAATGTTGAGTTGGTAAAGGAGGCACGTCAGAAACGACTTGCAACCGGATTGGGGGACGAGATCGCTGATCAATTGACAGAGAGCGTGAACGCATTTCCATCGGGATACTGTTGATAAACGGTATTAAAACACCGTCCGCTAGTAGCTCACGGGCATGATGGATGGTCGGGTTTAATTGTGACGGATTCGGTGGAGATAACAGCACGTCGTGATTGTTAAGCAGCTCTCGCCGGAGCTCTTCTGGAATATTGAGTTCATTTGGGGACCCAGTGGATATATAAGTGCTCATTATAGTTTTCCATTGTTTCCCTAGACGACGTGTCTCAGGTGTCATATGCCCTCGATGAGCTGATATCCCCGAGTTATGATAGGAGTCACTGTAAGCATTTGCTTCAGATAAGAAGTCTAATGTCTCGATGCAATGGTTGCGAGACAAAAAATCGACAAATGATTCGAAGTCGTAAGGGGCACTAGCATGTCCAGAGATAATATTGTTGAAATTGGGTCGTGAAGTTCGAGATGGTTGCTCTGTCGATTGTGTACTTTCTGAATCAGTTGATGATGCCGTATCCGTGGTATCTTTGCACTTTCCACTATATGCCATCGATCATATCAGCGTGAGCTAGGTGAATGGTATCGTAGATCTAGAACAGTAACTGGGAAGAATGTAGGTGTCAAAATTTCTCAATTCCAACAGTATGTACTGGACAGAAGTACCCTCTTTTATCAGACTGAACCATGAGGCACACTTATCTGACTAAACAATCGTTCGCCACGCAAAGTCCAATGTCTTGTTTGATGGTCTGCCTTCCACTGGACGGAAAGTTCTCGCCCAATCAACATCTGCCCGCGTTCATGGTAAATTAATTGTGAACCATGGTGAGAAGTATCTTTGGAGCTGTCATATTAGCGCCTTTGTGCAATTAGGTAGTGTCTCGTGTAACAGAATGCTACCCAGCTTTAGCCGCACATATCCATATTGCCACCATTCTCATTGCCACCTTATGGTTATGCGCCCGCTTATCAATCTCTTGAATAGGACTAAGTCAACTTGGTCCACCCCCTATTAGTAAGTATTAACCTCCAGGTACGTTTGGTCCAGGCGCTTCCAGATCCTTTCGCATCATAGCTCCATTAAGCTATGTCACGGTCTAAAATGACGCGAACTTTGGACCCCTTAAACAAACCTAGCAAATGACCTTGGATGGATACATAAAGCAAGGGGCTCAAAACTTTCACATTATTCTTCCACTTACTGATTGCCTCGGCATCTTACCATTCCATGACCTCCACTCCAGACTTTGAAGCCACTAATTTCCTGGACAGTGTAGGACACACTACACAGTTGATTGCAACCTGTCTCCGGAATAACAAGCTGAATTCGAAGAAAATCCAACTACTTCTCTCAGAATATAGCTCGGACGCGCTACTTGACGGTCGGCTTATCGATACCGCTCGATCCGATGATCGCTGTATTGAAAATGCGACACATTTACTCTTTGCTCACGTTGATTTTATCGCGTGGCTGGTTTCGCAGAACTACACCATAACTGCGAGCTCGGTTAAATGGTATAGCTGCAAAACAGTGTTGAACAGGGGCCATTTTCATTCATCGAAATTTGCACTACCCGAAGAAATAATTGGGAGAATACGGGAAATGGAAGAACACGTTCGTGCTGACATAGCCATTTATCAGGTGAGCTTCTCTGTACTGTCTATTGGGAGTTAGTCGCTAAGCAGGGTCCCAAGGTTACTGCTGGTTTGATTGGCTTCCAGCACCCCACATCTCTCCCTAGCTCTCCCGGATCTACACCAGTAATGCCAGGCGAAGGTAATACTCCACTTTGCACCTCTCATTCCAATTACATGATATGAATGAATGAATGATATCATTTGTACAGATTTTCACAATGCGCTTCGAAAAGGTTGGGATACTGCTGTGTGTCTCAACTGAATTCGAGCCACGGCCTTTACGACCAGCCAATATCAACTTACTAAGGCGGGTAAGTACCACCGGAATTGCAGTGTAATTGAACCTCCAACATGAATCTCGAGTTTGTTTAATTGATAGACTAATACAAAAAGAAAAGGGCTTGGGATTGCTTCAAATACCATCTTTACTGTATGTCCGTTTTTCACTTACGAGAAATTGTTATGCCTAGTTCAATATGAAATAAATGATGCTTTGGCTTTTTCCTTTTATTTCTTACCAATAGAGAGCAATTGAGAGAGATTCTCTGTAACACATGCCAACCGTCTGGAGAAGGGTTTTTGCCTTCAGAACTGCCTACCGCTCAAGAGCTTCATAATTGTATGTTATGTTTATGTTCAGCTGAACCCGTAAGAGCGTCAACGCGCGTTCGGGATCGGCAAGCTGACGCACCTCAATGGAAAGCGTAATATGGTTTCAAAGCAATTTCATTTCGATTTCTGGTTTTCAAATCGGTGCGGCCATTGGCCGTATCAGCCCGATTGCCAGACGCCGCGGATGGTTCAGGCCTAGCGCATCAGAAAGTACTCTACCCCGCCGGTGTTCGCTACGAATCATGATGCAGTATTGCATTGTACTGTAACTGTAACAATTGATCGACTGCGTAGGTGGACATAGAGAAACATCGCCTTCAAAGAAGAGTGGAGACCAACCATGGGTCGCGAATATCGGAATACTGGGCGTACCTGGAGGGAAAACAGTCGTTTCATCAGCATCCATTATCTTCCTGTCTAACTCGCGTGAAATAATCGACCAGCAAATATTGAATTGGGAGCCATGCTCATCGTCTTAAACCAAACCTCGTGTAAAATGGCCGTCGGGCGCTGTCTGGAAGATCCCGCGTGCATGTGTCTCCCAATCATCCAAGGCTGGTCAAGTTTCCAAATTGGGTTTCATGGAGGCGAAAATGCCATAGAGCTGGTCTAAGACCATTAATCTGCTATGGAAACATGGATGTTGTTGGAATCCACCATACGAAAGGTGCTGAAGAAGTTGAACGTTGCAGGAGAAGATGTGGATATGATAACCCGACATGCTGGGCCAAGAAGTCCCCGGGGTCTTTCTCCGGCTCCTGCCATTCCTCCCCTAGACATCCGTCCTCAATTTTCATTCCGTTACGAACGTTTGTAATGGACAAAGCAATGCTTGCCATTTCAAGAGGGAAATTCCCTGGGCTCGTTAATCCAATCGGACTCATGAATGAGGTTGATGAGTTTGAGCCATGAACTACCTGCGAAATTTAAGACTTCCCCTGTTGCCACCTTCGAAACTTGGAGAAGCAGAGCAAGACGTGCAAGGAGAAAAGACCAAGGGATCCTCTTCCTGAGAACCCTCTCCCTAGAGAACTCAGCTGACACCACAGCTCCTAATGCCATGAACTAACTGACAGGGTAAAATTGTGCAACCATGACAGAAGAATGGTGAAACAGGGTTGCAGGATCGAGAGGATGAAGATGGACACGGACGAACACAGGATGCCAGAAACACCCTGTGATGAAAGTTAATCTCAGTGACCTACCTTTCTATTATACGCTGATGCCGGTGTCCATTTTTCTGCTTAGTGCGAACCCTTTCCTCGATGATTCATTGCGAGCCCTCCGGTGGCCTGCCATGATGCAAAAAAGTTGAACCATAGTGAGTCTGGAATAGGGGATCGCAGAAGATATCATGCACACATCTGCTCTTGCGTCGTGTAAGTAGAGCGTGATGATTAGCTGACTGTCGTACCCGATCGGGTTAAAGGCCCATATTCCGACGCGTTAACCTGGTTGGTGCAGAAGCCGATGAAAACTAATGATCAGGATAAACATCTCTCAAGAATCGTCAACAGGTTCCCTGCCTACCCTACCTACCTTCCTACCTTCGACCATCCTCTCTGGATTGGGCAAATCGACCAGATGATGACCTTTGTTGCCACTCGATGAAGTAACTTCGTTCTTTACCGCCAGGACACAGTGGCAAACCATCTTAGTCTGGTTTGTAAAGCCGCATTCCTTGCTTTCATCAAATTTGGCCCCTCACACAGAGCCTTTCTGCTTGGTGGTAGTCACTGCAACTCCACTCCTTCAGGACAACACACCGTATTCCTAAGGCCCGGACCCAGATGGTGGAGTTACTTCGCCTGCCCCTGACTTTGGACAACCATCAAGGAAAGCTCATTAAGATAAAACAACCAGCACACCCAGCGGCAGTGCGTTTTCCGACTTGAGAGAGCAGTGTCCAACACCGATACTAGACCTAAGGGTCTGGGCAATACTGGTGGGTTGACACCGACCCTGGGAATGACGGCTTTTCAGCAGCCTGATTTCAATATGGGAAGGCGCTCGACCAAGCTTGTTTGTCCAGTCACCGAATGGACAATCGTTCGTTATAAAAAGAGAACACCTGAGCTCCTTCCCAGGTTGGTGTTCGGGGCTGGGTTGCTGTTGACCATCCACAAAACGATCACTCCGCCCACAAAGTGAGCACATACATTTGAGAGCTTCACACAGCTTCGTACATCGAGACCGGGAATCCTTGTTTCTCCATGTTGACTGCTCATCAACGCAACAAGGACGATGTAAAGGGGGGACTGTGAAGGGAGGACCAGTCATAAGAAGTTCAAGGCACTGGTTTCTACCAAGCCATCATGGCCAACAAGGATTCGGCGAAGGCAGCATGTATAACGGTGCCCATGAAAGTACATTGCCTGCTCATGTTGAGCTTCACTTCTAGGCTCTACGTGACCGCTCTGGGGCATGGAGGTCAGAGGCTTGTTGAATTCCCCTAGCCAGAGCCGTGCCTCTTCAACAAAATCCGGTCGCCAACGAGGTCCTGCAGTGTTTTCTCAGCTTTTGAACCAAACATGGGTAATGGGAGCCACCGAAGTATTTTGTCTTTGGTTTAAGCATGCCCACCGCTGGGCGTTGCATGCCCCTGAGCCATGTCAGAGGCATTCGCCATCGCTTGCCGGAACCACCTGATTGGAAAGGGTCTTCTGTGTGCCAACCTGCAATATCTTGTCGGATTCGACAGACACCACCTTGCATGATCGACTTGGATAGTGCCCATTGCCGTCCTTGGTTGTGGTTTGCTGAGTTGCCATATCGAGACTTTAGGTCTGGTGGCTTGGTAATTATGACGCCCATAAACATTCGACGACATTCCTCCAAATATGTGTGACAAGGTGACTCCATGTGTATGTGTGCACAAGGGCCAGATTGGTATCGAGTCTCCGGAAGGTATTCGATCGGGTTGTTGTTGCGTGCGACCCCAAGGGCTCATGGTGAGGATCTAGGCATTTAGAGGAGTGAGGTCCTCGATGCCCCAAACAAATCAGTATATCCAAGCTGTATCTGTAAATCACCAATGCCATATTGGTATTATCTGGTATTATCTGGGCTCGACTGACACGTCCCACGCTCAATTGAGGGAACAGATGTGGCCGTGTCCATCACAGGGGTCGTTCTCAAGTCATCGCGAAGGCTCGAGCAAGGACTTGAGATCGCAGTCAAAGACGTGAGAATCCAAGATGTGAGAATCCACATTGAAGCCACGCAATGAGCTTACAAGTCTCTATTTGTATTCACTTGGATTGGTCTGCGTCGTCTTGTGTCTGTCCTTGGCCGAAGAATAACGTGCGTGCCTGCAAGGCGTTGAGGCCAAGTACCCAACCCAGGCGCAGCGGTGCTTCGTGTCGAGAGAGGAACACATTCAACCCACAGAAAAATTCTCCATGATCCCAGCACGGATACAGCAGATTCATCGAGATCGCGTTGTCTGGTTATGGACTGGGGCCATCGTTTGATCGGGGTCGTGCGTGTCGCAGGTGAGGACTTCGAGTACGTTTGAAAAAAGCCAAGAGTGGCATTCTGCAGTTCCAAACATCCCAGCATCAGTAGAATACAGAATTCGATGAAATATGGGCTAACTCACTAATTTTCGGAGAATGGTGTCCGTGAAGTCGTGTTGTGCTCCTGCTGAAACTTTCCAATGGCCAACTAACATCACCGATCTCCATACAAAGTCGGCCAGGCATCATCTGTCACTGTATTAATATCGAAAGGCTTGTGCTTAGAAGCCAAGATCTAGCCTCGTCTTCTAACCTTGGAAGTGATGACCACCGGTCTGTAGACTCTGAGAGAGAGCCATGGCCTTCATATGCAACCAGGGTAGATTCGCAGGTGCATGGCTGGAGTGCCTCGCATGCCTGTCGTCCAGGGTCCACAGAGCTAGTTCCAGCGTCCACAGAGCTAGTTTTGCCAAGCAGAATAGCCTTCGTTGTTCCTCGAGAATGAACAAGAGACTGTGATGGGGTGAGAAGGGGCTAAGGTGAAGGAACTTGGCGGGAATAGCTTTGAGTGCTACCCACACGCCAAAATCCAAGATCCATCAAGATTACCAAGCCACCTGTGACATACTTTTTGACCAAGACTAATACGCTCTCATTCTAAGGAAAGGGGGGCTTGATCAGCAGTCTTACCAGTGCCCTTTCTGGTTTGACGAGTGGGAAACCCTGGGTCATCGCAGGGAGCATATGTCGGCTCTCACATCCGTGAGCTCGAGCCACACAACTTGGAGAAAACCCTTTTGATGCAAGGACCCCAAGCCAGATACAAATTGAAGAAACTACAGATGAAGTCGCCATGCAATAACTGACAAGAATGACCTGATGGTGTACTGGGTATATAACGCCACAACAATCCTGCACAATATCAGTTCTTTGCCGCCTCCACAGCCAGAGTATGTCAGTTGGGAGACGATCGATATCAGTGGCTCCGTGCCAAAAAAATACTGACTTCAACCCCAATATGTTGTATTGGCGACAATGGACCACAAGAGGTATGGTAGCGCCTCTGCTGCAATATATGCAAAAATCAGCAGTATATCTATCATGTCCAAGTGACTTGGATCTTCTGACACGCATGTTAAAAGTTACCGACAGAGATGACTTTCATACGAAAACTATCCACTATTTATTGACCGGGAAATAACTGTCGGGTAGTGGCAAACCAACACGGATCTCCCATCCAGCATACCACATTGCACCATTCTCAACGCAAAGAACCCACCACGCACACCGCCCAAAAGACCTTGTAGGGTTGAATTAATATTGGTATTTCAATACCGAATGGTGGGTGATTTATCGGCAAATTTCCGAATATATTGCCTCGTGTTTCGTCGTGTAATCTTGCCCTCCAGACACTTTACATGATGAATCCCGAATATCCATCAGATCAACCCGAATCTGAATCAGCCTTCTTTAACTACGATTGGGTTACTCCTCCCTTGACGCAGTCTGCTGCGTTCGACTTCTCTGTCGACCCCCTCCCCGAGCGTGATGACTTGGTCACCAGCGACCGGCCAAATACCAAGGTTGCGATTCCTCGGATAGCTAACGCCAGTACTTGGGCTAGCAGCAGTCGAGTTAGTCGGGCCTGTGAGAACTGCCGTGAGCAAAAAGCTAAATGCAGCGGACACCGTCCTGCCTGTCATCGTTGCAAGGATGCCGATGTCAGGTGTTCGTACGGGGATCGGAAGCGGGAAAAGATGGCCAAGTGGGTGGATTCTGATGGAGCAAGCGGCTCACTCTCTAACAACTCTCCAGGCAGCTCAGAGAACTAACCGCACAGGTGGAAACCTACGAAGCTCTCTTGCAAGACCTCTATCCTAGACTAGATACACCATCGGCACGTCATGTGGACCAGACCCTGAAGGAGGTGTGTACCGTTCATTCTCGTTCCCCTTTCGCTTACCCATCCATCTCATTTCGTCCAGCTTTCAGGTTCTTCTATTCCCCACACCATCACCCACGACACAGCCTTCGCCCTCGGGGCCATTGACTACACCGAAGAAGACTTTAATCGCGATGAGAAACTCCAGGCCATGGGATTTGTGGGCGAGCACTCGGAGATGGCTTGGTTGTACAGACTGAAACGAGACCTGGACCAAGACACGAAGACGCCGACCAGCGACAGATCCGATCGCTCTTCTATCTCTTCGGTCAACTACTTCCAAGACGACTCCAAAATTCCAGTACTCGAAGACGTGGACCTTCGGGCATGCCCTCCTCAACATGTCGCTAGGCAGCTCGTCGATGGCTACTTTCATACGGTACACCCTACCTTCCCGATCATTGGCATGACGACATTTCTCGGACAGTACAACTCCTTTTATAAGAATCCCAACGTGCAGCCCGGAAAAAGATGGCTGGCTATATTAAATTTGATATTTGCTATTACAGCGAGGCGTTTTCAGTTGATGGGTTTGCCGCCCCACCCAGGGGTGGAGAGCTACTTGGTATACTTTACGCGGGCGTGGCGACTCGGGATTGATAATGTGGCGTTACTTTCACATCCGAACTTACAGCAAGTCCAGGTCGAGGGTTTAGCAGCTTTCTACCTGCTGTCGGTCGGACAAGTCAATAGGTATGATTTCTTTACGCGCGTTTTTTTATGCGAGTTATGTCTGACGTTTTAAATCCTGTTTAGGTCATGGATCATTCTGGGTGTCGCAATTCGATCCGCCGTGACGATGGGGCTCAACCTCCGTAGCGAGAGTACCGCTATTGGACATCTTTCGAAGGAGATAAGATATCGGGTATGGTGGGCGCTTTTTATGTTGGATACCGTACTATGTGTCATGACCGGCCGACCGCCCAGCACCAGCCAGACCTTTTGCTCTACACCTCTCCCTCTGCCGTACACAGAGGAAGAATTCAGCGACGAGCGCATCATGCGCCTCATTACCGATCAACAAGCGCGGAATACGTTTATGACTTCTCTCCTCTCCTCGGACCCTGCATTCACGGCCAGGGAGGACCATGCGAATCGCATTCGGTTTGGACAGCCGGAGAGCGAAGAAACGCAGGACGAGCATGCTGCTCAGGTCCTCGCCCCCAATATTTCGCTATACTTTTTGTACGCCGTGGACCTGGCGTTTCTCACCCGCGAGGCAGTAGACACCTTATACGCGCCTCGCGCGACACGACGAACGTGGAGAGAAATTGAAATCCAGATATTTACCCTAAACAGCAATGCGGATCGATGGCTCTCTCGTCTTCCAACGGAATTTCACTTCGTTGAACTCGATGCATCGCATCCTTTCGCCCGGGAGCGTGCCAGCTTAGCCTTTCGATTCTACACCACCAAATTGATCATTTCCCAACACTGCCTTCGCCGCCTCGCTCACATATCCGGTGGGGCTTCTCCCGGAGCCGTGTGTGATACCATGGCTGCTATGTGCGTTCAAGTCGCAGGGCAGATTCTTGATCTTTTACCAGATCAGGTAGACACAGCCTGGTTATACAATGTTTCGCCATGGTGGTGTATTCTTCACCATATTATGCAATCCAGCACCATTCTTTTAATCGCACTATCGACACAAGTTCACCCCGCCATAGCCGAATCGAATAATATCGCAGATAAGGTGAAGAAGGCCACGCGGTGGCTGAATGAAATGTCCACCAACGATCCCTGCTCGCAGCGAGCTTTGGCTATCTACAGGGATCTACTTTCTCGCCACGCGTCTAAACTTGGATTGGAAATTGACTTTGGGCTCTAGGTATGACTTCGTTCAACGCTTTCATCTACAACGCTTTCATCTATCGAGCCCGAGCTTGTGTTCGAATTCGCTTTTTTCCAAAAACGCATAAGTGCCATTGGCGGTTGAAATCTTCGGCCACTCCCTTGAATTACTGAAAGGCTTAACCACAACTACAAGCGGTTAGATTGGCACGCAATCCGGCGCATCATTACTTGGCAACCGATGGCCAATCTTGTTTCCAGGGTGGGTGTTTCCCACCCTCCCTTTGTGTGGGTCGATATATATGTCCCGTATTGCTTCAGGCCACAATCGTTTTCCGTGAGCTTTCTATTAGCTTCGTACTTGTCTCGGCCTAGCGCTCTCATAAACAGCCGTACCAGGTCTCTCAATGCCGATGAACGACCTCTTAAGGGCCCCAGCTTCTGTTGACGCCGACGACGTCATTTGAAACGCCCCCAGGCAGGCCGACGGTGACTCGGATGACGAGGACGAATCGCTAAATGCCGCTCCTCGTTTAGTACGCCTGCTCATGCACGGATACCCATCTGAGTCAAACAGGGTGACCCACTTTCTTCAGGACGTGCTGCAAATGAAAAGAGTAGATATGCAAGCACTAAGTTCAAACCAGCAACCCTTCATGCAGTGTAATTAACTATTTCAAAGGTCCCCCCGCAGCTCACTGATTTTTGGTCTCCGACTAACCTAACCAAAATATTGGCCTGTTCCTCTCTTTTGAGGTCTCAAAAGAGATGACCACCCAGTCGTCTTATCTTGTCCTTTTCCTGCCAACCTTTTGTGCAGTGTCCCGATTCCTCCTTACGGCCGGCAGACTAGAGGCCAAGGTTCTAACGTCAGTAAACAGATGAGATACTTACAGAAGTTTTATTTGCCATTTAATTTGACTTCCTAAATGTGCCATCATCCTATAAAGAAGTTTTTCTGGCTGTGAAACATATGGAAAGCAATCGAAACACTGCTATTTCGCCTTAGCCATTCAAGCTTTTTGGAGTATCATCCTGCCAAGACACTTTTATAGGTATGACGTACCAAGCCGGCAGCTGTCACGTGCCAACTAATAACTAAGTTAACATGAGTGCACATGTGTTTGTCAGCAGTAAGGGGCGGTCATTTTTTCAGCATTCGCTAATACCCAGATACATGATCCAGTACGACAGGCTATACGAGTTTGGAGCTTGTGACGTGATGCTGAACAATTGATCGGTTATGTAATGAGTAGCAAAATAACAGTACTTTAGTGTTCACATTCGGTCGTTGCTGATCGCAGATAATCTCGGTTTGTTCCCGCGGTAGAATGTCCTACGTGAGTGTAATAAAATACCTTATTTTTTCCTGTTTAAATTTTATTAGTATCGTCCCTGCATGTTGCGACGGTAATAAACGACAAAACTAAGCCCGAACCATGTCATAGTTGATAAACCGAGGCTCGTGCGCAGGTTGCATATGAAGACGACATCCCTTCTGCTTCTTACCATACCCTCGAGATAGATTTCACTGCCATAAAACTAGAGGAACTCGAATGAAGACTTGGTCTGATACTTAATAGCTTGAAAAACGCCAATTCGACGACCTGCCCGTCTAATCATTTGATCTATCTGTCTATATACTGGAGAAATTTGCCGTGCAGAAAGCACTCCAACAGGCATGATGGTTATCAAACTGAATCAGCAACGATATCTAAGCGTGATCTGAATGAGATCCGCCCTCCAGAGCTTATTCGCCAATGAAAGAATGGTCCAGTGCGGAAGCTCGATTATTTCTAGGGAGTTGGGTGAGCAATGAGCCCACTGTTGTAAACAATATCTACTGAACATAGGTTCAACGTTTTCAAGGTAATACCAGGGATCACAACATTCGATGAGTATGTATGTGGCAAATTCCACTCCATGAACAAACAGGAGACGAGCCTTAGTTCTAGATTTATATAAAGGAGCTTGCGTCGGCGGTGTTCGATTACCAAGTGATTCGAGGGAAATTGATTCCGAGGTCACGAGCTCTGGAGATGGGTTCTTCAGCCTTCATGGGATTCCCATCAGCAACCAAATCGCTATCATCTCGGTCCACGCACAATGGGACGCTGATGGTTCCCACCTTCCTGCTCCACATGTTATTATCCGAGCTCGAGGACCCGAGTATCCCCCAGGGGTCTTTGATGGAGCACAATATAAGAGCCCTTTGCCTTGCTAGATGTGGTCATTGGGTTCCAGCCACCGGGCGACCGTAGTGCACCTCTTGGTGATACGATACGGACAAGGTTGATCGTATCAGAGGAAGAAGCAAAACGCTACGCGCAGCATCCCGCGCACAAGGAAATCAAGTCTGAAAATGGCACTGCACGCTTCGGCAGTCGTTGAGACAGGGCGCGGGAGCCCGATATCCCCTGCTAAGCGCTTTATCTCCTTCGCTCTATAAGATCTACGCAAATACTGTCCCGATCCATTTTATGATTATGTTCACGCGGCTTCGTTGCGCCCAGTTGGCCTCCCACTAAATTTCGCAGTCTGGGCTACTTGGCGGGATCCTATACCAGCTATACACAACAACCAGAGCTTTGGGGCCTGGAAAACAGCGATATGATGTTTATTCCAGCACCCTACATTAAGAAAATTAGAGGGAGTGGCGCCCTCATGAGCGCCGCCGCCAGGGCATACCGAGCCGAACATTGTCAGTTTGAGTTTTTCGATGACTATATTACGTATCAATACGCTAATGTCACCGTTGAAGATGTTTCTTTTATGATAATTTCTCTCATCACGACTGTATTTTCGATGCTGGCCTGTAAATGAGACATTCATTTTAGCCCAAGCTATAACGAAGCAGATCGCACGCCAAAGCACGTACACAAGAACCTGAGGGCGCTGAAGGACAACATGTCCGAGAATATGGTTAAAATAACACCTGATGCATTTTTTCTTGGAGACAAATGGCCTCAAAGCATATGTTTCCCATTATACATATAAATCACTAATCTATGCAACCTAGCGTATGTCTTGGATCTCACACTTTTTGGCTTAATCTACGTCGGCATATACATGGCACCAGCAGTTAGGGGAAACCCAAAAATCGAGTTTAACCCTGATATGGACTCAGACTTCCAGACCAAATCTTTGAGAGATCTGCAAGATATAAACAACGATAAGGAAAGGCTTGGCGACGACAGCAGCCGTTTGATGAAGAAATCGGCGGAAAGCTTCGGAGGATGATACTCAGGAAGAACGCGCCACACAATCAATGCCTACATAGGTGATCGGATTCGTCCAAATTGCCCGCTCTTAGCGTCAAATGCACATATCCAAGTTTGGTCAACGGGTCCCGTGGGTTTCCTGATGTGGAAGACTCGACGAGATAAGTGGGACTGGGCTATGAATCTGTGCAATATCAGAACACTAAGCATAGAAACTAGGCTAACACCCCTCATCTCATTTCGCTCATTCAGTAGGTAAGGAAGCCAGCTTTCGGCGATGTATCAAGAGTAAGAAATCCCACCCGCAGTCAGATAAGCTAATCAAGCTACTTCATCGCGCTATCACACAATTTAGGCACTATGGCCGAACGCCACTCCGAAGTTACGCCTTATAGGCGGCCTAGTGTGCTTGGCATAAGAACTTGCATTACACTAAGCAAGTGACTAGCTCCATGGTAGTTGATACTCCGCACATGCTTTTCCAAAGGCATTTTATCGCGATCTAATATCCAATCGGATGTTGACCGGTCTGGATTACAGTGCTTATCACGCACAGACCAAGCTATACAAGTCTCTAAATAAGTAGGAAATACCCCATTCAAGATAATCGGCCATTACCCCACCTCACTCAAGAGTTGGGGTACTGGGGCCATGCCAAGAGATTCGTTTATCTAAAGTCAAATGGCGTTTGATAACGGACCATCCGACTTATTCTTGATAAACAAAGCACGGAAAAAGGCAGTTAGACAAATCAAAGAGATCCAGCCATCTAAACACGGTGTCATCCGACTTATAGTTACTATATTGGATCAGATTTCTGTAAAGCCTTGTAAAATCTTGAAATAGACCGGCAATTCGGCTCTATATCTCCTATCGAGTTATTCTGGCTCGCACTAACGAATCTTCGTAGTTCGGTCAGACACACTAATTAGTATTAGATTCAGTAAACCTAGTGCAGCAAGAACGCCGCAATCTAACCATTTTTCCAGGACGACCGCTACTCATGCACCTTGGCAGGTGGGCCTATCGTGATAATACGTAAGTATTGCAATCAAACGGAAGCTTGGCTTAGGCTTTAAAAATAGTCGCCGCCCCCCACGCTCTGTTATCCAACAAAAGTCCAGCCTTCTGCTTGCAAGCCCCTCGCCTCAGCCACCATGTCGGCTGACACGTTAGATATGGCAACATCCAAAGAGCCTTCTAAGCAAGTAAACGTATCGGAGACGAAGGATGCAGACCTAGAATCGGAGGATACCAGCCAAAAGCCAGGGGCTTGGCGGTATCAATCGGACAGAGCGGAACTGACTGAACTGACACCGGTTGAAGCTTTCACCTGGAATGTAGAGGGCGATCAGTCTCCTTGTGAGTTGGCCCATGGCTTTCTATGCATGGATGTTAATAGTTTCCAGTCCCCGAAGTCGCGGCTTGTGTCTCGAACAAAGATGACCCAAGTATTTCCTGCAACAGTAAGATAGTCGATATTCTTTCACATGTCAAACATAATGAGTGGCTTACCAATAATCTTCAGCCTTTCGGGCCTGGATACTGATGACGATTTTTGTCATAATCTTTTCCGGGGTCAATCAGTTTTTCGGATTGCGATATGTATGTTGACTTACACTCATCATGTGTGTGCACTTGCTGATTAATCGTAGCCCTCACTTTCGATTGGATACGTTGTTGCTCAGATTTTAGTTTTCCCCATTGGTAGAGCATGGGAAAAGCTCCCTAGATGGAGAGTTCCGCTGGGGAAGCTTTCGTTTGACATCAACCCAGGCAAATTCACCATCAAGGAGCATGCATTCATTGTCATTGTGAGTCACTTCTTCTCTGCCATCCATATGATTGAATGAGACAGCAGAATCTAACACAAAAGCCTAGTGTGTCAATATCAGCGCTTCCACAGCCTATGCTCAAGGCTCTTTGGTCGCCATCATTAGCCCAGTATATTGGGGTCGCGACTTTGGAGCTGGATTCTCATTTCTTTACCTTTTGACGACACAGATGATAGGGTAAGAGCACCATGAAATCTCTGCTCTTCAGTCACTGACATCTTCCAGATTCGGGTTGACTGGCCTTGCTCGCAGGTGGATTGTTTATCCTGCTGCCTTGGTCTGGCCTACCTCACTGTCATCCACCGTTCTATTCCGTGCACTACACGAGCCTGAGAGTCGCACAGCAGCAAATGGCTGGACTATCACCCGGTACTCATTTTTTGCCTACGTCACAGTTTTTGGATTTGTCGTTTTCTGGTTCCCGGACTATATCTGGACAAGTCTCAGCACGTTTGCCTTTATCACCTGGATCTTCCCTAACAACCAGAAAGTGAACACATTATTTGGGGTGAGTGCGTCCTCTAATCGAAGAAAGTGAAAATCGCTGACTTGATTACCCAGATGAATTCCGGCTTGGGCCTTCTGCCTATCAGCCTTGACTGGACGCAGATCAATTATGCTGGATACCCGCTAATGACGCCCTTTTACATCACTTGCAATGCGTTTGCAGTGGTCGTGTTGTTCTATTTCTTCTTGTCCCCGATCCTGTACTATGCCAATGTATGGTACAGCGCCTAGTAAGTCCCCAACCTGAGATAAATCGCACGCATACTGATGAGTCAGTCTCCCGCTTCTTTCGTCAAGCACATTTGACAATACAGCGAGCTCTTACAACGTATCGCGCGTGGTCGACGCCAATTTGAATTTTGTTGAAAGCAGTTACAAGGAATACTCTCCCATGTATATCTCCATGGCATACACCCTCACCTACGGGCTGTCGTTCGCTGCAGTTACCGCAATTGTCCTTCATACATACCTCTACAACGGCTCTGAAATCTGGGCTCGCTTCAAGGATTCAAGACACGGTGGGGAGGATATCCATCGACGACTAATGCGAGCCTACAAGGAAGTTCCAGACTGGTGGTATGGTGTTCTTACCGTTATCGTTTTGGGACTGGGAATTTTAACAATCCGAAATTGGGATACTGAGTTGCCTGTCTGGGGCTTCATTGTGGTATGCTTTGGCATGGCAGTTCTTCTGATAGTGCCCGAAGGCATCCTTCAGGGAACCACGAATCAGCGCGTTTTCCTTAATATCATCACGGAGATGATTGCTGGGTACGCCTGGCCCGGAAAGGCGATCGCTAATATGATGGTGAAGTGCTACGGCTACAATTCGGTCAAACATGGCATGGATTTTGCACAGGACCTGAAACTTGGACAATATATGGTATGCCTGAGCATCCAACGCTTTCTCGATTTATACTTATCTTTCTAGAAAATTCCCCCTCGTGTTCTATTCTTTGGTCAGATTTACGCTAGTGTCCTAGCAACAGCAACCCAGACTGGAGGTATTGTCTCCACTGCAAAAATAAGAGGGTTAATGCTAACCACATGGTAATAGTCCTACGATGGATGCTCGGACATATTACGGATCTGTGTGAATCAAGCAACACTCAGCGCTTCACTTGTAATGGAGCTAAAGTCATGTATAATGCCTCCTTGATTTGGGGAACAATTGGCCCACAGCGAATGTTCCAGTCCGGCCAGGTGTACAATGGCCTTGTCTATTTCTTCCTGATCGGAGTAAGTTCGCAAATTATCTCATCGCGGATTGCTTACTGACTATATAGCCCGTTGTTACTGGGATCGTCTACCTCATTTACCGTCGCTATCCCAACAGCTGGGTCCGCTACATCAACGTTCCCATCTTCTTCAATGCGGCGGGCAACATCCCCCCCGCAAACACTAGTAAGTCTGGTAGCTGCTTTGTAAAGTTCATGCGAGACTAACGCGAAAATCTAGCTCAATATTCGCTCTGGTTCATAGTTGGCTTCATTTTTAACTACCTCATCCGAAAGCGCGCATTTGACTGGTGGAAGCGTTACAACTGCAAGTCAACCAAACATCCTTCAGATCTTCAATATCTGCTAACTCGTTCATCGTCTAGACCTACTTCAAGCGGCAATGGATACTGGTACCGCGATCGCGACTATAATCATCTTTTTCGCCCTGAGCTATCACTCCATCACGTTTAGCTGGTGGGGAAATAACGTGGGATCGAACACGGATGATGCGAACTCCGTCCCCTGGCTGACCGTTCCAGATGGCGGCTACTTTGGAAAGGGACCAGGCCAATTTTGATCGAGTATACGCTCTGTGTTCAATCCGATATGAGCAGATTCAATCAATTCCATCAACCTCTTGACAGAGAAACATATATATAAACACAGACTAGCTACCATAAACTCTTGCCGTGGCCGGTGTAGCACCTGGGAAGAACGAGCTAGGAACAGTAGGGATAGCAATTGATGTAGTGAGGCCTAATCCCGCGGTGAGCTGGCCAGGCATCGTGGTCGCCGAGTAGCCAGATGGAGCAGAGGTCACTGTTGAGGTCACTGTGCCGTATTCAGTGTGTGCGGACCCTGCCTTCAAGCAGTATCCTGATCCCCAGGCATCGGCGCACTTGTAGTACTCGGTGCTTCCTGATTCAGTCCAGATATCAAAGTCTTCGACGATGATGTTGGTACAAGGCTGAGTTGATGGGCATAGTACGTATAGTGGGGCTCGTGTAGCACCATTCGCACACGTTCCTTTCCAGTTGCTGACAGTGATTGAGTTGTAAAGGACGCCGTCACCTGCTGCCAAGGTTTCTTCCGTCCAGTATGCATCAATGTAGAAGGTATAAGCGTTCTCGTGTCCGATAAAGTTTTGCAAGGTTACTTCCGTCACTATGTTTATGCATAATTAGTCAGAGCTTCAAGTACCTGTCAGCTGTGTGTTTCGGAAGGTGAATTACCTGTGCCGTTTCCTCCATTACTCCTATTGGAATGTCAGCGTGGGCTTTCCCTATACCCAAGGCTATGGTCACGAAGGAGATGGCTTACTTGAACATGAACATCTGGTTGGAGTTGACTGTGTAGATGTTGTTGTACTCGACCTTGCTGATGTCTGTCACACACATCGTAAGCACTTTGGCTTCGCATCGGTGATGCATCTTAGTTTGATAACTTACCGGTATCGACGCCCAAAGAGCCCATGGCGCAGCCGCCAGACCAATTGCAGTAGATGTTCTCGACAAGGATGTGATTCGCTGGACTCTTGACGGTAACACATTCGTCCTTGTTTGTTACCTCAACATCGTGAATCCAGATATCAAATCCCCACACGTCTATGCCATCAAGACCTCCCTCATTTCCACCTCGGATGATCATGTTATACACCTCACCCTGGTTGCAAGTGTCCAGGGTCAAATGAAATTGTGGGGAGTCAACAAGAGCAATGTCATGGATGGCGAAATTCGTCACTTTAGACTGTCAGCATTCCAATAAAGAGATAACCAGGAAGATTTCCATTGCTCACCCTCATACAGGCGCAAAATACGTGGTCCGTACTCTCCTTCTGCATGGAATACATAGCCATAGCCTTGAATGGCACCCTCGCCACGGGAGGAGTAGATCTCAAAGTCAGTACTATGTTCGATGTAGATCATATTGCCGCCAGCAGTACCCGTGCGGACGATGATTCCTTCCAAGTTGATGGCCCACGCAGTGCCACCACTAAGTGTGACCCAAGTCTCCAAGGCAAAAGTTCCTAGAGGAATATTCACCACACCACCATCGATACAGGCCTCAAAGGCAGCCAAAATAGCAGGACCAGCGTCAGTCGCTCCGTCCGCCACGGCGCCATAGTCCGTGATATCACAGACCTTAACAGCCCATTTAGCAGAAGAAGAAGTCAATGGACCAATTGGATAGTCAGTGGTATCCGCAAGCTGTGCCCATGCGGCAGAGAGCCAGCCAAGACCGAGAAGTAGACCCTTGATTTGCATGATGCCGGTAGTTGTCAGCAGCAAAAACCGTGCTCCTAGAAACGAGGGTCTAAGTTGTCTATTTGAGGACTAGGGAGGCTGCCCCCTTTGTCCATTTAGTCGCACCACCAGTGCCTCAGGAGAAATTACGGACTACGATACTCTGGAATAAGTAAGCGCTATTTCTGTGAAAGCACCTGAGCACTAATTTCCCTAGAATCAAACTTATCACCAGGCGTCTTGGCGGATCTTGCAGTGAAGAATTCGAACCTGCCCACATTTTATTTATGGGAAAATGCCCGGAGATGTTTCACGTGGCGCCGACGACCTCACATCTTTGCCTTAATTGGCACGGAAGCCCGGACCTTCTCCTAAAAACCCGCCAAGCATCAGAAGCTATGGCACATCTCAGTGCACCAATCACATTTACACGTGATTATATATAGTAGTGATCTTTGATTGTAATTGCTTTAATGGTTTTTCAGTATCTGCTGATATGCGGACATTTGGCCAAAAAGCTACTAGGTCAGTGGGTCACTTGGGGCCAGGGAGCTGTTGAAACAGTGGCGCGCTCGGCAGTGATTGGCTAGAAAACTAGCAGGTGTCCCTGTGGCTTTTTGAAAAGCTGCCGGGAGGTTCTTCTTTGCTGCAGGTGCCGACCTGTCCTTGGGAACTCAGATACCGGCCGTTGACGAATACGCACAACACGGGGTGTTGAAACGAATGTTCCCTGGTGTGCCCAATGCCAAGGCCGGAAGCTTATACGTAATAAGCTTGGATTCAGATTTGGGATCTACTGACGTTTTTACCCTTCTAGTTCGAAATCATTTGGTGCAAGGATTTCTAAGCTTCAACTGCGAAGAAAAGAAAAGAAGCAAAGAAAAAACGGTAAGAAAGATTTGACCCGGTCGGCATTTCTGCATGGTGGCCCACTATGCTTAGCACGCTACTAAAGGGCATGTGGCTTATCTGCGGCTAGTACGGAGCATAGTGCCTATATGGAATTTGGCTGATAAAGGCGTTGTTTGCTTAAAAATCGCGCGACAAACTGAGCATTTTGCCGTGTACTAGGTAGTAAATAAGATAAGAACTCCGTGAAAATTGATTGAGTACAGCTTGCTCCTGATTCCTGTCTCACTTTGCTACACGGGCGTGGATGCGGGTAAGGGATACATGAGAACCGATCTAGAACGTTTCAGATTAGTTTGACCAATGGCGCTAGGCCTATGTTCCACGGTAACTACAGTCATCTATTCGGTTGAACTGAAGCCCGATCGTAAATCAATTCAATTTGAAGTAATACCTACATGCGACAAGATGTAATATCCGAGACGTCACCCTCCGAAAGATATCTCAACTTCTCTATAATCACAGTTCAGGGGCATCAAAGAGAGGACTAAAGGGTTGGAAATGAGAGCTTAGTAACTCTCGCTTTGCTCTTCTCCCCCTTCCCTCCCTTGTTTCTCCCCGGGTTTCTTATTTTCGTACAAATGCACTTTTTTCATCATTGACAAACCTGGCGTATCACATCAGCTTCCTAACAAACATCTAAGCTCGGGCACGGCGACGCAGTCCAACTTGCAAGCCGAGTGGCTTGCGCAGGAAGCCCTCGCTGGTCTCCATCTCTCCCTCCTGCTCAAGCTGGAACTCGAAAAGGCTGAAAACCGTGGCGACAATGCAGAGCAGTTCCATCTCAGCGACGTTGCGACCGACACAGGCACGCGGGCCGTGGCTGAAAGGAATGAATGCGGCTTTCTGACGAGCGGTCAGGTTTTCCCAGCGCTCTGGAACGAATTTCTCAGCATCGCTGCCCCAGATTTCGGTTGAACGGTGGATCGTGTAGCTAGGCACGGACAGAACATCGCCAGCGTAGAATGTGTGGTCAGCGATGACAATGGGTTTGGTACCTTCGGGAATCTCACGCGCAAGACCCATAGCAGACGTGCTGTGGATTCGCATGGTTTCCGAGATGACCCATTGGAGACTAAAAACAATTGGTTACTGATTTCAACATAGAAAAGCGGAAGGAGCGCATACTAGGGAATATCCTTGACCATGGCGTGTGACGGAACGTCGACATCTTTCGGAATCGCCTCGTCCAGAACCTTCTGGAGCTTCTCAGTCACGCCAGGTGTACGGATGCACCAGTACAGAATAGCACAAGACGTATTCGAGGTGGTGTCTGAGCCGGCGATGAGCTGAGTCAAAGCCTCTGCGGTAAGCTCCTCGAGGCCCAGCTTCTCACCAGTCTCGTCCCTGCCTTCCATGAGATGAGCCAGAAGATCAACCCGGGTGTTTTTCTCAACCACCTCGGGCTTGACACGCTCGTTGACCCGTGCAATAGCGATACCAGCGAGATTCTCCACCGCCGCAAGTCCTTCAGTGAAGAAACGGTCGGGGATCCATTTAGCCCAGGGCTTCAGAGCTGGCAAGCATCCCAGTGTCGCGGAAACCTCGCCACGGCGATTCAGCACCTCAACGGCAGCAACATACTGAGGAGGCTCATCAGGACTCTTACGCATCTCAGCAATATCCTTGCCATTCTTCAGCATGCCGAAGGGAGCACCAAAAGCCAAGTCACCAATGATATCAAAAGCGAGATAGTTGAACCAGTTCAAGGCATCAATGCTGGCATAGCCAGTCTTAGGGTTGGCCTGCAAGGTGGCAAGCTTATTCCACTGCTCGACAAAGAGCTCAAGGTTGGCGTGGATGTACTGCTCGAACTGGCCAATAGACTTGGCACTGAAAGTGTGAGAGACAATCTTGCGCTTACGTGTATGCTCAGCACGGTTACGAGTATTGAATAAGCCCCGACGAATGGAGACAAATGCATCATAAAAATCGCTAGAGCGCTGATGTCAGCATCTAAGCATTGCTTATCGTGCGAAAAACTTACGCCTTTAGGAACCCATTTCCGTGGCCATAGATGGCCTGGATGGCGGCATCATCGGCGACAGAGACATGCTTGGGTGCAATACGCACAACCTTGCCATACTTCTTATGCGCTTCGTCGACAGACAAGTAACGTTTTCCCTGTCGGGCCTGAAGCAGCAACCAGAGGTTGGTGAAACCGGCGAATCCCGGGCTAGGAATACCCCTCAGATGCGAGTTTTGCAGGTATGGTAACAAGAAGTATGCCGCCAGGAGACCAAGAGCGATGAACGGAGCATTGGCTAGTGAGAGAAGCATTGTGGGCGTGAAGGTTCGGAGAATCGCCTTACAAACTCTATCTCCAGGGTCAGTCAGGGTCACTGCGAGCGCAACGACGACTTGGCGATTATTGAAGAGGTGGGTTAAGAAATCTTGGGAACGTTATGTACCCACTCGCTTGAAACCAACGGAGACACTGTCAAGCGCGATATTGAAAGAGAGCATGCTGTGCATAACCCAAAAGTGCCGGATTTGGGGGCGAGACTGCGGGAATGTCAATGCGTTCAACATGATTGGTTGATTTATGCGGGGCATGCTTCATTCCAAGCCTCTGACTAGCCAGATACATGACGCATTCATCCACATTTGAGGCTATATGAATGTTGTGAAAGTCACTTACCAATTTCAATATTGGCGGGCGATTATTGGTCTATTGATTGTTATTTAAAATATAATGGGGCCGGGGAACCATTAATTCTATCCGCACAGTGGAGAGCGGAGTACACGCTGTTGCTTCTTTGGCCCGGCTGTCCCGCTCCCGTATGGTGCACCGTCAACCAATTTTCTTCTCAAATCTACATGACTGGAACACAGGAAAAGAACATAATCATTCAGTATGCTCGACTGAAGCAGAGCTGATCGATAGGAGAGACTGCTATATGTAGTCCTGAGATAATCTCAAGGGTAACCGAGCTCGGGTTTTCGCGGTCGGACTCTGTTCGTCTATGTACTCCGTATACCCGCATCAAATAGGCGTGGATCGGCACTCTTTTGAGCTGCACACGAAGCAGTTTTGTTTTGACCACGCATCACTTGTCCTTCATTTGGAATAGATCGTACCGAGGGCAGAAATGATCCACTGTGCACAACTAGGATAATCCTTCAAACCCACTCGGCATATACGAGTGGATAAAGCGGGAGGGAAGCGAAAAGGATCTGGCCAAGGCTTTGATTACGATCTACTTTCTACATACTCAATCCCCGCTATATCAAATAACAAGCAAAGGAAGACGGGGCCGTCCCGATACCATTGAAATAAGGATAGGCTATTTGCAATAGACAACGACTTTGTGTAAGCCAAAGCTCATAGAGACACGCGATCGGGCTCTATTTTTACAGGCTAGCGAAACTGCTCCGTGCTCCTGCAGCAAAACGCTTGAGCCTCCTGATCCTGGTTCTAAGTTTCTACCTCCCCTATTCCTGAACCGCTTCGTACTTTTACAAGGATGATGGGGAAATTTCAGAAGCGATCGACGGCCTCGACCGATTTCACAACGTTCAAAACATGATCACCGCCCGCCCTTGTTCCTGACGGGATTCTGTCTATATGCACACGACCATGGATCCAGGATCACAAATATACTCGGAAGAGTACCTGAAAGCGGACATCGGATACCGCCTGACGGGCGTTGCAATTGCGATGCTTCCAATTGTTGTTGTCTTTCTATCATTGCGTTTCTACTCGCGCTATCTGACGAGAACACCATGGGGTCTCGATGATTCCTTGGCTGCCATGTCTGGATTTGTATCAGTGGGGTTGTCTGCTCTTGCGATCTGTGAGTATTCTCTCATAAGGATTCCCTCGCCCTCGCATGGATCTTTCACTAACAACGCCTGTCAGGTTTTGTGAAATACGGCGGTGTTGGTCGCCACCTCGCTGCGTTAGAGAGAGAAACACCCAGCATGGAACCAGAGTACTTTAAGTACCTGTTGATTGTGTCAACGTACTACTATTCAACGGTCGCATTCCCCAAGCTTGCAGTCCTCGCCCTCTACGGTCGTCTTTGGACAGTCAACCCATACCGCACTATCATCCTGGTATTGGCCGCAATCATTACCCTTACAGCTGTTGTTTCTGGTGTGATGTGCTTGAATATGTGTCGGCCATTTCGACTCAATTGGGACACTTCAGTTCCTGGGCATTGCCTAAACAAGCAAGCTTTTTTTCTGTGGGCGTCACTGCCGAATATTCTCACAGACCTTGTCATGCTTGCAATGCCTGTGCCTATTGTCTGGAACCTCAACGTCTCCATGAAGGTGAAATTGGGGCTCATACTGACTTTCGCCACTGGCATCTTGTAAGCAAGCTGATTGAGTTCTCTCCTTGCTCTCTCGAAATTACTAACATGATATGTAGGGGTCTGGTAACATCAATCATGCGCTTCGTTATCTTCTCCCAGGGAAGTGCCGTCAAAGACGGGTCATGGGGGTCAACGGACCTGATGGCCTGGAGTGTGGCCGAGCCAGACATTTACCTCATCAGTGCCTGTCTCCCAACACTCCGCCCGATATTGAACCGACTATTTGGTCGAGCCATATCCACAGCAAACTTTTCATCACGATACGCCGACAGATACGGGAATACTGGCGACTCCGCGGCCAATTCCAAGATTCATGCTACCGTTGCGGATTCTGCTCTATATGGAGATGAGGTCCAATTGGTATCTGTTATCGGAAAAGAAAGAGATGCGAGTGCCGAGGATGGCCTGGGGCAGCATGGCATTTATGTAAAGAGCGATATCAATGTGCAAATCACTGAGCACTAGATGACTTGGGATATTTCAGCGGTTCCAATCAATCTCGCCATTCTGATTTTATTATACGAACCATTGTACTATTTTAATTATATAATTGATGGCCATCACGCTTCAGGGCTATCGGGCCTCGGGAACCTTGGAAGGCCATAATTCTCCATTTCCAATAGCTAAATCAGTAGATGCAGGTAAATCCACATGGAAGTATATTCTAAAGCTGGTCCAAATGCTTAGAATAATGATTTGTCACGGGCAAAGGTGGAGTAGAAGAAGCATGCTCAAACGGGGGCATGGTGCTACCAGGGACTGTCAACCCAAGCCTGTGATCGACCATGATCGTCCCGATATTCAGAGTCCCCACAGCGTTGAACCGACGTTGCTTGTGATTTTCTAAGTTTCAAAAACGCTAGAGTTCACGGCCCCGCTTTCCAGGAGCTGATCTTCAAATCAAAATAAGAGAAGGATTCAAAGAGCCAACCCCCATGTGGCCCCCATGTACGTGAGCTTTCCTTCAGCTACGCGTCTTACTTGGCGCTTGACTATTTTCTCTCTTATTTGCACACCTATGTTCGTGGGCGATCAATCAGGAAGTCGCTTTGCGAGATTCAAGACGGTTGTCCAGCTTCTGACATCTTTCGAGACGTTGGCAGTGCCTAAATGCCTGAGAACGTCAATTTCGGTAGCCCACTTTTGTGTCTAAGAAGCGAATGTTTTGATACCAAAGAGAAATCAGGCATATTCCAAGAACATTAGAGCTAGGATTTAGAAGTCAAGCTAACGTGAACTAAATGCTATAGGGTGTTAAGAAGAAACGGACCAATATCGATAGCAGGCGATTCTCTGGTGTCTTCAAGTTCTCAGATCACGCATGATAGGAAATATTTTCTCGGCCCCTGGGGTGGGAGAGAGACCAGAACTGGCGAGTATGCTCAGCGCGGATTTAGAGCATTAAAAGATGCTCTAATATAGAGCCTATGCCACCGAAGTTGACATTATCCTCCAACTGCCTAGCTCTTTTGGAATCTGGATGTGGATTTGTTCAAGGTCGCCAATCATCACACTCGCTCCACTGAGCACGAGATTAACTAGTATCTGACCCCAGAGCATCATGGCTGTACAGCGCCTTGGAGTAAAGCCCTGACGTCCTTTCTGAAACTTAAAGTCGTAGCGAGCAATTGTCGTAGCGAGCAATTGTCGTAGCGAGCAATTGTCGTAGCGAGCAATTTGGTGAAGAGCGTCTTCACCTAAATCCGTAAGAATGAGTGCCGGGTGTCCATTGAATTGACATTCGCTGAGCAGGCGCTGGATTAAATCTCCTTTGGGAATGTTTAATCTCTGGAACGCTTTTTCTGAGTCTTAAGCTCATTAGTCCACCCATTCTTTTGTTGTTTGATTTTCAGGATCCCAAATCTGGACCGTGGCTCGCGGTCGCACGGTGCCTTAAATTCGTTAGGGATATAACTGTTCAATTTCTTGTTGCCAAGTTCCGGCCATCTGGGTGTAGGTAGAGCATCTACTTTATGTCAGGATATTTGAGCTCTCCAGTTGGACCACGCATCCGCACTTACCTGAGACGGTTCTGTTTTCTGTAGTAACATGGTCGGCAGCTGGACAAAGGGCGCGAATAATAGTAGAGTCGATGCCCACGGTTTATTCGTAAATTGTCGATAACGGTGTAGATGGCGAATGGGCCGACCGAGACCAGGAATGGTAGCTGGAAGGCAAACGCTTACTCGGATCCGACCGATTAACCAAATTGTTGATGCCCCATTCCATGTAGCAGGTCACGCAAAAGGGCAAAGAGATCAAGAAGCAAAAGACGAGGACTTGAGAACCTATTGTGGCGGACATTCTTTCGAGAATTTCCGTGAAAAGAAGGCTTGAGAGGTTCAATTGAACGGCAGAGTTGGGCACATTGGGCAACATATAAGCTTGGAATGCGGTGGTGCCTAGATCTGACCCGGTTACGGCAGTGGTAACGCCGCCGCATTGAGGGTTCCCCTCATTTGACTGCCGATTAAACACACCGCTCCCCGCCACAATGCGCGTTAAGACAGTTAGGGAAGTCGACAGGGTTTATCGTCCAGTAGCAAAACAGGCATGATGTCATGTTCTGTTGCGTGGGGGCAAAATAGAGCTCGATGGAGCTCAGCTGGCTGCCGATCACTAAAAGACTCGGTTGGTCGTTCATGTTATGATGAAGTGCAAACCAAACCATAATGGGAGCAGATCGGGAAAGCAGCGCGATTGAAAGCGTAAAACAAAAGCGCAGGAAATTTGATCCGTGGTCTCTTTAATCCTGTTGGATTAATGTTGCCAGGCACTGAATGCAGTATTGGTGCCTTAGATGTCAGGCTCCAATCACTTGGCCGTTTGCCGGTGTCTCGTCCAATGCGCGCTGTTTATCGTAGCTCCAGCACTAGAATGCTGAGCAACTGATCGAAATGATCTACATGTTACATCCAGATCTTACTATCATTGGTTGAATAAATAGACATTCCCTTGTTCTTCGCGGCAATCAGTATTAGGAAGCTTGTCAGTGACTGGAGTTCGCGAGCATACATAGAGCGGTAATTTCGTTGTCTTCTTTGTCCTTCGTAGAACATCCTAGTAACCAACGGAGTCCTTCCATATTGCATAAGCTATTGTCACAGGTAGCGCAGGAAATAAAATAAAAAGAACCGAATGCTTGAGAGAATATTGGTGTCTTGGACTCCCGATACTCAAGAGTATACCATTGTCACTTTTTGTCATCATCCCTGTCTGACTGGTAGTGCGGTACATAGAACTAGATGATTGCAGCAGCTCAAGCAGCTTGTGCTCTAAATTCTGAAACTGGTGCTGTTTCCTGGTTCTGAAGTAGTACTGTGGCTTTTCAAGGAACGTCGGGTCGGCCTATTAAGCCCTTCTGTGCAAAATCTTCCAATGATATCAGTGCCTCCGCATTGATTGCATTGAACAGTGCATGAACGGCCCCAGTGGCTGCTGCAAAGTTCATGACCATGTGTCGTTGGTTGACTACACTTTTATGGCCCCCACCACAATGCTCGGCCACTCTTCCCCCATTTAACTCATGCCGCTCCAAGCAGCACGATTCTCGGGGTTTTTCCAAAATAAGGATGTGCAACTCCGCACACGTGGTTTGAGTGGGGGCGGTTTCTGCTATGGCTTGCATAAATGGCTTCAGTGCTCGAATTAGACACGAAAACACTTTAATTAAACAGGATCCATCCAAATGAACACCCAGATAACTCCGGTAGGACCAGTACATTCCTCGCCTGATCCATCTATTCCACGTCTTCCTGATTCGACAGAGCTGTTTTCCTTTTCTGCTGAATCCTTCGATAAGGCTTGCTCTCGGTGGGGGGATTACGCCTTGAAGAACCTGGTATGAGTATTCACCAAAGATGAGCTGTGGACCGGGTCTAGGACTCAGCCAATCCACTTGGACGTACCAATCCTGGGAAGAGAAGAATTCAAGCGAGGGAACTCGAGTAATATAGGTATATAGAAATACCAGTGATCGGCCGATATGAACTTAATTCGAAGACACACCACCCGGGTTTGAGAAGGCGAAGAAGGTCCTCGAACCTGATTGATTCAGGTCTGTCGGGAAGGGGTGAAACTCTGGCCAGTAGTCTGGTCGCGCTAAATATATTTATGAATGATCTACCGAAACAGGTGTTCTGTTGGTTTCTTTGGGCCAGTTTTATCGATACGGGTTGGCCCTCACAAAGCCGAAGTGGCAGGGTATAAATCTAGGGTCTCCTTATTTATTCTTCGGGTGTAAGGGGTCTGATAGACTAGCTTTGAGTGGTTTTTGAGCCCTGGGCGGTATGGGAAATATCTTCTCCGGACAGCATTGCAGGACTGCTAGAATCAAGCCCTCAAGCAGGCACTAGCTATTCATTCATTAGTCTTGTCTTTAAATCGTCCTCGGTAGAGGCCCTGTTCGTGGATGCGATATATGCGCGAGTGACATGATCGTGAAAATCTAGAAGATGACTGGAGGTAGAGGGATGGAAGAGAACACAGCGGCAGACAGACAAGAAAACCAATCTAAATTTAACGCGCGACAGAGGAGCAACAAAATTGTTGCACTGATCTTCAATCGAGGCAGAGCCACTAATTTACTATTCATTACCCTATTAGCTTGAAGAACCACATATCTGCGTATGGCGCTGTGGGTAAGGAGCTATTTACGACAGCATTAAGCGTACTTCAGCCTCTTTTAGTTAGACAAATTTGTCACTCAACATTTTTATCGTTTGCTTTGCCGACCCGCTAGCCTTTATTAAGGGAAACCCAGGCCCAAGTACATTAATCCGCCCCCCCCCCAAGGTCCAAAGGATTGGGGCCAAAAAGCCCAACTCTACGAACATCCTGTCACTCCGCCCCACTACCACATGGAGGATTCTGGCCCCCATAAGCTATTTACCCCTGCAAACAGATCTAGAACCCACAGATAATAAATCATTGCTGCTATCCGCGTCTAAGAAATTTACAAGCAAAAGTTACATTCCCCCATCCACTTCCGCGCAGTAGATGAGATAGGCCACTATGACAGCCCAAGCCTCTGTGGGCCGGATCGATAAAGAAGCCTTCTTGGTATGTTCCTCACTATCCTAGCCACCTTTAGTCCTGAAAGGATCTAATCAGTATATTGGTTTCGTGCCTCAGGTCTCAACAGGCTTCTTCTTGGGGCTTACGATCGTCGGGGTGATTGGCCGTTTTGTGATCCGATTTGGTGTGCAAAGGCACCGTCTCCAGATCGACGATGGACTAATTACACTGGCATTTATCTTTCTCCTCGCCAGTCAAATTATCATATACAACAGGGTGGTCAACCCGATGTTCTTGATGACAGCCGTCCAGAATGGCGTTTCAGGTGTTCAGGCGCCTCTGGATGCAGTGCAAATTTCAGAAACCTACCACAGATGGGCGGTGGCATCCCTGATGATTAGCTGGTGCTCAATCTCTGCAGTGAAGTTTTTCTTTCTTCTGTTTTTCAAGAGATTGATTGATCGTTTGCGCCCTTGGCAAATATACTGGTGGGTTGTGTTTATCATCAATGTGATTCTCTTATCCTTTGGAATCACTGTCTACTACGTCAGCTGTCCCTATTGGGGCGCCAAAGCCCGTGAGTATATCTCTCCTTTATCACCAGCATGCGTCTAACAGGCTTTAGTTCAATGTGCGACTGGAAAGTATATGTCAAACCTTGTTCGATACTCCGCGGCCCAAATATCCTTAGATATTGTCGGAGACCTTCTCAGTACGTCATATAACATCCTGTCCTCCCTTTTACACATCTTACAAATTCTGACCATTGGTTTTCCTAATCCACAGTCCTGGTGATCCCTGTCGGCCTCATCTGGAAGATCCGGGTAGACTGGACCCAGAAACTAGCCCTGGGTAGCTCCCTCTGCCTAACCTTCGTCCTGGTCGCCCTCTCAATAACACGAGTAGCCGGCCTGAAATACCACAAAGAAGTCGATCTCATCTGGGAAACATACTGGCAATCGATGAGCGCAGAGCTAGGTGTGTTTCTCGCAGCGGCGAGTGCATTCCGGACATTCTTCGTATCACAAAAGCAGAATAAGCCATACATCCCGACCTACAGTCAAAGGTTGAAGAGCTCTTCAAACAAGGTATCAATGGGATCAGAACAGAGGAAAGCCGATCTTCCAGATACCTGGGCTGGAACAAGTCCTACCATCGATGGTTTCGAGCGTCTGGCCTCTGATGGGAAGGATACCAGTCAGCAAGATGATCCTGAGTGGCATGCTATGCTACCCACAGGTTCTCCACGGGGCCCTAGCCCTGTGGAAAAACTTCGTTATCTGGAAAAGCCGAAGCCTGCTCAATTACCAAATTTCATTTGATATACAAACTATATCCATTAAAGTGACGTGATTGCATACCCCGGAGCTACAAAACACATGATTTTCTCTATACAACGTGTTCTTAACCCCTTTGGATTTATTTCTTTAATTGTTTGGTACTAGCAAGGCGTTTTAGAGTTCTCCGAATACAATAATGAGTACATATATTGCAAAATATTTAATAATTTACGCATATCTGTATCTTTCTAATACTCTTGAATGAGTATACCTGATCTCTAAGTGTCTTGGTGAACATTTACGAGTAGTGACATTTGAAGGGATATAATTTGTAGTGATAAGTGGATATCAAAGTAACAAAGCATAAAAAACAAATCATGGCATGTCAGTGCCCAGGCACAGTCCATTTCCTGGCATACTGGATTAATAGACGGGCCACTTAGAGAACCAACGACGCATGAAAGCGATCTTCTCTTCGCTAGCAACACTGACTGACTTCCAAGCATCACCGACCTCCATAATCTCAGCACTCTTTGCACTAGCTTCGGGCCAACTAGGCAGACCCTTGCCATTCGGATTTCCTGTGCTGATGAAATTAACCCAGTAGCTGGACAGCTTATCGGCAATCTCATAATCCTCGGTCGTCCAAGGCAAGTCCACGGCATACAGGTTGTTGAGCGCATAGTTGAGTTCACTACCATGGTAAGCGCCCTTCTCCTGTCCAGGTGGTGCGTGTGTCCAGTAGTAGTTGTATGTCTGGTAAGTTCCATTGCCGGATGTGTTGCGCGCAGAACCGGCCAGGTACTCACTTGCCCAGAGCCAAAGTGAGACTCGAGTCTGGTCTTGGTAGAAGGTGTTGATGGCGGTATCGGCGCTTTCGCTGGTCTTGCCAGCAGGGTACAACTTGAAGAATTCTTCTGCTAGTCCGACGCTGCCAAACTCGTACTCGCTTTGAGCTTTGTAGCTCTTGACAGTCATTCCGGGGCTCGGAGTTGCGCCGTTCTCGTCAAGGTTGCCTCCTGTGAGGACGGGGGCGGTGGTGTGGTTTCCACGGACAAGCATCTCCTCGTAAGTGGCGGGAAGCACATATCCATCGAGAACGGGTCGGAAGAGAGGAGGTTCGACGTAGGCCGAGTTGTTTGCGAAAACGGTATCCTTGAAGGTGACGTCGTTCAGGTTGGCGCTGTTCAAGAAGAGTTCAACCGGGGCCGAGCGTGCTTGCGAGATGTTGTGGAGGTTGATGCTGGAAAGGTAGGATACGCCTTGCTTCTCTGCTTCACCCAACTGGCGGTAGCTCTGAGCCAAACTGCCGATCATCGGGTTGGAAGGGTATACGGCGCCACTTTCCGCAATGATCTGCTCGAAGAGATCATCGGCTAGTTCACTGTTGAGATGATCGAGCACCGAAGCAGCACCCGTAGACTGCCCACCAAGTGTGATGCGCTTGTAGTCACCTCCAAATGAGGCGATATTCTCATTTGTCCAATGCATTGCGGCCTGTTGATCAACCAGTCCGTAGTTACCGGAACTTCCACTTCCAGAGGTATTGCTCAATTCCGGGTGTGACAAGAAGCCCAGAGCACCGAGACGGTAGTTGACAGTCACAACGACGACACCCTTGGCAGCAAGTCCGGCGCCATCAAATGTTGACTGGGTCGCAGAGCCAGTTCCGAAACGTCCACCATGATAGAACATGTATACAGGCAGGGCCTTTGAAGAGTCGACAGGTACAACACCGATACCAGTCTCACTGTTGTTTTTCACATTAGTGAAATTTACGGTATCAGGAGTCCAGATGTTCAAGTGCAGACAATCCTCGTCGTAGTTGTCGGACCCGAGCTGAGGGCAGTCCGGACCAAAGTAAGTTGCATCACGCACTCCTGTCCAGCTAGAGACGTGCTGGGGGTGTTTCCAGCGATACTCGCCCGTCGGAGCGGCGGCAAATGGAATGCGCTTGAAGTTGTATACAGAGTTGATGTACTCTGATCTGTTTCCTTGCACAGTACTCTCGTATGTGTCGATATACACGGTCGGCGACTCTGCGGAGGAAACAGCAGAGCTGGATCGGCTACCGAGGCTGGTCCGAGTGCCGGCCACTCGGCCTTGCACTGCACTGACAGCAGCCAGGCTGAGGAAGAGGATTCTCATTGCCATTGATGCGAAGGCTAGGACAATCGAAGTCACTTCTGAGGTGTCAATTCCATCCTTCCGCTCGCCTTTTAATACCCGCCGATCTCGACCCTCGGCGATAATTCCTCCAAGGATATAGATATCGACGGTGACGCGGACTTCCTACACCCCGCACCAGTGTTCTCCACATCAAGATGCAGATCTCAGCTGGAACCCCTGGAACAATGCTGCAGGGCCCACTCTACCAGGATCGTTCCTTGCCTTTGTCGCAGCTTGATTATTCAAAAAGGACTCCTCTAGAATGAATTGTATTCCCAGTAAAAAGAGCGACGGATTTCCCTGAAGCTGGCAGGTTGGGACGTGTGTTCCTCACCGTACCACTCAATCCTTCGTACTAGTTGATGCAAGTCTTACAGTACCTTGCATAGTATCTCCGGACGTCCGGTAGCCTGCATCGGGCATAGTGATCAAATTCGGGATGAATTGTGATTAGCTTCCCCCTCTCCACACAGGACCGCGCCTCCGGAAGATGAATCTGCTCCGACGCCAAGATTTCAAAGAGCAACCTTGCGGGATCGGCGGATTGAAATGAAGTCGTTGTACCCCAAAGAATACGCCTTCTCCGTGCCAAGACTGTGCTAAGCCTGCGGGATCGTCAAGTGAAATGAAGGCGCACGCCATTCCCGAACAAGTATTCGGGGCCGAAACGATTGCGCCGTTGACGGTATGCGAATTGGAAATCATGTCTGAATGCCCATAAAAATCGTGGATCCTTCAAGGCTTGATTCTGCAGCTGATGGTTCTCCACACATTGATTAGCACGTCGTTCATTGGCTGAGGTCAGATTCTATCAGCGTGCATGTCTAGTTTAGATAAGTCTCGTCTTCCATTTCTTCACGTCTTGCAGACCTCGATCTCGGGAATAGCCGCCCACTGCAAGTTAGCACCCGTAGCACACCAACCATATTGCGTTTAAGAGGCCAATATGGAGTAGTGGCATGTGGCGCTTTAACCCCTCTCCGAAGGTGGGGGTTGTATAGAAATCACGTCTTCGAGGTTGTACACGGGCAAATTCTTTCCCGATTTTCATTTTCATTGAATGTGCAAGTAAGACAACCACGGACGGAGACGGACGGAGTCTTCCAAAGCGACTGAAGATCCCATCTTCCAAGGTTTCGTAGTTTCTTACACATCATATGTCCCCACAATTTGTGGGCTCCCGGTGGGACCGTTGTGAATCTGGGCGGGGTCCCCTTTTTGCGTTGTCAAAATCGGAAAACCCAGCAGGCCAGTTCCAGTCGGTCGCATCCGCTGGTTCATCAGGAACAGGCTGGGGTTTTTTTGTCACGATTCTCTGTTCCTCATCAAGCTCCTGTCACGGCTTCCCCCAAAACCAAGGCCACGATACCCGCTGTGGAGCCATGGCTGGCGTGGAGAGGAAGATCCGTCTTGATCTGCATTTTCTCCAACTCTAGCCTCGGGTGGGAATTGCGTCGCCGCGATTCGGTCAGAGAGTGGATTTGTAATGTCTGAAGCACTGGTAATGTTGTTGCCCAACATCAACTTCGTGGCCAATATAGCTCAATGTGTACATGGTGTCGAGCGATGGTCCACAGCATATTGCGCAAAATGAAGCGATAAGATGCGACCGTGATGATTGACTTAGTTATCGTTGCTAGGTCAAAAATGAGGATCTATTGGATCGATCAAGGTTAGTAGAGTTACAGATATACTCCGATAATGCTTGCGTGTTGTTGGGATCGGCAATTCTGAGACGGCTTCTTCTTAGCCGTGTATCTACCCCCTACTGTACCATGGCAGGCAGCTGGAACGCGTGTCTCGTTGAACTCGACTTTTTTCTCCTTTTGAGGACGATCAAGACTGTTTGCATTCTTGCTTGATTGCGAATGACAAGTTCAGCATTACGCGAAGCATGACTCGCACCGGAGTCCAGATGAACATAGACACGCTCGACACGGACGGTGCCGAGGCGAAGGAGCCCAAAACATCAATGGGCCAGGCGAAGAAGAACCGACAAGTTTCGAAGGGTCTCCAGAGGGCATAAGTAGCGGGGGGTGAAAGAAAACAAATATGAATGACATCGGGAGGAGAAAATTTGATTCAATGATCATGCCATATGGGCTGATGCCCCCCGCTGTTTCTCGCAATTCCGCTCTTTCCCCACCACTGCTGATTGTACCACTTGATCCATCGACGCCTTTTATGAAGATCCTAAAAGAGAGTAGCTGGATCGGAATAGGGGGAAATAACCTTGAAAGAATCTTGGTTGTATGCACATGTGGATATCTAAGTATGCCGGAGTCCCAGACTGTTTATTTACATCGACGCCAATATGACTTGAATGCCAGCCTTTCAAGCCCATTTCGTTTAGTAACATATATGTTCCTTATTGAAAAACGTAACCACCGTAAAAGATTCATGAATCTTTCGCCGCTAGTTCCTTCACTGATCGCTTCTCCTTTTCAACTCCATTGCGCCGTTGAGCAACATCGCATAAGTCAATATTCCCACACTCGCACTCTCCCTCCCTAACCCACCGATAAGTAATACTCCAACGATCTTCACGCGGCCTCACGGTCCCATCGACCAAAGTATCATTTTTGCGCTTCTTAATACCATGAGTCCAATGCAACCTGGAATCGCCAGTCATCTGCATCATACTCCGAGGCTTCAAATCCACATCAACCCGGTTCTCGCCCTTGCGAAATTGCATGATAGTTGGTGCGCCAAGAGATAACGCATAGAGCTGGTCATAAGCCATATGGGCATCGGTATGGGGTGGTATACCAGCGCCTGGGGGATAGTATTGAAGACAGACCTGCTCTGGCGGGCGAGATTCTGTAGTGGGTATGAGTGGCTGCAGCCATTCTGGAAACTCTTTATAAGGGATTTCTGGGTCAATCCCAAATGTTTTATAGTCGAATGTGTAGCCGTAGTGGAGTGATATGCGGCCTGGGCGATCGGGCCATTTCAACTCTGTGCGGAAGATTTTGATGAGGCGCTGCTCGTGCTCCGCATCAACAAAGTCATCTTGCCAAAAAATGCCCTTTGGTTCGATGGGCAATTCTTCCATCTTGCTTTCCTCCTTGAGTCTGTAGCTTGGCAACAGGCTTTGGAGAGTAAAAGCTAGGGAAGAAATGATGGCACGTGATTGGAATTTTAATTTTTGTGATTTCGTGAAATTTGGGATTTTGCCTCGACGCGTCCCGCCTTTTTCGCTAACGTGATTGGCCAGAACCATCACATCCAACACTTCTAAGACAAATAGCAGAGAGAAGTCAATCAAAGGCATGCGAAAGAAGAGTAGATAGGTGAATAGAAAGTATTATCAAGTAAGGCGAGCTAAGTGACGTTTAATATATCGAAAACCATAGAAGGAAATGCTCGTCTTACTGGCTTGCACTTGAGTTGAAAGAGATAGAATATCAATTTTAGAATATAGACGTGTCTCTCGACCCTAGAGAAAAGATACAATTCGAGCTTTATGAACCACTTTATACATATGCAAAACTCCATGCCCTAGTTTCCTTTCCGGACCAGTTTATGTATATGTGAAAGAGGATCGGTCTTTCGAAATGACTCCGAACAGCCAAAGAGTAAATGCAAGACAAAGATTAAGACTTCTGCATATGGTAACCGGGCCCGGCACTATTTGTCTCTGTTCCGCCTCCACGCATCCCCGTGCAGCGCCCAAACAATCAAGGGAATTGTTTTGAATTGTTGAAATTAATTATATTGTTTTCGTCTATATAAGTTCATCATGCATGGTGAATGCTGTTGAATATTCACCTATTAAGCCTAAGCTTGGGTATCATCATCATGTATCTTCGCGGAAACATCATCCACGGTGACTCGCACTTCGTGGCTGTGGTCAAGTTCTGAAAGAACGATCCAAGTAGGCCAGATGCACAGGATCGTAATGCCGAAATTAAGGCCGATGCTGACAAAGTGGTTGGCGTTACCTTCGGATTGCATCCTGTAGTTTGTTAGTCCATGTCTTTCAGAGATTATAATTTCAAACGGGGACACTTACGCCCAAGCAACTGTCTGTCCAAGAGCCTCGAATCCTCGCAGAATTCCACAGTGGTATGACAGTGACGAGATATCGGTGCTGTACTGACCAATAAGCCAGTAAAGGTATTGCTGGAACGCCTGGCCTCCAAAGGTCCAGAAAAAGACAAGAGCGTACGACTTTCCGAACCCGCCCGTGAACCAGTCAAAGACGGGTGCGGTGGGTGCGCTGTAAAATTGATTTTGGAGAACACAAGCCCAAATCCAGGTACCTGTGAGTACGATCACAATGGCCAGGAACGCAGTCTTGGCGCGGGTGTTGATGCGGATGGTTTGGCGATCAAGCAGAGCCGCAATTAGGAACGAAGAAGCAATGCCGGCAAAGTTGGTGAAGAAGGATGAAAAAGCACGGGAACGAACGGTGAAGTAGTCGGTCAACCAGGTGCTCAGGAAGGCGTTGTAGAAGTAGCTGATGAAGAACGAAGGGAGCAGCAGAAGAACCCGGCGCGTGGCGATCAACTTCAGAGCTGCCTTGAATTCGGCACCCCAAGTAGCTTGCTTGTGCACCAAGACCAGGGTTCTGTCTTTACGCTGCACCTTCTCGGCAGGGCTCAGACAAAGAGCGATGGGGAGTCCAAGACACATGATCACGATGAAAACGATGTACGTTCCTGCGCTGATAGTTCCCTGCGACGAATTCTTGGCGTTGAGGCCAAGACTAATCGCGCCACCGACAATGGGACCAGCAGCCTTTGCTGTCTGCCAGATAGCTATTCGAGAAAAAAAAAAAAAAGTCAGATCAGCAAGTTCTCCCTAGAAGTGGGCATCACAGGCGTATTAGTCACTTACCAAGGTAGAAAGCACGGTCCTTAGGGCTTGGGTATCCAATAATGATCGCAGCCTCAGCGGCCCAGAAAAAGCCCGCAGAAATACCACACAGTGCGCTACCGAAAAGCATAAACCATGTTGTCGGAGAGTAGTTGTTGGTGTAGAGACCAGCGCCGTAAATGGGGTATCCAATAGCTCCGATAACCAATCCGAAGCGAAGACCGATACGGTTGTTGATAGCTCCTGCCAAGACACAGACAATTGCAAACAGGCCGTAGACCAAAGCATTTGCAGCCGAAACAGCATAAGGCTCTGCTGCACCACCAGCTCCCAGATTGTTCATGGCATCCCACATACCAGGAGCCGTGAAGGAGACACCGCTAGCAATGGCGATCTGGAAGGGGATTGACCGATAAACAGATCGAGCAGACCAGGATCGAGCTGTGTCGTCCGTGTGCTCCACGACGGACGGCTCATTTTGAGATGCGACCTCGGTGTTTGAGGTGGTGGACGCCATTATGGTAGTGGATTTGAACCACGCCTGCAGTTGTCTACACCAGAAACAAGCTATAAAATCCCAGGAAGTTACAAGCAGAAGGAACAAAGGAAGCTTTCGATGAATAAGAGAATTTTACATAAGATCCCCCGTAAAGAAAATTGCGTGATTGCTGTCAAAAATTCCCCTTGGTTGACGGAACGCCAAGGCGCTTGGGAGCGCTGGATGTATTTCTGTTTGCTAATTGCAACGGACACCTTCCCCAAATGTTCCATAACTCCCACCCTAAAGGCTTTTCTCTATTAATCTGAGTTTCTACAGTGGATTCAAAGAAGCTACAGTCCACGGCACGGAATTAAGACAGCAGACAACTTGTGATGACAGTCGAAACCGACCGTCTCTAGCAGGCGCATGAGGCAAATAAGCTCAAAATGTGTAACCAGGAAGGGTCAAGTGCGGGTGGGGCTTAAAATTTTCTGACGGATTTTAAGGCCCAGCCCACGCGACCAAGTCTAATTTCCATACTAATTTTTCACCACATGGGCTCTACACTGTACATACCATACCGCTCAAGAATTCAGATATTGCAATTTAGAATGTTGTAAAAGTGAATAAAAAAAATATGTTTCCAGGTAACGTTGGTAGTAATCACCGGGTATTGGTGGAGGATGATACTAGTGGACAGCAAACAGGCTGTGAGGCTGGATTTAGAGAAATAGCTGGGCGAATTTTGATGAAGGGCTATAAGTTGTAAATTGCGAACAAGCATCTATAAAGCCGGTGTGACGCAATGGTAGCGTGTCAGCCTTCTAAGCTGAAAGTTGCGGGTTCGACCCCCGCCATGGGCTATTTTTTGCTTTTCTTCATGAATCATCTTTTTATCCCTCAAGTTTACACTTCCTTCCTCTCAAGGTGCAAATCCCTTTTTTGAAGGAATTTTGGCAGGTACTAAGCAAACATAGGTATTGCGTTGTAGACTAGCGAAGGTCAAAAAGTGAACAGCTCTTCAGTTTTCATGTTCCGTTTGAACTCGGCGCAGATAAAATATATAAGCAACTCCTTCGACGACCATTTCATTTGTATCTACATATACATAAGCGCGCATGCATGCATCTGGGAACCGCCCGAGGTCGTTTAAAGAAAATGGTTCTTCCAGGTATTCATTGTCATTCGCTTTTTCTTGATCCGCCTACCTACCCTTTGCAAGGTTCTCAACCCAGGTTTTAGAGATCTAAACGTTGTCTGCTCAATTTTAATTCCCCATACTTATCTCCGTCTCATTAAACTCACCCGCCCAATCCCTTATAATGTTGTCAATATCGAGCGTACTCTGCTGGTAGGATATTGTTTCCAATATACTGTCGTCGGCAATCAGATTGAAAAACGGATCCCAAGACTCGGTGGAACAAACACCATTCTGCTCACTGAGTTGCGGACCGATTTCATCGCGAGTCGAAAAGGCATTTGTAGTACAAGGTGGTACTTTGGTAAAATCGCCCGTAACTGCATCCAGGGATACAGAATGTCCAGTTGCCGGAAGATCCGCCATTTGCGTGCCAAAATCACACATCCTTTCGATCTCGCGTGCATGGCTCGCCTTAGCCATCAAGCGCTTTAAAGGAAGCCATAGGTCTCCTTTGTTCTTCTTTAGTTTCCAGCATTCATAAATGGTTTGTATATACCCCCAGGCACGATCACAGTCACCAGATGGAGGGCGCAAGCAAATCTCCGATAGAAGAAATGCAACGGCATGCCATTGAACATGGGTTTTGGAATGCCAACTCAAATGGATGATATTCGGATCCCTCAACAATCCCTGGGAAAGCTCAAGTATCTTGAGCGAAGTAAAGAATAATTTGTCTCGTATCCCTGGGATAAGATCGCAATGATTCCTCTTTTGAAGGAGAGGGTAGTATAAAACTAGCCATGTACGAGCGATTGTGAGTCGCGCCACAGCCTGACAGACCTTGAACAACGGGATACTCAAATCACAATATTTCAAATATCTCTCCTCCAGTGTGCGCTGGAGATCATTGACCAGAGATACTCGGTTCGAGAAAGAAAGTTCTTTCGACGTATCGCCCCTGCAAAACTGCACATAGCCCGTTTTCCACATAACGCGCAACACCTCACAGCGAATGAGGCAGTAGGTCATCTCTGTTGTTCCTTCATGCTCAATAGGGAAGTCCTTCATCTCGGCTGTCAGATCACTATCATTTATATTCAGCGGTAATCGTGTGTCGAACATGTACTCTTGCGCGATGAGCTCGAATCCGTGATACTCTGCCGATCGGATATCCAGCAAACAGATATGCCACCAGAGTCGTCTCCGTAATTCTGTTTCCAGGGGAGACAAAAAGAATTCTGTACCGTCTCGGTGCAGGCCCATTGCCCGAGCGGCGTGGAAAATAAGCGCCGTGAGGGACCAGCATGTTCTGGACGCATCTTCGTTGCGCAATGCAGATAAGAACAGAACGACTGCTTGAAGCAAAACCGTACTCTGGGTATTAAGGATTTTTGCGCGCGCTATAGCATGCTTCATTGCAGAATGGTAATGTTTGAGCGCAGCTGTTCGTGACAGACGTAGAATGTCTTCACATTGCTGCGAATCCATACTTATGATGGCTGAATAGTAGATGGCAAACATTAATGCCTCGGTATTACAGTCCAGGGTTTCCGGCAATGAAAAGGCTTGCCAGCAGATAGGGATAAGAGTTGGCATGTGAAAAATATGCACCAGTGGCACAATGTTCTCTTTGAAGGTCTCAAACAAAGCCGCAGCCTGAGAGGGTTGCGGATGATATGAGTATAAAGATTGTGACGCTGTCTGTAGTCCCATGATAGCGGCACTTTCATCTATTGAAACCGACGAAGGCGAGGGTTCATCGTCAAGTATGCCGTCTGACTCGTCCGTATCTTCAAGTTCATTTAACATATCTCGCAATTCTTCAATCTAGACAACACTCGTTAATCAATATCCGTGGATAGATGACCTAAGAACATACCTCATCGCCAAGGCTCGCCCACAAGATGTTGCTCACATAGACGCTGCGGTTATCAGTAACCACCAGCCGACCAGTCTGCTGATCCAAAGAGCTTGTATCAACCTGAAGTTCTTCCAGCCCGAGGAAATCCGATTTTTGCTTTGGTTGCGCAGGTGCTTCGGGTAAGTCATCGTCCGCTTCACTAGCCATGCGTTTTATGACTGACTCAAGACGTTCCAACCGGTCAAGCACCCGTTGATTAACGACTTTTCGCGGTCGCTTAGGTGCTCTCCCCTGTCCCGGAGGATAGATGCATTTGGATTCAGTGCTAACACATCCCTTGCACGGCTTTTGGCGATCGCATTTGATTTTGCGAGCTCGGCACCGCGTACATGTTCGGCTAAGCATCCTTCCCGATTCGCAGTTGTGGGGCAACCAACGAGCTGGTGGTATTTTCGTATCGGAACTCAGGCTTGATAAAGTAGAAATGGCCCGATAAGTGAGACAGAAAAAGAGGAAGTGTGCATCGTCGTCTTTGTCAGTCGTGGTGGCGCCGGAGCGGATAAGCTTATGCGAGCCCGGGGGCCGTTCGGCGTTAACGTGGTCGTTTGGGGTGGTTAGAAAGAACAATAAGTGGGGATTTTGGGGGCCTTGAAAAAAAAGGACATGACTGTCTCTTATCATTCGAGCTATATACAAATGACAATATGAAAATGACCAACACCTATAACGCCCAAGAATTGAAGTTAAAAACTTCGTCTAGTCTCGTCTAGTCGCTAACAGTTGAGGGAAATGCTGTGAAAATCCAGAAAATTGAATAAGACCTCCACATTTCTCGGTCCTGAAATCAGATCGAGGACTGGAAATTGGTATAAGGTATTATTTTCACTTGCCCAATAAGTCCTGTGTCCACATTGCTTGGGAGGGTTGTGAGGGCTGGCTTGGAACCGGAAATCAGGATCTCGTCATAAATGCTCCGAATATAATTCCACATCAAGGTCGGAACAATAGCTGTGACGTTATTGTTTCCACTTTGCAGAAAAGGACCGATATTAACCAAGGGGTTGGCGAAGTCCAGAGCCTGCACAGCTTGTCCATTGACAAACAACTTTAGACCATGGGCAATAGCTGGAAGAGACAGGTATGCCCCGGAAACACCACTCTGGTTAGAGAATGCCGGTGGCCAAGGGAATTGGGTAGAATAATATCCCAATCCCGAGGCATTGTGAAGTCCGGGAATATCAAGCCAAGAGACCAGGGAGGTTAGGTGGTGTGTAGTATTATGCTTTTCTGCAATTACCGTGGCGTCGGACATATTCTGGGGGGCTTTCCAATGTTCCGCTGTCAGTGTCCAGTTACCCAGGGAGACTGGGGAGAGTGTGGCCTTGGTTGAGATGTCATATGTCTTCCCGTTAGACAACTTCAAAATGTGACTGCTCCCTGATGCCCCCGTGGTGGTGTGCAAGACCAAACCTTTAGCTGTGGTATAATTATAGCCCAGCACGTTCGAAGGAACTTGGGTAGCGTGCACAGAAGGTGTGTCGACCTCCGATTTCCAACCATCACTGAATGCCAGAATGACAGTCTGGTTTGCCTTTAAGCTGAGCGGAATCTTGGTGGTATTTCCTTCAAGGCGGTAATTGAGTAGAGGCATTCTTTCACCAGTCCAGCTGTTGAAGATGTATGGGGATTTAGTAGTGTTCACAACGAGATGACCTGCGCCAGCAGTGTCTTTGCTGAATACATAAACATAGTCCGTAGAGTCGTCTGTACGCATGACTGGATACCAAGTCGTATTATCCGTCGTGATCGTCCTAACACGGGGACGAATATTCAAAGCTTGAAGTTTGGACGCAATTTGACCATCTGTAACAGTATGGACATTTGCCGAGTCCTTCAGGTTTTGCAAAGCCGCTGATACGGCTTCCTGTTCAGAACTGTTGCCAGTTGAGTAGTAGCCTGGCAGGTCCTCGCTCAGAACGACATGGAGACCGGAATCGGCGAACCCTTGAATCACTGAAACTGCGTCCCTTGTCATATTCTCATATGAAGGCACCACAAGGGCTTGATAGGCAGGAGATTGATGGGCCAGTAAGCCTCCAGAAACAAATGCCTGGGAGAGGTTGAAGTTGTTAGGATTCAAATAGTTGTATGTGAAGCCAGCTTCGACCAAGTCGCTACCTTGATACAAAGTTGCCAACTGAGGATCAGTGTACGAAACCTTGTTGTAAAATGCAACATCGATTCGAGGTTGTCCTTGATGAAGAACAAACTGGTTCCGATTGATATACCCAATGGCATCTGGCAAACTCCACAGCCAGGAGGGCTGCTTGTCCATATAGGAATCGGCAAACAAGAGCAAAAAGGCTAGATAACCTGGCCAAGTCGTCTGATAATAGTCGCCAGTATAAGTTTGTCCGTGTAAAACAACCTGATTCACACCCCCTGAAAAGGCAGTGTTGATTTGCCACAAGAGATGTGCGAGTGGAAGTGCAAGGGCTTTTTCAAGATCTGCGCCCATCTCATTGGAGATGACCGTCTTTTGGGCCACATTTGCCGCACCGGAAAATTGCCTGTATCCATCAATGTTGTCGTTGAATGCCAGGCTTTCACACTCGGGAGCCGTCACGCGGTCAATATTGGACTCCATGTCGAGTGGTAAGTTGTAGGAGACTTGTGCAGAGTAGCCTAGTCCAAGGCCTTCTAGCCAAGTAGTCAAGGTATCCAATTAATCCCCATAACCTTCAGCCAAAGCTGCCCGGAAATCGTTCTCGTAGCCTGCACCTTTATCTTCACTGTCAAGAACACACTCCAAATCTCCCGGGTAGGACGGCTGGACACCAGGGTTGTTATTTCCATACATGAGCACTGGCAGGAACTTGTGGATCTTATATCCGTGTAGCTTTTCAAACATTGTGGGAAGTGAGGGAGTCCAGGAGATGTTAGAGTTAATCTCGATGCTATCCTCCCAGCCGTATGTTCCAACCTCACCCAAGAGGGATTTGATTGTCGTATCATTGAGAATATGATCCTCCCAGAATTTCTTTACCGTCTCTGCGCCGCGAGCACTATAATGGTCGACTGTGTAAGACCCATTGTCGAAGATTGTTCCAGTTGTGTGGTTTTCGATGTCCAAATTCTTTACCAGATCCTGGTACTGGTAGTAGGCAAACAAGTGATAGTTTTCGTGTCTGGTGTTATTGAACGACAAAGAGACAGTGCCATCCTCACTCACTTGGTCCGTCTGGAGCTGAAGTGAATCTGCAGCAAGAACGAAGCGAGTCGCATTATTTGCGGGTGTAGAGAAAGTAACACTGGCGGGGTTTGTTATTGTCGAAACCGAGAGGACTCTGGCAGAGACCAGAGCAACTAATTCTCCCGTTCCCCAGCCAGGAATCGTGTCTTGGTACGAGCCATTTGCTGGAATGCTGACATTGAAAGGTGCCTATAGTACACAATGAGTAAGGCATCGTTTGGTGATATGATAAGTGGGCAACTTACAAGGTCCCAATGCAAGCCATAATCGGTAGTCTTTGCAGGAACACCTTGACCCTGGCTCGGCCCAAGCGCAAAGTCCATACGCATGCCGGCATTTTTAGCAGCTTGTAATGAAGCCTTGAAGATTTCATTGAATGCCGGTGTACCAAATCCGTATTTGGCCCAATCTGCACCTACTGGTGGCCCTGCAAGGGATCCTCCATAGTTATACAAGGGCAAAAATTCCACTGCCCCAGCGCCGATTGCACCAGCAGCCTCAATGTCGCTTTGAACTGTCGCAATATCCACACTAGCATCCGGGAGCCAGTATCGAAACTTCATGCGTGCATTATTGGCCGGGTCCAAAAAGGTTCCGTAGTCGGTGGCCGCAGCCAATTCAGCGAGCAAGATTAGCCCGCTGAGTAAAGAGCCACCATACATCTTGCTGTCGGTGGTTTTAATGAGGAATTGAATCAAAAAGGCCGAAGCAACAGAAAGATTCTCGTCCCCGAAAAGGAACAATGCTTCGGGAGGCTATGCCCTCTAATGTTGTCGATTGCAATTATTTGATGGGTACAAGTACCCTCGGTAAGGAGTAAGGAACAGTAGGAAATTCCGAGTCGACTTCCGAGTGGTGAATGCCGAGTGCATATCGGGATGATCTTAATCTTATTTGGATCAATGAAGCCGATCCTTAGATTCAAGCCAAGATTCAAGCTGTTCTTGGCGGCTCATCATGGGGGTAAAAAATACCTAATGGGGGTAAGATTGTCTAAAATTGGAAAGTCTGGTGTGACGAACCCACAATGAAGTCAAAATACCGAGGAGAAATGGGGCCTTTTAATGCCTGCATGCCGATCGAGGATGACTCGGGATTTCCGAATACAAACGGCCCCCGTTATGATATGCTGTGGGTAAATGCTGAATCGACTGAATAAGATCATAACTCCATGCCTGGCCCGTTTAAGGACTGAAGGACTGACACTGGTATTAGCTCCGAATGATCTTAACGAGCCGGCAAAACTCCAGTGTATAAGAATTTGGAGCTCGCTAGTCGGACACCACAAAATTATCTGAACACCACATCATTTCTATATCTGGTATGGCGCAGTAATGGTAATACAGAAAAATTGATATCTCAAATTATTGAAAGGCATCGCATCACCTTCGCTTAACACCTCAATATACGAGATAACGCTACATTAGAGTCATGGTATAAGTAAGCTTAGTGGGTATCACTCTTTGATCACCTTCACATTCCAGCGTAGTCTACATAGTAACGTGAGCAAGTAGGTACTTGAAGATATACTCAATAATATTATATTCTGAATTAAATATACTACGCGATCCATAATGTAAATAGCGGTGGTGTTCTTCTGAAGTTGTGGTGTTTTTCTAGCAAGCTCCTAAGAATTTGCCGGTAGCCGCCCCATATTGCCTAAAGAAGAAATGCATCCTGCTGGATTATATCATAACACGGAGTAATGTCTATGCCCCACATGACTCGAACATATTACTCCGAACATCCCATTCTCTAATAATACAGTTGAGAATTCGGCTATAAGATTTCATGAGGCTTCGAATCTCACGCGTCATGTGACATGCATGTGGTGACGCGTGGCATCCGCCAAGCACTTCTTGCGTCATATCTTCGGCTGCAGAACAAGCAGTGACCTGAACAACAGGCGCAAAAAACTCCTTCCAATCAATATACTGTGGATTCTAAGCCACAGGGGATTTGCATTAGACTACTGGTTCCGTCAAGGGACTAAATATGTACTCCGCACGATCGGCTAATTTGTTATCAGGGGTTACATTCAACTAATGCACCACGGATAATTTCACCCCGCCATATGAGCAATGTATCTTGATGGAGATGAAACGCAACGCTCCGGGCCCCGGGACACATTAGATTAAAGCATCTGCCACAGGGGTCTGAACCCTTGATTGCTGCGGAGAAATGGGCATTGAAATTTCGGATAATGTCAAGTTGAATTTTCCGATGATGTTGACTCTATATAGATCTAGCTGCTTCTAGCCTCCAGCTTCCCCGGATTTGTCCAATTATCGGCTTTCTATTGACTGAAATGCTCGCTAAAACAGTGATTATAATCGCCGCACTATGCAGTTCAAGCACAGCAAAATGGCTCTGGTCGAACTCACCAGCCAGCACTTCTGATGTGATACAACAAGCATATCCATTGGGGAATGGACGCCTTGGATTAATGCCTGCTGGAGAACCCGGGTTTGAATCAATAAATATCAACTTAGACAGCCTCTGGACCGGTGGACCTTTCGAGAATGCGACTTACTCCGGAGGCAATCCAGCAAGCGACAGATCTCACTCCCTTCCTGGGATACGCGAGGAAATCTTCCGAAATGGCACAGGGAATGTTGACGAGCTTCTTGGTGAAATCTATTCTTATGGATCCTACACACCGCTCGCAAATCTTACGGTCGAGATCGAGGGCTTACAGAGCTATACTTCATACTTTCGAGGCCTGGATCTCGAGACTGGTGTTCATTCAGTACGATTCTCAAATGAAACACATAAATTTGATTCGTCTATCTTCTGTTCTGAGCCGGATGACGTTTGTGTCTACAAAATCGCATCAGATTTACCACTCCCAGCAATCAAGTTTGGACTAAGAAACGATTACTTGAACTCTACTTTGGTCAAGACGGTCTGCATTGGCAATCAGCTTCAGATGACCGGTCATCTTGCTCAACCAGGTATGCAATTCGTCGGAATTTCTCAAGCAGTTCAACCGGCTGCTGCCAAGTGTATTGAGGGCTCCATCATCCTCCCAGAGGGGACGATAGATACTAGCGTCGCAATTGTTGTTGGAGCTGGATCCAACTACGACCAGACCCGCGGAAACAAAGCAGCCGGTTTCTCTTTCCGAGGCGTGGACCCAACTGCCGCATTAATGAAAACTGTTTCCACCGCGGCTTCACGTTCATTCAAAGATATCTTTGCACGGCATGTTCAAGACCACCGTACCCTGTTCAGCACATTCTCTCTCAACCTTCCGGACACTTTCAACTCCAGCAAAATTGAAACTGCGCAAGTCATCTCAAGCTACAACATAACAACGGGGGATCCCTGGCTAGAATCCCTGCTTGTCGACTACGGCCGATATCTCCTGATCGGATCATCTCGTGAGAAATCCCTCCCCGCCAATCTCCAAGGAAGATGGGCAGTGGACCAGGATCCTGCATGGAGTGCCGACTACCATGCCGATATCAACATCCAGATGAACTACTGGGCTGCACCACAGGTCGGACTCGGGTCTCTACAACAATGTCTCTGGGACTTCATAGAACAGACGTGGGTTTCTTACGGGGAAGAGACCGCAAAATTGCTATACGGCGCGCCCAGCGGATCATGGGTAATACACGACGAAATTAATACCTTTGGATATACTGCAATGAAAAATGACGCCGTATGGGCCGACTTTCCCCCTTGCAGCCACTTGGATGGCACTCCACATTCCGAATTGGCTCGATTATTCTGATGATACGACGTGGTACCAACGCCAAGGCTATCCTTTACTTAAAGGCACTGCACTGTTCTGGTTATCGCAGTTGCATAAGGACCTCTATTTCAACGACGGCACATTGGTGGTGAATCCATGTAACTCGCCCGAGCATGGGCCCACGACCTTTGGATGCTCCATGTACCAACAGCAGATATGGGAGCTTTTCGATCGCATTCTAGCGACCTGGTCCGAGAGCGGTGATGATGATCACGAGTTCTATCAGAGTGTTGTGCAAGCCATGACTCACTTGGATCGGGGCATTCATATCGGGTCTTGGGGCCAGCTACAAGAATGGAAACTAGACATCGACGTCGAAAATGATACTCATCGTCATTTAAGTGGTCTTGTGGGTTGGTACCCAGGATACAGTGTCGCAATTGAAGAAAGTAATAAGACCATAGCAGACGCAGTTGAGACAATGATGTGGTCTCGAGGTGATGGAGAAATCGACGCAAATTCTGGGTGGGAGAAGGTTTGGAGATCGGCATGCTGGGCCCGTCTCAATAACACAGATGAAGCCAACTTTGAGTTGCGTTTCACTATTGAGCAGAATATCGCAGAGAATGGGCTTTCGATGTATTCTGGTCATTATACTCCGTTCCAGATTGATGCGAATTTCGGTCTCGTTGCCGCTGTCACTGAAATACTGATTCATGACCTGCCACAAGCTCACGGGGACCAGGGTGTTCATACCGTGGTTTTGGGTGCCGCAATACCTTCTTCCTGGGGAGGAGGCTCTGTATCTGGGTTGCAGCTGCGTGGTGGAGGCTATGTGGACTTTTCTTGGGACTCTGAGGGGGTTGTGCAACAAGCCTCTGTACACGGGCGAATTAAAGCACTCAAATTGCTGAATGCGAAGGGAAAAGTGATGGTGAATTGAGAGGCCTGGCCAATTTACGAGCTTCTACGCAGGCCTCCCAATTTTCGAAAACACCTTGAGCATTGTCTTCGTCATTTTGCGGTAGAAAATCCGGACTTACAGCCCATCCATCATGTTTAAATACAAACAAGAGACAAATTCAACGCAAAAATTCAATCAAATTCGCTATTCATATCCAATGCGTTTGTACGATCGTGTCTAATTCACATTATAGCTTCGCCGCCGGCTGCAACAGATGTCTCATCTCGGAATTGGGATACTCCACATTCTGCGATGAATCAGGTCGCTGCCGATCCCAAGCCCATTTCTCTACTAATTCGGGCGCAAGCTCGCCTTCAAGCATCTGTGTGACGTACTTCCCAAGCACAGGGAAGAATTTGTAGCCGTGGAAAGAACCACAAGTTGCGACATAGAGACCCTTGGAGGCGGAGTGAGGAGAAATAATAAAGTCAGAGGTTGTGGTGAAGGCGTCCCTGTTGATTGTTAGATCTTAATTACAGCATTTCGGTTATAAATGGTTACTCACCAGCAGATTCGGTGCTTGGTCATGTTCCAAGTCGCACTCTCGGGTCCATACCACAGATTCCTGGCCTCGATGATATCCTGCTTGAGAGGTCCGGGGACCTTCCACTGGTTGTAGTCGAATGTGGGCGGAGGGGAAGAGATGGAGCGGCCAGGGAGAACCTCTCGGGTGTTTGTGAAAATCTTAGATCCCCACCACTTGAGCTCTCTGTCATTGGTAGGAGGAAGAGTACCAATGAATGGCTTGCCTGTTCAGAATTAGCGATAACCAATTGAATACAAAATAATGAGACCTACCCTGCTCTGGTGTGTAGCCCTGGAAACCAACGGGCATATCCTTATATTTCTTGTACTGCTCCTCATCGAGCTGTGCCATTCCAGTCGTAATACCAGCAGCCAGAATGCGCTCTCCAGCCCGGAGACCAGTGTTCCCGCTCTTCGCAGCACTCCACTCCAGTAACGTGGGCGTGAAAGCGCCCGCAGCAACAATAACATGGGTAGCCGACAACACCTCTCCTGATTTTGTCTTCACGCCAGTACAGGAGCCACGACCGTCGAATTCGAGGGTGGCAACCTCAGCAGTCACATACTTCACGCCCAACTCCAAGCACCTTTTTGTGACGGCGCGAAGCGCGTCTCCGGCAGCGGCCCAACCACTAGCTCTGTTGATGAGAACCTCCTTGACGCCGGTGTAGTCCGCATTATCGAAAATGCCACCGTACAGCTTTCGCGCCTCTGCGACAGGAAGCGCAATGATATCGTCGGTACGGCCGAGGTCTTTGTGGTTGCTGATGACATTTTGTGCGTAGTCACTGCGGCAATTCCAGTACACACCGGTTTGGTGGAAATGGGGCTGCCACAGAGGATCCGATTTGAAGATGTCTTGCGCTTCAAGAGCTAGTTTGCAGTAAACTTTGTCGTCGTAGTCGGCGCGAATCACCTTGTTCCAATCCCATGAAGCTGCCACGCGAGAGTCCGCGTCATATGCATCTCGGTCTACAAGTGTGACTGAAGCGTTTGGGTACTTCTGAATAAGGGTATAGGCAGTTGATACACCGAATACCCCAGCACCGATGATGATGTATGACGGATTGCTTGGGGCCATTTTCAGACAGCCTAGATTTCTTTTGTGAAGTCAAGTGAGTCTCGCTAGATACTCTATGGGACGCCAGCTTCCCAAGCCTCTGACAGGGCGAGTACTGGTCAATAAATATACTAAAGAGCTTCCCACGTTGTATTGCCAGTAGCTTGCAGCGAATTGGCGCCTTATCTGTCAATCGAGACTCGCGACTATCTCGACCGGCAGCGGCTCCGATCTCGGGCGGGGTTTCCGCGGAGCCGATCACGTGGGACTGTAGAACGAATATCATGGATATTTCATATAGTCCCATTGCATTTTACAATGAGAAAAAGCATGATAATTCCTTGCGGCTTGTTCGAATATTGCAGGATGAAATGGAGACCGACATTCTGCAACGCCTTTACCCATAGGGCTAATGCCCGGTGGAAAACCCGTGCCGACCGTGCGGGGTAGACATGCCAAAGAAGGTAGCGCCTCCCCGCGCCCGGGGAGGCGTGACCGGGGTCATTATCAACTCACCACAAAAGGAGCATTTCATGAGCATATGATTGGCTTTCAATTCGGGCCGTTGAGAAGGTCGGTGTGTCTGTCGCCGTGACCCATCTTCATGGCCTAGTATGCAAGCCCATGAGACAAAGGCGTCCAGCGGTACAAAGAAAGTAGCTCTCTGCGTCGAGCTTTATGCTCATCCCACGAATGAGGACCGGTCTGTTGAGCATCATACAACATGGACCTGAAGACCTTTCGAAAGTTTTTCTGTAATCATTGTTCAGTGGTCGTATACCTCAATTGGTGGAATGAAATCATACTTGAAATGTTGTATCCAAGGTTACCACACTGACTTCGTGAGCACGAATGATGGTCTCACAAACCTCTTCCACTGAGCGATTGGGACCAAGCTCCGGCATGCGATCAACGAACAGTAGTAGGATGAAACTTCCTTGGAGAAGATATATTCCGAAGAGATAAGGCATGAAGAGCAGTTCTGGATCCAAAGTCAGAATTTGTGAGACTACACCTGTTGCACTCAGTGCATGGGAGGCACATTTCAAAAAGCTCTCCGATGTGATCCAGTCATCTTTGTCTTCAATCATTGAGATCGGGTCCCATTTTCCGTGAAGCAATATGTGGAAGACATGCAAAAGATAGGTGCTGTAGATCTGAACTAATAGTAGATTGGACCTTGTGGGATTGGGCATATTGGAGGAAGGAAACTCCTCCGTGCTATGTGACGGTGGTCCTGTGGAATTCTGAGGAAGGCCCTGGATGCTGGGATCATTCGGAGACAATTCATCGTTCTGAGATTTCAGTGCAGCCAATTCTTGCTCTCGTGACGAGATCATAGCCTCTATATGTCGAACAGCCTCCATCGGGACGTAATTTCCCATGGTTGGGTGGCTGCGGTAGTGATGCAGATCAATAATATGTCCAAGGACCGTCGCCAAGGGCAAAAAGTATTCGAAAAATCCACAACCCGAAATCTGTGTGGGTGGACCGAGTGGACATGTCGGAATGTAGGTCAGATCAGCTGTGTCAAGTGATCGCCACACTTTCTCTGGCAATGGTGTTCTGACACAGAAGGTTCCTTCGGGAAGCCCCAGTCGCATGTTGAAAGACAAGGCGAGATGACGATCTAGAGAGTAGATCAGCCAGAACAGCCGCCGGCGCTCCTCTTTTGATATTAGCCACCGCCTAAATGTGGCGTCGCCGTTATACAGCCCGCAGAAAACGGGACCAAGATCAATATCTTGGTCCTCCATGCTAAGGCCACTTGCGCGAACAAGCCTGACAAGTTTATCTTTCCATTTCAGTGAGTCTGCCTTGTAATGGCCTCCCGATATAGCCAGCGTTAAAATCGTGACTGCAAGAATGATATCTGTTGAGCCTAATTGTCTCGGCAGTAATGACTTGCCTGACGGTTGACGGCTCGGAGTCGAGGTTAAATCGCTCGGTGAGCTGTCATTGGTTTGAGGATGAAATTGCCATCCGTCTAATCGATAAGCCTTTGTTCAAATCAGTTCATGAGATGTGGATAAACTTACCGGAAGTTCGAAAATAGTTATCTGGATCTTCTGACTCAAGTAAGATCAGTGAAAGGCGATAAAGATCTACGCTTGTACGCTCTCGGGCGCCCGGTGTGTCGAAGATTTTCATGTCTGCAGTCTGTGTGACACAGAAAAGGACCACCGCAAGAAGAGCAGGGGACATCAGACGTGAATCGGGTTGGTTTAACATTGTTGATGGATGCAGGATATGGGCCAGCATGTAGGGTGATGTTGATTTGTAAAGCGAATTAGACCCCTCATTAAAGTAGATTTCCAGCATCTCTGAAGCTTCCGCTAGAGAAAGTACCCCTACCAGATGCGGCAAAATTGAATCTAGACAGCGGTACGATTTTTTGGTAGAGAATCCGTTAGCAATGCCCGGATCTTCATCGAATTTAGGACGAGGAAATTCTTTCAAGGGGCTGTTGGGGTCCAGAGATATCTTGATGCGAATTAGAAGGTTCACATAGGGAATTCTTGGGGAAGCTGCTTACTTGACCAGGTGAAAACTCGCTTTGATTTAAATTCAGTTCACCATTGCTGGATGAATTCTGAAATAAGCGATTAAAAGTCTCATGTTGGGACGAGAAGGTCGAATCGGCAGTACCGATACTAATTGGGTTCTTGAGAAATTCTGATATGCTTTCCGTAGCCCCTCCTATTGTGGAGCTTCTTCGATCGGGAGGAGCCATGCAATTGGAATTATCTGGCAGCGATGCGCTACTTAAAGCTACTATCTCCAAGGGGCTTCGAGGTGTGTCTTGTGGTGATTCGTGCTCAACAAATTGACCTGTTCCCCTCCTCAAAGAGCGGGCCGAATCCAAGCGAGGTGGACGCCCTCGCTTGCGAAGCGTTTTGGTGTAGTGACAGGATTCGTCACGCTCTGTTAGTCAATTAGCCACCTCAGCCTTCACCCGTAGCTCTCAAAACATATGCCATACCTGAACATCGTCGACTTTCAGGCGACGCGATTGTAGTCAGCTCAGACCCCTATTCCTTGCAAGGACACTCACCATGGCTGCTGACCGTCACAGCGTTGCTTTGAGTGAGTACATGAATCACAAGCTCGTAGAACTCGCGTTTGGTGTCGATGCGACATATCTTGTCAGGTTTCTAGAGGCAAAGGCAGATGGCAGTACTGTGGGGAAATCCTGAAAAGGAAAAGCAAGCATCGCGTGGATGCGGAGACGACATTGTGGGGAAGCGGAGACCAAAGCGTCACTGAGTAAAAATCTTTACATTGTAGCTTGTCCACTTCTAATTTTTACACACAAGGTCAATCATAGCCATTACTCTACAGATATGATACAGCGTGGCTCTGTTGTATCTATTCGCGTTATATGAATTGCCACGAATAAATTGGATAGCGTACCACAGTACATCAGTGGTACGACGCAAAAGGCGCCTAGGGCATGTGGTCCTATTCGACTTAACACCAAGAGTGATGCTCAACAAGAGACTCAGCCCAAGGAGGGTCTTCGTAGCAGTCCCGTATACCAAGAGCGAAACAAAAGTCAGCTTAATATTACTGGCCAACATGCCATTTTCCCACCACTTTGTAACAATGTTACCAGTCATGTCGTGAAAATGTGTGAAATTCTATTGATTTGATCTTGTGCCTAGTGTTCGTCTATGTCTAGGTAGCATTGCAGCTATATACATTAGACCAAAATCGGAAATGAATTTTTCCTTGATCTTTCGATTCACTCACAGGCTGACATGCAAAAACAATCCTTGACCAGGGAATGGGGGAGCGTCGCGTTCTACGTGGACTATCCTTGAAATTCGGATAGATAACCCCCGAGTTGAACTGATGCCCGAGTCGTTTCGAATCTATCCCACGCTCCGGTCTAGATTCAGAACACGAAGCAGTTCTTGCAAGTAGCAATCATAGCTTCCCTTCTACCGGACGCTTATTTGCCGAGTCCCAGCCATCGCCTGGGCTGGGGAAGCTATAATTATGCCACGGCCCCAGTATTTCCTTCACCTTGGCGGATAATTCATCGTCTTCAGTTACTTCTCGAGACTCGGCATTTCCAGTGGTAGTTGGCTGTGTCGCCCAAAGCCATTCGGATGCATCGTGTTCTGACTGCCGGAGAACCTTTTGAGCCGAAGCAAGATTTTCTTCCAACTCAGCGACAGATGTAATGCCCATGATAGTTGTAACGCGGAACTCATCCGAAGACTCCATCTGCGCTCGCCTAATAGCATATCGCAGAGCCAATGCCGCGAGAGATCCACCACGAGCGCTGACATACTCAGAAGCCGCTTGGGCTACTTGGCGCAAGCCTGGTGGCGCAGGATGGAAATCGCCTAGGTCGCCAACGGGAACCCCATTTTCGCGCAGAAGCCCAATTGCCAGAGGACTCGAGCTGCATACGCATGAGACACCAGCATCCCGGAAGGCTGCCAAGCCTTCGCCGGCTAGTCGGTCATTTTGAAGTGTCAGTTGCGCCCAGTTTTGTACAATGTCCAAGGGCCGACCGTATTGATCTTGGACCCGATGAGCGATGCGAGCGAGAATATCGATGCGATATCCTGATATTCCAATATATCGGATGTGACCTTCGTTAACCATATCTATCAGAACACCGACGGCTTGAAGCGCTTCTTCTTCAGTAACGAATTCGACATCATGACAAAATACGACATCTAAATAGCTTGTTTGCAGACGCTCTAGCGATCGTAAAACTGAGTGTCGTATCCAGGCTGGTGAGTAGTCAAAGTGATTGGCACTGATGCGCCCAGCCTTGGTCATCAAAAAATATTGATCGCGAGAGTAGCAGTTCGTGATTTCGGGACGGGACAGAGCTTCACCGAGGAGAATTTCTGAGGGGTGGTAATATGCAGAGGTGTCAATTGCACGTAGGCCAAGCTGAAAGGCGCGTTTTAGGACTTCTAGTGCCTGAGATGCATTGGGATTGTGAAATAATTGGTGACTAAATCCAGCACCGCCTAGCACGAGGGGCGGAAGTATCCGTGATAGCGGTGTTGATGGTTTGGAAACGCTCATATTGAGATCATGCGCAAACAACGGTCTTCGCGACGAAGAAAAGAGTCAAACTTTTCTTCCTTTTCATCTCCCTCTCCACCCCACCGCCAGCGAGGCCAAGATTGCTCGTTATCGTCAACCGAAGAAAGCGAACGCCGAGATTCACAATCCTCCGATGTAAATACCCGACGGAAAAAATATGATTGGTTGCCGCAACAGACGCCGATCATTTCCATCTCCACTCATTGAGAAACACCCGACATTGGAAGATCGCGCGGAAGATGTCATGACTCGTGACAAAGACAGAATGCCCAATGACCTTTGGTGGTCGGCTCCAGCCTTTCCGTCATTTGAAGTTAAGACGAGCGTCGCGGCTATCAGTGCCGGCATTGATTCCCAGGATGTCTGGAGCCGGTGTCGAGCGAATGCAGGGTGCAAACAAAGTTAAGGCACATTGATGAGAGTAGAGCCGGGTGTTTGAAGTCTTACAGCCTGTCCAATATAGGCTCAAACGTCATGATATCGGTTACAGATGCTTTGTGTGCATTATGGACAACGCCCGGACGAGAAGATTGGAAGGGAAGATTGGAAGGGAAGCCTGGAGGAAAAGGTGACCCACGTTATTCTAAATGACTGAGATGATTTTCTTGGAATCCAATATCCTCGTAATCCCCGCTCTGGGATGACAGCATTCGTGGATATTTGTGGACCGTCTGTCTCATCCATTAGCGACACTTGATTGCTTTTTACTACCGTGTGATCAGCAGGTAGTAGGATGTCAGAAACCGTGGATTTAAAGTCCACACAAGATCCCAAGACTAGTATATGGCATCTCCATTCTCCCTTTAGACCCTGAGTGGCGCGTGGAGGCACCAATTAGCAAATATCCGGGGCCCCGGATCCACAATGGTGCAGACCAAAGCTCCAAGTGGAATGAGGGGGAAATTATCCGTCTGAGCTCGCTCCTCATTCATAATAAACGCATGGCAGCTGGCGAAACCAATTCAGTGTGTCCTTTGCACAAGAACCCCAATTCAACACTGAAAGAAGTCACAATGAGTGGCTCGTGGGTAAGCCGCACAACTCATTCTGGCATTAATGTACTAATGAAGCCAGAAAATGTACCTGTATGGCATCGCGCCATGTACAGGAGGTGTGGCATTTGGATATGTATGTATATTCACTACGAGTTAGTTTCCATGCGCTAACAATTGCAGGATACGGGATCGATGAGTGAGTCAAGTTTGTCCAGAGATTGAAGATAAGGGTTTTGACCTTTTTTAGGTGGAATTTTAACAATGCCACAATTTCTCTCCTATATGGGCTACCCTGGAAATTTTTTGCAGGGAGGAATAACTGCATCAATTCAGGCTGGCTCATTTGCAGGGTCTCTCCTGACAGGTGCATTCCTCGCTGATCGTCTGGGTCGGCGGAATACCATTCTTCTGGGTTCCTTGATATTTACTATCGGTGTCGCTATCTCAACAGCAGCAAATGGGGTGATCGCTCTTATCGCAGGTCGTGTTATCAATGGCTTAGGAAACGGTTGTCTGGCAATGATGGTATGGAGGTAACAACAGAAAATTCAGTGCATTGCTGGCTAACACAGAGCTACTGAGCACAGGTGCCCCTTTACCAAAGCGAGATTGCGCCTCCTAAGTAAGCCATTACCCATGAACTCTTTATCTTGGATTGGTCGACTAATGGAAAATAGAATTCGTGGTCGCATCGTCTCGATGCAACAATGCTGTATCAACTTTGGTATTCTTATCGCGTTTTGGATCCAATACGGATCGAGCTTTCTATCCGGAAACGCGTCGTGGCGCCTAGCACTAGGTCTGCAGATGATACCTACCGCCTCTTTACATCTGACAATGTACTTCATGCCCGAGTCACCTCGATGGCTTGCACAACGAGATGAACACGAGAAAGCACTGCATGCACTGGCTAGGCTGCATTCTGATGGCAACATTAATGATCCTTTCGTGCATGCAGAGCTAGCTGAGATCGAAGCAAAAATTCAGTGGGAGAGGCAGAATCCACCTCCATCTTATATTCAGATGCTCGTGGGACGCGATCGCCGTCGAACTTGGCTTGGAATTGGAGTGGTCAGTCTATGTTGTCGTCGACGGTGACCGATTCTGACTTTTATCTAGCAATTTTGGCAACAAGTGACTGGGGTTAATGTGTTAGTCCAATTCCCGCTCTACCAACGAGGAAAGTGAAAAAAAAGCTTGACTAACCACATTCCAAATCCAGAATCATGTATTATGCAGTATTCTTGTTTGAACAAGCCGGTATCAGTTCGACTCGTGGCTCTTTGTTGGCCAATGGTATCCAGGGTGCTGTTCTGAATATTTTTACTTGGCCAAATATGTACTGGATGGACACCTGGGGCCGTCGGACTCCTATGGTCATTGGTGGATTTGGTATGGCTATCTCAATGATGCTTATCGGAACAATCATGAAGACCAAAGGTAAGTACAGGTCGTGCGTGTCCAGGAATTTTCATGTTGACAGAAATCTAGGTAATCCAGTATATAATCCCCTCACGAAGAAAACAAACTTCGACTTCGCCAGCCAAACTGCGTCAAATGCTACCATCGCATTTGTTTATGTTTACGTTGCGGTTTTCGGTCTGACATGGGCATGTGTTGCCTGGGTTTATCCACCCGAGCTATTCACAACGGGCTCGCGTGGACGAGGTACGTCCATGACGTCGGCGACGAATTGGTTTGTGGTATGTTATTGCATGGTCGCGGCAAGTTGATTTTATAAGCATTACGATTGACAACTCTCCTCCTAGAACTTTTGGTTCGCACTTTATATCCCAACAGCCATGGAAAAGATATCGTGAGTTTCAACATACCTCAGCACACGACAAGCGCCAGTCAAGACTGACAATGTATCTTAGGTGGAAACTTTACATGGTATTCATGACTCTATGCTTCACCATGGCTATAGTCGTCTTCTTCCTCTATCCGGTAGGTGTTACATTGCCGCGTGCTGGGTGATGTTCGAGTACTAACGCCATGAAAGGAAACTGCAGGGAAAAGTTTGGAAGAGGTCGACTTCCTCTTTTCCAAAGACCGCACAATTTGGGTCTTTCGAGATCGACAGGCCCGCAAAGTCGGTGCTATCTTCGAACGTGACATGGCCCACGGGGAAGCCCTCACCGATTTCGATGGGAAGATTGCGGGAACTTCCCATGTGGATAATGTAGAGTATGATGCACGGTTGGCTTCCTCAAATTCAGGGGGAGTGTAGCCTCTCACCCGCTATAGCTATATCAGTTGAGAAGTGAAAGACATTCGGTGACTCAAAATTAGTCAATATCCGGCCATGTAACGATTAGCTTGAACCAACTTGCCAATGGCCACTCTTTTACGTTTGCAGACTTTGCAATGCAAAGAACTCGGTGTGTGTCAGTAGATGTGCAGTCTATGTTTAGGGTAGCCATTCCCACATGCCGTTGACGGACCGCGACAAGAAGACAAGGGCCAGGCCCATGGAATTCTAGTGCGGCCCGCAACTCTGTTGGCACAAAAGCACCTTGTACGAATAAGGACTAGCGTGTTGATCATTCGGCTTAAAGTCAGTTCTTGGTAATTAGTGGATATCAATTTTGGAAACTGAATGGGTAAATATGACCGTTTTTGCACCTCGAAATACCCACTTCCTTGCTCAATGGGCGCTAAGAGCCCCGTCAGCACGACTAAGTCGGCCTTGGACCGTACTTCATCGGCATGGATTACCGTCACTATTCGCGTCGCTTCTCGATGCCCATAACTATTTTTTGCCTCACTTGGGCTTGTCTTTCAGATGCAACTAGTCCTGCAGAGCTAGATCAAACTTTTTACATCCCGCTTAACTAAAGGTGGAAGGAATACCAAGTGAGACGCCACGAGCAGCGTGGCAGGCCTGCTTGGGAGCGACACCTCTCCCTGTTCATTGGGAACGGCGCAGCTGGAGACAGAGACTAACTTTCTTTATTAAGATATACGCACCGCTTGAACAATATTGACTTACACCAGGCATGAAAGCAATGCCTGTCTCTTGCCGCAGTGCGGATTCATTAGAGCTTCAAGGACAGTGAACTGCATAGAGAATAAGATGTCTTCGGAGGGCTTTGAGATGGTTAGCCCGATACAGGCAACGAAAAAGACAACAGTCAAGGTTGCACACCACATCAATGCGTCGGCTTCTCCCGAGTCTTAGGTGAAGGCCTAGAACTCTGAGAATCGCCCAAAGGAGACGACGGGGTGAATCCAATATTAAACTTTTCTTCTGCGTAATAGCAACACTTGTATACAGCACACTATACTGAGTGATAGCGGCTGATTGGAAGGAAGGTTTACAACCTGTATCCCATCATTGTAGTTCAGTAAAGCAGCCCCCGATGCTGCGGTCGGCCGTCCCAGAAATCACATCCGGGACGTCATCCGCCGACTAAAGCGACAAATAAAGATATACTGGTGATCACTATGCCAATTATCATTTTTTTACCGCAAGTGGTGATGATGGACGCATTGACAGGGGGCATTGTTGGTTGGGAAGAAGTTTCTAGGAATTTTTTGCCGATCGGGACCCCCGAGACTTATGGATCGTTAGAGCCGATGGTACGAGGAAAATACGCCACGGCGCGGCTGTGGCTCGCCAGCGCGCACAAAAGACCGATTCCATTCAAGACCACTGTGGCTGGCGTAAAATAGGTATCGCCGATTGGGCAAAGGCTCGCTGAATGTTCAGCTGGCAAATTCCTCGAAGTCCCCATACATAGCATTTTCCTCAGCTACAGCCCATGGTGTAGTATAAAAGACGGTCAAATCTTGCGGGGGAAAGAATCAATACTCACACTTCTATATTCTCTTCTCTATTCTCTCTAGACTACCAAAATGTCTACGGAACTTTCGTCGCCAATCTTCGCTGGGAAGACCAGACAACTAGCACTCGAACCACTTGTCCAGGCTTCAAGCCTTTCTCCTCAACCCTCACAACTAAGAAAAACTACGGTTCCACCATATGTCGATAACGAAAACTTTTATTTCAAACACAACCGAGACGAACTATGTCTGAAATTCACTAGCGATTGGAAAGAATCTCAGAAATCCATGGATACTCATAGTGACGTGTGGGCCATGTACTTCCCGCCTAGTATGAATCTCGAATACGACAGTGAATTAGAGTCTAGACTTGCTCAAGACCTTGGTGATTGGCCATGTCTGAAATCGATCGATGCCCCTCTTGCTCGACTGGGGCTTCAAGTGGCCCGTCTCTGTTCAATTAAATCGTCCCTCAGCTACGAAAGGAGGATATTACTACACCGGCATGTGACGTGGATATTTTATATGGATCAAGTCAGTGAGAAACTTGCATTATACGACTTGCATTCCACTGCAGGGAAGACCTACCTGGACAACCTCAAAAGTATTCTCAGGAACGGTCCCGTCACAGACATGACGCAGTTCAAGGGATCTTGTCCAGACAATTTGATCGAGAACGCCATCAACGCCCAGCGAATCCTAGCTGAAGATTTAATACCGCTTAAGAAGAAACTACTTTCCCCACATCATCTGTCCGTGTGCAACGATGCCCTTGACCTGTTTTTCGACACACAGACAGAAGAAGGTGAAAGGTTCTGTGCTGAACCATCATTACAAAATATCTACCAGACGAGAGCCTTCACAGTCGGGACGATGGTGCCTTCTATCCTTTACATGACAACTGAGCAGGCTGAGTTGTTCACACCTGAAGACCCATGTCTTATCCAGCTCTCAGTCATGGCAGCTCTTTGGAATGATATGATTGGAATATTCAAGGATCTAGATTCTATTGATAAGCAAGATGATGGGTCTGTCTACTTGAATTTCGTTCGCGCGAGCATGAGGGACCAGGGCTTGACTGTGAGGGATGCCTTACGCGGCTGCGCTCAGCGACTCAACACTTTAGTTCATGATTTCGAGTTCTACTTGACCTCATATCGGCCTGCTCGACGTCAGTTCTACCACGCGAATTTGGAATTCACCTTCATGTACTTTGACTTCCATTTGATGGGGTTGAAAGAAAGTGCCAGTGAGCGCTATGGCTGGAAGATTATTCGATAGAATTTCGATAATTAGGTTGGATCTCATGGGCAGTCCACGGGTGTGGACAGCCCTATATATAAACGGAATTGTTCCTTCGCTAGAAAATACAAGAGACGCACCCTTTCATTCGATCAGCTGATATATTTTCAGCTGAGAATCTTGTCAAAGAAAATCAAGTGTTGTACATTTATAAGATTGTTCTATTCAGCACGGTCGGAATAAAGGGAGATCGAGCTTTGTTGTGGTTCTAGGCTAGGGCTTGCGACTATGAAAGTTGAGGGGGTTCTGCAATATGAGATGGTTGTCTAAATTTAGCCAAATCCCCCCAAATAGAATTCACAAATGATACGAGTGCAGTTCTAGTATGAACACGAGGGTTGCCTTAAAACCAACCTTATTGGCTCGCGATACCGGGCACCCAATGTGAGATGTCAAGAGGCCCGGACACCACAACACTTTAGTACGTAGCGACCGCTGGGACCTTGATCCTGAGACCCTCGAACACTCTTGCGTTCACCCTGATTCACTCAAGTCTCTATCAATCCATTAAAGATGTCGGTCCTTTCATTTTTGCACTCTCAGCTATTCGTGACCCCGCCCGTCCCAACGTACGACTTTGGGGGCCAAACTATAATCATCACTGGGGGCAACAGAGGCATAGGCTTCGAGGCTGCTCGTCATTTGTTGAAGCTGAATGCGAAGCGTATCATCCTAGCTGTTCGCTCAGTACAAAGGGGACAAGATGCTGCAGAGGAGCTTGAGAAGTCGACCGGTCGCTCTGGCTCTATCCAAGTAGAAGAGCTGGATATGACGTCCCATGTATCTGTAAAGGCTTTCGCAACGCGAATGGAGAACGTTGATCGCCTTGATGCAGTACTGCTAAACGCAGGGATGTACATCCATGAATTTTACCTGGCTGATGGCTATGAAAGCCGTCTAACAGTCAATGTGATCAATACAGTTTTCCTCGCTTTGCTCTTACTGCCGACTCTGAGGTTCTCTGCCGACAAGCATAAGTCTCAATCGCGAATCAGCTTCGTGTCGTCGGATCGACATGTCATGTTTAGCTTACCCGAGTGGAAGGAGGAAAAGCCATTCGAATTCCTGAGCGACGAGAAACGGGCAAAGATGCAAGAGCGGTTTGTGGGCCATTTGGCGTGTCTGCGGTTGATATGTACTAACTTGGTGTATCAGGTACATGATCTCGAAGTTGATGTTGATTCTCCTAGTCAGGGAAATGGCTGCTCATGTCAAAGAGTCCGATGTCATCATCAACACTTTCACTCCTGGCTACTGCGAATCTGGTCTGATTGATGAGATTAAAGGATTCGCACGTGTCGTTCTAGATCTTGCAAAGAAGGCTACTGCTCGCACGACAGAGGTTGGGGGTCGCACCCTTGTGGCGGCGATTGTGCCGTGGCCAGAGAGCCATGGGAAATATCTTAATGACTCGCTTATCGATGAGTAAGTCAAATTGTCCCCGTTATAAAAGCTAGAATATTTCAGTTGACCGAAATAACAGCTCGGCCCTGTCTCCTTTCGTACGGAGCGAGGAAGGCGCACAGGCGCAGCAGAAACTATGGAAGGATTTGTTGAAGATCTTAGAGCAACGAGAGCTTGCAGTTCGGCCACTGATTAGTCCGTGAGCCTTGCACGACTCAGATACTTGTGATCGATGGTTTTGGATAGTCGACTTCGTAAGCCTCTGCAGGATATGTACAGTTTTGTCTAGTCAAGAATTGAATCAATTGCAGGATATATTGTCAAAAATGGAGCCTCCTTGCATAAAATCCGGACATGGTGTAGTTGGCTATCGCATCTGACTGTAATAGAATTTCAGTTCATCAGAAAGTCCGCGGTTCGATTCCGCGTGTCCGGATAACTTTTTTCTTCCTTCTTTTTTTTTCTTTTCGGATAACCCTAGTAGCACCCCGTAAAGGTCTTGGCGTCAAGTACGCGTAAATATATCTTCCCTTAATTTTGAATATGCCATTGTCACTGATCTATAATGGCCTGCGATATCAGGCTTTGATGAAATCATTCAAGTACAACAATACTGTTCAGCACAGTATAGTTAAGGGAATTATCATTCAGGCTGTCCAGATAGCAGTTCTACAGATCTAAACCGACACCTTGTTAGCTCAACTGATAAACCATATATGCCAGACTGTCTCATGTCCGCAGCAGAGAAGTGCTCGGTACAAATTTCTCGTGGACCTTGAAAATGTCCATAAAAACCTCTTCCTTCTTGTTCGGGTCCTTCCCATACCCACCACCTCCAGGCGTATGTACAATGATATGATCACCAGGATTCATATGCGTTGTTGCCTTTCCACCAAGACTGATAAGCCTACTCGTACCATCGGGATACTTTCGCAACCACATATTCACCCCTCGACTCCCATCCTCACCACCCGCCATTCCATATGGAGGAATAACACGCCTCTCGGATAGAATAGAAACCTGCATCGGCAATCGGAATTCGATGTCGCGAGTACACCCATCTCCACCGCGGCGGCGTCCAGCTCCACCACTTCCATTCCGGATAGAGAACTCGTGGAGGATGACAGGATAACGCCTTTCGAAAATTTCCGGATCGGAGATACGAGTGTTGGTGATATGTGTATGCACGCCGCTTTCGCCATCCCAATCTGCGCCGGCCCCCGATCCGCCAGCGATAGTTTCATAATATCCAAATCCCTTGATCACTTCCCCGGTTTCAGGATCGCGGCCACCGTAACCAAAAGTTAGGTTGTTGCAGGTACCCTGAGAAGCAGCCGCGGCACGAAACGCCTTGAAGATCAAATCCACAATGCGTTGAGAGGTCTCGACGTTAGACCCGACAGTTGCCGCTTTGAGGGATGGTGAGAGGAGGGTGTTGGGTGGGCATATGAGTCGAATAGGCTTCAGGCATCCCTGGTTCAAAGGGATGTCGGAGGATATCATCGACCGAAGACAATACTGCACTTGATTAGAGAACCTTTCTATCACACACTTCATATCCAAATTCAACTCACCATAATCCCCGAGTACATGATAGCGGGTGGACAATTCAGGTTTCCAAAATGTTCTGGTCCAGTACCGGTGAAGTCAAAGTCTGCATCGCCACTCTCTTGATCGATGGTGATCTTCAGTGCCAAAGGAGTTCCATCGTCGATGTAATCCACGGCCTCTAGGGGCTGTCCTTTAAACTTCCGAGCGATTACTTTGAGAAGCTCGCGGGTCGACTGGCTGGCATTGTCCTGAATGGACTTCATGTAGAATTCCACAACGGGCCAGGTGTATTCTTCGATCAACGACCGGATCAACTGAATACCCCTATTATTAGAGGCGATTGCAGCTTTCAAATCTGCAATGTTGTCCCGCAAGGTCCGTGTACCACTTGACCCAGGATAAGAAGCCGGGATATCAACCAACACCTCAATCAACCCGGGCTCATCGAACTCACCCTCTTTGACAATCTTGAATGACTCTACAGCTGCACCCTCTTGCCACAACTCTGTCGAGTTCGGAGGCATGGAACCAGGCTGGATTCCCCCGATATCAGCGTGGTGGCCTCGATTCGCCACGAAAAAGAGGATTCTTGTCGGATTTTCATTGCTGTCAAAGACGGGTGTGGTTACTGTTAAATCGGGAAGATGTGTACCACCAGAGCATGGATGGTTGCTCAAAAGCACATCGCCAGGCTTCAATTCACCAGGCTTGTATAGTCGTGCCTGGTATGCGATTGCATAACTCATGGAGCCCAAGTGAGCTGGAATGTGGGGAGCATTGGCAACCAAGCTACCATCCCCAGAGAAGACTGCACAGGAATAGTCAAGTCGTTCCTTGATATTCACTGAGATTGAAGTCTTTTGCATAGTGTGGCCCATTTGCTCGGCCACGCTCATGAATCGATGTCCGAAGACACTGAGCTGCACTGGATCTACAGCTTTCGTGGTAATTTCAGGCTTAGTTGCTCCAGTAATTTCAATCACGACATGCTCTGGCAAGATGATAGCCGAACTTGCAGGGTCCACAATAATTGTCTGGGTCTTGTCGATTACCATGGCCGGTCCATTGATGCAAGTGCCTACTTTCAGGTCCTTGAGCGAGTATAAACCAATATCAAGCCAACCGACCTGTTCAAAGTAGACTTTAATGTTTCTTTCTGGGTTGATCGGTGTCGCTGGAGGCGAATTGGCGAGCTTCTTCAGTTCAGCTGTTGGGCTAGAAAGAGAAACATCCATTCCCTTGCCAGTGCTCCGAACTCTCACATCATCGATCAGAATTTCTCTCGGTTGAGTAAAGCCAAATTCCTGCTGATGGCGCGCAGAAAATGCATCACCAAATTTCGAGAAATCTCCTGGATAGGAAATCATCAACGCTGTATCGCTGCCCTGATACCTCATGTTCAAGAACAACTCATGCGCAATTTGGGACTCAGGAAATCCCTGAGAAACAAGCCCAGCGACACCCGCTACTTTCAACCTTTCGAATCGCTCTTCCAGTCTGGGGAGGTTCTCCATGGTGTAGGAAGTTGCCTCTGGCTCCTGGTTCTCAACAACCACGTCTGCCAGAGCCATGCCATATGCAGACAAGATGCTGGAATATCGTGGAATCAAAGCTCTGTGAATACCGAGATCCCTTGCAATAGCTACAGCATGTTGCCCACCGGCGCCACCAAAACAGCAAAGATTATGTGCCGCAGTCTCGAAGCCTCGACCTTCACTCAAAGTCCGAATCGGTCGAGTCATAGTTGCATTCGCGATAGAGATAAACCCGACAGCAACCTCTTCTGGAGTAAGCTGGGAGGATCCGTCTTTTTCGGAATTAATGACTGCGGTCAAAGCAGCGAATTTTTCTTTGACTACTTCAAGATCTAGAGGTCGTGGGAAATAGTCCGGTATGATCCTGCCGAGGAACAGGTTCGCGTCTGTCACAGCTAACGGACCACCTCGGCCATAACATGCTGGACCGGGATGGGCCCCTGCGCTGTGTGGGCCGACTTTGAAAAGCCCGTTCTCCCAGAAGAGCATCGATCCACCGCCAGCAGCCACGGTGTTAATGTCAAGTTGTGGCGTCTGGATCGTAACTTGAGCAATAGTACTTTCGAAGATGTGTTCCAATGCCCCAGCATATCTGGCGACATCGGTACTTGTACCACCCACTGCAGCATGTTAGTGAACATTCGTGGAAAGACTTATATCACAAAATGAACCTACTGTCAAATGCCAGTATGGGTGTTCCATCTTCGGAATCATAACATGTCCTTGACATGCCAACAACACCACCAGCAGGCCCACTCAACACCCCGCGAAGACCAGAGAAATTTGCGATCGAGGTTAAACCACCATCAGACTGGTTCAAAAAAACCTTCTTCGCGTGTTCGTCTTTCAACTCGCCTTTGAAACCTTTCCGAAATCCGTCCAGGTATTTCTCCGTCACAGGCGACAGATAAGCGTCCGCAACGGCCGACTGACTTCGAGGAACCAGCTTCGCCATGGTCTGGAGCTCATATGACACGGCAACTTTGAAGCCAAGCTCGCGCGCTACTCCCGCCACTGCAACCTCATGCTCTTGGTATGTGTATGAGTGCATAAACGCGATAGCGACTGACCGATATCCTCGGTCCCAAAGAGCGAGCAAGTCTTTCCGGACCGCATCCAAGTTCGGAGTACGCAGCACACGAACGACTTCGCCCGTCAACCCCATATGTAGATCCTTATCAGAATCAACATCAATCGGCTTTGGATCGGGGTCTTCCGAGAATCCTTCGATCGTCACGCGCTCATCCACCTCAACTACCGTCTCGTATAGCTGCCGAAGTCGTTGAACAGACAAGTCAAAAATATTGGGTCTCGCTTGATTACCGATCTTCAGCAGGTCTCGGAAACCCTTCGTGGTCAAAAGTGCGATGCGGTCCCCTTTACGTTCGAGGAGCGCATTCGTGGCCACGGTAGTACCCATCCGGATGGACTCTACCGGGGTCAAGTCTAAGAGAGTTCCACGAGGTATCGGAGAGCCGCTGGCAAGCTCAAGGATCTGACGAATACATTCTGTTGGAGCATCATCGTACTCTGTTGGGGATTCGGAGAGGACTTTGAAGATCACGTCTGAGGAATGACCCGGGATCTGAGCCCAGGCGTCGGTGAACGTGCCACCTCTGTCAATGGCAATACGAATTCCAGGTTGAGTCATATTGGCTATGGAGTAAAGTGAAAATTAATATACGTTGAATCACAGTAGAGACGCGGTTTATATTTACATTGAAGTGAGGGGAAGTCGGTCATGCCCCGCACTTCCTGCTTCTGCAGATCTATCAATCGCTGTGATCAGTACCTTGTGTAGGTTCTCGGCGCGACGCCGCTCCGCTCGGCTGAAGAGCTGTCAAGCCGATAGGCTGCAGATAAACTAGATAAAGCGTCGGGAAGCAAACCCGACACGTCGGCAAGGAGATGCCGAAAATAATAATGACCAGATATCTGGATAGCTGGCTATATTCCTAATTCTTGTGAGAGCTTAATCATCCAGCCAATATCTGGAATGTGGTATACATTTGCCGCAAAGTTACTACCCAGATGTGGGGCATGATATGCAGGTGGTCATTCTGCTTGACTGTGTTACCTTGAGAATCCCTCATGATTATTATAACTTGCTAGAGAACTGTCTTTCTTAATCGCTCTTATTTCCTTCTCCTCGCAGCTTTCTTTGCTCCTCGAGCCAAGAGCAAGACCCAACACAAAGGTTGAGTACAATTACCACCATCGTTGTTCGACTTCGAGACCAGTGAACACTCAGGCTTGGCACTCATAAGAAATACAGAAGACCCCTGCTACTGACAGTGGCCAGCCTTCAGACAGTGCGAGCTATGAGCCAACCAGCGGAGGATAAAAGACAGAGAGGCGATTCTGGAGTCGTTGTCCGAAATCATGTCCTTCGTTGCCCTTCATACCGGACCACAGAGGCTGGAAAGTGCCCTATAGACGTTTGGTCAAGCCGATAAATTTGTCTGCCCATACTGAATCAGCAAATTGGAGGGATCAATTCGCCCCTGCTACCTGGGCTAAGTCACATGTGCCCCACAGGACGCTAATAACGTCAATCAGCAACCTTGTTCGCCTTCCAAATTTGTGATTCTGATTTGACGTATGATGGACGTGGATCCAGATAAACTGATTGATCTCGTGGAGCGACGTCGGCTTCAAAACCGTGTGGCCCAGCGCAAATTTCGTGGTGAGTTGTCGACTTCTTCAGCCCCGCTTCAGCTTACGCTTTGGATTGCTAATCAGGCGTATCTGCCACATAGAGAAGAAACGTCGCGAAGCACGAAATGCTTTTCAAAATGGCTCTCATCAGCAGTCAAGCGGATCACCTAGTGCACTGCCGTCTGCCTCGTCGATCAATTCCGATTGTCCTCAAACAGTCTCTCTCGCATCATTACGGGCTCCTTTGACAAAAGTACCTGATGCAATCCCAACGGAGTTGCCGAATACTGCCTTCGAACAAGGGAGAATGAATGCACACATTGATCTCGATACAGTTGACTACTTGCCACGCGAATTAAGCAACGAACCTTTCCTCTTGCCGACCACCCCCAGCTTCCAATCCGAGTTCGTGGTACCAAATTTGGACCCATCGACAGTCGTGCGCACATTCTCACCTGAACAGTGCGATACTTCATTTATAGACATAGCAGGCGGTCATTTAGACTCTTGGTTAGGCGACAGTCGACCAGGAGCTCCATTCATGCCTTCCGGGCTCTCAGATTACGATACACATCATGGCCCATCACTGTCCCACAATGATAACTCGCTTCCCGGGTTAATAATATCAAGCAAAGATGATGGATGGATCAGCTCTCTCCACATTGCAGCTCAGGCTGGCCATGAACAAATTGTGCAAGCTCTACTGCAGCACAACGCCACAGATATAAACAAAGCAGACAGCGACGGTCGCACAGCGCTAATACATGCGGTCGTTGAAAATAACCAGTCGATTGTATGTTTACTCCTTGGAAGAAGCGCGCGAATAGGTGCATCTGACTGTGATGGCCGCTCCGCCCTTCATTGGGCCGTGCTATATCGTCGTATCGAGATACTAGAGGTGCTTCTGAAGCATCGCGAAAAACATGAAGCAAGCCTCGATATTGATACGCATGACAGCACAGGATGGACACCACTACATATGGCTGTCCGTAGAGCCTTTGAGCCGGGGGTCTTAATGCTCATCCAGTCCGGTGCAGACATCAACGCCAAAGCCAGTAAATGTCCGTATACTGGAAACGTAATGCCACTGTTGAAGGGACAGCAATAATATCCAGCTATGGATTTGTTGCCAGGAGGAAGAACAGCAACTCTGAGGGACACTCGTTTTCTGTTAACATGTTCATTGTGGCTATAGCCCCTTCTATCACAGCTATCAGCTCTATAAAAGTTACCTGATCCGATATATACGTCTACCAAGGCTCCTCCTCGCCGGTGTATTTGAACAACTTCCCACTATGACTCTCTCGCGTAGCAACATCAACAACTTTGACAACGCCTCCGGCACTCTGTTCGACTGTCAGAGTGGCCTTGTCAGTTCCAAAATCAACCGCTCCACGGTTACCGATATCTGTCTGAACCCAACTTTTGAGTCAAGCAATATTAGCGACACCATATCCGTCAGCGATTAGTATCAATTGACTTACCCTGGGTCAATCGGGAAAGCATTCAACCATTCATCCTCCACAGATATGGCCTTGGTATACCAGTGCTGTACCAACTTGGTAGGAGCATAAGCCGCATTCCGCAGAGGAACGAAGTTGCTATCAATCTGAAGTATTAGCACGAAGTCTTCAGAAATGGATGATGTTCCTCATCATTGTGACTCACTATAATTTATGTTAGCTGTTGCTTCTTTCGTTCTTTGGGGATCATCAATTGATCCTTACCGTTAAAAAGCCAGCGGATGATCCGATAGTCACCCACTTAGGCTCCTTAGCCTCTCTAAGAAGGGTGCGGAAAGCCTGATAGAGATAGATGAAGCCGTAGATATTGACATCAACGTGGCTTTGAATATCCTCGACCTTGACTTCTAAGACTCGTGGCCACAAAGCACACATTCCTGCATTGGCAATGAGGGTATCAATGTGGCTGATACCTTTATCGGAAAGCTCCTTTACAGCGTCTGCAGGATCGGTGGCCGATGTCGCCTCGATTTTGACGATATGGAGCTCAGTTCCATCAGCTCTGTGGAGATCAACGAGAGCCTGAGAGGTAGGATGGCCTGGATCACGGGTGGCAGCGATGACAGTGTGATTTGGCTTTTTAAGGTAAAGCTCCAAAATGCCTTTACCAATACCGCGATTGGCTCCAGTGATGAGAACGATTGTTGGAGCCATGATTTGAGATGCTATGTAGCTTGGCCAGTTCGCGACTGGGTAGGGTGAGACACTGTTCAATTGAAAAGGATAAGAAGGATCAAAGAAAAGAATAAGTGAGGTTTTGATCTGCCCTTGATGAAGATTTGACAGCTGTATACCTGAAGTTATATACTTAGATGTTGAGGGTAAGCTTAGGGTAATCAGTCAGCATGTGACGATTAATCTTAGTCGGGCACCTCACCTGAGCACGCGACAGCCTTGTCTCCACTAAAGTCCGGCTTTTTTGGACAAAGAAGTACTAGTGCATCTCAATATCCCTCACTCTGGCTAATGAGAGTTTTTGTGATTAAGGGTCTATCCAAGCCACATCCTTCGCTCCCCACCGCCCTGAATCCCATGATATTTACATATGTCCTTAAAGTTCTAGACCATCTACATGTGCAGTTTAAACTGCTGACTTGGCCTGGCCAAGCCCCTGCGAGGTAAGCTTACTGTGGGTCCACCCCAACCACTCAGAGTGCAGCTGTCATCTAGCCATTCTGGTGGAATTTATATGTTGCATCAGTCTCGCATACATAAAGATACATCCCATTCTCTCGAACATTATGTCTTTATGTCGTAGTCGTCCCTTCAACGTACGAGCATTGAGTTTTTTTTTGTGCTTATAGCAGTGTATCCCGGCTGGCATATTGGACCCTCAGATGATAGTGGTGTTTAAGAATCTTGCGGGAGTGGGTGTTCCGTTGTCTAAATCTCGAGTAAGTGGAGATTTTTCATTTGGGCAATATTCATGAATAAACGGCAGTCACTTGGCTTTTTTTGGGGGTAATAGCTCGGGGTCAGGCTTGTATGCCGAGGTCAATGGCAAAAGCTTGTTTTGTTGGACTTATCCGTTCCCCGCAATTTCTTTCAAATATCCGCAGTTGCTGGAGCAAGTTCGTTGACACGGGCGACGAACTTCCGCTTTTATTGCCCAGTAGGGCCTTTAAGTCGGCTATATCCCCAAGTAAGACTATCAAGCTGTGCATGCACCCCCACGTTGGGGTAATACGCTAGTATGCGGAGCGAACTACCCCGTCTGAGCGGCTTGGACCCTGTCTTTTAAGGTGTTATTAGGGCACTTGCCCATCCTCATCATTGGAAAGGAGACGTGTTTCTCTGGCTAGCAAAAAATAATAAACGTCAACATGGCGCCATTTTGGGGCTTACGAGGCTCAAGACTTCATTTTGCCATCTGGGTAGAAGCTTGCTTCTGTGTCATGATTTTTGGCTACAATCAATCGTCTGCTGGCGGTGTTCTTTCAGATTCGACTTTCAACCTTCAGTTCCCACGAATGAACACGCTCTCTACAACAGGCTCCCTGCAGAAGGAGAATTCCAGGATTCAAGGTGAACTACCCAAGGCAATGACCAAGGCCACACAGCTGACTCCATCTAGGAACGGTCGTCGCGCTATACACACTATTTGGAGTTTTTGGAGCACTGGGCTGCACCTTTCTTGGGGACATTTTAGGTCGCCGAAAAACAATATTCCTTGCCAGCGCGGTTCAAGGCGTCGGTGCCATAATACAATGCTCATCCTTCGCTTTCGCACAGTTCATCGTAGGCCGGATTGTGTTGGGCCTTGGCACTGGCGGCATCATTGCGACAGTCTCGGTTTGGCAATCAGAAGTTTCAAAGGCGGAGAATCGCGGTGAACATGTCTCTGCATTTGGCATTTTCTGTGGCTCTGGCATCGCTTTGGCATTGTGGATTGCTTTTGGGATGTCTTATACCCAACCGAGCTCTGTGTCCTGGCGCTTCACCTTGGCTTTTACCCTTTTCCTTTCCTTTCTTGTCTGTATATCAATTTTGTCTCTACCCGAAAGTCCTCGCTGGCTATGCAAACAGGATCGCTGGGAAGAGGCCCAGGAGACCCTAGGACTACTATACGATGAGGATCAAAGCAGCGTGACTGTGAACAAAGAAATAGAAGACATACGAATCTCGTTGGATCGAGCCAACAAAGGAAGTTTGGGAGCTATGTTTAAGATGGGCCCTCAGAGAGTGTTCCATCGTGTGGTGATCGCCGCGGTGGCCCAGATCTTTCTGCAAATGACAGGAGTGAACTCGATCACGTATTATGCGCCGACTATTTACCAGCAACAGCTTCATTTCGGACAAACTGATTCAGGGCTTCTGGCTGCATCATCGCAGCTTGTCTTGGTTATTGGGGCATTTTGCTGTGCATGGACAGTCGATCGCTTTGGACGCCGGAAACTCATGATATTCAGCGCCTCCAGCATGTCTATATGCTTTGCTTTGATTGCTGGCCTGACATCGCGGCCCGACAATCCTGCAGCTTTGAAAGCTGCTGTGGTCTTTCTTTATATCTACTTCTTTGTCTATGTTCTTGGCTTCCTTGGGATTCCATTCCTCTACGCCAGTGAGATCGCACCAACCCATCTTCGGGCTGCAACATGTGGACTGTCGACCGCAGTTTCCTGGCTGTTCAACTTCTTGGTTGCCGAAGTCACACCTTCTGCTTTCGACGATATTGGCTGGAGGTATTTCATTGTCTACTGCTGCCTCAACGCGTCATTTGTCCCCGTCATCTATTTCTTCTTCCCTGAGACGGCGAAGCGCTCGCTTGAAGAAATTGACGAGATTTTTGAAGCTTCAACGAGTATTTTCGACACGGTTTCAGTCGCGCGAAAGTTACCAAGAAGGCACCTCGCAGAATTTCTGAGAGAAGAGAAGGCGACTGAAGTTTCCCATATTGAGGCTTGACTACTTCGCAAAATAACCACGCCTGATGATTATAAGAATGCAGCGCAACGTATATAACGATGTTATTAAACAATTCAAATTTGAGCTATTAGTACAAGATTTCAGGAAACCGCTTTAATTTAATTGGTCAAGAAAAAGTTACAATGACAGAACATTCGGTCGGAATTTCGCAATCCTTTAACCCAATATGGAGACCATGGTATTTCTGCTCTCAAAGCACCACGTACTCTACTTGTATCATCAATCAAACCGCTTTTGAATGAAAATGAAGTAGGTGGTATTCCAAGTTAACTGGACATCGTAGCTTTTTATTCGGACGATAAACATTGTCTCTCACCTTAGTAGGGTATTACTGAGAGATGGGCCTCGAGAAAAAGATTATTTTGGTGGATACATGAGCTAAAAAAATGTCAATTCAGGCTACAGGGAAGGTAAATATTCCCGGTACTCAAGCTGAAAAGCAGCCAGTCAGGTTTAGCCAGTGAACCATCCAGCTTACTAGAAAATTCATGTTTAGGCCAGTGGTAATGCCGAAAGTCTCGCGGAAGATATAATAAATGGAGACGATTGCGCCATACCACCACCCCCTCATCACTACAACAAAGTCTTTGAAATAGCTTAGATCTTTGAAAGATTATGTCGATAACATTGGAACATGGGTCTATAGGAGATTGATTCAATCTCATCATTGTGTTCTAGAGAGATGATTTACTTAGGAGTAACCTTCCGGGGGTCAATGGAAAAGATATATTATCCAATCTCGAAGCTTGATATGAGAGGACTAAATGTACGCGGCCAAGGCTTTACTCTGCAGTGACGTGATCAAGATGCGCAATGGGGTCATGCCTAGCACATGTTTATTTAAATCAACTTTGTCTCGGAATTCTGATAGCCAAAGCAAAGTTTGATCATGGCGACCGACACAGAAGCCAACCTGCCTCGAGAGCAGAGCATAGTCCAGCCAACAAAATCGTGGAAAGGTTATATCTGGGACACCTGGGAGCTACCGAGCGACGAGCGATGGCTATTATTTAAGCTTGATGCGTTTGTCCTCACATTTGCCTCTGTGAGTTAACTTCATGGCCCAGAAAATCTGGAGAAAGCTAAGATATTTAGATCGGCTACTTTCTCAAATACCTGGATCTTCAAAATGTCACAAACGCATATCTTAGTGGCATGGAAGAGGACTTGGAGATGTACGGCAATCAACTAGTGACAAGTACTTCGATCTTCACAGTCGGCTATGTTATTGGACAGATTCCTTGCAATTTGCTGCTCACTCGCGTCTCACCGCGATGGGTGATTCCTTCGGTAAGCTTGCTTAATCCCGCAAATATTGTACATTTCCTTCGATGCACGTACTAAAGTTTTGCAGCTCGAAGTTGGCTGGGGAATTGCCACTATGTGCATGTCGAGTGTAAAAACCTATAAGGCCCTCTATGGCCTTCGGTTTCTTGTTGGACTCTTCGAGTGAGTAATTCATTCTTTGTCACTGATGGATGAAAAGCTAACCCGCGGGACAATAGATCTGGATTTTACCCCGGTATTCACTATCTCCTCGGATCTTGGTACACACCCCGTGAGATCGGCAAGCGAGCAATGATATTCTGGCTCGCGGGCTCGATTGGTACCATCTTCAGCGGTTTTCTTCAAGCTGCAGCCTACACAAACTTGGATGGGGTGGAAGGTCGAGCAGGATGGCGATGGCTTTTTATCATCGACGGTATTATCACATTGCCGCTTGCCCTTGCTGGATTTCTTTTTTTCCCTAACTTGCCACAAAGCGGCAAGAAGACCTGGTGGACTACCCAGGCAGAACATGAGCTTTCGGTGAGGCGTATGGAGGCGATCGGTCGTGCCGGTAAACAACCTTGGACCATGGCCAAGCTGAAGAGGATTTTAAGTAGCTGGCACACATATCTTCTTCGTATGTCTATCATCCGATCTGTCGCTTACTTAAGAAAAGCTAACAGTGTGGATAGCCTTGTGTTACATTGTCTGGAACAATGGAAGTCCGCAACTTGGTATGGGGTATTGGCTGAAGAGTTTCAATACAACACCTGCTCCGGTCCCAGGCACATCTTATACGGTCTCTCAGATTGATAACTGTGAGTCTTGCCTTACAATGTGACGTGAAAATACTGACTTTACAAATATAGTGCCTCTGGTGTCGACTGCTATCTTCATCTTTGTGGCCCTTGCCTGGGGCTTTCTATCTGATGGACCTTGCAGAGGTCTGCGTTGGCCCTTTATATATGCCGGTGCTATCATTACAGTACGAAGTAGCCACATCCATGATTCCTTGGCCATATTGACTAATCATACTACTTATAGCTCATATTTGATGTGCTCCTGCGACAAATGCCTCTTTATACCAACATACCCGGTCGCACGGCTGTTTACTGGCTCAGTCTCATCGGGGTAAGTTTGAAGCACCGATTCCAAGGCATCCACTTTACTCACATCCAAAATAGAATGGTGCTGGTCCACTGATTCTCAGTTGGACCAATGAGATTTGCTCAGCTGATACTGAAAAGAGAGCTTTGATTATTGCATTAGCCAATGACCTTGCATATGTTGTACAGGCAGTTGTATGTTATTCTGCTTTACAATCGCCACGGGCTTTTTCTAACTAGGTGCAGGCCCCCAACTTTGTATGGAAAACTACAGATTTCCCTGCTGCAAAAGAGGGATACCTCTGGTCTATCATATTGCAGATCTTGTTGAGTGAGTCTCACTCTTCGTCTCACAAAACGTCATCTATGCTAATCGACTGAAGTCATCGTCACTGCCACTATCCAATTCTTACTTTGGTGGGACAGCAAGAAAGAGGCAAATACGGAGATTGAAGGGTTTGTTCCAGAATCGTCCGGACATTCTTCCATTGACAGCTCGTCCATTGATGGTAGTAAGGTTTCTGGTGCTAAAGTAACATCCGTTGGGCTGGAGTAATAGCTCACAAGCAGCTTTGTATCTCAAAGAATTATTCTATTGGATTCGTGCAGAATTTGAAATACTTATGCTCTTATCAAAATATAAAGTCAGTCCATTTGTAATGGTGGATCTAGAAACTCACACATCATTCGCTGTGCAATAAAGCTGGGTGTCTGTCATACATCGGCTGGATGGCATCTTTTCGCAATCAGTGAGCTTACTGAGAGCGTTCAGTCTTACAAAATTGTTAAACACCGTCTCAGATAAATTCGGCGACCCGTGTGTGCTGCCGAGATGCTTTTCGGCAACCGGATCGCTACCCGATTATAGATAAGACCGCATGCCAAGTTGAATGCCACATTATTAAAGGGCATATCTTTAGGCCGCCATTTTTTCTTTAATTTTACCTGTTATACCTTATCACATACCCTCGAAGTTCTCAAAATGGCCCGCTTCAGCTTAGAAGAATTGCCAGTCTTACCACTGGCTGAATCCTTTGCACTCACTGCGGCCTACAACTCTGACTCATTTCCCGACAAGGTCAATCTCGGCCAAGGAGTCTATCGTGATGAGGGTTCCCAGCCATGGGTTCTACCAAGTGTTCGATCCGTGAGTTCTCAAAATGCAACCAAGTCCATTTGCATTGAGCCGTACTAACAGTAAAACTAGGCTGAAGAGCGTCTCCATAACCAGAATCTTAACCACGAATATCTTCCAATCACTGGCCATGCCCCTTTCAATCAAAAGGCCCAGCAGCTGATTTTCGGTCGCGAGCTGGCAAGTCACCATAATATCCGCACTATGCAGACAGTAGCAGGAACGGGCGCAAATTACCTCGCCGCTCTGTTCTGTGCGCGTTATATCCGCCCGAAGAATGTGTTTATCTCCGACCCAACCTGGGACAATCACTATGGTATCTGGGGAACTGCCGGCCCAGACGTTACACAAAAGCTCTATCCTTACTATGACGCCGTGGCACGGTCCTTCAACTTTGAGGGGATGATAAATGAGCTTGAAAATTCAGCAGAGGAAAACGATATTGTGGTTCTGCATCCTTGTGCTCATAACCCAACAGGACATGATCCGACGCATGATCAATGGAAAAAGATCGCTGAACTCGTAGGACGAAAGCGTCTCTTTGTTGTTTTTGACAGCGCCTACCAGGGTTTTGCCTCTGGTGATCCCGATGCAGATGCATGGGCGATCCGATACTTCTACTCGACTTTCTTCAATCATTCATCTCCTTTGTCGAAAAACTCACCAGCTGGTATGCTCGTCTGTCAGTCATTTTCCAAGAATTTTGGTCTTTACGGTGAACGTATAGGGGCACTGCATCTTATCAACCACCCCTCTGTCTCCTCTGAGGGCGCATACTCGCACTTGGTTCAGCTGGCTCGTTCGGTGATCTCCTGTCCCTCTTTGTTCGGTGCCAGAGTTGTAGACACCATTTGGTCTGACTCTGAGCTACGTACACAGTGGGAGAAAGATGTCAAGACAATGGCATCGCGGATCGAAAGTGTCCGTGTCGCCCTGAAATCAGAATTGGAGAAGATCAACACAAAAGGAGATTGGTCACATATCACACGACAGATCGGCATGTTTAGCTATACTGGGCTGTCAAAGTCGCAAATTCGGATATTGAAAGAGGTGCATCATGTCTATATGCTTGAAAACGGGCGCATGAGTATGAGTGGGTTGAATGGCAAGAATGTTAAATATGTGGCTCGTGCGATCAAGGATGTGGTTTCGCAGGCACAATAACTATTTCACTCCAACTAACCCAAAGTAAAAGCCAACTCAAATCTTTAATTCTAATCAACACCCTTGAATGGTCTCAAAAATTTCAACACCTCCTGAGTCTAGTCTTTTCCTGTCTTAACTAAGCGATAAATCCGTTTATGCTGCTCCAAAGCCACCAATGTAGCGATTGTCTGAGGTCCCAATCGGATAAAACTAGGAGTCCAGCCCCGGAACAGCCATCGGAAGCCTTCCTCCCGCGTAAGCTGCCTCACGATATTCAAGACAGATTTCTTCTGGGAAGAACTCATCAATTGGGTCCTAATCACATCCATAGGGCTCGAGATTGATGTCGCAACCAAGCTAGCCAGTACAGACGCACCGAAGTGAATCAAAGGTCTCTCTTCATTGGTTTTGGCGACGCTTTGCAGCAATCTTTTGAATGCATCATAGGAGGCCAGCTGACTCGCGGTCATGATTCCAGAACGGAAGCAGTTTGTCCAAAGTCCCTGAGTAAACGCCCTCCAGCCCTCATGGCGCTTCATTTGAATCCATGCATCGAAGACGTTTTTGTAGTTGCGACGGTGTTGGACCGCTAGTGAGCGGTCATTTTGCATTCTCACGTTAGCAATATCTGATGGTGTGCCGAATATGGCGCCTGCAAATCCTGAGACTGCCGCCATTATAGCTAATCTTGGGACTGTAAGAGGTTGGTCCGACTTTTTTGCCGACAGTTTCAGCTCTTCGTAGAGAGCAATTCGAGAGGTTCCATAGGTTACTGGATCAAGTCAGTGTTGGAGTTCTGGATTCGGGGAAATCCACTCACATGATCTCATGAAGCCAGCAGAGAGCTTGTTGAATTATGTTAGTCTATTCCGGTTATTCTTTCTTGATTTCAGTACTCACACCATGATATAGCCCTCTCGTTCCCTCACTTTGGACAATGTGAAGTCCAGTTCGAAGAAACCCCTCTTTGGCGCCATTTTGTACCGTCTGCATTCGAACTTTGACTATAGAAATTAATCAGATGAGTGTAAAATTAAAAATCCTTACTGGGTGAGCTTACTGAGATCGAAAGGATGCGAAAGCAACACCGCCATACATGAAGCAGACCCGCCAAACCATCTGGGATAACTGATATCCGTCGGTCTAGCTTCTTTCTGAGAGACATGAGAAGACATTGGCAATATTTTTTGGTCTACCATCTTAATTAAGTAGTTCGGTCGAGATCGACTTAATTCTATCAATCAATCGTGGAGCTTCGTATACGATTAGAGCGGTGGTAGGACCTCGGTAAGGATATGTGTTGGTGAAATGGTATGGAACCTTTGCATGCACAAACAAAGAGGCGACTGGAATAAGGATAAGAAGCAGAAGCTGTTATTCAATAGAATTCGTTCGATAAATGGATGAATATCGGGGTATTGACTGGATGTGGACATGACTATACCCCACGCCTCGGGACACACTTCTGGTAACCGAGCAAGACGGCTATATGCGCCACCAAGTATAGTTAATTATGCACCTCGTTTTCCACAGCCAAATTAGATAAGCCCATTCTGTCTTCTCTCGAATTGTCGAATCAGTTTCTGTCAATCATAGGAGGCCTTATTCATGACTCTTTAGACACTTAACTATGTACTGGATTTTTCCTGGCGGTTCGCGCTGTCCCTTTCGCTGTCCCTTTCCGGATTAGCGCTCACCACCTCGCCGCTTTTGCTCATTGAGTAGAACTGGGAATGCTCCCAGTGCTGAGGTTCATTCGCCGAGCGCACCACAGAAGACCAACGGTACGAGCGAGTCACCTAAAGAAAACGCGGGACGCTCGTTCATGGGTGAATGCCCATTTGACTAAAAAGTTCAATATCCTATTCAGAAACGGATGGCTTGGAGCACATAACCATAGCATTTCACATTTTACGTTTTACATTGAAGACTAATAGCGCGAGATTAGCATATCTAGCCTATCAGTTTCTCAACAACACTCTAGGAAATGTTCGCCTTAGCTTAGTAACTTTCCATGCGTCAAGAATCAATTTTTTACGCGATGCTAACTAGGCATAGATTAATACTCTATAAAGCACTTACTTGCGTACCTCAGAAAACATGCGTCGTCAGATATTTCTTCTTCTTTTCACAATTAGATAGTCCTTCTATGTCTTGCAAAACAGAAACATGAACTGTTTTAGAATTTGTTCCATAAACATAATCTCTTTGTAGTTCGTGGACATAGTGTCATTGCACTCAGCTTCCCTCGTCACTGGATTCAATTGCAGGCGTACTGCATACCCTCTACATGCCCTCGGGTTCCCTGAAGTTCAATAGATTCTCCAGAGATATAACCGGGGAATGTGGATTCATAGCCTCGAATTTGTCATTCTCTTTAACAAATCACTTCCGATCGCGGACTGCCATTTAGAAAAAAACTGCAGGCTGAAGGTACTTCTGATGCTGTCGAAGATTGAATACGGGGCTGCTTTGCCAAATAGAGGTGGTAAACTTGGGAGGCAGATGGATATAGAGCTCAGATCACATTCGATCATTGTCCAGGACATAAGGTAGCTGACGATTGCTTTGGGTTGATTAGCGGCTGTGCAATTTGGAGTGTACGTGCTACATGTACGTACCTTCTCCATCGGATTGGGCAGCTGCTCAATCGTGGCCACAAGTCCTCCTTGAAATTACATGATGTTTGTGGCAGAGTTCTTGGTGGAGTTCGTATCCCAATCAAATGACCACTCAGGAAGGGTCCTATGCATCCTGCCCCACATGGTGAACGTGACTGTTCCTGGCACTGAGCCATTAGAGGTTTGGAATCCTTGCCCATCCGTAGTGACCTCGTGTCGAACATTTCTGACGACAAGTGTTCGTGCTTCAATAGAAGAGCTTGCGGTGGCGTGGACATGCTACGTCCTTGTATATGTACAGGTCATACATATCGCAAGGAGGCGGGAGTATTCTATAATAAAATCATCTTATTAATGCGCATGTAAAGCCATATATTGAAGATATCTTACCGCATATATTAATATATGTAGCTCGTTCTTGGTATGCACCACTGCCATGATTCCATAAACCAATATGTCGGCGTCTTCCAGGAAGATTCTCATATCCAGTCAGTATGTATCAGGTAGGCGACTAATCAAACGCATCCACGACATATGATACACATATATATGTAGATATATACAGCCATACGAGTGGCTGAGGCAGCCATGACCCTGGTTTCATATCGCATAGTAAGAGGATTGAAGACTGTCTTATATCAAACACACAAGACACACGAGGAAGGCAGTCGGCAATGCCGGTTTGCGATGCAATTTAATGTGCACTGTGCGAATAAGTGGGCTTTTTGGTCCTCTGCGGCTCTTCAAAATAATCAAGTAATAGAACTTTGGAAGAGGCAGCGACCAGGTCCAAATGTTCAAACCCATATCGGAGATAGCATATGCCTCTAAGAAAGTTATCTCAACATGCCTTTTCTCTGCACCCACTGCCACGGGCGCCCATGCGTAGGATGGATGCGCTCCACAGAAGAAAATGGAGCCAAAGGTAGAGGCGACTGTCCAGACAACGATCAATATAATCGTCCTCTTTATACCATATCGGAAACGGTTCGCATCATTCAAGAATCACAGAAGACTCAGCGATAGAAGAACAGTGTACTCAATATAGTTGATGCGAATGCGAGAACGGTTGCGATGTCGACATAGTAATGAAAATCTTGAAGATTTATAAGAGAGAGAGACATTCCTGCTGCAGCCATATACGTTGATGAGAGATGGAGAGAACATGCTTTGTACTTGGCCCCCAATATCGATCAGGCGCCTGGGCTCATTACAACAAAGAACTGTATTTTACTGTACGATACATCAATCATATCTAGAGCCAATTATACAGCGCGCAATGTCAGATCCGTCCATGCCATGCCCTTCTTGGTTGGTATTCACTTTGTTTGCAACTCCCATGCCCCCACCTTTCGAGATATCCCAGGTAGAATCTGATTGACGCTTTCCACACATTGCTCGTTTTCAATATTATTTGCGCCACAGAGCTTATGGTGTTCCTTCAGGTCCTTACGACCAGCGTTGTCGTGGCCCTTCTTTGGGTGGTGACTGAGTCAATCCGCCGTATTTTCTTTCACCCTCTATCCCATATTCCAGGTCCCCGCCTGGCCGCTCTGACCTGGTGGTACGAATTCTACTACGATGTTGTCCTCCCGGGCAAATACATTTTTAAGATCCAAGAATTGCATCGCGAATATGGTACATTGGGCGTTTCTAGCTTTGAGCTAGCGGGCGCCAGAATACGAAGCTAATGATTAAGCAGGCCCCATTCTCCGCATCACCCCAGACGAGGTTCACATCAACGATGTTGGCTTCTTGGACACGGTCTATGCTGGTTTGAGAGACAAGTACGAGTACCCATTAAAGGCCCTGCGAGTGCCTGGAGGAGTAGGCGCCACAGCAGATGCCAAGCTCCACAAGTTGCGCCGCGAAGCTCTCGTGCCCTTCTTCAGCAAACGCAATGTTCTATCCCTGCAGCATCTGATTACAGAAAAGGCCGACCAGCTATCTGAGATTCTCTCGAAGCACGCTATAGAAGTGTCGCAAGCCAATCTGTCGGATCTCTTTTTTGCATTTTCCAATGAGTGAGTGGCGCTCTCTGTTCTATTTCGAAAGCCGGGCTAAATCAAAACAAGCGTCGTGACCAACTTTCTGTTTGCCCACAAAACGAACAGCCTCGCAAATGAGAGACAGGCAGGTATAGCTCGGGATAACAGCAGGCAACTCCTCTTGGGGGTCCATGTTAATAAGCATTTTCCCTGGATCCCGGGCTTCTTTGAGGCGCTACCGACCTCTATCAGCAGGCCTTTGATGCCCCCGGGTCTCATTGATATGTTCAACCTATTTGATGTCAGTTTCCATGTGTCAATTCAGATCTGTGTACCATTTGCTGACCCACGGCAGAGAGTTCGCGGAGAAATCTCCAGTATCATGAAAGCCCAGTCAACTGAGGCTGATATAAAAAGCGGGCGAAGTCCGACCGAAAAAGAAGCCGTCTACGAGTCTGTCCTGGTCAATGAGTCCCTTCCACCCCATGAAAGAACTTTGACCCGATTGGAGCAAGAAGGCGCCCTCCTCGCCCTAGCCGGGACCGAGTCCCCAGCCCTATCCCTCAGCATAATTTTCTACCACCTGCTTGCCAACCCGTCGATTATGAATAGACTTCGCGCTGAGCTCGAAACAGTCCCAATCCACGCTTCGTGGTCCCAACTAGAAAAGCTGCCTTACCTCATGGCAGTCATTGAAGAAGGCAACCGTCTTTCATTTGGTGTGACAGCACGCATTGGTCGTCGTGCACATGAGGAGCTAATTTTCACTCCGTCGCCTTATGCCACTACTCTTGGTACCGGCAAATCCTACAAAATCCCTGCGCGTACGCCATTGAGCATATCCACTCTTAGCGCACATACCGCACAATCCGTCTTTCCGGACCCATTTACATTCGACCCTGAACGCTGGCTTGGTGAGGCTGGTCGGGAGCGGAAGCGTTTCCAAATGGCTTTTACCAAAGGAAGTCGTAAATGCCTGGGAATCGAGCTTGCCAATGCTGAACTCTGTTTGGTGATTGCGGCTTTAGTTCGCTCATTTGACATGACCCTTCATGAGACCGACGCCAGAGATGTCTCGTTCGAGCACGACTATCAAATCGCGATGCCGAAGATAGGATCTAAAGGTGTTAGGGTAAATGTCAAAATCAGAGATTAGAATAGCTGTTAGAAGGGTTTCACAAATGTTTTACATAATTTGCGATAATAGCAGCCATAGGCTGCTGGGCAAGAGTTCGATCTAATGCAGATTTAAGCCTTTTATGTGGCGTTTTTGCAGCTTCAGCAACTCTATCTCTATTGAGCTGCACGCAAATTCAAACGGATAATACTGCTCAGGTGCTCTCTAGTGTCAGAAATAGAGTCAACCTTAGAAGGCACTAGGGCGGCTAGGCTTGACAGAAACCTAAATCTTGTAAGGCGGAGCACTCTAGCTAATCACCAAAATTTATTCCAAATATTCTTCGAAATGAATTCATTGGATGGATCGAAAACCCCTAGGCATGATATTGAAATTACATATCACTGTTTCAAGGGATTTTAATGGCAACACCTGAGAAGCGGTGTTCAATCGAAGCACGCGACCGGGCTCGGTCGCAGAGCCGACCCGTTCCCGAAATCTGGCGCTAACCATGTCATCGGCATCAACTTCTATCTCCGAACTCAACCTCAAACTAAGCCTGGCATCTAGCCCTTCCTGAAAATTTGGTGAAACTATATCATCTCTCACCTCATCATGACTTCCAAGGATAAGAAGCTTCGGATCGCGAGCCTGGGGAGCTCCTTCGCCGCGGGCCCTGGCATCCCCCCGCAAATTGAACCCCTTTCTGCCGCGCGCTCCGGGCAAAATTACCCTCATCTCCTAGCCAAGGAGCTAGATGCAGATCTCACCGACCTATCAGTCTCCGGCGCAACCTTACTCAACATCACAGTTGATCCACAAAACGCACCCTTCGGAAATGACATCTTCCCACCTCAAATTCAGTCAGTGCCCGAGGATGCAGACATCATCACTGTCACCGCCGGCGGAAATGACATCGGCTATATTGGCAACATGATGCAGGACGCTGCGTCCGCAACTATGCTAGGTTCAGTTGCCATCACCGTCATACGGGGTGTGAAGTCCATTGCATCTATGTTTTCCCAATCGACAGTACAAACGACTACTCTCCTCTCGCCAGAGGAATTAGCTGAGAGACTAGGTGACACCCTTGATAAGATACACGCAAGAGCCCCGAAGGCACGCATCTATATGGTCGAATATGTTGCGGTTCTGGGTCCTTCTACAAAGCCTCGCATTGACATCCCTTTTGATCAAGAAAGGATTGACCATCATTCTCAAGTGGCATCTACATTGCAGAATGCTTTTGTGGTGGCGACAGCGACAAGATCGGATTGGTGTGAAAGGGTACCAATCCATGAGCTTAGTTTGAAACACGCCCTTGGTAGCGATGAGCCTTGGGTTGGTGGCTTTAATTTGTCCTCCGTTATGCAAAAAGGACCTGTTCTTCACCCTAATCTTGATGGAATGAAGGCGGTTGCTGGCATTTTACTTGAAACGATTCGGAAGGACACGCCAGGACAGGCTGAATAATTAAGGAAAGGAAGGCGGCGGAGACGGACCCACGTTGATCGAAGAAATAGGATTGCGAAATACCTATTAATGAGTCACTCCCCGTTGACCAGAGTGGCACCTCCCAATTGGCTAGGCTTACTGTACTATTATTTTGAGGCATTAAGGTTGAGATATGCAGGAACGCCCGGTTATATGTGTTAAGGTACGCAAGGGGTAACTGTGCACCTGCTTCAGGGTTTTACATGCGAAACAGATCGTCACTAAAATTGCTTAGCCGGAACAAAAGGGGTTCATTCTGGAGACCCTGTCGTCAGCGACCCACATATTTTGCCCTTCCCTCAGGAGAACGTGTACACACAAGCTGCGGCCATAAATTTGGGTTGAGCGTGCTTGTGCCCGCTAGTTTCAATTAAATGGCAATTTCCTCTCCAAAGGGTCAAGCCAATCTCAATAGTAGAATGGCTATAATATCTTCATATCTGTATTGAAATTATATAAGTTCACCCATGGCGATCAGAAGGATGATCGACACAATTCTGGGCAGCAAAAAAAGGAACTCAATAGTACATTGTATCACAAATCAGGATCGACATTCATGGTCCCCATATGAACGCAAGGGCTCCGGAACGTCATTTGCTTGTTCCTGAGGGGAATCCAGAACAGATCTGTTTACCCAAGTGTCCTGTCAAACTCCAAACTCGGACTTGGACTTGGCTCTCCTCCAAGCTGCAACTAATTATACTCACGTCAACAACGTGCTGAGGTCGGCAGCGCCTGAGCTGTCCGATTTCCACATGATGTTGATCGAATTCTTCTGGGTTTTTCCTGTGATCTCTGCATCAACATGGCTAAGTAAGTACGATCACTCGCCAGGGTAACATCATTGTCCATCCTAACTGAATGAAACCTCAGCTATGCTTTCTGCGATGTTAACACATTGGGTGGTTATTGGAGAGCCAAGATTCGGCAGGATGAAGCCCGAGCAGACTATACCGTGAGTATTTTTCTCGTGCAAGTTCTGTTCGTGGGGACTAACCTGATGCCACTAGCTTCATCTCTGACATTGGCGCACAAGAATTGAAGCCGTTGTTCATGATTGGAAGCATCATCACCATGCTATTCATGAACATTTCGTTCTACCAATTCTTGCAGTATAAAGAACATGTCAACAAAATTTGCATGTACCTGTCATTCCTTTTTGCAATCTTTGGAAGCCTTGGATTGGTCATGTTGTCTGTCTTCGACAACCTTGATCACTTAATATTGCACGATAGCTTTGTCGCTGTTTTCATGTGAGTCTATTCTGAGTGTCAACATTAATGAAGACTCTGCTTACCCTCTGCAGGACGGGCTACTTGGTCAGTGCAGCCGTAATATGCGTAGACTATTTCTATCTGGGCAGATCCAGTCGCGTGAACAAACGCATGCTCATGGCGAGTTTTGTGATCAAGGTGTCTTTTGTCATTGTGGAGCTGGCCTTCATTTTGGCATTTCGAATTACTGCTGCACAAGGAACCATTGAGAAGAACACAGCAGCTATCCTTGAATGGGGTATGCATAGTCTCCTAATCTTTAGTCCAAGTGGTTTTACTAATGCTCGAACAGTCATTGCCTTTACATTCACTGGTTATATACTTTCTTTTATCATCGATTTACTACCGTCAACTCACAAAAATTCGGTCTCGAGGCATGAGTATCAACAGCTGGAGATGGATATGAACTCTTCGAGGCTGATGATCTGATTTTTTTTTTATTTTCCTCTGTACATTATTGTGAAAATAGACTTCATTTCTAAGATTGTTCAAAGAACATTTACAGTTGTGCTCAACAGTAGGTTTTGGTTATTAGTAGGTGAAATGAAAGGTAGCAGCAGTGTGTAAAGAAACAAAAAAAAAAAAGAAACATGGTTGTCCCACCAAGTAGCCCAATTCCTTGTAACAGGACGGTGTATTCTGGCGACGCCATCCCAGGGTGAAAGTGCCTCTGCAGAATTGCTTCCCTCAAGTATCACTTTCATTGCTTAGCGCCAAACAGCGTCGCGGATTACTCGCGCGAGTGAAGTGACGACCCCAGGATTCGTACCAGGCACCAGTACCTGCTGGTCAGGTGACCGAAGCAAGGTTGCGGATTTGGCGGTGAGCCTTCCACTAGGTTATCCATGACAGATTACCAGATTTGGTAATCATTCAGTCTTATATCCCTAAACATGTCTCGCTATTAGCCCATATACTTACTACCCCGTACTGTCGCCACTGCACAGTAACAAACCTTGTCTTCCACACATCTCCACATTGATATTCAAAGATCATACTACTCCTGGATCTTTGTAGGGCTCATCGTATTCTTGCAAGGGAAAAATTTCCATTTCCAAGGCAATAAGGCCCCGAATCAAGTATGGATCAAAGTCTGTTCAGGAACCATGGCCAACCATAACCTAGAACGTAGTTTGGAAAAGGAAAATTGAAAAGAAAAAAATGAAATCTTCACTTCCCATAACCCCGCCTTACACTGGATAGCATCGCCCCCAATCAGGGATCATTACTTGGCGAAAAGGTGTCTATCTGCATAGCCCCCAGGCAAAGGGAATTCCCATGACGTAGATTCCGGCGCCCTGGCGCCCGCTACTGTACCCGGCAGACGATCGGATCATTGTCCCCATACACTCCCCACCCAACCATGGCCTGATCATGTGAAGTTGTGGAGATACTTTTACCATCCGCTCATCTTTGTCTTTCCTACCCCATTGTGACCCAGTTTCCATTGCCAATATGGCCCCATTCCGTAACTTCCTCGGCCGAAAGCCCCAGCCCAATGGTGGGGAAATCGACGGCTTCAACGAGAACAATGAGAACAATTCGCCCAGTCAGCTCCAGCGTCCCGGTCCCACACCAATCGAGGTACGGGGAAGCCAAGATGGCATGCCTCCTGAGTACAAATTGAGTGGTATGGCTAAGTCCCTGAAATCGCATTGAGGCGGCCGATATGGTCGCTACAAGCCAATGGGGATGTCCATGCTAACAACCACAACAGTTGTGAATGACAGCGGCGTCTATCTTCCAGTATGACTTCTCTTTGCGATTGAACAATATATGCCTCTCAGGAACTAAATGACCTATAGCCCTCACCACCAGAGAAGCAGAGTTTCTGGTCCCGCTATCCCGGCTCAACACGATCATCAAATCACCACCGCGATCTAGTGGATGAGAACGAACCATTCTCAATATCGCGCGAATCTTTCGACTCTTACCGTCGGTCTTTTGTATGGCACACCTTATCATTCTGTCGCTCTGCACATCACTAACTCAAGCATAGGACATCTCCGCCCGCGCTCCAGTATGTCACCACGATGCCGTCCCAGCCCGCACCTCCCTCGACTCCCGGTTCTGCCGAGTTACATCACCTGCCGTGCGATCCACCACTTTTGAGAAGCCCGAGGTTATGAAAGAAGAGGTCTTCGAAGAAGTTGGTCTCAACGACGAAGTCAAGCCTAAGAAGAAGAGCATTTTCGCTCGGTTCGGCGATTCCAGTGATGCGCCATCATCCGGCAAGTCTACTCCCTTTGGGTTCCATATGCCCGGCAGGAAGCGTGGGCAGAGTGGCGGGGCCTCTGAATTGAATTCTATTGCCAAGCCTGAGTCCATGACGACAACTACCTCTGAGATTAATGGTGACTGAGCAATGATGAATGATGAAACTTGTCGGTAAGGGTTTGATTATTGGGAGGCGTTTTGGCTTATCTGGGGGCTATGCGTTCTATGCCGAAATCCTGGGACTGCACGATACCTGCTGGATATGGGATAGGAGGCTACAGGGGTTATACTTATACGGGCTTCCTTTTGAATTGTTTGCGAAACGCATTTTGTACATTTCTTGGTCTTGCGAAAGTGATGTCAATCGCTGCAAGAGATCATGTACCTTGGACCACGCATCTTTATGCATAGATGGATAATGTACAACTGCAAATTAATACTTGGATGAAATTCCATGATCGTCCTGCCTGTACATTTATTAGTGCTACATGTAGTACTCCGTACATACTGCGCAGCAGATTGACTTTGTCTTATCACTGCAAACTGTGCAAACATGGAACCGGCAAAAAAACTTCCTCCGCCCGCAAACCAAAAAAATTATCTCTAGCACGCCGAGCATCACCAGCTCGGATATTCACCTACCTTTTTTCTTAACCGGTTCCAGAGACGTAGCAAAAGTCGCTACCTCATATTCCCACAATGGCCGGTGTGAAACGTCCCGTCGATGCCAAGGAAGACCGCAATGGAAAGCGCAGCAAGCAGGCCTCCGCACCCTCGAAGAAATTCAAGGCCGCTGAGCCAGTGAAGAAGTCCAAGTCGAAGGACGTCAAGTCCGGAAAGAGCGACAAGAAGGCTTCCAAGAAGGTCCAGAAGGACGAGTCATCTGAGGACGAGGACGAGTTCGATATTGACAACATCTCCTCCGACGATGATCTCGATGAGGTTGATGAGGCTCCCGAGGAGGATGTTGATATGGAGGATGTGAGCGATGAGAAGGAGATCGGCGAGGATGATGACGAGGAGATGGAGAATGACAAGCCAGAGGGCCACAGAAGTATGTTCACTCCCACATGGCGGTGCAATACTTGGAGCAGAAAAACTAACCGATATCTATTTTTTAGACCCCAATGCGAATGCGTCTCGCGAATCTCACATCAAGCAAAAGGCCCTCCAACAGGAGCGCAAGAATGCCAAGCCCAATGCCGATATGATTGCCCGTTCCAAGAAGCTCTGGGAGCAGCTGCGCCGCAAGTCCCACGTCCCACTGGAGCAGAGAAAGAAGCTCATCAAGGAGCTGTTCGAGATCATCACCGGCCGCGTTCGTGACTTTGTCTTCAAGCACGATTCGGTGCGTGTTATTCAGACCGCTTTGAAATACGGAAATTTGGAGCAACGCAAGGGAATCGCCGAGGAATTGAAGGGAAGCTACAAGGAGTTGGCCCAGAGCCGTTACGCCAAGTTCCTGGTTGGAAAATTAATCGTCCACGGTGACTCTGAGACTCGGGATCTCATCATTCCTGAATTCTACGGACATGTCAAGCGCCTTATTCGTCACCCCGAGGGCTCTTGGATTCTTGATGATATCTACCGCACAGTCGCCACAAAGGAGCAGCGCACAAGAATTCTGCGCGAGTGGTACGGTCCCGAATTCATCCATTTCCAGGATGAGAAGGAGAAGTCGTCCGACCTTCGCAAGATCCTGGAGGCCTCCCCCGAGAAGCGGATGCCCATCATGAACCACCTGCGTGAGCTGATTAACCAGCTGATTCAGAAGAAGTCTACCGGTTTCACCCTTCTGCACGATGCTATGCTGCAATACTTCCTTGCTACCAAGCCCGGTAGCTCCGAGGCTAACGAGTTTATTGAGTTGATCAAGGGCGACGAGGAGGGTGATTTGGCAAAGAACTTAGCTTTCACTCAGTCTGGTTCGCGCCTGATGAGCTTGACCCTGGCTTATGCCAATGCCAAGGACCGTAAGCTGCTTTTGCGTTTCTACCGTGAGACTGTCAAGGCCATGGCCGGTGATATCAACGGCCACATGGTCCTGCTTGCCGCATACGAAGTTATTGATGACACAAAGTTGAGCTCCAAGGCCATCTTCCCTGAACTTTTGAACCAGAACGACCCCGAGGAAGCCCGCTACGAGGAATTGCTCTACCAGATCAACGACCTGACTGCCCGTGTTCCCATTCTGTTCCCCTTCGCTGGTGACCGCGTAAAGTGGCTCCTGCCCGAGCAGGATCACGAGGTCCTCAAGGAGGTTCGTGAGGTCCGTAAAGAGACCTCCAAGAAAGACGCCTCCATCCGTCGCGAAGAGTTGGTCAAGGCCGCATCAGCGACCCTGCTCGAACTTATCGCCGCCCGCGCTGAGACTCTGCTTGAGACTACCTTCGGATGTCAACTCATTGGTGAGGTGCTCTTCGAGGCTGATGGCGACAAGGATGCCGCTCTTGCGGCCGTGGCCCAAGCTGCCAAGGCCAAGGTCGACACCCCAGACTCCTCCGTTGGACGTCTTCTCAAGTCACTTGTACAAGGTGGTCGCTTCAACCCCGCCGAGAAGACTGTCGAGAAGGTGGAACCCGCACTCAACTTCCACGGTCTGCTTTACGAGCAAATCCGCGAAGAGATCGTGGAGTGGGCTACCGGAGCGAACGTGTTTGTGATCGTCGCCTTGGCTGAGTCAGACGACTTTGAGAAGAAGAGCGAGCTGCTTAAGACACTCAAGAAGAACAAGAAGGCGCTGGAGCAGGCCTCGGCGTCGGGCGCAGAGGGCAAGAAGGCCGGCCCGACCAGCAGCGGTGCCAAGTTGTTGCTGCAGAAGCTATAAACATCTAGCGAGTATGATTCTTTTTTTGTAATATGTGTACTTAAGGTATAAAAGGAGTTTGCGACCAAAAAGCATCCAATGATTTTATTTTTCATGCAAGCTATTTCCATTTCATTGTACCTGTACCGTTCGTAGGAAGTTGTATTGTAGAAGTGATGGAAATTAAATTCCCCACCGAAGTGGAGCTCCCATGGATCAAAACCGCGGCTCTCAGGGGTTCGTTCCATACAACTGCACCTGCTCAGCCAAAATACTGGCAGTGTTCCAGGCATTGAAATTGCTAGGAGTTGAGACATGCCTTGCATTGTGCGGCTCATGCGTCTTGTGCGACTGAAATCCCTGTCGTAGAATTTGTACCTGTGGATTGGATATCAAAATAGAGCGATAAGACAGTTCCACTAAACACAAACATGCCGGTAATTAAACTTACGAGCTAAAAAACAATGGGGATTGTCAACGCTCTTATGCTTGGAACTGCTGGTTATAGAAAGCTATGACATTTAGAAGAAGTTTATCCACACGACTAGCATTGGCTCATAAGCTAGTTCTAGAAAGATCCATGGAAGACTCGTGGTAAATGCAAAAATGCATTAGATCTTCAAATCCCAGCTGTTCCCCAAATAGGCAATGATCATTAGCCACGCTAAACCGTATCCAATCCGCCCGTTAGGGGCAGCTTTTTCAGGGTAAAACCAGACCGGTCTTTTCCAGTCGACGGTCCTCATTCCTCTTCATATCTTCTAGGTTGTCGGCCCAGGGCCTGAATCCGCCTTCCGCATGCCCTCCCTCACTCTAACCGACCCGGACATGATCCTGCCGTATGACGGTAGCGAGCGCGAATCTTCTACTCCCTCCCCGCCCTCCCAGCTCGTCTACCTATCGAATCTGAATGCCCGGTACAACTCGTCAGACCCCCATGCCGGCTCCAGTGTAGGCAGCTCTGGCAACCGGGCCAAGAAGAATTTTTCGCGCAATGCCTGGACCCACGAGGACGTCACTCCCAACCCCAGACGCTTGTCTGATATCGGAGAGGAGCTGTCGCCTGCGCGTTTGGGAGGGTTTGATGAGGAGGAGACGGGTCAGGATCAGGGGTTGGTGGATATGGTAGCTACTGACGCGAAGGATAATGCGTGGAGTAGTTCCAGCTCCACGGTTAGTGCGGGGAGTACACGTCCGCGAGAGGTGAACTCACCAGCGACTGTTCGCGAGGTGTCGCCTGTTCAGAACGAGAATGCGATCGGCATGTCCAGTGCTGAGAATGAGGAGGTTAAGAAGGTGCTGTCGCCCGAAAGTGGTGCCAATTTGTCGGGTAGTCCTATTGCCATTGCCACGGCTGCTGCTACGGGCAAAGGTCCTGGAGAGGATTACGCCACGGCAATCTTGAGTAGCGAAGCGGAGAGGATTCTGGAGAATGCAAAGAAACGGTTGACGGTATGTGGGGGATCGGCGCATAAATTCCCGAGGAATGCTGACTCGTTTATAGCTCATGGAAGGCAATTTGAATCGCGCTCGTTCTACTACGCGCCTTACACCGTCGCCGTCACCCTCGGCGCCTGGGAATATTCAGCCTCTGGGCGCGCATAAGCCAGCTGGTGGACTTTATCAGTCAATTTCTCGAGCTGATCGCAGGCCCTCCACGCTGCGACGGCAGTCGTTCGTGTCCTCGCAGGACTCGTCTACTAACAGACATTCGCGGGTGCACAGCGACACGAACTTTCCCCCTGAGTCGAGTCTGTCAAATGATAAGAAGCAATTATCGCGCTCCGTCAGTGCTATGGGCGCCAGTACCTCGTCATTCCACCATGATGAGCGCTCATTCCAATATGAGCCTACTCGCGCATATTTAACGCACCGGTCGTCGATCTCATCTATCAAACCGCCTTATTCAGAGTCGCCGCAACCTGCAGACTCGCCGCGGCTTATAGAATCCCCCGTGCCTGAAGAGAGTAGCCCAACGGACTCGCCAACGGGACTGGGCATCTCGGCAGATAACGAGTCAAACTCCAGCCCAGGAGATTTCAGTCCTGTTTATAGTACTGTCGGCCCACAAAGCCGTGCGCAGTCTCAGCTGCAGGTGCGCGACTTGCAATACCAAATGAAAGGCCTTCACATCAAGATCTCATCTCTCAAGGTTCGGACCCAGGAGGACAATATGCGTCGCCGAAGTCTGCAAAGCTTACGTACGCCGAGTCCGTTGACGCAAGCCGATGCCTGGTATGCTAATGCCCTCGAAATGAGAGAGGGACAAAGCAGTCGTGGATCAAATGGCCGACGCGATGTAAGCTCAGAGTATGCTCGCGAGGCTCGTTCCTCTAACGAGCAATTGGACGCAGTCAAGCGATCTGAGCGGACTGAGGAAAGCCCCATAGACCATAATCGCACGAGCCTTTCTCAGGCTCCAGATGCCTGGCCTAGTTCAGGAACTGGAACTTACGGCGACGGACGACAGTCCGTTGCTGAGAGTCTGTACGAAGATGCCGAGGAAGGGGACTTTGAGGATGGTGATATCGACCGTGAGGCGTTGGACGAAATCCTGCGGGAGCCGCTTGATGAAGACCTCCAGAGCCTTGACGATTTCCCTGGTGTTGATACCCGACCCCACGAAGAGCGTGAAGATGCATTTGACTATGAACACTTCATTCTCCACAGTGCCCTTGGCAACTACTCCCGCCAGGTGCGGCGTCCAAGCCAAAGCTCTCGTGGTTCAGTCGAGACGACGCGGCCCAGTCGGTCGGTGCGACACTCACGCACCAACAGTTCCATGTCCGTCTCGACAGTTGCCACGTTTGCGACAGCCAACGAGGGAGACATCCCAGAAGAGGAAGAGGATGATTTGTTATATTGGGACCGGAAGTTCAACCATGGTACGTTAGATCCTTCCATTGTTTTCACTCCAACTAACACCCAGCAGAACTGCGACATCGCCATTCACAAAGCCGCCAGGCTCAACACATCAATACTGATCGTTCTGAAACTCCCCGAGGTGTTCGGGACGACCCAGATGGCTCTGCCACTCCCGTTGAAGAACAGCTGACCCCACGTCGCGTGGACGTGACTGGTCGTTCCTCATCTGCTACCACCGGCTCCGCGACCCCAACTTCTCTCGTGTCGTCTCTCGTTTCAACTGTGCGGGCAGCTTCCAGTCCGCACCCAGGCTCCGTGACTCCAACCTCGGCTGGCGGCATCAATGATGATGATACCCAGATGCTAGAGCAACTGTTTTCGAGTCTGGGCAACGTCTGCATGGATCTCCAGGCGATCACGACCTCTCCAGATCCCGACTTGAAGGCCGCTCGAGTCCTTCGACGACGACTGGATGCTGCACGGAGAGTGTTGGACGGAGAACTGGATACCTAATTTCCCCTCACCACTGGGCATCTTCTCCTTCTCTTACCCAGTGTGACTGCTGCATGCATCATGCTTCTGTACATGTCTTCCCTTCGATCTTTTTACCTTTCACTTCACTATGATACCCAATGATTCCTTTCCTCCTCAACTTGTCTTATTTGTGTCATGTATGATTGGCCCCAGTGGCATGATTCCCCAAGTGCCTACTTTGTTTACTTTTCCACCATCTGTCCAGATTATGCTATTCTCAAAGATTGTGTAAAAAAGTCATACTTATTTAATTGATTACTTATAATCCATCCAGCACATCCTTGCAAAAGTAGTATTACTAAAATCCAATGACCACCCCCACTTCGGACGCGCACAGCAAATAAAAGCAACACAATGATCCACCAAGGACTACACATTAACCGTGTGACAGTGAAGGCGCAAGCACATACATGATCCAATATTCCTACTTAACCACCATTGAAACCCACCATCCAAAATTCCATCATCGCAGACTCTCGCAAGAGCGTGCTGACCCCCTTTTCTGCCCCGCGATCCTCAACCGGCAATCAATCGCCGATCATAACGCGATAAGCAGCCTCTGTCGCGCGCCGGAACGTGGTAGCACGCAGCAAGCAAAAAGCAAAAAAGGTATGCTACCAAGGCGCATTCATTACGTATCCAATTAATCAAAAATGTGATTAGAATACTAACTTTGAATCCAGGGCGCAAGCGCTCAAAGCGCGAGTACGCAGAAACCCCACCACAAAAAAGTCGGCACTTGTTCCGGGTTTTGCGACAATATCAAAGATCGGAATATTTCCAAGGTGTGAAATACTAGGAAACTGGGCTTAGCTTAAGACAGTATTCAAGTTCATACTACGTCAATCACAATGAGCAAACCCTCTCAGCCTTCGCGCCGTCTCCTCATCTTCCAGGAGACGCGCAACCCGCAAAACAGCGCGGAGATGGTCTACCTCCCCGTCAACAAACTTGGTCTTCCTGTTTGCGGTGATGGACCGGAATTGCCATCTATTTTAGAACTGCCGTTACGGAGTTTGCGCTTTTTTACGGAGCTTTTCAATCAGCCTAAGTACAAGGGATGGTATGTTGCTTTCTTTTATTTTGTTTTCTTCGAGTTTGATAATCTTGTTTTTGTTCGCCTTTTATGCATATTTTCTTTTGTTCAAGGCTTAATAGGCCGAGACTTGCAATATATACCCAATAAGCTGTCTAACTATGATATTAGGGCTGTTCTTTCGGCTGGTCCTTACCATGATACCTCCGAAGAAGGAAAATTCTACGCCGTGGTCTTGGAACAGAATCAAGTTCATACGCATGGACAACCAGAAGGAGCTATGGGGTCATCGATGGGGTCGGCCTGATTGTATAGTATATTTCTTTTGTGTTAAAATAACTTCTATGCCCTGGTGCTCTAGATGGTTTCCTTGGGGTTTCTTTTTAATACCGTCCACGGGTGTGGGTTGTTCTTATTCTTGCTCAAATGAAATTGATAGCATTTTTGTTATGTCTCTTCGTGTCGGCAGGCCCATACTTACTATCTGCTTGTTCCAGGCAGTATTAGTACTCGATCATACCTTGGCTGAGGGGAGAAGAGGATATGATTTGATTTTGAAATCAAGGAACAAGTTATAATGACCGTAGTAAGAATGATGTAGTGTTACATGATTTCACAATTTAATATGTATAATCCTTGATGGATTTCGATCAACATATTCAATTCATTCCAGCAGATTGACGATGTATGTCCAACACCACAAAAGTCCATATGTAACAATGAGGATCTTCACAGGATCTTTAAAACAACAGAAATGTAAGAAGTAGAGAAGCTGTGGCTGGGAGCGAATGAAACAGGGGGGCTTCCTGACAAGAAAGGTTTTGGGGATATGTGAAGAGAAGGAAGTGCGCGATTGCCTCCTGGGCCTTAAATGCACCAAGTCATATGACCTCACATACTATGTAGACAAAAGGAAAGTCTAAGTCTCAGATATCTACCTGCTCAGCTTACAAACATGGAACGGAGATGAGTCAAGTATTAGAACATTCAAGGCTACCAGATATCAGTCGATAATCACACCGAAACCCCTCAACACCACCAGCAAAAGAGACAAAATATGGCCTCAGAACCAGCATTCAAGCTTGCATGCATTCCTTTTGTTTCCTCTCTTCGCAATGAAACATCCTCCAGCAAGAATATCAACCATGAAAAAATAAACCCCTAAGAGATAAAAGAATAAAAAGTATCGAAAAGCTAAGATTGTTTCAGATTTGACGGTAAAGCGCTCGGAAATCAAGAGTTGGCCGGCAACAGCAACCGGGCGCTGTGGTGGAGGTCAAGGGAGCGGGAGTCAGATGGGTCGAAGAGCGCATTGACACGTTCCTCTAGGTAGTAGGCTGTAAAACCAGTTAGCAGGTGAATCATCGTGAATTGGAGGCGTTAGACTTACGGGAGATCTGGATCATATCAAACCAGCGGACGGCATTTTCGTCACTGCCCTCTGCGGCCTTCAAGAAGCCATTCTCGGGACGAACGGTAGTCTTGGGTGGGAGACTGCGCATCCGCAATAGCATGTGCAAGATGTCTGCAAATTGCTCGGACTGGGCGTAATAGTAGGGGGGACGCTTGTCCAAGGGCCAGCGCTGAGTAAAGCTCTCATTGTCCCAGGAGCGGAAGAGCCAGCATGTACGCTCGACGCAGTTAAGTAAGACAATGGCCACAAGAAAAGTTTCGAACCAGCCGGTTTTCTGGCGTTGCAGTAGACGACGCTCCAGGTCATTGATGACTGATTTGCTTAGCTGCATGGCACGTTTTTCCATGGCGGCACGAAGCTGGCTGCATAGCAAGGCATAAGACTCTGGTTCTGAGACCTCCTCGATTGGCATACGGCCCTCGTCGGTGGGCTGAGCAAGGCCATGTATCGTAGTAGGGGGAAGGTTAGGGTTTTGGTACACTTTCCATCCAAGTTCAGTATCCACCAGAATATGAGTGGCAACCCACAGCTCAACTGCACGTTCAAGCAAAGTGTCCTTTTTCGATTGTCCCAATTCAGCAGAAAGAAGTAAGGTGGGCTTCATAAATGTCGAGGTTTCACGCTCAAAGAAGAACGGCGCAGTCTTCTTGATGTACAACTCGAGCTTGCTTGGGATATCATCGGAGTCACTGTCCAGCAGGTAAACCTCATGTGAAGGACCAGGGAACTGATCCTCGCCCAGACCTTGAAGCGCAGGGTCGAGGGCCGAAACCGAATTGCGGTGGCCACGAAGACCGTTGATAGTAATAAACACCCTGCTCTCCTCGAAGTGGGTCGCCTCCATGCGACCAACGTACATTTCAAACTTGACCTGGTTCTTGATGGCATTGGTGTCATGGTAGGCAAGGGTAGCGTGCAAGTCTGGAAGATGTCAGTATGGCGATCTTCGTGTCACATCCATGAATACATACTGGCATTGTAAAGCTCAAACTCTTCAGACAGACGAGTCCGAATGCAAGGGTGTTTCCAGAGTCGAGCACTTTCGACGCTAGCGCAGGTGGTGCAGGGGGTGTCGCCAGAGCACTATAAATGTTATTAGTAAAAGTTCGCTTCTTTAAACTGACAGTGGTTCATACAGGTTTCTTTAGCATGCGGCAACGAATGCAAGCACCTCGTTTCCGCACTTCCTGAACCTCACGACGTCGCTCGGCAGTAAAGCGACCTCGTACCTTGGGCTTTGTTGGCTTAGTCGAGTTACCAAACTCGTTCACAAAGCCTTTGGCTTGGGTGTTAGGGTTCATGGCAATGGGGCGCGGGTAAGAAGCAGCTCGCTGGGTGGCAGCCGTCAAGGTCGGGTCGTGCTCTTGCAAGCTGTCGAAAAGCAGTTGTTCCTGAGTCGATAGCTGCTGATTCCACTGGCCCATTTTCATATCACCAAGATGGTCGCCATCCATCAAACCTCCCTGCGGAACCATTTCATTTGCTGAAGCTGCGATCATCGAGAGCGACTGGCGCGCGTTGGAGGCGGATTCGGGTGTCATGGAGTTGTCACCAAGGGTTGGTGACATAGATGCGTGATCGCCTGAGGTATGACTGGGAAGAGCCGGAATGGCAGGAGGGGAGGCTTGGGAACCTAGGCATTGATTGTTAGTATCCACGAGGCTCACAAGAGTCAGACAAACGACATACCTGTGTTATCGTCTCCCTTATCTTCCTGATTCTGTCCCTGGAAGCCCTCGGCCTCAAGTGCTGGGTCGACAATGACTGTCTTGCCACCGGCCGTCACGGACTGGGTATATGCGGGGCCACGCTTGGTGGTGTCAGACGCACCCACTTGGCGAGAAGCCTCAGCCAGGACGTTCAGACCATCAAAGTTCGGACGATTCGGATTTTGGAGCCCGTCTCCTTTTCTACCTGCCGGTGCGTTGGGATCTTTGTTTGCGTCCTCGGTCAGGTCGGGGAGTTCGTGGAGTCGCAGAAGCACGCGCTGGCGGTCACGGAGGGGGATGGCCTGGCACTTCTTGACCAGGTGGTTGGTAAGGCTATCGATACGGCCTTTAGGGAATCGCTCACCGCAGGCCTTGCAGGTGTGCTGATAGCGGTTGCTGGAGTCCTCGAGCTTGGGGCCTCGGTTGAAGAACTCGAGGATGAGTTGGTTGGGTTTGCGTCCCATTTTGCACGGGACAAAAATAGGAGATGTGGGGGTGAAGGATTTGTCGACGTGTTTCAACCCAACTCTCGCTTTAGAGAGCCGATGTTGTTGTTTCTGTTCAATCGCAATCTAATGTTTTCCCAGAATTTGATGGTAAGACGCGATCTAATCCACCACAACAAGACGCGGTCTGAGTGAGATGACGATGGGGGAGAATGGACCGGAGGGGGTCGATGGGGCTCTGGATGCCCACACCCAAGATCCCAAAGAAGTCAGGACCAAAGAAGGTCAGGCGTAGCCTGAATCGACTTGCGAGAAATAATATCTCTCGCAACGAGATGTGCGGCAAAACTGGGGGGGCAGTAGAGGGCGGTCTGGGAGTCACAAGGGGGAAAAGACAACGCGACGGCTTCACCGCACGCAAGGCGGTGATGAGTGGATGAAAAGGCGGTGATGGGAACCAAGGCGGTGGATGAGGAAGGGAAGTGATGTCAGGAAACAGAGCAGAGGTTGTTGTGGGGGATCAAAGATGGAAACAAAGGGAAGTAGAATGACGAGTGGGAGGTCACACTTGGGGAGCGTAGAAGGGAAAATTCCTTCTGTCTCTGGTAGAACGCTTTTTGATTCTACATTGACTTTCCAACCCACACATAATTGCTGCGGGCATTTTTACTATATGTACATTCAACCCTATTCTATTGGACTATTCGATTTAACGGAATTATTGGATGTTTTTTAGAAAAAAAATTCTCCTGAAATAAACCACTGTAAACCCCATCCAATCCCATTCAACAAATCCGGTGCTCAGGAGGTCGCCACGGCACTCCCAGCAATGAGAAAATCCGATGCTCATCCCGACTCTCCAGCAATCGGCCCGGATTGACCTTCACCCGCTGCGCATCATGTAGCACATTCTCATAGAGGCCGCGCTGGTTTAAACAAAGTCCTCTCTTGCGAGCCAGGAGTCGCATACTACGATTGAAAATATCGTTGCCGGTGAAATAAAGTAAGGCCGCCCCAAATTCTGCCCCAGGCACAAAGAGTAGATCGATGCGCCGCCAGATCGGGCTATTGGGGAGAGTCGATGCGCCATGCCATTTAGATCCATCATGATCATGTCTTCGTGAAGTGGCAAGTCCAACCTGGAGAAATCCATCCTCAAATAATTTAGGAATGACTTTGTCCCTCATCAAAGACCGAATCTGGTCTAACGAGGCACCCGGCTTAGTGATGAGACAATCGATGTCTCCCGAGTCCAGTGCCCCGCGGCGGTAAGAGCCTGCAATGATCACCTGCATGTCGTGATCCATTGACTGTACTGCTTTTCGGACGAACACCCCGTGGGCTTCAACCTCCTTGCGTGGGATTCGCTGCATAAAGTCATGATAGTGCTCCACCCCAATGCGCTGGTTCGTGGTCAGGCTCGCTTTCTCGAGGAGATCGCTGAGAGACCGATATCCCTGAGCCAGCCATTTGGACGCCTGAGGAAGACCTGCGCCATAGACACCGAGAAATTCTTGGAGGATACGATCCTCGGCGGTGTGATTCGTATTGTCAAATTGGCGAAGTCGGTTGGTCAGCACGATCTCCTCGATCTTGCCGGCCAATCGCTCTCCGATACCAGGAATAGCCCGGGCCTGCTCTTTTGTAACGATCTTCTCAGTCTGACGACGCAGAGCATTGATTCCTTTTCGATAAGCAAAGTTGCGCCAATGATCGGCGATCCGTTCATAGTAATCGCACATTTGCTGCAAAATTTCAATGGTCTTGCTGTTGGGGTTGTTGCTTCGCATTTCAGGGTTGAATTTCTGCATACACGCGAAGCTCTTTGCCCAAGAGTCCGTCCTTTCAACCTTGGGACCTTCTGGTGACTTTCGAGATTCTTCAGACTCCGATGCCGTAGATTCAATATCGACATCATCTGTGGCTTCATCCGCAGAGTCGAAAGGTTCGAGTGGCTGATGATCAATGTTAACAATCAATCCTGATCTTTGTAAGACTTCGATACTCACCAAATGGCTTATAGCTTTAGTTTCATCAATGAGATCGTCCAGGGCATCCCTTTCTCGAGTTTCTGCGTCACAGACGATATCCTGTACGAGGCCACTGGGCGGTGTCGTTGATACAGGAGAAACACTAGGGACGTTATCTTCATCGGAATTCTGGGTTGATACTTGACCCTGCTCCTGTGCTCGCTTGGATTGCTTCAAAGGTAAAGAGTCCGAGGGGGTAGGTCCCAGTGCTTTGTTTTCAGCTGGTGTTTTGTTTTCGGTAGCCACCGGGGTTCCCTCAACTTGAAACCGACCATATGATGGGCTCAAGACCGAACTGAATCTGATACAGTCTGATGGGTATAACTCATTCACGATAATGACGTTTTCCTGTAGTCATGTAAGTTGGAATCAGAATAAAAGCCTCGAGCGAGTATACACTGACAGGGAAAGTATCCAACTTAAGATGGGTGAGAAGATCCCGATGCAACAGCCCTTCGTCCACGATAATATGGGTCACTTTTTCAAATCTTTCCTGAGCCCACTGCGCACCATACTCCTGGGCTCGTTGAATCCGAAGTCGACGAGAGGGAGAAACGTCATTATTTGGAAAGAAGACTGAAGAAGTTAGCAAAAGCTCACGTTGAGAGCATAACCGCGTTACCCACAGAATACCAGGTCTTTGAAGATCTGTTGGTCTTCAGGGACCACTTTGATATTTTTGTTCGGCTTCCTTTTCTTTGAGACAGGACCTCTGCTCTTTGGGTCTGGCATACTTCCGGTAGTATTATGACGTTGAACACTTCTCACTTTGGGGTCAGTTGATTGCTCAACCCTCCTCAATTGCTCAGTCCTTCCTGAAGCCTTGGCTTCGGTAACCACTGCAATTTTGAATTGGTCTGTGGGTGGTGGCTTTGGGTCTGTGTTCGCCCGAGTGAGTATTCCCGGTGCTGGAGGCCCTGGGCTGACTGAGACAGTGGCCGCGGTTGGAATTGGAATTTCTGAAGGTCTCCGGGCAGCAACACGCTTGAGAAGGTCCTCCTCTTCTTCATCCTCAGTATCGTCGAGGTGATCCAAACTTTCAAGGGCTGCAAAGAAGCTCCTCTTGCTAAGCTGCTCCTCCATGGTGGGTTAGTCCGGCGTCCGATTTAGGAAAGGGCGTCTAATCCATGGATGATTCATCGCAGTTTCCTAGACAAAGTAAGAATGACGGTCACTCTAGGCAGCTCCGACACTGCAGTTGTCAGGTCGACGGCGTGGATCGCGGTCCACGATACGCGAAAGTGTCACCAGGTCACGGGAAAAAGTCTATTTGTCCGAATTCGGGCATTGCTATATCTTTACTTTCAACTTACGATTCAAAGTAGAAGTTGATTCTAGTTGGGGTGATTATTGATTCATTCTTAGTTGGTTCCCTCAATAGTGAACAAAACTTTGTATGGTTAACTGCATGGTTGAGGCTCAGTCGCCGATATATTTCTCCCTAATGGTCCGGCAGTGGTATCGTAGGCAGCCTCCAGCTGTATCCATGAATTTGCATATAATTGATTGGTAAAATCAAGATGAATCAAGGATCAATATTAAAAAGATAGTTTCCTTATACAGCAGAATGACCATTTTGGAGTCAAAAAATCACTCTGAAAATCCGATCAGGTGACCTTCTTTTTCCCATTCGGGAATTTTTGATGCCGGAGCTGTAACCTTGCGACTAGACTCATTGACTTCTCCATCAATAATCTTCGTTCAAAATGTGGAAGACATCAATTCCAGCTTACCAAATGCTGGAGCCAGCGCTCTTCCAAACCAACCGGTGCCTGAGCTGCCAATTCCGCAGCACCAGAACCCTTTCGAACCTCCGCTCTATACGCCATTACGCCACCACCGACAGCACGAAGAAGCCAAGTGATGCTAGCAATGCCGAATTCAAGATCTCCCCTCGCCCACAAAGAGAGGCGCAACCCCTCCGACGCTCCGTTCCTTTCCAGCAGAACCCGGCCCCAATCCCCAAACCATCTTCCAAGCCAGGTGACGCGGACTTCGTACCCCCGGTATTGAGCCGTCCGATCGGCGCAGCAGCTCCCCCGCAAGTGGGAGAGAATACAGGTGTTGATGCTCGTACAATCAAGGAACGACGCGACGACTTTGTCGACTACGATAAGCACATTGCGCGCCGGAAGGAACTGTATGTGGAATCGCCCCAAGCCTCCCTTATACTGCTCCCCCGGACCGGCGCAAATATATGCCATAAATCAAGTCCAGAAGCTAACATGGAATTTCCTACTATAGAACGCGACTAGTTGCAAAGCCCTACTTCCGCGAATGGTCAAACCTGCAATACCACAAGGGTAAGACCTTCATCTCGAATCCACGAATCTTCCGCGCCGACAAGGCTCTTTACTTCCCCAACCTTTCCGGCATTACTCTCGCCTCCCCGAAAGATCGACAAGATACCACAGCCATTTTCCGCGGCAAAGTTAGCGTCGTGAACCTCTTCAGCAGTCTGTGGGGTGAGGAACAAACAACTACATTCACTGGCAATTTCTCAGGCGAAGACAGGAATCCCGCACTAAAGGAATTGCTTGCGCAGAATTCCAAGTACGCGCAAAGAGTCGATCTCAACCTCGAAGAAAACCGCATGAAGGCATGGCTGGTCAGACGGTTTTTGGGTGGCGTGCGCAAGAAGTTCCCTGTCGAACAGCACCCGCGCTACTTCTTGATTGAGAAGGGATTTGATGAGTCCTTGAAGGAAGCGGTTGGTATGGTAAATAAATTCGTGGGATACGTTTATCTCGTCGACGCCGATTGTCGGATTCGATGGGCGGGCAGTGGACCAGCTCATCCCGACGAGGTCGAGGCCATGCATACAGCATTGGAAAAATTGATTGCCGAGCAAAAGGCTGCTGTTGAGTTGCAGTCGTCGACTCCTCGCTAATTCGAAAAACGGGCAGAGCCTACGGCTTGTTCGGTTGTGTAAGATTTTGTGGGTATGCCGCGATTCCCCTCTCCATTGGATTTGTACATAGTAATAGAGAATGTGTATAACAGAAGAAAAGAATAGACGTCAGACGCCATCATAAACCAAGTGCAATATTATCATTCCTGTTGAACAGGAGTTCCACTGGAAAATGCCCAAACCCGGACGCCTCAATGAAAATAAGCAGAAGAATACAATAACCTTGGAAGACGCTGGACGGCTGTAACGGGAGAAGCAGAGAAGCTATAGAAAGCAAAATACCAAAAAATAAAAGGCGATCCCAGCACCCTTAATGGAAGTAAAGCAGCATCAGGAAACAGAACCCAATGAAGCATCCCAAGATAATCGCATCTCTCCGCTTCTTCGTCCCGATCTTGGTCATGAGGTAGTTCATGCCAGGGACTTGACTGGCAGCACCGACAATGCGCCGGTTAATGCTGGCGAGAGTTTCACGCTGCACACCAAAGTTCTCGTTAATCGCATATGCCTGGCTGAGCACGCCGTCCATCATGTTGTGGCTGTTCTCGACTCGGCCACGCTCCTCAAGCATGTATTCAGCCTCGGCAGCACTGGGGTTCGATGCGCGGTAGGCATCAATATCGGAGCGCACATTGGAGAGAAGGTTGGCACGGTCGCGTGCCTCGGCGATAGCGGAACTCAGTCTTTGGAGCTCGCGGCGGTGGTCTTGAAGAACTTCACGATGGCGGGAAAGATTGCTCTGTTTCAGGGCGGAAGATGTGAGGGTAGCTTCGGAGTCAAGAAGGCGAGATAGCTGAGCAATTAGGGCATCACGCTGAGAGGGAGAGCATTAGGCAGCTGTCACGCATGGTACTGGCTTTGGATAGTGGGGACCTACTCGTTCAAGGAGGTCTTTCAGTTGGGATTCAATCCGCAGCTCCTCTTCTGTGGGTTCTGGTGGAGGCTTTGTAAGAGAGGCAAATTGTGCATAAGTATGGAAGAGGTTTTCGGTCTGTGTGAAGCTGTAGGTCAGTGTTTCGTTCAATCTAAGATTCCTCGGCCAGCTCGACCAGATTGGGATATGGTACCTGAGTCTCGAGGGAGCGGGCTTGCTGGCGAAGCTGCGACCAACCGGAGCTGGTGGACGTCATTGAAGGCAAGGTATAGATTATAACTGCAGGAACTTTTAAGCTCTTCGCCGATACCTGTTCAGTTATCTCTTTAGTTCTCACCCCGGACAATCCAGACGACGTAAGTGCATCGCCTGCACTAACCCGATACGGAAGGCCCCTTTGTGCCTTGTGGCCTGACTAAGTGACACCCGGTGGCCCAGGCACCAAGATTGAAACTTTGGTGGTCATCACGTGCTCCGTTTAGTGCGGCCAACTCGCTTAGCCCTAGTCCCACAACCACAATTTGACTGACTCGGACATCTTCAATTCTCAACGCCGACAACCCAGCACACACATCAGTCACCATGGTATGTCGTAACGCCATCGCTACATGGAAACAACGCAGCTGATTGTTCTCTTTTTTCTAGTCGTCCAAGGTCAAGGCTGGTCAGCTCTGGGGCAAGAACAAGGAGGAGCTCTCCCAGCAGCTCGAGGAGTTGAAGACTGAGCTCAACACCCTCCGCGTCCAGAAGATCACCAACGGTGCTTCTTCCAAGACCCTGCGGATGTGCGTATTCGACCGACATTCCCATTCCAACGATTCGACTTGCGAGGGGGAACTGAGGGGGTTGTGCGATCGGGCGGCAAACATCGAAAAAATTTCTTGACGGCAAATATTCACACAACACAAGACACTACGCTACACCATCGACAACACCGCCAGCCGCACAATCCCCGATGGACCGACTCGCATGGAGATTCGTGGAAATTATGAAATCTTGAAATTTCGGAAATACTGACTTGCGGTTCCTTCTACAGCCACGACGTTCGCAAGTCGATTGCCCGTGTCCTGACCGTCATCAACGCCAACCAGCGCGCTCAGCTGCGTCTGTTCTACAAGAACAAGAAGTACATGCCTCTCGACCTCCGCCCCAAGCTCACCCGTGAGCTGCGCCGCAAGCTCACCAAGCACGAGGCTACCCGCACCACCGAGCGCCAGCGCAAGCGCGAGATCCACTTCCCCCAGCGGAAGTACGCCGTTAAGGTATGAGACTGTCCTTGATGTCTACCTGCAGAATGTGGTTTTTTGTGGAAATGGTGGTGTATTGTGGGTCGATGGGTTCAGTACTCTGGACAACCCACTACACTAGTTTATCTTCCATTACTACATTCTCCGCTGGCAACACATTTTCATCCCAAGAACAACCACTAATCTAATCAACAGGCTTAAGTTTTCTAAAACAATGGATCTGGAGTTTGTGGGAAGACGTTACTTGCCCTTGGACACATAAAACAGGACGTGTGAAAGTGTGGACCTGAAACCTTGCGGCAGGGTCGATTTTCTCTTTTTTATCCCAAAAATGGAATTTGATTATGTATCTTAGGTGGATGCAAATTGACTCTTGACATGACATGACTTAGACATTCGATTTTCCAGTGCTTGGGTGTGGATGTAGACATTAGACGTATTCAACCATGGCCCTGGTCTCTGGATTCGGATGTGATCTTGATATATATAGAACGTTTTACTGTCAACGTTCCTATCTATGTCTCCTGTCTCTATGTAGACAGGATTCTTCTGCCAAGACACTCCTACGCCTCGTCGCCGTCTACACGTACTCTCTGTTTCGTGTACTCCATTTGATACACGGGCTGAACATCTGTCCAACCCTAAACAATTCATTCAACACGATAATGGGAATCTAAACAAGATAAACAATGAAAACAAAAACCTAGCTCTAGTGCCCCAATGCAACAGCCACAGCAGCCGGTGTCCTAACAGTAGAAACATGCTGCCCATGCAAGTTGTTCCCCCTCTCACCTCCAGTCTCAGCCTCCAACATCCACAACCCTCCACACGGACAACAACGCAACAAATTCAACTTAGCAATCATCTTGAAATAAGGCAATGATTTAGGCAAAGCCACATCACCAGAGACCTCACCACAACGCACACATCTCCGTTTCCTCTGCTGCTGAATAACCCTCCCATTCCGACCAACAGCAAGCGGCGGTCGCAAAGGAACTTTTTTCAGGATATCAACATCGCGATGCCGACGATACATCGCCGTACGCGCATCAGATCCAAATCCAAGCCAGCTATAGTCACCGAGGAGGATATCTTTGCGGTTAATTTCTGCTTTCATTGAAGGGACTGTCTGTCGGAGGAGGGTTACGACGGCTGTCACAAGAACGGGCGGGATCCGGCCATTTACGAGAAGTTCCTTTTCTGGGCCTGGTCTCTCTGCATCTCCGAAGCCGGAGCCTTGGTAGGCGTGTTTCACGGCTGAGTCGACGCCTGCAAGGAACTTTTCGTAGATGTCAATGCGGACGGGGGATGACTCGAGGATTTGGCAGATTTCGGTGTAGTAGACTCTTGAGGCGCTGGGGAGGGATGCTGGGTTTGTTTGTGTGAAGCCGCCTAGGACGCCGCGGAGGCCACGGCAGATGAATCGGAGGAAGGCGCGGGACATGCTTGAAAGCAGGAGAACGAGGGACACGGAATTAACGGTTTTCACTGTGTGAAGTAGGTAAGTAATCTTGTTCTTTTGGTAGGGCTGGGGAATATTCACATTTCTGGGTGAAGGCTTCTTGGTCGGTGAAGAGAGCATCGAATTCGTCGGCGAGGTCGAACGCCTCGCTCAAGATGAAATGAGTAAAGTCTAGAACCCATTTGATATTGCCTAGAAGCATTTGTAGGATTTCTTCGAATGTGATTAGTTGTAGGTGAGCTTGTGTTGGCATTGGACCTTACCTGGATCATGGGCCTCGCTCTGGCCTTTGTTCCCATGTTGGAAAAAGTATGCTATTAGCACGGCGGCATGGCGAAGCTGAATAATAGCCCAAGGGACAGCAGATGGGAGGTTCCGACGCTTCAGTCTTCCCTTGTAGCCTAAAGCAGCCTGCAGGCTCAGACATCGAGGAATATATGGGTGTGTCATGAGCTTTTCGGTTTCGACAGTGAAGTTACAATTAACTGGCAAAGCACGGTATACTTCACCAATGAAGGTTGATTGGGCCTCTGTTATTATTGTTAGCCCTTTTCCACCTCTAAACCCTCGATGGAATTTACCGGGTGTGAGCTGCTTGAGAGCAACCATCAAAATATCGTCTGTGTTCACCTCGGCTCCACATCCACGACTGAAGGCAAGAGTGAGTGCCGCAATGGCAGATGAAAATTTGCCTGAAGTTTGCACATTAGTGATTTTATTTTTGTATATTCAGAGGCAGTCCATACTATCATCGAAGAGACCATCGTTGGATCCAAAAGGGTGATCCATCGATCTCATATGTGTTTGCCCCTCTGCATCCAGCGTTACGGCAACGCAGGCATTCGGAGAAAAGGCAATTGCAATACCTTTACGAGTCAGTCACGCGCAGGTTCAAAGATATTTATATGTGACATACCGGGTGAGTCCATTTGGTACTGGAAACCAGCTTGAGATAGGCAGGTCACTGTGCTGGCATCATCCAGCCCGTTGAAAACGGCCATCGTCCGTGTATCATAGAATGTGATCGAACTATCATCATGCGTGACAGCCAAAGCAGTTCCGTGCTCCACTATATCCACTGACACGATATATCTATCGCAATGGATGTCTTCTAGCCGACGCAACTCCATCTTGGACTAGATACATGTCAGCTGGGTTCGCTGATACCAGAAATTGCATTACGATAGTACATACCTTGACCTGGGCATTGTTCTTTTTCGGTGCGACCTCATCAAATTTGGGGTGGAAGGCTTGAGGGGCGTTCTCCAACTGCCATCGAACAATGACACTCGAAGGTCCTTGTTGGTCTGGATAATCAGGCGTGGAATGGAGTGGCTTGGCAAAGACAGCAAGGATCCAAGGATTGGCCGTTGATCCCGTTGGGCTATCGATTTGGCCAGGCATAATTTCCAGCCATTTCAAAGAATAGACGGAATTGTGAAATGGTAATTGGTTATCTGTTTGTTCCTCGGGCCCCCGGTTGACATCCAAGATACTACTCGGCATGTCAATCTTGCAATGAAGGAAGGCGAATGATGGAATGGGAAATTGGGCCTGTTTCCCTTGAGTGGTATCCCACTGTGGAGGGTTCCAAGATATCTGTACTCGGTAAAGGCATATTTTCTGGCATACTGAGTAGGTTGCAACCAAGATACCAGCTATACAACTTGTTAGTCGATGACCCGCACGGAAGTACGAGGGAGGTCTCACCTTGGGTTGCAACAATAGAGGCATGGGTCAAAAGTCTGTCCGAGTATCCTGTGTTCTTTAACTCTGCAGGTAGCTCAGCCCATTTGCTGTCTGGATTCTGGAAAATGAGCCGGATCTGGCCTGCTCGGGTGACACAAATCAAGGCACCTTTGTTGGCGGGATTGAAGGGGCCAATCGGGCGGCGACGAAATGGCGAGTAAGCCCATCGGCCATTGACTTTGGCTGCTTGATGAAAGGCATGTACCTGGTGGCTGTATTAGACAAGTCTCATATGCGTAGAGGGCATAACAAGCTCACCATTCGCTGGGTGTTAAGCCACATCATGCCAACGATTTGATTGCTATCATCACTGGAGTCGAAATGGGCCTGCCGTACACCTGTGATACTGTTCAGGGCTATTGAAATTGAATATATGGAGATTCGTCCCAGGCAGTCCACGACCGCCATTTCGGAACCAGACTCGTTCCAGGACAGATGGACGAGCAGATTGCCGCCATGGGTCTCCGCGACAGGGGCAAGCGTAGTTTCCTCGCTCATGACCCATTGTCCATTGGAGAGGCTAGAATTTAGATGGCGCAATTTGACCTGTAGTCCATCTGCGGAGATATATGCGATACATCCCAGTCGGGACCACGCAATCTTCCTAGACAGAGGGTCAGTCTATTGAAGAGCACAAGGCAGTATTCATGTAGCGATGAAGGCCACTTACTGGCGACATCCCAAGAGACGCATTTCATCCTGGCATTGTGCTAAGCCTTTGGTCGGGGGTGGACCCGCAGGCAGGCCCAGCTCGAGGGAGCCGGACTCCCCAAAGAGATCATCGACATTGAGGCCCTGTTCCATGATCAATGGCATTCTGTGAATCTAATCACAGTCAAGGGAACATTCACGTAGGCGAATGGAGTTCAACCCCGCATAACTTGAATGGTTGTCGATCTAGACCGGCCCTGATAGACGATGACCGGGCGGCTCCGTTGGGGAGGGGGGAAATCAAACAAGGACCCAAACACAGCCGCAATTTGATGACAGGGCGATGTCAGAGAGGAGTTCCTGGCTTTTTGCTTGAATATATAGTTTCACTAGGGCCCCTGAGAAGATATACAAAACTATATCTATACTTTCCCTATTCACTCCTATTGCATCTTCAATTCTTCTCAAACACGCGATCTCGACTCGGCTTAGTCACCAGTACATCAGGTGACGGTAGCCCTGCCAACCAAGGCTGACCAATCACAGCCCTGGTGATAACTCCACATCCCGTTCCACCAATCATCGCGCTCGCTGCAATATCCAAATCGCCCGCGAACGAGAAAACCCATGCAAAACCGAAAACACTGAAGAAAAGAAAACAAAGTCAAGACGCGGCGAAATATATCGTAGTTTTGATGTAGATGTCTTCGAAGCTGGAGGATTGCCTATATGTAACTCTTTTTTCCGAGTGAACCCAATATATTTACAGTAGTATACAGCTTAACCTAGGGAAAACCAGTCAATGTTCCCCCCAATCCGATTCCGATGTTACTTCGAAACAAGCGCATCATCGAATCGGTGTCCCGCACTTCTCATTCGCCCAACATACCGGGGGTTTGGGGCATCACTGCGTTGTTCGTCACAACCACATTCCTCGACTCTGTCAATCTAAATCCTCCGCAACTCGGGTGCCGTGGGTCAAAACAAAGCTTTCGAACAAGCGGCCCGTTACTTCTTAACTTTTTTTCTTTGTGGATTTTTGATTTTTATTTTTTCTCCCCAATTTCTACTTTAATATCGGTTCCCCCCCCCCCCGACAGCTGACCTCATCGCAACTCTCCCCTTTCTACCCTCCTTCCCTCCACTACTCCCATACCCACTCTACCACCTTTCAATTTGTATCTTTTCCACCTCCATTGGCCTGTGATACCTACCTCTGTGTCCTACGAAACTCGATGATTCACAATTCTAGTGATTTGTGAATCTATCGACGTTGAATAGGACCCCTCTGATCCCCATCTACCTGGCCCCTCCGAATTTGCTCAACCCCAGGGGCATAGGCGCTGTAATTCTCCAGCTTTCCCTCGGTAGTACTCATTCATCATGGAGTTTGAAGTTTCAGACTGCTCAGATATGAGCTCCTTAGCCTCGTCTCCACGATCTTCACCGGAGCCAGCAGCTCGGTACCTGACGCCGTCCTCCCAGGAGGGTGAGGATTCTACGCGCCAAGACTGTCCTCCCGCGAAAAAGAGGAGACGCAACCCCCTACCCAAGGAGCGCACCACCCAGTATCTCAAGCTATCCGAATCATCCGAGAGCCAAAAGGACCAGGCCAGATTACTTGTCGAAACCCTCCGTCACCAAAAGGATATTGTCGTGATCGCCGGAGCTGGCATCTCCACTTCCGCGGGTAGTAAGTTTTCTCCAGCCGCATTTTACCTTTTCGGACGCCACAGCTAACCCGCACCTATAGTTCCGGATTTTCGCTCCGCAGATGGTCTGTTCAAGTCTTTACAGAAGAAGCACAACTTGAAAGCTTCTGGTAAATTACTATTCGATGCTGCGGTCTACCAGGATGACGCCTTGACGGCGCCCTTCCACGAATTAGTCCGGTCGCTTAATATTGAGTCCGAAAAGACCACACCAACCAAATTTCACCAAATGCTCGCCCGGCTGGGCAAAGAGAACCGTCTAAAGCGCCTGTATACCCAAAATATCGACGGAATCGAGACATCCATGGCGCCACTCCAAACAGAAATTCCCCTCAACATCAAAGGCCGATGGCCAGTTACTATCCAGCTGCACGGCAGCATCCAGAAAATGGTGTGCCAGAAATGCCGTTTCACGTCCGATCTTGACCCGAACATGTTCCTGGAAACCGACCCACCAGAGTGCGGAGAATGCGCCGAGAACGACAGAGCCCGCCGGATTGCTGAGCAACGTAGCCATGGTGTAGGACGCCTGCGGCCACGAATTGTTCTTTACAATGAACACAATCCCGATGAGGAGGCAATTACATCCGTCATGAACTCAGATGTCAAGTCTCGCCCTCGTGTCCTGGTTGTCGCCGGTACTAGTCTAAAGATTCCTGGAGTTCGACGCCTCGTGAAGAGCCTCTGTGCTGTCATCCGGACTCGAAAGGATGGAGTAACCATGTTTGTCAACAACGAACCTCCAGCCGGCAAGGAGTTCGAGAATTGTTTCGATCTGATTGTACAAGGGTCCACGGATCAGGTTGCGGACCTTGTGGGCTTGAAGAATTGGGAAGACTCGACCCCTTATGAATCCTTGTTGCCAGAGCCCGTCTTCGGAATTAAGGAGAGTCCCGACTCGGAATCATCCGAAGCAGAGTCTACCAACGTTGCAGTTGTCATCAGTACCCCCAGGAAGCGACCACTCATCGAGACCGGCCTGCTCACACCTTCAGCCAGCAATGACGAGAGGGCAGAGCTACCGGTCAAGAAGGCCCCCAAAACCAAGAACGCGGGAACCAAAGGCCCCTCGATCTCCGAGATTCTTGCAGCTTCCAAGACACAGCCCGCCCCGGCCAAGAATACCCGCAAGAAGGCCCCTGCTACTGGAGCTAAGAAGCCCCGTGGCAAAACTGCACCGATAAAGACAAAGCCAATCAGCAGTTTCGGTACTGTTGCCAAACCTACTACAGGTGCTGCGTCCATGGAGAAGCAGGCTATCAAGAAAGCGGAGGCATTGTCTACCAACATGTTCCCCAACCTCCCACGCAAATCCGAGTCTGCAAAGGGTGTCACTTTGTTGAATTCTCCCCCAGTCACCCGGGCGTGTCGCAGCTAAAGCACTGTCATCCTGTCATTAATAATGCCTCGTTTCCGACCATGACTCGTTTCTCACTTCATCTTCACTGCATGATGCATGGTCAAGGTGGCGCTTCGGCTTACTCACTTTCTTCTTTCCCCTTCTGGGGCCCTTTTCAATTTTCTGCTTCTTCCGAATGTCTCTGGGAAGAGGTCGGCTGTTCTTTTTTCTCCGTTCTTCTCGAAAGATACCAATGATAGACTACGGTTTCATGCATGAGGTGGCGCTGGCGTTTGACTACGGTTTCATGCATGAGGTGGCGCTGGCGTTTGGGGGTTTGATGGTTTCTTTTTAAATGATTGCTATCAGTGCTGCTTCGGGCGCACTGGATCTAGAGCAAGCTCGGTGTATGATCTCGGAGGAGTGCTGGATAATCTACAATTCTGTTTTTGTGGTATTGCTCAGATGTTTCATTAGCGACCTCATGGTGTTTTTCTGGCCAGTATTGACTCGCATGTGTTTACGGGTCGAGGTTTGGGTCAGATATTCTTCCATCCCAATTGTGGAAATATATCATGATTTCTTCACAGTACCAATGGAGTTTTCCACTTCCTATCTTTCTGGCATTTTGCCGAAGTAAACCTGAACATATAGCGCATGAAACATTCATCATTATAGTATATATTACATAGCGACTTTGACTTGAACTCCTGCTAACTCCATCTTAAGTCAGCGTGACTCGGAATATTCGGGCACACTCGTCCCTATCTAACATCAAGTCTGAAATAACCTTAGCCAAGTCCAAGATCATCACGCAACTGACTAGCTGGTCCATCATCATCATCTGTATCCTCAGCATCCGGATCGGTAGGTCTAACAGTCCCATCCAAGTCCTCCACCCGATCAATATCCTCATCAACCCTCTCCTGTGTCTCCTCCTCATCTTCCTCCTCCTCTTCATCCTCATCGTGGTGGACCTCCTCTTCCTCTTCCAACTCCTCCTCTTGCGTCTCATCTCCATCCCCACCCTCCTGCACCGCATTCTCCCCATCACGCTTCACCCTCTTAGCCGGGTTGTCCGCCATCTCGACATCCTCGTCTGCAGCTGCAGCCACATCAGCAGCACCAGTCGCACTGTTCGCATCAGACTTCTTCACCTTCCGCTTGCCAGCCTTGATCTCCGTGAAAGCTTCAAGCTCCTGCTCCAGACGGCCACGGAAGGAATCAAACTCTATTTCTGAGAGGGCGGCGAAGACATCTGCGGGGGCGAGGGTTCGTTTGAGGGTTGCATCGTTGGCACTGTAAATCTTATGTTAGCCAAAAGAGTTGAGAAGGAAAGTAAAAATGGCCCTGGATGGGATTGGGTCATTTGTATGGGATGGAAAACATACTGTGAGGATAGATACGAAACGAATACCGTAGCCGCTTTCTGAATAGCCAGGACAGCATCCTTCTGGATTGTAGTATTGGGTGGGAGAACGGATTTGGCAAGACGAATGGTTAACGAGCGAGGGAGGAGGTAATCCTAACAAAAACAAGTCAGCATTCAGCCTTCTACTAATGATTCCTGCAGCTCTGCTACATGCACAAAGCTCTGCCCATATCACTCTGATCCAAGAAATATAAGCAGGAAGTGAAGTGTAGGTATGCTTACATCGACACTAACACCCAACTCAGCTCGCGCCTTGATCTGCTGCTCCGTCGCAGTAATGGGCTTGTCAGGAGTCGGTGCCACAGGTGACAGTAACGATGCTTCTTCTGGGTCCGCGGGCATCACCGAGGACGTAGATTTGCGCGGCGGCATGTTGGGCGTAGCTTGCTTTTTCTTTGTCTTGGTGCGGTCGGCTCGATGATGGGATAGTCCTGATTTGGAACCAGTGGTAACAGATATGATTGCTGGGTAGTCCCGTCCCTGGGTTGAATTGGAGTTCTTCTGGACGGTCCTCGTGTCGGTGGAGCTGAGGCTGGAGAGTGGCGAGAGGGTGAAAACGCGAGATCCGCGTCGCGCTGGCGGTTGGGATTGATTGGCGCGGTGTGGGGACTGCGTGCTCTCGTGCCGAAACTGGAACGTACTGTATCCGCCCTGCATAGGAGATACGATTACTTTTATCCCTTTTTCTTACAGTCTACTCTGTGGTATATTCGCAGTATCCATGTAAATTTTAAAATTGCGGTCGACAGTTATTGACAAATGCTTTGATTGAAGACTAGAACATCCATATATGAAAACGCCTATTTTTTGGTATCCAAAGAAATCGAAAACGAGAACGGCTGATATCGTTATGGGATAGCATCAGAGATGGAAGCCCTTACTCGGCCATCTCCTCATCGTCACCCTCGCCGTTGCCCCAGAGTCCCTCGATCTTGAATTCCTTAGCCCACTCGCTAACGACCTGGGTGGTGTCCGCAGCAGGTCCAGCATCGGTAGCTGTACCAACATCAGCGACAGTGTTAACGGACAGAACAGGGGCGTTAGCCCAGCCTTGAATACGTCCGTCTCTCCAGTCGTTGATCACAGTCATAGCGGCGCTCTCGATGTTGGGCACACCACCCTTTCCAAGACGACCGCGCTTGCGGGCAACCTGGATCAGGAAGTCGGTGGTCTTGTCACCATTTACCGGGAAGAGGGAGGTGATGCCGTAGACCTCGAGCATCTTGGCGATCAGGTTCTCTGATGCGGAAAGACGCTTGACCAGCAGGTTGACTGCAGGAATGGGGTCCTCAATCTGCTTGGGAGGGATGGCGTTCAGCAGGACCAAGCGGGCCTGCTCGTTCTCCTTGGACTTCTTGGTGGTCTTTCCGTTGGAGCTGGGGAAAACGATACCGGGCGAGTCGATCAGCTTGAGCTTGTTGTCAAGCTTCACGGAGCGCAGGCTGGTGGTGACACCGGCCTCGGCACCCGTGGGGCAAGCGTTGCTGGAGCCCTTGTTGAGACGAGCGGTAAGAGCATTGATGACGGACGACTTGCCAACGTTGGGGTAACCGATGACACCAACGGAAATAGAACGCTTCAATTGCTTGCTGTGTGCGTAGGACTTAAGAGCGCGGAAGAGAGTATCCGAAGTACCCTTGACAGTCAGCTGCTTGTGGTCGAAAGAGTGGGCATTGCCTGAGCCGTTGGATGCCTTCAATGGGAGGGTAGGGAAGTAGCGGCGCAGGTGAACCAACCAGGCCTTGAGCACTGGCGGCGGGACGAGATCGATCTTGTTCAGAATGAGAATCAAACGTTTGGAGCCAGCATCGGCAGCCATGATTTCACGCTCCACCTCCTTCGAGCGAGTGCCCTCGGGGTCGCGGGCGTCGAGCACATAGAGGACCACATCGGCATTGTCAGTAACGGTCTTGAAGACCTTGTCGAACTGGCGCCGTGAGCTCTCCTTGGTGGGGTTGTGTGCGTCGACGAGATCGGGAACAGCGGTGTCAAAGGTCATGGCACCTTCCTCATCGTCCTCCTCCATCTCATCCTCGTCCTCCTCCATCTCCTCGTCATCTTCGTCGTCGTCATACTCAGCAGCACGGGCGCGCGCAGAGGCAAGCAGTGCCGCCATAGGGTTGGATTCATCGCCCTCTACATCCATATCTTCGTCCAGATCGTTCTCGTCGATTTCCACGCCGGGCTGGCCGCTAGCCTTGGCCTGCTTAGCCTCAACTTTGCGAGCGCGGGCCTCCTCCCTTATACGCTCCTGCTCCTCCGCCTTCAGACGCTTCTTCTCCTCGATATCATGTAGCATCTTGTCCTTGAACGGAAAGAGACTGGGAATACCAGGGTCCTTCTTAAGCTTCGACCGCCATTCCGGGTTCTGTAGACGAAAAGTGTTAGAAAATGTCTGTGTCAACGGCGCAGAGTGCGGAATTAGTCCCAGATCACATACCTGTTTCGCAAGCTTTCTCATCTTCTTCTGCTTGGCAACAGAGGACTTTTCAATTTTGTGTCTTAAGCGGACGGGCACCCGCTTAGAGGACTTGCCTGCAAAAAAAGTTAGAATGGGGCTGAAGAATTCTGTAATGAAGGGGATGGTATATGCTTACCGAAATTGCTCTTAACCATTTTGCCTGTGCGCCCGACTGGAAATAAAACAGTAGGGTGGACTGGTGATTATAATGGTGCTTCAACAATCACTTCGAAAAAGTTGAGCGCCAAGACACTCAGAATTTCGATAAGCGGAAAATTAGTTGTGCCGATCGCCGGTCAAACAAAGCAAACATGCGGAACGCCTGTCGAATGCAGCAGGCACTCCGCCTGCGACAGTGTCCCAAGATGTGACGTTTCTCGCTCTTTTAATCTTTAGTTTCCTTGTTCAAGTTAATAAAAACTTTACAAATAACGCCTCTTCCGCTGGAAATTAGACTAATTCCAATTGTCACCACAATTGTCGACTAAATACGTCGGAATATATTCTCCCAACACCCCTCACTCACCCCACCATGTCACAAACAGGGTCCTTTTCCGCGCCTTCGCAAGTTCATACCTTTGACGGAGTCCTCTCGGATTTCGATGGTACAATCGTGGACTCTACAGATGGTGCGTATATGTCCGCTTTTCAGGAACATGCAATGGCACTAAAGGCTAACAACATTCTTCAGCTATCGTGAAGCACTGGCATGAGTCAGTACCCCAAACCGAACACTGATAAGGCACTACATGAGCAATTTTAATCCGAATTATATTTTAGGATTGGCAAAGAGCTGGGCGTCGACCCAAAGACCATCCTGGCTACCTCTCATGGCCGCAGAAGCATTGACGTGATGCAATTATACGACCAGAGCAAGGCCAACTGGGAGTGTACGTTCTGCGCACTGGTTCCATTGAGGAACCGTTACAGCTTTTATAAATGATCTAGCTAATCTAATCACACCTCCTAGACGTCAACTTTGTCGAAGGCCGAATTCCCCAACTATACGGCTCCGACGCCGTTGAGATCCCAGGTGGTCGCGACCTCCTCAGTGCACTCGAAACCGCCGGTGCGAAATGGGGTGTTGTGACCTCTGGCACATCCGCCTTGATTGACGGTTGGCTCGGCGTCATGAAGCTCGCCCGGCCCAAGATGCTTGTCGTCGCACAGGACGTGGAGGTCGGCAAGCCGGACCCTCGGTGCTACTTGCTTGGTCGCAAGAAGCTGGGACTTGAGGACTCGACCAACCTCGTTGTGTTGGAGGATGCGCCGTCGGGAATCAAGGCTGGCAAGGCAGCTGGCTTCAAGGTTATTGCGTTGAAAACGACTCACTCTCTTGAGAAACTCCAGGAGGCTGGAGCAGACTGGATTGTAGAAGACTTGCGCAGTGTCTCGGTGAAGGCTGTTGTGGATGGGCGGGTCCAGATTGAGATCTCGAATGCTTTCCAATAGGTTCCTGATGCAGGGGTCAGGGATCTACGATGCACCTGGTCTGCTGCAGGTGCAGTTTGCAGTCAACCACAGGCGTCGAGGTTCAAGTTGCACAGCATACAGCATGGAAGCGGGGCAGAGCTCCATACACGGTACTTTGTAGATAAACGTGCGCCACAGGTTGTACAGTTTGCGGTTAGTCCAGACCCTGCGCTGGATTCTTGGTTTCGTACTTTTGCCTCTCCGGCTGTTAAGTTGTGTTACTATACACGGCTTAAGTGTCAAACCTTAGCAATTAGTGCAATTATCAGATGGTACGTAACATGATCGCTGCAGGTGGGGCGTTGAAACATAGTGAATAGATACACAGCTGCATGTTGAAATCCCGAAGCCTTGTTTCTGGTATTTAATTTGGGGTGGCCAATCCGCCTTCGAGGCTTAATCCACCACTTAGATCAGGCCCGGATGACGGCATTTGAAACCCAACTAGGAACGACAAAGTCGCACGATGCTCGGAAGCTCGTTTGCGCCCTATACAGATCGGGAATCAAGTACCCACTCACATCATGGTTGTATTCCAAATCACTAGAGACATCAACCTGAAGATCCAAGGTGCGATTCGGGGTGAGAGATTCTGTGTGCTAAGCTAGACCCTCAGCGCCATGTAAATAAACCTAGTTCCAGGCCCAGACGCCCTACTGCACAGGTGTGGTGACGGCAGGCCCCCATGTCGCATTACAGGGGTGATAGCCAGCTAATCCGGTCCAATGATAGAGTATCTCGGACTTCTACCGACTCGGCCGAAGTTCGAAGCTACAGCTCGCACACTTTGCAAACTCAGGTACTACAGTCTAGGCTTTTACCTGGCGTGGGTAGCGGACATGAAACGCCTGCAAATGTAGTCCTTGCAGGACTCACCTTGTGGCCCGGCAGGTTGTATGTAAAATGACATGACACGGACATACCGTAGTCAAGACTGAAAAGAAGAAAGCAGGGGGTCTGACGCACCGCAATCCCGGTAACAATTGCTGCGAACAGCTGTTCATGCAAGCTTGACCACGCTAAGCGCAACTCCAGTTCTACTATCAATTTGGCCAAAATCCAACCCCCAAATTAAGATCCGGCCGAGAGGAATCTTGACCTTGAGCTACAAGTGGATTGTACATTGTACATTACAGTGCCAGCTGTTCCTTCCTAGTACGGACCGTAATAAAGTCTGACTCGACGAGGCTGCAGCAAGCTGCACCTCCTACAGGTCCAGCCTCACGAGGGCCGACAACAAAGCGTATTGTCCTATTCCCATTGGACAAAGCTGAATGTTACAGGTACTGCCGACGGCGGAGCCCAGGAGAGAAGGGGTGGGCAGAGAGCTCTTCAAGCTTCCCGAATAGTCATAACGCAGCAGCACGTCCCGGTGAGAAAGCGAGCATGCAAGGGATGGAAGTAACATCTTGCGCACGGGTCCGGACGGGAAAGACTGGCTCAGCGTGCATGGCTCCTGAATATCGCAATACCAAGAACTGTTGAGAGAAAGTGTCCCAGTGAGCAATACCCGATTCAAGTCAGCCCCCGACTGGATGCTCTTGGAAGTAGGATTGAATTGTAGATAGACTTGGAGATCAGTGAGATCAGTGATCGCCGAAGAGGTAGATCATTGTCGGGTCACCGATCCTCTTTTTTCTTTTACTACTAACCCCTCAGGATTGATCGTCCCTAATCCCAACGGTATGCGTGATGGCGAAGGTGGCGGACAATCCCATCACGTACAGGAGCAGGTTTTGGTTCTTTGAATTCCGATCTGGACCACAGCATCGGAGTGACAAGTGAATCGAACGGGCCTGCGAACGAGCGGATCCCACGGACAGTCCCGAGTGCATGGGTTTCTCCTTCCTTGTTCATCTGCCTGCATGCAGCAACTTTGCTGGTCTATCCCATTGGCTCCTGACAAATACCGTATCACCGAGCTGCATGAGTTTCCTGCTGCCTGCGGGTGTTCAGGCACCGCCACACTTTGTTCAGGTGAGCCACAAGGGAGGAGTGGAGGTGGATCTGTCACATTACGATGATCATGGATTCTACAGTACGCCCAGACCATGATACAAGGGCCAAACAAAGATGGAACGAACTATCAGCTTCAGCCACTATGGAACAGACTATTGTTCACCGAAGTCCCCCGAGCCCGCTTTGAGGAAGGGAGGTGGAACAGGTCCAATGTCATACCCCGTGGTACATGACACAGGGGGGTTGAAGCGGGGATCGGAGGCGGAATCACGGCTCCGAAGAAGTCGATCTTGAGGATCCCCCAAGTTTGGCCAAGGTCCTACTAGAGAATGATGTGAGTGCCGTTGTCACATCCTTCGCAGATCATGAGTGCGTTGTACTCGGAAGTGTCGGGGAATTTTCTGGTGCTTTGTGACTTTCCGTGCTTTATTGAACTTTTAATTTTAATTTTTACAGTTTTGGCACGCTATTTTCTTTTTGCCGACCTTTCTGTCATCATTTACGCTTCACTCTCGTTCTCGTTCTCCGATATTTGAGATTTTCGTTCCACTGTAACGGTTCACTCTAGATCCAATCAATAGTCGGATGGGGCCCAAGGGATCCGTGCGGCGCGCGTTGCAGATCAATCCAGGGGCACGTCAAGGGCAGATCCTCCCCCTAATCCTAATACGAAGTAATGACGGAGATGACGGGGATCAATGGCATGGACCATGATTTTCGCCATGCACGCCATAATCCCATCCCTAGTGGCTCCTCCCCCCGCGGACATTCGGGGATTGTCGATTCGGCCGGGGTCATAGCACACAAACCCGAACTATTCCTATCGCCCGGGCTTTATCTGGCGAATGTCATGGTGGAGCATTGCTACTAGAAAGGGAGAAGGAGAAAAAAAAAGAGACGAGGAAGAGGGGCGCCAGCGCACAATCGGTCCAGCAAATCCGCCAGTCCGAAAATCCACAAACCTCCCCAATCAGTGATGAGTGAGGCTTTTTTTGATGTGATTTGCAACGCTGATAGGCGCCCTAATGCATGTGAAGCTTTAAGATGTCTATCCAGCCGGATCGTCGCGAAGTCGATCATCGGCACTGTTGTTCACGATGTGCCCAAAGTACGGAGTACAGACTGGAACCCAAAGTTTGGTGGCAGCAGTAGCACCAGATGGCCACGTTGTTGCCCCATACCAAGCGTGGGGCCCTGAGTCCCGGTTTTTTGATCCTTCACAGCCTCTTTCTCTGCCCAAGGAGGAACTAAATGAACCCCCCCCCCTAGTTGCGAATCACGATCATCTCCACTCTATCCTGAGCCACATGACTGGTTCATCGAAACGATGGATTTGAGCGTTGTGCGCTTCATCGAGTCTGATCCTGATTCGGACTTGGTAGGAATAGGAGGTGATCATTCGCACTGCAATGAGGGGCGACACAGTGGATCTCATGACTTTAGGTAGAGGTTCCGTTAGGCCGATACAGTATGCCCCTCATTGCTAGTGACTATCTATACCAAATTACGAGGGAGATTGGCTTGGATGAGGGGAAGGACCCAGGATGAGTTCGCAGATACTCCATCTCCTGCCCAGGTACTCCCGCCTGTTCGACGGTATCAGAGTTTGGGATTGGCTTCTCCGGAACTAGACCGACTCCATAGATTAGACTTTTGAGACCTAGAGTTCCCTGTGAAACGTTTTCCTGTCAGGTACTCCGTATGGGCATACTGGAATGGATAAAATTGCCGGCAAAGTGAAATTTCCTTGCTCATGACCGTTGGAACAAAGAAATCAGATAGATGTGTAAAGTCGAGCGTAGGCTCAAACTGCAGGGTACACAACAGCTTACGGTGAACCATGTACAATACCGAACCAAGCTCTCTGGATCATAATGCCGACAGATATAGTCCAGCTTCCTGTGGCGTGCAGGCTTGAAAGGGAAAAAGCAAAGTGGGCATGATCTCACTCTCCCGAGGGGCAGGATCACAACACATCAGGCCTCGTGACTTGGGTGCATGGAGCCTCTCGATTCAAGCCGTTTAGCGCCGTCGACTGGGGCCACCCACACTGTCGGGAACCACAGGGGCGGCGTAATTGTGCTACTTCCGATCAAACAATGAGAATCGGAAGAACACCCGGGTGAGCATTTGGGCTCTACCCCATTAAGTCGAGGGGAAACAAAGCTCGGCAGATCCTGAAGTGATCGACGGGATCTGTCGACTATTGATGTTTAGTTGGGCTTGGCGTAATGCCATGCGCCCTCAAAACAGCCTAGCGGGGGACAAAGAGTCATTCCCGACAGCCATACACGATGTAGCTGACAGATAGCTGACAGACAGGCTTGCTTCAGGCCTCAATAGTGCGTCGAAAAGACATCATCGACTCCATCGGGGATGTCGATCATGCCCCCGATATCGACGTTATACAGCCAAGGGACAGTAGTACAATCTGCAATGCTGAATGACCGGGGAACAGGCTCCGATCGTCCCAGATCCCCGGTGACTGGGTATGAGGAAACATCTCGAAGACACCCTGATATCATTCGTGTTTTAACTTTGTCTAATCCAGTCAGAATGATTTACAACATTACTCTCCACGTAGGATTTACCATGCAGGTTGGGTCACCCGTGACAGATTGCAGGGATACGCGGGTTGAAATTGGCGCGCTCAGTGACCCACTTTACTGTCATGATTCCAAAACTTCTTCACGCCTAAGCTCTTCGGGGTAAATTACTTAGACTAAGTATAGCAGAGTGGGCGGTGGCTGCCATGGAGGATTTTCTTTGCATCGCCCCCCCTTCTCCTATCTTGACTCCACACATCTTGAATAGTTTTATTAATCCTCCCCAGAATACATTTGAGCTTGGATTGAACAGTAATACTATTGTCACGGTATTTTTAAATTCTTGGGCTCAGACACGACGCTAATGCAGGAACTGACCAAGGGCGGGAAGAAAGAAAAAAAAAAAAAGGCGATCGGGAAGTAACTATGCAACTATTGCCATGGCATCCTAATCAAGGGCCCTTCAAGCCATCGGAGATGTTGTTTCTTCAGCCCCTGATAGGATACCCATAATTACGGGAGCTGTCCACGGTTTACTGTAGGTTACATGCTTTTCAGGGCTATCACACTGCCTGCCGAGCCGTCCGCAACGCATAACCATGGAACGCGGCGTTTACACTTTGGTAAAGTTGCGTATGATACACGTACTAAGCACTCCGTGCCTGAGAGAAAACATCATAGTGGAGACTTTCTCAAACAGCGGTTGATCGGAGCCACCCCGGTGATTGGCCGGAACGCTCACTTTTTGGAGAGATCCAATTTGTTTAGGGCTGTGTGGAAAAACTGGGTTTTGACTCTAGGTAAAAAGTAAACAATCGATCCCTTTTTTTCGGGGGGGGATTCCCGACTACCTAGATCCTATATCTATACGAAAGCACGTTATAGGTAGATTTCTGAGATTTCATGTATACTCAAGTAGCAGTATGTATATCACTTCAGACATAATCGAAATCACCTGTCCTCGATGTGACCTGCAGTCCGAGAGCCCAGGCCGCCACCCCCTAGAAGAACCGCGCGGGCGGTAGCGCGACTTCACGGGTGAAATGGAAAATAAAATAATTATGAGTGGGGGTGAAGTTACTGAAGCTAGTACAAATCTAGTAATTTATACCTATTTTCTCTTTTTCATTTTCAGCCCGCTTTTTCTCCTTCAGGGAATGGTAGACGATCAGATCTCTGGAAATATCCCGAATAATTCATGAAATTCGGGTTTTTAGGGGGATTTTTCTCTCAGTTTCGTTTTCATCTGGGTCCTGCACAGACGAAAATGATGAAAATGTTATAATATTTCATATTATAATAATTATAATATCTACCCAAAGAGAGAGAGAGAGGAGACATCAGTGTACGAACCAGTACATGTGCTTAGTCCCCCAGACCAATCATCACGGCCCGTCCCCAAGACCGCCCTTTCCACACCCCATCTTTTCCTCTCTTCTCCTCTTCTTCCTTCACATCCATTCTCTTGTGGCTCTATTAACGTTCCTTTTTTCTTTTCTTTTTTGTCGCTCCTTTTTGGTTGGCCCACCCAAGTCTCTCCTTTGAACGCCGCGTTTGTTTATAGCTTTCTATCTCTGCTGCTTTCCCTTCTCCCATCACTTTACACGGGATCACACGGAGACCTTCTGAAACCTCCATGATATAGCTATTGCTCTGACCTACCTGCCCTGTCTCGTGCAGCGCTTCACTTTCCTTTAATTCCCTCTACGCCCTTCCGCCATTCCTTCTTTTCTTTACACCCATCATCTCACACCATCCTCACCATGAGCTACATTCATCCCTCATGGAACTACCCTGGCCATTCGGGTCTCCCAATGGACCACACCCTCGCATACGACCCAAGCATGGTTCCTCCCCCCATGATGCACCCCATGGACGGATACTGCTACCCTCACCCACCCATGGAGATGATTGACTACTATCACCAACCCATCATGGACTACGACGAATACACAGAGAATCTCTCCCGCCCACGCTTGACCAAAGAGCAAGTCGAGACTTTGGAGAACCAATTCCAGGCTCACCCTAAACCCAGCAGCAATACTAAGCGTCAATTGGCAGCTCAGACTAACCTGAGCTTGCCTCGTGTTGCTGTACGTTCAATGTTTACTTTCTGTCGATATGACGCAAGCTAACCCACCCATCCTTATAGAACTGGTTCCAAAATCGACGCGCCAAGGCGAAGCAACAAAAACGTCAGGAGGAGTTCGAGAAGATGCAAAAAGCCAAGGCCGAGGCGGAGGAGCTGGCTCGTCGCAAGTCGGATTCTTCGGATCAACCGTCGGGATCTCAGTCCTCTGCCAAGGAGGAGCCAGAGCGATCTCCGAACCCGAAACAATTGTCCAGCGTGAAGGCTGAGAGCAGTGCAAAGGCTGAGGACATTAAGAAGCATCAGAAAACGAAGAGTGAGTCTGCCCGCGACGCAACCTTCGCATCATTGCAGCGAGCACTGAACGCTGCAGTTGCTGCAAGGGATCGTTTCACCCGCCGGGACTCGCACACCAAGCACGATTCGCCTATTGAAGAAGAGCCAATCTCTCCATCGTCGATGGCCCCGCCCAAGGCCCCTAGCACACAGGAGAACAAGGGTCAGGTTTCCTACCAGTACCAGGACTGGCCTGAGGTTAAAGAGCCGGCTCAGTGGACGCCTCACGGTCACTCCGAGGTTCCCTCTGTTTCTCAAAATGTGGACGCATTCACAGGTGCCCAGTTCTCTCAGCACGAGGAGTGGGTTGAGACTCCGAAAGAGCATATGCATGCCGTTGGATCCGATGCTAGTCTTGGTTACACAAACATGCAATACCCCATGACCATGCAGACTCCCGATATCTCTGTCACTCGCCGTGAGTCGTCGAGTGCCCTCACAGCTTCTTTGGAGGGAATCGGTATCTGCACACCTGGATCTTCGGCTATGTCGCAGTCTTCTAGCCAGGCTGACGGATCGTGGAAAGGACCGGGCCAGGAGCTTGATCTCGCCGCTCGGCGAAAGCGCCCCCGTCCCGCTGCCATTGGCACTTCTAACACTCGTTCCCTGGCTGCTTCCACCTCTATGTCTTCTCTTTCTCCAACTAGCCGCATGCCTAGTTCGGGTGCTGGTAACTCGATGAGGCATTCCAAGTCGGCCCAGTGCCTAAACAACAGATATGCCGGTGTTCGCAAGGCCTCGGCGGCTCAGCGCTCTCCTCTCAACTTCACATTCGCCGAGTCGGGCTCCATGAAGTCTAGTAAGGCTGAGATGCTGCGGCCGTCGGTCTCGTCAACAAGTTTGGCCCCGCCAACCCCCTTGACCCCTCAGGACTTCCAGCACTTCATGCCGGCTTCCCCGACCGATAGCTACTGCTTGTCCGCGCATTCCACCACTCAATTCTTCCCCTCCTCGCAGCCCATGCAAGTGAACATTGCCTCCCCTCCCACGACTCCCCTGGATATCTACTCTCCTTTCACCTATCAAAATGGCGCCCCGCCGATGTCGGCACCGGCTCAAGTCAGCAACTTTCCCGAGTATGTAAACTGTGATACGGTTCCTATGACCGCTCGGAGCTGGGCAGACACAACTGCTCTCTCCTCGCCGGAATACCCGGCCGGTCTTCAAGTGCCCCACTCCAGTACCGTCTCACCGATTGGCTACGATGGTTCAGTCGACGGCCGTGGGCATGGCTTCATGGAGCCTGTTTCTGGCTCACCGCCCTTGATCTACTCGATTGAGGATACCGACATGCCTATCTCAACAGCTGGTGGGGAAAGGAAAGCCTCTGAGTTCGCTATGCACGAGTTTCACGAGCAGCCAGAGGCTCATCATTTCGCCGCTCACCAGATGGGGTCTGTTCACAAGCCAAAGGCATACACCTTTGCGAACAACTCCACACCAGGCCACTACCCCTGATGCAGGCTTACCGTCGCTCGATGGATGAATGAGAAATGTACCGCGATAAATATGCTTTTGTTGGTCTAGGAAGAACCGCTACGCAACGTCTCGTCCCCTGCGATTTGTTCATTTTTTTTTACCCTTTCGCCTACCTACGGGTGGCTTGTCTATTCAATCACTCCATGTGCGGAGAAACACTGTCACTTTTTTTCTCCCTTTTTCCCCTACATACCTGGGCTTTTCTTTCTCTTCTCTTGTCTTTTTATTTGGTGTCATCCCTTCGGGGATTTTTGTTTACATATTGGGAGCAGCTTTTGCATTGTGTTTATTGGCCTGGGATTTATATTGGTGTGATACGACTTTTTAATTCTTGCGAGCCCACGGGCTCGATATTATCTTCTTACCTTCGTTTGATATTATTTTTGGAACCGGTTCGGCTTTGGATTGGGAACTTGGACTTGCATATTTGGAAGCATTTGGCTATTTTTGATATATACTGTCACATATACTTTTTTCACTCTGTGATCTTTTGTCCTCGTATACGAAAAAAAAAGAGGGGTCATGTTTTCTAGAAACGATTTGGTTCTATCTCCGAACATTCTAAATTGCTGTTAAGCCAACAGCCGACGGAGACCCGCCCATTCACTTAGCGATTGGTCGCAGAGCATTCTTCACGGCTAAATCACAGCAACTGGCCGCGCCTAATTACCGTTATTGTTAGCTCCGAAAACGCCAAAACCGGAGCGGGCAAAGCCGCTGCCGAGTATGCCACACGTGTGCCACACCATAGGATGACATAGCTTCTCCGCCATCTCCACTGCGGAGAGAATGTTCAGGCACATGGTCAAGAAGCATGTTTATCTTTGACATTCCTCGGGTATAAAAGATTGGACCATGCCGATCTTTTTCACATTGTAGCAGAAATTTCTACTTTTTCATCACTATCTATACAATGAAGCTTTTAGCCCTTACTCCCGCCCTGATGGGCCTTGTCGCTTTCGCGCAAGCATCAACCATTACCTATACAACTGTTACTGGCTTTTTCTTGCAGGATGAGACTGCCACTGATGCCTCAACATTTGATTACGTGCGTACCCACATTCCCATGTTCTTCTTTGGTCTCTGAGACTTAATTAACCTATTTTTTCAATGTATAGACTGCCGTGAACTTTGGTCTCCTCAACCGCACTTATCCTGCCGATCAAAAACTTAAACACGCCAAGGAGCTCACCCAGTGGGAGCGCTTCTATAACCAGGTTGAGCAGCTGAATGATGAGTCCCACAGTGACATTGAGTACAAGGTGCTCTTCCTGGGTCGTCACGGCGAGGGTTGGCACAACGCCGCCCAGACTTACTACGGCGATGCCGCCTGGAACGTGAGTACCTCTATCTCATGGGCTCTCTAATGACCCACATATCTGTCGTATAACCCATCTCTAACCCTCATCTAGTGCTACTGGGCCGAAGAGAACGGCAACTCTACCGCAACCTGGATGGACGCCGAGCTCACCGACAACGGTGTCGATCAAGCCCTAGTTGCCCACAACTTCTGGCAAAAGGAGATTGACGAGCAGCGCATCCACACACCAGATAACTACTTCGTCAGCCCATTGACTCGCACCCTCCAAACAGCCAACTACACCTTCACAGACCTGAAGTTCCCCAAGGGCGCCGCCAAATTCAGCCCCCTCATCAAAGAGCTCTTCCGCGAGGGAATCAGCATCCACACCTGCGACCATCGCCATCCCCGCAGCTACATCCACGACCTCTTCCCCGAGTGGCCCATTGAGAAGGGCTTCAGCGAAGAGGACGAGCTCTGGAACGGCGTTACAGCCGAGACTAGCGCTGCACAGGACGTTCGTAGTGCCACCGTGCTCGATGAGGTCTTCTTCACTTCTGCTTCTAGCAAGAAGGATTCGTTCGTTTCCGTTACTTCGCACTCGGGTGAGATCTCTTCCATCCTGCGCGTTGTTGGCCACCGTACTTTCAGCTTGAACACTGGTGCTGTTATCCCTGTGCTTGTCAAGGCTGAGCGGGACGCTAAGGCTAAGGCTACTACTACGTCTGTTGCTTGGACTACTAGCGCTCACTGCACTGTGCCGCCTCTTACGTCTGTGACGGCTTGTGTTTGCCCTTCTAGTGCCGTGCCGGTCACTACCCCCTTGGTCACTGATGTTTAAAAGTTTTGATTTGGAAGAGTGTACCGATAGCTTGGTATTTTCGGTTTGCTAGATGATTAGACGATTGGTATTTAACGTGTCTTAGATGTCACTATTGAATTATAATGTTCCTTTCCCGATTTGGTCCCAGATTCTTCAAGACTACTTGAATGCCACTGGCATTGTTATCAAGTTCTAGCCTTGGAGGAACTCCTATTCATGCAGGTAATGCATTTCCTTCCACCAATCGATTCAAACGTGGGTCTATGGATAGTCTACAAGCACCAGAGAACCCTTTCCATGGTTCAACCAACAGACCAGATACACGTGGGAGTCTTTTCCAGCCATAAAGAAATTAAAATAAGATTAAATAAAAGAAGAGTGTCCCGGCGTTGAGAATACCCGTTTAGTCCCAAGGTTTCTTTACCCGGCTGGAAAAACAAAAGACAAAAAAGAAGCGTCCCCGGGAAGGCTCGAACTTCCAACCTCCTGATTAACAGTCAGACGCGCTAGCCAATTGCGCCACGGAGACTTCTTATTGGAGGAGTGACATGTAATTTGCTTGACGAACCTGCTGTCTCTCTATGAGATCGTAACCTTCAGTATCACGACCATTGAAGATGTTGATTTTTATCTACGAAGAAAGGAAAAAACACATTCAAATATATAGCTGCCACTATAGCATTGAAACCATCGCTTGTTTAATGCTAAGGGCTCGGGCTAGAGTCTCGAATTTGTTCATTTGATTTAGGTCAAGAAAACTGCTGCAAATGTAAGCTACCATATTAATTCATTAGCCATCATCCAAGCTACCATCAATGGTTCAAGGACCAATCATGGACTTTCATACGAAATAGGATTTGCAGCCTAAGAATCAATCTAGATATGCCTAGATTATCTTATAGTAGCTGTCCACCCCACAACTGCTTATATTGCCACTCAGCTTCCTATCGTCGGCATGTTGCATCACAACTCCTTCACGCCTAAAGCACAGTTTTGTGGTCTTAACCTCCAGCCAAATCAGCTCAGGATCATGATGCTCAAAATTTGCCGACTATCATAAGCAAGTCTCCGTGGCGCAATTGGCTAGCGCGTCTGACTGTTAATCAGGAGGTTGGAAGTTCGAGCCTTCCCGGGGACGCTTTTTTTGTCTTTTTACAGTATAAAGTTATCGCAAAACAAGGGCTAGGTCAAACCTTTCGCTAGGGCACTAGATAAATTTTGTTGTGTGTTGGCAAGAACCTAAAATTGATGGGCTTTTTTAGCGTTCAATATACTATAATGCTGGACTAACACACCTCAAGGATGGGCAATTTGATATCACGCTAAGGTCTTATTTCCAGTCTGCCTGTTTTGCACTTAAATTCCATTTCGCTAATCATACGTTGGAGGAATACGCAGTTTTATTTTTAACATCCGAGTTTCTGTGAGTATCTCAATGACTTTGGAGTGTTAGCTATTCACTTTCCTTTGGGCTGTGATTCACGGTAGGGAGCAATGGCAATTGCGTCCGAACTTTAGATGGATTAAATAGTCCGTTCATTTACAGTAAAGAATCCAGAGGTAGAGAGAAGAAAAATATAATCACTGGAAGTCTTTCTTGTATCTAATAATCCCCAGATAATAATTGAATCCGAACCTCAATCTTGATGTCCATTTTCTAACCAGTAAGTAACCTTAGTAAGTAACCTTAGTAGGTTTCGATGTCAGCCTTGCCTAGTCAGTATATGGGGCCCAAACCAATGAAACCCTTTCTCTCCATGTTTGAGATATTTTCCATACTATTCTGCTTTTTCTTCCATCAATCGATCCATTCATTCATTGTTGTTCTCTTAGCCCGATCCGAGTCGAAAGGGGACAGCCCCCGCGTTCCATCTATAAGTTCAAATCGAAGACCAACCCATCTACACAAATCATGTCCAACGCAACCGAAGTCTTGGGAGGACTCTTCGCCTCACTGCCACCATCACCCGAGTGGGCTTCCTTTTGCAGTAGTCTATTTGAGCAGTCTGGTTCTTTGTTCTTTTGGGCTTCACGAATGCATATAATATGCAATTGATCTGCTCCTTATTGATGCATTTCGCTTTTTTCCTCATTTTGATATGGCTCGCTTGCCAGGATAGATGGCGTAAAGTGGATATAACGAAGTGCCTTGGGCGGATAATTGTTGTTTTCTGGGTTTGAGCTTGTTAACCACAACTACTTTCACGGGGACGAACGCAATGAAGAGTTGGTAAACTCAGTGGGAAGAAGAAGGAAGAAATGATGTAATTAATATATCACAACATGAGTAATTTTGGCAAGGAATCCAGCACCATATGAAACGGACCTTCTGGTGTCTTGAAAATCACCATCCAGTTTCCATACAAATTCTATGGTCAATATTCTCAGTCTCTTGAGCTGAACATGCCAGGAGCTTTCGCCACTAGGGGGATATCCTGATGCAATGATTCTCGCGGATTTGGATCCGAACTGGATATGAGTCCACATTCATATAAGATTAGTATCGGGGATCATCCATACACACAGGAGAGAGAGAATCCATACCTTATTTGAGTCCATGAGCATTCTGATAATGTTCCTGCACAGCTTCTTGCTCATGAATCCCTCCCTTAATGAAGCGGCATTCTGAACAAACCATCTCCCATTCCAAATTGGTAGTCTAATATGTCTTTTGCGTCATATTCAGCAAAAAGGGTGTCTCGCCTGGGGACTGCTTCAGGTCGTATAAGATCTTCTGAAGCACTCCGCACGTGTTAGTATAATACACTTTCGATCATCGGCCAGAAAAGAGGCCGCAGAACCGTAAGCCGGAACCATAGTCCACGCACAATCAAAGATGGGGAAAGGGGCGGGAAGCCATGGAGCGATCTTATCATAGATAGCTTGTTGGAATACACGTAAGTAGTTGGACATATTGACGCCATCTTGGTAAGTCTCCTTGTGACAGTATATTACCCCCGTAACCGGCACCAGCCTGCATCAGCCTGTGTCCTGTGGTTCGCATTTGTGGCAGAGTTCTTGACTCTCACATCACAGGTCCAGAGAGCGGCGCATGACTTTTCCCATCATTGGTATCATGCCAGGAGCATTCAAGCCATTTATTTCAAGGGCTCGTCGGTACTGGTCACCGTAGGGAGGCCCGAGCTGCTGGAGCTTTGTTTGTTTGTGGATGTGAGTCAGGAGGTCGAAAGGCTGTGTGATAGAATTCAGTACCTACTGAGGAAGAAGCTCGGGAGAGCTTAACGATTCGTCGAAGTCTGATCCATGAGAATTCCAGGGCGACATGTCCGTTGCTTACTCATTCCTAGATTGTTCCTTCTCGTGGTGTCTTTTGGTTGCCCCTGTCCGTCGATGAGACACCGACCCCGGATATTTATTTGGCTTCACAATATATATTTCACCCACCAAGGCGATAACAGCGGGGCCATCAGCCCAATAAAACAAATGGGACTCTGAAATTCATGGAAAATAAATATACGAAGATATAAGTATAGCATAAGTTCAAAAGGATCCCGGAAATTAGATGACCGAAAGCCACCTGAGTAGGTGTAATAAAGACATCAAATTATTGTCGATGTCAGCCTTTATAGTCATGGCAAATTGGGAAGCACTGGGGTAGTATTTTGCAGCTTCAATAAGCAAAAGCAGTCTGCCTCTTTCATGAAATAAGTCTCCGTGGCGCAATTGGCTAGCGCGTCTGACTGTTAATCAGGAGGTTGGAAGTTCGAGCCTTCCCGGGGACGACTTTTTTTGGTATTTTTTGGCAGTGTATGTATATATATATCTGTCGCACGCACAACTAAGGGCCGGGCGATTTTTTTTGCCTCTTCAAAATTGAAATAAAATGACTAGGCAATAAGATTATGAATAAGAAAGAGACAGGCAAGATCAAATGAATGTATCCAGCCGATCAAGTGAATAATGATAATCTACCAGAGCCAAGCAGACTTACTATGCAGAGAATCATATTGAGACCGTAGCAAGGTATCATTGTCAATTTGGAGCTAACCTGAGTGAGTGGAACGAAGTGCCTGATACGAAAAATAACACATGGTCCCGAGGTCATAGTATAGAGAGCAGAAGAGAAAAAGACCGGGGTGCTGAGCTTGTCAGATGTTGATCCCCGAACATGGGTTTAGTAGAAATTAAGTATCAGCCACAGCTCCAGGTCGAGAAAAGGTAATACACGCAATAAACATGTAAAAAATAAACACGGACCATGGGGAAAATGCAAAGGACCGTAGTCAAGAGGACAAGTAAATCAATGTCTCGAATTCATGAAAACAAATCGCCGATTCCGCAGCGAGAATAGACGCCCCCTCTATCGACCATGTATGGGAGACGAAATAGACAATAACAACATACATACTCATATTCCTGTAGCAATAGCAATAGAATGAACACCCGATAACTCGTAATAACGCCGTGAAAAATATTCTCAGACATAAGTAGATAAACACAGAGGCAAGGAGTAGTTAATTTGAGGAGAGCCTCGCGAACATAAAAAAAGGGTATAATAAGGTAAATGGCCCAGATTCACATTTCCGAATCACCCCCGAGGGAGTGTCACACAAGTGCAATGCAAGGGCAAAGAGAAAACAAAGTAGCGGAGAGCGTTTGATAAGAGCATCGAGCAGAAATCCAAGAGAGATACAGATAGGAAACCCCAAAATCACCGGCGTATCTGATGCAGAAAAAAACCCCCACAAAACGCCCTCTCTAGATAGCGCCGAATCGAAATCTAGTAGCCTGACCATCCGCCCAATGGGCTTCCTGACTGACCTGGCTGGGGTTGACCAGGTTGCATCTGTGCACCAGGGCCAGTAGGCCACCCCGGCATACCACCTGCACCCATGCCCATTGCCATACCGGCCTGTTGTTGAGGGTTGGCAGCCATGTAGGCCTGACCACCCGGTTGTCCTTGAGCTTGAGGATACATTGCCCGTGCCATACCTTGGTAAGCGGCCGGATTTCCACCTGGGAAGCCCATGCCTCCCATAGCTTGTTGCGGCGCCTGT